AAAAAAATACCGTAGTTTTAGGGGGAGGGGGGGGGTTACATTCATTGAGCTGTGCGCACCCCCGTTTTTCACGCAAATTTCGGCCGACTTTGGACAGAAAAACCTGAGGTTTTTACGGTTTTTCCGAGACATTGGACGCGGCATTACATGAATCAATGATAAGTGAGCCAAAGTATGTAAATGAAGGCCAATGATAAGTGCAGTCAATAATGAGAAGAGAGAATGAAAGGAGGGTGCTGCCCCGAATGGGAACTGACCGAATGAGAACTGCTACGAATCAGAACTGCGCCCGTATCAGAACCGGTATGAATGCGAACTGCCCGAATGAGAACTCTTCAAGCTAGAACTACTACTAATCAGAACTGATCAAATTAATACCACCTAGACAATATTAATTTCAAAAAAACCGAAAATGAATAGGAATGTTTCTAATCCAGGATCTCTGCTTTTTTCTGCTACTATTTTTTTTGTATTTCTCTTTCTTCCTCTTCTTCTGTCTATCTTACATTCTCTCTTTCTTTTTTCTCGCAATTTTGGGCATGGTTTCAACAAGTTCTACTTTTTACGAGTAATTGCGCAAAAGTTGCTCGTTGTAATGGGGTTATTCAGGCTGTGAAAAAAATTATTTCGTTTTTTTACGTCAAAAAACCCAATTAAGAGATGTAAAAAAACAAAAAACAAACATACGCTGAATAGCCCATAAGCAATTTTTGAGCAACGTGTAACCAAAAAGTTCAATCACTTTCTAAGATTTTATCTCGTTCTCTTTTTCTGCTTATTCACAGTTTTTTTTCTGTTTCACACTTGTTTTCGTTACCAACGAACTGTTTCATTTGAATGTCTAGCTGTATCTAGAATACCTATACTACGCTTAAGTACAAAGGAAACACTTTTTTCTACGCTTTCATGTTCTGATTTAGGAAGTATTGCCATAAGGAGTTCTGATTCGGACAGTTCGCATTCATACCAGTTCTGATTCGGGAAGTTCTCATTTGGAGCAGTTCTGATTCGGGCGCGTTCTGATACGGGCGCAGTTCTGATTCGTGGCAGTTCTGATTCGGGCAGTTCCCATTCGGGGCAGCACCAAAAGTCAATGATGATTAAGTCAATGATCGAAGGCCGAAGGAATGACTGTCGCAGGAGGCTGTCATTGTTATTAACTCGTTACGCGTCTACTTAAATGTTTCAGGTCAACTCAGAGGCTCAAAAACTTCTTGCAAATTTACGTGATGAAAGGGTCCCAGCGAAACTTTCCGTACAGAACATCCGAAGATCTACTGTGGAGTGGGTCGGTAGAGATGGAATAGATGTCCAATATCATGCGGAATACATACGTCAGTTCTGTACCGATTTCTATCAGAGCATTACTAGAATGGTGGATAATGCGATGGAGAAGCACGCCAAATTTAGGGACCAGCTCTTCACCGAAGTCCTCACCCATCTTACTACAGGAATTACTGTTTCGAACATGTTTTTCGGAAGAAATGACCAACTTGAATGTGCTCGGCAATATGTTTTAGGCAACTCGAATCTGCCCATTATTCTGGAAGTCTGGCCGAAAGTATTATGGGAACATTTCTCTGTAAATCCGCTCTTTTGCGAAATCATGTCGGTAGTTAGTAACTCTACTAGATACCTCGGCGGCCGAATTTTTCCCTCGCAAAAATAATTTTTGGAATGTAAATGTTGCAGTTTGCAATGCGGACGGGGCTGGGCAATTGGCCGGCAGGGGCTTTTCGTTGGCCGGCCCTTGTCCAGGACTTTTGAACCCCTCACGACGAGTTAAAGCTTTTTTTGCACATACGCTTCAGCACTCCGTACCACTTGCAATATTCCGATCGGTCCAACCCAAACTTAGCCAGCTTCTCGCGCGATTGCAGAGAAATACCGCGATAATGCGTGTTTTTCAAAATAACGGATTAATAGTGAAATGGTCCCATAATAGTTTGCAATTGATGAATTCTGAGTTTTAGGGAGAGAATGGTTGTGGGAAAACTTCATTCATGGCAAAAATTGCGACGGAAATCAGAGAGTGGCCGAAATCAGAAACATGCGAGCCAATAATAATCTTACGTTTCTTAGGAACGAGCCCTGATAGTTCAAACATTGCGCCGCTGTTAACGTCTGTGTGCGATCAAGTTGGTCTCTAATTGCTATTATCGATACTCACTCGGCCGCCGGATCCTAAGCCACGGCGGGTCTCGACAGGAACAACTTCTTACAATTGTTTGAAAGTTCACGTGTTCATTTCTCAATTTCTCTGTTGCAACTATTTTCGTTTTAGAAATGAACGTGGGGACGGACAAACAGAGTAACAAACAAACAAACAAAGAGACAAACAAACAGAGAGACAAACCCGTGAAGAGTTATACTCAGATAAATCGTTTCTAATCTAGCTATTATAGGGGCACCGCACAGAAATGGCGCTCTGTTGAGAAGCTCTGTTGAGAAGGGGCCGAGTTTGAAAAGTTAGGCCACGTTTTCAGTGGAAAATTACTTCGCGGCCTAGAAATTCGGCCAGATTGCGAACAGCGCGCCCTTTCTGTCCGGTGCCCCTATAATAGCTAATTCGCGTTTCTAACCGGACCTAGTTAGATTGCTAATTTACTGCGATTAGATTGCAAATTCGTCTAACTAGACTGATAAATCTTCTAATTTGATTGGCGAAGCTAATCGTATTGCAAAAACACTTATATTAGATTCAAAATGTTGATAATTAGATAAACATTTCGGTCAAACCTAGCTAGATTATGTTTAGATTGCAAAATCAGCTAGCTAGATTCTGAAATCGTTAGCAATCTAACTAGGTCCGGTTAGAAACGAGAACTAGCTAGCCAAATTAGAAACGATTTGCCTGAGTACTAAAAAGAATAAGACTTTTGAAACCGGGGCCTGCAGTGCGGGGTAAGCTAACGCTCGAAAGCGGCAACGCCTATTGTTTTTTTTCTTATAAGTTATCTTACAGTTATAAGTTATAACTGTTCGGAACTTCACGTTTTAATTACTCAATTTCTCCGTCTCAATTGTTTTCGTTTTAGAAATGAAAAAAAGCCGGACTAACGGAGAAAGAAAGAAAGAAACGGACAGACCCCGCAAGCTTTTTATTATTATAGGGGCACCGCACAGAAATGACGCTCTGTTGAGAAACTCTTTTTTCAGTGCAAATTGAGCGACCTCGAGGCCGTGTTTGAAAAGTTAGGCCACGTTTTCAGTGGAAAATTACTTCTCATGTAGTATAAATCGTGAAGAGTGAATATCCGGGAATGCTGATATCTTGAATAGAGAAAATTCCAGCTCTGGAAGTTATAGTCTATAACTTATAGATTATCAAGCTTCTCCTTCAGCTCAACAGAACGACAGTACACACCCTTGTTTTTTTAAGGGGACCCTTGTTTTTCCTGGGGTTCTGAGGGCATTTAATTCGGAGGGTACAAAAATTAGGGGGTACAACAGGGTACAAATGGTTTTGGGGTACAACTTTCATGGTTTTGGGGTACAAAAAGTCGAGGGTACAAAATTTTCGATTCTGGGGTACAAAAATTTACCGATTCAGTAGGCATTGATTAAGGGGTACAACTTTTATGATTTAAGGATACAAATTTCACGATTTTGGGGTACAAAAGTTGCACGAAGCACATTTTCGAAGTTTTCATTCCAGTTTTGAATTTTTGAGAGCTCACGAGACACAGTCGTATGTAGCCATGCTTTGTTTTATGCAGTATTTTGTGTCATTTCGAGAAACAATCTTTACTTGGGTAAATTTCACACACAACATCAGATGCTGAAATTCTGCTGTGAAATTGCAGAATTTAAAAGGGCCAAAACAGCAAAACAACTTGTAAGTAATATTATAGGGCCACCGAATAGAAAGGGCGCTCTGTTCGCAATCTGGCCGAATTTCTAGTCCGCGAAGTAATTTTTCCACTGAAAAACGTGGCCTAACTTTTTCAAACTCGGCCCCGAGCTCACTCAATTTGCACTGCAAAAAAAGTTTCTCAATAGAGCGCCCTTTCTGTTCGGTGCCCCTATAATAACAAAGAATCAACCTAGACTAAAAAAACAAAAATGAGCGCAGAAATGAACAAGGATAAATAAAGAAAAGAGATCAAATAGAAGTAGTAGAATATAGAATATAGAAGAGAGATTAAATTAGAGAACACTAAAAAACAAAACAATGAAAATATTAGAAACTCTTCGTGCGCATCAAGACGGACTGAACGATCTTTTTCACTGAATTGATGCCCATGAAAAAATGGGAAAAAATTGTTGTACCCCAAAATCGTGAAATTTGTACCCTTAAATCATAAAAGTTGTACCCCTTAATCAATACCTACTGAATCGGTAAATTTTTGTACCCTAGAATCGAAAATTTTGTACCCTTGACTTTTTGTACCCCAAAACAATTTGTACCCTGTTGTACCCCCTAATTTTTGTACCCTCCGAATTAAATGCCGACTTTGGACTGTAAAATCCGCTAGATTTGCATGTTTTTTTTAAACTTTGAACGCGGCATTAGAAAAGCGGAAAAATTACAGGTTAACTGAGAAAAGTCAACAGAAAAGGGGAAAAACAACAGAAAATCACTAAAAAAGCATCAAAAACTGAATGAAATTCATTGAATTCGCGTTGTTTTCCGGAAAATCATTGGAAAGTTCAAGTCGATTTACGCGTCTCTTTGTGTCGAGACCCGCTGCGGTCGAGTGGCCTAGGATCCTAAATAGGCCACGACGATAAACATAAAATGATTTCAGATCGCTATAAATTACGATGAATCTTTAAAGAATTCGGCTCCAACCGAGCTATCAAAACTGTTTCAACACTTCAAAAAAATCACATCCTTAGCGACGCGAGAGAAGCCGCTGATCATATTCTTCGACAGTCTTGATCTCCTGTCTATGATCGATGGAGCTCATGAATTACTCTGGTTTCCACCGAGCTTGCCTCCTTTTGTCAAATTATTCGCTTCTCTGACACCAGGCACTAGTCTTATTTATAACAAAATGCAGCGGCTTATCGAGGACAAGAAGCAATATTTGAAAGTTCCCAGTCTAGGAAAGGTTAATGATGTCGAGGTTTTTTTTTGTAAATCGTCCACAATGACTTTATAATGAGTCCTGCACAGTTTTTCCGATTCGGCGATTCGGCTGAAGTTATGTAATCCTGTAGAAAAAGTGCACATATATATTAAGTGGATTTTGACCTAAAAACTAGTAAAAAATTGTTAGATTTTTTAAAATTTCTCAGCTCTCACTAGGGAGTGATCGGCCGCCAAAATAGAACTAATTACCTATATTTTATCTGTTGAAAGATTATGTGTAATCGCACGTTGTACACATGTTATGACTTGACAAAGTTTAAAATTTGTGTTTGCTACCGTAGCTCGAAAACTAGGAAGTTTGCATTCATCTGCAAGTTTCAGTCAAATCGTACCCCCAACACTCTATTCCTTGTTAGTTCTTGTTCACAAATTCCATAACCAATGACTCAAAAATGTAATAGCGCCAACGTAGCCAAATTTCTTTGCTTCAGGAACTCGGATATAGAGTTGTTCGAGAATGGCTCACAAATAATGGACGAACACTTTCCGAGCGGCAGTGGACAACTGTTTCGAAAGCATTGGACAAGTGTACTTTGCCGCTTTTTGTGAAACTGATCTACGCTACTGTGGCAAGATGGAAATCTTATTCGCGCCCACAGGACACGGTTCTTTTTTCATCTTTACAAGAAAGTATTAACGTTTTGTTTCATAGAACCGAAAGTCAACATGGTACATCTTTTGTTTAGCTCAGTGGTAATTCTCAAGTTTTAGGAAAACTGCTCGTTTCGCATGCGTTGTCCTATATTTCTGCTGCAAGATCCGGAATCAGCGACTCTGAAGTAGAAGATCTAGTAAAGAGAAACATTCTCGGACGGACATAGTTTCACGTTTAGATATCACTAGACGACAAAGTTCTCGACGATATATATCAGTATCATCTGCCGCCCGTGAGAAGAATACCTCCATTACTGTGGAGTCGAATAAGATCTGACCTGCCCGGATATCTTTCGGAAAGAGCTGCTGATGGAGTTATTGTGCTGAACTGGTTTGCAATATATAACTAAAGCTATTTATATAACTGAAACTGCTTCCAAGGTATCATCAACAGTTTCGTCAAGTTGCTATTGAGAGATATTTCAAAAATGTGAATCATTTGGAAACTTGCCACTCAGCTATGGCCGAGTACTTTCTCGGTGTTTGGGGTGGAGTTCCTAAGCCTTATCAATATACGGAAATGCAGAAACAGCGATTCGGAGTCACAGAGAATGAAGGTTATAACATTGTGAAAATTAATCTGGTAGATGGATCGAATTAGACACGAAAACTCTCTAATTGCAGTGCTGGCCAAAAGTTTATCAAAAATCGCTTTTTTGAAGATAATTTTGTTCATAGTTATCCGGTATCCTCAGGGAATATAACTTATATTCCAAACGATTTACTAGAGGAGTAAGAACTGAAAATGGTTTAGGACTTGCCGATCGCAAAGTACCAAGACAGCCAAATGTGTTCACTTCAAAAGATGGAAGTCACAGATATAACACACGAAAACTGAACGAACTACCGTATCATCTATTGCGGTCAGGAAGAGTCGATGAGCTCTTATCGCTTTGCCTTTTTGACTATGAATTTCTTCATTCAAAAGTAAGTGTCGGCCAATGAACTGAGAGTATTGTTACGTATTTGAACAGGTTTCAAGTTTTCCACTACAATCACTCATAGCTGATTACGAAGACGCTATTCAGACGATAAAGGATATCGAAATTTCAAGACAGCTAGCACTAGCCGTTGATGCTCTACGACTTTCAGCAAGTATATTGAGGCATTTAATATATTTAACCGAAACATGATACACACATGTTTTTTTGCAGTCGTAATCCCGGTATGCTAGCTTTTGAGCTCTTAGGACGACTACTTCCACTTGTACAAACCAACTCTTACGTCAGCAAACTTCTTATAAAGTAAGACATATTTCAGAATTTTGCTGCCGTAATAGCGCTTTATTGAACTTTTTAAACAACGTTTTATTATGAGCTTGAGAACGCACAAAGCGCCGTAGAAAACTAGAATTTTGTTGAACAGATGTGACAAAGAAGCGCCACACCACAACGCTTTCATTCCCGCTCATCATTGCTTCCATTCTCCCGGAGGTCCTTTGAAATTCTCATTGGAGGTCAGAACAGTTGTTCAGAAAATTTTGATTTTAATTTTGTTACAGGAGCACCAATTTGCTGTCTTTGGCATGCAGATAACATCCGATAGAAAGCTACTCGTTTCCACCTCCAATCAGATTATAGTGTGGGATATTTCCACCGGTAAGTATATTTTCATTTTTTAACAAAGTAAAGGTGTCATAGCTTCTTTTCTTTATCGGTGTGTCTATTAGACATTATTAGACATTATTGGATGTTAATAAGTTCTAATTTAATCGCAATCCATTTACCAGAGGGCCTTTGGCGAATGATTGTCAATTTTTAGGTGACATTGCAAGAGTCATCAATCCTAATATTGATGGCGTATTCTTTGGACTAGCATTATCAGAAAATGACAAGTTTGCTGCCGCGTATACTAACAACAATCAAGTAATCGTCGCTTCGTTAGTCTCTGGAGAATTCGTTACAATAGATCCCGAGTTCTTCTTCACGCAGATGGAAATACAAACGGTGATCCTATGGTACAGTATTTGAAGTATCTTGATTTCAGATCCGTTTCATCGGAAACACGAACATTTTAATGTTTTCGAAATCTCGATACTCGATTTATACCGTCAATGGGATACTTGTCAGTCAAGGAAACGAAAATGTGCACGACAAAATGGTATGCATCTTGGGACCAAAACTTGTTTTTTGAAATTTGAAATTTCCTCTATATTATTAGTAAGATTGCAGAAAATTGTCAACATTTCCTCTCGGGACAGTGTGAACTTCTTGTTACTTCTTTCAAGCGAAATAGACGAATGGAGCCTGGTGCTGAAAGGAACGTTAGATGGTAATTTGGAATGAATACAGTGTGTTTTATAAGAATAGGACCACCCTGAAAATTGAATATATCACCTCTATCATGGACTACCCTAAAATTATAAACTCTTTGACTCATTCATCAGTGACTAATATTATCTTTGGCTGACTCATCATTGACCCATGTTCTCTTTGACTCCCCTTAACAGTTTTTAGCTGACTTTAAAAAAAATTATCGGTGAACATGAAATTTCGAAGGTCAGACATAGGCTGGTCGAACATACGATTTCAGGCGCCTGTTCGACCAGCCTAGTCAGACACATTTTGAGCCCGTGCTCAGCTTAGAGCTCACGGAACCACGTGACACTTATTTCAGCACCGCAGGGTCATTAGGGTGATCACTGGCTCAAATATTAATAAAATGTGAAGTTATTTTTTTATCATATGATATGATTCATATCGGACTTTTACATTTAACGAACTCCTATACCCCCCGCAATTATGTCAGTTCGAGATCTTTTTAACTAATGTTGAAATGTTCACCGACCTAGGTAAACCGTTTGTAATCTAGCTAGCTAATTCGCGTTTCCAACGGGACCTAATTAGATTACTAATTTACTGCGATTAGATTGCAAATTCATCTAACTGGACTGATAAATTTTCTAATTAGATTGGCGAATCTAATTAGATTGCAAACACACTGATATTAGATTCAAAATTTATCGAATTAGATTAAAATTTCGGGCAAACCTAGCTAGATTATGTTTAGATTGCAAAATCAGCTAAATAGATTCAGAAATCGGTAGCAATCTAACTATAGGTCCCACGGCGCGGCTTTTGCGTTCACCAAACGTTTGATCCTCTGTCTGTGCATTTTTGCACGCCTGTGTTGATCTGCGTACAGTGCATTTTATGTTATTATAGGGGCACCGCACAGAAATGGCGCTCTGTTGAGAAACTCTTTTTGCAGTGTAAATTGAACGGCCTCGGGGCCGAGTTTGAAAATTTAGGCCACGTTTTCAGTGGAAAATTTAAAAAAAAAACTTCGCGGCCTAGAAATTCGGCCAGATTGCGAACAGCGCGCCCTTTCTGTCCGGTGCCCCTATAATACGCGCAAAGTTCTTTTTTTTATTGTTGATGAATTTTCTCCAAATATTCATCTCTTTAAAGCGTTTTTCCCCACTTTCTACCTCAATTAGACCTTTTTACAGATTCTAGGTGAAGTACTACGCGAAGAAAAGTCGATACAATGAAAAGAAACGCGTAAGTAAGTGAAAGTAGGCCGATACTCCGAGGGGGCACCCAAGTAGGGGGCAACGAGGGGGCAACGCCCTCCCAGGGGTCATCCTCTCCTAGGGGGCAAAAAAAAAGTAACCCTCCTTGAGTATTGAGTATTGAGTATTGTGAGAGTGTCAGAGGCAGGATGCCCCTTTGGAGGAGATGCCCCTTTGGAGGAGATGCCCCTTTGAAGGAGATGCCCCTTTGGAGGAGATGCCCCCTGTGAGGCGACCCCTGGTAGGGGCCAGGGATAGGATGCCCCTTTGGAGGAGATGCCCCTCTGAGGTGACCCCTGGGAGGGTGGCAGGGGATCAAAGGATGCCCCCTTTGAGGTGATGCCCCTCTGAGGGTGACCCCTGGGAGGGTTCGTCGGTTGCCCCCGGTAGGGAACGGCTAGATGCACCCTAAGAGTGATTGCCCCCTAGGAGAGGATGACCCCTGGGAGGGCGTTGCCCCCTACTTGGGTGCCCCCTCGGAGTATGGGCCGTGAAAGTAAGGTTTTATTCAGAAAATGCACGATTTCTCGAAAAACGTGACTAGATTTTCTAATCTTTGGTTAAAAAACTTTTTTTTTTTTTGCTTCTACGAACTGTCACTCTGCTTTTTTTTTGGTTCGAAAACATTCACAGTCATGTAAGTGAACTATTTAAACAAAAAAATTAGAAAATCTAGAGAGGGTTTTTGAGAAAAAAAAATTTTCAACGAAATGTCACTGTTTTCCGGCAAAAGACCAATTTTTACGCGAAAGCGAGCTGTCACTCTACTTTTTTTTATTTGAAAACATTCATAGTAAAGTTAGTGAACTTTTTAAATCAAAAGATTAGAAGATCTAGAGACGTTTTTCGAGAAATCGTATATTTTCTGAATAAAACATTACTTCCATTTACTTACGCGTTTCTTTTCATCGCACGTCTCTTCGCGTATTACTTTATCTGGAATCTGTAAAAAGGTCTAATTGAGGTAGAATCGCTTTAAAGAGATGAATATTTGGAGAAAATTCTCAACAACTAAAAAAATGAACTTTGCGCGTAACATAAAATGCACTGTACGCAGAGCCACACCGACGCGCAAAAAAATGCATACCCCCTTCCCCTAAACTCTTTTATGGAAGTTCAGAGCCTTTTTTGAAGTGGCTTTACAATGGTTAAACATTATAATCAACTGAGCACCTATACTCGGCAAGAGCGCGCCACGTTTGCGCAAACTTTACGCATATTTTGCGCAAAATTAGCGCAGCTTCTGCTGGCTAGTTGCGCAAAGGCTGCGTAAAGTCTGCGCAAAAGCTGCCAGTTTTAAAATTTTGCGCAAATGCCGCTTAAAAATTTTCAGTTTATTTCCACTTCATTTCTGCATGAAAAAACAATTTTATTGGGATAGTATAAAATAGAAACAAGTATCATTTAGAGATCAGTGATTGTATGGTCTTCGTCACTTTCATAACTCAAAAAAGACACGTTGTTATAAGTGAAAATGCAGGCTATGTAGGAGACACCATCCTCAAATTTAGCGTCCTGGAAGCAGATCGATGACCTAAAAACCTAAAAACAAGAACACCCAACGGCACTCCTTTCAGAAAGGCACCCTCTCATTTCAGAACAACGCCGTTGTGAGAGTAAATGTTTCCGGTTATCTTTCGGTAAATTTCATTATCAAATCATAAAATCTACCAAAAGAATTACCTAGAAGATATATTGGTAAATGAGTTCTTCGGTAGAACACACTGAATCCTTGGCATACATGTCGCATGTACTCAGACAAATCAATTCGAATCTAATTAGATGATCTTAGTTTCTAACGCAACCTTTTTAAATTTTTAATTTTTGACTCTAGATGAGCAAACGCGAACAAAAGGAAGGATTGACAGTTTTCATTGTGATGCAGCTGTGACATTCACTGATAATCTTCTTCGAGACGGTTTTGCATGTATCAGAAACAAAGGTATTGTCAAAATAATATTCTTGCCCCCTACAGTAGCCCCATAATTATTATAGGGGCACCGCACAGAAATGGCGCTCTGTTGAGAAACTCTTTTTGCAGTGCAAATTGAACGGCCTCGGGGCCGAGTTTGAAAAGTTAGGTGGAAAATTACTTCGCGGCCTTGAAATTCGGCCAGTTTGCGAACAGCGCACCCTTTTTCTCTGGCATTTCGTTATTAATCTAATCGCAGTCTACTCGAGTTATACGGCGGCCTAATAAGATTGATATGACACCTAATTAGATTAATAAATTGTCTAGCTAGATTAATAAATCTTCTAATTAGATTGATATGTGCTCAAATCAAGTTTCACGCCAACCGTCTGCTGGCTCAAATCTCGATTGCGCCAAGAAAAAACAGTCGAATCTAATTAGGTCGCGTTTAGATCAGTAACTTTCAAATTAGATTATTATCGAATTTCCAGAGTTTGTCTAGTGTTCCTCACAGTGTGTGATTTCGGAAGAATGAAACTCGAAAGAGGCTGATTTCGAAGAAATTGCGACTAAAAATCGACAGATTCTCTCGCATTCTTTCTTGCGAGAGAAAACCGATTTTCTTCCGGAAGATTCTCTCGCATTTCTTTCGCAGGAAATGCGAGAGAATCTATCGATTTACTTTCGAAAGAAATTCGGCAGATCTGCCGAAAAGAAATTCGGTGTTTCCTTTTTTTAATTTTATTTTTTTATATTTTTTTGTTTTAAATTTTATTTTATTTTTATATTTATTTTTTTAATTTTTTTAAAAAATTTTTCACAGCCTGAAAAAAATTAAAAAAATTTTTTTAAATTAATTTTTTTCACAGCCTGAACAAATTAAATCTCTCGAGATATCTTTCGAACTGCTTTCAAAATCACACACTGGTGCCCCTTTAATATGAGCGCGAAAATGTTTAGGAATTAGGCACGGGGTCGTCATGGGTACATCGAAAACTAAAATTTGAACTTCCGCCGACGGTCGATTGCGTAGCGCCCCTATCTTAAAGCATTAGGCCAAAGCAAAAATTTTGAAAATTTCAGTAGAGCGCACTTGCGCCAGTGTACCCCGCCACGACTCCGTGTTAGGCTGGTCGAACAGGCGAAAACAGGCGCCTGCGCCTGTTTTTTCAGGCGCCTGTTTTTCAGGCGCCTGTTTTTCAGGCGCCTGTTTTTTCAGGCGCCTGTTTTTCAGGCGCCTGTTTTTTCAGGCGCCTGTTTTTCAGGCGCCTGTTTTTTCAGGCGCCTGTTTTTTCAACGCGCCGCTGCATCCCTGCGTTGAGAAAACAGGCGCCTGAAAAAACAGGCGCCTGAAAAACAGGCGCCTGTTTTTTTCAGGCGCCTGTTCGACCAGCCTATTAGGAATTATCAAGCGATGCGCAGTTTTTCCGCTCAAATGAGACCCTCAAACATTCCTGATGCATTTTGCCTGAAACTCGTCCAAACTCCCCAAATCTTGCTGATGCTATCAGACAAGCGACCCAGCTCAAAAAAAACGGTACACAAATTTCGGTGAGCAGCAACTCTCACGGAACTCTTTTGACGAGGTTATATTATAGGGGCACCGCACAGAAATGGCGCTCTGTTGAGAATCTCTTTTTGCAGTGCAAATTGAGCGACCTCGGGGCCGAGTTTGAAAAGTTAGGCCACATTTTCAGTGGAAAATTCTTCGCGGCCTAGAAATTCGGCCAGATTGCGAACAGCGCGCCCTTTCTGTCCGGTGCTCCTATAATACTTAGGTAGTGAGATGAAAGTTCACGTATGCATTTCTCAATTTCTCCGTAAAAACAATTGTTTTTCATAACTCTGGTTTCAAAATTTTACTCAATGTTTAGGTAACTTGGATCCCGAAGAAGACCAATACTTTTCGTTTGTAAGAATAACCTTGTCAACGTCGAAATACATAATTAGCGAGAGAATACAAGATGACCTCACGAACCGAATCAACTATATCAAAGTGTTCGACAGAAGGAATAGCAAACAAGCGTCATGGATAGTTGGAGTCATAATAGATGTATTTAACAACATTTATTTATTTTCTGCCTTTGTCGCGGGGTGCTTGAGGACCACCGTTGTCAACCGTAACCACCAGAATCTCTGGGAACTCGATTGCAATCTAATTTGAAGAGTTTGCAATCTAATTAGAAAAGGCCATATTTCGCAATCTAATAAGATTTATTAATTAAAGTTGCAGTGAAATCGTACTAAATTACAGTAAATTTTTCCTGAATTGCAATATGATAAGAAAAATTGCAATGTAGTTAGACAAATTGCAGTGATTGCAGTCTAATTGCAGCAAATTCTACTGTTGAAAAAGAAAAGGTTCGACATTCGAATCGGAGTTGGCAGCGAGCCAAGGACACGCCCCCAAACAGTTTTCACTGCAACTGCCGCACGCTGTTCAGGGGGCGTGTCCTTGGCTCGCTGCCAACTCTGACTCGAATGTTGAACCTTTTCTTTTTCAACAGTATTTTAAACGAGCCTGGCGGTTATGGCTGACAGCAGAAGTCTGCGTACCGTATACCGCGCGACAGCACACAAAAAATATCCTTTTGAATTTCTCCCTTTCCAGTGCTTTCTCTTGTATCGTGATCGATGCCAACTCACGCCAGTTTTTTTGAAACTTCCCGCTAACGTGAGAAACATTCCAATTCGTCCGAACCATACCACTACTGCGATAACGCTTGCCGCCCATGACACAGTTTTTGTTGCTGGAGTTCGCAAGCATCTCTTCTTATGGAATGTGGTAACAACCGAGGTAATTCTCAGTCGAGATTGTGAAAAATCTGGTTTTCCCACAGCTTCTCCGCTCTCTCGATGCTCATTTCGGTAGGATTCTCAATTTGGACTCTATCAGTCAGCAGGGTCAAAGTATTCTGATTTCCTCGTCATTGGATCACACTATAAAGATTTGGAACATGGAAAATATATGCGAGAAGTCATTCTCAGTGCCGGCGATGGAGCAGTCGATTGAGAAAATATCCGTGGCGAAAGATAATCCAACACTGGCTGCAGTCCAGACGAGAAAAAACATTGGAATTTGGGATGTGAAGTACTTTTTCATCTCTTTTCTATCACAGGGTGTCTGCAATCGCGTTCTATTGAGAAACTTTTTTCGCAGTGCAAACTGCAGTGATCTCGGGGCCGAGTTCTCAGGCAAATCGTTTGTACTCAAGTTAGGAGATTTCCTAAACCGAGTTCCTAAAATAAATGGGGAATCTTCAGCTACTTGCCCGCGCAAAAGGAAAGAGATGATCATTTAACAGATGCCTCTGCCAGATTCATCTTAGATAAGACTCTGTGTGTAAAAAAGTTGTGTCTTAGCTTCGATTTTGGAGTCTTCCATCGGTAAACGTGACTCCGTCCAGTCCGTGTAGTGTTTAGGCGTAGGAAAAAGTCATCAGGATTGATGTCGACTTTGTTAGCTAACAATTTGATTAAAAACTTCTTATCTAAATGTGATCGGCGAGTTTCAAGTGATTCGAGGTTAAATTGACGGCGACGTTCACTGGCGTTTATGTAGTTTGGCGAATCTCGAGGTACGAAAGCTCCTATTTTCCGTAACCAAAGCTTACGAGAGAAATTACTCTGAACCTGTTCTATTGCTCTTATCGTAGCTTTTTTAGAAGGACATGTGACAATAGGTTAATCTAATTAGATGAATTTTGAGTTTTTGAACTTTGCGCGTATTATAGGGGCACCGGACAGAAAGGGCCGTTCGCAATCTGTCCGAATTTCTAGGCCGCGAAGTAATTTTCCACTGAAAACGTGGCCTAACTTTTCAAACTCGGCCCCGAGGTCGCTCAATTTGCACTGCAAAAGGAGTTTCTCAACAGAGCGCCATTTCTGTGCGGTGCCCCTATAATATAGCAGTGTTTTTGCAATCTAATTAGAAAATTTATCAGTCTATTTAAAAGAATTTGCAATCTAATCGCAGTAAATTAGCAATCTAATTAGGTCCGGTTAGAAACGCGAATTAGCTAGCTAGATTACAAACGATTTACCTGAGTAGAAACTATTTGCCTGAGTTTGAAGAAAAATGAAAAAGTACGACCACATTTCCACTGAATAATAACTAAGAATTACTTTGCGGAGGAAAACCTCCCATAATAAGCTGCTGCCAATTTAGATGCGTATCGACACAAAAGCGTTGTGGGTGATACGGAGTTTCTGTGTTTTTTCTTAAGCTGCTACTTTCTTTGCTTTTTCGCAATGTAGCGCAAATGCATCGACGTCGTGCTCGACACCCCGTGTGTCTTAAATATGATGATACACGGTCTCCAGAGCTGACAATGGACGCAAGTGCGCCCCGCCCAATAGAGCGAAACATTGGCGCGAAATTCAAAATTTAACAGCAAAATTTGTGTTTTTTGCCAGATTAGCCACGAAAAACCGATAATTTCTCATTTGTCTCTCGATAGACCGATTGAATAGGCTATTACGAATTTTTTAAGCGCAAGAGCGTCAAATTTGGCGGTTCGAGCTCTCAAAATGCTTGTATTTGATTTATCATTCTCAAAACCAATTCTGTCTGAAAACGGTCAAGAAAGCGCAAAATGAGAAGTGCGGTTTTTAGGCGGCGATCGGCGGCTATCGGCAGCGAAGGCGAAAAAGCAAAGTCCGCGAAAAATGCGCCAAAACGTAGTGTGTTTTCATGTCGAACAATCATTTTTCATCGCCTTTGACGACAAAAATCAGAGAAAACCTGCTCAATTCATGAAAACGCCATTTGGCCGAGGCCACGCCCATATTGTCAGCTCTGGAGACCGTGTGATAGTATAAATAACTTTTCTGTGCCAGATCTCATCGTTATATCGCTTCGTTGGTTGCAAATGTTCATGGTGCTGTCGTTTCTGATTCTATGCTATCGGCGGACGGACGGTATTGAATATTCTATCAGCGGAGGACTTCAGTGTGAATGCGCTCTATTGAAAATCGCGAGAACGGCTCGTGGACGAAAGTTCGAAAGTTGGAAGAGAAAACACGCACTTGTCCCCCGGTCATTTTGCGAGCATTTTTCGGTGTTTTGTGCAATTTGTTAAATAAAGAGACCGTGTCAAAACAGCGGAAAATCACGAAACAGCGGAAAATCACGAAACAGCGGATGCCATAACAGCGGAAAGAAATGCCAAAACAGCGGAAAGCGAAAAAGTTTTTTTAAAAAAGCGTTTTGTTGGCTGCCTAATTATTTGTCTAGGCCACAATTAAGAAGATTAACCAATCAGCGAGCTTCAAATTAGACCTCGAGGTGTTTTTGGCATTTCCTTCCGCTGTGTTGACACGGTCTCCTATGGGGTTATTCAGGCTGTGAAAAAAATGATTTTTTCACAGCCTGAATAACCCCATTAATAAAATATGGCATTTTTTGTTTTCTAGTAAAAATGTTTTACTTTTTCGTGTTGTCAGTAAAATTTAAGGCAGTACTCGAAAGTTTTCTTTCTAGAAAGACGAAAAAGTGAAATTTTTTCACTGAAAAAAACGAGAAATTCCATGTTTAATTTAAAAAATTGCAAAAATCACCGTGCGCGTTTTTCTCTTTCACCGTTTTCGCCTGCGAATTCTCAATAGAGGGCGTTCACATTGAAATGACCCGGATAGTAGGGAGGAACAATTTTTTTTGAATTTTGACCAAAACCTCAAATTTGAAAATTAGGTTTGGGAGGGGTGCTTTTGTGAGGATCAGGCAAATCGTTTGTAATCTACTAAGGATGTTTCGTAATCTAAACCGAGTTCCTCTGGAAACTCGATTGCAATCTAATTAGAAGAGTTTGCAATCTAATTACATTAAATTAGCTATCTAACTAAGTCCGGTTATAACCTTTCTATAGAAACGCGAATTAGCTATTATGGGGGCACCGAACAGAAATGGCGCTCTGTTGAGAAACTCTTTTTGCAGTGCAAATTGAGCGACCTCGGGTCGAGTTTGAAAAATTAGGCCACATTTTCGGTGGAAAATTACTTCGCGGCCTAGAAATTCGGCCAGATTGCGAACAGCGCGCCCTTTCTCTCCGGTGCCCCTATAAAAGCTAGATCATAAAGATCTGAAACGATTTGCCTGAGACGTTATTCATTAAAAACCATTTTCTTACCACGGAGATGAATTATTATAGGGGCACCGCACAGAAATGGCGCTCTGCTGAGAAACTCTTTTTGCAGTGCAAATTGAGCGACCTCGGGGCCGAGTTTGAAAAGTTAGGCCACGTTTTCAATGGAAGATTACTTTGCGGCCTAGAAATTCTGCCAGATTGCGAACAGCGCGCCCTTTCTGTCCGGTGCCCCTATAATATTACTGTTGAAAAAAAAGGTTTGACATTGGAATCGAATCTGGCAGCGTGCCAAGGGTCGGCCTCCAAAACGAATATGCAGCACGGTTTGTTTTGCAATCATGCCGCACGCTTTATTGTTCTTCGTCTATGTTTTTTTATTGTTCTTCGTCTAATAGTTTCCACTCAAGTAAATCGTTTCTAATCTAGCTAGCTAATTCGCGTTTCTAACCGGATTTAGTTAGACTGCTAATTTACTGTGATTAGATTGCAAATTCGTCTAGACTGCCAAGTTTTCTAATTAGATTGGCGAAGCTAATCGGATCGCAAAAACACTGATATTAGATTCAAAATTTAGCTAATTAGATTAACATTTCGGTCAAACCTAGCTAGATTATGTTTAGATTGCAAAATCAGCTAGCTAGATTCAGAAATCAGTAGCAATCTAACTAGGTCCGGTTAGAAACGAGAATTAGCTATTATAGGGGCACCGGACAGAAAGGGCGTGCTGTTCGCAATCTGGCCGAATTTCTAGGAAGCGATGTCATTTTCCACTGAAAACGTGGCCTAATGGGGCTATTCAGCGTATGTTTGTTTTCCGTTTTTTCGTTTTTTTACACCGCTGAATTGGGTTTTTTGACGTAAAATAACGAAAAAAAACGGAAAAAAAAGCTTTTTTTCACAGCCTGAATAACCCCGTAACTTTTTAAACTCGGCCCATTAGGGCATTTAATTCCGAGGGTACAACAATTTTGGGGCACAACAGGGTACAATCTATTTTGGGGTACAACTTTTTTAATTTTGGGGTACAACTTCCCCGATTTTAGGGAATAATTTCTGTCAAGTATTTTAGGGTACAATAATTTTAGGGTACAACACTTTTAGGGCACAACTAGCACATAATTTCAGGGCACAACTTCTTACAATTTTGGGGCACAACAACATGATTTTAGGGTACAACACTTTTTTTCTCATTTTTTTGTATTTTCTTGCATCTTACTACAAACCCATATTCTTTATATCAATATTTCGCTGATTTTTTTATTTCAATGACTCATCTCTTGTAAGAGAACCAGTCTTTCGACTCGCACAGCACGCGTGCTTTCTGCGGCAGTTCACACATTTTGTTTTCATCAAATCGTGAGGTTATTCAAAACCTTTTATTGCAAAAAAGCATATGACAGTAACAAGTTGAGCACAAATGAACGGATCTGAAATAAAGAGTAGTTAATCTAGTCTATTGTCTATTGTTTTCTTGCAGTAGAGGTTTTAGTGCACCACAAAATATGCTCCCAAGGGAAGCCTTGATCCTATTCTCATAAACCCGCCTTATTAATAGAGCTATTTAAAACCCAGATTAACTACTCTTTATTTCAGATCCGTTCATTTGTGCTCAACTTGTTACTGTCATATGCTTTTTTTGCAATAAAAGGTTTTTGAATAACCTCACGATTTGATGAAAAACAAAAATGTGTGAACTGCCGCAGAAAGCACGAGTCGAAAGACTGGTTCTCTTACAAGAGATGAGTCATTGAAATAAAAAAATCAGCGAAATATTGATATAAAAAAAGAATATGGGTTTGTAGTAAAATGCAAGAAAAATACAAAAAAATGAGAAAAAAAGTGTTGTACCCTAAAAATCATGTTGTTGTGCCCCAAAAATTGTAAGAAGTTGTGCCCTGAAATTATGTGCTAGTTGTGCCCTAAAAGTGTTGTACCCTAAAATTATTGTACCCTAAAATAATTGACAGAAATTATTCCCTAAAATCGGGGAAGTTGTACCCCAAAATTAAAAAAGTTGTACCCCAAAATAGGTTGTACCCTGTTGTGCCCCAAAATTGTTGTACCCTCGGAATTAAATGCCAAAAAAAACGAAGAAGAGCAAACCGTGCCGCATATGCGTTTTGGAGGCCGGGCCTTGGCACGCTGCCAGATTCGATTCCAATGTTGAACCAGTAAAACTGTAATGTTTCATTTAGCACCGCAATTGCCGTTGAATCAGATAATCTACTTCTCTGGGATCTCAGAACACAATCAGTCATACAATCTGTCCATGCACCAAATGTGTTCCAGATATTCTATATGAACAAAGAAAGTTTAATAGGTTGGTTTCGAAGTGTGTGTGTGTGCTCAACCGATTGTACTGTCTTCGATTAGTTGAGCACACTGGTTTCAAATATAGTACGGTTCATTAATTTGGAAATTTTCGGTGTTATACATCGTCAGGTGGATTTGGCAGAGCAAAAAGTTGGAAGACTCACAATTTACAACGCTTCCGATTTTTCCATTCATTATAACTTTGAGTACCCATGTAGAACGTTCAAAGAATGTGCTGTTCTAAAGGTAATGTTGTCCGTCTTCATTATTTTGACGCCGATAGTGCGGCCAATACTCCCAAGGCGTAGCATTAGTCTCACAGGTGAGGAATTTTGATATTGAAGAGCTGAAGAAAGAGCTCCTTTAATGTTGGCCAGATTCATATGATACTAATGTATACTATAGTCCCCTGGGAGTATGGGCTCGTTGTCCTATGGGACATCTCGGTAAAAGCCCGCAACTTTCACGCAAAAGTAAGGGCTCACGCAACTTTGCGTGAAGTTAGCGCTAAAGTTGCGTAAGGTTAGCGTAAAAGTTGCGGGCTTCTACCGAGATACCTCTGGATGATGCCCCATTGGAGCAATTCACTATTTCAAGACAGTACTTCAGGATGGAACAACCGGAGTAGCAGTCACGCTGTTTAAAGGACACGACAGCCTTTTAGTTTTCGATGTTGTCGAAAAAACTCAAAAAATGAAGTTTCGACCGCGACTGTCGAAAAAGCAAAAAGATACGATAATCAACAAAGTGATAGCAATGCCGTACAGCAATAGCCAAGCAAGAATTTTTCTGAGTCTTTGAAAACGAAATGTCCTAGGTAATCGTGGTTGAAAACGACTCTAAAGCTAGTATATGGGATATAAAATTGAGAAAGTTCAATCGAACTCTTTCTCAGTTCAACGGCGACGTTTCAAATGATGGAAAGATGGGATTATTCGCGCCCGCAAAAGGCGGCCTTTTCGTAAGAGTTTTCGTTGTTTGTTGAGTTTAAAATGCATCCGCAGATCATTGATATGCGGACCGGACATGCAGTCAAAACTTTGATCGGAAATGTGGCAGAAGGTGTGAATGATGTAACTTGCTCATTTTCCCCAAACGGACATCACGTGTTCTATTATCACAGTGGTCACAAGACGCTAAGGCAAGTCTAATAATCTGTACTATTGTGAAAAATGCCCGCCCGCAGGACTGGGCAATTGGCCGGCCCGGGCTTTTCGTTGGCCGACCATTGACCTGGACTTTTGAACCACTTGCAATATTCCGATCGGACCGAAATTTTGCAGTATATATATATTGTAATCTAATACGATTTTACTGGAACTTCAATTAACTCTGATTATATTGCGAAATAGAGCTTTTTCTTATAGATTGCAAACTCTTCTAATTAGATTGTAATCGAGTTTCCAGAGATAAAAAAAATTGGCCGGAAGCCCGGGCTTTTTGGAAAAAATCGGCCAATGATCCACATATCTCGGGACCTGACGATCCGATCGGGCTGAAACTTGGTCCCAATGGCCCTCAATCCAAGTCAAAGAAGCCTGCAAAGTTTCGGTCCGATCGGAATAGATGAAGTGGTTCAATGTCCAGGTCAATGGTCGGCCAACGAAAAGCTCGGGCCGGCAAATTCTCTGGAAACTCGATTGCAATCTAATTAGAAGAGTTTGCAATCTAATAAGAAAAAGCTATATTTCGCAATCTAAGCAGATTTAATTGAAGTTCCAGAAAAATCGTATTAGATTACAATATATTTTTCCTGAATTGCAATCTAATTAGAAAACATTGCAATCTAATTAGAAAAATTGCAGTGATTGTAATCTAATTAGAAGATTTTGCAATCTAATTAAAGCAAATTCTATTTCAAACGAGTTCGTATTAGATTGCAAAGTGTTCTAATTAGATTGCGATCGAGTTCCCAGAGTTGCCCAACCCTGCCCGCCCGCAGGGAAACCCTAAAATTGTGGAATTATTGCGGTTAGGCTGGTCGAACAGGCGATTTCAGGCGCCTGCGCCTGTTTTTTCAGGCGGTTTTTTTAGGCGCTTGTTTTTTCAGGCGCTTGTTTTCTCAACGCAGGGACACAGCGGCGCGTTGAAAAAACAGGCGCCTGAAAAAACCGGCGCCTGAAAAACATACGCCTGAAAAGCAGGCGCCTGTTCGACCAGCCTAATTGCGGTAGTTGAAAAACGGCATACGATTTATTTACAGAGTCTTCCGTGTACTCGATTGCCAGCTAATAGGAACTTTCCGCCCTCATGCAACGATCACTTGCTGGACTTATGATCCGGAAGGACTTTCTGTGATAATAGGTTTGTTTGATTTCCTACCCAATACTTCAATCCAAGCCTGTAAAATTTGAAACTGATCGGATTATTTCCTAACTGGGTCCTTCAAAAATAAGAACATTTTTGTGCTTGCAGGCGGACAAGACGGTTCTCTACTGACAGTCATTTTGAATGATCCCATTGCCAAAGAAGAAACATTAAAGAAAATCAGTATCCTGCCATGTCGTCGACATTTGGCTGAATTCCTTCACATGCCAATCCCAGAAGAAAATGAACTGGACAATTTTGATCTTAAGAATCTCGGGGCAGTTACAACTGCTGTTACACGTTTTAAGTCATTGCTTAATAGCAAAAAAGATCGGGGTGTTGCGAAAAAGTCGCACGTTTGTTCTTTAATGTAAAACTCATCATTCTTATTAATAAAAGTCTACTGGAGTTCAAGGATATATATGTCTTGAGAGATAATAGAGACACGAATTCTCCACATGTCGTCGTCATTCAGTCGTCTCTCTGTGTCTTTCGTCCCTTTGAGAATAATGTTGTCGTTGAGTTTTTCAAGCAGAAGCTGCCTGAACTGCAAATTGAATTTGAGGAAGCTCGTAATTCTGTTTCTATTGGTGAAAAAGACAATGAACATGCTACGTGCGGAATTGTGTTACATCTTTTTCACTGGATTTTTTTTTTCAATTTTTCAATCAAAAATTTGAGCGCCAAGTGTAAGAACATGTTTCTGACATCTATTTTATTTTTTTCATTCATTTCACATACACTGCTTAACATAACTGAATTTTAACCGAACTAAATTATTATTCGCATTTTTCTGGCAATGTCGCTCTACCGTACCTAAAAATCCAGCAGCTACAATTTTTTTCCAATTTGATAGAGCACGATGGCCAGACTTCCATGTTTTGAATCTCGCGAGATCTCGTTATATATGATTATAGTCAATGATGTTCGGATAAGTGCGAAATTTTTTTGTGAGATTGATAGTTGATTTTTTAAAAACGTCCAAATGGAAAACTATGAATGAAACCTAGCATTAATAAATTAATTAATTTTCATGTATTAATCTAGCTAGGCGGACTAGCATTTGATTAATAACGAAGCGCCAGAAAAATAGGTCCGCAGTCAAATCATTCGATTTCCGTACTTTTCGTGAGCTCACCCTCCTAATCACAACACTTTTTTTAGCCCGATCCCGAACACTTTCGCCTGAACAGTATTTTGACGAATTACGTGGACAGTGAATTTAGGTAAGTACTACATTTCATTAAAAAATTGCCAGTTATGAATCAGAAGGAATTAAAATGTGTTAGATATGGAATGCCCACATGATGGCCAGCTATTCGATTCAGAAAGCAATAGTACTCAAGTTATTTTACGAAAACTTGCAAATTTCCAAAAGTAAGTTGTTTCTAAAGGCACAACAACACCAGTTGTTCGCAGATGGTATCAGCCTATTCATGGCTATGTATGTGTAATTATTTGCGTTTTTGGAATCTTGACAAATTTCGTTCACGTGGCCGTTTTGTCTCGGCCAAACATGCGAAACTCAGCGGTGAACTGTATTCTAACTGCGGTTGCCGTTTGCGATATTGGTACAATGGCATCCTACCTAATATATATTATTCATTTTGTTCTTCGTCGAAACAGCCTATGGTGAATCCAAAAAACCTTGCTCACAGTTCAAATATAAAAGTTCAGCACTCCTACATTTACCCATGCATGGCTACAGTTTCTCCTCTGGCACGTGGTATTGAGCATTACTCTACACACAACTTCCCTCTGGCTTGCCGTAGCCATGGCATTTATTCGGAGAATGACTCTTCGTATCACATCACTTAATAGGTTTCTTAGAGAAAAGTTTTTCATATACATTCAGGAAATGCATTATTAATACAATGTAGATAGCCAATTCGCTTTTCTAACCGAACCTAGTTAGATTTCTACCGATTCCTGAATCCTCAGGTTTATTCGTTTGCAATACAACTATAAATAGAAACTATTAATTTTTACATCTAAATAGAGAATTTTTGAATCTAATTCGGGATTACTGTGTCATGAAATTGTTAGATGTGAATGAGTTCTAATTAAATCGCAATCTAGTTACCAGAGGCTAGCTAGATGATTTGTAATCTCACTAGGTTCGCTTAGAAACGAGAATTACCTATTAGAGGAACATTTGACTGCAATCGCGCTCTACCACACCACGTGAATTCAGTGCTAAATTGGAAAAGGTCTCTATCGGGGCCGGGTTTCCACGTGGGATTGCGGTAGAGCGCCATTGCGGAAAAATGCCGCCATAAGAGCTAGATTAATAACTATTTGCTTGAGTATACGAGTTTTATCATTACTTCAGTCACTGGCAAAGACCCATTTTCGCTTGGAAACTATGTATTTCGACGTATGTCATTGTTTTCATATTGTGCATTCCAAACATGTTAGTACACGAAATAGCTCGAGTTGAAGGTCATACTTGGCGACCTGGGAAAGCTTGCCAAGGATTCGCACAAAGCTATTCCGAACCGGTGTACACTTTCATGGTTAGTCGGGCTGCAACGATTAACAATTGCCGGCTTTTCAAATGGAATATATGGATGATTGGCATTCTGTTTAAGGTATTTACTAAGAAATCAAGAGGTTGAACGTCCTATTTTCCGAGCATTGTCAGTATTCTATTTAGGGTTGGCAACGAGGCGCCCCACAAATGGGGCGAGGGGGCGCCCCTTCGCCCCGCGGGTGAGGCGCGGGGGCGCCCCCTCGCCCCATTTGTGGGGCGCCCCCACGCCGTGGATAAAGCTAAATTTTTCAAAAAACGGGTATTTTTCAGCAGTATTCTGGGATTTCCAACATTTGATAAATAAATATCTGTTCTATACAAGGAAAAACACAGTACATATAATTTTGTTATGTTTTTATTCCTATAGTTAGGGGGCGCAAAGGAGGGGGCGTGGCCTGACGAATTTTCTCCCGATTTCCGCTTGTTTGGTCAAAATTTTAGTTTTCGGGGGATTTGAGGGTCAGAAGTACCGTGCACGCGGCCAATTTTTGCACCATCGGATTCAGCATAAAATTTCCGATCGATCCATGCTAAATATTTTTATTTAGCTGTTGTCCGAAAAAAGTTACAGTCAGTTATGTTTTGGATTTCAGCCCGCAAAAGCACTAATTTAACCATTAGAAGGGGCCGCGCACACCGAAGTTTTCAACGCCATTGGTGGTCGGCGCGCCTTCGCCCGATTAGCGCAGTGGCAGAGTGCTCACTCGGCAGTCTGGAGGTGTCGGGTTCGAAACTTTTGACCTTGAAAGATGATTTGCTTTTTTAGAACATCATTTTTCTTCAATATATATGTTGCCTCTTTGGTTTCAGCCACCAAACAGAGGCGAAAAACGCGTGAGGCGGACTTGCAGGCGAGACTCCGCCCCCTCCTCTGCCGCCGACCGGGGAGAAAACAGGCCAACTTTGAAGGGGTGTAACTCGGGATGTACCGAAAATTTTGGAAAAAAAATTGGGTGTACACGCACAAACGTCACAACTTTCCCACTTTCAGTTACTACAGTTATTACGTTGCTGCTCTTTTCACAATACGTTCGAAAAAAAATCAGACACACATTTAATAGCGGGGCGAGGGGCGCCCCCTCGCCTCACCCGCGGGGCGAGGGGGCGCCCCTCGCCTCACCAGCGAGGCGAGGGGGTCGCCTCTTCTCGCCCCATTGCCAACCCTATTCTATTTACTAAGATGACTTGAAACTGTTCTAATAAAAATTTATTTCAGATAATTCCGTGTTTTTTATTAATTTTTCTTTCATTCGGGTTAGTTATAAAAATTCAAGACGCTGAAATGAATCGTCGGAAGCTAACAAGTGTTCCTTCTAATGCATCAAACGAATCCAAACCTATAAAGAGGTATGTTAAATCTTTATACCGTAAATTCCGTAATGCTCAAGCAAGCGATCTCAATAGAGCGCGTTCGCATCATTTAGCGGACTCAGCGATTTGAAGTGAGGAAACAGCGGCGAAAGAGGCGTTTTGAGGAAACCGCGGATGACCGCTGTTTCGCCAAGCTCAAATCGTGGCGAGACCAGCCGCGGCGCTTTTGTCGAAACGGCGGAGGAACGCCGTTTCAACGGAAAACAACGCAGTGTTCTGGCGGAGTTCTGGCGAAACAGCGGAGGCACTGTGGCGAAACACGGTTGTATTATAGGGGCACCGGACAGAAAGGGCGCGCTGTTCGCAATCTGACCGAATTTCTAGGCCGCGATGTAATTTTCCACTGAAAACGTGGCCTAACTTTTCAAACTCGGCCCCGAGGTCGCTCAATTTGCACTGCAAAAAGAGTTTCTCAACAGAGCGCCATTTCTGTGCGGTGCCCCTATAATAAGTGTGTTCGACCCGCTTTCTGCCGCTCTTTCCTCACTTCAAATCGCTGAGGATTGGTATTCATTTTTTGAACTGAAAATCGTGATTTTTTCAATTTTCTCTTCATAAGCTTAATTGCGCATCTTTTGAGCTCTCAAACATCAAAAAAATATATAAAAATATATATATAGTATTGGCAATTTGCAAACCCTTTAAGGCGACCTGATAATTTTCGCGGTGATTCGGATAAAATCCCTTAAAATGGGCAAATTTCCCGTTAAATTACATTGTATTTTTGCTATTTTAGCACAGAAACCCAGTAAATCGCGTGGCCCCTTGTATGCATACTTCCTACCGTACTCCTCGAAAAATTATTGCGAAACTGAATTTAATCTAGCAGCTAATCTGGCCGAGTTTTTCTGCCGCATTGTAATTTTCAGTTGTTTTTTACTGTAAATGTGGCCGAACCTTTTCGTTTTTCCTCAAACTCGGCGCCAGTTTGCACTGCAAAAAGAGTTTCTCAACAGAGCGCGATTGCAGTCAAATGCCCCCATAACAGATAAATTTCTTTATTTCAGAAAAAATGGAAACCCTGATAGAACAACACTCATGCTGGTTGTTATATTACTGGTTTTTCTGATCACCGAGTTCCCCCAAGGAATCATATCAATTCTTTGCGCAATTTTTACAACCGATGTTCATAGGTTCGGAGGAGAAACAACCAATTCAGAATGGGAATAATTTCTTAAGGTATCTATATTTTTACATTGGCGATGTCTTGGATCTCCTCTCGCTAGTCAATTCATCGGTTAATTTTGTTTTGTACTGCGTTATGTCATCCAGATACAGACAAACGTTTTGGGAAGTCATTATTCCATCATGGGCTTACTCGTGAGTTACCTAAACAGTTTTCTATAGGATTACTTGGTTATAACCAAGTAATTAACTAAAAACGGTAGAAATTATCATCTCGTGATGAGAATTTCCGTACGGTCCGTCCCGTGACCAATATGGAAATTTAGGCTGTTAACGTCACGAATACGGACATCAATAGAAGTCTCTCAGCTCCAAATGAATAATAGCGTTCGACGAGGACGGTAAGTGCTTCTCTCAAAATTTCATTAATTACGAAACGTTTCCAGTAAGCTGAGTTACACTCAACTAGCGACAGAGCCGGACAATTTTCGAGACGTCCAGTACAATTTCGATGGTTCTATATCGGAGAATATGAACGCTCGAAACTTTTCCAAATAAAAGATACGCCTTGTTTCAGTTGTCGTATCGTTTATTCTACAATGCAAACATGAGTAACAGCAGAGTGTCTTGAAAAACTCAGAATCGTGTTCCCCGTATTAACTTCACTGAAATTTTCCTGCTTTTGTTTTATTTTTCAAAAAGTGCGCTAACCCCGCCCCTTTTCAGCCATTTTCAGACACTTTGAGCTCCCAAATTACCTACTAAACATTTTTTTAAAAAATGTTGCGTAACTGAACCTCGGCCTTATTTTCAACGCTGATGCTATTTTCTCGACAACTTCTTTTTCAGTTCCACGCCCCCTTTAAGTGAATAATGTTAAAAAAGGGTCGATTCGATTCTAATTCGAGAGCATCCCGAAACGGAACTGACCTAAATGGAACTGCCCGAAATGGAACTGACCTAAATGGAACTGCCCCAAAATGGAACTGACTGGAATGGAAGTGGCACAGAAGATACTGTGGGAGTTCCATTTCGGGGCAGTTTGATTTTGGTCAGTTCCATTCGGGGCACAGTTCCATAATTCAGGCTTCAAAAAAATCTGCAAAGTCTGAAAATAATCGGAACGTATATTTTGTCAGTTTTTCACTTGCGTTGAAATCAGTTGTCGTGCACGAGAAAAATTCCTTCGGTATATATAAAACAGTAAAATTAAGCGAAAAAGGTAATCAACTGGTTAATTTGATAAACTCCAATTAGCGACACGTGGTGGATGCTAAACGAAGAAGATCAACCCTCCCATTTCGTTGAAATCGCAGACCGTCTCATCGTCTATGTCTGAATGTGAGCGGTTCCCTCTTAAGCAATTCTCGTATAGTTTAAGAATCTTAGTTTCCTCTTTTGACAGTGAAAATGAACAATCTTAACCTGGTGTTCAAGCTAAGAAAGAGTTGTATTTCATTTAAACGCGCCTACTCTCCATTACCGATTGATCCATTATTACGATTCAAAACGATTAGTCAGCGATGCAAAGCGCCTCGAGTTCTTATTACTGGATCTCTCGGCCAACTGGGAAGAGGCTTAAATTCAGTTTACAAATACATGTACGGATCGGAGTGTGTGGTCATGAGTGATATTATCCGTCTTCCTTCCGATGCAACTGATGTTTGTGAGTTATGCTTCTTTTTGCTTTTCATTCTGTAGTCTGGTAAATACATGACGATTTTATTACAACTTATTCACTTCTAATAATGTCTAATAATGTTGCAATTAGATTCGATCGGTTTCTAGTTATATTGAAAACGAGTTTAAATATTTCAGCCGACTACTACTATTTGGACATTCTGAATCCGTCAACAATAGAGGAGCTCGTCGTGAACAGAGGCATAGATACAATTGTTCATTTCTCTGCTTTACTGTCAGCTGTTGGTGAAGCCAATGTTCCCCTTGCCATCCAAGTCAACTGCCGCGGAGTGGAAAACGTTCTCCAGATTGCTCTGTGAGTGGTTTTTTGTGATCGCCGGACTTCAGACTTGAATCTCTGGAAACTGGAGACCGTGGGGGAGTAAATGATCTAGTAGTCAAAAAATATTCGACTCACTGCTAAGTGTTCTAATATGAGCCAGTTCCCAAAAAACCGGATGAGAGACCATGCCTTTAGTATTTGAAAAGCTTCACGTTCCAAAGTTTTGCAGGAAACACAATCTGAAAGTGTTTATTCCATCTACAATAGGCGCGTTTGGCCCGACGACACCGAGGGAAAATACTCCCGATATTACAGTACAATGTCCTACAACTATTTATGGTGTTAGCAAAGTGAGTATACACTTTATTTTTCCTATATATATTTTTATTTTCCTACCGCAATCCTAGGTTTTGACCGGAAACTTATGGAGAATGCCTCGCTCGGTCCATTTCTAATCGGCCCATTTAATCGGTCCATTTATTTTTATTTTTAATTTTTTTCTAATCGGCCCATTTATGAATTTAGTTCGATTTCTGAATCTAACGGGCCTGATGTTTCAGGTATACGCTGAACGACTAGGAGAATATTACTATCACCGATTCGGCTTGGATTTCAGAAGCATGAGGTTCCCTGGAATTATTAGTGCTACGAAACCAGGCGGAGGAACAACTGGTTTACTATTTTTCTTATTTTTGCCGAGGTATGAACTGCGCATTACAGACTATGCTATACAAATATTCTACGATGCTTTACAATCAGGCAAACACGTCTGCTATTTGAGACCGGATACTCGGTTGCCAATGTTGTACGATACGGACTGTATGGCTTCCATAATTCAACTACTTTCTGCGGATTCCAAAACACTTAAGAGAAGAACCTATAATGTGACTGGTTTCTCGTTCACTCCGGCCGAAATGGCTGATGCAATCCGACGAGTGATTCCAAACTTCGAGATCGCCTACAATATCTGTCCTACTAGACAAGCTATCGGTTCGTTTTATGACTTTCCATGGCAAAATTTGAGCGTCCAGTAACTTTTGCTCAGACTTCGGGTCCTGGCAATCGCGCACTACCGCTCTCCACGTGAATTCAGTGCCGCGGCCGAGATTTCACGTGAGATTGCGGTAGAACGATATTGCCAGAACTTTAGCAAAACTTCAGCTTTACTCTTCCAGCTGATTCATGGCCGTGTTCATTGGATGACAGTGGAGCACGAATCGACTGGGGATGGAATTCAGAATACGGACTAGACGAGACAGTTCAAATTATGTTCGCCCTACTACGAAGAGAGGAAAATAACGTCACGAAAGTTGTAACAACTGCATAAAATAAATGCGCTTTTCTGTTTCATGCATCTACTCGGTGAACCTATTTATCTCGACAAAAGCGAGAAATTCTTGGACAAAACTTTAAGGGCTTTTGCGAAAACTTTGTTTATTCAGTTTTTCAATGTGTTTTTTCAATATAATAAAACAGGAACTTCTTTTGGTCTATTTTGTAAATTTGTGCAGACTGACCCATTATCAATCTGATATCTTGCTTATTTGTGAAACGAAACGCAGGCGCCCAGTGTAAAACAGCTGATGTCTCATCAAATGCTTCTCTGTGGAACTTTCAAAATCTTACGAAAAATATTCAAAAATGCAAGGTAATGATTAACAAGGCGAACATTTGTGAACATGCTCGATTTCGGTCCGTATTTAATTATTCCGTTTTGAAGAAACAATATTCAAATTTTCGCGTAGTAGCACTAGACTTTTAGATACTTTCAGGATTAGCAAACAACTATCTATACCAAGGGTCGTTTGGAAACGCTACGAATAACGCACGCAAACAACGATATTGCCGATTAAGCATTCAGGTAATCTACGAGCAGATATCTATGAACAGAATAACTTTCAGACATGGGTGTACATTCATTCTGCTATCAGTACTTTAACATCCTTATTGGGAGTTTTTGTGGGCATAATGTTTCTTGCCAAAACAGAATTGTACGAGCAACTTTTTCTCTACCGGCTCGCTCTAGCAGTTTGATAATAATCAGCCGATCAATTAGGTGCTCTTTTTTCAGTACCTCGGTCGAGCTTATCATAGCGGATACTGTGCAATTTATCGTGTTTTTTTTTGCGTTTGGATCGCCATCCATGCTCTGCACTTGGTTTCCATATGTTCCACAATAGTAGCTGTTCAGGCAAGTACTCCCAGACTGTAGGTTCAGCCGGTTGCGCGAGTTTTGAGTTTTCAAATGAGCCGGGCGTTCGGATTCTTGGAAAATTTCTACTGACAATAGAATATTTTTCAGAAGTCGGATCTTAAGCTACTGAAACCGCAGCTTGTTGTGCTCGTAATTCAGATTGGTTTTTTTATTATGGGCATCTCCAGCCTTATAGTGTTTACTTTAACAGGAAACAAGATCCCGTGGTTGACGCTGATAGCCTTACTATTATATTCTTCAGTCGCAATGTACTCTCCTCTACATCATCATCGTTATGCATTTGATAATTACAGATCAAACTTAAATCTCATCGCGTTGTTGCATAAGTTTCTCGATGAGAAAATGTCTATCATCAACGATATTCTGAGCTATCAAGCCAAGACAGTTCACTTTAAAGATGTTTCCGCTATTGAATAATACACTAACGACGGCACTTATTTTATAAATACATTCAGGGACTGCAGTGGATTTTTTTTTATGAGGGGGAGATGAGGGGAATAAATGGGGAATCTTCAGCTATTATAGGGGCACCGCACACAGAAATGGCGCTCTGTTGAGAAACTCCTTTTGCAGTGCAAATTGAGCGACCTCGGGGCCGAGTTTGAAAAATTAGGCCACGTTTTCAGTGGAAAATTACTTCGAGGCCTAGAAATTCGGCCAGATTGCGAACAGCGCGCCCTTTCTGTCCAGTGCCCCTATAATACTTGCCCGCGCAAAACGAAAAAGTTCATCATTTCACAGATGCCCGTGTCGGATTCATTTTAGATAAGACTCTGTGAGTGAAGAAGTTGTGTCTTAGTTTAGATTTTGGAGTCTTCCATCGGTAAACGTGACTCCGTCTAGTACGTGTAGGGTTTGAGAGTAGGAAGAAGTCATTGGGATTAATGTCCACTTTGTTAGCTAACAATTTGATTAAAAACTTCTTATCTAAATGTGATCGGCGAGTTTCTAGTGATTCGAGGTTAAATTGACGGCGACGGCGAACGTCGCGACGTTCACTGGCGTTTATGTTGCTTGGCGAATCTCGAGGTACGAAAGCTCCTATTTTCCGTATCCAGTGTTTACGGGAGAAGTTACTCTGAACCTGTTCTATTGCTCTTATCGTAGCTTTTTTAGAAGGATATGTGACTGTAGGGTTGGTAGCGGGGCGCCCCCTCGCCCCGACCGGTTTTTTCCAAAAGCGAGCAGGAATTTGTTTGAAAATTTTTCTCAACGCACGTAGATAGTGAGTAAACGCATTAATCTACTAAATTTTTTTCAAAATTTTAATTACTGTTGAAAAAAAAAGTTTCGACATTGGAATCGAAGCTGGCAGCGTGCCAAGGCCCGGCCTCCCAAACGCATATGCTGCGCGCCATTGTTGCAACATTGCCGCACGCTTTATTGTTCTTCGTTTTTGTCTTTATTTTTCGGCTAAAAATCAGCAGAAACTTCGGTATTTCCCATTTTTTACCCGTATTTATTCATTTCAATCGTCTTTTGCTATAAAAAATCAACTTTGAAAACAGATTTATCGATTTTTAGCTTGAATTTTCGAACATTTCTCGATTTCTGTTTTTCTCCTTTCGATTTCGCTGAATTTTGAGAATTTTCAGGATTTCCACCTACGGAAAAGTCGAAAAAGCAACAAAAGGGCATGGATTTCTTCTTTTCGTGTTAGTTTTTGACGTAACAATAATTTTCTCTCCGACCAGCGTTTACAGACTCCACTCCTCCGCCGTCTTCTCCATTCCGCCGTCAGCACACAACGGAATACAAAATGCTGTCGTGTTAGCTTGAAATCCATAACATAACTGACTGTAACTTTTTTCGGGTACTAGGTAGATGAGAAAGGTTAACATGGATCGGTCGGAAATTTGATGCTGAATCCGATTCTGTAAAAATTAGCCGCGTGTAAGGTACCTGTGACCCTCAAATCTCCCGAAAACCAGACTTGCCAGATTTCGGGCCGGCCATGCGGGCCGACCCGGGCCGGTAAAGTGCCGGCCCGGCCCGGTCGGCCCGGTTCAAAAGGCGGGAATTCAAATTTTCGCGGAAATTTTTTTTTTCGTTATTACAAAAAAAATTTCGAACTAAAGTTTTAGTGTTTCTTCTTTGTTTTTTTGCTATTATGAATTTTTTTTATGAGAAATACATTTGTTTTTTTCAATGTTCGATGCTTGCAAAAAAACCCCTAATTCTACAAAAAATGGCTTCATGCGATCAATAATTCAAATTTTGAATTCCCGCTTTTTGAACCGGGCCGACCGGGCCGGGCCGGGCCGGGCCGACGGGCCGGGCCGGGCCGACGGGCCGGGCCGGGCCGGAGTTTTGGAAATTTCGGCCCGGCCCGGCCCGGCCCGGCCCGGCCCGTGGCAACTATGCCGAAAACTACAATTTCGGCCGAATAGGCCCTACTCAAACGAGCACAAATCTGGTCCTAGTGGGTCTAGAGCTTTGAAAATTTATATTTGGGTTCTCATTGAGTTTATCTATAGATTCCAGAAATAAAAAAGAATGGTCATCGCTGAAAATTTTCCACTAATTTTTCAGGCAGTTTGAGGACCTGTAAAAACTTTCGGGTACTAGGGAGCCCGAATCTGACTTCAAAAACGGATTCCCCATCCCTTTAACTGTCGGAAACAGCTAAAAGTAGGCGTGTGTAGCCATAAACTTGGCCACACAGGCTCTCAGACTGACTTCCATTTTCGTTTTCGCGTTTTTTCAAGAGAACGGTACGTTTTCACGTGAAATGGAGTTGTTCATTGGATTCAGCATGGTCGCTTACATAGAGTAAAACTTTTTGCGTATGGTACTTCATTTGGGGACCTCGGTACAGACCGTCAAACACGCGCGCGTGAAAATCGGGAGAAAATTCGTCAGGCCACGCCCCCTGTGTTGCGTCCCCTAATTTTAATTACACTTTGTGGGCCCGGGGGCGGTCGGAGGCGTGTGGGGCGAGGGGCGCCCCTTCGCCCCCTGTAGTAACGCGGGGCAAGGGGGCGCCCCGTTGCCAACCTTAGACTATAGTGCCGTATTCATGTATGGGCCGTACGAATGTTTTGAATTAAAAGAGTCGTCAGGCGTGTGTTTGGAGAGTTAAAAAACTTGAAAAGGTTCGCTGTCATTATGTTTGCTTTTTGAATGGTCTTCTTCCAGTGGTCAGCAAAATCTAAATTTGAAGAGATCAGAAATCCGAGGTCTCTGCAGGTTGATTTTCTTTTTATCTCAGCTGTGTCTATATAATATTTGGTTATTGTAGGATATCGACCTAGTGATATACAGTCTGATTTAGAGAGCCTCGAGAGATTAAGAGACAGCTTGTGATTCTTGGACCATTCAGAAATACGGTCAATTGCGATCTGGAGATCTTTGGAAGGGGATAACTTGGGGAAGTGTGTGTAGATCTTGAGATTTCGCGAAACTCTTACCGAAAGTAAAACATTTTGGGTATGGTACTTGGTTTGAAAAATTCGGTACAGCACGGGCCGGCAAAGCATACGGAGGACTGGAAATTGTGAAGCTGTAACTTCTCCCAGAAACCTTACCTAATACAATTGAACTTTTATCAAAAAATCAGAGGTCCCTATGTTCGGAGATAAATTCTGAAGATGAATTGAAAAAACCGATCGTCGCATGCATGAAAAGCCGGGCCGTGTACAGGTCTTCAAACCTAAGCTGGGGACGAAATTCGTCAGGCCACAACCCTAAATATATTGTTTTTACGATTTCCTGAATCATTATCAGACTAACACGAAAGACTATCCATAATTATCACTGTGCTAGTAGGTTCTGATTTGAACTGAAGTTTTAGAACATGAACATTTGAATGAGTGCACCCACCATGGTGCCTAGAAAGTCAGAGGATCAACCTCCGTGCAATTTTTATTTCGGAAATAGCAACGAAATTCTAAAAAAGTCCTTCCGTCGATATTGCAATACCAAACGTCGAGTTTTCTGTATTGTGAGGCCAGGAAAAAGAGAAAGAATTCCAGATTGATCAGTGGAAAAAATATTTGCTGCCGCACAAAAGCCGAAATCGCGCTCTACCGCTCTCCGCGTGAACTCAGTATTAAATTGGAAAACCTTTCAGCCTTTTTTCACGTGGGATTGTGGTATAGCGTGATTTTCGAAAATATGTGACGCAAACATGCATAAAACGTTCAGTTTATTATTGATGTTGACACCTGACACCTTGTCCTCCCTGTCCCCCGTGTTGTTCCTCATCCGAATCCTCATTGTACGCGTCCCCACCTCGACCACGGCTATATTTTTTCTCATCATACTCCATAATGGAAACCTCAGTGGCTCCAACAGAAATATTCGATTTGCTCGAAGTCGGGAAGCAGCTGCGCAGAACCTGAATAATAAATTCACAACAATACACTTGGAAACCTTTTTTTTAATACATAGTATGCGCGCTCCTCCTCCAAGAAGTGATCTTTCGGGAATTCGACATCAAATTCGACGAAAAGATTTCCTTTCAATTCGGGATATTTTTTGTTTGGCATTCCCTTTCCCAGAACTCCTTTCACTGTGCCTGAAATCAAACAAATTACAATTCGATCAAAAATTTTCATTTTATAAATCAACAAGGCCCGTAATCTTTCTTTTTCGTTTTTGCATTCTTGCAGCACTTTTTTTTGTTGGAATTTCAACTAGGCGAATGTTTAAACAAACTTTATAACTATTGGAATAAAACCACAAGCAACAACATTTCCAACATTTCTGCTTCTGTAATGCTTATGTATTAATTTTTGTAGTGCCAAAATAAACTTGTAGTTTTCTCGCAATGATGCAAAAACGAAAAAAGGACTATGTAGTGGGACCAGCTTGGAAAGCACATGATAAAAAAGCAACAAAAAATTGTAATTTTCAAAATCTCAAAATAGCGTTATTAGTCCCGTAAATTTATGATGTCGCTCTACCGCAACCCCACGTGAAAACTCGGCCGCGGTCGCGACCTTTTCCAATTTTGCACTGAATTCACGTGGAGAGCAGTAGAGCGCGATTGCCAGACTTCTGCGACTGCAATACTACTATTCATAACACACTGTCTGCACTAGCATAAAACTTCTGAGAATGATATATATTAGAAAACAAGATTACCTGGACGAATAACATCTCCTGGTTTACCGGTAAAAACGAGTGGATAACCGTCCAAATGCTTGATCAGGAAATTGTACCCACATAGAGCCTCGTTCAATGTCAACTTCCTTAAAATCACTTTAAAAAAAAGACCCTCATAGTCAGCAATATTTCGCAAAAAAAGAGCAATGTTCGAAAAGTGTTTTTGTTCGAAAAGTTTGTGTTTCACATTTCAAAAATGTTATTTGATTAAAAAAATGGTCTCACTTGGTAATGTGAAGATCATCTCCGTCCCTTTTGAAGATTCCGTGGTCTTTTTGTTGAATAACGATGACGACATCTCCGGGTTCGCCGTCAGGCTGAAACGTGTTTTTCAATTAACCTTTGAGTTCGCATCAAATTGATCTCGTAAGTTCTCACATCAGATTGATCTCCCTCGCTTTTGAATGTTATTTTATCGTTGTGGCGCATTCCAGGCAGAACATTAACTTCGAGAACCTTCGAAACGTTCTCATACTTTTCGCCGTTGCATCCTTTGCACGTGTCTCCAGCGGGAACTTTTCCGCCTCAAATTGAACGAACAATGACTGGGCTTAGGCCCCCAATTCTTTCAGTTATCTAGATACCTGTTCCGTGGCACAAGTCGCAAGGAACCTGCATTTGCTGCAACATTCCAGGTCCGATTTGCTGAACAATCGTTTTCACTCCACGTCCGCGGCAGCCGTCACACTTGTACTTCTCACCCTTTTTGCCACCAGATCTGAAAGCAAGTACATTATTATGTAAGAAGCCTGGACACTTTTCTTTAGAATCTGCCGTTGGGAACATTCAAAAATAGTCCCCACCCTAACGATTGTTGATTTTTTTCTTGAGTTATCCCGCGGAGTGAATTTGGTGAAAACTTTTTTGTTCTTTTAACAAGCATTTGATGATGAGCTCATCAATGTCCAGCTTGATTTGGGGAAGATTTTCTTGAGAAAAACAACGTCATTTTGGGAAATTCTGTCGCAAAGGAATTTTCTCATTGAACGGCTTTGGTAAGCAAAAAATTCACGCAGCTATTTTAAAACATATTTTAAGATCTCGGCATCTGGATAGATAGCAAGCTTAAATTCGAGAATCAAATTACTATAGTTAGCAACACTGCCCTATTGAAATGCAAACAAATTCTGAAAGCCCTTCGCTCCTCGAACCTTTGTCTCTACTTTAAACTCTTCAACGTTTACGTCCCTCAACAACGTCCCTCTCCAACAAACTAGAGTCTCCCTTTAGATTTTTGAGCAGAACAGTCTTCCAAAGATGCAACATGCGATTCTCCTCGTATAGTGACCGTCTAAGCCAATCCTATCTGAAATCGATACTCCATAGACGGTTACTTTTTATCCTCGGAACATTCCAAAATATAATCTCCTACCAAATTATGGGGTTCACAAGTATAGGAATGCGATCGTCCAAAATAGTTAGGAAGCTCGGCGTAGTAAGATTGTTTGTTAATATGACTTCCCGATGTTTCTGACACCTCGGAACATTGGAAGACAAGTAGAGAAGTGGTCCCCTGGTCCCAGTGACAACTCCCAAGATGGTCATATCGGTTAGAGCAAAAATCGTAAAAACTCGGAGAGAAGCACGTGGAAAATGTCGTCAGAGTTCCGTATGAGCTTAAATCTATGTAAGCTATTGCCAGACAGGAACTAAATATGATTCCTTATCGTATTCAAAAGAATCGTTCCATAACAAGGACTTTCGCTTCAAGAAAGCCGGAAGTCCCGTTGGCGGCACGCGGCATGGCACGCGCCTGCGGACTCTGATCGGAGATGAGTGGCTACACGCTGCTGGTATCAACAGTGATGATCACAACAACAAGATCATCTCAGGGGACATTTAGACTGTCCGTGGGAATGGAAAAATAATTTTTAAAAATTTTTATCCGGCTTCAGTAATCGTTCTTTGGAGAATTTCCGCCAATGGCAAAACAGCACTGAGATTGGAGCGAAAATCAACCGTAAATTCTACTCCAGTAAGATTCTCGGATCGAAGGAACTGTCTTGGATCTAGTTGATTACGGAAAACAAGATAGGGTTTTCCAGCAAGACGGTACCCCTGCTCATCGAGCCAAAACCACCTAACAGTGACGCAAAGCCAATTTCGCAAGTTTTATCACTTAAGAAGAACGAGTAGATTTCAAGTCGGATATGATTTCTATGGACTTCTCCGAGTTTGGGTGGGATGCCTAGTATGTATCAGAGATGTTGGGAATAAAAATTTTACTCTACGGAACACGGAACACGGAAAACGGAAAATTTTTTTTTCTACGGAACACGGAACACGGAAAACGGAAATTTTTTTGTTTTACGGAACACGGAACACGGAAAACGGAAAAAACTTATTTCTACGGAACACGGAACACGGAACACGGAAATTTTTTTTTTTACGGAACACGGAAAAAAGCGTTTTCAAGAGAATTCCAGTGATTTTTTTTAAAATAATGTTTTGTTTAATTCGATTATCTGACTGACAAGGCAGCTGTTTGACTCATGTGAAAGTTTTACTGAAAATTTCATAAAAATAACAAAACCAACAACACAACAGTAAACAACTACAGTAAAAAAACGACTGAAAATGGAATCCACTTTTCACGAATATGGTCCGAATCCGAACATTTTCAAATTTTGACCACAAAACGTCATAAAATTTGTGATCGAATTTTTCCGCGGAAAACATAGTTTATACGGAACACGGAACACGGAAAACGGAAAAAACTTATTTCTACGGAACACGGAACACGGAACACGGAAATTTTTTTTTTTTACGGAACACGGAACACGGAAAAAATATTGCAAAAAAACGCGGAACACGGAACACGGAACACGGAATTCCCAACATCTCTGGTATGTATCCATTCACAATTAACCAAAATAGGGAGTTTGGAAAGTTGAACTACGGAAGCCATGACACGATCTTTACGTCAACTACCCCCGTGCCGCCGCTGACTCGTGTCCGAGGAGACTGACGGCTGCCAACGAAGAGAAAGGTGCAATCGGCAAAAACTGCTAATGCCATTCTTTTTGTTATTGCTTAATAGAGCTTTTAGTATATTTACAGAAAAAAATCGTGCGATTTGAACTTTTTACGACATTTTGAATTCGGCGCTATATTTATTCCCCACCCTGTATTGCTCTCTTCTCCTGTAATTTTTTTTGTTTTTCTTCCTAGGTGGTCGAATCGAATAAATGAGTTATATATATATATTTTTTTTAACGCACCCATCACAAATTTTGCAGAGCGCCTTCTTTGTAAGCTTTAGCTTCGACGTTTTCCCAAGATAAATTTCTTCAAGAGTCACATTGAGCGGATGAACAGTGTCTTGGAACTTCCGCCGCCTTGGGCCTCCACGGGAGAATCCACCGAAAAGTCCAGGGAACGGATTACCACCCATTTCATCGTCATCATCTTCATCGTCCATTCCCGCTCCCCCACCACCGAAAAAATGCGAGAAAAGACCGCCGGGGAAACCTAAAAACTCTTTTCAGAATAGAAGTTTGACAAGATTTACCTCCACCTCCGCCTCCGCCTGATCCACCTCCTTGAACACCTTCGAGACCACTGGCATCGTAAAGACGTCGCTTTTCAGCATTGGAAAGTATTTCGTAAGCAAAACTTATTTCCTTGAACTTATCACCGTGATCCGCATTTTTATCCGGGTGGTACTCCTTGGCGAGTTTGAAATACGACTGAAAAACGAGCAAATTGTATAACAGAAAGTTGATTAAACCTTTTTGATATCAGCCTGAGAAGCATCCGGTTTTACATTTAGAGTAGTGTAGAGAGTAGTATTGACCGGACCACTTTTCCCATCCCGAAACATGTTACCTGGAAAAACAGGTTTTATCGAAGCCGAAAATTTGGAATGAAAAGAATTAATGCGAAAAATTTAGTTGCTGCGTTCAACTGCATTTTATTCAATAATTGGCCTCTAACATGCTTTTTGTGCCTTAAAAAATAGTAGAAACAAGTATCAAGGAATAATATACTCAATTTACCACTCTTGCCCCCTCGGTGTTTGCAGACTCAAGCCTGATTTCAGGAAATTTGGGTCCGTGACAAAAGGTCGGAAAACCAAAAAGGTTGGAAGACAAAAGGTCGGAAAGCCAAAAGGTCGGAAAAAGTGACAAAAGGTCGGAAAAAGTAACAAAAGGTCAGAAAAAGGTGACAAAAGGTCGGAAAAAAATGCCAAAAGGTTGGAAAAAAATGCCAGATCGGAAAAAAATGACAAAAGGTTGGAAAAACCTCTAAAATACCTGTTTTCTGACGTTTTGTAATTTTTTTTCCAACCTTTTGGCATTTTTTTCCGACCTTTTGTCACTTTTTTTTAACCTTTTGTCATTTTTTTCCGATCTTTTGTCACTTCTTCCGACCTTTTGTCATTCCGACCTTTTGGCTTCCGACCTTTTTGGTTTTCCGACCTTTTGTCGCGGACTCGGAAATTTTGGCTTGAGTCTGCAAACACCGAGGGGCAATAGCGATGAATTGACTTTAATAGAGAGAGAAGATATTTGTAATTTTGCTCTTGCTGAGTAGAGTGACGTGTCGACACGAAAATCGAGGAAATGTCGGGTCGATTATCGAAGGGGATGATCGACAAAAATAATGTCGATCGACAAAAAATGCGCGGACTGTCGACAAATTATCGATCGACAACACTTGCCCAATTTACTTGTCGACAGAATGTCGATAGTCGACAAAATATTTTTTGTCGACAATCGACAATGTCGATAATCGACAATCGCTCATTGTCGATAGTCGACAAACTGTCGACAATTTGTCGACAATTTGTCGACATTCCCGTGGCCTAGAAAACATCACGTGTAGTCCGAGAGGACAATAAATTATCATCATTTTTCGAAACTTTTTTTCTGTGTTTATTACTTTTTTTGTACATATGACAATTGTTATAACTAGGGGCCACAACGGGTTTCACGAAACTCAAAAATTCTAAAAAAAATTTTGCTGGAATGTGTTCCCCTACTCTATATGAGTACGCTCCCAATTTTTTTTCCAAAATTTTCGGTACATCCCGAGTTACGCCCATTCAAAGTTGGCCTGTTTTCTCCCGGTCGGCGGCAGAGGAGGGGGCGGAGTCTCGCCTGCAAGTCCGCCGCACGCGTTTTTCGCCTCTGTTTGGTGGCTGAAACCAAAGAGGCAACATATAAATTGAAGAAAAATGATGTTCTAAAAAAGCAAAACATCTTTCAAGGTCAAAAGTTTCGAACCCGACACCTCCAGACTGCCGAGTGAGCACTCTGCCACTGCGCCAAACGGGCGGGGGCGCGCCGACCACCAATGGCAATGAGAACGTCGGTTTGCGCGGCCCCCTTCCAGGCCACGGGAATGTCGACAAATTGTCGACAAATTGTCGACAGTTTATCGACTATCGACACTGAGCGATTGTCGACTATCGACAATGAGCGATTGTCGACAATCGACATTGTCGATTGTCGACAAAAAATATTTTGTCGACTATCGACATTCTGTCGACAAGTAAATTGGGCAAGTGTTGTCGATAGATAATTTGTCGACAGTCCGCTGTCGATCGACATTACTTTTGTCGATACTGTCGACATAAATTTCCTCGACTTTTATCGACTTTTCGACAAACTCTCATGTCGACACGTCACTCTATTGCTGAGGCAAATGCGTTCATAATCTTTTTGGGCCCCTTATATAAAGAGTTTCATTAGAGCGGAATTAAAATTTTGCGTCAATCAATTTCCTAACCAGAAAGCAATAAAAGCACCTTCAAAATGCCGTGAATATTTTTCACGAGCTTTATAGTGAAGAAAATCACATTTTTTCTTTGATGGGCGGAAATAAAAACTTTGACGAAAAGCGGAATGCACAATATGCTTATTTGTTTTATTTAAACGTACATATGTATACATAATTTAATGGGGTTATTCAGGCTGTCAAAAAAAAGATATTTTTTCCGTTTTTTTTACGTCAAAAAACACAATTCAGTGGTGTAAAAAAACGGAAAAAACGGAAAACAAACATGAATAGCCCCATAATTTTCATTGATGGGATTATTCAGTGTATGTTTCTTTCCGTTTGTTTTTCATATTTTAAATCGCTTGACGTGAAAAAACATGAACCGAATAATTCCGTGATGAAAACGTTCTGCAAACAGAAAACGTTAACGTTAAAAACAAAGTAATAACCTCCCCGAGAACACATTAGAAAAATTTGATGGAAAGTTCTCGACTGCACGCGCACACAAATTACACGCCAAGCTGAATTTGGTGTGCCAGCACTAATGCGCTTGCGCACGATATGCGCTCGCGATAAATATTCACGTGATATTATATTTTTACGTGACTTATATATATATATATATGCCTTTCGCTTTATAAAAAAATATGAGCGAAAAATTGCCACCAGGTTTCAAAACAGTACTATACCGATTAACATTCATTACATATCAGGAACACTGTGTGCAGTATGTGAAGACATCGCTACTGGAAAACATTACAGCGTTGCATCGTGCAACGGATGCAAAACTTTCTTCCGTCGAGCACTAGTGGTAAATATTCATACAAAAAGTCTCCAGAATTAACGGTTCGAAAAATACTCAGGTAAATCGTTTATAATCTAGCTAGCTAATTCGCGTTTCTGACCGGACCTAGTTAGATTGCTAATTTACTGCGATAAGATTGCAAATTCTTCTAACTAGACTGATAAATTTTCTAATTAAATTGTCAAAGGAAAATTTTCCTAATTAGCTAATAATAATAACGATCTAGATCGCAAAAGAATTGCTATTATATTCAAAATTCGTCTAATTAGATTAACCTTTCAGGCAAATCTACCCAGATTTAGTTTAAATTTCATTTTCATTTAGCTAGATTCGAAACTCGGTTTAGATTGCGAAACCTCCTAACTAGATTACAAACGATTTGCCTGAGTAACCCCCAAGACTTGATAAAAGTGATGACTTTCTCTGGAAACTCGATTGCAATCTAATTAGAAGAGTTTGCAATCTAATAAGAAAAATCTCTATTTCGCAATTTAATCAGATTTAATTGAAGTTCCAGTAAAATCGTATTAGATTACAATGTATTTTTCCTGAATTGCAATCTAATAGGAAACAATTGCAATCTAATTAGAAAACATTGCAATCTAATTAGCAAAATTGCAGTGATTGCAATCTAATTGAAGCAAATTCTATTTCAAACGAGTTCGTATTAGATTTCAAAGTTTTCTAATTAGATTGCGATCGAGTTCTCAGAGTTCTGACAAACGTGTAGCAAAATTTTCCCGATGGGACATACTGGGCTACATTACCTGATGTTACAGAATAATAGAGAGTTCATATGCCAAGGAAACAAGGATTGCCCTGTAAACAAAGGGGTGAGATGTGCGTGCCGATATTGTCGTCTACAAAAATGTCTGACTGTCGGAATGGACAAAAATTGTAAATGAGTTCAGAAAGTTTGACGCAACTTTTGAAGTTCAGCAATTCAAAACGACAGAGATAGAATCGGTTACACAAAGAGAAAAAGGAAGAATGAGGATTGTGACAACACTGCTAATGGATCTCACTCAGAGATGTTTAGGGATGGATCATCTGGAAGTCCGCAATTGAATGAAGATAGTCCTGATAACGACACAAAAGATATAAATAATGATCTGGTTCGTTATTCAATTATCTGCAACGCACCAAAGCTAATACTCATAAATAAGTTATAGATTAAGTTACAAAGTCACACGACTTTTGAAACCTCGGCCCGCTGCGCGGGCCGAGGTAACGCTCGAAAGCGACGACGCCGCTTGTTTCTTTCTTATAGCCGTTCGGAAATTCACGTTTTCTCAATTTCTCCGTCACAATTTTTCGTTTTAGAAATGAAGTGGCGTACTGTTGAAAAAAGAGGTTCGACATTCGAATCGAAGTTGGCAGCGAGCCAAGGACACGCCCCCCAAACAGCGTGCGGCAGTTGCAGTGAAAACTGTTTGGGGGCGTGTCCTTGGCTCGCTTCCAACTCCGATTCGAATGTCGAACCTTTTCTTTTCAACAGTAAGCTTTTTATTAAATAAGAATGATGATGATAAGAACACGACTCTCAACCTGGGCCAAAGAGTTGCCGGACAAACAAAAAAAAAGAAATTGACAGACTCTGTTAGCTTTTTATTAAATAAGAATGATGATACTGTTGAAAAAAAAGGTTCGACATTGGAATCGAAGCTGGCAGCGTGCCAAGGCCCGGCCTCCCAAACGCATATGCTGCGCGCGATTGTTGCAGCATTGCCGCACGCTTTATTGTTCTCTCTTTGTCTTTATTTTTCGGCTAAAAATCAGCAGAAACTTTGGGTTTTCCCATTTTTTACCCGTATTTATTCATTTCAATCGTCTTTTGCTATAAAAAATCAACTTTGAAAACAGATTTATCGACTTTTAGCTTGAATTTTCGAACATTTCTCGATTTCTGTTTTTCTCCTTTCGATTTCGCTGAATTTTGAGAATTTTCAGGATTTCCACCTACGGAAAAGTCGAAAAAGCAACAAAAGGGCATGGATTTCTTATTTTCGGGTTAGTTTTAGACGTGACAATAATTTTCTCTCCGATCAGCGTTTACAGACTCCACTCCTCCGCCGTCTTCTCCATTCCGCCGTCAGCACACAACGGAAAGCTGAAGAAGCATCTCCCGTTGGATGAATTGGCACTAATAACAATTATTTTAGATGTATTTATTACGTTTTCCAATAAATTAAATGACATGGCAAGTGTAGGAATTTTATTATCAGTGATATTCTATTTTCTTCTCCTTTTTTCCGGATTGAAGCGTCCACGGACTCTGAAAATACGGTCGGAGAGAAAATAATCTCGTTCTTCTTCAAGCTAGCACGACAGCTTTTTGTATTCCGTTGTGTGCTGACGGCGGAGGAGTGGAGTCTGTAAACGATGATCGGAGAGAAAATTATTGTTACGTCTAAAACTAACACGAAAATAAGAAATCCATGCCCTTTTGTTGCTTGTTCGACTTTTCCGAAGGTGGAAGACCTGAAAATTCTCAAATTCAGTGAAATCGAAAGGAGAAAAACAGAAATCGAGAAATGGTCGAAAATTCAAGATAACATAAAGACAAAGAGAGAACAATAAAGCGTGCGGCAATGCTGCAACAATCGCGCGCAGCATATGCGTTTGGGAGGCCGGGCCTTGGCACGCTGCCAGCTTCGATTCCAATGTCGAACCTTTTTTTTCAACAGTAACGCTTCTGAAATTCATTCCGACTTGTGTGCCGGCCTAAGACAAAACTTCAAAACCTACAAAACCAAAACAAAGCCTGTAAATTTAATGTCGCTCTACCGTAATCCCACTTGAAAACCCGGCCGCGGCACTGAATTCACGCGGAGAACGGTAGAGAGTGATTGCCACACTTCTGCGGCTGCAATACCTAACGCGTGGGCGGTAATTTAAGAATGTTCAGAATTGCTTGGATCCTATCGCGGAAAGATTGACATCATTGGAAAACAATTTCACGCTCCTTCTGAGTAGATGTGAAGACGTTCGATATTACGCCACACTCGAAGATGCTCTTAATGCTCCGAGCATCTTCATGCATCCTATATCGTGCGAAGTATATTTGAAAAACTTTGGCTTACTATTATAATTTTCAATTTCCAGTGGTCTGACTCAGTAGTAAAGACTACTCGTGACGATAAAATGCCATTCTGGAGACAACGATTAATTGCTCTTTACATAGATTGGGCAAAAACCTTTGCCACTTTCCGATCGCTGCCTTACACAGATAAAGTGAGCCGCTTCATTTCGATGAATCGTAATGAAATTTGTAGGTTGCGATGGTCACAAACCATGCTTCATCGTTCATGATTATGTGCGAAGCGTTCCGTACTCCTGAGCACATAAAGTCCGAGGTAGTTCGCAAACGACCTGATCTGCCTGCCATTGTATGTACGAACTCTGGGTCTGGCAGTAGTAGAGTTCCATCAGCGGCATGCAGTAGTATCAGCGGAGGAAACAATGAAGAGATGAACGAAGATTTGTCACACTTGCTTCACGCCGCTTGTATTCAACAGTCTATTAACAAAGGCATTGTGTTTGGTAAAAAGTCCGGAACTGTAATTACAGAAAAAGTAATTTTTCCTCTATCACTTAGGTAGGCTCTGCCTTTTTAACTTGACATTTCATTAAACAAAATTTTTAAGTGAAATAAAACAAGAGGTGAAGGAGATACCGACAACGGATGGCATGATACAACTCCCAACGGAATATGGTGAACTGCCTGCTGATTACGCATCTTGGATTCCGCATGACTATGGTCATCCAACAGCGGGGCACGAAGGAAAATCAGACATGCACAACTTTTTCGAGGCTAGAGAGTTTTGCGCGGTAATTTGAAATCGAGAATTCTATTAACACACCTTTACATGATGTAGGGACGTCCGGCTTCATGCAGCACAAGCGAGCGTGCGATGAAACCAGTAGCCCTTATGGAACCACGAATAGTTGCGTCAACAACTCACATCAAGTATTCATTCCCCCAACATAGTCAATACTAAAAAGACAATTTACAGCCCCTGCAGCAGTTCTAGTTTATCCGGAATAACTCCAGTTCTTACGATGATGATTGATTTGGTTATGAAGCCTTTTCGACAACTTAACTTTTCAACAACAGAGTTCGCTCTTCTGCAAGCAATAATGTTCTTCGATCCGGACACCGAGGGACTCGATTCAGCATCTCAGAGAAACGTGGTTGCGGAGCAGAAGAAATTACTTGCTGTTCTTTTCCGTCATCTACAGAAAGCATACTCATTTCATGCTGCCAACGAGCGTTATGCATCTATAGTTTTGAGAATACCGTCCATTAGAGTAAGTTATTTCATGTTCACTGAAATTTGACATATTATCGTTCTCAGAGAGCTGCAGCAAAAAAAAATGAATCTCTACAAGTCTTGGATATGCTGCAAATGCACGAAATGAATTCTTTGGTTAAGGAGACATCGCTAGGCCCGAGACCATCGACAGTTCAACAAAGAATGGGAATTGGAGGCGGCGCTGGTGGTTGTCTCACATTCTCAAGTGAACACACAGAAGAAGCTTGAATAGTTTATTGAAACATGTGACATTTTCGAGAGTTCTTTCAGGATTGTAAATAAAATGTAATTAAAATAAAGATTAAATGAATAACCGAAATGAGTTTCATAATGCCGCGTCCAAACTCTAGAGATCTGGGAACTCGATCGCAATCTAACCTTTGCAATCTAATACGAACTCGTTTGAAATAAAATTTGCTTCAATTAGATTGCAAAATCTTCTAATTAGATTGCAATCGAGTTTCCAGAGAACGTTTAAAAAAGTCGTACAAAATTAAAGGAAATCCTAGCACAATCCGCGTGATTTCCGGGTTTTTTAAAACTTTGGACGCGCCATAATACCGAGTTTGATCTCTAATTATCAGATGCAACTTTCGGATTCAATTTTGACGCACGAAGTCATTGGCCAGTTTTTGTATTCCGCTTCGATCAAGTGACAAACCATACCAGTTTTTGAACGCACGGTCAGCTTCTCTTCGGCCACTTAGATAGCCACCAATCGCTGTTTGGAAAAGCCTGTAATCACATATTAGTGATTTCTTCATCACAGCGCACGGTCTCCAGAGCTGACAATGAGCGCAAGTGCGCCCCGCCCAATAGAGCGATACATTGGCGCGAAATTCAAATTTTAACAGCAAAATTTGTGTTTTTTGCCAGATTAGCCACGAAAAACCGATAATTTCTCATTTGTCTCTCGATAGACCGATTGTATAGGCTATTACGAATTTTTTAAGCGCAAGAGCGTTAAATTTGGTCAAGTCGCAAATCACATTTATCCGTTTGAAGGTTTTTGGCTAAGACTGCGTGAATTTCAGTTTCTTTTCGGTAATTTTCGCGGTTCGAGCGCTCAAAATGCTTGTATTTACGTGATTTATGATTCTCAAAACTAATTCTGTCTGAAAACGGTCAAGAAAGCACAAAATGAGAAGTGCGGTTTTTAGGCGGCGATCGGCGGCGAAGGCGAAAAAGCAAAGTCCGCGAAAAATGCGCCTAAACGTCATTAATTCTGAGAATTAGTGTATTTTCATGTCGAACAATCATTTTTCATCGCCTTTGACCACAAAAATCAGAGAAAACCTGCTCAATTCATGAAAACGCCATTTGGTCGAGGCCACGCCCATATTGTCAGCTCTGGAGACCGTGCAGCGGTCTCTGACACTTCATCTTTTCGTATACGTATACATACGGAAATCTCGTATACGGAAATCTCACAAACCTGTGGTGGGTAGCCTCTCCTGCGAACAGAATTTTAGGTTGTCCTCCTAGCTTGACTGGAATTGCCAACTGCGAAGAAGATATGCGAGAAAGAGCCTGCACCTGAGTCATGTAGGAGTAAGAGCCGAGAAGTAGCTCGTTTTTTGTTAGCTGAGTCCTTATGATTTTACTAGGCGGCTCTATCTCCGGATCATTGTACATCTCTCTTATGAGTTTCGTCATTCGCATCTTCAGTTCATCCTCTGACATACTGTCGACCAACTGATGTCCGCGTCCAGCATACCAAGCACTCAATACATTTGGAGCCCAGTCCATGACTTGAAGAACTGTCGTCTCTTCTTCAAAATCGTCCAATTCATTTCTTAGCATTCCCTTAACAGGCAGTGGAGCAATTGAGTATGTAGTATTTGTCCAAAATGGTTTATCCCACTCGAAATACACTTTGCACGATCCACCAAACCCAATTTTTTCTATTGCTTCCAATTTCTGCCTTGGCAAAGGTGGAGTGAACATTTTGTGATGGTACTTCTTTAGTACGCCCAAAGAAGACGTCACAATCACATAATCATATTCGGTTGACAGATTAGTGTAGGTTAACTTAACTCGTCCACTGCTCGGAATCAGTTCAATGTTTTCAACGCGAGTGTTAAAGTGAAATGATTTTTGAGGAATTGATGCAGCAATATCGTCAATTATAGCTTTGTAACCAATCTTGTTTGTAGCGAATGACTCGCACTCAGGTCCATAGTCGTTCCATTCTTTTAGAACATGCACGCTGAGCTAAAATGTTTCCATAAAGTTAACCGGTCCGTGGTGGCATAATTACCTTGCTCCAGTCTGCAGCCCACTCAAACTCCCAATACGATCGGAATGATCGTACGAGTGAATCGAATACATTTATCTGTTGCTCTGTAAAGTTCTGGCTCATTAGAAATTTTGTATAATCCATTGTGAAAATTTCTTTAAAGGTGTATCGTCTAGCTGTTTTCTCATCGTTTTTCGCAATGTCCCTGTACTTCCGATCTAGCTTCGATGTGAAATCCAGAAACGTTCTTATATCTTCTCTGAATGACTACTTTGACTATTTTCCACCGCACAGTCTAAACTGACTGATCAACTCCTTGGTTTCCGTAGACATAATGAGCGTTGTCGACATGAGCAGTGTCGGACACTATATTCTCAACTAATCCCAGACGAGAAGCAATTTTAAACAACGGGTTTTCAGCTCCATTGATGAATTGAGCTCCCATTTGAAGATATCCATCCTCTTAAGTTCAGATGATATTGGATGAGCAAATACATTACGTACTGTAGGGGATCGCATGAATTCTACCCCCAATCCGATCGAGGCCTTCGTAAATATCGAAATTCTCGATTCCTAATTCAATCAGTCGGTGGGCAGTTGACAGGCCAGAAATGCCGGCACCGACTATAGCTATAGACGGTTTTATCGATGGTTCCCCCTTTTCCGACTCTTTCTTGAATATATGCGAATAATTAGAATATTATCTCAGAATCATTCTTATTTATGCCGCGTCCAAAGTTTAAAAAAAAACCCGGAAATCACGCGGATTTTGCTGGGAGTTCCTGTAACTTTGAACGCGGCATTAATAAAAAGCTAACGAAGTCTGCGGTTCATGTGAGAATCTAACAAGTCTCGTAAATAAATCAAGAAAGGGTCAGACTCGGTTAGGCATTTATTAATAAGAGTGATAATGATGTCGATAGGCATTATTATAATATTTACCTGAACAGTTATTCCACATCCAATAATTACAGTCAACACTATTCTCACGCTGACAGACATGATTGTCAAAAGCGTGTACAGTGGGTATGTTGTAAAGGTACACGGGACCAGCCAGTTTTTGATATCTATACGGCGCTTTCAAAATTGAAGCACCGATTATAGGAACAGAAATTGAAGACTGCACACTCGTCATGCGTACCTTATCAGTCACAATTTTTTTTTTATCTACAATTTTCACTGTGTGGAGTGACATCAGTTCCCTAAAATAATCACACCGATATTCCTCCCAGCAATAGTTTCAGGGGGCAAAAAAAGGCTGATTCAGAGGGGGCAACCTTCCTTGTTTACAGAGGGCAACTTTTTTTGCTCACAAGGGGCAAAACGGCAAATGTGATCACAGGGGACAATTATATTGCTTATTGGGGCAAACGCGAGCAATTTGATAACAAAGCTTAATAATCTTGGCATTTTCTGCGAAAACTTTGGAGTATCTTGTTTGTAACCTCTATTTTATCTTTTTTATTTTTCAAAAACGTTTCTCCTTTGTGAATTAGAGAGAGTATAAAATGAGAATGAAGTGTTTTGGTATAAAATGATCAACTACCAAGTTGATCATTTTTTGAATTGATGGTGGGTTCTGAAGATACAGGTCTCCACAGATGAGGGAGTTTTGGACGATGGTAACTTTGAGGCATCAAATCAGGCCCTAATTGTGATTTTTGAGTCTGAAGCCGAATGGGCGCACGAGGGGTCACCGATGGGCCATTCTAGAAGTCTTTGCTTGTTCCTCGATCGCCCATCGGTTCGCACATCGATGACCCATCGTTCTTCATTTGCGCAATTTGCCTGTGAACCGATGATTTTAGTTGTTTCCGAATGCATTGATAACAAGGGAGTTCACGCGACTGTTACGAGGGGGGAAAATTGCGTAAAATACAGGATTTCAGTGGAAATATTCCGGCACCATTTTCTCGAGTTCTAGGTGCCGCAAAAATAATCAAAAGAACATTTGATCCTCTTGGTACAAAGCTATCGAACCATGTCAGTCACGGCCCATAAGGCCAACTTTTCCCGAGAACATTCCCTATGAGTACAAACGCAAAACTTGTACAAGACCAGGAATTGAAGAATGAATGTTATCAAAAGAAAATTTCCTTCGATCATTGACATAATCATCATCAAATTTTAAGGAAGAGAAGGTTCCTTTTGCCTTTCGAGCAGAAATTAGGAGAGTACGTATAACTTGGTGTTTCACTAAACTTGTCGGGTTCACCCGTGGTTCGTTGCCTCTTTACCCAATTTCTCTCCAAATCTGTGTCCGTGGGACCCGTCAATACTTAGTAACGGGGTTATTCAGGCTGTGAAAAAAATTATTTTTTTCCGTTTTCTTTGTTGTTTTTTTTACGTCAAAAAATCCAATTCAGCGATGTTAAAAAACGAAAAAAAAAACGGAAAACAAACATACGCTGGAGCACGGTCTCCAGAGCTGGCAATGTGGGCGTGGCCTCGGCCAAATGGCGTTTTCATGAATTGAGCAGGTTTTCTCTGATTTTTGTGGTCAAAGACGATGAAAAATGATTGTTCGACATGAAAACACACTAATTCGCAAAATTAATGACGTTTTAGCGCATTTTTCGCGTACTTTGCTTTTTCGCCTTCGCCGCCGATCGCCGCCTAAAAACCGCACTTTTCATTTTGCGCTTTCTTGGCCGTTTTCAGACAGAATTAGTTTTGAGAATGATAAATCACGTAAATACAAGCATTTTGAGCGCTCGAACCGCGAAAATTACCGAAAAGAAACTGAAATTCACGCAGTTTTAGCCAAAAACCTTCAAACGGATAAATGTGATTTGCGACTTGACCAAATTTAACGCTCTTGCGCTTAAAAAATTCGTAATATCCTATACAATCGGTCTATCGAGAGACAAATGATAAATTATCGGTTTTTCGTAGCTAATCTGGCAAAAAACATAAATTTCGCTGTTAAAGTTTGAATTTCGCGCCAATATATCGCTGTATTGGGCGAGGCGCACTTGCGCCCATTGTCAGCTCTGGAGACCGTGTGGAGCCCCATAACAACAGAAATAACCAAAAAGCGCGCCAACAACAGGCGACTGACGCATTTTGAGTGCAAAAAGGGCGCCAAGCCAACTTGTCATTCTTTTTTAGGCAGAGAAAAAGTTCTCAGTTTGGAATTGTGTTTTGAGTGAGTTTCTTGTTTATCTGTTGTTTGCCTTACCTATTGTGGGTGTCATCTTTTGACACGTTATTGTTAAAGTCTTTTTGATCAACATGAATAAACTCTGGCAATTCGATATTAATCTAATTAAAAAGTTACTGATCTAAACGCGACCTAATTAGATTCGGCTGTTTTTTCTTGGCGCAATCGAGATTTGAGCCAGCAGACGGTTGGCGTGAAACTTGATTTGAGCACTTATTAATCTAATTAGAAGATTTATTAATCTAGCTAGACAATTTATTAATCTAATTAGGTGTCAAATCAATCTTATTTGGCCGCCGTATAACTCGAGTAGACTACGATTAGATTAATAACGAAATGCCAGAGAAAGCAGGTGAAGACAATTCAGTGTTTGAATAGAGAAATCCGTGCAGAAAAGAGAGAGCACGACTAGCTCACTGGTCCAGAAAGCTTGAATTAATGCTAAAAATGATTAAGGTTTGTTATCAAATTGCTCGCGTTTGCCCCAAAAAGCAAGGTAAGTGTCCCTTGTGACTGCCGCTTTTGCCCCCTGTGAGCAACAAAAGTTGCCCTCTGTGAGCAAGAAAGGTTGCCTCCTCTGAATCGGCCGACACTCCCAGGGGTCAACGAGGAATCAACTTGCTCAGAGGGCCGGTACTCCCAGGGGTCAACTTGCTCAGAGGGGTCACTTTCTCTGAGGGGTTAACTGCTCCAAGGAGGTCAGGATTGTTTTCTTATGGGGCTATTCAGCGTATGATTGTTTTCCGTTTTTTTCGTTTTTTTACATCGCTGAATTGGATTTTTTGACGTAAAAAAACGAAAAAAACGGAAAACAATCATTTTTTTCACAGTCTGAATAGCCCCATAACATTTTCAAACATTTAGAACTTCTCTAGATTAGAAGCAAGCACAAAAGCGGAGGTTAAGGTTTATTCGGCCACGGCCTCGTGTAATTCTCGTGGACAAACATTTTTCGTAAAAATCTTTCTTCCCCATCAAAAGCAAAAATCGTTTTCAGATGAATATGGAATCCGAAACCGAAAAATGGCATCGTATAATTGTGAAAGAGAAGTCGTCGCATCTTTCTGACTTTCTTATTCACAAACGGTAGTGAACTTACCTCAAAACTTGGAAAAAGTTTCTATATAATATTTCTAGGTCATTATTGCTTTCCGATAACCAGGAAGAAAGAGAGAGCACGGTCGACAACGTTCTCGACGTTCTGAAGACGTTGCCTGACGAATTTCTTCAAGAGGAAGAGGGTATCACCAATGAAATACCTTGGAGGAAATTGTTCAAAAAATTAATTGCAGTTCAACTTCTGCTAGACTATTTCCTGAGTTCTCTCGATTGCTCCCCGCTCGCTGGAGGATCCGTCATTCGAGTGATTCATCATATTGTTTTTAACTCAAAAAAAATCCCTCGAAATATTGAGGCACGCATCGTTCGAGTATTGTTTCAGTAATTCAATATGTTTTGCAATGCCTTGAATGTTAGATTATAGAGAAGGCAGTTTGCAAAGCTGGGCACAAAAAGAGCGACAATTGCAGTATGAAATTCTGAACTGGACTTTGCAGCATAGAGTTCACGGTTAGTTCAACACAACAATCTCGACAATTCAAAAGAGCGGTGGTTAATGCAGCTTTGAAAGCGATGGGATATGATTTCATATCCATGTTCATCAAGAGCGTGTCTGGAGAAAGAGATCCACGCTGCCTCGTGCACATGTTCTCGGCGTTTCTGAAAATTACCAATAATTTCACTCTTGGAGTATACACAGAGGACATGTTCGAAACAATTGCCTGCTATTTTCCAATCGAATTCAGGCCGGTATTCATTTTTTTTTACGTCAACATTTGAATGTTTGAACGTTTCAGAAGCCTGAAGATGGAATTTCTCGAGAATTTCTGGCTACTAGCTGCGCATCTTGCCTCGTTTCTTCCTCTACGTTCGCACCGTTCTGTTTTTTATTTATTGACGAGAAACTCAACGACGAGGAATGTACTGAAGAGGAGTATCACGACGTTCTAGATCTATTGGTAATATCTGTTGGTTTTTCTCTAATCATGCGTTCATGTTCGCTCAGACTTTGGCGTGTGACAGTTTCCCAAGACATAGACTCCACGAAGCCCATCAACGATCGCTGATTGATGGAATTCGGAAGATAGCCCTAAACCCCAACAATAAAGGTTTTTTTGAGCTTCGGATATTCAAGGCGAACATTTGAAAACATGCTCGGGCCTCTTTTTATCGCTCTGTATCGGAATCGTATCCTCAAAGACACGGCGACCAAAAATGTAGAAAGGAGCGTGGCCTAGCGTGCACGGTTTATCACCATTTTGGCGCGAAATTCGAAATTTAACCGCATTTTTCATGTTTTCGTCAAAAATTACCCAAATTTTGTACGATTTCGACGGTGTAATTGCGTAGCTTTGTTAAACTAATCATCGCGCACTTTTTGAGCTTAAAACGAGCAGGTTTCATTCAGAAATGAATCAATTGAATCGATTTTAAGTTTTGTGCTGAAAATGCGCGAATTTCAGTCATTCGCCGATACTTTTTGCCGTTTGAACGCTTAAAATACTTGTATTAACGTGCTTAATCACTTCCGACACTCACTTCGTCTCAAAACTATCCAAATCGGCCGGTATGAAAATTCCGAAATTGCGGCGGCGATTGACCGCGGAGAGCGTATTACGAAATATGCCAAAAACGTCTCAGGCGTTTTCACGAAAATTTCGATGTTTTCTCTCTTTAATGTCTTCTTTCGTCGATATCAAACACAAAAAGCGGAAAGGTGCTGGAATTGCGGTAAGCCGCTTCCGAACGTCAGCTCGGTCTGCGGCGCAGCGGACCTACGCGTAGCTACGTTTCAAAAGTCTTGTTCCTATTAATAAAAGTCTTCACGGGTATGTCCGTCTGTTTGTTTGTTTGTTTATTTCTGTTTGTCTGTTGTGACGGAGAAATTACGAAAGGAGCACGTGAATTTTCAAACGGCTCTGAGAAACAAGCAAGCGGCGGAGCAGTTTTCGAGCGTTAGCTCGGACCGCGCTCCAAAAGTTTTGTTTATATATAACAAAAATCTTTTCAGGCGAACTACCTGGCAATGTTCTAGATTCCTTCCGATCAATAGTTACTTTTTGCGAGAAGTCGATATCAAGAAATGAGCAAGAAATGGGACGCATTGTCAACTCCATATTAGAAAGTAGGCAACGATATTTACATACCACCAGAGTAAAAGAACAATGCGAAAAATAGTGTGTAAAATGAAGAGGCACTGAGAAAAACACAGACTACTGTATTACGATCAAATCTATTTTTTTAGGTTACTGTAAGTACAGTGATTTTAAGACTCGTCATATACATTCACTCAATTGCCCTTTCACAATATGTACATTTAGACTCAGAGCCATTCGTTCTGCAAGCCGAAATGGGGCTGTGCAAAAAAGGATTGTCGTTGCTGCTATGTGCATTTGAAAATCTAAATACAAAACATGCTCAAATTGTTTTCAATCAAGCTATTGCTTGGATTATAACGCTAGTTCAAGGTAACATGCTTCTTTTTGTTGTAAATGTGAATAATTTGAAGGTGACAGTATCAACGTCGCTGCGAACAAAGTGGACATAATTGGAGAAGGGCTCGATTATCTCGTTGAGTGGATTAAGCTTGGTGCAGATTTAGGAAAAAATGCTGTTGAGCTGCTCAGCAATTTCGAACGAACAATATTCGATTCGTGTCTACTTGCTAGAGAGTTCAAGCCACAGGCGGCACTAGTTGCGATTTATGAATGTGCTATGGTATTTTTTAAAAATAACTCGAAGGTTTAATCGATATTTGTAGACGTATATGGAAATTGGGTGCGTATCTGATGAACTGGTTTCAATGTGTAGAAGTTTCACCGCTCAAGGGCTCAAAAGTGTTGAGGACGAGAAAGAGTTTCGATGCTTTCTCCGTTTCGTTTCTATATTTTCGTCCTATCATTTCGACGAAGTGAAAAATGTCATCGCCGACAACCCGATTGATACTTGGAGTGAATTTTTAATTGCCTTTTTATAAAATTAAACATGTTTATTCAGCACGTTCGAAAGTTCTGGCAGTTCTCTGTGCTATTAGTTACACTGAAAATGGATGGAGTTTAGCGAAACAAAGCATATCTGAAAAACTCGAAAACGGAATGAAGAAAAATCAAAAAGATCTGGAGTATTATGTAAAAATGATGACAGATTCGAGAAACGCAAACTATCATATTTTTCTTGAACAATTTGACGTTTTCGACACCGCTCTTCTCAAGGTTTGTCTTTTTTGATTCAGGTTCCTTCCATTTGTTATTGTATAGGCGAATCCTCTCGACGGTATTGTTGCACCCAAAGCTTTGCAACAGATCACGCTCCTTCTTAACTCTGAATGCCACCAATTCTTCATGAATAAGCTCACATCTAGATATCGGAACACACCGGAGGATGAAGTTTTGCAGTTTGATGAAAAGTATCGATTGGTTTATCTTCAAAATTCGGTAAGATCCTTTTTGTGGAAAAAAAACGTTATAGAGTATAACCTGCGAAAATTCAGAATACCACAGACCTTCTCGAAGTTCGTGAAATCAAGCAATTGTCGGATAGAACTTTAAACCAATTGCTTTTTGCTGCGTGTAATAGAACCAAAGCTATATTGAAGATTTCCGATGAGTTTAGTTTGTAGCTGAGAACACGCTTGAAAGCTGATTTTCAGACACCGAGTTGTGGAAGTAAAGGCTTGTCTTTTAAAAAACAGTAAACAAGCGCTGAGCATGTTCGAAGATTTTCTAACGCAAATATTGTCGAAACAGTCAAATGACCAAGGAGTTATTGAATATCTGCTAGACTTTGATAGCTGCGATACGAATCCGGACACATGTTTGTATTTATCCGGCAGCACTTTGTGGAGACAGCGAATATTTGTTCAAGTGATACCGATTTACAAGAAGAAATTCGAAGAAGCGGGCGATAAAAAATACCTGATGGCCGAAATGCTACCGCATTTGTTGAAATTTGCGGAAACGCTCAATCCACGTATTTTGAAAAAGGAGTATGCGATGGTATGTAAACGTTCGAAATTGGATGACTATGATCATTATCAGATGCTTCCTATTCTCATTGAGCTAATAAACTCGTGTAGCCATATTTCGTTGTATGTGGTTCGTTCGATTCCGATGTTCCTATCGATTAAGGAACCGCTGCAGTCGAATGAGGTTCGAATAATTGTACAGTATCTCTGTTTAGTTGTAAAGCAAGATAATTGCGAAATGGTAGGATTGATTGATGCAGTCCATTTTTATTGAAAAACGTCCATCTTAAAGGATAACCTGGAAAATGCGCTCCATGGATTGGATATCCTGGCTCGACACCAATCGGCAAGGTTGCTTCTTCCCGAAATGGCAAATGTTATAGCATCTCTAAACAAAACATTAGGCCACAAAAAACGTCTTTTACGGGTGACATCAGCTAATGTGAAAAACAACTGGTAACGTGAAACAATGTGTGATTTTATTAACACGATTTTTCTTTCAGGGAAATTCTGATCACCAAATAGATTTCATATGATCAACGACTTGTTTCCACGGCTAACTGTATATACTTGTTTTGATAGTTCTGTTTTTTTGTATGTTTCTGTTTTTTGTAGTTCTGAGACAAAATTAGTGTCGGAGTTTTACCAAATTATGCAAGTATATCGTCGAAATCGTGCAGAATTTGGCGTTTTGACAAAAAAAACATGAAAATTAAGGTTAAATTTTGAATTTCGCCCCAAAATGATAATAAACCGTACACGCTAGGTCACGCCCCTTTCTACACCTTTGGTCGCCGTGGGCAGGCAAAAAGATAGGATTTGAGTCAATTATCGGACGGTTCACACGATTTAAAAATTGCGAAATATTAATTTTCACTTAAGTGCACTTTGAAGAATAGAAGAGCAGTATGTACGGTTTATGACGTTAAACTTCAGATAAATTTTGAGAAGAACGGCTGGAAATGGCAGAAATGAGCATCATTTTAACATTCAAAAACACACAATGCGATTGGGGAACATGCGGCATTGTGATCTAACCGACCGGTTCCACATTGTCGTCTTTTCTCTCGATTCTCGTTTTGTTGCCATTGCGCACCGATCGATTATATTTACTGTTTCCAACGCTCCCCCCTCCTGGCATTTATTTATGATTTACGGGATGGAGGCGGGTACCTTACCGAACATTTCAAAATGGTCCCTCTCACTGAATGCTTTAAGAGGAGGCAATTGAAAATGTTCATTTCCTGAACCATGTGATCAGAAGTTCGCTAATTAAGTCTGTGTGCTTAGATGTGTCTACTTAAAGCTATCAGAGAAAGATAATTTATGAAAGAAGTTTAACGTTAATATACATTTATCATATTTTTCATCAGTGTACTTCAAATCCAATACCTTTCATTTCTCTCACCCTTCCGATCTTATTCACTGATCTCTTAAATAATCTCTCGGAATCTCGTTCGCATCTTTTTGAAATTTCTGAATCAAGATGAAGGAAGACTGAAGTTTGAAGACTCGTTTTCTTCAAGTTTCCATTCAAAAACCTCACCGTTCTCATCAGAAACACTACATACTTATGATAGCCGAATGAAGAAGTTCTGTGTGATTGTTTTATTTCTTGGCATTTCTTCGCGAACGGTTCAAGAGATAGTTTCCAAATCAGAAGGATGTTTTTATCGATGCACAGCTCAATGCATTGCGTCTTCCAAAAAGGTATGAGTTTCACGCTTATGGTATCATTATTAGAAATTATTGGACATTATTAGACACAAGCCTGCCCCCCGGCTACGCCGGGTTTCTGGCTTGGCAACGGGAATCGCTGCGCAATGCAAAAAAGGCTCTTGTGTTTTATATATAATAAATATTATTGAACACAAGACTTCGAACTTGGGCCCGCTGCGCGGTCCGAGATAACGGTAGGATGCTTCTCAAAACCGTTCGAAAGTTCTCGTGTTCATTTCTCTCATTTCTCCGTTACAACTTTTTCAGTTTTATAAATTGCAAAAGACAGTCAAAAAAATGGAAAAAAAATTGCACGTATTGCGTTTTTTTTAAATTAATTTTTTGACATCGCTGAACAACCCCATAAATAAGAATGATGATAAGAATGATTGTTAGATGTGATCTAGTTTTAATAATATCGCAATCCATTTACCAAAGTAGGCTGAAGTTTTGACCAAGGTTACTGTAGTTGCCAAAAACAGTAAGAATTCTCTCCTTTATGGAAATAGGTTTAGCATTCGTGATCTAGGAGACCGTGGCGGCGTTTCTAGATTCTTACGTTTCTGTTAAAGAGAGATGAACAACTCACGCAGCAATCAATGGAAGAATGCACTCCACAATGTGAAAAGTTCAGGGATGAGAGTTTATGTGTGAGTAATGAGAATCGATTACCAATTCGTCAATAACTTTTTTTTAAAGTCGGACAATCTCTGTTGGAGTACGTGCAATAACCAATTGAAACCCGAAAAAACGCTGCTTGCTCCGTTAAATTTAACTATTGTCGGTGTGCGTGGATTCTCGTGGAATCCAGTCTCAAAAGCAGTAATGTACTATGTTCGATACAAAGCTGGTAGTACTAAGAAGTTTACAAGCAACAGCTTTTTGGTTGGTTTTTCTTAAGATCCAGGTTTATTGTCAATTAATATAGGTTACGGAAGACCACAAAATCGATTTGAGTACATTAGCAAATATGGATCCTTGTGTTGAGCTGGAAGTTGATGTTGCTGCTTTTTCGGAAGATGGAATCGGCAATGAAAGCAAGGAACTCAAAATTCCCAGTCCCAAACCGACAGCGAATCCAAAACTGGATTTGCTAGGAATGCAGTATTTGGTTCGACTTAAGTGCTACAGGTATCAAATTAATCTATTTCTTTCAGAATACTTCACTTGTAAGTGACTTCTACACAGCAAATGCGACAGTACACGTGGAGTTTCGTTACTCAGCTGATCGTGAGCCCAAAAAACGCATACAGTACCGGTCATCCACTAATTTCAGCTTGGTTTCTCGACGAGTCAGATCTTGACGTACAACCATTGTTCCATTTGATTTCTTGCGTTGATCCGGATCTCAGCCAAGGAATTCCTGTTCCCGATTTCGTAAGGCATTACCTTTTTCTTACTAAACGAATAGTGGTTTTGGGTGACTGTACAAGCTTTTTATGAATAACTTTATGAGCCCCCGACCGATCTGTCCCGTACTTGGCATATCGTCATGCCTCTCGGAGCGCTTCACAAAAGTTCTTTTTAAGTCTAGGGTTACCGTAGGATTACTATGGATACAATACTCCTATTTTTGCACATTTTTTCAGAATTGTTGGATTGAGATCAGACTTTCATGGTAACACAAGACTTTTTGAAACAGGTCCCGCTGCTCGGAAGCGGCTTCGCCGCTTGTTTGCTTCTCGTTACCGTTCGAAAATTCACGTCTTAATTTCTTAATTTCTCCGAAACAACTTTTGGTTTTGGAAGTGAAAACGTGTGCGTACAAAAAAAGAAAGAAAGAAAGAAAAAATGGACAGACTCCGTTACGCCGCGTCCAAAGTTTAAAGTTTTTTTTAAAAGAAATCCCAGCAAAATCCGCGTGATTTCTGGGTTTTTTTTAACTTTGGACCTAGCTTTTTTTTAAATAAGAATGATGATGAGAATGAATTCTCTTTTCAGATTGTGAATGCTCGAAATAAAACTATATCAACGTCAATCGGATCAGATATGATGGAAAGGAAGTGTCGCTATGTGTATTATCTACAAGTTTTTGAACATTGACATTTCCAAAACCAAACAAAACTTTTCCAGAGCATCAGTAGTAAGAAGTGTGGGACAGTAACAGAAATGCCTTCTCCGCCGTCTTCTGCCCTTCAGACGATACAAGTTGGTATGTTAAATTCTCTGTTATCTGCGAATATTATTCAAGTTCAGAATGTGATATTGTCGAAGATGCTCCGTGTTTCAAAGTGCCTTCGTATCCGCATCCACAATGCGGCCAAGTGGATAACGTAAATGCAGTGGTGTTGGTCAGTCTATAACATATGTTGGACATTTGAAGTCTCACAATTATAGGAAAAGGATCGTGAGAATCTCAATGACCCTTCTGTGAATCTGACATTGAATGTTACATTCAATCCTGTTGCAAGAAACAACGAATTGCCTACACTTTACTATATCGCAATCTATGGCGACGCTACGGAATATCGTACTAAAGAAGAAGAAGCGTTTCTTGGTGTTAACATCACCAAAGTTCTCGGAAAAGAGTCTAGTTGCCAACAATTTGATGTACTTGGAAATTGCTATGTAAGGGTTCCTGGTCTTTTCAAATCTCGGTTCGAGATTATGTGTCTGTCTTAAGGGCATCTCACAGATAAGGAGCTCTGTTCGCAATCGGGCCGAATTTCTCGGCCGCGAAGTAATTTTCCACTGAAAACGTGCCTTAACTTTTTACACTCGGCCCCGAGGTCGCTCAATTTGCACTGCAAAAAGAGTTTCTCAACAGAGCGCCATTTCTGTGCAGTGCCCCTATAATACACTGTCCGAAATCCTAACCTTCAGAAATGTATCTAAACGGTAAAGCGCACAGTCAAAGTTGTGGTTAGGGCCTAGAAAATCGACCATGTGATATATTCCGGATTTTTCGTTCGGCACAGTCTTTACACATTGCCAAACAATCACACAAATCAGCAGCCATTAATAGTGAAAAAAAGAGTTTTTAAACCCGAATTTTCTAGGCCACGGCCACAACTTTGGCAGTGCGCTGTTCTTTTCATAGGCATTTCTGAGAGTTGAGATTCGGACAGTGTAGTGTATGTGGACAGACACAAAAAATTTCCGGGTCGGTGAAAATTGTCCTATGACCCCACGGGCTAGCAAAATTCAGCAAAACCTACAGGGGACAGAAAATTGTGAAGCTATAACTTATAAAAGAAACCTTACATTTACCTCTAACCGGGCTTGTTTTGAAGAACACAATACAACTGAACTTTCATCAAAAAGCAGAAATCTCTATGTATGTTCGCTTTTTGGAGATAAATTGAAAAGATAGTCGCATGTATGAAAAGCCGGGCCGTGGACCCGGCCATGCCCGTGAATCACTATGGATTTTCAAAACTTCCGATCATCACTTGTTGTTTCAGGTGGAAAATGCAAATAGATCTATTGTCATACCAGGAATACATCCGAAAAGTTTATACGGTATAACTATATGTGCCATAAAAAGTATTCTGAACGTAACACTTCCGGACATGTCAGCGACATCAATGTCGACAAAACCGAAAGCCGTTAAAATGATTATTTTGAGCTACCGTAAGTGCAGACTTCGATTTAGTACATGTTTTTGTGTGTCTTACAGAGCATGATGCTTACTCGCCTGTACCTTATCAAATTTTAATCCAACACTCGAGAACTTTTTTTACTAACGAATCCGACGATGATAAGGAGAAGAAGCGAGCGAGTGGATTCAATCTAACAACTGATTCTACTAACACTACTGATATCCTTTTTTCGGGTCCTTATAGTATTAATGCTTCTACTAACGAATCAACACTGGAATGGGAAACCGATTCGGAGTGCACTTATTGCAACAACACAAATGAGAACGTCACAAGCCAATCTGTGATCACACTAACACTGATTTCTACAACCCGTTGGTATAACTTTACTTCCAGTGACAAATCAAATAGACAGTAGCTTGTTCTGGAAAAGTCTTTTTCAGAATCGTCGAGCTCAGTTGGATGGATAATAGGAGCTGTTGCAGCTGTTATTATTGTCATTCTTGCAGTTATTTTTGGATGCTGCTACTATTATCGATTGCATAAGAGAAGACAGAATAAAAAGTATGCATTGAGAATAGAAAAGGAGAATAGGAACAGGTATACGGATTGTCCTATTGTTCAGAGGTGAGCAGACATAATTTTTTAGTAATTTCTTTACTTAATTCCAGAAACGATATATGGGAAATCGAACGCAGGAACTTAATAATTCATAATGACAAAAAGTTAGGATCCGGGGCTTTCGGTTCGGTCTATTTTGGTACTGTAACCTGATATCACTCAAAATATGTTCGACTGCTTTCAGGAAAACTGATAGGAAAGTCGCTGGCTCATAGGGATGCCAACTCTCCGTTAGGGATCAATTTGATGAGAGCAGAGAATTGTCAAGTAGCAGTGAAAATGCTACCCGAGTATGCTGACGAGTTGTCAAAACACGAGTTTCTACGAGAGATTGCCTTGATGAAAACTTTAGGCTATCACGAAAGGTGACTGATGCAAACGCTCCCCATCGAACATCACAGCGCATGTGGCCTTACTTCCAGCCGATTACAAAATGCTATTTTATTAATCAAAAATTAATACAACATACCAGAGTTGAGCGGAAATAGACTTTTGAAGTCCGGAAGACGGGAAACGGAAAATGTTTTTACGAAACACGGAAGACGGAAAACAGAAGATGGAATAAACAATGTTTTCCTGAAGATGAAAGACGGTAGACAAAATTTCTCTGGCAATTCGATATTAATCTAATTGGAAAGTTACGATCTAATCTCAACCTAACTATTACTCTGGGAACTCGATCGCAATCTAATTAGAAAACTTCGCAATCTAATACGAACTCGTTTGGAATAGAATTTGCTTCAATTAGATTGCAAAATCTTCTAATTAGATTGCAATCACTGAAATTTTTCTAATTAGATTGCAATGTTTTCTAATTAGATTGCAATTTTTTCTTATTAGATTGCAATTCAGGAAAAATATATTGTAATCTAATACGATTTTACTGGAACTTCAATTAAATCTGATTAGATTGCGAAATAGAGCTTTTTCTTATTAGATTGCAAACTCTTCTAATTAGATTGCAATCGAGTTTCCAGAGTATAGGGGCACCGGTCAGAAAGGGCGCTCTGTTCGCAATCTCGGCGAATTTCTAGGCCGCGAAGTATTTTTCCACTGAAAACGTGGCCTAACTTTTCAAACTCGGCCCCGAGGTCGCTCAATTTGTACTGCAAAAAAAGTTGCTCAACAGAGCGCCATTTCTGTGCGGTACCCCTATAATAGATTAGGCCGAGATTTGAGCCAGCAAAGGTTTGGCGTGAAAATTGACTTGAGCACTTATTAATCTAGCTAGAAGATTTATTAACCTAGCTAAAAAATTTATTAATCTAATTAGATGTCATATTAATCTAATTAGGCCGCCGTTCAACTCGAGTAGACTACGATTAGATTAATATCAAAATGCCAGAGTTCCGTCTTTGCAGAACCGTTTTTTTCCGGTTTTTTGGAAAAAAAAAACTAAAGCAACAAAAATTTTGGATCTGGGTGCCTGCCCGTGGAAATTCGCGTAATTTACATTTTCTTTGGGCATTTCAGCAGAAAACTCCATCGGATACTAGGCCACGGTTGTCAAAATGCTACTTTTTCGAAGACGGCATGTGATTATTGAACTAAGAACATGCCGTTTAAAAATTTTTCATTTAAAAATTAAATTTCCAGACTTGTGAACATGATTGCATGTATCACTGATTCCGAACCATTATGTCTTGTTGTCGAGTACTGTCAAGACGGCGATCTTCTTCAATTTCTACGAGAAAGGTGTAAATATATGATGAAATTGGATGAATTGGCAATAAACTATCACGATGCACCAACTGACGAGAGTTATGATCCAAGCATGATAGTCACTTTGAAGCAACTTTTACAATTTGCAGTTCAAATAAGTTTTGGACTGGTATGTTTCTATCTCTACCTCGGAAACATTATTAGTATTTCTTCTACAGGAATATCTCTCACAGAAAGGATTTGTTCATCGCGACGTAGCTGCGCGAAATGTTTTGGTTCACGAAGGAACCACTTGTAAAATTGGAGATTTCGGTCTGTGTCGGTACATTTATGCGGATCAGTCACAATATAAGAGCAAGGTAGGTTAAGTTAATTCATGTTTTAGCGCCTCAAAATCTGACAATGTCGCTCTACCGCAATCTCATGTGACGCCCCGGCTGTGGCCGAATTCACGTGGAGAGCGGTAAAGCGCAATTGTCACACATCTGCGGCTACTAAATTTATTTTGTTTGACTAATACTTATGGCCGAAAGATACTCTGTAAATACTGTAATACTTTGATAAATCGCTTATGATTTGTAGGGTGGCAAGTTACCGCTGAAATGGATGTCTCCGGAGGCGATTAGAAACTACGAGTTTTCCATAAAAAGTGATGTTTGGTCGTTTGGAATTCTTCTCTTTGAAATCATCACTCTTGGTGGTGCTCCATATCCAGGACTGCCTCCAGAAGATGTACTTCCGTATTTGGAGAACCACGGCAGGATAGAAAAACCGGATAATTGTCCTGAAAATTTGTAAGACATTATTTGTCCGTCTTGACCTTATTCTCTACACTTTTCAGCTACGATGTGATGAGTCGGTGCTGGAGTGCGGATCCGGACCAAAGAATCGAGTTTTCCGAAGTTCGAATGCTATTAGCGACCCAGCTGGAGGATATCACAGAGGACTACAGCTATTTGAAACTGGATGCCGCAAAAGATTATTATAATTTTCAAAACAGTAACGAAAAATTGGTGAGTACTGTAGGCTTTATGTGGAAAAAAGTTTATCTTAAGCGTTCAGAAGTCCGACAAAACATTACTTATGGAGGATTCCATCGAGTCTCCTGATATTATGAACATTCTGCCACAAACGATGCCTATGGAAACTGAAGTGGCGTGATTGTCGTTTTGTAACTATGAAATTCTTGAAAATTCAACTGCAACTATGCGATTTCTTCGACGTTACGTGTATCCTTTTTATTGGGTTTTTTTTACTTTAATTGCAGCAGTTTTCTGGCAATATCGCGCAACCTGGGATTACGGCAGAGCGACATTGCCAGAAATGCTATTATAGGGGCACCGCACAGAAATGGCGCTCTGTTGAGAAACTCTTTTGCAGTGCAAATTGAGCGGCCTCGGGACCGAGTTTGAAAAGTTAGGCCACGTTTTCAGTGGAAAATTACTTCGCGACCTAGAAATTCGGCCAGATTGCGAACAGCGCGCCCTTTCTGTGCTCCTATAATAATACCGATACACTTTTGAAGCTTTGTCCATTAAAGTTAATAATACAAGTATGTTTTGCTAAATTACCTCCATCAAAATTCATGCGCTTGGGCTTGAAAAATTTCTGCAATCGATTTAATCCAGGGCTGGGCAATTGACCGGCACGGGCTTTTCGTTGGCCGGCCCTTGACCTGGACTTTAGAACCACATGCAATATTCCTATCGGACCCAAACTTTGCAGGCTTCTTGGACATGGGTTGAAGCATATTGGGACCAAGTTTCAGCCCGATAGGATTATTTGGTCCCGAGAAATGTGGATCATTGGCCGAAATTGGCCGGAAGCCCGGGCTTTTTGGAAAAAATCGGCCATGATCCACATATCTCGGGACCCGACGATCCGATCGGGCTGAAACTTGGGCAAACTTTTAAAACTGACAGCTTTTGCGCCGACTTTACGCAGCTTTTGCGCAACTAGCCAGCAGAAGCTGCGCTAACTTTGCGCAAAAGCTGTGTAAAGTTTGCGCAAAAGTGGCGCGCCTTTGCCGAGTAGGGGGCGTGGCCTGACGAATTTTCTCTTGATTTCCGCACGCGCATGTTTGAGGACCTGTACCGAGGTCCTCAGACTAAGTACCATACTCATAATGCTCTACTTTATGTAATCGACCATGCTAAATCTAATGAACAACTCCGTTTCCCACGAAAACGCACCATTTTCTCAAAAAAAAGGAGAAAACGAGAATGGAAGTCAGTCTGAGAGCCCGTGTGGCCACATTTATGGCTACACGCGCCTACTTTCAAGTGATTCCGACAGTTTAAGGGATGGGGAATCCGTTTTTTAAATCAGAATCAGACAATCTAGTTTCCGTTTTTTTACAAGCCGTCAAAGTGCCACAAAAGTTAGCAAAAAAATTTCAGCGATGACCATACTGTTTTATGTTTGGAATCCATAGATAAACTCTCTGAGAACCCAAATACAAATTTTCCGAGCTCTAGACCTTCTAGGACCACATTTCTGTTCATTTGAGTAGAGCCAGTTTGGCCGAAATTGTAGTTTTTGGGGGTTTTGAGAGTCACAGGTACCTTACACGCGGCTAATTTTCACAAAATCGGATTGAGCATCAAATTTCCGACCGATTCATGTCGAACTTTTCTATCTATCTAGTTTCCGTTTTTTGAAAAGTGACTGTAAAGTGTAACAGTTTTAGATTTGAGCGCGCAAAAACACTAATTCACTGACTGTGGGTCAAGGAGACTGCTGGCGCATCTTGCACTCACTTGGCGCACTATTGGATTTTTTCCTCAGCTAGCGGTTTTGGAGGCCCGGCGGACACCCGCCGGTTTTTGAAGCATCGTACTGCGCCTTGTTTAGCAGAAAGTGGCTTTTGTTGGATTTTGACAGGGATTTCAATAAAAATCAAAGGAGAATTAATGTAAAAGAGCCTGAAAGCATAAAAATGAATGAATGGGATACAAGGTTACTTCTTCAGAATCCCCATAAAATTTATTCAGCTTCTTCACGGCGAAATCTCTCGCTGTTTGAACATAGCATGGAACTGTCACCGGAGTGCCTGCTCTTCGAGCATCCGATTATGATATAGTGGAATTCTGATGGGCGAGGACTCTGAGAAGCCTGGAGAAGAGAATAGAAGAATGATGGAAGCAGGAGAAGTGCGCAGAAGGCAGGGAGAGGACGGCGAAGAGGAAAGATCGCACGCCTCAAGGTATCCGCTCGCGTGGAGTGCCTGCTCTTCGAGCATCCGATTATGATATAGTGGAATTCTAATGGGCGAGGACTCTGAGAAGCCTGGAGAAGAGAATAGAAGAATGATGGAAGCAGGAGAAGTGCGCAGAAGGCAGGGAGAGGACGGCGAAGAGGAAAGATCGCACGCCTCAAGGTATCCGCTCGCGTGGAGTGCCTGCTCTTCGAGCATCCGATTATGATATAGTGGAATTCTAATGGGCGAGGACTCTGAGAAGCCTGGAGAAGAGAATAGAAGAATGCTGGAAGCAGGAGAAGTGCGCAGAAGGCAGGGAGAGGACGGCGAAGAGGAAAGATCGCACGCCTCAAGGTATCCGCTCGCGTGGAGTGCCTGCTCTTCGAGCATCCGATTATGATATAGTGGAATTCTGATGGGCGAGGACTCTGAGAAGCCTGGAGAAGAGAATAGAAGAATGATGGAAGCAGGAGAAGTGCGCAGAAGGCAGGGAGAGGACGGCGAAGAGGAAAGATCGCACGCCTCAAGGTATCCGCTCGCGTGGAGTGCCTGCTCTTCGAGCATCCGATTATGATATAGTGGAATTCTAATGGGCGAGGACTCTGAGAAGCCTGGAGAAGAGAATAGAAGAATGCTGGAAGCAGGAGAAGTGCGCAGAAGGCAGGGAGAGGACGGCGAAGAGGAAAGATCGCACGCCTCAAGGTATCCGCTCGCGTGGAGTGCCTGCTCTTCGAGCATCCGATTATGATATAGTGGAATTCTAATGGGCGAGGACTCTGAGAAGCCTGGAGAAGAGAATAGAAGAATGCTGGAAGCAGGAGAAGTGCGCAGAAGGCAGGGAGAGGACGGCGAAGAGGAAAGATCGCACGCCTCAAGGTATCCGCTCGCGTGGAGTGCCTGCTCTTCGAGCATCCGATTATGATATAGTGGAATTCTAATGGGCGAGGACTCTGAGAAGCCTGGAGAAGAGAATAGAAGAATGCTGGAAGCAGGAGAAGTGCGCAGAAGGCAGGGAGAGGACGGCGAAGAGGAAAGATCGCACGCCTCAAGGTATCCGCTCGCGTGGAGTGTTGCGGACGAGGAGAGTATATAACCCTCTCCACCGCAACTTCTTCCATATTTCTCCCTCAAACCAGCCTTAACGCCCAGCAATTACTCTTAACCCCAGCTTTCAGATATTCCCATTTGAACTCCCGCGCCCTCGCCATTTAGGAGCGTCTTGTGCGTACACTCGACCACACACTCGCGCCTCCGCCCTATTTAGGAGCGTCAACGACTACGGTTGTGCGTCGACCGATGGGCCTAAATTGCTCGCCGTTCATTACATCACTTTTCTTAGCGTTTACTGTCACCTTCTTTACCGTTACCTTCCCTTTTTATGACCGACTTCGTGTCGCAATCGATCTGAGATACGGCTTTACCCGACTCTCGTTCGATAGACTCGATTGACCTTTTTGATAATAATTCGAACATTAAATAAACGCTTTATTATCACTCCGCCTTCGCTTTGTACTTTCCCATTCTCCGTTCGCGACAAAATTGGTGCGCCGGCTAAAAACAAATTGTCCGAACAAAACGGGGTGAAGGCGGAGGAGTGACGGAAATTGAACACCAAAAAAGAACAATTGAACGAAACGAGACTGAAAAGACTGAAAGGGAGCTAAACAATAAGATGAAATGACCCGAAGACGAAGAGACAGGTTATTGGGGACAAAAAACGACAGGTGACATAAATTCAATGAACAAATACGTGAAAAATAGATTTTCGAAAAAGCGGTACACAAATACGGAAATTTCTTGACCACACGATGCTTTCATCAGATCGTCGTCGGCAAGGAAAATATAGGTACTGAAAACAACAAAGAAACGATGGATTGATGGTGAGAGTCCAGAGCGAAGTAAGAATACCACAGATGCCTAAGAATTATTGACTGCAAACTTAACAAAGTTTCGAAACTGAAGAGAAGATACAGAAAGTCTCCACGAAAGAGTGACAGAATAGACCTGAAAGAGTGGATAATTTTGATTATGGAGTGTGATGATGCTTTGAGTTGATTGTGATGAGGGCACAGAAAGGAAAGACCTTGCGGGAAAAGAGACGCAGACAACAACGACACTTCGCAATGACGCAAAGCAACCGTTTAGCCAGAATCCTCAAGCCGAATTTTCAGGAAATTTTATGATGAAAAATCGACTACTCAGAAAAGAGACAACAGAAGAGAATGGGAATCACAAAGGAAATGAAAAAAGAGGATATTGTGAGTTTTTTGACTTGAAAATTCAAAAGTAAATGACAAATCAGTAGAAAAAGAGCATGGGTCATGCCCGATTTTTCATTTTGCTAAATGACAGACAACAGACGTACCGAGCAAAAAATGAAATGAAAAGAACTGAAACAAACGCAAATAGACACATTACTCTGACCAAAAAAGAAAAACCACCAAAAAGTGACCAATTAATATGAACAATCGATGAAATAGACTACAACGAAGTGATCGACACCAGAAACGGACAAAACGAACACCTGCTGATGAATTAAACCAGGATATTGGGAACTACGGCGAAAAGTTGATTTGTAAAAAATTATCAATCCTTGTCGGACAAAAGGTGTTTCAGCTGGAAATGAAATAGTTACGGAACAGAAAATTGTCAGGGAATAGAACAACCCGACTCCACGGACAAAAATAAAGAAAAAACGAATTGTGGAAGGCAAAACAGGGAAATTCGAAAGGGAAGCCTGATTTGTAAGCTTGGAGAGAAAATAATTGGAAAAAATTGACGTGGTGCACAAAACGAGAAAGATCGCAGATTCCGACTACCAGAAGTACAGAGAGACAAACAAAAAGGGGGCGAGAATAAAAGCTGATCCTTTCACTGAAAAAGTCCAAAACAAAAAGTAATTTGGAAGTTGACAAAACCGTATTGATTGAAAAGCGGAAACACATTGTGACGAGCGAGTATAAGCCACTATATGAAATTGGAGGAGAATAAAAATGAAACCAGGCAAATTTCATTCAAAACCAGAGAAAGCTGAGTGGATACACTGAGACAACAAAACAGTTGAGAAACAGATAACATAATCAAGTACGGGAGTTCAATCAGAAGTCGCCGTTCACTGAAAAAGGAAGGAATACTAGAGTGAATCACCAGTGGAGAAAGAAATCAATAAAAAATCAAAAATCAGACTAGAGAAACAATCAGTTTATTAGTTGTGACATTAGTTGTGACAACAATAAAGAAAGATAGAGAATCAGTGGAGAAATAAATCAATAAAAGAGGAAAATAATCAAAATTTAGACGAGAAAAACAAGCAAGAGGAATAGGAAAATGAATCATCAGTGGAAAAGGGACTGACAAGGGCAGCAGTCGTTAGAGGACCTAATTCGATCAAAATTGAACAGAGAGAATTAGCGTACACAAAGCCAACAGCTATCAGCGGCCAAAGGGAGAGCCGAATACTGTTGGGTAATGGATTGGAGAATAAAATCAAAGAAGACGGGAAGAAGATAGCCCGCTGGAGACACAAATGATCGTCGAACTAGAAAGATAACAAGTCACGCTGTCAAAAGGAGTGACCGGGAAGAAGATTAGAACAGAATGAATGACGGCTCATTCGAAGAGGAGTCCACCGAGTTTCTGTGAAACGAATGACAAACGGCCGTAGTCATCCGATCAGTCACAGAGAATCGGCAGAGGAATAGGATAAACCTGACAAAAGAAAACAGTCAATAGCGCTTCGGTACCTGATCATACCGACAGATGAAACAGTGAGCACTCATCTGAATTCGCAGGCTCACAGCTGATTAACAGCCCCTCTAACCAAGTTAATCAGCAAAAAACTTCTTCTTATTACCCGTTAATACTGGTTAGACATAGCCACGTTAATTGTGAACTTTCAGACTATCGATTATCAAAAAACTTATCGCCGCTAGTGAAGATGAAGCTAAGCTTGAATCTTCGCGCCCACAAGCGATATATCACGGGAGTAGCCAACGTGGCTGCTCGCCGAATCAACGCCGCGATCTTAGCGATCGGGGACGTGGAGATGGAGGAATTGCCGCTCGCGAACGCTGAGGACACCGTGCTCATGCACCTCGCAAGTCTGCAAGGAGCTGAATATGACGTCGCCAACATCGAGAAGTGGCTAGAAAACGAATTAAACGCCGACAACAACTGTCAAAAAGACCCAACTCTCAAAGAGAGATACAGAGACACGTTGAAAGAGCATATCGACAAACGAGACTACCTAACTCTTCGTAGAAAGTTAGGAAAAACAATTCACAAACTGAAAGCAATCATGGATCAAGGAAAAACGGAAGCCGAATGGAAGCAGGGCGACCTGCCGGCGAGCCCGACAAAGACAACAATGACGGAGGGAGACCAAGAGCTCGAATCCGAGTCCGACGAAGACGACGTGTTTGTCCAAGACGTCGAGACAACGCAAGAACTCAACTCAACCAATCCGTTTATCAACCAAGTCGAGAACGAGGGCGAGGAGATGGTCGCGAAAGGACCAGGTCTCAACCCGTTCGAACCTAATCCAAGACAGGAAAACAATACGGTCATCAACCTGATCGAGATGACGTCTCAGAAGAAAGGGATTCAGGTAGACATTGAATTGGCTGCCGAACTGAACCGCGTGTTAGATAGCCATTCCAAAAGACTAAGAAACACGGAATATAACACGTTGGCACGAGAAAACGAAATCATAAACGCTCATTCGGGAATCCAAAACATGCTCGAAAGAAATCTCACACCAAAACCAATTCTGAAAAAACCGGACTTAGAGCCGTCAGAGGAATCATCGGACGAGGAGATCCGACACAGGTACGAGAAAGAGAAGAGACATAGAGGTGTGACGCTGGACATCAAAAGAAACGCTCAGTATTACGAGTCAACCGAGAGTGAACCAGAAAAGATAGACAACAAAAAAAGAGAAAGAAAAGTCATAAAAGGAAAAAGAGACAGTTACGAACACTTGGAGGAATCAGATGGAGAGTTCACTTTACCGGTCAAACCGTTCGAATTGCCGAAATTCAGTGGGAGAACCGCATCTGAGTACGAAGAGTGGAAAGAAATGTTTAACGCAGCTTATGGACGAAATAAACGACTAATGGAAATCCAAAAGCTCATCCAACTCAAAACGCACGTCAGCGATTACGCAAAATCGGTGATCGGTGCTATTCAACTAGAAAAAGGTAACTATGAGAGAGCGTGGGAAGTCCTCGACGCCACGTTCGCCAGTAAATCAGACACGGTGGACGAATTGTTTTCGTCGTTCCTGAAAGCGACCATTAACCACAAAGATTTCACGAAAATGCTGTGCGATACAGGGAGAATCGCCGGAATCGTCGAAAATCTGAAAAACAGAGCTGTAAACGTCGACAATATTGCATTCACGAAACCATTAATCGCAAAGCTTCCAGAGAACATTCAAAGAAAAATTATGACAACAATGGAAATAAACGGTCACGACGGAACGTTTAGAACGATGTACCAATGGATCCAAAGAGAGATCGTGATTGAAAGAAATATCACATCAAATCTAGAGAACAATGGTACGCTGAAAAAGTCGAAGGATTTTGAACTCGGATACAGCGACGAAATTGAAGTAAACTTGGCAGACAACGACGAGGGCTCCGAGGCTATTGAATGTCCGTTCGGATGCGAAGAGGGTCACCCATATTGGAAATGTTCTAAGACAACAAAAGACAAGTATCTGGCGGCCAAAGAACAGGGACTATGTTACATTTGTTTTGAAAGCTCACACATGTCAAGAGAATGCAGAAAACAGAGTGGTTGCAAACACTGCAAAGGACCACACAACTCCATTCTCCATGAATCATTCGAATACTTCTTCCAAAAATACAAACAGTTCATGGGATACCAGAATCCTCAACAACAGACGTATGAAAATCAACAATGTAACGAGGCACAAGACAGGCAACAACATCAGTTCAATCAGAGACAACAAAATTTCCAACATCAGAACCAAGCCGACAGCCAAAGATGGGCACCACCAGCTGAACAACGAGGAGCTGGAGCAAACTTGACTCATTAGAGTCTCGTTTGCAAACAACAATACCGCCTCGATAAAAAAACACAAAAAAACACAAAAAAACACAAAAGCACAAAAAAACACAAAAAAACAAAAACAAAAACCCAAAAAGACAGAGAGAGAATTCACAGATAACATAGGACTAAAATACCATAAGCATATTTAACATTTACCAAATAGTGATACAGTAACTTGAGAAGAGACATGAAAACAGATACGCACCCTACACGAGACAACAAGTTCGCCATCAATCGTGGCCGGCGGGAGTGTTGCGGACGAGGAGAGTATATAACCCTCTCCACCGCAACTTCTTCCATATTTCTCCCTCAAACCAGCCTTAACGCCCAGCAATTACTCTTAACCCCAGCTTTCAGATATTCCCATTTGAACTCCCGCGCCCTCGCCATTTAGGAGCGTCTTGTGCGTACACTCGACCACACACTCGCGCCTCCGCCCTATTTAGGAGCGTCAACGACTACGGTTGTGCGTCGACCGATGGGCCTAAATTGCTCGCCGTTCATTACATCACTTTTCTTAGCGTTTACTGTCACCTTCTTTACCGTTACCTTCCCTTTTTATGACCGACTTCGTGTCGCAATCGATCTGAGATACGGCTTTACCCGACTCTCGTTCGATAGACTCGATTGACCTTTTTGATAATAATTCGAACATTAAATAAACGCTTTATTATCACTCCGCCTTCGCTTTGTACTTTCCCATTCTCCGTTCGCGACATGGAGTGCCTGCTCTTCGAGCATCCGATTATGATATAGTGGAATTCTTATGGGCGAGGACTCTGAGAAGCTTGGAGAAGAGAATAGAACCATGCTGCAAGCAGCAGCAGCGCGCAGAAAGCAGAGAGAGGACGGCGAAGAGGAAAGATCGCACGCCTCAAGGTATCCGCTCGCGTGGAGTGCCTGCTCTTCGAGCATCCGATTATGATATAGTGGAATTCTGATGGGCGAGGACTCTGAGAAGCCTGGAGAAGAGAATAGAAGAATGATGGAAGCAGGAGAAGTGCGCAGAAGGCAGGGAGAGGACGGCGAAGAGGAAAGATCGCACGCCTCAAGGTATCCGCTCGCGTGGAGTGCCTGCTCTTCGAGCATCCGATTATGATATAGTGGAATTCTGATAGGCGAGGACTCTGAGAAGCTTGGAGAAGAGAATAGAAGAATGATGGAAGCAGGAGAAGTGCGCAGAAGGCAGGGAGAGGACGGCGAAGAGGAAAGATCGCACGCCTCAAGGTATCCGCTCGCGTGGAGTGCCTGCTCTTCGAGCATCCGATTATGATATAGTGGAATTCTAATGGGCGAGGACTCTGAGAAGCCTGGAGAAGAGAATAGAAGAATGATGGAAGCAGGAGAAGTGCGCAGAAGGCAGGGAGAGGACGGCGAAGAGGAAAGATCGCACGCCTCAAGGTATCCGCTCGCGTGGAGTGCCTGCTCTTCGAGCATCCGATTATGATATAGTGGAATTCTAATGGGCGAGGACTCTGAGAAGCCTGGAGAAGAGAATAGAAGAATGCTGGAAGCAGGAGAAGTGCGCAGAAGGCAGGGAGAGGACGGCGAAGAGGAAAGATCGCACGCCTCAAGGTATCCGCTCGCGTGGAGTGCCTGCTCTTCGAGCATCCGATTATGATATAGTGGAATTCTGATGGGCGAGGACTCTGAGAAGCCTGGAGAAGAGAATAGAAGAATGATGGAAGCAGGAGAAGTGCGCAGAAGGCAGGGAGAGGACGGCGAAGAGGAAAGATCGCACGCCTCAAGGTATCCGCTCGCGTGGAGTGCCTGCTCTTCGAGCATCCGATTATGATATAGTGGAATTCTAATGGGCGAGGACTCTGAGAAGCCTGGAGAAGAGAATAGAAGAATGCTGGAAGCAGGAGAAGTGCGCAGAAGGCAGGGAGAGGACGGCGAAGAGGAAAGATCGCACGCCTCAAGGTATCCGCTCGCGTGGAGTGCCTGCTCTTCGAGCATCCGATTATGATATAGTGGAATTCTAATGGGCGAGGACTCTGAGAAGCCTGGAGAAGAGAATAGAAGAATGCTGGAAGCAGGAGAAGTGCGCAGAAGGCAGGGAGAGGACGGCGAAGAGGAAAGATCGCACGCCTCAAGGTATCCGCTCGCGTGGAGTGCCTGCTCTTCGAGCATCCGATTATGATATAGTGGAATTCTAATGGGCGAGGACTCTGAGAAGCCTGGAGAAGAGAATAGAAGAATGCTGGAAGCAGGAGAAGTGCGCAGAAGGCAGGGAGAGGACGGCGAAGAGGAAAGATCGCACGCCTCAAGGTATCCGCTCGCGTGGAGTGCCTGCTCTTCGAGCATCCGATTATGATATAGTGGAATTCTGATGGGCGAGGACTCTGAGAAGCCTGGAGAAGAGAATAGAAGAATGCTGGAAGCAGGAGAAGTGCGCAGAAGGCAGGGAGAGGACGGCGAAGAGGAAAGATCGCACGCCTCAAGGTATCCGCTCGCGTGGAGTGCCTGCTCTTCGAGCATCCGATTATGATATAGTGGAATTCTAATGGGCGAGGACTCTGAGAAGCCTGGAGAAGAGAATAGAAGAATGCTGGAAGCAGGAGAAGTGCGCAGAAGGCAGGGAGAGGACGGCGAAGAGGAAAGATCGCACGCCTCAAGGTATCCGCTCGCGTGGAGTGCCTGCTCTTCGAGCATCCGATTATGATATAGTGGAATTCTGATGGGCGAGGACTCTGAGAAGCCTGGAGAAGAGAATAGAAGAATGCTGGAAGCAGGAGAAGTGCGCAGAAGGCAGGGAGAGGACGGCGAAGAGGAAAGATCGCACGCCTCAAGGTATCCGCTCGCGTGGAGTGCCTGCTCTTCGAGCATCCGATTATGATATAGTGGAATTCTAATGGGCGAGGACTCTGAGAAGCCTGGAGAAGAGAATAGAAGAATGCTGGAAGCAGGAGAAGTGCGCAGAAGGCAGGGAGAGGACGGCGAAGAGGAAAGATCGCACGCCTCAAGGTATCCGCTCGCGTGGAGTGCCTGCTCTTCGAGCATCCGATTATGATATAGTGGAATTCTTATGGGCGAGGACTCTGAGAAGCTTGGAGAAGAGAATAGAACCATGCTGCAAGCAGCAGCAGCGCGCAGAAAGCAGAGAGAGGACGGCGAAGAGGAAAGATCGCACGCCTCAAGGTATCCGCTCGCGTGGAGTGCCTGCTCTTCGAGCATCCGATTATGATATAGTGGAATTCTGATGGGCGAGGACTCTGAGAAGCCTGGAGAAGAGAATAGAAGAATGCTGGAAGCAGGAGAAGTGCGCAGAAGGCAGGGAGAGGACGGCGAAGAGGAAAGATCGCACGCCTCAAGGTATCCGCTCGCGTGGAGTGCCTGCTCTTCGAGCATCCGATTATGATATAGTGGAATTCTAATGGGCGAGGACTCTGAGAAGCCTGGAGAAGAGAATAGAAGAATGCTGGAAGCAGGAGAAGTGCGCAGAAGGCAGGGAGAGGACGGCGAAGAGGAAAGATCGCACGCCTCAAGGTATCCGCTCGCGTGGAGTGCCTGCTCTTCGAGCATCCGATTATGATATAGTGGAATTCTTATGGGCGAGGACTCTGAGAAGCTTGGAGAAGAGAATAGAACCATGCTGCAAGCAGCAGCCACTGGAAGCGAGCTGAGCCACTTGTGTGCGATTGATTCGCTTCGCCGTCCCCTCCGTGCCTTTTGCTCACGTCTCCTGCTTCCATCATGCTTCTATTCTCTTATCCAGACTTCTAAGATTCCCTCCCCTTCTGAATTTTACGACTCCATCCTCGGATGCTCAAAGAGCAGTCTCTCCAAGCGATGAGAGCCACAGGCGTGCCATCTTTCCTCTTCGCCGTCCTCTCCCTGCCTTCTGCGCGCTGCTGCTGCTTGCAGCATGGTTCTATTCTCTTCTCCAGGCTTCTCAGAGTCCTCGCCCATCAGAATTCCACTATATCATAATCAGATGCTCGAAGAGCAGGCACTCCACGCGAGCGGATACCTTGAGGCGTGCGATCTTTCCACTTCGCCGCCCTCTCCCTGCCTTCTCCGCACTTCTCCTGCTTGCAACATTGTTCTATTCTCTTCTCCAGGCTTCTCAGAGTCCTCGCCCATCAGAATTCCACTATATCATAATCAGATGCTCGAAGAACAGGCACTCCACGCGAGCGGATACCTTGAGGCGTGCGATCTTTCCTCTTCGCCGTCCTCTCTCTGCTTTCTGCGCGCTGCTGCTGCTTGCAACATTGTTCTATTCTCTTCTCCAGGCTTCTCAGAGTCCTCGCCCATCAGAATTCCACTATATCATAATCGGATGCTCGAAGAGCAGGCACTCCACGCGAGCGGATACCTTGAGGCGTGCGATCTTTCCTCTTCGCCGTCCTCTCTCTGCTTTCTGCGCGCTGCTGCTGCTTGCAGCATGGTTCTATTCTCTTCTCCAAGCTTCTCAGAGTCCTCGCCCATAAGAATTCCACTATATCATAATCGGATGCTCGAAGAGCAGGCACTCCACGCGAGCGGATACCTTGAGGCGTGCGATCTTTCCTCTTCGCCGTCCTCTCCCTGCCTTCTGCGCACTTCTCCTGCTTCCAGCATTCTTCTATTCTCTTCTCCAGGCTTCTCAGAGTCCTCGCCCATCAGAATTCCACTATATCATAATCGGATGCTCGAAGAGCAGGCACTCCACGCGAGCGGATACCTTGAGGCGTGCGATCTTTCCTCTTCGCCGTCCTCTCCCTGCCTTCTGCGCACTTCTCCTGCTTCCAGCATTCTTCTATTCTCTTCTCCAGGCTTCTCAGAGTCCTCGCCCATCAGAATTCCACTATATCATAATCGGATGCTCGAAGAGCAGGCACTCCACGCGAGCGGATACCACAGGCGTGCGATCTTTCCACTTCGCCGTCCTCTCCCTGCCTTCTGCGCGCTGCTGCTGCTTGCAGCATGGTTCTATTCTCTTCTCCAAGCTTCTCAGAGTCCTCGCCCATCAGAATTCCCCTATATCATAATCGGATGCTCGAAGAGCAGGCACTCCACGCGAGCGGATACCACAGGCGTGCGATCTTTCCACTTCGCCGTCCTCTCCCTGCCTTCTACGCGCTGCTGCTGCTTGGAGCATGGTTCTATTCGCTTCTCCAGGCTTCTCAGAGTCCTTGCCCATTAAAATTAAACTATATCATCATCGGATGCTCGAAGAGCAACCACTCCGGTGACAGTTCCATGCTATGTTCAAACAGCGAGAGATTTCGCCGTGAAGAAGCTGAATAAATTTTATCGGGATTCTGAAGAAGTAACCTTGTATCCCATTCATTCATTTTTATGCTTTCAGGCTCTTTTACATTGATTCTCCTCTGATTTTTATTGAAATCCCTGTCAAAATCCAACAAATGCCACTTTCTGCTAAACAAGGCGCAGTACGATGCTTCAAAAACCGGCGGGTGTACGCCGGGCCTCCAAAACCGCTAGCTGAGTCGTTTCGCAATTAAAATCTTTTTCTCGTTTTTATCTTTTAAAACTTGTCGAAACGCAATTTTTCGTTACATATTTGTTGCAAAAAACTCAAATTTGAATTTTCAGGACTCGTTGCAACAATTTCTGCGGTTGGAAAGGCGCGACGCTGATGGAAATTGCCGAGCGGCACGGAGTAGCGGTTACAGCAGCGGAAACGCACCGACATTCCGGCTCCTTGCAATGGAGCGCACTTGCACAGTCCCTTCGCTGGCTGCTTTCTTTTGAAAAAAAATTCTTCTCACTATTCAAACGCAATTTATGAGCTCAACCATATTATTTCGATAAAAATTATATTGATCTGAATATTAATATTATGAGAAACAGAAGTCTCAGGTGCAGGTGCCAGCTCCGATGTCATCTCCCATGCGAGAGCTTCCCAATCCGAACGAGTCTGCGCATTTCGAGACTATCGACTTTTCGGACTTTCCGCTGCGTGTTTCTTAAAAAGTCGTGTTTTTAGTTTTAAAAAAAGTATTGATTATTGCATTTACGGCCATGGACGTGGATGCTCCGGCCGATTTGGCCGCACAACCCGCCCCCATCGCCGAGGAAGAGCAATCGAATTGAGAAATGGAAAAAGCCCAGTACGAACGGGTTCAGTTCAATCTGAATCAGGAGTTGATTGATTATCGTGACCGTGTGGATGACCTGTATGAGCTCACCAACAAAACCTCGGAGTTGGAGGTCACCGTTTCGCGTTTGAAAATGGAGAAAGAAGAGGGAGAAGCGTCTGCTGCCGATGCTACGAAAGAAGCCCAGGCTGCTATTGTTGAGACATTTGCTTTGAAAGACCAAATCCAAAAGCTGATCGAAGAGAAGGTTGCCAATCAACACGAGTTGGCGATTCATGCATAAGAAAGGCGAACCATTGAGGTAACATTGTGTTTCGGAATATATTTACGCTGTTCATTTCAGTACGAGCGTGAAAGGATCGCGACGGAACGCGGTCTCCATGCTGAAGCAAAGCGGTGGCTGATGCAGGAAGTGTCCGAACGGGACAACAAAGTGTCGAGCTTGCGTCTAGAGCTGAGTATGAAATTCTGTTCACCGCTCACCACAGACAGAGAAACCCGAACTCGTTCTCGTACCTGCTGGAAGAAGAGGCCACTCGTTTCGCACAGGAAATCGACATGCTGTACAGAGCCTACTTCCCATCGGATTCTATCGGCAGAGAGATGATCGAGAAGATGCTGGCAAGCTGAAAGACCCCGGACGCCATCGAGATCATTCTCCAGAATGGAGTGTAAGTCAATCAGTAATTGACCGCCAATGAGTAACAAGTTTCATTTTCAGGACCGCCATGTCGGGTCTCGTGAAGACATTGGAAAGCCGACAGCCGACTATTGTGTACAAGGAGAGACGGGTCAAGAGGAACTCTCTGGATTCTGGCGGTAAGCTTGAAAACCATCTAAACTCAAACAATTGTTCTCTTTTCAGCTGACTCACGGATTCGCCCATCCGACCTCCATCACAAACTACCGATTCATGCAGGCAGCCTTCGGAAGAGCGCTTTCGGCAATTCAGGCTGTCAAGGGTAGGGCTCTCGCCAAGAACTGCTCCATCGATCCGCTCGCCGAGAAGCCGTTCAAGTACATGACGGATGCTGCCTACGAAGAGTGGAAGAACGTGATGAACGGCCATCCGTCGGAGCCGAAGTTCACGAATCCGGTTCTCTGGGGAGGAGAGCCGCCAGTTTGAACGAAGGGACTGTGCAAGTGCGCTCCATTGCAAGGAGCCGGAATGTCGGTGCGTTTCCGCTGCTGTGTAGCGGTTAGAATAAAAAAGAACAGTTATTTTCTTCGCCGATAAATAATTTCAGGTTTTCCCCATAATTTTATCGGATTGCGGCGGACACGCGAATAGAAAAAACACTATTCAACTGAGAACCAGGAATCTCCAGCAACAAACGGAACACTAAATTTGTTTGATTGCCAAATGAAGCTCATTGAAAATATTCTTTGTTTTCCTTTATCGCTGTGTTACTTCTACAATTCTAAAATTCGATCCTTGTGGCCGGAAGTTTGCCTACAAAGTTCACTTTCAGCGACACTTTAGATTTCTGGCGGCAAAAAGACGTAAAAATCGCGCACATAATCATTTATACGTTTGATAAAGCTCTCTTTCATCTCTACAACTACTAATATTGACAAACTTCTGCTTTTCATGTATTTCAGCCATAAATTCACGCTACTCTTGCATGGTTTTTAAAATCGGTCTATTTGCATTAAGTTGCGATTATTTTCATCCGTACAGCGCCTCTAGCCATTATATAACAGTATTCAAGCGTCGCTGTCTTAATAAATCAGCGAAATTAATAACCTCAAACTTTTAAAATTATTTCGCATCGCTACACAGTTTTGCCCAAGAAAACACGATGGCTGCACCGATTTGGCTCTGTGTGTGCACAAAATGACCGTCCAACTCCCAGCTACAATATGGCCTGTGACAAAAACGAAAAAATTACGCCGTTCAATTTAAACACGGGGAATAACGCAATTTTCGCCCAAAAATTACTATTTTTGAACTCCCGCGCGTGCGCTGCAAGTGCGCTCCAATGATAAACGTCCACGCTGTGACTCAGTGTGATTTGACACTCAGAAGTGGGCCGCGCGCAGCCAGCTTTTCTACGCCATTGGCGGCCGGCGCGCCTCCGCCCGGCTGGCGCAGTGGGAAAGTGCTCACTCGGCAATCTGAAGGTGACGGGTTCGAATTCAGCATCAAATTTCCGACCGATCCATGTCGAACTTTTCTATCTATCTAGTTTCCGTTTTTTGAAAAGTGACTGTAAAGTGTAACAGTTTTGGATTTGAGCGCGCAAAAACACTAATTTGACACCTAGAACTGGGCCGCGAATTTTGACCTCTAAAGTTGTTTTGCTTTCTTAGAACATCGTTTCTGCTCATTTTAAGTGTTGACTCTTTGGTTTGGTCCACCAGACAACGACCAAAAACCCGCGCGGCAAACTTGCTAGTGAGACTCCGCCCCCTCCTCGGCCGCCGACCTGAGAGAAAACAGGGCGACTTTGCTTTGGAGCGGTGTAACTCGGGATGTACCGAAAATTTTTTGCAGCAGAAAAAAAGACGGACCTGACAAAACCGAACCTGTGCGTAGACATGCCAGCGCAGCGAGCCTTTTTGGCATTTCGCATCAATGCTCATAGCCAAGCCTGAAACACGGCGTAGCCGAGGGACCGATTGCAAGTGGCTATATTAGAGCTCCGGGGATAATTCAAGAAAACAAAAAAAAACTAGTCCCCCATCATTCAAAATCAGTCCCCCACCATTCAAAATCAGTCCCCCACCATTCAAAAATCAGTTCCCCACCCCCAAAAAACTTGAAAAAAACGACGGAAAACAGTTTAAAACTTGAATTGAAAAAAATTTTTGGGATTTGCCCCAGAGAACGGTAGTCTTCCGATGCATTCAAAATGACGCAAAAGTGGGGGGGCTCTTCTTTAATGCTGATGCATTTTATTTGACGACAGAATGGGGGCCTTTTCAAAAATACGATCTTGGTGGGGGACTGATTTTGAATGGTGGGGGACTGATTTTGAATGATGGGGGACTGATTTTTGAATGATGGGGGACTGATTTTTGAATGATGGGGGACTGATTTTGAATGATGGGGGACTGATTTTTGAATGATGGGGGACTGATTTTTGAATGAGTCCCCAGCCGTGATTGGGGCATCTGGGTGGGGGGCTATTATTGAATAAGTGGGGGGACTGTTATTTAACAAGTGGACAGCATATAAATTGCTTGGTGGGGGGCTTTTCCAAGGCCTCTTTTGGGGGGGCTCTACTTGAATTAGGGGGACTCTTTTTGAATATACCCGAGCTCCGCCATGTCTACAAAAATAGTTTTGCGACAGAGCACGTTTGCAGAGAAATGTAATGCCAGTGAGGTGAGGAAGCTGAGAAAATTATCTTCATACAAACGGATAACCGTTAAAATGCTAATTGTGTTTGAATGCGTAACAAATAATATTATTTTTCTGAAGCTGGCAGAACGTTTCGCTTCTTGCCACGTAGCTGAAGTCTTCCGTCGAGCAGAAAACCGAAAAGTAGTCGCCCATCTCAATTTCAGCATTCTTTTGAATAAGCCTCTTCGAAAGTGAGATAGTTCGCGTGATGTACTGAAAATGAGAGCGAAAAAATAAAAGAAATAGACAAAAGAGTACTGCACCGTACTTTGCTCATAAGATCTTTCAGCTTCTCATTATTGCATTTTGGGTCTTTTGGCTCATCCTCAAAATCTTTTTCTCGGCGGGGCACAAATTGAGTTTCGAAAAGTTTAGCAGCTAGTGCTATGACCTGAAAATTGAGAGTAGACCTTTACTGTTTTACTGCTATCGCGCTCTATTGTAAAACTGCAATAATCTCAGGCCGAGTTTTTAGAAAAATGTCGGCCACCGCTTCGAAACGAAGCGCGATTGCAGAAAAATGCCACCGATAGTAGTCTTATCTCACATTTCTCTTCGAGTGAAATTTACACGGAGCTCCACATTTGCCACAACAATCGTTAATAGATGGAGTGAGTTTGAGCGGTTTCTGTTGTGGAAGAGCAGTCGCATACGAGTCCAAAAACTGATTTCCGGCTCCTCGATAGGCAATTGGAAAAGAAACCGAATAGGGTGGACAGTTGGCGGATGAAATAGTGAACGGGGCGGGCCGATACGGTAGTGGGCCGGACCAAAAAGCGTCTGGCGAATATCCGCCAGAAGAAGATTCTCTGATGTACGTGATTGACTGTGCTGGCGTTGTCGTCGTACTGTTCAGACCGCGCAAGTCCAGTTTGTTATCAATTTCGCGCGGCTCCGGATCTCCTGGTTTCAGTTTATTCAGCTCTTTCTCGAATTCGTTGTAATTCTGAAGTTTAAAGCTTCGAAGAGAACTTATCAGATCGAAACCGTGTTCGTTGAGGCAGCAGTAAGGATTTCGTTATTAGTGAACGAATGTTTGGAAGGTTGCGGAAGTTGCTGCGGACTGATTATGTAACTATTTGAAGAAGGCCAATGTTGTTGGAGTACCGGTGCCTGTCGAGCAAAAAACGCTTGCAAGAGATGGAGTCAATAATTCTGGACTCTGATATTGGGATTTTTCAATTTTGGAGAACCCAACCACTTTTGGAAAGTGTCTCGCACAAAGCAAACTTTCCGCGCAGTGGAGTTAAGCGCCTTTAAATTTGCAACACGGGGGTCGAGCGCGACGGCGGCGACAAAATTTTGAAGTACCGTCAAGCGCGTTAGATATTATAAGGGCACCGCACAGAAATGGCGCTCTGTTGAGAAACTCTTTTTGCCGTGCAAATTGAGCGACCTCAAAGCCGAGGTTGAAAAGTTAGGCCACGTTTTCAAGGGAAAATTACTTCGCGGTCTAGAAATTCGGCCAGGTTGCGAACAGCGCGCCCTTTCTGTCCGGTGCCCCTAGGGGCTATTTTTGCCCCTATAATAACTAGGTTGTACCGTAAACCGCTGCGTAGCGATTCAAAAACCGTTGCGGCGATACAGAAATTAAAATTGTTTTCTTATAAGAAAAAAAGTAGGCTGGTACTTCGCCTTTTCGCAATGTAGAGCAAATGCAGCGATGTCGTGATGGACACCCCGTGTGCCGAGAACACGGTAGGTTAACATTTTCTCCATTTCTCTAACGAAAAAGCCGTTTCAGACGGATTTTTAATAATAAATGAAAAGAAAATAGTATGCAAGCCGTAATGTTTGTGAAATTTGTGAAATTTAAAAGCGCAGAACTTTGGCTCCGTGCGAGACCCGCCGTTCAGAAATGGGTCAAGTCACACACTTCGGCGAATGCATTAGGGTCGCAAAAAGGTGGAAATCCCGCTCCACTGGACTCAGGTCTCCGCTGCTGTGTAAAACTTCGGCCATTTGAAAACCTTCGGCTATCATTTTTGTGTGTTGTTTTTCATTTTCCGTAAGGCGTAAAACCTCGGCCGTTGGCCGAGTCTAGCGGAGCGGGATTGCAACCTTTTTGCGGGGCTAATATATACATGGGGTTGGAGAACATGGCATCGTTATGTTTATGATTTCAAAATAAATCACCTGATGTCGCATTTGAGTTGTCAGTGGTTGATAATAAGTTTGATAATAACTATACTGGGTTGCTGGAAGCATGTTTCCACACGTTGTGGTTCCACAGATGGCGCTCGCACGCCTCTCAGAATAGAGTAGTAGTAACATGAAAAGCATTATGCAAGCACTGTATCGGATAGTGTAATAAATGAGTTTCATCGTTCCGTCACTCCTTTATAGAGGATTACGTAAGCGCAAAAAACTGGTAGGCTTTCTGCCATTCGGCGATGTTTGAAGCTAATCTGAAAATTGCCTGTGGAAATGTCCAAGCCATGTTTCAACCAATCAACTTTATTTTTTCGTAGATTACCGGCACACGGTCTCCAGAGCTGACAATATGGGCGTGGCCTCGGCCAAATGGCGTTTTCATGAATTGAGCAGGTTTTCTCTGATTTTTGTGGTCAAAGGCGATGAAAAACTATTGTTCGACAAAACACACACACACACATACACTAATTCTCAGAATTAATGAAGTTTTGGCGCATTTTTCGCGGATTTCGTTTTTTCGCCTTCGCCGCCGATCGCCGCCTAAAAACCGCACTTCTCATTTTGCGCTTTCTTGACCGTTTTCAGACAGAATTGGTTTTGAGAATGATAAATCACGTAAATACAAGCATTTTGAGCGCTCGAACCGCGAAAACTACCGAAAAACAACTGAAATTCACGCAGTTTTAGCGAAAAACCTTCAAACGGATAAATGTGATTTGCGACTTGACCAAATTTAACGCTCTTGCGCTTAAAAAATTCGTATTAGTCTACAAAATAGGTCTTTCGAGAGACAAATGAAAAATTATCGGTTTTTCGTGGCTAATCTGGCAAAAAACACAAATTTTGCTGTTAAAATTTGAATTTCGCGCCAATGTATCGCTCTATTGGGCGGGGCGCACTTGCGCCCATTCTCAGCTCTGAAGACCGTGAGACGTGACTCACAATTGGTGATGAAACTGCATCGGAAGGCGACCTGGAGCATGGTCTCGAACGCGGGCATGCTCTTCTCTCCTTGCAAATCACTAATCACATATTGCTTCGTTCCCGCCTCGAAATTCTGCTCCAAATACTCACGGAGCGCCGGAATCTCCTTGAAGACCGTCTTGGAGCGCACGTAGAAATCGTGTCCTTGCACGTTCAAATTCAAGTTCGAATCCAGGTAGCGATGATCGAATTGGAACAGTTTGATCACTTTCAGACCCTCCCACTTGTCAAAGGGCCGTCGAGAAGATGCTCGACGCCGCCGGGGAACACCTTCTAAATAAGCAGTCCGTCGAAGAAGATCGACTGATGGTCGTAGTCGAAGCAGACGCGCTCCGAGTGCTCCCAGGTACGGCTGCCCAGATATTGCATGCGGATGAGGACGGTCGCGTCGACGGACCACACAAGATTCGCCGGCTGCACGTTGTTCCACTCGAGCTTGTAGAGCAGACGATGATCCGGTCCCAGTTGGATATTGTAGTTGAACAGACTGTAAAGTGCTACTGTAGCTCGAGAGCGAAACGCGACTCATTTCAACTTCTTCTCGGCAAACGAGAAGTGTGGAGTGATGAGCTCGACGCCAAAGTGTTTCGGCATAAAAGTGCTCTCGAACTTCTCGACGGCCTCAGTCACATCCGGTTCGCCGACGATCCCTCCGACCACCGGCACGCGTTTCAGCCGTTCCCACCGGTTTTCGGTGATCTTGTGGAGGCACGGCGTCTGCCAACCACTCGGCGGCTCCTCCCCGAACTGCTTCAGATCGCTCATCTCGAGCGCCTTCGCCAGAATCGAGCGCAGCGTTTCGGTGGAGAGGAAGCGGTGGTAATGGAGGTGTTTGCAGATTTGACGAAGGCCGACCGTGTTGTCGAGCACGTGTTGCTAAAGAAAAAGTGTTTAGGATACCATAGTACAAGAGACCGAACTCACTCTGAGCAACGGAAGATCATAAAGATCGGCAAAGGCCAACTTCTGGAACCACTCGGACTCTGGCTCGTTCATCAGATAATACTCGCACTTCTTCTTCAGTTGCGGGTAGTCGAAGCGGAACGCCAACGAGAGAACCTCTCCGACCTCGTGCACTGAAAGTCCGACAAAAGCGTTTTTTTTAGGAAGACGCGCCACGGTCTCCAGAGCTGACAATATGGGCGTGGCCTCGGCGGCCAAATGGCGTATTCATGAATTGAGCAGGTTTTCTCTGATTTTTGTCGTCAAAGGCGATGAAAAATGATTGTTCGACATGAAAACACACTAATTCTCAGAATTAATGACGTTTTGGCGCATTTTTCGCAGACTTTGCTTTTTCGCCTTCGCCGCCGATCGCCGCCTAAAAACCGCACTTCTCATTTTGCGCTTTCTTGACCGTTTTCAGACAGAATTGGTTTTGAGAATGATAAATCACGTAAATACAAGCATTTTGAGCGCTCGAACCGCGAAAACTACCGAAAAACAACTGAAATTCACGCAGTTTTAGCGAAAAACCTTCAAACGGATAAATGTGATTTGCGACTTGACCAAATTTAACGCTCTTGCGCTTAAAAAATTCGTATTAGTCTACAAAATAGGTCTTTCTTTCGAGAGACAAATGAGAAATTATCGGTTTTTCGTGGCTAATCTGGCAAAAAACACAAATTTTGCTGTTAAAATTTGAATTTCGCGCCAATGTATCGCTCTATTGGGCGGGGCGCACTTGCGCCCATTGTCAGCTCTGGAGACCGTGGGCAGTGTGTGTTTTCGAAAAAATTTCTCGAGAAATAGCATTTTTCGAGAAATTTCTATTTTTCCATGCACTTTTTAAATGTGAATGTTTGTCATAAATAAAAACACTGGGAAGTGTTACGGGTGGTCTAATTATAAATTTCGAAACGGAAAAATGTACGAGTATTGCAGGCATCCTCAGAGAAAACTGCCGGAGATGAAGGTGTCGTTTATGACGAGCGCAGTCATTGTCATGATGGAGGACGTAACAACGGAATCCGTTGAGGGATCGAAAGTGTTTGCGAAGCCACATTTCGACACGGCGAAGCTCGCTCTGCGGGATTTTAATGTGCCCGGACGTCGACACGTGATCCGCAAGGCGAAACAATATGGAGTCCAGAAGACCGATTGGGATTAAACGATCCCGAAATTTGTATAAGTTCCCATTTGTAAAATAACTAATTAGTTAATACACATTTTTTGTAAGTAACTAACACATTAACATATTGCATGATCGGAAGTATGTGAATAAAGTATTATCCGAATCACGGCCCGGCTTTTCATACATATGACTTTCGGTTTTTTCAATATATCTCCAGAAATCGAACATAGGGACCTCTGATTTTTTGATAAGAGTTCAATTTTACTGGGATCTTCAAAATGAGCCAGGTCAGAGCTAAATGTAAGGTTTCTGAGAGAAGTTACAGCTTCACAATTTCCACTTCTCCGTATGCTTTGCCGGCCCGTGCGAATCCAATAAATACTCTTTCAACTCGGAGTGTCCATCTTTTACGACCATTCCACCGAAAAACGAGCGATGAGCGCAAACTTTCCTTTCAGGAAACGTTTTCAACCATTTATAGCCTATAAAATTATAGGCTTTCCTTCGAGGACGAGAAGTAGTTTGTGTAGAATTGTGCGAAAAGGCGCTTGAACATCGTAACTATCGTAGGACCGGAGCATTTGACCCGTTTTTGGGCAGATTTCGCGGAAAATCCAATGAAGCGTGCTTTTTCAACTAAATTTACATTTTGCCTTCAAAACAAAGGAAATACAACGAGAATTGTTGAATAGAACTTTTGAAAGCAGAAAGAAGGTGTCAAATGACATTGCGGAACTGTTTATAAACGACGCATTCGATAATGCGTTTTTTTCTGAAGATGGATTAATTTTTTATAATTTTTCGATGAAAACGCTCACAAGGCAAAATTCGTCCAAGCCTGGTGCTCAGCCAACTTTCCTCGTTTCATCAGCAGTTCTGAATGGCCAGCGTCGTCACCGGATTTGAACTCTTCTGTATGGGAAGTTCTTCAGTCGAAGGTTCAAGCACATCCACATCCCAATTTGGAGTCATTGAGGAAAAGTTTGGAGGCAGAATGAGCAAAGCTATCTCTAGAATACCTCCGTGCCACAGTAGAGGCATTCCTGACGAGACTCAAGAATGTTGTCAAGAACAAAGGCTACCGCAGCGAACAACTTTAATATTTTCTCGTTTATAGTGGTTTCAATAAATTATAGTTGAATTTTCATGTTGGTTTGAGTATTTTTGCAAAGATTACATCACCTGGAATGTGCTACCATACTTTTGGCGCACCCTGTGTATTGTGTCCAAGTTACAGACCGATCGGACTATCGACTCTGTGTTGAATGCTTGCATTCCCACACCTGCGGTCTTAATTACTGGCGGAGATTAGTGATAAGAATGCCGACAAAGAACTGTGATGGGAAAGTATACCAGGCCCACAACAGGAAAAAGGAAAAGCCAGATGCAGTGGCCACGCCCGGGGCACCGCACAGAAATGGCGCTCTGTTGAGAAACTCTTTTTGCAGTGCAAATTGACCGACCTCGGGGCCGAGTTTGAAAAGTTAGGCCACGTTTTCAGTGGAAAATTACTTCGCGGCCTAGAAATTCTGCCAGATTGCGAACAGCGCGCCCTTTCTGTCTGTCCGGTGCCCCTATAATAGCAAATGTGCAAGAACTGTATTTTATTTTTAACACTGAGGAAGATAGCTAAAGCAACTTAAGTCCACCGGTAACTGAATCGACTTCCTCGACTGTGCCGAAAATGCCGAGAACAGTGCGCGAACCGGCAGGGATTTGAGTGAATCCAGCGTCTTGAACCAAATAGTAAAAGCAGCCGGCATCCTTTGCCGCTTTGCACAGATCCATAAGTTGTTCGGTACTGTGTCCACGCACGACGATTTTCACTTGCCCGTGTCTTGTCCAAGCCGCAACCGCGTTTTGTCCGGCCTCAGAGTTCATTGCTTGACGATAAACTCCGAGGGTAGCATGACCGACCTGGGCAGCAAGCTTGCCTGTTCCCATCTTCAGGCTCAAATTGGCCACTAATACCATTTTATGAGTTCGTCCGACTGAAAAAATGCAAATATTGAAAACGTTATTAATGCGTATGTTTGTTTTTCGTTTTTTTTTTACATCGCTGAGTTGGATTTTTTGACGTAAAAAAAAACGAAAAAAAAAACGGAAAACAATCATTTTTTTTCACAGCCTGAATAACCCCATAAAACATGAGCATACATATCGGTTGGGCTGCACCCATTTCCGTTTCTGCCTCGGTTTCACTGCTACTCGAATCTTCGTCGAAATCACTTTCGTTTGAACGTTCAACAATCCACGCGACGGCCTGAAATTAACTTTTTACAGCGAGTAACTTTTTGGGTTAGAGTGGATAGAGCTATAGAAGCTAATTTTAAACATGATTTGTTTCAAAAATTGAAAAAATGAACAGAAATTTTCTGCTAGAAAAATCGGGAAAATTATCTGTGCTTTTCGGGTTAATTCGTCAATTATTTTTTGCAATTTTCTCCCGTCCTTTAAGATTACCTGTTCTACTCCTGCGTTGTTTGTTCGTTTGAGAGACAGACCGGCGGTGAATTCGTCGAAGCCCAGATCAAGTAGGTGTGCAAGAAACTCGCTGTTCACTTCGTTAGGCTCTTGTGGATCCACCGTATGCTTTGCACTAGTTGTTAGTGCTGTGTGTTGATAACGAGGTGATCCAGATGTAGCCTCAGGATCAGACAGAGCCTGACTGGAAAGAGAGACTGCAGATGACGGGGCTGTAACCTTAAAAAAAGAGACGGCTTCGACTTTTGAAAATTCAGAATACCTCTGAAATATCGTTACTGAACGGATCACTGACACAGGGCAAGCTCAAGTTGGGACGGTCCGAAAAGGAGGGCGTGTTATCCACAGTTACCGAGGACGGAGTCGGAGAGCCTGGAAGGACTGCAATTCGTAGGAGAAAATTTTCGCTATGCCACAGATTTCCCGGGCCTGGTGTCGAATTTTACTCGGCAGGGCAAACAATTTACCTCGTTCAGCTCTGATCGAAGCGTTGTCGGGTTCTGGCGGATTTTCAATACCAAGATCTGGACGATGGCCAGTTGTGGTACGAAGCTGCTCAATGGAGTCAATGTCAGGAATTTGTTCAGACATTCGTTTTCAGCTGTCTCAGTTCCTTATTTTTATCTTGTTGTCGTTTTCTAGAATTAAAAAATATTTTTAAATGTTTATCTTTTGTATTTTTTGCATAGGTGCGGGATGTTTGAGAAACGCCAAAAAATTTGGTGGTCGGATTGAAATTTCCGAACCAGCGGCAACCATAAGACCTACCCCCGTGAAAAAGGTAAAAAAATTTTTCAAAATTTTTTATCCAAGCTTCGTTTTATTGTATTTCGCCTGTCCCGAACTGCCGGCGTTCAACTCAAAACACCTATGCTTTTTGTTATTTTATACGAGCGCTTTATCGTTTACCGTCAAAAATACACAACTCAGGTAAATCGATTGCGATTTAATTAGAACTCATTCACATCTGATAATAACACAGTAACCGTGAAACATCCTTCGATTACTCAGGCAAATCGTTTCTAATCTAGCTAGGTAATTATTGCTTCTAACCGGACCTATTATAGGGGCACCGCACAGAAATGGCGCTCTGTTGAGAAACTCTTTTTGCACTGCAAATTGAGCAACCTCGGGGCCGAGTTTGAAAAGTTAGGCCACGTTTTCAGTGGAAAATTACTTCGCGGCCTAGAAATTCGGCTAGATTGCGAACAGCGCGCCCTTTCTGTCCGATGCCCCTATAATATAATACTTACATTGCTAATTTACTGCGCAGTTTCTAATCTTTTACTACTGCGATTAAATTTTTTTTTCTTCTAACAAGACTGATAAATTTTCTAATTAGATTACAAAAACACTGATATTAGATTCAGAATTCATCGAATTAGATTAACATTTCGGTCAAATCTAGCTAGATTTAGTTTAGATTCCGTGTTCATCTAGTTCGGAACTCTGTTTAGAATACGAAATCTCTTAAGTAGATTACAAACGATTTGCCCGAGTAGATTCGTAAACTAGATGTAAAATTTGATCAAATATCATAATTAGATGCTGATATTTCCTAATTATATTCAAAATTAGCCGTTTCTGATATGGGAATCTAATTGCAATCAGATTCGAATGAGTTCTAATTAAATCGCAATCCATTTACCAGAGAAATTGAGAATTTGAACTTTCTATCAAAAAATCTGATCGCCGGCACAGAATCTGGCTTACTTGATAAGATTATATTCCGTCAAATCTTCAGTATCTCTCGGACCACGGATATTATCCCAGTTGTCTGTGTCTAGTTCAGCGATCTCCTGTAAAGCAAAAAGTGTCTGCTCAGGCAAATCGTTTCTAATCTAACTAGCTAATTCACGTTTCTAACCGGACCTAGTTAGATTGCTACAGATTTCTGAATCTAGCTAGCTGATTTTGCAATCTAAACATAATCTATCTAGGTTTGCCTGAAATTTTAATCTAATTAGATAAATTTTGAATCTAATATCAGTGTTTTTGCAATCTAATTAGAACATTTATCAGTCCAGTTAGAAGAGTTTGCAATCTAATCGCAGTAAATTAGCGGACCGGTTAGAAACGCGAATTAGCTAGCTAGATTACAAACGATTTACCTGAGTGAGAAGTGGAGGATACACGGTGAACTTACCTTATAAACACTATCTAGAGTAACTCCTTGGCGTAGCCGGACTCCGCTTTTCACAAGATCACTTCTCTGAAAAATTATACTCTTATTAATCGGTAAAAGTACGCAACTTTTACGAAATTTCATGAAAGAGCGGCATTTCACCGAATATAAAAAATATACACAAAATAATACTGAATTTAATTAATGAAATTGCACTAACCAAAATCTCGAGATTTTCCTCTTCTTGTTTGATTTGGCGAAAATCAAATCGTACTTGTTGGAAAAAGTGCAAGCCGTACGCACTACCGAAGACTATCGCGAAAAATGGAAGTCCAACACGAACTAACTTCAAGCGGCTCATCCAAGTTTGAAAACTCAGACGACTGAAATCTTGAAAGCTCGAAAAATGCGGAAAAGCGATGTGGAAATCGTCAAAGTTTGTTGCTAAACAACGTGCCACGTAAAGACGGAGTGTCGTTGGAATTTGCATAGTTGAGCTGGGGGCTACCCTGAACCAGAACTGTCCCAAATCAGAACCCGTCACTACACGACTTTTTGTAATGAAAACCACCTGCAGATAGGTTCTGATTTGGGACAGTTCTAATTCGAACAGTTGTGTTTCAAGGTAGCCTCTAGAGTTCATTTAGCACGAAAAAAAAGAAAGAGGTTTTTGTTGTGCGAAAAAAACATTAAAATTATGAGAGAACACTGTTCTCCCCAACAGCTAATGCTAAATTGAGCGCCGCATTAAAACGGAGTGTCGTTGAAAACAAAAGCAGGTCTGAAATTTCTGGATTTTTTTCCGAAAACCCGAAATTTTATACGAAAATCAGAAAAATGAAGTAAAACAGAGAATTTCAGGATTGTTAATGACAGCTGTGACCTTAAATTAGCGTGTTGCCCACAAGAAAGAGCGCATTATTACACTTTTCTGTGAATTTCAGTCCGGATCCTCAAAAACTGAAATTTCTCAGTCATTTTTGCATTTTCTGGGCCGTCTCTGTGCTCAAAATGACCGCCTTTGTCTGCTGAACAATCGTGAGGCAACTGTTTTTTTGATTCTGTCAGCTGTTTTCTCAAAACTTCCGAAAGTTCGTTTTTTCAAGCCAAATTTAAAAAACGAAATTACTCTTCGAATTTTCACTTTTACACGAGCACTCTGTGATCATTTTGTAGCTATCGGTCATATGAACAAACGTGAGCCAAAAGTTTTGAAGGAAAACTGTGCATAATCCAAAAAACTCAGGAAAACATCATTTTCAGTTGAAAAACCGTTTCCCTTAAATCGACACTGAGAGCCGCACGCAAAAAAGCGCGCAAAAATTTTTTTCGCCGAAAGGGAGACAGTGGAGAAAGGTATTTTTTCCAGTATTTTTTTCAGAATCCTGTTCGTTGTGAGATCTGACATCATAAATACGGCATTCGCCTCTTAAAAAATCAACTTTTGTGACAGTAGAATCAGTGTGCCTTACCGAAATTTTTTTTACCGAAAGAAGTGAATTTCGATAAATTTTCGGTAAATTTTCGGTAAATTGTTTCGAAAATTTACCGAAAGAGTTTCGGTAAAAACTGTTTTTACCGAAAGAGTTTCGGTAAATTTTCGGTAAAAACGTTTTTACCGAAAGAGTTTCGGTAAATTTACCGGTAAATTTACCGGTAAATCGTTCCTTTCGACAATTACCAAAAAGAACAATTTTGAGAGCGGAGAAAAAAATGTTAAAACATGTTTTTTTGTTTTCAATTTTTATAATTTTTCAATAATTTTTTTTTGTTTTTTTAAATTTTTTTAATTTTTTTATAATTTTTTTGTTTCTTTTTTTAAATTTTTTTAATTTTTTAAATTTTTTTAAATTTTAAATTTTTTTATAATGCTATGCAACGAGTTTCGCATTTAATGTGTCCCCAAAGTTCCTCATTCGAAAAATAAACTGATCGTTAAAAAGAAAAACAGAAAAAAATTGAGGCGCCGAGCGGTGCCGTCGATACCGAAAAAGGCGCGGCACCGGCGTTCTTTTTTTGACAAGGGAAGTGACTGATGTGACTAATTTAGAACATTCTGAACAACATCCCAAACATCAGGAACACGCTGAACAGTCGCCTCAATGTTCCGTTCTCAAAATTGAAAAATTGTTTCGAAAAAAAGTACCCATTTACCGATAAAATTTACCGAAACTTTTACCGATAAAATTTACCGAAACTTTTACCGAAATAGTTTCGGTAAATTTACCGGTAAATTTATCGGTAAATTTTCGGTAAATTTTCGGTAAATTGTTTCAAAAATTTACCGAAACTCTTTCGGTAAAAAAAAGTTTTACCGAAAATTTACCGACAATTTACCGAAATTTTTACCGGTAAATTTACCGGTAAATTTACCGAAACCCTTTCGGTAAGGCACACTGAGTAGAATCTATTATAGGGGCACCACACAGAAATGGCGCTCTGTTGAGAAACTCCTTTTGCAGTGCAAATACACGGCCTCCGACACGAGAAAAGCGCAAGCAATTACGCGTTTTCTCTGCGTCGCCGGCAGCATCCTCTGTCTCGCACTCTCTCGCCCTGTCGCTCGAGAAGCGTCGCTCGAGAAGCGAAATGAGAGCTGGCGTGGCGCTCGGAACGCTGCCGGAGAAGTGCTCATTCATCTTTCCGTTTTTCTTCATGAACATGTTTATCATGACCAAAACTTGCAAAGAGCAACAAAAAATTGTTTAAAAAATGTCGGCGTCACTACGAAATCAGCACTTTTCGTGTGTGTGATCATCTTCCGTTATCTCGTGATGAAAATGTTGCCTGAGGGTTTCTTATTGTCACATAATCAAAATTTTACCGAAATGAATCGTGCCGGAAACATTGGGAGCATCGATTTCACACTTCGGTGGCCAACGATGTGCCATTGGAGACTTCAGATCGTGCCGTCGGAGAAAAACTGATTCATCTTACTCGTTTTCTTTGAGAATATGTTCAGTATGATTAGTACTTCCTAGCAGCAACAAAAAATTCACAAAAATATTCTGGAGTGTCCACGGAGACCACATCTGAAAGTGCTACAGTTTTCTGCTGACTTCAGATGCATGCCGTCGGAGGAATACTGATTCATCTTACTCGTTTTCTTCGAAAATGTGGTTATTATCAGACTTGCCAAATCCCGGGCCGGCCCGGCCCGGTCGGCCCGGAAGTTAGACCTCAAAAAAAATATGCAAAAAAAATATGAAGGAAGAGGAAAACGCGTGCGGCAAAATTGCTAAAATGGCGTGCCAGAGTTGCAATCAATCGCTCCGCCCACTATTGAGAAAATTTTTGTAATTTTTGTGAAAATTTTGCGACTTTAAACAGCAATTTCTATTTTTTAACAGGTTTTTATGCTATAACATTGCCTTTTTCGTCTTTTTTTCTATTTCTGCTGGTTTTTACAATAAAATTATGTTCATTTCGAAGTTCTAGTTCGCTTTGAATTTTTAGGTGCATCCTCCCGGGCTGGGCCGGGCCGGAAAATGTCCAATTTTGGCCCGGCCCGGCCCGGCCCGGCCCGTTGCAAGTCTGGTTATTATGATATAAACTCTTAAAGAGCAAATGGAAGAGCTCCACGGAGTAGTGAAAAAAGAGGACTACAAAAACGTCGATGGAGTGGACCATCGTCGTTTTCAGAACCGTGCTGTTGGAGGAGGGAAAACTTTTTTAACTGATTTCAGCTGTAAACTGTTGTTTACACTTCATCGAAACAAAGAGCAATGAATAATCGCAATTTTTCTTATTCTCGAGCTGTGAATTCCGAAATTGTGAGCACGACGTATTCTGGTGAACAAGTTAGTCAGAATCCGCCAGTTCCTCACATTTTTTGATAGGAAATGTTCACATACGGGTAAAACTTCGAATTAAACAATAGTCGAGTGAGAATGAATGTTGCCGCCGTCGGTGAGTCCGTGAGAGTCGGATCTGTCGTAATCTTGGCTCAAGTCGGCGTGCTTCAAACCGCCATATCTCGCTTCAAACTCATCCAATCTACTCGTTCGAAGTCGCAAAAGAAAGCTCATGAAATTTAAAAACTTTTGTGCGTGTGAAATTTTAAAAAGTGGTTTCTAGCTCACGTTATCCTGCAAAAACCTCACAAAAGGCCACTTTTTCCACTGAAAACTTCAAAGGGATGCATCTGCCTTCAAACTGCATCAATTTACTTGCATAAAGAGCAAAACGTAGGCCTCACTAATGTCTACAACTTGCCAGAATCAGATTTTCAAAAAAAAATTTCCTGATTTTTGAAGTGACTGCAAAGTTTTCCTTTCGTGGTTTGTTATGCCGCGTCCAAAGCCTCGGAAAAACCGTAAAAACCGCAGGTTTTTCTGTCCAAAGTCGGCCGAAATTTGCGTGAAAGACGGGGGTGCGCACAGCTCAATGAATGTAACCGTACCCCTAAAACTACGGTATTTTTTGAAAATTTGTTAATTTCTTGAGGATATTTGAAAATATTCAAATTTAATAGACATGTCTTACAATAATAACACATTTATTCTCTTCAGCCACCTAGGAATAAAATTACAACAAAAAAGAAAGAAGAGAAAAAAAGAGGGGGAATGTGGGTGGGGGAAGGAACAATGGCTTGACATGACCATTGGCCGGCAGTAGATCTTATACTCAAATTTTGGTAAAACTGGCTCTTTTCAACACACAGGAACTTTTTTGATTGGCTAATAAAAAACAAGATTACTCATTTTTCACTTTGTTTGTTCAGATTTTTCGAGATTTTATTTTTTGTGTTAACCATGCCGCCGACAACTTTTTCGTGTTGAACAAGAAATGTTTGATGGATAATGCAAGCGCGCTCTACGGTCACGCGTTAGAGATGAGAGACGGCTGAGTATGCGCGTTTCGCGATCCGGCTGGCACATTTCTCGTGCCGGAGGCCGTGAAATTGAGCGATCTCGGGGCCGAGTTTGAAAAGTTAGGCCACGTTTTCAGTGGAAAATTACTTCGCGGCCTAGAAATTCTGCCAGATTGCGAGCAGCGCGCCCTTTCCGTCCGGTGCCCCTATAATACTCTACTGAGTAGATTGTGGGACTATTCAATTGATGTGTTCAAATTAGATATATTGCAACAAGAGTTTTGAAACCACAGACAAACAGAGAAATAAACAAGCAAAGACAGAGGGACAAACCCGTGAAGAGTTATATTAATAAGAATGATTCAGTGTCCTAAAATAAGAGATGCTCGTTCCCGCTTTTTTTTGGGTTTTCCGCTATTTTGTCACAAAAATGTATCCGAAAAAGATTACACTGCTAAGATTTTTTTAGGGCACGGTCACAATTTTGATTCTAGCAGGTCGTGAAAAACAACGAGCCAGAGCAACTTTGAGCGTTATTTTACTTTTTAGACTTATAAAAACAGCAAATTGCGTTTACTTTGACACAGCACAAACAGTTCGTCTTTCCGATTTCCATAAAATTTCGGAAAATTTGTCAAAAATGATGATAACGATTCTCCGAAGTTACACAGGCACATTTTTTTACTCTCCGTTTTCAAAAAATGTTTCTTTCGAACTTCTTTGAAAGTGGCGAAAATTTTTTCCTTACATGCTCCCTAGTGATAGGTTTATGAATCCTTACTGAATGTTTCGAATCCACTACTGAATATTTCGAATCATCTCTCACTCCAAACAAAGTCGAATTACACGGTAATGTAATGTAAGCGGCAGCAAATTTATGTTAATCGCTTCACATTGATTGATACTTCCACACTGAATTCCTCTGCACTTTCCATTATTACTGAAAATGAATGGTATGTTTACTTAATACTTGCTGAGAAAATGAAGAGTAAATTCGATTTTTAAGTGAGTTTGAATCTCTCCAAAAATGCACGTCAGATTCGAAGCGAGATTAATGAAGTGAAACGGCCATCGAAAATTTCCAAACTTCTCGAGCTTACTGTATCGAAACTATTGTACAAATGCAAATCCGGTACAATAACTATAGAGGATTTGCCAGAATTGGAGGATAAGAAACAGTCTCAGAAAGTTATGAGTGGCTACAAATGGAGTATGCTCAGGCCGAGATTTGAATTTTTCATTAATAATTGCAGAACGTAGAGTAATGTTTTCTATTCTTCTCAAGTTCTGGAAATCATTTGCGTGTGCATTCACATTCAGAGTCCTCGCAATTTTCTCTGATTATGCTTCTATGCTTCTTTTGAAGTACCTCATAGATTCGGCTGAAATCAAAGCGTCTCTTTTCAACTTTTTCGTTATATCCGTTCTGATTTTGTTTTTCATGCAACTCAAGTCTATACTCCTAGGTTTGAAGAAATATTACTTTCGAAATGAAAAATGTACGGTTGCTACAGGTGTTCACACTTATTTAGTCGGAGAAGACAGTGCTTTAATGATCACCGTGCTGAATAATATAATAGTGAAAAAGGTTGGACTTATTTCTCTGTCATCACGCTCTATTCCTAATATGGCCGAACTTTTTCGTTTTCCTTAAAACTCGGCCACAAGATAATTGCAGTTTGGAGTCCGTGACAAAAGGTCGGAAACCCAAAAAGGTAGGAAGACAAATGGTCGAAAAAAAGTGACAAAAGGTTGGAAAAAAAATGCCAAAAGATCGGAAAAAAATGACAAAAGGTCGGAAAAAAATGACAAAAGGTCGGAAAAAAATGGCAAAAGATCGGAAAAAAATGACAAAAGGTCGGGAAAAAGTGACAAAATGTCGGAAAAATGCCAAAATGTCGGAAAAATGCCAAAAGGTCGGAAAAAAATTACAAAAAGTCAGAAAACAGGTATTTTAGCAGTTTTTCCGACTTTTTGTCACTTTTTTCCGACCATTTGTCATTTTTTTCCGATCTTTTGGCATTTTTTTTCCAACCTTTTGGCATTTTTTTCCGACCTTTTGTCACTTTTTTCCGACCTTTTGTCACTTTTTTCCGACCTTTTGGCTTTCCGACCTTTTGTCCTCCGACCTTTTTGGTTTTCCGACCGTTTGTCACGGACTCGCAGTTTGTACTGCAAACTCAGCGATTTGAAGTGAGGAAACAGCGGCGAAAGAGGCGTTTTGAGGAAACCGCGGATGACCGCTGTTTCGCCAAGCTCAAATCGTGGCGAGACCACAGCCGCGGTGCTTTTGTCGAAATGGCGGAGGAACGCCGTTTCAACGGAAAACCTCAGGCAAATCGTTTCTAAACTAACTAGATAAATTTTGAATCTAATATCAGTGTTTTTGCAATCTAATTAGCTTCGCCAATCTAATTAGAAAATTTATCAGTCCAGTTAGAAGAATTTGCAATCTAATCGCAGCAAATTAGCAATCTAATTAGGTCCGGTTAGAAACGCGAATTAGCTAGCTAGATTACAAAATATTTCCCTGAGACAACGCAGTGTTCTGGGTGCTGCCCCGAATGGGAACTGCCCGAATCAGAACTGCTACGAATCAGAACTGCGCCCGTATCAGAACGCGCCCGAATAAGAACTGCCCGAATCAGAACTGGTACAAATCAGAACCGGTATGAATGCGAACTGCCCGAATGAGAACTCTTCAAGCTAGAACTGCTACTAATCAGAACTGATCAAATTAATACCACCCTGACAATATTAATTTCAAAAACACCGAAAATGAATAGGAATGTTTCTAATCCAGGATCTCTGCTTTTTTCTGCTACTATTTTTTTTGTATTTCTCTTTCTTCCTCTTCTTCTGTCTATCTTACATTCTCTCTTTCTTTTTTCTCGCAATTTTGTGCATGGTTTCAACAAGTTCTACTTTTTACGAGTAGTTGCGCAAAAGTTTCTCGTTGTAATGGGGTTATTCAGGCTGTGAAAAAAATGATTTTGTTTTCCGATTTTTTTCGTTTTTTTTACATCAAAAAAAAAACGAAAAAAACGAAAAACAAACATACGCTGAATAAGCAATTTTTGAGCAACGCGTAACCAAAAAGTTCAATCACTTTCTAAGATTTTATCCCGTTCTCTTTTTTCTGCTTATTCACAATCTTTTTTCTGTTTCACACTTGTTTTCGTTACCAACGAACTGTTTCATTTTAATGTCTATTATAGGGGCACCGCACAGAAATGGCGCTCTGTCGAGAAACTCTTTTTGCAGTGCAAATTGAGCGATCTCGGGGCCGAGTTTGAAAATTTAGGCCACGTTTTCAGTGGAAAATTACTTCGCGGCCTAGAAATTCTGCCAGACTGCGAACAGCACGCCCTTTCTGTCCGGTGCCCCTATAATAGCTGTATCTAAAATACCTACACTACGCTTAAGTACAAAGGAAACACTTTTTTCTACGCTTTCATGTTCTGATTTATTATAGGGGCACCGCACAGAAATGGCGCTCTGTTGAGAAACTCTTTTTGCAGTGCAAATTGAGCGACCTCGGGGCCGAGTTTTAAAAGTTAGGCCACGTTTTCAGTGGAAAATTACTTCGCGGCCTAGAAATTCGGACAGATTGCGAACAGCGCGCCCTTTCTGTCCGATGCCCCTATAATAGGAAGTATTTCCATAAGGAGTTCTGATTCGGGCAGTTCGCATTCATACCAGTTCAGATTCGGGCAGTTCTAATTTGGAGAAGTTCTGATACGGGCGCAGTTCTGATTCGTGGCAGTTCTGATTCGGGCAGTTCCCATTTGGGGCAGTACCGTGTTCTGGCGGAGTTCTGGCGAAACAGCGGCGGCACTGTGGCGAAACACGGTTGTAAGTGTGTTCGACACGCTTTCCGCCGCTGCTTCCTCACTTCAAATCGCTGAGAAAACAATTTCTCAACAGAGCGCGATTGCAGCCGTCACGATAGTTCAACCAGTTGCATTTAATTTTCTAAATTTTAGGCTCTCCATGTGACCACTGAAAAAAAAGAATGGAATAGAACAAAAGTCAAAAAACTTCTAACGACGCATTCGGAAGCCGTATCGAACGCTCTGATTTATGTTCATCATTCGTGTTCGGCATTGATTGAAGTACTTACTACTACGCAAAAACTTTCTCCAAAATACTTTATTTACAGCTGGTCATTGTGATTTTTTGGATTTGGGAAACACTCGGGACTCATACAATTATTGTAGTGCTCATTATTCCATTTGTATATATAACATTCAACATTATTGACTCTTACATTTATAAAAAAAGCATGGTAGGCGATGAAGCCCCTATGCGCAAGCGATTTCTCAATAGAGCCCGTTTGCATCATCTAGCGACTCGGAATTTATTTTCTGCTCTGAAAATGGTTATTTCTCAAGCCCCAACCTTCCAATTCAGTTGACGCGTTCTGCGTGAGAAAAGTTTGTGCTGCGTCTTGTGTATAATAGCATTCTCGAGGCTCTGAGCGAGCGAAATTTCAAAAGTTATCAAGAAAACGTTTTAAAAAAACTCTTTTTCAGCTCAAAACAATCGCGGTCCGCTGATTGGTGCAAACGAGCTCCATTGAGAAACTGTTTGCACATTGGAAGCGGGGGCTCCGTGGGCAATATAATTGACTTTGAATTCATGAATAAACAAAACTTTTGAAACCTGGGCCCGCTGCGCGGTTCGAGCTGACGCTCGGGTGCCACTTCGCCGCGCAGCGGGCCCCCGCTCAAAGTCTTGTTTATTAATAAGAATGATGTTATATTAATAATAATTATGTTCTTTGAGAAAGTTCAATTAAAATGCCGTGACCAGCGAGTGGAGTTTGAGAAGACAGTGCTCAAATCCATGGAGACTATCAAACTTTTTTCTTGGGAATCACATTTTATGAACAAATTGAATCATTTACGAGCCAAAGAGGTAAGTGGCTACAAGGCGAAAATTTTCGAACATGCGCTCTGGCGAACTAGCTTGGCACAGAACTAACAGCGTGCTTCGGTAGAAAAAATTTGCATCTTTAGAGGATCACGGCCCGCGGGCGCCCGGGCGCTCGGCTTTTCATACATAGGACTTTCGTTTTTTTCAATATATCTCCAGAAATCGAACATAGGAACCTCTGATTTTTTGATAAGAGTTCAATTTTACTGGGTTCTTCAAAATGAGCCAGGTCAGAGGTAAATGTAAGGTTTCTGAGAGAAGTTACAGCTTCACAATTTCCACTCCTCCGTATGCTTTGCCGGCCCGTGAGGATATACTGGGAAGTCATGCACTCACAGTCACGTAAAAATTCACAGCTCCGTATCGCAAAGCTCTTAAAGCACTAAAAACATCGCTACGCAGTTAAATAGGATGTTTTTTCGGCGGGAAGTTCAAATAGGTTTCGCATGTTCGCACTGACACACCGTGGGTTACGGTATTATGGCAGGTGCTCGAAAGCAAGAAGAAGAATCTAATATCAGTGTTTTTGCAATCTAATTAGCTTCGCCAATCTAATTAGAAAATTTATCAATCCAGTTAGAAGAATTTGAAATCTAATCGCAGTAAATTAGCAATCTAATTAGGTCCGGTTAGAAACGCGAATTAGCTAGCTAGATTACAAACGATTTACCTGAGGCGGCCTAGTTAAAAAAATTTAGAGAAGTTCGGCCATTTTTTCAGTTAAAAAAAACCAAAATTATATCGCCGCGAAAAAACTCCGCAAAATTAGGAACAGAGCGCGATTGCATAGAAATGACCCCACAATATTTACAGCTTTCTATTTTTGGGAAAACGTCTTCAATAAACACTTTCATGCATTCCCTGAACGTTACTTTTCCTTTTGTGGCAGGTTCAATGAAAAATGAAATTCTTCACAGTCAACTTCAGATAACATTCGTTAGTTTCGCAGTTTACGGTCTACAATACAACATAAGTGAACTTCGATTTGAAGACGCTTTCGTACTTATTGCGGTGTTCAATTACACGAGAAGACCTTTACACTTGATTATTCCATCACTGGAAGTGTTCAACAAAGTGAGAAACGGGTATTTGAGAAGCCAAGAATTAAAAACTTTGAGAATGCAATTTTTGAGTTAGCAATTTAATTAGAACTCATTCACATCTAATATTGCAATATTGTCTGATAATGTCAAATAATGTCTAAGACTGTCAAATAATGTCATGACAGTTAGATTTACAAATAAACTCAGGAAAAAAAGCACCAGCGTCGTTCTCTTTTTTGGTGAAGGCGTCGTCGGCGTTTGTGCCGAAAAGACGCCGATGCCGACGTCTTTTTTTCCAGAGTGATTAGATGTAAAAATTAATCTGATTGCAATTAGATTCGACTGAGTTCTAATTAAATTGCAGTCAATTTACTAGAGATCGTTGAAAGATGCATTTTGACAGATTTAGTTTGCCAAAATTCTGTTTTTACGTAAACGGAATGTGATTACTGAGTCAATTACATGCCGTTTAAAAAATGTTCATTTCCAATTCAATAATACCACCAGGCGTTCCACTCGACAACACGGATAAATCAATTCCTAATTGCGAAGGAATCTCCAAAGTCGGACACGAAATCACTTCCACAAGCACCGACAGATACTCAAGTTGACGTTAGAATTGATGCAGGCAATTTCGCATGGAACGGAATCGATGATACATTGAAAAATGTGTCTTTGCTCATAAAAAAAGGGGAGAAACACGCGTTTATCGGATTTCCATTGTGCGGAAAATCATCCCTTTTGTTCTCCATTGCGGGAGAATTAAAACGTACTAAAGGGAAGTTCGTTGTCTCGAAACGGATCTCGTTTGCTCCCGCCAACCCGTACATCTTCTCACAAACTCTTAAAGAGAATATTCTTTTCGGAAACGATTATATCAAAACGAAATACGATAAGGTGAAGCTCAATTTTGATAGAAAACAAGTTAAATGAAACTAAATTGAAGGTAGTGACGGCGTGCGACCTGAAAAAAGATATATTTGCATTGCCGAGATGTGATGCCACAATGTTAGGCGATAAGGTTTCTTTTCCTGCCTGAAAATATTGGGAGTTTTGACCCACTTACAGTAATCCGACCATGGCTAAACTTTTCAGGATTCTTGGACTTGGATTGTTTCAGAGTACCTGGGCCCGAGATATGTGGATCAGAGGCCGAAATTTTGCCTCAATTTTTGCAAAAGCCTTTTTGGCCTCAAATCACGTTATCTTGGGACCAGATAATCCCAAAACACATGAATCCAAGTCCAAGAAACCTGCAACGTTTGGGCCCGATCGAATTATTACAAGTGGGGCAAAAGTCTGTGAGAAATGCAAAATTTCTTCAGGGATTTCCATTGTCTCCAACTCAACAAGCTCAAATATCATTAGCTAGATGTCTTTATGATGTATGTGCCGTGCCACGTTTACAAGTTACACCCTCGATTAGTATGTTTTTAGGATGCTGATATCTACGCGTTGGACAAAGCATTTGCACTGATGGATAGTTCTACGTTAAACAAAGTATTTCAAAGAGTAAGTCTTTTCGCAGTGCAAACTGCATTGACCTCGGCGCCGAGTTTGAAGAAAAATTAAAAAGTTCGGTTATATTTCCACAACTAAACTCGGCCACCGATTCGCAACAGAGCGAGATTGCAGAAGAGAAATGACAACATAATATTTATCATCAATTTAAATTTCAGGTTATGAGTGAAGACGGATATTTGTCTGGGAAAACAGCAATTCTTGCCACAAATAACGTTGAGCTGACAAAATCGTTCTCAACCATTCACATTCTGAATGAGGGAACCATTGAGATGAGTGGAAGTTACGAACATTTACTTGGATCGAGTAAAATAATGAAGAGACTTTTTGAGCAAAGCCAAATAGAAAAGATTTTGGAGGAAAAGTACTCTGATGGTACAGTTTCTAGTCGTTTATCAAACAAAATATACAATTTAAGAAAAACCTATAAGAAAAACAGTAGCATTCAATGTAGAAAAGCTAAGGAAGAGTAAGAAGAAGTCGATGGAATCGGATCGCAGATCTCCGATCGTTGAAAACAGAAGCATTTATTATTTCTACCTCCGCAGTGGATCATTCGTGTTTTCGGCGCTCTACGTGGTTCTTCTCATCTGTCGTTTCGTCTTCCAATCACTAGCCTTTTTTTGGCTATCTTTTTGGCTTGACCCATTATGGAGAAAAGAGGAATGTGAAAACTGTCCGCAATTCGTCTTCATACAAACATTGTCATTTTTCGGTGTTTCTGCAAGTGAGTGGTGAATCGTTTGCAATATAACTAGAAACCGTTCGAATCTAATTTCACGCTTATGGGGTTATTCAGGCTGTGAAAAAATGATTTTTTTCCGTTTTTTTTACGTCAAAAAATCCAATTCAGCGATGTAAAAAAACGAAAAAAACGGAAAACAAACATACGCTGAATAGCCCCATTACTCGGTCATGAAATTATTAGACATTATTCGACATTATTAGATATTACACGGAACCCCACTGGGGTTACCCCAGCCTTCCAATCCTCGAGCGCACGGTCTCCCAGGGCGCAAATGCTAAACACAGTGCGCTCGTAAATTGCGGAGTGTCGTTGTAACTTTTGAAAATTTGCAGGTCTGAAAATGCAGTTCAATTCGAGTTTACGACCTTCATTTCTTTCTTTTTGACTTGTAAAACGTCTAGAAAACAATATTTTACTGATTGGAAACCGTTCTTTACAGAATTTAGAGCTTTTCATGTTTTTAGCGTCTTTTTCGCAATTCGTCAAAACTTCAAACCTTTATATTTTCAGCTCATTTTGGATTTCATAAGCCCAACGAACAATAAAAATGTTCGCTGAATCTTTCTTTACAAAATTCAGGTTTCGGCGGTTGGTTTTCTTGAGCAGTTTTCAAAAACTATTCGAAAAACATCAAAATCCAGGCCAAAACCTTCAAATCGAAATAACTCGGCTATTTCTCAACGATATGCGAGATTACTGTTACCAAAATGTAGCTAGTGCTCTAACTATTCGAATCCAGGTTCTAGGCGTACAAAAAATCAGTGTATTGTGCAGAAAACATGGAAAGAACGCGAACTCCCGTTGAAAATTAATTATTCGGCCGCCGCGTAAATCGACACAGCCCGCCTGTTGCAAGTGCGCCCCATTGAAATCATTCGCGCCCTGGGAGACCGTGGAGCGAGTTGACGCATTTCGCGTGCAAAACTTTTCATTTTAAAATTGTGAGTCTAAAACGGCGTAACAAATTTCTGGATTTCTGCTCTGAAAAAGCATAATGCCAGTGAACTTCGATAAGAAAATAGTTTTTCATTCCTCCAGACTTCATAAATTATAATAAAATAAAAAAATATTAAAAAATACATTTATAGACATTTATAGACATTAGGCATCATTCTGATTTAATAAAAAGCTTACGGGGTCTGTCTGTTTCTTTCTTTCTTTCTTTCTTTCTCTGTTTGTCCAGCCATTTTTTCATTTCTAAAACGGAAATATTTGTGACGAAAAAATTCAGAAATGAACACATGAACATTCAAACAGTTATGACAAAGAAACAAGCGTAGAATTTTTGGGGTAACCTCAAATCAAAACGCTCCCAATTCCAAACTATGACTGTCCATAACCAGTGTTATCTATAGTCTTAATTGGTTCTGATTCGGGGAAGTTCTAAATTAGTGCAGCTCATCCTGATTCCAAAACAACTCTTTCTTTTCAGTATTCTCCACAATGCTGTCTTATGCATTTTTTGTTTTAACTAATGTTCAAGCTTCAAAAACACTATATCATCATATATCCAACTCGGTTTTCACTGTTCCCATCTCGTTTCTCACTCAAAAAAATACAGAGGGTCTAGTACAGTTGTTCACATCGGTATGATCATCATTGCGCTGTGTTATTTTTTCGTTTAAATTAATTCAGTTTTTCAGGATATTGATATTGCTGATAGCCAGTTCCCAATGTTTTTCAAGTTTTCATTCGAAAGCTCTTTACATATCGTCATGATTTTCGCAATTGTCTGTGTTAATGTCCCATTTTTCGTCATTTTCGTGCTCGCTTTCTTAATATTCATTGTTGGACTCCTCAAATTTTACTTTCCCGCATTCCACAAAATTTTCCAATTGGAAGAGCAGAAAAGAGAACAGTTCTTATGCGGATCCACGGAATATTTCGAAGCTAGACTTTTGGTTAGAATCTTCGGAAAGGTATGTCGCTAATTCTGGAAGGCGCCCAGTTAACTGAGGTTCAGTCTCGTCAAGCGCTTGCCAAGTCGAGTGGCCAAGCCGATATTCTGACCCAATGCCGAGTGGCCAAGTCATCGACGTTACGATGGTTGTCCCTGAGAACAGAGTTTGTTGCCAATCTTTTGGTCTTCTCTTCCTTCATCATTGCTGCAATTTGTCTTAAAGTTAACTACATTGGCGATGCACAATTCGCACTTTCTGTCGCATCAATTTTATGTGTAGGTTCACTGTTAGTCGACTCCTTGCCTTTCAAAAAATTCAGATCACCGAATTGGTATCCACGTTCATTAGAACTACTTGTATACTCGAGTCGATCGCGCCACATATACAAAACATTAGTAACGTGATGGATTTCCCTAAAGAGCAATTGATTGATCAGTGCACAATCAGAGATTCTTGGCCTGACAATGGCAAAATTGATATCAACAAGTAAGACATTTATTTCTGGGCCTACTGCGGTAAATAGTTTACAATATAACTAGAAACCACTAAAAATCTAAATATATTAAACATTAGTATATATATATATATATATAGACTACAAGACTTTCTAAAACTGGGCCCGCTGCGCGGTCCGAGCTAACGCTCTGAAGTGGCTCCGCCGTTTGTTTCCGTTCGACCGTTCGAACTGTTCGAATGTTCACGTGTTCATTGCTTAATTTCTCCGTCACACCTGTTTTCGTTTAAGAAATTAAAAAGTGTGCGGAATAACCAAGAAAAAATCATTCGTATTAACACGGGCCGGCAAAGCATACGGAGAAGTGGAAATTGTGAAGCTGTAACTTCTCTCAGAAACCTTACATTTACCTCTGACCTGGCTCATTTTGAAGAACTCAGTAAAATTGAACTCTTATCAAAAAATCAGAGGTCCCTATGTTCGATTTCTGGAGATATATTGAAAAACCCGAAAGTCCTATGCATGAAAAGCCGGGCCGGGATTAATATAACTCTTCACGGGTTTGTCCCTCTGTTTGTTTGTTTATTTATTTCTCCGTTTGTCCGTTCCCACGGTCATTGCTAAAACGAAAATAGTTGCAACGGAGACACTAACTAGGGAATGGCCTTATGGGCCGTGACTGACATAGTTCGATAGCTTATACCAAGAGGATCAAATTTTCTGTTGATCATTTTTGCTGCCGGCACCTGAATTTCGAGAAAATAGCGCCCGAAAATTTCCACTGAAATCCTGTATTTTACGCAATTTTACCTCCTCGTAACAGTCGCGTGAACTCTCTTGATATGAATGCATGTTTCTCAAAAATCACAATTAGGGCCTGATTTGAGGCCTCAAAGTTACCATCGTCCAAAACTCCCTCATCTTTAAAGACCTATATCTTCAGAACCCACCATCAATTAAATAAAAGATCAACTGGAAAGTTGTTGCAAATTTTGTGTTGAACAACTCTGTAGTTGATCATTTTATACCAAAACACTTCATTCTCATTTTATAATGTTTCTAATTCACAAAGGAGACAAGTTTTTGAAAAATGAAATACAGTGCGTTTCATAAGTATAGGGCCACCCCTAAAATTGAATATATCGTCTTTCCCGAACAAAATACCAAGCCAGGACCTTGAAAATCGAAATCAGCATCACAAATAACCCCTGGGAAAACATTTTGAGAGCAGTGTATAGGATAGTTGGGGAATGGTGCTGAAATATCTGAAAATGTTGCAACTGCAAGCGTTACATAAGTATAGGGCCACCCCTGAAAACACTCTGGAAGCCTCGTAAACTGATAAACATGATCTTGAATGGGGTTTTTTGCACCTTTAGGATGTCCAAAAAGTCTTTTTGAAATCATGTGCAATGACCCCACCGCCACCTAGGGCCACTCTCCCAGGTTTAGCCTAATGTTCTCTGTGAAGGTCGGGAGTGGAACCGGGGGACTCCGATGATTTCAAATGAGTCACATCTTGTTTGAAACTCGTTTTTTGAGCATTTTCAAGTCAGATTCGTTCAAGCCTCTCGATTCGCTAGAACCTGATATCACATTTTTTTACAAGGATCAGACTGGCTTGAGCGCCAAACTCCAGGCTGACATTGCACACTTATGGAACTTCATAAGGAAGGTTTGAAACATGACATGTTTGAGTTTGGTGTCGAACGGATCAGTTTCAACCGAGTTATGAGCTCCCGATTGTTGAACTGAAGAAAACCAACAGAAATGTACTGAATAATGTTGTTGTTTACTTGAAAATGCTCAAAAAACGAGTTTCAAACAAGATTTGACTCATTTGAAATCACCAGAGTCCCCCGGTTCCACTCCCGAGCTTGGAAAAGTTCGCATTCGTATTCGAGGATGGGTCTGACGTAAACGCTGAAGAGTTTAAAATAGAGACAAGCGTTCGTGGAGCGAAAGGCTTTCAGAATTTGTTTGCATTTCAATAGGGCAGTGCTGCTAACTATAGTAATTTGTTTCTCGAATTTGAGCTTGTTATCTATCCAACATTTGCTGTGTTTCTTTTCTTTATAGGTGACCTTAGCTTTGTTTCTTTTCTTTATGGTTATTAACGTTAGCTGTGTTTCTTTTCTTTATGGTCAGAAACAAAGTTTTTGGTAGTGAAAACATTAGTAGTGAAAACCTAATTGCCTAAACACTGTTAGACATTATTAATTCAAGAAAGTCTCACGCTTACTGCGTCATTATTAGATGTGAATAAGTTCTAATTAATTGCAATCCATTTACCGGAGATGATAGTCAAAAATTACAGCTTAAATGTGTTTGTCAACAAGGAGAAGCACGTCATCAAGGATTTATCATTGCACGTCGATGAGAGAGAGAAATTTGGAATTATCGGAAAGCCAGGATCTGGCAAGACACAATTGGCTCTGACGCTCGTTGCGATGAGTTCTGCCGATGAGGAAAGCCGAGTCCTGGTGGATGACCAGGACATTTTCGAGATGAGCGTCAAAACATTGAGGTCACGAATCACTGTTGTGCCGCAGGTTTTTTATTTCGATGAGATGTTGCATAACTGTTTAATACACAGGAGGCTAAAATTTTCGAAGACACTTTACGAAATAATATAGATCCATGTTGCCAATTTGCTGATAGTGACGTATGGCTTGTCATTGAAGCCTGTCAGTTGAAAGAATTCGTCAATACTCTGCCTGATGGCATCCAGCAGTACGTCTCAGCAGAATCCATGAAGTAATGTTTGTTCTTTCAAAATTTCACAAAATCTATTTTGTGACGCTCTTTTTTTAGCGATAACCAATCGATTTTTGAATTCATTTGTGAAAAAAATTGCCTGGGACTAGAAAAAACAGTGAAATTTTCTTCCATTGCGATAGCGATTTCTCAATGAAGCGCTTTTAAAAATCAGATTTTTTTTTCAATTTTGGCTTGATATATATAGAAATTTCGTTAGCTCATTGACTTTCAGCGAGGAGCAAAAAAGTCAGATCAATGCTTGTCGTGCTCTGTTGAAAGGAGGACAAATATTCGTGATCGATCAGTCAATGAAACTAATGAAAGAGCCGAAAAGGTCTCTCGTGGAAGAGGTTTAAATTATCACTTTCTGGCTTCAAACCAATGAAATTATTATTTTTCAGACATTCCGACAAAGTCTAAAACAAAGCACGACCATATTAATTGGGGAAGAACTTCAAGATGTGCAACATTGTGATAAGTTCGTAGATATTATCTATCATTTGGTGCGCGATAGTTAAAGCTCTACTCATGTAAATCGTTTGTAATCTAGCTAGCTAATTCGCGTTTCTAACCGGACCTAATTAGATTGCTAAATGACTGCGATTAGATTGCAAATTCTTCTAACTGGACTGATAAAATAGATTGGCGAAGCTAATTAGATTGCAAAAACACTGATATTAGATTCAAAATTTATCTAATTAGATTAAAATTTCGGGCAAACCTAGCTAGATTATGTTTAGATTGCAAAATCAGCTAGCTAGATTCAAAAATCTGTAGCAATCTAACTAGGTCCGGTTAGAAACGAGAATTAGCTAGTTAGATTAGAAACTATTTGCCTGAGTAGGAATTTCAGAGTGATCCGAGTTAACCTATATTATATTACAAGACCTTTGGAACCGGAAAAACGGAGAAATAAACACACAAACAAACAAAGGGACAAACCCGTGAAGACTTTTATTAATAAGGATGATACCAGCACTTAATTATGAAATTTGATTTCTAATTAGAGAGTTTTCGAATCTAATTCAAGAAATTTTTACGCTTACTGCTAGTATAATGTTAATAGTTGCAGTAGTCTTTATTATAGTGAATTCAGGGCTAGCGTTTACGGAGTCGTGGCAGGGCACACTGACGCAAGTGCGCTTTAATGAAAGCTTTAATGAACCAAGGCTTTGGCCGGGCTAGTTGCAAGCGCGCTCCACTGCAAAAAAGCCTTGGCCGGCCCTGGCCGGCCAAGGCCGGCCAATGGTACGGTAAGCAATTCGGTTCACTGAGCGGTGTTTGCACACAAAGCATTTTAAATAAAGAAAAAATCGAAGAAATTATTCTAAAATGAGAAGAAGACATGCTTGAAAGTAGAAAAAGAAGAAGTTTCGAGGGGGAGAAAGTAAGTGAGTTAAATTTCGATGAAATGAATGCTGACAAATTTCGAAAATTAGCAGAAGTGAAGAGAAAAATAAAAGAGAACGACAGAATTAATGAGAACGAGATGCATGAGAACGAAACGAAAGAAAAAAAAATGTATGGGAACAACTTTATGAATCGAATTCATCGAATTGAGCATTTTTCTGTGAAAATATTTGATCATGAAGTGAAAAAAACTTAGAGAAAAACCCTTTCGAAAAACACGTTTTTTTCTTTTTATTTAAAAATGCTTTGTGTGCAAACACCGCTCAGTGAACCGAATTGCTTACCGTACCATTGGCCGGCCTTGGCCGGCCAGGGCCGGCCAAGGCTTTTTTGCAGTGGAGCGCGCTTGCAACTAGCCCGGCCAGGGCTTTTCATTGGCCAGCCATGGCCGGCCATGGCCGGCCATTTGCCCAGCCCTGTTCGCGGCCCAGAAATTCGGCCAGATTGCGAACAGCGCGCCCTTTCTGTCCGGTGCCCCTATAATAGGGGCGCTACGCAATCGACCGTCGGCGGAAGTTCAAATTTTTGTTTTCGATGTACCCGTCACGACCCCGTGGCGTTTTCAAGGTAATCACTTACCGGAATAGACGGCCACGGTCGTCGCTGTTAAATGAATAGACATGGATAAAATAGTCTTAACTATTAAAAAGGCATAATTCAGAGTGGTGGTGATCGAAAACGGCGTCGTATTGATAACGGATACACCACAAAATCTAAGGGCAAACTTTGGTTCACTACAGCAATGTTTATTGAACTTTTCAAGATAATATCCGTTCCATTGTTCTTTTTTAAAGAAGAAAACTTTAAATAAAATGAATTTAAACTGATTTATCTTGTCTCTGTTTCCTATTGACAATTTAACTGAAATCGGAAATTCTGAGCACAAGTAAAACAAGAATAGGAATTAAGGAAAAAGGAATGAGAATATCAGCATTCCACGGTCTCCAGAGCTTACAATGGGCGCAAGTGCGCCCCGCCCAATAGAGCGATACATTGGCGCGAAATTCAAATTTTAACAGCAAAATTTGTGTTTCTCGCCAGATTAGCCACGAAAAACCGATAATTTCTCATTTGTCTCTCGGTAGACCGATTGTATAGGCTATTACGAACTTTTTGAGCGCAAGAGCGTCAAATTTGATTAAGTCGCAAATCACATTTATCCGTTTGAAGGTTTTTCGCTAAAACTGCGTGAATTTCAGTTGCTTTTCGGTAGTCTTCGCGGTTCGAGCGCTCAAAATGCTTGTATTTACATGATTTAGCAATTTCAAAACCAATTCTGTCTGAAAACAATCGAGAAAAGTGCAAATTTCCAAATCTGATCAGATTCGGACCAGATTCCGAATTCACCTGGTCAGACGCGGAACTCGGATCAGATTCGGAAATCTTCTGGTCAGACAAAGAACGATTTACCAGAGAAGGCGGAAAAGCAAAGTCCGCGAAAAATGCGCCAAAAGGTAATTAATTCCGAGAATTAGTGTGTTTTTATGTCGAACAATCATTTTTCATCGCCGTTGACCACAAAAATCAGAGAAAACCTGCTCAATTCATGAAAACGCTATTTGGCCGAGGCCACTCCCATATTGGCAGCTCTGGAGACCGTGGCATTCAAATAAGTGAACCAATCCAAATTCTTTCATTCGTATTGAAGTTCTTCAATTCCATCATTGTTCAGAACCCGGTTCGTTGTCTTCACAAGTTTCTCCGAGGCGGCCAGAGGTCTACTGCGCATCAACTTTTTCAGACGAGTTGCCTTCTGTTGATACCTTAAAAATTGTGATTTTCAAAATGCGTTAGCTGCCTTGTCCGACCGCTGGCCAGCCAAGGCCTGCCAATGTTTTGCCCAGCCCTGGATCTGTCTCATTTTCCCCTAATGTAGAAGGGTGTTCGAAACAAACATGAAACATAAAACATTTCGAAAAAATCGTATGAACACAGACTGAACGGCATTTGATTTCTGGCCTCTTATTGAGCACTTTTCATGTTGGAACCCAAATTTTAGGTATTATATGGGCACCGGACAGAAAGGGCGCGCTGTTCGCAATCTGGCCGAATTTCTAGGCCGCGAAGTAATTTTCCACTGAAAACGTGGCCTAACTTTTCAAACTCGGCCCCGAGGTCGCTCAATTTGCACTGCAAAAAGAGCTTCTCAACAGAGCGTCATTTCTGTGCGGTGCCCCTATAATAGGGGCGCAACAAAGGGGGCGTGGCCTGACAAATTTTCTCCCGATTTTCGCGCGCGTGTTTGACGGTCTGTACCGAGGTCCCCAAATGAAGTACCATACCCAAAAAGTTTTACTTTATGTAACTTTATGTAATGAACAACTCAGTTTCCCGTGAAAACGCACCGTTTTTCCAAAAAACGGCGAAAACGAAAATGGAAGTCAGTCTGAGAGCCTGTGTGGCCAAGTTTATGGCTTTAATTTTCAAGTGATTCCGATAGTTTAAGGGATGGGGAATCTGTTTTTGAAGTCAGATTTTGACTCCCAAGTCGCCGAAAAGTTTTATAGCCCAAACATACACCTTCAGTGTTATAGTTGACATCTTTTTGATATATTTACCGGTTCAGGAGAGGTTCAGGTTCAGGAGCCAACAAACATGCTCAGGTAAAATTTCAAACTTTTCTCTACTATTTTTAAAATTTTCCAGGCGCCAATTAAGAAATTCTTGGAAAAGTTTGAGAGTCAAAAAACGGTCACTTTAAAAAATCGTTTTCGGTTTTGTGGACGGAGAAACAGAATGAATAAAGGAGTATACCACTCGAGACTTTTATTAACAAGAATGATTTGGCAGAAAGAGAAAAAATATCACATTTATTAGCCCACGCATATTTCTGGCAATAGCGCTCTACCGAAATCACACGTGAAAACCCGGCCGCAGTCACGACCTTGATCTCAGTTTCGCACTGAATTCACGTGGAGAACGGTAGAGTGCGATTGCCAGAGACTTCTGTGGCAGCAATATATAGTAGTAACCGTTTGTAGAGTCAGCGACGACATGAGCACGATAGGGCAATTTAAATTTGAAAAAATGGCAGGGCTGGGAAAATCTCGGCCCGGGCTTTTTGAAGGCTTTCCGAGGCCTACACTTTTGACCCACTTGCAATGATCCTATCGGGACCAAACTCAACAGGCTGATTGGACATGGATTGAAGTATATCGGGTCCGAGTTTCAGACCGATAGGATCATCTGGTCCCGAGGTATGTGGATCGGAAGCCGAAAAGGCGGCAATTTTCGCAAAAACCTGGCCTTTTCGGCCTCAAACCAGTATATCTCGGGACCAGATTATCCGTTCGGTCTGAAACTCGGACCCAACATATTTTAATCCATGTCCAAGAAGCCTGTTGAGTTTGGGCTCGATCGGATCATTGCAAGTGGGTTGTAAGTCTAGGCCTCCAAAACCTTCAAAAAGCATGAGCAGAAATTTGCCCAGTCCTGAAAAATGGACAACCAAATAACGCATTTCTATAAATTTCGAGTAGAACACAAAAAATGACCCGATAAAAGAGTACAACTTATTGTTGTTGCAATCCTTGCAATTTTCTCCGCAAAACGATAATCAATCTTTTTTGTCTGCAATAATGAATCGAAAATCTTGAAGTATCAAAGTTCTGCTAAAGTACTTGTCTATTTCAGATCGCAGCCTGGTCAGATCTTCACAATCACTAAAATCAGCTTGGGTCCAGTTTGTCATTGATGACATGTTTGAAATTGTTCTAGTTGATGGTCGTGGAGGAGCAATCGGTGTATTGTTTTTGAGCCTGAAAATATAAATCCCGCCACGGTCTCCAAAGCTGACAATATGGGCGTCGCCTCGGCCAAATGGCGTTTTCATGAATTGAGCAGGTTTTCTCTGATTTTTGTGGTCAAAGGGGATGAAAAATGATTGTTCGACATGAAAACACACTAATTCTCAGAATTAATGAAGTTTTGGCGCACTTTGCATTTTCGCCTTCGCCGCCGATCGCCGCCTAAAAACCGCACTTCTCATTTTGCGCTTTCTTGACCGTTTTCAGACAGAATTGGTTTTGAGAATGATAAATCACGTAAATACAAGCATTTTGAGCGCTCGAACCGCGAAAACTACCGAAAAACAACTGAAATTCACGCAGTTTTAGCCAAAAACCTTCAAACGGATAAATGGGATTTGCAACTTGACCACATTTAACGCTCAAGCGCTTAAAAAATTCGTAATAGCCTATACAATCGGTCTATCGAGAGACAAATAAGAAATTATCGGTTTTTAGTAGCTAATCTGGCAAAAAACACAAATTTCGCTGTTAAAATTTGAATTTTGCGCCAATGTATCGCTCTATTGGGCGGGGCGCACTTGCGCCCATTGTCAGCTCTGGAGACCGTGATCCCGTATTTATTGATCCTTTTTGCGTTATTTCGCGGTGTAAGCAGACTCGTGTTGTCACCCGTAACCGCCAGGCTCCGTCGCTTATTTTGCCCTTTTCTCATCGGTTTTCGACAAAGTGATCGTTAATGCGTTTGCCGAAATCGAATGGAAAATCGGCTGAGCGGTTACAGTGGACAAGGATGGAAAGGCTTTCAAGTCAATACATACTTTTCGTTGTTATTCTTGATTTGATGAAGCTCTTCTCTCAGATTATCAAGATGTTGAATGTCCACACGTCGCCTGAAAATCATGCAAGTTGATTCATCTGTTCAGTCATTTAACCTAATCACCTTTTTTCGGCATTTTCCAACGAGACTTGGAGTTCATCGACTTGTTTCTGCAGTGAAATTCGCTTAGCGTCGTTCATTTGAAGTTCTGATGCTAGTCGTGTTTTTTCCAAATTTGACCTTCAAAAGAGAGGTGTTAGCGTTCTTCCTTAATACGTATTTTTTTTGTAAGCTGGGCCCGCTGCTATCGAAATTTAGAAAAAATGATTTTAAGCATGCGTACAGGGCAGACTACACATAATACTGATTATGGAGATTCTTGCTGTGGCATAGTTCTGATTTAGAGCATTTCATAGTTTCAGGGTGGTTCTCTAGAAAATGGTATAATCGTACGTAGTGAGTCTTTCTTCAAACTGCTTCGAAATTCTTTCTCTTTCTTCCTGAAGGGTCTTGTCAGCGGACACGTGGAAACGTAAAAGTTCACCGGCGAGACGGGCGTTCTCGGCGGTTATTTCCTTCATTTCGACCTGAGAACAAAAATTGCAAAATAAATGAAATGGGAACATACTTCCTCGGAAGAAACTGAGCTCTTCAATTGCTGCACTTCCTCTTCCGCTTTTCTTTTTTCATTTTCCGCACCAATCAGTTTAGCTGAACTCGAATCCAGGGATTTCGAGATATTATGCACTTCAATCGCTAACTTCTCATTTTTTTCAGAAAGTTTACAGACTTTCTTCTCTAACTCTTCAATTGTTCTCTGCTTCTCTGCGTTCTCCGATTCCAGTTTCTTTATAGTTACTTCCAAAACATGTTTATCTTTTTCCATCTGTTCCAGTTCGAAATTCTGATTACCATTTTGCAACTCCTCGCTCAATTGATCATTTTCCTGCCTTTGACGAATCAGCTCCTTCTGTTGCTCTTCCAGCACATTTTCCAACGATGTGTGCTCTGTGTGACTCTTCTTCAACTCCTCTTTAAGTATGTCTATTTCTGCTTTGTAGTCCTCCTTCATCTTATCCATCTTAACCTTGTTTTCGGCTTGCAAGTCTGTGAACTTTGATTCCACGTTTCCGCTCAGAATTTGTGCCTCTTGTAGACGGTCTGCCAGATCTTCAGCTGCATGTAGCTGCGCTTTTAGATCCTCAATTTGCTGCAAGAACTCTTATTAATCGAAAACATTGAGTATTGTACTAGAACCACACAATTCTGGCAGTGACGCTCTACCGCAAAAATATGAAACGTTAAGGTCATCACGCTTTTTCTGCCACTTTTAGAAAGACTGAAACGTGGTAAGTGGCTGCTTTCAAATATATAGCGTAAACTAGATTGCCTCAATACTATGTTGCAAAAAAAACTTTTTTTCCGAGGGTGGACATACCTTCTGGAAGTTTTCGACTTGACACAGCAGATCCTTCGAAGTCGTCTCTGATCCGATCAGACTCATCTCCAATTCTTTATTTTTTACTTTCTGCTGTTCCAGCTTGGGTTTAATTTCTTCAACTTCTTGCTGTGCACTTTCCAGTTGTTTCATCAATTTCAATTTCACTTCTTCGTGAGATCCAATAAATTTGCTCTGTTCCTCTGCAAATCTAATACGTTTAAATGGAAATTTTTGTTATCTCTGACCATGAATATGTTCTGTTCGTCGCCGGGAGGAGTCGAGTTCTAACGTCAAACTATTGACTTTTTCTTTCAAATCCTGAATTTGTCTGTCCGAATTGATGCACGTTTCCGTCATTTCTCTCTTCACTTCGGCAATTGACTCAGTAGCGTTGCGTTCTGTCCGATCTTTATCCTTCAACGCCTCCTCAACTGCCTTTTCCAGTGCTACTTTCTCACTCTCTAATCGTTGGGTTTCAACAGCACGAGACTCTTCTATATGCAGAAAACTGAAAAAGTGTGTCATAGTTGAAACTTGATCAGCTTTCCCAAACTTTTGATTGTGGTTCGCCAATTCGAATTCTGCTTGTTCGGTTCTAGACTTCCACTGCGAACATTGGTCTTGATACTGATATAATTCATCTCGCAGACCACGAATGTCCTTTTGAAGACCGCGAATATTATCTTCATATTGATTATTCTCTTCTCTAACCGAGTTGAGGGAACTCATCAAAGTGCTAATCTCATCGGCCACGGCCGCTTTTGAATCAGATTCCAACATTTTCTTCTGGGATTGGAGTTCCAACTCTAGATGAGACACTTGAAACTTTAACAATATTCTGGAACAACTTTTTATTACTTCCCAATGTACTCTCTCAACATTCGTACACTTCCTGTTTTCCCTCTTCTCTCAGTTGGTCACATAGTTTTTTATACTTCTCCAATTGCTGTTCTGATTCCGATAATGCAGAATTAATCTTTCCAAATTCAATTTCTTTTTTTTCTACGGTCCTTTCGGAGATGATAAGATCTTTTTGAACCGACTGGATTTTATCCTCCATTCGTGAAAACTCGGCCTGCGAGAGTTGCAACTGTTGATTTGAATCCTTAATATCATCAGATTTCAATAAACGCTCCCGTAGAACTTTGATCTCCTCTTCAGCCTGATGAGCTAGTGATTCGGCAGCAAGAAGTTCAACTTGCGTTCTCTGAAAATAATTCGTTTGCGATATAACTAGAAGTTATTATGGGTGTATTTCGCTGCACTCGCGCTCTGTTGAGAAAATATTTTTTCAGTGCAAATTGCAATGACCTCGAGGCCGAGTTTGAAAATTTAGGCCACATTTTCAGTGAAAAATAACTTCGCGGCCGAGAAAGTCGGCCAGATTAGGAACGGAGCGCTATTGCAAAGAAATGCCGCGATAATATAATGTTTGTTAGAATCTGATTCAAGAAATTTTCACGCTTACTGTGTCATGACATTATTAGACATTACAAATCTAAGCTTACATCGATTTTGCCATCCTTCTCGCGTAATTGTACATTTAGAATGGCAATATTGTCTCTTTCATCACTTAAAGCTTGCGTCAACTCCTTGATTCGACAACTGTCAGATATTGTGGCTTCTCTTTGATTCTGTTTCAGTTTCTCGTTCTCGTTCTTCAAAACAAGAGCACTCTCTTCAAATTGTGCAAGTTTGACTTTTAATTTCGAAAGCGTTTCCTCGGAAGTGTGCAGAGCATTCTTCAATGTTTCTGCCTGTGCGTGTAGTTGCGATTTCTGACTTTGCTCTTCAATTAGCGACCTATTAATGTCCGTTATTTTTACTTCCAATGAATCCATATTCTCTCGAGCCACAGCCGCCAGTGAAATTGTGCTGAAACGTGAGCAACTATTGATTAGATTTTTTTGAGAGTTGAACAGACTTACTCCTGCATTTTCATAATTTCAATTGTTTTCTCATTCCCTTCCTTTTTCAAATCATTCACTTGTTTTTGCAGCGCTTCAAGTTGTAATTTCATTGAATCATTCATTTCGGCGAGTTTTTCAGATTTAGTATTATCCGATTTAGCCAACATAAGAGATTGTAAAGACGCCGTTTTGATGCTCAGTTGCTGTTTCAAATAATCAATTTCCTGGATCATGGCCTCTTTCTCATCATCACCAAATTTCACAGCGTTCTGAAAAAAACAATGGTGTGTGTGTAATCGCGTCTACCGCTCTCCACGTGAATTCAGTGCCGCGGCCGGGTATTCACGTGAGATAGAGGTAGAGCGACAGATTGCTCTAAATAGATGCGCAACTTTCAAGCTAAATTTTGCAAATTTTTGAGCTCACTTGAATTTCACTTTTCGCCTTCTGTAGCTCAGACATTAGTCGAGCTGATTCGGAATTCGATGACTGTTTTTCAGCTTCCAGTTCCCTTTTTAGTAAACTGACATCAGATTTCAACTGGATGATCTCATTCTGGTCACCACCGTCCGCCAGTTTTGCTATCATTGAATTGATCTAATTTCGAACTTTCAGTCATCAATATTAAGAGCAGTAAACCTGCATGAATAGTTCCTGTTTTTCACTTTGTTCTCTATCAAGTTGCTTCCTCAGTTCCTGCTTCTCAGCCATCAAAGTGGTCACATCTTGCGGTTGTTTCGATAGCCACATTGCTCTGCAATTGGAAATAGTTGAACGAGACGAACAGAAAGTAAGTTAAACTCAATTCATCGCTATTGCTCCTCGGTGTTTGCAGACTCAAGCCAAAATTTCTGAAATTAGGCTTGAGTACGCAAACACCGAGGGGGCAAGAGCGGTAAATTAAGTATATCTGTGTTTATAAATAATTCATTTACATATATATGTAGTGCTATATCACGCAAATATCTAAGTTACTATGCTTGCTATCTCACACACGCGAAGTCAACACCGGAAATTCGTAATCTTTACATAAAATTCCACGTTTCTCTTCACAACATACCCGAGAGAATCATGTTATCGGATCTACCGTTTCGAACGCGTTTACATTTGTAGAACTATAGTAGTTTGGAAGTATTTTTTTTTGAAGTTGGAAATATTATATCAAAACAAGACTTTTGAGACTGGGTCCGAGAAAATGACGCTTGGAAGCGGCTTAGAAAGTTCACGTATTCATTTCTCAATTTCTTCATTCATATTCCCAAAGTCCCAAATTCTGAAAAATGTACTTCTCGTGGCTCCTTAGCTTTTCTGGTAAATCCAGCAAAATTCGGGGCAATTTTTTTCAGAATGTGGGATTTTGGAACATGACTGCCCCACTTTGAACTTCACTTTAAAAATGATGTTTTGTAGTGCACGACACCTTTATGATACGTGGCTCTCATGGAATCACGCAAGCATTTATAGCTAGAAACGATCTCAAAAGCTCACCTGTCGGTGTTAAATTTTGACACTTCTCTCTTCAGTTGATCCACCTCATTGAACTTCTCCTCCAGGCGCTTCTGAAACTGATAATTTTAGGATTAATAAGCAATAATGATTGATTTCGAAAGTTAGGAAAACTCTTTCTCTCTCTCTCTCTCCTTGTTTGGAAATATAACATCTTGTTGGATAGTATTGATTTTCCGAATAAAGCTCGAGTACGTTCAATTTAATATTGTCAGTAAAGTTAAAATTGCGATTAAATTTCTTTAATTCACAATTTTTGCAACTGAAATACAAAAATAGAGAGGCGAGAAAGAATAAAGCTGAAAGTGGGCAATAAAGTTTTCAACATATTGTCACACAGTACAGTGCATAGTTCCATAATTGTACACACTGACGGGCGACAGGAAGAGAATGCAAATAATGTATGAATGAAGAGGTGTTTAGTGCGGAGAGTTGAGAGAAAGAAAGAAATAGTTCCTTCCATTCCAATCATTCTGAAATAATTCTCAACAAAAAGTTCCCAGAAAGAAAGAAAGAAAGAGAGAGAGAGAGAGAGAGAGAGAGAGAGAGAGAGAGAGAGAGAGAGAGAGAGAGAGAGAGAGAGAGTGAGAGTGAGAGAGAAGTGGAAGCGGCGGAAAAACAAAGAATTAGAATTGTTTGTACAATATTTTTTGTTTGGTTTTCTCGGAAAGACTTCTTAAAACTCGAATAACAAATAAAATAACTGATTTTAGGATGAACGAAACGGCATTGGGAATTGGGAAGATGTACGAAGAGTTTCGAATCACTCAGGTACTCAAAACTTTTGTTTATAGGCTCAAATGTATATAAACACATATTTCATGGGTTGTTTATTTTTTGTGAACGCTATTTCAAATATAGAGGTTGGAAGCAGCTTCACCAAAACACTTGAAACAATCGCCAATTAACAGGGTAGTGCTCAAATGTGCTCATTCGGAAAAGTACGAGCACAAAATAGACGTAGGATTTTTCGGCTCTATCCTAAACATGCTTCGAATGAATGAACGTAACAAGACCGGACTTGGTGGTATTTTGGGTTCATTTCTGTGCAATCGCGCTCTGTTCCTAATCTGGCCAAGTTTCTCGGCCGCGAAGTAATGTTTAGTTGTTTTCACTGAAACTAAAGTCTAACTTTTCAAACTCCGCCCCGAGGTCATTGCAATTTGCACTGTAAAAACAGTTTCTCAATAGAGCGCGATTGCAGTGAAATACCGCGATAATAAAAAAGGAAAATGCCAAAATTCGGACACATTCTCTAGAAAGTTTTGATTTCAGCTAGTGAACGAGACATTGACTACAGTAATTGAAAATGTGCAGACCAATCATGAAATTTTTTCGAGTAAAGGTATGAATGAATCATGCACTTATTATTATTATTATTAAAATGTGCTCATTTTCAGATAAAACGAAACTGACAATGAATATGAAGGAAGAGTTCAGAGAATATGATCAACTTAGCCTTAGACTCGAAGTATTTTCATTCTTGTACAATGCATTTGAAAACGGGGCTACCCGAAATCACAACGCTCCCAGATCAAAACTGTCCCAAATCAGAACTGCACCAAATCAGAGCTGACCCGAATCAGAACCTAGAAGAACCTGCCGGTGGTTTTTATTACGAAAAATCTTCTTGTGACTGGCTTTGATTTGTTGCAGTTCTGATTTGGGACAGTTCTAATTTGTTGCAGTTCTGATTTAGGACACACTCAGGCAAATCGTTTCTACTCTAACTAGCTAATTCTCGTTTCTAACCGAACCTAGTTAGATTGCTACTGATTTCTGAATCTAGCTAGCTGATTTTGCAATCTAAACAGCTAGGTTTGCCCGAAATTTCAATCTAATTAGATACATTTTGAATCTAATATCAGTGTTTATGCAATCTAATTAGAAAATTAATCAGTTCAGTTATTATAGGGGCACCGGACAGAAAGGGCGCGCTGTTCGCAATCTGGCAGAATTTCTAGTCCGCGAAGTAATTTTCCACTGAAAACGTGGCCTAACTTTTCAAACTCGGCCCCGAGGTCGCTCAATTTGCACTGCAAAAAGAGTTTCTCAACAGAGCGCCATTTCTGTGCGGTGCCCCTATAATAGAAGAATTTGCAATCTAATCGCAGTAAATTAGCAATCTAATTAGGTCCGGTTAGAAACACGAATTAGCTAGCTAGATTACAAACGATTTACCTGAGCAGTTCTGATTTAGGGCAGTAATGATTTCGGAGCGTTCTGATTTGGGGTAGTCTCTTTGAAAAGAGTAACCAGTATTCAGAAAGAAAACCGCAGAAATGAGATAATAGTTGATGATGAATTGGAACTGGCTAGAGCACATTGGATTCAACTAAAAAAGTCCAACAAACAAGTTATGCGGTTAATCAGTTTCCGATTCGACAACACTTTTATTTTTAGGGTTTGGTCATTCGGAGTTGTTTCTTGATAATGCTTGAAAAATATCCTCAAGTACGGCCTATTTGGGGGTTCGGAAAGAAATTAGAGGGTCACAAAGAGGATAATTGGAAACCTGACCTCATGGAAGACTTCTATTTTAGGTTTGTACACGTTACTTCTGGTAAATGGATTGCGGTGTTTAATAATGTCTAATAATGCCAGCGTGATACTTTCTTGAATTTGATTTGAATTATTAGACACTGAGTTCTAATTAAATTTCAATCCATTTACCAGAGATTTACCATCGTTTTCCTCTCAGACACCACTGCGCGACTCTGCAAGCAGCATTGAACATGATAATACAAAATAAAGACGATCGAAATGGAATGAAGCGAATGCTGAATGAGATGGGAGCACATCACTTTTTCTACGATGCCTGCGAGCCTCACTTTGAAGTTTTTCAAGTGTGTTTCATTGAAGCAATGCAGTTAGTTTTGAACGGAGGCGATGCTTTGGATGAGGAAATTGAACAGTCGTGGATCTGTGTAAGTTTGGAAAATCCTATACTGATCAAAGTTCCGTATTTATTAGTTACTTCAAAATATTCGCCTACACATTGGAGAAGGCATCAAATCTCAACGTTTGAACTACTTATCGCAGTGCCTGTTGCCGAGGGAAATGAAAGAAATTGAAGACGATTGGAAACGGATAGAAGAATTTGGATTCCAGAACGCTGGAACTATTCTATGCGAAGCGGCAATCGACAGCTATTCAGAACTATTAAAGTTGCACAATTTGAAGCTCGCACTTCCTATCGAAAAGAGTGATCGTTCTGGTTTTGGAGTCATGGCAAACCAGGTTATGAAGGTAAAGACTTCATTAACCCGCTTGGTTGAGCAAACGCGCTCCGTCGCCCTCCGTGTTTCTCATTCATTTGGATTTGCTTAAAATTTCATCAAAAATTCTCGTTTTGAGGCTCTCGACAAGACCATCCAGTCTTATACTGCAGAAAATGGTTTCAAAAGTCTAATCGAGGAGATTCGAGGTTTTGTTGTCAAGTTTTTAGTAGTTGAAGTGTGTCCCCCACTTATTCGGAAAGCGTTCATAGACGGTGAGTACAGTAACCGACAACTTCTCTTTTTACTTTTTTGTTAAGGTCTGGTTAATATGTTGTGTAAGGTTCTAAATGTGAAGCACGTAAAAGAAGACTTTCTACACGTATGGAAAAAAGTATATCGCGTGATGGAGCAAGCGATGATTGCTAATATTGTGGTGTATTGATCACTAAAAAAAGAGCTCAATGAAGTATTTCGCTTAAATTGATCTAGAAGAAGATTTATAAATACTCTACCTTCGTGCTAGCAAGTTCAGTTTTTATTGCTTTGTCACTGCTGTTAGCCAACGTTTTGAGTTGTTGATTCAGACGGTGGTTCTTCAATTCTCAAAGATCAAGCATTTGTTGTCCTTTATTATAGGGGCACCAAACAGAAAGGGCGCGCTGTTCGCAATCTGGCCGAATTTGCGCGAAGTAAAATAGGCCGCGAAGTAAATTTCCACTGAAAATGTGGCCTAACTTTTCAAACTCGGCCCCGAGGTGGCTCAATTTGCACTGCAAAAAGAGTTTCTCAACAGAGCGCCATTTCTGTGCGGTGCAATTACAATAAACACCTACACATAATTGAGATTGAGTAAGTTCCTGCTCGAGCCGAATGACAAGTGCAGCTTCCCTTTCATAGTGATTAGGAGAAGAATTGGCGGTGAAACGGACGATCTGACTTTGAACTGACATTATCTGAAATTGAGAATGGAGCTAGAAAGATTTGGTTTATACCGGTAAATTACTTCGGAGGTGCCATTTCTCTCTTGAGCATCCGAATCAAGGTCCTGATAAACAAATTTATGCAAAATGAAACATCCATTCAGGTAAAACAAACCATTTTCGTTGGTCGAAAGCTAGCATCCATGTCACTACATATCTCGAATGTCTGTAACAAATTTGTTTTTCTCATTGTCAACATAATAAGAGGAAAAGACATATAGAAACCGCGTCTTTATAAGAATAAATCGCATCAATCTGGTTTTCTGAACACAAAACTTGCTTCGCGCTCTAGCCCTCTAGGACAAGCAGAAATAGACTGATTAATTGAAATTGATTAGGTTTCACCAATTCTTTTGATATTGAGCCTTTCTATAAAACAAAAATATACTAAAGCCAAAGAAAAACTTACCGAACCAATGTATTTGAAGGATGATATATAGCTGGGGAATGATCCATCTACGCCTGTAAATTGAGAACATGATCTTAGGTTGATTTGTTCACAGGATGGATGACCTTGAGAAGTGGAAGTTGATTGGGACTTGGATGTAATCACAAAAACGGGTTTCTTCCTTGCTATCGAGTTTTGCGAATTTTCCATCCCATCATATGAGCCGTTTGTGGAAAATATTGCTGGTCTCAATGGAGTTCTTTTGTTTATTATCGGAAATCTTTTTCTTTCTTTTCTTGTACGTAACATTATGTGGTCTTGCAGTTTTTTCTCTGAAAAGAGGTTGATCAATCTTGGACTTCTTTGCTCTTAAAATTCAAGTTCCACTGTTAAAGAACAAAGTTTGAATTACCGCCTACGCGTTAGATAAGTAGGTTGTAGCGGACACGGTGGCGCAGCGACCAGAAAACGTTGTTGTTTACAAAGATTATAGGGGGCAAGAAATGGAAGCTCAGAGGGGACAACCTTCCTTGCTCATAGAGGATAACTTTTGGGCAAACACAATCGTTTCTAATCTAACTAGCTAATTCTCGTTTCTATTCGGACCTAGTTAGATTGCTACCGATTTCTAAATATAGCTAGCTGATTTTGTATGTATATATACTCAATTTACCGCTCTTGCCCCCTCGGTCACGGGCCGGCAATTCATACATTGGCCGAGAAAATTTTGCGCCTTGCGAAACTTCGGCCACGTGTGTTTTTTCAACACACGAACTGGATTATCTGCTATAAAAGATTCTCTGGCAGTTTTAAGTTATTCATTCGTGTTTTGCCATTAAAGTTAATACACTTCTTTACTTTGACTTCCGTTTTTATTAATTTTCACAGGTTTTCCATCGAAGTTTTTGTAACATTCGCTAAACATTGAGATTTCCGCTCCGTGACGTTTTCAGAAACCTTACATCGATCGGAGTCCTGGCTTAAATCATCAAATACAATAGTGAGAAACTTTTGGCAAAAAATCAGAGCCCTCTGTGATCAAAATCTCAACTTTTTTAACCGAAGTTTTTGTAAAATTCACTAAAAATCGATAATTCAGCTCCGTGACGTCTTCAGAAACCTTACATCGATCGGAGTCCTGGCTCAAATTATCGAATACAATAGTGAGAAACTTTTGGCAAAAAATCAGAGCCCTCTGTGATCAAAATCTCAACTTTTTTTATCGAAGTTTTTGTAAAATTCACTAAAAATCGATAATTCAGCTCCGTGACGTCTTCAGAAACCTTACATCGATCGGAGTCCTGGCTCAAATTATTGAATACAATAGTGAGCAACTTTTGGCAAAAAATCAGAGCCCTCTATGATCAAAATCTCAACTTTTTTTTCGGTTTTTCATAAATTTCCCGAGATATAAGGGGGTGAGGCCGAAAAGGCCGCAATGTTCGCAAAAATTCGGCTTTTCCAGCCTCTAAACGTGGATCAAAGATGTTTCAAGCCAAGTCCAAGAAGCCTGCAAGGTATGGACCCGATCCGGTTATTGCGTGGAGTCAATACTCTCATCAACAAGTCAGAACGCTGATTATCGTCAATTCAGAACGCTGGCATGTGAATGCTCTACATCGAAAGGATATGCGCCGGAAACTCTCCCCTCAAATATAATAAAAATTGGAAGACACAATTCTCCACAAATTAATAAATTTAGGGCTAATTATGGCTAGGGGCACTCCGTTCATGAATTCGCTTCGAGTTCCGCCAGCGTTTCCAACGAATCTCCGCTAATATTTTGATGTCATTCGTAGTTTTCATTCTTTTATTATATACTTTTAACATTTTTTACACATAGAACGTCTAGAGATACCGAAAAATGAATTTTTGCAAGAGTGTAACTGCCGGGAAATGAAAAAATCAATTCTAGTCGAAAATTTCTGCAATTACTGTCAAAATCACGTTTTCTTGTATACTTTCGACGTTTCCCTATACTTTCGATGAGATTAGCACATTTTTCCGTCTTTCTTCGGCTTTTTCTGTACTTTCAATAAATTTTTTTTTAATTAGCCGCATATTTTTGGGTTACGGTATGCAGAATCTGCATACACCGTTGTACGCAAGTCCACAGCAGCGAAATCGCTGGGCTGAGTATTTAATCCACGCATTTTTCTCGGCCACTGTATGAATTGCCGGGCCGTGCGGTGTTTGCAGACTCAATAATTTCAGGAAATTTTGGCTTGCGTCTGCAAACACCGAGGGGCAATAGCGATGAATTGAGTTTACATGCTCACGGTCTCTATTATAGGGGCACCGCACAGAAATGGCGCTCTGTTGAGAAAATCTTTTTGCAGTGCAAATTGAGCGACCTCGGGGCCGACTACGAAGAGTTAGGCCACATTTTCAGTGGAAAATTACTTCGCGGCCTAGAAATTCGGCCAAATTGCGAACAGCGCGCCATTTCTGTCCGGTGCCCCTATAATAGAGCTGACAATGGGCGCAAGTGCGCCCCGCCCAATAGAGCGATACATTGGCGCGAAATTCAAATTTTAACAGCAAAATTTGTGTTTTTTGCCAGATTTGCCACGAAAAACCGATAATTTCTGATTTGTCTCTCGATAGACCGATTGTATAGGCTATTACGAATTTTTTAAGAGCTAGAGCGTTAAATTTGGTCAAGTTGCAAATCCCATTTATCCGTTTGAAGGTTTTTGGCTAAAACTGCGTGAATTTCAGTTGCTTTTCGGTAATTTTCGCGGTTCGAGCGCTCGAAATGTTTGTATTTACATGATTTATCATTCTCAAAACCAATTCTATCTCAAAACTGTCAAGAAAGCACAAAATGCAGGCATTTAATTCCGAGGGTACAATAATTTTGGGGCACAACAGGGTACAACCTATTTTGGGGTACAACTTTTTTAATTTTGGGGTACAACTTGCCCGATTTTAGGGAATAATTTCTGTCAAGTATTTTAGGGTACAATAATTTTAGGGTACAACACTTTTAGGGCACAACTAGCACATAATTTCAGGGCACAACTTCTTACAATTTTGGGGCACAACAACATGATTTTAGGGTACAACACTTTTTTTCTCATTTTTTTGTATTTTCTTGCATTTTACTACAAACCCATATTCTTTTTATATCAATATTTCGCTGATTTTTTTTATTTCAATGACTCATCTCTTGTAAGAGAACCAGTCTTTCGACTCGTGCTTTCTGCGGCAGTTCACACATTTAGTTTTCACCAAATCATGAGGTTATTCAAAACCTTTTATTGCAAAAAAGCATATGACAGTAACAAGTTGAGCACAAATGAACGGATCTGAAATAAAGAGTAGTTAATCTAGGTTTTAAATAGCTCTATTAATAAGGCGGGTTTATGAGAATCAACTTGTTACTGTCATATGCTTTTTTGCAATAAAAGGTTTTGAATAACCTCACGATTTGGTGAAAACAAAATGTGTGAACTGCCGCAGAAAGCACGAGTCGAAAGACTGGTTCTCTTACAAGAGATGAGTCATTGAAATAAAAAAATCAGCGAAATATTGATATAAAAAGAATATGGGTTTGTAGTAAAATGCAAGAAAATACAAAAAAATAAGAAAAAAAAGTGTTGTACCCTAAAATCATGTTGTTGTGCCCCAAAATTGTAAGAAGTTGTGCCCTGAAATTATGTGCTAGTTGTGCCCTAAAAGTGTTGTACCCTAAAATTATTGTACCCTAAAATACTTGACAGAAATTATTCCCTAAAATCGGGGAAGTTGTACCCCAAAATTAAAAAAGTTGTACCCCAAAATAGGTTGTACCCTGTTGTGCCCCAAAATTGTTGTACCCTCGGAATTAAATGCCCAAAATGCACGGTCTCCCACGGCGCGAATGATTTCAATGGGGCGCACTTCCAACAGGCGGGCTGTGTCGATTTACGCGGCGGCCGATAAATTAATTTTCAACGGGAGTTCGCTTTCTTTCCATGTTTTCTGTACAATACACCTATTTTTTGTACGCCTGGAACCTGGATTCGAATAATTAGAGCACCGAACATAGGGGCACCGAACAGAAAGGGCGCTCTATTGAGAAACTTTTTTGCAGTGCAAATTGAGTGAGGTCGGGGCCGAGTTTGAAAGTTAGGCCACATTTTCAGTGGAAAATTACTTCGCGGACTAGAAATTCGGCCAGATTGCGAACAGAGCGCCCTTTCTATTCGGTGCCCTTATAATATTACTTACAAGTTGTTTTGCTGTTTTGGCCCCATTAAATTCTGCAATTTCACAGCAGAATTTCAGCATCTGATGTTGTGTGTGAAATTTACCCAAGTAAAGATTGTTTCTCGAAATGACACAAAATACTGCATAAAACAAAGCATGGCTACACACGACTGTGTCTCATGAGCTCTCAAAAATTCAAAACTGGAATGAAAACTTCGAAAATGTGCTTCGTGCAACTTTTGTACCCCAAAATCGTGAAATTTGTACCCATAAATCATAAAAGTTGTACCCCTTAATCAATGCCTACTGAATCGGTAAATTTTTGTACCCCAGAATCGAAAATTTTGTACCCTCGACTTTTTGTACCCCAAAACCATGAAAGTTGTACCCCAAAACCATTTGTACCCTGTTGTACCCCCTAATTTTTGTACCCTCCGAATTAAATGCCTAGTAAACGGGTGAGGGAGTAAAAAATCCAGTAGTCATGGATCTATTCATCCGAGTATTTTACTGGTTTTTTACGTTTTTTTTCAAAATTCCATTTCCGCTCAACTCTGGTTTCCACACAGGAAAAAACCTCTTCCCCGGGGTTTTTTTCCTCATTTGATTTTGCGTAAAAAAAACCAGTAAAATACTTGGCTGAATAGGTCCATCAATGAGTATTTGGCAATAATGTCTAATGATGTCTAATAATTTTTGGCTGTATTACCTTTCTGATCCAAGTACTCGGGTTCATTGCTTTCCGTCAAAAATGTTTGTCGCCTCTCTCGAACAATACCGTCCGGAATGATAAAGTTTGCGTTATGGAAAAAACTCATCAGATTCGGTATGAAATGGAATTAACAACAGGAAGTCTATGAATGGCGCCCAATACGAGTTTCAAATGTTCCATTGAAAAAAACCTTTAAAAAGCATTATTATATACTCAATTTACCGCTCTTGCCCCCTCGGTGTTTGCGTACTCAAGCCTAATTTCAGATATTTTGGCTTGAGTCTGCAAACACCGAGGGGCAATAGCGATAAATTGAGTTTAGAGTCGAGAAAAAAGTATTCTTGAAAAGAGTAAAAGAGAAGAGTAAAAGAGATAAAAGAGTAAAAGAGTATTTGAGAAGAGTATTGAAAAGAGTAACAAGGAGATGAGAACACTTGGAAAAGAATATATATATATATATTCCAGCGATATTGCGTGGGATCGTTTTTTTTAGTTCACAAATTCACACCGCAAGTATGATGATAGCATAACAAAAGTACTAAAACGTGTATTGGAGCATTATGCGAAGCTACAATATTCCCACTCTTTGTTCACCTGTTATTATTAGTTCTCTATCGGAGGATTGACTAGTGGGCTTGAACAGAAGCTTCCAAATGCTCAACTTTTTGAATATATTTTCACCTCTAATGCTTTCCAGATCCTTTAAGTTGAAATGAAACACTGAACATCGTATTTTTTAAATATATTTTTATTGAAACTAGAAAAATATCAGATGGATGCTTGAACAAACAAATGCGGTTTTTATAAATTGTCAAATGTCTGGAAGCGCTTTATATCACATTGCTTAGATTTCGGTGTTATTTCAACCATACTGCTGTACGCACTTGAATTCTGTAAAATTGATACTGTCGGACCATTTCACTGCGATCGCGGTATGTTGAGAAACTCTTTGCAGGGCGAACTGCAATGATCTCGGGGTCGAGTAAAATTATTTTGCCGCTGAAAAAGTCCGTGACAAAAGGTCGGAAAACCAAAAAGGTCGGAAGCCAAAACGTCGGAATGACAAAAGGTCGGAAAAAAATGCCGAAAGGTTAGAAAAAAATGCCAAAAGATCGGAAAAAAAAAGAATGACAAAAGGTCGGAAAAAAGTGACAAAAAGTCGGAAAAAAATTCCAAACGATCGGAAAAAAATGACAAAAGATCGGAAAAAATGCCGAAAGGTCGGAAAAAATTACAAAACGTCAGAAAACAGGTATTTTAGCAGTTTTCCGACCTTTTGGCCTTTTTTCCGACCTTTTGTCACTTTTTTCCAACCTTTTGTCATTTTTTTCCGATCTTTTGGCATTTTTTTTTCCACCTTTCGGCATTTTTTCCGTACTTTTGTCACTTTTTCCGACCTTTTGGCTTTCCGACCTTTTGTCTTCCGACCTTTTTGGTTTTCCGACCTTTTGTCACGGACTCAAAAACTCGACCACCGATTCGAATGCGATCGCGACAGAGCGCGATTGCAGAGAAATGCCCCTAACATTCTCAACTGCATATTTTTCGAGAAGAACATTTTTTTTTAGAAAAATTTAAAATGCGGAATTAAGATAAACTTATGATTAACATTACACAAAAGTAGTACCATCTGGGCTTTCATCCGTCGAACTTTTTTTTGCTCCTCTTGAAAACCTTCTTTGAGTTGCTCTATTACGAATAGCACGATTTTCGTCCATCCTCGTTGAGTTGTCTGGGAGTTTCCAGATTGGTCATGGACTCATTCAGTCATGAAGACGTATTATGGGGGAATTTCTCTGCAATCACGCTCTGTTCCTAATCTGCCCGAGTTTTACCGCCGCGAAATGAAAATGCGGCTGATCTTTTCCATTTTTCTTCAAACTCGGCTCCGAGATCATTGCAGTTTGTACTGCAAAAAGTTTCTCAACAGAGCGCGATTGCAGTCAAATGCCTTTTTGAAAAGTTATTTTTTAAAAAGCTTATCAATCTTTGGCACCACCTCAGTCCGATCTTTTTTTTCTCCCCATTCCAAAGTTCTCTCGATCATAGCGGATGCAAACTGATCTAATAGTTGAACACGAAATTGACATCCGACTAGAAAAAAGAATATATTGATCGATAAGGATCGGAAAACTTCCGAACATTTATCCTTGCTTGGCCACATGTGTTGCTCTCCAGCTTTTCGGAGGCCAGCAACAGTAGCAGAAGGCGAGTCCAAATTGGCAATAAGATCGTCCATCAGAAGTGTAAATAGTTGGGCATGGGTCTGTGAATTAGTCAATTTTGAAATGGAAATCGCGCTCTATCGCAATTCCCGTGAATTCAGTGCTAAATTCGAAAATATCGTGGCCGTGGCCGAGTTTTCACGTGGTATTGCGGAAGAGCGACATATCCAGAACGTTGAGGTGGTGCTAATAAAACCATTTACTTTCAGTCGTTCATGTCCTTCATTTTTAGTGCCAAACATAATCATTTGACGTATCTCTGGATGTTTGAAGAAAGAGTTCCTAAAGATGCTTATTGCTGGCTCCAATGCGCCCTGGTTTCTCGCATGATTCCACGTCTTTCTCACAAAAATAATCTGCGGCTGTGTGAGATGTAGAAATTGGTGTATGTATGGAAAACCGTCTGCAAAGAAAAATACATTTGAAGATTATGGAAAGTAAATAAGTCGGACTCACGGCTCGACCTATTCACCGCGCTTATCTCTTTTTCCTTTGATTCGTTCCTGAATCCGTTTCGTAAAAGTTTCAATGAATTGCTTTTTTGAATGTTGTTCGAAACGTCGGGTTGCTCTGGTTCACCACTGCTAACTGTTCTTTTCACGGAGATGCTGGAATTGATTGAATAGAATTCAATTGTGAAGCTTGGAATTGACGAACTGGCTACGAGGAGTTACTGCTTCCAGAAGATCAGAGTTTGACGATTCAATGGAGCGTCTATTGAGAGAAGAAGCTGGCGGCGAACGAGTTTCTTCACCTGGACGAGCGAAATTTTAAAATAAACACTTGCGTGACTAACCGGGAGACATTACATAATTCGATGAACGGGAGGAGCAAAATACTTCGTCATCCGAATTGTTGATGTCGTCGTTCAGTTTTATTGGGGGCAGGAATTTTCCTGAATTAGACGGTTTTTCTGTAGTTATGGGGCTATTCAGCGTATGTTTGTTTTCCGTTTGTTTTTTTTTCGTTTTTTTACATTGCTGAATTGGATTTTTTGACGTAAAATAACGAAAAAAAACGGAAAACAATCATTTTTTTCACAGCCTGAATAACCCCATTAGACGATTACATCACATGGGATTTGGAACCGAGCCGATTGCCCCGAATCGGAACTTCCCTAATCAGAACTGTAAATTTTTTCTGGTGGTCGAAGCGAATAAATGAGTTATTTTTTTTTAAACTGGTACGAATCAGAACCAATTTTCAGTTAAATAGTTTGTAATCCAGCTAGCTAATTCGCGTTTCCAACCGGACCTAATTAGATTGCTAACTTACTGCGATTAGATTGCAAATTCTTCTAACTGGACTGATAAATTTTCTAATTAGATTGCATAAACACTGATATTAGATTTAAAATTTATCTAATTAGATTAAAATTTCGGGCAAACCTAGCTGTTTAGATTGCAAAATCAGCTAGCTAGATCGATTCAGAAATCAGTAGCAATCTAACTAGGTCCGGTTAGAAACGAGAATTAACTAGTTAGATTAGAAACGATTTGCCTGAGTTAGCACTAAAAATAGTTTTGATTCGTACCAGTTCTGATTCGGGAAGTTCCGATTCGGGGCAGCGCCAATGTTCCACCGTTTTTGACATTTGGCTGCTCAGCTATGCAACCATATTTTTTCAGTAGAAATTTGAAAATTCGCACGGCGCCAACCGCTTCGGAACTCGTAAATGTAAATGCTATTTTTAAAATTTTTTAATCTAGCGACTCGCGTCGAAGTTTGCCTTTAGATTCGAGGCGAATACGGTAAATCAGAATTTGTTCTCCTTTCTGACAAAAAACCGATTATAAATAGACGGCTACTGCTAAGTTCAAATGTTACGAAATTGAACTAAAAACGGCTTTCCTACAATTTCCTCTCCATTTCTCTTCAAAAATTCGTCTGAAATCGATTTTTTGAAAAGATGGTAAATTTTGCTCTACCGTACCCGCATCAAATTCAAAGGCGCTGAAGCTTGACAAGTTTTGTTCCGTGCGAAATCCGACTTCGAGAAAAGCCGTCAAATACGCAGCCAATAGCTCGGTCTTAAAAGTCTTGTTCGAAAATAAACCTGTAACATGTCGGTATTTTCCTGGAGCAGCTACAGGACATGCGGCAGACTGTGTAGCAATTGGCGATTCCATGTAGAAGCGCTCTGAGTGAAAGTCACAATTATAATAAAGTTCGGAAAGTTGGTGGGAAATACGAACCTTGGGAAGAAATACTGGAAGCCGATCGTGGAATGGTGTCGCTGACTACTCTACTTGATTGGTGATGCGTAGACGTCGAATGTGATACCCGTGAATTGGTACCGTTTGAAGATTTCGCTGATTGGTTACCCATTTTCTGATACTGAAATTTCAATCAATATCATTCTTGTTTGTTCCAAAATCTGGTTTTATGGATGCATTTCTCTGCAATTGCGCTCTGTTGCGAATCGGAGACCGAGTTTTTCTGCCGCGAAGTAGCCGAACTAAAAAAGTTTCTCAATAGAGCGCGATTGCAGTCAAATGACCGCATATTATCGACAAAATTAGATAAATGAATTTGGCAGAGATCGCCATAATAGGAAAGCAAATGAGAAATGGGAGATACGAGAAGGTATTTGTAGAGCACAAAGTTGAAAGAACCGGAAAATAGTAAAGTTCGGACAATAGAGAAGCAGCGAAGCAAAATCGCCTCGCTCTATGAGGACTCTAACTTGTAAGGGAAATCCAAGTCTCGCTCGGATTTATGAGAACATGATTGAAAAGTTATTTGAATCAGCTCTATTTCCATGTTAGATTTCAAAAATAGGTCGTTTCGATGCAGCAGGCAATGTAAAATCTTCGATAAATTTGAAAAGTTTGGATAGCAGGTTTATTCGCTAGTAAATTAAAGTTTAACGGAGCAGAAACAGCGATGACGAAGACGTAACACCACACTAAACAGCGACGACGACGAAGGCGGCTATTTTATTTATCCGGAAAGACGTAGACGAGGGAAAGAACGAGTTTTTTTTTTCGAAAAGAAGATAGGCTCTTTGAGTAATTGAGTCGACGTGAATGCCCTTATTGGCCTTCGAAATTATCAAGCTCCCCGAAAACTGCTCAAAAATATAGAAAGTTTGACGTGACGGGAGGGTGAGGCTCTGATAAATGAATTTCGATTTAATTAGAACTCATTCACGTCTAATAATGTTTAATAATGTCTTATGAATAATATCTAATGATGTCATGACGTAGTAAGCGTGAATGATCATGTTCCCTAATAAAGTTGCCTACAAAAATATACTCTACTTCATAGCTGTCATAGTCTATAGATATAAAACACATTTCTGATGCCAAGTTAATCCCTTAGAGCTCTCAGAGAGCGAGACGATTTTGCTTCGCTGCTTCTCTAATCATTTATTTCTATTTTCCATCGCGAACGCGTGCGTCCATCGTCGACTTTCTTTTGCGGAAAATCTTGAGTTCAGATGGTGGTGGCGGTTCTGGGCAAGAAAGTTTACCAGATATGGCTCGTGCTTATTTGGGACTCCTCTGAGGTTTTTGAGAACTCAGGCACGGTCTCCCACGACGCGAATGATTTCAATGGGGCGCACTTGCAACAGGCGGGCTGTGTGCGGCCGATTAATTAAAGGACCAGGGAACCCAAAAATTTTTTGATTGTTTTGTGAAATGTTTTTGTGACTGTTTGAATTGTCTCTTATTGCCTCATACACTGGTGAAATGCTGCCTCTCAAAAATGCCAATGAACGAAACGGCATGCAGTTGAAGTTGTGGCCGTGGCCTAGCGCCAATGGCCGAAAAATATATAAAAATATATGCGCTTCTCGGCCATTTTATTTTTTCCGCTTTTTTTCCGGTTTTTTTCCAAAAATTCACGGTTTCTCCCATTTTGGCACTTCATATCGACTGAATGAAAACAATTTTTTAGCAGTGAAAAAATAAGTAAGTGCCGAACAAATGTCAATCAACTGAAAAATGGGAGAAACCGTGAATTTTTGGAAAAAACCGGTAAAAAAGCGGAAAAAATAAAATGGCCGAGAAACGCGTATATTTTTATCTATTTTTCGGCCATTGGCGCTAGGCCACGGCCACAACTTCAACTGTATGCCGTTTCGTTCATTGGCATTTTTGAGAGGCAGCATTTCACCAGTGTATGAGGCAATAAGAGACAATTCAAACGGTCACAAAAACATTTCACAAAAAAATCAAAAAATTTTTGGGTTCCCTGGTCCTTTAATTTTCAACGGGAGTTCGCGTTCTTTCCATGTTTTCTGTACAATACACCTACTTTTTGTACGCCTGGAACCTGGATTCGAATAATTAGAGCAATAGCTACGTTTTGGTAACAGAAATCTCGCATATCGTTGAGAATTAGCCGAGTTATTTCGATTTGAAGGTTTTGGCCTGGATTTTGATGTTTTTCGAATAATTTTTGAAAACTGCTCAAGAAAACTAACCGCCAGAACCTGAATTTTGCGAAGAAAGATTCAGCGAACATTTTTATCGTTCGTTGGGCTCATGAAATGCAAAATGAGCTGAAATATAAAGGTTTGAAGTTTTGACGAAATGCGAAAAAGACGCTAAAAACATGAAAAACTCTAAATTCTGTAAAGAACGGTTTCCAATCAGTAAAATATTGTTTTCTAGACGTTTTTCAAGTCAAAAAGAAAGAAATAAAGGTCGTAAACTCGAATTGAACTCCATTTTTAGACTTGCAAATTAAAAGTTACAACGACACTCCGCAATTTACGAGCGCGCTGTGTTTGGCAATAGCGCCCTGGAAACCGTCACAGTTTCTTTTTGCCTACTCTAATCGTTTCCATTTTTGGACCAATCGAATGTGAAATTACAGGTGTACACAGCATGAAAAAAAGGGGAAAAGAGAGAGTAATGAAAAATTTCTCTTGATAGTTGAAATATGCTCAAATGAGAGCTTATTGAAATTGTGGAGAGTATCCTCATGAGGAGAGGAGGACGGAAAAGATATTCATATCTTCTTTATATATAAAACGTTTTTTTTTAACAAAAGAGGCGTCTGTCTGTCTTTTTGGACGTCCACTGAACGCAGCAGAAGGAAAGTCGGATCGGACAAAACCGAGTGGGGGTCGAACCTGCGACCGAGTTCGTCCAATTCGCAAAACAATCTCGGTAAATGCCGGCATCTTCTGAGCAAACTTTGGGATGACAGCATCTTTTGAACAACATTTCAGCAACTTTTGAGCAAACGTTTAGCGACGTCAACTTTTGAACAACACTAGAAGCTTTTGAACGACAGTTCAGCAACTTTTGAGCAAGCTTTGGGGCTCAGGCAAATCGTTTCTAATCTAACTAATTCTCGTTTCTAACCGGACCTAGTTAGATTGCTACCGATTTCTTAATCTAGCTAGCTGATTTTGCAATCTAAACAGCTAGGTTTGCCCGAAATTTTAATCTAATTAGATACATTTTGAATCTAATATCAGTGTTTTTGCAATCTAATTAGCTTCGCCAATCTAATTAGAAAATTTATCAGTCCAGTTAGAAGAATTTGCAATCTAATCGCAGTAAATTAGCAATCTAATTAGGTCCGGTTAGAAACGCGAATTAGCTAGCTAGATTACAAACTATTTACCTGAGGGCGATGATATCAGCTTTTGAACAACTTTTTTTCAGCGCTTAAAACGAAGCTTCCAATATGGAACCTCTCGACTCTCGACGACCGAAATGTCAAAGTTTGAAGAGAAGACATTTAGAATGAAACGATCTTCAGTTAAAAAAATTAAATTCCGAGTCGTTAGATGATGCCAACGCGCTCTATTGAAAACTCGCTCACGCGTTGCGGAAGCCGGCTTCTATCACCATAATTCGTTTTAAATAAAAAAAAATACTGAGCATGAGTTTGGTTTAAAGAACACCTGAGGATAGCGTTCGCAGTGGAACTTCCTCCCTTAAGTTTTTGAAGCGCCCGTGGTCGACCTTATCAGAGACTATTTATAAGAAATCAGAGAATCAGAGAGATTGTGGATATCATCAAAACTCAGCGTTTTGTTTGAATACATTTTGGTGTCACTCACTGTTTATCGAGACTTTGCTGAAGTGCTTGTTATACCAGTATCACTCGAGATAGCAGAATTTTGCACGTGAGTAAATAATAATTCTGTCATAGAATTGAACGAAAATATCTTATTGCGCATCCATTTGCATTCGACATTATTGTTCTTTTAACGGACTTTGAATCGAGCGTTCAAGTCCGTCGAACGGTATACACAGACTCCTGTTGAAAATGTATTGAATACAAGCGCTAGTAATTATCTTCTCACAAAAACGAACGGAAAACAGCTAAATTAGTGAAGACCTGGATTTTCAGCCAAGTCGGCATATTCAGGAGCCAGAGGCGAGCTTAGCGGTTACGGTTGGCAATGATGGTCTGCAAACACTACACCACAAAATGTTGCGAACGAAAACATGATAAACGTTTTTTTTCATTTCCAACCGTACAAATAAATAACAAATGGTTTTCCCTTGCGGCTTTTTTCAAGATTCATGTTTCCTGCAGCCGCAGAATTCGAATCAGTTGAGAAAGCGGAGAGTTTCGAGTTTCTTCGTGCTCAGAGAGGTCAACTCGTGAAGGGAGTATTCACATTGGCCCATACTCCCACGGAACATCATTTTTCAGTACTGACAAAAAAATCCTGAAGGTTCTGGGAAGTTCATCACTGAAAAGCCAACCATTAGCGTTTTTATTTCTCACTATCCGTTATTTTGATTGGCACCCAACCTGAACGAAATCGGGATGGGCCAGGCTGTCATATTTGTTCCCACTAATCCAGAACGATACGACAAGTCTGAGAACCACTAACTTAAATCATTTCCGTGTTCTGCCGCTAACAAGAGAAGAGTCGCCCGCCCTTAAATACATTTGTATCGACCCAATGGCGTCAGCGATTCTCGCGCTCTTTTTCTCGCATGAAGCCGCTCCAGAATTCTCTTCCTAACAACAATTGTGCTCAATGTGCTGCCCAAAGTTGTCTCCTTTTTCACTCGAGCTTTCTTTTTGAGCTGGTTCTATCATTTACTCTCTTATAAAGTTGATTCAATCTGCGAGTTACTAGTTTCGAAGTTTCATTGTTTTTCTGTTTGTCTGTCTCCCCTTTTTAACTTTTAAAACAAGAACAAGACTTTCTCGATAATAATAAATATCAAAAATTTAGGTTCACCAAGCTTCCCAAGCATTACCATGAGTTTGGGTGGATCAACAATTCAAGCCTATCGCCAGTTGGTCTTTTTTTAAATCTTTATATTTAATTCACCGCTCTACGGCGCTAGTGGGCTCATTCAGAAGACACTGCGAACAATTGCGAACATGATTTGAAATTCCCGCCAGTATTTTGTCGCTACGTAGCGACTCACTCTTATGCTAAAGTGGTACGGCTTGCGATACGGAGCGATAAAACAGGCCCGAGCGTGTTCACAAATGTGGAAGATGTTCATCCGGCACTTGCATTGACAAAAATGACAGAAAAAGAACTTCTTTTGAATGAGCCCCACGGCGACCAAAAACGTAGAAAGGGGCGTGGCCTAGCGTGCACGGTTTATCACCATTTTAGCGCGAAATTAGAAAGAAAAAAATTAGAAATTTAACCTCATTTTCTATGTTTTTCGTCAAAAATTACCCAAATTTTGTACGATTTCGACGATGTAATTGCATAACTTTGTTATTATGGGGCACCGGACAGAAAGGGCGCGCTGTTCGCAATCTGGCCGAATTTCCAGGCCGCGAAGTAATTTTCCACTGAAAATGTGGCCTAACTTTTCAAACTCGGCCTCGAGGTCGCTCAATTTGCACTGCAAAAAGAGTTTCTCAACAGAGCGTCATTTCTGTGCGGTGCCCCTATAATATTATAGGGGCACCGGACAGAAAGGGCGCGCTGTTCGCAATCTGGCCGAATTTCTAGGCCGCGAAGTATTTTTCCACTGAAAACGTGGCCTAAATTTTCGAACTCGGCCCCGAGGTCGCTCAATTTGCACTGCAAAAAGAGTTTCTCAACAGAGCGCCATTTCTGTGCGGTGCCCCTATAATATATGAGCATCTTGTCCGTTCCGTTCAGTTAACCATAGTTGCCACGGGCCGGGTCGGGCCGGGCCGAAATTTCCAAAACTCCGGCCCGGCCCGGCCCGGCCCGGCCCGGTCGGCCCGGTTCAAAAAGTGGGAATTCATAATTTGAATTATTGATCGCATGAAGCCATTTTTTGTAGAATTAAGGGTTTTTTGCAAGCATCGAACATTGAAAAACAAATGTATTTCTCATAAAAAATTTATAATAGCAAAAAAACAAAGAAGAAACACTAAAACTTTAGTTCGAAAATTTTTTTTGTAATAACGAAAAAAAAATTTCCACGAAAATTTGAATTCCCGCCTTTTGAACCGGGCCGGCACTTTACCGGCCCGCATGGCCGGCCCGAAATCTGGCAAGTCTGCAATTAACTTTCGCAAAATTTTTCGTCTCTCGAACAATTAAGCAGAAGACCACAGTTTAAACCTAGAAAATTTGTTTTTTTTCGTTATAACTTCAAATTTTTTAGCGCCGCGTCGTCGGATCTCACAATGAAAAAGCTAGAAAAACAACTTTTTCCGAAGTTTCTTTTCCAGTTTTGTCTGATTAAAAAAGTTTCTTATGAAAAAAACTATCATTTTTCTCTGCTGATTGAGTCCATCAAACCGCGAGCATGCGCCTTTTAGTGACGACGCTTTTACTATTCCTGGCACGCTTTCGGTGCTTATTTTCGAATAATTTTCGCATTGATGTTCGCATCATCACTCCGTATCTAATTTTTTTTGGAAACTTGTCTAAGATTTACTATAAAAATACGAGTTTGCTAAGACATTGTTCCTGAGGGGAACTTTTGAGCAGATTCTGCGCAAATATTTCTTCTGGCTTTTTAATATTTCGCAATAGTGTTCTATAGATACTCCGCCGGAATACACGCACACTTCTCTTGTTGGTATGACGATCAATACGACTTTTCCGCCTCCCCCTTTTCTGTGATCTCTCGGCTCCGTCTGGTGCGTAGTCGGTGTTTCCACGAGATTGTCAGCCGTTGCTTGTATAGCCACAACGTCGACCGATAATTTAAAATAGGAAAACGGATTACCACTTATTATTTCCCATTCCATGTGTCATCGTAATTTTTCCGCCACGCGGCTTTTTTGTCAGGTCTCGTGGAGGTTCTTCTATTTATTCGGGAAATAACTATTGAAATGAGGAAAGAAACATTTTTCGATTTTTCCTGTTTGGAATAGAATTTTTCTGCGGAACACACCCGATATTTCCCAACTCTGCAAGTCCGCTATTATTTCTTCAAGTACCATTTATTAAAATTGCAAAATTTGCTATTAATAGGTAATTGTCAATTCTTGTAAGATTTTGAAAGTATTTTGTGATGTGGTCATGTTTTTAAATGACAAATTATTAGCTCAGTAATCACATGACCATGATGAAACGCGCTGAAAGGAGTCCGCACGGGGTCGTCATGGGTACATCGAAAACTAAAATTTGAACTTCCGCCGACGGTCGATTGCGTAGCGCCCCTATCTTAAAGCATTAGGCCAAAGCAAAATTCTTGAAAATTTCAGTAGAGCGCACTTGCGCCAGTGTACCCCGCCACGACTCCGTGGTCCGTGACAAAAGGTCGGAAAACCAAAAAGGTCGGAAGACAAAAGGTCGGAAGACAAAAGGTCGGAAAGCCAAAAGGTCGGAAAAAAGTGACAAAAGGTCGGAAAAAAGTGACAAAAGGTCGGAAAAAAATGACAAAAGGTCGGAAAAAAATGACAAAAGGTCGGAAAAAAGTGACAAAAGGTCTGAAAAAAATGACAAAAGGTCGGAAAAAAGTGACAAAATATCGGAAAAAATGCCAAAAGGTCGGAAAAAAATTACAAAAAGCCAGAAAACAGGTATTTTAGCATTTTTTCCGACCTTTTGGCATTTTTTCCGATGTTTTGTCACCTTTTTCCGACCTTTTGTCATTTTTTTCCGACCTTTTGTCACTTTTTTCCGACCTTTTGTCATTTTTTTCCGACCTTTTGTCACTTTTTTCCGACCTTTTGTCATTTTTTTCCGACCTTTTGTCACTTTTTTCCGACCTTTTGGCTTTCCGACCTTTTGTCTTCCGACCTTTTTGGTTTTCCGACCTTTTGTCACGGACTCGCTGAAAGTCGCATTTTGGGGGACTTGGCCTAGAATCCGATGAAGTTTTCTAGGCCACGTTTGCCAAAATGCCATTGTTTTTTCGCCGATGGCATGTGATTACTGAGCCAAAAACATGCCGCTTAACACTGAGAACACTTTTGCTTGATTTTTAATGAAAAGGGGAAAGAATCACCGTGTCGGCATAACTGCCAATTTTTGAATGTTGCACGTTGCAGATTGTAGAGCAGCTGAGAAAACAAAATGTATTTCCGACTGTGAGCGACCCGTTTCACTTCTTTATTAGTTTTCACTTCAGACTAAACAATTTTCTAATAGAAATTTCAGACGAAAAATAGAATCACTGGCGAATATGTCAAATTTGTCGCAGGACGACGTGACAACTGGCCTACGAACAGTCCAACAAGGGCTTGAAGCTTTGCGCGACGAGCATTCTACTATCTCGAATACACTGGGAACAAGTGTCAAAGGTATGTTTGAAAATTGTTGAATAGTCACTCATGTAATTAAATTAAACTTTGCAGGAGTAAAGGATGACGAGGCTCCATTGCCGAAGGAAAAGCTCAATCAGATAAATGATAATTTGGATAAGCTGATGATCGGAGTGGACGAGACATCCATGATGCTAATGGTTTTTCAACTGACGCAATCTATGGATGCACAGCACCAAAAGTATCAAGCACAGCGTAGAAGGCTTTGTCAAGAAAATGCGTGGCTCCGCGACGAACTGAGCTCTACTCAAACAAAGCTCCAGCAGTCCGAACAGATGGTAGCTCAATTAGAGGAAGAAAATAAGCATTTAAAATACATGGCCTCTATCAAACAATTTGATGATGGAACACAAGGCGATACTAAAGTTGTTGCGGACGTTAGTTCCCAGCCGGTCACTAGCGAAACTCTGCAAGAACTTGGATTTGGTCCCGAAGACGAGGAAGATCTTAGTGCTAGTAAGACATGATTTTCTTGCATTTTAACCTAAATTTATCTGTTTTTCCAGGTCAGTTCAACCAGCCGACGCCTGCACACTCCATGGCTGCCTCGGCTAACGTTGGATACGAAATCCCAGCTCGTCTTCGAACTTTGCATAACCTTGTTATTCAATACGCGTCTCAAGGTCGCTATGAAGTGGCAGTGCCACTTTGCAAACAAGCTCTGGAAGACCTGGAAAAGACAAGTGGACACGATCATCCTGATGTTGCCACAATGCTCAACATTCTAGCCCTCGTTTATAGGGATCAGAATAAATACAAGGAGGCCGCGAATCTGCTCAACGAAGCTCTGAGCATCCGAGAAAAATGCCTCGGAGAAAGTCATCCTGCCGTTGCCGCCACACTCAATAATCTTGCAGTTTTGTTCGGAAAGCGCGGAAAATTCAAGGATGCTGAACCATTGTGCAAGCGTGCTTTGGAGATACGCGAAAAAGTTCTCGGAGATGATCATCCAGATGTGGCAAAGCAACTTAATAATTTGGCACTGCTTTGCCAGAATCAAGGAAAGTATGAAGAAGTCGAAAAGTACTACAAACGAGCTCTTGAGATTTATGAAAGCAAATTGGGCCCAGACGATCCAAACGTGGCCAAAACGAAGAACAATTTGTCTTCGGCGTATCTCAAACAAGGAAAGTATAAGGAAGCCGAAGAGCTGTACAAGCAGATACTGACAAGAGCCCACGAAAGAGAATTCGGTCAGATAAGCGGCGAAAATAAACCAATCTGGCAGATTGCCGAAGAGCGAGAGGAGAATAAGCACAAAGGAGAGGTTTCGAATTCTGGCGAGCAAGCCGGATGGGCAAAAGCTGCGAAAGTAGACAGGTCAGTCATTTCTTTATGCATTTCTTTTTCATATTTCTTTATTTTTACAGTCCAACTGTAACAACCACATTAAAAAATCTGGGAGCTTTGTACCGCAGGCAAGGAAAATATGAAGCGGCCGAGACTCTGGAAGATGTTGCCCTGAGAGCCAAGAAACAGGTGTGTTTTACAATTCATCTTGATTAAAATATACAAATGTTTCGTTTTTACACAGCGTGTGGAACTTTAAAAATATCGAAATTGAACATTTAGCATGAAATGTTTGGTGGCCCCCGTTTGTGATGAAAACCGAAAATTTATGTTTGGAAAACACGCAAAATTGGTCACGTTTCATGATTAGTTGGACCTTTTGCAGTCCAGAAGCTGTAAAAGTTAGAATTTCTGCTTAATGAGCTGCTTAAAGGAGCCCGAAACTGACTGTTTATAAACTTAGTTGTTGTATCATTGTTGTTCAATTTTTTATATTGCCTGTTATAAAAGTTGCGCTTGTGCTTTTGTGCAAAGCGTTTCCCCACCGATTTTTCGCATAATTCTGTAGGGCCTATTTGATTCCGATGCACGTTAAAATTGAATTACTGATGCCAATCCAGAGTGCTTTTGTAATTAGCAATATGGTTCAGTCTGTTCAGGCTAGTCATTCGTCTCACTCGTATCGTTTCCTCTTTCAGCATGAACCACTGCGTAGTGGAGCACTTGGCGGAGTGGACGAATTGAATCAGTCAATGATGGGCTCATCAATCGGAGGAGCGCGTTCACAAATGACCACAAGTGTTTCACAAACTGGACTGAAAAACAAACTGATGAATGCATTAGGGCTCAACTGAAAGTCGACAAGTATCATGCTATTCTCCACAGTCTTGTATGTATTGCAACAGTTCGGCAGTGATGCGAATGATATAATTAAATATATATATAAATAAATATGTATATGCTACAAGCCTGCCCCGGCGAATGCCGGGTTTCAGGCTTGGCTACGGTCATTGCTGCGCAATGCAAAAAAGGTCGCTCCGCTTGCATATTATAGGGGCACCGCACAGAAATAACGCTCTGTTGAGAAACTCTTTTTGCAGTGCAAATTGAGCGACCTCGGGGCCGAGTTTGAAAAGTTAGGCCACATTTTCAGTGGAAAATTACTTCGCGGCCTGGAAATTCGGCCAGATTGCGAACAGCGCGCCCTTTCTGTCCGGTGCCCCTATAATATCTACTATCTCGAAACCAAACTTTGCAGGCTTCTAGGACTTGGATTAAAGTATTTTGGTTTGCGGCCGAAAAGGCCGGCTTTTTGCAAAAATTGCGGTCTTATCAGTTCTATAATCGAATCGGTCTGAAATAATCGAATCATAATCGAATCGGTCTGAAACTTAGTTTCGGTCCGATCGGAATATTGCAAGTGGGTCAAAAGTAGAGGCCTCAAAATGCCTTCGAAAAGCCTGGGACGAATATTGCCCAGCCCTGTATTTTCCCCCTTTTTTGCATCGCTTGAGAGAAATACACTGAATAGCACCATTATAACTCCAGTGACCTGCTTTCCTTCTATTTATGTAGTGCATGCATATTCTATAATTTTATTGTTAATTTGAATAGTTATGTTTATACTCAATGTTTCCAAAGCCTGGTTGCAGAAAACGAGTTTCGGTTTCACGAAATTAACGATTCGGCTGAAAATCTATTTTTGAGCGAAAATTCTGCAGTCGGGCCCCGATTATCGGGGTGTGCAAACACAGAATTAACTAATTTATTTAAATACAGAAAATTTCACGTTGCAGTCCGGGTATAGTCATTCTTATTTAAAAGAGGGGTATGTCGGACATACTAAATATTTCTCTGTTTGCCCGTCCCCTCGTTCATTTCTAAAATAATTTCATTTCTGAAGTGACGAACAATTGAGAAATTGACACGTGACCTTTTTGACGGGTATGAGAAACAAACAAGCGGCGAAGCCGCTTTCTAGCGTTAGCTCGAACCGCGCAGTGGGCCCAGTTTTAAAAGTCTTGTATAAAGATATGGACAGAAGTTAGCTTTTCACTATTAGCCCCGTAAATGTGTAGCATTGTCGTTCTACCGCAATCCCGGCGCTACAACGTAATAGAACTCGCACGGAATAGAACTGTTATGATACAGAACTCGCAACGTTAAAAAAACAACTGCTAGTTCTATATCGTAACCGTTCTATTCAGTGCTAGTTTTATTACGTAGTAGCGCACTGAATTTAGCACTGAATCCACGTAGAGAGCGGTAGAGCGATTGCCAGAGACTTTTGCGGCTGCAATAAATAAGAACGATGTTCACTTTAAACAACAAAATTGTTACAGATCTACGATGCGAGAAAAATGGAACGCTCCGTTGCGTACTGATGATAATTATAGCTTTGTCTTGTATTGAATTGTTCTGACTATTCTGTAATTTTAATCAACATTTGTATCGCATTTCGCTTCAGTCCACCCACGACTCTTAAAATATTACTCTTGCATAATTACCAATCGTATGCTGCATGTTATGCATAAGGTATTCATAAGATTTTTTTCTCCAATTTTCTTAATCAGATGCGTCTCTCTCTGTCTCTCTCTCTCAATAAATATTATGGATTGCTTGACTATTTTCTAGTTGGTAAATTGTGTTATATGTCTACTTATGTCCTTATTATTTAGCATCAGCACCTCAAAATTATTATAGGGGCACCGCACAGAAATGGCGCTCTGTTGAGAAACTCTTTTTGCAGTGCAAATTGAGCGACCTCGGGGCCGAGTATGAAAAGTTAGGCCACGTTTTCAGTGGAAAATTACTTCGCGGCCTAGAAATTCTGCCAGATTGCGAACAGCGCGCCCTTTCTATCCGGTGCCCCTATAATATATCAATTTAAGCGCCGTGGCCGAGAAATAACGAGTCCGTGACAAAAGGTAAAAAGACCAAAAAGGTCGGAAAGCCAAAAGGTCGGAAAAAAGTGGCAAAAGGTCGGAAAAAAATGCCAAAAGGTCGAAAAAACTGCTAAAAATGCTAAAATAATACCTGTTTTCTGACTTTTTGTAATTTTTTTCAGACCTTTTGGCATTTTTTCCGACATTTTGTCACTTTTTTTCCGACATTTTGTCACTTTTCCGACCTTTTGTTGTTTTTTTCCGATCTTTTGTCACTTTTTTTCCGACCTTTTATCACTTTTTTCCGACCTTTTGTCATTCCGACCTTTTGGCTTCCGACCTTTTGGTTTTCCGGCCTTTTGTCACGGACTCGGAATAACCACGGTCTCCTGATCGAAAAATGTGCCAGCTAGATCGCGAAATGCGCATACTCAGCCGTCTCTAACGCGTGACCGTAGAGCGCGCTTGCATTATCATCGAAAAATTTCTTGATGAAAACAAAAGAAGTTGTCGGCGACATGGTTAACACAAAAAATAAAATTTCAAAAAAGCAGAACAAGCAAGGACAAAAATTAGGAACATTTTTCTGCAATTAGCTGATCAAAAAATTCGTGCGTGTTGAAGAGAGCCAGTTTTCTCGAAACGTGGGTTTAAAAATTGTCAAGGGGCAGGTACAACCCAGCTTTCTCAACCATTTTGATACTTTTTGTTAATACACGATTAGATTTAACTATTGGACACAAGAAATCTGTAAAATAAAAGCGGGTTGACTAAATGGGATCAAGTAAACTACAGAAGAAAAACGATTCGGTCACTTAAAAAATCAGAAAATGTTTTTTCGAAAAATGTGAGACCTACAAGTTTTAGACATCGGGAAGGACTACAATTTGCGATTTTGACCAAGAAAAAATATGCACTTTGAACGGAGATACGTACATTTCAAGTTTTCAGTTGTAAAAGTAGTGGTTTTTTGTGTTTTCTCGAAAAATCGAGAGCTAGACAGAAATTCTCAAAAAACGAACGCCTACAAGCGATTCCAAATTTCATAAGCTTTCTTTTGCGACCTCTAACGAGCAGATTGGTTGAGATTGAAGCGAGAAACGTAGATTTGAAGTAGACCGACTCGAGCTAAGCTTACGGTAGATCAGATTCTCACAGGCCCACCGACGGCGGCAACGTTCATTTTCACTCGACTATCATTTAACTTGTAATTTTACGAGTCTTTATGAATTTTCTGACATATATTTCAAAGAACTGGTGTATTCTGACTCTTCCGTCTAGTAGAAGACGTTGTGAATATAGCATCATAATTCCGTACTCCAGAATCGCGAAATGTCCGGATTTTTGATTGCTGTTTGTTTTAAGAACGCATATAGAACACATTGAAGTTAAAATAAGTCGAAAATCGTTTTTCGTTCTCCGACAGCACGCTTCTAAAGAAGCCGACGGAAGACTGTAGTTATTCCCGTCGACGTATTCGTAGTCACTTCGAATTTTTTCAAGTTTTTTTTGTTGCTGTTTGTAAGTAGCGGTCTTAATGAACACGTTCATAAAGAAAAATGAGAAGATGAATCAGTACTCTTCCGAGAGCACGCACCTGAAGTCAGCAGAAAACTGTCGCTCTTTCAGAAGACGTCTCCGTGGACACTCCAGAACATTTTTTCAAGTTTCTTGTTGCTGCTTCGAAGTACTGATCATATTCAACATATTCCCGTAGAAAGCGGGAAAAATGAATCAGTACTCTTCCGAGAGCACGCATCTGAAGTCAGCAGAAAACTGTCGCTCTTTCAGAAGACGTCTCCGTGGACACTCCAGAATATTTTTTCAAGTTTCTTGTTGCTGCTTCGAAGTACTGATCATATTCAACATATTCCCGTAGAAAGCGGGCAAAATGAATCAGTACTCTTCCGAGAGCACGCATCTGAAGTCTCCGATGAAACTTCGTTGGCCACCGAAGTGTGAAATCGGTGCTCCCAGTGTGGCTTACACGATTAATTCCGTTAAATTTTTGATGATGTGGTCATGAAAAACCCTCGGGCAACGTTTTCATCACGAAATAACGGAAGATGATTTTGATTCTCACTTGTAGCACGCATAATCAACCGCAACACGAAAAATGCAAATTTCGTACTGACGCCGGCATGTTTTTCAGAATTTTTTGTTGCTCTTTGCAAGTTTTGCTCATGATAAACACGTTCATGAAGAAAAACGGAAAGGTAAATCAGTATTCTTCCGGCGGCGTTCCGAGCGCCACGCCAACTCTCATTTCGCTTCTCGAGCGACAGTAGGCAAGCGAGAGAGTGCGAGACAAGGAGAATGCTGCCGGCGACGCAGAGAGCACGCGTAATTGCTTGCGCTTTTCTCGTGCAGGAGACCGTGATAACGGCGGGGACGCGCGGCCGTGGACTAGAATTCTCATCGTGGACTTGAAGAAAAATCACCGCTTGCAGCTGGAGCTGATAAAACGATTCTTTTCGCTGAAAACCCGGTAATTTATTGATCGTGTGGATTATTGACGATTGTCGTTTTTTTAAATGTCCGATACTAATATTTTGAAAATGTAAATAAGATGTCATTGGCTTTTTTTTACCTTCCGAAAAAAAAAACTAAAAATAACTTGTTTTGTTTCAGCACTTTCAGTTCTTAATTCGAGCGCATATTTGAAAGACTTATTTGTTATTTTTTCTCTTATAAGCCTTTTCACTTTGCAGAGAAACATGATACCTCAAAATCCTTATGAATCTCACATCGATCTTGCTGTTTCAGCAACTTCGGTAAGTTATTTGGTGAACTAAACGCTTTTCATCACAGTACTTTTCATCACATTACAGGCTAATTTTCGAGATATGTCAAACGAACAACTCATCGCCGTACTCGATGATGACGCGAAGCTGGAGTCAATAATATTGAATCTCCCTCAAGTCAGTTTTGTTTAATGAGTCCGTTATCTTTGTTATTTCAAAATCAGTTTTTTTGTAAATTAATGTGTTTTTTGCAGGTGCGTTCAATTCCAACTGACAAAGAATCAGCCCTCGCTGCAAATAAATCGTTAGCTGAGTGGAATCTCGCTCAAAAGCCGAGAATCGATGCAATAAAGATTCTAATATTCAATCTCTATGATCAACTGAAAGAGTTACAAACAGAGGTTGACCATCTCAAGAATCAACTCGGTACGAATCTCTTACTTTAGCATAATGAGGATATTCAGTGATGTCAAAAAAAAAGCAACGCGTGCACAGTTTTTCCATTTTCTCTGGCATTTCGTTATTAATCTAATCGTAGTCTACTCGAGTTATACGGCGGCCTAATAAGATTGATATGACACCTAATTAGATTAATAAATTGTCTAGCTAGATTAATAAATCTTCTAATTAGATTAATAAGTGCTCAAATCAAGTTTCACGCCAACCGTTTGTTGACTCAAACCTCGATTGCGCCAAGAAAAAACAGCCGAATCTAATTAGGTCGCGTTTAGATCAGTAACTTTCTAATTAGATTAATATCGAATTGCCAGAGTTTTTGACATCGCTGGATAACCCCATTATGGTTTTAAAGTTCATGGCTCTAGAGCGGGCATCTTCTCAATTTTCATATTTGTCGTGCACTAAAAAAGTAACATAGTTTTAAGCTGTAGTTCGAAATGGGAAATTTATGTTTCCAAAGTCCCAAATTTTGGTGAATTTTCGAAAAAAGCTAATGAGACCACGAGAAGTACACGGTTCGTGTTTTCGTGCGGCACTCGGATAATTCTGTCTGAATTTCGATTCTGATCCTGAGTTTCGACAATTTTGTGTCTTTATAAATGGCCTCGAGGATACTGAAACGAAATTAAAAATCTCGAACTTTTTCCAAATTTGCCGCCCGGGGACTAGAAAACTCCACATGCCGTACTTCTCGTGGTCTACTTAGCTTTTCTGGAAAATCCAGCCAAATTCGGGGAGATTTATTCAGAGTTTGGTACTTTGGGAACATGAAATCCCCACGTTGAACTTAACTTTTAAAATATGTTACTTTATTAGTGCACGACACTTTTCAACTTCACTTCCAACTCCAGATTCTATCTCCTCGTCGAAATCGCTCGACACGACATCAAGTTTGATGCAGGTGGCAGCTCAGGAGGCCGACGATGATGCCGAAGCGCTCACGACACGATTCGAAAGCGGCGAATTGTCTATTGATCTGTTTTTAAAACAATTCAAAGAGAAGAAAGCTTTGGCACATCTCCGAAAAATCAAATCAGATCGTCTTTCCGCTCTTTTGCGTGAACAAACGTATTCATTCGCTCAGACTACTAGTACGCCAATGCCACAATCGAGGTATCCAGTGCCGCATCAGATGCCGGTAATCGATCATCCGTTCGGATCAGGTTACTCAGGATATCCAACTTTGTCTCAACCATCTGCTGGCCGTCATCCATTCTTCTAATCGATTTTATTTTATTTTTAAGCAAGAACAATTCCAATAAATTGTTTCACTAAACATTTCTTTACTTAAAGTTTCGGTTCCTTCCATTTTTATCTTTCTCGTATGTCGAACACTTCATGTTTTCACAGGAATCAGGCGTGTGCGGAATCAAAAATGATTTAAATTCATGATTTCCAACTTAAATGTTTCCGAAAAATCCGGAAACATTTTTGAAATTAGCAACATTTTGAAGGCCTCAGCATAAAATTCAGAGACCATTTTTAACGACAAGAGTAATTTTGGCGGATAATTGCTTAATTATTCCGGTTCAAATCCCGAAAATCACGTGATTTTGCACCGTTTCCGACATTTCCGCACAAGCCTGGCATATTGATCGATTTTATAGCGCTCAATGACTTCCAGGACGACGTTAAACGTTGGTCTTCGATTGCTCTGTCAGGTTAGAATTTGACAGTATTTACTTTCCTTCTATGTCGTGCAGATCAAAATACACCAGAATAATTTTTGTTTTGCAGAGTCGAAACTTTGCAACTCTCAGGGAAACTGTTGGCGAGCAAAATTCGAAAATTCTTTACGAACCTATTTTTAAGGATGAAAGGGAATTTCCAGGGTAATTTTCTATTGAAGAAATTCTTATGCGCCTGCTCTGTTTCCCCCAGATATAACACAGTCAATGTTCAAATGCAAGGATGCGATTTCGGCTCACTTGAAAAATATCAGGCGTATGTGCACAAAATTGCGAACCGGTTCGGATTTTCGGTTGCGGATAGCTACGCTGTAGCTGCTCGTGCACAGAAAGCAATCACCTACAAACCGTACTCAACTCTTTCGGAGTCTGAAACTGAAATCTTCGTTTATCATCGAGTTATACGTCTCACTGAAGTCGCTGCTCCTCGTTTTTCACTTTTCAGTCAATTAATTACAGCGCATGTTCCAGTCGGTGTTACAGTGAGTTACTGGCAAAATTCTGGCAATCGTGCATCGCTCGTGAAAACCCAGCCGCGGCCGAATTCACGCGAAGAGCGGTAGAGCTCGATTGCCACACTTCTGCGGGCTCCTCGACATTTCACAACTCGACATTTCGCAACCGCGTCATTTCGATACCCACGTGAACTTTCACAGTGCAATTTATCGCTAAGTAGTTCACGTTTGTTGCGAAACGTCGCGGTTTCGAAATGTCGGGTTGCGAAACGTCGGGGAGCTCTTCTGCGGCTACAATATGTGCCCAACTTTTCTACGTTTTAGGTAACCTTGAAAGAACACGAAAAAGTTGATGAAGACTCACGATATATTCCCGACTTATTGCTAAAGCAGAAGCAAGAAGAACTGAAAGCGCTCGATGACCCAAATGTCCGTCGCAATCTTGGCTGGGAGTAGAAAAAATGCTTCAAGTAATAGTTGATCTTATGCTTGTTGGCAATTCTTGAATAAATCAGTTAGAAATGTTTTGTGGTGATGGAAGTTCGCAAATCGGGTGAAAGCCGTTACTGTACTTTTCATTAACACGACACTTCAGAAGACAACGCAAAAACTTAAGACATACTATTTTTTTCACTGAGAGGTTGAGCACAATTCTTCAAAACTTTTCGAAATCCCTCATGGCCCTTTATGAGCTCGTTGACATCGGGGCCAATTTATGCCACCCTTCTTATGAAAATGATCTCGATGAAGTTTTGCAACGAGCCAAGCAAGCCGGAGTGCAGAAAATCATGGTGACTGGAACTAGCGAGAAAAATAGCGAAGATTGTGGAAAGCTAGTTCAACAATATCCTGGATTTCTTTATTTTACTGCAGGTAAGTATGAGCACCTCAAAATTCTGGCAGTGACGCTCTATCGCAGTCCCACGTGAAAACCCGACCGCGGCACTGAATTCACGTGGAGAGCGGGTAAAGCGCGATTTCCAGAGACTTCTGCGGCTGCAATAATAATAGTTTCACACGGCGTGCTGAAGCATGTATGCAAAAATAAAATTTTGATTTTGCGGGAAAAATCGCTCGTTGCCAAGGCCCTTTCGGGTGATGAACCCAGTTGCTGGGCAAAGAGACTACTCGTTGGACAACCGGATCCTTTCACTGTGTTTAGACGAATACCAATTACACTTTATTGCCAATGGGACTTAGGATCCATTTCTCATGAAGGTAGATGTGGGCGTCCAGAGAAGAAGAAGGTCGAGTGGAGAACCAAACGGGCAAAACTTGGAACTCCCCATCAGAACCCGGGTCGTTGCCAGTGGCAACTTGCCACGTTGACCTCGACCCCGTGTGTGAGAATCTTCCAGAAGGTCGATAACGTGGAGGTCAATGGGGTGCTTATCAGAGGGTAACACGTTCCCCGACTGACACCGAATTGGGACGTGTAAAGACGAAGGGTTGAGATCCTCAACTTGAGGAAGGGATGGATGACTAGCACATACGCTTCAACTCGCCGTGTTTCAAATATCCCACTGAATGTCTTTTTCAGGTGTCCATCCCCACAATGCAAAAGACTGGAATGCTGGAACATTAAAAACTTTGAAAACTCTTCATGTAAGATTTTTTCTAAAATGTAAAAAATTGCCCTTTTTCACCGGTCTACGCTTTTAAGGAGGCTACGCCGAACCACAACTATCCCAAATCAGAACTATTCGAATCTGAATTGTTCGTAATAAAAAAACCACGCGCAGATAGGTTTTGTTCGGGACAGTTCTGATCCGGGGCAGTGCCACAGAACAGTGCCCCGGGGGCACTGTTCTGATTCGGGACAGTTCTGGTTCCACGTACCCTCTTTTTAAGGATAACCCCAACTGTGTGGCAGTCGGGGAATGTGGTCTCGACTTCAATCGAAATTTTTCTCCACAAGAAGTTCAAATCGATGTGTTCGCAAAACAAATCGATCTAGCTATTAATCTGCAAAAACCTCTCTTCATACACGAACGGGATGCGCACGAAGAAATGGTGAAAGCGCTTGACCGTGCTGGATCCTCGTATGTTTTCCTTCCGAATAAAGCTGATATTAATAGAAAAACATGCTTCCAGGCTACCACCTGCAGTAATTCATTGTTTCACAGGCACTATTGACGAAGCCAAAAAGTATATAGAGATGGGGCTATACATCGGCCTTACAGGTCTGAAAAGAAACTCTTTTGGAAGTTTTTATCAATCAATCTGCTCAGGTTATCTATGGAAGGACAGGACTACAAATGGCGTTCAAGCAGGTCTTCGATCTGGGGAAATTCCTGTGGAAAACTTGTTGCTAGAAACTGACGCGCCATACATGTACCCCAAAATTAACGATAAGAAACTGTCGAAGAACATCAAGATTGAATTTTCGCCAGTAACTGAGGCACTCCATAAAGTGAGAACTTGTTTCTTATTATTGTTTTTTTTCATGCGAGGCTTGTCTACAGGGCTCAAGCTTTTGAAAATAGTAGTAATTTGGCTGAAAACACGATCATTGTGCTAACAGCGCTGATTTTCTTCTTATTTTTGAAAAAAATGAATTATTATAGGGGCACCGCACAGAAATGGCGCTCTATTCAGAAACTCTTTTTGCAGTGCAAATTGAGCGACCTCGGGGCCGAGTTTGAAAAGTTAGGCCACGTTTTCAGTGGAAAATTACTTCGCGGCCCAGAAATTCTGCCAGATTGCGAACAGCGCGCCATTTCTGTGAGATGCCCCTATAATAATGAGGCTTGTAAGCTGGTCGAACAGACGCCTGAAAAAACACTCTGGGAACTCGATCGCAATCTAATTAGAAAACTTTGCAATCTAATACGAACTCGTTTGAAATAGAATTTGCTTCAATTCGATTGCAAAATCTTCTAATTAGATTGCAATCACTGCAATTTTTCTAATTAGATTGCAATTTTTCTTATTAGATTGCAATTCAGGAAAAATATATTGTAATGTAATACGATTTACTGGAACTTCAATTAAATCTGATTAGATTGCGAAATAGAGCGTTTTCTTATTAGATTGCAAACTCTTCTAATTAAATTGCAATCGAGTTTCCAGGGCAGGCGCAGGCGCCTGAAATCGCCTGTTAGACCAGCCTAGAGACTTTAATTCAATAAAAGGGGCGTGACCTCAGCTGAGACGCGTATTTAGAAAACTTCAGCAAATGCAGCACTTTTTCGCCATTTTTTTGTTAAATATCCATGAAAAACGATATTTGAGGGAGGAAAACGACGCAATTTTCGTGAGAACGCAACTTTCGAAACGTTTTTTGCCTAATGGGGCTATTCAGCGTATGTTTGTTTTCCGTTTTTTTACATCGCTGAATTGGATTTTTTGACGTAAAAAACGAAAAAACGGAAAACAATCATTTTTTCACAGCATGAATAGCCCCATAATCCGCTTCCCGCAGAACTTACTGAAATTCGAGCAATCAGCACTTGTTATAAGTAAAAATGGTGTTTTCAGCTGAATCACCTGTAAAAAAATTAATAAAATACTTAGTACAATTTCATTCAGTTTTCATCGTTCAATCGAAATGAGCCCTCCTCTCTTGCGGCAGTGTGTGAGTTGGTTGCTGCGTTCTCCGGACGAGATGCTAAGGACATTGCGAGAATAACGACCAACAACGCCAAGAAAGTGTATAAACTGGAATAATTTTTACTGAGCATTCCGACCTTTTGGAATCCGATTTTTCATTTTATGTCAAGTTTAAATGTGAGAAAACTATAAGAGACAAATTTTTATGTACTTCACGGTTTCTGGTTAATTTTGAAATATAGATCATAGATTGAGAACAGAGTCTATGGCCAGATAGCAATGCTAGTTTATTAATGCGTCTAGCTGGTCTCCCAGTGCATCACGACGAACATTTGTGAATACTCTCGGCCGCGTTCGTATCGCTCCGTATCGAAAGTACCCGAAACGCACGCTAGCGACAAAATACGGTTGGAAAATTGGAACCATGTTTTAGAATGTTTGTCATGTACATATTGAATTTTCTTGAATTTTAACAAGCAAGAAGCACTAATAAATAGGCAGGGTTATCTGGCCTTTTGAGTTTGAGTTGTTTTATGCGAGCCACTTCATACATCTTGTGTCGTTGTGGACATCTCGGCACGGGATCGAGCAATATCTATACGAAAAGGTAAAATAACGAGATGATACTAGAAAGGCAACTCACTTGGCGCCACATCGTGTACAGCAATATTTCGATGAAGAACCGCACACGGCACAAAACTTCCTTGCTGGTTTCGAAGAGGGCGAAGCGGTTGCTAAGTAATAAGCGCTCACTCTGAACAAAAAGGACGAATTAGGAGTATTTTTATTTAATTTACTATAAGATTAATCGTTTTGCTAATTTACGTTTCTATAATACATTTGCGGGATTTTTCGTAGCTCACCTTCGATAATCGGGGTCTGTTGAATCAAGAATTGATTTGTTTTGCTCTGTTACATGGCCATTGAACGTCTTTTTGAAGCGCTGCTTATTGAATTCTGGTCTTGCCAACTTTCGTTTTCTCGCTTTATCGCCGCCAATAGGTGTTCCATGTTTCTCTGTAAAAAGAGTGAAAATATTATTAAACAAGGAAAATGTTTTCAAAAAAATCTACAGAAAAGGAAACTGCATTATTGTTCAAATTGGGCGAAAAGAGAGAAGTCCTACCGTTCTTGGTTTTGCAAACTTTTTTCACCGCATGTCCTCCGATCATTTCATCGCCAAACTTCGGAGCAGCTTTGTTCCACACAAGGTTAGCGTGTGGATCCTCGTGAGCATTGTCTTGTTCTAGACCATCCAATTGACGCGTTCTTCTGTGTCGTCGAGCATTTTCGTCGAGTGTTCGGTTCCCTTCGAGATTTGATATTCGTGAAGAAGCGCGAATTTGACTTGTATTGGAAATTCTAGCTAGAGCAAGCATATCTGAAACAGGACACGATGAAGCAAGACAGAGGAGCCGACTGCTAAACGACCTAGGTCAAAAAAGTGGACCAAAATTAATTTGTCCAGAAAATGAAAAAAAAAAACGCTTATTTGGACGAGAAAAACGGCGGGGACTAAGCCCCGGGGACTAGAAAGCTCCGCGAGGCCTGCAGAAAAAATCGAGAAGGTGAAAAAATGGCGAAAAACCGAAATACCGCGGATCCGAAAAAATCGGAAACAAAAACTTGCGCATGCGCCTTTAAATTTCACATTTGTAGCCCTCTGATTAACGGTCTAGCCCACGGCCCGGCTTTTCATACATAGGACTTTCGGTTTTTTCAATATATCTCCAGAAATCGAACATAGGGACCTCTGATTTTTTGACAAGAGTTCAATTTTACTGGGTTCTTCAAAATGAGCCAGCTCAGAGGTAGATGTAAGGTTTCTGAGAGAAGTTACAGCTTCATAATTTCCACTCCTCCGTATGCTTTGCCGGCCCGTGTAGCCCTTATTTTAGGACACTAAATTGCTATATTAGTTAAGTTGAAGGCCTCAGTTGAATAGTCCCACAATTTATCGTCCCAAAAATGTCGCAATCGGTCCATTAAAAACGCCAAAAGGCGCATGCGCAAGTTTTCGTTTTCGCTCACAATTTAAATAGAGCGCATTCACATTTAAATTCCCCGATAGTACAATACAGTGGAAATTGATGAGAGAAGTTATGTTGTTAATCACGGAGCCCCCGCATGCGCAAGCGAGTTCTCAATAGAACTCGTTTGCATCATCTAGCCACTAGTGTGGCCACTCGGAACTTAATTTTTGAACTGAAAATCGTCTCATTCTCAATTTTCTCTCTTTATGTATAAGAATTTCTGGAAAAAGTCTGAGATTATCGATTGCGCGCAATTGCCTGAGAAAGCCAAGGGTAGTTTTAATAAGTATATGCCGTTCTGGAAAGCTTTCGTGAAAAAATACAGAGAAAAGTACAACAAAGCAATGTTTAGAAATGAGCATGTCAAAGTTAGTTGCGGAAAGCAAGGTCATGTCAGACATGAGAAAAAATGTTATGACGATGATGTTGAGTTGATCAAATCGAGAAAGGTGCATCTATCATTACATCAGAACTGTTCGCCTGGAAACGTTCGAAACCGACATCTTAGACAATCCAGCGTTCTCTTGGGTGATTAACAATTTTCCGCAGCACAGCTGCTTGATAAAAGCGTTCCGGTAGTCGCCACTGCGCCAATAATATATGTAAAAGTTACACGAATATGATATCAGTCCTGGAAAATTTATTATTAGAGAAGTGGTTATGTTTTGTACTTAACCTGGAATGACTGCATAGGTTGAGACAGTGTCCGGGTTCAAAAACGGGTCAGTCATGTTACTCGTTATTGCAATAAGGGCGGCCGAAAGAACAGAAGATACCGAAAAGACTGCCGCCCCAACAATTACCGTATTCAGTATTTTTTTTTGAATTAACATGTTTTTTTCGTTTTTGTTTTTGAAAGCTGAAATAGCGAAAATCTGTAATTAAGTTAGCGAAAGAACAACTCACTGCAACAATATACAACCATATAAGTGTAAAGGTACACGAGCAATGTGAAAATGGCTCCCCAAAGATTGTATTGGTTCCAAGCATAAGATATCTAAAAATTGTTCATATCTCGGCTATGTTACTGAATTTCTGACAGATTCTGGCATGGCATTCGGCAAAATACAAGGTTCCACTTCCGAATCATCAATCTTTAAAAAACTTGCAATCTGGAAGGAATATGTGTACTAAAACAAGATTTTAAAATTCATGCCCTTACCAGAAAAATGAACCCAATTATAACTCCAGGTGAAATCAGTGAAAAAATATATTTTCGTTTGTTAATTGTCCGATACAAAACGACAAAGTTCAATGCAATAAGCCTATCGACAGCCAATGCGAAAATCATGTAAACCTCAAAAGGCTCGATAAAAACGTATGAAGAGTTGGCCCAAAAGCATCTTCTGGAAAAACAAACAAATGAAGTAATCTTACATAGCCATTATAGGGGCAATGCACAGAAATGGCGCTCTGTTGAGAAACTCTTTTTGCAGTGCAAATTGAGCGACCTCGGGGCCGAGTTTGAAAAGTTAGGCCACATTTTCAGTGGAAAATTACTTTGCGGCCTAGAAATTCGGCCAGATTGCGAACAGCGCGCCCTTTCTGTCCGGTGCCCCTATAATAAGCTTAGCTAACCATACACGCTCCGCTGCACTCATTACTTTGCTTTTTCTCATTTTAGTTTCCAAATTTTATACGAATATGAAAAAAGCAAAGTGCTGGTTGCACGGAGCGCGTTTGCTTAGTCGGGCGGGTTGGCAATAAACCGGGAAACCTGAGTGTTGTTCCCTCCATTTTCAGAGTCAACCTGATAAATGATTGAAATTCGTTCAATAAACACAAAGAATCGCACACTGCCAGAACGGCCAGCATGATTCCTGAAGTACAAGAATTACCGAACAGCACTGGAATGTGCTATTACTCACCACATTTGTGCTGTAGAGCAGTGTTTGAATAAGTTGCATAGATAATATTAGAATTTCCAAAAACACCTATTATCGCAAAAAGAAGTAGACACGTTCGGATTATTTCAATATCCGTATCAGTGGTCATAAAAATGATATCAAGGAAAATCAGAAGTTGAATGCCCCTTTTTTCGATATATGCGTTACAATGTCTCTCAGCCAAATATGTTGAGGGAGAATTGAATGATTTTTGCACACACGCACACACACACACACGCCTTTGTGATAATTCGTTTTTCTAGGGAAAGTTAGTAAAAGGTAATAGTTTTTTATAAAGTTAGTCACTGATCATTCAGTCCATGCAATAGAGCACAGAAAATGCCATATCAATTTGTAATTTCTCGCCTTTTCCGGCGTTCCGCCTTCGAAGTTCCAGATTCCGTAGTTTAGACTATTGTTTTTTATATTTATGGTCTCTCACATATAATGCTGACTAGCCGACAAATTTGAGCAGTTTCAATATTAAGAAGCCTTAGAATTTTTCTTGCAAGTACTGAAAAGTGAGGAATGCACATTTTTGTCGTTTTTGTTTGGGGAAAAAGTCCATCAATGGCCACTGATTGGTTCTGCTAATGACCTAGAAAACTGAAGTCTTCCGCCAGCAGGATTGCACTTTTACACCCTAATTCCACTCTCGCAATATTGCTGCTCATAATATTTGTTCGCTCATTCATCGAAAAAACTCTATATTTCAAGAAAGAGACTAGAGAAATCTAGCATTTTCTCATTAATATTATTGCCACGTCTAACCGCAACAGTATCCGTTTTATATTTTTTAGTTTCATGTTTTCACTGTTTTCTCGGATGAAAAATAGCAATTATCTCGAGATTGAACGAAGCGTGTCCCACATCATGTCGCGTCACCTGACAGATGTGTTTTGAGTGCTCACTATTTTCAAATTTATATCCGTGCTTCTTAAAAAAATTTTCAAGCACTGAAAATAAAAGTATTATGTTTCTCGGAAGGGGGGTTCCGCCTAATTAATACCCTTTAATGTCAGTATCATATATCTATTTACACACTTTCCAACGTTGACAATGCCTTTTTTCGTTAGACCGCGAGCATTCTGAAATTCGGAATGCCAATGAGGTTTGCATTATTTACTTTTACACTACTATTTTTCGTTATAATTGCTCACTTTGAAAAAATCCAATTTCTCCCCCAGTTTTTGTATTTTACTACGCAAATTCCATTGCATAAAAAAAAGTTCAAGACTACTGAAAATCTGAAGTCCCTCCATTATTATTTTTAGACTGATAAAATTATTATTTTTAGACTGCAAAAATTATTATTTTTAGACTGATGAAAGTCTGAGAATACGGTAGACAATTATTCGAAAATTGAAAAATGCTATATACTTAAAATGTTTTTAGATGCCAGGATCCGTGGACCAGGAAATTCACATGACCAATGAACCGCCCAGTATTCCAAAGTGAGTGAGAACATGTAATTCTATTTCTCAAACTTCCAAAAACTTTCCATTAAAATGTGTGCGAAATAAGATGTGCCGCACCTAATCCGAATGGGTTTAGACCCAATTTTTATGTGAAAACGATGTATTAACACGCCCACCATTTCATTCGAATTCGAGTTCTTTGTGCATTCAATTCTTTCTTTATTTGGTGCCAAAATGATTCACTCTGTCTCCATTCCAAAAGTAGCACACAGCGAGAACAGTGCGGCGTAGGTAGAGCTTCACGTTCTGTTTAATGGATTGCAACTCAATTGGAACTCATTCACATCTAGCTAGGCATGTCCAATAATGTCTGATATTTCGAACGGTTTCTAATTAAATCGCAATCCATTTACCAGAACCATGAGAACAATACTGAAGTTCAATTTTCAGTGGGCTGACAGAACACCGAACTCATCAATATGTGAATCGCCCAGATGGAGAGATGGACATGATGATCGGGTTCTTTCTAATGAACGGATTTTGCGTTTGTCAGTTCGGAAGTGAATTGAATGAGTAATCTCGCCTCTATTACAGCATTCTTCTTGTTGTTCGGTCTCTGCGTAATATTTTCATGTCTTCGAAAGCGCCATTCTTTCTCGCAGCAGAAGCATTATTCTGAAGTATTTACATGCATTTGACTCCAATCGCGCTCTACCGCACACCACGTGAATTCAGTGCTATATTGGAAAAGGCGGATGGGTTTTCACGTGGGATTGCTGTAGAGCGCGATACTGCGTTTTAATACTGCGTTTTTGGGGTTTATAAAATACATTTCAGACCGACCCGATTCTATCTGTCCAAGAAGAGTCTCTGAAACCTAAACTGAAGTGTAAGCATTTATAGCTAATTGCAATCGCGCTCTGTTTCTAATCTGGCCGAGTTTTTCACTCGAAACATTGCCGAACTTTTTTATTTTTCTTCAAACTCGTTTGCACTGTAAAACGAGTTTTTCAATAGAGCGCGATTTCAATTAAATGACCCATAGCATATTGCCTTTCAAAATATTTTCAGCAATCGTTAGTCAAGTGATCAAGTCAAATAAATGCACAACAAAAGTATCATTGGAGAAAAGAAACGATGAGATGACTTCAAATACCGGCGACAGCCAAATTGTGATTTAGAAAGCCCCAAAGTCATATTCAATTTTATGTGTTTCCAGATTAACTTGAGCGCGCCGCATATTTCCCGTTCTACATCCCCTTCTCCGTATGATCGAAAAACAAGTTTGTCCACTAGTCGACGACCGTCATTCGAAAACTCACGGCGTTGCTCAACATCAGTTTCGCAGGAAAATTCAGCTATGATCCGACATAACTTACTTGGACCATTGTCTTTTGACGACCTTCACTACATGTAATATCACAATTATATTGTACTCGTCGTACTATTAGCTCCATAAATTTTTGAGAGTGTCGCTCTAGCGCAGTCTCACGTGAAAATACGGCCACGTCTCTGAGATTCGCATATTTAGAACTAATTTTGTGTGGAGAGCGATAGAGCACGATTGCGAATGTGGAATTTATAATCTTTCAAAGACAGGGCTGTATAATGTTTTGTGAGTTATTTGTAAACTGTATAATCCTTGAAAATTATTTTATTTTTGTGAAAAAGAAAGACACAATATGAGATTAGAAAACACAGCGTAAACTATTGGTCTTCATTTCTTTCCCATATATGGGAAAGACATTTGTGATCCGAGGCCCGTACCACCCATAGATCCCATTCCATACGGTGACATTCCATACGGTGAAATTCCAGATCCGTACATTCCACCCATTGGCATTCCCATCATGCCGTAACCCATGCCATTCATTCCGTAAGGACCTTAAATAACTTTCAATTCTGGAATTAACCGATAAGTTTAACGTACTCATTCCTGGAGGGGGCATTGGAGGAGGCATTCCGCCGTACATTCCATTCATTGGCATTCCCATCGAACCTGAAATTTTATTCCAGTACTTGAGGTCTTTTAATAAAGATGATTGTTACCAAGACCCAGAGAAGCAAGAAGCGGATCATTCAAAGATGAAGTATATGAAGATGGAAGCGAACTGTAAGGAATTAGCTCAGATTTCATAATTATTGAAGATTTTTGAATACTTACTTCGAAAAAGAAACAATTAACACAAGAAAAATAGTAGCTGAAAGTTGGCATCTCATGTTCATTTCAAAGTTGATGACAAGTAAGTTAGAAATAGTTTTCTATTGTACGAGTATACCAGTCTTTTTAATGTTATGCTCTGATGGGCGTGACTGTTCCCCTCACTAGATATACTTGGACGACGAGTAAGCGCAGATTATCCAACCGGTCCAACGATTGTCTTTTTTTTCAAAGCCATGCACTTTTCAGATTAGGAAACAAAGAAAGGGAAGTTCTGAAGTATCTCTTCCGCTTAGAGGTATTCTAATATATCACTGAAGACGAAGTGAAGTCAGGTGATGACAACGTTTTCTCGATTTGAAGGGCATCGTAACAGTTTTCGGGAAAATAACATCACTCGATGCGCTGTTGAAAAGGGAGTCCAGGCTTTTTAGTGGAGTAATTTTATCACCAGAAATCACTTTTAGTGGGACAGACTACGAAAAGTATACGGGACGTGAAGTTTTCTAGTCCCCCGGCCACCAAAGTTGACAAAAAGTTCACGAAATCCAGACCATCCATAAATTACTCTGGGAACTTGATCGCAATCTAATTAGAAAACTTTGCAATCTAATACGAACTCGTCTGAAATAGAATTCTCTGGCAATTCGATATTAATCTAATTAGAAAGTTACTGATCTCAACGCGACCTAATTAGATTGGACTGTTTTTTCTTGGCGCAATCGAGATTTGAGCCAGCAGACGGTTGGCGTGAAACTTGATTTGAGCACTTATTAATCTATCTAGAAGATTTATTAATCTAGCTAGACAATTTATTAATCTAATTAGGTGTCATATCAATCTTATTAGGCCGCCGTATAACTCGAGTAGACTACGATTAGATTAATATCGAATTGCCAGAGATTTTAGGAGCTTTTCCGATACAGAGTTGTGTGAGCGGATAGTGTGATAGACTTGACGCGATATCCTCTAAAATTTCAAAATTTCTACGGTCAACACTCAGCGTCATGTTCGGAAATGTTCGCCGTGAAAAAAGTATGATCAAAAACAAGAAATATCAGAAAAATGCTCAGGTAAAACATATTTTATATGACGAGCCGGGCCGGCCCGAGAAATGACAATTCTGATAAAAAGAGTTATTTTCAGTTCAACCTAATATTTTATTTGTACAAGTAGATGTTTCCGCTGAGTCAAATTTACTGTTCATTGACAATCCGCTGAAATAAAAACGAAGAAAAACGATTTTAGTATCTAAAATTAACAAACCGTCAATAGTGGTAAAATATGTTTGTGTGTGGCATGGGATGATTCCGTGAACGATAGCCGTGCATCTTTGTCTAGTTTGTTTGCTTGTTTGAGAAGAATAACCAACTTGTCATGTTGTGGTGGGCCTTCTCTTCGAAGAATCTGAGCATTTTTTAAGTTTTGTGAAAATCATCTTACTCTGGCATTTCGTTATTAATCTAATCGTAGTCTACTCGAGTTATACGGCGGCCTAATAAGATTGATATGACACCTAATTAGATTAATAAATTGTCTAGCTAGATTAATAAATCTTCTAATTAGATTGATATGTGCTCAAATCAAGTTTCACGCCAACCGTCTGCTGGCTCAAATCTCGATTGCGCCAAGAAAAAACAGTCCAATCTAATTAGGTCGCGTTTAGATCAGTAACTTTCTAATTAGATTAATATCGAATTGCCAGAGTTACTCTGATGAATGGATTGCGATTTAATTAGAACTCACTCACATCTAATAAAGTCTAAAAATGTCTAACTAGGGAATGGCCCGCAATTACCTTGGGCTTTTGAAATGGGACCTATATGATTCGAAAGAGAATTTCACGGAGAATCCGAATCTGCTCTCCATTTTTGCTAAAGAGCACTGGCTGGCGAGAAAGTCTGCCTGTTTCTGCTACATTTTCTAGCAAGTTCATCTTCGGCGACCTGTATCTCAAGAACCACGCGTCCGTTGCAAAAGTGGTCAACTAGTAAGTTAACGCAAGTTATCTCGTGAATAACTTTGTAGTTGATCATCTATTTAAAAAAAATTAGTTTTCGAGTTATCGTCGCTTTTTTCTTGTCGCTCTAGGAAAACAGTTCATAACTCGGAAAATAATTTTTTTAAAAATAGACAATCAACTACAAAGTTATTCACGAGATAATTTGCGTTAACTTACTAGTTGACCACTTTTGCAACGGACGCGTGGTTCTTGAGATACAGGTCGCCGAAGATGAACTTGCTAGAAAATGTAGCAGAAACAGGCAGACTTTCTCGCCAGCCAGTGCTCTTTAGCAAAAATGGAGAGCAGATTCGGATTCTCCGGGAAATTATCTTTCCAATCATATAGGTCCCATTCCAAAAGCCTAAGGTAAGTGCGGGCCATTCCCTAGTAAGACTCATTCTTATTAATAAAAGTCTTGAAGACTCTGTCCCTCTGTTTATTTGTTTTTTTTGTAGTGATTGAGGTGGTGAAGTAGTTGAGATATAGGAGAAAGGGAGTAGTTGAGGCAATATAGTAATTGAGGCGATATAGTGATTGAGAGAAAAAGAGTAGTTCAGCATTCAGTGTTTGCCGTGAAACTTTCTTAAATTAGGATTTAAACCTGAAGTTCTAAAGTTTTGCCAGGATCGAGAAAGCCATGAACGGGAGAGACTTTGAATACGACGTTGTTGGAACATTTGACCTTAAAAACAATCCGACAAGTTCCATCATTAGTGAGAGCATGCCTGGACGCTCCGCCAAAGTCGATGAATTCGGCGAAGGGTGGAAATAGTTTGATGGAAACACATGGTTGCGTAGGAACAGCTGGAGAAGGAATGAGGCACGAATGTCTGGAAGATACCTCGTCGGACATTGAAGATGAGCGAAAAGATGACAAGGGGAGAGGGGATGACTAAAATTTATTGCATTTTGGAGTAGACCACATAGAGAAAGTTTAGGTTTTCCGTGTAAATGAAGCAGCAACCTTCTTCTTCCTTACCTCATGAATCCACTCCAAATAAGTGTTCGGAATTGTTGTTACGTTTCTTTGTATTGTTGTTAGCTACAAGACATTGGTTTTACAATGTTAGACATACATTCGAAAGATTTTCTAATAATAGTAAGATTTTAGAGGAAAAAAAGCAAAAACTCCCCCGAAAGGGATTAGAATAATCGAGGGGAAGCAATGGCAATTGATGCGCCCCCGAAAACGGAAAACAGCCATATGAAAGAAAGCGTCCCAGGGGTATTTACTTCTCAAGACGAAGGGAAACAATGACAGGAAGTGAATGAGAAGGGAAAAGAAGGAAACGACAGGAACAATGTCGTTTGAGGAGAAAACGTAAAGACAACATAAAAAAAGTTCCTTTTTTGTGACCGTATTCAAATGATGATCTCGCTTTCTGGCGAGTTCAGTATTCATTTATAAAAATTTGTGGTGTAGCAGAATTTTTACTTTCAAAAATTGTCAGATTTAAATTCTGGCAATGTCGTTCTACCGAAACCCTACATGAAAACCCGTGATGTGACTGAGCGCTCCGAAAACCTTTATACTTTCTCCGTCACGGCCCGTGTCCGACTTGCCTGATCATTGCCGAGCTGGCCGTAAGAAGTTCATTATGAGCTCTGGGTCATGTCTCTCGAGAATTCGGATTGGCGGAAACTTATTGTGAGAATAAACTCAAAAACGTCATCTTTTGAAGCACAAGAGAAGTGAAAATTGCAGAGTTATGCCCGAACAATTGGAGGAATACTTTTTTTTAATGAACATATTGTTAAAATGAAGTTCAAAGTGGGGCATTCATGATCCGAAAGCCCCAAATTCTGGAAAATGTCGGCAAATACTGAATTACTACAAAATTAATTACTACTAATTACTACGTGCGCTTAATCACTATAGATTATTAATTACTACATCCTAGCTGAATTACTATTATAGGGGCACCGGACAGAAAGGGCGCGCTGTTCGCAATCTGGCAGAATTTCTAGGCCGCGAAGTAATTTTACACTGAATTACTCTACGCACAATTACTACACATTATTAATTACAATATCCTAGCTGAATTACTATATTTACTTAACTACTATAATACTGAATTACTCGACGCACAATTACTACACGTTATCCGAATCACTAAGACTCTTGGTAAACTTGATCGCTTTTCAAGCTATCATCGCATAGAAAACTTGATGAAAAGAAAGCTATAAGCGCGTGTGTGCAGATTTTGCACTTCCCAAGTTGCTTAGTACGATAATCTATTATTTTCCGTTATTGCGTTCATTGCATCTTTACTATTAAACATTAAAGCTGCAGTTTTAGAAATTTACGTGACCATTTTGAAAAATGGATATATTATAGGGGCACCGCACATAAATGGCGCTCTGTTCTCTGGTAAATGATTCTTTGTCTGACCAGAAGATTTCCGAATCTGATCCAAAAGAAAGCGACCTCCTGACCTGGCCAGACCAGACGCAGAGAACTCTCGGATCAGACTCGGAAATCCCCCTGATCAGACTCGGAAATCGTCTGGTCAGACTCGAATGCGGAAGCGGAGCGTCGTATCGCGCCTTGTTTAGCAGTTTGTGAATTTAACTAGAATTTCGCAAAAATTAAAGCTTTATTGATAGAACCAGTAAAACAAAAACAACCGAGAGGGTGGACACGTGATTTGGGAATAACTAGAATACAAATACAACAACAACAACAACAACAAATGCGTTTTTTTCATGAGCACACTGTTGTCAGCGATGAGGCAAATACGCTCCGCTGAACTCGGTTTAGCCCGAAATTCATACGATATGATTTTTGCTCTTTTCTTTTACAAATTTGCAACCAATAAAATCGTATTTTTTTCCAATCAGTTCTATTCTCGTGAAAAGGATGCATCTTTGCCTGTTTCAAACAAATTTTCCTAGAAATGAGGCTCATATTTGATCATTTCGAAAAACAAATCAGATTTGCTTTTCGGATTTTCTATATGCTGTCAGACTGAAAACGAGAGTGGTTATAGTCACGGTACTGGTAACGGGTTATCCTCAAAAGTGGCTTCTTGAAATTTTCTTTTCACGATTTTAGAACTAACAACGCGGAAAACTTCCGGTTTTTCCTATGGCCTTCAATTCGTCGAAATTGATGTCGAGTCTTCCCCTTGTTGCATTGGCCACTTGTTTCTGAAATTGAATTGTAAATATTCTTGAGAAAAAAACCAATAATTCTGACTTTGAAGCTGGAGAAGCCTTCTTCTGGTGTGCTCAATGCCTTGTCACCAAGATCGAAAATGGACAATTTCCTTGGAATTGTCCAATCGGTACCATTAACTTTTTTGAAAAAAATCTTGAAAATCGGGGATTTTTTTTCGTAATTCGAGACTTTGGGAAAGTGAATGCCCCACTTCGAAGTTTATTCTAAAAATATGTTGTATGTCACGTTGGACACCGCCTTTAAAAAAATCAATTTATTGGAGACAAATTAAAATAACAAAGCTGTAAATCGACAAGAAGAGAGACAATGAGATATTGCGAAGCATGAGCCGAACAGTGTGTACTTTTGAAAGAAGTTCGAGAGAGAACTTTTTGCGTGCCCAATTTCCTAAAGTCGTGTAATAATAATAATTTTCATTCATAAATGATTTGAATAATTTATAGTTCGATTCAGTTTGATAGGCGTGGTCGCATTATCTTAATTCGCGAATCACTGTTTTGCATCTCTGATTTTATTATAGTCTCAATTTTGGCCAAGAGTTCTCTGGAAAAACATATTAAGAATGATTCTAAGGAAAATGGAGCTCACGGGCTCATGCCACCATTGATTTGACTGGTGATTTGAGCCAAAACGCTGCCACCATCTGCTTCTGAAGCAATAGTTCTTTCGAATGAACTCTTAGTAGTGGCAGTTGATGAAATTCGAGGAACTTCAGGACGCATCGTTGGTGATGCTGTTACTTGCATTATAAAAATTTTTTCTCCTTTGGGCTGTGGCAGAGCGGGAGACCGAGGAGGCTGTAGAATAGCGTGCGGCAGACGTCTCGGAGCAGCTGTTACCAGTGTTGTGCGAATCTATAATTTTTGAAGCATCGTCGACTTGTTCAGTTCCTGAGAGACAAATCTCACTTTTGGGACAATTGAAGTTTTTATAATGTTTCCTTGATTGGTTTTTTGGCTGTCAGTCCGAATTCTCTGAATTTAACATATTTATTTGTTGGCTCAAAAACCATTATTATTATTATTACAAGACTTTTCGCCTGCCGCATTTCCTTTTTTCAATACTCAATGAGTTGCACATTTTCGACTTTTCGGCTCAATTCTCTCTACTCAATGACTCCCGTACAGATTTGTCAAAAATCGAATTAAAACAAAATATTGTTCCACTAAAATTGAGCGGAGAAGTTCGGGTTGCAGAACAGGCGCCTGTTCTGCAACCCTAGGGGAAGTGATTTAGCGTGGTAGTCGTTGAATATTAGCCTTATGAGATATCTTTGTTCTGTTGGCAATCATGACCGTGGTCACCACGGACACGATCATCACTGCCAACAGATCCTGTGCTCAGCTTACGTCATCAATAGAGTTTATTTTCGGGCGAGGTCTGCTGAAGGCAGGCTTGACAACTCTCATAGGTACTGTAACAGGTACTCGGGGTGTAGTGACGGGATTGGGCGTGGTGATCTTTGTCGTAGGCAACTGAGCTAAATTTATCATCGGGAAGGGTGCTGCGTTGTTGTCAGTTTTTATCTGCTCATAATCATAATCTTCTTCAGTTTCGTCTGGTTCCGGCAGAGGTAGTGGCGAAGCAGCTTTAGGTGGGAGCACTGGGGTCAAGTTAGACGAGAAAGATCTGCTCAGCAGATACAATAATTTTAACAAATTATCTACCGGAGCTTACATTGCTGATGAAGTCTTCGGATTGCCAGGAATTTCACAATATGTTTCGTCAGAGCCATCGAGGCATTGAGGTTGTCCATCACACACTTGATCAAAAGGGATTTCAGAATCTCTAGATTGGCAAGTGAATTTTTTCTCCACTTCAGATTTCCTGCAATCATTCAGAATCATAATTTTGAATTATCATTCATTCGATAGGATTTCAACGGCTGGGCGAATGGCCGGCTCTGACCGTGACAACAACCAATTATTTTTTCCAGAATTCCAGAATTTTCCAACATTGTACAAGGCTACCCATCAATTTTATGTATTACTAATAGCACTGTTGCAGCTATAAATTTGCGGATACAATACTTACTTGCAGAGCATTTCGTCTTCACCATGAGGACACTGTCTTCTTCCATCACATCTCTCATCCATATGAATACATTCATTACTTTTGCTACAATGAAAATGACCATGACCACAAACTGAACTTATGAAAATAATGGAAGTTGTAGGTCACACACACTACAGCATACCGTCACAATCCCTTTCGTCAGTTCCGTCGTCACACTCTATTAAGCTATTACATCGTCTATCAATTGGAATACACTGCTCAGACGCCTTACAGGCGAATTCTCCCGAAGTACATAGAGCTGAAATTTCCATGAAATTTCAACTCTTGAGAAACTAAAAAACTTACGACAATTCTGCTCATCTTCCTCCATTGAGCAGTCGTAGTGTCCATCGCATCTCAAAGCCATGGGAACGCACTGCTCAGAAAGTGGGCAATAGAAATCCGTTCCGTTGCATTGAACAGGTCCTAAACTCAGAAACTGTCATGTTCTGTTACCAAGATGCTCATAAATAAAATCATACATTAGTTATTAGAGCCGCAGAAGTATGATAATCGTTCTCTACCGCTTTTCACGCAAATTCAGTGATAAATTGGAAAAGGTCGCGGCCGAGGCCGGGTTTTTACGTGGGATTGCGGTTGAGCGACATTGCCAGAATTTTGAGGTAAAAATAAAATCCTATTGCGAAGTCTTAATACGTCAGACGACCCAACTAATTTCGGTTAAATAAAATGCTGGACACAAAAATGTTCTGAACTGTTTTATCCTACGGTAACTGTTTGTTCTAAACATAGTACCCATGTGTTTGCGTTTTCCAAACGAGGCAGTCAAAACAAAAGTCGTGTTCGAGATTTCTGTCAAACACTCTAGGTGAGAAAAGCAAACAGATAACGAAAAAAGAATGGCTATTGATACCTCCGCTCCTCACTCCACACGTTTTGACATTATAATCGTAGTTGCAGTTCTGGGTTCCAAGAACATCGTAGACAAGTCCTGGTTTACATTTTTTCCGATAAGTTCGAAAACCATCACTTTGCCATCTAAAAAATGAGTTTATACGTTCAAAAAATTGCAAGAGGCGAAATCTAAAAGTCAATGACACAAAAAGTGATCCTTGAGGAGTGATCCTCTTATGGGGCTATTCATTGGATGAAAAAATGATTGTTTTCCGTTTTTTTCCTTATTCAGCGATGTCAAAAAATGGAAAAAAAAACGGAAAGAAATGCATAGCTCGCAGCGTTTTTTTCTGGCGGGTCTCGCAGCGATTTCCCGGACGCGATGCATGCGGCTACTGTGAGAGACGTTTTATGAGTGGATTTACGAAAAAATTTTTAATTTTTCAGCGAAATTGCCACATTTTCCCGCTATTTTGAACCGATTTTCACCGAAAAGCTCAATGTTTTGAACGATATGACGAAGCACTCGAAATTATCCAAAAAAAAAATAATTCAATAAGAACTCAAATTCCGTTGAAAATCGGTTGAAAATAGCGGTAAAATTTCGCTGAAAAATTAGAAAAAAATTCCCCCTTCTCGTAAATCCACTCATAAAACGTCTCTCACAGTAGCCGCATGCATCGCACCCGGGAAATCGCTGCGAGACCCGCCGGAAAAAAAAGCTGCGAGCGATGCATTTCTTTCCTTTTTTTCAGTTTTTGACATCACTGAATAGGAAAAAAAACGGAAAACAATCATTTTTTCATCCCCTGAATAGCCCCATTAGTAAAGCTTAGAATTTCTGTGGCCATGTCGAAAAGCTGAAGTATTGTTAAAAAATTAAGTACTCTGTGCAAAAACTTTGCAGTCAATTGCTGAGATGGGACAAATATAATAGTTCTGAGTTTTTTGTGCCACGACCCGTAGTGACTACAGTAAATATACTCCATTTACCGCTCTTGCCCCCTCGGTGTTTGCGTACTCAAGCCTAATTTCAGAAATTTTGGCTTGAGTCTGCAAACACCGAGGGGCAATAGCGATAAATTGAGTTTAATGTACTACGAGAGCACCTTTAATAGAAAGTCGTCACTCACAACTCAGGTAAAATTTCAAACTTTTCTAGGCGCCACCTAAACCTTTTTCAAACGTTCTGAAGTAAAAAAAACGTTTCCAAGACTTTTTCAAACTTTTCTAAAACTTTTTAATGGAATTCTCAATCCTTTCTAAGCAATTCTCAAACTTTTCTAAGAATTTCTTAAGTGGCGCCTGGAAAAGTTTGAAATTTTACCTGAGAAACTTACTGTAGAGGCCACCTCTAATAGACGGGTATATTTACAGTATATCGACTTTCTGTGACTCTACTTGAAGAAGTCAAAAAAGTATAGAAATCTACCTGCAGTGATAAAACTCTTCACTACAGTCATAACCCAAAAACTGTCCAAGTGTTGATCTGATAAGTCCAGCTTCTTCGAGAATGTCACTAGAAGATAATATTTTTGCTTTCCAAGTTTCCCGAGGGAGACAAACCTGCTATTACAAAAGTTTGGATTGATTGGTCCCTCAGCTGTCATAAGCTGTTCCATGCCATTGCCGGAAACAACTAGTAATAGAGCACTCGAACAGAGAAAGAAAACAAAGATCTGACGAGGCATTATCGAGAGCCAATGAGATTTCTCCGATTAAAATCCGAAACTTCTCGGCTCGCGGGGAAAGTGCAGATCGACCGGAGAGGCGGTCTTTGACGGCAGGGCGGTAGCTCGCGGAACTGACCAAATACACGGGTTTTCCGCTTTTGAAAAATTCGTGCCCGCGTGTCACTACAACGCAAATCCTTTCCTGTATTTCATGTTTTGCATGATAGGTGGAAACACGGTTTGAATTTCCCGCCCGTATTTTGTCGCTGCGTAACGACTCAGCTTTAGGGGAACGGTTTTCGATACGAAGCATTAAAAACGCGGTCGAGTATGTTCACTCATTCTCGCCGTTGCAAATAAAACATTACAATTAAATTAGTTTACAGTTTATAAAATCTTACTTGAAGAATACATGTGGAGGTCTGTGCAAGCCAATGTTCTTTCTAAAGATTCTGATACTGGACGCGATGATGAGTTGTAACTGGGACTTTTATGCCAAATGACTATGGAGTCTTCAGAGAAGAGTAAATTATTTTTTCAAGGAACGTCTTTCAGACATAGGACACCTGCGTGCATGGAAGTTTCCGTTCTAAGATCAAGGAAGTGTGCTTCTCGGTAAATGCCGGCATCTTCTGAGCAGAACTTCAGCTACTTCTGCCCAGAATATGCTCAGAAGTTGCTTAAATGTTGTTCAATACCTGCTATCACCCCAAAGTTTGCTCAGATGCAGGCATTTACCGAGTTCTTTCTCATTGCCGCTAAGCGCCCAATGTTTACAGGAAGATTCTATGCATAGTGTGAAAAGCGGTCAGTCGTCCATCAACGGCGCAGAACAAACACTGTGACCGTCGGAGTGCTCTTCTGGCTCTTTTGTCCTCAAAAAAAAAAACAAACGGAAGTTGTTCTGTGGCACTCTCTTTACAGTTGGAAGAAATATGAAATATGTTTATTTTTAAACTGAAAAAATACTTGATCGTGCGCCTCATAAACAACTATTATTAACTCAATATATGTTCAACTTAACTCAAAGTATGTTCAATTCTAAGAAAAAACATTTCTCTTTGATCAATATAGCAATGTTTGTTTGTGTTCTGTCATAGATTTTGTTAATTCAAATGATAAAATGACTTTATTAGATTCTTGTTGAAAATGAAATCTTTTCAAAGCACCGATTTTGGCAGTTCATATCGTAGAGTAATAATTGAAATAAAAATGTTAATTGCCAAGCAAAAAGTAAGTTGTCATCATACCCTTTCCTTTGACATTGATTTGACCACGACATTCAAACTGATACCCGTAAGGTTCTAATATGACTTTTACTTCTTCCGTAACCTGAAAAGTTCAACTGTTCTAACTTCTTTGATCTTAAGCTTAAGCTTCTTTGATGACTCACTTGTATTTTTCCAGGTACTCCTGAACTGTCCATTCTGCTCGCCACATTCACACTGTTCCCCCAAATATCATAATGGGGCTTATCACTGCCGATTACTCCAGCCACTACGGGCCCTACATTTATTCCAATTCTCAGATTGAAGTTGTTGAAACTGTGCTCGTTGATCGTCGTAAGTTTAGAAAGTAGCTCTCGTGAAAAGAGAGCAATCGCGTCCACATGCGAATTTCTTCCATTCTCCTAAAAATAAGCGTATTCGAGAAGAAGCTGGCAATTGCGAACTTCTCCAGCTAGTCCACTCGCCACCATATACGTCGTGGAAATGGTTTTTATCTTCTCAATCTTCTTGAACTCTTCTCTGTCTAATAGCTCGTCAAAATCAGAAATTATTTCGTTGAGCAATCGCAGACACTCCACACCTTCGTTATTTCCGTCGCATTCGATATAGAACTTATCAAAGTCGGTGAGTGTTGCAAACATGATGCAAGCGTTGTCTCGAGCTTCATGGTAGAGCTTCGAGAAGCTACTCGCGTCTTCAACAAAATGTTTGGCAACGTGAGACGGTAGAATGTTCTCCAGTACGCTTCTGTTCTGCTCGTGCTTACTCCTCATCTGCAGTTGCTCGTCAAGTGCCTGAAACGAATGTTTAATTTTTCTGTATCCATCGTAAGACTTGTTGACGCTCGAAAGCAGCTTCGCCGCTTTTTTCCTACCCAAAACCGGCAGATATTAGTTCGAAGCTACCCCAGAACTCTCCCGGATCAGAATTGTCCTTGTACAGAACTCCCCTCGTAGCAAAACTGCAGATAGTACTGTATCGATGTAGCACAGTTTTGATTAGACGTAGCCTCCCTCCGTCAACAATGCCAAGCCACTTCAGTTCATTACACTTAGGGAGAATTACTTGTCAGCGGTTCCATCGGCTCATAATTTGCACGAAAAAGGGCGCAGATTTTACAATTAACCGAACATATTGCAGTCACAGAAGTCTGGCAATCGCGCTCTACCGCTTTTCGCGTGAGTTCAGTGCTAGATTGGAAAAGGTCGCGGTCGCGGTCGGGTTTTCACGTGGGATTGCGGTTGAGCGAGTTTAATGCACTAACGAGATCATGGATGTTTTTGTGAAAGAGTTTTACCTGTAACTTCCAGATAAAATCATATCTGGAAATGAGTTCACTCTTTCTAGAACTGAAAATGAATAAAAGAAGAGTCAACGATGCCAAAACACATGTGTTTGCGTAAACAGTGAAAAGTCTGAAAACAAATATTATACTTTTTGTTGGAGCTTCTGGCAAAACCCACGTCTCGTGTTTCTGAACGTTAAAGAGCTCAATTGTGATGAAAACTAGGAAGAACAAGAAATAGATCATAGTCATCAAAAGCTGGAAAGAACTACCTTATTAGTATCTCAAAATTCTGGCAATGTCGCTCTACAGCAATACCACGTGAAATCTCGGCCGCGATCGCGACCTTTTCCAATTTAGCATTGAAATCACGTGGAGAGCGGCAGAGCGCAATTGCCAGACTTCTGCGGATGCAATATGTATAATGAAGAACCTAAAACCGACCTTTGTCATAAAATCGACAGAGAGAATAACGCACGTGGCGAGCGCGCAAATCTCAAAGATTTCCAGGAAGTCAGTATAGTTGTTTTTGAAGCAAGTTTCTACATCACACAACAATTCGCTCTGGTACATTCTCAAAAGGATGACAATTTGTACGGAGAGTAGAACGAAAAGAACTCCTACGACGAGAGTGACCAACCGCGCATGCTTGATGAGTAACTGAAAATAAATTCTTCTTCTGATCAGGTGGAATGAGTGTAATTTGGTGTCCAAGAACTCACCCTAGTCGAAACGAATATCAAAACACTAGTGATGACAATGAACATTTGAGGGATAAAAAAAAATTGAAAAAGGTTTGCAAGTCCAAACTTTATCCCAATGCAGGTGGCAATAATAGCAATGTAAATAATCACTTGGAATGGGACGTCTTTATATTTCATTCGCACAAACTGCAAACATTAATAAGTTCCTAACAGTCCAAGTTTAGGTTCTGACCTTATTCTCCACTCTGACTTGCTTGTACTTCAAAGACCACTTTTGACAATACATGTTTTTCCAATTTTCTTGATGAATTGCTTGTATGCCTTGCCGGAGATGTGAATCCACGTTATCTACGAGAACTTCTTCTTCGGATGCTCCATTCCTCGTGCTTGCTCCTCTATTCCTTGTTGACATTCCCGTCAATCTTTCCTGTTTACTAATTCCTCTCTAAACTCTCAATTACTCAAATATTCATGTATACACATCTTTACGGTCGATTTCCATGGAACTGACAGCGGATTATCCATAGTTTCCTTGCTGTCAGCTTTGTAATCTTTGTTTTTATCCACTACCAGCCAAGTGATAATCTTCTCTTTCTCTAGGAACTTGGACCTACTCGCTCCATTGCCGGGCTCCAGTATATAGGCTCCGTTAAGGTATTTACGGGTAGCATCGGTTATATGAACGCGCCTACAACCAATTTTCATAGTTTGTCAACTAAAAAGCTCATACCCCGGTAGCCCTCCACTCTCCATCTGGTTGGCCAAAGTCACGTCGTTGCTCCATACATCAAACTGCCACTTTTTCAATCCGAGCACTCCGCAGTGCGCCTTTCCCGTATGTATTCCAACTCTCATGTTCACATTGACCAGCGTCATCTCTCGTACCAGTCTGATTGCTTCAATCATGTCGCGTCCCATTTCCACTGTGTTAATCGCGTGATTCTTTTGATACTCGGGAACTCCACACACGCAATAGTAACAGTCACCAAGAATCTTGATTCTCATGCACTGATGTATCGATGCCACTTTGTCAAAGCGTGCGAACAACTCGTTCAGCATCAGTACCAAGTCTTGCGGATTATATTCAGAAGCTAGATTGGTGAATCCGCAAATATCAGCGAAAAGAATACTGAAGAACTCGTACCTATTTTTTAGTTGTTGATTGATCATACCTGATGTCCTCATACTTTCTGATATAAATCTTATGGAACAACCGTTCCTCGTGAGTCTCTTGCATGTCCTTTTTCACTTCGAACGCAATGTGTTTTGGAAGAACCGACAACAGTATTTTCTCTTGGCGATGCATTTCCTGATCCAAAAGCATTCGAGACTGCACACACTTCCTTCAGAAGATGAATATACTGAATTTTCGATGCTTCAAACCTAACCTGGTCTCGTGGAATGTTTTCCTTTGGACGAATTCTGTTGGGTAGTAGACCAAACTTCCAATGATGTTCGCCAAGATCACCATCATTATTCGAGTGAGCATCTGCAAACACCTTTTTTTTTGCTATTGCTGCCGCAGTGTGGTAATCTCGCTCTATCGCTCGTAAAGCGCGATTTTCAGAATACGGTGGCAATAACGATAAACTCACTATATCAACGCCAATTGTGTAATCCAAATACACTTCTACAGAGACAACAAGCAAAGTAAGTGAAAATGACGAAAAAAGCTGAAAAATACGAATGAACCGTGCTCTGATGGTCTAACATACCATCAGCATGAAAGACATTGGTAAAAGTGAATATGTTGAAAATATTAGCAGATAAGTCACTGATGTTCTCATTGACGAACACGCAGAAATTACCTGTATTCAGAAGTTTATTTGTGACATGATCTCATGAAATACCACGCATGAAAAAATGTATGTGATGCAGATGAGCTCCGTTCTCTTTGCATGAAAAAATGATAGTATCGATATGGCTATCTGAAATCAACAAAATACTTGAAGGAATTTTCGGATGTGAGTAAACAGTGAGAATGCATAAAATTGAAAACTTTATCCATGTACTGCCAAGTGATGCGAATATAGTTTCAGAGATGCATATGCTCAGCAAAAGGATGAAGGAAAACTAGATAATGAAATAGATGACAATGAAGTTTTTCTGAGCAGATACCTGTATTCTTCCTTTGTTTACTTGCTCGAAATAAAAAGAATAGAGAGTTGATCGCTTCTTTCTCTGCACGTCTTTTTTGTGACGGATTTTGGTCCAAGGGAAGTGATAGAAAGAGAGAATTTTATCCAGCGACGGACATTCTACACTGTTTTTGAGATCTAATTCACGAAGAACCTGACTCCTGTAAAGTTTGAGTGTTTATTTACAATTATTTGATAGAAAATATGTACCCAAATGTTTCTCTTAGTGTCGAAGCAGTTCGTATCCTTCTCGAGACTGATTTCTGTGACGATCTGTTAGGTTTGTTCGCTCTAATCGAATGATAGGATCTTTCGACCATCTTCCCCTTCGCCTTCCAATCAGCAAAAACTGAGCATAGTGAAAAAAGTGTAAACGTTTCGGGGGAAAACGAGGCGTATCCGGAGGAGCGAACAGAGGACAATGTGGTTGGAAAGACAAAGTGAGTGTGTGTTTGTGTTCATGGAATATGCAAAAATGTAGAAATCATGAGAAAAAGCAGGAGAATGAATCAGAAAATATGATAAAAACTAAACAATTTCTGAGTTTTAACAAGGATTCCTGGATGACTATGCTATTCCCTTCACTTTTATGGAAATCCTTGTCGGAATTTTCATAGAATAGAGGTTATTTCTATAGGAATTTTAAAAGAACGTTAAAAAATCCAACAGATGGTAAAAAACTGAACAACTGTCAAAATACAGGCACACTGTGGGGGATTCCTTCAATAATGTGAAAATGCCCTTTTCATATAGGATGTGGAAGTGAAATGAAAAACATACGTAGAAGAATGCCGATACTTATTCTCCCACGGCGATGATTGTTCGGCGCAAAAATGTTTCCATAATATTTTCAATATTATATTGAGTGAATGGTGGAAACGTTTCTAGAACGAAGCGTTTATTGTTTTCCAAAGACGTACATTTTGTTTCAAAAAATGGCGCAACTTCTTAGAGACGGGCGATAGTTCTAATCCTTCTAAGCAGTAGACCGACGCCGTGTTTTCAATAACCGAAAATTCGAGAAAAAAAAAGAGAAATAGCGACGGAAATCCATGAACAAAGCAAAGTTCGCAAGAGGAAGAGGAGAAGGATGCTATCCTAAATTACATCTTTTCAAACTTGGAAACTGGTCATCATTAGAGTTTTTCTTCTGAAACTAAAAACATGCGAAGAAAGAGAATATTGAGCGAGTTATAAACTTTTTTGGCTAATTGAGTTGCACATCTAGTCTAGAAACGGATGAGATCATATTATGCTCTAAACAAGCGAAATGCTAATTCACACGTAAACTTTTTTGTTTCGAATGTGTCAAATGGACTGGATACATAGTAGATTGGATAAAAATGACTTTTAGAAAGTTTACCTCATTCTCCACTTTGGTTTGTACTTTCGTAAATGAATTGCGATTTAATTAGAACTTATTCACATCTAATAATGATACGGTAAGCATGAAAATTTCTTGAATTAGATGAATTCGAAAACTTTCTAATTAGATGTCAAATTTGGTCAAATTTGCTGATATTTGCTGATATTTCCTAATAATATTAAAAATTAGCTGCTTCTGTTATTCGAATTTTTACATCTTATTGGAAATTTTGTATGTTATATAATTATTTTAGGGGCACCTCACAGAAATGGCGCTCTGTTGAGAAACTCTTTTCGCAGTGCAAATTGAGTGACCTCGGGGCCGAGTTTGAAAAGTTTAGCCACGTTTTGAGTGGAAAATTACTTCGCGGCCTAGAATTTCGGCGAGATTGCGAACAGAGCGCCATTTCTGTGAGATGTCCTTAAAATAATTATGTTCTATTAGAGCATATTATAGGGGCACCGCACAGAAATGGCGCTCTGTTGAGAAACTCTTTTTGCAATGCAAATTGAGCGACCTCGGGGCCGAGTTTGAAAAGTTAGGCCACGTTTTCAGTGGAAAATTACTTCGCGGCCTAGAAATTCGGCCAGATTCGGCCAAAATTTCGGCCAAAATTTCCAATTAGATGTAAAAATTAACCTTATTGCAATTAAATAGATACGAACAGTTTCTAGTTATATTGCAAACCATTTGCCAGAGTGCAAAGTTCGGACACTAAGAAGTCACCGGTTCGCTGAAACACCGCTGAAAACTTGAGGAACATGTAACGTTCATAAAGTATACTCTGAAACCTCTGTTATCTTGAGTACAGCAACGTTTTCAAGAAAAACAGAGTTCTGCGTGCAAATAAAATCAATACAATACACTCGGAGCGTGTTATAATTTGTTGTGCTGTACTCTCCTGGCTCTTGATTCTCTTATCAATTCAATCGGAAAACGACAGAATTCTCTATCACAAAATGAAACGAAACGTAGAGTGGAAAAACAAAGCGACAGCTTTTTGTTGTACACGTATTCTAACAGGTCACAATTGTACAATTCCAAGTGCACATGATTGCACAGTATCAAATTTAGGCGCACTTGGCATACATTCTTTTTTATTGTTTACAATGAGTAACGAAATGTTTTTAAAAAAAATCGACCCCAGCAGAATCTGGGGCTAAAGAGCATTGTGGAAAAACGTTGAACGAGGAGAAGTCGCATCAATAATAGATGAAAACAATTCCGGAGCTGATTTGATTCTTCGAATTTTATGTGTTTTGCATTTATTTTGAAAAAAGTGAGACTAAAAATGAGAAACAGAGTTTTACGGGAACGGGGCTATTTGCTTGCGAAAACAGACAGGATTTATGAAAGATGGAAGGAAGTTGAATATCTAAGGAACAGACCAAGGAAAGTTCGTAGACTTCCAGAAAAGTTGAGCAGTTCTTGAAAGATTGAGAAAAATTTGTTCCATTTGTTCCAGTTTTCAGATTCTCCCAATTTTTAGAATACTTCTTTCAGAACTTCTCTTCGGAATTATTCTCCAGTCGGCCTTTGGGTGAAGATTGTTTCCGGAAACTGATTTATGGACTTAATCAAATCAACCCACACACACCATTTTCCTTGTCTCGCGAAAAGAGTGATACGTTGCCACAGCTGGTCTAAACGCCTCTTATATTGCAACTTCTGATTCTATAACTCATTGAGAGCCTTTTCCCATTTATTGTAATTTGTCCTTGAACCATTTAAATTTTTGTTATGACTGAGCATGACCACAATACGCGATTAATTTAATTTCCACTTCAGTTTTTTGTTATTGTCTAAAACCAACATAGCCAGTCATGGAATTTAACGAGTTCCTGTCGACAGGTGAACCCTCAGATAACGTTCGAATCGTTGCTGCAATACTTCTAAGCCTGGTAAGGAATAATTTAGCGGCGTGAGCATTTCAATACTTTTCAGGTCAGTGTGGTTGGTGCCATTTTCAACACTCTTGTTTTTGCTGCTATTTTAATACGGATCAACAAGAAAGACGGGTTTCTCAAAATTTGTTGCACTAAAAGTTTTGGTAACGATATTGTTTGTATAGGATACTTGATTTGGCCAGTACCGGTCACGTTTTTGTATGTTCTGTAACGGTTACAAATGTTATTTTTCGAAACAATTCAGAAATAGCTACTTTCTACCTCACATGTTCAATGCTTTTATGGGTCAGTTAGTTGGCTGGTTTGGATGGTGCATAGGTACTAGTGTAGGTTAATCAAAATAAACGTTTGTTTCAGGTCCGCTTGCCCAAGTTCTTTTGACTAGTAACAGAGTACTAGCAGTTTTCTTTCCCGCTCTCTATCATAGGTCTTATAAGTTTACTCCAAGTAATGTAAGTTTCAGTTTTTTCAACAGTACCCTTACTTTCCATTTATTCCCAGGTTGGTATTGTTATTTGCCTCACCCTTGCTTTGCTTCTCTTTAGCGCATTTTTCCCAGGCATTTACGTTTTTCGAAACTTCCTATCAATGAAAGTTTTCAGAGGATTGTCACTATTTGTACAGCTTGGAATATCTTGGATGGCTTCCAGAAGAAAGTTTTTGTACATCCGTACGCCGATCAATTTTTATTGTTTCCATGATCATAATTGTTATTAGCATTAGCGTATGTGGGATAATATTGTTCCTGAAACTGATAGCTGATTCGGTTCGTTTGAAATTAACGCTCTACTTCAGTGCAAGTATTGCCTAACCCGCTATACAACAGTTCCAGAAAGAGATGACGACATCAAGTGTAATGGCCACTACACGTCGTCTAAAAAATCAAAAGATGCTATTCCAAACTCTTATCCAAAACTTCTTGATCCTTGTGGACACACTGAACACTACAGTAACCTATAAAATGTTCCCGGTGCTCTTTTTCCAATTTCTCACGCTTTCCTTCTCAATGGTTTTTCTGAGAGCAATGGAAGGGTTGGATTTTTTTTAGTTTGAAGTTAATAAGTTCTTCTACAGTGTCGTTATGTTGACTTTGAACGAAAGGATCTACAAGGGAGTGAAGGAGTTGTTCACCAAGAAAACAGGAAAACGACAGAGTACACGAAGGCCGTTCATCATCTGGAATGTCTCAAGCACGGGACTAACTAAACACTAATCATCATAAATCTACACCAAAGAAGCATCCGCTTCGACTATCGATAGCTATCTATTAAAGTTGTTTTATTTTTGCTTTAAATTTGTTTTATTTTTGCTTTAAATGTGTTTTATTTTTGCTTTAAATGTGTTTTATTTTTGCTGGCATTAAAGGAAAGTTATCACTCTTTTATTGTATTATCAGTCATCAAACTGATAATTAACACGATTGTAATCGCCTCGTTTTAAAACAATGACGTTGAATTCATCTACTTTCGTTTTATGCGCTTTTCTGACCGCTGCCTTTTTTGCGGTAGAATGTATTCCGTTCAGTGAGTTTATCTACGGTATTCAAAATCAGCTTTTAAAAAATAAACATGAAATATGGGGGAGATTCAAAGTCAGTACTGTTGAGAAATTTTTTTGTCGGTGATCTCCGAGCATTTTCGTTTTTATTTTCGAGGAAAACCACTTTAAAGCAGACATTCGGATGTCTTCATTGAACGAACACAAAGGTGAACCCTTCCAGAGTGCGACGTTTTGAGTCCACTAAAGATGAAAGTAGGAAGTACGATCTTCTTGCCTGCCAATTCGACAGCACCGGCTCCAATTCCAGCGAATTTTTGCTGCACATACACAGTGAGAAACGAACGCTTCTCAGTAATAATGCTTGGAATATTCAGTTTTTTGTCCCGAAAGAATCATTCCTTCGGCTATCCGTCATCAATTCTCTTCTAGATACGGACTTTATCGAATTCACCGATTCTGTTGGATACAATCGTAACCTAACGATGTTAGTATACAGACGATGTATACCATCTCTGGCATTTCGTTATTAATCTAGCGGCGGCCTAATAAGATTGATATTATAGGGGCACCGGACAGAAAGGGCGCGCTGTTCGCAATCTGGCCGAATTTCTAGGCCGCGAAGTAATTTTCCACTGAAAATGTGGCCTAACTTTTCAAACTCGGCCCCGAGGTCACTCAATTTGCACTGCAAAAAGTTTCTCAACAGAGCGCCATTTCTGTGCGGTGCCCCTATAAGATGACACCTAATTAGATTAATAAATCTTCTAGCTATTATAGGGGCACCGGACAAAAAGGGCGCGCTGTTAGCAATCTGGCCGAATTTCTAGGCCGCGAAGTAATTTTCCACTGAAAATGTGGCCTAACTTTTCAAACTCGGCCCCGAGGTCACTCAATTTGCACTGCAAAAAGTTTCTCAACAGAGCGCCATTTCTGTGCGGTGCCCCTATAAGATGACACCTAATTAGATTAATAAATCTTCTAGCTATTATAGGGGCACCGGACAAAAAGGGCGCGCTGTTAGCAATCTGGCCGAATTTCTAGGCCGCGAAGTGATTTTCCACTGAAAACGTGGCCTAACTTTTCAAACTCGGCCCCGAGGTCGCTCAATTTGCATTGCAAAAAGAATTTCTCAACAGAGCGCCATTTCTGTGCGGTGCTCCTATAATAGTTATTAATAGATTAATAAGTGCTCAAATCAAGTTTCACGCCAACCGTCTGCTGGCTCAAATCTCGATTGCGCCAAGAAAAAACAGTCGAATCTAATTAGGTCGCGTTTAGATCAGTAACTTTCTAATTAGATTGATATCGAATTGCCAGAGATCACAGACTTTCGGAAGGCTTTAGATCTAGCATTGCCAACGAGGAGCTTTTTGCAACTACTGGCTACGGTCACGTCAAGATGTTTTCCGGACCGGAAGGAAACTCAAAGGCTTTGCTTGTTTTTGAGTGGCTCAAGAGTGCGTTTTTCGCTTTCTAAGAAGTTTAGTACATTCATTCAGTGCCTAGCTCAAGCTGGTCGGTTAATCTTCGAAAAAACGAAAGTGGTACAAATGTTGACTGCATGGCAATTCAACAAACACCAATTACTTTTATAGCGGAGTTGGGACAGAAAGTATATTTGAAAGGCATACCCATTTTTGTGTCAAAGTCTGTTCCAGGTCGCACTCAGCATAGCTCACTCGGGATATATCCTAGATAAGTTCGACAGTTACTTCATTTTTGATGGACCTAATACAGATAGCCCAGTGGTTGGGAGGTGCGAATTTTGATTATGGAACACTTCAGATAGATGGAACTTGTTCAGAATGAGCAGGCACGTGATAGTTCCTTTCATACCCACGAATCAGTCAGTCACGATTATTGGTCTCACTAGCCAAGTCGTCTACTCAAACATTATTGTCAATATCCAATCGAGTGGGCATTGACACAAGTTCAAACTTCAAAATTTTGCTCAGATCTGGCAGAGTATCGTAAATACCAGGCAGCAGTTGTCATAGACCAATATGGAGGCCCGCTTGACTCTATAAATCAAACGATAGCAGTTACTTTCATTGCAAAAGATGGAATACAGCTATACATCACGTATTTAAAGTTCAACGAAGTGGTAAGCAGCCACTGTTGAATTTCACGCAGATTCTTATCCTAGGAGGACGAAAAATGTGAAATGAGAGTTATTAGTGATACGCCATCTCCTGTTTCCAGACAACTTTTGACCTACACGTGAGATATTTCTTCATGAGTACATTGCAGTCTCAGAAAATTGCCCATCGTGCTCTATCGCTCTCCACATGATTTCATTGTTAAATTGGAAAAACACGCAGTCGCGGCCGAGTTTTCACGTTTGATTGCGGAAGAGCGACATTGAAAAAGTTCTGCAACGCTAATACATCTATAAGTCTTCAGACCTTCTGCACGTCTGGACATAAGCTTTCCTCAACAGATTCCATCCTCAGTATTCTCTATAGAGTTGACAGACTGCTCAATTTACATGGTCATGACAAAAAATACTCCTGGTATTCTGCTTCTGATCAAATACGCGGTAACCTGAAAGTTGCAGCAAACTTCTTCATGGTGAATGACGAAAGAATTGGTTATGTGTTCACTCCAAGTTTCTTAAACGATCAACTTTCTCCAACGTTGAACTTCACTTTGCGTACAAACAGAATTAACTGCGTTCTCGTAAAAAAAGTTCATTCAGGTAGTAACGAAACTCTTCACTATTATACTGTGGTCGAATCTGTCAGCGTTGTTGACAATGAACAGTTGGCAATAAACGTGTACAACTCAAAAGGAGCTTCAGCGATGAGTGTAGTGTTAGTCGAGAGGTTATGACTTCTGCATTAAATGTGCGCCATTATAGTGTCACGGGAAACCAGACTGGTGGTTCTGCTGAAGCGATGGGCACGTCCGTGAATATAGATTTTAATGGATCTCACGGGCACGGAGAGGCAAAAATACGGTATCATATTTCGAAAGTATCAGGTTAGTGTGAGTTCAGGAGGGATAGCTTATCAATTAAAATTTCACTTCAGAGCACACGACAAGCATCTTTCTCGTTTTATTATTTTTTGTTATCTCAATTACTCAGTAGGACGGCACACGATCGATCCTTTTTTGCTTTTAATACAATATTTGTTTAACATCGGTCGCATACCGTTTGCACAATACAGCGAGAGAAACAGATAGAGAGAGAGAGAGAGAACACCGAGAGAAACAAATATGGGATGAGTATAGGCCGATGGTCGAAGAAACTAATTTTTATCACATGTTCAATGGTTTATTGTTAGACACAAGCCTTCATGGGTCTGTTCATGTTAATGTCTTCACGTGTGATAGGACTTTCTTTGTACCTTTTCCAAACTATTATCGAATTGTTATCAGTCTTTCGCTTCTTTGAAGCACTTTCGCGTGTCCTTCCTCTTCATCTTCTTTATTGTATCTTTTCGCTTTGGAAAAATCATTATACTGACTAAACTAACTATTTATATCATGGAAAAGTGGTCAACCATGCAGCGCTGTTTCAATAATTACTACTTGGACTAAACCCGGCACGAAGCCTCTTTCTGCTTTCTTTGACACCTTTGGAGTAACGACGACCGAAAACTTGTCTGATTCTAATTCATACAAGTCTTTATGCCTGAAAAGAGAAAGAAATCAGTGGTAGAAGATTGGATTTGGATGCGTTGTTGAACTTGTTCACATTGCATTTTCGTTTCGATTTGTTCATGTTCAAACTCAGGGATTTTTTCTCGCTCAATTTTTTTTTATCTAAAAACAAATTAGCAAAACCTCTTTTGGATGCTGCTCATTTCGGTTGGATGAATCTAACTTTGCAAATCCAAGTTTTCAAAAATTTTACATTGTCTTTTCAAAGTTAAGTCTTCGGCGCGTTGCTAAGAAACCTTATGTCTGATTTTCTTTCCTCGTCTCATGCGTCCAGGCTTACGTCTTTGACCCCTCCCCCCTATTGGCATAATTTCGAGCGAAATAAGAATAATTTCTAAAACACGTAACCCAACGTTGGGTAGATGGTTGTATTATTGGCTTGCTTATTTTGGTACGCAACGTGACTTTCACGCAGAAAAGCACAACGTTTCATCGAATTTTGCCGAACGTCTGGTTGTCCACGTGGGAGTTCATTGTGGGAAAATTGAAACGTAGGCAACGGAAAGTTGTTTTTTTTTATCAGTTCAGGCTTTTCAGCCGTTTCTTTAAACTGCAAGTGTGTTTTAATGATTCTTTAAAATTCCATAATAAAGGTCTTGTGTGGTGTGCACCTTCGCTTATAAACTGGTGAACCTCTTTAGGCCCCCCCCCCCTCTCTCTCTCTCTCCTCATTTACTGGATTACAGAAGAACACTTTTCCAATGAGAAAATGTTCCCAATGCGCTGTATCCGTCGTCGGTCTATCGACTTTATTCTGAAAGTACAACAAGCCGTACATTAACATGAAATTGCTTTGTTTTTCAGGGAGTGATCATAACTACAATATGTTTGTTCATTGTTCACATGACTTCTTCGTTTCCACGCGGAAATATCAGCCAGCGAGCACTGAACAATTTCCCGAACGAGCAGCAACAGAGCCCTGCTATTATTCAAAAAAGAGATAACAATGTAGACAGTAATATCATAGAATACACCAAAAAAGAGGTATTTTTGAGAAAACCTGTTTTGCAATGTTCGTTCCTCTATTTTAGAACCCTCTTCTCGGCCAGCAGGATTCAAAGAAGCAATCACATCTTACAGTAATCCAGGAAGATGTTCATTCGAAAACGGAATCCAGAGAAGTAAGTATTCACCAACGTCGGTAGTCCTTTGGAGTGAAAATCCTAAACGGGGGAATAATATTATTCTCGTTTTAGCCTCGTAAATTTATGGTGATGTCGCTCTATCTAAACAGTCATTTTTTCTACAGTAACCTAGATATATTATTAAACTTAAATTGTGTATTTTCAGGGAGGGTTCTACAAAAACATTTTGATTCATTTCGATCTGAAAGGAGCACCGCCAAAAGTAAACTACTTCGTCGAACTTTTGCGGTTAATTGCAAAAGGCGGAGCAACAGGAATTTTATTGGAATGGGAAGACATGTTCCCGTGGACCGGAAAGTTACAACCCTTCAAAAACACTGACGCCTATTCGGAAGAGGACGTTGATATAATTCTCAGTGAAGCGAATACTTTGAAGCTTGATGTAATTCCATTAGTGCAAACGTTCGGACATTTGGAATGGATTCTCAAGTACGAGGAGATGAGAAAGTATCGCGAGAATGACGCATATCCACAAGTGTTGTGTTTGGGAAACGAACAGGGAGTTGAGTATGTCAAGGAGATGATAAGTCAGGTTGTGAAGAAGCATTCAAAATATGGCATTCCTTTCTTCCATATCGGAGCAGATGAGGCGTTCGAAGTGAGCAAATATTACCCCGTAAATTATTATAGGGGCACCGGACAGAAAGGGCGCGCTGTTAGCAATCTGGCCGAATTTCTTGACCGCGAAGTAATTTTCCACTGAAAACGTGGCTTAACTTTTCAAACTCGCCCCCGAGGTCGCTCAATTTGCACTGCAAAAAGAGTTTCTCAACAGAGCGCCATTTCTGTGCGGTGCCCCTATAATAATGGCGATGTCGCTCTACCGCAATCCCACGTACAATCTCGGCCGCGGCGTTTTCTCATTTAGCACTGAATTCACGTGGAAAGCAGTAGAACACGGTTGTCAGATTTCTTCGTCTGCAACAACATGATTAACGTTTTAATTTAACATTATTTTAGTTCGGTGTCTGTAAAGAGTCCATTGATTGGATTAAGAAAAACGGAAATGATGGCGGAAAACAGCTTCTGGCTTTGGCTCATCTTAAAAGCATTGCCGAGTTCACACTTCAAGAAGCTGAACACTCCACTACGTGAGTACACATTTCTGGAAGCTTAATATTGAACAGCATTTTAGGATATTGGCTTGGCATGACATGCTGAAAGACTTTGATACTCGTCTAATAAAAAACCTCAATCTGGGAAGTGTTATACAGCCTGTGGTCTGGGATTACTCAGAAAATATTATCACACTCAATGGTAAGTACACACTTTCTAGTCAATTTATTGCAAATTTCGATTCAGACTACATTTTTTCGAGTCTGGCGGATAACTTCCCCACTATGTGGGCATCCTCAGCATACAAAGGCGCCAACTATCCTTCGGCTGCGTCTTCGGATATAAAGCATTATGAAACTAACAACAGAAACTGGATCAAGACAAAACAGGTGAGTATTTTAGGAGGGTTTGCGTGATTTTCTACACATATTTAAAAAATGCACAAACTAATGGTGCCGTGGTCTTAGAAACTTTAGAAACTGTTACTAAACGAACGATTCAGAATCAAGAAAAAAAGTTCAAAAATGGATTCCAAGGAATAATAATTACGGGATGGCAAAGATATGATCACTTAGCCGGACTTTGTGAGACTCTCCCAATCGGAACGGCGTCCATGATGCTCCAGATGCAAATTGCTTTGAATGCTCCATCTTCTGATCTGGAAACAACAAGAAAACAAGCTGGGAAACTGCTGGGCTGTCAGGGATTCAATGTGGACGGTGTGAGAGTGGTTAACAGTATGTGCACTTACACAGGTTCGCGACTTCGTTTAATGGACATCTTGTAAAATATCTTACAGGATTTCAAACGTATTTCATCTATCAGAATGAAGTTCCGAATTTGTTCAGTAGAATAGAAGGAGATTTAGGAAAGAACCATCATCTTATGGGTTGGGCCAACAGATACAACAGAAAGTATAATATTTCACAGAACTGGTACGTATTACCATGGTCAAGTAATTTTAGCTCCCCGACATTACCGTAATATTTCTAGGTATCACCGAGAAATGCTTCCTTTTGTTCAACAGCTAACATCTCAGTATGACAGAGTTGAGAACGATCTCAGGTGATTCAAATTTGAGTTGTTTTTTTAATTTTTTAATTTTATTTTCAGAGCCTCTATGAAAGATCTCTTCTTTAGTAACACGATTGAGGAGTTTTTATATGAGAATCTGGGAGAAATGTCCGAAAAACTTCATGGTTATCTGGAAGAAATTCAGCGACTCGACAGACTGCGAGCTTGGCCAAAACGCAACTTTCCAGTTAGGAGAAGAGGAGCTTGAGCATCTCAGGGAACTCGTTATTAATCTAGCTTGCTATATCGCATTTATAACCGACCCTAGATTGCTAATTTACTGGGATTAGATTGCAAATTCTTCTAAATAAACTGATAAATTTTCTAATTAGATTGACAAAACAAAATTTGTCTAATTAGATTGATAAAGATTAACGCTTTCGGTCAAAGTGTTAATCTAATTAGATGAATTATGAATTTTATTAGATGAATTGTGAATCTAATATCAGTTCTTTGTCAATCTAATAAGCCAAATTTTGTTTTGCCAATCTAATTAGAAAATATATCAGTCTAGCTAAAAAAATTTTCAATTTAATCGCAGTAAATTAGAAATCTAATTAAGGCCGGTTATAAACGCGAATTAGCTAGCTCGATTAACGGTTTCCCTGAGTTGAAGTTTTTTCCTGTTTATTTATTGTTGATTTCAATATTTACTTCTTTCGGGTTAAATTATTTAAAAGAATGCCTTAGACACTGCTCGTGTAATTTACTCTTGTCGATATGATGAACTTTTTGATTATTGGGTTTGTTTTCGAAGAGCGAATTGCAGCTGTAACTAATTGACTGCGTACCACGGAGTCGTGGCGGGGTACGCTGGCGCAAGAACATAACAAGGGACCTTGGCTTTCTAGTCTCAGCTAAACTTGACTTCACCAAGCATTGGCAAACTAGCATAAACAAGGCAACATACATGATGTTACAAGTCTTCCATCAGTACAATAGCAAAAATAGCAGGCTCATGACGCTTTCGTTCAAAATATTTGTCCGTCCGATAGTTAAATACGGAACACCAGTCACAAGTCCCATAGAACAATGCGATACCAAGACTATAGAATCAGTCCAAAACGCATTCACCAGGCGTCTCTACAGTAGACAAAAACGCTGTTATTTGAGGGCAGATGATAAAGAGTATATTATAGGGGCACCGGACAGAAAGGTGTGTTAGCAATCTGGCCGAATTTCTAGACCGCGAAGTAATTTTCCACTGAAAACGTGGCTTAACTTTTCAAACTCGGCCCCGAGGTTGCTCAATTTGCACTGCAAAAAGAGTTTCTCAACAGAGCGCCATTTCTGTGCGGTGCCCCTATAATAAATCTGCTGACTAAAGAAATGAGTTATACAAACTGTCCTCACTGGAATGTAGAAGAAGAATAACAGACAGAAAGTTAATTCTGAATTCAGAATTTTTCGAAAATGCTAGCGGGAAAAGTGGGCCTTACCACCTCCGATTTCTTCACTGTCACTCATAACAACAAAACACGCGCCAAAACTATTCGGATGGACCAAATGCAAAACCAAACTTCGGCGCCACTTTTTCGTTAATCGCACCCTACTGAACTTCTCGCAAAAATTACTGACCTTATGTTCCATGTAACTTTCCACCCTCTAATTCTTGCATAATTACCCACCTATCGCAATTCCCCTTTTGGCATCTATTCTCACGTACTTTGACAGTCGTAATAAAATCGACGGCGCAGGTGATCTTAGGTTCAATAGGACGATTATAATTTTAAGCACATGTTAACCTTTTTCGGAAAACAACTGTTCCGAAGTAGAACATTTTCGTTAATTTTTTAGAAATTGGTTTGTTTCGGAACAGTTTTATAACGGAACAGTCGTATTCCGAAACAAGTTAATCTGAAACACGTTCTATTTCGAAAATTGTGGACCAATAGAACTAGTCAGATTCTCAGAACACTTAGAAAGTTCATGTGTTCCTTTTTCACTACTCCGTATAACAACTGTTTCCGCTTTAGAAATGAAAGTGCGCGGGCAAACCAAGAAATCATCATCATTATCATCAACATCATCATTTTTACAAGATTTTTTGCAATTTTCATTTCTAAAGCGAAAATACTTGGCAAACAAAACATTTCAAAACAAATAAAACTTAAAATAGTAGAACTGGCTGCCAACTTATTCAAGTGGCCTAGGTTTTGCAGGTTGTAAAACTTCGATCGCCATTTCATTTTCTTTCCAATTTTCAGCCTTTTTTCGAAAGATCCGTCTGTTTTCTCGAATTTCTAGTCCTAGTAAATTGTTCATGTATTAAAACTATTCATAGTTTGAACATCTTCGTTTCAAAAGTAACGCAGAACTTGCCACTTCTCTTTCTCTTTCGCCTTGTAAAAATTATGTTTTCGTCGATTACTCAACAGGCACTGTTGCGAATTGTCTGTATAATATATTGAAAATTACGGGTCATATCGATCAGTTCAAAGCAAAAAACTCGTGGAAAACTGATCTCGGACTATTCCTTTTAAAAACTTTCTTTTCGTCACTCGCGTTTCATTTCAGTAATGATCAAATCAGAGAGCGACAGTGACGAAGATGAATATGTTCCCGTAGGTCTATTGAGTGCCGCCGATCAGGTAAAATTTCGAATAGCATTTTGAAAAAAACGTATTAATTTTCCAGAGTTTTGGAAGACGAGATTACAAAATTAATGAAATTTACGAGTTCTATAACGTCGAAAAGTTGGATAATACGACCATTGCAAGTGAGTTTTTGTTTCCGGCGAAATGTGAAAATTAAGAACTTATTTTGGAAAAAACAGCATCTTCCGATTCGAAGGTGTTCGTCGATTTGTCAGGACAACAGAGTTCATTAACCATGAATCGACCTCGAACTCGACCACCACATCCGCAACCTTCGTCTCTTCGAAAATTTCAGGCGCGGAAGCCTGCTCCAACTCCCGTCAATCTTTCAGTTTCACTACCTTCAAGTACTCCATTCATTCGTACTGCCTTAAAAACTAGCAGATATCCGATTCGTCCACAAGCAGTTCAGTGCATAGTCTGGTTATTTTGAAGAACTAAAATCAATTAAAGTTTTTTAAAGGTTCCTCCTCCGATGTATCGCCCGATTCCGGTGCCCGTGCTACCCCTGGTTCCACTACCAGCGGCTTCGATGTTTTATCAGCAGAGTCCCTCTTTTGCAATGATTCAACGTCCTGGTATGATGCCTATGAAGGTTCGTATTTCTATTATTCGACTTTTCAGCTTTTCGCTGCAGTATCCGGAGCATTTATTTTTTCGTTTTCGTGGTGTGAATGGTTACCTTCCTGTCAACCTTTCAAAATTTTCCTTTTTTCGAGTGATATTCAAAAAACCTCGACCCTATAATTACAATTGCAAGCAGAAAAGTGTGGCTTGCATGATCTGTGTTAATATATTAAAAGCCATCCGGGGAGAAAATTGAAAAATAATTTGACACTGCAGAAATGCACCTTGACATTGTTCCGTATCAGCCCCAAAGCACAGATTTTCTTTTTCCTCGATTTTTTCGGCAGAAAGTTGCTGTTCATCGATGTTTTCCCTCCGGGCACATTTTTTATTCTAGGGACCCTTTCCGTCATTGGATATGCTTCAACTTAAAAAAAACATATTACTGTATAAAGCAGAAAAATGTTTTTGCCAAGGAAAAACGTCAAGGTACAATTCTGCAGTGTTTAATTATTATTCAATTTTCTCCCCGGATGCCTCCTTTAAATCAGTTTTCTGAAACTTGCATATTTTCTTAACTTGTTTCAGTTGTACACCCATCATATTTTTCCGAATATGCACCAGCCGATGAGAACTGCTTACCCTCCTGGAATGATGATTGTTTCTCCGAGCTCTGTTCCAACAAAGCCTCAACCGAGAGTTCCAATTGTTGCGCAGCAAATGGTTATTGATAGAAAATCGTTTTCGGCTCCGCCAGTTTCAACCTTTTGGGTGAGTTCGATAGATGTACCACAAAACACAATGGGTACTGACCCTTCAAACTTGTCGCATGTCATTTGTCCAAGCGTTTACAAGCAGAATTAACCAATCAGCGAGCTGAAAATTAAAGGTGCACGCACAAAACACGTTTTCGAAGTTTTTGATTTTTTCAGTCTGCTACAAAAAAACCAGTGAAACATATGTTTATTGCCAGTTTTTTAAACAACTGAATAAGCCCACGAGAGTCTAATTCGATATTGCACGCAGGCGTGCGCGTGCATGAAAATCGCGCGATTTCGTTCGATGATCAATGTTAATACTTGTTCAGCCAACATCGACACAACCGACACCGGAAGCCAAACCGAAAATAGCAGCAGAAGTTCGCAAACAGCTGAAGATAGAAGCAGCCTCAAAAATGAAAGCTGAAAGAGACGCTCGCAAGGCCGAAATGAAAGATAAAAAAAATGCTGAAAGAGAAGAGTTTATGCGATTAAAACGGCAAAAGAAATATGGCTCGGACGTAAATTCAAAATTTGTGAATTTCTCGGTAATCTAAAATCACTTTTAAAACGGTTTATCAGATTTGACAAAATACCTATTGCTCCAGCAGAAATCTGGCAATCGCGCTCTACCGCTCTCAGCGAAAATTCAGTTCTATTATAGGGGCACCGCACAGAAATGGCGCTCTGTTGAGAAACTCCTTTTGCAGTGCAAATTGAGCGACCTCGGGGCCGAGTTTGAAAGTTAGGCCACATTTTCAGTGGAAAATATTTCGCGGCCTAGAAATTCGGCCAGATTGCGAACAGCGCGCCCTTTTTGTCCGGCGCCCCTATAATTAGGGGGCGCAAAGGAGAGGGCGTGGTCTGACGAATTTTCTCCCGATTTCCGCGCGCGCATGTTTGACGGTCTGTAGTGAGGTCCCCAAATGACGTACCATACCCAAAACGGTTTCGCAAAAGCACTAATTTCACCATTAGGGCTCACTCGGTAGTCTGGAGGTGTCGGGTTCGAAACTTTTGACCTTGAAAGCAGGGTTTTTCATAGGATTGCGGTAGAGCGACATTTTCAGAGTTCTGTGCTGTGAATAGTGGCTGTTATCATTCGTTTCTGAGAAGTCTCACGCACCCACTCCAGAAAATCTTCCTGCTTCCCTTCTTGGATCAGGATTGAAATTTTATGTTTCCCGATTTTACGGATTTTTCAGTGAAGAGAGAATTTTACGAATCGCCATAAAAAATACTGTAACTTTGTTTGTAAAATTATTATTCCGAGAATTTTAGCACATCTTTAACAATTTGCTGATATCATCAGTTTTAACCGAACTCGCTCATATGGAAAACTTCCTTTACAGAAAGATATGTTTGTGATTCGTCTCAAAGATGTCGATTCATTCGATCGAAACAATGAGATTTGGAGAGTCGATAATCACGTTTTGATTCAAAAGTTCTGTGGAGTTCCATCGCTTCGTGCTCCGGCTAGACAGTTTCAGTCTTCGAACAAATTGTCAGGATATGATTCGCGCGCCTCATGGCGCTTCTTTATCATCAATCCAGCAAACGTTGAAGTTAATAAAGATGGCTCCGAGATCACAGTCTTCGACTTTCCGGTGATTAGTGTTCTCCGTGAAGCCAAAAAATTGGCTGAGCAAAAGGACGAGGAGTTTGTAAGTTGTCCATTATTTTTATGGTGTATTTAAGGACCGTATTAGTTGTCAGTGGGAGAGGCGCCTCGAGGCGTGAGCATTGTTCGCCGAAAATTTAATCATGTTTCGTAAAACTTAAATACTAGTTAGCACGGAGTCGTGGCGGGGTACACTGGCGCAAGTGCGCTCTACTGAAATTTTCAAAAATTTTGCTTTGGCCTAATGCTTTAAGATAGGGACGCTACGCAATCGACCGTCGGCGGAAGTTCAAATTTTAGTTTTCGATGTACCCATGACGACCCCGTGGTTAGTTCTCGGTAGCTCATCAAAGTGTATACTAGCGGTCACTAAGTGTATTTTCTGTTTAGAAAAAAGTGGAGGCCACGGAGCTTGAAGAAAAACAAAGCCAAGTGGAAGCAAGGAAAAAATCGAAAACAGTGGAAAGAGAGAAGAAGAAATGTGAAAAAAGGTATACAACGTTGGGGAAGTCGAAGAGAATCACAACTCCAACTACTACACATACTACTATGAAGTTGAGGAAAAAAACTGTTAAGAAAGTAATGAGATTGCAGTCAGCAAAGAAATACATACATTTTTATAGGAGAAAGATGAAGGGGTGTGTCGCGAAATCGTTGATGGTTTGCTTGATGCGGTAGACGATGTCGGAAATGTGGGGAATGAAGAAAGCGTTAGCGAAGAAGAGAACGATCGGTGCAGCTTGATCACCATCGTCGCTTCGTCTGATAGCGAAGAGGACAGAGAAGAAAATAATAATTTCGATGACGATGTTTTTGTAAGTAGAAAATACTGTCATGATTGTCTAGTGTACGTAGATGTACTATGTTTTCAGACTTTCGAATTGTACGCAGAGAACGATGTGCCTGCCGTGGCTCTTGAGCTGACCATCGACTGATTATTTCTAATTTTATCACAATTTTTGTGATCAAATTAGATGTTTATTAATTTGGACGAGCTGGTCCATCCGTTCTGTAACGCCTATCCGATAAATAATACGTATTTAGAATTTAACTCTCCCATAGCTAAACTTGATGTTTCGAGACCTATCCCATGAGTATGCAATATGTATTGTAAGTACGCGTAATGTACGTGACATAAGAAAACTATTGCTTGAAAAATTCCACGAATAAACATTGTACAACAAACAAATTAACGCGTGAAGTTGCAACTGATACCAAATGAATTTATTCGATGTAGGGATTTTCATTGTTTCTACTCGCACTCGTTCTCCACTAACACCACTAACCCTCGCTCAATGTGCGTTACTCGCCCAACCTCAAGAACAACACGGAGGTCTCCGAAGTGGAAAGAAATGCTGATATCTGACGTCTTGCTTTCAGTTCTAGACGTACTGACCCATTTTGCAATGAATCCACTTCGACTGGCACTTGGAGCAAATTAGCTTATTCGAACTACCGATCCACTGTTTTCGAAGTAATTGTTACAAGTTTTTATTATTTTGAATGAAATAGTTTAGAACCGAGTGCATGTCTGGGTGCTTCCGCTCAGTATTTCTCAGTCAAAGTACGGCGGCCGTCGAACTCCCTCTTCTGCATGCACCATCATCACCGTTCAGATAGCCTATGATTTCATGACGTTTGTTTTTTTGAATCATGGGTCTGCTGGAAGCATAATTTTTAGCCAAGCCATCCGTCTTCCGCCGGTAAAACCACAACTTCCGCAGAACCTTTCTCTGTCAGTGTTGGAAGTGCTCGTGAACGCCATCGTCGACGGAAATGACACTCACGAGAGAGCAATGTCGGCTCGGAAACGTGGATTCAGTGGGTGCTTGAAGAAAAAGACGCTTGACGAAGGGATCGCCTCCGACAATTCCTCGGTGTTCCAGTTGCTGAAACGTCCGCAACGAGACACATTCACAGTGCCGGAAGCCATTCAGGTTCAGAGACCAGAGATGCACGAGGTGGACTACAGATGCTACACGGGAGATTTCATCAGTAACTTGGTCACCGCAATGACTATGGCAATCAGCAGGTGCTGAGACCACCACTCCTATTGCTAACCCGGTTGGCTAAGCAACCGAGCTCCGCTGCAATCAGTACTCACTTTTTTCGTTCCCGCCGATGAAAAAAAAATTCGATGAAAATTCAAGCAAAATCAGAAAAATGCATTTCGAGACAAAAACGTAAAAAAAACGAAATGCTGCAGCGGTGCGCGTTTGCAAACGGGTTAGCTATATGTGACATCAAAATATGGGGTGACTGGAGGTTTTAGGGGTATATATGGGGAATCTAGGGGTTCGGCTTTACCTCATTTTGAGTTCTATGTAACACTGCGGTTCCCACGCATGATCTGTCTTTGGTGCTACTCAATCCGTTGCTTTATACCGTTCAATCCCCCCTTTTTTGCAGCCCGTATCTGTGCAAGCTTCCCCGTCTCTCGATCGGTGTTCTCGCCTTCGAAAGAGCCATGTGCTTTATCTACGATCGTCCGACTCATTCGATCCTTCTTCTCGACACTCATATGCACTTCAAAGGACGAGCGGGAAGTGTGCTCTGCGTGGCTTCGTTCGATGATATCACTGATTTCATCGTGGGAGTCACGAAGCTTGTGTTCCATGAAGTTTTTAAAACTTCAGACTTTTCCGGGGTGCCTTCTCAGTGTTAAAAAATTCCACAAAAACGATATAATTGCAGCAATTCGAGATCACTTGTTTGATGTTGACGAGTCTCATGAACAAAGTGCACAGAGGATGCATATTTCAACCGATAAAGACGAGCCAATTGAGACTGTCTCCGTCAGCTTTTCCCGTCAAAATCAAAACAGAGTAAGACATTTTTTTTTTATGTAAAATACTTTTGAAATGTAATAGGTGGTACAAGTATTAAATCGTAGCCCGCTTGGCTAAGCAAACGCGTTCCGCTGCACTCAGTACTTCGCATTTTCATGTTTGTCTCTATTTGCATTTTTTTATTTTGCTTGAAATTTCATCGAAAATGCTCGTTCTTTCCACCATTTGAACTTTAGGGGGAAGATTCTAGAAGATTATCTAGACGTCTAAACTCGTCCTATTCCAGGACGCAAAATTCCACAATCGCCCCCACCAGCGATAGGCCGCGATTCTAGAATATTAACGTAATATCCAACTGATAAGCTGTTTTCAGGAAACTGATCTGCCTCGGTCACACTTTCGAAGAAGAGGAAGAAGACAGTGGATATGGAAGTGCCTAGCCCCTAATTGTACGCAAAGTTGAACTGACATTTGTTGATTAACTGACAAATAAACGATTATTTGTGTGAGCTGCTGTTTGGAACGGGTTTTATGATCAGAACACGCGCCCATATTCCTACACCCGGTAGAATTATGCCGCGTCCGAAGATTTAAAAAAAACCCGCAAATCTCGCGGATTTTGCAGTCCAAAGTCGGCAGAAATTTGCGGGAAAACCGGGGCGCGAACAGTTGAAACGAATGCTACCGTACTCGCGTTCGCTTCGAGACCGCGCCCTTTCTGTCCGGTGCCCCTATAATAACTCGAGTAGACTACGATTAGATTAACAACGAAATGCCAGAGGAGGGGTGCTAAATTTTTAGTATCAACACAAAAAATACTCAAAAAGATGCGAGGAACACGATGGCGTTGAGTTTGGGTCGCTAGAAAAATTCTTGGTTTTTCTAGTTTTCAGAGCTACAGTAATCCTGTGCTTCTTCTTTAGGGGGCAGAGCCTAATCGTGCCTAGTCTAATGTTCTTATATAATGTTGTGTACTAGCATATACTCAAATCAAAAAATTTGGACCAGTTTGATTTTTCATGTGCTATCGGTCAATGGACGGATGTCCGATTTCTCGGAGAATGTGTGTTAAATGCCATCAGAAAAGGATGATCATGATTCAGAAGGATGATTCATATTATGTGGGAAACTCTCGTGACGTAAAAGTGTGGAACAAAGCACAGAACGGGTATTTCTGTCCTCCCGAAAATAGTTTCCAAGACAGACCGGGGCGGTTGTAAATTAGGTTTATACCAAGAAGATCAAATGTTCTGTTGATCATTTTTGCTGCCTTTTTGGCTAGTCAGACGCATCTTTGAAGAAAAATTAAGAGAAAATTGTATACAATCCAGTTTCAGTTCTATTTATTAAACTTTGTATTATGGGGCATTTCACTGCAATCGCACTAACTCGGCCAGATTAATATGGTACAGCGCGCGATTTCAGGGAAATTCCCCCATAATAACTGAAAGCTGAGCACCAAAAAGACGAAGTCAATCCAGCGAAAACAACTCCAAAGAGCAAAGCTGTTGGTAGACTATTAACGATCGAATTAATATGTACTGTATTATAAATCTTTATTGATGTGGCAGGCAAATTGAAACAGTTCAATTATAAAGGTTGAGCATTTGGGATGATTTTGAATGACTCCAGAAATATCGCATCAGTACTATTACTACGATAAGTGAAAAGAGGAGAGAAGCCGGAAGAAAAAACCATAAATTAAAATAAATTATATCTATATCCATGTCATTTCATGATAGAGCAGAGCTTTTAAAAATTTGAAAGTGAAAGATTGGCTGAAAATGGCAAAACGTGTGAAAACATGTGGATTATACGTGAATGAAAAACGTTGGTCATTTCGTGCATAAAAGATCGGCGGAATTGAAAGAATTAATCAGAAAAATAAATTACTAGACAACTAATGAAAGCACAAGACTCGCTTAAAGTTTGTTCTTCGCGAGTCTATGCCTCTTTCGGATGCAGCAAACACCTTGCATACACTGAGAGTATCCACTTCCACAGCCACACGAACCACCGACTTGCTGGCACATTGTGATAGCAGGGGCTTGGACGAACTGATACTGCTGAATGCACGACTGTTGACACGATGGTTGACACTGAGGAACACATTGGAGGACAGTCGGTGCCTGAGAATAGGAATTAAGACATTCTATCTGATCAGATTCATGTTTACCTGGCAAGCTTGTCCACAGATCGGACTGGCCTGAACGACGATCACTTGCTGCTGCCCGCATGATTGTTGGCAACTATTTTGACAGGTTGAAACGCACTGAACATTGGAATCGCATGCTTGCTGAAATTTAGTGTCCTGAATCATGCCTCTACTTAGCCTCAATCGTACCTGGCATTGTGGTTGACAAGCTTGCACACAGACTGTTTGTTGCTGGATGCATTGTGGGGTGCATTGAGGCTGGCAAGCCTGGACACATGAGTTCTGCTGTTGCTGCACAACGACCACCTGAAATTAGATTATAAATCGACTTAACTCTTATCGTTTATACCGGCTGTGGTGGTTGTCCACAAGTTTGTTGGCAGCTCGGAATACATGATTGAATGCATTGGGAGTTACCTCCGCATGCAGACTGACATGATGGTTGGCACGAAGAAAGACAAATGTTTTGGGTCTGGATGCACTGCTGATTGCATGATGGCTGACAAACCGATGGACAAGATGGTTGAGCATCTTGCACAACAACTACTGGCTGTTGCTGTTGAACACAGGAGGATTCACAGCTCGGCAAGCACTTTTGTACGCATTGCGCATTCGAGCTGCACGATGATTGGCAAGACGGTTGACAGGCAGCGGCGCAGATAGTTTGTTGCTCGATGCATTGAGGAGTACATTGTGGCATGCAAGACGAAGCACAAGTGTTCTGAGACGAAGACGAAGATGGCTGGACGACAACAATCTGAGATTGTTGCTGTTCGACGCATTGTGATGTACACTGTGGCTGGCACGCTGGGGCACATGCCTTAAGAGCTTACATTTAGAACGGTTTTTCTCTAATAGCTCATACCTGCTGAACACAACTGTCTTGGCAAGCAGGCATGCATGAAGACACACATTGCTGCGGAGGCTGTTGGACGACAACGATTTGAGCCTGTTGCTGCTCGACGCATTGAGAAGTGCATGTTGGTTGGCAAGCTGGAGCACAAGCCTGTAAATTGAGATCTCACAAATGCTCGTAAAGCTTCGCTAACTCACCGCCTGGACACAAGATGGTTGGCAAGCCGGCATACAGGACGATACGCACTGATTCTGGTTCTGCTGAACAACCACCACTTGTGGTTGATTGTTGTTGCAATTGTTTCCAGAGCATCCATTCGTACATGATGGGAGACAGGCTGGCATGCACGATGGAGTACACTGCGCTTGTTGGGGTTGCACGACGATAATCTGTTGCTGCTGTTGCTCGACACATGAGGAGGAACACATTGGTTGGCAAGCTGGAGCACAAGCCTGAAACAGAGAGTTGTTAGAAGAACAAAACTCCGTGTTACGAACCTGCTGGATACAAGAAGGCTGACAGGACGGCATGCAAGATGAAGAGCATTGATTTTGAGGTTGTTGAACGACGATAATTTGTTGTTGCTGTTGCTGGACGCATTGAGGAGCACACATGGGCTGGCATGCCGGGGCGCAGGACTGAACAAGTATATTGCACTCATCTAATAAAGCCTAGAAAACTTACACTCTGCACACAGGACGGCAAACAAGCTGGCATGCACTGAGAAGAACACCTCTGTTGTGGCTGTTGAACAACGATGATCTGTAATCTAAAAATTGATAGAGTCTATTATTAACAACTGTAACCTGAGGTTGAGACTGTTGGCACTGATTGCAAGCTACTTGGTAACTTAAAGCTCCGCATCCGCAGGATGAGTACTGTAGTTGAAGTGTTCCGCAGTCACATCCAGGGTTAACAACCGATGGGCATCCACATTGACTTTGCAACATATTCGCACAGTCACATTGTTGGACCTAAGATCGAATTAGGTGAACAAAATAAAGTGATAGTTAACCTGAATCTGAAGTGCGGCACAGTTACATTGAGACTGAACCTGTGGACAACAAGAGTTCTGAGCAGCGAAGCAGCATTGTCGTTTTGCTCTGCTCACTGTAGCCGTTTCGTTTCTTGTCGCTGGGGTTTCCTGAAATCGATTCTTTTCGGCACATAATGTTTATTGGATGCGGGCATTGCTACGCAATGCAAAAAAAATCGATGCGCTCGTATATCTATTATAGGGGCACCGCACAGAAATGGCGCTCTGTTGAGAAATTCTTTTTGTAGTGAAAATTGAGCGACCTCGGGGCCGAGTTTGAAAAGTTAGGCCACGTTTTTAGTGGAAAATTACTTCGCGGCCTAGAAATTCGGCCAGATTGCGAACAGCGCGCCTTTCTGTCCGGTGCCCCTATAATATTCACATGCGGTCGCATGTTCGACCCCCACTCGATTCTGACCCGTCTTTCTTTCATCTGTGCTTAGCAGACGTTGAAAAAGGCAGGCAGACAGACGCATCTAGTGTTTTATATATAATAAGAAAGATTAGGGATCTCTCTCTCCAAGTCAAAGGTGCCTGTCCATGTTTGGGTCGCCTTCAATGAGTCAACAATCGCTTGACAGACTCAAGACGCCAATCCGACTCTTTCTTGGGGCTCTCTAGCGGATGTTACATCGCATGCGAACGCTCCGCTGCTCTCTCCCTCAAAAACTAAGCATCTCCGGGTTTGATGAGGAGAAGAAGGAGGAGGTCATGAGAGAAAGACAACAGAACGAACAGTCGTCAGGTGCGTGTTGAGTAAATATAGACAACACATTATGCACACTATTTTGGCTTCTGTGTCCACTAGAAAAGTTCCGCAAGAGGATGGAAAGAGGCAATGAAAGTGCGACCACCTCTGTAGTTTCGCATGCTCATCTTGTACCTTATGATCGTGTGCTTTTTGAAATGGAACCCAGGTTACTGTCATCAAGTAGCAAAAGAGCATTACGTGTTTGCGCATTTATCGATACATTTTATGAACTTCATCTACAGCTACACCCTAACACATTTCCGAGCTTGGGCTTTTCGGGAAGATCTCATTGTAAGAGCAACCAGTGTGAACGTGGCTAGTGGTTGATGAAGATAAAATTTTCAAACCTCTTCTTTGATCGGTTCCTTCTCAATGGGTTTCACTTCTGGCGAAGCCGTGGTGGTCGTGGATGATCCTATTGTATCAGTCGAAGGTACTGTAGTTGTCGTCTCAGATGGTTTTATAGTAGTTGTTGCAATGGTAGTGTCGTCTTCGCCATAGACACTAGCAGTGGCCAGTAGGAAGACGAACAGAAAAGGTTGGTATTGTACCATTCAGCCTGAACTTGAATTTCAGTATGTTAAATGAATTGTAATCGAGGTGAAAAATGGAGATACATTTTTGTGATCAAAAAAAGTGAGAAAAAAGGCAAAGCAAAACCGAGCACAAAGACGTGCTGCGACCGAAACAGGAAAATGAACATGCGGAGAAAGAACGAGTGAAGCAAAAGCCAGTTTCGAGCCGAGTGGACATTGTGTGTGTGCTTATTGTTGGACAGTGTGGAGGTCAGAGAAGGGTGAGAGAGTGCTCCGATTAGAGTCCTCCGAACTGCTGATTCCGCGCGCAGGCAGAAGAAGGCGCCCGCTCCTCCCCCGGAGGGACGGAGAAGATAACTGACACCAGAGGAGGAGGAGGCACCAGACCCCCGTCGGTCCACCCATATTGGCTTGTTTTTGAGGAAACACCGAGATTTTGCCGAACTAAAAATAGAGCAGTTTGGGGGAGGAGGAATTGAAAGCAAGGCAAGGCGATGGCAAAAGAAGTGTGAGCAAGCGTTAAGAATTTCTGAAGTATTTGTATTTGTATTTGGAAAAACAGGCTATGAGGGGGTTCAAAATGTTGGAGAGACCACGAAAAAGGAGTTCTGAAGTTTTGAAGAAGAAATATAGGGACGCAGGGCGAGTTGGTTGGGATTATGGAACAGGAGGCATTTGGGTATTGGGTCACAATTTTGGACTTTGACATCTCCTTACGGAGCTTCAGAATTGCTTTTCTACCCAGAGTAGAGGTAAAAACTTGTACATTGAACAGATCCACACTACTCCTCTTTACTTGTTTCGAACTAAATGAAAATTGACCATCTACAGGATGGGCAACTACTTGAAGTAATCGGACATACAGCAAAACTCCTATCATATGGTATTGGAATATATATCTTTCATAGGAATTCTCTAAATTCGCTTTAGAGAGAACCATCAGAATAAATAAGAACTACCGTATCAAACTCTCGGTTCTTGCTTCAATCTCTCCAATTGGAGGGATTACGATGATTCATCATATCCAGCGCCTAGGTTGCGTGCTTCAAATGCTTAGTCTGATTGGTGATTACGGTCCATATGTCTGTTTGTTTGTTTTTTTCTTCCTCTCTCTTTCTTTCTCTCTGTTTGTCTGTCGCCAGGTTTTCTTTCTAACAAAACAGTTATGAACTTGTAGTAAGCGGCATAGCCGCTTCCGAGGTAACCGGACCCGGACCATAGAGATTTTGTATGTTGGTAAATCTACTGAAGCTGAGTATGTCCGTCACGTTTCATGAAACAAGGGTGCAACTTCCCGTCTTTCCTTTGCGTTTCTAAGACATAAGGTGCAAATATTGCATAATTCATATACAGTATTAGGCGAATGAATGCAAATAAGGCTCTTTCCGACTCCCATTTCCTTTCTGATAGTATTGAGAGAACTCCCCCGCTGTCTAAACTGCGGCATGTCGTTGAGTGCTCGTGTCATTCTCAAGAGTTTCGAAATTCTCTACCGTGTTTATCATCATTATAATTAGTTCTTCCTTCGTTCGGCGGGTTTCGCTGCAACATCGGCCGACCGAAGAGTTGACTTTTGGTCCAATTAATACGATCGTTCACCCAAAGCCCCCTTCTCTTTCCCTCTCTTCGCACCGCGGTAATCCGTTTGTCTCGCTCGCGCCGCGAGAAGCAAAAACCTGACGAAAATCCTGAAGCAGATGGGAAACAATAGTAGGAGCTCATCGTGCATGGGGCACCGTCCTCCGATCAGTCCGTCTAAATGAGTTTGCGGTTCAGATCACAATGGAAATGACAAACACCGAGTGGGAGAGAGCACATATATAGAAGCAGGTCACGCATTTGTGGCATTTAATTCGGAGGGTACAAAAATTAGGGGGTACAACAGGGTACAAATTGTTTTGGGGTACAAAAAGTCGAGGGTACAAAATTTTCGATTCTAGGGTACAAAGATTAACCGATTCAGTAGGCATTGATTAAGGGGTACAACTTTTATGATTTAAGGGTACAAATTTCACGATTTTGGGGTACAACAATTTTTTCCCCATTTTTTCATGGGCATCAATTCAGTGAATGTTTTTAGTTGTTTCACAAAATTTTTTTACTCCGTGAATGTTTTGTGCTCCGAATCGCTTGATCAGTTCCAGAGATGTTTTTTAAATGAGATTTCATGACCCTTCGAAGCGTTTTGCTTCCGATAGACAGTGGTTCAAACGGCGACCCCTTTGTTATTATAGGGGCACCGAACAGAAAGGGCGCTCTATTAATAAACTTTTTTGCAGTGCAAATTGAGTGAGCTCGGGGCCGAGTTTGAAAAGTTAGGCCACGTTTTCAGTGGAAAATTACTTCGCGGACTAGAAATTCGGCCAGATTGCGAACAGAGCGTCCTTTCTATTCGGTGCCCCTATAATATTACTTACAAGTTGTTTTTGCTGTTTTGGCCCCTTTAAATTCTGCAATTTCACAGCAGAATTTCATCATCTGATGTTGTGTGTGAAATTTACCCAAGTAAAGTTTTTTTCTCGAAATGACACAAAAATACTGCATAAAACAAAGCATGGATACACACGACTGTGTCTCGTGAGCTCTCAAAAAAATTCAAAACTGGAATGAAAACTTCGAAAATGTGCTTCGTGCAACTTTTGTACCCCAAAATCGTGAAATTTGTACCCTTAAATCATAAAAGTTGTACCTCTAAATCATTGCCTACTGAATCGGTAAATTTTTGTACCCCAGAATCGAAAATTTTGTACCCTCGACTTTTTGTACCCCAAAACCATGAAAGTTGTACCCCAAAACCATTTGTACCCTGTTGTACCCCCTAATTTTTGTACCCTCCGAATTAAATGCCCGCATTTGTCTAATCTTCAGAACGCTCAAATCATTAAGGACGAAAATCTAAAAATGTAGATAAAAATTTAAGAATTGTAAATTTATGGCGGTGTCGGTCTACCGCAATCCCACGTGAAAATCCGATGGGGCGCCCCCTAACATAGCGCCCCTTTGCCAACCATATCCAGACTTATGAGGCTGCAACATATCTGCTGGATATCCTTTTGCTCGCTTGCCATTCGCCGGATGCTCCACGTGAAACTCGTTTTTCAGATTTTCTCAGATCCCATTGGACCGACGCGAACAAAGACTGACAGACAAATACACACATACAGAATTTAGTGATTAAACATAGTAAAGATAAGGGGTTTTGCGAAATTTCATACCAGAGCGACGCTTCATACAGGTGACGGCTCATGGTATTTCTTTCCACGACATTACATACCAAATTGACTCGTCAAATTAGGTCACTGATATAGAACGTTTCTGGTATGAATCGTCACGGAGCCACACTAATGGCCGAAGAATTGAATAAAATAACAATTTTCTGGATTTAATCGTGCTTATACACGTCAAAGGGAACATTAAATAGAATAATAGCTGAATATTTTCAGATAATATCTGGTTTAATTGGATTTTCGATGAGTGTGAGTTGAACGGTAGGTGGGGCTTGGTTTATAAAGTTCATCGGTTGTTGAATTGGAATCATTGGCACTGAAAATAATCTGATTTGAACAAGATTATTATAAACTAAACAAACTCATTCCAAGTGCCCCGGGTTGTTGTAACGAGGCCTGCGGAAAAACGAGTTGTTGTTGGGGTGGCATTGTTGGCACGAAAGCGCTGAAAGTGCACAGTGTGATAAGAAGCGAAAGTTCGAACAACTCACGCTCTGCTTGGGTCATTTACGAATCTAGTACGAATCGCCACGGTGTCCGGCAGTTGTCCGAGAAGATGATAATGATAATCTCGATGATCCTCGATCCTGAACGAATATTTTTACGAAACAGTGTCATTCATAAGCATCGGAATCACGACTAACGCGAGAATGTTTTTGCCGAGCTCCTCCAAATAGTCCAGCTTCCGCTGGCTGAACCTAATTTTGTCTTCCAGTCTCAAATTGCTGTCCAAAGCGATATCAAACGACTGAATTACATCTAACTGGAAAGAATTTGAAGAACTTGAAAGAAAGAAACCATCTGATTGCTTACTTCAGTCATCACATCGGATGAGTAGGCGACGTCAACGAACTGACTGTACAGTTGCAGATTGAATGGATCAATCGAGATGGCTTTTTTCAAAACCTTTTGAGCCAATTTCGGATCGTGTCTTGATTTTTGATGGTATCTGGCAAGCTTCAGGCTGTAGAATGAATGAAGATTTGGCGAAATTTGTGAATCTTTGATGAGTGCCTCATACTGATTGAGAACGAATTCCGATGATGGTCCGCCTTCTTTCTCCGCTTTTCTCCGGAGAATCCCGAGATAACGGAGCTCAAGGAGCACATATCCGGGATATTCCTGGCGAAACTTGTCTAAAATCTTTATTGCCTCGTCAAAGTTATCTGAAATAAATAACATTTAGACCGATTTCTCGTCTTCTTTTACCAGTAGATTCTTCGAAGCCGGCTTCGCTCAGCGCCAAATTTAAGGAAGTGGGACAGTGTATTTTAGCCTTCGCGTACAGTTCACGAGACTTCGTTCGTGATTTGTACACTTTCCAAATCCATCGAGCGTACTTAATCCAGAATTCTTCGTAAAGAGCACACGGAATGAGGCATCTGTCAAACAGAATTCTGATGCGCTGCTCGTTCCCTTCCTTCATTTCAAAGTCTAGATAAGACATCCAGTTGAATAGTTGCGGGTAATCGAGAGGTTTGACGTGGAAATATGGTCTCTTAATGTTGGTTTCGAAACCGGCGCGCATCTCGCATTCTCTCATATTTTTTTCATAAATGCGACGACGACGAGAAATGATCTCTTCGCGGATGAATTGAAGAGCGGCCGGATCGTGTTGAGCACTGTTAACTGTTATTGAGAAAGTGTTTTCTCCCGATTCTGTGACAATGTTCATCATTCCATATGCAGTTTCCTGACAAATGTAGCTGAGTTGCACCTGGCGCACCAGCTCTTCGATCTAAAAGAGAAACTTGAAACTTGAGAGAACCTTGAGAATATATGGTGAGAACGGAAGCAAGAACTTACAGGTTTCTCAAGTCGCTTACAGACAAGCTTCATTATTTCGTCATATTCTCGTTCGCTGAGCAGCAAGTGTGGCTCTATTGTATTCAAATACGCCACATATCTTTCGAAATGCGAGGATGCATGTGCCGTTGGAGTTCCCAGAAGCTTATCGAACATAATTCCGATTCTTTTGCAGGTGGCGGTCGTGTTTCCTTTACACAACTCGTTTATGTACACTGCTCTTTCGAATCCGATTGCTTCTAGCCATAGACGATCACTTTGATACTCTAGTCCTGCAATCTCGAGGGCTCTGGCGTACAAGCTGTAAGAATACAATTTATGCTGATTTATTCGGCTCAGATGCTGACTCTCGCAACGAATCGGGCGGAAAATCCTTGATATTCTTCACATCAGCAGTGTAGCCTATCCACAAATCGATCGATAATGGAATGTTGATGATTCCCTTCTCCCAAACAGCCTTCGCTTCTGTCATGTTGCCCATCTTCTTCTCATACTCGGCATATTTCTGCCAGAATCCGTAACAGTTTGGATATCTAGCCAAAAACGATCGATACTTTTCTCGGGCGTATTCTACGTCTTCCTATAAATTGTTTGTTATCTAAAAAACTCTGCTGGTTTTCTTACACTTTGATCGACTTTTGCCAGAATGTTTACCCAATTGTCGAAATCCGCAGTGTCGATAGGTGGTGTTCCGAAGTGACTTCCGACAGAAGATCGATTCAGAACAGATGTATCTTTATAATCGGAGCCATGTCTGTTGCTCCGATTGCGTTGCGCCCCATCCGCTCTCCGATGACGGGAAGAATTAGAACGGGAACGGCTGAAATTGTGGTTATCTGATAGATTTATAACTAGGAAAAAGGGGTTAAACAGAAAAGTTATTCAGAACATTCTTTTCTTCGCTTCATCCTCTGCCACAGCTCCTGCCGATTCCCTTCGCTGCTAAATAAGATTTACACTATGCGGCTTTTTTTATTTTATTACAATATGTACAATCCAACAAATTATCAAGTATCGAATTAATTTCCTAGTCTGTTCAGACGGAGAGGAATGTTGGAGAACGGAAATGCAAACCTTTTCTGTAAAAAAGACAGCTTTGAAAGCAGCCTGTTGGTTTTTGTTGTTGTTTCGAACGAAGTTCGCACTCCTACTCGCATTATCGAACAAGAAACGCACAAACACTCACCTTCGGCGCCGTCGATCCCTGTCTCTATCCGAATCTCGATGTCTATCGTGCTCGCGCCGCCTATGAGTCTCTTCTCTTTTCCTGAAAAAGCTTTAAAGTCGGTATTTTTCAAGGGGTTTACCTGTTAGAACGATATTCGTCTGAGTCTGAACTTGATCTAGATCTGTCTCGTCCCATCTGCAACGTTTGTTTTGAACTTTCGGGTGTTTGAAATACCTAAAAATTAAGAAGAGATAGTCAAGTGTAGCTAACACCTTTTATCCGTTCAAATTTTCGAAAAAAAAAACATTTTATTTAAGTTTAACCTGAATAGAGTAACCCTAATTAAATATGATGTGACGAAAACGAGGGAAAACGTTCAATAATGGGGCTATTCAGCGTATGTTTGTTTTCCGTTTTTTTTTTCGTTTTTTTACACCGCTGAATTGGGTTTTTTTGACGTAAAAGAACGAAAAAAAAAACGGAAAAAAATCATTTTTTTCACAGCCTGAATAACCCCATAATAAAAAAGGGACAAAATATATGAATTTAGTAACGTATTCTTCGGCCTAGCTACAACGGCAAAAAAACAACACGGGAAATCAATGCTGGACTCCATTTCCGTTTTTTAACCCATTTGGCTCTTCGTGAATGGCGTATTGTCTTCGATAAAGTTTGTCCATGCTTTCGAGGTAGAAAGTGTTCGGGAAAAGTGACGACTTGTAAGGAATTCGTGGCAGCTCTGTAAGCAGGACCAGACTGGCAAGGTTTAAACGACGTCATTTCGGTATTCACATGACTTCCTGTTATCGGTCCAGAGAAGAACTGGTTTGTTTTAAAGACAGAAAAAGTTTTCACTAAAATTCAGGTGCAAAGATTTACGAGCATCACATCGCAATTCCACGTCAAAATCCGTCTGCAACCGTGAACTTTTTCAACTTGACACTTATTTACGAGAAACGCGGAAGAGCGCGAATGCCAGTCGAACATCGGCCCAGCTCTGTCTAACAACTTTAGAAAACGTTTTGGAAAAAATGCGGGAGGAAATTCAAACTATGTTCGTTTGAGCCGTTGAAAAACCTGGAAAACTTCGTCTTACCTTCCGAGCGAAGGAACGTTTCTCTCATCTTCAGAGCGTATGTGAATTCCTCAGCCGTACGTCGATGCCTACTGTCGAGACGACGCACAGCGGAGAGAGCAACTTGCCGTATTTGATCGAGACTTGCAGTTTGCCTAACTCTTCCCGGAAAAATTGCAGAAGCGAGTCCACTGCCGTATGCGAAAAATAGAATATTTTTACCTGATTCCGTAATGCTGAAAAATTGTCAATTAGCTCTAACTTATTATAGGGGTACCGGACAGAAAGGGCGCGCTGTTTGCAATCTGGCCGAATTTCTAGGCCGCAAAGTAATTTTCCACTGAAAATGTGGCCTAATTTTTCAAACTCGGCCCCGAGGTCGCTCAATTTGCACTGCAAAAAGAGTTTCTCAACAGAGCGCCATTTCTGTTCTGTGCCCCTATAATAGAAAAAATGTTACCAGTTCTCAGAGGCTAGATATGCTAAAAGCTGAGCAAACAACGATGGAGTGTACATATTTCCTATTCGGCGATTGAATGTGAGGAAAGGGTCAGTTTTCTTCTTCCATACTTCGGATGACAACTCAATCATTTTCGACAATGCAGAACGATCGTTCTCATCTAGCTTCTCTTTCATAGAATTTCCGTTTCTGCAAGATGTAAACTTTTTCTGAAGACTTGTGAATAACACTTACTGGCAACTGTGGCGTAAGCACGAATCGGTGTAGCTCATTACAGCCAGGCCTTTTTGTACCATTTTTGTGAAAGGCGAGTGGAGAAAAATCGCGTCGAAATATTCCAAATTAACGCAACCTGTTGTGTGACGGGAAACTTTTGATACGAAATTCGTATACGACACTCGTACCGCTTCCAGATAAGAAGCTAGGGAAAGAGATCCATCGACAACTGGATACTCGCTTGCGGTGGCAGCTGGAACAAAAGAAGTATGAATTGGTCCTAAAAATGAAAGCATACTGATCGGTTTGAAGAAATCCCATGTGTTTTTCATGTGACAAGCAGCAAATTGTCGATCGATGGGAATTGGAGCATCTGGGCAAATCAAAAAGGCTATGGCACCAGCTCCTCCCGTGCATCTTGCTGGACCAGCTTCGTAAATTGCGATATCCGCAATAACGACGATGGCGTTTTTGTTATCCACAGGTTGATTGACTGTAACCCAATCAACTGCATGCAATAAACCCTGAAAACTTTGAAATTTGTATATTATACATTTTTAACTTTAAAATTACTTGGGCTCCACCAAAACAGGCGTTTTTGATATCAACTCCTTCGATATCGGAATTTCCTGGGAAAAGGTCCATTAGTGCTGTCTTCACACTCTTGCTTTTATCGATCATCGTTTCAGTACCTACAACGAGGCAGCCAATCGAATCTGTTGGGATCTAAACGGGACACAAAACTGAGGAAGCATTAAATAAAATGGTACCTTATAAGTGTCGAGCAGGTTTCGTGTAACCGTCAGGCTGATCGACACAATATCTTCATTATCGGCACAAAACCCCATTTGCTGCTGTCCGAGTCCGATCGTATACTTTCCATCGGGCACATTGTTGTACTGCAACGAAATTATGACACTAACGATGAGGAAAACGCGCTCACCTTTTCCAATTCTGCCTGTTCCACATAGTTTTGTGGGAAATAGAACTCGATCGCACCGATTCCGACATTTTTTGGTGATGGGAAGGAACAGATGTTGAGACTCATACCTAAAAAAAATTACATTTGAACATTAATAAGTTAGGAAAGAGAAACAATTTACAAGAAAAATGATTTAAAATTATGAATATTACGCTTATGAAGACTTTTAATTTGAGAAATGTCCAGGTAAGAAATAAATTGAAAAACTAACTACAAAATATATGCTGTACTTTCGCGCAGCCGCGGTTATTTGTCTTTGGGTTGCTGCGGAGAGTTCTAGTCCGCGGCCACTAGTCCCTCGCGGTGATTACTCGGCCACGACAGGGTTCTCTTATTTTTCTCGAAAACTGAGTCGTACCTTTTCTGATCGGCAAAGCGTTCCCATTCTAATTTTATTAACACAAGCCTGAAGCCCGGGTACTCCTGGATCTACGGGCACTGCTGGCTATGGCTTGGCTACGGGCACTGCTGCGCAAGAGCCTACGCCGAACCAGAGCTATTCGAATCAGAACTTATCTTTCAGAAAATGCTCAAAATTTTGAAAGGACAGGATCAAATTCGGCGGATCATTGTGTGCGAGGAGTCCGGAAACGCTTCGTCTCTTCCGCTACTTCTCCACTTTCTCTCCACAACCTCCAGTTCAAACCAGAAAGTGGCTATCGTCTCCAGTAGATTCACAGAGACTAATTACAAGTGAGTATTCCCGGTAGCAGTCGGTCTGGAATCTTACAAGTCTAGAATAATTACTCGAAAATTCTCGCGAAGACATATTGCTCGGAAACTTTATTTTTTCGCGAATTGCGTGTGCGTTTCTCAGGGAACTCGCAATTAATTGTGCCCTATATTCAGGCTGTAAAAAAAATAATTTTTTCCGTTTTTTTACGTCAAAAACCCAATTCAGCGATGTAAAAAAACGAAAAAAAAACTGGACTTTTGAACCACTAAGTCCACTTGCAATATTCCGAGCAGACCCAAACTTTGCAGGATTGTTGGACTTGGATTGCGGGCCATTGGGTCCAAATTTCAGCCCGATCGGATCGTCGGGTCCCGAGATATGTGGATCATTGGCCGATTTTTTCCAAAAAGCCCGGGCTTCCGGCCAATTTCGGCCAATGATCCACATTTCTCGGGACTAAATAATCCGATCGGGCTGAAACTTGGTCCCAATATGCTTCAACCCATGTTCAAGAAGCCTGCAAAATTTGGGTCCGATTGGAATATTGCATGTGGTTCAAAAGCCCAGATCTAGGGCCGGCCAACGAAAAGTCCGTGCCGGCCAATTGCCCAGCTCTGAATCTCAGTAAATTTGCAATCTAATTAGGGCGGTTGTAAACGCGTATTAGCTAGCTATTTAGATTGATAAAGCTTTCCCTGAGTCAGACTGGTGAACCCGAGGACTACGGGTAAAATTGTTACGTTCTAACCATAAATATTAATTTTCAGATTGATCTGCTCAAAAGCTGGTGTTCGCTGGGATCCATCCAAAATCACATTCTCCGATGTTTTGCAGCCTTTCGGATATTTGGATGTGACCGCAAATCAATTAATGGAGCAAATTCGCAGTGTAAATAAAAATTGTCAAAAAATTACAGTAATTTCAACTCAATTTTCAGAATATCACAGAGTCTAACCCGTGCGCCGTTCTTTTTGACGACTTGTCAATTTTAGAACAGTTTGGAGCAAAATCAGTTGAAGTTGCTGTTTTCGTCCATGAAATGTACACTCTGCTGAGTAATGTGTCTCCGGAACACGCTCTTGTTTTCGCCTCATTCTCCATTCCTACAAACACGATATCCCTACTTCGAAGTAGATGTAATGTCTTAATTCATCTGAATCCAGTCGGGCATGGATTCGGAAAAGAAGCGTCGTCGAAGGTAACGAAAATATTGAAAGAAAAACTTTATAATACTTCGATTTTCAGGCAGTACTCACAATCCGAGATTCTGATCTTCGCACGACAAAAAAAGGAATTCTTCTCTCTGGTGAAAGAGCGATCAATGGAACGTGGATCACAGTTGATTAAAAATGAGCGCTTTTCTCGTTGTTCAGTTTATTTGAAGCTTTACGGAGTTGTTATAAATCATTTGCTTTTTACTAGAGAACAACTATTACACACGGGCTTCATCACACATTTTTGGCCTAAGAGGAGAACATTAAAAACACCGACCAATAACAAAATGAAACTATCTGTGCTCTGATCTATCACAAAAAAATTACATATACTTCTGAAACTCATTATAGACTGCCAGGACCAGGGCGGCGCCAGTTCCTCGGATTGCGTTCACAAGAGCTCCATTGAAAAATGCTTTCGGTCCTTCTCTCGTGTAAATGTACTGGAAATAGGAGATTTTGAAAAGGGACTATTCAACGACAGATTTTTACTTTGATGCAGGATATTGTGTTGTTGAAAGGCAAAGGGCCCTTTGATTCCTTTCCGGCGCCCATCATCAGTCTTCTTCTAACCGTGTCTAGTGGATAAGATGTCATTGCGGCGATAAGTGTTACAACCTAAATAAGAACAACCAATAAATCGTAAGTACTGTATTATAAGACTTTTTGACCGTAGGGTCGTTGTAAACACTCGAAGCTTAAATTATGCATCTATCCATGCATATGAACATATTTGGAAATAGCGAAAGGTTGAAATCTTTGAAATCATGTTAAATTTGAACATCGTAAGCCTATTAGAGGAAAATAATACCTGTCCAACTAAAAAAGCTTCTGTGAACGTCATCTTTCCGTCGCTATTTATGTACGGGGCAGTTGTGTCGAACAAGCCATAGTAGGCACCTCGATATATAATCATATACTGTAGCGATGGAATGAGTCCCCTAAACTTTTGAAGTTGATAAGTGCAAGTTCAGAATTTCCCGAAAAACTTACTTGTAGAGTCCAGATACTCCGTCGTATCTGATGATTTTTTTTGCACAATCGAACATTCCAGTAAACTCACGATCCTAAAACCCCTTCTCACTGAATATTGTCGTGAACGAGTAGGAATCCTACAGATTTTCGTTTGCCGAGGTCAATAGCCAACCTCGTTCTTATGAAATCTAGAGGATAGATGGTTGCAAGTGTGGCACATCCAGAACTTCCTCCTGCGACGAGATTCCCTATTAACCATCTCGTGTGTTGAGTTTTAGCATCAACTCCGTCGGTTGTGAACTTTCGGAAGAATTCTTTGAATGAAAGCCCTAATGACTCCTCAAAAAAACACATTCAAAGATGAAGAAGCAAAAAGACACTCACTTGACTGCATGATCTTAATATGTTGACCCAGTTTCCTCTCCAAAACGACAGAAATCCTTGTTCTCGGGGAACTCTGATGAAGCAGTCCACAATACCTTTATACCTATTATCTTGAGCTAGTGTTGTTTGCGAATTTTGAAGCTGAAATGTTTAATTTGAAAAGAAAGTTTAAAAAATCATTCTGCTCTTCCTGTCTCATGCATAAAGTAGTAGTTGTTCGATTCATTCTGGGGCGCGCTCGGCACGCGCAACGGCCCATATGTTTTGGGGCGCTGTAAGTTACTTCCCAAAACTAACCTGGAGAATGAGTTTGACTCTTTCTACTGGAGCAATAACTGTTTTCGAAATGGCGGCAGCAGTGGCACCAGCCATGAAATCTTTGGAAAACTTGATGACGTCATCTCTGGAAACCCCTAAAGTAGACAATGCACATATTTTTTTGAATTTTGACTCGCCTGGAAATGCTGTATAAGCTGACATTTGCTCGTTACTTCAAAATTTCTCTGAACTTTCAATGTTTTAAGTGGAAAAAGCGAAAAAGTGACAGGCGAAAGCACGTGATAAAAAATCACAGAATCACATGGAAGAGGAAACTGAGTGCATACATTTTCTAGTCCCCCTGAATTTCGGTCATTTATTACGGAAACGTGAAATATGAAAAAAGGAAAGCTTTTTTTAGAGGATAAAATAAAATAAACTGAGGAAATAACAAGAAGTGAATATTAATTTTTTCGTCATGTCTAAAATCAAAGGTGTTGAAGTACAATTATGCGGATTTGAACTGTGGCCGAATTGAACGTTCTTTGGTGTTTAACATCACATTGTCAGCGGAAATGAAAGCAAGTTCCACATTAAGAGAGATATCAACATGCGATCCGCGCTGCAACTCCCGTACACGTGACCAATAGACTGTTGGCAATATTCAGACAGATGCTGGGAAAAAGTCGGTCGATGAACTTTAGAGGCCCTCGTGCCGTAAGTTCGTAAACAATCAACATTTTCGTTCAGTCTGCTTCAGAAAATATAGCTTTATTGTTTGTTTCATGGTCTAAATATTGTGAAAAAAATGTTTGTGTATGTGAACAAAACGTTTTGCGTACTTGTTTCCTGTGAATGCTGCAAACCGTTTTGTTTCTAACGAATGATAACATATTTGGCTATTCAAAATAGAACCGGAAGTGACTGAACCTATAACATCTGCAACTTGATAAAGATGATAGAATGGGTGATCGGGTCATTGTAGTTATCAAAAAGTGTTATTATCTTTATTAGTGTGTTCTTTCCCTTGTTGCTTTATTTACTTCTCAAGGGCATCAAACGCAGATGGATGCAAACACACTTAGACACGTCGTTTACCCTCGCATTCAAACTCTATCAATCAAAAATCCATCTTCTGCGTTCTGCGTTCTAGAAGAAATCACAACAGAACAAGAAGAAGGCGAAGAAAGATAAGGCGAAAAAGGCGAATCGGCGCGCGCGGAGAGAAATCGCCGGAAACCGACAAAGATTTCCTTGTGTTTGTAAGTGCGATCGGAGAGATTGAATGACATTGGGAAAAGAGAGACGATCCACCCAATTATCTTTATCATTTTGTGTTTTTCATCCACTCATGGTCACAAACACCGATGGACGCCACAAATGTGACAAGAAGAGCAAAGAGACTTGTTGCAAATGTTTTTATTGTTGGGACATTTTTACACGTAAGCAGGCAGGCAAAATAGCAGAAGCATCTAAAAGCTTAACAGATGAGTATCTTGAGTTGGTCTTCGAGAATTTCGAATTTGTCATTCAAGAGCGATGGCGCATGAAGCGGAAACCGTTCACAGAGTTGTTCGAGAACGAGGATTCAGAATAGGCAGCCTTCTGAAAAGCGAAAGTTTTACTTTTGATTTTCAACTACAGTATTCCCTTACCTTCTCGCAAATGGTGAAAGTCTTCTTCTTGCAGCACGATTGGAACCAATCTCCGTTCTCGTCCATCTTGATGCAACGACGGGCACGGTTCATCGGTGGCTTTCTTCCGTCCTTCCAGTTCTCGAAGTTTCCGTAACGAGAACCATCAGAGTTCACGTAGTGCATGTCCTTTCCAAAGAAGGCGGCTCCGGTCCAAATCTCAGACCAGTGGGACAACTCGTGAACGAATTGGTTCTCTTCGGGACTGTCGATTGAGACGTGGTGGGCGCCTTGGAAGAGGCACTTGAACTCAGCAATTGTCCATGGCAAATTTTCACTGAAAAATCAAGTTTGAGAAGCGTTCAAATCTCATTCTCACGCTTACTCGATGAGTTTATAGCATCCATTGGTTTGTGGGAAGTATCTCCAGTTAGAATCGCCACAAGGGTCGGCAGAAATGCCTATTTAAAAATGAAATGAAAAGCGTTAAAGAAAAATTTTCGAACCTGAAATCAAAAAGATTGCAGCAAGAATAGCAGCTGGAACCATCATCATGGGCAAATGAGTAAACCAAGCCGATTGGATGGTGATGTATTAGTGAAGATAACGCTCTTTGCCGCAACCATTAAATAGAATCTCGGCGCGATTGTGGGCGGCGCTACCACGCCTCGATTCGCTTCCGGGGCGCTGTGGCACACAGTACCTCCCCTTCATAACGATCTTTTGCCTCTTCCTTTTTCCTTCTGCAGTTGACCAGCTGCTTTGGGGGTGGGGTCAGTCCATTAATCCGAGCGTGCCCCGATGATGTCATTTTACCTACAAAGGTGCAAGTTTGACCGATTCCGGTAGTCTAACTGTAACAACCGTTTTAAAACTCATTAGAACTGATGAGATGTGATGAGCTTCTATCTAAAAAACTGTGGTTGTGAAAGAAACGTGAACAAACCAGATTAGAGTGACCATAAGAAAGGGCAGGCCTCTATGTGTAAGGAGATCCTGATCGGTTCTTCTTTTTCTTCTTCAAACACACTACTAGTGATTACCTTCAATTCACATTAATTTGGCCACCATCTCGATCTTCCGATCACGGAAGAGTTTCTGGCTTTAACAATATTTGAAAAGTCTGAAAGTCCTAGAAGTGAACACTCATTCGATCTTGCCTTGCAGCAGGTTTATTGCACTTCTCAGCTAATCAAATCAAACCGCTAGCTACTATTCTCTGCCCCCTCCCCCCCATTGATTTGAGTTTCTAATTATTCCACCTTACAGCCGACTGGAAGAGCAAGAACGACTTTGTAAACTCATTTTCTGACAATTCCTGCAAAAGTTTCGAAATCATAGAGTACTTCTAAGATCACAAGAAAACAGTGAAAAAGAAAAGAAGATCCCGCCAACAGGTTTCCAATTAATTGGATCCGGAAGTCGGGCCAGCAGTGTTGTACCTTGTATCAACATTGAGCGATTTCCGGTTTTATCAATCTTTGCAAACCTTTTTTGTTGGTCTTTCTCTCGTTCATAATATTCATTCGAATCTCCCTTCATAGTCTATCATGCCTATCAATCGGAAAAGATGCGTTCGCGGATCGATGATGTCTGTATCTTAACTCAGCTGTTCTCAACGGTTTGCGGTTAACTCTGGGGAGGGGGAACTGTATGTTTGATTGCTGCTGTTGCTGTTTCTGCTGCGGCTGTTGATGATGAGGATGATAGTTTCGCCGAAATTTGGCGCATAAGTGGGAGTGTTCCCACGCACAGCAGATCTGATCGGAAACATGACAAGGAGAAATTGAGAAAGAGAACAAGAAGAGGAAGAGAAAAGAAGAAGAAAAAGTGACTTGATATCTTCTTTTTTCATTTTACAAGGTTTTCAAACAAAGTGATGAAGTTATAGAAGTGTTATGACATGGCACGAGGGACAATACAATATCGTTTCTGGCAAAGTGGTCTCCGAACTTGTTTCACTCCTACAACAGATATTGTCTTCTCATAACCGTGTACTTGAAGTACATACACTTTCTGAATTAGGTAGGCTAACGACCAAGTTCTTTTCCGTTCGAGACCAATTTCCTGACACGCTCGTGGGCGAGTGTAGAGCGATCCATGCAGGCTGTCGTCTCCCTTATAGCAAAACACAATTTCGGCACATCTTTCGCGTTGATCTATAATGGAACTTTTGATACGAGTTGAAGCCCTGGGTTGCATCCTCTTCACTACTTTCTCCATTCATCTAAACCAGATGGGATTGTCCTTATTGAGTCATCTTCTCGGACGCCCACGCCAACGTCGATAGGGTCATCTGGGAGGCAAATAGCGTGGGAGGAGAAGAAGGAAAAGAAAAGAAGGCGTTAAAGGAGGAGGCGGTGTGAACTACTTGGAATCGAGGACATCCTTTTAATTTGAACAGAGAGAATACTTTTAAAAAAAGGAGGGACTGAATTGAGATTCAGAGTAAAGTGTTACTACGAGGAGCGTTTCGACTTTCGACTCGAAATTTAACTTTTCCGACTTAATGGTCTCCTAAATTGGTCTACCAAATCATGTTTTCTCATTAGTTTTCGGGACTATCATCCTAAAATTTTTTATTCTTCTCTCACAACAGCCGAGCATTCATTTCCAGTACCTGCCTGATAATTGAGTTAGTCTCTTAATTGAATCATTGCCCGCCTGATTTGTTCGATTTTCATTCCGAGAGTAAAAATGTGTGTTGTTTCCGGTCTGTTCGAATCTACAAAACATTAAATGGTAGGAAACGTCGTGTAGAATCGAGAAGTTGTTGGATTGTAAACAGTGTCTTATCGAGTTTTTATTCGTCGACTGTGGAACGGTTTATTTTCCTCGGAATACTGCACCATTTGGACATTCATGCCAAGTTTACGACGACAGACCTTGAGTGGTCACAGTACAAAGATTATTCGCACAAGTTGGGCTTCAATTGTTTTTATAATCATAGACACACGAAGCGTACAGTATCTGTTGTCATGTGATGGGTAGCTAGGTCGCCAGCCTGGCGGGAAGGATATTCCGCCTGCGCTCAAGTTTCACCAAGTGCAAGGTCGTTAAATAGGATCAGACAGACACAGTGATAGAGAAAAGGTTCACTAGGATCTTTTTCAAAATAAATATCAGTCACACAATACGGACAGTTTTGGGAATCATTGAGTTTAGTCTAAGTGCAGCTTCAAAAAAATATAGAGGAACTTTTTTAGCATACAGTGCAAAAGATCTACTTTCAAGTACTTTTCAAAATGAAAACCAGGAAAATCTTAATAATAGTGAACAAATGCACGTTCTTCACGTTTATTTTTTGTCACCCAGACTACCTTCAGTCTGCTATCTTTTGATGGAGGCTCCCCTCATAAATTTGACGGCACTGTTCAGTGATAAACCGGTTCAGAATGTGGGATGCTGGTGGTATCGGTCAGACATTTTTCCGTCGTTTCCGACACATAAAACTGCGTCTCCTCGTAAAAAACTCACTCCTGCTTGCTGATAGTGAGTTCTCACGTCACGGTCACGTGTATAACGTCGAACAGATAACATTAACTGTGTTTGATAGGTATCGATTGATGATAGTTGATAAGAACTCGTTTTAATAAAGAGCGTATATTTGAAAATCATTATTTCTTCTAGCACTTTATAGGACATGGATGAACTCCAACATTTCGGAAGTTGCCACTGTGGAGCGGTCAAGTGGAGTTTTATTGGACCGGAAGTTCTTGACGGAATTCGTTGCAAGTATGTTTAAGGAGATGCGAAGATTCCCAAGGTAACAAACGTTCAGCTGTACGGTGTGCGACAAGAAACAGAACCATCACTGTATAATCAAACTGGACAGATTCAAGATTTTGGAAGTATGCAGTATAATCTACAATCTAGTTTCAAACATTCAAATCACAGGGAAAAGAGAAGCTAACCACATACCGTTTCAATTCTGGAGTTGCTCAACACAAATTCTGTTCCATCTGCGGCGTTCAGAGCTTTTATCATCCGCGATCCAATCCTGATGCAGTCGGTAGGGAACGTTCAGATTTTTTAATAGTCGGATCGTTTTTAGCTATAATGCCACACTGCATCGATGGAGATACTGTCAAATTGGTTCGTTGGTCTACCTTTAATGGAAAAGAGTGGGAAAAAACGATGGAAGAGAAGGCACCTTTGGCTCAGTGATGGAACTTTTTCGGCATTTAATTCCGAGGGTACAACAATTTTGGGGCACAACAGGGTACAACCTATTTTGGGGTACAACTTTTTTAATTTTGGGGTACAACTTCCCCGATGTTAGGGAATAATTTCTGTCAAGTATTTTAGGGTACAATAATTTTAGGGTACAACACTTTTAGGGCACAACTAGCACATAATTTCAGGGCACAACTTCTTACAATTTTGGGGCACAACAACATGATTTTAGGGTACAACACTTTTTTTCTCATTTTTTTGTATTTTCTTGCATCTTACTACAAACCCATATTCTTTTTATATCAATATTTCGCTGATTTTTTTATTTCAATGACTCATCTCTTGTAAGAGAACCAGTCTTTCGACTCGCACAGCACGCGTGCTTTCTGCGGCAGTTCACACATTTTGTTTTCATCAAATCGTGAGGTTATTCAAAACCTTTTATTGCAAAAAAGCATATGACAGTAACAAGTTGAGCACAAATGAACGGATCTGAAATAAAGAGTAGTTAATCTAGTCTATTGTCTATTGTTTTCTTGCAGTAGAGGTTTTAGTGCACCACAAAATATGCTCCCAAGGGAAGCCTTGATCCTATTCTCATAAACCCGCCTTATTAATAGAGCTATTTAAAACCCAGATTAACTACTCTTTTATTTCAGATCCGTTCATTTTGTGCTCAACTTGTTACTGTCATATGCTTTTTTTGCAATAAAAAGGTTTTGAATAACCTCACGATTTGATGAAAAACAAAATGTGTGAACTGCCGCAGAAAGCACGAGTCGAAAGACTGGTTCTCTTACAAGAGATGAGTCATTGAAATAAAAAAATCAGCGAAATATTGATATAAAAAAAGAATATGGGTTTGTAGTAAAATGCAAGAAAAATACAAAAAAATGAGAAAAAAAGTGTTGTACCCTAAAATCATGTTGTTGTGCCCCAAAATTGTAAGAAGTTGTGCCCTGAAATTATGTGCTAGTTGTGCCCTAAAAGTGTTGTACCCTAAAATTATTGTACCCTAAAATAATTGACAGAAATTATTCCCTAAAATCGGGGAAGTTGTACCCCAAAATTAAAAAAGTTGTACCCCAAAATAGGTTGTACCCTGTTGTGCCCCAAAATTGTTGTACCCTCGGAATTAAATGCCAACTTTTTCGTCTCATAAAGATTCTTTAAAAATATCGTATTGTTGATACATTGAAGAAGAGTCCAGTCAGAAACTTAAAACATTGTCAACAGCTTGAATGAAATTTCCGTTGATCACTGTCGGCGTTATCAGACGAATTTGATCTACTCCAAAACAAGTTTTTAAGATGATATAGTTCATTTGCACAGTCATACTCTTGACCCATTAGGTTATTCGGAAAGTTCCAGTAATTTTTCATAGTAAGTTTTTGAAGATTGTTTTTTCTATCGGGAAGCAAGCGAGTCAGTTGTCGTTTCATCAGTATGTTGGTCAGGTGTTAAAGTGTTAACACAGCAACGGATACCATTCTCCTGTTCCCGAGTAGTGAGATATGCCGATCGTTTTCGTCCCGAAAAACTTACATTTCCGAAATGTAATCTTATTTCTATTTCTATCTTACCTGAAAATGCCGACATTGATCGCCGTTTAACGGAGGTTTACAACAAAGATGCACCCACTCGAACTGCCATTAGCACTTGGTTTCATCGATTCGAAAAAGGAGAATTTTCGATGGTTCAGGCAGACCGATATCTTTAGACTTATAAGCATTGAAAAGCGAGATCGAGAGGGATCTTTTTCAATCCGTCCGTGAAGTATAAAGGACACTTGGGGCGAGCCTATCATCAATTAGTCATGGAATAGAAGCAATTGGTAAAGTCAAAAAACTCGGAAGATATGTTTCGCATGTTTTGACTCAACACAACTTGAATACACGTGTCGTGTCCTGCTTGAATCTTCTCACCCTGCATCGCAAACATGGATGGTCAAATCAAATCATTACGGGAGACGAGAAATGGGTTATGTATGATAACAGTGAGCGACGTGCCGAGTGGGTTAACAAAGACGCTCAGCCAGCTGACGTGCCAAAACCTGAAATACACGAAAAAAAGGTAATGTTATCAATATGATGGTCTGTCCGTGGAGTTGAGGGAGCTGCTTGATGACGGCGTCACTCAACATTCAAAATATGTCCGACAACAACGCTTTGAGTCAAATAAATAATTCGAGATTCTTCCGAGTAGGACTCCAGTCTTGTAATGAAATATGAATTGTCTGTATTTTGCTAGCAACAAGAAATGCTCACTCGTTGTGTCTTCCTCCTTGCTTCCACACAGCCCGGGGCGTTCTTTGCTGGCTATAATGAATTAAGTCATAATTGGAGACCATATGATGGGATTATAACATTCTTTTTAAGCTTTCTAAACTTTATTGAACCTTTCCGGAACTGATTATTAGCTTAATAATAATAAGCCGCAACGAAATGTTTATCTCACTTTTTCATCAAAATTTCACGATCTGTGCAAGTTATCACTAACTTCAGCACTGATAAAAACGTGTTAAAATTATAATCATTTGGATTTTTGTCCTTACGCCACACCAATCTGATAAGAGTTTTCTCGCCTGTTAGATGAACAAATTGAAAGAAACGTGTGAACTGCTGGTTTTTTGAACCTCCTTCATTTTAGTCGAAATTATACACTGTTTGCAGACAAGACGATGGGGGAGACTGCCGGTTTTCGGATGATAGTTGTTGCCGTTGTCACTTCTATAGCAGGCTCGTTTCATTTCGGATTTAACCTTGTGCTCACCAATCCTTCTCAAGAAGCCTTCTTAAGTTTTATGAACAAGACTCTCGGCAATCGTTTTGAGCATGGTCTTTCTGATAACACTCTACAGGTTAGTTTTCCAATACCGTTCTGGTCTAAAAGCCATATTATATTCAGAATATTTGGAGTTTTGTGGTAGCTATTTTGTTTTTGGGTGCTTTGTTCGGCTCCTTTTCTATTAGGTTCATAGCTGATTGGATTGGACGAAAGAATGGATTGTACATCTCAATTTCTGTTGGAGTTCTTTCAGGAGCAATGGCAATCACCTCCAAGTTTGTGAGTGTTCTTACAGACTCAATAAGATCTCCTCATCCTTAGATTCCACTCTTTGAACTATACATTGCTTCTCGAGTCGTGATGGGATGGTCAGTAGCAGTAAGCTTAGGTCTCTCTGCATTATTTCTATCGGAAGCAAGTCCAAAACAAAATAGAGGTGCTATCGGAATGATGACTGGAACGTGTGTTCAACTGGGAACTGTCTGTGGATCTGTGGTTGCTATGCCGCAGATATTCGGAACTGAGGAATTTTGGTAAGAAGAAACTAAATATTTCAAACTGATAATGCAAGTCGACAGGTGGCTAATTTATGCGACCGAAATAGGAATAATGCTCTTTTTTGGGGCTGCTCTTCCCTTCCTACCGGAATCTCCTGGATTTCTAATTCAACGAGGAGCCATTGATGCTGCCACGAAGTCTTTACAGTTTTATTACAACTGTGATCATGTGGATGCTCAGAAGCATTTGAACGAAATCAAAGAAGAGCAAAAAAGTTCAACCAGGTTCGGCTATCTATATGGATTGCAGCGGAGTACTGTGCTCAAAACTCTTTGGCCCTCTCGGTAGTGTTGGTCAGAATTTGCGCAAACTTTACGCAATTTCTACTAGAACTTTTCGTGAAAAATGGCTTAAGGTTGGCGCTAAAATTGTGGGGGCCCTTAAAGTTTCCGCAAATTCTGAAAAAACGCTATGCAATTTCAGCGCAAACTTCAGACAGTTTTTGCGCCCCATTCTCCTCTCTCTCCCTTCTCTAATCATTCCACGTTAAAAATAAAACGTAAATAAATAATAATAAATAATACAATTCTGACCAACACTGCCGCGCACGCTTGAGAAATCATATCAACATGAAACGGTTGAGGAGTCGCTACGCAGCTGATTCTCAGTGTGGGTCAACAAATTGACAAATCAAATACCGCAAATACTGTATTAGAATCTCTAATAGAAGGGCACCTTAGCAAAATGAGATAGATCAGTTTTAAGTCGATTTTCGGACGTGTCACACAATTCTAAAACTTCAAAAAATTATTTTTCGTTTGATTGAAAAATAGAAGGGCGTGCTCTTCTAATACAGTATTTACGGTACTTCATTTTCGACGAACCCCGTCCCCATCTAATACCACAAACGATTTATCTGATGTTCAACCCTTTTGTAGAAAGTTCAAGATGCTAGACGTTGTCAGGAAGAAGTCACTTCGGGACAAAGCATTTATCGGAGTCGTTGTCACTTTTGCGATGTCTTTCAGTGGAGTCGCAGTAATCAATGCATTTGCGTTTGAAATTCTTAAAGACACCGGGCTGACAGTTCTCGAAGCGTCTCTTGCTAATGATGCGATTTCAGTAGTGAGCATGGTAAAGCTTTACTGTGGTCTGGAAAGAGCCGCCACGAATTTCTAGATTTCTTCGATCTTGGCTGCTGTCATTGTTGACAAAAATGGCCGGCGTCCACTGCTTCTTATTGCTTTCACTGCAATTCTTATCTGCAATTTAGTTATATTCGGGTTGATGTATACTTTCTACAAGTTTGAAGTGAGCTAGACCTGTCCACACGCATTGCCAATTTCTTTATTTCAGTATCATGTACTTGGTTTCATTCTCATCTGTTTCATCTGTATCTTTACGTTCTTCTTCGCTCTCGGACCTGGTCCTCTCTGCTACTTTATCAATGCCGAACTGGTCGGACAAGCAGCTCGTAGTGCTGCTCAAAGTTGGGCCAGTGTGATCCAAATGCTATCGTATGAATCCGTTGGACCTAACCAACCGATCCTTGCTTTTCAGACGATTCATTTTGGTCACAGCGTTTCTGCCAATGAAAAATCAATTAGGAGAAGCGTATTCCTACTTGATTTTATTCGTGGCGCCTGTTGCAGTGTCTCTAGTCTACTTGTATTTTTCCCTTCCTGAAACAAAGAACAAAAGTCCATTCGAAGTTGAAGAAGCGATTGAGGACCTTCCCAAGTTTCCTCTGTGTGGAAAAAGTCGCAGAGTTTACGATAGGAGACTGTCTGAACAAATGGTCTTTACGAGGCAAATGCAGTTGGTTGAAGACTATGGATCTATAGAATCTCTTTCTTGTCGTCTATAGACTATTCAAGGATCTTTCACGGGTTATCATAAAATTTCTGAATCGAGAGACAAAAAATAGAGATCTTTTATTCGAAACGTAAGTAAATACACTATCATTCATCATAATACATGAAAGGAAGAGAGAAACAGCGAGGAGTGGGAGATAAAAGAGGTAGAAGGAATGCACAGAAAAAATATCGAGGAGAAAAAATACATATGAACAAGATCAGGGTTATAGTTTGATTTGATTATCATGACGTCGAATAATTCCGAATGACTTGGCTATGTGAGCGGCTTGCAGTCGGTGTGCTCTAAAGTAACGACGTAGTGACGTCTCGTTTTCTTCGATAAGATCCGGTTTAGTGCTGCAAATGTTGGTTGTGGACTAAAACAATCCTGGAGTCATCATTCTTACTAATAAACTCTTAAAACATCCGGAAGATAGTCTGGCTCCTGCCCCGATTTCATCAAATCAATTATCCTCTCTTGAATGGTGTCGAATACTGTATCAGATGAGAAAACGAGGTTGGCAAGCTGAATTTCCTCAATTGAGTCGTCCCACTGAAAACATGAAATGAGTTTAGAACTATTGTGCAAGATCATCACCGGATGGCATGTTTCTTCTTCTTCGCAGCTTGGATCTTGACAACAGAACTCACTAAAAAGATCGGTTGGCTCGCAACTCGGAGCATCCTCGCAGCACGTTTTTGCAACTTTTTTCACAGCACGACGTTCTTGTTCTAAAAATGAACGAATACACGTTTCTTCAACTTGTGATGGCTCCTAGCGGATACATTTGTTGCAGCTCTTGAATATTTCATTGTCGCAGCTGCTGTCGCGAATAGGGAGACATAAAGTATTCCCCGTTGATTGTTGAGACTACGGTTGGAACAGTTTGAGCTTTGGCATACGAAACAGCTGCTTCATCCCATGATTCAAGTTAATAAACTTTTCTTGTATGCATCTATCAACGAAATGCCCAATTTAGAACATGACATTTTCAACGCGCAGCCGAAACAGATCAAAAAGCATTTTTTCAAACCACAAAAACTTGGCTTTAACTTTTTTGCATGAGTAAACTGCCTTATGTTCCACATAACTTTCCACCCTCTAATTCTTGCATAATTACCAACCTATCGCAATTCCCCTTTTGACATCTATATTTTCATGTACTTTAACAGTCGTAATAAAAATAATAATAATAATAATAATAATAATAATAATAATAATTCTGATTTGAAGTGTTCTACTAAATTTTTTTGCTCACCGTTCAAATCGCATCGAAGTGTTGTGTTAAAATGCCGCTTACAATGCCGTTTCATGTAGAATCCAGTGACTCTTATCTGGCACGAGACATGTTTCATTCCGGGGCCAAGCTTCTGATCGAGCTGTTCAGAAGTGACTCGACCGTCCAGAACAACCAAAAGATGGTGAATTAGGGCTAGGATGATTATTGGCAACCGCATTTACTTGCTGTAAAAAAGGTTCCAAATTCAGATTAGAAACGGGCTGTTCTGAAATCTTTTAAGCTGGGCGGATCTAGACCCAACTACCGGTCTGGGCTTGACAGCTTAAACCCCAAATGTGTTTGAACACAAGATTAGATTATGTAATTTCTGCAAGATGTTTAGAAAAGGCATGGAAGGAGGTAGGGGGAGTTATGATCAGAAAATGAAGAAGAGGGAAAACTAACTACCTGAAATGGGCGGTTCTGTTCTTCTGTTGCTCTACCAATCGAAAAACAAGCTCTTTGGCCAGGAGGTTCAAAGGAAAGTTTTAGAAGAAAACTGGTGAAAAGAGAAAACACATGGCGAGGGAAGGACATCGGATGACGCAACGGGGGCACTGGGTCATCGGAACGCGAATGGTCACAAGGTTTGTTCGAGAGTGAGAGTTGTGAAATCGAGAAGAATTTTCGAGTAACTTGTTTTTAAGGGAAGCTGATGGTCATGAATGACGACGATGTTGGGAAGAAAGTTTATCCGAACCTGTTAACTAGGAAAAACGTTGGGAGAAACGAGAATTTGGGAAACCAGACAACGTACATCAGGATGTGGGTTCCATTATTCTAGAAAACACGCGCAGAATCAAGATGATGGCGATATAAAGTTTCGAAAGACAGATGATGGCGGATGTGTATGGCCCAGTGAAGAACGAACGGGAAGAATACTGTTTGAATAGTATCGTCATGTGCAGAATCAAACCCCAATTTCAGATGTGGTCAATTCGAGTATCTCTCTCACAGTCTCACTTCAACTTGTTTGAGTTGACAAAGACCGCGCAAGTGCGAAAATATTGACGAAAAACGCCCTTTTGCAACAGAAAGTTCTTCTTCTCCTCTTTTTTTTCTATACGTTCCTTGTCTTTGGAGCTGAGTTCTCACCAACGGAAACATCTTATCGTTCCTCATGAATAAACACAGATGGTGTCAACAACAAATAACACCGATAATTAGGTTTTCGCTAACTAGCAAGAAGTAAAAAAGTAAGAATGGATGCGCACGGCTTGGTTTATGAACACAATTTTTCAGTATTGTCATTGAATGGAAAGTTCACGTGTTTACTCCTAATTTCATCACCACTATATTCCCATTTTTGAAAAAAATGACAAATTTTCCCAGAGAAACAACGAAGCTTTCGGTGGTTTCATCTATGTATACTGTGGAGCAGGGCACTGCGAATGAGAATAGCCCCTTTGATGTCGTCAACTCCCACTCTCAACCCCTGTAAATTTTGCCGCCATTAGAATGCTGTCACCCATTTTGTTGGCTTTTGCAGTCCCCCCGAGCAGATATATGAAATGAAGCCGATCTAATATTGGGCTAGTCTGACCGACGGAGGCACTTTTGCAGCGCAATATTCTTTCTTGATCTTAGTGGACTTTTTGCGAATGAGTGGGTTCGTACAGGCGTATAGAAATGACCAAGTTCACAAAGAGCAAATAAATATACCAATCGTCATGTGGTTTTGTGGGAGGAAACCGGGTTCTTTCCTTCCGTTAAAGTACAACAAGCACCTCCGTTAATATTTATCTTTTAGGTGAGCTGGCTGGTGTCCAAACCATTCTGTGACCGACATTGATTCAGACAAGTGCACGGATAGAAATGTTATGAGACTTAGAAAGGAATCACTTTTTGCACTTTTTGAGGCTATTTCTTGCTTCAGTGATATTTCAGCCAATGGATGTTACTAGAGTTTCTGACTCAACCAAAATGTTTACCGCAAAAGGTCCTAAGAACATAACGCTAACCCATGATTTTCAAGTGATTAAATGCCAGGAAAAAGGAAAAAGAACTTGAAAGTAGTTAGGTACCAACAAAATCATGATTATCATAGTAAATGTCAAGGATTGTTTCAAAAGAACATCTTACTCGTAAACAATGTCACGAGAAACATTCTCAAACCTTTCGCAAAGAGAGTTCCAAATATGGACGATTAATGTGCAGCGGCACTGAAAAACTGCTCGGAAAATAAACGTTTTGTGGTCAACGACGTTTTTTGTACAGATAATGAGAAGTATCAAATGAAAAGACAATCCTTATTCCTAATTGAACGAAGCTCATGGTTAGTTTAGTACGGAAAGTTTAGCAGTCGAGGACGTTCACCTGAAACCAGTTATATGAATATGAAATATGAAGAATGAATAATTGGAAATTGTTTAAATATCACAGCATCTTGATTCTGTTTATGGCGTGTTACGTATCACCTGTCACCACAAACTACGCTCATCTTCGAAGGATCTTCTCACACACTAAATATAATTTATTTCGAGTGACTGATAACTCCTCCTGAAGAGTTGGTTCTTCCTAATAAATATTCTTGCTTAAAATAATAAGGATTATACAATCACACATGCCGAGTTTTGTGACGACGTCAGAGTTCGCAATATCTTCGTACCTGACCCAATTTTTAATGACTTCCTGATTATGTTTGTGTTTTCAAGATAGAAAACATTTACGAGATGTTGCATTACCACTCAAGACGTAATTCACACCAAGTGCAGTGTATTTCAGATCGAGCACCACAATCCATCTGAAATTATTGAGAACTGAAACTCTATTGGGACTAGCTTAATTTTTCGGAATACGGCACATCCTGAGATTGAGAGTAATGAACTGAGCACTTTGAAGTCATTGCATTGTCTAGACAACCCAAAAACTAGAGATCTTTGTATCTTTCAGGTAATTAATATTGTGAGTCAAGGCAACCATTGCGTGATTCAGAAGACGTCAAAGCTTTTCATAACTCAATTTAAAGTTGCCCCCAACAACGACGCCCAAAACACACCATTCGTTCCTGCTTTCCCCTTTAAATCCTCCGTTTTAGGGATTACATCTCATTGGCGTGTCAAGATTAAACGTCATTTTGGAAGGAATTGTGATAAAGAGTGTCTTCATGAGATCTTGAGATCAGTTGGGCCGAAGGGATGGTTCTTTGATAGTAGTCTTTAACATTATTTTTATTAAAAGTACATTAGTCAGCGCGTTCGGCTCCTATCAAAGTTTTGAAGTCATGCGTGAGCGGTTAACAAGCTAACCAAGAGTATAGAATTCGCTTAATCATATCATAAAATTTTCATTCACAAACCACAAACTCGAAGATCTAGCTTATTTCTAGTTCCAGGATGTTTCCAATACGTGGTTTCCTCCAAGTCAACCCCAATTATGTGCTCGAGGTAATAATAGGTATCTTGTTGTTTTTTCCTGCTAACTTATGATATACCTTGAAAGTATCCTGCTATTAACAAATTTTGTAAGTTCATATATCTGTAACATGTTGCCGGAAAAAAGAAACGATATAAACCAGCCTGTTGGGCTATTCTTCGCATTGGTTTTCTCAGGCACATGCGAGTTTTTTTAGTTATCAACTCAAGCCACACACCTAGATTAGCTTGCTTTCTTTTTTTCGGGGAAAGAGAAAGAAAAAAGAGGCGGAGCAGAACACAGAGTGGTCTCCATGGAATACACTGTTCGTATAACGATATAATCCCATATGGCGCCATAGCTACACATGTTGACAGCTCTTCTAGTTTTCAAAAATCTAACAGGCCAGAGTGATCTGAATCTAGTCCGTATTGTGCGTCTTTTTTCGAAGTCGTTGAAATGGGTAATTCTAAATTCTAGTTTTCAAAAATTTCCATTATCACCATCATCATCATCATCCCACCTCGAAAATCTAGAAAATTCCTTTGACTAGACAAACCAAATGAATTATCAAACTATCAAGCTTGTCAGGCTTCTTTCCACATTTCCGACCTCTGTGCAAAAGAAAAATGTTTTTTGTTTTTGCTCAATACTTCACTTTCAAAGTGTGACTCCTGCTCAAAGTGAGTCATGGCGTGACTCCAAATTTTGAAGTCTATGATACATTTCGAGATAACGTGTATTATCTAGAGGACTGAGTTTTCATGAAAGCAACAAAAACTACCATAACCCACTGGGCTCCGCCTTTTTTTCTACACATTTCTTCTAGAAAAATAACGTCCTTAGGCAACCGGTTGTAAGAACTGATATTCTTGACTTATAAAATGGAAACTCCCATTGATTTTACAGTTTGTTTACTTTATAATTTTGACACGTACCGGATTTATCTTATCAATTTTAGATGTATCCGAGATACGAGTACGCAAACTTGGATATCACAACCTTCGAACAGTCCCCGACTTTCGAACAACCTCCGAGTTATGCTAACATCGCAAACTTCGATCAAAATGCCCAGTTTTTACCGGAAATTGTAAGTGAAGTTGTTTTTTCAGTACTCCACTTTTTTTGAGCCATGCTCGACTTATTTTCCTCTAGTAATAGTCGAAAAGAGTTCAAAATGATCTCCTCAATGAGTTATACACTCTCAACACGTTCACCTCCTGTCAGCGATTACTTTCAGGAACTATCCGGCTCGAAGCAGAAGTGCCGTGTGTGTAACTTGGATTCTCACGGAATGCACTTTGGAGTCATGACATGCCGCCCATGTGCAGCATTTTTCCGGTAACAATGCGCGTTACTAACCACTTTTTGATTCACTTTCCAATCTCATTCTTCATTCCTCTTTTGCTCTCTAATCTCATCAGCTATTGTTTATGTCTCTTACTAACGCATTGTGATACCGGCCACTGCTCATACATGAGAATGTGTTTGTTTATCAGGTTAAGTGAACTAAAACTGTCAACACTTGTCTATTTTGCATGATACTTTGCTACATAATCCGTCCCAATAGAGTTTCAGTTCTCAATAATTCCAGGCGGATTGTTGTTCTCGATCTGAAATACACTTGTGTGTCGAACACGCGAAAGTGCAACGTGGACGGACGCGGCAGGTGGCTTTTTTGTAGACTTAAGTTTCTGATGCAACTATTCTTTCGATTTCGGTTGCACATAGAAATTATGAATAGTTTGCAGAATTGCATGAGCTACAGTAATTCTAGGATGAGCTTTTAAAAATTACCAAAGCTGAAAAGTACTAGTAAGCATGAGTTTGCAAAAACCATGAGAGCAATGTGGAGTTCCAAAACTTGCCTCAAAAACCCTCAAATTAGTCCCGCGTTTTTCTGTCATCAAGTGACTCATTCCTTCAGAAATGTGTGCCGCGACTGCCGCTACAAAAAGTGTATCTCTGTGGGCATGACGACTGAAAGTATGATTACCGTAGTCCAAGTGCACATGTCCAATTGCATTTTTCTAGATGTACAATACAATCGCGACAGCCACAATAACAAGAATCCCGTGTCGGAAGGACGCCCTAAAAATAACAAACGGCACGTGATGACATCGATTGCGGCGACGGCTAATGAGGAGGCTGTTGTGACAAGTAGTACTGTAAAACTGGAAGAAGCGGACTTCGAGCAATCATATTTTGGTTGTAGTGATGGCCGGGCGGGTAGAAACGCTCCTCAGAAGTTGAACAAAGACTTGAAGGAACGAGACGGCGAGGAAATGGATAGGATTATTAGTGATTTGAAACATTTATTTGTGGAAGTGAGCACACTAACAAAGCTGAACTAACAATATAACAAAAAACATTTCAGTACGGGTCTCCTAAAATGATATCGCAATGCTCAATTAATCAACTTCAGCGACTCACTCATGATTTTGTACCGTCAGAATCAGCGATCGGCGCAGCAAATAAAGGTGAAATTAGCATTAGGGAAAATCAACTTTAGATTATGTTGTGTACTCTCGAATACACACTAAACTCTTGCTTTTCCTCTCTCTGCGCACACACTCTCTCGGTGCCAAAGTTTACGACGTTGAGCTTCTTGTATGTGTAGCCCAGTGCCTGCCTTTCTCGGATTATTCTGTCTAGTATTTCTTTTACCTATTATTCGATCTGAATAAACGTGTATTTGAGATACACTCGTCTTCCGACTTTTTCCACCTCCTCGGATTCAATAACCCTCAAACATATTAGATTAAAGTTTGTTGAAGGACCTTTCTAAATTTTAATTACCCCATGTTCTACCTCTCTATTTCAGTTCTGCAATAATTTCAACTTGTTTGACGACGGTAAAATATATTATCAGAGACATTCTGAAAAGCTTACAAAATGGGCCAAGAACGTCAATTTCTTTGATAACCTTCCAGAAGAAGAAAAAGTAGGTCGGCTGCAAGTTTTCTCAAAAAAAAAACTCGCAGATTATTGTTGTAAAACTATCCCTCACCACATTTGACATACTCGAAAGATCGCAAATGTCGTTTAAATTATTCGGTGAGAAGTGTTACACGGTGAAGGTTAGGTTGTTCAGAAAAATTGAAAAGAAAATTGATGCACAGAAAGTGGCTCTTTCTTCCTATTGTGCCGTTCATTTTTGAACTGCTGCAGATAACCCACATACTCACGCGAATACCGAACAAGCGGACGTTTTTGTCAAAATGTGAGTGCTAAAACCAATTCTATACTGGAAATATCGAATGAATTCAGTGGATTCTAGGAGCATATTGATTCAATTATTGAAGATATATGTAAACCTATGTGTGCACTTCAAATTTCTGACACTGAGACTGTGTTTCTTCTCTGTTAAGTTCTTGTTTATGACGGTAACACGGGAATCGTTTCTTCATAATTCAGTAGAGTTGAAGGTGAAAAGGAGCCGCATCATTTGATGCGAAAGTGTGATGATCTCTGTGAGACGGTGGCTGCAGACATTACATGCAAGACCACAATGTTGAGACGTACACGAATCGCCTTCTCAGAATTATGAATACAGTTAGCTCCATGAAAGTGAGGACTTCGATTAATTTCTGATAGTGAGCAACTTTTGAATTTTCAGAAGATGCAAGCAGATCGGATTCGCAAAAACGAGATTGTCAAAGTATTCTATATTTATAAAGTATCTGACAAACGACAGGATTTCAATTGCAGTTAAATCATTCGTTTCGTGTTTTAAAATGTTCTATGAAGTTTCTTTGTATACTAAAACTCAGGCAAATCGTTTCTAATCTAACTAGCTAATTCTCGTTTCTAACCGGACCTAGTTAGATTGCTACAGATTTCTGAATCTAGCTAGCTGATTTTGCAATCTAAACATAATCTAGCTAGGTTTGCCCGAAATTTTAATCGAATTAGATAAATTTTGAATCTAATATCAGTGTTTTTGCAATCTAATTAGCTTCGCCAATCGAATTAGAAAATTTATCAGTCCAGTTAGAAGAATTTGCAATCTAATCGCAGTAAATTAGCAATCTAATTAGGTCCGGTTAGAAACGAGAATTAGCTAGCTAGATTACAAAAGATTTACCTGAGAATTCTGAAAGATTAGCACCATTTGATGGTAACAAGAACCACTCGCGAAGTGTTCCGCTTTATTTCCGAATTTGATTGCCGGAAAATGCCGCCATAATATGCAAATTGAAGAAAACTGATCAAAGCGGTTAAATATAATTTTGGGTCTAAATCACATGTTATACGAGCAGCAGAGAAAGTGTTATGTTCATTAATCATACAAACTGTTTAGTTAACTGAACAGGCCAGAACCGCAGTGATTTTGGCAAAACGGTTCGGCAGGTTCTTTCTGACCACCAAGCTGTTCTCGGCGAGGAAATAATCGGATCTGTACTGCTTATCAGATCCCTCCGGAGGAATTGTGTAGATAATCGTAACTCTATCGTTTTGCTGCAACTTATTCAGGTTTCCGCGAGGAGAATTTGAACTCAATTACCTCAGTACCCTCGCACTTCACCACGAAAATGATGGACTCGTTGGGATCGAGCACTCCGGTCGGCGTCGTCGTCGCTTTCTTCTGGGCCGTGCTCACTCCAAACACGATGCGCTTCCCGGAAGTGTTGATGAGTTTGACATGGTCCGATTGCACAGAAGCTTGAAGTTCGAGGGATCGCGTCAATTGGTTCGTAAGCGGTGTTCCACGCAATTCAGTTGTCATTGCTTCGAGCTCTTGAGTATTGTGAGATCAATCCAGCTCCTTTCAATCAAAATAATGAAAGATGTCTCTGTAAGATTGGACACATGCAAAATCATTATTGCTGCGGGTCACGGGAATGTACGTGGAGCTTGTGAGAAAGTTTCTAAATATTTCATTTCTTTGCGCGGGTCATATATATATATACATATATATATATATATATATATATATGCTGAAAAAGGTCAAATTTAACCCAGAAAAATGGTAGCAAGAAGGCGCTCAGGTGTCTCTACGAGTGGGCGGACTCCAGAAATAAAGTTTTTTTCAGGAGTTATCATTGGTCCAAATGATTAGAAAGTTGATGGTTGTCAAGTGGGAGAAGAAAAAGAAAGATTTAATGATAAATTAGAGAACGAGACGCACCCTACACATACGGTTTCCCATCAAGACTCCTTGAACAAACATATATTCAACGCACGTTTATATTCTGTCAATCATTAGAGGATATTAAATATACAAATAAGAAAGAAATGTGTCAAAGTTGAATTGCCGTTTCCGAAATTTATTAGCTCAATTTTCATATTAGTGAGCATGTTTATCACCAGTACACTGATATCGAACTTTCTCATTTTTTTCGTCCTAGCGGCTTCAGATGACTTGGTTCGTTCGGTTCCATCTCTATTTTTAATCAAATGATATATATATTAAGGTGGCCAACAGAGTATCACAAATAGCCCAGAAATACAGTAACTGGGCACTGGGAGATCATAGCCCAATAGTCTCGCTTCGACCAAACTATCAGGCAACTCAAATTCAGCCAACACCTCGGTATTATAACACAGGTACAGTGGTTTCCTAAGGATATAACAAGATGCTCAACCCTATAATCTTTTTTTTAGCTCCGGTGAAGAAATTTTTTCACCCTGTTCGGCTTGAGTCACCCCCTTCTCATCCACCAGTCTTTCATTCAAAGTCCGTAAAATTTGTTCCATCGGAATCCTATTATCCACAAACGTCATTTATCCCAACCTCACCTCCGCCTCCAGCTTCTACTCCTTATTCAAGTGTTCAAGTACCGATTCACTCACAAAACGTGACAGTCGATTCATTCTTCTATCAACAAGTTCCACCACCCCTGCGACAGTTCGAACTTCCTCCAGCCAATGCTCAACAGTTTCATTCGCCGTTCAAACCAAGAGCATTTCCCGATTTTCCAAGGCTTTTAGAATCTCAAGTTCCTGTCCAGCCTCTTCCCGTCTTCTCTTCCAACTCTTCAGTGCTGCCTGGTCACATGAATCAAAACTTTGGATCTTCCATTCTATCCCAGCTTCTTCCTCCAATACTTCAGGAACCTATTTTGTCGGCTCCAGCTCCACAGATTCGTATGAATCCAAATTTTCACGCTGGAAAAGTGGAAGCCACCCAAGAGCCAACCAGAAAAGAAGTGATGATGATCGCTGGGAAAAAGCATCTTTTCCCCATGCCCCGTTTCCCCATAGGATCCCCAAGAGGATTCGTGCAGGTACAAAAAAGAGGTGGTCTCCAATAGACAGGAATATTTTATAGACAGTCGGGTGTCTCAGCGGATGGTGTGGAGATGAGTGTTGTGAGTCGAGGCGGCAATTCTCACCGGTTTCCACAACGATCCAAGCTACCGCACTACCGGGTTGGCTTTTAGATCCCATGTAAACTTTAACTATAACCTTCAGTTTTATTTCAGGTTCTCCTGGACCGCCGCATCCTCTCGTCTTAGTTGTTCATCCATCTCCTTCCCAGCAAACCCAATGCTCTCCAGCCTGCCAGCCTCACTGCAGCCAACAATGCATCACTAGAGTTCATTACTTGCAAGAAGCTCATTTTTATAACTCTATACTTGAGCCCACTTGTCGACCCGATTGGTTTGTCTGCCTTTCCTCTATTATTCTGACTGAACTAGACCATTCACTGTTTTGTTTAGCATGCCTGCCTGCCACGTGGATTGTCTGATCATTCCTCCTCAGAGAGTGCGCTGCAACAATTTTAACTGTCAATGTTTTGCTGGATACGTGCAGTGTGCCGCATTCACTTGTTGCATGAGATATCCGGTGAGAAAAAGCGTTGAAAGGAAGGAATAAAGTCTCCACAAGCGGGAATCGGAAATGCGTCGACAATAAGCGTTTTAAGTTTGTGACTGAGCTATGTTCGAACTCTCAAACAGAATTTCGTGTTCTATCATACTCTTTTTAGAACCTGGTATAAGTAGGTACCGCAACGGGTTTCGCAAAACTCCGAATTTCCATAAAATTCTTGTTGGAATGTGTTCCCCTACTCTATATGAGTACACTCCCAATTTTTTTTTCAAAAATTTTCGGTACATCCCGAGTTATACCCCTTCAAAGTTGTCCTGTTTTCTCCCCGGTCGGCGGTCGAGGAGACGGCGGAGTCTCGCTGGCGGGCGATTCGTGTCGCAGTTTGTTGGAAAACACCAAAGAGGCAACATATTAAGTGGTCAGAATTGATGTTTTAAGAAAGCAAAACAACTTTCGAGATCAAAAGTTTCGAACCCGACACCTCCAGACTGCCGAGTGAGCACTCTGCCACTGCGCCAACCGGGCGGAGGCGCGGCGAACGCCAATGGCAATGAGAAGCTCGGTGTTCGCCATTCATTTTTGATACGACTTTTGCGGAATTTCCGCGCAAAAATGTGAAAATTTGAAGATGTTTGCCGGGCTGAAATTTTGAATAAATAGGTGGATTTTATAGAGAATTCCACGCTGAATCCGATTCCGTAGAGAAAAGCCGCGTGTTGGCTGTTTCCGACCTTCAAATTATCGAAAAACAAGAAATTCGGCCGAATGTGGTCTACTCAATCGAACACAAAATTTCTCCTAGGGAGTCTAGAGCTCTGAAATTTTATATTTGGGTTCTCAGAGAGTTTATCTATGCATTCCAAACATAAAAAAGTGGGGTCGTCGCTGAAAGTTTTTCGCTAACTTTTTTGGCACTTTGACGGTCTGAAAAACAATGTTTGCCGGAACGAAATTTGAATTTTATTTCAAAAACGGATTCCCCATCCCTTAAACTGTCAGAATCACTTCTCAGAAGCCGCGTGTTGCACAAACTCCGGCTGCAGTGGCTCTCAGACTAACTTCCATTTTCGTTTTCTCCTTTTTTTGAGAAAACTGTGCGTTTTCATGGAAAACGGAGTTGTTCATTTGATTCAGCATGGCCGATTACATGAAGTAAAACATTTAGAATATGCTACTTGGTTTGGGGACCTCGGTACAGGCCCTCAAACATGCGCGGGCGCGACCGGGGAGAAAATTCGGCAGGCCACGCCCCCTTTGTTGCGCCCCCTAGGTATAAGCCACGCTAATTGTTGAACTTGTGGAGACTGTGAAGAATCGAACGTAAAATTTTTTTTTGCAGAATCTTGCCGCGAGAATGAGATCGAATGTGTTGACAAAGTCATCAGAAGAGGTGAGAAAACAATAGTTTCCTGGGGAACTTCAGAAATTTGTTCAGATGCGTATCGAAGACAATTCGGAGGAAAATTTGTTCAAGGATGTTCGCAGACGAATGTACAATCCAAATAGAATAGTCTCTCAACCTATCTGGATGGACAGAAAAAGAAGTGGTTGGGCAACAATTTTATCAGATGAAATGGAAGCTTTCAGAAAAAGAAACTGCCACAGCTGTACCAAGGACTAAATCGTCATATTGGACCAAGAAACATGTCGTGAAAGAAAACATTAATACAACAATAGAGCCTGCAGCTACCACTGTAATTCCATGTCCTACCACAAGAACCACAGATCCAAGATTTACCACACCAACTACAACGACAACAGTGTCTCCTCCTAATATCATCAGACCCACGACGACTACTACAACTACTACGAGTTCCACAACTACCACGACTACACCAGCTACCACAACCACAACGAAACCAACAACGACGACTACTACTACTACTACTACATCTACTACACCCACAACTACTTCATCGGTTGACACTACAGTCAGAGAAGGGCAGAACAAACTTTCTGTTATGAACTTCACTCCAATCTACCCCGATATGATGAAAACGCACATGATCCCAATGATTCCGGCCTATGGATTGTGGACCCCGAAACCACATGAATTTGAAAATGAGGGGAAATTTTCGGAAAGAAATTCAGTTGGAGACATTCGCGGAAGACATGTTATTCGGTCGGAAAACTTCTTGGATGTACTCAGTGAGCTGGCACAAGTTGGAAAATATGAATATTTTTGGAATAATTGTGATTTTCAGGTGAAATTGAAAGAAGATATAACGAATGACTTTTCTCAAGCGTCCACTTTCCTTGAGTTCATGACCGATCACCTAAAAAAAATTTGACGTGTTCTTCTGAATTATGCGTATTGACACCCAGCCATCGTCCAGGATTCCCATTCTCTTCATTCAGTATTCATTTGTTCACACACAAATTTCTAATTCCATTTCTGTTCATCCGATTGGCAATGTTACCAAGACCTCTAAGTGTTTTGTCTCATCATAATAATGTAAGAAAAAGTAATGGAACAAGCTACTGACCCCTCTAGATTCGCAAGTTTTTCGTGTCAGCTCGTATCTTTTATCTTTTGAACCAATTGTCGAACGAAATAAAATGCCGCTTCGGCTGTCTTATCTCTATCTCTCTTCTCTCGTTAAATCGCAATAGTGCATCATCTCTCGTGTCGTGTGTCTACTACGTGAAGCGTGAGAACTACCGTTCTTTCGCCGAGTCGACTCGATGATGCTCTTTTTCCCTTCCATCCCATCCAATATCTCTTTTCATTCAGACACTCACCTCCCCCTCAGGTGCCACTGAACCGGACCTTTGAAAAAAGAAGATACCTTCACTCATCCCGAAGTTGCAACATCACCGATGTCACCGCTGGGCTGCTCAACGATATGATTGAAGAACGGAGAAAACGGTTCATCTTTTTAGTAGGTGAGCTCATTTAGAGGTGTTTTTCTAACGTGTGAAGAAGTATCTAAACGTATACAATTTTTTATGAACACAAATGAACACTCTTGCAATAAAGATGCTAAATATTACCGAGCCACTGCCGCCGACAACGTACCCTCGTACCCACCCAATTGTTTTCGTTTTCTGTGACATAATTGCTCGTTTCCGCCTTATCTAATTCATCATTTTGCCCATCTGGTGCGCTAATTCGGCATCTCTATGTTTTGCTTTCGTCGCCAGCTGCTTCTTCGGCTTCCCTGTTAAAAATTTCTTCTATAGAATCCTAAGAAAATGTAAGTTCATAAATTTTTTGAGTGTCAAGTTTCTGTTGAAAAGATTACTTCCTCTCTCCTCACTATCAGTTTTCTGTGCAATAGTCCCGGAGGATGATAAAAGTTGGTTGTCTAACAGTCGTCTCTTGGCAGTGAAATGAAAACATTGTTCCCATCATTAAGGCTAATTGCCGGCTTCTTCACGGCGAGCACTTAGAAACTCAGACACTTTTCACCTCTTTCTCTTCGTTCCCTCTTCTCCCTAGACCAATTCATCATAAATCAAACCAAATAGAGAAGGCACTGCCGTCCAAATAAATAAACAGGTTCTTCCTTCCTTTTGAGTATCTATCCACTCGGAGAGTCTCTTTTTCGTACATCTCTTTTTTGATAATATGCAGCTTGGCAGATTTATAGCAGCATGAGCTTTTTGTTTGATGAGGAGGTATTAGTTTCGTTTCGCACAAAGCTGATAAGGGAATGTTTATTTTTCCAGCCTGTTCTTAGCTGTGTTAATAATAACGACGAGAGGTCGTACGAGAAGTTTTAAACTTTCCGTCTCTCTCGTCTGCCCGCCCAAGGAATAAAGAATCCTCACAATAATCCACCACTGTTATAACCCCAATAAACATTTCCAAGTATGAGCTTCTTCTTCTGCTCTAGCCCGTCTATCAAATGAGTCGTTTACTTTATTTAGCACAAGACAATTTCCAAAAGCTCATTCGATGTCTTACAGTACACACGTCCAACTAACACATTTCTCGAGGACAGTTTTCATAGGGAAAATTATGATAACAAGGCAAGGTCGGTTATCGAAACTTTTTTGAGATGGTTGTTTTTTAAATTCAAAATCTTTTTGTTTGGCCCGAGTGGAATATGACTACTGTAAGCAGTTCTTTTCTACTCTTTTTTCGTTTATATCAGATTCATTAATTAGGTTGCCAGTTCGTTTGTTTGTTTGTTCGCTTTTCCATCTTCACGTCACCTTTCTGATATTTTTTGAAAAATATTATGAAGGGGAAATGAGGAAATTAACATTTGAACTGCCAAACAAGCGCAAGCTTGTAAACTCACACAGGTTACAAAAGTCTCGTAAACGCATTATGGCAAAACAAGTCAGTTTACCGTTTTGCTCTCTTCTTTATTAAGAGTGTAAATAAGGACCAAGTAGTGTGACGGACGGCCTCATCGCCCAAGTATCAACTTGCACTCCGGTAGTGCCAGCCACTTACAATTTCCGTTTGGTATCCACTGACTTTGACTTCTTCTTTCTGTTCTTCTTCCGAAACATCTTGTTGTTTGTTTTTCTGAAGGGTCTGACAGAGTTCGGATGCTGTCCCGAAACCCTATAATTACTCTTATTTCCTCCCGATCATGTTCCCACACAATTTCCGAAAATCTCCTGTTTCTAAGAGATGAGGATGCAGAGGTTGTAATAAGCAAAAAGTGGAACACTTTTATACTATAATTTTGTCAAATTCGTGAATCTTTAGTTTTCAAACCTCGCATTGTTTTTCCATTCAAATGCCATTCCTCTTTGTCCTTTCTTTCTATACTTTATTTCTTTCTGTCTTTCTGTCACTTTCTGTCATTTTCTATTTTCCAATACGATTAGAGATTTTGATCCGTTCTTGAGACTATTTCGGGCAATTTCATTTCTTCCGTTCGTATCCTTCATCCTTTACTCGTTTCTATTTCAAAGGTACGTAAGCATGTCATTGGGCTTCTCGTGGCTTCGAAGGAGGTTCAGCTATTACGAAGAAAATCAGTTCACCGAGTGTGCCAACAACAATGACCCTACAATCCGACTTCAAGGTTGGTTATTACCATCAATCGTTTCTTTACAATTTTTGCATCTACCCCAACTTTCAAGTACATCATTACCACCAGAGACCGGCAAATTGTTTTGTTTGTTTTATTTTCCTCTTAACCTGGCTCTCGCAACTTTCTCAGACACATTTTTACAACAATTTTCTGTTTAATTTTTTGAAAGAGAGATGCCACATTGAGAACTGAACGAGATGACTCTCAATTTACTTTTCTGATTTATTTTTTGACTTGGGTCTCGCTCGGTTATTTTCGGAATCGAGTCTGACAAAAGAACGTGCGAGTGTTCAGGCATTTCACGAGGCCTTGCGAGGCTAATTGTTAGCTCAGAGCAGTCCAACCTCGTAACTTGATTGTTACTTGATAGATAAACTGCTTCACTACGACTTTTCAACATAAAACTTGCTGATGAACACATTAAAACAGTTTTTTTCTGTAAGGGTTATTTGACATTTATCTTATAAGGGATGAGGGAAAATTTCTCGCATCATCACTTTACAACTCACTCGTCTGTTCCCCCAATGTTGCCACATCCTTCGTTGTCTTCTTTCCAAACATAAAACAATTTTCGTTCAAATCATGCAGAGCGCATCTTTTGTTATTGTTCAAAACTTTGTTAGAAACGAAACTTCCTCTTCTTTCGCAAATTTTCATAGTACATGGCAATAGGAAAATTCATCATTGAAATACTGACCTCGAACATCATCCATGCGCACTCTCGCGCTGCCATCCATTTACGGTTATTATTGTTCTATTCGATCGAATATTGTCCCGCCAGAACAAATTTTCCTTTGACACATTCCGAGTGACTTTAGTCTGAAGATGAAGAAACAAGACAAGATGAGTAGAAGTAAGTAGTCGTAATCTAAACAAAATTGGAATAGGACAGCTTCCCATCCAGAAAATGTCATTTGTCAGTGTTTTCGATTGCATCTTTTTCCCGGTTTCTTTCCGCTTCTTCTTCTCCCTATACACCCTCCAAATCTTTTATTTTTTGGTGCCTAAGAAAGTGTCAAATATTGCAAGCCAATTTACACCTCACATGTGTGTGCTCGGGAAGAGAGTCGTCCTGCGGCTAGTATTATCCCTCAATCTCTCGCCCATTTATATTATGAATATTTGTTATCTGCTCTCTGGCGGCTTCGGGGTCCAGCAGCAGAGTGAAAAGCCGGCATCCATCGACTGTACACGCGCCTGCTTTTATCCTCGACTAAAGTTCTTGAAAATTCGAAAAATGAACAATTTCTGATAGTGTTGTTGAGTAGTGATGGTGCTGCCGCCGATTGTGTGTGGATGTGTACGCGACAGTTGCGTGAGATGCGTGTGATATCCGAGAATTAAGAGAAACTCGCAGGCAAGAGAGACCTTCCAATCAGAAGACGCAGAGAACATTGGAGAGCAGCTTGAAGCTCTCGCACACACGAATGATACAACCATCGCTTTTGATGATTTGTGATTTATTTATGTCTTTATGTGGATCACGTTCCGAAATAGCGGTTGGCAATCTCAAGCGATTTTCATCTCACTGTACACCTAGAGTTTTTTTTCCGCGTGAAGTGAGGTGAGCAAGTGCCGAAGTGAAGTGAGCAAGTGCCGGAAATCCGCGAGATTTCACCTGTTCCCTCAGTTTGCTGTCAACTTTTTCTCCACAGTTTCAACCAATCTCGTTTTTTTCCTGATATATGATTAGTAAACACTCGTCGCAGCTTGGTTTTTTAATTGTTTTCAATTCCAAGCAGAATTTGTTTTTTCTGGTTCGAATAAGGTGTCACTCTCTTTCTAAGCCAATATTTGTTTCTCTGATTACATTCCGATTGATAAAATCCCCTGGAATATCCGCGAAATTCGACTTTTCTTGCGGCGGCATTCAACAATTTTGCAGAAAAAGCAATAGATCTCGGTTATTTTTGATCATTTTTGACGATCAGACGCTCAAAATGTGCGAATTTCATTTCTCTATCGATTTTGTTTGCTGAAAACTTAAAAGGCCACTTATTTTTTCTAATTTGTCAAAACTTTCGTAGTTCTCAGTGACTCACCTCCTGTTGTTGGCGACTTTTTTTCGGTCAACCCTTTTCTCGTATGGATATGCGAAACAAAAGACGAAGAGATGATTATGGCCAAATACATAAAAGTGAGCGCTATTCCTGAACGTCCTTCACATCTTTCTCTCGTCTTTTTTCTTTCCTTCTGATTATCTCATTATCCGGAATGTAGTACTATTCTTCCTGTCACTCACCTGCTATCGGGCGGTCTCGTACATTCTCATAGGCCTGGAACACTTCCATTCCGATATGATCAATTACCTTTTCCTTCATTTCATTCTGGTTCGCATACCTTTTATGCCCAGTTGACCAGCCTTTCACAGAAAATGCTTCCTCGCTCACTATTCTCTCTAAAATTGTGTATTTTCTGTTGATGTTCTTTTGTTTTCCTCTCTGAGAACACATTTCCTGTAATTGGGGTTCAAGACCACTCTTTCCACAGGAGGTGCAATAGTTTCCTACTTCCTTTTCCTTTTCAGAATGTGTTCAGTATGGTCGGCGCCGGCAACGACTATACATTCATAACCCTATTGCCTCACCCTATTAAAAATGGACAGTATTGCTTTTTCATGGGAAAACTTTAAGATCTCGCCGCTTTTGATGTTATGTTTGGAGATTTTCGTATCAAAAAGAAAAATAGTAATTTGACACCTAGATTTTCTTCTTGTGTGGTCACTCTAGCGGTCATATGAGACCGTTTTGTAAACATATAATTGCAATAGGGAGCGACAATAGGGGCTAGAGTGATCTAGCGCACATGTCTTTTTTGCCCTTTGTAACCCCATTGTTGCAATTCTCCCACTCAAAATTATCAGGTTATTCCGTCGGGAGCAATCTATTGAAAATCGATTTTGAAAAGTTCTTCAAATGACAATCCAGAACAAAAAATACTACAAACAACTGATTCTTCTAATAGTAAGCGGTGCCCAAGATTCCTCTTTTTCATTGGTTGTGTAAACTTCGGCCTTTTGTTACACGCATCTCTATAAATCACCATTACATTCTCCAAGATGAGGGGGTGGTCTCTCTCTCTCTCTTTTACTCTCTATATTCCTTTTCTGAGTGGTCCACTTTGAGTATCAATTACTCCAAGCAAATCCTCTAGTATTACCTGTCAATCGTGAGATTGGTTAATGGAACGAGGAACGGAAAGAGCATTTCCTCATTCTCATTGGTATCAAAGTAATGTATTCCAAACTATTTCACTTGTTACTAAAATACTGCACCGAATCAGTGATTGCTTTGAATGGTGAGCTCTATAATAATCTTTTGAAAAATCGGCAAATGTGCATCATTTACATTTATACGGCCGAGATATACGTCTTACTACAACATCCATCATCATCATGATGCGTGTTTTTCGTATAGTAGAGGCCAAGTCAATGAAGAAGAGTACACTTATTATTATTATTCCCAATGTTCTTTTCAAGAGCCAAACTTTTCTTTGATACATCCTCTGAAGCCTCAGTTGGTTCTAGACGCCATTCAAACTACCTACTTTCCCTTTTCTATATCAATTATCATCTTTCTCTTCGTTGCTTCCACTCGAGTTATCTCAGGGTGTGTAATAGTGGATGGAAAAAGAGAAGGAGAATACGTTTCGAGTGGTGACAAATGGGTGTCATGTTCTTATCTCAAACAAGCCTGATCACTCCGCTACGTCGGGATCAGGATTGGAAGCGGGCGTAACTGCGCAATGCTTATAGTGAGCCAAGCTCACCTTTTCTACACGGTTTGATTTTAGCTTCCTATCTTCTTTGGTGAAGTCGGTTTTATTTTAAAACTAAAAGGACAGACATATAGACAAACATTCCTGCCGCCTCCAAAATCCACCATTGCCTAATAGCCGGGTCATTTGCTAGGAATGAAAATTAGATGTCGGACAGTTAATGCATTGGAAATATCGAAAGTGCTCAAAATTTTTCGTCGTTCTATTTCTTGACTAGATTTTATCTCATTGGCAGTTTTCCTGGTTCTCTCATTCTGCAGAGTCCCATCTCGTTTGCGTATGTGTGAGATGACAACTGATCCCTAATCTAAACGACCATTTTGTGCAGCTCTCTCTCTCTGTCTCCCAATTTCCTACACTTTTCAAAAAGCCCTACCTTCTGCTCACGCAGTTCTGAGAAAAGAATAAATTGGCTCCCTCTTCGGTAACTAGGATCACAAGTATCTAAAAGTCACCTTTCGATCTCTCAACTCTTGGTGATCTAGTTTCGGTAAGCGTTCCGCAGTGAAAGGAAGACAATAGGTGAGCAGGAATGGCATTAACGCGCTAAAATCCTCATAATCCGATTAGTTCACACGCTAGCTTCCGATGAGAACACAACATGCATAACCGTTTTTCTCCGCCTCACGAAAAGTGTTTGTTCCAACACTGTTAACTTGTTTTTTATTCTCCATCCACAATTCAACATTTTTCAGGATATCGACAACACAATCGTGAGCATGAAGTAGACCAACGAATGACTCAAAGTATGATCACGGAACGAATACAACGATCGCAGTCTCCGGTAGATGTGAGCCTCGCTCTGAGTGAAGATTCGACGATAACAATAACCGAGTTGAACAACAGGTAATCACTGTGACTTTACTGAACTGAAACAGTTACGAGAATGTGAGAAAAGTCAGATCTTTCAGAAGTTGTTCGCCTTTCAATGCCAACTTCATAAATGCGACTCCTGCCATGAGACGAAGACGAAGTCACATGGGGGTTCGGCAAAGAAACTATCGAATAATGGATCATAACGAGTCGAAGTACATCCTTCAGCAACAGAGCAGTGCAACAGACGAAAAGAAAGGAACTCTCCTCCGTCGAAAGAGCAGCAAGAAAATGATTGAACCGTTAGTACTGAAGATTTTAAAGAGTCTATGATAACTTCTGTTTTAGAGTTCCAATGATCATCACTCCTCCAGTTTTCATGGCTCGATCACAGTGCTGCTCTGTTTGCAGCAAAGAGAAAAAGTAAATCTCCGTTTCTCTCCGTTTTGTTCCGGTTAATTCGCGTTTAACCTCTGACTTTTTTTCCTCTTTTTTGATTAGTATCCTGTTCTGTGAGGAAATAGGCGAAGCAAAGAGAAACATCGTACTTGGATTCTTTCTAAAGAAGTTTGGGTTTTTAGGATGCTTTTCGATGTTCTCAAAACAGATAATGATTAGCGGAAAGAACATTACAAGAATAATAGTGACCTTTTCCTGTCAAAGCATTATTACAATCTCACCAATTCATCTTGCGAGCGCGAAATGAAAAGTGATTTGTCTGCCCGTCCCGTTTCGAGGTTTTCGTAAGCAAAACCTTTCCGAGAGATACCTGCACAGAGAGATTTTATTCTCTTTGTTTGTTTTCTCGAACAAGTGTATTTGTTTCCTTCCTCATCCCTTGCATACTTGAGGATCGATGACGAAACTGTCAAAAAACATGCGTGTGCGTCGTCCATCGGTGTCGCAAGGTGCTCTAGTAGTTTCATGCTGCGTCCCCTTGTTATCCAATCGCCAGGAAGTGCAATGGCTTCGAAGCTTTCAATCAGGTTATCGTCGGATGAATTCACGTCTTTCCAACTTTTTAATCGTAGTGTTTCCTCGTGTTCAAGGTTAAAACGGTCACTCACCACACCACACATTTATGCATCGAAATTGTGTATGCCTAGACCTAGCATCAGACTGTCTGTTTCTCCAAAAAAATTCTTGTCATTTTCAACTATTGGGAACATAAACCCGTTATGCAATAGTCCCCCCCCCCTCTTCTTTTCAATCGTTCCATTCCTCTACAGCTTTTGTTTGTTGAGCTTCTCTTCTTGACCAACATGATATTGCTCACACGGCGTATTTATTGTGAAAAAGTTTTGCTACCGGTCTGTTGAATGACCCATTTTGTCGTTTGTCAAGCCGCTTAATTTGGCTAACTCAGCATAGCTTACGAGTTTCTCTTTTTTGGCCGCCAAATGGTGGTAGAGAAGTTTGTAGATATTTAGAAATGCCCTTTCCGATTAGATGACCCAATTCTTCAACTTACAACTATAATTGCATACAATTTAGAATCAAGGTGGACACTTCTGTTTTCTTGTTCATTTCGCCCTTCAAATATACACCTGGAAATAGGAAAACTAGAAACTAGCCGCCAGGAACTGTAAAACCGCTAACTTTCTCTCCTCTTCTCTTTCATTGTTCGTCTTTTTCTGATATTAAGGGAAGAGAGAGAGAAGAGAAGATGTGAAAAAGTGACAACACACCCAGCTAACTGCTGTTGGTCTATTATTATTATAAGTGCTAATAGTAATATTACACCCTCTCTATGTCTTGCTAATGATCACTTGTAGTGTCCACATCCGCCACCAGATCACCAGATCCTACTAGTAACTGTAAGTAAGTTGAACTTCTTCTCCCTGCCTTTCTTCTTCGCATCCCTATTTAGCCACTAAAGATTGGGACTAAAATAAACAAATGACATGATAATCGCATGATTTCGGCGGCGAAGCCTGAGGTTGAGCCAAAATTCGAAACATTCTTTCTTTGTGGGCAAACATTGAGAGCATGTTTCTGCCGCAATCCCCCCAGCATTCTCTTTACAACCCATCTCTACTTTTTCGCGCCGCACAAGTTATTAGGAAGCTCGTTTCGATTGTTTCTGAGTTGTTTCTGTGGTCTGTACAAGTACTTGGCTCTAATGTTCACAAAACTTGATAAGTTTACCTCTTTTTGTGCCATTTGTCGCTCGCCAAAGCTTTTTGCTGCTACTACTATTGTCGGTCTCTGCTCGTAAATATAAGTGACGGGACATGCCCGAATTGGCTGCCCGTGGACACCAGAGACGCGAAATTTTTTTTATCTTCGTGAGCACATCGCTCGGAAAATTCTGGTAACGGTTTTTCTGCAGTCCCACACATTTAACTTGATGCCTCTACATACGATTAGAATATTCCATTCAAATCGTTCGTTCGTTGATGACCTTTGCGACCAAACTTTTTTTTCGCGTTCTTTTTTTCATCGCTTTGCAGGATAACCACTATTATTACAACGTCCACGAAGGACGTATCTAATCGGTTTTGAATGTGTTCTTAATATTTAATGCCGAAAATTGTCGTCTTCATATCATTCTTTAGTGCTCCCGTTTCGGACCGTTCTTTCTGTTTGCAAACGGATTTTCCGCATCGTCGCCTTTTTTCGCTTTCTTTTTCGAGTTTCACTCAGGGAAGTGTATCAATTGTCTTTTCACATCCTATGTTGCTCATGGTGACACGTTTCGAATGTTTTGTTTTCTTCCCACGGCCTCCTTCCAACTTCTGTGCGCTATTCTTCTTTTTTTTCTCTCCTTCCCGTATTTCTTAACACTTTTGTGCATGGGCTCATATTTCAAGACACTTTGTCTTCTTTTTTGTAGAGAAGGTCATAGTAGTATCATGTTCCCTCCTCTTAGGAAAGTGTTTCTTTTCTTATTTCTAATGGAATGTTCGTATCACAAGTCGCGCAAACACAATTCCCGTTTTACTTCATTTGCAATTCAATTAAATCAGAGAACCTCGTCTACATATTTTGTACACTGTCATTTTTTGACTAATTTGTCAATCCAATCCGTTTCTAAGAAAGTTCAATCCTCGCTAAGGATGTGAACAATTTGGTCGACGAACACTTAGGATCTTTTGAATTCCTTTTCCGTTCCATTTTCTTCGTCTCAATTTGAGTTATCACATTTTCGTATGCTTTCTCTTGTTTTGTTTTTGGAGCGTTCCAATTCCTGCCACTGTTTCCAAAAAAACTGACGCCTCACTTGTGAAACGTCCAGTTTCCAAAGCTCATTTTCCTTCGCAGCCCCATAAATTTAGTGATTTATTTCCCAATCTGTGTATATATAGGCAGCCCAGCCTAAGCTCTTCACATTCTACTTTCACCTTCACACCCTCATCTATTTTTCTTGCAGCACATACACAGTGTCAACGCGAACGCAATCGTACCCTCTGGAAAGTATGCCGACGATATCTTCGGATCGGACGGCTGACGAGGTTTCCATTTGTCTGCAACTGGTAATTCAGCTTACTTTAATCATTTTCAGGAGTCCGCTCGACACTCGTTTGTCTCCAATTCAACTGGCTACAGCAGTGCCCGGTCGTCTCTCCGCAGTTCCGATGGAGGAGATGAATCCAACAACAATGCGAACTCTGTGGGAAACCGGGACAGCGCCATCAGCAGCAGCTTCTCGTTTTCTTCGCAATCCTCTGCTCGAAGATCAGCTTTGCTTTCCAAAGGAGCTCTAACACATCTGGACCGCATTGCGATTGAACTCTTGGACACAGAACGTTCTTATGTGGAAGATTTGAGCGCGGTTATCAAAGGATACATGGACTTTTTGGTGGAAGACCGCGAGAAGCTCAAAGTTACACTAGACTCTATTTCTTCACTCTTCGGATGCATTGAACGAATTTTCGCTTTTAACAAGCAGCTGTACACTCAGTTGGATGCCGCGGATTTGGACTGTGTGAAAGTGAGATTCAGGGTCACTTGAATAGTTTTCATTTGAGTAATCCTTCTAGATGAGCAAATGTTTCGTTGATAATGAGGGGAACTTCGAAGACTACATTGAGTACTGCACCAACTATCATCGGTAAGAGATGTGTTTGAAGATCGTCTGGCAAATTACTCCTTCCAGAATGATGTCTGCCCTTTACCTTCTTCAACAACAGCCGCTGGTTGCTAAAGCATTGCAAGAGCGTCAGTTAGCTCTGGGACACTCATTACAGTTGTCTGCTTACCTTTTGAAGCCAGTTCAACGTATTCTAAAGTATCATCTGTTTTTGGAGGTTGGAACACCTTCATTTGCTTTTTATGTATGCTACATTCAGAACATTCTTAAAAACATGCCCTCCAGCACAAGGTCCGAAGAGCTGCATCAAGTAAAGCGCGCTCATGACGTCATGACTTCGCAGGCTTCACGCATAAATGACGAGAAGAAGAAAGCAGAGCACATTGAGAGAGTTGGACAGTTACAATCGACACTCCAGAAATGGAAAGCTGACGAGGTATATAGTTATTTTAAGGAAGCACCCGTACTCTGAATTCTTTCAGATTCAAATCAGCAATTTGTCGGCGTATGGTGATTTATTGTTAGAAGCAACGTTCCGCCAAGCTGGTTCTAAGACCACACGCTTATTGTTCCTCTTTGAGGAAATGTTGTTAATTGTCAAGCAGAGAGGTTCAAACTATGTTTGCAAAGATTATATCATGGTAATTTACTGCAGTAAGGATAAACTCTTCAGTTCAAGAATACTATTTAGTGCTCAAACTTGATGCTCAATGAGTGGATTTGTCCTGAAGATCCACTATGCTTCCAAGTCCTCTCATTTGATAATCCACGAGCTCAATATGTGTTCCTAGCCGCTTCAATGGATCAGAAGCGTGTTTGGATGCAAGAATTGAAGAGGATGATGCTCGATCATTATTCTGTAGAAATCCCGGAGAAGACAAAACAGCTTATGCTTAGCATTGACAATACTAAAATGGTTCCTTTTGGAAGACCTGAGTTTGCCGAAGTGTCTTTGAAAAATCATAAAAAAGTACCGAAGTATCTGGAGAAAAGAAGGAAGTCGGTGGACGCGAAGGAAGAGAGCAGCCGGAGGCGAAGTTTGTCAGCATCTCGCTTGCTCGGAGGCAGCAAGACATCAATATCGGAGCCAATTAGAGAAGAACAGAAGTGCACGTGCCACATGAACGGAGGAGCTTTCAATGGCGCCAATCCAACCACGTCAAGATCTATTGTGAGTTTGCAAATTTTTCTTTTTTTCTATCACTCACCTAATTACTAATCTAGATGCGTCCCTTTCTAACCCTCAAATCCCAACCTCTATCACTGGAATCTAATTGTCGTCCGCCAGTGTGTCGAACGCAGTCTGCTGCAACAATCGATCTTAATCAGGTGATTAGATTTCACACTTCTTTAACACGTTTGCTTGCTATTGGAGATTGGAGCTGCACCTGTCTCTTACCTGAAAGGATTTTGTTAAATGACAGTCAGCTGTCACTTTTATTAAAATTTTATTAAACATTTAAATATGTCAGATAAGCATCACTGAGCCTAACAGCGCAGCCGTGATGTCCTCTAGAAGTAGGTACCAACAAGCCAGGAATCGGAGGCTTCCTCCTCGTCACAATCAAGAGGTACACATGATTTTGAACTTGGAAAAACACTCCCTCATGCCTTCAGTCTCGATCTACATCTGGGCGTCGACTAGGAGAAGATGAGATTGATAAAACATTTGACCAGCTTTATGAAGAACTTGTTTCGTGTGGAGACTCCGTCAAGGTACTTTATTATTATTGCTATTTATTTAGGCCGTGGGGGAGGAGAATAAGCATAAAAGGAATGGTTTATGCCGGATACTTTCTAGTTTAATGAGTGATGCCTGGTTTATTGATTATGACTAAGCAATCTGAATATTGACCGAATTGCAAAGTTCCTGAAATGTTTCATTTTTATCAGAAATGACTTTGCAGACGAGCACATCATTCGCCCCGTCACACAACCGCACCCAACGTCAAAAATCGGAGGCGCCGACGAGTACTGTAACGACCATCACTGTTGCAGCCACTCCTGCCACTGCCACGCTTTCTGTTGCCGAGTGCACGGTAGTCAACTGGAATTTAAAAAGAACCGAACGTTCATGAAATGGTTTTAGAATACAAAGCTCCGCTCAAAATCGTTGACCAGGCTGGATGAGTATGAAGCTGAACCAATTTGCTTGAGACCGAGCATTGAAAGGAGATATTCAAAAGTGGATCAATTAAAGAAAAGATCCCGAAAATATCAAGTGAATCAGGAGCCAGAAGCAGCAGATGTGCTTCGACCGAGTGTAGGTAGATTTTCGCTGACAGAACACGAGATCATCATACATGGAGAGGTATTATATAAATCATGATCAAACACGAATGTAAAATTGTAGGAGCCCTACAGACGAAATTCCGGCCGCCAACGAACCCCGCTTACTGCTCAACAAGCAGCCGAACTCGACGACTACTTCCCCTCCTCCATGAGCTCAAACCTTCAGTCTTGCTCTAGCAGCGCTTCTGTAACTCCATCCAAGACACCGATGATACGCCAGTATGAAAATGCATAAAAAGCATTTTGTTTTGAGTCAAAAAACGGAGTAGAGGCACATTTTTAAAACTCTTATCTACTCACCGCAGAAAGACCGGCGGCGAGCCAGCACAACGACGAAAGTGTGTTTTTGCGCGTTTATGAAAACAGATTTCGAAATAGAAATAGAGATCGGAAACAATAGCTAAAAAAACTGAAAAACACTTTTCCACCGTGACACTCATGTGATGACTTATGCATTATCTCTACCAACTTCCCAAAGTTCCATAGCTGTCCCTTTTTCGCACTTCACCTCTACCGGTGTTCCATTTTTTTGACTTCTTGCTGTTTAAATCCATCCCGTTTATGCTATTGTACAATTATATTTAATAAATATTTACTACAAGACTTTTGGAACCTGGGCCCGCTGCGCGGGCCGAGCTGAAATAAAAGAAATGGACAGACTCCGTTAGTTTTTTATTAAATAAGAATGATGACTTAATGAATTGAATTGAATTGTCGTCCCTGGGTCCGGAAAAATCGGATTCAACTCGGTCTATTGAACTCTTGTAAAGTATTAACAATCAGAAGATCTTTTAAGTTAAAATCAAAAATCAAAAGCACGAAGAGTACACAAAGATAGTTGACCAACGATATCTACAATAAAATATCTAAAGATCCAGAAAAATGTTTATTAATGAGTATGAAAATGAGATCATAAAATTAATCCAGAGCCTAATAAGGTTTGGAAATATGAGAAAAATGTTCGGCGATTGCTTTCCTCTTCACTGTCACAGCATGTTTGTAGCCGTCCACAATCTCTCTAACCTGCAGGTCAATCGTTGGCCCCAACGCCGGATTCCGTTTCTTTAACACATCGAGCATCCTCATCTGTTCTCCAATCTGTAACAAGCGCTCAATTCTTCCTCTCCGCCCACAGTACCAATCAGAACTTTTCTTCTCCTCTAACTAATTACAGTACTGTTATCAGAATGCAACCATCCTTTTCAAATACTTTTCTTCTCTCCATTTTGGGGTTTTGACGCAATATGTCTAACAGTGATAAAGACACAACTTTGATAACTTCCGGCTTTTTAGAGAGAGTTTCAGGTCACAAGATGTAAAAGAAACGGTGCCAGTCTCAAGAAACCGCATGATAGAAGCATAATTTTCTCTTCATGACAATAAACAAAAACATCACATTGTTTCTTGTGATTTATCTTCATATTTGTCATTTCAAACCGTTTTGAAGATGTTAGGCAAAAAGAGCAGATTACATGACTGACCTGTGACAAAAATCGAATTCTATGCTGATTCTTCGCGTCGTTCACGGCAGTTGTTGTATTCAATGTCTAGAAAATATGAGGTTTTTCAGAGAAGAATGAATGAATAAAACAGCTGAAGAACACAAACTAAATGTCTTTCTGAAATTTTCATATCTAGTACTTTTCTTCATCTAGTTTACTATTTTTCTGTGTCACTCACAGGGCTACTGTAGCGTATGCAAGTATTGAAACATCAAACTATAGTATGCTCAGTCTTTGAAAAACAAATATCCAATCGGTTACTGGATACAAAACAATTTCCTACCTCTTCCAAGTCATTCAGTCTCGTCTTGATTTTCTCTCTGCATTTTCGAGCAGCTTCTGTATTTTTCAAACGTTTCTTCTCATCTTCGGATACCTGAAATTCAGGGATTTTATTGTGATGTCGATATCAACTCAAGTATTACCGCTTTGTCAAAATCAATAACTTTAACACTATGAGTTGTTGGAAACTCCTGATGCATTTTTAAATTTGCTTTCATAAAGTAGTCCTCCTCGGAGTCTTCAGACCCTCCCAATCTAGCGACCGAGCATCCGATCACGTGCAATTTTGAGAACAATTCCGAGGGGGAGAACGGGAAGCCAGGGCTCAACTTCATGTGTTTCGGAGATGGCTGACAACTTTCCTCGGATGGAGGATCATAGTCTCCAAAAGGAGTGGAAAATGATGGACCAGCGGGTGATGAGTAACTCATCCTCAAAGGAAAAAGTTAGTAAGAAGCGGGCAGATCGTCAATGCCACGTGACGGTTACAGTATGATGGGTGGGTGTTTCTCTAATGTGGAAGAGAAGAGTCGAAAAAGGAAAAGTGATAACGAAATGAGTAAGAAACTGCGGTCTGCCGCTAGGTCTGATAACAGAAAGGCGGGACAAGCAAGAAGATAAAGTTGAAATAGTCTGCTTCGTAAGTAGGGAGCGAAGTAGGGGAAGAAAAATAAAGTGTATTGAAAACGACGTGGAATCAAGACTATCACTGAAAAATATGTGATAGGGCTGTGTAAAATGTGGTGTTGTTCTAAGAGAAGCTTCATGGTATTTTGTGAGTTAAAGTGTGTGAGGGTAAGAATGAAAATGCTGAAGAGTCCAAAGTCTTGGGACTTCGAAATTCGTCTCAAACCTATAAAGGCAGTATTCTCAGATCTGTTCTCAGATGAATTTGTCTAGTCGAAAAAGCGTATGAAAGTGAAAAAGTGAAGAAGTGAGGCGAGGAAGGGAATGTCCGAGTATTATAATGATTAGCTACACGAAAAATATGAAAACTGCCTTTTAAGAGTAGGCCATGTTCTCGGAAAACTACTACTTATCGGAACATTTCAGTGAATTACGAGAAGTAAGGCATTCTCTTAGATACCCACGTGCAAGTGACATCACCCCAATGAGTGTCTGAAATTCTGAATCATCTGATAACACAACTAAAATTGTCACGAAATGATGAATTCAGAACGAAAGTAAGTTGAATGCTAAGGCGAACTTTAGAGTTTATTCTTTCCGCTTTTGTGGTACCCTGGAATTAGCAGTTTTCCGATAAATTGAAAAGAGACGGGAAAGTTCAACACGAATGAGCAGAAACTAAATTGTGGCTGAGCAGGCAAGGACTAAAAATGAGCTGGACAACAAGAAGTGATATGTTTATGATGAAGTATGCGCCCAGACAGAACAACTTCATCTGTTGTTTTCATTTTCATACAAATGAGATTTCGGCCTACGGCTATTGTTGCGGCAAAAACTGTTCCAGCAAAAGAAAACAAATCACGTTTTGCCTATTTCATCTTTTTGAAGCCCGCTCACCTGTAAATCACTAACTCCCCTTTCAATGACAATGTTTGTAGGTGCACCCTTGTTTCCAGTTGCAGTGGTTATCTCTCCAGTTTCTTGCTCGCCGAGTTCCTCCTCTTCTTCTCCTTCTTCCATTTCCTCTCCCTCCTCCTCTTCCTATACAAAAGAGTTTTCTATTTCAAACGGTGTCAAGAAAACTGACAGAAATAGTAGTGAGCAAGGGAGGCACTATGGGCTCTTCCATGTCGATAACATCGAACTGGTAGAGGTGATTGGACCGGGAATGATAAGCGGCTTGACAATAACCACAGGACGGGTCTCCACATCCACACTCAATCATTTCTGAAATGGGATAGTGTCTTACGTGCTCATAAAAGCTCAACAAGTTTCCATAATTCAACGTTTTGCGATTTATTTGTAAGACAAGTTTCCCGTTGTTACTTTTTCTCTCAACACTCTCTCTTCTCGACCGCTGATCAACTGTTTGATGACACAGCGCGTCGCGATCATATTTTTCTCCTGATGAACGACATTTGGAGATGGAAGGGAAATTAATGAAAAAAGGTTCGGAAAAAAAATCAACATGTCCAGAAGCAGGACGACAAAGTGTAGAAAGATGTTCATCGTCGTCGATGTGATTCATTATATAGGTTCATGTGTGACGTCTTTACTGAGTCATAATACTCATACAGGTCATCATAATCATCTACAACTGCTTCATTCGTGATTCATGCACCCGTCTGTGTTTGAAAGTTGATGCAGCGTGTAACGTGAAGAATCGTTATCAAAAAAGGCCACTCTTCGCAAAATGAATACCACTGATATCGTGTTGCACGGCGAACATTTGTGAACATATCGGGCCCGTTTTTATCCCTCCGTGTCGCAAATCGTAGCCCTTTAGCACGCGGGTGAGTGGCTACGCAGCGACTAAATACGGGCAGAAAATTCAAACCATGTTCACAAATGTTCGCCGTGTGTTGACAATTTCGCGTTTCAAACTATTAAACATATAATAAAAGAAAACAGCCATCTTTAGAACATGCGATTATTCATGAAATATGAATTAATGGTTAACCATTTCATCTTCCACAAACTTACATTAGTAAAAGGTGTATCAATTGACTTCTCAACGCCTTTATGGAAAATTAATGAAAATTCAAGCGACACCTAAAACGAAGATTTAGGCAGGAAATATTCATCACGTGCCTCGTCCAATCAACCCGACCGATCGACTGCGAGAAGAAGTCTGTTGTCCATCTGCTACGTATCTTCTCTCCGTCTTTTTCTCATGAACTGATTTCTCCAAACAACTGCGATTCTGTTTTCCCCGTTTTGGTGTCACCCTCACCATGTAACATTGCTATTTATTTTCGGTCAATTGTCCTCTCACGTCAGCGAGCGACTTGTAGCGGCGGTTTGGAGTGGTGATTGCAGGACGTCACAGAGCTAAAAAGAATTCCGCTGACAAATCAATCATGAGAGATCCAGAGAACCCGTTTGTAGTTCGATTTCAATGAAACGAGTTCCCTTTCGAATGTTATGTCTTTCGGTCCAAATGACTCAAAGTCGGATATTGTGTTGTTCGGAGAAACATAAGTAAAATCATGAAAAACCAGTGGAGCAGTGAAAGAATGAGCACAAAACGCGGAGGCGTTTTCATCTGTGATGAGTAGAATACAACGCTCACATGAACAAAACATTGAAAATCATGACATTTTCAGCAGAAAGCATACACGATTCCCTGTGTGGCTAGGAAGTCTTCTACCCTCTACTAAGGTACCGTTCCCTACCATTCCCTGGGTTGACCTCATTGTTTAGAAATCAATGTTTCTTTCCTTTCCTTTTTACGCACTTGACCAGATGTTTTTCAAGGTCGTCCATCCATCATCTGACTACCAGTAACTCCTTTTTCGTCTTTCGTCTTCTTTTCCACGAAAAACTCGGTTCATGTTGTCACTGGCTTCTTCTCGGTCCCACCCTTTCACCCCGACGTCCTCGTTGTCCCCCTTTCCCCTCAAACACATTTATTTTTAAATTAATTTTTCCAATCTTGTTTCCCTCCTCGATCAAATGTTTGCACTTGCGAGAAAATTTACAATTTCGCCTCCCATATTGCCATTGTAAAACCTCTGCAATTTCATGAACTTTTTTGGCGTGGTGTCAATTTCCCTCTCTCACTCTTTTTTTCAATTTTTGTTCTTCAATGATTTCCTTTTCTGAGAGGCATACACAATGTGTAGCATTTTTCGCACAAGTAATGAAAACCGATTTTTTTACGTCAAACCATTCGGATTCAGCTTCTTGGAAACATGATGTCAAGTAGTACAAATCTTCATCGACCCGAATTCTCTTCATCAGGTCGGAACTGTCTTATCAAGTGCTTGCTAATGGAACGGGTAAGTTGTTCTCTAACGGTCACATGGTCTACGCCCACGTCGAGTACGCTTTCTCCAAAACAATTCAATCTAAATTATTTTCAAATCAATCTCCCTATAGACATGTCTGACTTCTCTCGCTATTTCCTTTATTGGACGGTCAAAACTTTGGCAAAAAAGGTTTCCGTTAGTAAAATATGTTTTACAGACGTGATTTTCAGCACTATCGACATCTACTATTCTCTTTTACCCTGCACACCCTGATCTACTTCCTCCTGCACATGTGCTTTGAACCTCGAGACCTTGCTCAAGCCTACCTCGCTGACATTCTTGTCCTTCTCCTTGCTGCCTTCGGAACTGCTCGCAAACTTCCGCTGCTCATTTTCCCCAGTATTGTTGTCAAGGTACCCACATTTTGCACTGGAAACATTTTCCACGTTCCCCAATGTTCCAGTTCATATGTTTCTCTTTGTGCGCCGGCGTTGCAATGTTGTCTTTGAGTGAAACAAGTATCAACATGAAGACGAAGGAGGCGAGGATGGAGTTCCGACGGCAGCGGAATTACCCCGAGGTTGTAAACTCCACTTTCGAGGATCATCCGACCGTTTGCATCTGGATTCATGCGTTGGCCGTTGTTGTAGCCTTAGATCTCAACATGGGATTGAAGGCCTTTTACAGCTCCTTTGATTGCATGAAAAAACCGAAGACCGAAGAGGAGGTCAGTGAGAAAAAAATGCAAAATTTATTGACCGATCTGAAAACTTTATTAAAACGGAATTTTAGACTTTCACAATGGCACAGTGTTTCAGAAACCACCATCCTACTCAGTATGTATGACTGCTGCTTCTCAATCCGCATCTCTCCCGAGTTACGACGAGGCAATCCAAGCTCTTCAGAACCAGCCTCAGCTCTTTCCTGCACGGAAAAACTTGGCAGTTCATGTTGTCTGACCGGAGGAATCAGAAGAACCGGCTCAACCTTCTGTTTATATCTTGCCATATCGGACTCCGGTCAGTTAAAACGTTTTTTTTTCATTACCCATATTTAATAAAACGATCTCTTTCCGATTTTGTACTTGTTAGTCATAGATTTAATAGGGCAAGACAACAAGGTTGGAAGTGGCTCTGTTCCGCGCGTGGTGGATGAAGCATAGGAGTAGTTTTATGGGATTACCCAACAATTATAAATGTCACATGTACCGAGAACGCGTCCCCCGTGGCCATTTCACAAGTACACCGATAAGCATTAGCGCATTGAAGTCTGTCTTCGTTCGCTTTCTGACGACCAAAGTTCAAGAAAGGTCTTTTATGGAGTTAGAATTGCGTCGAGTGAATCTTGAGGTTCTTAGTCATCCGACGCAAATTTCTTCTGTGGCGTGAGAACTGAAAAAAAAACGTGATTCGGGCCTGGGATATTGGCTCGTGGGTGTGTGTAAATTCTGCGCTCGAAACTGAATTCTTATCTACTCAGCTACAATTATTGTTTTCTCGGATCCTCTGTCTCCATCGTCATAGCCGTCGTCTATTACCCGGGTATTCATGCCAGCCGTCTAATCTCTATTCACCTTTTCCCACCAGAAGCCGAGCCGACATCAACGACGGCGGCAATCAGTAAACCAAATTCAATTCTTCTTGCTCTTATTCATCGGCCCCTCGTCGTCGCGACCGACAATTTCTTGGCTTGCTTCTCAGGGGCCAGGTGCGCACACCCCTATATACATTCGCTTATCTGCCTTGTCCGCCTCTATACGCCAGGCGGGCTCAGAGCGTTATTCTTGATTACCGGTTGCCTAGGTTGTCTCTTTCTCTCCTTTCCGTCGTATTCATTCCGCTTCTTCTCCTTCTCGCTCTCCTTCTCCCTTAGCACCACTACACTGGTGTGTGTCAAAAGGTGGTTCCACTTTTTGATGTTACATCAGTGTCTTGTTTCTTAATGAATCTTGTTGAATTGCCTCCGGGTTCCCCGACGTGAGATTGACACTTTCTCAACAAGTGAGTAGTTGAAATATGTCGAGGGTGTTCAAAACATCAATTATAATGCATTAGGTAGAGGCCAACCTCAAGCTCAACTCTAAAGAATGTTTATGTTGTTAGTTCAAAAAACCAATAATCATCTTATCTTAACGAGTTCGGCACAACGTATCTATCTTGGGCACGTATCAGCATTTCCAAGTAAGCTATGAAATTCAGTTACACTTCGTTCAGCCACGTTTCCATAAAACAGAACACATCAAGTGACGAATACGTCCCGCCGTGGCCGTTAGTTCATAAATGTAGTTACATCCACATTTCAACTCGTGGGCTACGGCCGGTGAGCTACGGGTAATGAGCATGAACGGCTACGGATAATGAGCAAGAATAATGAGCAAGAACTGACAAGTCCACCAAAAGTCTCATTTTCCGCATCCATTACCTTATTAACAAGGACATGAAGCGTATACACGTGTGTTTGCCTTCACAGAATCTCGAGTGTACTTTCTTATTCCAATCTTTTGCTTCTGCTGGTTTTTATTCTTCACTTCACCTTTGTCGGTTTCCATTCATTTTATGTCACGCAACTATGGTGAAAAAAGAATAAACACATGGAAATCACTCTCTCGCTCTCTTTTTCATCGAACCCCTTTATTATTTTTTCCCCTTGATAGCAGACGATTTCTTCCGTAAAACCAGCGTTTCATCTTTCTTACTGTATGAAGCCCTCTTTTCAAAACTTCTTTGTGCTCATCACTCTACTCATGGTGTCATGTTTTTGTTTGCTCTTTGAAGGCAGAGGACCCCCATCTAATGAAGATTCCATTCGCTTCAAATTCTCCGAAATCTCTGAAGCTTACACTTATTCGGGCTGGTCACGTTCTTGACTTCATTCTAAATAAGTTAAATCTAAATGAATGAAGTCGTGGGCCACGTCATTCCAATGTTGATTTTTAAGACTTGAAAAGATTATCGAGCATCTGAAATCGAAACCAATGTTTCCTTCTGATTTTTTCTCCCATCAAAAACGCGCCAATATCTCTTCAGCCCTTCTTCGCTTTCTACTGTAATCCGTGAAAATTGTCGTCGTCTCGGGGCCAGTCACCGTTGTCTTCTCGAGGATTAGATGCCGCACAAATCTTCTACAAAAATTGTGGCAAAGAACATAATACGAACTGATTGAGTGACACGAAAGGGGCTCCTTCTAGTCGGTGGATTATTCAGAGACAAGTTATACTTTCTCAAAACAAGCGTTGCTTCAGAAACTGTTGGTTTTCCAGCTGTGGTTTAGAAGCATGTTATTTTCCAATTCTGTTATTTTCCATCCTTATCAGTTTGGAGAAGAGCGTGCTGTCAGAATTTTTCTCATTCTTCAGAAATGTTCAAACCTGATCATTTCCCGTTCCATTGATTCATTTTTGAGAGTTGTAAAATGCTCATGACCCGGAAGGTCACGCTTTCTTTTCGATACGCCAGAACTGCTTCTTCTTTTTCCTCTCTTCTCTATTTTCGCTTTCTCCGACGTCGTCGTTGTTTGCCTCTCTCATCAGGCACCAAATCATTCTCTAATCTCATTCTCACAACCTCCAGAAGAGAATTACCTATACGCCACCACGCGGATTTTTATTTACCTTCATTCTCATGGGAAATATGGAAAACGAAAACGAACATACTCACGTAGCTTTCTCCGAATTTTTTTAAATCTACAATCAGCCCGCTATTGTGATTGGATGACTTCCCAATTTTGGAAATCAACAATAACACTGGGTTGATTCCTTAGTTCCGCACTGAAAAAAAATCGTCTATTCGAACAGTTCCACATGTGTCTTTCTGTCTGAAAGTCAGCCAGAGCCGAATGAACCCCAGAAAAGCTTCTGACTCATTCTGAGTTGATCACTGAAGCTCGGGGCTATTCTGCTCGACAAATCTTCCTTTCACACTACATTTTGTTCTCCTTCTCAATTCATTTCTTCTCAAAACACAATCTGGCCAAAAGCTAAGCCCACTCGGACCCCGCCCATTCCTATCACATCGGGCAAATTAACTCCTCAGATATCGAATTAACCAATGCCCGAGTTGTGACATGTTTCGTAACTTCAGACCAAGTAAATATTTGTTATATGTTTTTGCCCCAAAGACCTATAGTTTTCACGCCATTTCGAGAATCTTGTTCATGTTCGCTCAATTCGTCAGTTTATGAATAAGAGACAAAGAAAATGTTCATAAATCAGAGTTCATTCGGCTCTCTTTTCTTTCTGGTCTCTCGATCTAATCTGTACTTGTTCTATTGCCATTGAACATTAACATAATGCGTCTGGGATGTATGTGTCTGTATACTTTTACCATAAAAGGTATTCATACTTCTGGTTGCTCTCTTGCTTTATCTCAAATCAAAATGCTTCTGGCTAGAGGGATATTTTTATTGTAGTGCGTGCCTGGTTGCACTATCTGGTGACTACTTGGCGCTACGATACAATTTGGCTATGGCGGCGCCCAATTCTTTGAATGTCCTGTGACGCACACATCCAATCCCACCCCCTTCTCACTCTTTCCATTGCTTCATCGCGATAGATTTGTGTCGAGAGTTGAAGTACCTTTCGCTTCTATTCCACTAATCTGATCTCTTTCGAACAATACAGGCATTCTGCGCTCATACGGCTTGTAGATATAAGTGCATTTTATATAAAAGGATAAGATTATATATTTCTTCCCCCATGCCCATATAGCATCGTAATTGTTATATGTCACCCAGTGTTTTCACGGTATTTCTATTCATTTTCAGACAATGGGCTCATGTCAGAGCAATGAAAATGCGGAAGGAAACGCACGAAACAAGGAGATCGAGAAGCAGTTGAATGCCGACAAAAGAGCTGGAAGCAGTATTGTCAAGCTTCTTTTGCTTGGAGCCGGAGAATGCGGAAAATCCACTGTGCTCAAGCAGATGCAGTACGTTCATTGTAATTTCTTTGTCGTTACCCCCGAACCCTCTTTGTAGAATCTTGCACAGCAATGGTTTCACGGAAGAAGAGGTAAACGAGAAACGAGCCATTGTCTATAACAACACGGTGTCTGCGATGTGTACAATATTGAAAGCCATGGACGGCATATTACATTTACCTCTGGAGAATGGCCAAAAGGAGAGCGAGAAGGCTATCGTTTTGCGAGTCCAAGAGGCCGGAGAAGAGAGTGAAGCTTTGACTGATGAGGTCTCGAAGGCGATACAGTCTTTATGGAGTGATCCTGGTGTCAAGAAGGCTTTTGAAATGCGCAGCGAGTACCAGCTTCCTGACTCGGCTAAATAGTAGGGTTATCGTCTGAGCCCACTGAAGCAAAACGTGTCTTTTCCAGTTTTCTTGATAATTGTCAGCGCATTTCTGAAGCTGGGTATCGACCGAACGACCAAGATATACTGTACTCGAGAGTTGCTACCACTGGAGTCGTGGAAGTGAAGTTCAAAATCAAGGAGCTCGACTTCCGGTTGGTATACTTTTTTTCCTTTTCCTGATCGGTTTCTTCCTTCTCCCGTCTTTTCCCATGCTCGTCAACAGCAGTAAACATCACCATGGTTACTCATTTCTTGAGTGAATTTAATTTGGTGTGCATGTTGTCGGTGAAAGAGGGCAGAAAAGGTGATGTGCGAGCAGATTTTAAATAATGAAATTGCAGTGTGTTTGACGTGGGAGGCCAGCGATCAGAACGAAGAAAGTGGATCCATTGTTTTGATAACGTCGAGTCTATTATTTTTATCACAGCTATTTCGGAGTATGATCAAGTTCTTTTTGAAGATGAAACTACGGTAAACGAAGCCATGTTTTCCAGCCCAATAATCGTTTTCTAGAACCGAATGATCGAGTCTATGCAGTTGTTCAACTCTATTTGTAACTCGACCTGGTTCCTTTCAACCGCAATGATCCTTTTCATGAATAAAAAGGATTTGTTCATGGAGAAGATTCAAAGAGTCAACATTACGACTGCGTTCCCGGATTATGAAGGCGGTCAGAACTATGAAGAAGCGGTTCAATTCATCAAAATGAAGTTTTCTGAGCTCAACTTGAATCCGGATAAAAAGACAATTTACATGCATGAGACTTGTGCGACTGATACAAATCAGGTGATACAAATCCATGAATTGATTAAAATTCTAATCTATTTCATCTTCCAGGTACAACTTGTCATTTCCAGTGTTATTGATACAATTATTCAAAAGAATTTACAAAAAGCCGGAATGATGTGATCTGAAATTGCTTCGATCTTTATTTCTCATTTTTGTCTCTCTACTTTAATAGGATCCGATTATGCAGTAGGATTCTTCCTTTCCAGACATTATCTCACACATGATTTTCTCAAAAACAGTTTACCTATGGCCCCTCTATTCTGTCCTCTTGTAGTTTTTCGATTTTCATTTTCATTTTCTGAGGAATACACCGAAGCATCAAATTTATCCCAATTATTGTAAAAACTAATGACTAAACTGCTTCTAAACAGCATCACGATTGAATAAAGCGCGAATTACTTATGTAACAGTTTTTTCACACTTCCAAAACCTTATCAACTGAGGTTTCCATTCTTAGCATACGAAGAACGAGAGTCACAGAACAACCTACTCGATATCCTGTTTTATTCTCTTTTACTGGTTGTTTGTTGTTTCTTTTTTACTTCTCAACCTTCAGATAGTTTCTTATCTGAAGGTTGAGAAGTTGCTAATCTCGATGGACGACATCGGACACAGGGATGATCGGGCGAACGGGCGGGCTAGCACTGAACGGTACTCACTAGTAGCCGCCATGGTTTTCAAGGAAAACGATGATTTGATTATGAGACAGGGCGCTGGTCTGAGTGTTGGTAAACAATGAAGTTATTTCAAGGTGAACGGAAAGGGGGGGGGGGGGTGAAAAAAGGAAAGTAGCATTCAGAGGCAATGTAAAGAAATGCCAGATTTCCATCAAAAAATAATTGTTGGCATACAGTTTATCACGCTGAATGAAATCAACTGAAATCATTGCTGGTTTAGTTGGAGAATGCTTGCTGCCACAACGATCAGTTTTGGGTGGTAAACCCAATCCAACAAAGATAGTCTCGGAAAATGTGTTCTATGTCTGTTCCACTCGGAAACTATTTCCAAACTTCACAATCAGTATGTAACTCGCAAGTTCCAGGCACACTGCGTATGTCAGCGGAAAAGTCAAAATAGTTGCAACAGTTTCAAATTGATGTTTATCAGCAACATCACCTAGAACTGGTAATCGTCCTCCACACGAGAGAGCGTGTTCGGTACCGGCCAGCACTCTCTTGTTCTCCGACCAGTACAGACTGTTCGTAGTTGGCGGAACACTTTGAAATAGAGAGAGAGAGATGGAGAGAGAGACTAGGGAGAGCTCATTGTTTATTTGTTTGTCACTTTTTGTGTCGCCGGGGTGCTCCCACTTCTCGTGCCCGCCACCACCGTCAGCGGTTTTCTGCAAACAATTTGCAACCTATTCGGGTAGACTAGTTGACCGTCCGTACGTCCGTTCGTTTTCTATCCTTACACATCACTTTCACTTTGCTTGTATTCACTGCAAACCCCTGATCTATTCAATACGACATTGAGGTTTGTGAACACAATTCATGTGCTCCTAGTAGTAAGTTCACACCGATAGATCTACAGTAATCTTTACACCCTAATATTTTTTGGGCAGGATATATGAAAGCAATCTGCTTGTAGAGCATCTCAAACGAAATAAGTACCCAGGGGATCCGCATACTTTCACACATCTCACTTTTTTCATACTTGTTTGACAATCGTCCTTTCCGACAGAACAAGTGCATATGCACTCTTCTCTCCCCTCCGCCCTCTCCTTTGCCAATTTTCTCTCTTCTTTTTCCGATGTCTGTTTCATTTTTCTCCCTTACCCTGACGCTTCATTTTTTAGGGCTACCGTAACTACTAACTGTACAACCTTGGGATCAAAGCAGAAATTCTTGGATTAACGGTAGCTGTGAAGCTAGCATGTTGATTGTTCTGTTTACGGAGGTGGTCTTGTTTTTTCGCAGGGGGGAGGATGTACAATACAGGAGAGATTTAAACGAAACTGAAACGTTGACCGGTTTGATTGGTATGAAGAGGTCAGAGATGGTCAAGAAGTCTCGGTGATTTTTTTCATTCTCAGATATATTTCAGAACTTGCATTTCACTCTGTTCCCAATAATTTTCCTATTCTTTCCATTTTAGTTGGTTCGCTCAACCCATTTTCATTTATTGAGACGACATGTAAAAGCGTTCAAAATAGGTGACAAGAAGAAGACGTTCCTTATTCGCGCAACACTTTTTGACATAGTTTACACACATTTTGCAGTAGAGGCGTCCACTTACTTCTTCTTCTTTTTCATTCTTCTTCTATCGAAATAGGCAACAATGTGTGTTTGTGATCTTCACGCCCTCAATTTTCTCTGACGAACACTGTATGTGCGGGCGCGAGAACCACAAACTAATAAGGTTACACACATAGTTACTAATAAATTATTTCTCCGAAACGGACACGGTTTTTCATTTCGTAAAGTGGAGAAAAAGGAGAGTTTAGGTCCCGTTTGAAAAACGTTTCTGATTCTGGATGTTGAGAGAATGTGGCTACAGTGAAGGTGCAAGTTTGAACAGAATTGAAACAATTTTTAAGCCCGTGTGTGATAGTTCTGTAAAAAGCCAGGCTTGATAACTACGGCATAAAACGAAATCCCGAAAATCCTTGGGGATAAGAAGGGATGTTCAATGTTCTCCTGCTCTTTTGATCCTGATTACTTTCCAATCATCTGATTCGAACCAATGACCCTAAGTGCCTGGATATTTTCATTCCAAATGAATTCCCTTCGTCAGTTTCTTGTATGCCCCGCGACTGGTTAGTTGCGCAATTATCATTATTGCATATCGTAGATTCTTGTGTATTCAATCTTGATATCGCCAATCGACAAGTTGGGCCCAGAAGTCGTCGAATGGCATAGGATGTTTGTTGTTTCTTGCCTATTTGTATTCTATCCTGTCTTGAATCTTGACCACCATCAACGGCTTTTTCTTCCTTGTCCCTTTTCCGTTTCTCTTCACGTTCCAAGCCATCGGTTAACCATGTGTTCTTCATCAAAATTTGACCTACCGGCTGGCGGCCTTCATTAATTCGTCTCCGCCCCCAATTCACTAAAAATGTTACTTGTATGCCGCCTTTCTTTTTCTCGTTTTTTCCTTAGTCTTCACAGCCTACACTTTTCAAAGTCTAATCAGCACAGCTTCTCTTGAAAATATTACCGGTATTCCCTTAAATATTCTCTTAATTGCACAATAGGAACTTCCAAGTTTCCGGACTCTTTTTGTTTTCTTTTCTATCGACTGTAGTACTAGGTCAGATAATAAAAACTGAAACTCGTCATTTGATAACTCGGAACAACAACAACGTGGCACCACTTGGTACCGAAAAACAAAAAATAAACACAACTTGTATTACGGGTAACTGCTTGATTGACCGGATGCTCTGTATTACGCTCACACGTATTTCTTACTTACAATTTCTCATTATGTTCTGCAATCTTAATAGTCCTTATACTTAATCGTTCTCAAGAGTTATCTAGATCGCTTTAAAAATTGACTTTGACAACCATATAATCCCCTTGCTTTTTCGTTATAATACAGTCAATTCAAACCTGCTTTGTTGCTGTTTTTCACAATAAGCAAACAATGTTCGGGTTTCCAGTATCAGCTCCGTCAACATAAACCTTGATAGTGTTGACTTCTCACAACATTTTTGTCTAGAAACATTCAGTGTCTACTTTACAGTTTTTCTTTCCCAGGAGGTCACAACTAGCTTCATCCAGCTCCAGTATCCGTTTACTGACCTACAATACGTACACAAAACAGCTGGTGGAGTGTTCCATCCTGCGCATATCCGTTCTTCCTCCGTTCGTTTTGTTTGTTGTTGTTTTGTGTACCGTTTGAATGAGAGGGAGAGGGAGACTGTCTCTAAAATTCAGCACACGGTCCTCTCTATGTGTTCGTAGTTCTTCTCTTACCGGGGGGACCTCTGCAAATAAACAAAAATACGTCAGCTTCTCTGATTCCTTGAATTTCATGATCTTTCGTAGGTTTTCGCAGTGTCTGCGCGGGGAGAGCCTAAACAAAATGCAAAATTTTCTGTTCGGCCTGTATTCCTGTGCGGGAGTGGTGTTCCAAATCGGAACACAGCATCACTCTTCGGGTACTTCTTGTCCCGGAGCATCACTTTCGGAACCTTTCCTTTTCCGCTTTCATCTGAAATGAAATCATGTTCCCAACAGTTACTGTAGTGTTCCATGAGATTCCAGTTTTCCACTCTCAAATATTTGATTATACTCAGGTACACACACAACAACAATAAACAATTTTTGTGCTTGCCAGAGTTCCGTCAGCCCTTTTCATGCTCATTTTCCGGAACAGCTTCTCCTCACTTTTCGCCTACAGTTTCCACTCTTTCACTGTTCACTCGAAACATTCACTCTCTACCAGTTCCGCCATCACCCTCCCCCCTTTTTATTCGAGAGTGTGAAGAAGGGGGAGAAGACGTCCCGGTCTTTCACTACTTCGAGATATATCGAGACACACCTTTACTGGAACCATGACTAGTGATCAGCATTGCATTGTCTTCTACTTCTACTTTCTCGCCACTTCTCAATACTTTCTTCCCTTTTTTCACAAAAGTTTATCTCATATATTTCAGGATGGCCGCTGAGGTTTTACGTCAGCCCAACATGGTATCGGCGGTCCAGTCCATTCCCATTCAAGCATATCACATGTACTCTCACTTCCCGCCGCGGTCCAGAGAAAGTGAGTTTACAATAATACAGCTGGCTGAAGATAAATTTTTCGTTTTTTGTGAAACACTGAAAACACGTTGCTGAGAGTGTTCCTGATCCCGCTGAAAACTTTCGTGAGAATATATTTTGTGAAAAAGTTGTTGCAGATGTGAAGAAAGTTTATTACTGTCAGAGATGTTTGAATCATGATACGCCAAGGCCTCGCAAGAATCATAAGGTTTGCTCATCTGCTCTAAAAATACAATGCCAGTTCATGTTTTTTCTTGTTCCAGTGTGAATGCCCATATGCCGATTGCAATTGCGAAAAATGCGGGCTGGTTGAAAAGCGGAGAATCTTGAACTGGCAACTGTCAATATACAACTCGGAGGGGGATATGGAGAAGAAGTCCGACGACGACGATGACAGAAAGTTGAAAGGAGGTCAGTCCCTATCAGATCGGTCTTAACATTCAGCGGATGCTCTCCGTGTTTCTCTGTTTTCCAACACGATTTGAAGGAATATTTTTTGTCGCTTTTGATTGTATTTAGTATCGAAGACGCACACTCAAAAAATTGTTTCTTCACCGAATTTTAAAACACGCAGCTGATAGATTTGAATGTTTTGGCATGCGCTTTTGTGAGTCATAGACTCATATAGGATAGCACAAATTTGGCAATTTGATGTTGGTATGAATCATTAAACTAAATGAATGTTGGAGTAGTTTTACTCGTCAAATTTAGGAATAATCTCTGAGATGAAATTAGCTTCTCATAAAATTTTTAGAGGACTTTTTCGACACGTTTTCCTGCTTTGCTTAAAGAAAATATCGACTTCTTCTCGAAACTTCCAAAAATTTGATGTTTCACTTGTTTCAAGCCGTTTTCATCCGATCTGTCTATCCCTATTTGTTTTTCGATCTCTCCTCCATGTTTTGCGCTTGAAGCGGCAAGTGGTTGATTCTCCTGCCCCTTTTCTGGCTAGCATGTTTTCAGTAATTGGCAAACATGCTCTCAGAAGTGTTTCTCTCCAGAACGCGATGTCTCCACACGTTTTACTTGAAAACAAACAATTTTGAATGCATGAGGTGTCATCGTGAATAAGCGTCTTGGTGCGGAAAGAAGAGAGCTGCGAGCTAGTTTTGCGAAAACATGAATTAGAACATCAGTACGTTCCGCAGTTTTCTGCGAAGATGTGTTCTGTTCGGTAATTGTTCGGTTTGAAAGATTGTTCCGGTATGAAACCAAACTTCACTTCTGTAAAAGTGTGTGAGGAGCCGGAAGAAGAGTGGAAGAAACCCACGAGTGCCACTTTGACTGAGCGAGAAACTATATAGTTGATTCAAGAGAACGTCGTCAGTGAGTTGTTTACGACGTGGCACTTTGACGAGAAACAACAGAGGAGATCCCCTTTTTGAAGTATTCAATTGTGTATGTGTGGCTGGCAGGAGGACAACAAATACGGACTGGAAACCAAGTTTATGTCACACAATTGTTTGTCGCTCGAAACGTTTGACACTCTTTGCTCGTCGCGAGCAGCCGTCCATGTAAATAACAACAATTATTGTTATAAAATGTACGAAAAACTCAGATTTTCAAGCTTCAGATGTGCAGTATTGTAACCTGAAATTAGTATTTCTCGAGCGCGAGACATGCAAGTAATGCTTGTTTGTATGTGAATGAGGACTCGATACTGAATGACGAAGAAGAACTTATAGAATATTCTTGAGGGTCGATCATCGTGTTGTGTTCCAGTCTTGTCATGTACTTCTGGAGCTGACCTAAACGAGGAAGAAATCTAAAAAATAGATGCAATCTAGTGCGAGTGGACGTTGGCTTGGAACCACAAAAGCCATCATCACCTATTTTGCAACTGATAAACAACTGAGACTGTTCGGGAACCGACCTCTGGGAATTTCGTAGTTGTTAGCTTCGTCTAGATACTGTTGCTTATGTGCCATCGGTTAACAAACAAAGGCCTCCCGGTCGTCCTATTAAAAAGTTTGCCGAAAATTGAATCGGTACTCAAACGTCCCTTTTTATTTAATGGTCTGAAATTGTCCGTATTGTAAAATTGTATACAAGAATATGTTGTTTTTCTTCTAGCTTTTATCATTCGTTCGCCACAAAACTTTGTATACAAATTTCTGCGATTGTTTTTGTTTTGTAGTTGCGTGGCCGAGTTTCAGGCATTTGCTGGAAATCGCTAATCTCGTTCCATCTGGCGCCAAGAATATCTAATCACAGACGTCCCTTTTGTACAGTCTCACACCGAAATATTTCCCAATGTCTATTTTGACATATAGCAGCCCGTGCTCCACCACTAATTCGAAGTTGTTTATTGTTGTTGATTCGGGTAACGATCCTCAGGGACCCTGCGAGAGTTGGTGCCTGGCACTCCGACCTGTTTTTCATCTTCCTTCGGTGCCTTTTTGTGCCCGCGCGTGTCTCCAATTATTCACCACATCTATTCTCTTAATTGGACAATAACATGCTGATAATATTTGCTCATAATTCCCAAAATGGAACTCGGAGTGTATGTGTATGTGTGTGTACCTGGTAGATTGACTAAAGTGACCACAACAATAAATATGAACCAGTAGCTCTTGCGTGCGACGCAACCAAATCCCATCCCATTACTCAAAAGATTTTGTAATAACGAACGTAATCCTTCTTTCTTCTCTTTATGAAACAATCACCTAAACATTCGTATAATGTCAGATTTGCTCCTAATCCGGATTATATCGGAAAGAGCAGAGTGACTGATTCTTCTGAACCTACCTCGTAGTTTTAGTATAAGTTGCTTCAAATTGTGTATACATCGTACTAACTGTATTGAAAGACACCCAGTGTGATGAGCTAGAGATTTTTGAGTGTGTCACACAGCGTGTTGCACGAGAGTTAAGGTAACAAGTTTTGAAGAACGTTAGTTTTCGCAACCAGACACAACTCTCATTAAACTTAAGTATAGTTCGAGCTTCAAAATTATTTTCGATTCAAGTTACTGTACATCCAATCCAGAGTTCGGTATGCTTTCTGAAAGTCCACGCAATCTTCGAACAACTCTTTGTTTCTTGAAAAAATAAAGTAGGCTCCTTACAACTATTGTGAATGACCCCTATTCATATGTTTTCAGAAAACCTCATAACAAAAGGCCCGGCTTCAAACTACCGCGAACATGAAAAACATGTTTGACAAGTTTGTGGGTGCCAAATCCGTTTCCTGTGTACACTACTAAACTCAGTTTTCCTTCTCCTCCGGACGGCCCATGTGTTGTGCATGTTTCGAAAACACTTTGGAAACTTGTCAACTTTTTGCGTTCCGTCCGCTGTCGCACGCCTTCCAGAGAGCGAAGGAGACATTTCTTTCTCGTTCCCTCGAAAACAAATCTGGAACTGAATGCTCTCAAGGATTTCAATATTGTTTGGTAGCGAGAAGAAAGGGAACCAGAGGAAAACGCTCCGGCGTCATAATATGAATAATACAATGATTATATAATAATAAAGTTGGCGGTGTGAATAGAATAGACACCTCAACTTTTTCGCGTTTTCTGGAAAAATATTAGGCGGTCTGTGGGCATTGTTCGACACATTCCCAGATATTTTCCATCCGTTCCGGATTATAAGAGACAATGGCGGCGAGTTAGAATGTTCTGTGTTTTGAACGTTCCTGGCTGAGCAAGTAACAAAAACGATTTTCACGATGACGAATGAGAAAAAGTCGTATCGCGACAAAGAAGAGAGCACTTCAAAGTGTTAAACTTCCGGATTACTGTAGTTTTTACATTTTAAATTAAACATCCCCAAGAAGCTGAATTCCTAGCGTTTTCAACAAGCACACACCCACTAATCCAAGTGCATTCTACAGTATTCCTTCTGATCTCTTCCAGTTGTCTGTTTTCATTTTTCCACATTTATCCACTTGTTTTGATACCACAGTACAATCTTGAAGTGTGCGTCCTCATGTTCATATTCGAGTAACTGCTCCCCTGAATTCTAAATCTCAACGTTCATCTAATCTTGCGGATCTCTCAGAAACTCATGGTAAACACCGTATCATCCGGGGTTTTAATAAATGAAAAGAAAAAAAAAAGTAAACTTCGATGATGGATTGTCGTCAGAGACTATTCTAGTGATGTCTGAGATCGTATTTGGTGAAACTTCTGAAACACTTGCATCAGATTTTTAGCAGATTATCCTGGATTCCAACTCCAGCCATTCTCCAGTTTGCCCTTTCCTCTCTTTCGCCCTATCTTGTCTAATTTTTCTTCAGTCTTCTAAATATTCCTTAAAAACCACCCGGTTGGCTCCGCGTGTTCTTTCTCTTCCTCGTCGCTCGGGCTCCGCCCCGTTTCAGCTAGAGAGGAAATAGCGTTAATTCTCAGGAGACGGCCCACAAATAAAGATCAAAACATTCAAAATAGTATAAAGTGGGCGTGGCTATTCGGGATACGAGAGCAGCCCACAAGAAGAAGGAGGAGAAACAGAGCGAGGAGACCTCCCCGGCGGCGCTATTTCGAAAAACAACCTCCTCGCCCGCACACGTTCATCCGTTCATTGCGAGGTGCTCATTGTGGGACCTTTTACTTCCGTCCTTGCCGTTCTTTAACACATTAGCGCACTTTGTCCTTCCTTTTCCATCTTTCTTCTCTACAGCTTCTTGTCCACCATGACCCAAATCGGTCTGTATCCTGCTGGTCTTACCAAGCCATTCGAGTTGTCGTTGTCGGCCATCAAGTCTGTGTTGGAACCAGAGAATCCATCTTATTCAAGTACTAACCTTAATGTTCCAATAGAACGTTCCTACCATATTTTACTTTCAGAGCGTGTTCCAAACTGTCAAAAATGCGGACAACACGGTCGCAAATCTCGTCTCAAAGGTCACAAAAGGTAGAATATTAACGTTTAACATACTTTTACCTTTAATAATTCCAGAAACTGTCCATTCCGAGAGTGCACCTGCGCCAAGGTAAGCCTAAAGATTTTTCTGTAGCTTTCATCTTTTCTAGGATTTCTGGGTTGCTCTTCTATTACTCCTTCTAGAATATTAGACGAACGGAAAAAGTGGAAGTGTAATTTGAGAATAGTGTTTTCGTTTTTCTAACTGGTAGAAAACACCGTCGATGTGTATGATGTATGCAGCTTCTGCTCAGCGCGATTGTTTGAAACTCTTTGAGCTAGATGAGAAGGGCTCTCACATGTCTCAATGCTTTAGAAAACGAAGAAACATGTTTCATTTATTAAAACTAATGAGATGTTTCTCGGTAAATGCCACGAGTTGCTCTTTGCACACAACCTGCACAGTGGCGAGACATTCTTAGAGCTCAAGAGCAAGAGAGTGAATTTCTGATTTCTCTTATTATTTGACGCATCCCTAGTGCAGCTCCACTACAGATGTCGTTTTGAAATGTCGGAAAAGTTCACACATAAAAAACAAAGACAATCATGAGGCATCGCCCGTTGACGTCTACGGAGACAAACCCACCAATTTGGAGGCAACGGTGTGTACGAGTCTCCCCCCAGACATGCTTTAGATTTGTGCTAAATTCAATTTCGCAACATGGAATTTTCTTGTCGACACTCAGAGCGTTCCCCTTCATTATTCCACGCAAAAACATTTGTCACGCCGAATTCTGATCGCAATCTGAAATTTCCGCTCACTTATGAGTCATGCGTGATCTTTGCAACAATCCAACGAATGTCTCTGAGACATCCTAGACATCCTCTAAGCTTGAAGTTCTTCGCTCTTTAAAAACAGAGAAATGTTTGGGTGGGTGGGAGAGCGTGGAGGGGGACCGAAAATTGCAAACATGTTTTGCTCAGCTGACCCGTCGCCGGTCGAAAAAAATTGTGTGTGTGTGTGTCCGCATGTTGGAGACTTGCATACAAAAAATATATACGAATTATAATTTTCATCATCATCATTTCTTGGTTCGCCTGTTGCTCATCAGTAAACAAAATAACCTGAGCGAGAGATTCTGCTTGAATCTGGACTAGTTTCATTACGTTTTCAGAGATGAGATGACATTTGAGCTATTTCCGTGCTAGCTCGTTTTTCGGAGAACTTATTTTTTTGAAACTTGAAGAGGATCATCATGTCTGTACTTCCTGTACATGTTATCGACACCTTTTTTGAATGTGTTCCGAGCACGGAAATTCAAAATCACCTGTCTAGCTTCCATCCAATATCATGTAATATCATGTTTTGAACATAAGCTTCGTTGAACATTAGCCTAATTGGAGCTCTTATGGACCGCCTGAATATCAGACATTCTTGGAAAAGTTAAGAGATCTAGAAGGTGCTTTGAGCTTCTCGTCACTGGCTCCGCGCGCGCAAAAAGAAGAAAAACAAAAAGGACATAGTAAATTATCCAGAAGGCCATACGAAGAACACCGACAAAAATTGTAACATAGTTTGATATTTACGCCAGGGCAATTGCTACTTACCGTAGCTCTAAAATATTAAATGTTTCATTAACTGATTCTTACTATTAGTTCCTTGTTCTGCAAGAATTTAAAGCTAGCTTTAAAAGGAGGTGATCGCGCTTCATAATTTTGCACCACTTTATTACCACAAGATGAAACGCGCCTCTGAATTTTTGAAAATCACCACCAAATGCGATTCACCTCAGTTCTGAGGCCTTTAAGAACACTGAAGCTTTTGGGATTTTTGGAAACGGTAGTTGCTTTGTCAGCTGGAAACAAGTTTGATCAGCCTGCTTCACACACGCACATGCGAGGAACATAAACACTTTTGATGTTTTCGACATTCGGGGCCCTCTCGATGAGAAACGAGGATTAGATTGTGGTGACCTCGGCTACTCGTCGCCTCGCGAGCTCAGAAGTTTTTGGTTGTTTTTCTGGCTTGAGGGGAGAAAAGAGACGGGAGGGAAGAGCTGTATGTGTAAAGTTGGGATGAGAGTTTATTTTGTACTCTACTCTCCTCTACCCTTCTCCTACGTGAAGGATAAAGAAAAAATAACAAATTTATTGCAGTGTGCCGTTGTCACTGAACGTCAGAAGTTGATGGCCGATCAGATCAAGATCCGACGTCGCCAACGCAAGGACACTCTGATGAACTTGACCAGAGAACACATCACCTCCACGATCAACGCAGCCGCTGCTCTTTCAGCCGCCACTCCGATCAGTCTCAACCAACTGAATGCTCTTCTATGTAGGCAAAATGCCCAAAAAAATTTTTCTCAAATTGTATTTTTTTCCAGATGGTTCAATCAAAACCTCCTCACAGCCGTTGCTTCCTTCCCCTGCCTCCTCGGACTCATCCTACAGTAGTCCATCCATGCAATTCCCGTCTCCATCGCTTCCGATTCTTCTCCCAACTTCTGCTGATCACTCGCCACTATCGCAGACCCCCAGCATTCCAAGCTCCATCGCTTCTCCGATTGTCGCTCCTGTTCCTATCAATCCAGGCGGCTTCCCATTCGTTGGGCTCGGAGCACAAGGACAAGATGCCGCAGTTGCTGCAATCATGCAGGCGATCATTGAGAACTACAGCCTTTTGAACGACTCGACGCACAACATCTCCAACTCGTCGAGTCCATCGAAAGATGACGAAAGCGGCGACGATGACGCCGGCGAATCGATAAACTCGAACTGTATAATCGACGTTTGCACTGTGTAATCTGTGATCATTAAATATAACTTTCGCTGTATAATTCGAGGACTTTCCTTTTCCTTTTCCCAATCTGTCCCCGTGCTTTTATCCCTCAATTATTCACGTTCTGACCAACTCTCCCTCATTTACCTCGATTGTGATTATTCAGCACTATGTGATTGCCACATCCTACACCCACATATGTCTACCTCATGACACACTGTCTTCCCTATACCTCGATTCCTTTTACCTCTTTCTCTGTCCTACTCCTATCCTTCTACCTCTTTTCCTTTTGACCTCTTTTCAACTTCTCCTACTGTCAATTCATCCGAACCCCAAACATCTCCTAGTCTAGATCTACATGTAACTCAAACCCGATTGATTCCTATCCATCTCCAGTGTTTCAGTTCCAGTCCCAGCGCGTCCTTTCTTTTCCTCCTTACTTATTTATTTGTCTCCCGTGTCTGTGAATATTTGTGGCTAACTCTCTTTGGAAAAACTTTTAAATACGTATCCATCTGCTTAAAAAGAACCAATTGGCTGAGAGACCTTTCAGATTTCACATATCCTCCATCTGCCAAACCAGTTCCTTTTTCGCAGAAAAGTTTCCCAAACTCTGATTCATCTTCTTCTTTTCTGTACGTATGAAAAACTGAAAAAATAAATTGTATGATCAGAAACCCTTCAACAAAATTCTTGGAAGAACGAAGCTAGAAAAAGAAAAAACAATAATCGGACATGTAATTACACGCTCTGACGTGGCACCCGTGATTTAAAGAAGGAATTTCACTCCAACTTTCACACCGAAGATCCATTGAAAAGCGTGCCTGTGACCCGGAACTCACGGATGTGTGAGTCATCCTTCCAGAAACGTTGACAATGTTTTTCTCGGAGAAGTCGACGTATTCCCCTCTCCCTCGGAGAAGTGTTCCGATGCCGAATGAGGAAAAAGATTTGATCTGTTCGTGTGTATGAGAACTGAAAAGAAGTGGATGGGGGGGGGGGAAGATTCTTAGAAATCTTGCCACCTAATTCTTGTTTTCGAGACATCGAATACTCTCGTTCTCCGTTTCCCTTCCTCTCACATACTTATCCATTTACGTTCCTTATTCTCAAGCATCGCGCTCAGATCCGAACTGAGAAAAGCTGTTTGCATCATGTACAATACATTCGGATACTTTCGGTTGGCTCCGCGGCGATACGCTCCCCCCACTTTCAGCAATTCCGTGTTGTTTGCAAGAGAGGCACGGCGATCTAATCACTATTGCAAGGATTCGAGCGTCGATGAGGAAACTATTTTCTTGCACACATACTTGTTGTTGATCGCTGAATAATCGGAGAGCACAAAATGAAGGAAGGAAGTATTGAGACAAAATCATTTAGGCAACTCACTCACAACTCTATTTTGTGATGAATCAGAATGAGAACGGCAAATGGGAATGCGAAGGAAACAACATGGAAGAAGGGGCAGTTTTTGTTCCTGGTGAGCCATTTAGGTCAGCTTGAATCTAGAACACAATCAAGCAAAAAGTAAATAATTGTCGAATACCTGCGTTATTTTTTTTATTGTATAAAAGTACGCACTAGGTACGCGCAAATGATGTTTTTTCTCATGGACTCCGGAGAATTGATAACAGAAGTATGCTGACTTGCTGATGCTGATGGATTTTCAGAAGAGATCTATGATTTGAATGGATACATCAAAAATCCAGTTCCAAGATTCTTCGACTATTCGACAAGAATGTGAAATAATGAATGTCTCATCAAAAAACAGAATCCGCGAATCCCAATTTCAACTTCCGGTCTTTTCTTCTTCTCTTTCATTTTTTCAGCGAAAGTTTGTATAAATGAGAGCCGTCGGCCTGAATAATAACAATTAGCATTCGGTTTATACTTGTGTGCTTCAGAAGCTGAATCTGAGTGTACGAACATCCCAATAAATTTTGTGTGTGTACATGCATTCGAAATGCGAAGCTCTGAACAATTTTGAATGGGGACCATCTTTTTAAGATCGCCAGGTGTTTTGTTCATTTTTCTCTCATTATTTACAGAATCCCTTCAAAAGAAATCTTTTCCATGCATCCATGTTCCATTCGGATTATCGGGCGAACACTGGAATTATGGTTGTTGAGTGTGTCTGAGTTTATGTGTTTATGTGTTCCGTTGGTGTGTCTGAAAAGCGGCAAATGAAAAATGATAGGGCTGCGGCTGAAGAGGAAGAGGGAAACACTCCTGGCAGAAATCAGAGAGATCAAGAAAAGTTTTAAAGATCTGAATTGACGAGGGAAGTGGCTGATTGTCCGTATACTCTGCAAGTACTTCTCATGAACTCCGGCCTTAGAGGCCTCATATACTTTAAACCTTTTCCACAAGGTCTTTGTTTTTTTTTCATACCGTCGAAAGGTCTTCCGTCTACTTGAGTTACTTGATAACTTTTTTCTATCAGCTAATTGCCCTCCAGAAACTTTCAGACGCTGTCCTCTGTGCTCTTTGCTCGTAAATGTTTCTCTCTGTCCCATTTAGCAATAGTTTTTGTTATCCAGAAAATGTTTTCAGTTAAACGTATAGATGGGAGCGGAAAACATTGCGAGAATCTGAAGAAAACACGTCGACGATGGCGGCGGGAAACGTTGAGTGACATGAACAGATTGAAGAAACTCTGTGGAGATGAATGTTGAAAACATCGTCCCATGTGTTGCTAGAACAGCTGAGCTGAGCATCGACTGGCTATCGCCCCTAAATAGTACGCGAAACACGGAGATCTATGTATACTGCTGGAATTGAGTTGAGCAGAAAGAAAGAGAGGCGGGGGAGAGAAATAAAGCTGACAATGAGAGAAAAGGAGGAACATTTTTGAGGGGGTAACATTAGAAGCCGGGAGGGGAGGAAAAATACAGCTGTTTCATTATAGTTGTGCAACTTTGGGAGATGTTTTTCGCAGAGGGAGAAAAACGAGGAACAATTGGCAAGGGACCGAAAATGTGATGTTTTTGTTGAAAAGAAGAACGAACAATTACTTGAATCCTCGAGCGGCTGAAACAATGTTCAAGGGACTTTTTCTTTTTTCTCACCGCAACGGCTCTTCACCGATTTTCATCAGTCCCTAGTGGGAAAGCTATTGGGGACCTCTTTTAGAGGGTTTCTTGCAATCTTTCTATCTTCCCCATAAATCAGTTTCAATCCAAGAGAAAAGTAGGTTTGATATAAATTTGTAAAACATCTAGGGCGACTTCGAAACATGGAAACTTGTATGGAAGACTTCAAAGACAAAATGATAATTGCATCATTTCAAGGCTTATCCCTACACTAACTTTGATTTATTTTTTCGAATTCCCTTCTAGTTGACTACATTCCTGTTACACGAAATTGGGTGCGTATCAAACAGCAGAAATAGACATGTTTACCGGTATCACTGAACACTTCTCATTTTAAGTCGTGCATACCTAGAAAACATATGAATTGCAGGTGTGTGTGGCGAATACAAATCACGGGCTCCGGAGGACAACTTCTAGAGATGTTTGATCGACTGCCGTCTTTGACAAACTTTGGATAATCACACGGTCTGGAGTTGTCTACGAAAACACTTGTCACATTCAATGTTTCTAATTGCTTTTGATCATAGATCCCACTCTTGTCTGAATGTGAGTCATTGATGCTTCAGTGCCCATTTAAAAGTTGAACTTGACTGAAAAATTGATCATCGAACCTAATATAAATACAATACCAATTTGCCAGAAGTTTATTACCCATAGCAAAAACAAGACCTTAAAGATCTGTTCAGATTATTAACCATCTAAAAATTTGAAATCGTGGTGCGAAGTAATTCTGGCACAAAATCACTTCCGAGAAGTGTTTTTCCGGATAAACCAAAGTGCACGGTTCCTTCCTCCCACACTCGACCGTCATAAATATCTTGGTGTTTTGACGAGGTATAACACCGATTCTGTGAAAAGTCTCACAACATCGATTACGTATCCGAGTGCACAAGCACTATCCCGATTAGTATGTTTTTCTGCTCCGCTTTCTCTATTTTCAGTAAAAAATATATCCATGTTCTTGATTAAATTATCAAATGGACGAAGTGAGCGAGAGACTCAGCATCTTGCATAATAACTTGTCAACTACACCCAAGTTTTTTTGTTTTTTTTTCATATAGCGATTGTCGTGTTACTCTTAGCACATTCCTGTTTTGCTGAAAAGAGAGACTAGGAAGTGTTTTCAGAGTGTTGACGACAATTAGAAAGACGAGATATCGAAGAAGAGGAAACAGAATGGAAGGTTGTGATCCAGCAGCAGCTGACGTGTGTTTCAGATTCAAACAAAATTCATGTGGGATCGGGTGGAGATCGTGTGTGCACAAAGTTTTCAGCAACTGTTGTTTCGTCTTCTGATCAAGGGTCGCATGTCAAGGACCAAACACTTTTACTCACTTTTAGTTTAGGGACCATACGTTCAAAAGGCGTGTTGTCATCACTTGAGCAATACTACAAAACCAGTCACGTGAGACATTTTCAGATTATCTCACTGTATCCGTAATGTTTACAAACAACAACTGTCAGATCGAAAAGTTTAAGATGGACTTGCGCTCGTTTACAAGCGATTTTTTCACTGGCCTGGACAAAATGCATTGTTTAATCAACAGAAGGAACATGTTTTCAACATTTGGATCTTTTCCTCTTCCAATTCGTGGCATTTGAATATATATTCAATTGCGGCTTCATTTCGAAAACAATGCTGCCGTCAGCGCGCGCGAGCACGGAGCCACAATCGAATTTTTTGTCGGCGGCAACAAAAATTGGGAGAGAGAAAGGGAGACTAGTAATTCCAATTTTCGACGTCCACTTTATATGTATAGTAAGTCGAAAACACGACTACGGTAGACTCCGAAATTCGCTTACTATTTTGCGGCGACGGCGTTCCTGGAACTACGTGTGCGCATAATAGCGGAAGAGTCATTGAGCAAATTGAAAACATGCCTGAATGCGAATGACAATTGAAAATGGTGTAGAGGAAGATGCGACGATAACTGAAGGGATGTTCAGTTGTAAATACTGGAATCAAAGTTTAATTCCATTTCATGATCGTGGAGTGTTATTGCAGTCTATACGAAGTAACGGTATTCACCTTCCTTGTGCAATTAAGAAAACACAATTGGCTCACTAATTCCTTGAAGTAAAGAACTCCTGTACATTAGACAGAATTTACGTATTGTAACCGGTTAACATCTTTTTCCAGACAGAAAAGTGGTTACAGAACTCAACTTGAATGTCAAAGTAAAAAAGCTTTCAAATTTCAACCTCATATCATCAAAAATATTCCACTTTCATGTTCGTTTCATCATTCGATCTTGCCGCTGAAACGACGACGACGGACACGATTGATCCAGATGTCTTCGTGTTCTTTTTTCCGTATTAATTTGTTGTTCTAAACAGATTTAGTTCATCTTCACACTAACACGACAACATTCCATATCTTCCGATGACTGTTTCAACCGACTTCTCTTGGCATTTGACGGCGGTGTGGAGTAGAACCTGTACATGGGACTCGGAGAGAAAAAACCTATTGTTACTTCAAAAACTAATGGGGCTATTCAGCGTATGCTCTGGCCATTCGATATTAATCTAATTAGAAAGTTACTGATCTAAACGCGACCTACCGTAAAAACTGTATTATAACGGCACCTGTAATAGAACGCCACTTGTATTATTACGGCACCCTTAGCTATCTTTCGAAAAATATAACGGCACCCGGTAATAGAACGGCACCTGTATTATAACGGCACCCCCCAGACATCTATTTAGAAGCGGAAAGTTCAGAAGCAGTTTCTATTCAATTTTTCACCGAAGAATTTGTTTCCACTAAACAAAAAAAGCCCCAAAAGTTCGAACAGATGATCGGAGGCCCTCTAGGCTAACTTTCCAAGTTTGTTTCAACGTAGATTAGCCTAGTACTATTTTCTGTACGTAGTACATACAGTTTAGTCGCTTTTGCATTCATTTTTAGGACTTTTATTATGCGCGATTTTTATTTTATTTTAGAAACTCTGAAAAAATCCCGATCTAAGCTCACCATAGCGTTTCGGGTGCGCCGCCATAAAAATTTGAATTTATTTTCGAAGGGCGCTACGCACCGATTCAAAATTTTCGTTTGCCGCCTTTACGCCGGCGTACGCCCATTGGCTGCGTGTCGCCCCTGTGCAAACACCGTTCTAGATATCTTGCGTACTTGGCACCAGACACTACGCAAATTTTAGGCCAGCTGTTTATTTATTCAAATTAAAGAGTGCGAGATTGAAGAGACGCCGACGATGTTCGGCAGGGCGCGCTTGCATGCGCGTAATGGGCCTATTCAGGGGATGAAAAAATGATTGTTTTCCGTTTTTTTCCCTATTCAGCGATGTCAAAAAATGGAAAAAAACGGAAAGAAATGCATCGCTCGCAGCGTTTTTTTCCGGCGGGTCTCGCAGCGATTTCCCGGACGCGATGCATGCGGCTACTGTAAGTGGCGTTTAATGAGTGGATTTACGAGAAGGGGAGGAGTTTTTTTTCTAATTTTTCAGCGAAATTGCCACGTTTTACCGCTTTTTTCAACCGATTTTCAACGGAATTTCAGTTCTTATTTATCTGTTATGGTAACTGATGCGAAATTGCCAAGTTTACCGCTATTTCCGACCGATATCGCTTGAATTTTATCGTTTTCAGGCCGTGATTGTAACTCGTTCGAATCTGCCACGTTTTACCGCTGTTTCCGACTGAGTTCGCTTGAAATAAGTTTTTATAGGGTAAACATGGACGACGATGAGTTGCACGAGAATCCCGAGAAGGTTCCCCCTCCGACGCTTATTGAACGGGAGAGCGCGGATAGAAGAAGTGGAAAAAATCAAATTTACATTTATTACATTTATTATGCTGGATTTTTTATCTTTACCACTAAAATTTTTTTTTTTTTTGGATAGTTTCGAGTGCCTCGTCATATCGTTCAAAACGTTGAGCTTTTGGTGAAAATCGGTTCAAAATAGCGGGGAAACGTGCCAATTTTGCTGAAATTCGCTGAAGAAAGCTGTAATTTCGCTGAAAAATCAGTAACATTTTCGAAAATTCCTCCCTTCTCGTAAATCCACTCATTAAACGCCACTTACAGTAGCCGCATGCATCGCGTCCGGGAAATCGCTGCGAGACCCGCCGGAAAAAAACGCTGCGAGCGATGCATTTCTTTCCGTTTTTTTCCATTTTTTGACATCGCTGAATAGGGAAAAAAACGGAAAACAATCATTTTTTCATCCCCTGAATAGGTCCATAACAGTTCGAACGCTCGTGCCAATTTTTAAGTGCTCTAAAGAAGGTAATTGAATGATCTAATGTTTGATAAATTAAAAATTGAGCCTATAATGCCCATATTAACCAATTTGAACATTCCCTGCCAAAAAACCATTTTTCCCATAGTAAAATTGTAAAATTTTAAAACAAAAAAAAATCACATTTGAAATCCTGACATGATTTATACGGTATGGTTTCTTTTTTTGAAGAAGAAAAATTTGACCACAAAATTATCGTTCCGTGGACGTCCCTATGTAAACAATTAATTTTTTATCTTCTTTTTAGTGTTTGAAAAAATTATTAATTATGGATTTTTCAGATATCCGAAGTTAATTCTATCAGCCCGGTTTCTAAAGATCAATATGGAATCGGTATGTTTTGTTGATATTTTATCTTACTAGTCAATAATCTTATTTTAGTTTGTCTTTGTTCGAGGAAATCAGCGCGTCGTTGAAGTTACGGCAGAAATTGATGGCATTATCAGCAAAAAGACTTTGAGGGCAGCTTTCCAACTTGAAGAGGACGTGCCGATCGGATTGTTCAGGAACAACAGAGGCTTAAAGTAGGTTTTTAATGGCTCTTATTTAAGACATTTCGATTTTCGTTAGCAATTTTAAATAAAATTCTGAACAAATTTTTTATTAAGTTTTTTAGGTGCAGAGAAGACGATTTTTTTGAGCTACAAGATGGATGGAACGGAGCCGAGTACGAATTGCGATGGGAGGAAGAGCGACGATCGCGTCGAGCAACGCCAGCAGATCAAGGTATTTTTTTAAATATTTCACACCTTTTATTGATTTTTACATTTTAAGATTTATTTTAAACATTGTCAATTTATTTATCAATTCTAGGTGCTACTAATCCGAAAAGGCAAAAACTGGACCCGGCTCCCGAACAGCTCCCTGTTGATGGTGATTTGGCCGCTTCTATTGGACAATATGCTCTGTTTTACAATGTGAAAAGCGACGACTACAAAAGATGCGCGATCCCGTTGAGCACGAAACTCGCAGCAACATTTCAACATGGCGAGAACAAAAAGATCAAAATAGGTGTGTTAGTAATGGGTTTATTTTAATTGGCTATTTTTAGATGATGAAATTGTAATTCGCTCGTGGTCGGATGAGAAGTTCAATGTAAAAACTCGTGTTGTGAGAATCATTGAAGAACTCGATGTGATCATCTTAAAATCGGACGAAAAAGATTTGTGTAATCAAAGTTTGCCTTTGAGTCCAGTTCCGCCTCAAAAAGGAATGGAATATCTGATGGTAATTTTTTATCAAATGAAATTTTTTCTAAATTACCCTTAAAACACTTTTTTTTAGATGGGATATTCGATTCTTCACAACAAGACAAGCCATCTTTCACTGTCTACGGGAATCATCGCTAGTGATGTGAAGCGAAGATTTCGATATACGGGATCGAGTGGTTCATTCAAAGGAGATAGTGGTGGCGGATGTTGGAACAAAAAGGGGCAATTAATAGGAATGCAAGTCGAGGTGGAAAAGGGGGGGCACACGAAAGATGACAAAGGACGACCTGCATCTCCTGCATGCGGAGGTCGTTGTTGTATCGTCGCAGTCTGTGATGTTCTCGTGGCGATTCGGGTAATATTAATTGTTATTTTCACTCAAACAATTTTTGGATTTTAGGATTTGTTGCCACCGGCCGACTCTGATGAGGAATATGAATGGAACGAATGAATTTCTTGATCTTTATCGGTTGTTTCTCGTTGCTCATAAAATTTCTTTTTGTCTAAAAATTATTTTCTTTTTGTATTAAAACATTTTTCTCGGGTCACAAATTATTCTTTTTGGTTTATTGAAAAATTCCCCTTTTTTTTCCTGTCGCGTTCTGAATTCTGTTTATAAACATTATGTGTGAAATTTAACACAAAAGCAAAGAAAATCGGTAAAGTGTCTCGCATGAAGATACCTCTAAAATTCTTGATTTCCAATACTTCGACTAAAGCAAGGAGATCTAGATTTGTTAGCGCAGGCAGATCTTTCTCTAGCTTCACCATTTATTTAGCATTATTTTTATTCACCGTTCAAGCGCACTTTTCTCGACCATTTCGACCATGTATTTCGACCACATTTTCAAGGTGGCGCATTTCGACCTTTTTACCATTTTTGAAAATTGTTGAAAATGACACATTTTCGAAGAGTTAGGACACAAAATCAATGAAAAAAAGCCTTAAAATGGCTGAAAAACGTGAAAATTGAGGATGGGCGAAAAGGTGCGCTAGAACGGCAAAATACATATTATTTTCCGAACATTTTTTTTTGCGAAGGAGTTACGGTATGCAAACTAAAATTGTTGTTATAATTTTCTGTAAAAAAGGTGGAACTCAATTCCAAAAAATGTAACGGCACCCTGTAATAGAGCGGCACCTGTAATATAACGGCACCCCCAGACATCCTTCGAAAACTATAACGGCATGCCGTTATAATATAGTTTTTACGGTAATTAGATTCGGCTGTTTTTTCTTGGGTCGAGATTTGAGCCAACAAACGGTTGGCGTGAAACTTGATTTGAGCACTTATTAATCTATCTAGAAGATTTATTATTCTAGCAAGACAATTTATTAATCTAATTAGGTGTCATATCAATCTTATTAGGCCGCCGTATAACTCGAGTAGACTGCGATTAGATTAATACCGAAATGGCAGAGAGTGTTTGTCGATAAATCTGTGTTCAATGTTCTAATTAGATTAGTAAATTGTCTAGCTAGATAAATAAATCTTCTAATTAGATTGATATGTGCTTAAATAAAGTTTCACGCCAACCGTCTGCTGGCTCAAATCTCGATTGCGCCAAGAAAAAACAGTCGAATCTAATTAGGTCGCGTTTAGATCAGTAACCTTCTAATTAGATTAATATCGAATTGCCAGAGTTGACATTTAATTGCAAAAAACGATTAACAGCGATATATACGGGTAAAAAATGAGAAAAGCCGGATGATAACCGAAGTTCCTCCTGATTTTTATTAAGACAAAAAACGAAGAACAACAGCATTTGTTTTGCAACCTTGCCGCAGATTCGATTCCAATGTTGAACCTTTTTTTTCAACAGTATACTAGCTATTTTTCCAGGTTTTCATCATGTTTGAGGCGCATTTTAAATCACAATTTGTGACATTGATGCCGAAAATGACACAGATAGGCACTTTTTTAATAGCTACAAACAGTAAAAGTCGATGAAAAATGCTAACTGGGTACTCACTGTGCCTATAGGGTGCCTATAGTATCAATCAAATCGGAGTACGTTGAGTTTTTATTGCCAGGCCTAGTTCAGTTATTCTCCAGTCTCAGATTTTCACTCTCAATGGTCGTAGTATGTTTTTCAAGTAGTTATTCATTAGTTTTTCATCATTTAGACCACACTATTCCATCCTACTTCAAATAGGGGGTGAATTATTCATAAATTTGGAGATCTTCATTTTAAATAATCATAATCTTATGCTGATATATATATATATATATATATATATATATGTGATAAATGTAAAGACCTGAAATTGGTACCAGAAGTGTACATTTGAAAATAATCAAGCAAAATAAGTGGTTCGTTCAACAACGTCCGGCTGCAGTGGTTTTTGAGAGAGATGAGCAAAAGTACGATATTTGCAGTTGATTCCCAAGTAGAGAACGGCAACTACTATTCCGTTCAAGATGCATTGAAGCCCGGAAATTACCTGAAATTGAGTCATTTAATAAAATGATTTTGAAAGTCTAACAACTTACCACAAGAGCTCGTAGGCGGCTATAATACCACGCGGAAGCCAGCTGGAATTGGGCCGGGGTGGCGAAAACGGCGTATCTGAAACTGAGTGAAATGGGATTGACGACTGAAAAACTCGACCTACCCTGCGATGTCAGCTGCATTTTGAGCACACACGAAGCTGGTAAATGATGAGAAAACACATGCGACGCACATGAGAAACGCGTGCTGAAGAGTTGATTTAAAGTGCAAATGAAATGAACGAACCAAAGAACAAGAACTTACGATGAGTGAAAGGGGCAACTCGTAATCAATGGCAAACTTTATGACTCTTGCTCCTGCGGATAAGAAAAGCAAGTAGAGGAAAGAGAGCAAGAAGGAAAGCGCGGAACACGGGAAGAGGTAGAGAGCAAGCGATGGAGTGATGAGCACTTTCTGAAATAATAAAATAATGCAACTTTTCTTTGGCAGAGACTCACATGATCTGGAACCGTGTAATAGAGTCGCGAGGCAACGATGAAATCGAAAACGGAAGAGCTCAGGCAGAGGCCGGCGATTGAAGCGATCTGAACTTTTTACTGTTTACCACTATTTATGCTTTGCCCCATACCACAAGAACAACATTACAAATGAATATTAAGTTTGAAGAGTGCATTTTATCCTGAAAAGATTAGGATCTTGAAAATAAAGTAGGGTCGAGTTTTTTTCAGAGTTTTTACATGTCCACGCCAAGTAAAGTGTTTTTTAAAAAGTGTTTCAGCCGCTTGCTGATTGATTTCATAGAACGAATTGGTAAAACTAAGAATCAAGATTGCGCCGTACTGATCAGTTATCTCGAATTATCATCTTTATGGGACACTGTCACATGTAACATGTAATTTGAATGTTCCGACGATTAAGAAAGTGAACACTAACGCTTGTGGCTTGATATGAAGGACTTAACAATAATAAAATCTAATGAGAATGAAAGCCTTAGAAAGAAACCTTAGAATAACGAAATAAAATAAGCAAGCAGTCATCGATAGCATTCGAAACTATGTTTATTCAAATGTTTACTTAGCTTATCATTAACATCTAGATCAGAAAGTGAAAGAGTAGGAAATACGTGGGCATTGGAAACAGCGTAGAAATTTGGAAAGAAACAAAGCTGCCAAAGGTTGCTGCGCGCCGCCCGTTACCAAGAGACGGGAAAATGTGACAAAGCATGAGAGCGCACTCGGTTTGGTGCTGATCTGTTAAAAGATGTTTGAGCAGAGAAAGGGAGAGGGAAAGGCAGGGGAATGACGCTTGAAAAGGAGAAGTGTCATGGGAACTGGAACTATAAGAAAACTCAACTGTTGAGAAGTCTTGTGAAAGGGACTATCATTTGATAGCTTTCCTTTTTGACAAATGTCTTTTTGAAAAGGACGTTCTTGAAATCAATTTTAAAGTATTTGATCCACCTGGATAGGTGCATGCATAAGGTATCCTCATAAGAAATTTTAGGTAGCTAGGAGAGACTTTCGGCAAGTCTCGCCTAATTTTTCAAAACTAATCACAGAGAAGGAGTATTAAATGAAAATGCAAGGCAATGCGGAAAACGAATATGAACAAACAACATGTTACTCTTTTGCAATACTTTTCAATTTTAAATTTTGTTATCACTGTCGCCGCTGAAATGAAACTAATCGGTCAAGAAAGGAGGCAGAAAAAGGGCAAGGTTGGTGGTCTAGGGTGTCATAGTGCAAAATAAAGGACTTGTCATAAGCGGTGGTGCAAAGGTAAATAGGTTGGACCGAATATGACTTCTGTTACCTGGTAAACAACGTTCTCCTATAGTCACCTGTTCTCTAGAGAGATGGTACCGCTCTGGCAGACCCCCCGACTGGCACTAACCAGCTGACTGCAGCACTTTGCAAACACAAATACGGTTTGTTTGGATAAATACTCAGAATATGCATCTGGTAACTTGACTTCTTGGTTCGACGCATCTTGTGAACCTGTATAGAAAACAGAAAATTGACTAGATTTATATTTATTGCAATCGTTTTACACATTATATTTACCCATAGAAATACATAATCATGTACATGATTGATTCAGAAATTCTGCTCCAGGTATTCGATTTCAGTCTCATCGGTGCCCGCACCCCACTCCGTAATGAACAGATTGCTCACGTTGTTGTATGTCTCACGCCATGCCCAGAATGCAGAGAAAATCCAGAGTGAGAGGGTGAGAATGTGTGTCAGCTGCAAATCGAAAATGATCAGATGAAAGTGGAGTGGAAACGATTACCGATTGAATGGATGCTGGCACCAGAGTCACTACAAAACTAGTCGAAATTGAGGCGATCGAGAGAACCATCCCGATGATGTTGAAAACTGCCTCCTGGGATAAATTTATTTCAAATTATTTACAAACCAAACGCTTACCACTTTCAACCAATAAAATTTCTGAACGATAAACCAAAGCGAGACGGCAGCCACTCCAATTGCCAGAATATCATAAATTGCCAGTAGAAAGTTTGTTCCTGAAGGAGAAAATGTTCTTGAAGCTTCACGAAAGTAAGTAGACGAGTCCTGCCTGATGTTTTTTGTTCCGCATCCCAGCCGTAGAGAGAAAAAATGAGGAGAATCTGACGATTTTTCAGATTTTGAAAAGTCACAAAACATATATAACTTACAATAATAGTAATTTTACCAATTGAGAGTACGTTGAACGGATATACTACGAGATACTTGTAGAATCTGTTATCTCCTGGCATCACATTCCAATTCGTTCTGCACACAAAAACAAATAATTTGAGAGACAAACTTGAAATGAGGAGACGAAGGCAATTAATAAATGCGAGAAGGAAATGCCGAAAAAGGAATTGGTCAAATTATGTAGGCTTAACTTGTATAATTGATTCCCCTTTTTTTTTCGTTTACCTTCTCTTCTTCTTCTTCTTCGTTTTCTTCTAGCATTTTCTGCTTGAGGATGACACGGCTGGAGCAAATGGAGGAAGGAATGAAGAAAAAAGAGAAGAGAAGACTGAATTTTTTATTATTTTCTGTTCAGAGACTACTATGAAGAATCCGGTGAGGTTTACAATAGAAATCGTTGGGGAAGCAAAACAATGGACTAACTAGGAAATCAGAGAAAAATCTGAAGTTTTGTTACACTTTCTCGTTTTCCTCAATGTAATCGCTCCGGTACTCTCACGTGGGTTCTGAATTTGAGTTGTAAAAATCGGAACTATGGCTAAAGCATCCTTAGGTTCGTATCTGTACAAACTTGAACTCTCATTCAGTGATTACGAATTACTCTGACGCTTCTCTTTCCAGAAACGGAAGTGGAAGGAATAGGTTCTGGATGGCTAATGCGCTCTTCAAAGACTTCTCTTCCCAGAGAGTCTTAAAGAAAAGTTTTGGCACAGCCCGAGAAAAGAAAAGAAAAAAGTGCTGGACAATTTATCATTTGTGGCAAGAGATGCGACGCCTTTCCGACCCTTTACCAACCACCCCAACGACTTTTTATTGCACAAGAAATGGAGGGAAGGAAGGAAAGGAGAAGAAGCGAGAAAATGGGAAAAAAGAAGTGAACATGAAAAACTTTCACCTCGTCTTTTTCGTCTTTTTTTGCTCAGTCTATGAATTGTATGGAATGACTATAGATGAGTTCGGCGGGAAAAAACTCATGATGGGAATGGCGAGGGAAAAATCAAGGAAAATAACGAAAAAAGAGGTGGGAGGGGGAGCGTAGATAAGGGGAAAATCATAACGTGACAACTATTTCTCTCTGTACTGCTTTTTATAGAGTGGTATTATCAAAAAAATTGGAGTTGCTGGCGGAAGTTTCTATACAAAACTACGACAAGATTTTTATCGACAGCTATGTATGAACTGAATAGACATCTAGATATCCGCCGAGAATGCGATAATAGATCTCCCTCCTGTCGGCAACTATGAACTCACGTTCATTGCAGTTCTACCCAAAACAAACTGGTGTCTCGACTTGAAATGTTTCACGTTTCGTTGTCAAATGCAAACTTCCCAAAGAATTGCAACAAACAGGTTGACAATTGACGCGGCCGAGCGGAAGAACACTGAAGAGACGAAACAGAAGAAGAAGGAGCAGCGGCTGGAGCAGGCCGAGGAGAAAAGCGATGAAATAAAATTTGGCAAAGGCAAAGAAGTGGACAGAAATTCTATTTTTGAATGATGACAAGTCTGCTTCGAAATTGAGTAGGCGAGAAAACAGAAGCTAAGCAGAGCTCGTTTGAGCTTATACCCTACAATTTGACAACGTATGTGTGCAAGTGTGGGTGTGTGTGAGACGAAGGATTCTCCACTGTCAGTGTGAAGCTGCATACAGACTCTAAGAAAATTTGACCATAGAATAAAGAAAGGGGTAGTCCAAAAGTTTCTGCCAAGTAAGAAGAAGTCCACCACAACCTCAATTACTTTTCCTCTTACACTCCGAGGAAGGGTGTGTGTGTGTGTGTGTGTGTGTGTGTGGAAGAAAAAGAAAAAGAAGGAGGGGGAGGTTTGGATTCATTCACGTGTCCGATTTTCAAGTACTTTTTAAGAATCGGAAGCGGCACACTCTAGATGAGCGAAAGAAAGAAACAACTAGAAGCAAGAAAGTTCTGTAGGCGCGAGACAGGACAAAGAAGACGAAGAAGAAGGCGTTTTTGTTTCGAAGAGCCAACAACGAACGAACAAAAAAGATGAAAACAAAAACAACAAAAACAGGCAATTGGCGCGAATAATATGACAAGTTTGGTCGGGTGGCAGACACGCAACAACAACCAAGAAAAACGGATTCAGACAGCCACTGGTTAAAAAAATTGGAATTTTTGGTTGATTTCCGTGGCTTCCCATAGTTTGTGGACGGAACGATCGATATGAAAACGGAACATGCAGCTGGCGGAAAAAAGGCACAATACAGCAGCGCCGCCAACAAACAATACATTTTTGGGGAGAGAGAGAAGCCACGAGGCATGCATTTAAACTTGGGGCCGTGACAGATTGACACAGGGAGTAGAGACTGACGTGTCCGCGAATGAGTTTTGAAGCTCTCAAAATGCTCGATCCTCAAGCAAACTAGTTGTTTGAAAGGTTATGTTTTTTACTGGACAATACCCAACTTCACAATTATAGTGTGAGAAAATTCTTACTGTTCCTGAATGAGCTCAATGAATGTCAAATGCACTGTAGCCTACAGAAGTGACAAATATGGAACTATTTTTGTATATTTCGGTCTTGCGTTCAATCCCACGAGGTTCCTTTAATACACCTTTGAACTGATGGACCTTATCCTTGAGAATATTGTTTACCCGCGAAAATGCAACACACAGACTTCGACCACATATCATTAATCTCACAGAATACACGCAAAGAAGGAAAAACTAGCCATCTTCCGTTTTCATCACATTACCATTACTATGCCTTTGCATTGATCTAACCGAAGATCTTCCTCGAAGACCAAAAAACCTTCCTTCTTCTGTCTTCTTTCCTTCTTCTTCTCATTTTTCTTACTTTTTCTATCACTTTTCCAAACTGTTTTGCCGTTTTATTTCCTCTCCTTCTCTTCCCGTTCTCATAAATATCATTTACTCTCGCTGTTACCTGCTGCCGTCGATTTAGAGGTCAAATGGACGAAATTAACAGCGCTGGATGGCAGACAGAACATAGAGAAAACGGAGATAACGAAAGAGGAGAAGGGGAAAAAAGGAAGCGAAACGGTTCCTGGTTGAGTTTGTAGCATCCGCCGTGCCGTACTACGCGCTATCAAGGTATTACACCTCGGCAAGTATAAAAGAGATGGCGCCCGATGACCAAATCACTTGACTAGTCGGTCCAGTCCATTTAGTCAACGTGAGTTTTTCTTTGAATTTTTCAGAAACCAAAATCAGCTTCTGAAAGCGTTGTCGGAACAATTCTATTTTTCAGATGTCTGAGGATCCAAAACAGATCGCCCACGAGACTGAGTCTCTCCGCAAGGTTGCATTCTTCGGAATCGCAGTTTCTACCATTGCCACCCTGACCGCCATCGTCGCCGTCCCAATGCTCTACAACTACATGCAACACGTGCAGTCCTCTCTTCAATCCGAGGTTGAGTTCTGCGCTCACCGCTCAAACGGACTTTGGGAGGAGTACCAAAGAGTGAGTTTCCCTCCGATGGTCTTCTTCTTTCCCAACAAAACTTCTTTCAGTTCGAGGGAGTTAGTGGAGTTGCCGGACGTATCAAGCGCGAGTCTTACCATCGTTCGATTGGAGGAGGAGCCCGCAGAGTAGCCAAGGTCCGCAGACAATCTTACGGAAGTGACGCTGCTGTCGGAGGATTCGGAGGATCCTCTGGAGGATCGTGCTGCTCGTGCGGAGTTGGAGTTGCTGGACCACCAGGAACCCCAGGACAAGATGGAGCCCCAGGAAATGACGGAGCCCCAGGATCCCCAGGAAACCCAGGACAGGATGCTTCGGAAGACTCTACTGTTGGGCCAGACAGCTTCTGCTTCGACTGCCCAGCCGGACCACCGGGACCAGCAGGAGCCCCAGGACAAAAGGGACCATCGGGAGCCCCAGGAGCCCCAGGACAATCCGGAGGAGCTGCTCTTCCAGGACCACCAGGACCAGCTGGACCACCAGGAGCCCCAGGACAGCCGGGATCCAACGGAAACGCGGGAGCCCCAGGAGCTGCAGGACAGGTCGTCGACGTTCCAGGAACCCCAGGACCAGCCGGACCACCAGGACCAGCCGGACCAGCCGGAGCCCCAGGACAGCCAGGACAGGCCGGAAGCTCGCAACCAGGAGGCCCAGGACCACAGGGAGACGCCGGAGCTCCAGGAGCCCCAGGACAGCCAGGACAAGCCGGAGCCCCAGGACAGGACGGATCATCCGGAGCCGAGGGAGCTTGCGACCACTGCCCACCACCACGTACCGCCCCAGGATATTAAATGTATCCGAACTGACCGATCATTTCTCTTTCTACCATTATCTTGCTTTATTTTTTCACAATCACACTTGTGAAGTAGCACCCTGTAGTATAAACTTACAGCATTCAAATGTTCCGTGTAATGCAATGAAGCCACTTTACAATGGAAAACTTAATGCTCTGACCGTCGTCATGTGCAGCATTTCTAAATTCACCTGCTCCCTCCAGAAAACATTGAAAACTCCGAAACTAGCTGTCATTTTCTAACTATCAATATCATTTTATAACATTCGACATGTTTCTAGCTTCACGTTTCATGTTAATAGTTTCTGTAACTGCGGTGTTAAGCCATAAGGGTGATTTATATACTGATTCAGTCAAATTGAATACGAAAACGTCCCCACTTGACGAAGTAGGCTAAAATCTAAAGAATTTGTAAGCTAACCAACTATCAGCTTTCTAGATCAATGCTGAAATTCCAAGTGGAGATAAAACTGGAGTATACTACTTTGTAATCACACTTTTTGTTTTCTCCACAGTGGCTTCAACTCTGCTCACCGGCTCATTTCTTGTTTTGTCATGCCTTCTATGGAAAAATTTTAAAAACGTAAGCTACCGGCTTTGTCATGACTTCCTGGCTTCAGAAATTCGTTTCAGATGAAGTTTTTCTGGTTTCTTTGTCAATTAACATTCTCGGTGTTCGTGGTCTCCGCTCTCAACCTTATTATCAATGTTCCCGCCACTCTATTCTCACTAATCACGAAAGAGTTTGTTCAATCCGGTATTTATTCCGTTCACAAAGAAATTTTAATGCGTTTGATTTCAGAAGTGTTCCTCCTCATATCCTACATCATCGACATTTGCCACTACGCTATTCTCGTTTCGAACTTCGTGATTGCGATTCAGCGGTTTTTTGTATTTTTTCTTCGTCATTTAACCGACAGGGTTTTTGACCGGTACTTGAGGGAATTGAGGAAAATTGCATAGAAAGTTGACTTTACAGACCATTTATTTACATTTGGCTGATTTTAGTATGGGTTTTCGCAATTTTGATTGTTTCTCTGATGAGTAACAACAACTGTAGATACAAGTACAGTACATCGGAAGAACACTATGTACTCTTTTGTGAGCCAAAGTCGAGCATAGTTGATTTACCACCTCCAGCTGGGATTCAGATGGTATGGTTGGAGAGTGAGCGTCCAAGTTCAACGTGATATTTTGAAACGGCAATATCATGAAGAGTAGCATCAAAGTCCAATGTTTGCAGATGGAAATACTTGTTCAGTTCGTGATACCATTTCTGATTTTTGGAACCTACATCGCACTGACCGTCAAGATACTGGCCATGAAAAGAACTGTTCTCAACAAGTCGGAAATTATGATTCTGAAGCAAGCCTTCTTCATCTTCGCTTTCTTCCAAGTAAACACACTTAACTGCTGCTAGTCATCTCAACCTTCAGATATCTTCTCTCGTTTTCATTTTCTCCCAAACACTCACTTTCAACACAGCCACTGCTTTCATCATTAAACGAGTGATAAACACGGTAATCATGAGATAGAAAGAATTTAGGAAAGAGAGAAATTGATTTGAAGACCGAGATATTCGCCGGAGCTGCCACACCCTGTTTCTTCTTTTTCACTTCGAAGGATATTCGGAAATTGCTTTCAGCCAAAGTGTCAGCGTTAAGTTCACAAAGCAATTCGCAGGTGCTGGTCAGAAGACAGACATTGAGGTCAATTTGACGTTTATTAAATAAATAAATAAATAAAAATTGTAAAAGTTTCAACGCTAAAACAGAAACATAAACACCACAAAGTTTTTGAACCACCGTATTTTTTTTAAAAGAAATAGGCAAATAATATCATTTTGAAACTTTCCAAACCAGTTTCTGGCAACGAATGTACTCTGCGAGGTGCAGCGTCAGCTGTTCGATTTCGTTCTTGTTCATCGAAAAAGTGAGTCGTTCTTTTGGAGCTTCTTCCGGATGGGCACCAGGAGTTAATGGACGAATCACAGTGAGCATAAAGTCTTGCTGGAACTGGCCGAACGTAGAGAGACTGCTGTATGGGATGGAACGGATTATATCCTGAACAGAAAAATGTTATGATGCTCAGCTACTATTCCACTTACAAAATGTCTTCTGTCAATGAGATTAACGGAATGATCGTTCAAAGCCAAATAAATGTTTCGCTCGTTCTCCGTTCTCATTGAAGCTTCATGAAGATCCGCTCCGAAAAGAGGCCACTTGCAGAGCACTTGGAGGATTACCCGAACACACTCGTGCTCACTCATTCCCACCAGTTCACACCAGTTGGAGTTGATTTGGAGTCTTCAAAAAGCAATAGTGGAAAACAGTTTTCAACCTCATCCTACCTTAAACTTTTGATACATGCCACGTCGAGCATTTTAGTCGGGTAGAACCTTTGGCTGATAAACTCAAACTGTTGATCAGATATGTGATGCGGCGGCACGTCTCCGAACGCCATCTGTGCGTAAAGTGCAGCCAGACTCTCGCAGAGCTGGTTGCTCAGTGGAATCCTTCCTTTTACAATCTCCTCAGCAGCTCTCCAGACCAAAAACTGGCGTTCAATTGGAGTCTCCGTTGATGTCAAGTGCGACCAGTAATGTCTCATTCGAAGAGAAAGTGCAGCGGCACAGTCTGAGATGACTCTACCCCTATGAGCATCTCTCGATCGGCTTTCCCAGGTTGAAAGAGCATCACAGAGCTTTTGTTTGCCTTTGAGAAGCAGAAGACAGTGCGTTAGTGGATCGTCCATGTAAAGGGCATAACCAGAGAGAAGGGCGGGACGCATTCCAAGTTTCAAACAGAGGGATGACAGACACTGACCAATTTCCGTAGATCCATCGAACTCGACAATCTGGTACTCAGAATTGGGCAGCTTTACAGAAATAGAGTGCGGGAACTTTGTTCTTGTGACGTCTCGTGTGAGAATTGAGGTCACTTCCAGACGGCTCGGTCCTTCTTGTCTCCCTCCAACACGCAAGCATCGTTCCAAGGCGCTTTCGCAGAAAATTGCCATCCGGCCCTCGTCCGACTCGTTCCTAAAAAACAATCAACAGAATTAAAAGCAGATAACAACAATTAATGAAACTAACGGTAATTCGGTCCATCTTGAGATATGTCGCTTTAGAAGCCAAAGAAGTGAGTATTGTTTGGGAAGAAACAAGGGAATTGCCAAAGCTAAAAGCTTCCATCCTTGCAGTCCAAATGGCATAGTCCCACTAGTCAGCTTGATCAACTGAGAGTACACCTCATTTTTCAAGAACTCTTGTTGAACGGCAGTTGACAAAATGTTCTGAGCCAAGTCAATATGATATTGGGTTGCCTGAGGACGCATCAAAACGGAAACAAAAAGTTGACAAGCTTTTGAAATTTCCAATGTCTTTTTCCGCTCGCTGGGGTCCACAGAGGTCATCGTGTCCTTTGGAATTTCTTCGCCAGAAGTGAAGAGAAGATCTTTCCAGAGCGGTGAATCGTTGGCGACATTCTCAGCCATCATTCTCTGTATCAGAATCTCGAATGGAGTTCCCCACAGAGCTGCAGTTCCACTAGTAGCCTTCAAGAAGTACATCCACTTCTCTTTCTCTTCAGAAGTTCGGAGCACCAAGTAAACAGGGTCTTCATTAGCTATTTGCACACATAAACTGTCGTTGTTCTTTCTTTGATTCGGATGATCTCGCGTGATCTCCAGTTGCTCATCACTGCTTCCTGAGTACTCTTCGGCTCCGTCATGTTTCTCACTGATCTGAGCTCCTTGAAGGCAGAGGAATCCATTGGGCACCAGATCAGTTGAATTTTTGAAAAACATGAGTTTCTGGTTGACGAGAGCTGCGAATACTTTCTTTGAGTGTCCACACTTGACTCGAGTCATCCATCCGCTTATTGCAGCATCGATTGGAGTGACTCTGCTGGCCATCTCCCGAAGAGTTGTCGCTTTTATCGCAGCCGAGATTATACTGACCCATTCATGAGTAGTCTTCTCACTTTCAGTCATAAAGTTAATCTTATCAGTTGCCGTGACGAGTTGGAAGGCGTAGGCTGCTCCCTGTTGTTCAATCTTTGTTACGGATCGAATGTCGGCGACGTTGATTCTTGTCGAAGGGTCCTCGTCTTTGCTTCCGTGTTTCTAAATAAATATTTTTTCAAGAAACTCCACCCTCATTGTCTTACCTTATAAAAACTGAGTTGTCCATTTCGGAGCACTACGTATCTTCTTTTAAGCGATTTGATTCGACTATCAGTCAGATGTGTCCAGTAACCCGCCTTTTCCATCGTTTCTCTAGACGGAATGAGCGAAGTCCGCGAATTCGGAGTTCCTCCAGAGTATCGCGAAGAGGCATCTGGTGGCGTGTAGTAATCACTTCCAAGACACAGATCTCTGATAGCGTAAGCCGTTCCTTCTTCGTAAGAGTGATGCGACGGTACACGTGGAGACGAGTTGCGCGATATCTTCGATGACTTTCTGGAGCCAGGAGATTCGGTTCGATTGTGCGAGGAGACTCTGGAGACGTTCGAAACATGGTATGGAGAAACGGCTGGCCCCGTAGAAGTGCCTTCGGAATCTGTTCCGTCTATGATGGACAGACATTTTTCAGCATCCTGAATGAGCCGAGTCTCCCAGAGTTTTGGCTGATGAGACGGTGGAGTTGGCAGAATCTCCTTGTCAACGGATCTGTGTTTTACGATTTCCGAATACACGACCTTATCGTCTTTGATAGCCACGAATTCGTGTAAGTTAACATAGTCTGCATACTTTTCGTTTTGAGTCCTTCCGTTCTCTTCCGTGCGCTCGAAAGATGACTCTTCTATGTCATATTCGTAGTCTTCCGCATAAGAATTCAAACTATCTCTTTCAGTCTGGAAAAAAGATACAAATTTTTTGCGCAAGCAAAGCAGCCTACCGTAGTTGGATGAATCCTTCTAGGCAGTGGCATTGGCTTCGGTTCGTCTTCACATGGAGACGATTCAGAGCTAGAAGAGCCTTGCGAGTTATTCTTTATTATTGTCCTGGCTGCAACAAATACCAACGGTATTGATGATAAACTTTAAAAGTTAGACTCACGGGCTTTTCTCTGCACCCTTGGAGTACATTCGGAAATGCTGACGCTCATCTGCTTTCTATCCGCATCATCTGAAGTCAGGCCACTATCGTCAGAAGTTCGATTATCGTCGTGGAGCACTGGAAGAGTGCCTGTGATGCTCCGGCTCATCTCCATTTCGGCTTTGATCTTTCGAGACTTTTCGGTGAAACTTCGAAGCATCTGGAGTTGAGTCGTGCACCGCAAATTCTGCGTTCGAAGACGTTCGTTTTGATCCTCAAGCTGAAAAAAGAAGAAATTACAAACTGCACAGAACGCATGGCGAGAGAAAAAGACGAGAGAAGAAAGGTATCTGGCCGGCGGCTGAGGTTCGCTGGGAAGACGATTAATTATCAGGCAGGTGCCCCGGGCCCCCCTCTCCGATGTTTCAACTTTTGCCGAGGATTTCGAGCAGTCAAGCGCCCGGGAAAAACGGATGATTGACGAAGTATTTGGTGGGGTGGTGTTGGTGGCACATAGGAGAAAGAGCTCAGAGAGGAAAAGACGGGAAACCATTTGTCAAGATGCCCAAAGTTTAGATGGGAGAAGCAACGGACCCAGGGGCACCGAGACATTTCTTTATTTTTGCCAAGGGATTCTGAATGCTGACAAGGATTAGACGGAAAAATTGGAGAGCGGCGAACAAATGTCGTTTTTGCGCAAGAAAACATTTTTTTGGCAGCCGGTATCCGTGCGATATTCGGAGGCAGATGGTGAAAAATACATAAACACATCTAGAATGGCTTTGGTCTCGGCGACGACGGAATGAATTTTATCTGTTTCCTCTCTTCTTTTTTTTTGTTTCGCATGCAAACATTTAGAAGAAGATGAGAATGCAACCCACACAAATTTATAAATTCGTCTTCTCTGTGAAATACCACCAAAATGTTGTTTAGCATGTTTTGTCGTAATTAGTCTAGGCCTAACGGGTGGGTGTAGTAGTAATAGTGGTCGTGATCCACAAAAAGAGACCGAGGGTTTACGAAAGACGAAGAAGCCACGCGGCATGAAAAATGAGGCAAGAGGGGTGAGTTCCGAATAGGACGATTCGAAGGAGGAGGAGGCAAATAGCAGCAGCGGATACAATAGACAAATTGAATTTGAACTGGAAAACTGAGGAAGATGGAATAGTTTGGGGGAGAAGAAAAGTTCTAATTGCTAATTAGCTTAAGGATTTGACGAGCAAAGATTGATGGCTTCGCATTGGAAAACAGAACACTTCGTTACGATTTCCCAGGGCAGCAAAAAGTTCTGGTAAAGGTCCTCCAGCTAGACTTCGATGTTTAACTTACATTAAATAAGAGTAACACTAGAAAGAAGTATGGGGAAAATAAAAGGAAACTGCTCTTCGAAGCCATGAAATGTTGCGATTCTCTAGAGATATTGTGGTTTCCGGGCCGTGGACACTAGCGCTCTATTTAAAATGCATAAGAAAATGTGAGATGTGAAATGCGAAATGGGCAATTTTTCAAAATTGAAAAATAGCAACGAGTTCAAGTGTGAAGTAGAGTTCATATTAATAGCAAAATTAATAGGGGCTTTACAGAGATGTGTGAAAATTTGAAAGAAGAGATTTAGATGAGCGAGTAATTGAAATAGAAGTGAAAGTGACAGAGAAATGAGAGATTGACGGCGTCATCGTTGCGCTTTGGAACCTCGGTACCAGTGTACTCAGATGGTGATATGACATGGCACTAATGCCAACAGACACTGAGACTTACCTGACTAATAAGACATTGTGGCTTTCCGGACACTAAACAAGTTTCTGTGATTATGTGGAAGAGAACATCTTTTCATGATGAAGTTGCCAGAGAGGAAGGCATGCCCAACAAAAATTTGATCAATGAGGCGGAATTCGTGAAAGTTGAGGAGTAGCGAACGGAAATAGAAAGAAAGAGAAAGTGAGGAAAAAGGTGGTCTGTCGACGGTACCAACTGTGTGCCGGGCCCCGTTTCGTGTCCAGATGTGCCAGCCTTTCACTCAAAGTTTTATGGGCAAGTTGAAGCGGTGCGACGTGCGCAATACGACTGAGCCGAATCGAATAGGAAAGGAAGAAAGGAGGAAGGAGAATGTGGGAGATGTGGGAGAAATCTGAGATGATTTGGAAACGAACGAACACTTCTGATTGAAGTGGTTGACAGCGATTTCGTCTAAAGTTTCGCTGCTTCGGTAGAGGGTGAATGAACTAATCATAAAAATTTAGTTCTATGTAAGTAGGAATTTTCCAAATATTCTCAGCGTAGAACAATGAGGTAATAAAACGAACCCTTTGAAATGGAAACATCGCTCTTAGACATAAATGTTCCGCAAAACTCACTAACTTACTAGTTACCACATCAAACGCAAAAAGACTGCCAAAACGTTTTGCAGACCAAGTTGGTTGCGCCTTGAACGAGAGTAGACAGGAGCATGCAAGAACAGAAAAAGATTTGTGGAGGCCTCTAGGCACCACTACCACATGCATTTTGGATAGTAGTTCCGAAATTTATGCCTTTGAAGGCTTTCAGCTGATGAGAATTCGGATAACTCATTGACTTTTAATAGTAAATATACTGAGCAAAAAGGATGCGTCTGGGATAGGAAAATTCAACTGTGAATTGAGAATTTAAAATTCAGACGTACCCAAAAATTCAGAATTCAGTATTCAGAATAACAAACTAGACAACTATACGACGAAAGAGTTCTGGATAATCGGGAAAGAAAGTATGTACAACTACTAATAACTGCTTAATTTCTGTCGCAAAAAGATAATAGACGGGTGTGTGTGTTGATGACCAGTTTTCTCCTCATAATGACCGTAATCAAGAAATGTTAGTTGTAAGCGAGATATTTCAAAAAAAAAAGGTGGGATAGATGAAGAAAGGATTAAAAGGTGTAAATGAAGATAAATGAGAAAATAAGGAAGACAAGACGGCGTGTGTGGGTTTTTGGAGGACACAAAATCGAGACAATGACACTTTGTGGTGAGATAGTTGAAGGCGCGAAAATCATTTTGAAGAAATTTGAATTGGAGAATTCTTAATATTGAAATTAGTGTATTTCAATGATTTTCCAAGCTCCACTGAGCCGATTTCCTGCTGGTCCAATTGCCAACCGTTCCAGAAGGCAGTAGTAAACAAAGAAGAGTGAATTACACGATAAGAATAGATAGACTCTCTTGTGAAGGAAGGGTTAGATGCACAAGGATAACAAATCTTTGCTGAGAAGTCAGTGAGCTCTCTAGCTCCGACGGAAATTAGGCAATTCTCAATTTCGAATTCAACTCGTTGCTCATTATTCTCAACACACGTCTAGAGGCTTCTTGGAAAAAATGAATAAAGGAGACGTCCAACCTGAATCTTTGTCAAGAAATAAGAAGCAAGAGACGGAAGGAAGGGAGACGTCAAGAAATGTTGTCGGTGGGTAACCTGATACCTAGAGCCCGAATACATTCATGGACATTGTTTGCGTGCCCTAGGACAACCCAGTTTTCAGGGAGAGCAAAACCACATGCATACAAAAAAGTGATGATTTAGTTCGGGAGAGAAGGAAGGAAACAATTTGCATCTGAATAGAAAAATATGTGTTTTCTATTGGAACACTGCTAATATCTCTCATTTATTATGGCTTATTGACCCTCCCTCGCTACTTTCACTAACAAACATCATCTATACGTGTTGGAATTAAAATTGTGATTCTGAACAGTTTCGGTTATCATCATTGCATACACAATGCACCCATATAACTAAAAATGTAATAGGATTAAACTTTTCTCTCTCTCTCTCTCTTTATCTCACCTCTTTCATTCTTTTTGTAACCCATAGTCGTATTCGAGAAGACTTTGCCAATAGCTCCTCGTCTTCTGGAGACCGTAACGGCGACTGACTCGAATCGCTCATTTGTCTGAAAAAAAATGCTAAGGGAATATTTTTAACAAAACAAAAGGAAAAGTGTATTGGTGCAGAGCAAGAAGGGATAATTGCTCAAGAAGGGAGAACATTTGAGCTTGCCGGAGCAAGCACAAGTGCTCTTTACATGTCAGTTCATTGAGCTATGAAAATAAGGAACGAAGGCATATGCATAAAGCATGGGGCAGAAAGTTAAGGACGGGCGTATATATATAGTGGTAATAAAATACGCAGAACGCTCTTTCTAGAAAAGCTATATATTAGCATCAAATTGCGCGATTTTGGTGCACCACAGAGAGCAGCCACTTGCATAATTTGCGTCTCTTCTTCTTGTATCTCGTCGACAAATCTATTGCACAACAGAATTTTGGGGGCGCTTGGGGAAGAAGAACAACAAGAGAGCATGAGAAAAGGAAAGTGGAACTCCGAAGGGAAAACGTTTCAAATTAATTTATACAATTTACTAATCGCCAAACCCCGAAGATGCATCACAGGGTTTCCAAATGAGGAAATCTTGCTTGACTTGAGAAAGAGACCAAAAGATCCGGGTTTCGATTGGTAGACTTGCTGTTTTGGAAAAGAAACATCCTTTTACCACTTCATGAAAGGGAAAAAAGCTCCAACTAGAGGCAAGTAGTAATCAGATAAAGAAAGAATTTCTATTTCGCAACATTGCAATTGCCCAAACTAGGCTTTCAGTTTTTTAAAGTGAAATGAGACCCCTTTTCTGACGAGCTGCCTTGAGAAATGAAGAGGAATTGGTTGGTGGTTGGACGATGAGGATGAGCGCAAGAAATTAATTTTGAGAAGCACAAGCGGGTGGCTGCTGGGAGAAGAAGCAAGAAGACGAGAGAGCGAGAAAGGGCTTCTACGGAGGAAACTGCGCAGAAGAAGATCATTAACGGGGGCGGTTGGCGGAGACCGGAAGGTTCATGAGAGCACCCGAGAAAATGATGACCGAGAGTGGGAGGAAATAATGCCCATATGCGCACAGTACACGGAATTTGCATATTCTATTGCGTTTACGATTCTCCAAGTGCTATGTATTCTTCGAAAAAAAAACTTTTACACAACAACAAAACATGTTTGCTACAATTCAATTTGACCCACTTCTTTGTTCGACAACAACTTCAACTTCACGTAGCTCGCTTTTTTCGGCCACCCAAAAAAAAGCAATTTTTACGCACTTCTGTTTTCTGAACTATTTTCGGAGATGAGCCAACCGGGTAATGATGAGAATAAAGCGGCAGAAAAGGATGGCTTCGTGTCAAAATGCTATTAAAAAGGATGGAGTTTGTTGTTGAATAAAGAATATGTGCAAAATTACGATGTAGAACAAGCGAGAAAATACGTCTTTGGACACGTAGCATTCCAAAAGAAACGCATTTGTTTCCAAGTGTCTCCCATCGGAAGATCAAAACGTCATCATTTGACACAAAGGATTATGTAGAATTCAGAGCCAGTGTGTTGTAAAAGTACAGTAATCCCACTAGGTTTAATAAAAATCTTCGAGGAGAAGAAGTAGAATGGATAGAAGTGGAAGACCATCTACACTGCACAATTCGAAACGCTTCTCCTTCTTCTGCGTCTACTAAACGGATTCTCATCTGAGCGCGCGATTGTGTGAAGCACAAGGGAGGCAGAGCATAAATGGAAAAGCCAGAAAAGATAGAGAGAGTACTAGGAACTTTGGGAGATCTTCTTCATGAATTTGTTGAATATGTAATTCATCACAAATCCACAATTGTATACAACAGAAGGTGGGGATTAAAAAAAAATTTATCCTGACCGATCGTGTATGCCAGAAATATCAAAGCACTGTTCCGGAAACAAGACTGTGCGGAAATACGATCAGAACAAATCTGAAGGAGAGCAAAACAATAGGCGCTGCCTCGAGACGAGTGTCATAAATATTTAATCGTGTAAATGTGCGAAGGATGTACAAATGGCCTCGAGGAAGAGACACTGTAATTGCGAAGGGCAATTAGTGCACAGAAGGAAAAGAATGACGCGAGAGCAAACGAGGCGAATAGGAACACATGGCGCAAGCATTGAGAGTGAGAGAAAGAGCACCGGGTCGGATTAGGTGGGAAGAATGCGCGGAAATGAAATGTAACGCACGGTAAACAACGTTTGCCACCACCAACGGCTGACGGCTTACATCAGCGGAGTAGTGTTCGTCTGGCACCTAGGCTGGTCGAACAGGCGATTTCAGGCGTCTGCGCCTGTTTGACCAGCCTACTGGCACCCATCAAGTCCTGCGGCAGAGATCAAGTGACACATTTCGGTGCTGCATTGACCTTTTCTAGGTGAGACGAGGCACCAAAATAAGTGAAATTATTTTCCCGCATACTGTCGCCTAAATTAATTGACCAACCGTCTGGCCGTGCCGTGTGTAAATTGAATTCAATCTGTGCGAGCCTCCTCCAAAATTGGATTTGCATTTGCATAAAGAAGGATTTCCTCAGGCTCACACATGAAATTGGGGAAATGTATAGAAAAACTGGACTGGAAGAATTGCAAAAAGTGCATTTTTTTGAGTTAAATGTAAGGACGTTCTTACTGGTGGGAGATCACTTTTTTTTAACTTTAAAACGCCCAATAATAGTTTTAGAAACATTTTTAATGTTGATTTAATTGCTTAGAATTCTCATGTACTTGCAAGATGCTGGAAATCCAGAAAGATAGGAAAGTGCTTTTGGCGACGGAAATTGAAATCGACAAATGGCGACCAATAACTTCTTCATTGCGCGTGTTTAATTTTCAGTGTATTCTCGGCAAGGGCGCGCAGCTTTTGCGCAAACTTTACGCAGCTTTTGCGCAAAAATAGCGCAGCTTCTGCTGGCTAGTTGCGCAAAAGCTGCGAGAATCCTTATGTTTGCGCAAAAGTGGCGCGCCTTTGCCGAGAATTATTAAAGGCACATATGAAAAACCTCCGCTACGTTGCGAGACCTGTACCGTGTTCCCCGCGAAGAATTAGCGGCGAGAAATGCTTTTTTGATTTCTCATCATTTCTCTGCTTTCAAATAACAATTGTTCAATATAAATCGCGGCCACGTCATACTTGGAAAGCGATTTCTCTATCCGAATTTGCAAATTTCCACAAATCAGAGCGCATTTAGTCCGCAGGACTGCCCTCAATTTCCGCGCGGTCGAATCAAAACTTTCCCGAGTCAGAACCAATTAGCACTGAAAATAGTTCTGATTCGGGACAGTTCTGGTACGGCGTACCCTCGTCGTCATTATCTGTCTTGTTCTGATCTCGATCGCGACCGCGTACTTTGCGGGTGTTTTGTAGGCTGCGACCGCCTCGTTTCGTCTTCCATTGTTGTCCGTCTTTCTTTCCATCCAAAGCGATTGCGCAATTCGATTCTCGTTCCGTTTTGCTAATATTGCCCGCCTTTCAGGTAACGCATACCGAAATGTCGGCTAAGGCTGTTAGCGAACTCTCAGGAAAAGAGGTAATTGTTTGCAAAAAAATATATATTTCTAATGTAATATTTTTAGGTTCTGTACAAGTATTTCGAGTCGACTGGCATTGTCAGTGCGCCTCATGCGTTTCATGTGAAGGCCGGTGACAGTTTCGCTGACGTTTCCGCCAAGTTCGAATGGCTTGCTCGCGACAACAAGGGAGTTATCAAGCCGGATCAGTTGATCAAGCGTCGCGGAAAACTCGGTCTCGTCAAAATCGGAACGCCATTCGAATTGGGCTCCTGGTTCGGAATGGTTGCGAACACCCACGTCAAGGTCGGACAGACCGAAGGGCGGCTCCACACATTCATCGTTGAACCATTCTGCGCGCACAACGAGAAGGATGAAATGTACATTGCAATATTCAGCGAGAGGAATCGTGACGTCGTCATGTTCTATGAACATGGAGGTGTTGACATTGGAGATGTCGAGGAGAAGGTTAGGATGTTCTCTCACTCCGTACTTATTTGTAATTATATTTCAGGCGAGATCTGTCCACGTCCCCGTTCAACTGGATGACAATCAGATGTCCATCACAGAGCAAGAGCTCGACACTCTTCTCGGACCTTGCAAAGACAAGATCACCGTTAGAAAATTCGTGACGCGTTTGTACGAGGCATACAAGGCTCTTCACTTCACTTATCTCGAAATCAACCCATTCGTTCTCGTCGATAACAAAATTCACGTGCTTGATTTGGCCGCTAAACTCGATGAGACTGCCAACTTTTTGTGCGCCGACAAGTGGAAAAGCAGATCCGCTAACTCTCGCACCGCTCGTTGCATCGAGTTCCCGGCTCCATTCGGCCGTGATCTTACCCCCGAGGAACAGTTTATCTCGGATATGGATGCGAAGACTGGCGCTTCTCTCAAGCTCACAATTCTCAATAGACAGGGACGAGTCTGGACGATGGTTGCCGGTGGAGGAGCTTCTGTTGTCTTCACGGACACTGTCTGTGATCTCGGAGGAGCATCAGAGCTCGCCAATTATGGAGAGTATTCTGGAGATCCGTCGGAGTCGCAGACCTACGAGTACGCCAAGACTATTTTATCGATTATGACGGAAGGAACTCCTCGCCCAGATGGAAAGGTTCTCATCATTGGCGGATCAATTGCTAACTTCACGAACGTTGCAAAAACGTTCGGGGGCATCGTGCGGGCTTTCGAGACTTTTATTGACAAACTCAAGGAGCACAAGGTATCGATCTACGTGCGACGTGGAGGACCGAACTACCAAGAAGGGCTCCGACGTGTTAAGGATGCCGCCACGAAGCTTGAAATCCCAATCCACGTGTTCGGACCAGAAACTCACATGACCGCCATTGTCGGTGCTGCTTTGGGACTCAAACCGATGCCAGTAGTGCCAACGGCTCCACAGACAACTGGGCAATTCCTGTTGAGCCCAGAGAGAAATGTAAGGGCATCAATTTTCCTTTTTAAAAAAATATTTCAACTTTCAGACGGCTGGAACTGAACGCCCACCAGCTTCACCTGCTGCCACGGTCCCATCCGTTGAGTTCCCAAGTTCTTCTCTTCTTCAAAAGAAGCATCCAGGATTCCAAAGTATTTTCGACAAAGACACAAAGGCTATTATTTGGGGCCAGCAAGTGAAGGCCATTCAAGGAATGCTCGACTTCGACTACGTGTGCCGCAGAGCGTCCCCATCAGTTGTCGCCTCGACCTATCCATTTACTGGTGACAACAAGCAGAAGTACTACTTTGGACAAAAGGAAATTCTCATTCCTGCCTACAAGTCGATGGCAAAGGCCTTTGCCACTCACCCAGACGCCACTGTTATGGTGACATTCGCTTCGATGCGATCAGTATTCGAGACTGTTCTGGAGGCTTTAGAGTTCCCACAAATCAGAGTCATTGCAATCATTGCTGAAGGAGTTCCTGAGAATCAGACAAGAAAGCTTCTCAAGGTAGCTGAGACTAAGGGAGTCACTCTCATCGGGCCTGCCACTGTCGGAGGAATCAAGCCAGGATGCTTCAAGATTGGAAACACTGGAGGAATGATGGACAACATTCTCGCGTCGAAGCTCTATCGTCCGGGAAGTGTCGCCTACGTTTCTCGTTCCGGGGGAATGTCGAATGAGCTCAACAACATCATCTCGCAAAATACGAATGGAGTCTACGAGGGTGTTGCCATCGGAGGAGATCGTTACCCTGGCAGCACTTACACTGATCACGTCATGAGATACCAGCTAGACGACAACGTCAAAATTATTGTGTTGCTCGGAGAAGTGGGCGGTGTGGAGGAATACCGAATCGTGGAGCTTCTAAAGAAAAAGAAGATTACGAAGCCACTTATCGCCTGGTGCATCGGAACTTGTGCCGATCACATCACTTCGGAGGTTCAGTTCGGACATGCTGGTGCCTCTGCCAATGGACAAGGAGAAACCGCTGCATGCAAGAACACTGCGCTTCGTGCTGCTGGAGCCTTGGTTCCTGATTCATTCGACGATCTTGGCAACAAGATTCGAAGCACATACGAGGAGCTTCTCCGCCTTCAAATTATCGTTCCGCAGCCCGAGATCCCGCCACCAGCTGTGCCGATGGACTACGCTTGGGCCCGTGAGCTTGGATTGATCCGCAAGCCGGCTTCCTTCATGACCTCAATTTGCGATGAACGTGGTGAAGAGCTCAATTACGCTGGTGTTCCGATCACCAAAGTTTTGGAGTCTGACATGGGAATTGGCGGCGTTTTAGGGCTTCTCTGGTTCCAGGTAACCTTTATAAAGTACTTTTTTCATTTAAACATTGTTTTAGAAGCGTCTTCCTCCCCACGCGAACAAGTTCATCGAGATCTGTCTGATGCTCACTGCTGATCATGGGCCGGCTGTTTCCGGTGCCCACAACACCATTGTCTGTGCTCGTGCCGGAAAAGATCTGATCTCTTCTCTTACTTCCGGACTTCTCACTATCGGTGACCGCTTTGGAGGTGCTCTTGATGGAGCAGCTCGTCAGTTTTCGGAAGCCTTCGATCAAGGATGGTCTCCAATGCAGTTTGTCGGAGAGATGCGCAAGCGCGGAACCCACATTATGGGAATCGGACATCGTGTCAAAAGCGTAAGTCATTTAAGGATCGAATGAAAATTGTCAACTTTTGGCTTTTAGGTCAACAACCCGGACAAACGCGTTGAGATTCTGAAGCGGTTTGCTCTGAACAAGAAAGAGTTTGCACAGGAGACGCCGCTGTTCGATTACGCTCTCGAAGTGGAGAAAATCACGACCGCGAAGAAGCCAAACCTGATTCTGAACGTCGACGGAGCCATCGCCATCATCTTTGTCGATATCCTCCGTCACAGTGGCATGTTCACTGCCGCCGAGGCGCAGGAGGCCATTGAGATCGGAGCTCTCAACGGAATGTTTGTGCTTGGCCGCTCAATCGGTTTCATCGGCCACTATTTGGATCAGTCGCGGCTGAAGCAAGGACTATATCGCCACCCGTGGGACGATATCTCGTACATAATGCCGGAGAGAAACTTGTAAATCGTCTTGAACTCTGAGGTGAATTACTCATCTCATAATTTAACGCATGTTTGAAATTGAAATGTACTGTAAATTTGTTCGACTAAAATGCAAAGCTTTCAAAAAAGGAGAACAGGAAATGCGGGAAAATATTGAGGAAGAGCGAATCAGAGAGCTTAAGGGCAGGGAAACGGCGGGGGAGGGAAAATGGCAGATGTCGTCCAACTATAATGACTGGCGGTTCAGTCGGGGAAGCGATGCGAGAAGCACTAGCGACATCTGTCACCACCGTCACACCTTCCAACCATCCAATTAAGATTGGAGCAGATGCAGGAAGAGAAGTGATTACGTAGAAACATCAATCAAAGGGAAACGTTTTATAGGGCAAAACTGTGTCTAGAAAAAGCGAAACTCTTTAAAAAGTTGCAGATGCTTTTTCAGGTCGGTTTCTGGTTGCAAAACGTCCAAGAACTTGAGAAAAAAGCAGTTTTCTGGAGTGTGCCCGTCCTTTGCGGCCGTTTCCATAGCTACTCCTCGCTAGAATTTTATGCGTGACTAATCGCTCGTTGGCGCTTCTCCGAGGAATCATTTATTAGATGCACTTAACAGAGGATGATGGATACGTTTCTTGAGAAATTTGTGTAATGAGATTCTCATAAATGTCAAAGTTAATCAATATACCAAAATTTATTCATTTTACGTGCCAAAAAAAAATAATTACAGTCTGGATTTGAGTTCAATCTTAGAAATGGTCTCCAGATGAACAGCGTCCGGCCCGTCTGCAACTCGCAATGCCCTCGCCCACACGTAGAATGAGGACAACGGAGTAAGCGGAGTGAGCCCTCTGGCTCCTTGTTGTTGTATCGCCCTATCTATGACCGCAATAGCCATGTTCGGAGCCACCACCTTGATCATTGCGATCTCAGATTTCGCCTCCTGAAAAAAACCTATAGTCATGAAACGGATTGGAACCAACCTTGGGACCGACGGTGTCAATCATATGAGCTGCCTTTAGCACAAGAAGTCTGGCTTGCTCAACTTCGCACCTCGACAATGCGAGCTCCTTTCGTAGACTGTCAAACTTCACTAGCTGCCTCCCGAACGCAATTCTCGTCATCAGCCTGTCCTTCATAACATCAATCGCTCTCTCAGCATGTCCGATCAATCGCATGGCGTGATGAATTCTGCCCGGGCCGAGTCTTCCTTGGGCTATCTCAAAACCTCTTCCTTCCCCAAGAAGCATATTTTCTACGGGAACACGAACGTTTGTGAAAGTGATTTCTGGATGGGCTCCTGGGGCGTCTTGTGATCCGAAGACATGAGTGTTTCTGACAATCTTGACTCCCTCTGTCTGCATAGGCACCAAAATCATGGACTGCTGGAAGAGTCTCGACTTCTTCGGGCCAGCCACTTGTCCCATGAAAACGCAAATTCTGCACTTTGGATGTGATGCGTTTGAAATGAACCATTTGCGAGAATTGATGATATACTCGTCACCAACTCGAACAATCGAACCTTGAATATTCGTGGCATCACTGCTTGCTACATCGGGCTCCGTCATGGCGAAGCAGCTCTTGATCTCTCCTGCCAACAACGGCTCCAGCCATTGCTTCTTCTGTTCTTCACTTCCGTACTTGATGAGCACCTCCATGTTTCCAGTGTCCGGAGCTTGACAGTTGAATACCTCAGGAGCAAAAATACTTCTGCCCATAAGCTCGCATATGTGAGCGTATTCTACATTCGTAAGTCCTTTTCCATACTTTTGCTCTGGGTCAATGTGTTCAGAAATAAAAAGATTCCAAACGCCCAAAGATTTTGCTTTCATTTTGAGTTCTTCAATCTTTGGGTGTGGAATAGTCCATCGATGCGGTCCCTCTTCGTAGTATTCCAATAGCTCCATCTCAAGAGGAATAACGTCGTTGTGTACAATTTTGCGAACGATTTCGTAGTACTTCTGAGCTTGAGGTGACATTCCTGAAGGCACGATCGTCAGTTGACCGTATGATTTCGAGGCGTGCATTTTCGTAATCATCTGGTATCCCTCAGTCGCCAACTTCCTTACTAATGGTTGCAACATGGAGGCTTCGGTCGAAGAGGCGTTCTTGAGTTGAGATCTCATGTAGACTCCCTGGAGGATACTCGCGAAACGAAACACCACAAAGACCATGTAGAACGTCCAAACTTCTGGATCCACCAAGGCGGTGTTGGTGTACTTGGAATAGAGTTCCAAACACTCTTTGATAGTCGGAATTCCCAATCGACGAAGATCCGAGTCTGTGTAATCTCCGATTCCAGACAGAAGTCGCATTCGATTGGGTACGTAGTAGACAAACATGAAAGTTGCCAGGTCAGAGAGCGGGTCCCCGATCGTCGAGAGTTCCCAATCGAGAATTCCTTTCACCTTGATCTCATTCTCTTCAATTATCAAGTTGTCGATTCTGAAGTCACCATGCACTATTGTAGACTTTCCGCTTTTTGGAAGATTGGCTTTCAGGTAGGCTTCCATTTTATCCATCTCCGGAATCTCTTCCGTTTTAGAAATTTGATAAGCATCGGACCATCGTTTCAAATTTCTAGCCATGTAGCCGTCTGAACAGGAATAGTGAAATAAGGAAGAAGAAAATATATTTGCTTACCACTTCTGCCGAAGTCTTTGAGTCCCTCTTTCTCATAGTCTACACAATGAATCTTCGCAAGAATTCTCAACGCTTCTTCGTAAACTTGACGACGTTCGGTAGGAGTGAGCTCCGGGAGTGAGGGATTCAAAAATATTCTTCCTTTTTGATACTCCATCAGATAGAAGGAAGTGTCCAAAGTTCTTAAAATCATCCGTATAGCTCTAAAACCTCTCAACAACACAAAACCCACTTTTCATCAAATAAAATTGTCTTCGGAAGCGGAACAAGTCCTTGCAGAGAGCGCATAATTCTGAATTCTCGGTCCACTTGATGAGCCTTAGGAAGCAAGCTTCCACTCGGTCGTTTTCGAAGCACATACTGAGCACCTTTGACGGTTCGAACATAGTAAGTGGGATTGGATTGGCCATGTCGGAATTTGCGAATTGTGGAAACTTTGTTGTCATTTGTAGTGTGACGAGTAATAACATCATTCACCTTTTCCAAAGGGAGAACCTCTCCTAAAAAAAAATAAGCCATCTTATATAACTCAACATCTTACTGTTCAAACAATCAAAAAGTGATATTACTTCGAATGCAATCTCTAGTCTCTGGAGGGAAGGTAAAGTCAATGTTCAGCACGTTCTGCAGGTCCTGAATGGCTTGTTGACTGCTCGTGACCTTGATCGTAGTCATTCCCATCTCTCGAGCTGGCTTTAAATTTGGCCCCAAATCGTCCAGGAATACGCACTCGGCAGGTTGAACCTTTAATTTCATGAAAGTATGAAATCGCTCTGAGAAAAGAAAAGTTGAAATACCTTGTTCCGCTCGCAAGCCATTGTGTAAATTTTTGGATCCGGTTTTCGTATTCCAAGGCGACAAGATTCGAGAACGTCATCGAAGAGATGTTTGACTTGTGGGGGAACGGTGGGCAGGAGATGTGCTCGATCGGAGTAAAAGTTGTTAGTTATCAGGACGGAACGGTAGCCAGCAAGACGAAGAGATTTCACAAGTTGAACCATTTCCGGAAGAAGCGTAGACACGGCGATTTGATTGGTGACGGCTGTGAAGATCGGAAGGATGGGACCGACTCGATTGTTCTGAAATCACCTGACATGATCCGGTATTCAAAAAAAATGAATAGCTAACCTGGAAGTTATAAATATGCGTGAAAAGCGGGTCGACATCCTCAGAAGTGAGTTGTCCAACTTCGAATGATTTGAAGTGCGGATAGAAATCGTTGCTGAGGACAGTTTCGACAACTGAGTTATCACGAAGACCATGTGTCTTCTCCACTTCTGAACCAACTTTTGTTAGTGAAGTATCTCAAATGAACTTACGTTTCCAATACATCATCGGAGCCGGCAAAAGGACTCCTCCAAGATCAAATATTACAGCCTTGATGGTCATTTTCAAACAGAAAACCAGCAAGACAACGTGCTTGCAGTAGATGTTGTTTGAATGCTTAGTAGAAGAATGACAGTCAACTGATAACAGGCGCGTGGGCTACAATGTAGTACAAGCGAGGAAGTAGAAATGGGTAAAGTGTGGTGATCAAAAAAGATTAGGAAAAGAAAGTATATTAATACAAGTTTACATTCACATTTATGGAAAATATTGACAACAAAACGTATAGAGCCCTTTGAACTGCCAGACGGGTGGCACTAAAGCTGTGAAGCGGATTCGAGGTTCAACATTCACATTTGACTTGTTCCGAAAAAGACACCGGACAACAAAGAAATGGTCCGACTCTGAGTAAACTTGCTCTGGACGAACATTGAACGGAATAGAATCTGAACGTATATGATGGTCTGAGAGCAGGTCGTCTCCCTCGGATCCCTTCTTCTTAACACATCTGGAAAAACCCTATAACGATTTGGGGCCAGCACTTCGTTTTTAATCAGTCGTCGCCATTTATATGTAGAAATGAGAACCGCTCCTGTCCAGCATAGCCAATGGCTAGTCGTAATCAGATTTGTCTTTATAAAGACATTTCTTGTGGATTGGCAAACGGAAATCGGTATATTCTGGTCCCATGTGTGAAAGTCATCCTTTTTGGGTTTATCCCGAATGCATTTGCAATCGGAAACACAAAAACCGCGGCCGCACAGAATAATTCATTGTTTTGATCACTTTCAGATTCCCAGGGCCAAATGGCTCTGTGAGGCTCACGAGTTCAAAACATTCTCACCCGAAATGCATTCCAATTTCCCTACTCCCAATGGGGTGCACTTGAGAATAAAGGACGAGATGAATGCTTGCTAAATAATCCAATGAATTGAATACTTTTCCCTTCTCCCCGTCTTTTGCAATACTTCCTGGTGATGTGTTACTAAAAATGCTGGTCGCAACCCTGAATTAACTTTTTTCTTTAGACACTCGATAAGTGCCCATTTTGATTCTTGAACATTTCCTGTCGTCTCCTAATTTTAGGCGGATGTTCAGAAGAGAGGCAACAACATGCGTAATGCATTTTGCGTGGGGGGGGAAATTACGCGTGCGTCAGCATTTTTAAACTTAATGTTCATTGACTAGAAGGCGTTACGAAGTAGCGAATAGGATATATTTATTCGAATCTGAGCTTGAGCTTTTAAAAAGTTGATAATTTGAAACCCGTCAGCGAAAAATTTCGTTATCCAAACTTTGAATTTCACGTGACCCTTCTCTTTGTTCTTCAAACTTGCTAAGTATTTCTGCCTTAAAAGTGTACTAATCGCTACTCCAAGGTCACGCTCAATTCAAACATTTTTACACGTTGCGATTATCATTGCCGTTTGTTCCTGTCATTGCCGTTTGAATACTGTGAAAGTCTCGAACTTCGAGGAATAAGCTTGTCATAGTCCGATGTCTCTATCATCACGCTAATCCAATAATTGTGCTGTTGTCCTCGAGAGATTAGTCTGTAATCGCTATTGTCTCTCTGATCCCCGCATCCCCCTCAGGAGAAAAGACGTGATGAAGTACCTATCCGAGAATCGGTCGACCAAACATCGATTTAACCACGTGTACTCTTTTAAGTGTCTTGAACATGTAAATCTCTAAATCCACTCAGGTTCGATGTCCCGAGCGAGTTAATCGGTCATCCCGGTCACAGATGAATAATATAAGATATCTAAACGCAAAGGCGGAAGAGTAAAAAGTGACCAGTCAGACCATTCGGGTCATTATTAGATTTTTACCTCTTGAAATAAAGTGTGTTTGCTCCCTTGTTTGCTAACCCGATTCTGTTACAAATCCATGAAACGTTTTCACCCCCTCGTTTCCGCAGCCATCCAATTCTCAGCTTCCCATTCCTCATTTCATTCACAGATTTGATATCCAAGATTTCCGTGTGGATTACAGATATTGTAGGTTTCTTCTCCTGAGGCATTCACGCGGATCATCCCTTATTAGAGAATGAGGACTAAAGAAAAACTGTAAAAAACAACACGCGTGAGGAACACCTTGAATTTCAGAGATCTCGAAATATTTTGGGCTTTTTTGTGAACATCGATGATGTTGGTGATGAATGCCTGTGTGAATTGATTGAATATTGTTAAGAAGAATTGTGATTTGATTCTTGTTACACTTCCGGAATGTTCCAAACGATTCTGGGTTACCAGTTTTCGATAGCTTTTCAAAGCTTGTATCCCTTTTCCAAGCAATGAAACTAAGCTGGGAGCCGCGAAACATTACTCCGAAGCCTTCAGAAACTTTTCAATTCCAAAAATAATCCTCAGCTAGTATTGGTTGCGAGCAAGTACATCTCGATCCCACGCCCTTACCCGCGACGTCAAACCTTCTCCCGTATGCACATTTTTCAATATTCTCCTTTTCTAAATATAGACTCGTTGTGTGCTGTTTTCTAATCTTTCTCAAGCTAGATTTCAAAAAGATTATGTCTTCATTATTTTTTACCCCCGAACACAATTCTGATTGATCAGACTAATATTAAGAACAGAATGACGTGCGTCCGGCCGAACGGCTGCCACAATTTTCTGCGAATTCGGAATCTGAATTTCTAGAATTCCGAATTCAACATTCACGTCTTCTCGTTACAGTCAACATCTAATAATATATTCTGTCCTCATTATGTTTTCGAGATTCACGTGTAAGCCTTTTGAAGAAACCTCATGACCCTTATCAAACCTACAAAACGGAGGAAATAAGATTAGTCAAATGCTCCAGCGGATGCTTCAGGAAGTGAATACATGTTATGAATCTTTTATGAATTCTGCTTGTTCCAGAATCTTTCTTGCAAATTCTCTCGTCAGGTCACAAGACAAATGTTTACTTCCAGAAGAATGTTCGCGTAATATCACTGAACAACCTCCACCCCAATAATGTATTTCGTAGCACTTCGCGAACATTCATTTAGAATTTTGTCGACTACAGTATCCTTGTCTTTCAAGTATTAGTCAACAGCTCTGTTCGGTAGACACCTCTCACCACAAAAGACGACGCCGCGCCCGTTCCTATTTGTATCCCATCTCCAATAAGTGCGTAGTCGTATCGAGGAATGAATCATAATGAAACAATGATCACTACTACAGGAAAGTTTCCCTGCCAAAACAAGGTGTGTTAAGCGTAGCTGGCAGATAAGTTGGGTCTAAGCGTGGTTTATTTGGCACGATCTCGTAGAATAATATTTTTAATCATGCTATCGTCGTGTTTTGTCATTTCACTTCCGCAAATATTACCAAATCCGAGTGTTGGTCAGTTTTAGGCTTGGCCTTTTCGTTTCACTGACGTTTTTCATTAGAATAGATCTCCGAAATGCAGAACAATAGTGAATAAGACAATTGCATGTCAGTCAGACAACTCCCTCAGGATGATGAGGTATTATGTAACGAGTACAATCCGCTGATTCATGTGTCTGCCCCGCTGAAACTGGTCACTCTTCCTCCCGCTTATTGAACTTCCATTCTATTTTCGCGTATCCAAAAGTGACGAATATTTGTTATCAGGTGGCTATTATCCAGCGCCTCTAATATTAGCTTGTCGAGAACTTTTTGTTGATATCTCAATAATGAATTCTAAGCTGTCCACATTTTTGATGAAATTTTGAACTCATTGTGTCAGAAGAATGGAAATATATCGATGATTAAGCAGACTTGTATTGCTAAAAAGTTGGCTTCCTATTGAAGATTTCGACTGTGTATATAAATTCGGATTTGTCGTCCACATCTCCCGCCCTCCTAGTCGTTTATAATCTGATTGTGATGAAAGTCACGTAGCTTTATCAAGTTATACTCAGCTGTTTATTGACACCATTCGTTGTTTTGGCACGTAGTTTTGTATGGCTTTCAGAAGGAGGAAAATGAAATTGAAGTAGAAGAATAGCGAGGAGAAAGAAAAATGCAGAAAAGCGGTTTGAATCTCGTCTCGTCTCATTAGACGTCCGTTATGAGAAATGAAATCTCTTTAAAATACAATTGAGATGATCTTTGTCAAGAAGAATGACAAAGGTGTGATTAATGGGGACAAAGGAAAGCGAAAGGTGTGTTCGTTCCCGCATTCTTAAGAAGTACTTGGCGAGTACCCTTTTCTCACGCATAATGCCTTTTTCAGAACACAACACAAAAAACAAAGCGGAACAACACAAATATTGGCTGGAATTCGCTGTTTGTTGTAAAGAATTTTGTTTTTGGGCAGTGGTGGAGTACACAGCGTTGAGTTCGAAGGGTAAACCACTACCACTGTAAGTTCGATTACCGTGATCTTAGAACGCAACATATTTCTAAGCGTTTACTGAGATAAAGTAGATTTCCTCAAGTTAGAATACTTCAAAATTAACATTTGCCAGTTTACACATAGGCTCTACCATCGCTTCACCAAGTATAGTGTATTCTGTGTACTCCCGCAAACTCAGTTTATACTCTATCTATCCTGTGTGACATCGCCACTCTATGGATTCCATTGTGTTAATCATCGCTCATATCCGATCTCTGTTCCCGCCATTTCCTGCTCCTCCTCCCTCTTCTCCTCGTCCAAATCTTTGTCACAATATGCTTCGTTCTCTCTCTCTTCTTCTCTTCGGAGCGGCTCATCGTCCTAAGCCCCGCCTTCGTCGCCCGTTCCCTCCGACACACTCTTTTTGCCGTGGTCGGGCTGAGGCGCCGTGAGAGGTGCCCCCCACCCAAACCAGATTACATACCGCCCGTGCTTGATGTGGTTGTGTAACACTTCGGAATGGCGCCCCCAATTAGTTTTCTTTTTCATCTGATTTTCTTTTCTTTTGTTTTTTGTTCAACTGTGTCTTCGTGGAATAGACTAACAACTGTTTATTTATACACTTTCTACATTAAAAATTCTCACAGCATTCGAATGAGAGAGAGAGAGAGTGTGTGTGCATGTGATTCTTTTTCCCAGTGGGACACAAACTTATGAACATTTGATATAGTCTCTGCACTTTGCGAGTTGCATTTGCATATAATTATTTATTCAGCTTACTCCGTTCCGTCTCCCCTCATCTTACATCATTCAACATTTCAACATTTCAGTCAACGTCGCACTCCCAGCAATGACCATTCTGTTCTCGAAAATGACCGGAAACTCTCCTCAAACGAACGGAACCGCTCTGGGTGTCCGTATCATCGGCGGATCGTTCCTTTGCCTTTCAATCATCTCCAGTGTGATCGCGTGCGCTCTCTGGAACACTGAGAATCATACTCTCGGCAATAACATCTTCTACTATGGTAAGTCCAAGTGGTTAACATTTCAAGCACAAATCACTGCGTCACTTTCAAAACGGTTTTCATTGATTTTATAACGTATCTTTTTATTTCAGTCGGTTTGTTCGCCACTCAGATGCTCAACATTCTCATTGTGTACCTTATGAATAGAGGAATTACCCTCCAAAAGGCGCACTATCTCCAACCATTCATCATCTGTGCCCTTCTTCATCTCATCATTTGGTTCGTTTCCTTTCAATCTTTCTTGGGAATCTGTCTGAAATTTTTGATGCGGGGGTCTTTTTCTGATTTCTGATGAAAACAGTGTACTATGATAACCACCGGATTAGGTGTCATAATACATATTTCCGGTCATCTTGTTTGCCCCCCCGATATTCTTCTTTCCCGAAAAAATATTATCCATCCTGATGGTGACGTCTTTGCAGCATCCTCCTCTCCGCCATCTTCTTCCTCTACGTCGTCACCCGCGCCACGTTCTACTCCGTCTGGTCAGATCTCGGCTTTTTCTTCGTCTTTGTCATCCTGACTGGCTTCTGGATCATCGCCATTTCCTTGGCGCGCGAGTACCGAGACTATGTACGTGTCATTTCGTTCACACATTCACCATTGTACAATGAGGAATAGCTTGTTGCATTTCGGAAAGTTTCTGAGCCAGTGACCCGGATTTATAAAGTTTCAAGGCTTCGACCTGACTAACACGTGATTTCTAGAATTAATATTTCTTTGTTTTATAGATCATCTACGATGATTTCCTTCACGAGACTCTTCCGAGCTTCGTGTAAGTGTCCTTCGTCCAGCCACTATCGCTTGCGCACGGGCCGTCCACGTCATCTCCTCTGTTCATCATCTCAGTTATTTTGTTCCCTTCTCAGTTCCCTTTACTTTTCTTACTTAACGGGTCTTCCCTCATAACCTGAGTCTGTCTTCTCTTGCTCTGCTTTCTTTTTTTTTTGTGCGTATGTAGGTCTTATCCGCTCGGCGAGATAGAAAGCAGCAACTATCTTTATTTTTAATTCATTTTTCAAACGGTTTCTTTCTCAATAAATGGATACAAATAAAGTGAAATCCATAAGTTTTCAACAGGAGTGGTGCATTTAAGAAACCATCGACGAAAATGAGTTGTGAAGCAAACAACGAGAATGCAAATTAACTGGAATCAAAGATCACAGTTGAACTTGTAAATGACCTGACACGCAAGCACATGAATCACGTGAATGCAATCCTGAGCAACTCTCTGCAAAATTGTTTTCTGAAGATGTACAGAGAGAGAGAGAGAGAGAGATCTAGTCCAGTTTCGATCATAATGAGAAACGTTCCTTTGTTTACTTTTAGACCTAATTTCTCTCTGAAAGTATGTAACATGTTTAATTTTAAACTGAAGCGAACTAGTAATTTTTCCATAGTAAGACACCACGGACCTGTTCAAACATAATGCGGCTCTTTATAAATCAGTTACCCTGTTCTTGACTAGAAGCTCCCACGACATTGTGTTTCCGGGGCTGAACTCTTCATTATTTGTCACCGTCTCGAGTCAAAGTATGTGTCCGACTTTCTTGAAGAGCTTTACAAAGTTGGCCAGATTGGATGAATTAGAAACAAAGGCAATTGTGAGAATAAAGTAAAACATTTGATCGACATGCCTCAGCGCACATTCTACATTCTCCGGCAACCACGGACACAGTTTCAATGGAATTTATTTAGCAACGTTTTGGAAGAAAGACAGAAAGAAATGGGAACGCGGAAGCCGAAAACAGAAGACGAGCAAAGCCGAGTGATCGGGTTTGAAAATTTAAACAATTTTTTCAGTCTAACTATAATGCATAGTTGCCACGGGCCGGGCCGGGCCGGGCCGAAATTGCCAAAACTCCGGCCCGGCCCGGTCGGCCCGGTTCAAAAAGCGGGAATTCAGAATTTGAATTATTGATCGCATGAAGCCATTTTTTGTAGAATTAGGGGTTTTTTGCAAGCATCGAACATTGAAAAACAAATGTATTTCTCATAAAAAATTCATAATAGCAAAAAAACAAAGAAGAAACACTAAAACTTTAGTTCGAAAATTTTTTTTGTAATAACGAAAAAAAAATTTCCGCGAAAATTTGAATTCCCGCTTTTTGAACCGGGCCGACCGGGCCGGGCCAAGCCGGCACTTCACCGACCCGGCCCGGGCCGGCCCGAAATCTGGCAAGTCTGCTATAATGTTTTCCAGACTAGTCCTTGGGTATCAAAGATTTTAATGTGTTAACTTGTCTTCATTTTTCAGAAACGACACATTTACGACTAGTTCCTAGCTCTAGACGGAAAACTTTCCCTTTTTCTTCCTCATCTTTTTCTCACTGTCGCCGTCGAAAAGCAGCAAGAATCAATCAGATTTGACGGCGATCAATTCGAACGCGAATACGCCTATTATTATTCTTGACACAAAAACCACCGATCGACGTCGTGAAACACCAGACGACGTCGGGTTTCGAGACAATACAACTATACAGTAGGAGGTCCGGGTATGTGGGCGGGTGGATACAAAAGAGTGAACAAAACGATCAGTCGCGCGCGCAAGCAGACAACCAAGATGCACCTTTTCGTTCAAGCCGTCGCCTTTTACTTTTCCCTATTACTCTTTATTCCTTCAAATGCCCGTAAGTTCCAACTAGAGTTGTAGTGTCAATTTTTTAAGTTTAGAATTCTATAGAGGAGCGTTAGAGCCGAGGTACAGTAGGAAAACACCGTTCCGGCAGCAGACTGAAATTCCCGAGCCTGTATTTGGCATCGGACACGGAGCGAGAAGGTATGTGGTTTGGCGGGGAATTAATTTGAAACAAGTGTTTAAAAAAATGTACGTAACGAACTTCAAATAAGATAGTGTTCAAGCAACGAACATTTATTTAGAGATGTAAACCAATTTTATATTATCCGTCGTTGACAGCGTTGGCCGTGGCCGCTAATTTCATGAATTCGTGACAGGATATGCCCGATTTGGCAAATGTTTTCTCATACCGGTACTCCAACTGGTTTCAGATTCAATAGGGACAAATCAAGAGAAGATTCACCTTCCCTGAGCCCTTTTTTTGGACAACGAAGAGAACCAGAAAGACGAAATTCTGGAAGGGCGGATGGACGAGACTACGAGGAGAATGGTGACGAATTCGGGAGACGGCCACCACACGAATTCGGAAGACATGAGGATGATGAAGAGCAGGAAGAAGGAAGATTCGAACCGGGGAGAGGAAACGAGTTCAAAAGGCCGAAACTGCCAGATTCTTCGGAGGTCAGAGACATATTCGATGCAGAGAGGGAGCGAGGAGGGAGGAAAGAGGAACCACCGAAAAGAAGAGCCGAAGATCATGAAAATGAAGAAATGGACGATAAGGAAGAGGAGGAAGCGGATGAAAGGAAGGAGAGACCGAGAAATGAAGAAAATGAAGAGGAGGACAGTCATCGCGGGCACCACAGGGATCACGAAGAGCCAGAAGAGCAAGAGACTGAGACTGTTGCCGAGACACCTTCGAAAGTGGTCGGTTTGAATATGCAGATGGTCGCAGGAGTCTATCCCAAGGAGAAGAAGGGCCCAGAAGTGGAAGACGTCGAGAAACGAGGCGGACGATTTGTGGAAAAGCCAGATGAACGGGAGCGAAACAAGTTTTTTCGGAGTGAGGACCAACAAGAAAAAAGGCATCAAGAGTCAAGAGATCGACCAGCAGCTCGAGGAGATTCTCGTGAAGTTGAGAAAAGAGGCCAAGGAAAGGAGCGGGGTGACAGAAGACGAGGCAGCGAAGAGTCTGAGCAACCTAACAAACCAACCCCAAACATTAGCCGAGAAAGAAGTAGAGAAGATCAAGAAGAAGGAGAAGATGGTAGAGGAAAAGGAAAATCTCAGCAACCTCAACTTCAACAGCAGCAGCAGCAGCAGACTCCACCACCTCCCAACCCCCAAGTCCCTCCGTTCCCTCCTTTCCCCAAATTCCCAGGTTTGACACAAATTTCTCCGATGACCTCAATTCAAAATTTTCAGGATTTGGCGGCTTCCAGCCTTTCCAACCTGACTACCCAACTCGACCATTCGGTGGTAATGGCGGTTTTGCGAGTGGTCCTTGGAATCAACCTTCAGGAGCTGCCGGACGCGAAGGAGCGCCTCGAGAAGACGCTGACTCGGGTGAAGAGCGATCTGGCGAGGACCGACGACGTGTTCACCAACCGCACCCAACTGCTTCTCCATCCGAGCATCCGAGTTCCCATGATGAGTCTGCCGAACGGGGAAATTCCGGCTCCCGTCGCGGCGAGGGTGATGAGAGAAAACGAGGAGGAGGAAGAGAAGAAGATCAAGGGCATGGAGAAGAAAAAGATTATGAAAAGCCACGTGGCAAAGGAAAATATCATTCTAGAGAGGAAGTAGAAGTAAATGAAAAACCAAAAGAAACATATGAAGGACCTAAAGTTGAAGATGAAGTGAAAAGTTCGGAGAAAGAAGTGACAGCGACCCCACGAAAGGAATTCCCAACTCCAGGACGCTTTGTCACCAACATTCGTGCCCAGAGATCTGGAGAAATTCCAGATGCCATCTTCACGACCACGGAACCATCTATGATTTTGACTTCAACCTCAACCTCTACTACTACAACCACCGAAATGCCCGCTACAGCGTCGTCTGGAATCTTCCTTCCCACTGAGACAATTGTAACAAAACTGCGATCGATTGTGAATCAAAAAATTAAAGTCGCATAATAATAATCTATTTATGCATATAACTACGTTGAATAAAAAGAGCTGAAAAGATATGTGAACCAAAAATGCAAAATGGGTGAGCTCCGTCTCTCCTATTACTATCAGTTACTCACAGATCTTCTGATGATCGCATTCATATAGGTGTTTTCCCTTCAAGGCAACCACATCTGATTCTCTCAAACTGGCCGCTCAGTGTCCACGTACGACTTCATTTTGTTTGATCACCCATCCGTAGTACACTACACTAATATTATTCGTGCGACATATCAACGGTATGTACTTGTTCTACTCCTCCCCATTCCACATCTTCGTAACGAACGCGTTGTGTTGTTCTCTTCAGAAAAAGTGGGCGGAGGCAACAAGAAACCAAGAAAAAGCAATGGGAAATGTAAAGGGGGAGAAGCGGACACAGAAGTCCCACTTCTGAAGTAGCATGTCGGCGACGAAGACAGTCAACCTTATTTTTTGTGTTCTTTCTTCCTATTTATTTGTTGCACTGATTGGTAAGCGCTTGCAGTCCGATACATTTACACAAGGATAATATCTTCCAGAAGGTCGAGCTTTCGGACAGCGTGTCGAATACCAGTACGAGTTTGATCCAAAAAGAGATACTCATCCGAGAGTTCACGTGAAATTCGGTGAGCTCATACAAACGCGATCACTTTCAAAGCGAGCTCATTCCAGATGATGTCACCGATGAAGCCGAACTCATGCGGATCTTCAACCATAGAAAGTCCTCAGAAGTTCGAAAATCACCGTCGAGATACGAGGTTTTCAGAACTTCTCTCTTTTTCACTCTTCTTTTTTCTTAACCAAACGCCCGACTTGAACTTACAGTACTCCCAATCGCCGCCGCCATTCTTTGACGATGACAACCAAAGGTTTATGGTGCCGTATGACGAGATGGATAAGGGGAACCGAGAGGCCGGGTGAGTGAGAAACGGAAAAAAGTGGGGAGAAAGGGAAACAAGTTCAGATGGCGGAACGTTCCTTTCGGCGAGAACCTGGACTGGCATCGGGAATTCCTGAACTTGCCTATTCACAAGTTTGTCCAACCTGAGTCACAAGACGACCTTGCCGAACAGATGGCATCGTTTCTCCGTCGTCAATCTGAATTCATTCTTTCCCGCCATTTTCCTGCTATTCCACGTCATCGATTCTCAGATCCACCTGAGTTTATGGTCACTCCGATGACTCCAAAATTAAAGTTTAACTTTTAATGTTATTTATGTTCTGAGGTTTATGCTCATACTTATTTATAAAATTTTCAACTAAAACAAAATCACTACAATACACGTTTCATGAAAATGAGGGAGGACACAAGTAGTATTACTTTTTCCCGGTATAATAACTGGTCGGGACAAATGGCATTTTGACGACTTCAACACCCGACTGCTTGGCGCCGAAGTCGACGACGAACTTGGTGCCATTCTTTGCATGAGAACTGTCCACGTAAGCGATGGCGATGTTCTTTCCAAGTGTCGGGGACGGGCATCCGGAGGTGACGAATCCGATTGCGCACTTATCGAGCGGATCGATGAGCGGCAGGTGGGAGCGAGGGCATCTTCCCGGCACGGCAAGCAGTCCCACTCTTCGTTTTGCCCAGCTCTTCTCTTTCAACTGCTTCACAATCTTTTCAGCTCCAGGGAAATCGAGTGTTTCACGGCGGCGCTTAGCTGGAAACTTTCAAGAATTCCTTCAGAATTCAAAACACAAGAATCTTACCAACAACAAAGGCGAGTCCAGCTTCAATCGGTGTCGTGTTCTCATCTATATCAGATCCGTATAAACACAATCCTGCCTCAAGACGGAGAGCATCACGGGCTCCCAATCCAGCGAGTTTCACGTTTCCAGCACGAGAAGCAAGAAGGGTGTCGACAAGATTAGCTGCCTTAGATGGATCGACGGAGATTTCGACTCCATCTTCTCCAGTGTATCCACATCTGGTTACTCTGCATCCGTCGATTCCGAAAACTTTTCCAACTGCTGTCTTCATGAAAGTTAGACTTGACAAGTCGATGTCCGTTCCCTCCTGAAGCACTCTTGCCATTTCTGGACCCTGCACAGCGACAAGTCCTCTTTTATCCAAAGTTTCGATCTTAACGTCTTTTCCCTGGGCTCTCCACGCAGTCGCATTTTCAAGAAGATATGGAAGGTCTTTGTCGATGCATCCGGCATTTGTGACTAGGAAAAGGAAGTCTTTGTCGGTTTTCATGATGATTAAGTCGTCCTTGATTCCTCCCTTTTCGTTTGTAAACACCGACAGAGTTCCGCTGTTTTCTTTCAGTCCCTGCACATCAGCTGTTGTCAGGCTCTCAATAAAAGCCACTCTGTCCTTGCCGGTGATGTGTGTTTGGAGCATGTGAGACACATCGAAAATGCTCACATGCTTTCTTGTGTGAATCGTCGATTCTTTGATCGAAAGGTCTGCGTACTGCGTTGGCATGTCATAGCCAGCGAACTCAGCAAACTTTCCGCCATACTTCTTATGCGTGTCGAACAGACATGTTTGTTTTCTGAAATCCTTCTACGTATGTTAGTTCTTCAACAATAGTATTTTTATCGAACGTCGAAATTCTCAGGGAAATCGATAATTCATAATTCATCTAATTAGATTAACACTTTGACCGAAAACTATAATCTAATTTGATGAATTGTGAATCTAATATCAGTTCTTTATCAATCTAATTAGACAAATTTTGCTTTGTCAATTTAATTAGAAAATTTACCAGTTTATTTAGAAGAATTTGCAATCTAATCCCAGTAAATTAGCTATCTAATTAGGTCCAGTTATAAACGCGAATTAGCTAGCTATATTATGCCGCGTCCAATGTCTCGGAAAAACCGTAAAAACCGCAGATTTTGCTGTCCAAAGTCGGCCGAAATTTGCGTGAAAAACGGGGGTGTGCACAGCTCAATGAGTGTAACCGTACCCCTAAAACTACGGTATTTTTTGAAAATTTGTTAATTTCTTGAGGTTATTTGAAAATATTCAAATTTTTTGCGCAAATTTTCAAAAAATACCGTAGTTTTAGGGGTACGGTTACACTCATTGAGCTGTGCGCACCCCCGTTTTTCACGCAAATTTCGGCCGACTTTGGACAGAAAAATCTGCGGTTTTTACGGTTTTTCCGAGACATTGGACGCGGCATTAATAACGAGTCCCCTGGGTTTTCAATTTTTCAAATTTCAAATTTTCACGGTGATCGAGCTTGCGTATGGTCTTAAACACTTACGCTGCGACTTTCGAAGACCGGCAGAAGGAACGGGATGAGTTGAGAAAGGCGGATCTCACGAATCGATTCATTGAGAATACCTGCAAGAACTGAATGTGAGCGTTGTTATCAGAAAGCCGACTGTCACTCTGTCCCGAGAAACGATAAAGTGAGAATGATAAAAACGGAAAACAGGTACTTGTTGTGTACAAGGCCGTGGCAGAGACAGACAGATGAATGCAATGGTTTTGCGAGTTTGATTTCACGGCGGCTTATCAGCAGCCGCTGATAAGGAATCAACCACTTTCTGGACAAATTAGAGGTTGACGAGAAGTCCCCTCGACTCAACATGTTTGAGAAAATGTTTAGAACGTATTTATATTCAAGGGAACATAAAGTTAACAGTGAACTCAAATCCTGAAAAATTGTTTGTCTTCAAAACGGCAACGACCGCCAAATTACGTCGGTGGCCTAGAAATCTGCCAGTGGCCGAAAGGCTCATGAAAGTTATGGGGCTATTCAGCGTATGTTTTTTTCCGTTTTTTTCGTTTTTTTACATCGCTGAATTGAAGTTTTTGACGTAAAAAAAACGGAAAAAACGGAAAACAATCATTTTTTTCACAGCCTGAATAACCCCATAATTTTCTGCCGTTTTTACACGATTTCGAGACAATGTGACTGCACTCTACCGTATTATTTTAATCTCGAGCACTTTTGTCGACAACCGGGCCGCGAACCGTGGTCTGTTTGTGTAAACAAGAGATTCATAACAAATAGATAACGTCAAAATTTGTTGAAGCGTTTGTCGGTATATAATACCTCTCTTCGTTCCCAGTTTCATAATGCCTTCAGAGTTGAATCTGGTTGATTTTCTTCTCTGGGAACTCGATCACAATCTAATTAGAAAACTTTGCAATCTAATACGAACCCGTTTGAAATATAATTTGCTTCAATTAGATTGCGATCACTGCAATTTTTCTAATTAGATTGCAATATTTTCTAATTAGATTGCAATTTTTTTTATTAGATTGCAATTCAGGAAAAATATATTGTAATCTAATGCGATTTTACTGGAACTTCAATTAAATCTGATAAGATTGCGAAATAGAGCGTTTTCTTATTAGATTGCAAGCTCTTCTAATTAGATTGCAATCGACTTTCCAGAGTTACTTTTTTGCCTTCTCGCGCTCCTCCACAACAAGCCACATACAGTCCCTTCCTTCTGAATTCCCCATATTTTCATTTTATTGAGTTGTTTTGGCCAAAATATTTGGTGGCCTCTCACTGTTTTGTTCTCCAATTCAAACACCAGATCACAAAAACTCACTTTCCTCTCGTCCCGCCCCTCTCTAAATATACTAAAGAGAGACAGTGTGTATTTTGAAGAAACGAAATCGTCAACGCCAACGATCGATAAACAACATGACGCGAGCCATTCTACTTCTTATTTTTAGTGCTGTTGTCACTGTTACCGCCGGCGGAATGGTTGGAGGATTCACTGATCAAAATGCTTCGAAGCCGGAGTACACAGTGAGTCACCTTCCATCTGAATTCGCCCATTCAACCAGAATTTCCTTAAGGAGCAAGCTTGGAAGGCTGTAAAGGGAATCAACGACCAGGCGTCAAACAACGGACCATACTACTACGTGCCAATCAAGGTTTGTGTTTATTCTCCGTGAAAAAAATGTGTAAAAAATCGATAAGCTAGTGCCCTTTCGGAGTGATAGTAGTTGGAGCAGCAGTGGTCGAAGTGCTCGTGACGTCGTGGTTGTTGAGCACAATGATAAGAATCGAGCCGGCCAGAAGAGCTGCCCAAATCGACCAAAACAGTGCGATTGCTCCGTATCTAAACACTGGGGAAACGATATGAAATTGAGTATTTTCCTATTCACCTCATAATACGCCATTTCGACTCATTTCTTTTCACATCCAACTCTTCGAGAGAGTATCCGATTTGCGGAACTACATCTACAATCTGAAATTTCTCTTTGTAAATTTTGAGAATCATAAGTTGAAATACTTTGCGCTGTCTAGCAGAATCCTCAGAATAGTCTGAAGACGTGCAGTTCGACGTCATCGTGGCTGTCATTCTTCTTCCAAAAAAATTAAAATAAAAGAGCGCCAGAAAAGAGGTAAAATGAAAAGATAGGGGCTGCGACTGAGGGACAAGATAAGGAGAAAAGCAAACAAATCAAAACGAAACATGCATTGGAGAATGGAATGACGAACTTGTTGGGGGATTACCGGTGGTATTGTGCGATTTGCCAACGTGAACTTGTTCCGTATTCCTTTCATCGTTTTTCAGGTTGTCAAGGCCCAGACCCAAGTTGTCGCTGGACTCAACACCAAGCTGCAAGTGCTCGTCGGCGAGTCGTCCTGCAAGAAGGGAGACCTTCAGGCCCATGAAATAACCGCTTCGAACTGTCAGATCAAAGAGGGCGGCACCCGTGCTCTCTACCAAGTCTCCATCTGGGAGAAGCCGTGGGAGAACTTCGAGCAATTCACCGTCGAGAAAATCCGTGATGTGTCTGCCGATGAGCAGGTCTAATGTTCTCTGTAAATTTCTTCCGAAAACGTCTTCTTTTCTGTATTATTTTCCTTGTAAATTTCAATACTCCTTTTTGCATTCCTCGATTATTAATGTCCCATCAAAACAGACCAAGTTGTATTTACATAAACATTTTCTGGCCAGAATCAGGTAGTTCAAGAGTTAATTTTATCAGTAATTTTTCTAAAATTGAAATGGACTAGTAAATCACATTTGTGTTCAATAATACACGAAGGAAAAGGTACATGTTAGGCAATTTTGAGGACCGATCTTTGTAAGACGGGACTATGGTACGTTTGCTCCAAGAAGTCGGCCCACCAGACGGGAATGGGAAAAGTGGCCAAGTGGAAGAGAGAATGCGAATCGAAGACCCAGAACACGGGAGCAAAATCCAAAAGTTCGAGGCCGGTCGAGAGATTGGCCCACACAATGAGACGAATTAGAAGAATGTCCGATTGTAGCAGCTCTCCGTGAAGGCGTTTTCTGAAGGCTCATAGTTAAAAATAGCGACATGACCTCAAACTTGTCTTGCCGTTGAAAAAGATAATATAAGTAGAGACATGTGGTTATTAATGAGAAAGATATGCACAAAGTCATGTTGTAACCGTAATCGAAGTGGTTCTGAAAATACCCATAGGATTTATCCTCCCAATATATGATAAACGACTTACATTCATATTCTTGACGTGATTGAGAAAGATTATGATGAAAATGAACGGTGCCGCCTTCAGAACAAGCCTTCCTTTCGCTGTGAATTCCAACTGTGGAAGAGTGAAAACGAAGGAGACGTAGAGAGCGGAGAGCACAAAAGCGAAGGCTCCGAAATAGTCGAGCTTCTCAGTGATATCACAGTCAGCCATGTGGAACAGAGAGGATGATATCCAGGCTACAAGGCCCACATGTGCGTACAAAATCCACATCTTACGATTCGGCAGATCACGAATCTTTTTCAGTCTGCGGAGCATCAGGAACACAGAGAACAAGTTGAGCAGAGAGAAAAGTAAAGAAGCCGGCTCCTGAATGACAAGACCGTACGGCAGTGGGATAGCGAGGAACGGCCATTTTCCGTGGAACTGGGGGACGATTCCGTAGTTGCTGAAAGCAGAGTATTTTTTGATAATCCCGTGTTTCTTGAATCAAAACCTCTCGAAGAGTTCAACGGTCTCCCACATGCAGTCGTATCGGCACCAGAAACAGTCGCCCATAACCCAATCGAAAGTACCGAACTGCCCAGGGCACTGGAACTTTGACATGCACTTTTCAGTGCACTGTGCGTGCCAAATGCTTCTGTAAACGGACGTTGCAATCAAAATACAATTAAACGTAATTTTTATTTGGAAAATCTACTCACCGATCTCCCGGAGAAGTTTGAACGAATTTCAGATTTAGAGACCACACAAGCAGAAGCCATCTTGCCCCCGTTATGCTCATCGATCTGCCTAACTAGACAACTTTTTTGAATACTAGACTCTGAAAACTAGATATAAGAAGGATGTCCGTTTCATTCAAAAGTCAACACGCTTAATATTTTCCTCAATGAACCTTTTATTCATGTAAACGTTTTTAGACAAAATAAGGAATTTATGAAAATGTGCTGAATGGAATAGAATACAGGTTGACACCCGTTAAACTTTAGGGGACGTCTGTCATAGAAAAGGGAATTCTTCATATAAGAAAACAAGAGAGAGAGAGGGAGAACGGAGACTATCTTTGGAAAAGGTCAGATGGCAATTGTGATCACACAAGAACACAAACAGAAGGGAAAATAACGGGAGATGGAAAGACCGGAGACAGCGTGGTTAAGTGTGGAGTTCTGGATTCAGGATAGGAATAACATGGACCTACCCCTTCAGTGATGATGCATAAGGAATAAATTATTGTATTACATGAAATGACTATAAAACATAGCTATTAGGTTGTTCAGATTAGTCGCATCGTCATGGTAGGATTGCTGAACGGAATCGTCACGATGTAAAAGACGAGCGGAACAGGTACCATACAAAGCGCCAACCAGCGGTAGACGGAATCTCTGCAACGAACTCCGGTTCAGTTAGCAATTTGTCTTGCATTTACAAAGAGAACAAAGGGTAGAATAGACTGAAACTCACAGTGGCGTGATAAGAGCCACAACGGAAAACGAGAGCAATAACATGATTATCGAGAGGAAAACCACGTGCGTCGGAGATGTTACCATTCGAACTGCAAACATTTATACGATTTTCAGGCCACGGCCCGGCTTTTCATACATAGGGCTTTCGATTTTTTCAATATATCTCCAGAAATCGAACATAGGGGCCTCTGATTTTTTGATAAGAGTTCAATTTTACTGGGTTCTTCAAAATGAGCCAGGTCAGAGGTAAATGTAAGGTTTCTGAGAGAAGTCCAGCTTCATAATTTCCACTTCTCCGTATGCTTTGCCACTTAGGTTTTTACAACGAATTTTATTCACTACTGCACGATTTTTCACTACTGGTTTTCAACTACAATTTTAGGCCTGATTTTTCACTACGAATGTTTTTTCACTACCAATCAGGGCTGGGCAGTTGGCCGGCACGGGCTTTTCGTTGGCCGACCATTGACCTGGACTTTTGGACCACTTGCAATATTCCGATCGGACCCAAACTTTGCAGGATTGGTGGACTTGGATTGAGGGTCATTGGGACCAAGTTTCAGCCCGATCGGATCGTCAGGTCCCGAGATATGTGGATCATTGGCCGATTTTTTCCAAAAAGCCCGGGCTTCCGGCCAATTTCGGCCAATGATCCACATATCTCGGGACCAGATGATCCGATCGGTCTGAAACTTGGTCCCAGTATTCATTTTTTCCTTCGAATTTACTTTTTCACTACCATATTTCGGAATTATTTTTCACTACTAAGGTTTTTAGTACCAGATTTTTGACAAACACTAAATCACTACATGCTGAATTATTTTTTTCTGGTCAACGTTACTTCGAAGTAACGTTAGCTTTGTATCTTTTCTTTATGGTTAACGTTACTTCGAAGTAACGTTAGCTTTGTTTCTGACCGTAAAGAAAAGAAACACAGCTAATGTTGTTGGCCCGTTGCCACGTGAGAAAGTATAACACTTTGCAAATATAAGAGAATAAACTAAGACTTTTGTGGCCATGGATAGAGAATAAAGGCATACCTAACATATCTTTGAAAGGCCGTTTTACTTCTTGCGCCAAATTGAAAACCATTGCCCAAAGCGATCCGATAAGCACAATCCATGGAAATGAGTAGAATAAAAACCCGGCCTGAAAATCAGAAAAACGTCCAAAACCATAAAAATGAGCAACTCACAAAGACGGAATGGACAGCAGCTAAGATTGGAACCGAAACGATTGCGTAGTAGAATGGTTGTCCATTGTACGTCTTGTAGAGAAGAAGACAATAGAGTGTAGAGCGGAGTAATAGAATCGCGACGATCAGAACAAGATGATGGGCGAATGTTATTGAATACAATGGAAAGACAACTTCATAAGTGCATCGCATAGTGTTTGTGTAGCCTACTCTAGGATTGTAGCACGCCGGATACCTGAAATACCACTCTTACAGCTCAACTTTCCAAGATTTCCCACTACCATTCTTTCCAGCTCGTTTTCACACAACCGTTGAGTAAAAAGGTGAATGTGGGAGGATAGATGAGCACAGAGACGACGCATGCAATCACATTCTCTAGAACAACGCACAAATGCTCGGAGATCTCGAAATACCGGGACCTGTTGCTGAAATTCAAACTGTTCGGAGCGATTTTTGAAGAACGTTTTTCACGCTCTCACTACTTTCTAGCGGTCCGAATGAATTCCATGTGTAGGAGCAGCGGAAGAAGAGCGACGAAGAGCAGGTACATCCAGTCGTATGCTTCGAGAGGAGTACCACATTGCTCGCAAATCGACTTGGCGGTGTTGCGCCAGCCGAACGGACATGGTCCACAAGATGTTGTTTCTGCTGCGCCATCGGAACTGTTGAACAGAAGACTTCGTCCACAGAAACCCAGGCATGGCTGTTGTGTGGACGCGTGGTCAGACAGTAATGACATGACGACGCTGACATTACCACATACTACGCTGAAATAAAGTGCCATTTACAAAGAATTGAGGGAGAGGGAGCATAAAGGTATTAGAAATAGCTATAAAACCATATGAAGAGTAAGTATTGACATGTAGGTGGTAAATCAATAAGAATTGTTTATAATATCACCGAGAAAGAGGTAGAACAAAGTGGAACAAAGGGCACTGGGCAAGTAGAGAGATAACCGACAATATGCACCTGTTTGGGGTTTTCAAACACAAAGAAAAACATAACATGTTATTGTTTACTTTCTCCTTCGAACAATTCCCGAGTCTTCTTCTGTCTTTACTACTTTTTTAGATATCTTTTTCGTATCCTCCTCTTTTTTCACGAATTTAGTTAAAATTTGGGCTTTATCCTTCGCGATAGCAGCTTTACATCTTGCTTTATATTCTTTATATCCTATTTTGGCAGTTATCAAGAAGCATCCGGCTGTAACCACGACGACAAAGATAATGGCGAACGAAGACGTTGGCCAGTAGTAAAGAAGATGTCGGATCAGCCCGAATCGCGCGGTGACAATTAGCTCTGCGTCTTCAATCTGAAAAAAAAGTTGGCTTTTAATATTTAGTGCTAGGAGAAAAAGCTCACGTTGGCAAATTTGTCCTTAATGGTGTAAGTGAGTTTCGTAGACGGTAGATCCGAACTTTCTCGATAATCGGCAGTCATCGGGATGGTTAGAGTGCTGTAGTCGTAGAAGAACCCAAGAAAGTATAGCGGAAAGAAGAATACATGCGACGCCTGAAACAATTTTTTTAAAATTAAACTGTTGAATAGACTCCGTACTTTCGCAATCAATCCGGGTTCTTTCACATATGCGGAGCGTGTGTACTGCTTCAATAGCTTGCCATTTCCATCGGAAACCGTTATGACATTTTGGAAGAGTCCCAACATTTTCGAGTTTGCTACATCGGCAAATTTTAGTTGGATATTGAGATAATATGTGACGTCCGGAGAAAACAGTGTGTTCTGGAAAGAAAAATTACTGATAAAATGCAGCTTAATGCCTAGATTTTTTTCAGTATTTGGAATTCAAAGAATTCCAGCAGTTTTTTGTGAAAGGAAATTAAATTATGTGGCATTTAATGGCTTTTTTTTTGTTGAAAATTTAACGATTTTGAGGAAATTTAAACGATTTTTGCGCGCACCTTTTCGTAGTCCAAAGTGGCGGCAGGATATGAGCAGACGCTGTGCAAGTCATGGTCACATGTATGGAAGACAACGTTCAGTGGGTACTGATGATGAACGGCGGACGGGAGCAGTAAATAGCTAAAATAAGCAAAATGAAAAAATGGAAAGAAACAGAAACGGTTAGAAGGAAACGATTAGAACGAACCGGATTAGCAACGGAGCAAGTAAGGCGACGAGGAGGACGACACCGAGCTCGACGAGAATCGACAAGAAACAATCTTTTCCGATCTTCATCGGGGCAGCCGTGCCTGTGTTTATAGAGAGTGAAGCAACAACATTTGTAGTTATCAGAGGCGTGAGTATTGAACATTCTTAGAAGCCGCGTGGAAATGTTCTTATGAATTTGTGATGAAAAAGAGAGAGAAAAAGTAAGTGAGGGAATAAGTCGAATGTGACGAAGAAGCAGAAGCGAGATATTGTGGGAAGAACAGAGACTGGGATGTGCACAAACACGCTCGCTCACTCGTCGCTTTCGTGAAAGCGAGGAAATAACACTTCAGTGCGGTGGGGCGTACTTTCTGAGCGAGACGCAGACTCATAAAGTTTTCTTTTCTAAAGGCATGCTAACAGATATGTCTCGAATCAGAACCCGTCACAACATGACGTTTCGTAATAAAAATCACCTGCAGATAGGTTCTGATCCGGGATAGTTCTGATTCGGGACAGTTCTGACTCGTTGTAGATTCTAGTTTTTCGAGTCAACGTATTATTTAGTAGCACTACGCTGAATCAGAACTATCCGCTGTGCTAATTGGTTCTGATTCGACATAGTCTGTTTTCTAGCAAATAGGCGATAATATCAACTTGACAATTTCCAAAAAAAGTTTTGTTAAACAAAAGTATGACGTGTGAAAAGCGGACAAAATTAGAAAAAACATGTAGCGCGTGGAGCAAAAAACAATGAGAAAAATAACTTATTTATTGAAGAATTAGGTTAAAGTAAAGCCCGTTTTCATAACTATATTATCCATGTTTAATCGATTTCTTGTCAAAGTCACATTCAAATTATTAAAGCTAGTAAACATTTGTACTTTACTTCTCTGATGATTTTGTTGGCCAAGTCGAGTCTCATGACATGAAGAAATGAGTATGGCACATTTCGCAAAACCTATAATAGTCTCATTATAAATAAAGCATCTGAAAGTTTCCTTCGGTTCCTGACCTGTCCATATATCCAGCCATGCACCAACTTTTTGTTCCATCCGTTACGTATGGATACGATTGTTTTATATCGTAATCATCTTTCAAATTGTGCTTGAACTGCCCGACCACGTTCACATAGAACTGAAAAGAAAATGTTGTCAACTTTTTAAAGGGAGGTGGTCTCTACTACTCACATTCTTTCTCATATTGGATTTTTTGGCATAGGCTCTGACTGTGAAATAGAAGAAGTCCACGTATTCGTCCGTTTCATTCAAAAGTTTCTCGTTCAAATTAAACACTTGGGTGTAATTCTTCTCGGCGACCCACGTCGTTTCTTGAATGCAAGAGCTGTTCGCGAGAATTTCAACATCCATCTTTTCATATAGTCTAGCTGCCATTTCATACGTCCTACAAGTAGTGAATGCTGATATAATCCAATGGTAATGACAATTCTCACTGATTATAAGCCTTTTCCACCTCGATTTTGTTCTCCATGCAAAGACAGAATTCATCGGGAATGTTCGCATGATAGCATGTTCTGTTATCCGGAACCAACGTTTGCCAGAGCGAAATTCCACGCTCTAGAATGTTCGTTGCTTGCTGATTTTTCTCTAAACTGGCTCACTATGCTCTTTCTTCCAATCCATGAATTCCTCGTCGGCTACCACTATCGCCTGATCTTTCGATAAACGAGCGAAACTGTAGAAGAGATCGAAAACATCCTGGTGGGTGATAAGCCTAAAACCTCAACGATCACCTCTATTCTATTCAATACAAAAGAAAACAGTGACAGAAAAAATGAAATGAGGGAACAAGAAGAAGAAGGAACTGACTTGTTTTGGTTCTGTTCCATGTGGAAAATGTGATCCGGATAGATTTTTCGCAGTTTGTCCGGCACATGAGCCAAGAGAATCGGATTCCTTTCTTCGACCTTTCCGGTGTAAGAGTTTCCAAATTGTCTAGAAATTTTGAAAATTGAAAAAAAAAACTCTAGAATGGTTGCATACCCGACTGGGATTCCTTCAGCAGAAACCACCACAACAAGAGTCTTCTTGAAAATCTCATTGAGTTCGAATTGTTCTAGGACATTACTGTAAAATAATGAAAGAGTTTAAAGGTGAGTGATGATGATCAAACCTCAAAGTGTCATCCAGAGACTTGGACCAGATTGTGTTGTTGACAAAGATGTGCGACAGATAGCATCGCTCTGTGTTTTCGATCGAAAAGCGTGCCCACTCCTCGATAAGACGTTCGGCGACACTCTGGAAAACGAAATCGGTTATCCGCCGCTACGATCAGTTCAAAATACACACGTTCTCGTCAGAGCAGGAATCTGTCGCCAGGCTTCGCATCCAGTGTGAAAGATCGTAATCAGACTTGATGCCAGTGCGAATAGTGTTCGTGAACACTTTACAGTATCTTTCATCTGAAACGTTAGACATGAAAATCGGCTGGCTTTAAGTTCACGTACTTCTCATATACTGTCCAACAGTATGTCTGACCTCCTTATGGTAAAATGTGCCATTTACAATATCAGTGATATTGTCGGACATTTTGTTGAACATTGAAAACTCAAAGAAGCCAAATCTTCGGGAAGACCTAAGACTTTTCGGGAATTCTCTTTGAAGCTGAGCGTGGGAGATGGACTTGAAAAAGAGCACTGCTATTGACGGGCTTGTCTGAAAAATGCTACTAAAACCTTTTGCGGAATAGGTTAAGATTACCGGTGTGGATTCCATGGGCTCGAAGTTGATAGTGGCTTGTTCTTTGTGATAGTTGAAGAATGATTTCCTGTACAAACTCCTTCCGTTCAGCTCTTTACATTCTACGAAGAAATTTGTATACGGTATCTCTAGTTTCACATCGGGTTCTAGTCTTATCGCCGGTGTTTCTCCAATTGTCGCCAAATCTGTTGCGACGCAACTATAAACACTATTTTTCGGGCGGCCACTTGTCTCCGTCATGACCCACCTCATTGAATTATTGGACTTTATCGTCAGCATAAGATGCCCATCTTCCCATTCGACTTCGAGGTCCGTGGAAGGGCGGCATGCTAGACGGCGCCTGAAAACTTTTCAATTGGAACTTTTGATCCTATCCGTCTGTCTCTTCAGGCTTGGTGCCATATTAATCAAAAAGTTGGATGGAAGACTTTGAGGTGTCATTAATCATTCGGATTGCCGCATCCTTTCCGTCGCCTCGGAAAGAAAGAAAGCTTGTTATCTTTTTATTCTTTCTGTGATTGAATGAGTTGTCTCATGCCCTTTTGGTGGAATGAGGAAGCAAAATGGAGAAGGAAGCGGTTTTGAATTAATTATTATAGGCCCGTTTTTGCGCTTTCAAATTTGTGTTTCGATCTCAGCGCACGCGGTAAGCGTCTAGACGAATAGGGAATGGATCTAGAGCTCACACATGATGACCGCTTTTGGAGCTCTAAAAAGAATATTCATGTGAATGTAAAGGAATTATCTTGCCGTTCCGAAAGTGTAAGACTCCGATGCTCACAAAACGGAGCTTTTATCATTGTCAACAATAAGCGGAGCAAAACGACTTTATGCATCAAGTACACCTTTTCCGCGTGACATCTTGTTAGCGAGCTCTTTTTTTTGAAGAACTGGGAAATGTTGTATCTACTTTCTTCTAGAACAGCAGTTCTCGCGACTAATTCAAACTTTTGGGCGTTGAGATCTTCTAGTTTCATGAGTCATGACTGTCGTGAGCGTATACCTTCGCTTTCACACCACATTGGCCCTCAAACATCCTAGACAGAAAAACGAGAAAAAGGAGGAAGAGGAGACGGTTTTTGTCAGTCTTATTCAAGTCTTCATCCCTTATCTCTTTCTCTCAGCTTATCCTATAAACGAACAACACACAAATAAATATTACCGACAAAGATCAAAATCGCCACCCACACGTACGAAACGGCTTGTATCTACCTCACTCACTCGCTCGCTCGTTTCACATTTTCGGGTGCGAAGAGAGGTGAAATTTGGCCGTGTGAGGGAGAAGAAGAAAGGAGGATGATTTAAACTGGAAACGATGGGATCATCTCACATTACAAACCAACCCAGCAGACAAGGCCAAAAGGAAGGGAAAAGAACATGGACCGGTCGTCTCTCGAGAAAGAAGATGTCCAACGTTGGCCTAGCTTACTGTGTGGGATGTTGAGGTCAAGTAAAAGTGGCCGTGACTTGAACCTCACCTTTTCCCGTCTAAGACAACACTTCCATGGCTACTGTAGCGTGTGGAAAGCGCTATTCATGAAATTCAAAAAATCAGTTCCTGATCTTATGAAAAGGTTGTCTAAAATCACAAGACTTTTTGAAACTGGGCCCGATGCGCGGTCCAAGCTACCGCTTGTTTGTTTCCCATAACTTTTTGAAAGTTCACAATGAAATTATTTTAGAAATGATCGTGGGGACGGACAAACAAAGAGATAAACAAACAAACAAACAGAGGGACCCGCAAGAGTTATATTAATTAGAACGATGATGATGATGATTTCATTTCTGAAAAAGTAGCGACGGAGAAATTGAAAAATGAACACATTAACTTTTCAAACAGTTTTGAGAAACAAACAAGCGGTGAAGCCGCCTTCGAGCGTTAGCTCGGACTTATCTAAGAGCTGTGACTAAATCCCAAAGATCCCCGACAATTAGCGGCCAGTCTTGGTCACAAAAAATGCGTGTATCTATTATCTAATATGCATCACGTTCCTCATCACAGAGTGATGATGAGAACGATTTTCTCTCTCTCTCTCTCTTGCCAAGAAGATGCGAGATAATCGAAATGCAAAAAAAAAGTTGCGTTCCTTTTGGGTGTTCCTGTTCTTCTCTCTGTCATATCTTTTCATTCTCTATTCGTTTGGCGCGAATCAGTAAGTTCACGTGCTGGTCACTCCTCGGCATCCGTGCCAATGAAGTTTCCAGCCGTCATCAGGGCGGTTTTTATCTGCGCAAGCGAAAGGCATTGAGAAATGAAAATGTTAATGTCTGTGCGCGTGTGTGTGTGTCCGACAAGATTTTAGTCTGTGCTATGATCTTTTGAAATCGTTTGTCTTTAGTCGCCTACTTTCTTCTCTTCAAGTACTTTTGAATGTCTGGCTCGTCTGGCTGAAGAATCGGCCATGGACAGTAGTTGTAGAGCATTGGGTGCGGGTCTGGAAGAAGAGCAGGTTCAGAAATTCTTTTCAAGTTATTTTACAGCCTAGGATCTGTACAAACTGAATCTAGGGAAAAATCATGTTTTCAAGTTTTTCAATACTTTGACAAGGTTCGGGACTACTGTTAAATAACTTCTAATGGCATGTTGCCTAACAAGCCGCACTTCAGGTACGCTTCGACTAGCTATGATCGGGCTCAGATGCGCACTTACCGTACTTGGGTTGGATGATATCATTGCGATTCACAGAGTCCAGTGTCTGGACATAAGACCATTCCTTATTGTGTTGCCAATAATAAACGGAGGCTCCAAGCACCGAGGCGAGTAGTAAGAGTGCTTGGATCATTCTGAACGAAAATAAATGCTTGGTCACAAAAGTCCACTCTTTTATGCGCACTCGAACGACGATAACTATCGAATCGAATAAAGTGAACTTGCAGATAACGCAAAAAACTGCCAAAAAGCAGCGAAATTCGGAGAGATGAAACTAAAAAGATCGGCCAGAAAGCGAGGGGGAGGAAGGGGCGGACACTTATCAAAAGGCCAGGAAAAATGGAAGAAACGATGACGGAGAGGATGAAAGTGCAGACGAAGCGGAGAAGCCCGCGGAAGCTGAGAAGAGGCGGCGACGCGCGGACACGGCAATTCTGCGCTGTGTTTTATTCGGAGGCGAGAAAAGATACGTGTTATTCTGCGTTCGTGGTGAAGCTTTCGGTTTCTGAAACAGAATACTTCGGACTCAGCTCCTGAAGACTGTTCATTTTCATGCTCACCTTTGGCTTCAGGCCAGGGCTGGGCAATTGGCCGGCCCGGGCTTTTTGTTGGCCGACCATTGACCTGGACATTTGAACCACTTGCAATATTCCGATCGGACCCAAACTTTGCAGGATTGTTGTACTTGGATTGAGGGCCATTGGGACCAAGTTTCAGCCCGATCGGATCGTCGGGTCCCGAGATATGTAGATCATTGGCCGATTTTTTCCAAAAAGCCCGGGCTTCCGGCCAATTTCGGCTAATGATCCACATATCTCGGGACCAGCTGATCCGATCGGGCTGAAACTTGGTCCCAGTATGCTTCAACCCATGTCCAAGAAGCCTGCAAAGTTTGGGTCCGATCGGAATATTGCAAGTGGTTCAAATGTCCAGGTCAATGGTCGGCCAACGAAAAGCCCTTGCCGGCCAATTGCCCAGCCCTGCTTCAGGCCCATTGAATGTCCCATTATGCTCTTGCGAAAAAGTGTCAACACACACATAATGCAGTTATTAAATTTTTTCACTCCTGAACAAACAAACAAACATTTGTGGCAATTCTCTCAAAAGAAGCCCATTTAGAGAGCCATGGAGAAGTTTATTATAACTGAAAATGGACGCTAAGGAGACAAAAAGAGAAGAGAACGACTCGTGCAGTGTGCTTTAAAATAAATAGGAATGGCCATTTGAAAAAAAGGAGACGCTGCTGGGGCGTTTGGAGTCGAAGTTCGAGTTGAAAGCGTAGTATCCTCTAGTTCGCGTTGACCAGAGTGTAGATCATGCTGGAAGGTAATGTACTTTCTTGAGGAAAAGCATATAAATACAACTTACGCGTAAAGATAATAGAAGAACGAGATGAGATAGAAGGCCAGCTTGATCCAAGAAATGCGAAGAGTGGCGGAGAGCGTCGAGCGATTGAGAATGGTAGTCGGATCATAGATTCCAGGTCCTGACATGACCGGACGGTTCAGATACGTATAGATGTGGTAAAAAGCGAGCGGAAGATTTGCGAGAATCGAAATGAGCTGCCAGCTGAGGATGAACAGTACAGTGAATGTGCCGTGGATGATGTATTCTGGCAGGATCAGCTGGTTCAGGTTGCGGCACTGCTCAATCGGATTCTTGTAATCGGTGCGCAGCTCGTCCACTGAGATCACCTAAAATTCGCATTTGTAAAGCTGTTTTCTGAATCTCAAGTTTACAGTGTAGATTGCGAAGAAAATGCAGAACCCGACGGCGATGAGTGCCAGAAGGTAACAAAAGGCGGCAAATGTGAACGCCATCCTCTTCTGTATTTAGATGAATAAAAATGATCCTCGAAAATAATTGTTACGAGAGAGAGAGAAAAATCGAACGACACTGTAATTACAGATTGAAAAGTATCAAAAGCGGGAGAATGTCCAACCGCACATCAACACAATCAATGTGAAAACAACGCGGAATATTTATTCGGCAGTGATGTTGGAATTGCATTCTACCAGGAGAAAAAGAGATAAAGAGACAATGAACGGAACAGATAGAAAGAAATTATAAAAAGAAAAAGAAAACTTTAAAACAAAACAACAGATACTCAGTGCATCTTAACCGTAACAAGATTCGTATGACACGTAGTTTTCTATTCTACTTCTTCCTCCACAACCACCTCCTCGACTTCTTCCACTCCGAGCTCATCGCCATCCAAATGATGCTCTTGCTGATATATGATGCACTCCTCCTGCACCACTTCTCCCTCAGTTTCCACTAGCTCATCTTGAGCATATATCTCAGGCATATCATAGTAGTCGGCCGCCTGCATCTGGCTTCTCTTCCGTTTTTCCCGTCGTTCACGAGTCGTCATCGCTTCTGTGCGTCCGTGAAAGTTCAATTCGTTTTCAATCTAGAAATATTTGAAATTAAATTGAGACAGAATGTGATGATCACCTCGATCATTCGGGTAGCTCCAAGGAATCCGACTACATGGTCATAGTCAAGTGGAGCACAACCGTCGACGTCAATAGATTCGATTATGAGCGGATGATAGAGTGGCTGAGACTTGCTAAGATCCCATACTTCTTGTCTTTCTTCTTCTGTGGTACAAGCGAGCACCGGCGTCGCCGACGCTTTTTTCCACAATCCGAGTCCAGAATGATAACGGAGAGAATTGCGATTGAAATGGGAGGCGCAGAGGTAATGTCTTCCACGCTTCTCGAGACGAGTCAAAAGATAGCGGTAAATCCACGGTTCTCGACACATCGAATTGATCCATTTGGTACGAAGCTTCTCATCTTCATGTCCCGGAAAGGGTATCATTGTGGTGCAGTCGTTGGCATGACCGCACAGAACACATTCTGCCTGGACGCCGTACATAATCCGGCGCTCCGCGATAATGTTGAATGGATCCAAGTTATCCGGAAAGTGAGAAATGCAAATGAGCGCAGTTCTCTCTAATTTCGATAAAGTGCTCAACGCTTTTTTCACAACCACTTTCTCGGCTTGAACAAGAGAGTCGATAAGGAAGTTTTTCTCCGAATCTGTCGTCGGAATTCTGAGAGTCGACATCTCTTCTACCTTTTTCCAATCGTCACACAGAAGACATTTGCACACAGAATTAGGTCCACGTGGAATCATATCAAAGTCGTCCGCATCCATAGCAAGTGGCACTGCATCTCGGTCGAGAGTTGTTTTACCGTCTTCTCCAGTAACGAACGCCTTTTGACCAAAGTGATACACACAGATGCGGTATCTGGTGGGTTTTGGTCGAATAAGACGGCGACGAAGCCAATAAACTTTCTTGACGTTGAATCTGCTGGATTCGTCGAATGGGAACAGAGCATCTACCCATTTCTGACGGGTCTCCACGTCGTGAGGAAGACTGACCAGCAGATTCTTGTCACTCATGCAAGAGTCGCAGAGCACGCAGAACGTTCGGTGCCAGTCATCCATTTTTTCAGGAAGTTTCTGAAATAAACAGAACGCGTAAAGCATAGTTTTTGATAAATAGAACCTACTCTATAATCGAGATGGCTTTGACAGACATTGATCGGACAGAAGTGATAGGCGTTCGTAAGGGCTCCTTCAGTTTTGCGCTTCTGCCACAAGGTCTTCATCGACTCCTCAAACTCGGGCGGCCAATCCATAATTTCCAGCCATTTTTTGTGACGGCACTCGTCAAACGGCCATGTACGGATATTGAACTTGTAAGGAAAAATGGTATGGAAGTCGGCACCGGTTGATTCGACGGCGCTGCAAACCTGGCACAGGCGCTTCGAGTATGGTATCTCGCCCATTTTTTCTATCATCTCGTTTTCTTCGTCCGAGTCATCCGAATATTCTATGATTTCTCCTGATTCAACATTCGGTTTAAGATCAATTGCCATTGAAGTTCCCGGCTGAGACGGATCTTTTTCTTTCTCTACACTGTTTTTCACACGCAATGAGTCATTGTTCACTGGAAAAGCAAATTATTTTGATGGAAAACAATACGATAAACCTACTGATTCTGCTTCCTTCGCCTTCTTCGCCCTGCTCATTAACCAAATACTCATGGATCTCTTCTCCGATAATCACACCTTCCTCTTCTTCGTCACCATTTCCGAGCTGGCTCAACTGATCAGCGTTCTTCCAGAGTTCTCGCTCCCAAAACATTTCGTCGCGACACTTGTCTACCAAATACACACGTAATCCACGTTTGTCAGATGCCACTAGTCGAGGATCAGGAAGAGCATTCCGGAGAAGACGCCACTCGCCGAATCCGTTAATTTCGAAGCTGCTGTCGGCAACATGGAAATCACAGATAAACTGGGTCACACCGCCACGCAACGCGGCCGTTAAACGGCGTTTGAACTCAGCGTTTCCGGCCGCGAGGGTCTCGATCCAGCGAGAACGTTTCGCACGATTCTGCAATAATTTTTGTTAATCATTTGAATGATTACGAGAAATTACTCGAATAAACGGCAACATAGAGGCCAGTGATCCGTCTCTTCCACAAAAAACACATTGAAGAACGATCGAGTCAAAATCAAACTGTATATCCTCCATAACAGAATGTCTTCCTTCCTGAAAAAAGATATTTCCAATTAAATGGACAAAAACGTGATTTTCACCACTGGTCGAACATCCAGCGGCATCAGCTGATTTCCTTTTATGTTTGTGGAGCCTGGCGGAAAATGAGCTTCACAAAACTCTCCTCCATGCGATCCTTCACAAGCTAGCTCACGAAGCCACAGCTCTGCGGATCGTTCTTCGTCGAGGTTCGAGCGCAGAATCCACACTTTTCGCATACGGAGATCACCGGGAAGCACACGAAGCTTTCCGACGGTTTTTTTGCGACATACGTGACAATACTTCATGTAATCGTTGCGACGAGTGTATTCTTGTTGCTTGTACCGGTCGTAATAGCGAGATTGGGAATGATCAATGTACCCGGCATTCTGGGTTCGGGGTCTTTTGCGGCTGAACAACTCTTTCATCGACATCCCCGGATTAGTGTGCTGAAGAAAATCGATATGGGATGCCATATACTCTGGTTCGCATGAAGTCTGTAACTTTTTTCGTAGATAATAATGACTTTCCGTTGAAAACTCACGCCTTGCTGGTTGATTTCGTATTGCCCGTTGAACTCGCCATCCTCTCCTTCGACTTCGTCATCAAGCTTTTCTGTGCATTCTTCGAGAATTGTCTCTTCAACCTGCAACAGAAGATATACTTATTTCACTCGGAATTAACTCACTTCTGCAGGATGAGTGGACGAACTCAGCCGTTTCGCCATCTAAACAAAAAACACAAGCTCGACGAACAAATAGTCAATATTTTGGCGAATAACGCTGCGAAAATGAATTTTCAGATTTAGAATACGTTGAAACAACACGAAAACCGTGCAGATTAGCAGGAAAACAATAAATTGTCACGCTTTTGATTTTTTTTTTGCAGAAAGTGGGAGGTTGACAAGACCCCGCCCCTTTGCAATCTGCTGGCACGACGTTTTTGCAACGTGCGCACGCGTTTTCCGGAGTAGGTTTGAGTCCGTGACAAAAGGACGGAAAACCTGAAAGGTCGGAAAACCAGTAAGGTCGGAAAACCAGAAAGGTCTGAAAACCAAAAAGATCAGAAGACAAAACGGAAAAACTGCTAAAATACCTGTTTTTCGAACAAAACGAGTAAGAGAAGGAAAGTCAGGGCACGAAATACAATAAATAGATAGATATTGTCAGTACTACCTTAAAAATTAACTAAGAAATTGTTTGGCTTGGATAATCGCACGAAGACAAAACGAATCAACTACGGTGTTGTTAACTGATCCGTTCGAGCGGCTGCTCAGCAGACGACGTCAGTCGATCATTTGCACTTCCAATCAAGGTCTTTTCAATCTACATCTACAATTGATAAAATGTAAGTCTAAACAATTTAGACTAAAATACCGAAATAATGACACAGCCGTCAGAAATTTCTCGAGAAATGTCTCTCGAAGAGAAGAGAGAAAGATCTGACTTCTTGCATTGCAATAACGTCGGAGCCATGACGTTTGGAAATCCCAATCGTTCTTTCCGATCAGAGTCCTTTGTCGGCGTCCTTATCACTAATCTCCCCCGGTAATCAAGACCGCAGGAGTGGGAATTTCAGCTTCAAGCGGATTTGCGGCAAATTTCGAAGCAACCGAGTTAATTACCGTCGGAGATTAGTGATAAGGACGCCGACAAAGAGCTCTGATGGGAAAGAACGATTGGGATTTCGAAACGTCATGGCACCGTGCCAAGAGGATTCGAAAAAAGTGTGATAAGGAATTGAAGGATCTCCCTTTTTTTCATCTCACATCTCTCTCATGTCATGTTTTCCCCCTCTCTCTCTCTGCCCTTTTTCGTTCTCTTTATATTTATCTCAATTTGCGTAAAGTTCGTGCAACATTTGCTGCCACCTAACAAATATTTTTCGAAAGTTGGTCAGATCTGAAAATTTGCAAAAAATATTTGTGTCTCGGTGTTCTCTCGAGGCTGTTACTATTGTTCGGTACTGACATTGACCTGGGGCCTTTGAAAGTGCAAATCTCTGTTAAAATGGAAGTTTGATTAAAAAACCAGTTGAAATGTTCATTACAGTCGCAGAAATGATGACATTGAGTATGCAAGAAAAAACAATTGGGTAATAAGGAGAGTGGAGAGAATACCGCGTAAAAGGAAGAAGTGTCAAGAGGATGTCTGGAAGAATTTGCGGGAGCGTATGGAGAGGGAAGCCAGAGGGGACAAAGTCGATGATGAAGATGATACAGGTGACGAGCGGGAAAAGGGGCTGAGAACCATTGTACATTGATTACGAACAGTAGACACGAATCATAAATAACAGGATGCGGAAAGTTAACGATTTTATTGCATTCGGCACACATCGCGATCGCCTTCTCCCTCAAAATTCGTATGCTCGTGCCATTCTGCGAGTTGACAGCGAATCGTGTCGAGATCTTTGTCAAGATCCGAGAGCTTTTCGCACTGCTTGTTAAGCTGAAAATAACAAAAAATTATTTGCCCACATTAAAAGTCCAAGATCTTACAGTCGATTCCGCCGACATCATCGAGAACGGCTTCGACTCTGCGGCTTCGTTGTCTTCATCATCGTCCAGTTCGCTGTCCGACATATTCATCTTGACTCCAAGCAAACGAGCCACATCTGGGTTGTCTCCACGCGCCAATCGTTCAACAGTATCCTTCAGGCAGACGACCATCGCTCGGCACATGACTATGTGCCGATTCTGTTCACGAATCGTACGGCTCATCATTGGCGTGATATCATCTTGTTTGGAAGCGTTGAGAGCAAAGTTTGAGAAACTCTTGGTCAGACCGCCGGATTTCGAGCGTGACAATGGTGTCGAATGGGATCCAAGAGTAGAGTGCGCCTTCGAATACGGGCGGATCATCGACGGCCGTATGTCTGACATCGTTTCCATTTCATCGGCTAGTGGCGTAGAACCAGATGAGCACGACTGATGGTAGGCGGATTGCTCCAGGCGCATTGTAGAGACACATCTCTCGAGCTCCTCTATCGCTCGCTTCTTCACTTCCAACTTCTTGTTCAAATCGTCGTTTTTCTGTTCCACATACCCTTTCTCAGCTCGCATTCGTTCGAACTCGGCATCCTTCTCGCGATTACGATTCAGCATCGTACGACACTCCTGAAGCTCTCGTTCCTGCTTCCAGAACTTGTCCTGAAGCTCGTGATACTCCTGCTGAACCGCGTGTCCTCCGTTCTGAGCAGATGCTCTTGTGACGTCCAGCTCGTGCTCCAATTGTTGAATCTTGTCGACACAACGCGTCAGATCGTCTCTAGCTCGCTCTCCGTCGTAGATCAACTGCTTCACTTTTCGCTCGTAGTCATCTGTCATTCGCTCGATTCGCTGATACGCTTTCAGCAGTTTCATTTCAAGAGACGTTACTTTTCGATCCTTGTTCATCAACTGATCGTTCATCTCTTGCATGCGAAGCTGATCGCTTTTCGATAGACTTATATGCGACGACTTTCCAGACGAATCTGTAGAATGAGAACGTGAACAGAGTGAGGCAATACAACATACGTCTAGATTCTCTCGACAGATTGGGAGTAGACTGATTGTTCTGCTCCTTCTGTGACATCTCCAACTCTCTGATCCGCTTCTCCAAATAGGCCATTCGAGCTTCACTTGGATTGGTGATTGGACCATCAACTGGAAATGAATTATCATAGAAACAACGTCAAATATATCGTTTACCAAGTCGCTCCTCTCCACCATGATTCATCACGTAGCTGTTGTAGGCCGGCAAAAGATCCGCTTGTCCACCAAGGCTTCCACGACGCTCTGTTCGCATGTCATCTCTTGATCCGATCACGTGACGGCTTTTTGCCAGTGGAGCAACTGCTACCTGGAACAGTATTATAAAATTTTCTGCTTTTCAAGAACGTTTATTTTAGTTCAGTCAGATCTCTCGTGCCATCCATCTTCTACCGTACCTCCGGCCTTTTTTTCCTGTTCACAGCCGGACTTCCGGACTGCGCTCGCAGTTTTCCGGAGCCACTGATCGAAGTAATTGAGTATGGAGGCCGTGCTGCTGGCGGTGGGAGAGTCGTAGGCGGATGATCGCCACCACCACCACCGTTACCGTTCTGATCAGAAGTGGGCGACGAGCCGCCCGTAAACCGTTCTAACATTTTCGCATAGAATCGGCCCATTGCTCCACCACAACAACAAATATTCATCCGTGGCAAACGACGTCACCGTAACAAGATGGTCGCAATTTTTGCATTCAAACTTTTTCGTAGGGACGAAAAATGATTTTGTTTTGTTTTTCTATATTATTAGTACAGAAGCCGTTCTACACAAGGATAGATGTGGGTTCGTTTCGCTGAAAAAAAAAACAGAAGGAATTTTCGAAGAAATGAGAAGGACCGGCGAGATGAAGCAGAGATGAAAAAAAGGCGGTGAACATCAAAACCGAAAAAGGAACGGAATGCAAGAAAGAAGAGGCAGATACTGACTGATAGCAATACGGATTCAGGTACGGATGAAAAAGAGGGGAAGAGAGGCGGCACTAACAAAGAAGTCACCACGATGGTCATAAATCCTACGCTAACTGCCTTCGCGGTCGCGGTCGTCGCACCCAACAGATGAGAAGTGGGAGGAAAGAGAGAAAGATAAGTGACCCAAAAAAAGTGTGGGAATTATCACTTTTCTTTTCCATTTTCTCATCGGGTGGGTGTGAGAAAACATAAATTCTGGATCCGCTGGGGAACCCATTAGAATGAGATAGATGAGAAAACTCGCAATCTTACGAAGAATAGAGAATGGACGACGAATGGAATGTGGAAAACTGTGCGAAAAGTTGGCAGTACAAGTGCATAGTCTTCAGATTGCAACCGAGATAAGAATCTGTTGGAATGACTAGTTGGCGGTGGAAGGATAAGGGAGGCGAAAAGCAGATGCAAGCTTTACTGAACCATGAGTGACTTGAAGTATTGAAAGTGCGACAAAACATAAAAGTATCTCGAAAATATAAATAAACAATTCCATAGTGAAACACCCGAAACATTTTTGAAAGTGAAGCGTCGAAAGTTATACCAGAACGTTTTTGTGAGAGAATCAGAATAGAAGCAGAAGTTGTTAGGAAGTTTCAAAGTCGAGCGAACACGAGAACTGTCTCTTATTCTCTGATTTCTAGGTCACAAGTTGCTTGGTGCGAAATGTGATGAGACTAGTTTAGGTCAGGAAAAGATAAAACTAGTAGAAAGGTGCGACAAAATGTTCTGGCAGTCAGTTGTCGAAGAATAAAGAGAGTATCGACGGAGAGGAGAGGCACTTAGAAAGGCCAGGATAATTACCCACTGTATATCCTGTGAAGGGCAAACCATTTCTAGTTAGCCTCGGTTTCTCCGTCTCGGTGGGGACACAATAAGGCGAAACTCTGAGCCTGGATGAATAGAAAACAAAAGAGGGAATTAAATACTGTATGTGTGTGTGTGCGGGCAGAAGCAGCAGCGTAGAAAACGACACTCTACCCAGCTTTTTTGATGGCCGTCAGTGGTGAGCGAGCGCGCGCACGCGGAAAAAAGCAAACAACCCTTTTGCTAGTGGGGATGGACAGTCGGGCGGACGGACTGATGGCATTTGTGCGAATAGGAAGAGCTCTCTTGAGCTTTTTTTTATCGAGTTGTATTATACGAAAAGATTCCGAGAAGGTGGCCAGTTGATTTAAAGGGGAAGTGTCTGATTCAGATAAATGAGTAGAAGAACATTCTTCCATCGTCTTCATCTCTTGTAGGCGTCCGATTCAGGGAATGCTAAAAGGATAATAAACGAGTAATAAAACAGACGCGACCCTGTCAGAGAAAGACAATGTTTGCCTTTTAAAGAAAAATTGTATTACAAGTTAAATCAGAAACAAACGCTACTAGTTGAAAAGCCAATTGAACATGATTTGAGAAATGTACACGTTAACTTCTAACAAACGGCAAAGCCGCTCACGAGCGTAGCGCTCAGCCGCCTAAAGATTCGCGTGATTTTAATAAGAAGAATTGTAACCGGGCTTCCTAAATTCCTACATTGTTTTTAGTTCTAAAATTCAGAAGAAGTCCTCAATTGATTACCTCGATGAAATGAAAGAAAAGGGAAAAGGCTATACGGAAAGAATTAAACGTCAGCCACACGCACAACACGATAAAGATCGCCACAAGCCATCAAGAGAAGCAAGAGGGGATGGAATCGACTTCAAAAAATGGTGGCCCCGAGAATTGCGCACAAGAATTACAAGGATTAATATGCAAATAATGGGTGTGGAGCGACTGAGCAAGTGCAATTCGATACTTTCGACCTTCTCCGAGGTGACACAGTTTACGATATATCTTTCCTACGCACCTGACCTATACCACATGTGTTGCCAGTAAGCGAAACGATTTGTGATGGACTCGACTTGTATCAAAAGGTTAAGGCAAGTAAGATGCCGGCTTGCTGATTGTGAGCCAATACGAGGGAACAAAGAAAAAACTTGACACTATTTGTCCATCACGGCCTCGCATCAGGAGGAGAACATTTAACGAACATCGTGATTGATCGAAAAAAAAAACGAAAGGATGCTAGAGGTACGGCAGAAAAGAGAGAAAGTTATTGAGGAATGACAACGCATCAATTAATGGCAACGTGTTCCTTGAAACTAATGGAAGTGGAAAAAGTCGAGTTCAGGGTAAGCGAATGAGAACAATCTGTTGGTAAATAGTGACCACATGATGAATGAAAACTACGAAAGATTTCCATTTTTCAATGAAAGTAATCTCAGACAAGGAGGGCGGAGAAATATACGGAGGGACCTGGCCATACGATGAAGTATCTGGCGACATTTGATTTCAACCCTTCGCATACTTCAAAGATACTCATGATGTATAGAATTGAAAGGAACGGTGGTGCTTCACCCATCTGCTCTTCTATGTCATATGGTCGATAATTCGGCACATATGCAACTCTACGAGTGTTTCAAATGGTCCAGAATAAAACGAGATGGAACGGAGAGAGCGAAGAGCAGCAACACTAGAATTATTTTTGTTAGAGGCTGAGGCAAATAAAAACTTTAAAAATCGTTTTATGGCGTTATGCATAGTTTTTTTCATTTTTTTCGTTTATCCCCCCATTCTGACGTGAAAAACGCTGTAATAAAACGACAGAGAATTGCATAACCAACAGTAGAAGAAAATCCCCAGAACATTGAAGAGACGCAGGTAGATTGATAGAATTTTTTGAACACATTAGAGGAAAATGTAACGGATAGAGGAAAAGGAGAGGGAGAGAGCGAGAGAGATGGAAGGAACTATGCAAAACACACACGCAACGACTGGGAACAAGTAGAACAGAGAGAAAGGAGTATGTTGTGTCGCCGTAAACGTAGCGTGCACCATTTCCAAAAGAATAATTGTTATGTGTTCGAAGAAGAGAAGTGGTTGTGTAGAACCAATATCCAGGGAGACGAACACTGTCCTTTCAATAGAGATGAACATATATCAATTTTATTAGAAAACGTCTTGCGGGGTCTGTCTCATCAGATCGGTCCGCTTGACCTATGAGTCTTGTTTTCTGTCCAACTTCTATATTTGGCAGACAAAGATGTTTTTTTTAGGACTTGAGAAGGGTGCAGAAGATTCCGGCGACGAAAAAACATATTTTTGCGGCGACAAGCAAGCAGATTATGCCTTGTCACCCTGAATAACACCAATTGGAAGGACAAAGCAAAAGTCTCCAGCGTCCACTGCGATTACGCCGTCTCTGTCGAAAACTGGGCTTTTTGCTATTAAAATTGGATGAGAAAGAGAGAGAGAGAGAGAGGGTGTGTGTGTGTGTTTGAGAGAGAGAGAGAGAAAAAGAGGAACAAACGAGGTGTTCAATGGGAAACGCGGCAAAAAGAAATGAACCTCTACATTTTGAAAATTTTGACCCACAAGAGCTATAACGATTATCACAAGTATTAGTATTTTTCGCTTAGTTAACTAGCTTTTCAGAATCTAATAATCATTATCTAATTTCAGATTTCGGATGACACGAGAGAAGACTGTTTTCAAAATTATAACAACAAACTAACTTGATTTTTTGGCGTCGACGTGTTTTTGATTCCATCAATAAATGAGGTCCGGAATGGTACGCCTCCGACGTTGTGAACACTTCGACGTTGACTGAAACAATTTTAAATTATGAAAGTAACAAACTAATTTTTTAATCATGAATGTGTATTTTTTCTCAACTTGTACCTTTTCTTCCAATTATGCCGATCTTTCTTCCGCATATCACCGTCTATTTCCGAAAATTCCCCATCGGATATATTGAACAAAGAATCGTTACACGAACACGACGGTCGCACGGACCATCGTGCCGAGTTGTCTGTTTTCGTGGAGACTAACGACATTGTTCAGTCATCTCTATAAATTTAAACTGAACAATCTGAACAAGGAAAGCACGGAGAGAAGGTGTAGGACAAAAAAAACTGCGAGAAACGGAGAAAAGCGAAGTTGAATCACCAAGCGGCATGTTTTACTCCTCTCAAGGCCTTTTTCAAAATATTTTTGAATGTGACAAAGAGGTTTTCACGCCTCAAACGTCGGAGAACTCGCCCAAGGCGATTCAGGCTCTATCTCAAATTGTGTGGCCGCACATGGAGAAAATTTAAAGGTTCAATATTCAACATTTCAAAATTTGATGAATTAAGAGTAAGTTGGAAGAAAACGGGTGCAGAACGACTACTACGACGGTTCTGGGTCTCAAAATAATCGAAATATTCTGATGGGAGGCACTTTAGGTTTTTCGCTGCCTTAGGAGATGAAGATGTGCTTGGACGGGAGGGCGCAATGCGGCGGCTGGCGGTCGGACGGAGAAGACCAGCAGAGACAAACACACGAATTAACTGGGATTTGTGAGCGGGTGGATATTTCTCACAATCATTTCAGTTTTTAAACATTTAGGGTTAAGTTGCTGAGAACGTCGAGAACCAAATAAGACGAGAAAGAGACTAATTGAGTTAAACGGATTGCCAGTTGCTGCTAAGAAAAATCGTTGTATCTAAGAAACAAAAGAGCGGAACAAGGAAGGGAGGAAGGGAGGGACGACATGCATGCCTCTTGTCACCACCTTCTTCTTTTACGAGTGAGACGACATCTCCGCTGCGTAAAACCCTCTTCAGGATGGTCATGTGCATGCATTATGCGCACTCTATATTTGTATGGAAAAGAGGATTGCTCAAGCATATTTTGTAAGATAAATGAAATAGAGAACGACGAAAATTGTTGCATATTCGTTTCGTACGAAAGACGAGGAGATGTAGGTACGAGAGGTGCGCGGAAGGACGGAAAACGGATGTTAAACCGCTTCGTTGGCCTTTTATCGTTCCTATTTGATTTCAGACAGACAGGAAACAAAACAAATATCGATCTCCCTCGAATGCATCGAATCGCAATAGGATTTAATTCCACAGACAAACATTGTCCACATTGACAGGGTAGTGAGAACTGTACATCGATGTTGGCACCACCACTAGAGCTCTATTCAGAAACCGAACAAGGAGGAGAGAATGAGACATGAAGAGCTCCAATTAGATGAGAATGAGAAGAGAGCGAAGACCCTTGCCGTTGCGGGCGTTTCTAACATATGCGCTCCCACACGATTCACCAGCGACATTCGCAACATATGACAAATGACAACCGGGAATCGAAAGGAAAGTGGCATTTCGAGCGACATCGAATATATAAGTCAGTTCTCGAGGGAAATTGTGAACGGAATGAATTTCAAATTTGATAGGCGTCAGTGGACCCAGTGGGGACGGCTGCAGTCAACGCTGAAATAGTTTGTACTTTTGGGTAGCAGCTTCTAAAGGAGAGAGATGCGGTAGTGTGAAAGAAAGAAAGCATAGAAAGGAGGAAATAAATCAAATCTTCCACAATTCGGAGACCCTGACCGTCAATTTATTTGATTGTTCACAACACAATTTCTCGAGCTAATAGAGTAGCGGATGTAGCAATTGTCCTGTCGCGAGTGCGCGAATACGAATGACAGAAATTGCTACGTGCCAAAAACATTGGAGAAGGCGGCTGAGATTGATGCTGATGAAATACGATTCTTCTGGCAGTGTAGAAAGAATGGAGAAGCACAGATAGAAGGAAGAGGAGAATCAACATTGGAGATGAAGAGAATAAATCAGAAGTGAAAAACAAAGATGTATCTGTTCGTGAACTCTACTTTATATCGCGCCATGAAGTTTGATAGATAGTTGAAACAGATGGAGAAGTTCAGAGAATCCGCCGACGCAAACCAATTGGAAAGATATATTTTCAATGTGAAAACCTGTTTACCAGGTTTTTTAAAAAGGTTTTTGTAAAGGATGAACCCGCGTAAAAGTAGTAGTAGTAAAAAGACTTACTCAATGTTGTACTGTGGCGGTGTCATCTTCACAGATTCGCAGAGCTGATCGACACTAGCCACACGTGGCGCGCTTCCCATCCGGCTGTGCACTGGAGTTGTGTTGGTAACGATGTCGGCGCTGACAAGGCGAGAGCGATTATGTACTGATGGAGCTGCCGACAGATTACTGCAGTTGTTGTTGTTGTTAAGAGCCAAATCGGACGGCGAGAAGCGAGAACGGCCGCTCGCAAAGACTCCTGATCCTTCTCCATTCGACATCTGGTACAGCGACGTAGCTGAAATTTCATTGTCCGGCCTGACTCGATTGCGTCTCCAGGTGCTCGCGCGGCCGTGTGACACTGATCGTATAAACTTTGTCCGCCTGACTAGATCACTATTTTCGCTTCCCGGATCTCTAATTGACTGCATTCTGACAGTCGGTGATAGGAATAGTACGAGGAAGAGTGGAGGAAAATTTGAAGTCGAAAGCGAATGATTGAAAAGTACTTGAAACTAACACAAACAGAGTGCGTTACAGTTTTCTCTATCTCCTCCTCCTCTCCGCTCCACCGCCCTCTTCCCGGTCGATTTTGAAAGTGGAATAAGGAAAGGTGATAGTCAAATATCGAACTGATAAACGAGAGAGGAAATATAATGCCTCCAGCGGGTCTGTATGTTTGTATGTGCTCGCTTCGAATCAATCGGCCGATTCACACAAACTACCTCCCGCTTGTGGTGGTGGCCAATGTGCTCACTGTTTCTGTTTCATTCGTTTCGTCCACACGCCTATTGCTGCGAGCACAAACACACCCGCTCAGTTTATCACATTGCTCCAGCACTCTTTGCGAACAGTAGCGCACCTATCTAGTAAACATTTGATTGCTCACCATTAGTAAGCGGTTGCAGACTTCGACGACGCTCCATATCGTAGTTTTGGGAAGCGCCATTTTGCTCGTGTCTGCTGTGGCTCGGATGTAGATGGTGTTGGCGGTGAAGGTGCTGGGGAACCTGCGCTGGATTGACAATAGCCGTCGGAGCCACAACATTGGCACTTGTGCTGTCGCAAGCTGCCAGAACGCGACCATTCGGGTTTAAAGACAGATCACTGGCCTGCAAGTAAATAGTTCATGATGTTCTGAAAATCTGTGTCTCACTTGGAATTGTGAATTACTGTACGCTCTCACACGTTGGACGTCGCGAAGAGACTGAGTCGAGTGGCATCTGGGAACAGGATCTCGTGGCTCAAAACCAGCTTCGACGGCGTCACGACGAGAAGCATCACCTCTTTTTCGAAGTCGGACTGAAAATAAATCATTGAATTCAAAAAAGAAGTAAATGTTTGCAGAATGGATTAATTCTCTCGGTTTTCCCCGGGAAATTGATAGAACAAAGAGTTTTCGTGGCCACAATCCACATTTTTCGCTCAGGGTCGCTAGTGTAATTTCTCAAAAGATGCCGCTGATTGGTGATAAAAACATAGGCGAATAGGCCTCTCGGAGAGACACTTCAGAACACTGACCATGGGTCGGTCACAAAACTAATACGACTTGGTACACAGACATTCGAGTGCGGATAATATCAGTTTACGAGGAAATGACTCATTTGGATCTCTGGAAACTGTATTCACAGGGTGATCACTCACGGTTTCCATGACTTTTCCGCCGAATCGGCTTCGATTCATTATACTTGTCGTTCGGAACATAGATTTCCGGAACGGCGAGTAGATTGATGTCGTTCGAAGACAATGAAGTCGTCTTGGGCGCAATGATTACAGTAATGTTAGGCATAATTCCAATACAATATGTTCTTAGTGCAGTCAAAACATTAAAGCCGGCACACACTAGACACATTTTAGTTTCGTTCGCAAGAAGGAAGCATCTAAAGCACAGTAGATGAACGTTCGAATAAAATAGTACAGAAAAGGTCGTTGAGCAGCTACTGGTGATGAGTCGATTACATCAGAACAACATGGCTCTCACGTCTCGCGTAGTGTGGTTGTTAGCAATGATTCAAGTAATCAATCATTGACGAGTCATGCCGTATGAGCCGGCTGGAAAAGCTAGGCTCAAGCTCTGAAGTGAGAAGAAAGCGGTTCGAAATGAAATGATATTGAGACCTCGACAGGAGGGAGAGAAACAGAAAGTGGGATGTTTTCATATCATCACAAGTAGTGTCGCGGTCCGCCGCAGCTCGAAGGCACACCGCTGGAGTCAAAGAGAAGAAAGAGGGATGCCGAATTATTTGAGGCTCTGACAACCAGTGTGCTCTATCGAAATAAGACCTATCGGAAAAATAATTTTCGATAAGTTTTCGCTAGATTTTTGTATTTATCGGAAAATAGTCTTTTCGATCAAGGTTTATAAATTTAACGGTAATTTTTCGATAATCGTATCGAAATCTCATCGACAAAGCGGACTGCTAACAGCGTTCACAATGTCGTTTTGCAAAATGATTGGTTCCTCTCTATCTTCATTTCGATATATATTGAAGTGCCACCCGTGCTCCCATTACAAACACATGCCCAACTGCTTCTCTTTTTTCTTTCCTTCGTGTGCGATCATCCGAAATACGATTGGTACATAACAGAAAAGACCATCTGCTGTTGCATAATTTGATGACAGGCGGCCTTACAACGCTTCAGCCTAAATTGACCACAATTCGTGCCGCGAGGAGGAAGGAGGAGAAGAACGAATTAAGAACCTAGAGATTTCTTTTTGAAATGACCTTTTAAAAGTATCAATGAGCGTTCTAGTAGAAACAAATCGATCAACATCTTGAATTTCATGAACTTACCCGATGATTTTTCCCTTGAACAAAGATAACTCTTTTCCAATCGGGCAACGCCATTCACACCATAAAAATACGCCAGATTTAGGTGTCAAGGACGCAAACGAACAGCCAATATTTACACCACTTTTGTAACGCTATTACGGTCTAACAGTCATTTGGTACCACACACATCTGATTCAATGAACCACCGAAAGTTGGTGCACACTGTGAAAATAATATCCTGTCCCGTTCCGTCCATTCTTTCCGATACAGGGGAAAGAAAGGAGCTTTGGGAGAAACGAGGACGTTCCGTTCGAGAGATGCGTGGTCAGATACCAAGAGAGGGCGCAGCATGTGGAAAATATATTAAGCAATGAGCGGGTACCTAATCGCTCGCCGACGAACATAGTGTGTCAGATTTCAGGCGATAAAACCGCGAAAATTTCGGAATTCAACAGTGAAATTGAGAAAACAACTACGCAGACACACAAATAAAGATTTACCCACGGTTGAAACAAAACGTCGGTGACAGGGATTTACCCATTTCAGTCGCAATGTAGTATAATAGCAATCACAACAAAACTACGAGCGTGCCTCTATCTATTGGCGACTCCGCCCACATTTGAACGATAACCAATTAAGAACTTTCGTCGTCTCGTTTTTCTCTTAACCGCTGAGATTCCTCGTAACGGTAGATGTTCGTTTGAGAACATTTATAGAGGACCTGTTCCTTTAGTGAGAGAACTATGAAAAGGCAATCAGGATGTCTAATATACGCACCACATGTGCAATAGACAAGAACAAAACGGCGTACGAGAGCAAAAATGATCAAGAATGATCTGAACAATACAGTAATAGGGAGCAGTCATATAATGGAGCATCATTTGAATTTACATGGAAATATTTTGAATGATCTACCGCGTGACACCCCTTACCTTGATCGTTTTTTATCCATCCAAGTATACTACTGCAGAGTGAGGCCATAATTGAGGAGTAGTAGGAGCAGAGGAATGGAGGAGAAGTAATCGAACCAAAATGTATTCGTATTCGCTTTAGGAATACTAGTAATACTTTTGGTTTGGATTCTCTCCTGAATATATATTAGTTCAATAGGCAGGTGGGATATGAACGGTGATTAGGATACAACATTCGAGAAATCGAGAGTCGTCATATAAATCAGGCGGGCAAAACGGATAGAGTGATGCTTCCAGATATAGAGACACATACGGTGGTTTGTAAACTGTTATTCAGATATGAGGATAATATCTTTGCGGTCTTCCTCTTCACCTTTTAGGCGGACAAGAAGAAGACGGACGAATGAAGACGGTTGCGGATATGCACCGGTGCGATGCAACGCGCGGATAGTAGGTTGAAGAAAAGGAGAAGGAAGGAGAAGAAAAGAGAGAGACTCACGCCTCGTGTGGGTGAATACGTTCAATGGGTGGACGACGCAGACAAAAAAGGCGAGGTTGAGGATCTCAGTGTGCCGCTCACAACCTGTGTACTAGAGCAGCACAGTGCAGAGGGACAGAACGAAAATGACGAATGCGCTGCGACAGGCATTTGCCTTGTGTATGGCAAATGTGAACACACAGGTGGTCCCACTATTACTAGCATACATGGTCTCGGTAGAATGGGGATCTATTCTATATGCTGCCGGTTAGCTTTCTCTAGGTTACAGACAGATTCTCTACAAAAGCCCATCTGTCAGTTTCTAATTCAATTATGAATGAGAGACGTTTGTCCGTTAGATTCCGCTCAGACAATGCTACGGAAAAGAAGATACTTCGCACTAAAAACGTCGGCACGATTTACAAGCATCACCAGACGGGCTATTGCGCATTCCGCTCATTCGACAACGATACAATGTTTCCGTTTGTCCCGTCTCACGATCACCACAATCGCCAGATGCTCCTAGTGCAAAACATATCAAACAGGTGCTACTTTAGGACAAAATGTACGACCTTTTTCGTGGCAGCTGTGGCGCGAGATTAATAAGGAAATCGACAAAATTATTTTAAAAAAATTTGTATTGAAAAAACAATTTCAAAGCAGTCATAAACAAGTTTTGGGTTTGACAATCAGCGTGATTAGGTTATCTGTTACCAAGCACAATTGCAATAAGGCAGGAAATATTTTGGTTTGGAAGAAAGAACCGACTTTCTACTTTATTGAAACTTTCTAAACCAGATAATCCAATCTAGGATATGTGCAATAGTAAGTTGTAGACGTACCAGTGACCGTTTTGATAACGCTTTTCCTTGGAGGTTTTGGAGACGAAATTTCCAATAATCCACTCATCGAATACTAGCGGAATACTCTAGCAATAATAGGTATGCTTAAATGGCGAACAAGTTGTCAATGAAAGGCTGGACCGTCGATCCGAGCACCACCAGCTGCCGCTAGTGATGGGAGGTGCCTGGAGACATTCGAGGCGTCGGGTGTGGCTTCCTAGAGCCTTTCTTTTTTCACTTCCCCAATGCAAGTTTCAATCGGTGCTTCATAATTCAACCTCTTTGCCGTCGCCCGCTTTCTGTGCAGCCCAAGTCATTAGGAGAAGACTGAACTGCGGGTCCCGAGGAGCCACAGCAGCAGAGATAACGCATGTAATCCGGAGGGACCGACGTCGTCGCGGCTGTTGGTCGGAGGATGGAGGCCACACACACGCGCCGACGACACTTTATGAGCAGCCGTTTGTCAGAAAATTATAATGAACGTGTGCTTCGCACGCACTTGAGAAAGCAGCCGCTCAAGCACTAGAGCATACGAGAAGAACTTTGTGTTTGGAACTATTTGGTCTTGGATTGACACAGAAAAATGTAAGAAACGCATTCTTTACCTGGTGAGTTCAGAAACTGCCGTAGCGTTTGATTTTTGTGAATCTTCGACATCTTCCTTTCAACTGAGAACAGACGACTGGTCGATGCGGAGGAAACGACTGATTTGACATCTTCATTGTCGAAATCAAAGTCTTCTTCGAACATCTCGTCCTCATTCGTCATCATGAAATCTTTGAGCGTCGTTAGACTCGGTGACGAAGGAATCCAGGTTTCCGACGAGTTTTCATAGCCCGTTCTTTGTCTTGACGATGCACTTCTGCGTTCATCGAGGAAAAATCCAGGAGTCTGCACATACATGCTCTGAGACATCAATGAATTTAGCGGCTCCAGACTTTTTCGGTAAGCAATTGGCGGCAAATGACTCATACTACCAAATCCTGAGGAAGAAGTCGTCTGACGGATACGGCGAGGAGTGCTCGAGTTGGACCTCGAAGACTGCTCACTGCTCGTGTTACTGAAGTAGATTCTGGAGCATTCCTGAAACAAAACGTATTTTCTTTATAAACCTAGAAGTCTCACTTTATGCGAAAACCGTCGATGATTTGGCGACTCGCATTCCCCGCTTTCGGGACTTTTTTCATCCGATGACGGTGTCCGTGACGTTATCGAAGTTAGCGCAGTCCCGAATTTTGGGAAGTCTGGAGCAGGTTTTCGTTCAGCAGAAGAAGTCCGTCCCAGTGTAGATCGAATCGCCTTGGTTAAAGTCTCCCGGACAGAGCCTCTTGTGGTGCGTGTTCGCAAGAGTAACCTCTCTCCTAGGGAACCCGTTGAAACTCGTTCATTGCTCATATTCTGATCAATTAGAACAAGTCTGGAACAAATGCAATAAATACGAAGAAGAGAAAACGACTAAGTGTTCGAAAAGCGAGCGTGAATCGATTTACAAGTTTACACTTTCAAACAACAAGAAATATAAGAAAAAACCTGACGGATACACTGCCCGCAATAAACCAACGGAAAACAATTTTTTGATGACTACTTTTTCCGAAAGATATTCTAGATTCACTTGACATTCTCAAAGAATGGAAGACGAAGGGGTGGAAGATGAGGAAGGGACAACAAATCGTGATCAAATTCGAAAAGAATGGCGCGAAAAGATGGGAAGGACAGGTGGCCCTGTGGCGCCGTCCGGAGAATAGAAGCGATGACATTGGGAAAATGTGAGAAGGAGGGCACATTTCCAATGCATTCCACATTCTATACAACTTGTTTCTCATTCATAATATTATGATGGTGCTAAAAAAAACCTATGTTTCGAAGACAAGGAACGAAACAGAACATCTGGAGCCGAGAATCATTTTTATTATATCATACAACTCTAACCGAAAAATCCGGATAGACAAAGCTGGTGGTGAATTTGTTAAGTTTCCTCAAGGGAACAGCCAGAAACAGTACCAACCGGAGCCACAGGCTCCAAAATCACGAGTGATGGTGGCGATAGCCACCAAATCAGCTTTTTGAGAAAACATTTCACAGAAAAACCCTATTGTAATTTGAGAACAAGGGGAATAGACTGGGAGACGGATAGAAACATTGTGTGAATGTTCTGGCTTAGATGAGTCGAGGGACGCCTCTATGTGCAGCGAGAAAAAGAGAAAGGAGGAGCAGACAGCCGAAGTGACCGGCACAAGAGGTGACAAGCTCTGATAAATGACCGCGTCAGGCGTCACAGTGCACTGACCGATGCATAGATATCTGTTCCTCGAGAAGAAGGAGGCAGTGTCTGCCAAAAGTACAACAACACACCTGACGGCCCGGAGAGCTTTCTTCTCTGGTCTAGCAAATGTACACGTGTAAACCGGACGGAAGCCCGTCGGATTATCTGTTCCCGGCGATTACATACATACAAACGAGTGCCGCTACCGCCCTCTGTACTCATGTTATCATTTGTAAACACTCCAAAATGAGCATGCTAATCGGCCAAATAAACATCCATCCAACTCGCAGGAATCTTCAAAACGTACAGTGATCTGAGATGCGCTTCTCCAGCGATTGATTTTCGACGTTCCCTGCGAACGAAACGCGGTTAGTTTTTCTGAAAACGGAACATCTTTATAATGATTGCGTGATGGTAATGTCCCACTTGGCCTGTATGGAACGGAGAGATCCGCCTATCATTGAATGTAACTTTCCTTTGTTACTTTTTGTCGATGATTTCGAGGCCCGCGCACCAGATCTCTGTGAAGTGAAGGGTAATTTAAGGAGAATTTGTTTTTTAGTTTTCAAATTAGAACTTTGAAGAAAAATAGTTTGAACTCACTTCAATGCTGCCAATTTGTGAAGACGAGGAAGAGCTCGGCGATGGGGAAAATGTCTCCTGGGCGAACTGAACTTTCCGTTTGATTTTAGCCAAAAAACTATTCAGTTTAGGTGACATTCATGAAATTGCGAGTAAAATTCAAGCTGGCTGATTCAAAAAATGAAAAGAAAACTATGAGCGGACTGAAAGACTACTAACCTTCCTAGGTTTCACGGGCGGAGGAAGTGACACGTTTTTGTGCACAATATCTTCATCTGCTTTGACTTCTTCTGTGTTGAAATCTATGGGTGTGGCACGATTCTGAAGATTCGCTGATTCGAGGGACGCATCAGAGAGGACTTTCGCCTCAAGATCGGATGTGTTTATGACATTGTCCTGCATAATTTAATTTTCACGAAACAATATAGTAACAAACAAACTTCAAGTTGTATCGCAACACTTGTGTTTAGTGTGCCATCGAGTGACGAAGACTTCAGTTCTCCGTTTTCAGTCTTCTCATTGATCTGCGTCTGTTCTGATGGTCCGGCTTCGATTGCTAGTTTCCGTTTTTCTTTTTTGACGCTACATGCAAGACTAAGGATATGTCTCAGCATTCTGCAAAATTGAAAAATTAAGTTGTTTTTGGAACGCTGCCCGACAAAGATTTTAAAGTGAAATTATGACCGGAAAAGCGAGAAATGAAGGCGCTACGACGAATAAGACTAAAACTCGCACGGAATGGAACTGTTACGATTTGAAACTCGCAGCTATATTTTAACGTGACGAGTTCCAAATCGTAACAGTTACATTCCGTGCGAGATCTACTTCGTTGTCGCACCGCGCCGAAATGAAGCGAAACACTGCAAGCGCGCCCCAGCGCACTCAAGACGCGCGGCAGTTCGAATGTTACTTTAATTTTGACGCCTGAATTCGTACAAGTCGTGGTCTCTCAAAGATTAGCGAATGCTGCTCACCAGCGACGATAAACAAATATGATCAAGTGAGCATGGCAATTGCGCATGACTGAACTGGACATCGCAAAAACTGTATTTCATTAGAAAATTAAACGCATTCAAGAAAACGGGCAAAGCAGGAAACACATCGGGAAGATCGAAAACGGTGTTCGAAAAAAAACCGGGGGACAATTTCCAGATAGACAGACGGTCTGACCGTCACTGACCCGTTTTCAACGACACTCCGGTTATATTAAGTTGTTCGGAAAGTTCCAGTCATTTTTCATAGTAAGTTTTTGAAGATTGTTTTTTCTATCGGGAAGCAAGCGAGTCAGTTGTCGTTTTATCAGTATGTTGGTCAGGTATTAAAGTGTCAACAGAGCGACGGATACCATTCTCCTGTTCCCGAGTAGTGAGATATGCCGATCGTTTTCGTCCCGAAAAACTTACATTTCCGAAATGTAATCTCATTTCTATTTCTATCTTACCTGAAAATGCCGACATTGATCACCGTTTAACGGAGGTTTACAATAAAGATGCACCCACTCGAACTACCATTAGCACTTGGTTTCATCGATTCGAAAAAGGAGAATTTTCGATGGATGATTATCCACGTTCAGGCAGACCGATATCTTTAGACTTGGACGCATTGAAAAGCGAGATCGAGATGGATCTTTTTCAATCCGTCCGTGAATTATCAAGGACACTTGGGGGCGAGCCTCAGACCTACCAAAAAGGCACACTCATCTCTGTGTGAACGGCTTGAACAAGTAGATCCTGCCGATCAAATGTGGTGTCGTTTGAATCAATACCCTGTCCACTATTTCTCAGTATACAGACTTTAGTGCGTTAAAGTAGTAAGGGAACACTGATTTTCAAATGCCTTCACGCTTTTACGGTGACTTTTGGCTAACAAAATAATTGTACGGGAAAAAATGAATTGTCTGTATTTTGCTAGCGACAAGAAATGCTCACTCTTTGTGTCTTCCTTTTTTCTTCCACACAACCAGCTTATTTGTCCGTCATCGATCTCGTCGGTCGTTCCTCATCTCCGATATCATGGCAGACCTTAACTTCTGACACCGCACTGACGATTCCACCCAGAGGTGTAACTTCCGGGCCGACTGAGCCGGACCGAGCCAGCAAAATCTTCGGCGCGGCCCGAAACTTTGTAAGTCTGATAGGAATGAAACTAAATAACATACAATCAGGTTAGCAGGTAGAAGTGCCAATTAGTGAAGAAATGAGGGTTCAAGGTAACAAAGTATAATTTGTGTGTCTTCCAGAACATCCACATTCAAGGTCTCATCAATATTATCATAACGGTCACCGGTCCATTTCATTTTTTTTAATTGGCGTGGACTGGTATTTTCGAATCGGATCGTCTTAAATTTGCAATAAACGACAAATTCCCACCTTTAGTGACATCCTTATTCCATCTCTTGGGATTCTTGATCGTGACGATCTAATATAGTAACAGGCTAGCGGGTTTGAACAACTATCTGAATTGTCGATTTTAGTTTTGATAAGACTGTGGACCTTCTAACTCACATTTTCAGAATGAGAACACATAGTATCTTCTTATCCGGATTACAACAACATCATTCGGAACAATTCTTGACGATAGTAATCTTCACGGCTTTTATGAGCAGTTCTCTTCTCCCCATCTTGAAAATATTACACAAGAGTAATAACTTACCTCTAATAGTAAACTGCGGGGTTTCTTGGAGAGGCACAAGAAAAGTAGAGTCTCATCCTTCGTATTATACTGAGCACTAGAAAACCAGTAAAACAAGCCTGTACTTTAAAATGCCATCACGCTATTACGGTGAAATAATTGAGATCATCGCAGCCGTCAACATTCCAAATATGTCCGACAACAACGCTTTGAGTCAAATAAATAATTCGAGATTCTTCCGAGTAGGACTCCAGTCTTGTTCTGAAATATGAATTGTCTGTATTTTGCTAGCAACAAGAAATGCTCACTCGTTGTGTCCTCCTTCTTGCTTCCACACAGCCCGGGACGTTCTTTTCTGGCTATAATGTATTAAGTCATACTAACCTCGATGTATTTGGTTGCTCCTAATAATTTAGATCATCGCAGCCCTCAATATATGACATATATCCGATAATAGCGCCTTGTCAAATAAATCCTACGCGGAAGTTCTCTGTAATAAAGGATGTTTCCGTCTAAAAATGTCTCTAGTAATTATTGAAATGAGAACACACATTGATTGTGGAAGCTCGGAACTCGAAATCTCTCAATTTGGTGAACAAAGAGGTGCATTAATTCGAGCGAGAAGTAGTTGAATTACGCACCTGACTTTGGTGCAGTCGAGTCTCTAATCTTCTCTTTGTTGCGTCGATCATCCATTCCAATATATTATCAGCGTGATAGAAAATCCGTGATAGAAACCTGGAAATAAGTCAGTTTGCGTCTTGAAATTCTTTCTCAACTCACCTTATCCCTTCTTGGTCCTTTCGGTCCCTTCCCCAGTGCAGCCCCTAGCGGTGGTTCCGTTGGAATATGCGTCGGACCGGCAACGGGGCATTATGAAGTGAATCGATCGAGATCGGCGACGGGGACCCCCGGCTGAGAGACGCAGACAAAAAGAGAGTGAGCGGTTTGCCGGGCGGTAGATCGAAACGGACTCGCTCGAGCCAGCTGACGTGCCAAAACGTGAAATACACGAAAAAAGGTAATGTTTTGGGGAAAAATGCAAAAGTTTACTTTCAGCATGATAACGCTGGTTCCCATGTCTCTTCTCCAGAGCCAAAGCTGAACGGATACGGCTGGACAATCTTGCCTCACCCACCGTACATCCCAGACCTGGCCCCTCTCTGACTACCATCTCTTCAGTCACCTCCAACGCCATCTCAGTGGAAAAAAGTTCAACTCACAAGACAAGAGATCAAAATCGAGTTGCCTTCATTTTTCGACTCCCAGCCGCAGGAGTTCTGGAAGGAAGGTATCCACAAGTTGGTGACACGTTGGCAGACAGTCATCGAAAAACATGGGCAATATGTCTAGTTAATCGGATAACTCTTTGACTTGTTTCACAATAAATTTTTCTGAACCCAAAAATGACTGTAAAACCGAAAAAAAACCCCAATTTTTGGTCATTTTTATGAGAAAAAATTTAATTTTCGGTAGTTGATTTCTTGATGATAAGCGAGATATGGGCGTCCAAAGTTGAATGGCCCAATCTTCCCAGAATCGATGTCAAAAAAGTGTCGAATTTGGAAGTGAATCCTACTTATGGTTGAGAGATTGACTTGTTGCATTGCAATAACGTCAGAGGGATGAAGAGAGAGAGAGAGAGAGAGAGACATGATCATATCGGCTCGCTAGTCATTCTGGCGGAAAAAGTGTTTGGATACAACTACAGGATCCATTGGTGTCTGTGTTCTTGATCGAACGCGCTCTGCTCGAATACTTGATGATGTTCATTTTCGGCACCAAATGCCTTCATTTTCATTTCTGCTGAATTTCGTGTGTTCAAGGAAATTCCGGCAAGAGTACGAATTGTTTTTGGTGTTTAAAATCAAAATCAGCTCCTCCACCCCTACCACAAAACCGTCATGCCCTCAATTTTTCCGCACATGCGTGTACCTCAATCATCTCTAATGCACATCATTTATTGGCGATAAGAAAAAGAAAAATGACACATAATCTTTCCTGTGGGCGTTTAAATTTTGCTTTAAAAGCTCCAGAAAGTCATCATTAGTTTCGTCAAGGGCAAAATGTGGCTCTTCTTCTTCGCCAATCTATTCCTTTCAGTTTCTTCTGATACAACCACGTGCCCCTCTGGCTTTTCCCTTTTGAGTACTGGACAGAAATGCGTGCGTCTCTTCACAGACGTCGCCAAACATGCAGATGCTGCCGCCAATTGCAGTTCTTATGGAGGTCACCTGATATCAGTACTCAATGCTATTGATAACAGAGCTATTGTCGGTCTAGCTGCCACTTCTACAACTCCATATTGGCTGGGAATCAAATGCTCCTTATCCGGAAGTGCTGCTTCATGTCTTTGGGATGATCAGAGTGGAAACGCGGGAACTTACAATGCTTTTGCTACTGGTATTAAAACATAAAATCAACAGTATTGTAATAATATTACAAATTTATAGGATACCCTCTCGTGGAAGTGGGCCAGTGCGTGTACGTGCCAACCTCTGGTTCCCTCGCTGGAAAATGGCTGAGCGGTGACTGCAACAACATGAATCTCAACTATATCTGCGAAGCATCCACCACCCCGATCACTGACACTTGCACCTTTCAGTATAACGGCTACTGTTACTATCCAACGCTCTCTTCGTTGTCAGAACAGGAAGCACAATATTCTTGTCAGCAAGCATGTTCTGACCTTGTATCGATCCATTCTAAGGAGGAGAACGACTACGTGAAAACGTTGTTTAGTAATAATGCTCCAACTTACATTAGAATCGGAGCAACCACTAACGACAACAATCAGAATTCGTGGATTGATGGCACTAACTGGGATTACGCTAACATCGGATATTTTGACACTAAAATCGGATTTTGCTGGAGTATGGCTCTGAAAGATGATATTATCTCGACTGGAAAGTGGATCAGCAGTCTGTGCGACACCTCGGTACCGTTCGTTTGTAAGAAAAAGGTTGGTCAGCAGTGCGGAACTACATCGGGACCAACTTTGGCGCCAGGACAGTGCAATGCTCCAATGTTCTACGACAACTCTGGAACTGTAAGTGCTTTCTACTTGGAGTGTTTTTCTAGTTCTAATCCGAAATTCTTTAGTTCTACTCTCCAAACTGGCCGTATACCTACGTTGGCGAGCAGAATCATTGCAACTATGTGCTTGACACCCCAGTCGGCTCTTTGGCACAAATTCAATTTCCAGTTATGAACTTGGACAATCAAGCTTCGATTTCTGTGTACAGTCGCATCGAGGACACCACTCCGATCGTGGTGTTCCAGGGGAACTCGGCGAGCAACAATTGGTACAACTCGACGACGAACACGATGAAAGTGGTGTTCCGTCCATGCGTCAGCAATTGCCAAACTGATGGATTGTTCAGATGGCAGGCCAATTTCCAGCCATCAAACCAAGTCACAACACTTTCTCCTCCAGTCTCAGTGACCCCCGACGCCAACAACCCGTCTGGATGTAACGCGACCATTCTCTCCGCTCCTGGGCTCATCACTTCTCCTAACTACCCCAACTTTTATACGAACTTCCTCAACTGCATGTACCACTTGTCCACTTTGGGAGGATATCGCATCCGGCTCGACTTCAACCAGATCGACACCGAACAGTGCTGCGACAACATCATCGTCCACGACGGACCATTTCTGAGCAGTCCCGAGCTGGGAAGAGTTAGTGGAAGCTGGCCCGCGCACAGCAAAATCTTCCAGTCTACATCCAATTCTATGCTCGTGACGTTCACAACTGACGCTTCCGGACAGGCTTCAGGATTCAGTGCCAACTTTGGAGCATACTAGTCGAAATACATATGAACATATCATTTGAAACCGGTTTTAAACAAACATAAAGTACTTCCAAACGTTTCTGCTACGTTGAATTGTCAGCCAATATAAAACTCTTATTATTCCAAGTGTTTCGCATTTCCTGATAAGAAAAGAGTTTCACTCGTCATCACCATGAACCGCAGAAAATTGCTGCTATCCACGCTGATTTTTCTCCTTTTAGAGTTTGCAGCAAGTTCCCAGCAGACATGTCCTGATGGATTCGACCAAGTCAACGAAAAGTGTATAACTGTGAGCAGCTCGTTAGAACATTCAGGCGTAAAAACTAAAGTTCAGATAACATCCAAGCGGTTCACACATCACAAGGCTGAGCTGTCATGCACGGAACTCAATGCTCACTTAGTTTTTCTACAGACTGCAATAGTAAGCATCATTTCCAAAACCTTAATCCCCGTTTTCAATATTTTAAGGACAATACGGCTCTTCTTAACTACTCTACCAATATCACCTCGCCCATGTGGATTGGAGTGACTTGCAAAGTGAACAAGGAACCTAAAGAGTGTCTTTGGGATAATGGCTCAGCTGTGGAGTACAGTAACTTTTTACCCGGTTCTTGTGTACTTATGCTTCAAAAAATATTGAACGCTTTCCAGGATATCCTGTCACCAACATCGGTACCTGCGTTTACATAGACTCTGTAAATCAGCCTTTGAAAGGACGTTGGATCAGCGCCACATGTGATTTTGATGAGTACCACGCAGTTTGTGAGGCAAACTAATTTCTGTGTTGTTTTTGGTTGTGTACAGTGCCTCTGATTTGATTAGATTCACACTTAATGAAGCGATTGAAAGAGAAAAAAATCTAAAACCGTATCTTCTCCCCCAAAATTCGGAGGAACTCCTTCACTGTTACCTCACAAATGCGCGCTCGATAGCCTCCGCCGAACGTCTGCAATTCCTATTCGAATCTCTATCACCCACTGCCACAGACCTCGTTTTTGTTACCGAGACTTTCCTGAATTCCGCAATCCCGTTATCGCTGTGCATCTCCAATGAATACTCGTGTTTCCGCTCTGACCGCCAACCGACACACCATTCCGACAACAATTTTTTAGAAATTTTGAGTTTCGTGAAATTGTTGCCTGTTTTCTCAACGCAGGGACGCAGCGGCGCGTTGAAAAAAAAGGCGCCTGAAAAACAGGCGTCTGAAATCGCCTGTTCGACCAGCCTACTTAAACTTTAAAAGAAATAAACACGTTCAAAACGTGTATACCGGGTTAAACAACGGAAGAAGTAAACACATTACTTCAAGCACACGCAAGGATATGGTTTGTTTTAAATTTGTCCAAATTGAATGACTGTCTACTAGGCTAGTACTAGCTATAGTTTTTAACCGGCAAATTGTAATTTAAAAATTTTTCAACATTTTTCACTATGAAATTAGTGGTGAAAAACCATTGATCATCTTTAAATTTTTCAGAATAAAACATTTTGAAGTATTTTTTCACAGAGAATGCTAAAAAAAAATCATTCGCTGAATAACCCAATTATAGATTAGGAAGCTGCTGAACAACGTTCCACTTTCGAACAAAGCAAATGAAAAAGATTGCATGCAGGAAGAAATCGAATCCAATATTACATACGGTTATGATAGAAACAAACGAAGAAAAATGAAAACTGATTCAACTGAATCTTCTTCTGAACGTCACGGTCTTATGGAGCAGTTCTATAATGAAACCGATATGGCAATCAGTCCAGGAGAAACCCCAACTTTGAATCCATCTCAGGTAAATAGGCGCTAATTAAAATTGGATAGGACTCACTGCTAAATTGTAATCGTCGCGGCAGCGGACGGGCTTTCACGTAAGATTGCGGTAGAGTATTTGGGGTGATAATATCTGCTTGTGCACAATTCAGCACAATTGTGCTGAATTCATGGCCTACATTTATGATATACAACAGATCGAAGCTGAAGAATTAGACCAGGAGATAGGATCACGAAATGTGAGCCGACCCAGCACGTACCGACAGCTTTCTCTGCTACTTTCTTGTGTAACGCTTCTCAAAAATAATCTGGTGTTCATCGAATGTTTTTTCAATCATGGAGGAAGTGAGTTGTATTGGGTTGATCAATAATCTCGGCAAATCTCTGTATTTTTTGCCCAAAGCTTACGCAACTTTAGCTGGCAAGTTGCGCAAAAGCTGTGTAAAAAAGCTGTGTTTATTTATTTGTACAAGACTTTTGAAACCTGGGCCCGCTGCGCAGGCCGAGCTCAGGCTCGGAAGCGGCTAGGTCGCTTGTTTCTTTCTCATAACCATTCGAAAGTTGACGTGTTTATTTCTCAATTCCTCCGTCACATTTTTTTTTTCAGAGTTGAAGTGGGGACGAACAAACAGAGAAATAAACAAAGAGACAAACAGAGGGACAAACCCGTGAAGAGTTATATTAATAAGAATGATCTTGGTTTGTCCGCACACGTTTTCATTTCTGTGACGGAGAAGTTAAGAAATGAACACGTGTATTTTCGAACGGTTAGAAGAAAATAACTAGCTGCGGAGCTGCTTCCGAGTGTCAGCTAGGTCCGCGCAGCGGATCCACGTTGACGTCTTGTATAGACAAGCGGCAAATACTGAATGAATACCAGCTTTTTGATTCCAAAACGTTTTGAATACCTGGATAGATAGGTAAAGATCGAAAATATAGGTAAAGATCGCTTGCCAAAATCTAGGTAGTCAAAAAGATTCGGAGTCAAAAATCTGGTAGTCATTCAGTCTTTGCCTTTCAGTATACTTCTTGATCCCTTACTTCGTCGTTCTTTTTGTTCTCGGTATTCCAATGGCCGTTTTTGAACTTTCTTTAGCACAGTTTTCTTCAATTCCACTGTACGGCATGTTTGTACGAATGGCTCCACTCCTTGGTGGTATGAAATTTTTAGCTGTTGATAATTCAAAATGTAATTTGAGGTATTCCATACTTGATCTTGTCATTGCGTATTGTTTACACCGTTTTTATTGCTTTTGAGCCCAGATTCCTCCTATACATGTATAAGTCATTAGCAACTGTTATTACTGAAAACATTGATTGGATTAACTGCGAAAACTACAAAGGCGTACGTTGCTTTGATCCCACTCTGTCATGTGGAATAAACGAATTCCAATTGAATGGTAAATGTGTGAAAGACATACACATTACTAAACTGGCCAGGTATGACAAAATAACTGCCACACGTTCCGACTCCAATTACAGACAACAAGATTATGGGCTTTCGACTTATTTTTCGTTCAGAGAACAAAGACTTGTGAGCCTCATTCCTGCCCAAATATACAAGTGAGCAGGGGGTTTTTCTGTAGAGACATTCTGCAAGGACTACGTGAGCACACCCCTTAACATAACTTTATTTTCGCTCAAAAAAATAATTTTTCTTTAAAAAATGTTGTTCTTTTTAAAAATCATACATTTCGGTTAGTTTCCAGGCCGAAATCTCATGAAAATCATCACTCTTAGATATTTATACTCAATTTACCGCTCTTGCCCCCTCGGTGTTTGCAGACTCAATAATTTCAGGAAATGTTGGCTTGAGTCTGCAAACACCGAGGGGTAGGCTGGTCGAACAGGCGATTTTAGGCGCCTGCGCCTGTTCGACCGGCCCAGTTTCAAAAAGTCTTGTGCGTAAATAAGATTTGAATTTCGCGGCGGTAATCGCTCGTTTGAATTGGCTGGCACAGTCCCAGTGTACTACAAAGGACATTAATGGAGCGGGAGCCCACTTGCATGCTTCAACTCGCGGTGTTATTGCAGGGAAATCAAAAGCTTGGATATAATGGATAATGTCTTGGCAGCCCTTGTATTTCTTTTAATTACTGGCTTCATAGCTTACAAAGGACATCGATTTTTTGCATCGGTTCTAAATATCTTCTACTAAAAATTGTTTCCTTTCTTTAGGTTGCTGGATGTTTTGTTTTTCTACCAATACTGGGAATGATTCCCACTATAATCGTCATTTACTATGACGTTACCTCAAGAAAAAAACACTTTTTTTATAAAATTGTGAATAACAACGACATCCGGAAGATTTTCCGATTGGAATCATGGCTCAATGCGGCCAGAGTTGTAAGTCATTATCATTATCGTTATTATTTTATAAAAAGCTAATTGGAGTCTGTCCGTTTTTTTTTATTCTTCCTTCCTTTCATTCTTTTTTCTGGGCATTTAATTCTGGGAGTACAAAATTCGGGGGTACAACAGGGGGCAAATACTGAATTACTACAAAATTAATTACTATATTTTTGAAATACTATACTGCTGAATTACTAAATGCGCTTAATCACTATAGATTATTAATTACTATATCCTAGCTGAATTACTACATCTACTTAACTATTATAATAGTGAATTACTCCACGCACAATCACTACACTTTATCCGAATCACTAACTTAAGACTCTCGGTAAACTTGATCGCTTTTCAAGCTATGATCGCTTAGAAAACTTGATGAAAAGAAAGCTATAAGCGCGTGTGTGCAGATTTTGCACTTCCCAAGTTGCTTAGTACGATAATCTATTATTTTTCGTTATTGCGTTCATTGCATCTTTACTATTAAACATTAAAGCTGCAGTTTTAGAAATTTACGTGATCATTTTGAAAAATGGATATATTATAGGGGCACCGTACAGAAATGGCGATCTGTTGAGAAACTCTTTTTGCAGTGCAAATTGAGCGACCTCGGGGCCGAGTTTGAAAAGTTAGGCCACGTTTTCAGTGGAAAATTACTTCGCGGCCTAGAAATTCGGACAGATTGCGAACAGCGCGCACTTTCTGTCCGGTGCCCCTATAATAAAGTCACTTCAGTTCGCAACAGTAAAGACCTATACTCACTTTACCGCTCTTGCCCCCTCGGTGTTTGCGTACTCAAGCCTAATTTCAGAAATTTTGGCTTGAGTCTGCAAACACCAAGGAACTTTGGTAAGCAAAAAATGTAGGTAAAGATTGTTTGCCCCTTTAGCATTATGAGGATCCGATTCAAAAATGTTTCTAATTTGTTAACGAGTTTTTCAGAGCGTCAAAACAGTTTACATCGCGGATGGTACGCTGATGACACTCGGAAGTATGGCTGGATTTCGCCATAATTTTATAAAGTAAAAAAAAAGATAATAGTGAACTACCATCTAATCTTCAGAGATGCTATTCTTTTGGCAGCTTCTGGTTCAGCCTATCGGCTACTCCTGTGTTTTGGCATTCTCCCTATAATTTACATAGGAAACGATATCTTGTATCCATTTGCCAAAACTGTCTATGGTTGGGTATTACCATGCCGATTTTTATATCTAGATATACCTAGCCTACTTGAAGGGGAAATAGAAGGAAACTGTCTCAGGGGGATAAAGAGTTTAGAGGAAACAACAGTCACGGTCTCCAGAGCTTACAATGGGCGCAAATGCGCCCCTCCAAATAGAGCGATACACGGTCTCCAGAGCTGACAATATGGGCGTGGCCTCGGCCAAATGGCGTTTTCATGAATTGTGCAGGTTTTCTCTAATTTTTGTGGTCAAAGGCGATGAAAAATAGTTGTTCGACATGAAAACACACTAATTCTCAGAATTAATGACGTTTTGGCGCATTTTTCGCGGACTGCTTTTTCGCCTTCGCCGCCGATCGCCGCCGATCGCCGCCTAAAAACCGCACTTCTCATTTTGCGCTTTCTTGACCGTTTTCAGACAAAATTGGTTTTGAGAATGATAAATCACGTAAATACAAGAATTTTAAGCGCTCGAACCGCGAAAATTACCGAAAAGCAACTGAAATTCACGCAGTTTTAGCCAAAAACCTTCAAACGAATAAATGTGATTTGCGACTTGACCAAATTTAACGCTCTTGCGCTTAAAAAATTTGTAATAGCCTATACAACCGGTCTATCGAGAGACAAATGAGAAATTATCGGGTTTCCGTGACTAATCTAGCCAAAAACACAAATTTTGCTGTTAAAATTTGATTTCGCGCCAATGTATCGCTCCATTGGGCGGGGCGCACTTGCGCTCATTGTCAGCTGCGCTTTTTAGGCGGCGATCGGCGGCGAAGGCGAAAAAGCAAAGTCCGCGAAAAATGCGCCAAATTCTCAGAATTAGTGTGTTTTCGTGCCGAACAATCATTTTTCATCGCCTTTGGCCACAAAAATCAGAGAAAACCTGCTCAATTCATGAAAACGACATTTGGCCGAGGCCACCATATTGTCAGCTCTGGAGACCGTGGGCCCTCTGTTTGTCTCTTTGTTTATTTCTCTGTTTGTTCGTTCCCACTTCAATTCTGAAAAAAAAATGTCCCGTATTGTCAGCTCTGGAGACCGTGCAACAGTAAACTCAATTCATCGCTATTGCCCCTCGGTGTTTGCAGACTCAAGCGAAAATTTCTGAAATTAGGCTTGAGTACGCAAACACCGAAGGGGCAAGAGCGGTAAATTGAGTATAGTTGAGATGCGATGAAGTAGTTGAGACAAAAAGAGTAATTGAGGCGATATAGTAATTGAGAAAAAATGTAGTAGTTCAGTGTTTGCCGTGGCTCAAAAGCTTTATTAAAATAAAAATCGACGAGAAAACAAGAAGTTTTAGCCGAAGGTGATCTGGTTCAATTCCACGCCATCGATATATTTTTCTCCGCATTGCCATCTTACTCTGTTTCCGGTGTCAGTTCAACAGCGGTATTTTTCATATTCGCCGTACTCTATGGTACAATAAATTTTGCGTTTATTGCTTATCAGGCAAGTTTTTTTTTTCTGAATTCAGGATGAGATGCCACAATTTGTCAAAAAGTGTCAAAAAGCGAACGTTTTCATTTTTCTTCAAACTCGGTCCGAGATCATTGCATTTCGCACTGAAAGAATAGTTTCTGAACAGAGCGCGATTGCAGTGATATGCCCCATAATTAGGATTGGCAAACGGGCCCCACACGCCCCCCTTTGCCCCCGGGCCCTTAAAGTGTAATTAAACTTCTGAAAAAAAGTTAGAAGATTAATTAGTTTATTCACTATCGGCGTGCGTTAAGAAAATTTTGATAAGAAATCTTCTGAATGATAAGAAATCTTCTGAACCAGAGTCAATTGCATATATTGCTTGTTATAACATTCCCATTAACGTTCTAAATTGAAGGTCATAACGTTCGAGATGTTAATGCACTGGGTTCATCATGCGTTTCCTCGTGTGCTCTACTTAAAAAACAAAGAAACTAAAATTTGCATCATAATGGCTACTGTAATTGTGCTTATTACTTTATTCTCTCTAAACTTGCCGGTGCGTTTTTCGAAAACTTTAGAATTCAAGATAAAACTCAAGTTATCTGTTTCAGATGAAGTTGCGCTATGTCGGATACAAGAAAGAGTCTGAAATTGACGAGTACATTGTCGGATTAGTTTCGACGACTGTTCTCATTGAACTTGTCTCCGTAACTATCATTTACGGAAACAAACGGCTCCTGATAAATTACCTGGTGAGCTAAATTTATGGCGACACTGTTTCACTCGCTATTAAAGGACCAGGGAACCCTCAAATTTTTTTAAATTTTTTTTGGCTATCTGATGTGCCTCTTATATACAGGGTGGCGATTAAGTATGAAACGTTTCTATATTGTTGCTGCTGTCCGGAAAAATTTTAAATGTTCAAGGCCACTGTGCGAAAATATTGAAAACAGTCCAAAATTTGAGTATTCAATAGATTTTTGTGGTTGGTATCTCTCGAAACCGCAGTTTTCAAAGCTTTGTCAAAATAAAAATGGATTTCAGACAATGTTGAAACACCATCCAGGAACTTACAAGCTAGTTGAAAAGTTGAGATATTTCTTATTTTTTATGTGGACGATTGTATTGCCTGTCTCCTGTCTGGTAAATCACATTATTTGAAATATGCAAAAACGGTTGAAATGAAAATTCCAGTTGTCTATAGCTTCTGTCATTATAAAAAAATATCAGATTTATCAAATGCCAGTCTTCACTTATGCGCTTGTCAGTTGTCTGCCGGTGATGTTTTTCATGAGAAAAGTTGTAAAATATTAATAATCCTGTTCTACTTTCTGTTTTCCAGTTGGCTATTTTTGTCGTCAAAAAAGAGTATGTGAGCATCCTTTCACAAACGCATCACTGGAAACCAGTCAACGAAGGCCATGCAAGAGAAACAGAGCACGATGAACGAGCATCCGGTGTTATTCATAAATAAAGCCTGTAAAACGTAGTTTCAAATTTTGTGAGATTTTTACCGACTTTTCCTGATCATAAGTTCCAATGTCGTAGTTTGGCTTTCCGATCGAAATACTATCAAAATAAGATTTATGATGACTGAGTGGTCGTAAGGTGAACTTTATCTGAAACTTGCAAGCTCAACAATGTCTAAGAATTAGTGGACATAAAATCACCTCTGGTTCATTCTGCATTCGTGCCATGTATGCACCCATCTTCGGAAAATGTATACCGGGGAAGTATCGAAACTGTGACGATTGGCTCAGCGTAAGCAGTTGAAGCCGTTCCAAAAATGGCCAAATAAGGTAATCAGCATAACCCGGATTCCTGCCTGTGAGTAATGACATAGTGTAAATGAACCGGGCCATGACGAGACACGGGGTGTCAAGACATTGCTGCATTTGCGCTAACTAAATTGCGAAAAGGTTGGCGAAGAGCCAGCCTAAGAAAAAACGTTTAAACTCCGTTTTGCCACAATGCTCTGGAGTCGCTAGTTCCATTTCAGAATTTTTCAACATTATTTTTAAAAACTGCAGACTTGTCACAGTCAATTTCTGACAGAAAATGCTTCAAAGTAGTAACGTTTTGTAGCTCACCACCATAAAATGCATCCCGAAGAAGGATTTCTGCGTTCCGAAGAGCGATGTGAACGTTAATATCATTCTGCTGTTGAGATGTTTGATTTTTAGAGTTATAGAATTCGAACAAACAATTGATAAGCTGAAGAAAAAAGTTTGAGGTTAACCGTTTCGGGAACAAACAGAAGACAAGCGTTCCATTATAATTTTCTGATGTGCTTTTTCATACGCATCTTTAGGGAGTATAGAATTCGTAGGAAATAGTTCATCAAGTAATTCAACTATAACGTTCGACTCCCACACTACCCTTCGATTGATTTCCAATGCAGGTATCCGACCAAGAGGGGACTTTGTCAAAAACCAAGATGGGCTTCTATCTGGGTTTACGTTGATTATTTCCACACTGTTATGTAAAAATGGAAAATGTGAGTAGGGGGGAGAACGAATATTCTTACGGGATGTTTTTTTTTGTGAGATATATGAGAACTCGTTGCGCATATGGACAGAACCGCATGCTATAAAGACGGTATGATCCGAGCATTGTAACTGGTTCGACAGATCCTTGATGCAGAGTAATTGAATTGAGGCCATGAATGTTCGATCCTATAGTAGAATGCGAACTGAAGCGTATTGGAACTGCGGCGGAAGATGACAATAATTTTTGCTGGAACTCCTCTCCAAATCGGTAATGAATGAATCGTTTACCGTCCTGCACCAAAAGTAGCCTATATTATAGGGGTACCGCACAGAAATGGCGCTCTGTTGAGAAACTCTTTTTGCACTGCAAATTGAGCGACCTCGGGGCCGAGTTTGAAAAGTTAGGCCACGTTTTCAGTGGAAAATTACTTCGCGGCCTAGAAATTCGGCTAGATTGCGAACAGCGCGCCCTTTCTGTCCGATGCCCCTATAATACTTGTATTTTGTCGCTATTAGAAGTTCTTACCGCAGCAGGTGAATTTTCCACGTTCGCCATGTGGGACAAGAATTGCATACATAATACAGCAGATATCGAACAATTTACAGGAAAGACCATGTGAAACCTTAGTGATAAACCACTTGTCGAATGCTATTTTCCGGAGAGCACAAGAGGGCTGGCGTGTTGTTCATTTCTTCCTCTTCAACTTCAGGTGTTTGTTTTCTGTTCAGTGACCGCTAGACATTCCATAGAGTATAGCGGCTCAATTGTTTAAAAAACGAAGCTATGCACGGCCCGGCTTTTCACAAATGCGATAATGGGGTTATTCAGAAAATATGTACGTGAAAAAAAAAGTATTTTTTTCCGTTTTTTTTTTCGTTTTTTTACGTCAAAAAACCCAATTCAGCGGTGTAAAAAAACGAAAAAAAACGGAAAACAAACAAACATACGCTGAATAGCCCCATAAGCGATTTTTTGCAGACTTGCCAAATCCCGGGCCGGGCCAGCAAATCGTCGGCCCGGCCCGGCCCGGTTGGCCCGGCTCCGCCCACTCTTGAGAAAATTTTCGTAATTTTTGTGAAAATTTTGCGACTTTAAACAGCAATTTCTATTTTTTAACAGGTTTTTATGCTATAACATTGCCTTTTTAAGTCTATAAAATTTTAAGTCTATAAAATTATGTTCGTTTCGAAGTTCTAGTTCGCTTTGAATTTTTAGGTGCATCCTCCCGGGCCGGGCCGCGGGCCGGGCCGGGCCGCGGGCCGGGCCGGGCCGGAAAATTTCCAATTTTGGCCCGGCCCGGCCCGTTGCAAGTCTGATTTTTTGAACGTTGAACGCTTTCCAGGATATCCTGTCACCAACATCGGTACCTGCGTTTTTATAGACTCTGTAAATCAGCCTTTGAAAGGACGTTGGATCAGCGCCACATGTGATCTTGATGAGTACCACGCAGTTTGTGAGGCAAACTAATTTCTGTGTTGTTTTTGGTTATGTACAGTGCCTCTGATTTGATTAGATTCACACTTAATGAAGCGATTGAAAGAGAAGCGCAAGAGTGACCTCAATAACCGAAAGGCATCTGTTCTGCGTCTCCCGCCCATCGTTTATGTCTTCGTTTGAACTAATTCTGTCATTTTCGTCCATTTGCGGTCGAAATCCAAGACCCTGAACCGACAATGATGTCGTTCTCCATAAGACTTCTGATAGCCGCCGTCCTTTGTGGTATGTTTTTCCGAGTTTTTAGAGAACAGACTTAATCTACTTTGCTCTTCGGGAAGAGATTTCCTGAAAACTTATGACGTTAGAACACGTTTACTTCTTGGCCTCTAAAAAAATGCTTAGGTTTCATCACCGCTGAGAAAGATCCAAACGCACCGAGCGAATGCCTCTCAAAGTGCCTGACTCCATTGGCTAAGCTGCAACGAAGCTTCTCCTACGTCTTCAACAACTTTGAAAAAGTATGCGATTTGCTCGAGGAAGGCGCGTTCTGCGCTAGAAAATGCAATCAAGAGGACCAAACCAAGTTCTACCAGTACACAACTTTCTATAGAATACATTGTATTGATTATGAAGAAGGTGGGTTTGATAGAAAACGAGAAAGAAATACGGACCAACTTGTAGACATCCAAGAGCATCTAACGTGCATTGCAAAAGCGGCGGAAGACGCTGATGCGGTTTGCAAAGACAAATGTAAACAAGCGCACAAAGTGGAAAAGACTGCTTCGAAAGAGACGAAGATGAAGAAGGAATGCTTAACTTTGGAGTGTTCCACTTTGTGTTACTTCGATGAACTCGCGGAAAGCTGTCCGGAAGCTAGAAACGTTCTTTTGGTGAGCACCAGCTCTAAAGTATGGTATTAACGGTATGTTTACAGAAAATAAACATTGGACAAGTGCACTCAATGGCTTCTGCCGTCCATCCGATCACTATGGAGAAAATGCTACCGGAGTGTCGCAACTTGCACAATACTGAGTACATGCGTACCAAGTTGCTCGCCTCCAGCAGCTCACTTCTCATGGACCACACGCCATCTGAGATGGAAACGGAAGAGCGGCCAGTTATCACTGCTTGATTGTAGTATATATATTTAGTTTTTTCTTCAAATACGGGCTTTTTTTAAAAATAAATTTTGTTTGCTGACGTTGGCGCGCCTCGTTGTCGGATTCGTTTTTCTTCGCCTAATTTCAGCACAGATATCCAGAAATTCTGAAATGTTATTCGCATTCGAAAATTGTGTTACAATTGAGTGTTAGATGATTTCTCAAACAACAAATAAATATTCATTATTCTCTATTTCTCAGTTTTTGTGCAATTTCAGACAAAACGTGCCTGAAATTAAAAAAAAAAAAGACTGTGGCTGTTCAAAGGTCCGGCGCGAAATTATTGCGCGAATACCGTATTTTAAAGGTGTACACCATTCGCTCGTGAGTCTCGAGCGGAAAAGCGCACTCAATCCGGCTTAAATATTTTCTTCTCGTGAATTTTTCTTCAACTTTCGCTCACATTCTCGGAATTTTCGCTGTTGAGCTCTCAAAAACTGATCAGCAAATAGATTCCCACCAAAACAAGAGCCACAGCAATGCACTAGTAAAACACCTGCTGAAGCGTTCAAAAGTGACCAGTTGCGTGAGAAATGATCGGTCGTTGTCCGATCAAACCGCGCGTTTCGACCCTCATTCCGCACTCGGTCTGTCTGCGCTTTCCCTCCGCTCCTACCCTCTTCCCCGCCCTTTCAAAGTCCATTTCCTGTGCCATCTCCCTTCACCACCTGTCACTGCTATTTATTTCTCTCTCCTTCATTATCATTTCGTTTCGAAAACTAAAAGCAACTCAAAATTTCGGCACTTTCCCCTGATGAGCCTTGTTTGCCGAGTAAACAAAGGAACTGCAGAAACAAGCAGAGAAGAGATGAGAGAAAGTATTTTATTTTGGGCCTGCGCAAATTGTTTCTTTTTCCTTCGCATTTCGAAGCTACTTACGAAATACACTTTTGCGCGTGAATTTTTCTCATAAAAAATGCAAGCTCGGCGACGTCAATGATACGTAAGCTATGCATAATCCACAGCTTCGGAAAAACATCATTCTCGGATAAGAATGTCTCGTTCATCCCATCAATTGCTGCTAGTTTAATAACTGCTTGTTCCCTTTCTTGAAACTTCGACTAGAGAAGTCCCCCGGGGGCTAAGCTCCTGCCCGAATGCTCAAAGTTGGTCCGTCGACGTCATAGACGCTCGCGCACACATGCGCGCTCCGCTCGTTACCAAGCTTTCCCCCTCTCTCTCGCTCTGTCCCGCCCGTGCCGCCCGCTCCCCTCACCCCAGCTTCACTTCTTCTCTTCCTCGCTCTGGTCGAGGTGAGCGCATTGAAACGCAGATCATCAGACTGGTGACGAGTGTACACACTGAGTTAGTAGAGTGCCAGCTTCTTCTTCTTCGCCGTCGCTTTCAATTCTGCAAAGGCTTCCTCTCTGGCTGGCTCCCCCCGCCCGTAGTCAATCGATGTGTTGCTGTGTAGCTGCCAGGCAGCTCGTAAGAGCGCTTCTCCGTCCCCCCCTTTAGTTGCCGAGGAAAGGCTCTGAGCATTAAATATGTCAGCAGCGCACGGTTCACACAATACTCTGCTGGCTCTTAATTTGAATCGTCGTTTCCGCTCACTGATAGTGTTTCGTGCTTATCAGTCGATCCATTGACGCAGTTAACTCGCGGTGCTCATTCCGTTCTGCTCTGTTTCAGATTCTGATTTAAAAAAGTATTTGTAGAATATATCTATTTAACGCGCGCGCAACTAGCTATTTTCTAAAGTTGCCATCGAGTAACGAGGCCTCATGCGGCCTTGAAATCAATTTCGAAACTTGTTGTCTCGCCTGTCCCCCTTTCCGCTCTTACAACTATCGGGCGACGGTATTTTTGGCTGGTGACAATAACAACCACTCTTTCCCACATTCGAAATGTTGCCGTGGTCTTATTTTTCCCTTTTCTTCTGGGCACGAAAAGGAAAGATGACGAATACATATATTATCTTTGAATTCATGTGCTTCCTTTCGCATTTTTTTTCCCGGTGTTTCAATAACAGTAAACGTATTCTAACGTTTGTTTTTTTCAGGGGCCACGATGGGTAAAAAAGAGAAGAAACAGGAGATCAATGACCTCAAGCAGGAGGTCAAGATGGACGAGCACACCATTCCGATGGAGGAGCTCGTCGCCCGACTCGGAACCAATCTCGAAACGGTTAGTTCAGGCGGATCAGGTGGCCTTAAAATAGAAGAGGATTGTCTTGCGCGTCAATCAAATCGTTTCCGCTGTCGCCCCCTCTTTCTGTTGTAGAATCACGCAATATTGTTTATAATTTTCGGTTTTCACTTTCGAAATTGACGCGGGTTGCGACGAATATCAATACTAGAAACAGAAATGAAATCGAACATTTCAGGGATTGACCCGCGGAAAGGCGCTCGAGATTCTGCAAAAGAACGGACCAAATGCTCTGACTCCCCCTGAAACTACGCCAGAATGGATCAAGTTCTGCAAGAACTTGTTCGGAGGTTTCGCCATGCTTTTGTGGGTCGGAGCCATTCTCTGTTACATCGCCTATTCTGTTGATTACTTCACCATGGAGTACCCGTCGAAAGATAACCTTTACCTCGGAATTGTGTTGATGACTGTCGTCGTCATCACCGGAGTCTTCCAATATTATCAGGAAAGCAAGTCGTCGAAGATTATGGATTCTTTCAAGAACATGGTTCCCACCTTCGCTCTCGTTCACCGTGACGGTCAGAAGCAGCAAGTCCGCACCGAAGATCTTGTGGTCGGAGACATCGTCGAAGTGAAGGGAGGAGATCGTGTGCCAGCTGATATCCGTGTCATTTCTGCTTTTGGGTTCAAGGTCGACAACTCTTCGCTCACCGGAGAGTCGGAGCCACAATCCCGTTCGCCGGATTGCACCAACGAGAACCCGTTGGAGACCCGTAACATCGCCTTCTTCTCCACCAACGCCGTCGAAGGAACCGCCAAGGGAATCGTCATCTATACCGGAGACAACACCGTCATGGGAAGAATCGCTCACTTGGCCTCTGGTCTTGACACTGGAATGACCCCGATCGCTCGTGAAATCGAGCACTTCATCCATCTCATCACGGGAGTCGCCGTCTTCCTCGGAATCTCGTTCTTCATCATCGCCTTCATCCTCGGATACCACTGGCTTACCGCCGTCGTCTTCCTCATTGGTATCATCGTCGCTAACGTGCCAGAAGGACTCATCGCTACTGTCACCGTGTGCTTGACCCTTACCGCCAAGAGAATGGCTAGCAAGAACTGTCTCGTCAAGAATTTGGAGGCCGTCGAAACTCTCGGATCGACATCTACCATCTGCTCTGATAAGACCGGAACCCTCACTCAAAACAGAATGACTGTCGCTCACATGTGGTACGATCAGATCATTCACGAGTGCGACACCACCGAGACTCAGACCAGTCAGGAGAAGAGATCTGGAGCTTCTTTCGAAGTAAGCGCTTGAAAAAAGATTTTCACACATTTCTTATTTATTTTTCAGGCCCTCGTCCGCATTGCTTCCCTCTGTAATCGTGCCGAATTCAAGGTCGGACAACAAGACACTCCGATTCTTCGCCGTGATTGTACTGGAGATGCTTCTGAAATTGCTCTTCTCAAGTTCACTGAGTTGACGCAAGGAAACGTGATCGCCTTCCGCGAGAGGCACCCGAAGATTGCCGAGATTCCGTTCAACTCTACCAACAAGTACCAAGTATCGATCCACGACAATGGAGATGAATATTTGCTTGTAATGAAGGGAGCTCCGGAGAGAATCCTCGACGTCTGCTCCACCATCTTCTTGAATGGAAAGGAATCCGAACTGACCGACAAACTCCGTGAGGACTTCAACACCGCCTACCTTGAGCTCGGAGGAATGGGAGAACGTGTTCTCGGATTCTGTGACTTTGCTCTGCCAGCTGATAAGTTCCCTAAGGGCTTCAAGTTTGATGTCGAAGAAGTCAACTTCCCGCTCAAGAACCTGAGATTCGTCGGACTCATGTCAATGATTGATCCGCCACGTGCCGCTGTCCCAGACGCCGTCGCCAAGTGCCGTTCTGCTGGTATCAAGGTCGTCATGGTCACTGGAGATCACCCGATCACCGCCAAGGCTATCGCCAAGTCCGTCGGAATCATCTCTGAAGGAACTGAGACCGTTGAGGATATCGCCATTCGTCGTGGAATTCCAGTCGAACAAGTCAACCCACGTGAGGCTAAGGCCGCCGTCATTCACGGTTCGGATCTTCGTGAAATGTCCGAGGATCAGCTTGCCGAGATCATCAAGTACCACTCTGAGATTGTCTTCGCCCGTACGTCGCCGCAACAGAAGCTGATGATCGTCGAAGGATTCCAAAAGCAAGGACAGATTGTGGCTGTCACCGGAGACGGAGTCAACGATTCGCCAGCTTTGAAGAAGGCTGATATCGGAGTTGCTATGGGTATTGCTGGATCTGACGTGTCCAAGCAGGCTGCCGACATGATTCTTCTTGACGACAACTTCGCTTCGATCGTCGTCGGAGTTGAAGAGGGACGTCTCATTTTCGATAACCTCAAGAAGTCCATCGCTTACACCCTGACCTCCAACATCCCTGAGATCTCTCCATTCCTGACTTACATTCTCTTCGGAATCCCACTTCCACTCGGAACGGTCACCATTCTCTGTATCGATCTCGGAACGGACATGGTTCCAGCTATCTCCCTTGCCTACGAAGAGGCCGAATCTGACATCATGAAGCGTCAGCCACGTGACCCGGTCCGTGACAAGCTTGTCAACGAACGTCTCATCTCGCTGGCCTATGGTCAAATCGGTATGATCCAAGCGTCCGCCGGATTCTTCACCTACTTCTGGATTATGGCTGACAACGGATTCATGCCATGGGATCTCTACCAGCTTCGTGCTCAATGGGACTCTCGCGCCTACAACAACGTTCTCGACTCGTACGGACAAGAATGGGTAAGCAACGCAATCCACACTCCTAGTGTATTATCCTATTCTGACGTTTTCAGACCTACGCCAACCGCAAGATCCTCGAGTACACCTGCCAGACTGCTTACTTCGTCTCGATCGTCGTCGTCCAGTGGGCTGATCTGATTATCTCCAAGACCCGCCGTAACTCGCTCGTCCAGCAAGGAATGTCCAACTGGACCCTCAACTTCGGACTTGTCTTCGAAACCGCTCTCGCCTGGTTCATGTGCTACTGCCCAGGACTTGACAACGGTCTCCGCATGTACGGACTCAGGTAAGAACCCATTCGAATGTTTCATAAGGATCGAAATAACTTACTTTCTTAACAGATTCTCGTGGTGGTTCTGCGCCCTTCCGTTCTCGATCCTCATCTTTGTCTACGATGAAGTCCGTCGTTTCCTCATCAGAAGATACCCAGGAGGATGGGTCGAACGCGAGACCTACTATTAAACTTCACACATTCCCCAGCTTGATAACAACACAATTTGTGAATTTCGTAGTTCTTCCATCTCTAAAAAAAAATTATCTCTAGTTTATCTTCAGGCTTTTAAAAATTGTTTCTCTTTATATCTTTAATGAATTCATTCCGAGCTAATAATCATCCTGGTAGTGATTCTACTTTCTGTCGCCCGTTTGTGAACTTTGTACCCGTTTTCTCGAAACTTGTGCGCCGACAGAAAGTCTTATCCTATGCCCCACATCTTTTTCTCGTATGTCTGTCAAGTGGACTTAATAAAAGATTCCCGAAAATGAAGTAGTTTGTCACGCACAGAACCAAAAACTTGCAAAGACCAAAACTTGCAAAAATTGAGATGTGAAGATATCATATTTATTGTGAGTTTATACATTTCATATGTTCGGATTCCGAACAAGTCATTACTCGTAATTAACATTGACACTGAAGAAGGAAAAACTTCAGTAGTAGATCTTATTGGGGATTTCCGGCACGAGAGCTCCGAGGCAGGGAGCGACGAAATCGGGGATCATATCGTCGCGTTCATTCATCTGATTGTCGACGATATCTTCGATTTGATGGCATCCGGAGAGCACCAACATCGTCTTCATTCCGTGATCTCTGCCGAACTTGACGTCAGTGTTGGTTCTGTAAAAGAATAAATAATAAAATTAGGAGTGGGTTCAGAATGGTACCTGTCTCCAATCATCATAGTCCTCGAAGGGTTGATGTTCCACTTCCTCTTGATGTAGTTGAATGCCGGAGTGCACGGCTTTCCGACCGTCAGCGGCTCTCTGCCGGAAGCGCATTTGATGGCGGCCACAATTGGGCCGGCGTCCGGAATGATCACATCTGGATTCGGTCCGGGACACGTCTCGTCCTCGTTGGTGGCGACGAACAGGACGCCGTCCTCTCGCAAGTAGTTGGCCGCCTTCATCATCTTCGAGTAGTCAAAGTGCTTTTCGTAGCCGACGACGACTGCTCCGACGTTCTCCTCCAACTTGATGTCGTACATGAATGCGCCAGTCGCCGATACATTGTCTTTCTTCTCGGGACCGTGTCCGAAGTACTCGATGCCGAGTTCGTCCATTTCGTCGCAAAGTCCCTGCTCTCCGATCAGATAGACTCGTTTTCCGTCGAGGTCTGAGCGGTGCAGAGTGTCCGCGACCACCGCTGCCGGGTTAACCAGGTTATTCTTGTTCATTTTGGCCGGGTTGTAGCCCAGAGCGGCCAGCTTCTTCGCATAAACCGCCCGTGATTTTGTGGCGTTGTTCGTCAGCACAATGATCTGTTTGTCGTGTTTGACGAGGTAGTCGATGAGACGCGGCGAGCCGGGCATCACTGACTCTCCCAGCCACAGCACACCTGAACAGAAACTATGCTCGTTTGAAGAATTACTCTCTACTCATTACCGTCTGCGTCGAAAATAAACGTGTCGATGCTCTTCATCACCTTGGCAAAAGATTTCGGAGTGAGCGGAGTGGTAGATCTGCATTTGGGGTCGATTCCAGAGTGAATCGGCAGATCAAGGAAAGATTTTCCTTTTTCAAAGTCAATTGGAGATGCGATTGGGGAAAGGTACTTCATTTTCAGTTTCTTTTCGATCATCTACCCGCCACTTTTATACAACCGACAACTGTTTTGATAGCTGAGAGGGCGAGGCAATCGAGTGATGAGAGAGCAGAAAACAGAAAGGGCAGCATCAAAGACGTCATCTAGAAGGCGATAAAGAAGAAGAAGAGAGAAACGAGGAGACAAGAGGCAGGTTTTGTTCATGTGAAGTGATTAAAAATAGACATGGCGAACACCTTTGAAAATTTTCACGTGAAAGGATCAAGATTCATCAGAACACTCACTAGTCAGGAACTTCGGCAAAACTGAAAAAAAACATGAGACTAATATGATATTGATTTGCTCCAGGCTTCAGTGGGATTCTGAACTTGCTCCGAATAACCGAAACACACACGTTAGGTTTCGTTTCGAGTTCCGCCCGTTCCTACTCTGTGGGTTCAGAGTGTAAAGTGTAAACCTATATTGATCGATGTTATTAGCGGCGGAGGAAAGACTAAATTTCACTTCCAGTTTTTGATCTTTTTCAGTTCATGTCGAACAGTTGCACTTAAATTTTGAAATTTCCAGAAAACTTTTCCAGAAAAGAAAGCATTTCTCACAGCCACCATGTCTCCGTCACCGATCTCTCGTAACTGGATGTCTTTGTTCAAAGATCTCGTTCGGGTGCGTTCCTCTTTTACAAGTAAACATGCGTTAAAAGTCGAACACCAAAGAGCGAAGGGGGGCAAAGTACTATCAAAGATATGAGTCTAACAACTGTTAGCCTAGATGGTTTTACAAGCACGCGCTTTGAGAAAAAATGTGCTCAATGTTATCGAACATTTTTGATTATCAACTTTCACGTGTTCAGATTTCAAAACTGAAAACACCTCGTCACAAACGGCTTATCAATAAGTGTTCATTCCTCTGGAGTTCTGCAATGTTCCATTAGTGCTCAATGTTCAATAATTAATCAGTGTCTACTCTGTGGCCTATTCGTAAAGATAACAGTCGGGCTGCGTAGTAAATCCAATCTATCCTTCCAGAAGTTGACCTTTCGGTCTGTTGACGTCATGATCTTTGGTCTAAAGTCTGACCCAATGAGCAAAGAAGCGGCACTGGAGCAAACCCTGGTCTGGGCGGGCGGATAAGAAAAATAAAACGAAATCTTAGTGCTCATCACATCTGTTCTCGTGAGTTCCATTCCAGTTTCAATAAAATCTGGAAGTGTCAGATAGAGCAATCAAAAAGTTTGTTTTCATGTTGGCCGGTATTGATTTTCAAAGAAGAAGTGATTGGCTGATGCAAGGAGGTCCCTCGTCAAACCACTTCTCGCCCAGTTTCCAGTATCGTCATCTGAAAAGATCAAGTTAACAAGGCATTCTTTTTCGTGTTGCTGCAAAGAGTGTTTTCTCTGTGCCCTCCTGGTTCTCCTCGCTCTTTTCATCGCCAATCTTTAAAGAAGCGGAATGATAAGCGGGTCAACGATAGAGCGAATACGCAGACGGCCATTGGGAATTCCCTCGTGTATCAAAAGAGGAGATAAGAGGGAGACGAGACGAGCGATCTGTGATGATGTCGCTATTTCAAGAAACTATGATCCGTTATCACTTTGATTGGTCGCTGCGCCCGCCAGCCACAGACTTTTAAAAGTAATCACGTGAAGATCATGTGAAGACGCCGCACCACGGGAAGTGTTCAATGATTCCTGGCGTGTCAGGTCTGGTGGTTACAAGTTTACTGTTACGATTCAGGAAATGAACGAAAGTGTTGATGAATAAGTTGAGAGTGTAAAGTAGGTCACTTTGGAAGACTGTATGCCATCCAAACTTAACATGCTAACACCGAATTTAGAGTATGACTCATTACAACTTGAATAAGAATATCTAAATGACGTTGAATCAGAGGAAGGAGACAACAGAAACACTGCCATTGAAATGGCGGCGAGAATATCAAGTGGTGGATCAGCGAACGCTCACAATCTGGAAAAGGGCAAACACAGCAAAACCGATTCGAATTCGATGACACACGACTCGGTTTAATATCCGTGGAGATGCCGCTCTTGGAAGTTGAGATTTTAAAAAAGTCCATGATTTGCTACGTGTTGTTTTCTCTGGGCTCACCATGTCATTACAGCGCCAGACTGGCGGCGTCGTTCGTTATCAACTACGATCTTCGTCTCCGCATAATAAAAACATGCTTCTCGGGAGCACCTAATGATATCATTCGTATTAGTGAACTTTCATTGACCTTGTCCTAAGCGCTTTGCTCATTAGCAAACACGTGAAACGGAGCACAACTTCCTGTTCAAATGAGCGTTCTCTGTGGGCTGCTGGGCTACTGTGGCTTAGCCGGGGACAATTGGTTTTCGTGATCATTGAACAGTTCCGAGCAAGTAATGTAATGCACTCTTTAGAAATGACTTATAAACTTTGCCCTATAAAAAGAGTGACAGTTTAGAAAAATGCGATTATGGCTCAAGGTGTATTGCATCAATTTTCCCGTTCTTTCAAATCCAACCAAACTTCGGGCAACTGTCATCTTTATTTTGATATTTTTTCGATCGTTTTCTGGCCGGAAGATGTCATGACCGTCTTCCAGCCATTCAACTCAGTGGACCAAAAAAGGAAGTCCAAAAATAGCCTTCCGATTGTTCTTTTAATCGAGTTCTTCGTCACATCCCGTTCCAGGCCCACCACAAAGATCGTTCACGTGAATTATCCGTGTTCCCTACTATGAACATCTTCAAAGATTGCCGTATCGTCGTCTGCGTCAAACCTATTCTCTCGCCCGCACGTCCGTCCGTGCTCTTTCCCCAACTCCACCCCTTTTGATGTTTAGATGGTATAAAAACATGACGCAGCGAAGTACACTTCATAAACATACTCGTTCTAGCATCATCTTAACTATATTATATAGTCTATATACAGTAATCTTGCAGAAAATGAAGTACCCGACTATCACTGAAACCCAACAACTGTTCCGTGATCATCCGCTCAAAGCCGGTCTTGATAAAAAATGCCGATCCACCATTCCATTGTGCCCAGAGGCTTTCGCCAAGGTGATGAAGAGCATCGACACGTTTATTTTCGACGCAGACGGTAATGAGTAGAGAGTAATTCTTCAAACGAGCATAGTTTCTGTTCAGGTGTGCTGTGGCTGGGAGAGTCAGTGATGCCCGGCTCGCCGCGTCTCATCGACTACCTCGTCAAACACGACAAACAGATCATTGTGCTGACGAACAACGCCACAAAATCACGGGCGGTTTATGCGAAGAAGCTGGCCGCTCTGGGCTACAACCCGGCCAAAATGAACAAGAATAACCTGGTTAACCCGGCAGCGGTGGTCGCGGACACTCTGCACCGCTCAGACCTCGACGGAAAACGAGTCTATCTGATCGGAGAGCAGGGACTTTGCGACGAAATGGACGAACTCGGCATCGAGTACTTCGGACACGGTCCCGAGAAGAAAGACAATGTATCGGCGACTGGCGCATTCATGTACGACATCAAGTTGGAGGAGAACGTCGGAGCAGTCGTCGTCGGCTACGAAAAGCACTTTGACTACTCGAAGATGATGAAGGCGGCCAACTACTTGCGAGAGGACGGCGTCCTGTTCGTCGCCACCAACGAGGACGAGACGTGTCCCGGACCGAATCCAGATGTGATCATTCCGGACGCCGGCCCAATTGTGGCCGCCATCAAATGCGCTTCCGGCAGAGAGCCGCTGACGGTCGGAAAGCCGTGCACTCCGGCATTCAACTACATCAAGAGGAAGTGGAACATCAACCCTTCGAGGACTATGATGATCGGAGACAGGTACCATTCTGAACCCACTCCTAATTTTATTATTTATTCTTTACAGAACCAACACTGACGTCAAGTTCGGCAGAGATCACGGAATGAAGACGATGTTGGTGCTCTCCGGATGCCATCAAATCGAAGATATCGTCGACAATCAGATGAATGAACGCGACGATATGATCCCCGATTTCGTCGCTCCCTGCCTCGGAGCTCTCGTGCCCGACAGAATTTAATTTTAATGTTTTACGTGTTGACCAGCCTTGTGGTCCCCATTGACGGTGTATATAGATATTTTTCTGACAGTTCAGAATGCAATTCCTGAATCCAAACTTTTTTCTTCACATTGAAGACGACACCTAAAAACCAATAAATTTGCTACAATCTCTGAAATTATTTTTAAACAAGTCGGAAAGAAATTATGTAATAGATAGGTCTAGAATCTCCCCAGCGCTTTCATTCAATACAAGAAAACAATCATGTGTGCATGCATGACAGAGATGGCGATAACCTCGAAACAAAAGGAGTATCTCGAAAAAAAAATCAACTGGGATATAAGACAAATAAATACGGGTTAAAGTATTTTGTGAGAAGCGCCTGTACTAATTAGTATTTGGAAGCGGGCGTCGGCTCCGCTTGGCTTTGCAGTGGATCCATTCCTATTGGTTTCAACTCAATTGAGGGCATCGGTCGTCCGTAGAACGGCAGATATTGACGAAGTTGCTGTACGTGTTGCACCTCTTTCTCCTTCTTGCCCATTTCCGAGTTCTTCTTGATTGTCTCGTCGACGACGACCTTGTCCTCGTTCTTTCCGTGCACGAATACAGCCAGCTTACGTCTCTCAGCAGCGTTCTTACGGATTTTTCTGAAAGAAAATATGTGAAGGAGCAATTTCAGGAGCGAAACGCCTACTTGTCGAACAAATCGAGAATATCCTCTTTCTTGATTTTTTTCAGCACTTCCACCTCATTTTCACGTCGTGAAAAGTTGTACTGACGGCACTCGATCTCGTTCCAGAAGCGACGGAATCTGCTGCTCAGCGTCTTCGGTTTCTCCTCGAGACGAGTGATCATTGCGGCGACTTGTTTGTTGAATTCATCAGCCGGCATGTCTACAATCTCCTTGCGCACACTTTCCAGGAAAGCTTCAATGCGTTCTAGCACGTGATCAACACTTTTTGGGCCCTGAACGATGACATTCAAAGCGACAGTTCCAGCTGAGAGTCGAGAGCCTGTCCACACGATGTATCCTGAGAAAGTGAACGTTTAAATTTAGGAACGTAAATCTTAATTACCTAGCGATTCAGTGGTGCGCAGCGTATTGAACGCTGGTTCGCGAATAAGTTGATCGATGAGCCCGACAAGAGCATTATCACGAGTGTTCTGCACTCCAATCTGGTACATCACCTCAACGCATCCGACGTCGTGAGTTTTCTGGAGATGCCTGTAGACAAACTCGTCTCCATCGTTGAGCTGAATCTCTCGACGCGGACTGTGTTCATTCCAATACAACGGGCGACATTTTGGATTGACAGATTTCAGAATGTTCGTGATGTCCTTTGAGAGCTGAAGGGCTTCTTTTTCGGTTGAGTTTCCGTGCACAAAAAGTTCCAAATAGAACGATTCGAGCATCTCCTTCGCGAATCCTTGCACATCTTCCAAAGTAACACTGTCACAAACCGCCAGAAGCTGCTCTTTGCTCCAGACTTTGTCGAGAACTAACAATTGAGTGTAGTGTTGAGTGAGAGTGTACGGTTGCGAAAAGGCGTGATTCGTCAGAGCTCTCTTCAGCGACTCGAAGAGCACATCGAACCTAGTCTTATCGATTTTGAAATTGGTCATCCGATTTGTCAGATGTTTCACGAACAGCGCCTGTTTTTCGTCGTATCCATAAACCTGAATGGTTTCAGTTTAAATTGAAGAGAACGAGGAGAAGACAATATGGAGTGCCCAAAACAAACGAGGTTAAATTGGAACAGTACACAATATGTTAAGACAAGAAGTGCGTATGTGCGTGATTAGTGGGTCGAAAACAATTGACAAAACACAAACATGCATGGTGAATGAGGCGTGTCGTTCGGTCTCTCGGCGGCTTACCCTCAATTGCACACCAAACGGACTCGACTCGAGCTGGCATTTGAGCCCAGCCAAGTCGGCATTGTAGGTTTCCTCAGCGAGAGTATCCTACAACAATTGAACTAAATGCGCAATTATAGAAGAAGAAACTAACGCTGAGGCACCACAGCCATAGGCTTGATAGCAACGAATTTCGAGGGTTCTGAGCAACAATCGGAGTTGTCAGCGCTAGTTTGGTCTCCTGTTTCGGCATCTTGTACTCGTCGTCCTGCTTGAACCACACACGGCTCCATCCGTCGTCGTTGATCAGTCTCGGATGTTCGCTTTTCATCGCTTCACGTGGCTTTTGCTCGAACTTCGTTGCAATGTATTCGTTCTTTTCAGGGAGACGCAGAGCTGGATTATTAGTTTTCAACGCCTTTTCAAATTTGTTCATCACATCCTTGTCAATGTCGGTCACGCGAATTTCAGTTCCGTAGACTGGCTCTGTGGTGTTTCCGTCTTGTCCCTTGAACTTCTGAGAGACAACACGATATGACATGTTCTTAGGGGTGAGCGTGGCTAGCAGCTGCTTGATTTGATCCGGATCGTACTTAGTCAGCAAGTATTTCGACGAAAGAATATCATCGAATGGAATATATTGCAGACTGGAGGCTACATTCGTAGCCATATTTATCGGAGTCTCCTTGTCTTTGAAGAGGAACTTGACAGAGCTCAGCTCGGCGAGCTCTTCAAAAACCCACTTCTGTGGACCAGTCGATTGGAGCAGACCGATATAGTTGAAAACGAGCTGAACGATGTCTTCAACATGATCGAGTCCTTCTGTGCTCAAGTCCATCGAAACGTCGAACACTCCAAATCCAGCGGCCTGGGTATGATTTCCTGCTTGCAGAGAGCTCACCCATCCGAGTCTTTTGAGCTCCGAGAGCAGCGATCCAGATCCTTCATGACCAAGCAAGTGCGCTGAAATGTGTTAATAATGCGTTTAAGGAGTCAGTAGAACGTACTTATGTAATGTCCAGGTTGTGACTGATAGTCTCCATTAAGATCGGGGAACGGGAAAGTTATGGTTAGCATTCTGGTGTCCTTGATTGGCACCGCTTCCACCTTTTTTCCAAGTTGCTCCGGGCCGTATGGATGCTCGGACCACGTTTTTCTCGACACTTTCTTATTTTCGATAGCGTCGAACTCAAAAGTTCCGAGATATCTCTCCAGATCGTCGAGTGGCTCTTTACCAATGATACAGCAGGACATTCTGAAAGAAAGTACTCATTCGGAAGAATCTATCGACTATAGCGAAAACGCACATATCAGAGCTATACCACTTTTTATGGAAATTCAGGAGAGCATCACGTGGCTCAATTCCATTCTTCCGAGCGTCCACAAGCAGTGTCTGCTTGTTTCCAGTTCCGAATTTTCCGTAGTCATGTCCTGGTTTCGAGCGCGAACGATCCACTTGCACGAAACGCCACATGTCATTGTTCAGATTGTTCGAGTGCTCCGAATCCACAGCACACACTTCGCGCTCTGTAGCACTTTCAGTAAACTGAGGAGCCAAGAAGAACTGAACGAAGCGATCGAGAGCTCCGGGGAGTTCCTCGGGCTTAACATCAAAATGGTAGTTGGTGTGGTCGGTGGAAGTGAAAGCATTGGAGCTTCCAGCGTGAGCCGACAAGAATTTAGAGTACTCGTTCTCCGAGGGATACTTGGCGGTGCCTAGAAACAGCATGTGCTCACAGAAATGAGCGAGCCCTGGGAGCTCCCACGGATCCATGAGATGACCGACTTTCACGTCAATGGAGGCCGCCGATTTGTCTGTCGTCGGGTCTGAGACGAGTAGAATTCGAAGGCCATTCGTCAATTCGAGACCGCGATACTATAAATTAAAATGCTTTGTTGAAAAATGGGAATGCTTACCTCTCTCGTATCCTGAGCTCCTTTCACAATAGAATCGTACCGCTTCAGCACAATATTTTTCCCGTTCTCTGTCATTTTTGGCAGCGAATTCGAATTAGATATGTTGCGAACTAGTCGTAGCCGAATTGGAGAAAAGGGTGGCCTTATTCTGAAACGTGGTTGAAATTAATTCAGTACACGTATTTATTTGCCCAACCAGGAACACTGCGAGGAGGCGAATTTTCAAAGAGAATACGAAGGAAAAGAACGAAGAGATCGGGATCGTGTGAGGAGTTCAAAGAAAGACGAGAAGGAACGAGAAGACTGGCTAACCTGAGAATGTGCGTGAAGCTTCTGCTGGAAAGCGGTCGTTTGGTGATTTGAACGAGCGCTGGCCGCAGGATATTTATATGCGATTTTGAGAGCAACGGTAAAGACATTCCCTTTCTCTGGAACTTATTGAAGTTGAAATTCAGTAATTTTGGCGCGAAAACAAATTTTCCGGCTAAAATTATGACGAAAAAAGGTGAGGGACTGAGGGGACTAGCTTTCTAAATTATAGAAAAGTTAGGCCAGCCGCATTTTTCCGCCTCAGTTGAGGTACTTTTCAACAACAATTTTATGGCTCTGCTCTCTGTATTCTACCATTACTGCATTTGTTTACGGATTCGGAAAAAAAACCGTTGAAAAATCCGTCGACTAGTTTTTTACGTTAAAAAAAACAAGCCCGTTTTTGAAGCAAACTGTTGATAGCATCGCTAGAAGCAATTAGTACTACTAGCCTAGTAGTACTAATTGCTAGATTCATATTTATATTCTGAATAAAAGACAAGAATGAAAACATCGAAAAAAATTTTTTACTCAGAAGTGAACATTATGAAAGACGAGAAGACGGTGAAGCAAGAGAAAAAGCTAATCAAACGAGAGCGGGTTGAAAAGGAAAATGGCGGAAAGAGCGCCCTGCTCGGGTAAGGAGAAATAGCATTTTGATTCTCGTCGGAGCAGGCGAGCAGATGGATTAGTTCTCGCTCGCCCAATAATTTTGGGTTTCACGTGGAGCAATACCCAAGAGTATTGCTAATGGTTGTTATCAGTTGGAGCGAGTGTTAATCATAGAAGTATAGATTTCGAAAGAGACGACTGTCCTGGTCGTTTGTTTTCTGACATCACGTTTATTATTATTAGGAGTTGAGTTCTGGGTGTATGATATGTCTGTGAACCTTCAGTTCCTCAGCGTTCTCTTGGCTTTCTAGGCTAGAGTCTAGATCGATCTATGCCTATCTATGGAAAACACGATAAGACGGAAAATAGATGAAGAAAAATGTGAACACGAGCCAAAATCAAAGTTTATGTACATTATACACTTGCAGTTGTACAATTTGAACAATTATTACGCGGTCTTAAAGAAATGGATAAACAGAGAATTAAAGGAAGTAGGCGACTTGTGAAAAATGCGAACACGAAATGCGACAATTTGAAAGCAATTAGGATTTGAACTGAATTCCATGGAGATTATTATATAGATGCTCACAGAAAAATTCCTGCTTTTTGAGAGATCTCATGAATGTCAAGGCAGTTTGGGCCGCACACTGAATCCTTTTTCTGAAGATACATGACCGATCCCGATTTAAATGACCGTTCGAAAAGCACTGCGTCCGCCAACGTTTTTCCGAACTGAGCACGGAACTCCTCGCGCTCCAAAAGTTTTGAGACTTGCACGACTGGCACTCGGTTACCGACTTCCATGAATCCGCCGTTGCCGACGGTTTCTCCACTTTTGCAGGGAACACATCCGCTGAACACGATGTTGCGTGGAACATCCACTAGAAGCCGAGCAATGACGATTGGGGCGACACACGAGTGAAGACCGAACCAGTTGAAGTAGTTGACGTTCTCGCACTTCTTCAGGAACCTCATCACGTAATCGACAGTGAACGACTTTGACGAATAGCAGAACTCGGTGATTGTTTTGATCGGTTTGTACAAACTCGAGTTAATAGAATGGAGAGCGCTTTCCGAGTGAATCTGAAGACGAAATACAAGTTTCAGTCGAAGACAAATTCTGAACTTACATAAACTTTGCGCCAATTGCCTGAATACATAAGTGTGGCAAGGTTCTCAGTGTGCTTGCATTCGACTTCTTGCTTTGGGCAGAAGAAGAGTTGTTTCAAACTTGGCGGCAGCTTGAATTCTCTCGTGGACGAGTGGCGGAATGACGCGATGTCCCAAAAATTAAATGGTTGTTTTAAAATACTAAAAATCAGCGATTATTACCATCAGATCCAAGTTCTCGACACGGCTGCCTTTGAGCATTGGCCAGAAACGCGTGAAGTCGGTGCTTTCGGCGGGATTGCTGATGACGAGCCGCTTGGTGTTTCGGCATGATTCGAACAGATCGTAGACGCCATTGTGCATCGGAAGTGAGCCATTGAAGCAGATGTCTTCGCACTTCGGAAGCGAATACTTGTTGAAGACGGTGAAGGCATGAGAATCCTCCGGGAAGTTATTGAAGCGCAGAGTGAGGAGTTCATCGGCGAAGAGCTCGAGAAGGTCATCAATCGCTAGCTCCAATCGGCTTTTGGTGCACGTGAAGATCGAGTGGCAGTGGGCCCTGCAAATGTTTTCTTTTTTCTCTGTTACTCGATCTCCGGGCCTTTCTTTGTCCGCCTCGACATTTCGTCATCTCGCGAAAGGCCTAAACGAATCGGCCAAATGGGAGAGAACGAAGATCATGAGATTGGGAATAAACCTACTTTCCACGGCGGAATCTTCCTTTTCGGTTGAGAATCATCTCGAAATGCACCTTGTCGGTCGAACTCTTCTCCGCTTTGCAAGGGCACTCGTCTTTCGGGAAGGTGACATGTAGATGAGCCTGAAAACCAAAGTTAATTCTCTTTTTTGTAAGTCAGAGTTGAAGACAAGGCTATCGGCCCAATAGGAAAAATGTTCGTCATCGCCGCCCTTCCCACAACGCCTACTAACATCTCGATTTCAAATCAGTGTTAGCGAGTCGTTTGAGAATGGCTGCAACTCGAACGAAAAACTTCTAGAAGTTAAGAGATTGGACCGAGAAATCGTATAGAAAAAAGCAGGAACTTTCTCACCTCATAGTGTCCGATGACAAAGCGAACTAGCTCGCGAAGCTTCGGAGACGTCTTGGAAAGAATGCACAACGAAGGCGGATGATCGGCAAGCGTGTACGAGATTTTTTCCCATAGATCGCATGGCAACTCCAGTTCGGTGGTCATCGTGGTCCAAGAAGAGGTCGGACGTCGGAGTGCAGGCACTGAAGTGAGGCAAATAGGCCCGTCTCGCGCCTTTTATACTCCGAGCTTACACGAGATGATGCAACATGCCTGACGCGCAGGGCCTCAGCGAGAGAGCGTGCCGACCGGGAGAGCGGAGGGTATCAGGCACGGCAAGGGAAGGCCTATGCGAAAGAAACAAAAGAAACACGAGTTGTTGGTCGGTTTGTTGGTTTGTAAATGTACGAAAAGATTCAACGTGAAGGGGAGCGCGATAAGCTTTCGATAAGAACGGTAAAGAAATTAACTTACAGTGGAGTTTTCGGTGATTTTTTTTTAAAGTTTCAAAAAAGTAAAAAAAATAGGGAGAGAAATGCAGCAGCTGCATTCTCAGAAAAAGTGAAACGTTGCATTCTAATTTTCCCGCTGAATGGGATCGAGTGTGAACCTTTAAATGAAAAAGTACTGTAGGTTTAGCAAAATGTGAGTCTAAAAATGCGGAATATCGAATATCGAACAAGTTCATGATCTTTTCACATAGTCGGCAGCTTCAGAAGTTGTCAGAAAATCAAACAGAATGTTTACGATGATAACTATTCCGGAAACAATAATGAACAGAAGAGATCATTGTTCGGGAGTATTGTCGGCGCACCATCAAATTTATGTGAGCAACAAGTTTATCTCAACGAAGTAAGTCAACGAATAATGAGATCCAATTACGTTAACATTGTTCAAAGAAACAGGGATCGATAATCTTGACTTTGAACACATCGAAAATCTTGGCGAGTTCCAAAATCTTCTGACGATCAAAATGAATTTTCTGAAATTTCAACGCATAAGAGAGTTCAAAAACAGGGAATAACCTGTAAAGTGTTCACAATAGTCATTAGTTTGATGAGCCTTCCCGCATAATTAGACATTTTGTACTCTTTCATGTAGTAAATGTGTAGGTCGTCGGCCACTTTTGCGATGAACTTCTCTCCGGCTTCAAGAATTTCGCCTTGAAGAGTTTTACCTGAAGTTCCAGTGTTCACGAACGCTACCGTGCAAAAAGAGCTACCTGCAGTATGCCAAATAATTTGACAGAGCATGTAGCTAATCTCAATTGAAGATGGCTCTAGCTCCAATAAAGGCCTTGCCACTTCATCGAAAAGTCTTGAGCACAGAGGATGAAACATGTTGCGAAGCTCTGTCGCCGTGTAATCCGTGATCTTTGACAGATCCACATCGACATGTTCCATGCGGATTGCGTGGGTGTTTGAAGTTATCAGAATCTTAATTCACTTAACTCTTTGGCATTTCTCCCTCTCAAGTTAACCTTCTCATCCAGAGCTCGTTTTCCAAACACTTCTAATGACATTGTGAGCCTCTCGAATCGTTGCCAAATCTGCCACACCAGCTTGAAAATCGAGAACTTCTCCTCCGAATTCAACTGTCGAAACTCTTCGGAATGCATCATCCACTCGGCCACTTTTGCCATCTCCCCACCCCACATATCGACCAATTGATCCAAGCGGATCTTGCTCGCTATCTGAACAGTCGATGCAGTAATCTACACGAATCCACAGTAAACCCACTTGGATATCTTCCCGTTTTTGAAGCCTCCGATGATGTCGCAATGCCCAGTCCATTTTTCCCAAAGTGCTGCGAGACTGATAGCCAAGGTCGTCCGAAGGAGTTTTGAACTGAAAACACACAAGATTGTTCGCAAAGTACGAACCATTAGCTGTACATACTTCCATAAAAGTCTTGTGAATCTTATTGAGCACTTTGGACAGATCATAAAGCGGCGGTCCATCCATACTGTTCCTTTTTAACCCAGGGCTTCCGAACGTGCTGTCCGGATACCCGTCATAGTCGGTTCCGTCCTCTTCGCTGTGTCGCTTCCGATCAGTTGATGAGATCATATCACGGTTCCACTGGACATCTAGATTGTTGACACAAATAGGAAAAACAATTATTGCACTTTGCTTACTGTCAGCAGTCATTCCGAGACGGAGACACTTGTTGTATCTGCATAGTCTGCACAAATATCTTTCGGTTTTGTCGATGATGCATCCTTGATTCGCCTTCCGGCACATGTACTTTTTGCTCAACACAACAGATCTTCTGAACTATTAAGATTTTTCTTTTGCGCGGCAAGTAGCTGAAGATTCCCCATCTCCCCCACATCCCCTCCTCCTTCCTTTTTTTCTCCTCTCTCTCTCTCTCTCTTCTTCACGTTAAAAATAAACGTAAATAAATAAATAAATAAGATTGAGCAAGAACTTTGTTAGAACCATTGCTCACCTGAAAAAAGCGGCACATGCTCTGCAGGAGAGCACTCCAAAGTGAACTCCATGGGCGGAATGCGCGCAGATCCTGCATTCGTAGATGGACGAAGAAGACGGCTAAAAGTAAGGTCAATTACTCATTAAGAATCATCTGATGATATTTCTCTTTTCTTTCTTTGTGACCTATTCCCATTTTGTGACTTGTAGTGTTCGTAGCCAGAGAGAGGCGCGTGAGGATAGACACAGCATGTGAAAGTTTTTGTGGTTGGGTGGAATAGCAGCGTGTTTGCCTCAGGCGATGGAGTTTGTGACCGAATAAAAATGTTCAGATTCTTCAGAATTTAGATCAGCCCTGCTAAAGCTCATGGAGTTTGTGCCCAGGGATATTAAATTGACAACAACTACAGTAGAAAAATAATGAAGTCACAATTAGAGTTTGTGACTTGTGAACGAATACATTTTCCGATATGAGTCACAGAGAGGAGCATGAGGAAAAGCTTTCAATGATGCGGATCCATTGGAGCGAAAAGCTTGGTGCTAACTTGGATCACTCATCAGCAAAATAAAGAAGTGCGTAAAATATTTTGATCTTGAGCTCGCCTCCCAAGAAGTGCGTCACTTGCCGCAATATTTCAACAAAACGTTGCTCACCGTGATTATATGACGTAGAAACGTCTACTCACCTCATCAATTCCACTACCATTCATGGGCTGAAAAAAGGCAGGAGGCGACAAGTCCAGCATTGGAGCTTCCTGAAAAGATGTACCATTTGAAATTCCACTAGGGACTACGAAATTAGAGAACCTCTTTTATTAAGGAAACATCTGACAATATAGCAGGAGAGACTTCCATGATTAGTGAGAAAGGCGCCAGAAATGTATACTGAACTTATGATAGAAGCTTTTCAGGTCGGAAAGAAAACGCGTCAGCGGGAAGGGCGGAGAGTAAAGAGCAACCGATAAAACCAGGGCGGAGATTGTGAGTGTGACTACGCTATTCTGTGCGGCTTTAGCTACAAATCACGATCCATCACGGTCACAAAAAGAGGAACATCTTCTTCTTCTTCTCCTTTTTCTGCATTCTTCATTCTTCAGAATAATTGTGATATGAAGACATGATGAGTGGAATATTATCAGATTGTGTCTGCCTTTCTTCCAAAAATAAGCTGTTCTAAATGTGAAAGTTTTCGGAGGGTACTAGAAAAACAAATATTGACAGCCATGCCCTGCATGCAGGCCGAAAGTTTCCAATGGCAATTCCACCGAGAGTTGTTGTGAAGGACAAGTTAAAAGGAGGGCATGAACGTGTGATGTGATGTCCCTTGTTGTATTACGCATGTGTTGACAGAATGCGGATGCAATTATAGTTTATCGAGCTAGTAGACAGAAACACACCGAAAAGAAGCGCATTTTCTGCAGAAGAAAATTCTCCTCTTTCCTTCGACACCCCATTTTCTGTTGTTTTTTTCTGATTTGTACCCGCCCATTTCACGTGTGATTGATGTTTGAACTATGGCCAGAAACCACGAAAACGGAATCGTGACTACAGGGGAAACCACACAATAGCCTAGGCAGGAAAAATGCGCCAAGCTCGTCGTTTACGTGTTACCGCGGTGCTGGCGCGGCGAAATCTCTGTCAAAATCCAACAAATGCCACTTTCTGCTAAACCAAGCGCAGTACGATGCTTCAAAAACCGGCGGGTGTCCGCAGGGCCTCCACAAACGCTAGGTGAGGTAAAACTCGTTTTCACGTTAATTTTGCACAGATTTTGCTTTAAAAGTTAATAAAAATGATGAATTTCAGCATAAATGTCTCCTTCGAAGACGTCTCCAACGGAACCAACGTGGAAGAGTTCAGTAAGTTGCTCATAGAAATGTTATGGGGCTATTCAACGTATGTTTGTTTCCCGTTTTTTTCGTTTTTTTTTACATCGCTGAATTGGATTTTTTGATGAAGACAAACGAAAACACGGAAAACAATCATTTTTTCACAGCCTGAATAACCCCATTACGGATTAAGTGGTTCTATTATATCGATTTGCAGCTTGGAAAAGCGCTAGCACCAGGATCAGAGTGGCCGGACAAAGACGAGCTGTTGGATGTCGTCTACTGGGGAAAGCAAGTAAGTGTTTTTGTAGAAATTTGAAAAAAAATTGAATTAATCTCGAGTGTTTTCAAGTTCCCTAAACACAAGTCCAGGGATGTTTTTTCTTTGTGTAAAAGTACTTGTCGCCTTTAATTCTAGAACGATAAATATTAAATTTGAATCACCAGGTCTTGTCCTAACAAAAACGTCATTTTAAAACGTAAAACAAGATATCAAGAAATTTCGTGAATTACACGGGACTGTATCTTAAGAAGATTCCTCACCGGTAGTCCCGGTACAAGTGAAGTTCCAGACACTCGGGTTTTCGGGAAATTCTGAATAGTGCAAAACGATCTAAAAATGTTGCAGGTACTCTCTCTGTTCGTCGGCCTCATCTTCGGTTTCACCCCCATGACCGGAATTCTCGGCATCATCTCCTACGTCGTAATTTCGTCGGTCGTCGCGCAACACTACGTAACCAAGTTCCAAAAGGTCGACGAAGATGACGTCGGCGGCTTCTGGGAGCTCTCGAAGGAAGGATTCGGCGCCGCGTTTGCCACCTACATGGTGACTTGGATCACTGTATACACGCACACAACACAAGCATAGAAAACAGATTAAAGTTATTGGTACCACAGAGTTCTGAATATTACTCTCTTTCGCAATCTCGCGTGAAACTCCGACCGCGACTAGTAGCTTTTTAGATTTATCAATTTACGTGGAAACTCCGAGACCGGTAGAGCGTGATTTCCAGTCAAACTTCTGTGGCAGCAGTATTAATATTACATATTTATTTGACCTTCTCTTCATAACCTTCTTTTTTTTTAATCGTCGTTCTTTCCTAGTTCTCTTGTTTTTCTGTGATTTCCTATCATGTCAAACATTTTCTTAATTTCATATGAATATCGAATTTTCGTTTTTCTTACAAAGGCGTGAGATTTTGACACAAAATGTATGCGACCAGAACTGTATACTTTCTTTCTTCAAATCGCCATACACAGTTTCTTTTCAGATGCGATTACTCTATTTTCTATCTTTTCTTCTAGTACCTGCAGAATCCGGTAGGGATTTGACCGTTATTCTAGTGGGCTCACGATATAAGCTCACCGAGCAACGTGTCAGTGAGCGAAGAATCAAAATTTTGAAAGAATGTGAAGCAGAAAAGGTTAGAAGTTCCAAATCGTTTGACGGGTACTTGATCCACCTCCTTCAGCTCTCCTGCTCTGTTTTTGATGCTCTCAACGGGTTCAGCTCCACAGATGAACCGTTACAAGGAATGTGGACATTGACTCCTGTCATTCTGAAGCTTCCGAATGTGTCCGACTGGACAATAGTTTCTGAAGACACTTCTGAAATCGGCGTAAAATACTTGAAGCGCTACTCGAACTCGGATAAGTCAATTTTCAGTGGCTTCGGTTTGAAAGATAAAGAGTAAACAATTTTGTGTCAATTCACAAAGTCTACAAGTTGCCTTCAGAGCAACAATCATACACCACTTTGGTATGAACACACCCGATAACTTTCAATACCCTCTTCTCTCCGCTGGCTTCATTTTGTCTAGAGTAGCGATAGAAAGGATTCGAAAAGCACGAGAAGACGACCGATGGAATGGATTTGCAATTGACGCGAGCTACGAGGCAAGTGCAACGCCGTTCATAATGTCATTTTCCCCCTTTCCTTTCCAGTTCGCTCTTCTTCTTTACAAACGGCTGAGTCTTCGTTTGACGCACGACCCCAGTGTTTTCTGCTGTGGAAACCACTCTGTCTCGGACGGATGTCTAGTCAGATGCTCCGTCCCTCAGCCAACTAGCGCTACTCTCAGAGATACAGATATCCAAGTGATGATCAAAACATACACGGGCTATCATCAAAGCCGACTACCAGTGCTCAGGGACACGTGGACAGCTCGCATTCCGAGAGTAGAGTACTGTAGTGACAAAAGAGATGAGCAGATTCCAACGATAGACCTTGGAGTTGCTAACACCGACAGAGGGCATTGCGGCAAGACATGGGCAATTTTCAAACGGTTCTTGGAAAAACCAGGAGACGGAACCAAGTGGTTGCTTATCGCTGATGATGACACTTTGATGAGTTGGAAAAGATTGAAGAACGTGTTGGAAGCTTTTGATCCAAAAGATTCGATTATAATTGGTGAGCGATACGGCTTCGGGTTAAGTGTGAACGGCCAAACTGGCTACGACTATCCAACTGGAGGATCTGGGTAGTGATAAAGAAACCTTGAGGCTTCTAACAAATTATCTGTTTTCAGAATGATATTCTCCCGATCAGCAGTGCGTTATCTGCTGGAGACATGCCCCGCTTGTGCAGCGGACAACGATCCGGATGATATGACAATTGGAATATGTGCTATCCAGTCGGGAATTCCGATAGTTCATGAGCCGGGGCTACATCAGGCACGACCTCAAGATTACGCTCGAGAATGCCTGCAGTATCCCATTTCCTTCCATAAGTTCACCGACATCGATCCAAGGCATGTTTATCGAACATATTTAGCTGACGATGAAGAAAGTGAGATCGATATAAGGTCAGAGCTTTAGGTTACTCTAATTACTTGTTGTTAATACTTGCATAATCGTGTATTATTATTTTTTACGAGTCTGCTTTACATCAAACAATAAAGTCTTCAGACAAAAACTTTACTATCTTCCATTTGTATTAATCGAATCGACTTCTACTTGCGCCTAAAATAGTTTATTTTCCGGGCCTAATCATTAAAAGGGAGGAATTCTGTTGCGATTTCAAGTAAGAACTGAGCTTGGACTCGGGATCCCTGTATGGGAACGCCGTGTACACGATGATTGAGAAAATGACCATGGATGTACCGAGAAGGAAGAGAAAACCGGGATGGAAGTCGAAAAGAATCCATGAGCCGACGGCGGCTCCTATGATCGCCATGCTCTGGAGAACAAAAGAAATTAGGGGAATGCGGTGAGATGGGTACCTGCGCATAAGCCTTGAGTATGTTGTCCGCATACTTGATGACGACGGAAATGAGTATTCCTCCAATGGAATTGGTAACTGTCAAGCAGATCACAACAAAGTCCCAACCTCGGAAGGCGCCCTCTGGAAAAATAGAAAATTGGGTTCTAGGGGGTAGAAATCACTGTTGCCTCTTGTGTTTGCGAACCTTTCTTGGCATTCCGGAACGCTGGCTGTTCTGCACAAGTGTCTTCTTGGCAGCAGCACTTCTCGCCCCGCACACTCACACACTCAAAACCATTGTTATTCATCCGTCGCCCGTTTTGAAACACTTGATGCAGCAGGAGCAGAAGCTTCTTGCATGCTCTGGACTGTCGGTCATTGTGTAAACAAGGCGCACAAAAACCCGCGGGGGCAAGCATGTGCCTTGCCCGGTTGTGCTTTCCTCTCGGCGAGCCGCCGACAATAGAGAAGGAGGTGTGAACAATGAATGGGAGGACGGATCAAGATCCCCCCACACTAAACACACAACTGTAAACCTCCTGCCCGTCCGTCTGTGACCGACGATCTTTCCGGCTTGCCCCTGTTCATAGACACTTTTTCTTTGAGATCCATTTGTGTAACTCGAGAAGAGTCACTCACGTTCGCTGATCTTGTCCCAGTCGTAGTACCACATTGAGAGGAAAGAGATGGGGAGGCCAATCAGAGCAAGTCGGATGTTTTGAACCCAGATGGACGCGTTGGAGGACTTTAGAACTTTCTCCAAGTACACCCCTGAAACAACAAGCTCCAACAACCACTACAGTATCCCGTATTCCTACCAGCAAAGGCTGAAGTAAAGCACATCGTGAGGACGGCAATGAATCCGTACATGGGGTTCTGCTCAATATTATCACTGATCGGGGGAGGCGAGTAAATGTATTGTATATCCGCAACTCCCAACACGAGCATCACCAGTGCCCACCATTGCTTCGACGATAAGTTCTTGCCGAGGAAGAAGTACATGAAGATGGCGGTGGTGAATATCTTCATTTGATATGTGATCTAAAAGAATGAGATGTTTGCCCAAGATGTGTTCGCCTCCATCTATGATCTCTGTTTGTTTTTCATGTCGCCGATGCACTTGACTTTTTTGTTTCTACCAGCCTGCCCGCCTATATTCTACAAATTCCTAGAACCCTCTTCTTACACAGAATGTAGTGGCTTCCAGATGCGAGAGGGCAATGTAATAGAGGTTGTTCTGAAGAGTGTAGATGAGCGCTGGAATGCACACTTTCAGAGTTTCAGATTTGTGATCAACAATTGCGCTTTTCAATTCGCTGATGTATCTGTAAGAAGTTATCAGTAGGAGACAATACATACATTGTAAACTCACTTGAAAATGGATTTATTCGTATAAATGATAATTGCAGAACACACTACAACTTTGATAATCTCCATCATGAAAACATTAACAGTTGTGAAGAAAACATTTGAATCTTCTCTAGCCCTGGAGTATCTGGCCATCAGAGGCATGCTGAAGAACAAAAGTTTTAACTTGTGAATGAAAATAAATACAATTACCTAGCTTGTTGTAGTGTGAGAAGCAAGATTCCAAAATACTTGAACTTTGAGTCATTGTCACTGGAAGTCATTTTCCAGGACGCTTGAGAAAGACGACGTCAACGTAAGGGGTGGATGAAGAAGAAGAAGACAAGCCCGATCGGGACGGCAGAGATTTCATCTGCGTGTGAAAGGAACCCATCGAAGAGATCGCGGCCGATTATTTAATTCCGAATAGGAGGACGCTGTTCTCGGGAGGAGACAGGAAGGCCAAGTGGACTGAATCCTTTTTGAACTTCTGACGACAAAAAAGAAATCAGCGTAGCAATCGGAACCTGTGTGTTTTGGAAGGTAGCTTGCTTCTCGATTCGATACGGTGGATTTGTAAATGTGAACAGAATAGTTACTCTGTGCCGATTCTCAGTTCATTCTTTTCTCGTCTTTTTTCGACTCTTCCCAAAAACATATAATACAACGCAAACTTTAGAGAAAACAATGATCATTCAATCTATTCAGAGCTTTCCCAATTTTTTCCATCAAGCAAATCCGGTTGGCACTTCCGTCAGTTTGACCCTTACGAGACGGGCGGATTGTTCGCGGGCAGATATGATCCGGATCCGGCGGCATCCCCGAAGAGAGCTGCTTGCCCTTCCTTCACCTCGTTCTCGATAATATGCAAAAATAAACACAATGTGTCATCGAGTCGTTCGCCAATGCCTTTGTCCTCTAATGAGTCGGCGGCGCCCCCCCTTTCGGCGCATGATCGTTTCTCGAAATGCTTCCGTTCGTTTCCGTCCGCCTTCCCGTTGATCTCCACCCACAGACACCTTGGCACATATTTCAGTATTGTCTTCCTGTGCTTCTCCAGGTAGCAGCGAGCCGACGAGTGTCCCTGCGAACTCTTTCTCTCTCTCCGCCTGTTCGTGACCCTCTCATCTCTTTTCGCTCCCCCACCCTATTTGCTCCACCCCCCGAACCTCCTTGCTCACCGGCGGCTCCTTCTCGGCGGCGCGGCTTCTGTGCTCAATCTCATCACCAGTTCAACTCCCGCATCCTGGTGTGCTAGAACACTGAACACATTTCCGCCGTTCCTCATATTGTTTCTTACTTCTGTCTTCTGTTGAGCATACTTTTGCCAAATGAGGCTTCTCGCCCAAATCATTCTGTTCGCCGTCGCTGCCTACACGACTAGTGCTGGCCAAGGTGAGTGTTTTTTCATATGCAAAATTGTGATTGGGATCTGAACTCTGAACATTCGAAATTTATGAAAATCTAGGAAAAGGCTACAACGGCTGAGTGGTAGCTTATGTTACAGAGGATAGAAGGCGCTTCATTGAAACTATCGCAACCCTGGCCTTATTTACAAATGTTGCTACTCGACCAAGACTTTGTTCTCTTGCTTTAACTCTAACATAGTTGCTCTTCTAGACATAACAACCCTCGGCTTCAAATCTTTGTGCTGAAACTCTGAAAACCCTCGAATTTTTTTTAACTTTCAAGACTAGGAGTCTCCAAAAGATTGAGCCATACCAGCTGCACCCTTCCCCTCATAAAGCTTCAAGGTATGTAATTCATAATGGCGCCGTTCATGTTTAACAAACATGCATGCGTGTCTCCAGAGTCCTTCTCCTCCTCCTTTTTCTGTTTGTGTTCGTGTTTGCTCGCAGCAGTTTCATGTTGCGCGTGTTCTTCTTCCTCTTTCACCCATATGCTATGCGCCAACCATTTTGGGGAGAGACTAGACTCAAATGATGTGCAATGAGAGGCAGGAACGGTGGAAAGTGATAGTGAGATGATGATGACCAGTGGTTTTGAACAAAACAAACACGCCGCCACTGTTTGTTCAGTTTCTTTCTTCATCTTCTTGTCGCAGTTTCGCACCTTCTGAGCTTCTCAGTGTCAGCTTTACTCAACCACAATAGGGTCAATTCAAAAAAGAGCACAATAGGTGCGAGGAAGGGGATGATCCCCTGGAACAAGCAGAAGAACAAAAAGGAACGAACAAAACCACTAAGACTATGGAGATTCTATTTCTGTCAGGGCTTTCAGATCCGGTACATCTAGACAGAGTGCTCAGAGACCCCGGGGTCTTAGTTACTTAGATATCAGCTGACGACTTCTGCTCTTTTCAAATATTATAAGTTATAGAATCGCGACAAGCTGCCGTCAACAGAGCCATCGAGCAGACAAAATCTCGGCTGACTCCGGCTGCCACGCCGCTTCGGGTGCCGCAACGAGCCAACGTGCGTTTGAATGGCGATCAACTCACAACGGTAACCGGCTTCTTTTGATCCTACTCCAATAATAAACGACGTTTTTGAAGAGAATGTGGCCCCAGTCGCCGAAAACTTTGAGATGAAAGAGTAGTAGATCAAATTGAGGGTTTACCAAGTCTAATTTCGGTTTGATATAATAATTCAAGCATAATAAGTTCACAAAATTGTTTGGAATTCTAACGGAGGAGGCAAGTACAGTATCGTAAATATACAATATCAGTTTGAAACTGGTTTTTCAAACAACTGATATTTTGTAAATATTGTATTGTATGCAGCTCAACATAATGGTGGTGGCTTCGGGTTTTTTTTGGTGACTATACTTATCAGTTTCATCTTCAACATTATCTTTTTGTGGCATGACTGACACACACTTCACTTCACAAACAGACTAATCTCAACTAGAGTAACCCCAATCTAACCGTTTGGATTTCTAGTCGAGCCCCGGAAAGATGGAGAATCTCGACGTGGACAAGATGAATAGGCTGATCCGAGCACTCGACAAGACTTGGATTCTGCCAAAAACCGGAGCCAAAGAGCCTGTGGGCAGCAACTTCCAAGTAATATTATAATCTGTGAGTAGACGAGACTAAAATTTGTATGATTTCAGTACAAAAAAACTTGTGCATCGATCTACAAGGCTAGACACGGAGCCTGTCAGCAGCTTGGTTTTGGTGTCATGTGTTTCAACTATTGTCATGAGAGAGGTACATCAATTCCTATTATCAAATGCAAACTTATATTTTAGGAGAGAAGCTGACATTTAAGTGCCAAGATACTTCAGACGCCAGTTACTGTAAACAGTCTGGAACTTTTGATACCTTCCTGGCCAAGTACAGAAAGGATGGATACAAGGCAAAAGCCTACATTCATCAGGTTGGCCTTTTGATTCTTTGACTTCGACTTGTCAGATGTGGACATTTAGATGATCTCCCGCTGCTACGCCACCACTGTCTGCAACACTCAATCTGGAATCTTAAACTCGACCATCATCGACGAGGATCCGGATCTGGTGGAAAAGACTACCAAGGTGAGCCTCTCTTCGCGTTTTTACAATTATTTTTGAGCCTAAGCTTTCTTTGTTCCATTCGCATGTCGCTTTTAGGCTACTCGTATGAAGTTGCTCACTCGCAAACCGGTGAACGGCAACGCGTTGTCTTTGATGAAACTGAAGACAAAAACGACGACGACGACTCAGACGCCTCCAGAAGAGATTCCAGACGACACGGAGATCTTTCCGGAAGAGGAGGAGGAGATCATCGCCACGACTACGAGAAGATCCAGACCGTCCAAGGTTCCTTTGTTTTTTTTTTCAGTTCATTTTTTAGTTCTCCATTATTTCAAGTCGAGTTCTTCAATTTGATTTGTCAAAGGTTCTCAGCTCTGTTCATTTTCAGTTTGTCCTGACCATTATTTCATTCTATTCTCACCACATTCATTATCAAGCACAACTCATTATTCAACTCAATTTAATTTTGCAGAAAGTGGTTAACAATACTCTGCGCCAAAAGCCGACGCCCGCTCCTGAAGTGACTACGACAAAAGCCAACATTTGGGATAAGTGGGTCTTTTTTAAATCTAAATTTGGCCTTGTTTTGTTCAAAAATGTCTCGACAAAAACAATTTCACCATCACCATGTTTGATAAGAGGCAGTCAACCGCCGAATTTTTTTGACCGCTCTTGAGCGCAAGTGTCGTCGCGCGCCTCGCAGTCTTGAGAACATCACGCATCGGAATGATATGAAAACAAAGCAAAGCAAGCAGTGTGAGATAGAGTGAAACGAAGTAATTTCAGGTTCACTATTGGAAACAAGGCGAAGCCGACGCCAAAGTACATTCCATTCTGGCAGAGATTAATGTCGACAACATTAAAACCCATCGAGGACGAGGCGACCGAGGGAACTGAATTGAACACCGAAGCTCCAGAAGAGGTCGAAGAGGCGTCCACACAGGCGGAAGTGCTCGAAAAAGAGACAACGGGAGACGTAACGACGCCGGAAGAAGAATCTGAGGCCACTACAATTCCTGAAGAGGATGTCGTTGTCAAGTGAGTTTTCATGTTTCTTGTTCAAATCTCGGGCAATTTTTAGAGAATATTCCTACTAAAAACTGAGAAGAGAACTTAATTTCAGCAAGTCGAACGTTCACAAAACAAATGCGGGCGAGCAGTCAATTGAAGCCCCGAAACACACATTCAAGCCCATCCCAGTCACCGTCCCGTCCACCGGCCCCGAATTGGCTCATCAGAAGCCCAATGAAGACGTCTCCGGACCGGGATTTTGGAACAGATTCCAGCCGAATCGCTGGTTTGATTCCATCCATTACGTGACCAACACTGGCAAGTAAATGTTCTTCCGTTCACCTTCGCCTATTTCTCTCTTCTCTCTCTCTCTCTCTTCCGTTTCTTTCCATTTTCGGGTCTTATTTCTGTTCTTTCTTTTTCTTTTGTCTTTCATTTCTTCAACCAAGAAAGTATGCCATATTGGTGGACTTCTAAGAGAAATTTTCTCGGAACTGCATTGCGTGTTATACAGATTTATTTTATTTTTGTGTCTTGTTTCATGAATACATAAAGTTTTGTGAAAAGTCTAATTGAATTAGGAAACTTACATGTGCTCATCATTCATTAGATATTTTTATATATATTGACTTTGTTTTGACTCTAAACAAATACAACTTTTATGTAGAGAAGACAAGTGAATCATCCGCCCAATCAGTGCAATGTTTGATGCGTTTTGCGCTATCATTACGTTAGATGTCTTGCAAAGCATGGCTGGAACTCTTCTGGGGCATACTAGACTGTTTGAAATTAAGATTCTGTACAAGATTGATTGGCTGCGGGAACAGTCTCTGAAGTGTACACTTTCTTAGAGGTTGTTGTACATAAATGTTCAAGATATTACCGGAGTTTCCGAGAACTATCACGAGAAGGCTAAGTTCTTCATTACAACATTTGACCTGTCAACATCAGAGATCAATTCAATCGATTTCAAACCACTTTAAGTTTTGGCAGAAAGTTGGCAATGAAAAAAAAAAAAATATATATATATCTGGAATGTTCAAATGTTCAAAAATTATGTTCGGAGTTTCTAGTCACGTTATACTTCTGAATTTCGTACGCCATCGACTTGTGAAAGTAGAGCGACACATGGGAAAACAGAATCGAACGAGAGCAGAAGGTTCTGCTTTCCAAATTTAGTAAGTAGCTCTATAAATACTCAAAAGGCGGCGAAGAAATAGGTCTCTAGCACCTAGACATCGCATGGTCACGTAGGTCAAAAAAAGTACAGCGGCGGGGTGTCGTAACACTTGCGGGAAACCATCCGAATCAATGAGTGAGTGACATCCGATATGACATGTTTTATGGGGTTTTTTGAAACAATGCTAGCTGGTCAATTTGTAAAACAGTCTACAACACCCAAATCAAAAAGAAAAAGTACAATAATCCTACGAGACTTGATCGGATCAATGCGTGTCCAATCCGTTCACCTGTCGGCACATCAACCATCGAAAATTCTATTCCTCTCTGAAATGCGTCGACGTCGTCTCACCCTATTTGTCTGCCAAGTGAGTACATTTCCGCGAATGCACAAAATTTCTTCTAAAGTTTAAAATTCCAGGTCATTCTACTCTCCGGCTTCTTCAGTTTATTCTATTTTGGTATCATCATCAAAACTAAACGCGCCAACGTGCATTCTCAAACATTACTATTCACTTCTTCGTCAAAACCTGAGAAATCATTTGAAGAAAGCACCCGCCAAGCCCATCTTTATGATAACTTTTGTCGATTTGCATGGACAGAGCCGATGGACTCTAGCCTTCAGGTAGAATGAAACTGTGCCCGACAATATATTGATTCTAGAAACGTCTTAAATTCCCTAAACATTCAAGTTGTGAGATGTACAATGTCGATTTGTTCAAAAGGTATCCGGCAACTGGCGAGTTCTCCCTGAAGACCAAGAACTATACGGGAAAACTGGATTGTGTGGCTCAAGTGCTAAAAGGCGGGCTCCGGCCGGAAGCTCATACCTACCTTCTTGGAAAGTCACAAACTGTAAGGCTTTTGAATATTGTAGTGAAATTGAATTGAACTTCCAGACTTTTTAGTTCATTCCCAAAATTAATAAACGATTCTGGATCAATGCGAGCAACTTTATTATTACCTGCTTCACGGGACAGTTTGTGATATTCCGAAAACAGTACATGGGACTAAAAATGTCGGAAACGCTTAAGCTCGTTGTGGATGCTCCATTCGAGGTTCCGCCTCCACCGACAAACTTGCAAACTTCCGATTCCAACCAGCAGTTTTCCATCTCAATTCTTGGCCTGGATTCCACGTCACGAGCTCAGTTTGAAAGACACATGCGGAAAACAAAAAATCTTATTGACAACATGGGCGGTGTGACCTTTGAAGCGTACAATAAAATCGGTGACAATAGTGCAGTGAACTTGCTTCCGATTTTGGCAGACGAATTACAAGAAACAAGGAACTTTTCTCGTCTAGACTCCACCGGCGACATTGATCTTAACAAAATTCTTCCCAGTAAGACCTCGCTTGACCCAGATGCTATTGAATGGATCTGGAAGCAACTGCCTACAAACTATGTGACCATGTACAACGATGATATAATGCACACAGCTCGAGGTTTATTCCACTATCCACCAGAGAACTTCATGGGCGGTTTCGGAAAAGAGCCCGCTAGATTTTACTATCGGCCCTATTATAATCACTTATACAGTCAGCTGAGCAACTGGTGGAGAAAGTGTTTGGACGGTGAGTTTCTCGCCGAGGTGTTCATTGATTCTTGGTTCCGGTTTGAACGTGTCTTCGCGAAGATTCCCCACTTTGGCTTCACTTTTATTTCCAGGTAAATTCTAGTATCTGATTCTAGATGTTGAAACTCTATTTCAGCTTGACTCATGACGATCCCAGCAACTTGGAGCTCTTAGATCACACACTGTTCCACAGATTAGCTTTTTTACTTGTAAATTTAGTTTCAAAATGCAGCTATTGTACGCGTTTTTCAGCGAACTGGAGTTCTAGAGAACACTGTTCTGATAATTCTTGGCGATCATGGAAATCGAGTTCACCCTCTCAACCGGTACACTTTTGCAGGGAAGATCGGTTGGTGTTATGTCCAATTTTTTTTTGAATCTTTGAACTTTCAGAAGAACGTGCTCCATTCCTCAACATTATCGTGCCGCCAAGATTTCGAAGAATGTACGCGGACAAGTATGAAACATTGAAGCAAAACTCTCAAAGAGTTGTGTCGTAAGAAACTGTTCATCTTGAATTTCAGTTGTAGCCGAACGTTATAGAAACTTTGACCTCCACGCAACTCTGAAGTTTCTCGTTGATCCTTCCAAGCAAGTGGATAGCAGAGGGACTAGTTTGTTCGAAGTTCAAAACAGTAAAAAATCATGCCAGGATAATGGAGTGATAAATAATCACTGTCTTTGTATGGTGGACGCTTCACAGGATATATCTAGTAAGACCAATTAGTCAGATGAATTTAAAATCTAAAGATGTGTTAAGAAGTGCCAAATCCTAATGATCTGGCAAATGTCCTGAAGGCTTATATTACCAACTTCAAAGATTGCTTCAAAGCGGAGTCGTTAAAGTGTGGGAACGTGGTACATAATTAATGCATAATAAACCTACATGAATTCTTGTAGACAGAAACCTTGATGCCAAATAACTACGTGCAAGTGTGGGCGCGGACCAAAATCAGCGACAGCGAAGTTAGACGAAAAAAGACGAGAGGGAGTTCAATCGTCTATCCGTACATGACCTGCCATGTGGAATCCAGTCTCGATGAAACTGTCGAACTTTTGACGCAATTCCGATTGATTCAATTCACTCAAGAGGTTACAATCGCCTTCCCACCCAGACTCACGGCCCCTTTTTCTGCGTTATCTTCCTCCTGTTCCTACTTCCAATTCCCTACGGATTATTGTAAATGTGTCGATCTCCAACTAGCGGTGTAACCCTTCTTATTGTGATTATGCCAAACAAAACCAGAAAAAGTAACAAAAAAAATACATTACAATTACAATCTAACGTCACTACAATTCTAACTGCTGTACCACGTAGTCAAACTGCTTTCTGAGATCACTTCCGTACCGTTTCTTCAGAATACTTTCATCTTCACAACAGTAGGTGGGCTCTTTGTAGTGATACACCCGGAGAAGTGAGCCGTCATGAGAAACCGTTTGATATTGGTCTTGGATCACTCGACTCGTGTGATGAATACCCTGAATAATCCTTTTTATTTTGTGTGCCAAAAAGTTACCGTAAATCCTGTATCAGAAGCCCAGGATGAGCTTCTAAAACAGAATTCACGATGTCCAAATCCTTACTTGCTCGAAAACCATTTCAGGTCGGACTACGCACTTGGTGAATCGGGTCTCAAGACGTTTCGAAGAGACAATGTTGTTTAAAGTGATTGGTGCGTTGGTATCTCTGCAAAAATATCAAAATTGCTACATTACTAATAAATTGTTCCATTTTTCTTACTTTGTAGCAATATACTTTAGCGCCGTTCTCTGGGATCCTATCGTTGGATCTCGAAAAATTTTATCAACCGTTTCAAAAAGTGTAAGCTCTGTGACGGGCACAAAAAACTCATCTATATCATGGAAAAATGTGTACTTGGAGATGCCAGTGTTTCGTAAAAGACAGTCTGAAATGTTTCATATCAGTAAAGGCCAGAGAAAAGAGTGCTGATGACCTGTGATAGTCGCCAGTTGTCCATGATACCAAATATCATCGGAAAAGAAAGGAAGTTCGAATTCTACCAATTGAACCACACTGAGAAATCACTTTTTTTCGTAATAGTCAAGAATCACGGCCAACTTACTGGTTATCCGAATAGTAATTCAGCGCCCGTTTCATTTTTTCGCTTGTAATTTCTTTCGGATTATAATAAATGAAGATCCGTTCGATTTCTTGAAAACTGTTGAGTTCCACAAACTGAAAGCTAAAACGTATCAGGATTAACTATCAGAGTGTTACCTCAACTATCCTCTTTGCGTCGTACACGTTTCCAAAAAGAGCAGGAACACAAATACTCATTTTCAAGTCATATTCATCTGGAGTAATAGATTTCTCGTCCTGGATACGATAAGTGATTGGAACATTCACAAACGCTCCAGTGCTCACACGAGTGACCTAAAAATTTTGAGATTCAAAAATAATTGCTCTATACCTGAAGTTAACGTTTACCTTAATCGTATCGACTTTCGCGAACTCGATACCCTCTGGCAGTTTACAATTCAAAATAAACAATTGCATCTTCTTGCCATGATTTTCGGAGAACTCGTAGAATGACACGTCTTCAGACGTACGCCTGTTTATTTCGCATTCGAAGTCGTCCTTTCCGGTGATAACCATCTGAAATAGCATTGTCATTTTTTGGTCAGAGTTTCATGAATATTCCTCTTCAACTCACCATGACTCTGACAAACTTGTACCCCATATTGCCATTGCGATCATCTGTAAAGGCCGATAGTGCATAACCGTCATTGTCAATTCTCCGAAAGTTTAGTCGGCTTTCAGACAAGTCCGGAGCGTTTTTGAAGATTCGCCGCCCAACTTTAAATCCTTCGCTTTCAGCACTGAACATCCCGCATAGTTCAATACTCATCCGAAAGTTCAATTAAAGCAAACCTATCAGTGACTCCGTCGTCATAATACCCATCTATAGTGATTTTGTCGCTATTTTTAAAATAGAAAATGATACCAAATGCGAAAATGAATAAAGATATCAGAATACGACTAGAAGTGCAACGTGGCATAACTCAAAACGAAGGGAAACAGAGGGGGAAAGAAGGACGGAGAGGGTGCAACTGTTATCGTTATCAGTGCAAATGTGTGCTGGTATTCATATTCCGTATTTGTTACATTTACATTTAGCAACACCAATGGGAACCCAATTCATTATTTACATATGTGATTCAATCATTAGATATTTTTATATACATTGACTTTGTTTTGACTCTAAACAAATACAACTTTTATGTAGAGTAGACAAGTGAATCATCCGTCCAATCATTGCAATGTTTGATGCGTTTTGTGCTATCAGTACGTTTGATGCCTTGCAAAGCATGGCTGGAACTCTTCTGGGGCATACTAGACTGTTTGAAATTAAGATTCTGTACAAGGTTGATTGGCTTCGGGAACGTATGCCGAATCGTTGCAATACGGCTGTTGACAAAAGGAAGGTTGATTGGTTTCGGGAGCAGATTCTGAAGTGTGAAACGCTTTCCTAGAGGTTGTTGTACATAAATGTCGTTCAAGATCTTACCGGCGTTTCCGAGAACTATCACGAGAAGGCTAAGTTCTTCATTTCCACATTTGAAAAATTTCCACACGTAAAACTGGTAAAACTGTTGGAAAAAGTGAACATTGGGAAGCAATTTTAAAATGTTCATGGGCCGCGCGAGTCTCCCTACAAAAATGGAATATTCTAGTCCACAGCCATGCAAATCTTAAATTTTGCCATGACTTTCCGGCTTTCTCTATGACTTTCCGGCTTTCTTACCCGTTTTACGTTGAACCCCGTTTTTTAATTTAATTCCCATCTCAGATATTCCTGTGAACCATGCTCTTCTTTTGCCTTTTAATTAATTTTCTTATTCTTTTCTTCACTGGCACCAGATGCATGCATTCGAAAATTATTTCCAATCAAGTTTATCCAAAAAATATTCTGATTAGCCTGTGTTCATTGAGAAACATTTGTAAATTAACATGGAGATATACCAAAAAACTGTGAAGGTCTGCAGGGAAAAACTGACAAGGGTACTTCCAAATATAACGCTCTGTGAAATGACCTGAGTGACCGTGTTGCGTGTTACATTGATATAACACAAACATATACTAATTTGCATTTGACGTTTTTAGATTTGATTAAAGCTTCCACGAGTTTTTTACGTTAACACAAAGCAGCATGCAACACGCCCATTCGGGTATAAAGTAAGAGACTGCGTTTCCGAGAACTATCACGAGAAGGCTAATGGGGCTATTCAGCGTATGTTTGTTTTCCGTTTTTTTACATCTCTGAATTTAATTTTTTGACGTAAAAAAAATGAAAAAAACGTTAAAAACAATTTTTTTTTCACAGCCTGAATAAATAACACCATAAGTTCCTCATTTCCACATTTGACCTGTCATAAATCGTTTGAAAATGGTGAATCTTTATTGAATATCTAAAAAATGATAAGTGTTTCCGTACCCATTACAAAAGCCAACACATAAAGTATACCAGAATATCAGAGATCAATTCAATCGATTTCAAAACACTTTAAAACAATGAAATGACTAAACAAAGGCTGATTTCACGGAAGAAGTATGCCGAATCGTTGCGATACGGCTATTGACAAAAGGAAGAAATGATAATTGTTCCGCGTACGCTTTTGCGTAACGGGGAGATCGGAGTCCGGTCACAAAGAAGTTTTGGCAGAAAGTTGGCAATGAGAGCAATATCTGGAATGTTCAAATGTTCAAAAATTATATTCGGAGTTTCTACTCACGTTATACTTCTGAATTTCGTACGCCACCGACTTGTGAAAGTAGAGCGACACGTGGGAGAGCAGAATCGAAAGACTCCACGAGCAGACGAACACGAACATGAGTGTGGAGAGGGATTTGAGAAGTTTGGCGTCGGAGCACTTGTTGTTGTTGCTTGTCACACTGTTCGAGTGTCGCAGGATGCGACGGGCCGATTCGCGTTCTGAAGGAATCCGATGTTATTGAAGAGTTCTAGAATTGCCAGGATTACCATTAATATGAACCCTGAATGCTGTCACAAAGATCAGAGTGACGGCGAGGAATATGGTCGAAAATGTGATTAACGTTCCCCAGAATCGCACAGTCGGCGGCGCTGCTGAAATTATTTCGATTTTCGAAAAGCAGCATAGCTAAAAACGGAAAAGAGTAGATCGAATTTCTGGCAAACATGAGAGGTTTTCAATATGGAAAAGAAGCGGCAACTTCTAGTTTGTTTCGTTGTTCTCTTTAGTTAGTTTCTTTCCCATTCTCTTCTATTCTTCAACTCACCCAAAGTGACAGTGCAAATGAGCAGATCGTCATGGTTAATGTAGATTTCTTCAATGAAGAGCGCAAAGCAGGAAAAGGCGAGCGGCGGAATGCAAAGAACGAGAAGATAAGGACCACGACGCCACAATTTGTGTCTGGAAGACAAGAGTTCAAAGTTTTGAGTGTTCTCCATTTTTTCCCATCAATGTTTTTGTTTTCCAATGAATAGTAAGTAAATCGCTCTCGACTTGGAAATCTAAAGAAAGTACTAATGACGTCAAAGTTAGCATTGACACTGAAAACTACTAACTTCTCATTAGATGGGTACACCGAAACACTAGTAGAACTCACCTCGGACTTTACAAAAAATTAAACCTCGTTTCATTTATTCTTTCCCCAAGTTCCTGGATTCTAAAGAACCTTCCCCTTCCTCTCTTTATTCGCGACGACTAGAACTCTATGAAAATGCGTAATTATTCTTTCAATAATTGCACCCAACTTCCGTTTTATTGACAAAATCGGAGAAGAGCTTTGAGCAGAAAGTCTCGAACTTTGGACCAACCTTATCGGCATAATAACAGCCAAGAATAGATCGATGGCCATCATAAGGAATAGAGTTGATTGGAAGAGAACTGCGAACATGTAGACGATCACCGAGCGGAAGCACTCGTCGCGATGCGTCTGTGTGAACCTGAAGAAGAAGTTGGCGACTTTAAATAATGGCCATGCTGCGTGAATTTTCTTTCATTTTTCAATATTCCTGGTATCCACAAATCATTTGACATACCGTAGCTTTAGTTTTACACAAATGAGCTCTGAGATTAGACATATCGTGTGAGCCAGAGTCGATATCATGAGGAGACATCCTGAAAAAATTGGCAAAAAATTGGATTAAATTGTGATTCTTGTCACTCTCGGAATGGCTTCCCCATGACTTTTCGCACGTTTCATACTTTCATCTTAAATCCTACAACGTGTGCAAACTTACCCATTTTAGTGCGCAGCGATTTGTGTCGACACGTGGCAACGATCAAATTGATATTACCGAAAAGGCCCACAATACTGACGACTACCGTATAGGTTTGAAGGGCGAATGTGAGGTCGTAGTAGCTAAGAGGCATATCTGAAAGCAATACGTTGATTCAGTACAAGAGCTGAATGGAATACGTCATCATAGTTGTGTAGAAGAAGGGGGAAGAAGACGTGAGTGAGGGAATGTTGAGTAAAAACTTTTTCTATTATTTAAAGTATATAATAATTGGCATAGTTAGAAAGAAACGGTGTGCTATGCACTTTTGGTGGGACGATATACGACGTGAAAAGTCATCAATAGAAAAAAAGAAAGAAAACAACGTGGGAACGAACGGAAAAGGGTATTCTCGGATATTATTTGCTGGAATGAAAAATCTGGATGGTTTCTGTTTTGCTTGCCAAAATAGATAAAGATGAAAGAAGATTATCCGAAAAAGTGAGAAAGAAAACCGTGCCGGTGGAAGTGTGAAGCCTACTGTGAGGGCAAATAAGAAAACGCCACAGGATGAAGAGAGAGCGTGAGAAAAGCTAAGCCGGCTCAATTTTTTTAAAAGTTCGTACGAAATTGAGCAAGCATTGAACAAGGATGTTGCAGATAAAAATATAAAAATACGGTTTTGACCCGATTCAGCTACCCATGTGCACTGCTACCGATCTGATTAGTTAGCATATTAAGCTACGAAGTTGGAAGGCACAGAACTATTTTCCGGGTCGAACCTTGAGCCCAAAAACTATGTCAAAACAAAAACTTTATGACGAGATCTGTTTGACGAAACTCACCAAACGAACTAAATGCATGCAGAAGGATCATAAAACGTTTCAAACCAATAGAAATAGGATCAAAGTCTCAGCGTAACTACAGAGTATTACTACTATTAGAAACTTTTTAAACTGAATGGTTTGCAAAAAGCAGAGTGAGCACAATTTTCTAAAGAAGTAAACCTAAATGAGCATCATCAAAACAAGAAATCTGGTTGGACTCTTTCGGGTAAGGAAAGGAAATGAGAAGAAGAAGAAGAACTTGCGGGGGGACTAATGGAACTTGATGGAACTTGAAGGAAGGAAGGAAGAGGCATGAGTCAGAAATAGAAGTCGATGACGATTCCTCATTGAGTTATAAAAGTCATAAGGAAGGAATTCAAAACCAAAGAGATATTATACTTTCCCTGGAAAGTGAATCTAATCAGAAGACCTACAGTATTCCAACGATCCCCTGACACTTTCCCAAGCTTCCACATGAAATTCACGCCGAGCAATTGTTCTTCTCCCACAAAGAGTGGGGGCGCGTATTCTTCTCTCTGACGTCTCCTAGAGCTTTCTCTTCTTTTTGACCCTCTTCTCGCTCACGGTTTTGTTTGCTCAGACTCATTTTGCACGACACGAATAATGAACCAGCTAGACGAGACGATCTTTGACGGAGGCAACGCAAAAGAATTGCCAATTTGGTGTAATCCAAGCCTCTCCAACCAATAGGTGCGGGGGATACGGACAAATTGAGATTCGTCTCCATCGAAATATCAGAGAACGGGATAGAAAGGAGTGGCGATGAATGAATTCAATTTTCAGGACTTGTTTTCTGCTGCTCTTCACCGTGGAGCACTTATCTAAATTTGACAGTTACCAGTATAAGAGCATTATGTGATGTGAGAACTTTGATTGGGAGGAGAGAGCGAAATGTACAGGAAATGGGGTGATGTTACGTTTTTGAGGACAAGTTTCAGAGTATTAGGAAGAACAAATTGAAATCATTTATGTGACATTCAAACATGACTCATTAAAGTATTAAAAGGCAAGTATGGTATTTAACATAGATACATTTTTTCCAGGTTTCTCATATTCTGAAAAAGAGGCAGAGAAACTCGAAAAGTACACGGTGTACCTCTGAGCATACAAAGCCAACGGTTTAACTTTCTGCAGTTGGTGGGTGAGGCTTCCAGACTCCGTACCTGAAGCAAAAACGATGGAAATAACGTCAAATCATTGAAACCTCACTGAGAGCTTCTCTGACTGCTAGTGTTCTTACAACACGGCAGAAATGATAGTTGTTCCATATACGCCCGCGCATACCTCGGCGACCTCAACGCGGTGACGAAGAAGTTTTGGCAGAATGTGGGGAGTTGAAGTAGAAACTGCAAACGTTTAGATTTTTACACTACCACTGGTACGGCAACTGCTTACCGTATACTTGTGTATCTGATAAGTCACAGCTGTGTCGAAATAGAGTGACACGTGGAACAGAACTACGGAGAGGCTCCATGAGCAAATGAAAACAAAAATAAGAGTGGAGAGTGATTTCAAAAGTTTCGCTTCGGAACATTTTGATGATTTGATTGTTCCGCTACAAGAATGGCGAATGAATGGAGAGGCGGAGGATTGTTCTGAAAGCTCCAGACACTTGAGTTGATGTCCTCCAACTTCTGTCAACTCACCGCTGCTATGCACTTTCACGGCTGTCATCAGAATCAGGACAACTGCCAGGAAGACGGTGGAGAACGTGATGAGAGTGCCCCAGAATCTCACTTTTCGAGGCGCCGCTGAAAGGAATGGGTATAAGTGAGGATTTGGAAATGTTTATAAATACCCAGAGTGACCGTGCATATTAGGAGATCGTCATGATCCGTGTATAGACGTTCAATGAACACTGCTAAAGATGAGAAGGCAAGAGGCGGTGTGCAGAGGATGATTAGGTAGGGACCACGTTGCCAGAGCTTGTGTCTTAAAATGAGCTTTACTTCTACTAAATTTGTGCTATTTTCTAGACTATAAATATGTTATTCCTTTCTCAAAACAGGTACCTGATGGGCATAACAACAGCCAGAAGCAAATCAATGGCCATCATTAAGAATAGAGTGGATTGGAAGAGGACGGCGAACATGTAGACGGCTACAAATCGGAAGCATTCATCGCGATGCGTTTGCGTGAACCTGAAATAACTTTAGGTCTTGAGATATGAAGTTCTGCACAATGCTTGCCTCAATTTCAATTTAACTGATATAAGTTCAGAAAGTAAACATATTGTGTGGGATATTGTTGATATCATTAAGAGGCAACCTGAAAAAAACAAAGTGTTTCAAGCTGAACGGCACTATAACTGACCCATTTTTGTACGAAGTTGTTTGATTCGACACGTGGCAACTATCAAATTGGCATTTCCGAACAACCCGACAAGGCAGACAATCACAGTGTAAGCTTGAAGGAACGGAAGCATTTGGAAGTAGAAGGGCATGATTCTGGATGAGAATGATGATGATGTGGATGACGAGGATGAAAAGAAGGGACCAGAAGAAGAAGAAGAAGCAAACATAGGACGAGAGTATTAGAAGATTGTGTGTGCCGAAAGATTTTTCAAATAATTTTAATAATTTTGCTTCTGCTCCTCACCACCCAGCATCACTTCCGTAAAAAGAGTGCTACACTTTAGTCAGGAGCGACGCGAGGACAAAAGATGAAAGTCCGATTCTGGAATGATCCTAAAGAAGATGTGTCCTCAGCGAATGCACGTCTAGCTCATACGGGTGACACTGAAAACGATCGGAAATGCCTGCACTTCCGGTTTCGCAAAGCTGTAAAGCCGTCTAACGTGCTTAAATTTGCAAGAGATGACTTGGAGCAGAGTTGATCTATCAAAGTAACAAGACACACGATTTATGAAGAAATGTTCGAGTACCACAGGTTGTGGTTAGGTGTGCAAATGAACGTCATTGAAAATGCGACACTTGTTGTGGACTAGAGACTAGAAAAATGAAAAGTGAATCGGAATGAGGGGGGTATCAAATAAGACTTCCTGCCATTTTCACACTTAGCCGACAAGATTGGACTTCCTTCACCGTGCATGAAATTGAAGCCACATATTAAAGTTCCAGAATGCGATGATTGCTCCCCCGCAATATCCGAAATCAAAAAACCAAAGATTTCGTATTGTTCTCCGTCAGATCCAGACCGTCCAGTGATTCATTTTGTTGCTATTTCCATCTGAACGTAGTGCTAAACCACCTCCTCCCCCAATTAATTATTGTCTGAATCCCATTGTTTGACCGACTTAATTCTTCGCGTCTCTTCCTCCCAAATGTTCTTTCGTAGACTCTTTTCGCATCGCCTTATTTGGGCTTCTCGCGCGCGCTAATCAGTCAGAGTTTGCGTTTCGAATTGAGGCGCTTCTTCTTCACACCCTGAACCCACGGTTCGCTATCATTTTGAGTGTTGAAATGATTGACACCAGTGCGATTGCGCTCGTGGTTATTGTCCTGGTGCTTCTACCGATCCCCTCAATCGCAAGCAATTCAATCGACTGGTGTGAATATTGGGCGAGGGTTGGTAAAAAAGTGAGTTGATCGTCGAAAGCCTAGAATTGTTCAGGTCGCTAATCAAAATGAGTTTTTGAAGACCGATCGACCAGAATGTGCTGGATACGAGCTGCCGAGCGGACTAAAACGAACAGGTGAGCATCAGAAAGCGTTCAGTGTGAATCGCACGTTTTCAGAGACGTTCTCATGCTCCAAAACTGAAATGTACAACTGTCTGGACTGTGAGCCGACTTGCCACAATTTGGTTCCGAAATGCCGCAAGGTACGGGCCTCCTATGCAACCGTTTTTACGATTCGAGACACCCGAGTACAGCGTAGTGTTCAGGTATTTCACCTGATTCTGTGTGCCAAAGTGTGCCAAAGTGTGCTGTGTTTTATTAACTTTTTTGTTCAATAGTCTCTGGTCCTGACATTAGTTGACTGAAAATCCTTATGACCAACGTACTTCTGAATCATCACCAACTGACTTCAACTTCGAAAAACATTTAGGAGCAATGCAACAAAGGATGCGTTTGCAAAAACGGTTTGGCACGAAACTCGGAAGGAAGATGCGTCTCATTCCGCGATTGTGCGTCCCATGCCCCACCGAAAAACGATTCGGTTAAAGTAGAACAGGAGGAGGAGGGCACTGTAATGAAAAGTGAGCATTTCTAGGCTCTTCTTTACCAAAAACGTTTGTTTTCTTTCAGCTGTGAAGAAAATGGTTCCAGTGATTGTGAACGACGTGTGGAAGGCGTTGTTCAATTCGATGAGCACCCCGGATGAGAAGAAAGGAAGCACTTCATCTCGGAAGCACGTAGTAACACCTGAGCTGAAACCGAAATTCGTGGAAAAGGAGAAGCCTTCTGTCGAGTTTACGACACCGCCAGCAACAGAAATCGTCAAGGAGGAGATAGAAGGGAAACAGAAAGGTTTCTATATTGACTATCCTTAACTTTACTGTTTATATATTAGAAGATTCTTTGGAGTCAGTGCGTGTAAATTATATTAATTGTGTTATCAAATCTTGAATAAATGTATTCATTGCTGATTTTGACAAATGTTCAGAAAAATGCACAACATGTCCGGACCGGATTGAGCTTTCAGGCCACGAGCGAGCTTCGTCAATGCGCCTACCAGATTTTTGCGAAAAACTAAAACGTTCAGATTTGAGCTAGCGCGCTTTTCAAGCGGCCGGCTGGCTTGTCGCTCGCTCTTCCACGCGGCCGTGAACTCCTCGTGGACAACTCCTTCGCTTCTTCATTGTTTGAAAAAATTTCGAGTTCTTGAATAAAATCAAAGTTAAAACGGCAGATTTTTTTGTAGAACCTCAAAAAACCGATGAAATGAACAATGGCGCCAGATTAATTCACTGCAGATTGCTCAGGCTCAACTCAATTCTACGAATTCAACCTCAAATGTAATTTTTTGCGATTTTCACCACATAAACAATGCATTATGTTACATAATTTATGTAGATGGAGAAGATCAGTAAATGCAGTGTCAACAATCACGGAAATTTCAATGTTCAGAGCAGATCAAAAGTTGGTGAAAAGAAACGATTTTCGAGGAGTTACAGCGGCCAAGGAGAAGGTTTTTTGAAAATATAGTTGAATTCAAAAATTACCCCGTTCAGAAAAAAACCAACAACCCGGACGTCATTTTGTCAAAAATTCAAGAAAATCTGCGGAAAAACTATCGAATCAGCGCATCTGTCATTCTGTTCGACGTCATCAGACAATTGGAAGAAGGAAACGGTTTTTCTCTTTCAGAGCTATAATCGAATTTATATCTATTTTACAGATGAGCTGACGCAATACATTCTGCGATCGCCAAACCGATGGATTCCACTTCTTATCTCCAGTTGTGGCCATCCGCTGTCTAATGTTGAAAACGCCGTCAAAAATGAAATTTTAGAGCGCTTATGGTCAAAATTATCAGCTGAGAGTAAGTAAATCACATTAAAACCAGGAAATGTTCGTTCAGTTTCACCAATGCCAGCGTACGCGTGGGACGCCCGATTACGTGTGCTCAACGAGATCTCTTCGGAATGGGATCCTTTGAAAGAATTGGATGTCATGGAGAGAAGCGGAATTGAACCTACGATCAAAACTTTTCACGCAGTTGTTGATAGAATTTCCACTTCCGGAGACGTCGACGGTTGTCGGAACATGGTGTACAACATGGCCAGGAGAGGATTCGCCGTTGATGCACACATAAACGCTGCTTCCGTGTTTGTGTTCTCTCTTCGAGGGCATTATAAAAAAGCGGACTCGTTGTGTGAAGTTAGATCTTTTATAACGTATTTTTTATTCCATCAACATTTTTTTCCAGCAAGCAGCCACAAAATACGGTGAAGAGGGCTCCAGACTGGCTTACGGAGCAGCAGTTCGAGCAGCCGCATGTCGTGGGGACGACGATCGGCTGCGACACGTTCTCCGTAAATGTGTGATAAAATCGACAAAGAAATTGGAGCTGTCGTCGGACGATATCCTTGAGACAATTTGGCAAATGGCCGAAAAGAGTCGCGATGGGAAAGGAGCAGAGTGCTCGCAACTGGTGGAGCAAATGCTGAACTGCACAATGCGAGACGCCGGATTCTTTCGAAAGTTGTTTCGAGAAATTGAAAAGCACATTTGTCATCGACATTATTACACGGCTCTTTCGCTACTGGAAGATACGAAACGAGTGTCAGATTGTCTGGAAAATCAGAACAAGAACAGTAACTTTCTTGACTATTCACATCTTTTTAAATTATCCCTTTCAGTGTTCCTCCACCAGCTCGTCGGTCGTCTGTCAAGCCAGTTAATTCGGCATCATGAGCCAGCACATTTCATTCGAGACGTTGCCAATCGAGTTCACATTGCGTTCAATAGTAAGACTAGCAGAACGAAGATTCGCATGTACGATGATCTTCTGTATGCGACGTTGATGCTGAAAGAGATGGATGTGGATGATCGGATGCTGTACTTCAGAAGCTTTGTCGATGAAATCGATATGAAACGGGAAAGAATTCATATCACTCTTCCATTGATTATGAGGTTTGAATGCCAGAATTCGAATTTTCATTGTGAATTCTTCTTTTCCAGCGAGGAAGATATCAACCAACGCCTCGCGATTCTGTTCCGTCTCTCCACAATGGGCTATCGGGACTGGTCGAACCTTGACATTGATCCTCTCGTCTCAGCCATTCTCCAACCTCTTTACAGTAATAATTTTCCCTTTTTAAAATTTTGATTCAGCTACCTATCACAGCTTCTCTCTCTCTCTTACAGACAATGGCCGTCCGTTCCGTGATCAAACAAAGCTCGACAAGCTAGCCCGAATTATGAAGAGCTACGGAATCTCTGAGCGTCAAACGTGGCTTCTGCTGCACAAATGGGCGAAGAAGAAGGCAGACGAGGAGGTGAACAGACCGGAAGAGCAGTGGAGTAAGCCGTTCGCTCGCGATCTAAGAGGATGGTGTCGCGCGTATTACCTGGAAACGTTTGAAACTCCGAAAGTAACTGCGAAGAAGTCTGTGCAGATTCCGTACGAGAAGCTCAAGTCGTGTGTGGATCAAGGAGACATTGCAAAGACCACTCTGATTTTGAACAGCAATGGTTGGCCAGTCGATACTGATTTTCAGGAGATCGTTCCGTCCGTCTTGAACTTGTATTTAATGCACGAGCCGTGGAAGAACGTACGGAAAATGCTCGAAGAAGTAGCCACATTCTCTACCGAATGGGACGAGGAACCTGTGAAAACGCCGATAAAAAACTTCCATCTTTTGAGGGTGCTTCAGAGGTTTGCAGGAGAAGGCGATACTCTATCTATTCGAGGCATCACTGACTACACCTACGAGCTCCGCACTCTTTTCCCCTATGCGAGATGCTATTACGAAGGATTCTTCGAGACACAACGAGAATGCAGGAAGCTGTTCGTCAAGTGTTTCGAGCGACTCGACCGACAACATCTCACAACGACGAGTATCGACGAGCTAATCGACTTCCTGCGGTGTCTCGTCAAACTCGACCTGATTCAGTTGCATCCAAGCGAGACGCTCACCGTCTTTTTCATCAACATCCTTCTGAAAAGAGTCGGATGGAGTGAAGCGCTCAACACGTGGCAGAAATTCCTTTCAAGTCTACATTGCTCGAACGGCACAGTCGCGTTGCTCAGGCATTGTTTGCAGCAAAACTCGGATGAAGCCAAGAAGAATATGCAGTTTGGTAAGTTGAATTTCACGCGACACACGCGAAAACTAGATTCACCCCATTTTCTGCAGTTCTTCATCGTGGCTCCACATTCATGTCACAGTCCCGGATGACCGCAATGCAGTTAGCCGTTCTCATCGGAATGCGTCGGTTTGAGGAGGCCGACAAAGTGTGCGATCAGTCTATAACTCGAATCGAAGCCAACGACTGCCTGATGGCGATGCGACTGATGAACGCGCTGAAAGAACGCTCCTTCGACGATCAGTTCATGCTCGATTTTGCGGCGCTATGTCTTCGAAAACTGCAGCTCGCTGAGCAGACAGAGATCGCGCAGAGCATGCAAGCCGATCTGCTGCGCATATGTGACAGTAGGCACATGGGTCCAGCAGCATTGAGGGTCTATGACTTGTTTTCCGAGTACGGCGTAGAGTTGCGAGACGAGGAGAAGAACCGACTGGCCACAGCCATCGAGAAGCACGCGAGTCTTTCCAAGTAGATTTTAAATGTTTGAGAATCAAAACCTAATCTCTGTTTCAGAAGATGGATATTCAAGCCCGATGGTTTTCTGAATATCGCCGCCAACGACGAGATTATCACGGAAAGCGAGGAGACGCGCATTCAAAAAAAGCTAAAAACCACGACGAGTTGAAAGACGACACGGGATTAGAATAGATAGATAGAAATATGTTAATTGATTGTTGAACTCGTTTTTTGTTAATTATTATATACATTTTTCTGATTGAAACGTGTGAAAAGGAGAAAAGGCCATGTTCTCTGGAAGAAACGAAACAAAATACTGTATAGTCTGTTACTCACTCTTGAAAACTGAGTAACGTAAATATGCAAGTAGTAGTCAATCAGAAAAAAAAGCTTGTTGGCTTCAACAATATACTTTATTAGAATTTCCTTCAGCGCAAACAGAGATCATATGGATTACCACTCTAAAGCATTGTTCGGCTGCCAGGAGAACACTTGCCGCTGTTGCGTTTGCATCTTATAGTCGTCCATATTTTGTGGAGCAAGCGCCGACGAACTGACCACTTTACTCGATTCACCCTGACCCCAAAGGTTCTGATAGCGGGGTGGAAGGAACGTCTTCTTGGTGTTTCGCATTTGATGGTTCGGCTGAATATATGAAAATCATTATGGCTTATCAAAAAACAAAGGTGTGGATTCGATTATAGATGCATGGTAAGCCATGTTTCCGTGTTTCTCCTTGTTTCCTTTGTTTCCTGTGTTTTTACACCACTGATAAAATACTAACTTACCAGCCTATTTTTGAAAATTTGGTAAAACGCCTATTAAAGATCACTGTCCTCAAGTACTCCTTTAAACTAACCAATTCATCCAATGAACCGTGCCACTGAACGTTCCGCTGTCTCAACCAATTGCCCTCGACCTGCACGATTGCAGAGGTAAGCAGAAGCGAAAGAAGAGCTGCTCGCAGCACATACATTTTGTGCCTGAAATAGAAAAAAAAATGGACTGATTGTGAGTTGAAGTTTGATCTGAACTGAATTGAAGGCCAAAAGAATGGTGGCTCCGGAAGGAGGCGTTGGCACTTCCGAAGGCGACTCGTTAGAAGAACGAGAAGAAGAGAGGAATCATTGAATTAGAAATGGTGAAGAGTGGTGTTGTAGAGGGAGTTGACGTCGGCGTCGGAATTAGAAGAAGAAGAAGAAGAAGAAGAGGATTGTGAAGTGGTTTTGTTCGAGATGCGTCGAAGTGCACAATGATTGTGGAGAGACAAACAACGAAATGAGGGATTAGACGGAAGATTCTTTGGAACACATCGTCATTGAAATACTCTATTTGAAAACCGAGGATGAAAAATGTGTTCTTGAAAATAGCCATGACGGAACGTTAAAGGTCTTGCTAAATAATTCCTTGTTATTCTAAACTTTGCCCAAAATAGTTTTGTTTTAAAACGAAATCGTCGAGCCACTCTGCCTCAATAACTGGTTCTGAAAGCTCAAGTGGTCTTAGTGTTCAGTTTGACGTGTGTGTTCGAAACGACTGAGCTCAGGAAGTATTCAGAGAAACCACAAACACTTACACAAGAAGGTGTCACGGGGCTTCTCTTTTTGTCACCCGGCGAACCACCAACCTTTCACTTATGTTTTCCGGGTAAGCGTAAACATTTCCACCTCTTCTCTTTTTTTTTTTTTTGGTGGAAACTGAATAATTGAACGCAATGCACTAGTTCAAAACAATTTATTGGGAATGAACGACTGTGAGGAAAGATTGTTCTCTAACTACAACGTTGTTTGAGGTGAACATCGAAAGCACCCGGGAAATTGCAAGTTCGTACAAAGGACGGTTGAACGCGATCATGGCAAGCGTGCTCATGGCGCCGTGCATTGACGCCAACACTATGGCCACGTAGCCAACGTCTGAAAAACATAGGCGATGTTGAAGGTGTCATAATCTATTCGTCCGACCATTGCCATCAAAATTAAAAACTACTGAGACGATATAAATGCACATCGGAAATCCCAACATGGCGCCGTGCACACTTATTTGACAAAACAGACTGAATAGGAACGCTTTGTGCATTGCAATCGTTCGCAGCGACGTTCTCGTTTGATGGAGCATTTCGCGAAGAGCCAGAAGGGAGACGACTCCCATGGATGCGCAAAGGAAGCAGCCGACAAAGATGGAAAGAAGAGCGGAGAGGTTGAAGAAGTGAATAGGCTTGAGTCCGGTACTAGAGGAGTTTGGAAGCACCAGGGCAGACATACATAGGATCTCTGGGTAATAGTCGAGAGCCTGGAAACTGGGACTTCTGTAGAACTTGTAGACTATGAGATACCTGCAATTTCAGCTTGTGCATCGTCTGATCAAATAGTCCGACAACACAGAGAGCCAGTGAGCATACTGTCAGCACTGTGAGCACAATCAGAAGCCACCGCGACGTCTCGATTATTGATGCAAACTTCTGGACCCAAAGGGATACCAAATTACTGTCAGAAATCAGTTTGAAACGATAATGAAATAGTTCAATGATTGACCAACACGTTAGCACAATTATAAGTAGAAAGACGAAGAAAGTGATTCCGCCGTTGATGAACCGTAGGAAGGAGACGCCGGTGAATCTGACTATTGGATTTGGGAGATAAAGAACGGGTTTCATGACGACCGACAGATGCAGTTCGAAGATGAAGTTGCTGAAAAACATGTCCGGAGTTTGTGCTGGAATCAAGGGATAACTATAGTTTGTGATTTGTGATCCCCTCTGTTCACATTCTCTCTCTTCTCTAATAATTTTCACGTTAAAAACGTAAATTAATAATAATAATAATAATATTTTTCCTCAAACAAGAGTTCACTTGGACAATCCTTCAAACTCACCTGACAGCATGAATTGCCAAATATCTTTTGTAGACCTTAAAATTAGACGATTTCTCAGCATGTAATGTATAGAAAGCCATAGCATAAATGGGAGCAGCAATGAGATGCGCTGTCGTCAGAGTGATACTGTACCCGAAAGGAGCCGGCTTCGAACACATTTCTCGGTTGTCGTACAATAGCTGAGACCATTCAGAACCACTTCTAGAGAATATAGACACTTCTGGGAAGAAGGGCATTTGCTTAGCGATGGAGCAAGTTAGATTTCATAAACCAAACGTGCAGGTGAGAGAAGGAGAGGTTATGGGCTGAATATGATTACGAATTGCTCACGAAGTCTTTTGATCGAGTTTTAAAACGAAAGCATTTTTGCATTGCAAAAGAACAAGTGGGGTTCACGTGAACTACAAAGAATTTTTAGGATGCTGACCCGGTTTTAGCTTGTCCTATCGAAAGTTTCGAGGCTTCGAGCTCAAGAAGTATCAGAAGCGATCTTCGTTTTCGGCCTACTTCTAGCAGAAGTTAGCATCCGCCTGCGCAGCTTGCAAAAAAAACATCCTTCTTAAAAGAACTGAAAGAAAAAGTCGGAAAAAATGAGTGAAACGGGCGTTTGGCTCAAAAACTTTCTGAAGCTGACTCACTAACGGTATGGGTTTAATGTTCCCATTGAAAAACGAAAAACTACTACGTCCCTCGAATCAATGCGTGAACGAACCCTAAAAGCAACCGGATTAGCATCTATTCCGGCTCCTGATGACGTTGCCATCAACGCACTTTGAGTTTACAACTGGCTGTGGGAAAACGGAAAAAGAGAGAAAAGCTGAGAGAAAAACTTTATTTAGTCACATTCATACATAGTTTCACTTCTTTCCACATGCTCTTCATCCCTTCGTACCTTTTTACACGTCAATCACATTGCTTTTTTGGATTTTGCAAAGAACCTACTTTAGGCGATTTTTGTACTGGAAACCGACCGGGATCTGGAAGATATACTCGCACATGTCTTCTTTTTATCTCAAGGTTTACCTGTCCTTTTGCTGCTGTTGCCGTCTGTGTACTCTGCAATGACGGACTCGCTTTTACCGTCACCTTTGCGTTCTTCAAGTGAAATGGTTCACTTCTGTCGTTTTCCGAACTCACTCACCGAAGCTTCTTCCTGTGTTTTCTGAAGACTCAACGCCGGCGGAACTCTTGGAGGAGAGCCCGGATGATCTTTGCTTAGTTTGGGAGGAGAGCCCAACGGATCTTTGCTCAATCTGGGAGAGCCCAGTTCGGGGTGGTCAAGCGGCGTGGGCAGGAACCCGGACCGATGAACAATTCCTTGCCGTGCTTTGTCTCGCTTCTGCTCCTCTTCCTGTGCATTCTTCCACCATTCCACTGCTTCGAGCATCGCTGACGTCTCCTCGGCGCTTCCTTTCCCTTTTTTGAACGCTTTTGAAATCACTTTTTCCGCATCCCTCAGCTTGAAAAAACTTGGGTTCAGTGATTTTCGGTGTTCGAGCAATTCTAAAGAAAGTGGCTACGAATGAAAAAATGTTTGCCAAGCGTACCGTACTGCGATACCCTTCTCAAAATAACACTGAGGAAGAGCAGTAAGAGAAAAGCGACAATCCACATGAGAATCACTCCTCCGATGCTCCGAGATTGATTTTCGCCAGGAGTTTTGGGAACCCACATCGCACGTCCTTTCACTGAATTCATGTCCAATTCCCAACCCACCAAATCCGGTATGTGGTTGTTGGAAAGAATCTTCAAATGTTTTCGAATGTGCCTCTTGATGTTCGCAATACTGCACACTTTCGGAGAGCTTTTCGCTTCACAGGAGTAGAAGACTTGGTCCGAGATAAACTGCTCATCAAGCTTCTCTTTGGCCATCTGATATTTCAGTGATTTTCCTCCTGGACAATGGGCTGTTCGGCAGTAGAAATGGATTAAAGATTCGTTGAACTTTGACAATTTTATCGTCATCCGCATTTGCCCTCTGTATTTAAATTTCTTGACACCTTTAGGAACCTCCGACGTTTCACTGATTGGCAAACAGTTCCCGATACACGTCGACACAGCCCGTACTAAACCTTTCTGCAGCGATGGCAAGGAATTTGCAGTGTACAATGTTGTAGAGAAGGGGCCAGATTCTGAAAGAAGAATATTCCGTGCTTTCGCATTCAGCATCGTCAGAATTACCTCCGTTGAGTGCCGTCAGAGTGCAGTCTTCCTCTCCGACTCCTCTTCTCATTATGTCTTCAGGCAAAGAAGCGCTCTCATTATCACGAAACACCATATAAACAGCGTTCTAATAGGAAACACAAGTTTTGTCCGATGAAACACGTCTTCAAAATACCTCAAACTCGTTGAAATCCCAACACGATCCTTGATCAGTATCACACAAACAGGTGACACCGAGTTTTCCGACTGCACATTCCATTATTTGCTTGTTGTTCCGTTGCAAAATCTAACGTTTATCCATTTCTCTGAGTACTTTCCGCAAAGACAACGCACCCAACTTTCAGCCACCTTCCATTTACCGCTGGACGAGGTGTCAAAAGTGTTACTGGTCAGGCCACTAGCCGTACAAGATTTGTCATTGAGCTTCACCTCGATAACGGTTAGTCTCTGAATTCTCTGAAAATTTTGTTGGCTCTGAAAATGTCAGACTTACGGCGGCAAAAATTTCTTTTGAAACATTTTGAATGCTTATGAAAATTACCAACTTGATAAGAAAGTTCATTTATCTAATAATACCCGGCTAGAAATAAAAATTGAAATCTTGTTTGAGAAATGATTTTTGTGCTCATGTTTTGCGCCACGTCAAATAGAACTTTGGAGAATCTAGTGCGAAACGTCGAAAGACTGATAAACTCAATGAACTGGAGCGGTAAACCAGAATCAGAACATTGAGAGAATTATGCATGTTCTTTGCCGTAATGACGATCAAGCAACAGCGCATCGGTTGACGTTCCATGCTACCACTGCGTCACTCATAACTCACCTTATTCCCAAGGTGTCCCATTACCCATCACCCTTTTTCAGCAGCACATGACGTTCTTATAAAATCGCATTCAAACCGAACCTTATCACAAGCTCAAACTTCAACTCTTTTATATAAATGTGCGTCGTTGAAGACGAGTAAACGCAGACAGAATTGTCACTGAGAAAATATATTTTAGAGGCAAAATATTTGTTCCCCATGTAAAAACACTTGCCGAGTTCTCAAGAATCAGAGTCTAGATCTTTTCGTTTTCTCCTGATTTGATAAAGTTCTATGATCAAAAGCCCTAATTCAATCATCTATTATTCTGATTGTTCCCGTCTTTTTCCTCGTATTTTCAGCTGACTTCTCTTATATTCCACGCATGCCAAAGCTATAGCATTTCCAGCAAATGCCTTCTGAATCCGAATCCCTGGCACTAATCGTTCAAATCTGGCATATTTTCTTCGGCGTCCTGGGCTCGATTCTCAATTTGTCTCTAGTGTTGTTGGCCATATTCAAGTCTCCCAAAATCATCCGCTTGTATTCCACGTTCATTGTCAACTTTGCCGTCACCGACCTGTTCGCCTGCCTCTTGGATATGTTTATTGAGATCAGGTAAACTGCCGAAACTGGTGTGGGTATCGAATTTTTTGAAAACAGACTGTTACCATCGCCAAACGAGGCGACAATGACTTACATTCTGAACGGATTTTGTACAAATTTCGGGTTGACGACTTGCACAATAGGGTAAGTGCCTTGAAAGTGACGTGATTCACAGTCAAAGTTCAGCCTTAGTCTGTTTATACATACTTTGACTCACTCTTTATGGTCCTTATTCATTTCATTCGCCTATCGATATTATATACTTTTCAATCCGTCTTTGAAACGACGCCACCTACTTGTTGTTCTGTTATTCTTCTACATTCCTTCTTTTATTCAAGCGGTGAGCCTCAATTCATAATTCTTATAATCTCAATGTCATTTCTAAGGCTACCTACTGGACAAATTTTGTCGATACGCAGACGATACTGCCGATTGCCCAAAGAATCTACCCCGAGTACAACTTTTCCGCTCAAAGCGGAATGTTAACTGGCATCACGAACTTGTTCTCAGCTAGTGCCCTCTTTGCCCTATTGCACATGACTCTTCCCGTCACTCCTGTCTACATTACCATATTCATTCTGCGTCGGAGAATTATCAAGACTTTGCTTACGAGTCACAATTCCATGTCGAAAGGAACGAAGGCCGTGCACGCGCAGTTGTTGAAGGTACAGCAGCATTTTTGAGTGTTTTGTGGAGGAGCCTGGAGACTTTGAACTGCTTTCACCTTTTTCCACTAGAAAAACGGAAAATCTTATTTTCAGGCGCTTACATGCCAGGCAGTAATTCCAGTTGCTGCGTGGACAGCGGTCTACATTTATATTGCTAGTCAGTTTCCCCTTTTCCTAGAGTTCTACGCCACTATTGGTTTTTCAGTGCAATTCGGCTTACTACGTGGCACTTTTTTCGAGTACATGATATTTTCGACTGTAATCTTCATGCCCGTCCTCTCGCCAATTACATATCTCGTATTTGTTCGACCATATAGGCTTTTTTGCCTAGGGTATGTTTACTACGTGCTCCATTTCTTGGAATTTTTATATTTTTGCAGGATGTTATGCAGGGAGTCGGCGGATTCCGTTCAAGACAACAAAAATCGAACTAGATTCTACACTAATCACGAGAATTCAACGATAACAACACGCAAATTTTGAGCAGTTTTAGGAATGCGTTGACGTGTTTAAAGGTTTATTTGTAGATGTTTGAGAATGAATATGAATTGAAAATCAAGAAGAAAGCACCCAGATTGACGCATGAGAAATCAAAAAAGCAACACAATCTATTGACATCATATTAGAATTTTTTCCGTGATCTGAATCTGACGGGCAGCGGTTCTCCGTCTGGACCTTGGGGACCTTGAGCACTGTCTGCGTGGTAGGGTGTTCCGTATGCCATTATATATCTAAAAATTATCCGATTTTCAGTTGGAAATGTTTCAGAGCCAGGCTTACTTTCCGTCAATTTCCAACTTGCATACTAAATCACCGGCAAAATTAATGTTCTGAGCAAAGTCTGCATGAGCGACAACGCTTTCAAATGGATGTCCGAACATTTTCTCGCTGGCTCTCTGCACCTTGTTGGCAATTATTTGAAGATTGCACGCATTGAAATTTGGCGACTCGCGAATCTCTTTGTATGTGGACTCTACAACGTTGTTGAGCTCTAGATTACAGCAGACATAGCCGGATGGGTTGTGGAAGCATGTCTGAAGGGGAAGAGTGTCCTTCGGTGGGTATGAGTACTTCACATTCGGCTTGTTTGAGTATTTCGTACTTTTTTCGCCACCTTCTCGAATCTATAGAAGCATTTATCGGATATGAAGTTAAAATCCACTGTACTTACGTTTGAGGAGTACTCAGACTTTTCGTCGGACTCGTCATTCTCCGCACTGTCTACTCTCGTTGTGTTCTTTGCCCTTTTCTCCATTTCTTTCATGATGCTCATCACCGACTTTCCCCTGTACACCGGTATTCTCATCAGCTTATTTTGTTTGGCTCGTTCCGCATAATCGCCAATAGTCGGTGGAGATGAGAGCTTCTGAATAATCGTGGGCTCGTTGTGGTGCTTCTAAAACGGACCTCTTCGGAATCTTCTTTACTATCATCACTGTCATCATCGTCATCCTTGTGCTCATCGGAATCATCCGATTTGTCAGGGGATTGTGTGTATCCCCCGGTCTTCTTTCGCTTCTTCGAAGATCTTTCGCAAACTGAAAGTTAAAATGATTGTGCTCATAGAAGAAATTGGGACTAACTTTCACATGCCATTTCCCTTTCTTCACTGCTTTCCTCCGACGATTCATCCTGACACATTTTGCACATTTTCGCTATCTTTTCTTTCTTTCTGTTCTTCTTTCTACTCTTCGACGATTTTTTCTGCTCTTTTCCTTCATAATTCTAAAACTGCATATTCTTTGGTTATTCCATCCAGTATCTCATTCACTCACACTCTTCGTCGCATACGGATTTTCCGCAATCTTTTCCGAAGCGCTCACATGCGTGATGTCCTCTGTCCAGTAATTTATTGGGGATGCTCCAGACGCATAATTTCTTTCCGGTCTCCCGATATCATTCTGATGTTGGTTCAGGTTCCAATTCGAGCCTGATTTTGTTGATGAAGAAGTTTGAAAGGAATTTGTGGAGAAACTTGACGCATGGATAGTTGGACGTTCCATAAGATGACGTTGGAACGGTGGAGGCGCATTATGGTCAATGGATGGCTGCTGAAGTCTGAGCTGCTGAAGTCTAGGCTGCTGAAGTTGAGGATATTGTTGAGGTGGAGCCGCAGCGAGCGGAGCAATGTACGGCTGAAAATACTTTTCGTCAACAATTCACTGCGCAGAGTAACTTGTGCCATCAGTTTCACCTTTGGAATATTCGGAGTAAACGCTTGCACTGGCTGTTGCTGTGAATGTGGAAGAGGAGGAGGAGGAGGAGGAGCTCTTTGTGGTGGTGGTGGAACTTGCAGAATTTGTTCTCGAGGCGGATAATACTGGTTGTTAGATGGTGTAGGTGACGGGGAAGGTGCCGGCGGGAGGGGTTGATTTTGCGGTTGCTGCGGTGTTACAGAGGCGAAAAACGTATTTCTCTTCACTCTTCTGTAGTCTTCGGGCTCTTTGAGTAAAACAAATTCCCACATTGGAACCACTTTTACACCTCGGATTTGAAATCGTTCGTCTTTTATTCGTTTGCACGTCTTGCTCGGTGAGCCATATGCTCCTGGAGTTCACCATACCATTACAACAAAGAGTCAAACTTAGTGTTAGTTGGGTTCAACAAAAACAAAACAAGTTTTCAGAATTTTACGAAATATACGTTTTTTCACGACTGAAATACATCTTCTGATCCGACAATACACGACTGAAGTTGATCTTTTCAAGCAGGAAAACAAACCTTGACAATTTGCTTCGAGCTGATTGGGAAACGTCAATAGTAGAATTACAGAGAATATCATTTTGTTCTTGTTGGCTACTCACACTGTCTTCTAAATTGTATCCTTCTTCTCATGGGCAATTGTGGAAGGAAATGCCCCTTCTCTTAACTGGTATCAGCTTATCACATTTCAAGAGAAGCCTGTCCTCCCTTCCCTCTGATTCGATTAGTTAACAACTGTTGTGTGGAGAGGATGAACGACAACATGGATATGTTGGTTATTAGATGCAACGATTTATGTTAACGGATTGGGGCGACGGGGCGGGGTTGATACGAACCAGTTGAAACATTCTACGATCTTTTGGCAAAGAAATATGAAAAGTTATATGGTATCTATGTACAAGTGAGAATGGAGGAGTAGAGACAAAATGGAAATGCGTCAAATTTACAAGCACCGAAAAGTTAGAAGAAGAATTTAGTCCAAATCAAAGCCGAGGATCTCTTGAAGGTCCTCGAGCATGTCCATACTGTTGAACACCTGAATGTACCGCATTCCTAGCACCGCCGCACTTTCACAATTGATCTTCGAGTCATCCACGTAGATGACTTCTTCTGGAGTCAAATCCGCACGATCCAACGCTATTTGATAGAAGCGAGGATCGGGTTTCTTGACACCCTCTTTGCAGGATTCGATGACAAAGTCAAAGTACTTATCCATGTTGGGAATGCGTCGTCCGTTCCTCTTTTCGTCCACGTGGTATGTGTCCAGCATCAAAATAGTTTTTATTCTTTTTTCTCGAAGCTTTCGGCATGCTGTCAAGACGGCCTCTTCCTTGAAGAAGAATGGAGTGGGTGAGGCGACAAATGTGGGAAAGAGACACTTACGTAGACAGCGTCGTTGTCGTATTCCGTCGCTGAGAAAAACTTGAGCTTTTCTACTTGAGAGCCGTACTGAAATGCAACTTTAATGAGGATATGTCTGCTGGACATGCTGTTATACATTATTCACTAGATGAATCTCGAAATTTTATAAAATTTTGGACGAAAGCGGCGTTCATCTCTAATATCAGTCAGTTTCAGTAAGTGTTCAGCAAAAAACTAACCTTCCGATTGTAAGCTGTCAGAAAAAGCCTATCAAAATCTTTCGCTGTGTATATTCCAGTGAGCAAGTCTTCTTGAAACCCTTTCGGCAGAATGTGAGCCAGCTCCTTACTCACCAGCGTCGGGATCAATGAGTTATCGAACAGTTTGTTGTTCTCTTCGATTTCTGAAAGCTGTCAACGTTCTGTAGGCCTTGCAAACTCTGTCCCTTACTTCTATAAACATGCACATTCCGCGACTGCATCCACATCACCTCTCCGTAATCAAAGATCACCGCTTTGATTGGATTTTCGTCGTGATTGAGTGAGTCGGCGTCTGACGATGCCGACGACGGAGCTGTACTCGTGCTCATTCTGAACGACAAAAAGTACATACAGGAAATATTGGTGTTGAGGAATGGTAGAGCAGAAGGAAAAGAAAAGTATTCAAAAACAATGAGAAGAACACATTGATAAACAAAACGAGAGTGATGAGGCGAGCGGCAATGTTTACCCATACGTTAATACGAAAATTTGAAAGTCAATCGACCTCCCCCTGGTCACACGTTTTTTTCAGTACTATTCCAGACTCTGTCATCATCATAGACTGGAGTATTTTTGGTTGAAAAAAAAACAGTATAACTTTAGGCGGAAAAAAGGCACGAAGTGAATCGAAAAAGAGAAAGAAAGAGAGAAACTGAGACCAAGGCGAGAATTGTTAAATTACAAAAAATGACCCTGCGTGGAATCTGTCAAATTATGACAACCGGGAGCGATAGAAAGATAAAGGTGTTCTTCAAGTGGACAAGAAAAGGGAGAGAACAAGAACAAGAGACGGGCGGTGTAAAAGAGAAAACGAAAGAGAGGTTGTTGAACTTTGAACAGACTCCTTTCCCTATCTGGAGGGACAAACGACGAAGGCGTGCGGCTTCCCTAAGGAGTGATGCATTCTTGAGAACCTTTTTGAACTTATTGCTCATTCCGGACATCAGGGATCATTTTGAACGAGAAGGGCTGTTTATACACGCGTGCACACAAGGTTTGAACTTTCCAACTTCGTCAAATTGGCGAACATTTTTTTTATCTAGGGCAACTTCATTCTCCCTACGCCCTTCACTTCTGCAAAACCGACGAACAGAAGGTCAGTGCCCTCTTTTTCCTCTTTCTCGGTGAGAACGAAAACACTCCCTTGAGCCATCAACCTTCAAACTCGCATCCTCCTCCTTCGTCTCAATTTTTTGCAGAAAACGACACTTTCGCCGCACACTGGACGGAGGACAGCTGTCGTCCGTTGGCGTCGGGGCGCTCACGTGAAAGCCAAAAGAATTCAGTGACGAGTAGGAAAAAGTAGAAATGAAGGAATGAAGAATGGGAAAAGAAAGGAAGACGCTTTTGAAATATGCATAGCAGGAAAAGTAATAGGTTGGTATTCTGAAAAGAAGTAGGGAAGAATAGAAAAAAAAATCCAATAGTTGTATTGGAAGGTTTCAGTTCCAAGTTGCGTACGAGCGGCTAACATACTTCATTATTGAGTAGAAAGATAAAGTATTTACACGGCTCAATGTGAAGAGTTTGCAACCAGCATACTAGAAAATGAAACTTCCCCATCCCAGCTTTTCCTCATTAGAACGAGTAGAGACGGGATGCTTGACTCACTCCAATTTCCAGTTGCTTCTCCTCCTCCCTCACTTTTTTCAAATCAACCGATGATTCGATTCACTTGGGAATTTCACATTTCCGCCTTCTCCTCCTCTCCTCACCCACACACATCCAATTTTTCGATGAGAGGAAAGAGCGTCAAGCCGATTGTGCCACCTGACACCGTCCGGAGCGCCAGAAGACGTGACTTTCGAGAATTTGAAAACGACGAGAAGGCGCCGTGAGCCAAAAAGGACAAATCAATTGTTCTTTTCTCGCAATGTGGGCGAAACGAAGACATGCGCGAGAAGAAAGATACCTCTAGAGACTGGCCATAAAGTGTTGGACCGAAAAAAGCATCTGGAAACAATGAACCATTGCTTAGAAGCAGCCGTGAGAAGGGAAAGGGAAAGTCAGGAAGGAAACGGAGCATTAGTATATGCTTCGACACCGGAAAATTGTCGGGAACAAGGAGGAGGAGAAGAAAAAGTTTCTTGACGAATTCTCGACGAAGAAAACAGCATGTGATTAGTGTGAATTCTAGACTTTGTGTTTGACTTGCCGAGCTTCGTGAGTCAGTTTTCACGAGTGGTACCGTCTGAATAACGAGAGCTTGGTGCATTACCGTATCCTCATAGCATCAGGACATAATGAATTCCCGTACACAATAAAGATTTGGAAAATCCTTATTTTGAGCGGATCGCCATGTGAGAAACAGAATGATGATGATCGTGTGTGTTCTGAGATGAAAGAAACAAAAACAAGAACGTCTGGACGTGGCAAAGCGGATCTTTGGAAAGAGAAAAGAACCACTGAGCAAATAATTGGGGTTCCCGGGCAATAAAGGCAGAAGGACTAGGAAAAAAAAAGAAAAGCGAAGAAAACGGAAGACGAAGGCAACAACGATCATGGGCAATTTATCAGAGGAGTAGGGGGAATCAATCATAACACACGACTTCCGATCGAATGCCAGATACCTTAAGAATATTTGAAAATTGTGTTATTGGAAGAAACTTTTGAGTGGAATATGTAGCCTTATGACTGACGACTCTGCAAAATTGACGGTGTATTTATCTCCAAATGCGAGAGATCCTAACTACATAGATCGGAACCATTAGAATAATGACTCATTACAAATCCGAACAACTAGTTAGGGTCAATTTTCAGCTTTTTTTCAATATATAGGCTGTCAAATGTTTTCTGGGATTCATCCTACTGCACACATTTATACTCTTGTTGACCGGTACATCGGATAGCAGTAAGTAACTTTGTAGTAAAATATTTTGCAACCGCTGCGAAGTCATCTTTAATTTTCGGATTTAAAGTGCATGGCAGGCAATTCAAGTCTTTAACGCCCGTGGTTGTGCCACAACAATAATACATTCGAGACATGAAGATGATCTCTTCTGGAGACACACCCACATACACATATTCTTTATTTTTCTCAAGCATCAAGAATTCAGGGGATCAGAGAACAAGATCTTTTAGGAAATCTTCTAGCAATTTTTCATCAAATCTAGATATGTCTGAAAATCAAAAAAACAAAATAAAATACGTTAGAAATTGTTCAAAAGCGGAAGCGAATGCGTTGAAACATAAGCGGATCTTTTGCACGGATTATCGTTCTCTCTCTCTCTCTCTCTCTTTCTCGCTAGTCATTGGAATTAACGCGACTCAAGGAAAGATGGCCAGAATTCTGCACATTTGAGCCTGAAAGAAGAGGAACAATAGGAGGAAAAAAAGGCGTCTTTCTTTTTCCCAGAAGAAATGAAAAGAAGCGCCATTATATTGCGGTGGCGGTGACACCGGGAGGTGACTTTTATTGCAGCGAGAAAAGCTTGTGATTGCGGAGGTTGAATGGGGCGAGAGCATAGAACGAAATACTTTTGCGTAGGAAAAGCCTCGACAGAGGTGCGTGTACTTGAAAGCTGAAAGAGCAGAATAACAAAAGTTTGTTTTTAAAGTTAAAATAGAACGCCTCAATGTTCGTCGAGTAATTGTCAAAATATACAATAATGAGTGAGCAAAATGAAACCTATTATAGAGGCACCGGACAGAAAGGGCACGCTGTTCGCAGCCTGGTCGAATTTCTAAACCGCGAAGCAATTTTCCACTGAAAACGTGGCCTAACTTTTCAAACTCGGCCCCGAGGTCGCTCAATTTGAACTGCAAAAAGAGTTTCTCAACAAAGCAGACTTGCAACGGGCCGGGCCGGGCCGGGCCGGGCCAAAATTTAAAATTTTCCGGCCCGGCCCGGCCCAGCCCGGCCCGGCCCGGTCGGCCCGGGAGGATGCACCTAAAAATTCAAAGCGAACTAGAACTTCGAAACGAACATAATTTTATAGACTTAAAATTTTATAGACTTAAAAAGGCAATGTTATAGCATAAAAACCTGTTAAAAAATAGAAATTGCTGTTTAAAGTCGCAAAATTTTCACAAAAATTACGAAAATTTTCTCAAGAGTGGGCGGAGCCGGGCCGACCGGGCCGGGCCGGGCCGACGATTTGCTGGCCCGGCCCGGGATTTGGCAAGTCTGCAACAAAGTGCCATTTCTGTGCGGTGCCCCTATAATATTTCAAAGTTGGCACTTCTACTACCTTCCTTTTCGAGTTTTAATAGCTTGAAATTGTCAGAACATGAGAAAATCTCGTGGAAGTTCGTGTTTTCAGATGTTCCAACTTCAATTGAATTCATGCGCCTTTGTGTGAATGTTTACATTCGAAAATGTTTTTCCTCATTTCCACAAGCTCAAAACATTCGAACAATCGGGCGGAAAGAAGGGAAGATGATGAAAACAGAATTCGTGCATCCGTGTTCTTCGTGCAGACGGAGAATGTGTGGGTTGACCAGGATAATCCAATCTTTTCGTTTAGATTACGTTTCGTAGAGAGTTATTTCGTCTTCCGGCTGTTTTTTTTTTTGAAGTGATATGTCATGATGAAGGAGGATGATGACAAATTTGTTTCGACGGTTTCTTTTTTTTTTGTTGCAGATTTTGGCACAACTACCGCAAACGGATATATGCATCCAGAATCGTGTGATATCATGTACTCATACTGATCGAGCACATGACCCGTTTTTTCACACAACCTGCCGACGTCAACCATGAAATCCCACGGGAACAGAAATCAGAATCAGAGTAAGAGGACAGACAAAGACAAACGCATGGAAGTGTCAATTGGATTTCAATTTGAAGCTCTACTAAACCCCAGTTTCTCTCCTCCTCGTTTCGATAAAGTATTCAAGAAACAAAGACCGTTAAACCTTTTAATCGTGAACCGCAGATAGACGTAAAAAATTTCACCTCTTCCAACTTTATTTTCCCACCGCTTAACGTCATCATGCTACTGCTGAAACTAACATTTCCCACGTTACGCATGAGCCTCGCAGGTATATAATAGCAGCATGCGCCCTGTCATTTCCGACTCGGCAGTCGTCTTGACTACCTGTCTATCTAATTAGATGCCTCACTATTCTTCTTCTTTGTGTGCTCGCGTTACTTCTCACACTCACTAACGAAAAACAGTTTCTAGGCTCTTCTCGTCATTCCACCTTGTCAAGAAGTATGATGGGTACGCTCACCTCTACGAACGCCGACGACCTTCAGAAGACGTTGGCGCCATACTTTGATGGATTCAACAAGACTACGGAGGCGGCCGATGCTGAAGGATCGATGAAGTTTATGCATCCGCAAGGTGTGATCGTTCAGAAGGACACTACGTCGACTTTCGGAAAAGAGGGTAGGTTTATTGCGCTTCTTATCAGTAGTAGTACAAGGCGTGGGTGAGAATGTTGCGATTCTAATCGGCGCACTTTTCAGCGCTCACCGATCTTTTCAAACGCTGGTACGCTTTTACCGGACCCTACTACTTCAAAGTACGTGAAATCAAAGAATGTGAAAGCACCTAACTGAAACTGTTCAGCGTACCGACGAAAAGTACAGCGGCGGCGGCAACTGGATCGTCGTTGAAGCCAAGATGGAACTGATCAAAGTGGTGGGCGACGAGGTGATTCTTCGAGGTGACGTCATGCACATTTGGAAGAAGGAGCAGGAGAAGTGGTTCATGTTCTACGAGCAGTTCCATATCGATGAGAACTAAATCGTGACTCTCATGTGACTTTTCCTATCACCTGTCCTTTCTCCTTTCTCTTTGTCTGTATTGACTCTAATTTGTGGTGATAATGAATAGTCTGTTAACCGAAATTTTGTGAGGTTAGAGGTTAGAAAAGTTTACGACCGCATCATGAATCAAATCTTGTTCAACGCGTACGGCCCGGCCCGTCAGGAACCAAAACCTGTATTAAAGTTGATTAGAAATGTGATGCATTTCAGCAAGTTAACAAACAAAGTTCGACTATGGCTTGAGAAAAAATTGATAGACTTTAGTTTATTAAAATAAATAAGATGCGGAATTCCAATACCATCGTTATCATAATCATAGGTTAACCAGGAGTAGCTCAATTAAAATTATCCAATTTTCAGCACGGCGATCCATAGACATTGCGAGGTACCATTATCTGGAATACTCTGACTGACTGACGGATTTTAAGATAAATTATTTATTAGATGCTTTTGAACTTGAAAAAAGGAAAGTGGGCAACAAAAGGTGGTCATTCAACAGACATGTTACGGTAGTCGGTAAGTATTACGGTCGGCGGTTTCGGTTTCGCACTTACTGTTGGCTGTGGCGGGCGATAGGCGTGATAAACAAAGTCTGGCTCGTGCTCTTTTCGACGGAGCTCTTGGATCTGAAATGGAAAACGGTTATTGGTGATCGAACCTGAATCGTTCGAGTTGTGTACCTTTCTGAAGATGAATAGAATGGAGACACATCCGAAGAAAAAGATCATTAACGTCAGTGTGATCAGAAGAATAGTTTCATTGAATTGAGAAGTGTTGGAGATGGGCTCCTCGGACAAAGAAGACGAGTTCATGTGAGAGTTTGTGATGAAACTGACTGGCAGTTTACAGCATCCTTTCTCGCAGCAGCCAGAAGCCAACGGACACGAGATGGTCACTGTTAAATCGTCTCCGTTGTGGTTTGCGTCGTAGACACAGAGGTGCGCTGAACCTGAAAATAGCCAACTATCACTAGAACCGACAGCATTTCACTCGATTTCATAAGCCGCATCATTTTAGGCAACTTGAAACAAACTTGGAAAGGCTTACCATCCACAGTGGACGACAATAATCGTTTGATGGTCAATGAAGCGACCATCCGAAGCTCTGGAAAACTGCTGCTAGTGGAGGATTGATCAAGAAATAAAGGAATGACGGGCTAAAGGTGCGAAGAAAGACCTAAAAGATATCCAAATCCTGTGATGTTTGTCGAACGTTTTCACGATATTGTCGGTTCACTCGTCGTTCTACACACACACACACACATACACATGTGTCATCCGATCGCACGAATTTATGTACATTCATTTAGAAACATTTGAACTCTTTCTCTCACTTACTTTCTCAATACGCAAAAAACGAGGGGAAAGTTTGAAGGAAGTGGAATTGGGGGAATAAAGGTGGAAGCGTGAATAGAGAAAGTGTTGGACAAGAAAACGAATGTTTGTACAGTGCTTTCAGGAATTGGAGGAAATGTCATGAATGGCTAGGAGCAGAGCCAAGGAAAAGAAACGAGAAATGAATGACAATAATGCGTGATTATTTGGGTGAAAATAGTGAAAGAACAATTGAAAGATACAAACAGATTATAGGGGGCATCTCACAGAAATGGCGCTCTGTTCGCAATCTTAATTTTGCACTGCAGAAAGAGTTTCTCAACAGAGCGCCATTTTTGTGCGGTGCCCTTACGAGATTTCTAAGACATGAGTCACAATACTAACGTTTTTTGAAGTTCCAAGAATTATTGTATTATCTAAAAGATGTGCTCTCTGGCTAATGAAAAATCGGCCATACCACCGATCGGTCAAAAAGATTCCGTTTCTGTTCTGCCAAATGAACAAACATCTCCTCCTACTTTCCGTTCACAAGCATGTCAATCCGGACAAGCTTGATGGGTCATTTGATTGTGCTCTCATCCCGGATTCCGTCTCATTTTTTCCACATTTCCAATATCCTGTTCAACTTCTTTTATTAATGCTCATTCGAGCTTTGAGTAATTCTTTAAGCACATGAAGTGTTTTGTTCATATGAAACTGCTGTATTGTCAAAGCTTACAGAGTTAAACTTACTGATATTCTTTTGCCATCGTCAGTAATTCCACCGTCTACAGTTGTTCTTCTAGATCATGCTTTAACGACGAAAACCAAACCGTCATCATTCGATCATTTATATAAACACATGTGGGTGGTCTCTCTCTCTCTCTCTCTTCCTCGCTTTTTCTATCGGCTCAATGACTATGTGCTGGGTGACTTTGATATATGCACAAATATAGACACTCCTCTTACCACCACAAACGCACACTCATCCCGTTTATCTTCACTTCATTTGCATCGAGTTACGATTCGAAGTATGCGTACAGTATTGATCCAATTTTAGTGACATCCGCAGAACACTTGTTTAGAGTACGACAATCTATTTCACTGAAGACTTTTCATTATTTGTCAGGTAAGCAAAAAAAATTAACCTCGGCATTTAAGGCACAGTGCGCTTTCGCGCTTCCCTAATATTATCAACACCAAAAGATCCGAACCAAAAAAGCGCAAGGTTTTCCGTTCTTTTTCATCTATCTAAATCCCCATTGTCAACACCCGTTTGAATTGTTTTTTCGGACACTAGTTTCACTCCTTTTTCAGTAGAGAGCACACGGAACTAGGACATACTTGTGTAGGTTTACGAGAAGTTGTTCGACACGCTAAGTTTGTTGGTCAACAATATTTTGTTCTTGTCAAAAGGGGAGGGAGGTGGTCAATTTGTGTTCACTTCTGACTTTTTGGGGTAAGCGAACGTTTTCCTGACATTTCTCAGAGTTATCTATACATATGTAGCTCAGATACTTCTCTTTGACATTTAGCGAAATGGGTTACGAAATGCCTTCCCGAAATCATGTTGCTCGAGCTTTTCTGCCTAAACAACAACACCCACCAGACCAATCTAATTTGAACACAATGGTGTCTCCCGACCCGACGGCTGATCCTTCCGCTCCTTTTTTTCGTCTGTCCATGATCCATTCCTGACGATAAAAAGTGAAATAAGCTGGCGCGAAAGGGAGACAGATGCCGGAATTCACTTGACACTTTGACTTCCACTCTCTTCAATCGTTTTTCTCTCACTCACTCCCCCCGGAAAAAAGTCTTGAAAACGGCACAAGTTATAGGCGCCTTTTTTGTGAAGAGCAGCACCACTCTTTGAGAGTAATCACGATTCGATACCTTTTATAAATTGGGAGCCGAGAAGTGTGTTTGTGGGAGGTATCTACTCTCTCCTATGAACTGTGTCAATAGACCGATGGGTTTGCATCCACCAGACTTGGAAAAGTGACCAATCCGTTTTTGTTTTCAACTCTTCACCATGACGCTTTTGTGAAACTTTGATATTAAACTACAGTGACTGAAAAATATACCTAATCATATTTGGAAAACATGTTTGTCATATTGAACAAACTTTAAAAACATTCTCATAATTATTCACCTTTCTCTTGCAATAAATATTATCATCGAGTTTCTAAAAATGTGAAATGTCAAGTTACAGATTCTCTTCAAGATTCAACTACTAATCTAGTCAAAACCTTCCATCTCTGCTACTTCACTTCATTTTCATCCAGTTACAGGTAAGTTCTTTTCTTCCGAAACAGTGCCTCTTTCTCTAGAATAAACCGCTCCCCACCTCGTCCCTATTCATTTTATAGTAGTTATGCCTATTTTTTCATCGTGCCCTCTCATCCAAATCTCACTCGTTCCGGAGGGGAACCAGTTCATGTAAGTGTTTGCTCATGATGCATTTCGCACCGGCAGAGACGAGATTTTTGGCGGCGGGGTAAGTAGTTGAAAAATTCAGTCTCAGACCGCATTGCTTTACTATGCGTACCAATTGAGTTCTGCCACTTTCCGTACTGCTTTATTGAACTAGAAGAGGCAGAATTTGAAAACGCTTTAACTGAGCACAAACCAAACTCCGGTTCTCTTCTTGTGAGCGCTTACTGACTCAAACATCAAAAATACTGACAATACACAAAGTCTCGAACTTCTTCCAACTTATAATTTTGTAATTTTTGCTATGAAGTTCTCATTTCTGTTTACTAAGAATTCGTTAGACTCCAGGTTATTCCCACCGTTCAGTAAAATAATGGTTTATTTATGCAACCCCGAAACGTTTTTTTGCAAAAATTATACCATTTCATTGTTTGGCAGGCGTCGGAGAAGGAGAAGAAGAGAATTACGGCTGCACCCCCGCATTTCTCTTCTCTTCCTCACCTCTCTTTCTCTATTTTCCATGCCGTTCCATTGTTGAGGCGCTCCTCCACTCGAGAGCAAGCAACTCGTCCGCGCGCGGAAAGCTTCCCGCGCGCACCCTGTGCACCACTACCGCCTCTCTTCTTTTTGCTCTTCATTTTCTCATCTAGACTTATTGATTAGAAACTTCTTGAATTGGTTTTGATTCAAGTCTTGAGCAACAATTTTTCACTGGGCTTGGCATTAAGGCTCATGTCTTCCGGCTCCTTGGATCATCCTCATTATGAGCATTAGGGGGCACACCTTTGTTGACCTTCTTTTTTGACAGTGACAACTAGTCAAATAGCAAAACGATCGGATAAATGCAGGGGACGGTTGATTCATAGAAAGAGACACTATTCCCATACCTTTCCAAACTATCCATTACAGTTATCTCTTCTCCTCAAGATTACCTCGCAACTGTTCGGATCTCGAGGCAACCGGTGGGATGGTTTGCCATCGAGCAACCAAGGAGTGCAAACGAATCCCACTCTTTTCGCGTAGGCTAAACCCTTGCAATTCAATTTTTTCTTCTTTTTTCTTCACATTCTCCCGCTCAAACCGATTTTCAACTCAAATTCAAAAGCATTTTCAGTCAAAACGCCGCGCTTGGTCCCGAGATTGTAATGTCTTCCTCCTCGTCGACCAGCAATGTTGCTCAGCTCCAACAGTTGGGTCAAGTGGCTGGAACTGGACCAGATGAGGTCTTTCAGCACGGAACCATCGGAAAGTTCATCAGGATGGAATTGGAAGGTGAGCAAGTGAAAAAGCGGCCCTGAGGGGTAGCATTAAAGAAAGAGAGCCAACACAAATGAGATGGGCAAATAGAAAGGAAAGGCTGGAGCACAGGTTGCACTGCTCGGCTCTGTGCTCATGGACATGTTCGTGTGGAGCTGAGCAAATAGCAGTAGTAGTCATTGTTGATGAAATGAGGAATGTAGAGGGGAGAGTTGTCTGGAATGGGTTCTAACCTCATAATCTTCTGACATTACTGAATCCGATTAACTCTTCTCAACGTCAGGCGGCTTCTCCTCGTTTGTCCGATGCATTTACGAAGCGAAGCGTACAAACAACAACACGGTAACGCTCGTATGTGAACGAGATCAAGAGTGCTGCGAGCATGGATGCTGTCCGAAGGATCAACACTGGATGGCCGGCGTCTACGTGCTTCTGGCGTTCGTGCTTCTCGTGTTCGTTGTCGGAACATGCCTCATGATCTGCTGCTATCAAAGATCAAAAAATCGTCAGAGAAAGGAGGAGTTGGAAGCCGCCGAGTACCGAAATGCCGGATATGCACAGTCTCAGGTTGGTTAACATTTTACTTTTCATTTGACTTTGAGTTGTCAAACTTGGCCTAAACAAACCTAAGAAAATTTGTATGATTTTTTATTTCTCAAACTCAAACAACATCGTTTATTTTCAGGTCGGCGGAGGTGCCTACTCATCCTACGGCGGTCCAACCTATTAATCCTCGATTCTCTTCGCAACTTCTTCTCGACTTACTTCACGTCTCCCCCAGTTTTTCATCAGATCAATCAGCTTATTTATACGCCACTATCTGTATATATATTCAATTTAAACTATTCTAACCTATTAAAACTACTTTTTCTTCATCTTTTTGCTCAAATGAAATCGATTTGAATACCGAATCATCATCATCATCATTCAACCGTCCGTGTTGTTTTTTTGTTGTCTCTCGTCGAATGAATCGTCGTTTTTATGAGCGAGAGATGCCGTTTGTCGTTTAGTAGTAGTTAATCCGAAAATTGTTTTCCGGTGAGTGTATGGTCGAGACAGAAAAGAGTAGTAGGTTGAGGTTGACCTTGTATTCAAAAAATGAAAGACCACTCTTCTTTTCACAAGAAGCTAATACCTTGCGTTTGGGCGCTTTGAAGCTAAAACGCAAGGAGTGAAAAGTAGGCTGGTCGAACAGGCGCCTGCTTTTCAAGCGCCTAAAATTGCCTGTTCGACCAGCCTAGTGCAATGGTCTCTTTGCCAAGTGTCCAATTTAATTTTCAGTCCAGTTTCCGATCGCTTCTCTCTTTTTTAGTCAGATTTCAGTCCGACTGTTTGCTTCTTGCATTTTTTTCAGTGCATTTTTCACATGACGACAATATTCATCTCCCTTTTCTTGGTATCTATAGTCTCCTCTGCAGTTATTCAACTTCGGCCCAAAGTACAGGCAATGTTCCCTCTTCTCAATACATTTTAAATGAATGATATTCAGACAGATGAGGTCACAACATTGGCTCCTTGGCATTCACAAACAGATTCATCTGCAGAAAGAGTTCGAAGGCAGTATCCGTATGGGATGGGCAACTATGGAATGTACAATGGGTACAATGGATATGGCGGATATGGAGGTTACGGATACGGATCACCGGTAAGACACATTTGTAAATGCCCCTATTTCTAGTCATATCTTCATCATTTCAGTACAACTACGCCGGATACACAGGCTACCAATACCCGTACTCGAATGGAATTTTCCCGCTTCAAGGAGGCTACTATCCCGGAAGCATTGTCGGGTCCGGATCGATATGGGCCGCCGGTGGAGGACTTGTCGGGAACATGCTCTCCTTTTTAATCGGGTAATATTGCAAGCTATTAGTGCGACCAACATGTCCAAGTGTACGAATAAAGATTTTCTAGCAACTTTTCGTTTTTTTGCTGCCCGTCTAGGCTGGTCGAACAGGCGATTTTAGGCGCCTGTGTCTGTTTTCTTTACAAAAAAGTGATTGTCCTTTCCAGTCTCTTGTGTTACTGTATACCTGAATGGCCGTCCTTTGTGATAACGTAAAAAAATCGTGGAAGCTTCAATCAAATCTAAAACCGTCTAATGCAAATTAGTATATGTTTGTGTTATATCAATGTAACACGCAACACGGTCACTCAGGTCATTTCACAGAGCGTTATACTTTGGAGTACCCTCCCTTGTCAATTTTTCCCTGCAGACCTTCACAGTTTTTTGGTATACCTCCGTGTTAATTTACAAATGTTTCTCAATGAACACAGGCAGGACAATATGCCTATTCAGAATATTTCTTGGATAAACTTGATTGGAAATAATTTTCGAATGCATGCATATGGTGCCAGTTAATAAAATAATGAGAGAATTAATTAAGAGGCAAAAGAAGAGCATGGTTCACAGGAATATCTGAGGTGGGAATTAAATTTAAAAAAAGAGCTCCGACAGTTTGAGTGTGACTGAAAATGGATAATTCTGTCAAACTAGACAAACTATCACAGATTCAGTAACAATCATTTGTGGATCTATTTTAGTACTCATAAAGATGAATTCAAAATGATCTCAAATGCGAATCATGCGAATGATCAAATGCGTAGTGTGTACCCTTTAGAAACGCTGGAAACGCATTCACAACTATGACCGAGTTATCATAAGCAGATCTAATTTCAGTTACATAAACGAATTTTCACAAAACAAACGGGTGAATTAGGTCAAATTAGCGCAATGTTCGCACGGAAATGGAGTCAAATCATCAAAAGAAAATTCAATTGTTAAGATTCGAAACAGAAAAATCGGCGTTCAACGTAAAACCGGTAAAACTGCTCAGGGAAATCGTTATTAACCTTAACTCTTCACCATTTTTTTAAAATCTCCACCATTTTTTTTAAAATCTCCACCATTTTTTTAACTCTCCACCATTTTTTTAAATCTCCACCATTTTTTTATTTCTCCACCATTTTTTAAAATCTCCACCATTTTTTTTAGCTCTCCACCATTTTTTTAACTCTCCACCATTTTTTTAACCCTCCACCATTTTTTTTAACTCTCCACCATTTTTTTAACGCTCCACCATTTTTTTAACGCTCCACCATTTTTTTAACGCTCCACCATTTTTTTAACGCTCCACCATTTTTAACTCCACCATTTTTTTAAATCTCCATCATTTTTTTAACTCTCCACCATTTTTTTAAATCTCCACCATTTTTTTAACTCTCCACCATTTTTTTTATCTCTCCACCATTTTTTCAACTCTCCACCTTTTTTTAAATCTCCACCATTTTTTTAACTCTCCACCATTTTTTTAACTCTCCACCATTTTTTAAAATCTCCACCATTTTTTAAAATCTCCACCATTTTTTAAAATCTCCACCATTTTTTTAACGCTCCACCATTTTTTTAAATCTCCACCATTTTTTTAACGCTCCACCATTTTTTTAACTCTCCACCATTTTTTTAAATCTCCACCATTTTTTTAACTCCCCACCATTTTTTTAACGCTCCACCATTTTTTTAACTCTCCACCTTTTTTTTAACTCTCCACCTTTTTTTTAACTCTCCACTATAAAATGGTGGAGATTTTAAAAAATGGTGGAGATTTTAAAAAATGGTGGAGATTTTAAAAAATGGTGGAGAAATAAAAAAATGGTGGAGAGTTTAAGAAAATGGTGGAGAGTTAGAAAAATGGTGGAGAGTTAGAAAAATGGTGGAGAGTTAGAAAAATGATGGAGAGTTAAAAAAAATGGTGGAGATTTAAAAAAATGGTTGAGAGTTCGAAAAATGGTGGAGATTTAAAAAAATGGTGGAAACCAAAATGGTGGAGATTAAAAAAATAGTGAAGCGTTAAAAAAATGGTGGAGATTTTAAAAAAATGGTGGAGAGTTAAAAAAATGGTGGAGGTTTTAAAAAAATGGTGGAAATTTTAAAAAAATGGTGGAGAAATAAAAAAATGGTGGAGATTTTAAAAAAATGGTAGAGATTTTTAAAAAAATGGTGGAGAATTTAAAAAAATGGTGGAGAGTTAAAAAATGGTTGAGAGTTAGAAAAAAATGGTGGAGATTTTAAAAAAATGATGGAAATTTTAAAAAAATGGTGGAGAAATAAAAAAATGGTGGAGAATTTAAAAAATGGTGGAGAGTTAAAAAAAATGGTGGAGAGTTAAAAAAATGGTGGAGAGTTAAAAAAATGGTGGAGGTTTTAAAAAATGGTGGAGAAATAAAAAATGGTGGAGATTTAAAAAAATAGTGGAGCGTTAAAAAAATGGTGGAGAGCTAAAAGAAATGGTGGAGATTTAAAAAAATAGTGGAGCGTTAAAAAAATGGTGGAGATTTTAAAAAATGGTGGAGTGTTAAAAAAATGGTGGAGAGTTAAAAAAATGGTGGAGAATTTTAAAAAAATGATTGAGAGTTAGAAAAATGGCGGAGAGTTAAAAAAAATGGTGGAGAGTTAAAAAAATGGTGGAGAGTTAAAAAAATGGTGGAGAATTAAAAATGGTGGAGAGTTAAAAAAATGGCGGAGAGTTAAAAAAATGGTGGAGAGCTAAAAAAATGGTGCTGGAAATTTTAAAAAAATGGAACGAAAAAAATAAAAAAACGAAAAAAATAGAAAAAAATAAAAACAAACAAATATATAAACGAAAAAAATAAAAAAACGAAAAATAAAAAAACGAAAAATAGAAATGAAAAAAATGAAAATGAAAGAAAAAAAGTAAAATGAAAAATTGAAATGATAAAAAAATAAAAAAACGAAAAATGAAATGAAAAAAATTTAAATGAAAAAATTTAAATGAAAAAAATAAATAAAAAAACGAAAAAAATAGAAATGAAAAATAGAAATGAAAAAAAGGGTAGAAATGAAAAAAACGAGACGGTAACTGATACAATGATTATTTCTGCCTTTATATACCCCTGCAGGGGTGGCAACTTAGTGTAGTTAGTGGGCGTGGCCACTGCACCAGGCTTTTCCTTCTTCCTGTTGTGGGCGTGGTATACTTTCCCATCAGACTCCTTTGTCGGCATCTTATAACCAATCTCCGCCTTTAATTAACACCGCAGGTGTGGGAATGTGAGCTTCAAGCGGATTTGCGGCAAGGTTCAAAGAAGCTGACTTAATTACAGACGGAGATTAGTAATAAGGACTCCGATGGGAAAGAACGATTGGAATTTCGAATAGTCATGGCACCGTGCCAAGAGGATTCGGAAAAAGAGTGATAAGGAACTGAAAGAACACAGAGTCGATAGTCCGATCGGTCTGTAATCTGGACCCAACATAAGTATGGTAACACATTAATAACCTTATCTATCTTTTCTCAGTCTTGTAAACATTTAAAAAAATTGGAGCATTTGCACAAAAGTTCAAGAGATTCAAGGGATAACGAGGGATCGGCAGTCAATTGGATGGGTTATTCAGAAGTACTTCAGTAGCCGACGATCACTTTCTCGCCGCCTTCCGGATGTCTGCAGCGTCCACGCATCATTTCTTCGTGGCAGAAGAAGTCTCTACTGGACACGTCGCCTCAGCCGGAGACGTCGTGCCGTCGCCGCCACACCTGCCCATCGAAATTCCTGCAAAAAACGACTGAAATCTCGGAATTTCGACCACGTCTTAGACCCAATTTCACAATTTAGGCGAACCGGAGTCTCGGGAGTCGGTGTCCTCCTCGATGACCGTCGTTGTCAGAGCTTTGACTAAAAAAAAACGCCCACTGTGCTTCACCATCATGCTCCACAGCGCCTCGTTAACGAAACGAGACCTGAAAAAAAGATCCGGCGAAGAAAACGAGATCCGGCGAAGAGCTGCACATCGGGCATTGGGCAGGGAACAAGAACATTGAAAAACATTGGTTTTATGCAACTTTTGTAGGAAAAACCCTCAAAATTTTGCATTCTCTAATGAAAACCGTCAAAACGCACACAGCGGCAATCGGAGCGAGTTTTTACTTTTGCAGCAGCTTCGCCGCCTCCTCGTTCGCCTTCTTCGAGCCCTTCTATCCGTCGCCGTACACAAAGATGCCATTGCCCGTCATGCGTCCCTTGTCTCTTTTCGACCTATAGGTTTTCAGGGAGGAGGTTGATGCTCAAACAGGGAGAAGGTTGATATATTTATAATAGAATCAGGTGACACCATGTTGCACCTTTTGACAACATTCCTTAATCTAGCATAGCCTGCCAACTTGCAAACGCAGCCAATTCGAAACGAATTAGAAACGCGTCCTTGTCGTATTATAGGGGCACCGCACAGAAATGGCGCTCTGTTGAGAAACTCTTTTTGCAGTGCAAATTGAGCGACCTCGGGGTCGAGTTTGAAAAGTTAGGCCACATTTTCAGTGGAAAATTATTTCGTGGCCTAGAAATTCGGCCACATTGCGAACAGCGCGCCCTTTCTGTCCGGTGCCCCTATACATAATAGAACGAATTGACACACGGTTTTGTGTTGTAATAAAGGTTTTGAATAAACCACATAATATGCTCACGTTTTATTTAAAACTGTTGTGAACTGCTTCTGCCGGAAAATGCATAAGTCGAAAGATACGTTCAATTTTCCGATGATCAAAAGGCTTCAACACACACAAACACACACTCAGAACTCCTTCCAGAAGCTTGCTCCTACGCCCTTCTCCGTTTTGCCCTGAAGGCGTTTGACCTTCTTCTCTCCTCCTCCGCCTCCGTATTCTGCTTCTTCCATTTTGTGTCGTGCCACTCATCCAGCATCTCCGCTCGGAAATTAAACTCGCGTCTTCTTCTATTCCTTTTCTACCGTTGTCACTTTGTGTTGCACACAAAACTAGTCTTCCATGTACCTATCCATCATTCAGGATTTGTTCCATGATTTCTTGCTCGTCTTTCTACTTCACTTTGTCAAGAAAAAGAGAGTGAATGTGCTCAAAACATCATAATTTTCTCCTCTTCGCCTTCTTTTCAATGGCTCATCTGATTAGGCGAGTGGCAATTCAATCTGACTGAAAAGCGGACAAAAGTATTGTCGAACTCGTCCCGGTGTTCATTCAAAACAAACTCCACGATGATTAATTCTTCGGCTCCACAAAGTCTGCGAGCCGTCTCGTGTTTTTCCAGTTTTTCACTGAAATGTAACGCCTGAAGTGGTTTCACTCTCTTGCGATTGCCACATCATCCTTCTTGAACACTTTTTTCGAGCAATACGAGTGGAGAAAATCGCAGTTCAAAAACAACGCAAGCAAGTAAAGATGTGCGCAATTTTCTGAAAATCCTGGCAAATGATCAAAGAGTGTTACTCTACGTCTGGCTCTCGGAAACCATAGACATTCCCCATATTCCCATATTCTTGCTTTTCTTTGCTCCGCTCACTTCGATTAGCATGTTTGGTCTCATTACAATTCAGGCAATCGCTTGTGCTCTGGAAGCGAGGCTCGAGCGCCGCGCGCTTTTTTTTCGCATCCACTCACGCAAATGGTTCTTCTGTCGTCTCGCCGCTTGGTTTTTATAGTTTGTTACAAATGTATCTGAAATCTATCGTGATGCCGTACAATAATTAGCTTTCTTTTCTCGTAGTGACTATGGAAAGGATGAAGAATGCAAAACAAAAAGCAAAAACGGCTTCTGTTTCGTCTTATTAATACAACGCAAAACTTGAAAATAGGAATGAATCCGATTTAGAGCGTTAGCATCAGCTCGCACAGCACGCAAGCGCACTTTAATATTCCCAGTCGCGTTTTGAAATGAGGGCGCGAGCACCTAGCCACATTCTTTATCCCCCTGATTCCAGAAAACAGAAAAACGTGGCTTACTGCCTCATTGACGGCTATAAATATGTACACCTCTTTTCTCGCCAATCCCCCTCCCGCTCGCCTATTTTTTCCATTTTTCTCATCTTTTTCTGAGAAACCTCTGCTGCTTCTCCTCCTCCTCCTCCATCTTATTAGCCTGATTCCGATTTGTGCAAGCCACATGCATGTGTACATGACTTTTTTTTCTGGAAATGTCACATTCGAAACATTTTGCTTCTTTTTCTTTTGATTGGTACTCATGAGCCAGTCCGTCGTCGACGAGGCCGTGGGGTTCGTCATCGTGTGCGCGTGTCCTAACCGGATTTGACAATTTCGTGACGGGAGAAGGGTCTGCTTACTAATTTGAGGCGAATGCTTGAAATTTGAGTGCCCGAACTGTGATCAACTTTCACACTAGTAGTTTAGAGTTTTTAGAGATTATCCACATTCCAGAAGCAGATAGATTTCATAGTGAAGCACAATTTCACAACGAGCAAATTTTCTAGACAATTAGTTCGCACTTCCTAATCACTCTATGTCTACGCTTTTGTTACGACATAAAGTCCTTGCTTTGAATTTTAAATCCGTCTAGACACTCAGTTTTCACACTTCCACATGTACCTTCTGCTTGCAAGATTGGCTTCTCTCGAACTGAAATTAAATGCTTCTTCCACTGGCGACGGCGCCAAACAAAAGGGAGGAGCGCGCTCATAAATTTGAATTCGCGTGTTGTCAAATTTAATTTTGCCAGAAGGGAGAGAAACCTTTCTCTCTGGAGACCTCTTGTTCCATTAATTGTGGCCTATGGCCTTCATGCTTCCGCATTTCGCTGCAAAGTTTAAACAAGGTTGATTCAAAAGTGGCCTAAAAGTTAGGCTTAATTCTCGTTGAGATGTGGTTAAATTTTGAAAAGCAGTGCCGATATATATGTCACTTTCCATCAGTCGCTCCCTTTTTCTCAATTTGTGCTCTCAATTATTTTTAATCCCGCCAGTTAACCTATTTCTTTCTCCAGTGTATGTACTAGTGTTAAGATGATCGCAAAAAGCGAATGATGAAGAAGAAAGGAAAAGAAGATACAGCATTTTTCAGTAAAATGTTGCTTCATATTAGTTTACGTTTACCCATCCTTCCTCGTCTTCTTCTCACTTTTCGGGAAGACTCTGCAGACAAAGAATAAACATATTTACAGAAGTTAGAAAAACGGAAAACAGATCTCCACTCATCTCCTCGAAGCGAGTCGCTCAAAGAAAAATCCTTTTTGGGCGCTGAACGTCAATGTGGACCGGCTGGAACTAAATTCGGGAATCGGGTTCAGGTGAGCGAGCGAACATTTTGAAACTGAGTAGTTCAGCAATCGAGTTTCACAAACTCATAGATAAAATCCTAAAATAACAGATTGACAATAAATGTCTCTTTCGTTTGGGAATGCTTCTTAATATCAAAAAACGTTCACCGATCAAAGTTCACACTGACCATCCTCGCGACTTGTCACAAACACAGCTAATACGACACAGTAGCTCTAATATTTCCTCACTTCTCTTTTTGCTCCACTCTTCTTCAACTTTGGTAATCTAATCTCTCTTTCAGATGTTATCAGCGGCTATCGTGGAGCACGCGGCTCTCGGCTTCGCGTTCGCAGTCCTCTCACTTTTTGTGTTGGCATTTGCTGTCATTGCCGTCGTTCTGCTAACAATCTCCCACTCATGTTGGTATAAATGTGGTTGGTTTCATTCATGTTCATTATATTCAGTTTCACACATACCGCCGGCATTCTATCAGATGTGCACTTCTAGCTGACAGAAAGGAACACACAAGTAGTGCATTTCTGTTCGAATGTTTACGGTTGCTTCTCACTGTGATATCACACTAACACACTCAGTTAAACCAATGTTTTCGTGTACCTAGACCATCTTCAGTTTCAGACGCGGAAGGGGATCCGTTGATGGAAGACTACAACAGTCTATTTACGGACCCTAATTTGGAAACTGGCGAACCAATCGATACTGTTGTCGGATACACTCCCAAACATGCCGATATTGTGTAATTTGTATTTACGAATCTGCTTATAAAATGCGAATCATAATAAAGCATCGTTTTGCACTTGCGCTAGAACACACTTCCAGCCGAGCAGGGAACAACTTTAAAAACTCTCATATCACTGAAGACGTTATTGACGATATATTCAGGTAAAATTTCAAACTTTCTTCAAATTTTCTGAAGCGAAGCCTCGGAAAGTTTGAAATTTTTTCTGAGTACATATGATAATATATTATCATCACACCTAATTGTCAGAAATGTTCACAACGACTTCCGATGAAGTTCCACTTCTCGGCGCTTTCCTCGTCCCTCAATATTTCCCTCCGCTGCGTTTCTCGTCGTTTCTCGGCCTCATTCTCCTCGCTTCTCTTCAACTTCGATTTTCAATAACTGCCTTCGCCGCACAGCTAGTTCGCCAGGCCGGGCGGGAGGTCTTTTCTTCTTCTTTCCTCATTGCCTACGCCTGAAAAAGGACCGCCCGTTCTTTCATTTCATTTCGTTTTCATATCGATCTTTTACTCTTTGTGGCTTTTAGTTCCTGCAATTGTTATACCCGGAACAGTAAAGACAGAGAGAAGTTGTAGCGAATTTCACTTTTCGGTAAAAGTTTCTCTCCAGCAACAAACGGATAACTAATGTCTTTATAATCGAACTAATTTTGTTCTCAAAGCTTCAAAACAATTAAAAACCTAAACTCGCTCAGGTTTCTCTGTAAATTAAGCTCATTTCCGACGGATCACAACTATTGTAACTTCTGTATCATTTTTTGGTAAAAATAAAGTTGCACATAGAAATTCAAACTGTACCTAATACTGCCTATTACTGCCTTGTATGGCCTTCTCTTCTGCGTTGCCGTTGTCAAACTAATAGGAGAATCGAAAAGGTGTGAAACTTGGCCGAATTGTTAAAAATAGTAAGATTAGCCTCTTCTTCTTCCCCTTCTCCTTTTTCCGTCCACCGGCCTCTTCCTTTGCCTTTTTCCATTGTCTGCGTTGAATACGCACACGCAGCTGAGTGCGTTTTAAAATTAAGAATGAAGAATTTCGAAAACAGACAGAGAGTTTCATAAAGTTTCACTTTCGCCAAAGTGTCTAGATAGAAAGCGATAGTAATCAACTGATGCGTCTGTGAGGGGTGGGGCTAAGTTAAGCCGTGTGGCTTCTCGTCTCATATCACAAGTACATATATTGCTATCCTGCCAATATATTCCAATTGGTTCATCAAGTGTTCTCCTTCCATTGGCAAATTATCGGAAGTTGAGAAGAAACAAGTTTCACAACAACAAAAAAAACAACCTGCTGTGAAAGAATAGAGCGAAAAGAAAGCATCTTTTTTATTTTCCTCCTCCTCCTCCTACCCTCCTTCTCACTCAAACCACAACAACAAACATCTTGGTATCTGCTGTGCTCTGTGTGTATGACGCAAATCCTATTGGTTTAGTTGGTAACCAATAACAGTTATTATCCATTCCACTCACTCGTTTCCTCGCCGCCCGAAACTTCCACCCCTCCCGTCTTCCTCTTTTGTTTGATCTCTCTCCATCTCTCTGGTTTCTGCAATCCATTGTCCTCACCAGCACTGCGGGTCATTCATCTCTTTCACTTTTTTGCGTGTACCCGGTAATTTCCGACGTCATAAGGCCTCCAACGGCGCATAATAGCTTCTTGAGCCATATGTTTGAAAGAATTTGTGTTGGAATTAAGATTAAGGTGAGCTGTGAAGAGCCGACAAACACTACTAATCCCAAACGGGTCTCAATAAGGTGTTGCGCGTTTTCTCACATCATATGACACGTGCCTTGTGTATCGTAGAGTTTTAGAAAGTAGCAGAAGTTTCAAACAATTTCTGATCACGTCCTGCTTCAAATTCATTCGTAGTGAGACACACATACACACAATATAAGCAATTCATCAAGGCGTATGGGCAGCGCATATGAATTTACCACTAATTGAAATTGGAAAGTGAGCTATTGACTGCTATAAGCTAAAAGCTATGGAAAATGACAATTCTGCTGACGAATATTTGAAAAGTATATATTTCGCTCTGTCTTCCCCGCCGCCACCCGAGTCGCCGTCTCCTTTCCTTCCTCTTCTTCTTCCTCTCTTGGAGCTTGCCCGATGTATTTATGAATTGTGTGTGGCGGTGTGCGTGTGTGTTTGCGTGAGTGTGTGTGTGTGTGTGTGTGTGTATATTCTTTCGGTGACTTCACTAATATATAGAACTGATCGGCGAGGAAACGATCATCACCATCCATCAAAGCATTGTTTTCTACTCACAAAGTCAAAACATCGTAGAGCAGACGGCTTCAAAAATGAAAAATAAAATAAAAGAGCATAGGGTCCCGGAAAAAAGCAAAGCGCTCTTTAGTCTTTTGTTCTTCCTCAAACACACATGTGTGAGGCATTTCACATGCTTCACGCTTCCTTCAGACTCACTCATAAGAAAAATAAAGAGTTTAGTGCCTCCCGGAGTGGAGCTCTTCTTTAGAAAATGCTCGAAGCTTCCCGATTGGGTGATGGATTTTCGTGCTTCGAGCGTCTTGTTGCAATCGTCGATATGCTCAGCGATAATTTTCCAATTCTCCGGGGAGAAACTCATCTCCTTCACAGCTTTTCCGTCGTCTTCTCCTCCCTTTTCTTATCTGATTTTCACTCCATCGTTGTACGGAAGCTGAGAAAAACGGAGCATACATGTCTGCTGACGCTTTTCAGTCTTCCGACTCAAGACACGCAATTTTGCCATGCAGTTATGTGCCTACGTCGAGACTCGTCGACGAACAACCTTTCTGAACCTGTATAACTATAACGAACATGTGAGACACAAGACCAAAGGTGAAAAAAGTGACTCTCGCAATTTTTTGCAAAGCAACAACCCCTCTCGCTTCTCCGTGAGCTCGTATAGACTCTGCTGCAGCTACTGCGCATATCGACCCGAGAAGCAGTACGTGAATATTTACTTGTTTTTGTTGACTCTACTCGCCCCCGGGCCGAGACATTTCTATCACGTTCTCTTTCACCTTCTCTCGGTGAGGTGGTGAGCGCTCGAATTTTTTCCATCAAGATCTTCAATATTACATATTCTTGAGCTTTATAGCACCAGAAAAGGTTCATGTTTACCTGTGTTGGCAGAGCCTGAAAGCTCCAGGTGGGTGTCAGGTACATGCTCTCAGGTGTCACATTACATTTGCTTGCTGTGATCAACCTAAATATTTACTCCCTGCCGCCCAACTGAAACTGGCTTGTCGTGGCGTCCAAAAAAAGTGTTAACTTCAAGCTATTTGAACAATTCAAAACCTTCGCCACATATTTGCCAAGTTCTTTTTCTTCTTCGTCTTTCTCTTCTCGCTTACCCCGCACAAATGTAACACTTGTTGTTTTGGACCAAAAACGTTTGGTTTCCTTCTCGTTCGTCATCTTTTTGTCTTGATTTTCTTCTCATTTCTTCTCATCTCAAAAAATGCTGCCTGGCACGCCTCAATGCACTTCTCACATGTGACAATGTACAAATATATTATGGATGGTCGTGCCGCAGTTTGATTCTCTTTGAAAATTTCTCCCATCCCTCTTCGTTTTCGCTGAAAGGAGGAAGACTTTCGAATTTCGATACACAAACCTGTTGTGGTACTGTTGAATTGAATAAAAGAGAAGAAGGAAGGAAAAAAAGTGACCACAGCCGACGTTACTAGTTACAACATTTGGTCAGGGGCAACAACCCATTTGTGTTTAATTTCCTGTTTATCAAAAGTTTTGTGTTTATTTGTGCGTATTGGTGGCCAGTGTTGAATTACAAAAACACGATTGTCAATATAGCATAATCACTGAAAATCTGGAATCCATGAACAAAACAACATAGACATGGAATCATATTGAGACCTACATTTTCAAATCAACGACGCGTAACCAGCAATGCGTCCAACAGCTTCTGCTTCTCTTCCCCCTTTTCTCTCTCTCTCTCTCTCTCTCTCTCTCTCTCTCTCTCTCTCTCTCTCTCTCTCTCTTTCTCTTCGGCATCTGCCACTATAATTGGTGGTGAGACTGGGTGGTGACCACCCAACGCCGTTGTCGTTGACATGGAATAGTCAACCCGTCTCCAGCAGCAGCAGCAGCAGATGCACCCACTAATCTTGGGTCTTTCTGGACGCTTTCTCTTGTACATACGACCCCTTTGCTTTCTCTTTCTCTCTCTCTCTCTCTCTCGAAGATGATGGGGGGAAAAAAGGAAAGGAGAAAAAAGCCTGCCTGCCTTCTCTTCCTCACCCTCCTCTCCTCCTTCCATCACATGACAATGACCCGGCTGCTGGCGGTTGGCTGCCTATCTTTCCTCTCTGCTCTCTCCCGTGTACTCGAAAATAGAGGCAGCAAAGATGGACTGCTAGACAGTTTGTCGTCGCTCTCTCTCTCTCTCTCTTTCGTCTCCGTTCAACTCTCGGTGCCGCCCGAAGCTTTTTCGGTTGTCGCTCTACCATACTTTAATAAAAGTTTTCAGGCTCAGCGCAGTCTCCCTCTTCCTCCTCTCCTGAAACCTGCTTTCATGTCCGTCCAAGACAAAAATGTCGGATTTGAGCTCAAGTGAGTTTAAAACGTTAACTTATGGTCATGTTGAATGTACAACTGCTGTGCGGTGCTGGCTGGCTGTCACACCGCTTCCTCTCCCTCTTCCCCTCCCTCCAACAACCAATGTGGGGTAGAAACGGCAGAAACACATGCGTGTGAGGGGGGGTCACTCGTGACCACTTTTCATCTTTTCGAGGGAAGAATTGTCGCGGCTTCGCTTGCCATTCAATCTAGATTCTACCTAGCACTTCGCCAAAGTCCCAGTATGAGGTCTCGCAACGAAAACGAGACCACTTTCCTTGACAACACAGCACCTGATAAGGTTTTTGACGTTGGAGAAGAACAAGGAGAGAACGGTCAAATTTTATTGGCCTTATCAAACTTCTTTTTTGAAATTGAAGGGGTGTACTTTGATCGCTAGAGGGATGGAGCCTCGGGTTTTGGTAGGAGGCAGAACGGGGGACTTTCCAAACATCACAGAAGTTCATTTTTTTTCACTAATAAGACTGGCGAACCGGAAGAGTTTATGAAATCACTCCTCATGTATCTACACAAAAATACAGCTTCTACGGAGCCTTGTACCGTGAGCGGTGCGGAACCGCTTTGCGTTGAATGAAGTGATTCGGTTTCATTATGTACGGGGAGTCATGAAAATTTACGATTAGCTCAATAGATTAATTCAATCCTCTCCGGATCATCTACAGTCTTTTTCAACATTACGATCTTGTCAAATAGTCTTCCAATCCCTCCGCCTCCCCCCTCTTTACCACAAATCACATGGCACACTTCTGAACCAACTATGTTGTTTCGCCGATCAACACAGTATGTTTGTATCTTGTTTTCAGTGCCCTCCTAGAGACCGAGGCGCCAGCTTAGACGCAGGCTGGCCGAGTGATCAGGCACGAGTTCTTTGCCTCCACCTCCCACTCTTCCTTGATTCATTTTCGCCACACTTCTTATACTCGTGATGATGTCACCGGTGCCATGGGCGGTCACCAAATGTGCAGTCACGTGGCAGCCACCAGTCGCAACTGGTATAAATAGAAGAGCGGGGCGCGAAATCGGTGACCTGACCAGATTTGATTTGTTTTAACTCGAACATGTACCAGAGCATTTCGATATGTTTGGCTACAATGCCGTCAACTAGCACTTTTATTCAGTTTAGGTACCCCTATACATGTATTCGTCTTTCCTATTCTTAACCGCGCAATTTTCAGCGAAACGGATTTCCCGGAATTGAGTGGCAAACTGACGGGCAGGAAGGAGAAGGGCAGACGTAGCGCGGTGGCCGATCGCCATATGCGCCGAGCCGCGAAGGCTGGCGCCTACCTCGTCAAGACCATCGACGACCCGAACAACGTGCTCGGCAAGAAGCGCAAGGAGCGTGTCGCTTCTGAGAGCCACGACGGCATCGCCTCGAACGTGCTCTACTCGATGAACAAGAACAAGCGTTGGGAGACGATGGAAGAGTCGTCGTGGACCGCCGCCGATGGTGGAATGCCGGTGCAACTTGTCGAACGGGTCCTGACTACCAAAGGTGAGTGAGAGGAATGGGGGTTATACAGGGACTGATGTTAGATCACAATGTGTCACCTGATGCTTTTCGCTTTCTCTTTCTCTCTCTCTTTCTCTTTCTCTTCCTATTTTCCTCATGTTCCATAATGCTTTGTTCGGGGCACTTTTATGATTGCGTCAATCGACGAGAAAAGAGAGAGAGAGAGAGAGAGAGAGAGAGAGAGAGAGAGAGAAGCACACAGGAAGAAATACACGAATATTGATGGTTGGAAAACACATGACAGCCTTCTCCCTCCCGATAAGCGAATCACATTTGCGGCTCTTTTGTGTCGGCTGGTGTCAGGCCGAGCATGATTAAATGATAGAGTCATGCGGCGGGTCTCGCACCGAACAACGTTTTACCAATAACGCGCTCTTTTCGCAAATTAGAGGTTTAATGAATGCACTATAGTCAATCTTGATAAACTTTGTTCGCGGCGAGATCCGATGCGACGTCACACCAAACTACAAACAGATGTTGTTAGATTCTTCGACAAACATATGTAGATATATTATACACACAGAACAAGTGGTCGCCGAAACTCTAGTCATGTGACTCGCACGTGCACGAAATATCAGATAATTCAACATTTATGTTTCAGACACGTCCGACAATGTGGTGTGCGTGAAGGAGATGGACAAGAACGGAGTGGTTGTGCGCCATGAGACCGCCGGCGGGAACGGAGCCAATCTTCATTCTCTGCTCAACTCGAAGAAGTCGCGCGGGAAGAAGTCACGTAAAGAGTCGGAGACTTTGGAAACAACGGAAGTTTCTGTGGCGGGATCGCTCGATGAGAATGGAGAGCCCAAGGTGCAGTACACGATCTACAAGCCGCACAAGAATCATAAAGTGCTCGCTGGAAAGCTTTTCAATCGTAACTACAACATTCGGAAAGCAGGAAAAACACGTCAAAATCTGAAGCGTGTGGATCTGGCCGACATGGAGAGATCGACGGATTCGATGCACCAGAGTGTTCACATCGATGAGGCGGCCTACAAACCGAGCCGTGACTTCCGCTTCTGCCTCGGCGACTACATCACTCCGGAGTCGTGCACCAGCAAACCGGTCTACGTTCGTCGGCCAAGCATCGAGAGTGTGCAGCCATCGGAAATCACATTTGACGAGTCTGAAAGCGACGAGGAAAGCCGGCAGCCGCTGAATGTGATCGACATTTCCCAAGTGATTCGGGCTCCGAGAACGTTTGAATGGGCTCTGCTGAATATTGCCGGATGGGATGTCAGTACTCTCGAGCAGCAAGTGAAGAACATGCAAGCTGATGGCGAACTGTACGTTCAGTGGTTGGATGCCGATCTTACGCGTCTTTCCATTGACGCGTCTCGTCTTGTTCTTAACGAGAAGCAACCGCATGGAGCATCTATACTAATGATCGTCATCGAAAGAGCTGTTGCCTCGAAGAAGGAGCATCTCAAAGTGCTTCTCAATTCTACTGTTGCTCCATCGGGACCATTCTCCTGGCAGATTCTCCACGAACTTCTGAAGCACGCGGACAGCCTTCAGACCATTGTCACCATTATCTCGAAGCTCGTGGCCGAGTGGAAGGAAAACGGTATCACCGCTCCGGAATGCGTCGATCTCCACAAAGCGCAGAAAAGCAGATTCGATTTGAAACGGCATCTGTTCCAGCCGGCTTTTAACAGCCAAATGCTTTCTCATCCGGCGCATGTGATGAGCGCCGAGAAAATGGCATCGATTCTCCGTGACGAGGCGATGAACAACGAGGGGACCGTGGAGCGATTTGAGCGAATCGACTTTGAGACTGACGATTTTGAATTCGAAGACGCGGACGATGAGAAGGTATCTCTGCCTGAGAAGCTGAAGTGTGCCACGTGCGAATGCATCAAAAACTCGGAGCTTTTCGAGTTGGACGATTGCTGGCAGTGCCGTGACTGCCTCTGCAAGCACATCATCAATCAGATCCGTGCAAAGTGCATCCCACTCGACATTCCATTTGTGCTCGGAGAGGGACAGTCTGCCTACGACCTCCTTCCCGCCATCATCCCGCTGCCACTCCTCAACTTCTACACGAAGATCGCTGCTACTGAATCTCTTGCCAACGTGGATGGAGGGGACATCGGAGAGTGTCCCTCCTGCAAGCAACTCGTCCACATCGACCGCACCGCCATCGCGTTCAACACCTCCGCCTGCTTCTCTTGTGGAATTCACTGGTGCCCGAACTGCGAACGCGAACCGCACTTCCCAATGAACTGTGAATCCTACGCCACATGGATTAAGAAATGGGAGCGAGAGTACGAGTTGCACGTACTGGAGAAGACTGACTTCCTGAAACGTATCAAGTGCGCCTGTGGATTCCAGATGGAAGTGCGCGAGAAGGCGGAACGAGCCGAGTGCGGAGGATGCGGTCGAGTGTTTTGCCCGAAGACGCTGGCGATGCTCGAGGCCGCCTACTGGTCCAGAGACGAAAAGACCGGCGCGGCGGTGAGAAGACTCGAGACTTCCGACGTTCTGCCAGCGCTTTCCGTCGAGTCAATCACCGCGTCGAAGCAGATCAAGAAGGAGTTCTCCAAAGTATGCGGAGAGGCTCGAAAGCTGCGATTCAGCGTCTCCGAGAAGGCCGAGTTTGAGAAAGCGGTTCGCAAACTGAAGAATAGCCACGCTGGCGTGGAAAGACTACGGGATATCCGAAAGACGGTAACGAATTACTCTCGTTTTTGTATAATTATTTTCTATGTTTCAGATCCTGAGCATTGTCGAGAACGGACTCGCATTTGTATATATTGAGAAGAAGCTCGAGGCGATGTCTTTGAAGCCGCAGCTCACGCAGCTCATGAAGCAATGGATGGACATCGAGGCGGAGGTTCAGCATCCAAGGTTGTTATACTCTTTTCAGGAACGAATTTAACGTGATTATTGCAGATGCGACTTCCAAACTCGATTCGAAGCCATTGAGAAGAACTTGTCGAAAACTTTGGAGCAACTCAAGCTCGTCGCCTAAACGTTTCTTCTTTTGAGTGTAAATACAATCTAACACGAATTCATCATCATATTTCATACCGCATTTTCATTCGATTTCTTCCTGCTAACTAACCCCAACCCCCCATTACTCATATTCCAGCAGTGAGTGTGTGTCTAGCGTTTGTATGTGTTTTGCAGTTTTTTTTTGTAAATATAGTGTATACCATAAAAAATTCGCCCCCCCAAAAAAACTTGTAAAATTTCCCCTAAAAATTGTTGCAACAAACAAAAAAAAAAGTTGTGCATGCTTCTTCTACTCTCTCTCTCGTGTCCATCTTTTCTTGTGTATATACTCATTTTCCAACCTAATTTTCCTACTTCTCTCCCAATTATGTGCTGGATCACGTACCCGTCTAGGAATTGGCCGACGCTTTCTAATCGATTTTCACATTTCCCCCTTCCCGAATTTCTAGGCCTCCATTTCTAATTTCCATCCGCCCCGAGAACGCAGGCGTTCAACGCAAAGATTCGACGCGATTCGCTTGGTTCCAACAACAAAAAAAGAATATATTTTACGGATAGACCGCCCCCAAAAAAAAAAATCGTATTTTATGCAATTGCCCTTCTAGAGTATTCTGTAATGTTCGTTTCAGTGTGTACGCATTTTCTGCCAGAAGTCACCTATGTATTTTGTAAAAGTTAATAGCAATAAATTTTTCAAAGGGCAACGGTTTTAACAGGAGAGAGATGAGCAAACAAAAACAAAAGTCTCAGCATCAAACAAGTTCGTCAAAAAATACGTATTTCTTGCGAAATATTCCGATAACCTTTCGCATCGATTACATGCCTTCAAGCTATAATTTCAGCAATGACATGGTTCCCTTTCTGGAAAAATAATTGTTTTTATTGTAAATTTTCATTTTAGAAACCCCCACCAAACGGTTGACTAGATTAGCGAAAAGCCCGATCCCCTGAGTTGGCCTTATAAACTTGCAACGGTTGCAAAATTGACATTTTCAACTTGCATACCATCTATTGAATGAGTTGCTCTATCAAATAAGAACATAGGCCCATTGTTTGTTAATGATACTTCATCTGTATCACTTAAAGTCATAGAGTCTAATTTAGTTAATGAAGCTTCTAAGTAGATGTAAGATTTATGAATTTATTAAAAGCGTTTTTTTTTGTGTTTTGTTGCTTTTTATATTCCTATACTATTCAGCTCGTACGCTCAGATGATAACGATGTCAAACACAAGGATGGAGTTTGCTCTCACCGTATTGCTGAGAAAGAAAAAGAAGGATTCTTCGAAATATCTTCGCAAAGGAACGGTCTGCTTTGCTGAGCTGCGGCACGACCATCAAAGAGACCTTCATCGAGTCAACCGAAATAGCTATGAGAAGCTGACGAGCTGTGATCTATGATATCATTTTTGAGAGTATTGTTCAGGTATGTGAAACGGAAAAGATGGTGTTGTTCTACTTTCTTTTCAGGCCGCCATACCAACATTCTCTTGGGGAATTCCTGGATCAAATATTAGAATCAAGCCCTTAATAACATGGTGTTGATTCTTGTGTCACTTCACGGGCTGGCTGCAACCAGCCTCGAAACATACAACTTCAACTGATTTTTGGTTTGATTACCTTCTGCAAGTAAGTGTAAGTTTCCAATCAAACCTTCCTTCCTCGTTTCTCTGTTCTTATCTTCCTCGTCTTTCTTCCTTTCGCTATCTCTCTAGGACCTGAAACCAGTTCTTCTTTACACTAATCGAAAGTGACCTTCACTTTTCACAGAGAGATGAAGAATTTCCAGAAAAAAAAATAGTTGAGATAGATGGTAACCAACGGAGACGCCGATCACACTCAAAACGGTATAAAAAGACGGCAATGAGAAGGGAAGTCACTCTTCTCTTGAGAGAAACATCATGGGCAAGCTGATATTGGTCGGATCGTCGGTAGCACTCACCTGCTGCCTGGTTACCGTCTTCACACTCGGATCCCTCCTCCAGGAGATCTCCGAGATGAAGTCGGAGGTTGAGGATGGCATGATCGAGTTCAGAGTGAGTTATTCACCCAAACATCGCTTCTAAAAGTTCATTCTTACAGGAGATCCATCAAGATACCTGGACTCGCGTTCTCAGCAAACACTTGAACCCAACCGGAAACACTGACGCCCCACCAACCTTCCAGACTTTGTTCGGAGTCCGTAGATCTCGTCAGTCTGGATTCCCAGAGCAGTGCAACTGCGGACCACGCTCCGAGGGATGCCCACCAGGACCACCAGGAACTCCAGGAGAGCAGGGACCACAGGGAGAGTCGGGACCAGACGGAGACGACGGAAAGCCAGGACTCGCCGGCGAAATTGTCGCCATTGTGCACGATCTTCCAGGTGGATGCATCCAGTGCCCACCAGGACGTCCAGGACCACGTGGACCACCAGGAGAGGTCGGACCAGCCGGCCCATCGGGAGACAACGGACGCAAGGGACCACCAGGACCACCAGGAGGACCAGGAGCCCCAGGAGAGGGAGGAGACGCTGGAAAGCCAGGAAACGCCGGACGTCCGGGACCACCAGGACCACGCGGAGAGCCAGGAACCGAGTACAAGCCAGGACAGCCAGGACGTCCAGGACCAGCAGGACCACGTGGAGAGGCTGGACCAGCCGGAGGACCAGGAGCCCCAGGAAACGACGGAGAGGCCGGAAAGCCAGGAAACGCCGGACGTCCAGGACCACCGGGACCACCAGGAAAGAACGGAACTCCGGGAGTTCGTGGAGAGGATGCCGCTCCAGGACCGGACGCCGGATACTGTCCGTGCCCAGCCCGTGCCTACAGAGCGTAGAATCTCTTTTCCAACCAATAAACAATTTTTTCTGCATTCGTTCAATTTCAAACACGTTCTTATCGAAACCAAAATGTTTTTCTTCAGTTTATGCCCCAAAATCTCATTAGTCTCTGAGAAAAAAAAAGGAAGAAAGAAAAACGAGGCAAATTTTGACGTGTGAAGGGAAAAGTGAAGGGAAATTTCTTTCCACAAATTATCATTCAGTTCAGTTTAATTCAATTATTTCCATCAAATCTTCTCTTCTAACCTATGGGTTTGCTGCTCAGTATTTTGGCGGAAAGCAAAGCTTCCTATGATAAGGTATCTGCTTACAAGTTCAACAAAACCACAATAATTGTTTCAGGATAAGCATGACTGGATTCACTATTGTAACATGAATCAGTTCGTCTACTTTGACATTGGCTTCGAGAGCGGTGTTCCACTCGGGCGAGTTGTGATTGAGCTGAAAGGCTCGTACAGCAAGCCTCTTTCGGAGCTGTTTGTAAAGGTCGCCAAAGGAGATTATGTGCATCCGGCACTTGGAAAAAGAATCGAGTACACCGGCAGCGTGCTCCACAACATTTCGTCGTCGAAGAATTTGATCATGTGCGGCGATGTTCTCTTCGGAAATGGCTCCGGTGGTTGTGCACCGGTCACCGCAAAACTTTACCATGAGAATAGTTTGGAAATGACCGTGGGCAACACGTAAGTCTCGAAACTTGCAGCTCTATTTATCAGAACATCATCAGGCGCGGAAAAGTTATTCTCCTTCCGTCAGACTCCAAGCCGACCGTTTTCTCCTCCATCTTCTACGTGCTTCTGGAAAAAACCGGCCCGGCGGTCGTAGACGGATGTGTCATCGGCGACGTTGTCGAGGGCATCGATCTGTTGGATCGAATCGTCAGAGAGTACGGAACGCCGAACGGACGACCTAAAAAGAAGCTCATCGTTCACAAGTGCGGTCATCTTTGAGATACATAATAATGAACTTTTCCGTATTTTTCCGAATTAAATCCTTGAAGATTTGCGAAGACCTCGTGTTTTCAACTCATGGTCTCCTAAAATGTTTTCTGAATTGTTGCTCCACGATCATTCATCAGCTGTTTCAGCAAAACATGCGCAATTCTTCCGAGTGGCTTGTTTTCCAGAGGATGATCCAATATTTTGAAGCGTAAAAGATCTCCAGATCCTCTGAACGCCTACACGCTGATTTCTGTCATGTGTCGATCTTCGAAACGTACCCAGTTGAATGATCAATCGGTGATGACCTAGTAAGAGAACTCACACTCACAACAAGCGATTTTCCGTCATTTAAAAAGATATTCTCTGAAAAAACTAATCTGCAAACGAGAAATTCCCTGTCTGTGACTCGTTTATCTGTTTGACGTAAACATCAGCAGCAGCAGCAAAAGAAATGCACAAAAATAACAAAGTTACAGGTTTTGCAAACGTCAATTGCTCCTTTTCGCATTCCATAATAACTTGTCACATTATCGCTACATGACTTGTTTGGTCGGAGTCTCGTGAGCATCACTTCCGTTTAAAAAAACGGCATGTAATAAGTAATATACAGTAATCCCCACAGCTGAGTAATGAGGAAGTGATGTTGGAAGCCGTGGGAGCCATGGATCTCTAGATTACCCAAAAATTCATCGGTTTATATTGGTTTGGAAGGAAAACCGGAGGATCTTGGAATTAGACATTTCGTATGTGTTCGTTCTTTTCGTGGGTGGTATCACATTGAAATACAGAGAGAGCAAACGTTTTCAATTGAATAAAAAGCAAATTACGCATGATCGGATAAGCTTCTGCTCGACTATTATGCACCAAACGTTGAGAAATTATCGAGATCCACGATTTTGAGATGAAATGCAATAATATTTATGTGGTTTCGTTTCGCGGATTGGTTTCGTTTGACTGTACATGGTTTCTCTTTGTCAATCTGAAAATCTGAAAAGCCCCTCGATCCGCTTGAATCATAACATTGTTCTCATTGCTTGCACACGAACAAACTTTAAAAAAAAAGATCATATTTATTATTGCCACTGATGGGGGGAGGGGAGAATTAAAACTTTTCTTTTTCAATATGAGATTGTGGTTGCACACGTTTTGAGGGGTGAACAAGATAACTAGTCATAAATAGTAGGGTGGAAGTGTAGCCATTTGAGATCAGTGGCAAAAGTTGGTTGAGATCGGAATAGGAGTTGGTTTTGAAAGCGGAGTAATCGGTGTCAAAACAACATGAGTAAATTTTGGGAAACGGGAAAAAATAATGATAAATAATGGGGAAGAAGAAAATGAGGAGGTTATGAGGATGATGGTAGGAAGAATCTACCAACTGAAGCTTTGCACGGAAACCTTCCGTCAAAGATGAATGTTGTAGAAGAAGTTGAAGATGAGCCAGTTACTGTGTGATAGCCAGAGAACGTCCAACGGCAGCGGTCAGTGAGCCTACTACCGAATTGGGTCTCGCCACAAACTGAGAACGAACATTCTTTGCCAAGTTTCGTTGACGGATTGCCGCTCGCTTTACAGCATTTTCCAGACAATTAGAGCGGAAAGATTTGCTCACTGAAACAAAAAAGTATGAGAAAAAGTTAAACGATACAGTAATGCTTACCTGTCTCTGATAAATTCAAAGAAAAAAGTGTGGGCTCGGAGAGTCGTGGCGTATGCACAGTGCTCCCAAAGATCGGGGGCAACTGGTACATTTGTGACTTATAGAAGTCGGCGTCGACAGTAGGAAGTGGGAATTCTGGAATCATTTTTCCAGATACTAGAATGTCTCGAGAGGACAAATGTGCGTTAGAGGTGTGTCTGATAAGCAATGACGGTTTTATAGAAGGAGGCGGGTGATAAGTGATGGGGAGTGGAAAGGGGGCGTGGCGACGACGATGGCGCTGCTGACCCCCCGGGCTAAAATACACTAGGCACCGCCCATCCAAAATTTCGAAACGTTTTGCAAGAAAAAATCTGAGAAAGAGGGGTTGGACCACCCGTAGTACTACGTCACTTTTCGTGTTTCTCGGAAGAACAAATATTTGAGTAAGGGGGGTCTCTTCTCCAAGTGATATGATGCAAATTTTTGTGTGTCTTTGAACTTTTGTGCCCTCTTCCAGCTGTGACACGTGGGATTAGCAGCAGTATGCTAGTCACACAACACACACAGTTACACTTTTTCGTGCACTGCTAGAGGTTACGTGTTCTTTGAGTAAGAATCAAGGACTACAGTGAGAAGGTGAAAGAGAAAGAGAGAGAGAGAGAGAGAGAGAAAGTTATGTCAGCGAAAAGGAAAGGTGTCGCGGTTCGCGCGCGGGGGACTGAATATGATGAATGATTTTCAGGAGTACTGTAAGGGGACCCGCATCCGGTCATACAATTACTGTAAACAACCGATTGATCTAGGATGATGAAAAATGTGTTCGAACGGACGGAGCAACATTTTGCGGTGCCAACGTCGAACTGAGTGTGAACATTACAGTATTCTTGGGAGTGATCGTTGAGAAAAGAAGTCATCTGAAGATTTCAGAATAAGTTTTATGATCTCGAAAAATGACCCAGAAAACGGGAAGAAACGTCATTATATTACTCCCCAAATGAAGAAAAAAGTATTTGTGGAAGAATGGAATGGAACGGTTGATTGTTATTCATTCTCTGTGTCCGGCCGCATGGTACGCACACGGCGGCGCAAACAAGAATGCGGATCAAAACCCAATCGAATCAAATCACGCTGCAGCAAGATTTTGTCATGTGTTCGAGCCAGAATGAGACGAGAAGTGTTTTTCCTGCAACTTTCGCTCCTCGCTGGATGATGATGCTGCCTCGCGGCTGTTTCCATCTATATTTTCCCGCAGAAAATGATAATCAGCAGTGGTGCGTTGCGACGGAGACCCCCCTCTCTCTCACTTTCCGCCAACGACAATCAGCTGGTCGGTCGGTCAGTCAGTCCGATTCAAGGTTGTGACGATAACAAAAAAACAAGCCGCAGCACAAGACTCATCTTGTAGAATAATTTTGGAGGTGTTTATCCTTTCAGGTACACTTTCTTTTCTTCCACGAGCGAGTAAGCCAAAGATCTTGGCTGTGAGCGTGATGATACCAAAAATAAACTATCCGGTTCTTTTTTCGGTTCCTCGCGCCTAATATTAACCCGGGGATCTAGGATCTCTTAGGCTAACTATAAGTCGAAGACGAAATGCGATTTCCGTGCTTCCATAAGTCAATCAGGCCTAGGATTTTTCTTTTATCTCTAGCTTTGCTCGTACACTGAAAAAGACAAAAATTACTGTAGTTAAACGTTAAATCCATAGATCACTTGAGCACATTATCAAGCTTTCTCTCTCACTTAAACTGGCATTTGCGTTTACGGAAAGGCATACTGTAACCTAAAACTTTGCGTGTTCCGATTGGGTCATCAGTGTTCTTGTTTTCTTCCTTGCCAACACAAAAACAACAACAATAAGATGTAAGAAGCGAAAAAAAACAAAACAAAGTGACTGTGATCTTCGCCCCGATGACCACATCACTCCAAATCTGGACTAATTGTGAGAAGATTATGATGATGATGATGAGGGACGGAGAAGCGAACCGAGAAAGAAGCAGAAGTTGACGTGTTATGAACAATGACGTACAATGTTCACACAGAAGACATCAATCAGAAACCAGACCGCAGAAATCAGTGATTGCGGGACGACGCGCAGAGATCCGATGAAACAACAAAAGAGTTGAACTTTCAAAGATTAAATGCGAATTCTATAACTCAAATTCCAAAGAAACGGAATTCGTAATCAGTTCGTGTCACCCTCATCTTCCCTACCTAATCGTCTTATTCCCTTTCCGCATTTTCCGCACACTTTCAGCCAAGTACATATTTCTCCAACTCCATTGATCGCGTAGTTTATGTTCACTTTTTGATCTTCCGGTCATATTCTATTTCAGGCACCTCCCACTCCTTTTCAAAATTTTAACAACTTCTCCATGACTAAGAGACCTCCGTGCATGCTCTCCAGGAGTCAAAAAAGTGGGGGGTGAGGGGGCAAACATGAAATAGAGGAATGTGAGGTATTTCGGAGTGACCTCTGACTCATCACATTGTTCGCCTCTTCAGCTTGCTAAATGCGTGAGCGTGGGGGTTACGGCAATTTGAACGCAAGATTACACACACACACACCTCGCATCTAGAAGCTTTTGTTGTCTCTTGCAGCAGTTTGGGTGGGGTCAAAACATGTGACACCTCGACGACGCCGAAGAGGACGAGGACGCTTTCAGGGAGAGACAGAATCTGGGGGATCTTGAGAGTCGGGTTCATCTAGAATTTTACTTCTGGCTTCTAGAACCTGAGCTGCATGATCTAGTCTCAAGAATCGAGAATGTATGAATTAGTCCAGCTCTTTTTAGTGCAAATTTTCTTCAAGACGTCTCCAAGGTGTTTTTTTTCAAATAAACAAATTCCGGATGAGTCAGTCAGATGCCATACTTATTAGTTAGGTGTGTCTCGACTGAATAGTCAATGATCGGTGATCCCGAGGGGAGTGTATTTTGATATGTACTCGGATGGGTAGACGTCGCGTTTATGCGTAGCACACACGTGCCGGGATTTAAAAAGTTATTATGGTGTTAAGCGGTTTCGGATAAACGTCTATTTTTGCAGACTTTTGCAGAGAACGGAAGATGCAATAATACGATATACTAGTACCCGAATAAGATTGTTTAGGGACCTTTCTAATGTTGTTTATTCGTTGACAAGGTTCTCACCAAAAAAAAACCAGTTCCGCACAACGAACTGATAGTTGTAACACCAACACTAACACGAACACTTTCAGTCGTGTATACGGAACCCGAAACAGAGTTTCTAGTCTCGAGGCGTTCTAGTCAACATATTGGCTAGAACAAGACACGACAGGTACAACAAGTGAAAACAGAATTTTGTGCAAACATGTTTTTCTTAAACATTCTATGCAGTTTACAGTGACATAAGAGTGCACCTTCCAAGTACTTGTGGCGTAATGATTTTCAGACGGAAACGTGAGTATGATTGGAATTTTTGGTTGCATTTTACTGTTCCCACTCTCGCACTGTCGTTATCATATATGAACACATCATTGGTTCGATTGTTACAGTAGTACACTCTGTCTATTCGCCGGGCGCCAGCTCCTGGAGAATCCGGAAATTCTCCGAATTGACGTCGATAGTGGGTGCAAAGTTGACTCGAATCAAATGGGGGAATGATGATAAGAAGCGCTTTTTTACGACCGTTTTATGGGTTTCGCCACGAAAAATCGTCTTGCCATCCTCTCTCTCTCTCGCCGACTTTGGCGTACTAAACTTTTCGATCGACATGCTCTCCCAATGTGGGGGGACACGTGTTCTGTGATCTATGAGTGCGAGTTCGCTCTAGTCTGACGCGAAATTATGGGAAGATAGTGATATGAGATGGTTAGCGGAAACGGATGAACCTAGGCGAATGACATCATCATAAGAGTAGGAGTAGAAAAAACACTCATGGGAGGGGCACCTAGACACGCCGGCGCCTGCAATACTTTCAGGCGACAGTGACGACAAGTTGGCGAGAAAGCAGGAAACGGAAGACAGCATCATCACCATGGACAATTCGAATTTCAGCATAATTAAAGGGGCAATGTGATGCAAACGGAACATTGTAGTATCACTTTTCCGGGTTGTGTCTCGCTCGGGTTAAAGTCAATTACGTAAGTAGATCATCATCATTTTATGTGCGGTTGACTTTCCACGAATCAAAAGGGAGCAACTACGTCAGATAGATCACACTGAAAACTTAGTTTTAAAAAAGGCATTTAACATTTAATGTTCAGGGTCTAAAGACAAATAAACTACTGTGAATTACAATAATCACTGTAGACTTGTCAGAGATGAGGCTCTTTTGAGAGTTGTAATACTGAACGGCTCTGATCTCAATTGTGTCTAATCTAAACGATTTGGTATTATTGGAAGACACGGCTCTCTGTGGCAGTTCTAATAGTTCTTGTCCTTCCGGTGCTGCGTTCTCAATCCTAATTTCAGAAAATTCCTTCACCGCCTGATCTTGCCAATATCTGCCTCAAGCTGACATTAAATTTTCCATAATGTCTCATGTAATCACGAATTAGGTCATCCAATACACGTTGACTGCTTCTCCGTCTCACGATTCTGCACAATTTCGACTTTAACCCTGCGCTATGGCCCCACCCAAAGCGAGACGAAAACGAAATGAGAAGAAGATTCACGCCACTTGCTGCTCAATCTCAATGTTCTCTGGATTTTAGTTGGTTTGTGAGGAGGAAACGTTGTCTCCGTTTCACCTGATAACCTGGACTGATAAGAAGCGTAGGCGAGTTGGGAAATTCTGGAAAACGGCGGGTTTCGCCGAAATGTAATGCGCTTTGATGAGCTCATTTCGTCGAAAAACCTTGGCGTCTCGTCACCCATAAAAATGATAAGATAATGATAATAGCGAAACGGTGTGGCTGTCTCGATATGCAACAAGGAACCAATTTTTCAAGGCGTTGAAACTGAGGGAGAGGATACGGAGACGAGTTGAACTTCAACATTAACCTTTTGGGGGTCCTGCTTAGAGAAGAACGTCGGTGGCCTAGAAATCTGCCAGTGGCCGAAAGGCTCATGAAAGTTATGGGGCTATTCAGCGTATGTTTGTTTTCCGTTTTTTTCGTTTTTTTACATCGCTGAATTGGATTTTTTGACGTAAAAAACGAAAAAATCGGAAAACAATCATTTTTTTTCACAGCCTGAATAACCCCATTAGAAGAACATTCCCACGACTGAGCAAAAAGTGTAACATGTCTTTTCTTATGATATTTCAATCTTCCACGACCGGCTTCTTGCATTCTAATATCGGATAAACAACAAGCAGCAAAAAAGTAAGAAAAACAAACAAGTTCTCTGTCAGTTTCACCCCTTCACAAATTGACGACGTCGACGCCCTTATCTCCTCCGCGATTTCCTGTTGATTAGTCATGATTCTTCTCTCTTCCGTGTACTGTAATCCTTCAATCAGACACGCACAAGAGGGGGTTTCCCCGTCGATGAAAATTGTGTTGTTGAGCGTCTAGGAGATAAGTGCTGATTGCGAAATTTGTGATAACGGCGTGCTTCTTCTGTTGTGCTTTGTGGTCAAAAACGCCATTGGAAGCTGTCTTCAGAATTTGTGACCGTCATCTGTGATATTTATGATAGTGACGACGGGAAACATTGAAGTAAGGGTCTCAGGCTACAGAGTCGGACGAGTCTGACAGTACAGACTATATCGTACCATACAACTTTCTAGGTGCATGTTTTATGCAAAGATTACATTTTAAAAGTTTTGTAGTCTTCAAATGTTGTACCAGAATAAGATAATTACCGGGGTCGTGACGGGTACATCGGAAATCAAAATGTTCATTTCCGCCAACGGTCGATTACTCCTGCGTACCACATCTTAGAGCTTTGGGTCAAATGTAAAATTTCGTTAGCGCACGTTAGCGCACGAATTTTTGGGAAGTAATAAGAAACAGTGAAAACACGTTTTAAGAAAAGTATAAAAACTTGATCGGCTTGATGTGCTTACTCGATTTTAATGTTCTCTAAATGCTCAAATCATCGGTTCGCTAGCTTTAAGGACATGTTTTGAAATTTTGAAGTGGATGGTGCAAATGCGCTCTACTGCGAACGGCAAAAAACGACGACGTTCTCATCGTCGAGTCATTGATTCTCTGATCCGGATTCGTATTCCTTTCGCTTCGATTTTTCCCATTTTTCGCTGTTCTTTTTATTATTCACAATGTTTTCTTCCAATTCAAGTCGCTTTTAAGCGTTAGTTCCACACAGCCAGAGTTAGTATTAAAAATATTGCTTATAGTTCAACCTCCAATCATTTCAAAAATGCTTGCAGGTTAATTGATTTTCAAATGTCCATTGATTCTTCCTTGAAAACTTCTTTATTTGCACGTTGTCCACCATCTTTGAAAATGCTATTAGCCCCACTGAGCTCTCAACTCTTGAGCCCAAATATGTTTTAGTCAGACTCCACTGATCGGACTCTAAATTCTGTTCCGAATCGCACGTACATTCGGTGCTCTCTGCTGTTTCTTCTCACTCAAAACAACAAAAGATGCCGAGAAGTGTGCGTGTCGTTGAAACGCTTTTCTCGATTCGAAGTATAACCGCTTATCATAAAAATCAAACGATTATCATCAACACACATTACGGTCGTTTCGGGTTACGGTAAAAATATGGTTTTCTTGTTTTGTCCCGAAAGATAGCAGCTGTAAAAGTTTCACGTGAAAGACGGCATGGATGATGGTCAATTCATGGTGTTTATCCGTTCGTTTTCATCTCACACTTTGGCCTTCCGGTATGTTCCGCAAAGTGTGGAGTACTTGTGATCGCTGTCTGTTTGTGGGCGAAATTCAAACGCTCTCGCAGGTCGCAAAATCTACGGGGACCAGGAAAATTTCGTCATGGAGAATTCTCGGGCACGTATTCTTTAACATGAAGTTGAAGCTTTTCAAGAAATTTTACGTAAACTTACAACCTGACTCAATTCGAAAAACACGATATAATTTGATTTTTATGATTTCGCAAATCTGCATACACCGTCAACTGTTCAACTCCGGATTTTTCTCTTCGCCTCTGAGACTTTTATTACGAAGAGAGGAATGCAACAGTCATACAGATGACATGGTGTATATTGTTCTTCAAATTTAGATTATTTGGATTTGCTCTTTTTTAAATTCCGAATCCTAACTTCTCCGCATCATTCCTGATAAAAATCATAATAATGCGAAAGTTGAAAGACTTCAGAGTTTCGATACAATTTCCAGGTTAATCAGTTGTTACGTTCCTCTTTATAAGCATTCGTCAATTGCCATGGTTTATTTACTTTGTCCAAAAATAGAATGTTTTTCCGTTAGTTTTCTTATTCAGCCCAATAATCTGCTTATTCTTTTCTTCTGTTCTTTTCTCACGGCTGAGAGCCTTCGACCAGCTATAGACACGTCACTTCAGCGAGATCTCACACCTTGTTGGACAACGTGCATCTGTCATTATGGTCCATTAACCACTTTGAAGGCGTATGACATCCCGTAGTGTCTTCGCTGTAGGAACCCCGAAGAGCGCGCGAACGACCGCTACGCGACGCCTGGCCATTCAAATTTCGTACGCGCACTCTGCGTCTCTCGCATTCTGCCGGTCCAGTGACCTGCCGCCGTTGCGAGCCGTCCGTTTTTTGCGTGTGTCCCCGCGCTGTGCCCTCACTCGGGGACACAATGGGACATTCGAATGTCCCCGCGCTAGTATCTCTCATTCTCATTCTTCTGCCTATACGCGAACGACTCAAACCTTTCTTGTCTTAGTAATTTTATTAATCGTTGAGTTTTTCAGAGAACGCTTGTGTAAAACTCAAAAAACATGTCTACGGAAGAGGACAATACTTTGCCAGAAGGAGGCGAAGAATCGATGGAGGAAGGATCGGTGAATCTTGACGCGACTGCCGAGGAGACTGAAGAAGACGAGGAACACGAGGCCGAGGAAGAAGCCGGTCCATCGGAGAAGAAAAAGTCGGGAAAGAAGAAGGGTCGTGGAAAGAAGGGAGCGAAGAAGAGTGCTTCTACCACCGCCGTTAAGGTTGAGATTCCGGATCCGTACAAGTCGACGAGCGAGGAAATCTGCACCGCCGCCGGGCTAAACGACGTTGAACTGGACTTTGAGTTGGAGGAATATCAGGGAATCACCAGTTTAAAGGTAATGGGTCTTTTTCAATTCTGTAAAAGTGAAGTCCACAGATTGACCCCCTACACGTACTATGGGAACGGGGTGCAGACTAATCGGTGCTATTTGGCTGAAACAAATCCGTTTGGTCTGAGACTTGGCCAAATAGTTAAGAACGTGATAATATACAACATTTTGAATTAGGGCCACTCCAGAATTGCGTCAGTACGTACGCGCGCCGCGTGAAACTTTTGTACGGGTAACGGTGGACCACCCTGTAGAAAGAAATCTAATTTTATGAATTCAATAAAACTATTTTCCAGGCGTTCTCCTCAGTCATCCGGCCACTCGTAATGGAAGCGAATCCGGGCGCTAACGTGTCCAAGATCTATCCGCTACTCCAAGTGAAGTACAAGGATTTCCAGGAGTATATGACTGCTCAAGGAAAGCCACTGCAGAAGCAGCAACGAGGTGGCGTGAAAACGCCTGCCGCCGCGACGCCGACAAGAGAGAAGGCTGCCCCTCAGAAGACTCGCTCTTCTCGCAGAAAGCGTCGCGATTCAGACGGCCCGGACAGTGATCAAGAGTTTGAGGCGATGATCAAGCAGCACGAGAAGCAGGAGGACGATCGCGTAAAAGAGAAAGAGGAGGCGAAGGCGAAGAGAGCGGCTGCGAAGGTGGAAAAAAAGAAAGCCGATTTGGAAGCGGCTCGTGCTGCGAAGAAAGCACAGAAGGAGAAGGGAGAAGAAGTGGAGAACCAGAATCACTGTGAGGAGTGCAAGCAGGGCGGAGAGCTTCTGCTCTGCGATACGTGTCCACGTGCCTACCACACTGTTTGCATCGAGGCGATGGACGAGCCGCCAGAGGGAGACTGGAGTTGTCCGCATTGCGAGGAGCATGGTCCAGAACTGCCTGTGAAGCAGGAAGAAGAAGTCAAGCAGAACGACGACTACTGCAAAATCTGCAAAGAGACGGAGAATCTGCTGCTCTGCGACACTTGCACTTGCTCGTTCCACGCCTACTGCATGGATCCTCCACTCACGGAAGTGCCCAAGGAAGAAAAGTGGTCGTGTCCGCGTTGTACACTCGTGCAGCCAGCGCAAAGAATCGAGAAGATTCTAAGTTGGCGATGGAAAGAGATTCAATATCCGGAACCACTGGCCGAAGGTGTGGAGGCCACCGAAGAGGATTTGCTTCTCAAACCGCCGAGAAAAATGGAGACCAGAAAGGAGCGCGAGTACTTCGTCAAATGGAAATATCTGTCGTACTGGCAGTGCGAATGGATTTCCGATGCTATGATGGAGGTGTTCTTCACAATGGTAAGCATTCGTTTCAAAGATTTGCATAAGAAATTCTTCTTAATTTCAGCTAATTCGTATGTATTGGCGCAAAACGGATCCGGAGACGCCGCCAGACTGTGAGGAGTCCACCACTTTCCGCCATCATTCTGACAACGATCCGTACAAATTGAGAGAGCGTTTCTATCAGTATGGAGTGAAACCGGAGTGGATGCAGATCCATCGCATCATCAACCATCAGACGTACGCTAAGAATCAACACGACTATTTAGTCAAATGGAAGGAGCTCTCTTACGACCAGGCGACGTGGGAGAGGGATGACGCTGATATGGCCAACTACGAGGACGCCATCATTCGGTACTGGCAACATAGAGAGCGCATGTACAGTGATGATGTGCCGAAGGTGGTGCAAAAGATGATAGCAAAGCATCGAGAGGCGAAAGGATTGCCGCCGAAGGAGGAGGAATCGAGACGTCCAAAGAAACGAGAGAAGGTGGACATACGGAAGAAGTACGACGTGCAGCCGGATTACATCAGCGAAACGGGCGGAAACCTTCATCCGTATCAGCTCGAGGGAATAAACTGGCTTCGACATTGCTGGTCCAATGGAACCGACGCAATTTTAGCCGATGAAATGGGCCTTGGAAAGACTGTTCAGTCGCTTACATTCCTCTACACTCTGATGAAGGAAAATCACACGAAAGGCCCATTCCTCATTGCCGCTCCCCTCTCCACCATCATCAATTGGGAGCGTGAAGCTGAGCTGTGGTGCCCCGACTTCTACGTCGTCACCTACGTCGGAGATCGTGACTCGCGAATGGTCATTCGAGAGCACGAGTTTTCGTTCGTCGATGGAGCTGTTCGAGCCGGTCCGAAAGCGTCAAAGTTGAAAACGCAGGAAAATATGAAGTTCCATGTGTTGCTCACTTCGTATGAGTGCATCAACATGGACAAAACTATTCTTTCGTCAATCGAATGGGCGGCTCTTGTCGTCGACGAGGCGCATCGCTTGAAAAACAATCAGTCGAGCTTCTTTAAGAATCTCTGCGAGTACAAGATTCAATACCGTGTGCTGCTCACCGGAACTCCGCTCCAGAATAACCTGGAAGAATTGTTCCATCTTCTTAATTTCCTCGCTCCTGATCGCTTCAAGTAAGTTGAATATAGTTTATAGAGTAATTCGAATCAATTTTTCAGTCAGCTGGAAACTTTCACCGCCGAGTTCTCCGAAATCTCGAAAGAGGATCAGATTGATAAACTTCACAATCTACTCGGCCCGCACATGCTTCGTCGTTTGAAAGCCGACGTGCTCACGGGGATGCCATCTAAATCCGAACTTATTGTTCGTGTGGAGCTCAGTTCAATGCAGAAGAAGTACTACAAGCACATTCTGACTCGTAACTTTGACGCGTTGAATGTGAAGAACGGAGGAACTCAAATGTCGCTCATTAACATTCTTATGGAGTTGAAGAAGTGCTGTAACCATCCGTATCTCTTCATGAAAGCGTCTCTCGAAGCCCCGAAGCTGAAAAATGGAATGTACGAAGGCAGTGCGCTGATGAAGAACGCTGGAAAGTTCGTGCTACTTCAGAAAATGATGCGTAAATTGAAGGAAGGCGGACATCGTGTGCTTATTTTCTCGCAAATGACCATGATGCTTGATATACTCGAAGACTTTTGCGATGTCGAGGACTACAAGTACGAGAGAATCGACGGTAGTATCACGGGACAGATGAGACAGGACGCCATCGATCGATTCAATGCTCCCGGAGCTCAGCAGTTTGTCTTCTTGCTTTCCACTCGTGCCGGAGGTCTTGGTATCAATTTGGCCACCGCAGACACTGTCATCATATACGATTCGGATTGGAATCCTCACAACGACATCCAGGCGTTCTCGCGTGCTCATCGTCTCGGACAAAAACACAAAGTGATGATCTATCGCTTCGTCACGAAGGGATCCGTCGAGGAAAGAATCACGACTGTTGCCAAGAAGAAGATGCTTCTGAATCACTTGGTTGTACGTGCCGGATTGGGAGGCAAAGAAGGAAAGAGTATGAGCAAAAGCGAGCTGGACGACGTCCTGCGTTGGGGAACCGAAGAGCTGTTCAAAGAGGAAGAGGCTCTAACTGCCGACGCTGCAGACGGAGGCGAGACGAGCGAGAAAAAGAAAGCGTCGGAGCAGGAGATTGTGTGGGACGACGCTGCCATTGACTTCCTGCTCGATCGAAACAAGGACGAACCTTCTGCAGATGCTGGTGAAGGAGAAGGAAAAGCCGACTGGCAAAACGAGTATCTGAGCTCATTCAAAGTGGCTAGTTACACGACAAAAGAAGCGGAAGGACAGGAAGAAGAAGAGGAAGAAGATATGGAAGTCATCAAGGAGGGAGATGGCAAGGAGCCAGATCCGGATTACTGGGAGAAGCTGCTCAAGCACCACTACGAACAAGATCAGGAGATCAAGTCGCAGAGGCTTGGAAAAGGAAAACGTGTGCGCAAGCAGATCAATTACGCTAGTGAAAACATGGGAACCGATTGGAATAAGCAGGATGTGAGTCATAGTCGGGGTCAATACATGTCTTATTCTTTACTTTTCAGAATCAGAATCAAGACGACGATGACAACGAGTCGTACAACGGTTCGGACAACGGAGATCCTCTAAATTCGGACGACGACGATTATGATGAGAAAAAGAAGCGACGTCGTGACGAGAACTCGGAGAAGATGCCACCGCTCATGGCCAAGGTGAACGGGCAGATCGAGATTCTCGGATTCAACACTCGTCAGCGAAAAGCTTTCTACCAGTCGGTGATGCGATGGGGAATGCCCCCTCAGGACTCATTCCACTCTCCATGGCTGGTTCGTGATCTACGCGGAAAGTCGGAAAAGGTGTTCCGAGCGTACGCCTCTCTCTTCATGCGTCACTTGTGCGAGCCGGGAGCCGATGGAGCTGAGACATTCAACGATGGAGTGCCGAGAGAAGGACTGAACAGACAGCAAGTGCTGGCGCGAATCGGACTGCTCAGTCTGATCCGTAAAAAGGTGCAAGAGTTCGAAGCATTCAATGGTGATTGGTCGATGCCGGAGATCCAAGACCAAGTGCTCGCGAAGGAAGCCAACGGATCGGCTGAGGCGTCATCGTCTGGAACTTCAAAGGCTACAAGCGTAGAGCCAAAGGGGGAAATAAAGGAGGAAGTAAAGGAGGAAGTGAAAGAAGGATCTGCTGCAGAAGGCGAGCAGCCAATGGAGACGGACACTCCGACGGAGAAGGAGGGTGAAACGAAGGAAGAAGAGAAGCCGACTCCAAAAGCACTTCGTCCACCATTCAAATTCAACATCTGCGACGGTGGATTCACCGAACTGCACACTCTGTGGGCTAACGAGGAGAAGGTGGCGAAGAGGGGAAGAGAGTACGAGATCTGGTACCGTCGCCACGACTACTGGCTTCTTGCCTCCATCGTCGTACATGGATACGGTCGTTTCCAAGCCAACTTCCAAGAGACTGTCAACGATCCTCGTTTTGCCATCCTCAATGAGCCATTTAGAGAGGCCGGTGCGGCCGATACAAACGTTGACATCAAAGTGAAGTTCATGCAGCGTCGTTTCAAACTTCTCGAGCAAGCGCTTGTAATTGAAGAGCAACTCCGTCGTGCCGCCCACGCGAATCGTCATCTCCAACCTGATAATGTTGGACCGCTGGCTCAGCGATTTGCCGATCTGGAGAACATTGCCGAGTCGCAGGCGAACACTGCTAAAGACAGTTCTGCTGGAAATCGCAATGCGAACGCCGTTCTGCACAAGTGTCTCGTGCAACTCGACGAAATTCTGACCGATATGAAGTCGGACGTGTCGCGCCTTCCGGCCACTTTCACCCAGTTGACTCCAGTTACTGAAAGGCTTCACATGACAGAGAGACAGTGAGTGTTACACGATTTTATTATTAGCTTTCCTAACGTGATAGTTGGAGATAGAATCGTTGATCTGCCCTCGTTGTTTTCGAAGCCAACGATTTGGTATAATACCAGAATAACGATTTTATATCCAACTTTCACGTACGATGAAGACATCGACTATATGAAAGAATCGCATTAACTTCCTTTTTTTTCAGAATATTGTCCCGTCTGACCACTAAAGACGAGGATGCGAAGGCTCTGCGTACACCACTCCCACCACCTGGACCGTTCGTCACTCCAATGCTTCGTCAACAACTTGATGGAATCCAGCCTAAGTTTGCCGCTTTGTTCGGACAACTCATGAACGATAATGGGAAGATGGAGGAAGACGAGCCGGCGCCGATGGAAGAGGAAACCGCTGTTGTTACAGAGGAAGGAGAAGCGCCTCCTGTCTTGAAATCAGGTAAAAGGACTTAGAAAGCGGCATGATTTTGACATTCTTTTTTGCAGAAGTCGAAAGTGAGCAGCAGATACAGCAGGAAGAGCCAACTCCGAGCACTTCGGCTGCCGGAGGGGAAGACACAGTTGTAGAGGAGGCTCCGGCACAAGAAGAAGAAGAGCAAAATGAAGAAGAGCCAATGGAGACCTGATCTGGCAAATTCCGACAACTCTTTTCACTATCCCACTATACCAATATTTTCTATTTTATGCGTACTCTTTCAAAGATTTGTACTTCGCAATTCAACCCGATTTATATTTATGAATGTTTTTTTACCTTTGCACCCTTTTCTAGAATACTTCGTTTCCCTTTTTCGCTGACGTCCGCAACAACATTCTAACTGTTCTCTGAATGAGTGCTACGCGTCTGATTGTATAATTTGTGAGACCTGAAATTCGTTGCTTCAACGGTCTGAATTACTTCTATGTGCTTGCACTTGATCATCATCAACAAGCCGGCAAATAACGTCAAAAGAGGAAAGCGAAAGAGTTGAATGGAAAATTAGGTTTGTGGGCGAGTTGTTGCGTGCTGCAATGAATCCGAAATTCAGAAGAATCTGTAGAAGAAGAAAATGGGGGAAGGACAATCGAATTTTCATCGGTTCCGCCGCTGTCAAAGTTAGTCTTTAGATGAGTGGACGAGAAGAAAGAGGAGAAGAAGTTTTGTTCTTTCCCTTTCTTTCCCTCTAAGATGTTACTCTCAGTTTTGATATTTCTTCTTCTCATTGATAATGTTGCGGCAATCACGTGTTTCAATTGTGAGAGTGATTTTCAAGGTGCGTTACGGTAAGTTGTACCAGAAAACATCCACCTGAAGACTTTAGTTCACGATTTCTGCTTTAGCTGCCAACAACCATGTGAAGGCTCTCAATGCGTGGTCTGGAAGTGGAATTCTCGCTCGGAACTCGCTATCAAACAGGTCTCCTACTACGCCAATGACGGGCGCATCATTAAAATTTTGTAGGGATGTCTTCAAGGCGTCGACAAGCAGTGGACGGCCAAAGTGGGTTGCCGTACCAATCACTTAGGAGCCTCGCTTTGTGTGTGCGAGTGAGTCGCATCTTCAAGTGTTTTTGACGTTGTCCCTTATTTTTGCAAAATTCGTTTAGCGATGGTCCGCTATGTAATCGGGTGGAGAGAGCCGAACAGACGACGCGTCCTCTTCCGCAGATTCGTCTCCCGGCTGTCGAGTGTCAAAGCAAAATTCTAAGCACAGGATTCGTGGGTCCGCGAAAGGAAAAAATTTGCACTTCCAACTACTGCCACGTCACCAAAACCGAGACTTATTTGGAGGAGCATGTCACTCCTGAAGTGTTGAGCGTGTCGAATTGCGGTGATCTGCCCGAGTTCGATTTCGATGTGCGCCTCAAGAACTCGGTCGGCTTCCCGGGACTGTACGCGAACGGTTGTTATCGTATTCAAGTTGAAAAACGGGCGGCGACGGTGGATTGTGTGTGCTCGAAGAACAAGTGCAACGAGATGATTCCGGAGATTGAGACCGGGCATGTCAGGTGCTATATGGGCAAGGATTTCAGAAATACCAGTCAGGTATAATCGTTTTACTTATGTTCTGATTCTGACCTATATTCGTTTAGGTAGACGCACACGAGTTCTGCGACGGAGATTTTTGTCTGATCCAGGACGCGCACGGGCGAGTCTCCAAAGGCTGCATCTCGCTGAACGAGCGGAATAGTTGGAGCCACCTCAAGTCGGGACATCGTCGGATTCTGGGAGTGAAACAGTGGCTTTGCCAAGCTCACTTGTGCAATTATGACATCGAGAGGGCTATGAAGACCGTACGGAGTATGAGGACAGAAAAAAGCAATGGGGGCAAGGCGTTGAGCGGATTTCTTGTGCTCATCTTGGGCCTTCTAGTTGTTACTGTATTTTGTTAATTTTCGTTGATGATATAAACGTTTATTATGATCTAACTTCTGTGCTTTGACACTTTTCCATGCGTGTTGTCTCTTATAACAATGGGACTGTTGGCTGACTGAGGCTGGAAAATACCACGAACACGATAGATGAGAGCCTGAAACTTTATAAGAAAATTTTGGTGCAAACAATGAGTTGACTTACAGCTCTGATATGAATATTCAGTGATAAGGCATTGATAGATGGCCAATAAGCGGTTAGAAAAGCAAGTAACATCGATAATGGAGGTGAGGAAGTAAAAAAGAGTCCAAGAATGAGCCAGGAAAAGAATGCTGCATCGAGAAGTGTATGAAGAAATGTGTTCCAAATGGTGATCTCTTGTTGATGCTCTTCGGATGATTTCTCTTCGGAGTTTTCAGGTATTTCGAATAGTTTTCTGTACAGAAAAATTGAAAATTCCAGCAAATACAATATTAGTGTTGGAACGAGTATAACGACAATCAGATACAAATAGGCGTTGACCTCAAAGTCCAGAATGTTCCAGGACAATCGATAGGGGTTGAAGCGACGGATTCTAAACTTGATGTTTAGCATCTTTTCGTTATCCGCTTACGTGGTATGTGCACAAATATTGATAGCGAAGCAGAATGAGCAACAGAATGAGATTGCAATGACGGTGAAAATGGCATGGTCGACGAATATTAATTTGCTGAAATGTAAATGTAAAATGTAAATACAAACTTTCCCTCCAATTGCATAAAAACTCACGCTGCTTTAGTTGAAAAGCTTCGTAAATAGCGATGTGCTCCGTGTGAAATAGTGAGAATTAAGACAAAGGTTTGAGCCAAAACCAATATGAATCCGGGCACGTTTATAAGAACAGGGTTGGAGAAATAGGGTTTTTGGACTGCTTTAAACAAAAGATTCGCGGAAACTTTTAAACTTTCACAGACCAATCATAGAGGGAACCGGCAAAAAAACCATTAGGAACTGAAGTATGCAGGCAATGAATTGGGCCGTGTGGAGCAGAACGGACGGCCGAGAGATAAAGTTTGAGATATCAGGAAGAATTGAGATTAGGATAAGATGAAAAACTATCCCGAAGAAGCCTAAGACACCGCGAGAACATGCGCTTTTTCTAAAGCGAGATACTTACCCAGTGCAAAGTAAAGTGTCCCGATAGTATTTTTCCAAAAGTTTTCACGAAGCCAAAGAGCATCTTCAAAGTAGAGCATGTCAAATAAAAAAAGTGAAGGTGACAGAAAGAATTATTTCGTTTGTTCGTGCGTGCGGGGCGTGAAACGAAAACAATGGCGTTAGAAATGACGGGTGCCTTTCTCCTGACACCAGGGACGAACTTTTGATGATGATGATAATGAAAAGAGTTCTTGATTGATCTGATGGAACAACTGGCGACTTGACTTGAGAGCAAAAAGAACGAGAAAACAGAGGACGAAAAAAAAATAGGAAGAAGAGACATCTGGAGTCAATTATGAGAATGTTGGAGCGGGGCAAAATTAAGATGAACTCTTGGTGTTGTTCTGGAAACCGATGGGTGCATATGCTGGACGCCATTTCTTCGGTGCCGACGAGATGGTACCCGTGCCGAAGGGCCACTACAAAATGAACGTCTCGGTGAGAAATTCTCCTTTGCTTACCTGACAAACATCATCTACTGGTTGCCCTGGATTCACCTTCTTCTTGATAGGTACAATGGCTTCTGCTAAAAGCAGAATGACCAGAGAAAGCATAGCTGTAAGTGACTGTTTTCTCTTTCGTCAGTCGTCACGATTATTAAGATGATATCGGGAGAAATGAGAGAAAGTAGACAGCGGACCGGTATGGTTCATTTTCATTTGCATTTGCATATTCTTCTTCAGATTATCTAATCAAGTTTTTTCTTCTCTTCTCTTCTCACATATACTCCATCGCCGCTTCTTTATACAAAAACGAAAGTATAGTGATAAGTGGAACTACTTCTTCCTCTTCATGATATCTTTGAACACGGTGGCTAAAATGTCGGCCATCAGTCGTGTGTCGATTGCCATGCACCGATAGACGCGATACAGAGACTTGTCTCGTCTGCCCAGTGCTCCACATGCCAAGTTTTCCATAAAATCCAACGCGTCGTCCGCATCACCTCCTGAAAAAAGGTGTCGTGGTGCGAATCTTTCTACGGACATACCTTGATAGTCCGAACGGTACTTTTCCAATGGAATTTCCTGAAGCTTCTCACAGAACACATCAATCTCATTCAAGAACAGGTAGATTGGAGTTGTTGCGAACATTTGCTCGTCACTAATCTTCTGCAGAAGAGCCAACGCGTCATCGAGACGGTTCTGAATAATGTTGACATGTCAACAATATACATTCTGGTTTCTACCGTAACCATATCTTCGTTCATCACTTGATCGTACTCTGAAATTGCCAAACAGAAAAAGATCGCGTCGATTCCGTCGTACTGAGTCGCCCATTTTCGACGGTCTATTTTCTGTCCGCCAATATCAAACAACCTGGAAATGGAAGAAATATGAAGAGATTACTACTAATCTTACTGAAATGACTGGTTGCTGGCGGTGAAAATGACGTTTTGAACGCCGCACGTTGGCACATACGCCATTATGAGATCCCGTTCGGAGGGCATGTAATCCGGACGCGTTATAGTGTCAATTTGGTTAAGGAAACTGAGATTGTGTTGATACTAGCGCTAATTATTAGATTAGAAACTAACTAGCTAGCGGAATCGTTGAGATTGAACTGGCTCCTCCTCGCGTACAACTTTTGCATGGACTTGTCCTGCCAAATGCACTTGATCTTCTCGACCAGATCCGGTGGAAACATCCCATAATGACTGTCCTCGTCGGCGATAATTGACTGTGCTCGACCCTGCAAAATTGTATGAGCCCATTCCTCTCAATTAAATCAACCTACCATGTTAATCGGATCAGTAAACTTGATATCGGACAGTTTCTGTGCGCGACAAAGCGCTCGAATCGATTTGAAAACGTTGTGATAGATGAAGGCTCTACGGTGATAATACTCGGATTCCTTGAATTTCTGATTGTACAGCAGACGCACTTGCTCCAGGACTGTTGTTTTTCCGCTTTCTGCTGCGCCTAAATAGAACAGATTATTTTTGCTTGAAATGAGGAAGAGCGAGACGACTACAAATACCTAGAAGGATGAGGCGGATATGAGTGTAAGATGGTTCTTCCGAGTAGTTCGAAGCAGGAGTCACAGAGCGCGAGGCACGAATTTCAGGCACTTGGAGCTGAAAAATCATTCAGCGCTATAAAAGACGGGACTCCAAATTTACCGTTACTTGGGGTGTAATAGAAGGCGGCGGCACTGGTGTCGACTCCTTTTTCTCCTGCTCCAAAGCAACTGGAGACGGCGTCTCTGGCTTCGGCGTCGTTCCGTTTTGATTGGTCGCTGGGAGCGGTGTCGAAGCTTTGGCAATTGTTCCCACGTCAGAAACCTAAACAATGTTCGAATTGAACCGATATTCTCTTTTCCTCTTTTATTGGTCTCAAACTTGAGGAATTAAGCCGTACGAATATTCGAAGAGAAAACGAGAGAATTCCGTTTTGTCAGTACAACAAACCTATTCTAATAATGCTCACAACGTTACAGCTGGAAACGAAGAGATATGACTAAACTAACATAGAAAATCTCATCGAAATACAACTGCTACTTTAAAACACGGGGATGAAGTATATTTGCGCGGGGTACCTAACCTGCGACTACATTCATTTGTATGAATGTTTTGCTTAGGACGTTTAACTGGTTTTCTTCGGAAATGTCCAGGAGTTCTACGTCGAGTTTTAGCTTTTTTGAGTGTAACCTATTAACTTACAATAAATGGGTTTTATTATAGGGGCACCGGACAGAAAGGGCGCGCTGTTCGCAATCTGGCCGAATTTCTAGGCCGCGAAGTAATTTTCCACTGAAAATGTGGCCTAACTTTTCAAACTCGGCCCCGAGGTCGCTCAATTTGCACTGCAAAAAGAGTTTCTCAACAGAGCGCCATTTCTGTGCGGTGCCCCTATAATAGTCACATTTTTGTTACGAAAATATCAAGATTCGTCATTTTGTTCAAATTGAAGTGAAGTTGTATAAACGACACCGTATGTTTGGACTGCTAACTAATTCATATTTTGAAGGTTTTGTGTGAGAACCTATCTCTCACCAAGAGTTAATTCATCCTTTTTTGTAGATTATTATAGGGGCACCGCACAGAAATGGCGCTCTGTTGAGAAACTCTTTTTGCAGTGCAAATTGAGCGACCTCGGGGCCGAGTTTGAAAAGTTAGGCCACATTTTCAGTGGAAAATTACTTCGCGGCCTAGAAATTCGGCCAGATTGCGAACAGCGCGCCCTTTCTGTCCGGTGCCCCTATAATATATTACACTTTGAAAAACGCGGATTACCAGTGGGATGCAAAAGAACCAAATTTCAAAGAGCGTTACCAGAATTTCAAATCATATTCTCTGCTGAAAATTACCTTGCTCGGCGAGGAAGTGTTACAACCCATTATCTTGTTTTCGCTCACTGCTTCATTCTCATTTCTGTCGGCTCTTTCAATCTGAAAATGAGCAACGTGTAAGAAATTAGTCATTTCAGTTAAGATTATACGAGTGAGTCATTGCCGAGATTACTGAAAACTCTGTCAACGGGAATTGCGTTGATTAGACTACTTTTCATCTGTCGAATAATCGAGTAAAAACATGAATGGGAGAGAAGAGGAACGGAATCGACGCTTGCCTCATTTCAAAGGAGAATGGGAGCAGAAGAAGGAGAAAGCGACGAAGACGACAAGAAGAAGTATAATACCTGAACAATTGCCACAAATCTTATTATGTGCCGTGTCGTCTTGGCTTCTTGGCGGCGACGAAAACGAGAAAAGAGCTGAGAAAAGGAGGAAAAGAAAAACAAAATGTCGATCATAATCAGTAAACTCGGACTTTTTTGATTGAGCAGGTAAGCCACATGTTTTTCAAAAAGTGGTCAAAAGGTCTGTGGGGGTGAATACTTCTAAATGAGCACTAAGCACAAAGAAGCATCCTGAAGTGGAACGGTTGCCCAAAAAAGGGCGGTACCTCTCGGAGAATGAATAATAACAAGATTATACCTATGAATTCCCTTCGTTTTCTCTTCCTTTTATATTCAATCCGTCCATCCATACACGAACAAAAATTCGTAGCATCGCACGGCTTATAGGAAAGATATGGTAGTCTTCATGAATGTGTGGGATGGTGACGAACGCATTCTGGTCTGACGCAGGTGCTCTTACAAAACGATCGTGCAAATGAGAATGAGAATGAGAATCTTGCTTTCCCCTTTCTTTGTTCAGGAATATCCCTGGCCCTGGGGCATAGCATATCGAACGTCTCTCCCACTCCACCAAGGTAAGGTGCAAAAAAGAAAGCAGAGAAGGTTTTTTAATGGCGAAAAAAGAAAAGAAAGAGGAAAAAGAAGGCGGCGGCACACGCACGCTATCACATATAAATCAATGTGACTAAAGCCAAAGAGCTCCGGAGAGCTCTGGAGCTCTCGTGAGAAAACGAGATTAGATGCCGAGAAAAGACGTGGTCACTATGCTGTAGGAGCGAGAAGTGACGTGGCCCTCAAAACGAATGTTTCCACAAAAATTCGAAAAAGAAAACATTTGCATTTTTACTTCTCTTCCGAACAGTGTGTCCTAAAAATGACCAAATCGATAACGAAGGAAGATATGTGAGTTGGCTCGAAAGTTTCAAGAAAACCTGAATGAGTTGCAGAACGCCTACTGAAATTGTCCGCGCCTTGTTTGAAGAGTCGAAGAAGTATGAGAGTTATCGTGGGGAGTTTTGGCCCGCCTACAGCCAACTTCTCTCCAATTTGGGATTCGATGAAAGTGTACGTATCTTATTGGAGTTGTATAGTAGTGCGTGAAAATGTATCTAGTAGCATGTATTTTCAGTTTTCAGGACTGGACTTTGAACCGTCCGAAGAGTGACTTGCGATATGCGATGCTCAACCAACATCTCATCCAGATCAGCCAATTAGTAAGGCACTTTCTCACCCTCTCGCTCGCACGCCCACTTATGTACTTGATTAAAGTCATCATTCCAGACGAGTCCAGATTCATTGTTCACTGAATTCCGACCAATTCTCGAAGCCGCGATGCGAGTAGAAACGGAGTGTTATCAGCTGATGAAACGTCATCTTCAAGTCTTCTTCGACTTTTTCAACAATGGCTACGATCCGAAGAAGGCTGAGATCGCGTCGCTGGGCCCGAGGCTCGAATACTTCCAGAAGAATCGGCCGACAGATCCGGAACAGATTCAGGAGATGGACAAGGTGACGAGCAGGTTTACCGAACTGCAGAGGGCCCTCAAACGGATGATCCAGGGAGGTGTAGAGTCCATTCAGCAGGCACATTTGAGGAAGATCCGGGAGGTGATGGAGGTGTACGAGAGGCAGCATGAGCAATTGGCACTGATTTTTGCTCCGTTCAAGATTGCTCTGACACCACGAAGGAACGATAGGACCGAGAGGGAGGGGAAGAAGAGAACGAAATAGGAGGACACTCAAGGAATATAGTTTTAATGCGGAGTACGTGAAATGAAGTAAATACACTCTAAAGTTCCTCATTGATCTCTTTCAAGGATCTCTGACACGCCACATCTTTCACATGGCACTTTTGAACCGGGAACTTCTTGCCATTAGTGGCCCTCCGCAGGTCGCTCGAATGCGTGTATCCGACGTCCTTAATCACCCAAAAGTCGTCTACAGTCTGCTCATTCTTATCGATTGATATCTGCTCCACGCGGATGTGTGTCTGATTGGCAACAGTGACCACCGACCATCCGTAATCGTTGTTACGGGCGGCACTCCACGGCCACGGCTGATCGGTGAACCAGGCGTCCGGGGTGTGACAGCCGGCAGAACCACTGATTAGGTACACTGGCGCTTTAGGGTTTATGTAGGCGTTGGGCTGAAAGAATGTTTATGGTGTCGAATGACGTGAAAAACTAACATCGTTCCAATATGTCCTATCTGCAACCGGATAGAATCTCTCGTACGAGTGTTCGTGCCCCCAGAAGCCAAAGTCTACAGAGTTTTGTAAGAAGAGCGGCTCCAATCCGGGCATATCGAGCCATCCCGTGCGAACCTAATTTTCAAAGATCATAATGTCGCTTTAACCTTTTTGTGATACTAACCAATCGGTTTTCGAATGACTGACACTCTGCCGAATTCACATTACTACAATAGAATGGTCGATGCTGAAAACTGAAGATCCACGGCGTGGCGTGTCGATTCGCATTGGCGGCTGTGAGATCTTTCTTGAGCCAATCGTATTGGGTCATCACTGGATCCATTCCGTACGTGTAATAATATCCGTAATTCTCTGTGCTCACACCGACCCAGTGCACTGGCCCAAGGTCAAAACTGTAGAACTGATTGTCGTTCAGGCCGTTCGAAGGGACCGAAAAACGTTTTTGATAGTTGGTGAAGTTTTGGCCGTCGTCTTCGTGATTTCCAGCGATAACCATGTAAGGAATCTGTAAAACTGGGCTCAAGAAGCTGCTGTATTTATCAGAATTACGGGCCGGCCCGGCCCGGTCGGCCCGGCTCAAAAGGCGCGAATTCAAATTTTTGGGGGGAAATCTATTTTTTCGTTTTTTTTTGTGGGGGTCAAAATTAAAAAAAAAAACTTTGATGCCAATAAAAACTATTTTTGAGAACTACATTTCTTTTTTATGCTCGATACTTGCAAAATTCGTTAGTTCTACGAAAAAAAACATTTTATTTAATCAATAGTTCAAAATTTGGATTCCCGCTTTTTGAACCGGCACGGCCCGGCCCGTGGCAACTCTGGTATTTATAGACGGAAAAGAGCTTACTTTCGAAATGAGCGGCTCGAACACATTCAAATAATTGTCTCCGACTTCTCCATTGTTCGTGTGCAAATCATAAGCAATGTCGCCCAAGTGCACAATAAAATCAAAATCGCCAGCGAGCCCGTGCCGTATAATGCTTTCGGTCGAATTTCCGTGAAAGTATCCGAGATCTCCGAACACGCAAACTTTGTACGATTGCGGATTTTTCGATAGGGTTTTGAACGAAAATGAGCGGCTGGCTATGGCGTATTCTGAAATTGAAGTAGATTGTTTAAACTTAATCAGGAAGAAAAGGTGTCAATTCGGTGCAGACGCCTTTTTCCCTGAGTACAATAACTTTTAATAGCGTACCGTACTCGGTGGCGTATTCCAATCCAGTCATGGTCGCCGTGTGCTTGTAGCGAGTGACTCCTCCGTAAATCCACTGCTCCACGGCGCCTTTTGCAGTTGAGATTGAGCTGGAGCCTTTTTTATTGTATGTTACGTCTTGGGAAGCTAGGAAAATACAACATTTTCATTCAACATAGCGGTCCTGGCTAACCTTGATCGAAAGTGTTCCAAGTGACTGCCATTTCTGTCATGTCGCCAGTGAATGAAATGTGCACCTGATCCGGAGTACTTGCCGCAGACTCGCATTCTGATATTAGGGCAAAAAGAAGGAGAAACACGAAAAGGGCCATCTGGAATCTGAACGAAAACTTGAATATCTACAAATTTTCAGCGCGAGACAACGAAAAGAATGCTCAGCACGAATGAATGAACTGAAAACGAAGTGTGATCAATCGGATTAGCGCAGTGCATTCGCAAAGAGACACGTACGTCTGATAAGAAAAATGACAAAATCGATTGAAATGTATTAGAATGGGAGTCATAGACTATGCGAACAAACGAAACACTAACAAGTAAGAAGGTTCCGGGCCACTTTTTGGGTGGCGTCCGGAAACAGATAAAAATAAACAAAAACACCAAAGAAACCGATTTGAATTGGGGGAAAAAGAAAAACAATTGGATGGGCAAAAAATACGTAAAAATGGAAAACAATTATTTTTTATTGGCGACCAGAGCCTCTCCAAGCGCGTCCAACACCTCCTTTTTGTAATCGTCAAAGTCTCCGTCGATCTCCGCCACCGTTTGGTTCTCTACAATCCACAGATTGCAGTCCGTTCTCACGACCAGCCGTTCGTCGTGAGTCACCATCAGAACGCCACCGTTGAAGTCGCGAATCGCCTCCGCTAACGCGTCAATCGACTCAATGTCCAGGTTGTTCGTCGGCTCATCCAGAATGATGATGTCTGGCTTTCCGAGCGCCAGATTGCACAGTGCGACTCTCGACTTTTGTCCTCCCGAGAGATCCTTGATCTTAACGGTGTGTGCATGGGCGGCGAGTCCAGTGGTACCGAGCTGCTTCCGCGCCTCTTGCACGTCGATGTTGAACCTGGTGGAGAGAAATTGGACAGGTGACTGCTCGCCGTTGAGAGCCTCGTTCGCGTGCTGATCGAACCATCCGATTTTGAGAAGACGGTGCTTGCGGAGCTCTCCTTGTTGCTGAAAACATGGTTGAATAGTGGGTTCAAATGAGTGGAAACTGAACGAATATGACCCATAGAAGTAATTTAGCCAATATGACCCATAGAAGTAATTTAGCGTTACGGCTGCCAAATTTTTGTTCCGAATCAGGCCTCTCCCACTCGCCTGTCCCGAACTGCCGGTGCTCAACTCAAAACACCAATGCATGATTGTGATAGTATGCGAAAAACTGATATCTGAATTGAAGAATAAACTAACAGGTTCAATCTTTCCAATGAGCAACTTTAGAAGCGTCGATTTTCCGACTCCATTTGGACCAACAATAGCGATTCGCGAGTCCATATCAACTCCAAAATCGATGTTCTTGAAGAGAATGTCCTTTCCGTATCCGAAGGTGACGCCGTACAGTCCGAGGAGGGGCGGGTTCAGCTTATCAGTTTCCGGAAACTGGAATTTCACTGAGTACTCTTTCCTCCTTTGCAACATTTCGATCGGAGTGGCGTCTTCGTCTTCCGCAGCCTTCGCGGCAGTTTTCTTTCCGCCCTTCTTGGCCTTATTTGCCAGTTGCTGCTTGATTTGCTCTTCGGCCTGTTTCGCACTCTTTCCGTCCTTCTTCATGGCTTTCAGCTGCTTCTGCTGTTGATCAAACGCCTTCTCATGCACTTTCATGTCTTGCGCGTATTGCTTCTTGAAAAGCGTGTAGTTACCACGATAGTAATGCAGTTTTTGGTTGTCCAGGTGGATGACGTCCGTGCAAACACTGTCCAGGAATCCTTGGTCGTGAGACACGATGAGGAGAGTTTTCTTCCAGGTTTGAAGATAACTGAAATCGGATTTTTGAATTAATTGCTACACTTTTGGGCGACTCACTTATCGAGCCAAATGACGGCATTCAAGTCGAGATGGTTGGTAGGCTCGTCAAGCATCAAAAGTGTCGGCTCGAGGAAGAGAGCTCTGGCAAGCGAAATTCTCATTCTCCATCCTCCGGAGAAGTCGGTGCACGGTTTCTCCTGCATTTCCTTCGAGAATCCTAAACCCGCGAGGATTCTGCGTGCTCTCGGCTCAGCACTTTCGGCGCCAATGTCTCTCAGCTCTTCACCAACTTCCTTTAGTCTCTCCGTGACTTCCGTGTTGCCCTCTTCAATTTGGGTCATCAGTTGGTTCTCTTCCTCGAGAAGCGCTAGTCTTTTCTTGTCGGATCTGACAACCGTATCGATAGCAGACGTGCTGTCAACCTGAATCTCCTGCTCACAATACAAAAGATCGATGTGAGACGGAATCGCGAGACGACGAGCTCCAATGTGTTTCAAAAGTGTCGTTTTTCCCATTCCGTTCGGTCCGACGAGTCCGTAACGGCGCCCATAGACAATTGTGAGACTGGCTTTGTCGAACAGAAGTTTTCCCTGCGCAGAAATATCGAAATTCTCAATTTTGATGTCCATCGAATTTTCGAGTTGCACCAGCTGAGTAGCTGTTTTTGAAGTTTGAGAAACGGTGAAGTGAGCTCCGAGCTCGGCGCCAGAACCGATTCCTCCATGATTCTCGTCTCCGTTTCCTTCCACTTCTGGCAAACTTTCGACAATTCCGCCCATAGACAGAATTGTCTTTTCATAGTTCTCTTTGGCTTTCGCCTTCTTCGCTTCTCTAAAAAAAATTGCGGTTTAAAAAATTTTTCACAATTTTTAACACTTACTTTCGTGATATTTTTTTCCCAGCGTCGTCTGACATCCTTGATTGTGAAGGTTCTTAAAATAAATAAAAATACTTTTGTTTTTAATGAAACTGCAAAGTATAAATATTTCGCAATGTTGCAAGTAGCGAAAACGGGGTTTTGTGATCAGGGACGGTGACATGAACTGCTACATCACTGATACTGTTCAAAAACAAAAATAAACTGCAGAAAAATTAGAGAATTGGGATGTTTTTCAGCAACAAAAAGTCAGAAGACTGGAAAATTGAGCGGATGAATAAAAAAGGGTATACTGTGCAAAATGCCTAAGTGTGCAAACACCATGACGGCAAACTGCACACACGAGGGTAATTCAAAATGTGTTTTTCCGTCTTTTCCCGCGTTCTTCTTTCAGAAGTTTCAGATGTTTTGCAGAGTGTGCTTATTCCTTTCTTTATTGAAAAAACATTGAAAAATTATGAGCACGAGTTATAGAATGTCTGACGAACCGGAAGAAGTGGCGACGCCTCAGCGAACGTCGAAAAGAAAGCAAGTACGTGTGAACTACAACGAAGGGTGAGTTTTTGTTAAACTCAATTCATCGCTATTGCCCCTCGGAGTTTGCAGACGTAAGCCAAAATTTCCTGAAATTAGGCTTGAGTCTGCAAACACTGAGGAGGCATGAGCGGTAAATTGAGTATAAAAATTAATAACTAACAACGCGAAACATACTTCAGAGGCGATACGGAAGCGGTTTTCCGCTCACCAACCGCCAGTACTCGTGGCCGCAAGAAGCGTCAAATCCGGCACGACGTCGCCGAGCTTTCTGCCAACTTCGGAGCTCTCAACTCTCCAAAACGTGGTCGTCCTCACGGCGCCACGTTCAAGGCTCCAAATGCTTCGAAGCCAGCATCGGATTCAGAACCAAGCGATCAGGAGTTAGTGTCTGCTGTCAAATCCGGCAAAAAAATCCTAGAAGCTGTGGATAGATGGATCGAACGATATAATGACGAGTACATGATCGCCACCGCTGAAATTCAACAGTTTTTCTTTGCGATTTGTGGCTGTAAAGGGAAAGTTACACCGCAAATGTCGGCAACGCTTTCCTTCAAGTGAGTGTCAGCACATTTTTAAACGACAAAAATGTATTTTTAGAGATATAATCTGTCGAATGACTGAAGATTTCGAAGAAGAATCGGCTGATTATCCTCTTGTACACGGCGGAGCATTGAAGAAGATCCGTACGAATCTGCACACCTTCTTGCATCTTCTTGTCGATCACATGAAGTCGTCGCTTCTGTTCGACCATACTCTCATGGACGGTCTCGTGCAGCTGCTCACAGGAATGGCCGACAGCCAAGTGCGCGCCTTCCGACACACTTCCACATTTTGTGCGCTCAAACTCACTTCGGCTCTTGTCGACGTGACCATAGAGTTAACCGAGTCAAAAATGAAGACAATGAAGCAAATCGAAGCGGAAAAGGCTAAGATGAAACAGGATTCTGGAGTTGGAAATGAGAAGTACGAAGCGTTGGTAGCGCAAAAAACGCAGACGGAGGAGCGCGCAGAGGAGATCCGGCAGATTATCGGGTACCTGTTCAGAAGTGTCTTTGTTCATCGCTATCGTGACGTCGTGCCGGATATCCGTAGTATTTGCATCACAGAGCTCGGACACTGGATGAATATTTACCCGGAGCATTTTATCGAGGACTCCTATCTCAAATATATTGGCTGGACGCTTTTTGACAAAGTCGGCGACGTTCGACTCAAATGCATCCGCGCTCTGATCCCACTTTTTGAGAAGCACACAATTTTGGATAAAATTGAATTGTTCTGCAATAAATTCAAAGATCGTCTAGTATCCATGGTGCTCGATAAAGATACGGAGACGAGCATCGAGACATGCCAGCTGCTTCGCGTTCTCTATGAAGTCTTCCCGACGCTGCTCTCCAAAGAAGACTGCATTCCGATCTACGAGCTTTGTTACGCGACAAACCGTTCTGTAGCTATTGCCGCTGGTCAGTTTCTCAACCGAAAAGTGTTCTCGTCTGCTGAGCAACCGACAAAAGTGGCGATTCCGAAGAATGCGCTTTTGATCAAAGACCTTATTGTCTTCTTTATGGAGGGTGATTGCCATGATCATGCCACGTATCTCGTTGATGCTCTCATTGATACGAGTGTCATTGTGAAGGATTGGGCGACCATGGCCGACATGTTGCTCGATGATTCTTATGGAAGTGAGATTTCTTTACAGTTCTTAATAATTCAAACTCTGTTTTCAGTGGACCCAACCTACGAAGGCCACCTCATTGAGATTCTGAGCTGTGCTGTCACCGAAGCGGCCACCGGAGAGCAGCCGATCGGTCGTAGTCAAGCCAAGAAGAATGCGCTTTCCGCGAAAGATAACCGGGATATTCAGGAGGAGATGAGCAGGCTAACGGACATTCTTATGCCCCTCATTCCTCGTCTTTTTGCAAAATTCGGTTCGGACAAGGAGAAAGTTATTCGTTTGGCGTCGATTCCGATAAATTTCGACCTCACCGCGTACGGATCGGCGAGAATGCACACGGTAAAGTGAGAAGGCGCGTTTTTGCAAATAAAGGGTTGTTGTTTCAGCACCTCACCGAGTTAATAGACGCTGTAGACGACCTCACTGAGAAGCACGTGGACGATGAGACTCTCAGATCATTGGCGGAAATCCACTATAACTTGATGGAGCATCGGACCACCTCCGCCCTCGTGGAAGGCCGACGAATGAAGTTGTTGGATGGAATTGCCGCGTTCCTCCGCAATTCAGTGCAAAAATTCGAAAACAATGAGATGGGCGAGGAGGAGGAGGCTCAATTCGTTGCTTACCTCAAACGTATGGCCGCTTTCTCCGGATTTATAGATCTTCGTCATTGGAACCTTTGGGACCTGCTTCTGAATGTGGTGTCTAATTTCGATTGCGAGGAATCGAAGCAAAAGGTGCAAGATCTCTCGATTCGAATTCTCTTCGTCCAGCTCATCTACGACCTCATAAACTTGAAGAAAGAGACCGAAACTGTCGAGAATTTGAGCGTGGATCAAGTGAGAAAACTGAAAAAGCGCAGAGATCAACTGATTCGGATAATGTGCGACTTTTTGGAGGATAACGCGGCGGGAGTGAATCAGGCGTATCTTTCCGCTTGTGATCTAATGATAATGCTCAATGGCTGCGCTGAAATCAAAGGCTTGGAGACATTAGTTTGGCGTCCGGACGACGTGGCGATCGGCAATTTGAAGATGTTCCTTCGCACGAACGTCTTTGAAGTGAACGACATGGATGAGAAGGATCAGACGGAGAAGATTGAAGTGATGCATCAGATGCGTCGTCTCGTGGCTCAGTACATCAAGCTCATCATTCACGGATGTCTCCCGATCAGCGCTGCCTCCGAATTAATGTGTCGTTATCAGTCACATTTTCAAGACTTTGGCGACCTTTTTAAGAGCCTCATTGCCAAGTGCAGAGAGTTGAATTTCATTGAGACCGGTGTAATGATCATTGAGACTCTTAAAAGTTTGTTCCTCGAAATGGAAAGTCAAAATCAGACGGATGCGAATTGCGAAGATATCAATGAGCTTCACGAGCTCGCCAGACGTTTGTCAAGTGTATTCGGACAGGATTACTCGAAGAATAGATACGCACTGGCTTCGTTGCACAAAAAAGCTATCGATTTCGCTTTTACGGACTACGATCAGTCGACGATGGCGGCGCCGCCCAACATTCTGTTCTTGGAAGTTGCCATGGAATTTAGCTCGAAACTTTTGAATCAAGATAAAGTTGCTGTGTAAGTTTTCTGTGTTTGGAAATTTTAAACGGAATTTTTTTCTAAAAAAACAAGCTAAAACAAACATTTCGGAACACTTCCTTCTAAACAACTTATCTGTTTTCAGTCATCGCTACCTCCTAAAGATCTACTCTTCGAGCGGATCAATTACCGAATGGGAGCCGTTCCGTCTCTACTCGATCTCACTGACCGATCGTTCACTGCTCGACGGTGGCGGTGGAGACAACGACGACGACGACGCTCAATCGGTGCGCAGCGAACGGTCAAACACGACGATGTCGTTGGTGCGAGGCAGAGGTCGTGGCGCGCGACGGCAGTGAGTGTTCGATGACTAACTTTTCCAATTTCTGATTCTCATAATCTGTAATATTCTTCTTCAGCCTTCCCACTTTGAATCATCATTCACCGGTTTTTATTTTGAGATCTGAATTTTTATTTTTTTTTTCCGCATATCATTGTAGCCTATGATAAAGAGAGCAATCGTCCTTACAAAGCCGAACACCTGAGCAGTGACGATGATGCATAAATAAGACTTTCTAAAATAATGGCTTCTTTGACTTATTCCTTTTGACCCAAATTCTCTTTAGAAATAAGGTTTTATATCGGCAAAGGAGGAACCTAATCTCACCAGGAATTGACAATCTAGCATAACAACTTTGCACAACGTGGGTATAAAAGACGAGGATCTAGCACATTATTCTGTTTTTTTTTCTGCTTTGTGTACTGATTCTTGCGGGGATGATCGAAAGCAGCATTTCTCAACTAGTTTTCACGTTTATGGGGCAAATCGATTTGTGGACAACCTTTTTCAGCGGAGTTTCACCTGAAAGTCATAAAGCATTTAAAAAGTTGACAAAAAAGTTCAAAATTAGGTCAACTTTTCTATTCCGCGTTATGCGGTATTCCGAAATTTTTGCTTTGCCTAATTGTGATCATCTCTGCGTAGGATCTTTCATTCCAATGCACTTTTGACTTCTGAATTACTCTTAGCCAATCAGACAATACAGATGGGAAATGCGGACGTGCGAAACGAGAAAAAATTGCCTTTTGAGAATCGCTTGGAATAGATCTCTATATTACGAGACCACTTGATACACGATATAATCCGTCACGATGTGTGAATCACTCAGACAGTACCAGTGGGACTAGGCTAGTGACGAAGTTGTTGTTGGCGGAGCAGACAGAGAGGTTGGGGAATTAGAATCAAGAATCGTATATATCTTGAGCCGATTCATATCCTACGTTTTTCCTCATCTCCTGTGTTCAGTTCCATTCGAAATGAATCGAGTAATAAAGTACGGAAGTGTGGAAGACATCCCGTACTACAATTGCTCGGGGAAAAGTGCCGAGGAATGGTTCGCCACTGGTGTTCAGCGCCCGCTTTTTGGATGGACCATTCTGATTTTCGGGCTAATTATCGAACTACTCTACGTGCCCACCATTTACATGATGTTCCGCACAAAACTCGTTCATCTCACCTGCTACAAGTTTATCGTTTGTCTGGGTGTCACGGACATGCTGGCCACTTGTAAGAAACGGTAGTATAAATCCAGAAGATTATATAACATTTCAGTAACTTGTTCGATATTCAGTGGCTGGTTGTTCATTCAGGGAGCCGTTTTCTGCAATTATCCTACCTTTATCTATATTGCCGGCAGCATCGGGCTTAGTAAGTATTGGAAAATTGCACGAGACGTGAGTTGAGCTTCTTTTTTAGGCAGCTGGTGTATGGCTTGTTGCTCGACTCTTCTTCTGGTCATCAACCGAGTGTTCGACGTACTCTACCGGCCGCTCTCCGAGTTTTTGTTCGAAGGACGACGAGTCTTTGTGTTGATCGCCCTCATCCCGATCTATGGCTTTTCCATTTTCACATTCTCGCCCTCAATCGTTTTCAACTCGGTGCTTATGGCGTGGATCGCAGATCCTTTAACCATCGACCCGGACTACAAGACTCCAGAGATTGCGAATACGGTAATCATACTTGTTGTCCCAACCCACTAATATTCATTTCAGTACCGCAATAACATTCAAGCCACCAACAACTGGATATTTGTCTCTTCCACGTGCACACTCTACGCAATTTACTGCGTCATGATCAACAAAATGCAGCGGGGGCAAAAGTCGAAGGCCTCTCGTCAAGTGTTCATCCAATCCAGCATAATTTGCTCCTTCAACACTTTTGCGGCAATGTCCTACAACGCAATGATGTTTTTCACTCCTTCGCCTTGGGTTGTGGTCGTCGGGGAGCTCAGCTGGAGCATTGTACACGGGTGCCCGGCAATCATTTATCTGACTATGAATCGGACGATTCGCGCAGAATTTTTAAAGTTTTTCCGGTTGAAGAAGCGCAACAAGGCATGTTTGAATGAGAATATTAAAACCGCTGATACCAGCATATTTTTCAGAAAGTTACCGACATCTCCTCGACTTCGGCTATCAAACACACTGGAATGCCGACAACTACTATCTAACCATTTCTATTAGCCCCGTAAATATATGGCAATGTTGCTCTACCGCAATCCCACGTGAAAACCCGGCCGAAGCCCCAAATTTTCACGTGGAGTGTGGTAGGGATTGAAATTTTTCAATTTCGTTCTGTTCGTCAACTTTTTCGTGAGATATAAATAACCGCTCTGTGTGTGAATTAGCAACTTTATCGGATTTTCTGCAAAATGCATTACACAGCCGTTTGGCGACACCTTGTTTCCTTGACTAGTGAGTCACACTCGAAAAACCAGGCCTCTAACACGGCGATTGACATTGGCGCCTCCCCCCGACGAGCTGCGAGAGCTCTAAGCAGTTGAGAGGATCTTTCTCTCTCTTTCTCTTTACAGTACCTCTCATGTTCTAACTGTGTTGGTTTTGAATACACGAGTTGTTGAAATAGTGAAAGAGATAGAGAGTAAGTAGAAAAATCTTGGGGAGAAAGAAAGAAAAAAAGGAAGATAGACGAGTTTCCAAGAAGTAAGACATGAGGAAACCGCGCAATTTCTCACTGACTAGACAAATCTCTCTTTCTCTTTTCCTCTCTCTCTCTCTCTCTCTCTGATCGGATTCTTTTTTTTTTTTTAATTATATAGTCGGTTGTGGTCATTCCACATCGATTTCTTTTGTAATGTTCTTGAGCATTTCAATAATGAGTCAGGTACTTAACAAAACAAAGATCTATCGGAGATCGACTAGCGGAACGGTTTTTGGGTTTTCCGAAAAGCGTTCAACTTTGACTCAACGCAAAAGTATGAAGTTTCGTACTGATACTGTAAGTTTTGTAAGTCGGCTGTCTATCTGGCAATTTGAGTCCAATGCATGAGGTCAGTTCAATGAATCGTTTCTTTTTTTTTGCAATTAGCATTGATTTGCCAAGAAAAGTTCGCATTTTCCGTGTTCTGCCGCCTCCAAGAAAACACTGTTTACCCGACAGATTACCCATGTTAGTGCGTATCCAAATCTTTGTCCTTTCGCCCAATAACTCTCTAATTTGTGCACTTGCATTGTTTCTCTGCTTCTTGTCTCCAAACAATTTGTTGCTGCGTCTTTTCCTTTCCGCGCGCGCGCGCGTGCGCGTTGTTCTTCCGCACCCCCCGCTGACTTTTCAAGTGTCCGTGTGCACACACGTATTATCACTTGCTGTTAGTCCGCTTGCCATCGCCATGCCGCCATCGCCCTCCTTTCCCCCTCGTTTTTTGTGCGAATAACTTGTCAAAATTGCACGGACAGGTCACAAAGAACAAAGGAAAATTTCCTGGAAATGTCATGCTCACTTTTCGTGGCGCAAGTTCGTGGCTCACGAAGATGCTCCGTGTGCAGGTAAACATTACTTTGCTTCTTCAATTTGTTCCGTTTTCCTATAAAGTTTTCAAAACTTTCAGATGCGACATCTCCGCTCACGAACCAGCCGCGATTTATGTTCAACCCGAGCGAATTTTCGCAAATTTGCCGCCAATCGCCACGTCTCTGAGCAACAATAACAATAGTAGCGGTTTGTCCTCCAGGTCTGTACATTTTCCGCACATCTATCACAATCTTTTCATCTCTTATCACCCTAATATTTGAGTAGATTGAAACGGAAGGGTTCTCAAATATGTCTACCAAAGAAAGTAGGAAGCAGACAGACGAGGAGAGGCAGAGAAAAAGAACGGGGAAATTGAGGAAGGAGGATGGTTTGACGTGATATCCAATAGAGAGAAAGAGAAGCAATTGGATGGGATTTGCGCGGGAGCCAGAGCCAGATATCTCTATCCACTTTCATGATTTCATTCACTCAATCAATCTATTATCATTCTCACCTACTTCATTGCGTGGATTTCTTTTCTGTAAACGTTCTGTATTTTGTGGCGAGAATCTCTCTAAACTTGAAAGAAAGTCATTAGAGAAGGTGCCTGCAAAGAAAATAAAACGGAAAGAAATCACTAGAAATCATCTCAATATGCCTCCTGATTCGTGATTTCTTTCTTTTAAGTGCACCCCATACCAAACCAAGCCCAAAACAACACGACGCTTTCCTGTCTTTCTCCCATTCATCACATAGAGTTCTCATAAACCAACGCATTACGTCGCATAAATCTTGACTTTCTCTAAAATCTAGTACCCAGGTCTCTTTATAAGGAAGAACGAAGGCAATGTTTCCCCAAGACGGAAAAGTTGTTCGTCGCCGCTCTTTGTTCATGAAAATCCAGTTGCTTTTCTTTGCGTCAACTCTCTTGTCCTTCTGCTCCTTTGCTCTTTTTCCCATCAGACCACCCATGTTCTACCTCTCCTTAAATCCATTTCCTGGCTTTTTTTCAACTTAAGAGTTGAAGGTGCAGTAACTGAAACATGTACTTTGTCACAAGGTAGAGCCCCAATATCTGTTCTTCATTGATATCATACTATTTCAACGTTCATATTTTCAGAATGACAAATACTCCAAGAAGTGCAACTACGACCATCATCAACAACAACAGCAATAACGTGCTTCCAATGTCGGAACACTCGGCGTTCAGTCCGTACGCAAGACCCGCTTCGCTTTCCCCACCGGTTAGTTTAAAGGTCATATTTTAAAAAAGAGCTTGAGAAGCATTTGGTATTCTAGAGACTGGATTTGAAATCGTAAGAAGATGTTCAAACCTAACATCAGAATTGAAAAGAAATCACGAGCAAGTCTACTCTTACAACAAATCTAATTCTAATCTTACTCACAAATAACAACTGAAAGAAGAAAAGGTAATCGCGACCTAACACACAAAATCTTAAATTAAGATTCTTAATCGAAAGAAAAATAGTTCCAAACAAATACATTTTGGCGGGGCTGAAAGAAAGATTTCGCGAAGATTTCGCGAAATGCGCATGTGTGTATTGCGCTGGGCATCTGATTCTACGCGCAAATGCGTACAATTCGAATAGTGAATCTAAACAAATTAAATTATACTTTGGGGTGGTTAAATTACAATAAACTGTCTTTAAACCTAACAAAAAAGAGGGAAATTTATTGGTGTGGGAATGTTCTCGCACATTTGTCAGTTTTCGAAACACTGCAGTTCTTGCACTCGCAGTTCGGGCAGTTTTGTGATTTGTCATTTACAACGGTCTGTGATCTTTGCTCCTTGATGAATTATCTCCATAATTTACCGACTGAGCTCTAATATTGTAGATCTCAAGAATTTGCTGTTGCAGGATTCAAATCAACAACATCAGAAGCAACATTCACCGCATGTGGTCCTTCGTCCGGAGCCGCGACTGGCGCTGGCTCCCATTCTTCAGCGGCAAGAAGGATCCGACTCGAACATTTCGAAGAAGATACGCAGCAAACGGAGGGAACGTCCAAGAAGTGTCGGTTTGCTCGATCTGGGGTAAGTGCTCTTAGTTTTGAACTCGTACTCTTGTTCTCAAACTATAAACGCGCAAGAGATGTGGAACACTGTGTTTTGGACTGGTATTTGCGAAATCTGGCGCTAGGAGGAAAAGTAAGAGAGAAAGAGCGTGGGTTGTTGGGATGCCGATCTCTTGACGATTTCGAGGGAGAGATGTCAAGTGTTTCAAAAATCCGGACATGCCATTCAAAAAAAACGTTGATGGTAATATTTAGATGGTTGTGCATATGCCTCATGCAAAAACTAGATGAAGTTTAAGGGTCAGAAGACAATTTTCTATGCCGATCATATTTGAGTCATAGCTATGCGAGGCATAATTCCACTATTAATCTCTCGACAGTCTGTCTCAAGTGAGGGTGAAACCAGACTCCCTACTTGGTCAGTCCCGCGTGCTCCAGCACACCCACTCCCACGCACACATTATTCTTCTCGTTTTCCTAGTCCTCCAGAGACTGCTCACCTAGACATTTTTTGTGCGGCTCCCTCTCAATGTGTGCTTATTAGTTTGGTATGATAGTGAGAAATGCGTGGCTCCTCTCGGGGCGGCGGAAGGGAGCAAACAGCATCAAAAAGGGGGGAGGGAGCCGCGGAGCACACTTTCTCCTGAGGCAACCCGTGTAATAATCCTCCCGTAAGCACACTGCCATTAGGCGCCCAAAGTTGTTCGTTACGCTTCTCTTCCGCCTTCCCTTCAAACTTTGTCCACTGTTTTTTGTTTCATGACGCTTTGATTTCAGGACAACACTCGTCTTCCACGAGCCAGCGGGCATCGACCACGAAGGAAAAGTATGTTAATGTAGTTTCAATTAGTGTTTTGACGTGCGAGAAATATATGTTTAGTACACTTCTGTTGTACCATTGCACTAAAATAACACTATTTATATCAAACATCATATCGTGATCAATCACAAGAAAAGAAGAAAGTCTTGTGGTCTCGAGTTCAATAAAGCAAGCACATATCATACTTGAGAGCAATACGCTGATGACTAACAGGTTACTGAGCTGTGTGTCAAAGTTGAGAGAAGGTTCACAGTTCAGATGAATACAATTTTGAACAGTTGCATCTTGACCAAATTCGACCAAGTCAGTAGTTAGTCGGTATTGACCATTGTTTGCGAGAAATGAAAGATGTTGTGTGCTCAAAATTGTTTTTTTTTTAAATTCCATCAGTCAAATTGCAGAGCGATTCAAACCGCGGCACAGGTTCACCGCTTCCCGCCGAGCAACGATCGCACGATTTCAAGAAGATTTTGCAGCGTTTTCAAGTGAGATAAATATAGCGTTGATTAAACGTTTCCCTTCCCTATTCAAAAACTCGACTCGTCAGCTGTGAGCAAAAGATTTCAAAAATCTCTAGCACAACGAGTAAACATCGGAAGTTAACACAGTACTCTTTATCTCTCTAGTTCAAGTGCCTTGACATTTGTTTATCCCCCCGAGAAGGGGGCAAGAAAAATATCTGTCGAACACTGATCAGCCAGTTTTTTTGTACTTTTTGTTCTGCAGCTACTAGACGACTAAACCATAACTTTTTGCAGTCCGCTGATCGAGGATCCTCCTCTTCCAGCTCATCCCAGCATTATCAACAGAGCCATCAGAATCATTCACACCTCATGTCGCCACCGATTGCCACGTAAGTTATCTCTGGTATTCCATCCACTTAACATCCCGGTGCGTGTGCGAGGGAGGGGGTTAAGTAAAGAAATGTAAAGAGGAAAACATGATAGTAACTCTACGACATAACTATTACGAACGACGAAGCGGCTGCTTTCAATTCTATTCCTGCATAGAAGAAGAAAAAGAAGATGGTCATATTCAGATGGTCAGCGACACCGATCAAGATGGGCGGATCACAAGAGTCGTGGTCGACGCCCCCGCATCGAAGTAGTCTCAACTCAAATTATAGGTTGGTCATTTTTTGGCTATTTTTGGCAGTGCTCTGAACCTCGTAGTTGGTCATTTCCATGATTACGACTGTGAATGAAACGTGACATTTACAGAGACAGCCCAATAAACTCACGAAACACATCGGCTCGCTCCCGATTGAGCGTCTCCTCAGCTCAAAGTCCTCATTGTTTCCTACCAACCACACGCGACTCTTCTCCTAGATCTGTAAGCTCTTCTAGAACACCATCACATTCACGCTTACCATAATTTTCAGATTCCTAGTCCTTCGCTCGTTCCTCTGAGACCAGACAGCTCACCAGACATAACAATAAACGAGTTACATCATTCGCCCTTCAGCCACACTGGATCTACTCCAGAACCTACCGAAATGAAAATTCAGTCAAAAGCCCCATCACGACGAGCTTCCTATACTAACGGTAGGTCTTTGTAAAATAAAAGAAATTCGCTGCGAGCAGGGTTCGAACCTACGCGGGCAATGCCCATTGGATTTCAAGTCCAACTCCTTAACCACTCGGACATCGCAGCCGACGGAGTACGGGGTTGTTTGGTGCTATCAGAAGAGTGCTGCTGCGGCTCTAGTCGGTTACGGAGAGAGACAGAACAAACAAATAAACCAATAGGGAACGCGCGAATTATGACACTTTTTGTAGGCTATGCTAATCACGAAACGTTCGCGCCAATCAGATGGGTGAAGGAGACCGATGTGGACGATCCGTTGTCGATTCCCACTATGAGTCCGATCGGATCGTCCGGATCGTCCGAAGCGAACGTGGGCGTGATGGCGATGAGGAGCGCGCCAATGTCCAAGATGCCCAGTGTGGAGAAGCTCGATAACAGGGTACTGTAAAAGGTTGAGCGCACAATTCACTCCACATTTTTTGCAGAATTCAATCCGCGGCTATAACAACCGCAGCTGCCGTCGTACCGTACTTTCCGGGATGGATCGGAATGCAAATCACTCGCCGAACGGCATCTACGTGCGGCGAAGCAGGTCAAAAGATGATCGGCCGTCGCTGAGCTACATGTCATTCAACGAGCAGTCACAACAACACGGTAAACCATGAGGGGGAGAAGTAGACAGGTGTTGACAGTACCACTTGACATTCTTACTTTTTGTCGAAAGTTTTTTTGGGATGTGAGAAGGAGGTTGAGACACCAATGTACAAGGAGAGTGTAGTGCTTAATCATTGAGATGTTAGGAAAGGTGACGGGGAAAGGAATGTCAGTGAAATCCTTCACAACTTTGGAAATTTTCTCGAAACTCAAAAAGTCTCAGAGATGCCTCCTCGAAACGGTAAGCCTGGTCATTAGGTTACTAGATATTTCTCGACAATTTCAAGCAACCGATAGTTTTATTTTCAGCCTCTCCGCCTCGTACAGCTTCCATCCCGATCTTCATGTCTCAAGAGTCAATATCAATGCAATCACCAATGAACTCACCAGTCAACGGACATTCGATGACTTCCGGACAAGTCACACGCAACGATAGGGCACAGAGCAATCACAACCTGACAAATGAAGAGCTTCACAAGCGTTTCCAACAAGTGGGCACATTTATTGTATAGGCGTTTTATTGTTGTGTTGTCAGATTTCTCTTTCGCATGTACAAACGCTGAACATTGTGGCTGACAAACTGGCGGAAGAGGCTCGTCGCGGGGATGAGCCCATATCCCGTAATCGTCTGGGTCAATTGGACTTTGCCTCGTTCATAGTTTCGTCTCCACATCCGATTCTCACAAAAGGAAAGTCTCTGTTCTATAATGCGGTGCTTCCGAGACAGAACTTACCGGATTATCCGGTCACTTTGATGGTGAGTCTTTAGTGGCTAGCTTTTCCCACAAGTACCGCCCATTTTTCCAGATTGCTCCATGCTCTCAGTACGCTCCATTGATGCGCAAGACAGAATCGAACCACTTTGGCCTCCCCGGATTCTTAGAAATTGAAGACCACGACGGCGCGATTCGCCAATTCCTTTACGATACGGGTACTCAGAATCTGGACGGGCGGAACACGAAAGTCATTGCAATGCCACGTCTCAACTTGTGCTCGTTCCACAGTCTGGCTGCCCATCAACTCAATCAGCGTTTGGATCGGACGCACCACGAAGAGCTCGTCAGTTTTATTCTTCTGCAAGTGCTTCAGGCTCTCAAAATGCTCCAAGGAGAGGGCGTCGAGTCTCTGAGCACTAACTTCAAGGAGTTTTTGCTGGCTTACCGGTACCCGAACGTAAATTCATCGTATAACGAATTTCCAAGACTGTTATTCCTACCGGAAACTCTGGGAGCCGAGATCGAAAGCGGAGGCGACGAGCTCGTTGGGCTTTGCCGTTACGCGCTCCGTGCTCTGTGCACATTGCTTCATCACAAAATGGATGGAAAAGCGCCGGCCATCAAATTGCGGTCCAGATTCTCACGAGCACTCTCCGCGTGTGCTCTTCTCCTGCAAGGGGATAAATCCAACAGTCTGACGAAGGCGAAGAATGTGATGGAGTTGGCGTTGTGGTCGGGCGGAGAGCACTTCAAAACCGAACAAGAGGCTCGCATTTGGATTGACACTGCTCGAGCCGATTGTGTTGATAACCTGGTGAGTTCGAGAGTCTATTCAAAAAAGTTTGAGCTTGTTTAGTGTCGCCAACTCATCTGCGAGCCGTCTCGTCATCTAGGAGCCCGGGAACGCTTCCGCATCGAGTTCTTGCTCAGCGCCACGCCACGTTCAATCATGGAATCTCAAAAGTCGACGTTGGCGGCCAATGTTAATTAAAAAAATAATCAGATAATATGTATACTGCTACAGTTCTTTCTCATGCTAGATTATTTATTAGTACCTTTCTTACTTTCACAATTACCCGAAAGAGGAATTCATATCACATCACAATGCCTACTATCCTGTAGTGAAATAATGAACGGGCAGATTTGAATTGGTTCCCGGCTCACAAATACATTTTCCAACGCGACAGGGTAGTCCGTAACAGTTGTCCGAGGCTGGGCCGCACTTGGTTTGATGGCAGAACGTCAGCAGAACTTTGACGAAAAGTTGGAAGCCATGCGAGTGAAACGCTTTCACACAGTCGCAGAATCCGGAAGAGTCACAGGCGGAACGAAGTCCCCCGCAGTCCTCGTCGCTTTTACATTGCTTGTTAGTGACGCAGGCGTTGCAGTCACAGATTCCAAGTTCGCTTCCCAGACATTTTCCCTGAAAGATTGAATAGTTGGCAAGAGTGTTTCAACGACGAAAAAAACAAAGAAAGGAGAGAAGTTATCTGCAGACTTACCTGCGGGCACTCAACATCTTTGTAACATTGTTTCTCTTGAACACATTCCGCTGACTGTGTGCTTGTTGTTGTTGTTCTTTCAGTTGTGGACAGAGGAGTTGTCGTTGTCGTTGAGGCAGTGGTGGTAGAAGAGGTTGGCGTCGTTTCAGTTGCAGTTGTAGAAGAAGCAACAGTTGTTGTAGGTGTGATTACTTCTTCTGAAACTCAACTTTCAATTATCCTAAAGGAAAAATCAAACCTTTCTTCAAGTAATCATCCAGCTCTCCACTGCCCTCCAGATTCTGTAGCTCATCGTCACTAGTGAGTTCGCTCCTCAGAGTTCTCGCAATTTCCACTTCCAAAAGTTGCAGAAACGAGTCGTCTTCCAAACGAATTCCGCGTTGTTTCGTGACAGTCTTTACGTTGGAAACCGCCAGAAATGTGAGGAGAATTGTTGGTAGTAAAGTTGCCTGCATAATCCCCGGAAACTGGAAAAGTGTTTTTGACCGAAAAGAAAGCCGGGGAGGAGGAGGAGGAGAAAAAAGAAAATGTTTATATAACCGGTCAGACGAAATTTGAGAAGGTTTAGTAGGAAAGGGAAAGTGAACTTGGAACTAGGAATGGAATATCGAACCTGGGAATTTTGTAATTTGATAAGAAACGCCTGATGATCGTCGAAATGGAGATGGAATGGATGGCAAATCATATTAGTGACTGTACTAGGAAGGGCAAAAAGCAAAGCGAAATGAAGATGAGAGGGAGAAGAAAGAAGAAAAAGCTTCTTCTCCTTGTTCTTCATGAAATCTTGTTCGTGATGGATGCCTCGAGAGAGGGAGAGAAGAGATCCTTTCCTCTTAATGACATGAAGAGGAAACATCGTGTTCTTTTCCTGGGAAGCGGATGATGGTTGTCTCGAAGGGGACAAAACGCCAGATTATACCATTTGAAAAGTGTTGCGAGTGAATTAATTGAGGAGAAAGAACGAGAACGTTGGCCAGAAGAACAGGAAAAGTGTCTGTGTGACCGAACCGAAGCACGAGATTATTTGCATGGAAGTGACCGTGTCAAGCAAACCAGCACTCAGATGACCCATAATATCAGTGCAAATTAGTACACATTTCACCACAACTGTTCGATTCTTTGACAGATAGCAGTTCAATTGATATGAAGCGCGCATATCTAGTATTTGCTAAACTTGTTCTAATCCCTAGGACAAACTTGTAAAAATAGATTGCAATTTTGTTGTATCGTCTGCAACTCACCAATTTATTTGTGTGAGGTTGCATTCGGAAGCTTAACAATCAATGGGCTCAAGATGTCGAAAAGTTTCATTGGGGATTCGTTTCGATAATTATGACTCGCAGAGAAACAATTGTTGGGTTGAGGGATTGGGTGGGAGGGGGTGTCTATGGGGAAAAAGTGGACAACAAATATCACCAATATGGCAAGAGCATTTAAAAACAAAAGGGGGTGGGGAGCAATGCGAAAAGAGTTGTACAATAGAAGGGAAGTGATGATGAGCACATGGAGCACAGTTTTTGTTGAGCAGTTGTTGCACACCACCCGTATGCCGAAGAAAAAATATGCAATGAGGCAAGTCGGTTTCTATACGATCAGTTCTAAAGTGATTGAGCCAAGAAATGAATAATATCAGAAAATATAGAGAGAAGAAGAAGAAAATGAATCACTGAGAATTGCAGGACCACGTGTCGGAAACTGATGAAAATGAAAATAAGAACTGCTACTTTCTAGTTGACCAATTGCTGTTGCGCCGGTTGTTGATAAGGCGGTGGCGGCGGAAGAATAAGGTTTCTGTAATACCAATTATGAAATACTATTTAAAGTTTGAAAGTAAAATAACCCATTATGTTGCTCTATTCTAGCATAGTTGCTATGACTCTGCTGCTGATGTTGCTGCTGTTGTGATGCAGAAGTTGTTGTGGTCATTGTGGTAGCCGATGTCATTGTGGCAGACGTGGTGTGGGTCGAGGTGATCGGCGGGAAGCTACTGAGATTCTGCGAAAGCGTGGCAGAATCAAAGTAGTAGTCGCCGCGATGTGTGGGCAGAATGACTGAAAAAGGAGCATGTTGTAACTTTCGAACAGATTAACAGAACTCACAAGCAGCTCCACCAATGATTCCTCCATCCAGTGTGCTTAAATCAATGCATGAAGATGGTCTCCGATGATGCGAAAGAATGCCGGCTGGGGCGACCACGTTCCCATAGAATCCGTTTTGTCCTCCGTTCATCATCAATCCTCCACCATTTTGCATCGACATCGTCATCGCCATTGACGGCCGCTCATTAATGGTATTCAACTGTCCCATGCTTTGTCGATGCTCTTTGAGCAATTGTAGTATGAGGGGATAGTTTTGCATCTTTTCCGTAGAAAATGCGCCGGCTTCCTCTAGAAATTGTGTAGGGGTGACACTTGCCGGAGGGAATGACGGTTGTCCTCCGGCGGCTTCTGCTGGCAGTGGCCCGGTCGGAAGTGGCGGTGGTGGAGCGGATTTTGGTTGAGTGAAGCTCATCGCCGGTGGCTCATAGGGAGGAGGGTTTCTTGGCCTTCCTCCGGTCCCTGGAACATGGAGGGAATGGGCGTGGGTGAGGGACGTAGGACCATGGTATTGGGATTGAGGTGGAGACGATTCGTCATAGGCGCTCAGCATCTGATTCTGATTTCGATAGTAGCCGTTCACGTGATAGTGGCTTGGCATCGAGTGGACCCGATTGATCGCGTTCGCAGCTCTGCTCCCCGCCGAGTTCTTCTTCACGAAACGTCCACCAGTACCACCAAGTGCCGAGTCTGTTGGCTGCCACATTTCATGATGTTGAGAGTCTATTCGAGTCTCCGATCGCGTCATTTTGTCTCTGCTCGGCGGAGAGTTCTTGCCAGTTGCTCCAGACGCCCACTGAGCCGGTGGCGAGTAAGATCTTTCTGCCATTGCTCGAAGATCCGATGCCGACATTGAGAGGAGCCGTTCGTTGACCGATTCGTTGCTCATAATGTCTTGCTGAAGAGTGAGCGGCATAGCAATCTCGGATCCGCTCGGGCAGTCTTTGGTCGTCATAAAGTTGAAGCCACCAGCGGAAGTCGACGATTCGTGCCTCACTCTTTCTCTCTCTTTCTCCTTTTCTCGATCCCTTTTCGTATTGAAGTTAACGTCCAAAATGCTCCTGGTGCTGCCCGTCTCAATGGTTTGAGAAGCGTTGTCAATTGAGGAGGGTCTTGTCGTAACCGTACACGTGTCCAGCGGTGTCGTGACTGTGTGCGTGGATGATGTGGCGCCGGAGGATTCGTTTGCCGGATGATATGTTTGTTGTCGAAGATCCAACCGTGATCTGTCGCTTTCATCACTGGCTTTGCTTGACTGTGATGCAGCTCGCTCTTGTCGGATGTCTAGAAAATTCTACAGTTGCGCATGAAAAAGATTACGAGGGACTCACGATCAAGTTCCATCTTCTCGATTTTCACATCAAGATTCGAATCCATTTTGATTCTAAGACGGAGTTTTGAAGACATGGAGCCGTGGCACCGGTCACCGCATGCACTGCTCAATGAGTCGCTATCTGCAATTTCAAAAAATGGTTAGTTTTCTGTCTGATATTGATAAACTACCTTTATCATGATCTCCGGATCCGATCCCACTCGTGGACGAGGTGCTAATACCATCCACGGACATTTCCAGGTACGGTTTTGGCGGCGGAGCCATTGTAGCGTGCAAATGAGACATGACCAGCAGCGTCTGGTGCACAGCCTTGCAGAGCTCCAAGAGGTATCTCGCCTTGTGCTCCGTTTGTGCATACAACGACATCTTGGTGCCATCCGATCCGATTATGGTCATCTTCTTCCTGTTGAACGATAGCTTCGCCACGCGACTCCAGTGCAGTGCCCTCAACGGAATTCGGTCCCCGTTCTCGCCAATGTCGCACATCTCAATGCCCTTGGCGTTGATTCCGAGCACCGCGTTATCCGTATTATCCATTTTATGCCGTCTTAATCCGTACAGATGACAGTTTAGCGCGAACGGTGACCTTCCCGCCTCAATCATAAATTTCTCCATCGCTTTGTAACGGCCTTCATTGATAATGTCTTCGCAGGCCGCCGGAAGGTTGTTTCGGATGTACTCGAGACCACGTTCGTTTATCACCCATAGAGGGAAGTATTGCTCGGCTCGGAAGTACCTACAAAAAAAATATACTTATCGGTTTTTGTCTCTTAACAAAATCACAATACGACTAATTGAGTTGCACAAGAGTGAACGAAAAAGGATCTCAGCTTCACGTAAGATATCCACAGCTTTGATATTTCATCGGAAGACCGTCGTGAAAGTCTCATCATAGATCTAACTCACTCGCAAAACTCTTTTCGGACACGCGGGAATCGAACTAGTCGCCTGCGAAAGACTACGAAACGCGCGCGCAAACGCATAGATCGCACGCTCACCCGAGATAGTCCGTCCCCTTGTCGGTTATAAGAGCGAGCGCGGCCATGTACCAGCATCGCTCTTCCGACACGCTGTGGCGGCCGGCCCAGTGGTCGAGAAAGTTGTCTTTCAGTTGTAAATAGTAGTGTTCTCGTGCCTTCGGACATCTGAAAGTGTTATGAAATAGTTACGGAAGCGGTTGAAGAGGTTCTTACGTCAATAATCCAACCTGATCGATATATACCCTTACTCGAAAATAGAGGATGAGAATTGGTCGGTTTTCATTGGACCTTGAGTGCTAAAATATGAAAATTAAGCATTTTAAAGCTGTGAAAAGATACTGCCTTACCCAATTGGAGAATCTTGGCTGTTTGTGGGCATACTTCATAATCTTGGCGGCCGGATCCAGAAAGTAGTACTCGTGCCGTGGCTGATCTCCTCCAATGCCTTCGGTCGGCTGTCGGAACGCCAATCCGAACAGCTTGTCTTCGGAAAGTGATAGACGTTCGCCGCATTTCCAGAGTACATCGTGCACTTTTGTTTTGGACTAAAATTTTGAATCGATCATGAAAGTGGTAGTACAAAAAAACGGAGCCCCGACACTCACACTGACGGCCACATGAAACGACTCTTTGGTGAGCGTCTGAACGGAGACGAACGTCTGTCCCGGCCGGATGTTGTGGGTGGACGTGAACACTTCCGGATCGGAGAAGCTCGACGAGGAGGGCTGTTGCAGATGGACGGGCAGCCGCGAGGAGACGTCGCGCGCCGAGCCCGGTGAGTCCATTTAGAGGAAGAATGGCACCGAGGAGAGACTCATAGGGCGACCTGGAGAGAGTTTTCTTTTACTCTTCAAAACTGTCTGCTCTTCGATTGATTGTTTCGTCTCACGACACACCAACGCTCCCACCTGCAATCGTATTCATTGAAATGGTGAATGATATATAAATGAAGAGTGATCAATGATAAACGGTGAAAAATGGAAGAAAAAGAGCGCGAGTGGTGGAGAGACAGAAAGAGAGAAGGAGAACACGATCTGATGACGAGAAAAAGAGGAATGCGACAAAAATGGCACGTGATCATGTTTTGGCAGTAGGTGTGTGTGTGTAATCGGCAGGAAAATTCTTGGAATTTCAGTTTACACTTTTTTTGCTGCAAAATTGTTCAAGTTTCTATGCTCTTTTGACATTCAACATTCTCCTTTCTTATCATGATTGGAATTTTGGTGCCCTCCTCCTTTCCGCCGGCATCTACACAGACACTGATAGAGAGTGAGTTGTGAAGAGAGAAGAGAATAGAAGCAAGGATGGACCAAAATCAAAAGAGCAGATTTTGTAGCAGTTCGTGTTTGTGAAGTCATTTGAGGATGAAAGGTACTTTTTCAATGCTCAACTTTTACTACTCACCATTTGCGCTAGTGAGATACAAGCATTTTACTTCGGACAACTTTAGTGCGGAAATCTTCAAAAACTGCGAGACGAGTAGGGATAGAATTGGACCTTTATGAAAAAAACAACAAAGTGCTAAAGACAGCAGAGAAAAAGAAGGCGATGATGTGATAATATGATCAATCAATGTTTTTTTGGTAAGAAATAGTGGGAATGAGAGAACGAGAGAAAGAGAGAAGAAGAGAAAGGAATGTTGATAAGAACTGGGGGGAGCGAAAAGATATGGATATTGAAGGCCGGGCCCGCGAGAGAATGTCTAAACTATATAACAGCCTGATCAGGCGGGGAGTAGTGATGGTAATTCCGACAACTATCATAGCTTGTGATCTATTTTTTTCTTACTCTCGCCCCCCCCCCACTCAACACATGCCAATATCGTGACTAATTAGCCGTTTCCGGCCAGTCTCCTCTACCCTCATTTCTTTCGACAACCGGTGAAGGTGGCTTTTTGTTTGTCTCGCTTCGCTTGTGCTCTTTCTTGAGATGGGCACAGGTTTTTTTTTTTTTTTAGAGGAAACGGTTTGGTTGACGAGAATTGAAAATGGAGGTTGAGAGAGAATTGAAAAACCGAAGGAAAGGCAGTTAAATTGTCGTAAAAGGGAAGAAGGAAGGACAAAGTACGCAGAGTGACGTGGATAAATTACCAAAAAGGGGGAGAGGGTGGTTACTAAGGATCTCCGGGATCCTAAGGCCGTAATGACCAAGTACACAAGAAAAAAAAAGGAAAAGTTTGAGATAAATCAAGAACAATCTTGTCTTTTCTGCGAGACGGGGTCTGCGTTTTCTGCATACCTTGTGGCTGGCGGAGGGCGAGAGAGAGAGAGAGAACGATCTAACTGTCGAGGAGGTCTGAGTCTCCGACGACCTTTGCACTATCTTAGGTGCGGTAGAAATTCCTTTACGTGCCTGCGTCTCTATAGAGAGGAAACGAATGGAGGGGGGGGGGGAGGCTGCAGCAATGAACTGTACATACCGAGAGGGAAGATGAGAAAGAGGAAGAGAGAGAGAGAGAGAGAGAGGTAAGAAAAAAGTAGGAAAGAGGAAAATAGACAAGGCTTTGTCATGACGCATCAAATCAAATTCATGTAGTTCTCTGTGAAGATATTATCCGACCCCCCCAAGAGAAATCATATAATAGTCATTGGGTATAACTGGAACAAGATTTTCGGTGTCATATGCATATATGCTAAAGTTACAGCACAAGACGAATGCATGTGTGTGTGTGTGTGTGAGAAAAGACGATAATATCTCGCCCTCTGCTTCTAGATTTGAATCTTTTCCTTCCCCGTTTTAAACTATTCGGCGAAGTTGATGTAACCGATGACGTGTGGCTCCTACTATTTCTATTTCATATTTTCAAAATTTGTCTAGAAGAAGACGAGAAGAAGGAGCGATATCCCCCCGCATTCAAAGAGGAGACCATCACCCGAAACCCGTCTTCTTTGTGTTGCATGTTGCAAGTCCACTTTTCCTGGCTTCTCGCGTAGATGATAAAAATTTCGAAGCGGCCGGCGATATCAATATCTATCTCCTTCTCTAATTTGTAAACGATCCCTTCGCCTTCTCCTCCTTCTTCTTTTTCTTCTTCTACGGTGTGGTAGTGGTGGTGGCCGGGTTCTTCTTAGGAGGGAAAGAAATAGAAAATGATAACGGGGGGAGATATCAGATGTATTCAAATTATGCTGGCGGAGAATGCAGTCTCGTTTTTGCCCACAACCCCCCCGTATCACACAAAGGTGCGGTGTGTTGCTTGTTTCAATCTACTCGCCTAGCCAAAAAAGGGGCTGTTTACCAAGTTGCCAATAGAAACCATCTCAGAAAATGAACAATTGGCGGCGGAATGTGAGCCAGTGAAACAAACACGGAATGGGGGAAAGAAGAGCAAAAACTGATTGCCTAGTATCGAAAGGGTTATCGACTGATGCTGATGATTCAGAAAAAAGACGAGAGACTTAAGATTAACAGGTTCAAAAACGTATCGTTTCACGGAAGTGCGATCCACCACACTCTTTGCTATCGACAAAAGTTTTCTGCTAAAAATAAGCCGACGGACACGACAAATGAATGAAAAGTGTTTCATACTTTCTATCCAACGGAAAACATTGATAGAATGTCGCACATTTCCTGATCAGCTAGTGGGAAACCGAGGGGGTTAACACTAAACATGGATCCAAATGTTTTTTAGTCAAAGTGAAGAAGGTTAGAGGCAATTACTTAAACTTGAGGCTAACAGAGTGACTTTAAAGTGAGTCAAAAACACGAAGCAAGTTTGGCGTCTATCGAATTCGCGGGCAGACTTTTTTACCCTTCTTTCTCTAAATATGTACATCACCCGGTAATGTACAAAGTTACTACAATCCATCAATCACTAAACAACTCAAAACGACAAACTCGAACGAAAAAAATGTGGCTCTCTTTTTGGTCTCTCCACGTCATTAATAGGGAGTTCAAAGAAGCGTATTTGTTCTCAAAGAGCTTAGAAAAGAGAGAGAGAGAGCGCGAAAGAAAGAGCATCAATCCATCTATCTTAAGGAGAGAGAGCGGGGGGGGAGGAAAATGAAAAGCAGGAGAGGAACATGTGTTTGCACTGAGGATTTTTGTGAGGGCTACGAAAAGAACAGAAAGTCCGGCTGCTCTTCGTGGCTGTCTTCTACCTCCGGATGTTGAGCGTAAAAAGTGTATGTATGGTATATGGTATCGTTGTTGAAAATGCGAGGAAGAAGAAGGATAAGAAGAAGAAAAAGGCAAAAGAGAAGAGACGTATCGAAAAGCGATCGGAATGTGAATGTGTACGCGCGCAAAGGCCCCACACACACACACACACATATTTTCAACATACATGAAGAAGAAGAAGAAAAAGAAGATCGGGGCGACGACGACGCCGACTTTCGAGGGAGGGGGGGGGGCAGTCTAAAACCATCTAATCTGCGCCCACAATCGAATCTTTTTCGAGACACTGAAGAAGGGGGAGGCAGGGAGAGAAGGAACGATTCGATCGAGGCGTTCACATTTATTCAGAACACACGTGGCTTCGTTTGCCACAACTCATTGAGTGCAACCAAGGTAGAAGACACAGCAGGAAAACTAAAAAGAAATTGCCGCTTTTTGCGGTATACTAGAAAAGGAAAACGACGGAAAACTGGATAGAAATGGCCGGGAATGCGAAAAAGACAACTGATATGAAGATGACCTGTGAGAAAAAAGTGCGGAAAGGAATGTATGTGTGTGTGTGTGTATGATAGAGGTGATTAAAGATAAGAAGCAAAACGAGAGGCAACTGACAAACCACAAAAATGAGGAGGCGCGGGGGGGGGTCAAGCGTGGAAAACATTTTTGGGAGCAGTTGACCGAAAAGTAGCCATTAGGAGTCGAAAAGGAAAGGTGTCTAGACGTCATAAGAAGGACAACAACGGACAGGTCTCTTGAAGGCGAGAGAAAGGCCGCTCGACCGTAATGAGTTTAGTCTAATCCGAGAAGATACATTAGGAAAAAGGTTGGTTGCAGATGTTTCATATTGAATGAAATTAAAATTTGACAATCTTTGTGTTTTGGTTGATGCTAATGGGAGACGTTGATTGGGCAGAGTACACGTTTTACGGCAAGAATTCAAGTGACTGGGACCAAAGAGAGTACGAAATAATTTTGATGAATACATTGATGCGAGGAGACAAAAGATGCACCCTTATTAATCAGAAATTCTGGCATCTCTAGTTTGAGTGAGGCATGAAATACAATGTAAATTTCAGTTACACGAAAAAAAAAACAAAAATACACATTACAATTATACGTTACAGTTATCAGTGAACGTGACTAACAGCACCATCCAGAAAAAGGAAGACGGACAGGATGGGGGTTGAGGGCAAACGATGACCATAACAAGAAGGTCAGCGATTGTGATCGTCGGGAACCGAGGAAGAAAGAGAGAGAGAAAGAGAGAGATTGAAGGCACTTTTGGAGAGGCGGCGGCGACCACCAGCGTGGGGGTCTTTCACAGAGAGGAGGTGAAGGGGGCATTCCACAAATTCTTTGATTTACTTTCAAGTTCATTCTCTCTCCGCCGTCAGAAGATGAAAATGGCGCGAAGAAAGGTAGGCCGAATAAGAAGAAGAAGAAGAAGAAGAAGAGGAAAAAGATGGTATCTGTTATGGGTCGGAAGTGTCAACTTTAGGTGGCACTTGCGCGAAAAAAGATGGTGGGCGGGGATCGTCCGCAGAGAGGGGGAGGGAGGGTCACATGACCTGCTGATGATATGACCATGTAGATGTTTGTTTCTTATATATTAATGAAAAATGACGTGGTGGACCAATTTTCAAAAACTGATTTATCACAACTTGATTACATCGATAGAACAGAGATGCGCGCGCGCGGCGGGGAAGGCGCGCAAAATGCAGTGTTTTGTGCAAAATTGAGGTCGGGACGGTACAGAGACAGAGAGAAACGGCGCCCCGCATGTATTCGCGTATCACGGTTGGTAAATACTACGTGGAAGCCAGGCAGGCTTCGGCGCAAAGCAGATTCGGGGGAACAACTGAACGCCAATCACACAATCATCATCACACCCTTTACCGAGGAACCGCGCATCTCTCTCTCTCTCTCTCTCTCTCTCTCTCTCGTTCTCTCTTTCGAACTGTTTGTTATATCTTCCCCGCTGTCGTCTTTCATTCACGGCCGCCGCGCAACAGACTTCTCGTATCCCCCGCCCGTCAGCGCCGCCTGTTAGTCGTCATTAATATATTATCATTTATCCGTTGTTGGGGTGGTGCAGGAAGAATTTTAGGAATTTGCAAGAAGTGAAAGAGGTCCAGGTGATGAATAGTTTCCATAAAACTGTCAATGAAGCCTATACTGGTTGGTCAATAAAGTAGCCGTGTGGAATCTGCGTATCAGAGCCTTTCAATACTTTGGACAAAAAGAAACATACATGATATTCCAGCTTTGTCTTTGAGTGCGGACCAGCAACCCGTTAGCGTCTCTGTCATTTGGGTTCTCCAGGGATATACAAAAAAAAACACGGTTGTTGGCGTAATGTGAAAACCTTATCTTGAAGTATCAAACATCGTCAGTTCAGTGATCACATCAGTAAATCATTCGTCGTTCAGAATTCCGCTCACCAATTTCATTTCCGAATTTTTCCAGCGACTTTCGCCGACTTTGATCGAGTGTTCTCTGTTTTTTAATGGAATACAGTTTACAAATAGAGGAACATTTCATTTGACGCCAATCTGGTTTACGATCACGTATTCCTCTTATCTTCACGAGAGAAAACGGTATCGAATTAAAAATGTTATTTATCTTCGTCAAAATGATTGCAAAGAAGTGGAGAGAATGAATGTGGTGTCTACAGCGCAGTGCGGTGAGATTCAACACTGGACGCAACTTTTATGTACATTCTAATTCTAGACAAAAACATTTTTGCAGTAATATTCTCGAAAGTTCTCTACGGAACGACTTGATCACAGAATCACAATGGCTTACTTGAGAAATGGAATGAGTAGAACGAGTTCATCGCTCATCCCTGACTAAAACGGTAAATGAACGGTCTGCCGAAAAAGTGCGCAAGGCTGCGTCTTTGGCAATTTTTAGTGTCGGAGATTTTAACGAAACGGTTGTTAATATCACTGACAGCTGCCGAATGATAAACGAAAGATTAGGTGAAAGTGAAAATTCGCAAAGTTATTTCGGTTTTTGACCTAGAAATTTGACATTCACTTGACCAAAATAATACAAAAATGTCTTGACTCGGATGTTAGGCGGAGACAGTAATTTTGAGGACACAAACGGCGTATAAATTCGATAGATAAAAAACAATTTAACCAAAACTATAGAAACAATTTCCTTGAACGTTGAATGCACTTGAAAATCAATAAATGAACGGCACAAAAGCAGCAACTATCTACTCATATCCCGATCTACTCTCATTCTCAACGACACTCCGTTATACCATCGCGCCGGGTATAACGATGTCCTGTGGGAAGACACCGCTGGGCGAGGAGAAAAAAAAATAGGATCGTTGTGGCGGAAAGAATGTTTGGAGACCGTTACAGACAGACGGCTGGAAGGGTGTCCCGAGAGCATAGATGGCTGGTCAACTGCCTCAGAGATTCATTGATGTGACCGACTGTTTGATTAAGACGTGCATGTAGTGCGGTTTTCTAGGCAAACCTCTGGAACTCTTGTGTAGAAATGGGGTCGTGACGGGTTTTCTGGCCACGGCGGAATGGATTACAGCACATAAGCCAAGCGAGAAGTTATACTGTTCATAATGCGGAGCTGCAAGAAGCGCATAGCACTGTTCTGTTTGTAATTCTTTTTCCTTCTCAATAGTCTTCTTTTTTATGTGCCACAGCCCAGATGGAAAAGCACCGTGAAGGAGGCGCAATGATGTGAGGAGTGACGTGAAAACGATGAAAGGTCTCAATAGAGATAGTGAATACAAACGCTCCTACGTGCCAATCTTTTCCGCCTTTCTCCCTTTATCTTGCAATGAGGAAAGAAAAAGAGAAAAATCTAGCGAAATTGAATCTTGCAATCGTTTTTTTTTTCTTTTTTCGTTCAAAATAGATTGGGTTTATGTGGGGTCCAGTTTCCGGTTTCCTTGGTTGTCACCAGCATTCTGAGCAAATGGGAAGAATAGTCACGCTCTAGTATTCGATCGTCTTGTAAACAGACTAGTGTATGTTCTACAAATGCTAACTAACCCTATTTACGTTTTTATTAGTCTCATTCTTTCCGATGGTTTCTTTATTAATAACATTTGTGTTCTAGTTCCAGAAAACCCTGCCTCTTGTTGTTCCTTATTTTTACGGAACTCCCTTTCAATAGAATCGCGGGAAAAATTTCTGGGCATTTCAAAAGTATTGAAAAGGCCCCGTTAAATGTAAAATTCGGTCACTAGAGAACACTGATCCGCTAGATTTGACAGACATTGCCGCTCGACGCTTTGTTAATGCATTCCGGGCCCTGTCATAACAAAATAAATAATTCTTCGGAAGAGTAGGCATTTCTCACTTGATTATTCTAGTTTTGTGATATTATGTCTATAAAAATGGGAAAATGTCCTTGTTTTTTTTTACCACTTTTTGTTTTCGCTCACCTTTTTGAGTAAAGTTCATCCATAAATTGACTTTTTTAATGGTTTGATGTCACCGAGGTGTTCTTCTGAATCAAAGTGCAACTGTGCGTTTTCCTTTGTAAACAAGTGTTTTACTTCCAGTCTGAAACAATAGGCAGTTTGAAAAAAAAGATTCGACATTAGAATCGAATCTGGCAGCGTACTAAACGCATATGATGCACGCTTTTGTGCAACTGCCGCACGCTTTATCGTTTCCATGTTTCGCTTTACTTTTTGAATGAAAATCAGCAAAATTATTCGTTTTTTTTCTCATTTTTTCTTTGTATTTATTCATTTTAATCGTCTTCTGCTATAAAAGTTCAACTTTGAAGACAGAATGATAGATTTTCTGCTTGAAGTTCCGCAGATTACTCGATTTTTTTCTCTGCTCGATTTCAATGAATTTGAGAATTTTCAGGGTTTTCATCGGCGGAGCAACCAAAGAAGGAGCAAAGAAACCTAGATGCATTGTTTTCGTGTTAGTTTTTCACAGAACAATTGTTTTTCACTCCGACAAACCGTTACAGATGTTTCTCCACTTTGCCGTCGCCGTCACCACACAGCGGAAAGATGAGGAAAATGTCGCGCTAATTCAAAGATGAACGAAATCCGTTTCTCTCCGCTCATATTTCTTTTTAGAAGAGGAGCGGATCTTTTGTAAGCGAACACCACCAACAATCTTTAAACCCTTAAGGCTTTTGTCCCAAATTTTTATTATTCGCGTAGAAGGACGAACGTAGCACTGCAGCAGGTTGTTGACTGCTGAGCATCAAAATTTGGTGTTTTCTCGAACACGCATCACTTTGTTGTCCCGCCCCCCCCACACAAAGTTTGATGAGCTCAGAGCTCTTCTAAAAGGCTTCAGAAAGGTTGGCCGAATTTTTGTACCAGAAGGAAGCCGTATCAGCGAAAGTGCTGCGATCGAGGTTTGATGTGATTGTGACATCATCTTAGAGCTTCTCAAATGAGGATAGGAGCTTTCCCCTTGGTTTTTTCGATTCTTTCAAACTAGATCCCAACTAGAAAAATTTGAGTTTTTGAAATCGACATGATAAATATCAGGACTAATGCAGATATATACTTGGGCTTTGGTTGCGAAGCATTTTTTTTAAAGTTCCCAAGTCTCCAGTAGATTCCACGCTTCGAATGGACATAAATCACAGCGGAAACTTCCGAGTCTTTTGAGTTTTGATCATGCAATTCCTCATTTAGCACTTCCACCTCGATCTTGTTCTCCTGAAATCGCGTGCTTCTATTGTCTTCCCTCACCTTTTGTGGCTCTTTTCCTCTTCCGCTCCACACTTTTCGTTCTCTATTTCCCTGAACTTTGTGCTCCGCTCTTCCTTTGTTCTCACTTGTCCACATTTCCAAATTTGATTTTGAAACAATCTCTGTGACGGTCGTTCTGCGAAACGCGAAAAAGACTGTGAATATCTTCTAATCTCATGTGTGTGCTCAAAACTCAAATTTAGTTCGGAATTCAATCCGATTTCCGTTTTCAACCCTTCTGCTCGGCTGAGCATTCTCGTGCGCGGACCTTTGACGCCTTCTTCCTTCCTCTACGTTTTTTCGGGAAAAAAGTCTGAACTGAAAGTGCTCGAGACGTTTTTCGAGTAACCGGGGGTGGGATTACTGCCGGGATTAATATAATGTTAGAGGGGTTGAACTACCAAACATCAACGTGGGAATTGTCTGCGGAGATGTAAGTGCTCCCCCTCTCGATCAGAAATCAGTTAGCTCTTGCATTCGTCAGACTTTCACAGTTCTGAAAGATTTTTGGAAGGTAGTGTATTCATTTTTGCAAGTTCCAATGCCGAAGTTCCCTCCCACAACTCCCACCACTGCTATTTTCTTCTTCTTCTTCGGCTGAAGTTCACGTTCAGCTTTCGTCTTTTGTCTCGAGAATTTCAATAATTCACCCGCTACGTAGACCACCCCCAAAATACGAACCACGCATTTCGCTCGTTACGCGCTTTGTTTATAGCTTTCAGAAGCTCGCAGTGCTTTTTCAGCACAATTTTTTCGTCAATGTTTGGGAACTTTACTAACTGCCGCATGTCAACCCCATCATCATCTTGATGTTTGTGCACGGAAGTCCATCAGTCTTATATCATCTTCATCAGAAGTGGTGCAAGGTTAAGGGGAAGAGGATAAAGTATTCTCTGATCTTTTGCAAGTTTGTTTACATTTACATGCACTTTTTCTTGACAAGAAATTATGGATGATCTGTTTGTATGATCGAGAAATTGTTCCATAACATCCGCCATAATTTATGCTCCGTTCCGTTCGGACAGTTCTAAGATGTAAGCAAATTTTCAAAACTGAATGTTCTGTCTTTCATCTTTGACCTTACGCTCTTCTTTTCAAGTATTCACCCGTGTGCTCCGTCTTCCTTCTTCCTAATGTCCAATCTTCTTGGCCTGTCCTCCTCCCTTCTCTCCCTGTAGCTGCCTTCTTCCTGAAAGAATTTCCTAATCCCAAAATTGCTCTGATCGTTTCGTTTGATTACACACACACACGTCTCTTCTATGTTTTTTTCGTGAAAACACCTTCCGTTCTCAGACATTCTCTCAAGAATTTCAGACTTATATCAGAGACCGCTCCACTAGAATCGTTCAATGAAATGGCGTCGAATCGTGCTATTCTCTGGGTGAGTTTTTTTAATAGTTAGTGATAATCTTTTACAAGATATTTATATTGAGCCCAGTTTAAAAAAACACGCTTAATCCTAGGACTATAGATTAACAAAAGAATGTTGCGGCTAATTTTGTGATCATTGCACAAAGACAAAAGCATCTTCAAAAAGTTTGGACCTGATTTTTTGGCCTTGTCTTGTCTTTGCGTTTCGTAATTTGATGCCATTCTTTCTTCGGCCAAGAGTGCCTGCCTGATGAGGTGAAAGCTCAAAACAAAGAGGTCAAAACCAGGGTGTGGGATTAGAACGAATGTAGTTCCTCGGAAACGTCAAGATCCGTCTAGAATGTAAAACTAGAAGATCTTTGTGGGTCGTCATTCGGAAATTTTCTTAAAGACGGCCTAAAGAAAACCGACGGAACAAAAACCCGACAAATATTTTGTGTGGTAACAAGATGAGGCCAATCAGGGGACAGGAAAAACTATAAGGTTAGAACGTAGAGTTCTATCTACGAGGAAAAGATTTGTTCAACTCTTCCTCTCATTTCTCTTTTAGCTTCGTCACTCGCATTTCTATATTCATTTCCATTCATTTCCTCCCAAATTTAGTATTGCCAACACCAGGTGATTTTCCGATTCTGTGACCCTTTACATTCCTCTATTATTCATTCGTACCTATAATCAGAAGTCCACAATGTTTTCACGTGTACACTGTTTGATGTATACTTCTCAGTTTTGAAGGCACTTTTTGTACTTTCTGTGTGCTTTGTGTGTGTGTGTATGTATGTGACGTGCGATGAGCTCAAGCAATTAGGCTACTCACGAAGGAGGAGCTCGTAGATGACCAGACTGCTTTGTACTCGTTTTCGCAACATATAATACAAAATGTTTAAATCTTTGACATTTCAAAACGGTAGAGTTTTCAAAGAATTAATCAGGAAGTCGTATGGTAGCATTTTTACGGAACTTTGTGTTAAATCTAAGACACGATAAATAGATGCAATTTTGCTGGCGACCTCCGTAACGCGAGAGAAAACCTTATCTGGCGCTTCAAAAATCGTTTCAATCATATTCAGAAAGGTCAAATTGACCCCCAACTCACTTCTATTTCGGAACTTTACTCAAATAGATGAAAAACAGAACTATAGCCAGGATGGAAGTTTTTTTTCCGATTTCCTAATACCCCAGCCACTGCAGCAGCTTAATTTCTAGTCAATTTCACATGCTGATGTGTTGTCTTCTTTCAGTGAATGAAGGGAATGCAAATTGAGTTCTCCCTTTCAAAAAGTTCAACCACTCCTTCAAAACAAACCCCCCCCCCCCCAAACCGCGGGCGCTCATCAACATTGTCTTATCCGGAGATTCTCGGGCACCCATATCTTTTGGAGTGGAAAAAATGAACATCAACCACCTGAACACAACACTACTTATATGCACACACTCACGAAAATCATTATCTCTCTCTTTTAACACATTTTTAGTATGTGTGTGAGAAAATCGCCTTTATTCTGGAAATTCAGATTCACTCAATGTGTGAAATGAAAAATCAAAACATCGGTAGAATATGATGGAGACATGTTCCTGCTTGTGTGAAACAAATGAATGCATATTGTAGCCGAGCAGTCTATCCGCTTTGCTCAGCAAAATCCCCCTGCTTAAAGAGAAACTGAACGAGCAGTGTGTTCTGTGCTGAATTCGATCAATTCAAGTGACTTCAGGACTGAACGAAAAATCATATGCGTTGTCTTACATATGTATTCTTGATTCACTAAGTTCACATGATCTGGAACTCTATACATTTTAAGTAAAGTGACACCTAAATTCTTCAAGCGCACCAATTTCTAGACGATTTCTTAGTTTGCAAATGACGAGTTGCCTTTGCACTTATATTATAGTTAAGCCCTTTCCTAGCTATATACACAACTCGTGATTTTTCCCTTAGGGGTTCCAGCACTTTGTAGATCTGTGAACAGACTGCTAGACATCGCTTCACTGATTTCAGTCAAACTTTGAACAAAAAGGATTTCCTAAAGACCAAATTACCAATTTATCATTCTCTAGTTGGGAATCATTTTCACACTGAAGTGATCTTTAAGCAAACAAACTTACTCTCTGGCTACTTTCTTCTTCATTCGTACGAAAATATTGACACTTTCCGGAATAGACTCACAGCTAACCAAAATAGAGAGAAGTAAGAAAAAAACAGGGCCAAACAAGTTTTCAAAATACGATGGCCTCTGATGAAAGAAAAAGAGCAATATCGCACTTCCTCATTCCGAAAGCTACAATAGCGACTTCGGAAAAGCTGGATCTCTGGTTCCAGTTTGAAAAGAAATAACTCTTTTTGTTTCGACTATGTTCACTAACTTCAAAACACCCCCTCTCACTTTTCACTTCCTTCTTCGGTGATTTGGATGGGGAGGAGGGCGTCACACACTCTTTATATAATTCCCTGAATTTTCGATTATTCTTCTTCTATGGCTATAGCTTCTTGCCGTTCTATTTATACGTCGGTTGGCATCAAAAGTTAGGATCTAAGTTCAAACACCAATTCTTCATGCCGACCACTGTATTCCCTATAGATTTTCGTTCTTTACCTTTCATATGAATCACCTTTTCCTTTTCCCAATTAGCATCTTCTGCTGTTGATCGGTCACAAAGTTCGATGCGCATCTCACTAGACCACTTGTTATTCAGCACCCCTTCATCCTTCTGGAGCTGGAGACACCATCATAAAAAGATGAAAATACAGAATTTTAAATCGCATCTTCCTCACTGCCTTCTTCTCTCCCTTCTTCATCAGATCTATTGTTCAAGTATTCAGGCAGGAACTAGGAATCCCAAGATCAAAGATTCCGAATTTTCAAGTTTCGAAGCTCATCTGGAAAACATGTTCAACTGAAAATGAGAAAACTGAAAAAGATTCGCTTTTTTACAAGCGTCCCATTCCCATTCTAATTAATCGACCCCTTCCTTCTTCTTATTTTCTTCATTTTTCTTCGTTTTTGCTGCACGGCGCATAGATTGAAATGAGAAAAGTGGCTAATTGATTTGTTCCATGCTGAGATTACAGATTTCCTTTTTTTTGTAAACACTCCCATGCTCCTTCCCTTCTCTCCTCTAAAAAATCCTGTTCTGGCTCTAAAATCCCAAATTATCTATAGTCTCTATCCTTCTGCTTCCGCATTTATTCACGTGATTCTTGGCCCGATGCCAAGAAGGATATCCGTAGTTTTCGGATGAAACACTTTCTGATTGGGAGAAGATATTTCCGGTTCAAAGTATTTGTACGTTATCTTCACATCATTGGACTCGCATCAAAAAACATTCTGGAATTTATTCGAGAACACGGAAGGAAATATCATTGTATCATGTTTATTTTAGTAGAACGATTTATTACAAGCTCAAACTAAAAAAAAAACAGAAAACATCTGAAGTGTGAAATTCGTCCGTACACACCTACACCATTCCATTCTCTGTTTTCCATCGCACAAATCTATGCGCCAGACGCTCCTTATGCACTTTTTGTTATGAGGGTTCCGGTTTTTTTTAAGTGAGTTCCCAGCCTGCTCAATTGTTGAACCTCCCCTCCTTTCCGAATGTTCGAGTAAGTGAAAATATAACGGAAGCTTCCAGGCTTTTAAGATAATAAAAAATATAGGTTGGTCTGAGAGCATGTGTACGTGTGCCTACAATCTTTTTACGATATAAGTGGAAGCACTCACACTCAATAGTCGTGGTTCTGAAAATGCAAGGGCACTTGGCGCGTGGATAATGTCAGGACTGACCCGATCGTTTAACTTAAACTTTAGAAACTCATTTGTATAACCTCCTCATATTACAATAGAGCGCGCTTGCAAACAATTCTTTCATATCCTCTCAGGATCTTTGACTTTTCCTCCTCTTATCCACCAAACTACTCACACATCGCACCGCTGCGAACACGTTTTTCTGACTAGCACCGTCGCTCTTTGTGGAGTTTTTGGGGAGACAAATACAAATATCAGAGAAGAGAGTTTAGCCACCTAACCCCCAAAACTTCAATGTTTTGTCGCTACAGGCATATGTTCTGTACACGTACTTCAAGTCGTTCTAGATTTTTTGAGGTCTTCCCAGCTTCTCAGCCCGCCCGTAGCTACTAAGAACTATTCTATTATCCAATCTTCTAACCGCCCTACTTCCCCTGCCCCTAACAAGTTCAATTAGTCAGTGCAAGAGCCAACGGACAAACCCTTTCATAGATAATTAACTTTCTTAATTTTTCGCATTACAACACCTATCAGAAAAGATCAGTTTACCTACTTCAAAAAATGCGACGTGTTCTTTGTTCCCTCAGCTTGTTTTTTTTTTCGATTTTCTTTTGCTTCTAAATATAGTCAGAATTGAGCAAAAATCCAAATGACCTCTGTCCGCTTGTCTTTATCGCGCTTTTAATTAGCTAAATCAGCAGACAAATTCCATCCCATAGACAGCTGATTTGTTCGGAGAAAAGGTATGAAGTAATAGAATGAGCCTAATACTAGACATTTCACAACCAGACCTACGTTGGTTGCGAAATGGCCGGGGGCATACTTCGATAAGATATTGTAGGATATCATTAACGCACAGACATGTTTTCTGACTGCTCAAGTCACAAGATTGTAAATCATATACCCTTTCGAATTGTCTTGTATTCTTTGATCAGCGCTCTACCCTTCTGCCTAATATTTGTCTCTAGAATTCATTGACTCAGTTTTAGTTCATTCTTCCCGTTGCTATTTCTCCTCCACATGTATCAGTATTACTCATTTTCAGGCTGGCATGTCATTAGACGATGAGATCGAAAAGTGTCAAGAGATCGAGTTCACACATGCTCAGTTCCTCTTCCGATCATACCTGTTTCCTTTCGTCTATCTCTTCGGTATAATTTCGAACACTATCAACATTTGCGTCTTTTCGCAGAAATCGGTGATTTTTTTTCAAACATAAACGACATCATACGCCACTATTTCAGATGCGAAACCAGCCGGTAAACTGGTTCTTCTTGGCGCTCTCCTGTTCGGATCTCCTCACTCTCGTCGCCTCTTTCTTCGTCTTTTCCGTCCCTGTCTATGCTGAGTCGTCTCGCGACCCCGGGTATATTCATTGGTCCGTCCAGCTTATAGTATGGTTCTATCCTCTGGCGCAGACCGGTCTGACAATGTCCGTGTATGTCACTATTCTAGTGTCAGTGCACAGATATCTCGGAGTTTGCCATCCGTTCTTGGTAAGTTTGACGTTTTTTTCCCCGAGTCGAAAATTCTTCTTTGCAGATCCGTCGAATTTCGAATTCTACGGCCGTGAAAGCTGTAATAGTAGCATCTGTTATTTTTGCATTTATTTTCAACACAAGCCGTTGGTTTGAGCTACACGCTCAGCCATGCTTCTACGATTTTGAGGCTCATACGTAAGTGTTCAGAAGGTTTTTAGAAACATACACAACTTTTCTAATTCAGAAACTCATCAGTTGTCTACCCGACAACTTTGATGATGAACAGCGTGTACACACTAATCTTCCGCAATGCCGCCTACACAATCGTCATGTTCTTCTTGCCGTTTGCAGTGCTAACTTATGTGAATCTGAGGATCATTGCCACACTTCAGCAGTCTTATAAGTGAGTGGGGCCCGAATCGGAATACGTTAATTATGTCGCCTCTAACCTACTTTCTATAAATATTTCCAGACTGCGAAAAGAAATGACAGTATGCAACCGGACGAAGCGCTCCGATTCGACAGTGCCCACCGACACAATAGTCACTAAAATAGATGGGTACTCGGCGGTGATCCCGTTGGAAGCAGCTGCAAGTGGAATAATGATGGGGAATAATGAGGGAAGCGGTACTAAAGCTGAAAAAAAAGAGAACGGAGTAACGATAATGCTCGTGGCAATCACCACCGAATTCCTCCTTTTCAATTTGATCGCCTTTGCCAATAATATTATCGAACTTTCGAATATTCGCTTCTTCCAAGACATTGAAACGCTTCTCGTAGAGGTGGGTCAAACACTTATTGTTCGATCACAATCTCCGCTTTTCAGCTTTCAACTTTTCTAGTCAACGTGAACGGAGCTTCAACAATCGTGATTTACCTGATATTCGGCAGCAAGTATCGTGCTGTTTTCATTCGTCTCATGAAGAAATATCTGGGCATTAATTTATGCGAGACTCCGAAAGGACGGGCAATGTACTCGCAGGCACACTTCGAGACCACTCAGTTGTTGGAGAACAACTCGCGGTTGGATTTGAATAGGAACAAAGTGAGTGCGCATCTGTTTCTCTCCGCTTTAACGTAATACCTGAACTTATCTGAGCCGATCCAGACATGGTTATTCATTGAGTTACAGTAATATTTCAGCAAACCAGCGTAATTCGCCGCTCCGACATGGCTTCCATTCGCTCATCGAGTCGTAGACCAACCGCCACCAAATAAAATCCTTCTGATTCCTCTTCCGAAAAACCGGTCTTTCCTTCGCCGTTCGGGTCTTCAATTGAAAAAATTATCGTTAATAAAAAGTGAACAATTATTATAGAACACAAGTGCCTTTGAGGCCTCGCGGTGAACGGCTCGAGATTTTGCTCGGAACCAGTCTCATCGCTTATTTTTAAAGTTCAAATGTTATTCCAATAAATTCTTTTGTTAATAGAATTGAAGAAAGAGCCGGTCCATACTGAAGGAAGATCATTTCTATTAAATAGGAGTAATAAATAATCATTGAAGCCGTAAAATATCGAACCAGTGAAACAAATATATAATTTTTATGAGGTTGGAGATCTTCTTCACTTTTAATCGGAAAGCACTTGATCCATTCGCGCGACTTGATAACGGGACCAACGTCTGAAAAACGCGTAAAAGTTACTATTGTATTTTCTCCGGAAACAATAATTTTGAGCATTTTGAGAATAGTTGGAAATTTAAAGGAATTTTTAAATCCATGCACATTTTTGAGTTTCAATCGAACAACGACCCCGACAGAAGAGTGAAGAGTTCGCAAAAAAATTCGCAATATTGTAGGGGTGATACCTTTGAATGTGGCCGATGAGTCCATTCTCTGCATTTTTGTGGCTTCTCCACGAGGTTTGTCTCTGCTCGAACGTCCACTTGACTCCCGCTTCGAGCTCGTCCAGCAGCACAAGTCCGTTCTCTTGTTTCGAGTATCTTTCACAGAGAAACGCGTACGAACCTGCGGTATTTGTGGCCAAAAGCAAAGTCTTATTGTCTTTCGAAAGTTCCATATCGAACTGATATTGTACCATCAAGTGCGCAAGGCTCTCTTCTTCGCGCAAAAATTCGTGCGGCTCAATCTGTTGTCGATCGGTGCGGACGACGTTGATCACGTCCGGACGGGATCCTTTTGTATCTTCGGCGCCGAGATGGCAGGAGCCAATGTCGAGAAGTTGGAACGGGAGACGGCTGAGAATGGATGTTCTCAGGATTTGTAGCATTCGTTTAAATTTGCAGACCTCGTTTTTCTTCTTTTCTCTGAACATCACAATGTGTACTGGTCTGATTTTTAGAAAAATGTACTAACCCTCTATTGATAAAAATGTGTGCCATCTTCAAAAAGACCTCCCCGGTAACGTAGGCGTCGAATCCAGCATTGTGATACGCCTGTTCGCTCTCCTCCTCCATCGGATTCAGCCAGGGTTCGCAGAAGCCGCGTAACTCGGGCGGCACCATTGCATCCGATTTTTCACTGCCGAAAAAGTCGCCGAGTTTTTGCAAAGAATCTCCAACGCCGACAAGTTCGACGCGCAGAGATTGGGCCAAAAACTTTGTATCGCAGATTGTGGGAAACATTTTGAAGAGTTTCTCCTTGAAAATGACGTATTTTTCGGGTAATCGATGGAAGAAGTAGTGATACATGTACATGAAATCCAAAAGACTATTGTGTCCGACAATCGGTTTGCGCATCCACACCGCCGCCTCCAGAATCGCCGCGATTCCTTCGAACGCTTCCAAACACTGAACTCTCGTGCTCTTCTCGTTTTCCTCGATGTTGATGGAATCAGGAAGAGGGGAGACCGTGAGAACTTCATTACTTTCGTCCGGTGTGAATTGAAATTGTGGAAAGCGTTTAGTGAGTTCGTAGACTGTCAAACACATCTCCAGTGAGCTTTTGGTGCAGCCGGGCAGTTTCAGATTGACCGAGGTCTCTAAATCCAACACCAATGGCGTTTGTTGCAGTGGTTCTTCGGTGTTGAGCGTCTGGCGTCGGAGTTGATGCTGCATGACCTTCTCGTGGAGCATCACTTTGAGCAACTCAATATGACCACCGAGTTCCTTGCCGATTAGTCTGAAAACTAGATGGTTTTTTTTGCAAAATAGGCAAAAACAGACCTCAAAGCATTTCCATTTTTGAGCGCTTTTTCAAACTTTCTGAACTCTGCCCTCGTGCAGTACTCGACGCCATCGGTGAAAACCTCGTTTAAATCGAACTTGTGATTGCGAAGGAATCGAAGCGACGAGAAATTGATGTTGGTGGACACTTCTCCGAACCGCTGAAACAACGGAATCGCGTAGCAATCGGCCAGGTACCCTCCGGTCCGATTTTGTTTGAAGAATGAAATTCCTAGTTGACAAGGCCGATACTTTATGACGTTCTCGCGGAGCAGCGAGTAACGGTTTTCAGTGGTGTCGTGGAGGGAAATGGCCGACATATCGAGGCCGAGGAACTCGAAGTCGATTGCGATGAACTGACAATCGAGGAGGGATTGACGGAGTTTTGGTGCCCATTTCAAGAAGTTTTGGTCGGTGATCACGACCATTCTGGAAAAGATTATGTGTTTGGATGGAAAATGGGGAAGAGGGTTGTGAGAGAAATGAGAAACAAAATTCCGCGACAATTTTAGAAGTTCTATTTTCACTTTTCAGTTTTTATCCCACCTAATAGTAAGACGTCATCAAATCAACAATTTCATTTCCAATGAAATTGACTGACGCACATTTCTTCTAGTCACTTATGATTATCCGCTTCCGGCAAAAATAGAATCCAATTCGTACTTATTTCTACCCTCGTTTGCTTCGCTCTTTTTGAGCGGATTACCGTAACCATAAATCTTCCTCGCAAGCATTATTGGACCTTGCAGCTCTTCGCCCCATTCTTTCCACCGGCTGCTCATTAGGCGGAACGACCACCCGGATGCAAAAAAAAACAAACTGGGCACTAATCTGATCGAACGCGCGGCGCCGACAACAGACCTCTTTTCTTTTTCTCGGCTACCAACTGAACGCATTCCATGCTTTTGCTCGAAATCGAGAAGGTGTCCCCTCTCCTCCGTATTCCTTTTTCTTTTCATTTTTCATATCTGCATATATTTATACACAGATGTGTGCGCGTGAGCGAGGGAGCGAGTGTCCAGAACAGCAGAAATAGGCGGTGTGTGGAGGACGGGAAATGGCGCTCTCCATCTCTTTCTTCTCCGCCTTCTCCTTCTTCAGGCCGCCGCCATCGTCTTTTCTCCTTCTTTTTCAGACAACGACAGCTAAATTGGTTTGTTGCTGTTTGTTGTATTGCAAACGTATATATAGACGTTGTTTGTGCTCACCGGAGGAGCACGAGCGTCCTACTTTTGTGAGCAAGAAAAGCGGAGAAGATCAATGATGAGTGCTATGGAGATTCTCCAAAGTAGGTTGGATCTTGAGCTAGTGAGCTAGTGGCTTATCACCTGATCAAGTGTTATGATTGAGCTGCCTTTCTAGTCTACTGAAATGACATCAGCTTCTTGAAACACGCCCAACATAGTTCGCTCAATAATGGAGTAAAAAGGGTGTTTTCCCAAATCGGTCCCTATTAAAAATGGCGTCATTTCTCGCCTAATCTTAAGCTCCATTCAAATCCCGGATTATCTATCGGAAAGTTCAACATCTACTGCAGATTAGCATGTTTTCAGCGATAATATCATATGCTGACATCGGCACCGATGAGCCCGAAGACATCAAGCCGGTTTTGCCGATGGAAACTTTTTTCCTTGCAGTTCTACTCATCCTTTTCTACTACAAACTATTCATGGTGCGTTTGAGAGGGTGCAACCCCTTTAGTAATTAGCGGGGTTTTTTAAAACTTGCTTTTCACAATTGAACTTTGGAGATGTGCTGGTTCCGACCTAATTCTGAGCACAATAGAAAAAATTGAATCAGATTGCGGGATTTTTTTGCGAGAATCAAACGTTTTCAGACAGTCGGATGCGTGCTTTTCGACTTTCTCTACTCGACAGAAATTCAAAATCAGTTTGCCAAAACACTGACAAACGACGAGGACGAAAATCATCAAAAAGAGTTTCAGCGACACGTGAAGAAGACAAATTGCTTCAAGAAACAACCATTATGCAACTGATTATAACTTTTTGTCACTTTAAAAAGAACAAATAAACATTTTGTCTACCGGAACTCGTTGTGTTTTTGCGAACCTTAACTAATTTCGACAAAATAAACGTCAGAAAAACAAAAACTCAGCTCGAAATTAAAAAATTGACGGCGGAAAATCAGCAAAGATTAACAATGAGAAATTGTTCTCTAACTGTAGTTTAAAGGCGCATATCAGGCGTCGCGCGCGTTTCTCTCTTGAGCTCATTCGTATCTATTTTTGAAGCTACGCCGAATCAGAACCGATTAGCCAGAACCGAACCGAAAAAAATTTTCTGAAGTGTGGGAAAAATGATTTTTTTTTCTACCTAAAGGAGGGTAGCTAGAATTTTGATGTGAACATGAAAAATGCTTTAAAAGATGCGAGGAATCGAATGGCGTCGAGTTTGAGTCGATTGGATCTTTTTGAAAAAGAAAGGTGCTAAGGGGAATAGAGCCTACGCGCGCAGCGAAGGCCTTTGTACTCATTTTACACGGAATTAGTTTGGCGACGTGGTTCCATAAAGACAGGTTAGGCTTGAAATGTCCTTCTCCATCGATTTGTATCAAAAAACTGACAAAAATGACTGAAAATAAGAGGTGAATTCAAAAAAGACATAGGCTTTTTTCGGCTAAAGGCTTTTTTCCCGGTTTCTAGAAAAATGTAATTTTCAAACAAGTTCATTTCATACACGGTTAATCCTGAATCCTTAAATTGCATGGAATATAATAGCCGAAGATCTACATAGACATTTTTACAATCGAACAGTTAGTAAGAGCCATTCGGCTCTGTGACCTTGGAATTCTAGGAGATGAGAACAAAATTAAAGGCAATGAACATTCGTTAGTTTAAAACAGCGATTAGCAATGAATAAGCGGTGTCTATTTCCAGAAGGATTTAGGGACACCCGCAGTATATGCTGTAAAAGCCCTTTCGTACGGCACGGCATCATTTTCAACGCAATTTTCGCGTCCTTCTCGAAAAAGCCAGTGCAGAGGCCTTTGATGCAGAACACCTTCGGTTTTCTGTTGCCGGTCCACTCGACGACGCCCGATGGAGTGAATCCGTAGCGTTCACCTTTTCTCTGTTCGCAGAGTTTGCTGAAAGTCGCAATAATGACAACAGTATTGATTGGAAGCTTAACTCACAAGTAAATTAGTCTACAAAACACTACAACACTCAGTGTTTTGTCTCCGACGTCCTTCGCTAGCCATTTGTAATTTAAGTAATTTGTGCCGTGGCTTTGCCGATTCGCCTCGAAGTTCGAGGCTCGAACGACTTTTTCGCAAAAGTCTCGTCACTGATTAATTGGTTCAGTGTTCTCTCGAATCCATCTTTTACTTGGACTCTTGCCGCGTATCATATTTTCGCAGCCATCTGTAGAAATTTACCGATGGGGACAATCTTATCCGCGGGGATCGTGTTGATTCTGAAAAACAACATTTTTTGTGAAAGAACTTCATAAACTTTTCATACCCGCATTCCTTGAGACAACCGAGCACAGCTTCCGCAGTCGACAAGTCCGGTGGCCGGACAGCAAAAAACTATGTAAACTTGATCACTGCCAATTCCTTTTGTTTTCGCCTTCTTGGCGTTCGGCTCTGTGCGGTGGCTCTCCTTCGGCACGTGTCTCCTCTTTACTCCGTTAGCGACGATCGGCGCCGCACTCAGGGTTGGAGCCGGAATTTGGAGCGGTCCTGGAAGCGATGGTGCGTTCTGGACCAAATGAACAGGAGCGGTGCTTGGCGGCAGATCCTGCTGCGCGTCCGGGGCTGTTGCAGATTTCCGGACGATCTCATTTGATCCTCGTCCTCGGAACGGGGCGGCGGCATATCCTCCGACGGTGGCGACCCTTGCTGCTGTCCCGTCGGTGCTCCCGGCGGCGGCGGAGTGTCCTCGGACGACTGCCCTGTTGGATGATTGTTCTCGGCGGCTCCAGGGGGCGGCGGATTATCCTCGGACGCCGGCGAGTCTTTCTGCTGGCTCGACGGAGTTCTTGGTGGAGGAGTCGCAGCGGGGAGCGACATATTTATATCCTGTCTTGCAGACGGCGACGGCAGTGGAAGTGAGAAGCGAGCCGTCCTTTTCGCGGGTCCGAGCATCGTCCGAATTGCTGGCGGAGGGGTTCTGAAATCCAAAATGTCGAAATTTGTTCACAACTACCAGCGCAAAAAGCTCTAGAATCTCGATTTTCAAGATGAAAATCGAGTGTTTGCTTCTGAAACAACAAATTGAAACAACAAAAATGAAACGACAAATTTTGAAGAGAAGAGAAGTGGCTAATCCTTTGCAACGGAAGAGCTCTTTCCCGAACAACCGTTAAATGCAAGCTCGCTCTATCGAACACCGAGTGCGCACTGTGTTTGTCATGTGAACAATAACACTTCCAAAACAATTTTCCCTGAAAAATCTTTGATTTTTCTTGAATTTCCACTTGAATATCATAAACTTGAACTTTTCGTGCCCTAAGTGCTGATTTCTGGATTAATATTGCGAAATATTCCTTCAAAAGAGACGCAGGTTTTGTTGACATGACTCATCCTCCGGTCACCCTTATATTTCTCCTCAATTTCGTCACCGTTTCCACCTCTTTTATAAAGATTCCTGTTCTCCTGCATTTTTTCTATCATTTTCCAGAGATGTCGATTAGCTGGGGAGCCCAATATCCGAAGCTGAAGACGAATTTGCGGCTGGGAATCAATCGATTGCAGCTGCTCGGCAAGAAAAAGACCGAGATGGCGATGAAGGCGAGAACCGAAATTGCCGATTATATTGCTGGTTAGTCGAACAAACGTTATGTGATTCATTTGCCGAATTTGACAAAATTCGAGTGTCAAGCATCCCCAGTGTCTTGTTGAAAATCAGTCTTATTCAAATTTACAGCGAACAAGCCGGATCGCGCGCGCATCCGCGTGGAGCATATCATCCGCGAAGACTATGTCGTCGAGGCATTCGAAATACTCGAAATGTACTGTGACCTGCTGCTCGCCCGTTTCGGTCTCATCGAACAAATGAAAACGTTGGACGACGGCATCGCCGAAGCGGTCATCAGCATCATGTGGGCTGCGCCGCGTCTTGCCACCGACATTGCCGAGTTTAAGACAATCAGCGATCAACTGACCATAAAGTACGGAAAACCGTTCGCCGAAGCGGCTCGCGCCAACCAACTCGAGTATCCGGCTCGTGTGAATCCCAAGATTATATCAAAATTAGGAGCACAAGCACCGCCCAAGTTGCTCGTCGAACGGTATATGATTGAGATTGCGGCGGCCGCAGGAGTGCCGTTCGTTCCGGATCCGGATGTGATGCGGGAAGATGAGGTGCATCAGGCCGAACAGATATTGATTGATTTCAAGAATGCCGGAGGACCTGCAGGACCACCACCACCGCCTCCTAGCGATGTAAGAAATCTTTCATACTATCTATTCTCATTTTTTTCAATTGCAGACCCCTTACGGAGGAGGAGGAGGAGGTTCCAGCGGAAACGACGGAGGCGGCTACGGCTGGAATGTTGAGCATCCTCCTGGCGCCCCAGCTCCCATCGGTGGCGGAGTTGCACCGTACGGCGCTCAGATTGGCGGAGGTGTCGCACCGGCAACCAACTACATCCCGCCGCCACCAACCCGTCATCCGAATGAAATCCCGGCAGGTAATTCTTCGATTTCCATACGCATTCTCACGATTTGTCCGTGGTTAGTGAGGTAGCTGGGTGGTAAAGTGAACGCTTGTGCAGATATTGTGATTTCCCAAAATCTGTACATTAGCTAGCAAAGCAGATTTCCCCGTGCGAATCCGAATGCGGCGCTTATCTTTTTATAGACGACGAGAACATTTATGATCATATACCCGACGTGTCCGGTATGTAAGTCTGTCCGCCTACGCCTCCTCTTCCGTTTTTGTCTTGTACATGTCTCCCTGTTTTCGTGTATGTGTCTTCAGTTGAATTTCAAAGTTATATATTCCGTTCGGTAGAATTTTTCCGTGGCTTCTTTAGATTATATCTTGATCAGCTTTTCTATTGTGTGAAAAATGATAATGGCAGACAGGCACTTGATTTTCGACGTTAAAAATTTATTAGAGCTTCAGTTTTTGAGTAATTCGGATGTGTTGGAAAATAACCTTTTGCAACAATACCTTGAAACAATTATTGTGAATCGAGCTACTGCTATCGGTGCCGCGGATGTGTTGTTTTCCAAACAGGACAGGGCAAAAGGTCGGCCTATACCATTTGAAGGCCTGTCGAGGGCTGGACTTTTAACCAACTTGCAATAATCTGATCGAAGCAAAACTTTGCAAGCTTCTTGAACTCCGATTAGAGTATTTTGGGTCGGAGTTTCAGACCAATCGGACCATTTACATTAAAAAATTTGAAGATTTTTGGGGATCTGCAATATGGCTTTTGTGAAGTGCCCTAACTTTGGGAAAATTCAGCGTATGTTTGTTTTCCGTTTTTTTTTCGCTTTTTTACATCGCTGAATTGAATTTTTTGGCGTAAAAAAACGGAAACCAAATCAATTTTTCACAGCCTGAATAACGCCATTAGCTTTCCCTCCACCCTTCAATGTTTGTGTTCTATATTTATATAAATTTCCATCGATCGTACTCTTCTTACACTTTTTCACTTTCAGGTAACAACATTTACGAGGTGCCGAGCCGTGATCATTACGATTTCCCTCCCGACGCGTTCACCGCTGAGCCGCCAAAGTAAGCGAAGCTACAGTATTCGTTCCTAACCCAAACATTTTCTTTCTAGAACCAATCCGACTGTGGGAGTAATAAATCTACCGAAGATCGGGCCGAATGGAATGCCAATCTATCCGGGACAAGGAGTTCCGACGGCGAAAAGCTCTGCCGCTTCCACTTATCCGGCTCTTTCGCAACGGGTGAGCTCGAGAAAATAGGAAAATTGGGATTACTGTAATGGGTTTTTGGGCGAAAATCGGTGGATAATCGGATAATTGCTTTGTCTTTATTTTGATTCATCCCGTTTTTCTTCGTCGTGCTGCTAGCCTCTCACCTAAATCTTTATAAAGGCCAGCTCGTCCTTAATTCGACTATAAATCTTCTAAACTTTAAACTTCCTTGAAGAAGTTGGTAAAAGTGGGAATGATCAAAGTTCTGTCTATTTTCTATCTACGACGCTTCCCACTATAACCTGACTCTGCTTTTATTTTTCATCCATTCTCTCTTCCTCTTTTTTTCTGAAAATATCCCAGGGGACCGTTCGGTGTCGAGTGCTCGTTTCCAGAGTAGAGCTCAAAGCGCACACATGAGGCAGAAGAGCACAGTTGTGTGATTTTCTTGTCTTTTGACAAGTTTATTCGAGCTCTGAATGAGCAGTGGCCTTTTTACATTCGAAAAGCTCATGAATGTTCGAAAAGTTTCATTAGAATCATGACTCTTGTACGAAGACGATGTTTCGTTCAATCTATCTCCCTTATCCACAGAACTTTCTGGTCGTCTTATGCCCACACTCCCCACTCGTTTCTCTGAAAATGCAGCCAAGTCGCCACGTGAGAGGATTTTGGAAACAAGCTTCCACTTGCATCATTTTTTTTCGTTCTCCACACAATTCCTCTTGCTTTTCTCCCGAAGAGTTGCCCTCTCCTGGGAATCGTCCACACACGAGTCTGCCAGAGGAATGAAAAATCGGGTAACGTGCATTTTGGGAAATGAAAAACTGCAACAATCTGTTGTGAAGAAGATTGAGCTTTTGACCTGGGTAGTGAGAAATTCTAGTTTTGACAGACATGTTTCAAAATATTATTAGTTTCTTGACTACTATGATGGCACTACAGTTATTCTCCACGATTCCGTCATTATCGCTTCACAGTTTTTAGTTATTGAAACTAGATCGATTGATAGCAAAATTTTACAATTGGGTGTGGCACGGGCACACGCGTTAGCTGACAATTTCAAAGAGCTGAGCTGTTGGGAAAAAACTGTAAATCTACGAAAATGTCCGTTTCCTTCTTCCCAAGCTTGTCTTTATTTGCTGTGATAGGGTTCAGCAACGCCCCGGATCGGCTTGCTATAATTTGATTTGTCTTGACACGTCGTTGGGCTCTGCTGGTGCTCCTTTCCAATTTCTTCTAAAAAAGGAGGTTCTTCGTCTTCGTCTTCTTTTTCGCTCAACAATATCGAATTGTCATTCTGTATCATCATCTTTTTTTCGTCGACTGCAAACACGCGCACACAAAAAACAATTAGAGGCAATTTTATTAAAAAATTCCGGCACCCCGCGTGTGTCAGAGCTAGAGTTGAGGAGAGGCAAAACATGATCATAAAAAGGGAATGCTTCGGCTTTCTGTTTGTGAAGGTTTTTTGAAAACAGGTCCCTTGCTAGTAGAGCCTGCATCCCCACCTTGTTTCTAATGATTTTTCAATAAAAAATGAGCCCAAAAGTTATAGGAGCCGTAAGATCCAGTTACCGTTAATCTTCATGAAAAGCCTCCTAAGCTATACTTATTCACTTCGACTTCCAATTTCCATTTCAATTTCCAGCCATTGTGTGTTTTGTGCTTCTCTCTGTTTTATTTTTCCAAGTGCACGGAGAATACGTGGCTCCTCTCTCATTTCCTGCTCTCTTCATCTCACATTCGTTTTCACCCCTTGGGACCAATTTTCTGAGAACTTTTGCATTGAGATAGATAGAAATTGCCGACCACAACAAGCCCCTGGCTACTTTCGAAGAATCTCGGCCAATATTGACTTGGAAGACTTCAAGAAGAATTTATAAAGCGTAAAAATAGATTATGATATTCTGACCGTACCTGACTTCATTAATACTTGCTCATCTTTGTGATCTGTTGACGTTCTCAAGTGAATTTGAAAGATGAAAGTTAAATAGTCATGTTAATTTTTCAGCAAGGAAAGTCATAATTTTTAAACAAAGTCCTGGTTTAACTTCAGGACCCCCTTACTGTCACTTGACGTGTAAACTACACGTCAAACGAAAAGAAGCTTCAGAAAATCCTCAACCACTGTTTTAGTTTTTCAATTACCGAAAAGCGAATTCTCTGCCTACTTTTGCTCTTTCCGCCTGTCTTCCTCCCATTCCTTCTCTTCCATTTCGTCAGATTGTTTTTGGTTGTTCCACTTCTCTTCGTCATCTTCCTCTTCTGATAGCCAAACTGAGTTAGCCTCTGCAGAATGCTTCTTCTAACTCGTACCAAGACTCTGTCAGCTTCTGATTCATCTCGTAAAAAGTCGAAGTCAGTGAAGAGATGCTCTTCTTGCAAGCGTCCAAACAGCACTCGCCGCTGCAAAACGCCCGATCCGAACTCGGCGGCGGCCACTGCCGAAAGGGAGAAGATTCGCACCCGTAGCGGATCTTCGTCCAAAAAAGAGAAAAAGGTGGATATTGTAGGGGAAACAAAGTATGATAATTAGATAGTTTTAAAAAACTTTACAACATTATCTCAACTCATTCTCCATTTCCAGAATTCTCTAGTGAATCCGAACTTGCCGCCCACGCATCCATCAAACCATCCGACTGCCCCACCTCAATCGCTTCGCAAGCCGGACATCGATGACTTTTCCGGTAATTCGTTTAATTTTTCAATTCATTTGATCATCACAAAATGCTCTCTCCTTTGACACTTCTAAAATCCTCTAATATCCTTTTTCCTTTAGATCTATCTTTCCCGGAGCCACCTACCACATTCATCAGCGGCGGCGGCGGAAACAACAAGCCAGGATCGGGAGGATCTGGTGGTGGAGCCGGCGGCGGTGGAGGTGGAAGTGGCGGAGATCTTGACTTCGACGACCTCGCTCGCCGCTTCGACGCACTCAAAAAGCTCAAGTAGAGATGCATTGAATAGAAATCAATATTTTTGATTTCCCCCTATTCATTTCTCTCTACTTTTATTTTGACTTCACGTGTTTCCTTTGTATCATACGCCCCTCTTCTGCACACCCGCAAAAAAAGAAACTTCTATAAGCTTTTTTCGTCCCCTTCTTCGTCTCTACTCTCCATTCGCATAGAGCTTGTTTCCATGCGCAAGCGTTTTATCGATTTATGATAACACCTGTAAAAACGTTATTTTAAACAATAAAGCTGAGCACAGATCCGACTGATTTTGCAAAACTTGTCCGAATAATTCAATGCGTTGTTGCTTATATTAACCGTTTCTAAACTCTCATAATACGATCGTCTTGCAAAATCTGAATGCGCATTAATATTCGCAGATGGTCGGACAGAATTCGTTCAAAATCGAGACATATCTGCTGGATCGAGAGCTCGCAATCCCAACAAAAAGAACTGGTGGCGGAAGTTCGAATATTGTCAACACATTCGTAAGCGTGAAATACGCTTGAATAAATCTAAGCATGCAAAATCTCAATTTTCAGCGCACAAATTTTGCTGAAGACCAATTCTGTCAGAAAGACGTGCGAGAACACACGGGATGCGTGAACGCACTCCAGTTCTCAAGAGATCAGCATTTGTTCGCCAGTGGTAAGTTTGAGCGTGTCCTCTGAGCAATTAACAATCATATTTTTGAAGGCGGCGACGACTTGCACAGCCGAATCTGGTCTGTCGACGAACTGATCACCAGAAAACAGCCGAAACCCAAGGCCGTCATGTGCACACCGCACTTCATGAACATTTTTTCGCTCGAATTCGATTTAGAGTACGAGTCTATCTTGGAAACATCAAAATAAATGTGGCAAAGTTTTCAGCGGAAAGCATATTTATTCTGGCGAACGACGGGGTCGAGTTTATAAACACAACATCGAGACGAATCGATTGGCATGTGCACCGAGCGTCAGTCGTCGGGAAGACGACGCTTTTCACTTGAATCAAAATGTTAGCCAACTCCTGCCTTTCTCTCAGCTGCCAACTTCCCTCTTTCAGCCGATCGACAATGAGATGGTCGTGGTGACGAGACGCCATCGCATTTCGTTCCTTGACAGCCGTGACTTCCAAAATCCGATTCCATTCCAACCGACTCTAGGCTTCGGCGGCGACTTTTACACAGCCGAGTTTCATCCGGTCACTCCGCGACTTTTGCTCGTCAACTCAAAAAAAGGAGGTCCGAATGTGTATGATGTTAGAATGCCTATAAGGTCGGTGTTGAAGGGCGCTAGTATCCACAGTGCTTTCGGCTTTCCAGACCGGTCTACGAGCGCAGTCAGTTTGCGGCATCCCCGCCTGCCAGCCACTACGCCTGGATGGGCAGCATGTGGAGTCCGTCGGGCAATCAGTTCATGTCGATTCGTAACAACGCGTATCCAGTGTATTTCGATGTGAGTGCATCATTTTTTTTAGACTAAAAACGCATTTTCAGCTGATCAGCAAACGCTGCTTTAACCTGAAGAGCGAGGGATACCTCAACTGCCATACAATCAAATCAATGACGTTCATCGACGATCACACAGTCGCCACCGGCAGCGACCACTTTGGAATCCACGTGTGGAAAGTGCCGCGAGCCGGAGAAGACGAAGGATTTCGGCGAGTGGTACATCCAAGGCCGGATGCGTACATTGTCCCAAAAGCGATAAAAGTACTTCACGGACATCGTTCGATTCCGAACAATATGCGTTACTCGACGCTTAATCAGATTCTCATCAGCTCCGGCGTCGAGAACTCGATCAAAGTGTGGGCAGGACGCCGCATTCCGTGGTCCTACGATATCCCATTTGTTCGCAAAAAAGCTGGACAGTACTTAGCGCATGCAGATGAAGAGACAATTCGGGAAAAGGAAGAGCGTCGATTGGTCGAAGACGCGTTGGATAAAAATGGAGAGATGGAGGGAAGGGCCGGATGGGAGGAGGTGTTCGGAGGAGACCCGACAACCGCAGAGGATCGGAAAACCCTAGAATCATTCGATAATATGATGCGTCGTGAGATGCAGCTTGGGAACTATAACGATGTATTCGGCAGCAGTGACAGTGTAAGCGTTGATTCGCTAAAGAGCTCTGTGCCCGCTGAGCTAACGCTCGGTAGGGGCTCCGCCGCTCGTTTGCTTATCAGAACTGTTCGGAAAATCACGTGTTCATTTCTTAATTCATCTGTCAAAGGACAAACAACAAAGAAAGAAAGAAATAGATAGCTTTTTATGAAATAAGAATGATGCTGATCTAAATTCTCATTTTTCAGGACGACGACGACTACTATCCGTTGAGAAGAGTCAGTAAGTTGAATCGAACTCTAGTCGAAAAACAACTAAACTCGTATTCTTTTCAGTACAGTTCTTCGATCCTGTGCTCGCGGCCGCGTGGGATCAAGTTGGCTCTTCTGATGAAGACGAGAACGAGGAAAATGAGCAGGTGGGAGAGGAAGTAAACAACAGTTCCTCAGATTCTGATGAGAATGACGATGGAAACGACGATGAGAACGGCGCTGAAGAGATCGATTCTGAAGATGAAAACAACGACAATAGCGATTGATTTATTAAGTTGAATTTTCTCTTTTTGATTCCCACACATTGTAATAAATCTGAAAGAAAGAGACAGATTCCATGAACTCGGCTACTGAAAAATGAAGTAATGCGCGAATTCTGAACCGAGGAGGCATGGGTCACCTTTCGATATATTCTGATAGACGAGGTTGATGTCACGTACGAAAACTGGCGATGATAAGACATTTCTCCCTTATCATTTCCTCGCTTGCCTTAAAAATGTCATCTCTTCTACAACTATTGTATTGTTTCCAATGTGGAAAACTTTATGGTACGAGATTTGCTCAGACATTCGTCGCCCGTACATTCTCTTATAGATGAACAAGATCGGTTGCCCTGTCTTGGGCTTCAACAAGAATTTCTTTGTCTGAAGTGTTTGGAATCTTTTGCGAGTTGGCCAATAATCAAAACGGCTGTTAATAAAGAAGCGTTGGAGGTCTTGCGAGCACTTCGAAACAAGTTGACAACTGAGCAGAAATCTGAAATTTCAGAAGTCGTTAAGGTATTTGTGGTGTTTGTCCAAACACTTGTCCAGCTTTCTTCTTCAGAATATCAACGAGGGACGCTGCTCAGAATGCTCACTGACTTCCAAAAAACTCAGAATCTGTCTGGATTGCTGTCAAGCTTCTGGTCTTCTGAAAACTGACACGAAGCTGACATTTCCAGAAAGAGAAACCCATGAGGACCCGATTCACGAACTAAAGTCCACTTCGATTTGCTCCGATTGTGCAATTGACCAAAAGCACAAAGAGCACAGGATTGCGAACATCGGCAGCATTGAGAATATCGAGGATCTTTTGGAGCTCAAGTACCTTTTGGCCCTCGGAGCGAGTTTTTATTCGGAAACAGAGCCGACCGATTGGAGATGTATTGTTGTGGAGAAGTACAGGAATGCAGTGAGCAAAATGAGCCAGTGGAACAGTTATTGTGAAACATTCGATCCGATTGCATCGCTGGAACATTTGGAAGAAGAACACTTGAAGAGTGCGCTCGAAAAGTCCAGCAGGCGGGTTGAGAAGGCATGGGAACACGTGCAGAAGCTGAAAATGCGACAATTTGCCCTTCACAAAGAGCACTTGAGCCAATGGATTGAGTACATTGTGGACGAGGATGCGGAAGACGTCCAGGGCAAGGAGCGTATTTTGCAAGAGTTGATTGGCCTTCAGGAGAAGCTGGAGAAAGGATTAGAAGCATTGAAATCTGTGGATATTGGAGATATCGATAAGGAAACGGAGAAGAAGATGATGGAATCGGAAGAAGACGCCCGGAAAGATTGTCTGTTTAAACTGGAAGCAAACTCGAAATATTTCAAGTACAAAGCATTGGCAAAAGAGATCCGGGAAGCGTACGACCAAAAGTATATGGAGAAAATCAACGAAGAAGCGGAGGGAGCAAGAGAGAAACTGACGAATCTGCAAATGAAACAAGAACAGCTACTCGCCCGGATTGAAGAGAATTCTCAGGAAGAAGGCCTTGCGGCTGAAAATCGAACAGAGTACTTGGCAAAGTACAAGCGGATTGTTCAGATGGAAATGGTGTGCGAGGCAGCGAAATGTGACGTGGTATCAATGAAAATGATGGAATTGCTGAAACGAAAAGTGTTCGTCGAGTTGATGTATCTCAAGTTCTTCCCGAGCATTCCCGACTCTGACTATGAAGACAGCGTGTTCGAGGATCTTTTGACACATATCCGTAATGATGTTTTTGAGTGTTAAATGTTTACAATCCTTTACCCAGTCTGTAGAATTCGCTGCCAAAAAAGTGTTTCCATTTTCCTACGGCAAAAGCTGAAGGCACACTTCCGTGGTGCAATGAAAATCTCACAAAAATTGCGCTCTGTTCGCAATCCGGCCGATCTGATGTGTCGTTTTCGCCATGCGGCTCGTCTTGTTAACAAAGAGTTTATTAATCGTTCACAGAAAAGGTAAAAACTCGAAAACACCCTTTTCATTCGTCTTATTTCAACTGCTCCACCGCAATCTGCCCATTCACATTCTCATATGCCATTGCGGGAGTATACACGATGGTCGTTTGCATATTGTGCGGCAATTGGAGCATTCCGGGCGCGAATCCGATTCCGGGGTACTGTGGAGGAACTTGATTTGGAATCGGAGCAGCTGGCGGAGCGATGGTCGGCTGAGGCGCAATCTTGTGGTCTGGAGGTGTCGGCGGTGGCGGGGACTTCTTTTCGTGCTGATGGTGATGATGCTCCTTCTTCTCTCCAGTTTCCATAAGAAGCGGCTGGTTTTGATTTGCAATGAACACCTTGTTGTGAGCCTGTTGGGAAGCATGCTTCGAGTGGCTATGAGTATCCATCGGATGCGGTTTTCGTTGAAGCCAGAGGTCAATGGCAAATCTTGCGGAAACGGTCAAAAAGAGCGCAAGAAGCATGAAGAAGCTCAGGAAGATTCGGACGATATCGAAAGTGAGCAGTTCGATCGCCTGCGCCGTGTAGTAGACAGTCTTTTCGTCATCGGAATCCCAGAGGTACGGAGTGAACAACTCGACTATTTTCACATCTGGAATTCGAGTAATTGGAGCCTCGCAGGTGAGAATGAGACAATTTCCAGGTGAAAAGCTGATTACTGTAGGTAAGAATAAGAATAAATTTCAATTAACATGAAACAGGTGCCTAGGAGGGGACTACTGTAACCTTCGATGTGTCTGGTAGAAAACTTACACATCTCGAACCACATTGGCACATTCATGATGATCACAGCCAATGAGCCCCATGCCAGACGGCTCCGGGCATCGTCCACCACCGGGTCTCCGCTCAACACGACAACATCCGAACTGTTGGGTCGTCTGGAGCATAGCAAACCGACGCATAGACACTGAATGTTGAAAGTCAAAGAAAGATCATATAATGGGTCTACCACAAGAAGCTCTGCAACGATTCCGATGGTGGCTAGGATATAGGTGAAGAAGAGAGAAGCCGCCGGAAGTTGGTTCCATTGATAGGAGACAAAGTGGTAGGAGCCGGAGAGGAGGGCGGAGAAGAAAAGGACAGAAAAGTAGGAGATCCTGAAATAAACTCTAACTAACCGCCAACGAATACCGAAAACTGACCAGGAATCACAAGGCTTGAAGTTCTGCCGTTTCCTTGCCACAATGATCAGAGCACAAAGGTAGAGAATGGAACCGATGCATGTGTTCAGAACGGCAGTGGTGTAGAGCCAGTTGTAGAACATCAGAAAAACCATATAACACCAACCATAAGCCCCTTCTAGAATACTGTAGACGGCCAGAGCCATCTTAAAAACCGAGGAGAGCCCGAGTGGAATATAGACGATGCTCAGAAACACTTTGGTGACGTCGTGTTTGATTTTGAAGCAGAGGAGGATGAATACGGCGATCAGCGCGAGCTCGAGTACACTGATTCCTGCTCCAATGGCGCCACCGTACAACGTTTTTTTCGTGTACAGCACATCCGGAAATGCACATTTCACCGTCGTCTTCTTCTTGACAGTGGTTGAGTTACAGAAGAGTGTGGACAAGAGAGGGAGACCTGGAACTGGGTCCAGGTCCATCGACATGCTCGATAGTTGATTATTTCAGAATGGACGAAAGCTGTGAGTGGGAAAAGCAACCGCTTTTGGCGAAAAGTCGTGGCAGGTGGAATTGGTTGTCATTGGAAACCAAACCGCTTTCAGCTGTTCTTCACAGTTGGAGAGATGTCTGACGCTGGTGTTTGTTTTTCAGCTCCGATAACCAATTATGTCGGGGAGACAAACTAACAGAGTTAATTGTTAATCTGTGTGCTCAACTGTTCCGAACAAGAGTTTAGTGAGTTAGCTTTCGAGACATTCTTTTAATTATGACGGTCCATTTCAACCATTCAATTTGTCTGGAAATGATTGGAATATCCTCGTATATGGCCCAATCTTTAGTTGTAGCGTATTCCTCGGTTCAATGCGTTCTCGGTGATGTCTGGTTCTTGGTTGGTTTTGTACTTTCCTCGAAGTGCAATGCAACGACACAAAAAATTTTTCCTGCCGGTTTCCATCCCCTTCTTTTCCGTTTTTCATCCGAAACCATTATTTCTGAAGAGAGAACACAAAGCGGCGAAAGGCAGAGAAACAGACGAAAATGATATTGATGACCAAAACAGTCAGACACTCAGTGATAGATCGGTGGAAAGACACTATATAAAGGTTGGGCCGAGAGAGAGAGAGAGAGAGAGACCTTCGTCTATTCATATCATCTGACCGCTCTTACAGACATGCCGACTTACGATTTTACCGACAAACGAATTCTTGTGACCGGAGCCAGTCAAGGTGAGCTCTTTTTTTTTAAATAAAAACGAGAACTTGAGCAAATGGGTTATGTCAACGTATCTCGTGAAATTGAAATCAGTCGATCATAATAAGATCATAAATGGAATATGCGAATTTAACTTCTAATGGAGTAAGGTTACAACGATCAGAAGCACGTTGAAGTTAGTTAAAACTTGTGCCAGCTGTCAGCTAATATTTCAAACACATAATGGCATTTCCGGCCCAAACTTTGTTCTTCACTACGAATAATTTGATAAGATAGCAGAAATTCTTTGGCCACAGAATTTGTGTCTCTCTCTCTCTCTCACTCTTTTCTTCTGGTCGATCAAACTAAACCATAGGATTCTTTTTATAAAGTGTGTGTGTGTGTTTCGATGCGTTGAGAAGACAAACCTATTTATGGAAAGAGAAACGAATCATCAAACATCGCTTTGCAGGAATTGGAAAAGAGATTTGTTTGTCGTTGGCCAAGGCCGGAGCACAGGTCATTGCATTCGCACGCAATGAGCCAAATCTGCAGGCGTTGGTCAAAGAGACCATTTCGTCGGTGAGTCGAAATTTTTTCCAGAGTTGAATTGATCAACGTATTTTCTTTAGAGAAACACAATAATCCCAGTTGTTGGCGATGTGAGCGCCAACGAAGAAGTTCTTTTCAAGCTGATAGTTCCACACTTCCCCATCCACGGACTCGTCAACAACGCTGGAATTGCTTCAAACCACGCCATCGGGCAGATCACCCAGCAGTCCATAGACCGGTACCGTAGTCCCACACTAATCGTCGCATTATCTCTCAGCTTCCAGAACCTTTGCCGTCAACGTTCGTGGCCCAATCCTGATCGCTCAACTGGTCGCCCGTAACTTTGTGGATCGTCAGATCAAGGGATCAATTGTCAATGTTTCGTCCCAGGCGGCGATTCGACCACTCGACAATCATACAGTCTACTGTAAGCACTATTGCAGGGTAATGTGGTCTGATATCGACAATTTAGGCGCCTCAAAAGCCGCGCTTGATATGGTGACAAGGTGCTTGGCGAATGAGTTGGGATCGCAAAATATCCGCGTGAACAGTGTCAATCCGACGGTAGTGATGACCGATATGGGAAGAGATGTGAGCCCTACACTAGGTCTCCCCGCCATAAAAATCGCTTGTGTTTTAGAACTGGAGCGACCCCGCCAAGAAGCAGAAAATGCTCGACCGAATGCCGATCAAACGGTTCGCCGAGGTAGACGAAGTGGTCAACGCCGTTCTTTTCCTGCTCTCCGACGCCTCCTCAATGACAACGGGATCGGCGTTGCCAGTCGACGGAGGATTCTCGAACAATTAATGGAAATAGATGGAATTGTAGAAAAATCATAGCATTTCTTGATAATGTAATCTTCGGCCCCTCTGTTTATTTCTTTGTCATTTTCTTCTGTCGATCTGCCACTTTTTGATATCTGAAAAAATTGTGACAGAAAAATTGAAATACTTATGAACTCGTGAACTTTCAGTAAAGCGGCAAAACTACGAATCCTGTGTTCAAAAGTCTACACAACTTGAAATAGTAAAATTTACATATTTAGCACACGGTTAATCACAATCACAAAATTATTTACGGTCCTTTAAAGACTTTTTGGCAATTGACTGCGTAGCGACTCGGGCGCAGTTGTAGGCGGTGTTATAGTTAGTGTTTAGAGTCTTTTCGGAAAATTTTCTCGAAAAACCCTTTCTTCTTTGGTGACGTTGTGGCAGCTTGAGATTTTTCCGCAGGCGCTTGGTCCGGAGTCTCTTCGGCTTCTTTGATAATCTGTCGGAGTTGCTCCTCTTCGATTTCGTCTTCATCCGAAGATTCGTTCGCTTCCTTTTCGTTCCGTCGATCCCAAAACTGCGCCATCTCACCGCTAATCTTTTCGTTCCATTGCATGGCGTCGAGCGATTTTTGTCGAGCTGAAGAATTTCCACTTTTCTCTATAAAACAGCGTATATAGGAGACACTCACTTGCTTTCATCACAGATCTTAGCTCTGCTGTGTCTTTTTCCTCCTGAGCTCTCGTCTCTGCCACGCGCTTCTCTGCATCGTTCAACAGACTGAATACTTTTTAAAAATTCTAAACACTGAAATCTCACTCCGCCTACCCATTAATCTCGTTCATTTCTTCCTTGGTCGCCTCGCTGAATTCAGTGCCTCCAGACACCACCGACTCCCGTACGTTTCCCAAATCTTCCTCTTTCCCTCCTTCTTCATCTCTTAGTTGCCGTCTTCTCTTCTCAAATTCTTCAATTTCCATTAAATCTGCTTCCTCCTCTTTTTGCTCAATCCGTGCTCGATCCTCAGCGATTTTGATGAGTTCCGCTGGCGTTTTCGCTTTTTGATTTGATGAGAATGGATCCGTTTCCGATGGAGCAAACCACTGAAAAGGGGAGTTTATAGAATTTATTTCGAAGTTGAAGAAACCGTACACTTCGTGGATTTCGTATCAGTTCTACATCCACACCTCGCAACTTTGCGAATCTTTCCTCAATCTCCTCTTGGCTTAATGCCTCGTTTTGTGGCTCCAGATCCTGCCGGAGCTTGGCTCTCCGCTGTTCAAGCTCCCAATCCGGGTTTGCATTCGGAGCTGGGGTTGGAGCATTATGCTGAAACAATCATTCTTATTAATATAACTCTTGGGGGTTTGTCCCTCTATTTGCTTATTTCTCCGTTTGTCCGTCCCACTTTCATTTCTAAACCGAAAAAGTTGTGAGGAAGAAATTAAGAAATTAACACGTGAACTCATAAACGGTTATGAGAAACAAACAAGCGGCGAAGCCAATTTTTTTGTGAAGTAAAAAAGCGGCCCTTAAATCGACATGGCCTGTGCGTGTTTCTCGTCCATCTTTTCATAATTTTTTTCGCGGTCACATTTGGTCCGGGATATTACAGGTGGTCCAAAAGTCCCTCCGCTAGTTCCCACGGGAAAAATGAAAGTGGTGACGGACAAACGGAGAAATAAACAAACAAACAGAGAGACAAACCCCCCAAGAGTTATATTAACATCACAAATTCGACTTAGAAAACTGATGGTTTCTCGTACTTTTGGAGGAACAAATGGTCTCGTCGTCGCTGAAGGGTTCCCGTATGTGTCTCTGAAGGACGGCGGCGGGTGACCGTCTCCCCACCAGTTTTTTAAACTGCTTTGAGGAAGCGTAGCACGGGAATCGACTCCAGAAGTGCTTGGTAGAGGCGTCGAAGTGATCTGCAACGGATGACGTTTCAAATAAAAATAAATTATTAAGATGTTTATTGGAATCCGAATAAATGGGGAGAATTCACAAACCACAGCTTCCGGCTTCATCTTGGCCGCTTCGAGCTTCTCGTAGCAGCCGTCGCAGACAATCATCGGTCGGTCCGACAGACTCGGGATTATAGATCGATGTGACAAACATTTTTTACAGAAAGAAAGAGCACAACTTGAGCAGCCTGCCTGTAAAAAATTAATGGATTTTTCAGACAAAGAAACGTCAGAAATGAAACGCCAACGCGCAAAAATTCTTGATTTAGCTTTCTTGATTTAGCTTTCTTGATTTAGCCGGAGTATTTTCCTACCTCTCTATTCAACAGCGAGTATTTTGTGCGGCAATTTGTGCAGCACACTGGCATTCGTCTGGAGAAAATTTTTTTCATCGGCATCAATCAATTCTTGCAATAAACGGTACAATGAAGTAACACAGAACCGACGGATAAGAACCGGTTTTCAACGAATTGATAGAATAAAACTTTGTATTTTATCGGACAACAAATATACAATAAACTCAACAAAAAAGAAAAACTGTGGGAATCTATTTTTTGATAAGCACTATTTATAATCAAAAACCTCTGCTGTAGAAAAATTGTTCGATGAGAGCCCGCGGGGCTCCTTTCACCTTTATTCGGCCTTTGAGTTCGTCGACATGGCTGGCGATGGGATGCCCGAGATGCTCTTCCAGGTAGCTGCGTAGATCTTGCTCACAGGCCTGAAAAATGCAATGTGAGAGAATATAAACTCAAACTGAAAAGTTCGCATACAAAAACATCTCCATCCACATTTCGGACGGTCACCAACTCCACATAATCAAAATCCAGCGTTTTTTCGTTCAACAAATCACGTTTTCTTTCCAAAAACAGCGGCAACAGATGATCGGGACGGCGTCGCACGTAGTACGAGTGTGTTTTGCCCAATTCTGAATATTATGCGTTTTTTCGATTAAAAAGGATAGCTCACCAGTTGGAGGTGTCCATCCACTTGGTGTCGGATAGCTCTCGTGCTTTGGAACTTCAGGTATGATCTGGATCGGCATCAATCGCTCCACAAACGACCAATCGACCGGCACTTCTTCCACTGTCGCCAGCGTTTTTGCTGCAGATTGTGAAATTTTGTCATTTTACTTTTGAAGCGGTTAAATATTATTTTGATGTTCTACTCACTTTTCTCGGGGAGCGCGTGCTTCCAAGGGTTTTCCCACACTTTTTCGTTGTTTTTTTGTACAGAAGAAGTTGAAAAGAGCGCTCGAGCAGAGCCACTGGTTCTACAGACTATGCTTCGAAAAGACGAGGACAACATTTTCTGTAAAAAACTTTTAATGACATGACAGTTTCAAAGAAAAAGGTGTTAAAATAGCAAAACATAAGAGACCGCTCAGGCAAATCGTTTGTAATCTAGTTAGAAGATTTCGTAATATAAACCGAGTTCCTAATCTAGCTAGATGAAAATGGAATCTAAACTAATTTTAGCTTTTCTTCGTTTCGCAAGTTGTCGAAAGTGCAAAAGTTGCAATGAGAAATTCGAAAGTTGCAATGGAACTCAAGAGTTACAATGAGTTTTTCGAATGTTGCAATGAAACTCAAAAGTTACAAGAAGTCTCGCGCATCTTGCAATGAGTCTCGCGCTTTTTTCAACGAACCGCGCGTTTCTTGCAGTTCCAAAACCGTTCGTTGAGACTTGCGAAACGCAATCGTCACAGAAGGTTAATCTAATTAGATGAATTTTGAATCTAATATCAGTGTTTTTGCAATCTAATTAGGAAAATTTTGCTTTTGCAATATAATTAAAAAATGTATCAGTCTAGTTAGAAGACTTTGTTATCTAATCGCAGTAAATTTGTAATCTAACTAAATAGGTCGGGTTAGAAACGCGAATTAGCTAGCTAGATTAGAAACGATTTTCCTGGGCCTGTCAAAACAGCGGATGCCATAACGGCGGAAACAAAGGCTAAAACAGCGGAAAAAACGCGTTTTGTGCGTGTGCCTATAATCTGCAGCTCGCTGATTGGCTGCCTAATCATTTTTCTAAAGGGTGACAAAACAGCGGAAAAACCAGAAATCGCGGATATTACAAGAGCGAATGCCAAAAGAGCGAATGCCAAAAGAGCGGAAACGAACATCTCTTATTTTGGGACACTATATTGAAATATATCTATTTTGAACACTTTAATTGAATAGTCTCACAATTTAATGTGACAAATATGTCCCAATCAGTCCAATAAAAATGTCAGGATTTGAAATTTAAAGCGAATGTTCGTTTCCGCTATTTTGACATTTTTTCCGACCAATCAGCGAGCTGTAAATTAAAGGCACACGCACGAAACGCTTTTTTTTTAATTCTTACACTTTGTTTTGGCATTTCTTTCCGCTGTTATGGCATCCGCTGTTTTGGCACGGTCTCCAAAAAATAAACAAAACATTGCTCTGGTTCTGTTCGTGCCGATTTACGATAAACTAGGAGCCGTTACAACACTCCGCCTATTACGCTCACATCGCAATGGAGCGCGCTTGCATTAGAATTTTGGGCCTTCTCCCTAAAATTTTTATTATTTTCTTTTCTTTTTTGTCGATTTTTTCTGCGCGAATCAATTATTTTTCAAATTTTTTTCACAAATTTGGTGTCAGAAGCTTTTTGCCGCTGTTGTTGTCAAACTATCCCAAAAAATTTGCGCGGAAATCGGAGAAAACTCGCCCAACTCGTCTATTTCCTAAATCTTGCAATTTTCGTTAAAATTCTATTCGTTAATTTATTATATTTTTGCAGGTAAAATGTCTGACGCTCTCGTTTGGCAAGTCATCCGCAACAACAGCGCTTTCATCAGAACTCAGCGCGGAATCGGAAAGAGATTCTCGACCGAGAAGTTCAACCTCAAGAAGGTTAACAGCCCGAAGTACAGCGGACTCGCCAACAAGCACGCCATCGACGTGAGCGCCGCCGCCAAGGGAGTCGTCGTCTCCACCAAGAACCAGAGTAAGCTCATCAATGTTTTATGCCGATAAAACCTATTTTGTTTCAGAGGGAAGACCAGCCAAGGCCGTCACTACCTCCACTTTGAGCAAGACCCCAGTGTCGTCCGTCCGTGCCTTGGCCAAGAGCACCGGATTCAATAAGTTCCACAAGCTCGCCCAGAGACGCGCCGCCGCTCTTGTCCGTGCCCAGATTGTCAAGAAGGCTAAGGTCCAGAAGACTGATGCTTAAATGGCGTTTGTTACGTTATTGTTATCAATAAAAAGCGTTGCTTAAAGTGAAATAGAAAGCACACGTTCATTTAAATTAAAACTAGAGAGAAGTTGAACTTTTCTTCATCACGCAATCAATCCATTTCTGTTTATCATCTTCCGGTACATTTTCTTCCATGTACAAATCGATGTCAGCTTTCATCGAGTCGATTTCAGTCTTTTTTGCTCGTTTGTTGGACTTTGCTAGCTGGATCATAGACTGAAAGCAAATAGAAAAATGTAAAGAACTTCCAGATTTATTTTACCGAATGATCCTCAATCACTCCTTGAACTCCATCTATGGTTGCGTTGGAAATTCCGCAATCAATCAAAGTGTGAGTAGGAAAACCGCTATCGGACAGTATTGCGGAGAGAGGAAAAAGTAACAAAAACAGACGGATCATGGTAGAAGAGAGAAGGGTGAATGAGAAATTGAATCAAACGCGGTTCACATCGAGTTCACTTTAAAAAAAAAAGAACCGGTTTTGTCGGATTTTGGTTATGATCTATTGAAAATGTGCAATATTTAGAGTTTGAACAGTGATACCATTTTCTACGTTCGAAAACATCCTGGATTGGAGTGAAGTGGCGTGTCAAAGTCTGTTTTTCCGAGATAAAACGTCTCTTTTATAGTTCCAATCCTCTAATTTCTGAAAGGAGGCCAGGTACTGCGACAGTGATCCTCTATCAACTTAGTGGGAACGGAGCTATGGAACGCTTTTTTCATGGGCAGTACAATTCAGTCAAGTTACACAAATTTTTCAATGGTAGAATGAATATTCTCTTCTCTTTATTCTTCATTCGACGCTGATGATTATGATTACTGGTTTCAGTAATTGTTTGCTCGAAGTTCTCGACATGTCCTTGAAATTCCAGAGAAGCTAAATTATTTTTTCTGGTCTCCATTTTCTTTTACTTTGCATATATGCCTCTTTATTTTCCTATTAGTTCCAACAAAGTGTGTATCTTCTTTCCGTTTTTCGCAACTGCATCAGCATTATGAAGCATCACGGACTAGACTATTACAATTGATAAGAATGCGAAGGGGGATGAGAGTGGATATGCACCAAAAACCAACAACGCGCTTAGATCGAGAATGGAATGGGCGGGGAAAGAGAGGCGGAGTTTGAAGCTTTAGGGGAAAAAGCTCTGCTGGAAAGTGGGAGCATTATTTTATTCTTTCGCGAAATTCCCTCTGCTTTACTCTCAGCTTCAGAATTATGCAGTACTTTAAAATGGTAAGTTCAAGAAGATCACCCACATGAATTGAATTTCAAAGCTTGATGTGTGAAGGAAATGGTTCTAAAATCTTGGTTCTCAACGTCTACGAACTTTTTAAAGTGGCAAAATGAAAGAAGTTTGGAAATTGCGCTCTACAGCTTTCCGCATAAATTCAGCGCTGAATATGACTGGCTTTTCACGTGGAATTGCGGTAGAGCGAGATTGTCAGAATAGTGAGGTGTGGATAAATCGCTGAAAATTTTCTGCATAGCTGCTCATAAACAGTTGAATTTTACTCCGATCTGAGTTATGGTCGGTCAATACGCCAAACACATCACCTCTTGTTTTTATTATTCTTTTTACGGGTCAAATGAGCGCCAGACTCACATCCGAACTCTTTTCAACACATTACTCTCGCCTGACTGATAATAACCGTGTTCCGTTCCTCTCCCTCTCTCTCTCTCTCTCGCAATTACCCTCTCTTTTTTCAGCCCCTGCTCTTCTGCTTCCTGTTATTCATCGTCGTCATTCTTCCATCGCAGACCGCGGCGCAAGACCAAAATGAGGAATCCTTCTTCCGGCTCCGTGAGTTTTCTCAATACTACTTTTTCTCCTTCAATTGTAAACACACCGGGTCGTCGACTCGGGCCGATACCGACAGCGCCAAGGCATGTGATTGTTGCAGAAAAGTCCGGTCGTCCAGTGATGAAGGCGTTCATGAACCGTTTCCCGTATCACAACCCAATGTTCACACTTCGCGAGCAAGGAGGTCGCCAACATCCGTTTTCTGGTTTTTGAAGAATTTTCACGAACAAAATGTACCATTGACTGTCTGAGAACATGAGAATAAAGTGTGCTTGTGTTGAAGTTTGTTGTTAAGCTGAAGTTGAGGAGGAAATATGGTTTGAAGGTTAGAATCGGGCAAAGTTCTCACGCTTTGTGATACTTCCTGCTGAATAGAATATTATATGAATATTCTCAGAATACCTCCGATCCCACACATCTCAAACCTTCTATTCCGCCAGCGATAATCCCTCGTTTACCTCGATTCACAAAGCTTTTCTAAATCTCTTCGAATGTTATAGGTGCCCTTTCTTGTTAAAATGTCAACTGTCAAGTGCTATCATTGATAGAGATTTCTGAGAGTGTACCCCTACGAAAACATATATATATATATAGCTTGACATTTCATAGAAATTTCAAACGAGAAACCTTCTCATATCCAAATATTTCACACATTACTCAAGCGTTTGCTGTCGTCGGAGCATGTCTCGAACTCTCTCCGCAACACGTTTCTCTCGAGCCGGGATCATTGCTGCGGACGCCGAGGTGACAAAGAAATCCATTACGTCAAGAGGCTGCGGGAGTGACGTGGCATCAGGCGTCAAGAAGCTATTTGGACTGATGTTCACAACTTCTCTCATCGTGTCCTAAAAGATCTCTTCTGTTTTCCGGTGTTGGGGGAGTAAATGGAGAGGGATTAAGACCAGGCGGACAAGAAGAAGGGTTTCTAAGCCTTGCCAATCTCATGACGACTAAACGATACCTGTATTGGGGATTCCGCTGAGGGGTCTGAGGTTCGAGCAGAAGGATTTGAGGTGCGCGCCGAGGAAGACGCACTGTGACTGCGAATACTTTGAAACCGCATTCCAATAAGAGAGGCTCTATAAGTTTGGGGTTGAATACTTGGTTCATTTAGCATGCAAGTAGTAAAACAATACCTGCTCAACATGGCGACAGTCTTAAATCCCCGTTCGTCTGCATTTCTGGACGATATAATATCTCTAGCAGAAGTTATACTGGCCTCTTCAACTGGGACAGTATCATCAGCCACATAGCGCTGCTCTCTGGGAACCATCAAGTTCGTTGGTGGCCTCAAAACATACAATTGAGTTTTGTTGAAAATAGTTGGGAGCTCACAATGGGACAGATTGTCGTTGCAACTTATTGAAAGAATTGAGTGGATTCCTCATCAGGTTCAAGGCAATATGGCTTCTCGTCGGGGCCGGCTCACTTGTAGTTGGCTCTTGCACATTTATACGTGGCAACGGACCAGTTTTTATACTTCGAAGAGATCTTTCTAAAGCTCTCGGTCACTTTGAACGACAGGCTCCGCTCACCAAACGACTTTTTCATATCCTCGCGTCTATCCGGGTCCTGACAGTTCACCATCACCACAAAGATCATGTTGAAGACGGGGGTAATGAAAAGCAACGACTTCAGGACACTCAACAACTCGTCATTATCAGTGTTTGTGGAAACGGCATGAGTGAAGGCGAAACGGGGAATCACCAGGAAGAGGATGACGCTGAGGAACTGAGAAAAAACGATTGTTTTGTCACTTTTGTAAACAAGGGGAAAGGGACAAGCCTGCTAAATTATGTATACTCTAAAGCGAAAAACCTACTGTCAACAAATAATATGGAACAAACGATCGCAACGATTTCCGTTTCTCAGTGTCCTGCCGAATGGTCAAGCGTATCAAACAGACAGTGACAAGGAAGAGAAGAACGATTTTTGTGCTCTGATAACTGTACAACTTGCTGATCATTCGAGCCGTCGGATCTGTGAGTGTCCACTCGCAAATGCTGATCGAGACGAATATGGCGAACGCGGAAAGTGCGAGGAAGGTGATGGAAAGGAAAGAGAGACCGGATTGGATGGCTGTGAGGTGCAGCATCCACAAGTAGATCACGTCGATGAACATCGAGGCGAACACTTCGTATACACAGAGAAGGGTCTGGAATTGCAGCTTTAGTGTTCGCAGAATCAGTTCCAAGACGCCTTTGATAACTCACAACAAGTTCATCATTAGTCTTCTGCTCGAAAGTGAACGAGTTGAGGAAGAAGATTATATAAATGAGCATGAACATCTGAAACTCCATTTTTCTTTCTCTCACTTCAAATTCGGCTCCAAACCTGTTGAAACACAAAAAGTATACGTGGAGCACAGAGACAACGTCTCTCAAGCATTAATGACAGTGCCATTGCGCCGGTGAACAGCAATAGTTCGCCAATGAAAATGCATGAGGTAAGGACGGTGGGCATTGGAGGGAAAACAAGAGAGTAAAATAGAAGCTGGCTCGTGGGTGGATTGCCTCCGCTTTTTCCTTTTCCTCAATAAATTTCAGCTGTCCGCCGTAGGCAGAAAGCAGATTACATGGCTCTCTGAAGGTGAAGGTGTGACGAATATTTCGTGGACCCTTTGGGTAATTTCAGTGGTGAACCTATAATTATGACCAAGCTTTTTCACTTTTCCGACAAATTTCTCGCTGAACTCAAATGATTTACTTTGTACATTTGTGGTACCACGGATGACCAAAAATCCCCAGAAAAACATTTTTGGAGAGAGTGCCTATAACAACATTACTTGAAAACGTTTAAATTCCACAAACGAGCATATCCCTGACGTTGGAAATCGAAGGCTCATTTGATGCGGTGAATCCACTTGCCATTTCCGTCGGCTTTCTCGTCGTCGAGAGATTCTCGAAGATTTCGCGAACCTCGTCGTAACTGTACAAAAACCAATGAAACGATTTCGGATGACATTTTATTTCTAACCGATTCTCCTTGAGAAGTCGCTTGATCTGACAATTCGACGCGCTCTCCATTTTTATCGATGACCGTGTCTGGCCCTTCCGCTCTTCCGCTGCTCGTATGCTCTGCCACAATTCCTTGTTGAATGCTCGAGCTGAAAAATTCAAAAGTAAAACTGCGAATATGCAGCTTATGGAGCCTATGGATACGGATCCGCCTACGCCGGATACCCTGGATACGAATACTTCGGAAAGAGAGGCCGGGTTCGGACCTGCTCAGGCCAACTAGTGTTATGTGAAAGTGTACGAACGATCTGAAATAAACTAACTTTCTGCTCTTTTTTTGTAATTGTCGTGTCCGCCGAATGAACTGCTCTGAAGCCTTCAACACGAGTGTTCAATCGCGAAGCAAGTTTATTTCCTATAAACTTTATGCATTTATAAACATTTAAAAACACCAAAAAGAGCGATAAAACAGTTAAAATCAAGTAAATTATTCGCCACCCTCTTGGGGTTCGCATTATTATCGGCCATCATCGGGCTTTTGGCCGCCATCGGGTTTTTGGCCGCCATCGGGTTTTTGCTCTTGCGGTTTAGCTTCCTCAGGCGTCCGCTCTTCCGGTGTGGCCTCCTTGGACTTCGGCTCCTCCGGTTTGGTCTCATCGGGCTTTGGTCCTTCCGGTTTCTCTTCCACTTGCTTCGGTTCCTCTGGTTTCGGCTCGTCTGACTTCGCCGTCACCTCCTTCTCCGCATTCGTGATCAACGCAATCAGATCGTGTCTGATTCTCGGGTACTTCGCCTTCAAGTCCTTCTCCGTCTTCTTGCTCTTCCCAATCAGATCGTTTCCGATGCTCAGTTCCTTGGCCGTCTTGTCCGCTTTGATCCGTGCCAGTTTCTGTTCATACTTCGCGTCGTATTCTTTGCGTAGGTCATCGTTGAACTGTCCCATGTCGTGAAAATGAGCCATGTATTGTCGGTTGTCATTGATCAGCGTATAGGTCGCATTCACCTTGAAGTCCTGAAAGTTGGAGTTTAGCGGAAACAAAGTGGGATCATCATTTGTCCTACCCTGACAACTGCCTCGTAGGCCATCAGAAAGCTGAAGTGGAGTTGCTCGGCAGTCTCGATGGCCATATATCTCATGACACGCATCTGCAACACCAGTCCGGGCAGGGTCAACTTCCGGCGATTCGCGCACGATGCCTGGTAGATGTAGTCGATAGCAGCAAAGCAGCAAGCACGTCCGGTTCCTTTGGAGCTGTGCACAACGTACGGAACCTGAAAAATATGAATGAGGTCGCGGTCGTAGGGATTTTGAAATCATCAAGATCTAGTTCTTTTTCCCCATTTCTCCTTCACTCACCGTTCTACTCTTTTCTCCGGGTCGCGTAGTAAACGAATTGCACAGCCTCCAACTGATTCTCCGTCTTCGGAATCGATCCTTCCTTCCATTTGGGAATCTGGTAATGTATCACCGTCTGCTTCGGTACTATCCCTATGACATCTGGATCCACTGGCTGGTACGTGATCTGTCGGATGATGAGCTCTCCGTCGAACTTCTCCTCTTGCGAGTCCAGAGTCACTTTGCTTCCGTTGTAAATCTTAGTTCTTCCAATAACGTCCGGGAAGTAGGGGTAGCATTTGACGACGCCGTCCTCCACCAAATTGCACAACATAACGATGATCTTGCATTTGTTTTCCGTGATCATCAACCAAATGTCGTCGCGGTACGGTACTTTCGTGCGTCCACTGGGAGCCATGCACGCGATCGCTCGTCCGTATATTGGGAAAATGATGATGTTCGCGTGGTAGCAGCATCTGATCGCATCGTGTCTGTCGATCGCCAACGTCTGCCTGATGAGCGGCATTTCCGGGTACCTCAAAGTATCAACATTCTGATAGTACTTTTAAGAGATCCACTCACATTGTACACATTCCCATGCGGTCCACTCTCCAATCGTCGTCTATGAGTCCTGGTTTTTGGAGTTGCCACTCGAAATAACCCTGCAGAACCGTCTTGTTAATGTCCATTTTGACGCGGGGAACGGTGCACGCCGCGTCAGTGCTGAAGCCGTTGCGGACGAACCAATCCGGATCGTAGAAGTACATGTCAACTGAAAAGAATGTGGAATGAGACGAAAAAGGGAAAGAACAGAAGTTCTCACCCTCGTCGTTCTTGTTGTACTTGTACTCGTTATCCCTGGCGATGTCGTCGTTCTCCTTCCGAAACCGTGCCATCGCGTCAATCCTCTCTTGCGCATTGTTCTTCACAGTCCGTCGACGTACCCTATTCGATTCCCGAAGGCTGTTAATCTCTGCCATCTTTTCTTTAGAAACAATATTCGACGCTCTGACAAATATCATTTGCTTCGTGTCCTCCTTCTTTGGCTTTTCCTTATCCGATTTTTTCTGATTCTCCGCGTGCTTCTTCTCTATCGTTAATATCGTCTTTTTCAGATTTATCATCTTCTTTTCCATCACCGCGGTCCGCACCATCTTTTTGAATTGTTTCACCATTCGGGAAAACAGATTCTTCTTTGGTCCTCGTTGACCCTTCTCGTACACTGTGCTTGTCGATTTGTCTAGCGTGCAGCCGCAGAAAAACCAAACGGTAAGAATCAGAATGGTCGCTGTTGACCTGAAACAAAAACGCGTTGATTTAGTTGAAGGGGGTTCTGAACTCACAGCATTGGCATTTGCCCTTTTATGTGTCGGACAACCGATGCGACGGAAGAAGGAACCGAAATCAGCGTGGCTGCGCTAAAAAAGAATGGAGATTTAAAAACGGCACATTATATTGTGAACTCACGGTTCGATAGGCGGAGTACTGAAGGCTGTTCTCTTCAACTCCAGCGCAATGTCCAGAAAACGAAGCACTAGAGGAATCTTGAAGAGTGCTCCATGGAACTCGACAAAGTCGAGATCGAGAGCTGACAGCTCTTCCAGCGAAGCCATTGTATCCACAAGCTCTTGAGAGTTCGGATAAAGAATCCGAAGTTGGTCGAGTGCTTGCATCCTGTTTTCGGCATCCAGTTCGACGTAGTTCTGGATGTAAGCAGCGGTGAACACGTCTTGGTATAGTATCAGACCGACTTCATCACTTCGGTCAGTGTAACGTGCGAATCTCGAGGGTCTTCGAATCGCGCCCATTCGATCCTTGACGGTGCTCAGCAGGTCTTGGACTTCCGAAGTGGTTGTCTGGAAGCTTCCCCAAAGTGACTGGACTCTCTCCTTCGACGCGAGATCCTGCACATCTTTAATCATCAGCTCCACTTTCGCTCCTGCTCTCAGAAACGTCTCGAAGACAGTCCGCTTCTCCTCAATCTTTCCGAAGGCTATCAGTGCGGCCACAGCGCTTCCAAAGTGTCCCGAATGGTAGGGAAAGTTCCATAAATCGGACAAGTCCGTCATCTGCAGCGTCCGATTCGCATTAATCTGCTCCGGATACTTTCGGAAGTCCTCCAGGGTGACGATAGAGTCGGACATCAACTCGGCGTCCTTCGAAATGCTGTCTAGCAGTTGACCATCGTTCTGCTGATCCTTGATCTTGCGCGTAGACCGGATGAAGTCCTTGAACATTTCGATTTGAGGGCGGCTGGTGTCGAACAGTTCGAAGAAGCTGATGAAGCTTCTGCCTCCATACTTCGTCGGAAAGTCTATCAGAATCGTCTGATTCCCCGAGATCATGTCGAGGAGCCGCCCACGCTCAGCAGCCCTGAGTTTATTTTGAATACCTGTCAGTGGTGTTTTCAGGTTAGCCAGGTTTGTTATCGTTTTATTGATGTCCAACTTCGCCATCTCTTTCATAACGGCCGACAGCTCCGCGTCCAGATTTATGTCATTAGTGAATTGAATTTTATCGCTCAACGTGGATAGATCCTTCAATTCGGTCAGGACAGCAGAGAGTGGACCTATCCTTGACTGTATATCAGCAAATATGGTTACCAGTTGTTCGCAATTTTTGTAGGCTGCTTGCATGAGTGTAAGAGACGGGGTATTCGGCCATCCGACCCACTCGATGATCCTTTCCAGCATCGCGTTATCAAGAGTTCCGGCCTCCTCGAACATCTTCTCCAGTTCGTCGACTCGTTGAGCAGCTCCGGTCTGTCGCAAGCCATCCCAACTGCCATTCAGTTCACTGACCTTCTTTTCGAGCACTTCCATCGGCCACGCGACAGCAGCAGCCAACGAACGAGGATGATATCCGCCAGTGAGTTCGTGGACCATGAACGAGTTGCAGGTTGATTGCATGGAAGACAGGTCGTTGCGCACGTCGTAGAAGCCGGTGGTATGCTTGAGCAAGTGTGGTTTCCGATGAGCAACTCGAGATTCCGCGACTTCCTTCATCGCTCTCAGCTGATTGCGCACCTCGTTGTTATCCGTGAAGAATTGAGCGACAGAGGTGTATAACTCACTGATGGCTGTCACTTGCGAGGCGTCCAGATCGGAGATCGCGCGGTTCGCCTTTCTAGCGATGATGTCCTGGATAAACACGAAGAGTTTAATCTGCGGCGACTCGAGAATAGGACCATTATTGATGGCCTTCTGGTGGGCTTCAAAACTGTCAATCCATCTTTTGATATCCGGTATTATATTGGGAGTTGTGTCAATCCACCGTTTTATATTGGCAAATGCCACTTCCTTTTTCTTCTTTTCATTATCAGTCATTGAGCTGACAGAAATAGAGAGGTCCCCGACTTCCGCCAATAGTATTTGAGCAGTGCTGCTTGAGCTTTTGAAGTCGTCGATCAGACTGACGTTGATTGGATTGGACTTAATTCCTTCGACCGCAGTGAAAAAAGTTTGCAAGACGGATGTGTCGTTGAGATCGCCGAGAGACTTGTACTCCTCTTTTACCGATTCCAGCGCATTGAACATCGTATCGATCGTGTCGAGAACCTGCACAGACGCCAGTGTCTTCGAGAAGTCTCTGAGCTTCGTGACGAATCCCTCGACGGCGTTTTTGTCGAACTGAATCCACTTGGCCAAGTCAGCAGCGGATCTGACGTCCATCAGTTCGGCAATCAGCTCATCCATTGGCAGTGCTCCGTTCTTCATACTTTTCATTTCGATTGCCATGGCCGTCAGAATTTGCGACATTCTCCTCATGTCCAGCAACACCAACTCGAAATCGATATCTGCAATTATTAATTTGTTTACGCATACACTTTGAAACCGGCGAATGTTTCGCAACCGTCGCCAGAAATTTCAACTCACTTCCGGTGTTTCTGTTATGTCGGATAAAGAATATGTCGTCGCGGAGAGACTCTTCGTATTCAACGAGACCTGCAAAAAATAATTTTTCAGTCAAACTTCTATGCACAACTTGCTCACCTTGATAGGGAGATTGGGCGGTTTCCGAGGATCCCCAGAAATATGTTTCCAAGACAGTTCTGCTTAACGCTGAAAGTATTTTTTGAGAGTCTGAGAAGTGCGAAGGAAAACTCACAAGCTATAGCGATCACCATGAGAGCCGTCGAAATGCTCGGCCCCAAATGCATTTTCGGAGACACAAACTGGTGTTGCAGGAAGATTCTGGTTGCTTTTTGGTGAATACTGAGTGAAAACGTGGCGCAGAAGGAGAGGACTTGCCACGTGTCGGCAAAGGTCACGGCCAGGGCGGCAAAGGTCACGGCCAGGGCGGCAAATTAAAGTGGAATGAGGTCACATCAAAAACTTTTTTTTTCAGACATGGATTTTTGAGATTTACTTTTTTTTGACGAATTAGACGTTCGGGTAACGTTTAGAAACGTGAACTTTTGTAAAGTTATATGTTTTCAATGGAATGTTTTCATGAAGCAGAAGTGTTCTGTTTCGCAATGTTTTGTTAGCATTGAGCATTTCCCCGACGAAGCACATAAAAAACTTGTAAATAATTATAACAACATTATTTGAATACTTTTAAATTCCACAATCGAGCATATCCCTGACGTTGGAAATCGAAGGCGTCGCCCAGTTTTCGTCTCCTTTTTTGTTCGCAATCCAACAGCAATTTGAAGTACTCCTCGACTTTTCCGTGGAACCTTCGATGTACACCGCCGAGATCAGTTTCTTGACAGTGCGCTCATCTCCCGCCTGTCTTTCAAACGCCCTTCCACACAACGAATCATCGTCCTCTTCTTCGTCGTCGAATTCAATGAGTTCCACGTGTTTCGGCTCGATTCCAGTACGTTCTTTCTCGTTGTACTCTTTGAACACACTCATAGAAGAGAGCCGAATTGTTGGGATCGGCCCGGCGCGGAAGTCTTTGTACAACGTTCGTATAAAAGAATTGGCGAGGCAGTCCGTGTTCTCCTTTTTACCATTCTTTCGAAAAAAATTCTGAAATTTGAAACTAACCGCATGAAAAAGCTCTGAAAAATTACCTCTTCTACCTTCCTCTTTCACATTAATCCAGTCTTCTTGATTCAAGAAAGCGTTAACGTCCATTTCAACCAAAAGATAACGGGCCCGTACTGAGCCGACTTTTTTCCACTCCACACACGTGAAAGGTTTCCGGCTAAGCGCAGCAGAGACATTGTAGCTCCAATGACTTTGAGCGTATCGATAGTGCACTGCTATAGTGGGCAAAGTGGTGTCTGCAAAATAATTTAATTTATCCTAATAATTGGGAAAAACTAACAGAACAAAGGTTCTAGCTTGGTACGACGTGATGGTGTTGTCCGTAACGTTCAGAGCTGCCAACACGCACAAAGCGCGGAACGTCAACGGCGGTTTTCCGAGCGGATTGCTTCCGTCGTTTTTTCATGCGCTTACCGTCTGATTCTAGACTGATCTTTGAGGGGCTTTTAGAAGGATTTTGCTTGGGACTTCTTCGATCTGTAAAAAAAGAAAAATTGATGAGAATACCAGAAAAAAACCGATAATTCCTTGTTTCGTTCTCTGTTTTTTTCGAGAGCAATGCAAATGCGCTCCAACAAGGATTTGGTAGCCGTGAACAACTTTTCGAGCTGCAGACTCTTTAAACGCTGGGAATAAACGCATTGCTCGAGTACAAGTTGGACGGTAACAAATTGTTATTGTTACTAACAATCTTTGATGCTTTCCGCATAATTTTACTCATTTATTTCAGAAATCGAAGAAAACAGAGAGGAAGATCCGCGTGTGCAGAGAAGAACGATGAAGCACATCGACAAGTGAGTTCTCTCGGACCTCGAGACCCACGAACATATTAATTTTTACAGTCTTTACCTGGAAGTAGTCGGAACTTCCGTGTTGTTCGCACAGCGAGGAGGATTTCAAGTTTGTCGCCGAACTGGATTGCTTCGGAAAGCTGCGCATGACGCTGAGATGAATTGCTGCCTGCACATTCCGACTGTAAGAGAACATTTTCGAGTTTCCACCGTGAAAACAACGTTTCTTCCGGGCCACTCCGTAGACTGGCCGATTTTTTTAAATTTTGAATTCATTGCTTGCTCAGCCACGATTTCGAAAGCATAGGAAGGAAAATTGAGGTGTATGGATTCTCGATTATCACCAGCAACATGTGAGTTATGGGAGAGTTTCTGTCAACAGTTTGAAAATGAATCAATAAATACTCGGATTTTTTTTTGACAGGAGAAGTGCCTCACAAAGTCAATTATGTTAATTTGTTATTCAGGATCCGTAATTTTTTACTTGGCAGAAATACTCCATAAGCCCTATTCAAATAGTTTCTGAAAGCCTAGTTTCTTTAACTTTCACTCGAGTTATGAAAAAAAAGCGTTTGGAAAGAAGCCTAACTAGGGAATGATCCACAGAACATTTGATCCTCTTGGTATCGAACTTTGTCGATCACGGCCCATAAGGCCAACTTACCTGTTGATCATTCTCTAGTAAGGTACATTTTTGCCAAGTTTGAGCAAATTTTGTTCACTGATAAAAAGAGCGCAAAGTCAAGTGATTACAAGTGAAACTTTGAGATCTGTGTGTTGCCCCAATCGCTCCGTTTCCATGATTGTCCATGACAGTTCTCGGCCGGTCTTAACTGCACTTTTTACAGGCACCGATTGTTCGGCACAATTTCCAGCTCGGAAAGTGCGACAGTCGTGTACAGCAGAAAAGTTCCTATTTTTGATCCTCTTATTGATCCGAAAAGGTTCAAAAATTTTCTCGGCACATTTGTCCGGCACCTTTGGTTCAAAAGCAAATCGATAGTAAATTTCGATCATTTTCAGCCAGCATTTGAGCTAGAAGAAGTGACACCCTGACGTCTTGAAATCAGACAAACTAGTTATATACTGAGAGACTAAAATATTGTCTTGAATAGACTGTTAAAATTTTGGTTTCGAAAAGTTCGTTAGTTTCGAAACATCGCAGATTCTAGATCTCTGGCATCGCAGCGTCCTACGCACTGGATATCCTTGTCCGTCGTCTTCGCATGGCCAGCTTCCTCGGAAGAAGTTATTCCTCGTCTTCAACGTTACCCGCTCTCCTCGTATCTCCATCACGGTCGACTTCCAGTAATCCACAAAAAGTGTTGATCATTGAGAAACGAGCACTCGTCATTAACCGTCTGAATCTCCGGCTCCTCAGAAGATCACACGAAGCAGGTCAGCTTTTGAAACATGTTCAAAAACGAATCGATAGTGAATCGATCACTTTCAGTCAGCAAAATGAGCAAAACGGGACCCCCGAACGTCTTGAAACCAGACAGTTTGAAATTAGTTGTATACTGAGAGACTATAATTGTGATAGTGTCAAAAAATTTGGATGCTAAACGTCCATGTGTCTTCTGAACTGTCTGGTTTCGAAATGTCCTGGCGTCAAGAAAGTGACCCACTAAAGAGGCACAATTTCAGTACTAGATTTTTATGTTTCAGAGAAGCTGATATCGTGAACACGTTGAGACTGAAGAAGTGTCGACGTCGCAATTTGGACTGCAAAATGAGCGATAAATAACACCCGTCCCAATCGGCTCCACAATCCGTCGCGTCGATGCCGTTCGGTCCCTAGACGAAGGATAGGAAGAGCTGGAGAAGAAACACGATTCTCACAATACTTTGCTCGTTTGTAATCCAGTCACCCAAGTATAGTCCTGCTCGAAGAATGCGGGCGCTTGTGGTGACTGGAAAGTGAATCGATGAATTCTTCCAGAGAGTCTTCCCGACAGGCGTCGAACATTCTCCGAAGCCCTGATAAGGCTGAAAGAGCTCATCTTTCAAGTGTGCATTTTGACTTAAGGTTTATTTTTCAAATAAAATAATGGCTCAAAGTGGACTGCCCTTTCGAAGTTCAAAAATAAGGCGATAGTGAGTTTTGACTACTTTCAGTAAGGATTTTTGAAAAGAAACAGTGGTCACCGTCTTGAAACCAGACAATTTGAAACGTCTTGAAACCTGACAATTTGAAATTAGTTTTATACTGAGAGACTAGAATTGCGATATTGTTATTTAAACAAGGGAAAAGGTTGCAACTTATTGAAAGAATTGAGTGGATTCCTCATCAGGTTCAAGGCAATATGGCTTCTCGTGGGGGCCGGCTCACTTGTAGTTGGCTCTTGCACATTTATACGTGGCAACGGACCAGTTTTTATACTTCGAAGAGATCTTTCTAAAGCTCTCGGTCACTTTGAACGACAGGCTCCGCTCACCAAACGACTTTTTCATATCCTCGCGTCTATCCGGGTCCTGACAGTTCACCATCACCACAAAGATCATGTTGAAGACGGGGGTAATGAAAAGTAACGACTTCAGGACACTCAACAACTCGTCATTATCAGTGTTTGTGGAAACGGCATGAGTGAAGGCGAAACGGGGAATCACCAGGAAGAGGATGACGCTGAGGAACTGAGAAAAAACGATTGTTTTGTCACTTTTGTAAACAAGGGGAAAGGGAAAAGCCTGCTAAATTATGTATACTCTAAAGAGAAAAACCTACTGTCAACAAATAATATGGGACAAACGATCGCAACGATTTCCGTTTCTCAGTGTCCTGCCGAATGGTCAAGCGTATCAAACAGACAGTGACAAGGAAGAGAAGAACGATTTTTGTGCTCTGATAACTGTACAACTTGCTGATCATTCGAGCCGTCGGATCTGTGAGTGTCCACTCGCAAATGCTGATCGAGACGAATATGGCGAACGCGGAAAGTGCGAGGAAAGTGATGGAAAGGAACGAGAGACCGGATTGGATGGCTGTGAGGTGCAGCATCCACAGGTAGATCACGTCGATGAACATCGAGGCGAACACTTCGTATACACAGAGAAGGGTCTGGAATTGCAGCTTTAGTGTTCGCAGAATCAGTTCCAAGACGTCTTTGATAACTCACAACAAGTTCATCATTAGTCTTCTGCTCGAAAGTGAACGAGTTGAGGAAGAAGATTATATAAATGAGCATGAACATCTGAAACTCCATTTTTCTGTCTCTCACTTCAAATTCGGCTCCAAACCTGTTGAAACACAAAAAGTATACGTGGAGCACAGAGACAACGTCTCTCAAGCATTAATGACAGTGCCATTGCGCCGGTGAACAGCAATAGTTCGCCAATGAAAATGCATGAGGCAAGGACGGTGGGCATTGGAGGGAAAACAAGAGAGTAAAATAGAAGCTGGCTCGTGGGTGGATTGCCTCCGCTTTTTCCTTTTCCTCAATAAATTTCAGCTGTCCGCCGTAGGCAGAAAGCAGATTACATGGCTCTCTGAAGGTGAAGGTGTGACGAATATTTCGTGGACCCTTTGGGTAATTTCAGTGGTGAACCTATAATTATGACCAAGCTTTTTCACTTTTCCGACAAATTTCTCGCTGAACTCAAATGATTTACTTTGTACATTTGTGGTACCACGGATGACCAAAAATCCCCAGAAAAACATTTTTGGAGAGAGTGCCTATAACAACATTACTTGAAAACGTTTAAATTCCACAAACGAGCATATCCCTGACGTTGGAAATCGAAGGCTCATTTGATGCGGTGAATCCACTTGCCATTTCCGTCGGCTTTCTCGTCGTCGAGAGATTCTCGAAGATTTCGCGAACCTCGTCGTAACTGTACAAAAACCAATGAAACGCTTTTTCGGATGAAATTTTATTTCTAACCGATTCTCCTTGAGAAGTCGCTTGATCTGACAATTCGACGCGCTCTCCATTTTTATCGATGACCGTGTCTGGCCCTTCCGCTCTTCCGCTGCTCGTATGCTCTGCCACAATTCCTTGTTGAATGCTCGAGCTGAAAATTCAAAGTAAAACTGCGAATATGCAGCTTATGGAGCCTATGGATACGGATCCGCCTAAGCCGGATACCCTGGATACGAATACTTCGGAAAGAGAGGCCGGGTTCGGACCTGCTCAGGCCAACTAGTGTTATGTGAAAGTGTACGAACGATCTGAAATAAACTGACTTTCTGCTCTTTTTCTGTAATTGTCGTGTCCGCTGAATGAACTGCTCTGAAGCCTTCAACACGAGTGTTCAATCGCGAAGCAAGTTTATTTCCTATAAACTTTATGCATTTATAAACATTTAAAAACACCAAAAAGAGCGATAAAACAGTTAAAATCAAGTAAATTATTCGCTACCCTCTTCGGGCTTCGCATTATTATCGGCCATCATCGGGCTTTTGGCCGCCATCGGGTTTTTGCTCTTGCGGTTTAGCTTCCTCGGGCGTCCGCTCTTCCGGTGTGGCCTCCTTGAACTTCGGCTCCTCCGGTTTGGTCTCATCGGGCTTTGGTCCTTCCGGTTTCTCTTCCACTTGCTTCGGTTCCTCTGGTTTCGGCTCGTCTGACTTCGCCGTCACCTCCTTCTCCGCATTCGTGATCAACGCAATCAGATCGTGTCTGATTCTCGGGTACTTCGCCTTCAAGTCCTTCTCCGTCTTCTTGCTCTTCCCAATCAGATCGTTTCCGATGCTCAGTTCCTTGGCCGTCTTGTCTGCTTTGATCCGTGCCAGTTTCTGTTCATACTTCGCGTCATATTCTTTGCGTAGGTCAGCGTTGAACTGTCCCATGTCGTGAAAATGAGCCATGTATTGTCGGTTGTCATAGATCAGCGTATAGGTCGCATTCACCTTGAAGTCCTGAAAGTTGGAGTTTAGCGGAAACGGAGTGGGATCATCATTTGTCCTACCCTGACAACTGCCTCGTAGGCCATCAGAAAGCTAAAGTGGAGTTGTTCGGCAGTCTCGATGGCCATATATCTCATGACACGCATCTGCAACACCAGTCCGGGCAGGGTCAACTTCCGGCGATTCGCGCACGATGCCTGGTAGATGTAGTCGATAGCAGCAAAGCAGCAAGCACGTCCGGTTCCTTTGGAGCTGTGCACAACGTACGGAACCTGAAAAATATGAATGAGGTCGCGGTCGTAGGGATTTTGAAATTATCAAGATCTAGTTCTTTCCCCCCATTTCTCCTTCACTCACCGTTCTACTCTTTCTCCGGGTCGCGTAGTAAACGAATCGCACAGCCTCCATCTGATTCTCCGTCTTCGGAATCGATCCTTCCTTCCATTTGGGAATCTGGTAATGTATCACCGTCTCCTTCGGTACTATCCCTATGACATCTGGATCCACTGGCTGGTATGTGATCTGTCGGATGATGAGCTCTCCGTCGAACTTCTCCTCTTGCGAGTCCAGAGTCACTTTGCTTCCGTTGTAAATCTTAGTTCTTCCAATAACGTCCGGGAAGTAGGGGTAGCATTTGACGACGCCGTCCTCCACCAAATTGCACAACATAACGATGATCTTGCATTTGTTTTCCGTGATCATCAACCAAATGTCGTCGCGGTACGGTACTTTCGTGCGTCCACTGGGAGCCATGCACGCGATCGCTCGTCCGTATATTGGGAAATGATGATGTTCGCGTGGTAGCAGCATCTGATCGCATCGTGTCTGTCGATCGCCAACGTCTGCCTGATGAGCGGCATTTCCGGGTACCTCAAAGTATCAACATTCTGATAGTACTTTTAAGAGATCCACTCACATTGTACACATTCCCATGCGGTCCACTCTCCAATCGTCGTCTATGAGTCCTGGTTTTTGGAGTTGCCACTCGAAATAACCCTGCAGAACCGTCTTGTTAATGTCCATTTTGACGCGGGGAACGGTGCACGCCGCGTCAGTGCTGAAGCCGTTGCGGACGAACCAATCCGGATCGTAGAAGTACATATCAACTGAAAAGAATGTGGAATGAGACGAAAAAGAGAAAGAACAGAAGTTCTCACCCTCGTCGTTCTTGTTGTACTTGTACTCGTTAGCCCTGGCGATGTCGTCGTTCTCCTTCCGAAACCGTGCCATCGCGTCAATCCTCTCTTGCACTTTGTTCTTCACAGTCCGTCGACGTACCCTATTCGATTCCCGAAGGCTGTTAATCTCTGCCATCTTTTCTTTAGAAACAATATTCGACGCTCTGACAAATATCATTTGCTTCGTGTCCTCCTTCTTTGGCTTTGCCTTATCCGATTTTTTCCGATTCTCCGCGTGCTTCTTCTCTATCGTTAATATCGTCTTTTCCAGATTTATCATCTTCTTTTCCATCACGGCGGTCCGCACCATCTTCTTGAATTGTTTCACCATTCGGGAAAACAGATTCTTCTTTGGTCCTCGTTGACCCTTCTCGTACACTGTGCTTGTCGATTTGTCTAGCGTGCAGCCGCAGAAAAACCAAACGGTAAGAATCAGAATCGTCGCTGTTAACCTGAAACAAAAACGCGCTGCTTTAGTTGAAGGGGGTTCAGAACTCACAGCATTGGCATTTGCCCTTTTATGTATCGGGCAACCGATGCGACGGAAGAAGGAACCGAAATCAGCGTGGCTGCGCTAAAAAAGAATGGAGGTTTGAAAACGGCACATTATATTGTGAACTCACAGTTCGATAGGCGGAGTACTGAAGGCTGCTCTCTGGAACTCCAGCGTTTTGTCCAGAAAATGGAGCGCCAGAGGAATCCTGAAGAGTGCTCCATGGAACTCGGCAAAGTCGAGATCGAGAGCTGACAGCTCTTCCAGCGAAGCCTTTGTATCCACAAGCTCTTGAGAGTTCGGATAAAGAATCCGAAGTTGGTCGAGTGCTTGCATCCTGTTTTCGGCATCCAGTTCGACGTAGTTCTGGATGGAAGCAGCGGTGAACACGGCTTGATATAGTTTCAGACCGACTTCATCACTTCGGTCAGTGTAACGTGCAAATCTCGAGGGTCTTCGAATCGCGCCCATTCGATCCTTGACGGTTCTCAGCAGGTCTTGGACTTCCGAAGTGGTTGTCTGGAAGTTTCCCCAAAGTGACTGGACTCTCTTCTTCGACGCGGGATCCTGCACATCTTCAATAATCAGCTCCACTTTCGCTCCTGCTCTCAGAAACGTCTCGAAGACAGTCCGCTTCTCCTCAATCTTTCCGACGGCGATCAGTGCGGCTACAGCGCGTCCAAAGTGTTCCGAATGGTAGGGAAGGTTCCATATATCGGACAAGTCCGTCATCTGCAGCGTTCGATTCGCATTAATCTGCTCCGGATACTTTCGGAAGTCCTCCAGGGTGACGATAGAGTCGGACATCAACTCGGCGTCCTTCGAAATGCCGTCGAACAGTTGACCATCGTTCTGCTGCTCCTTGATCTTGCGCGTAGACCGGATGAAGTCCTTGAACATTTCGATTTGAGGGCGGCTGGTGTCGAGCATTTCGAAGAAGCTGATGAAGCTTCTGCCTCCATACTTCGTCGGAAAATCTATCAGCATAGCCTGATTTCCCGAGATCATGTCGAGGTGTTTTCCAAGACTCTTCAGTTTCGCTGAAACTTTATCCAAAAGTGTGCTCAGCTCTGTTAGGTTTTTTAGGAGCTCATTGTGCTTCGAATTTGTCAAATTTGCCATAACGGCCGACAGCTCCGCGTCCAGATTTGAATTGTCAGTGAATTGGATGACATCTCTCAACTTGGATAGCTCCAGCGTGTCTCTCAGAACGTTAGAGAGTGAAGACATCATAGGCAGTAGAGCAGTAAATGTGTCTACCAGTTGTTCGCAATTTTGGTAGGCTGCTTGCATGGGTGTAAGAGACGGGGTATTCGGCCATCCGACCCACTCGATGATCCTTTCCAGCATCGGTTTATCAAGAGTTCCGGCCTCCTCGAACATCTTCTCCAGTTCGTCGACTCGTTGAACAGCTCCAGTCTGCCGCAAGCCATCCCAAATGCCACTCAGTGCACTGACCTTCTTTTCGAGCACTTCCATCGGCCACGCGACAGCAGCAGCCAACGAACGAGGATGATATCCGCCAGTGAGTTCGTGGACCATGAACGAGTAGCAGGTTGATTGTATGGAAGACAGGTCGTTCCGCACGTCGTAGAAGCCGGTGGTATGCTTGAGCAAGTGGGGTTTCCGATGAGCATCTCGAGATTTCACGACTTCCTTCATCGCTCTCAGCTGATTGCGCACCTCGTTGTTATCCGTGAAGAATTGAGCGACGGAAGTGTATAATTCGTTGATGGCTGTCACTTGCGAGGCGTCCAGATCGGAGATCGTGCCGTTCGCCTTTCTAGCGATGAGGGATTGGATAAACACGAAGAGTTTGATCTGCGGCGACTCGAGAATAGGACCATTATTGATGACTCCCTGGTGGGCTTCAAAACGTTTAATCCATCCATCGATATCCGGTATTTTATTGAGAATTACGTCAACGTATCGTTTTATGATGACAAATAACGTTTTCTTTTCTTTCTTTTCGTTATCAGTCATTGAGCTGACAGAAATAGAGAGGTCCCCGACTTTCGTCAATTGTGATAGAGCAGCGTTGCTTGATTCCGCAAATTCGTTGATCAGACTGACGTTGACTGGATTGGACTTAATTCTATCGACCGCAGTGAAAAAAGTTTGCAAGATGGATGTGTCGTTGAGATCGCCGAGAGACTTGTACTCCTCTTTCGCCGATTCCAGCGCATTGAACATCGCATCGATCGTGTCGAGCACCTGCACAGACGCCAGTGTCTTCGAGAAGTCTCTGAGCTTCGTGACGAATCCCTCGACGGCGTTTTTGTCGAACTGAATCCACTTGGCCAAGTCAGCAGCGGATCTGACGTCCATCAGTTCGGCGATCAGCTCATCTATTGGCAATGCTCCGTTCTCCATACTTTTCACTTCGATTGCCATGGCCGTCAGAATTTGCGACATTCTCCTCATGTCCAGCACCACCAATTCGAAATCGATATCTGCAATTATTAATTTGTTTACGCATACACTTTGCAACCGGCGAATGTTTCGCAACCGTCGCTGGAAAATTCAACTCACTTCCGGTGTTTCTGGTGTGTCGGATAAAGAATATATCGTCGCGGAGAGAGTCTTCGTATTCTAAGAGACCTGGAAAATATAATTTTTCAGTCCAACTTCTAGCACAATTTGCTCACCTTGATAGGGGGATTGGGCAGTTTCCGAGGATCCCCAGAAATATGTTTCCAAGACAGTTTTGTTTAACGCTGAAAGTATATTTTGAGAGTCTGAGAAGTGCAAAGGAAAACTCACAAGCTATAGCTATCAGTACCGCGATCACCATGAGAGCCGTCGAAATGCTCGGCCCCAAATGCATTTTCGGAGACACAAACTGGTGTTGCAGGAAGATTCTGGTTGCTTTTTGGTGAATACTGAGTGAAAACGTGGCGCAGAAGGGGAGGACTTGCCACGTGTCGGCAAAGGTCACGGCCAGGGCGGCAAAGGTCACGGCCAGGGCGGCAAATTAAAGTGGAATGAGGTCACATCAAAAACCTTTTCTCTCACTATCGGTCACGGATTTTTGAGATTTACTTTTTTTTTTGACGAATTAGACATTCGGGTAACGTTTAGAAACGTTAATTTTTGTAAATTTATATTTTTTCAATGGAATTTTTTCTTGAAGCATAAGTGTTCTGTTTCGCAATGTTTTGTGAGCATTGAGTATTTCCCCGCCGAAGCACATAAAATAGTTGTAAATAATTATAACAACATTATTTGAAAACTTTTTAATTCCACAATCGAGCATATCCCTGATGTTGGAAATCGAAGGCGTCGCCCAGTTTTCGTCTCCATTTTGTTTGCAATCCAACAGCAATTTGATGTACTCCTCGACTTTTCCGTGGAACTTTTCGATGTACACTGCCGATGTTAGTTTCTTCAAAGTGCGCTCATCTCCCGCCTGTTTTTCAAACGCCCTTCCACACAACGAATCATCGTCCTCTTCTTCGTCGTCGAATTCAATGAGTTCCACGTGTTTCGGCTCGATTCCAGTACGTTCTTTCTCGTTGTACTCTTTGAACACACTCATAAAAGAGAGCCGAATTCTCGGGACCGGACAGGCGCGGAAGCCTTTGTACAACGTTCGTATAAAAGAATTGGCGTGGCAGTCCGAGTTCTCATTTTACCATTCTTTCGAAAAATTCTGAAATTTGAGATTAACCGCATGAAAAACTCTGAAAATTACTTCTTCTACCTTCCTCTTTCATATAAATCCAGTCTTCTTGATTCAAGAAAGTGTTAACGTTCATTTCAACCAAAAGATAACGGGCCCGTACTGAGCCGACTTTTTTTCCGCTCCACACACGTGAAAGGTTTCCGGCTAATAGTAAGCGCAGCAGAGACATTGTTGCCCCAATGACTTTGAGCGTATCGATAGTGCACTACTAAAGTGGGCAAAGTGGTGTCTGCAAAATAATTTAATTTATCCTAATAATTGGGAAAAACTAACAGAACAAAGGTTCTAGCTTGGTACGACGTGATGGTGTTGTCCGTAACGTTCAGAGCTGCCAACACGCACAAAGCGCGGAACGTCAACGGCGGTTTTCCGAGCGGATTGCTTCCGTCGTTTTTTCATGCGCTTACCGTCTGATTCTAGACTGATCTTTGAGGGGCTTTTAGAAGGATTTTGCTTGGGACTTCTTCGATCTGTAAAAAAAGAAAAATTGATGAGAATACCAGAAAAAACCGATAATTCCTTGTTTCGTTCTCTGTTTTTCGAGAGCAATGCAAATGCGCTCCAACAAGGATTTGGTAGCCGTGAACAACTTTTCGAGCTGCAGACTCTTTAAACGCTGGGAATAAACGCATTGCTCGAGTACAAGTTGGACGGTAACAAATTGTTATTGTTACTAACAATCTTTGATGCTTTCCGCATAATTTTACTCATTTATTTCAGAAATCGAAGAAAACAGAGAGGAAGATCCGCGTGTGCAGAGAAGAACGATGAAGCACATCGACAAGTGAGTTCTCTCGGACCTCGAGACCCACGAACATATTAATTTTTACAGTCTTTACCTGGAAGTAGTCGGAACTTCCGTGCTGTTCGCACAGCGAGGAGGATTTCAAGTTTGTCGCCGAACTGGATTGCTTCGGAAAGCTGCGCATGACGCTGAGATGAATTGCTGCCTGCACATTCCGACTGTAAGAGAACATTTTCGAGTTTCCACCGTGAAAACAACGTTTCTTCCGGGCCACTCCGTAGACTGGCCGATTTTTTTTAAAAATTTTTGAATTCATTGCTTGCTCAGCCACGATTTCGAAAGCATAGGAAGGAAAAATTGAGGTGTATGGATTCTCGATTATCACCAGCAACATGTGAGTTATGGGAGAGTTTCTGTCAACAGTTTGAAAAATGAATCAATAAATACTCGGATTTTTTTGACAGGAGAAGTGCCTCACAAAGTCAATTATGTTAATTTGTTATTCAGGATCCGTAATTTTTTACTTGGCAGAAATACTCCATAAGCCCTATTCAAATAGTTTCTGAAAGCCTAGTTTCTTTAACTTTCACTCGAGTTATGAAAAAAAAGCGTTTGGAAAGAAGCCTAACTAGGGAATGATCCACAGAACATTTGATCCTCTTGGTATCGAACTTTGTCGATCACGGCCCATAAGGCCAACTTACCTGTTGATCATTCTCTAGTAAGGTACATTTTTGCCAAGTTTGAGCAAATTTTGTTCACTGATAAAAAGAGCGCAAAGTCAAGTGATTACAAGTGAAACTTTGAGATCTGTGTGTTGCCCCAATCGCTCCGTTTCCATGATTGTCCATGACAGTTCTCGGCCGGTCTTAACTGCACTTTTTACAGGCACCGATTGTTCGGCACAATTTCCAGCTCGGAAAGTGCGACAGTCGTGTACAGCAGAAAAGTTCCTATTTTTGATGCTCTTATTGATCCGAAAAGGTTCAAAAATTTTCTCGGCAAATTTGTCCCGCACCTTTGGTTCAAAAGCAAATCGATAGTAAATTTCGATCATTTTCAGCCAGCATTTTTTCAGCCAGCACGGAGGAACTGAGAAAAAACGATTGTTTTGTCACTTTTTCAAACAAGGGAAAGGGACAAGCTTCTTATCTGGACGAGACGGGTGTGAGTCAAGTGAGTCTGGAAGGTGCTCGAGATCCAATGTGAAGGCCGCCAAGGTTCTCATCAGCGAGGTCGTGGCGCGCTCCCAGAACCCTCGCCCTCAGCACGGATTTCCTCGCAGCCAGATCGACATTCCGATTCCGCCGAATAGCTGCGATCTCTGATTATCGGAAAACAAGAACAAACCATCCGGCAGCTGCAGGTTAGCTGAAACGTAGCTTTTGCTTGATTCAATATATATTAGTCAGGAGAAAAGCGATTGCAAAATGGTGCTTGAACAAGACAGCCAAGCGGTGGGTGACATTTCTAAGCCGCTCAGAATCACGGGGCAAAATCGAGATGGTTAAGCAACTGGTCGCCGAAGTTTTGAGCAGCGGTGGAGACGGCTCCGGTGGAGTTCACCCAGTTCATCACGGTGGTGGCGGAGGAAGCTCAGTGGGCATCATCATCGGAAAGCAAGGAGACACTATCAAGCGGCTCGCGATGGAAACCGGCACTAAGATTCAATTCAAGCCGGATGAGCCGGAGCACCCAGAGAAATGCGCTGTTATCATGGGCACACGTGACCAGATCTACCTGACCACCGAACGGATCACCGAGCTCGTCAGAAGGAGCGCTCAGCAGCAAGAAGGCGGTGGCGGCGGAGGCATGTCTGCCAATGAGGTATTTCATCAAACTTTACACACATAATCGAATTGAACGTTTTCAGAGCTTCTACATGTCCGTTCCGGCTGCAAAGTGTGGGTCTCGTCATCGGAAAGGGCGGTGAAACCATCAAGCAAAGATCAAAGACAGTTGCGAGGTTCGCGCAAAAAGGTGATGAGCAAACAGAAATTCCATGTATAAAAGAGCAACTTTTAGGTGGGAGTACCATAAACCTTCACATTCTTCTACAATTCCTTCGAAAATGAACGCCAAGTTGTAAGTTGCACCTGATGGTTCACGACTTCCGAGTCTACAATATCCATTTGCAGCCTTCTCTGCGTGCTCGCCCTCGTCATGTGCTCAATTGTGCAAGAAGCATCGGCTCAAGTGTACGGATACGCTTCCTATCCATCTTACTACGGAGGATAGGGAGCTTATGGAGCCTATGGATACGGATCCGCCTACGCCGGATACCCTGGATACGGATACTTCGGAAAGAGAGGCCGGGTTCGAACCTGCTCAGGCCAACTAGTGTTATGTGAAAGTGTACGAACGCTCTGAAATAAACTGACTTTCTGCTCTTTTTCTGTAATTGTCGTGTCCGCTGAATGAACTGCTCTGAAGCCTTCAACACGAGTGTTCAATCGCGAAGCAAGTTTATTTCCTATGAACTTTATGCATTTATAAACATTTACAAATACGAAAAAGAAAACAGTTAAAATCAAGTAAATTATTCGCCACCCTCTTCGGGCTTCGCGTTATTATCGGCCATCATCGGGCTTTTGGCCATCAACGGGCTTTTGCTCTTGCGGTTTAGCTTCCTCGGGCGTCCGCTCTTCCGGTGTGGCCTCCTTGAACTTCGGCTCCTCCGGTTTGGTCTCATCGGGCTTTGGTCCTTTCGGTTTCTCTTCCACTTGCTTCGGTTCCTCTGGTTTCGGCTCGTCTGACTTCGCCTTCACGTCCTTCTCCGTCTTCTTGCTCTTCCCAATCAGATCGTATCTGATGCTCAGTTCCTTCGCCGTCTTGTCCGCTTTGATCCGTGCCAGTTTCTGTTCATACTTCGCGTCGTATTCTTTGCGTAGGTCAGCGTTGAACTGTCCCATGTCATGAAAATGAGCCAAGTATTGTCGGTTGTCATAGATCAGCGTATAGGTCGCATTCACCTTGAAGTCCTGAAAGTTGGAGTTTAACGGAAACAGAGTGGGATCATCATTTGTCCTACCCTGACAACTGCCTCGTAGGCCATCAGAAAGCTGAATTGGAGTTGTTCGGCAGTCTCGATGGCCATATATCGCATGACACGCATTTGCAACACCAGTCCGGGCAGGGTCAACTTCCGGCGTTTCGCGCACGATGCTTGGTAGATGTAGTCGATAGCAGCAAAGCAGCAAGCACGTCCGGTTCCTCTGGAGCTGTGCACAACGTACGGAACCTGAAAAATATGAATGAGGTCGCGGTCGTAGGGATTTTGAAATTATCAAGATCTAGTTCTTTCCCCCCATTTCTCCTTCACTCACCGTTCTACTCTTTCTCCGGGTCGCGTAGTAAACGAATCGCACAGCCTCGATCTGATTCTCCGTCTTCGGAATCGATCCTTCCTTCCATTTGGGAATCTGGTAATGTATCACCGTCTCCTTCGGTACTATCCTTATGACATCTGGATCCACTGGCTGGTACGTGATCTGTCGGATGATGAGCTCTCCGTCGAACTTCTCCTCTTGCGAGTCCAGAGTCACTTTGCTTCCGTTGTAAATCTTAGTTCTTCCAATAACGTCCGGGAAGTAGGGGTAGCATTTGACGACGCCGTCCTCCACCAAATTGCACAACATAACGATGATCTTGCATTTGTTTTCCGTGATCATCAACCAAATGTCGTCGCGGTACGGTACTTTTGTGCGTCCACTAGGGGCCATGCACGCGATCGCTCGTCCGTATATTGGGAAAATGATGATGTTCGCGTGGTAGCAGCATCTGATCTCATCGTGTCTGTCGATCGCCAACGTCTGCCTGATGAGCGGCATTTCCGGGTACCTCAAAGTATCAACATTCTGATAGTACTTTTAAGAGATCCACTCACATTGTACACATTCCCATGCGGTCCACTCTCAAATCGTCGTCCATGAGTCCTGGTTTTTGGAGTTGCCACTCGAAATAACCCTGCAGAACCGTTTTGTTAATGTCCATTTTGACGCGGGGAACGGTGCACGCCGCGTCAGTGCTGAAGCCGTTGCGGACGAACCATTCCGGATCGTAGAAGTACATGTCAACTGAAAAGAATGTGGAATGAGACGAAAAAGGGAAAGAACAGAAGTTCTCACCATCGTCGTTCTTGTTGTACTTGTACTCGTTAGCCCTGGCGATGTCGTCGTTCTCCTTCCGAAACCGTGCCATCGCGTCAATCCTCTCTTGCGCATTGTTCTTCACAGTCCGTCGACGTTCCCTATTCGATTCCCGAAGGCTATTAATCTCTGCCATCTTTTCTTTAGAAACAATATTCGACTTTTCCAGATTTATCATCTTCTTTTCCATCACCGCGGTCCGCACCATCTTCTTGAATTGTTTCACCATTCGGGAAAACAGATTCGTCTTTGGTCCTCGTTGACCCTTCTCGCTCACTGTGCTTGCCGAGTTATCTAGTGTGCAGCCGCAGAAAAACCAAACGGTAAGAATCAGAATCGACGCTGTTAACCTGAAAGAAAAACGCGTTGCTTTAGTTGAAGGGGGTTCTGAACTCACAGCATTGGAACCGAAAACAGCGTGGCTGCGCTAAAAAAGAATGGAGGTTTAAAAACGGCACATTATATTGTGAACTCACGGTTCGATAGGCGGAGTACTGAAGGCTGCTCTCTTGAACTCCAGCGTTTTGTCCAGAAAATGGAGCGCTAGAGGAATCCTGAAGAGTGCTCCATGGAACTCGGTAAAGTCGAGATCGAGAGCTGACAGCTCTTCCAGCGAAGCCTTGGCAACGTACAGGTCCTCGAAGTTGGGATAAAGAATCCGAAGTTGGTCGAGTGCTTGCATCCTGTTTTCAGCATCCAGTTCGACGCTGTTCCAGATACAAGGAGCGGTGAACACGGCTTGGTATAGTTTCAGACCGACTTCATCACTTCGGTCAGTGTAACGTGCAAATCTCGAGGGTCTTCGAATCGCGCCCATTCGATCCTTGACGGTTCTCAGCAAGTCTTGGACTTCCGAAGTGGTTGTCTGGAAGTTTCCCCAAAGTGACTGGACTCTCTTCTTCGACGCGGGATCCTGCACATCTTCAATCATCAGCTCCACTTTCGCTCCTGCTCTCAGAAATGTCTCGAAGACAGTCCGCTTTTCCTCGACCTTTCCGAAGGCGATCAGTGCGGCTACAGCGCGTCCAAAGTGTTCCGAATGGTAGGGAAGGTTCCATATATCGGACAAGTCCGTCATCTGCAGCGTCCGATTCGCATTAATCTGCTCCGGATACTTTCGGAAGTCCTCCAGGGTGACGATAGAGTCGGACATCAACTCGGCGTCCTTCGAAATGCTGTCGAGCAGTTTACCATCGTTCTGCTGATCCTTGATCTTGCGCGTAGACCGGATGAAGTCCTTGAACATTTCGATTTGAGGGCGGCTGGTGTCGAGCATTTCGAAGAAGCTGATGAAGCTTCTGCCTCCATACTTCGTCGGAAAATCTATCAGCATAGCCTGATTTCCCGAGATCATGTCGAGGTGTTTTCCAAGACTCTTCAGTTTCGCTGAAACTTTATCCAAAAGTGTGCTCAGCACTGTTAGGTTTTTTAGGAGCTCCTTGTGCTTCGAATTTGTCAAATTTGCCATAACGGCCGACAGCTCCGCGTCCAGATTTGAATTGTCAGTGAATTGGATGGCATCTCTCAACTTGGATAGCTCCAGCGTGTCTCTCAGAACGTTAGAGAGTGAAGACATCATAGACAGTAGAGCAGTAAATGTGTCTACCAGTTGTTCGCAATTTTCGTAGGCTGCTTGCATGGGTGTAAGAGACGGGATTTTCGGCCATCCGACCCACTCGATGATCCTTTCCAGCATCGGTTTATCAAGAGTTCCGGCCTCCTCGAACATCTTCTCCAGTTCGTCGACTCGTTGAACAGCTCCAGTCTGCCGCAAGCCATCCCAAATGCCACTCAGTGCACTGACCTTCTTTTCGAGCACTTCCATCGGCCACGCGACAGCAGCAGCCAACGAACGAGGATGATATCCGCCAGTGAGTTCGTGGACCATGAACGAGTAGCAGGTTGATTGTATCGAAGACAGGTCGTTCCGCACGTCGTAGAAGCCGGTGGTATGCTTGAGCAAGTGGGGTTTCCGATGAGCATCTCGAGATTTCACGACTTCCTTCATCGCTCTCAGCTGATTGCGCACCTCGTTGTTATCCGTGAAGAATTGAGCGACGGAAGTGTATAATTCGTTGATGGCTGTCACTTGCGAGGCGTCCAGATCGGAGATCGTGCCGTTCGCCTTTCTAGCGATGAGGGATTGGATAAACACGAAGAGTTTGATCTGCGGCGACTCGAGAATAGGACTATTATTGATGACCTCTTGGTGGGCTTCAAAACGTTTAATCCATCCATTGATATCCCGTATTTTATGGAGAATGGTGTCAACGTATCGTTTTAAATCGACAAGGAAATTTTGCTTATATTGCTTTTCGTCATCAGTCATTGAGCTGACAGAAATAGAGAGGTCCCCGACATCCGCCAATTGTGATCGAGCAGCTTTGATTGAGCTCACGAAGTCGTTGATCAGGCTGACGTTGATCAGATTGGACTTAATTCTATCGACCGCAGTGAAAAAAGTTTGCAAGATGGATGTGTCGTTGAGATCGCCGAGAGACTTGTACTCCTCTTTCGCCGATTCCAGCGCATTGAACATCGCATCGATCGTGTCGAGCACCTGCACAGACGCCAGTGTCTTCGAGAAGTCTCTGAGCTTCGTGACGAATCCCTCGACGGCGTTTTTGTCGAACTGAATCCACTTGGCCAAGTCAGCAGCGGATCTGACGTCCATCAGTTCGGCGATCAGCTCATCTATTGGCAATGCTCCGTTCTCCATACTTTTCACTTCGATTGCCATGGCCGTCAGAATTTGCGACATTCTCCTCATGTCCAGCACCACCAATTCGAAATCGATATCTGCAATTATTAATTTGTTTACGCATACACTTTGCAACCGGCGAATGTTTCGCAACCGTCGCTGGAAAATTCAACTCACTTCCGGTGTTTCTGGTGTGTCGGACAAAGAATATATCGTCGCGGAGAGAGTCTTCGTATTCTACGAGACCTGGAAAATATAATTTTTCAGTCCAACTTCTAGCACAATTTGCTCACCTTGATAGGGGGATTGGGCAGTTTCCGAGGATCCCCAGAAATATGTTTCCAAGACAGTTTCGTTTAACGCTGAAAGTATATTTTGAGAGTCTGAGAAGTGCAAAGGAAAACTCACAAGCTATAGCTATCAGTACCGCGATCACCATGAGAGCCGTCGAAATGCTCGGCCCCAAATGCATTTTCGGAGACACAAACTGGTGTTGCAGGAAGATTCTGGTTGCTTTTTGGTGAATACTGAGTGAAAACGTGGCCACGGATTTCACGGATTTTTGAGATTTACTTTTTTTTGACGAATTAGACGTTCGGGTAACGTTTAGAAACGTTAATTTTTGTAAATTTATATTTTTTCAATGGAAGCCAGCCATTCTCTCAATTCCCTTCGGGACCCGGCCCTCCTAAAAGTAGCTGCGCCTTGAAAGTTCGCTCGCCGCGCGCGACGTTTTTCTCCGCGCTTGTCAACGAAAAACAAACTTTTTTCAAAAAATACAACTTTTCGATGTTTTACTGCTTAATTCGATATAATCAAGGATAAAATATTCTGAAAAGCTGCAAAAAATAGTCTCACCTCGCATTGGGTTCATATTCTCCTGCTCTCCGTCTTCATGGCTCCACGTAAGTTCTGAAGAGGTCCCGGAAAGCTCTCCGTGCTCGACGACATTCAAATCGTCCGACGCTTCTTCACATTCCCCATCAGAAATAGTTTCGGGCGACCTTGTCAGCCTACCTTGTCATTTTTCGGTAAACCTCTGCAACTTTTGAGCAGAACTTCAGCAACTCTTGTCCAGAATCTGCGCAGATCTTGCTGAAATGTTGTTCAAAAGCAGCTATCATCCCATAGTTTGCTCAGAAGCTGCCGGCATTTACCGAGTGAGAGTATAGTCTCTTTTGAGACAGTAACACTTTATTTCTATCTATCATAAAGTTCTTTAGAATTTAGTAATTTGAATATGAGTATGTGCATGAACATGAACGTGCGTTCCAACTTTTCGTAGATTCGGAAGAGTTGTGAACTCATCCACGGTGCTCACCTTCATGCCTGCAATGTTTTTGTTAAGTTTCATAATTGCTGTCTCCCCTTGCTCTTACCAATTGGGACGAAAAGTCTTCTACACAAAAAGAAGAAATAGTTGCGATAGGATTGATGAACTAGAATATTGGTGATAGTGGCCAGAAGGCCATGTGTGGAGATTAAGCACAGACCAATTTGGACATATACTTGTTCAAAACAACCGGTTAGCAGAAGAATGACGAGACCCAGAGCAGCTGGAAGAACGAGAGCCGAATAGGGAATGAGCACCTGTAGAGAGAATTTTATAGAAAGGTTCTCAGAATACACAACCTTTCAATCCCATCCTACCTGAAGCAACAACCCTTTTAGAAGAGTCCGTTGAATCCTCTGCATTTCCTTTGACAACAATATACGTGTCGCCCGGATTATATAAAAGGAATGAAACGCATAGAAACTAGAGAAAATGATAACAATTGCCACTCCACCCATATAATAGAAGTGCAAAAATCCCAGAGTGTGTACCGAAATGACGATAGTTTCCTTATTCCAAACGTCGCACGGCGCTTTCTTCCACACCTCCACTATTTCATTAATGAGGCCGCGATCATCGAAATCGATGAGGAAGGCTGGAAGCCACACGTGGAAAATACCAATGAGAAAGTACATTGCGCTTTTGAACACACGATACTCGACGGAATGTCGGAGCATATGGAAATTGGGTAGGACACTTTGATGGCGATATTCGAAAAGACAAGTGGTGGACGCACCCACACATGCCAGTGCGAATGTTGTGATCAGATATTGCCAACGGGAGGGAACTTCGAGCAGCGATAGTAATCCGAACGGGTAGCCGCTTAGAAATGGGTAAAAGATGATAGGTGTGCAGAGGATTGTGAGGCACACGTTGAATGTTATTATGCTGAAACGGATCGCTCTTGCAGTTGACAATTGATAACGACCTACGCAAGCTGAAAACCTAAAATGAGCCATTTGTAGGTGCCCATACTCCACGAGGATCTTTTCAGAATACAATAAACCGACAATACGACGAATGGAAATTGTGAAACTCCGATTACATTCATCACCGACTTGTACACCGGATAATTAGATGGTTCACGACAATTTTGCGGAGAAAACGGAAGTGACAACATTTTGTTTTTTCGCCACTGCTGCTGTGCTGATGAAAAACGAATGGGAATGAGAAAATAAATATACGGCGAGTGACTAGAAGAGGAAAATTCACCTGTCCTCGGGATGAGGAGACGAATTTCCGCTGTTAAGCAGTGGTAATATTGAATGTACGCAAACGCATGCACAAAGGTGATCTCTGAACACTTTTTTGAGGTGAAAATTGAACGATTTATTTTAATGTCCAGTAAGAACAGAAAATGGCGATATTGATAATGTTGAGCTCATTGCCTACGCATCCATCAGTTATGGTAGACAACTATGAGTACTGATAATGATTAAGACACATGTTAGAGATAAACTTCTAATTCAATTGACAACATGGAAAAATCCATCAGCAGATTCTGCCGACACCGAAAAACGTGTCTACTTTCAGATAGAATTAGACAATAGAGCCCTACAATATCATGATCTTATTCCCCGATTAAACAAGGAAATACAACTCTCCAACTGCATTAATAGACTTGAAATCGAACTCCCGATTCTTCGAATCTCTTTCACGTCTTTCTGCTTAATGGCTGCATCCAGAACTGACCATCGGCAAAGGCTACAGTTTAGCAAGATGCTATTGACGTTTGTGAGGAAGTCCTGAAGCTTATAAAGTTCATACAATGTCATATGTTCAATTACCCATTCCAATGGATTTACAGGGTTGGTGAAGTTGGAAAGTTTAAACTCCTGAATTCGTTTGCCAATCAAGTCTTTACTGGCCTTCATTTGTTCGAAATCGTTGTCCAAAACGCCTGGGCTGATGCAAGAATCCTTACTAGCGCTGGAGCTGCACTGAAAATTATTGAAGTTCTTCAATTTCGCCCATACATTTATGGCAAACGAAGCTTTTGTTTTAAACCAATTCTTACCATGGTATAAACAGTCTGCAGAGAGCTTATAAACTCCGTCAAGTTGTGCAATATCTGTACGAAAGCCCGAGAACTCTCCACGAGTCGTTTTCTTTTGAAATGATCTCGTAGTTCTTGTGCTAACGCTTTCAATTGCTCCATTTTCAGCACGTCTACTTCTGCATTTCTGGACATTTGTCGCACACAAAAGATTCGGATTAAAAGTTGAACGTACCGATCTTTATTCAGGCATTTATCAGCAGTAATCATCTGTTGTCGAAAGTGAGAAAGATGGAGGAATTTTGATGAGAAATGGAAAGAAACAAATGCTCTGGGTGACAAACCATACGCAAGCTAAACTGAACAAACACACATTTTCTTCGGTGGAAACACGTTTATGTAGCGTAGAAACAGTACGTTCATTGTCTACTTAACTGATTCGGGTTGGTGGCAGGTTGCATCGCAAGATGTTCTTCAGTGATTCGATTTAACCCTTCGTCCAGAATTGCTCTGGTCAGCGAAATGTCGGCATTCAACTGAAAAGCCGCCTTTCCAAATTTGACGATTTTCGGCTTGTCGTCGTTGTCAATGGCTGGCAAGAGGGTTGTGCACATTGCGTTCAACTCCATGCTATTCATCACCTTGTCCATTTTTTTAATGAATTCCTGTGAAAGGGTGCGGATCAGAGTTGAGCGGAAAAACTCAACGGAAGAACACGGAAGAATTTTTATCTTTTTTATACAATTTTTTCATGGAATGTGATAAACTGACAAAATGTATAGCAAAGTGAACTCTGCTCTGAGAAAAATAATTGTAAATTTAAATTTTCATACAAAAAAGTTGTTCTAGTTGTTCCGTGAAAATGTCCTTCCGTCTTCCCCGTTAGCCCTCCTTTTTTCACGGAACAACTCGAATAACTTTTTTGTATGAAAAGTTAAATTTACAAATATTTTTCTATGAGCAGAGATCACTTTGCTATACATTTCGTCAGTTGATCACATTCCATGAAAAAATTTTCTAAAAAAGATAAAAATTCTTCCGTGTTCTTCCATTGAGTTCTTCAGCTCAACTCTGGTGCGGATTGATTCGGCAAGTTAGAAACCGGAAAGTCTGGTACAAACGAAGATCTATCCCACTGAACTTACCGCACAATGATGCCGAATTTCCGGATGAGCCTGATGACAGTGAAGCACGTACTGCCGATAACGAGTAACACGGTTCTGGTAAATGCTCTTATGCTGCCGAATCAACGAAACATCTGGGTCAAGCGTTCCGATAGGGATGGACAGGGTTGATTCGTCATTCACGTGACACTGAATACATAATGTAAAGTTCGATTATCTTGAGGTACTAACAAGTTGTTGAACGGTCATCAACGACTTATGAGTCTCAATAAGCGGTTCCGAAATAGATTGAAACATTCGGATGACATCCTTAGAGTGTTCCACATGAATATGCTGAAGCAGATCTTCAGTTCGCTCCCGAATTTGTTTGATCGTTTCTTCGTGCTCCAACTTGAGATGCTGTCTGAAAGGAAATCATGAGGATCTCAAAGAGTATTGTGAATTCACCTTCTCTCCGCAATATTATCCTTCTTCATCTGCATAGTCTCATCACGAATTGCCTTCAGTTGCTTCTCATTCAGTTCCATCAACTTGGCCATCTCCTCTTTATAAACTGTCAGCGCCTTCATCCGATCCTCATGAACCGCCTCCTTCTCCTTTTCGGCTTTCTCAATCTTCAGCTCTCCTTCTTTCTTGGTATTGTCCAACTTAGCCTGCGCCTTGTTCTTCTCCTCTTTGTGCTCTCTTTCGAGCTTATCCATGTTTCCTCTGTGCTCCCGTTCCGCTTTTTCTCTGGCTTCTTTCGAATCCGATCGGAGCTCTTGCATTTTTCGATCGTGGGCTTCATTCATTTTCTTCACATTCTCATCGTACGCATCTTCGTCATCTTTCATCTGCTTTATCAATTTCCTTAATAAAACTTGTTTGTAAACTGGAAGCAGGAGGAGGGCAAGCCTACTCCAAAGCCTTTTCATTTTCAACTTTTTGCTGCTGGAACCGTTTCTCAGCGGCATTCTCGCTTTTGTTTGCCTCATCCTCGAAGGTTTTGTACACTGAAGTTAGTTAATCAGTGAGATAGTTTTAGACTTTACTCATTGCTGCACTCGAAACGAACTTGTATTCAATTCCTCCGCTGCTTTCGCATGCGCCCTCTCATTCTCCTCCTTGCACTTCTTCAATGCGTCATTTCTAGCCTTTGGCGCATTCTGAAACACATGAATCAAGTTCACTAATCAAAGTATGTTTTCTCTTACCGATCGCATTCGCTCGATAGCGTTCAATGTGCCTTCGACTACTTCGGTAACGGCAGGAACGATTGTAACGCATTTGAGCGCAGTTGTGAGAAATCCCATTGTTTCTAAAATCTTGTTTGTTGCAGGCAGAGAGCTGTTAGTGCAAAGGAAAGAGGAACTGAAGACGAACAAACCCTGGTTAGTCTTAAATAGAATCAGGAAGAGGGAAAGTGAGAACAGATAAGAGAGGAAATGCGGAAATAAGTGTGAGCAAAAAGCGATCGAGAAAACAAGATATCAAGAGAATTGAGAAGAACGTGACTTCAATTAAGAGTGAGCAATAGAAAGCAAAACGTAAAGAATTCATTGAGGGAATGTATTGAGGAAACAGAAAACCACCGTCATCAGCGCCTTCATTTAGCCTTCCTTATTGATACTCTCTCGGTAATTCTTCTTTATTTCCGCCAGCGTCGGGATAGCGTGCACTGTTCTTTGAAGATCCGAAAAATAACTATCCATACTACGGATTTCAATCATTTCGCCCTAAAAGTATTAAAGTTTGTCAGAAACAAAGCTAGGCTAGAACTCACCTTGAGAGCCGATATTGCCCGATCACACTTGTGCTCAACATCCTGAACAGCATCCCGAATATAAATGAGAAACTCTTTTCCAGTCTTTCGATACATCGTTTCCATTTCCTCTGCCTCATTCCGCATCAACTCTTTCTCGCTGGTTACTTCAGCGATCACTTGTTCACGATAAAGCTTCAATGCCTGCTCATTCTCATTCAGATGCCTTTTCATCTGATTCCACGCCTTTTGAACATCAGAATTAGCGGATCTCAGTTGGTTCAGACGTCTCGTCCAGTTGTTTTCAATGACTTCATTCCACAATTTCTGCTGAAGAATCCTTTGAATTTCTCGAAGAATGCTGTCCATTTCTCGTTTGCGGTGCTCGTCTCTCTGTCGAATTTCTTCAAGCTTCCGCAAAAGTTGCTCTCGAATCTCATGAATCCTCGCTTGGTGTCTCTCCTCTTCTTTCCGAATCTCACTCTCTTGCTCAGCTTCTCTTCTGTTGAAGTCTTCACGGATTCTCTGCATCTGTTCATGATCCTTGTCTATTTGTTCTTCGAATCGTCTCTTAGCTTCTTCTCGGCCCTTTTCGATGTGCTCTAGCTCCAAGTCGCCTCTCCGTTTGAGCTGTTTCGTCTCGTACTGCGACATCTGAACGGGATTTCAAATCAAATGCTCCAATTTCCTGTCCGTACCTGATTTTTGAACAACTGCGCCAATTTACTGTCCTCTCTGAGTTTCGCCAATCTCATATCGCTCTCTGAAATTAGTTTAAATAGCTCAATAGATAGTTTGACTGTGAACCCACCGTGTTCGCTTCTCAACCTCTTCAATTCATTCTCTCTGTCGAACTCTTTAAAGATGTCCATTTGCTGCTCTCGCCGCTGTCTTCTACTCGTCAACTTCAATTCAAATTGTCTTTGGTGCTCTTCTTCATCTTTCCTGAACAATGATTTCTACAAACGTTTTGTGAACTTTCCACCCAACTGCATTCGATTTTTGAGATCTAACAGTCGATTTTGAATCATTAACTCTCCAATTTTTTCTTCGTAGACATTCGAAGGCTTTGGGGGCGCAGGTTCTATATCATTGTTTTGTTGATAAAAGTAAAAAGCTGCGGCAGTAGCAACTCCAGAAGCTACGAATACCCAAAATCGTCTCAAGTTGTTCTGGAAAAGTTCACATGCGTATTAGTGAATCGAAACTGACCTGGACTTTTGAACCACTGCAACATTTCGATTGGACCCAAAATTTGCAGGCTTCTTGGACATGAGTTGAAGCACGCTGGGACCAAGTTTCAGACCGATCGGATCGAGACCCGACGATCCGATAGAGCTGAAACTTGGTCCCAATGGCCCTCAATCCACGTTCAACAATCCTGCAAAGTTTTGGTCCGATCGGAATGTTGCAAGTGGTTCAAATGTCCAGGTCAAGAGTCGGCCAATTGCCCAGCCCTGAAACTGAGTAAACTAACCGTCATAAGTTGTTTCAAATGTTGAACGATAGCGGACCGGCCAACAAACTCTGCAGCCACAGCTGGAGCCTCCACTTGCTCCTCTCCATACAAATATTTGCGAAAAGTGGCCAACGAGCTGACAATCCAGCTCTTAATTTCCCCAGAATGTTGTTCAGGAATATTCATCGAACTCTCAATTACCTTCCAATCCCCGCGAGCAGCCGTTTCTGAAGTCATCGGTTTGAAAGTGATGAGAATTACGAAGGAAACGGAAAAATTGAAAAAGCGATGAGCAAGAAAGCGGTAAACATGGGCGTGTGTGTAAGATTCTAGTTTAGTGATAAGAAAAGGCATTCCGAAAAGAAATTACGCATGTGATTAGCACATTTAAAATTTTGGCATAGGAAGATCAAAGTCATGAAATGTGTTTATTGCAATGAGAACATGGGAAGGGGTGATGAGAAGTGAGAGAAGGAGAGAGAGAGAGAGAGAGAGAGAGAGAGAGAGAGAGAGGTAGGGTACAATGTAACATTGAATTAAGACTGAGCAATGACATAAATGCAAGAGATCTACCATCTAACATGATGTTTACTTCACTTCTTAACGGTATCTGCCACTGTCATAGGCTTAGAAATAAGGAGAAGACCAAAGTTATGATGATGATGATGAAGTGGACGGGGTATAAGTATTAGAAGAACTAATAAATTGATTAACAATATCCATAGCATCCTTTTTGAACGTTTCCATGCTCTTCACATGCATTAGAAGTGTAGATGTCTACAATGTTCGGTTATTTTCATTGAGACATTCTTATTACTAACCCACATCTCTTTTCCTTGTCAAATTGTAATTGTGTTCTGCTAAGCTTGGAAGTCCGCTCAGCGTTCTCTGAAAGTCTTCCAAAAGTCTCTGAAACTATGCGTTTTCCGGCAGCTAGAACACATTTTAAATTTACAATCAACTTCTCATGAGTCTCGTCTTGATGCTGTTGACAATCCATAAGGTTGTTGTGAAATTCTTCAACACTATCGTTGAATTTGTTCATTGAACTCTGCCACTGTTCCATCAATAAATCCTCTAGGGGTGCCCAAGATGTTATACATATATTCTGAACTCTCGGAAAATATTATTGGACAGCCAATTGGTTAGACGCACAATTTCGTTTGAATTCGAAACGACACTATTGAAATGATCGTCGAAAACATTTAGGAGCGACTTCAAATGAAAGCGTGTTCCGTTTGTTTGACACTGTGTGGTGTACATTTTAAAATATTCTTGAAGTTGTTTCAAATCCTCTTCATTCTTGCGGCTAGCGAACTCCCTAGCAAAAAGCAAAATGAGATGAATGAGATGAAAATTTATCTAATTCAGCGACCCACGTGTGTTCATTCAGAACTCCCGCCATAAAAATTTGAATTTATTTTCGAAGGGCGCTACGCACCGATTCAAAATTTTCGTTTGCCGCCTTTACGCCGGCGTACGCCCATTGGCTGCGTGTCGCCCCTGTGCAAACACCGTTCTAGATATTTTGCGTACTTGGCACCAGATACTACGCAAATTTGAGGCCAGCTGTTTATTTATTCAAATTAGAGAGTGCGAGATTGAAGAGACGCCGACGATGTTCGGTAGGGCGCGCTTGCATGCGCGTAACAGTTCGAACGCTCGTGGCGACCCACATTTCCATTTTCCGTTTTTCATTGTTTTGCTCATTCCTCATCTGAATTTCTTCAATTTCAATCTCGATTACCTGAAAGTAAGTAACCGCTCACACCGCAACATTGTACAACAAACCTCAATTCTGTTCATTTCGCATGCGTGTATAACATTCGGCTTTATCAGCACTTCCTTCTTCTTCTTCTTCTTCTTCTTCTTCGCCGTTTCGTTCAGCAAATAAAGTCGGAATTGCAAATCATGCCAAGACAAAAACCTATTTTCAGGTAGCAAGATGACGTAAGGACGATGTTGAAACGAGAGATATTTAACAATGAGCAAGAGTGACTACGGGATGAAGGTCGCAATTTCGAAACAATTTGGACCTGCGATGAAATGAGAGAGAACACAATAGTTCAAACGAGCCCAGACATTGACAAAGACTACCAGAATCTTGTCGATGCGCTCAAAGAGCTACAGAGCCAGGCAATAACACAGCCATCCAACCACTCAACCAATCGGATCACAAGGGCTACTCGACAACTTCTAGAAAAACGGAGATTTATGGACAGATCAGACCCCAACTTCAAGTCGCTGTCAATAAAATGCCGAGAAGAGGTCGAGAAAGACCACGAAGAGTTCGCCAGTTCCCGCTTTCTGAGCGCCGCGAATCAAGGGAGAAGCCTGAAAAGGGTGGCAAGGGACGTTCAAGAATACAAGTCCTTCATGAGCGGTTACTTACTTTCAGGTAATCGAGATTGAAATTGAAGAAATTCAGATGAGGAATGAGCAAAACAATGAAAAACGGAAAATGGAAATGTGGGTCGCTGAATTAGATAAATTTTCATCTCATTCATCTCATTTTGCTTTTTGCTAGGGAGTTCGCTAGCCGCAAGAATGAAGAGGATTTGAAACAACTTCAAGAATATTTTAAAATGTACACCACACAGTGTCAAACAAACGGAACACGCTTTCATTTGAAGTCGCTCCTAAATGTTTGCGACGATCATTTCAATAGTGTCGTTTCGAATTCGAACGAAATTGTGCGTCTAACCAATTGGCTGTCCAATAATATTTTCCGAGAGTTCAGAATATATGTATAACATCTTGGGCACCCCTAGAGGATTTATTGATGGAACAGTGGCAGAGTTCAATGAACAAATTCAACGATAGTGTTGAAGAATTTCACAACAACCTTATGGATTGTCAACAGCATCAAGACGAGACTCATGAGAAGTTGATTGTAAATTTAAAATGTGTTCTAGCTGCCGGAAAACGCATAGTTTCAGAGACTTTTGGAAGACTTTCAGAGAACGCTGAGCGGACTTCCAAGCTTAGCAGAACACAATTACAATTTGACAAGGAAAAGAGATGTGGGTTAGTAATAAGAATGTCTCAATGAAAATAACCGAACATTGTAGACATCTACACTTCTAATCCATGTGAAGAGCATGGAAACGTTCAAAAAGGATGCTATGGATATTGTTAATCAATTTATTAGTTCTTCTAATACTTATACCCCGTCCACTTCATCGTCATCATCATAACTTTGGTCTTCTCCTTATTTCTAAGCCTATGACAGTGGCAGATACCGTTAAGAAGTGAAGTAAACATCATGTTAGATGGTAGATCCCTTGCATATATGTCATTGCTCAGTCTTAATTCAATGTTACATTGTACCCTACCTCTCTCTCTCTCTCTCTCTCTCTCTTTCTCTCTCTCTCTCTCTCCTTCTCTCACTTCTCATCACCCCTTCCCATGTTTTCATTGCAATAAACACATTTAATGACTTTGATCTTCTTATGCCAAAATTTTAAATGTGCTAATCACATGCGTAATTTCTTTTCGGAATGCCTTTTCTTATCACTAAACTAGAATCTTACACACACGCCCATGTTTACCGCTTTCTTGCTCATCGCTTTTTCAATTTTTCCGTTTCCTTCGTAATTCTCATCACTTTCAAACCGATGACTTCAGAAACGGCTGCTCGCGGGGATTGGAAGGTAATTGAGAGTTCGATGAATATTCCTGAACAACATTCTGGGGAAATTAAGAGCTGGATTGTCAACTCGTTGGCCACTTTTCGCAAATATTTGTATGGAGAGGAGCAAGTGGAGGCTCCAGCTGTGGATGCAGAGTTTGCTGGCCGGTCCGCTATCGTTCAACATTTGAAACAACTTATGACGGTTAGGTATAAGGAAGGCTAACTGAAGGCGCTGATGACGGTGGTTTTCTGTTTCCTCTATACATTCCCTCAATGAATTCTTTACGTTTTGCTTTCTATTGCTCACTCTTAATTGAAGTCATGTTCTTCTCAATTCTCTTGATATCTTGTTTTCTCGATCGCTTTTTGCTCACACTTATTTCCGCATTTCCTCTCTTATCTGTTCTCACTTTCCCTCTTCCTGATTCTATTTAAGACTAACCAGGGTTTGTTCGTCTTCAGTTCCTCTTTCCTTTGCACTAACAGCTCTCTGCCTGCAACAAACAAGATTTTAGAAACAATGGGATTTCTCACAACTGCGCTCAAATGCGTTACAATCGTTCCTGCCGTTACCGAAGTAGTCGAAGGCACATTGAACGCTATCGAGCGAATGCGATCGGTAAGAGAAAACATACTTTGATTAGTGAACTTGATTCATGTGTTTCAGAATGCGCCAAAGGCTAGAAATGACGCATTGAAGAAGTGCAAGGAGGAGAATGAGAGGGCGCATGCGAAAGCAGCGGAGGAATTGAATACAAGTTCGTTTCGAGTGCAGCAATGAGTAAAGTCTAAAACTATCTCACTGATTAACTAACTTCAGTGTACAAAACCTTCGAGGATGAGGCAAACAAAAGCGAGAACGCCGCTGAGAAACGGTTCCAGCAGCAAAAAGCTGAAAATGAAAAGGCTTTGGAGTAGGCTTGCCCTCCTCCTGCTTCCAGTTTACAAACAAGTTTTGTTAAGGAAATTGACAAAGCAGATGAAAGATGACGAAGATGCGTACGATGAGAATGTGAAGAAAATGAATGAAGCCCACGATCGAAAAATGCAAGAGCTCCGATCGGATTCGAAAGAAGCCAGAGAAAAAGCGGAACGGGAGCACAGAGGAAACATGGATAAGCTCGAAAGAGAGCACAAAGAGGAGAAGAACAAGGCGCAGGCTAAGTTGGACAATACCAAGAAAGAAGGAGAGCTGAAGATTGAGAAAGCCGAAAAGGAGAAGGAGGCGGTTCATGAGGATCGGATGAAGGCGCTGACAGTTTATAAAGAGGAGATGGCCAAGTTGATGGAACTGAATGAGAAGCAACTGAAGGCAATTCGTGATGAGACTATGCAGATGAAGAAGGATAATATTGCGGAGAGAAGGTGAATTCACAATACTCTTTGAGATCCTCATGATTTCCTTTCAGACAGCATCTCAAGTTGGAGCACGAAGAAACGATCAAACAAATTCGGGAGCGAACTGAAGATCTGCTTCAGCATATTCGTGTGGAACACTCTAAGGATGTCATCCGAATGTTTCAATCTATTTCGGAACCGCTTATTGAGACTCATAAGTCGTTGATGACCGTTCAACAACTTGTTAGTACCTCAAGATAATCGAACTTTACATTATGTATTCAGTGTCACGTGAATGACGAATCAACCCTGTCCATCCCTATCGGAACGCTTGACCCAGATGTTTCGTTGATTCGGCAGCATAAGAGCATTTACCAGAACCGTGTTACTCGTTATCGGCAGTACGTGCTTCACTGTCATCAGGCTCATCCGGAAATTCGGCATCATTGTGCGGTAAGTTCAGTGGGATAGATCTTCGTTTGTACCAGACTTTTCGGTTTCTAACTTGCCGAATCAATCCGCACCCTTTCACAGGAATTCATAAAAAAAATGGACAAGGTGATGAATAGCATGGAGTTGAACGCAATGTGCACAACCCTCTTGCCAGCCATTGACAACGACGACAAGCCGAAAATCGTCAAATTTGGAAAGGCGGCTTTTCAGTTGAATGCCGACATTTCGCAGACCAGAGCAATTCTGGACGAAGGGTTAAATCGAATCACTGAAGAACATCTTGCGATGCAACCTGCCACCAACCCGAATCAGTTAAGTAGACAATGAACGTACTGTTTCTACGCTACATAAACGTGTTTCCACCGAAGAAAATGTGTGTTTGTTCAGTTTAGCTTGCGTATGGTTTGTCACCCAGAGCATTTGTTTCTTTCCATTTCTCATCAAAATTCCTCCATCTTTCTCACTTTCGACAACAGATGATTACTGCTGATAAATGCCTGAATAAAGATCGGTACGTTCAACTTTTAATCCGAATCTTTTGTGTGCGACAAATGTCCAGAAATGCAGAAGTAGACGTGCTGAAAATGGAGCAATTGAAAGCGTTAGCACAAGAACTACGAGATCATTTCAAAAGAAAACGACTCGTGGAGAGTTCTCGGGCTTTCGTACAGATATTGCACGACTTGACGGAGTTTATAAGCTCTCTACAGACTGTTTATACCATGGTAAGAATTGGTTTAAAACAAAAGCTTCGTTTGCCATAAATGTATGGGCGAAATTGAAGAACTTCAATAATTTTCAGTGCAGCTCCAGCGCTAGTAAGGATTCTTGCATCAGCCCAGGCGTTTTGGACAACGATTTCGAACAAATGAAGGCCAGTAAAGACTTGATTGGCAAACGAATTCAGGAGTTTAAACTTTCCAACTTCACCAACCCTGTAAATCCATTGGAATGGGTAATTGAACATATGACATTGTATGAACTTTATAAGCTTCAGGACTTCCTCACAAACGTCAATAGCATCTTGCTAAACTGTAGCCTTTGCCGATGGTCAGTTCTGGATGCAGCCATTAAGCAGAAAGACGTGAAAGAGATTCGAAGAATCGGGAGTTCGATTTCAAGTCTATTAATGCAGTTGGAGAGTTGTATTTCCTTGTTTATTCGGGGAATAAGATCATGATATTGTAGGGCTCTATTGTCTAATTCTATCTGAAAGTAGACAAGTTTTTCGGTGTCGGCAGAATCTGCTGATGGATTTTTCCATGTTGTCAATTGAATTAGAAGTTTATCTCTAACATGTGTCTTAATCATTATCAGTACTCATAGTTGTCTACCTTAAAATCACCCGAGTCGCCAAACAATCTGTTTACATTCACATTTCCAACTGATTTCATCGTTGCTCACTCTTACTTTAGTTGTCTCTTTCGCAATATCATAAACACAGTTGAAACATGTTGTTCGCTTATATTTTTTCAGTGTTTCAATCACTTCATGCTATCTTTTTTCCCGTCTGTTTGTTAGTTGTATACCATTTGAAATTTCAGACGTTTTATAGCATCAATGGGAAATTTCTGTAGCTGTTGCAAGGCAGAAGATCAGAGAAATGTGAGTTGTTTTCTGTCGCAAATGATCGTTTGTTTCCACGTGAAATTTGGAGCAACTTTTAAAGTCATCTTTGAAAAATGAGCATGTTTCTATTAAGAATATATTTAGGAGCTTGGGAGCTACACAGTATCAGAGAGGCCTACGTATAGGCCGTATGGCGCCTCATCTCAAATTCAAGCAAACCAACTGAATAGTAACTTTCGTGTCCCGTTCCCAACAAACGGATTACAAACAATATTAGAAAGGTAAGAACTTGCTGCACAGCATTTAGTGATAAATGTTTGGAGAGATTTGTGACACGTTTCAATTTCAGCGAGCGAAGAGCCGAGGAAGATCATCAGAGAAAGCTGGATGAACAGAATAAACGACGAGAAAATAGGAACAATGCGTTTTTAAGAGAACTGAACCGAGGAGACTCAGATAGAGAAAGGAAGAGACGACGAAAAGAGGAAGGTACACTATTTGTTGTAGCATGTGACTTGATGATGATGATGATGATGATGATTGTGATCTATTCAGATGAGAACGCCGCGTTTGAAGAGGAGCGATTTCAGCGGAGAATGCAGAACGAGCACAAAAATCGGGAAATGTATAGAGATGCGGTAACGGGAAATGGATACAATGCGAATGAGTGGGAGGAACGGTTGGAAAGGTGATACTGGGTAGGGAGAAGATAATATTCCAGAATTTTTTCTTTTCAGACAAAGAACAGAGTTTGACGCGCAGAGAAGAGATTTGGAGAGCGGAATGAGAGAGAATCAAATGAGACATGAGAGGGAAATGGCGGAAAAAGACAGGTACGAGTTTTTGGAAATATATGATTACATTCATTGGATCTCAGAATACCCCACTTCATTACAGAAACGGTCGTCGAGAAGAGGAGGAACATCAAGAAAGAATGCGAAAAATTGACGAGAAGCTGGCCAGAAAGCTGGAAGAACTTTTGCGAAATGCTGAAGAGCGAAGAGCTGAAATGAGCGCGCAATTCGAGCAGATTTCAAAGATTTTGCAAATGAGAGTGTGGAATGAGATCATCGAGAGCAACTGGACGAATCGGTTGAACACTTTGAGGTATGTCGTGAACATGAAAATATGTAGTACAAGAGCCACTTATATTTGTGTTCAGAAATTCCAACAAAGATTCGGAAAGGATGGAGCGTTATTGTCTCCGGTCGAATTCTGATGCTTCGCAGTACTCGGAGTGGCGTCAAGTCCTGGAAATCCTTCTAAATTTCATGAACACCGAATCCGAAAATATGTCAATCATGTACAGAAACACTGGAAAAAGTTTCCTGCTGGTCATCCAGGTGAACAGTACGTTGACGTTCTTTAAAACATTTCCACTTTCCAGAGCTCTGTTGATAAGGTTTCTCGAAAGTGTGAAGAGTTACTTGATGCGTTACAAACTGCCGATGCTCGCAACTTGAAGGCGTTATCGTCGGATCTCAACGAAGCGTGTCGAGCAATTCCAACACTTGCTAAGCTTAAAAGACAATATTATTCAGAAATGAACGATTAGTGTCTGTGATAAAACTCTTAGAACCGAATTCAGTAGACGATTTGCTAAATCAGTTCTGTTCCCCATTTTGTTTACGTGTTGCATGAAACATTGCTCACTTTTATTCTTCTTCTTTTTATTTCTCTTGCAGCTCATTTTGTTTCTCAACATGTATTATCGAAATGCGAATGGAAAAACTGTTCGTTTAGTGTTTACGGACGCGCAGAATAGATTCGAAAAATGATCGAAATCAAGATCATTGCATAATTTTCAGTCACAGATTTCTCAGCATTTGAGCCTAAGTGGTTGTGTGTTGTGCTCCTTTTTGGACAGAAACATCCGGACCGAGTGCAGTGAGAGCAGCTTCGATGGATTGACCGATTTGTGTGTATTCTTTATCAACATTCTCCAACAGGCAGTGTCGTTGATGGAAGAAGAGCTGAAGATGGGCACGTTGAAACATTTTTCAATGAGATGGCTTCTGGCTGCACTCATTCGAAGGCCGGATTCTACTGGCTCAACGGTATTATGTTTGCGTTATGTTCATTTTAAGGCCATATAGTTCACCGTAAAAGCGAGATGAAATTGTGTTTGTGTTCAGGTTATTTTCATTTTTCTCAAAGACTTCACAGGGCTCCGACGCAAATCCAATGTTTTCAGATTATGAACGGGAAAGAATACATAGAAATTCGTCTTTGTATCCAGGTATCCTGCTCTTTTAGGACCCCCAATCTTGCAGATTCAAATGTTTTTCTCTCATCTATCGTCGAATCTTGCGGATCCCAAAAATTGGATGGGAATGGATGTGAGGAGAGTCATAAACCGTCATTTATGCGAAGCCTCATAAAGACCAGAATTTTCAAATATTTTCGCGTTGACTCGACCGGGGAAAATGTGTCCGGGCCCATGAAAAGTCGGAATATTATCACAATACGTGGCGTTGTTTAACAACAGTCGTCTGTTAACTTTTTCTCTTTTCAGTTCAACTCCATTGTGATCACTAACAAAAGAACTCTTTTATGTATATTCAATTCATTTTTGGAACGAACCGGCATAAGAAAAGTCACAGTCACAACATGCTTCTAACCGATAGCATCTTCATCCTTCTTATATTCTCTCAAAAAACGTCTTCTCAGCCATTTATTCCCTTCGGAACGACTGTAACTCAAGTTCAAATACGTTTCCAATGTATCCCGACGTTTTTCAGAGTTTACTTTTCGGAAAGCTAGACACCACCTCTGTATCAAAGCACATTTCACCCCAATGTGCCTCCGAAACGGGAATGTTCTCGAGTTCTCTGAGAAGCTCCTCGCAGATTATGGAAGTTTGCAGGGAAAACTGTTTGGAGAAACTCAAAGAGCATATGTGGGCTCTGAAACGTAAAGAGAATGAGATACTCGGATGAAAAATCCAAGTTTCAGAGCTTGATGCTTTCGGAAAGATTCCAGCTGGGATATCCCAATGGTTGACGACATCGGAAGGAAGTTATGCGACTTGCAATGAGGTGGATGGGCAAAAGTATGAAACTAACTATTGCTATTTGATGATGGTTCCCGGAAAGGTATGAATACTTATTTCCCAACTTCTAAACTGTTGCTCAGAATTCTACGTGTCCTCCAGACGAGATCTCAGATCCATTACAAATAAAATTGAAGCTGGCAACATGTATACCATTAAGTTGTACTTCTCAAGACGTTTCTTTCATATTTAACGCTCTATCTCCGTTCCCATTGACCGCTTGTCGTACTTATTGCGTCAAAAAAACGCCATCGGAGCAGAAACTCGGATTCTGGTCCGTGATCCTCGCGTTTTTCGTGACTTCTTTCATCACTCTATATCTTCTGGCCAATTACATCGTCGATCGTCATCTCTTCACGGCTCACCTTCGTTTTATCCGCTGCTTCTCAATTCACATCAACTTGACATTCATCTTTGAGAGAACCAAACAAATTCGTGGTGTTCATTTGAAAGGACTCTCGTTTATCAAGTTTTGGTCGGCGGTCTGGGTGATCGTGGTACATTCCTACCCTCATTATGCACTTGGCGAAAGTGTGAAAAAGTTGCTGGACGCGAGACTTTACTATTGGAATCATCTTGTGTTCGACGCAGCTTATGCGATCGAGACGTTCGTTTTGATGTCTAGCACTTTGTTGAGCTTCAACTTGTTCAAGGTACACAAGCGGGGAGTTGCACCTGATCCCTGATGAATGTTTCCAGAACCCCAATCCCTCCATCTTAATCCATAATACGTATTTTTGGCCTAAAGCGATTTTGCGTCGGTATTTCCGTCTGATGATTCCAGTCATTCCTTGGCTCCTTGTGATTACTATCACGACGCCATTCATCAGAGGACCGAACTTGGCTTCAATGTTCAGTTGGGAATTTTCTTCCGAAAAAAACTTTAAAAAACCAGTAGAATTGCAGACAATTTCGAGGTGCAAGCTCAAAAATGTAGCTCAAACTGGTGGATGAACATCCTGATGATTCATAACTTCTTCAAACCTACAGAAATAGTTTAAAAAAGAACACTAAAATCTTGAGCGCAATAACTGAGTTTTAGTGTTACCCTCCGTCTTGGTACATTTCTTCGGATTTCCAACTTTTTCTACTGGCCCCACTTGTTCTGATTCCTCTAATCAAGTCGCAGAGAAAAGGCAAGCTTTCCTCCTCATCTTTTATATTTTCTTCAATTTCAGCGCTCAAAATCATACTGCTCCTCCTCATTATCAGCGTCATTTTCACATTCATCACATTTTGGTACCACGATCTTCCGCCTGTTTCGTATTCGAATGTAAATGTGGAGCCGTACCTAAACTACTACCATCAGCAAGCGTTCGCACGAATTCCGACATTCCTTATCGGAATACTGTTAGGAAGAACGTTAGCGATCGAAAAAACACCGTTAGAAATGTTGAGAAGAAATTCTGGCAAATGTTGGATTGCCTATGGCTTCTTGTTCTTCTTGTGCTTTTATGGAAAGCTGATGGTCACTGTGGAGTTTGGTGGCGAAGAAGTGACGTAAGATGGATCACACTCGTACTCATTCAGAATCAGGTGCCACCTGAACGTGTTGCAGACCGATCCTCGGCGCCGCTCACGACATGCTGCACAAGTTGATGTGGAACTTGAGCGTCGCCTGGATCATTTACGCGTGTCAACATGATCTCGGATTCTATGTGACTACTTTCATCAACAACTCTTTTTGGCAACCATTCGGCAAAATCAGCTATTGCATCTATATCGTTCATTGGTGGGTCATGTATACTGTGCTCAACTTGTCGGATAAGCCGTTGCGTTTTGTGTCTGTCATGCAGATGGTAAGATATTGTTTGGTGAACGGGCAAATGAAAAGTGTTGTCGGTTGCTTACAGTTCTGTGAAATAAGCATTCCCACTTTAGCACTCAGCTTGCCTCTTGCACTCGTTTGGAGCGTTCTTTTTGAGGTGCCACTGCGAAGGTTCAGTTTCTTCTTAGCATTACGTTGAGGCAGTAAAACTGTTTCAGAATTCGCGATTTGTTTGATGAGCGAAATGGATGCGGAAAACAAGTAAAACATTAAAGTTTCACATTACCTTTACGCAAAATAAAGATGTTTCGGCGACTTCTTAACATAAAACAAACTTAATTTAGTAGCACTACATTTCCGAAACTCTTGGTTCTTGTTATTACCACTTTTCTGATGCAACATCATTCTTTCTCACATTTTCATGGTTTTCTATACGACCACTGTTCAGAACTTTCTCCACAAAGCGTAGCTCAAAAAACGATCCAACCGGTGCAACCCGCTTCATACATCGCCTTCGGTTTTGTAATCTCTAAGAACCGGAAGGTGTACAAGAGCAACATTTCATTTTAGTTTAAAAAACAACAAATTCTAGTTATTTTCCAAGTGAACGATGGCAAACACTGATTCAGTCGTTGTTCTTCTTTTTGAGCCCCTCACCGATAGTCCACTCCGATGGTCCCGGGCCAAATGGAAGTGTCCGCGTGGCGTTTCTGTACTGATTCACTCCGATCATCTCCGGAACGGGCCATTGAACCTTCCAACCGAGCTGCAAAAAGATTCATTCAGAATTGAACTCTCAATTCGATTGTATTCGATTGCTGCTTGTTTTCAGTTGTTTTGTCTAAGACAGGCGGACATGACTCTTCAAAATGTCATGTTATTCTGCACTGCACACAGCTTCCACAAGTCCAAAAAGAATAAAGGCAACTCACCAGAGTTGAGCGGAAATGGAATTTTGAAATCCGGAAGACGGCAGACGGCAGACGGAAGAAACATTTTTTTACGGAACACGGAAAACGGAAGACGGAAGAAAATGTTTCTCACGGAAGACGGCAGACGGAAGACGGAAGACAACTTTTTTCCCGGAAGACGGCAGACGGAAGACGGAACAAAAAAATCGTCAATGCAGAACCTTTTTTTCCGGTTTTTAAAAAATAAATAACTAAAGCAACAAAAATTTTGGATCTGGGTCACTGCCCGTGGAAATTCGCGTTCTTCGGGGTTAGTAAATGGCTTCTGAAAAGCTATTACTTTTTTACGGTAAGAAGAAAAAATTCTGGAAGACGGCAGACGGCAGACGGAAAAAATTTTTTTTTTACGGAAGCCGGCAGACGGAAGACGGAACAAGAAAAACCACGGAAGACGGAAGACGGAAGACGGCAGACGGAATTCCGCTCAACTCTGCAACTCACCCATTTCTCGTAAAACGAGCCATCCATGTACGGCTCACCGTTCCGCGTCTTTGCCCATTTCTCGGGAATGACCTGTAAAATTAACTTTTTTGCTGTTTTTTCTGGTCTGAGAACTACATAGTTTTCAGAAAATGAACCCACCACCGATGGCTTGCCGCTTTCAATTTTGTTTATTTCAGCATTAAGATGGAGGAACATCTTCTCGGTCTTCAGGTCCTCCTTGTTTTTCTGAAAGACAAAACATGTTAATCGTCTGTGCGTACACGTCAAAAAACGTACAAATTCTAAGAATGCCTTGTAGTTCAACGCAGCCGCTTCGTCGGAGAAGCCGTTAATAGCTTCGAGCATGACCGTCTGGCACATGGGGCAGTTGCTTGGTTCGCCCACCCATGATCCTTTGCGAATCCTGGAATTTGTTCGGATTCCAATCGAAGGTGTACAAGAGAAACATTTAAACTCACCAAACAAGGCAGCATCCGGCATGGGAGTAGACGAGAAACTTCGATTCCAGTGGGTACAGTCCAGAGAGGTTCATTTTCGAGCGCTCTGCAAAACGATCGATCGGACAGTTCATTTACGTTGCTTGTGTTGATGATGTTAGAGATGCTTACACCGTTTTCCAAAGCATAAAGAGTTACAAAAAAGACGAGTCGAGTCGGTTTGCATGCACATGTTCCGCAGTTATGTCTGCTAAGCAAGTCAAAACGTATTTATGATCTATTTTGTCGGTTTTGAAGGTCGAAATGGGCTCATCGAGAGAACGTTTCGAAACTATAAAAAGTGAAAATCAAAGCATTTCGAAATAAATCACAAATATAAATCAAATAACAAGGTCACCTTCGTTGCTTGAAAGTTGCACATGTTCATAAGCACTTTTGTGTCGCAGACTTCTCAAGGTCACACGAAATGATGATATATTATGAGCTTTCACGAGGCAAAAAAGTGTACATATTTTCATAGAGTTCTTCTCCTTCAAATAGATATCAAACGAGGTGAAAATGATTTCGGTACGAGGCTCCGACAGACGACGAATTAGGATTGATGTAGCCGACCGAGCCGTTCTCTTAATGGCATTGTTAAATGTGTGGGGGGGGCCGGGCACACAATGCATATTGAAATGTGAGAAAGAAAGTTTAGGGGAATTGAAATGAATAAAAGTGAATGAATTGTTTTCAAAAACTACTATAATGACAAGACAAACAAAGAGAACATGAGGGGGGTGGGAACGATGAAACAGGAGGGGAAGAGGAACGAATGCCCACTGTTTTCCGTTAACATGACTCACGCACTTCGATTGAGGGACAGTGGTGTCGCTGGCGGTGATGACGAATCCCGGGACCCATGACTCGCACGAATATTCGGGAAGTGCAATTTGTCCGTTGTAATGTAAATATCCTGATCTGTAGGGGTTTTGTCCTTTTCTCAAGACATTCAGCTCCATTTTTGCGTCGAAGACTTGACTGAAATTTAACATGGCACGGTCTCCAGAGCTGACAATATGAATTGAGCAGGTTTTCTTTGATTTTTGTGGTCAAAGGCGATGAAAAATGATTGTTCGACATGAAAACACACTGATTCTCAGAATTAATGACGTTTTGGCGCATTTTTCGCGGACTTTGCTTTTTCGCCTTCGCCGCCGTTCGCCGCCTAAAAACCGCACTTCTCATTTTGCGCTTTCTTGACCGTTTTCAGACAGAATTGGTTTTGAGAATGATAAATCACGTAAATACAAGCATTTTGAGCTCTCGAACTGCGAAAACTACCGAAAAGCAACTGAAATTCACGCAGTTTTAGCCAAAAACCTTCAAACGGATAAATGTGATTTGCGACTTGACCAAATTTGACGCTCTTGCGCTTAAAAAATTCGTAATTGCCTATACAATCGGTCTATCGAGAGACAAATGAGAAATTATCGGTTTTTCGTGGCTAATCTGACAAAAAGCACAAATTTTGCTGTTAAAATTTGAATTTCGCGCCAATGTATCGCTCTATTCGGCGGGGCGCACTTGCACCCATTGTCAGCTCTGGAGACCGTGTGCATGGAATCAATGAGTCGCCAATTTGTTCAAAGACTCACACACACACACAAAAAAGAATCACAGCTTTAAATATTAATCTTTCCGTCAGCTGAGCTGATAACACTGACATCATACTGTCAGAGAATCGATCAGAAACCCTCAACATTTTAGCTCTCCACTGGATCTCAAGAGTTTATTATTAACAACAACTCATCAGAAACAGAGATGATCTTCATGTTCGTTCAGTGATGTTATTAGCATTTCCTGAAATTGTGCAATTTTACACCTAATCTTTTGTCCCCCAACTCTCTTTAGTCTGTGTACTGAACTTGGAGTAGTTATCAGTGAGAAGGCGACCATGATTTATCAGCAGTCTAGCACCTATAAAGGGGGAGCGGAGAACATGCATTTCAATTTGTTTGAGACTTAATTTTGACGAATGATTCTACTTTTTGCTCTCCTTTTCATATCCACTTGTTCGACGCCTGTAACAGCAAATTCGCAGTGGAAGGTAATAGTTTTCACCTAATCCGAACAACGTAGTACTATAGGACCTCATTCTTTCTTCGATTAATCTTCTCAACTATACGGGCGTGTCTTCCCAATGCACCAAAGACACCAAACTATGGCTCTACTCGCTGGAAAAGTTTACAGTAGCGTCTGAAATTTGCATGGCAACGGGAAAGTGTGATGCCAAAGTTTTGGAAGACAATTTGTTCGCTCTACAGCGTAAGTTTAACCTTTAAATTATCTGCTATCATCATAAAACGTTCAGAACTCGACGCGTTTGGACGACTCGGAGAACCAGGGCTTCTCGAGTTGAGGAACACTTTTGAAGGATCGTGGCAAGAATGCGAACGTATCAGCGGCATCAAATACGACACCAACTACTGCTACATGGCGTTGACGCCGAAAGTAAAACTTCCGTTTGAATCTAGCCTACCCTACATGTCAGCTGTATGCATGCCAAGGTCATGTAAACATCGGGTAAGTCCTTGATCTTTTGACGTTGTTCATGGACATTGTTCAGGATCTTCCAATTCTGTACAATCAGTTGGGCTCCAAGATTTTCAACGCACGTGCGGCGTTCTGTGTTCATAGAGACGTTGAGAAAGATTCCGCGTTCTGGGGTTTTACGTAAGTCCTAATCTACCTATTAAGATTGTTTGCAATTTCAATCTCTTCCAGAATCTTTATGATAATCATGGTCTTCATCGCAGTTTTAGCCACTTCAATTGACTTCTTGAGAGAAAGTGTGTATGGAGAGCATAGCGAGAAGGAGAAAAATATAGGTTTGTCCAGAAAATGTGTTCGCTTACTTAACCTAACTTGCACAGCTCTCAAAATTCTGCTTGCCTTCTCTCTCTGGACTAACGCCGGACAACTATTGTCGGTTAAAGAGCAAAAACCCGGGTTCATCAAGTCATTGGACTGCATTCGAGCACTTTCCATGTCCTGGGTCGTCACCGGCCACTCGCTCATCTATTTCCTCATGTCCGACACCACACTTCCCTTGGCCGCCGTCGCCAACAACATTTGGAATCATCTCATTCTCAACGCTCTAGTATCGGTTGACACTTTCTTCTTGCTCTCGGGCGTTGTGGTGGCCTACCTGTTCTTCAAGCAACGACCAAAACCGTCGACCATCAGAAGCCCTGTAACGTGGATTCTATTCTATCTTCACAGATTTCTAAGATTGACACCTCCTTACATGATCTTTATTGGCTTTTTTGTGGTCTACGGACCATACATCCAAGGCCCCTACTCTGCATCGATGTTCAGTAAGTCTGCAGAGCCATTATAGTACTACCGGTTTTTATACAGACATGCTTATACGTGAAACCGACGCCTGTAAAACTAATTGGTGGAGGAATCTCATATACATCAACAACTTTGATCTCGATCAAACAAAATCTTGCTACGGAATCTCTTGGTACTTGGCCGTTGACACACAACTCTATCTCGTCGCTCCAGTTGTACTAGTTGCCTTGTACTTTTCTTTTATAGCAGGTACATTAACATCTAATTCCTTCAATTTAATGAGTTTGACGTTTTGAGGAGCTGTAACAGTGGTAGTTGGATGTATCGGAAGTGTCGCTGCCACCTATATTTACTATGGCCTCTATCCGGAAATGGGTATCGACTCTTTCCGAGATGAGTGAGTAGAAATGGATGAAATCACTGTAATTCACAATGTTTGCAGCCCAACAGGCGAGTGGGACATTATCTACCGCCGTCCATGGATCCGCTGCACTCCCTATTTGGTCGGTCTTCTCACCGGCTACGTGATTGCCACCTACGGAAAACGCCAAATTCGCCTCAACCGCGTGATCAATATTGCTTTGTGGATCGCTGCTTTTGCAATTGGAGCAGCGTGCATGTTCTCCAACTACAACTACGACAAGGGTTGCTATATGAGGTGCTCATTTACTTTGACGACTTCTAACTATTGTACATTTGTTGTAGCCCGTTCGCCAAAGGTTCCTTTTACAATTTCACCCGACTTGGATGGGCTCTGGCGGTTGCATGGGTCATCTTAGCCAATCATTTCGGATGGGGAGGACCCATCAATGCATTTATGTCCCATCCGATTTGGCAGCCATTCGGACGACTCTCATATTGCGCCTACATTGTTCATTGGATGCTTTTGTACTACTTTTTGAATATTGGCGATAGACCTCTGCACTATTATAACATTTGGCAAGTGGTAAGGAACTCTAGATACTTGTTTTCACATTTCATAGTCACTTTTAGTATTGCTACTATGCCATTCCGGTCACAATTCTCTCCTACGTGGCCGCATTCTTCTGGAGTTGTCTATTTGAAGTCTCCACCTTGAAGTGAGATCGCCCAGTTTTTATCAAGTCAAACAACAACTTTTGCAGGCTCGAAAAAATGCTTATTGAAGCGTTGCTCAGCAGCAAATCCCCATCAGTTTCACCCAAATCAGACGCACAACTGGAAACGAAGCCAGTGGAGAATGTATGGGAAATCGAGGTGGAACCTGCGAGCGGAAAACTTTGAAAAGTCACGTTTTTATTACTCTTTCTCACGCGTGTGTCTTTCTATTTTTTCGGTTACATATAATAACTTTTTCGCTGATTGATTTCTCTGAAAAGCTCGCCACTAACTAATACTTCCCCATTCTCATAGCAAACGCCTTTGAGGTCACAGATCTGTTGTTCCACGAGCTTTTTATATTTCAAAACTCACATGATGTGCATAAGATGAAATTGAATGTATTTTTTCCTATCTTCACATCACTCTCTTTCGGTTTTGGGTCCACACAACACGTTTTTCATTTTCAGGAAGCGCATCCAATTTCCGGGATCACAAACCACTCAAATCCAAATGCCGCCGAAATTTTCCACACTCTACGCGATATTGATGCCGACCGAATGTGAACCCGATGATTCTATCGCGAGTCTTTTGACTTTTATGAAATTCTCACCGCTCATTCCAGTTCCTTTGTTTATTTTCGCCGGCTACATTCTGATTTTCAAGTCGAGTAAACACTTGCAACCATGTAAAAGGGCGTATGGATACTTTTTGATTAGGTAAGAATCATGAAGAGCATATCTTGATGATTTGTACCAGAGTTGGCGGAAGAACTCAACGGAAGAACACGGAAGAATTTTTATCTTTTTTAGAAAATTTTTTCATGAAATGTGATCAACTGAAGAAATGTATAGCAAAGTGAACTCTGCTCATAGAAAAATAATTGTAAATTTAACTTTTCACACAAAAAAGTTGTTCGAGTTGTTCCGTGAAAATGTCCTTCCGTCTTCCCTTTTTTCACGGAACAACTCGAATAACTTTTTTGTATGAAAAGCTAAATTTACAATTATTTTTTTATAAGCAGAGTTCACTTTGTTATACATTTCGTCAGTTGATCACATTTCCTGATAAAATTTTCCAAAAAAGATAAAAATTCTTCCGTGTTCTTCCGTTGAGTTCTTCCGCTCAACTCTGATTTGTACTGTCAGTCTGTTTGATTTTCAGCAAATTCATAAGTCTCCTCATGCTGGCTTCTGGAATTGCGCCGATTCTTCACACCCCGTCCGGGGGGTTTCAAATCACCGGCTTTCTTCAAGTCTTCAATCCATTGAGCCCAACGTGGTCCATCATTTTGACAGTCTACGCACACCTCTGTACGTTCTAACACACACTTCTACAATATCTGGGATGTTTTCCAGTAATGCTAGTCTTCCTGGTTCAAGTGATAAACACAAGATGCGAAGTAATTCGGCAGTTCTCTGCTGTCACCGTCGACGAGGAAAAGAAAATGTTCCAGTTGATTGGGGTCCTTCTCAAATTTCTCTATTCCTTCATCCTGTTCGCCTTCTGGTGTATGTTATTGTTGCTTGGTTTCGGCGAGCAAGACGAACAGAATCGATTGAAGCAAAACGCGATTCAGGTTTATCGATTAAAATAATATTATATTGAACAGTTTCAGAGAAAGGCTAAAGACATCTCCTGTCCCTTATTCTTCTTTCTGGACACCGAGTCCTGGCGTCTTATCATCTCAATTGTCTCTATTATGTTTCTTTTTATCACTTTCCTTATATTTTCTTCTGCCAACATCTCCGGCTCCTACCACATTCTCAAAGAGTGTAAGATGAAGTTGTCAAAGAAAGTGTACAATATTCAAACCGGCTTCCTGATCCTTTTGGCCATTCAAATCGCCGTTCTCTTCCTTTTTCTGCCGGTTCTACTGGCGATGTTCAGTGCTCTCAAAGGACCAGGCTCAGAAGCGAGTGAGTTTTAAAAGGCGCTAGCTACTTCTAGATGAGCTAATTTCTCGCTCAGACTCTTTGATCGTTCTTACCTTCACTGCTCATCATGCAACTTTCTCCACAATTGTATTCATTTGTGCTCATCGCTTCGTCAGATCCAGAATCCAACGAGTTTTCAATAAATGTAAGAAAACTCGTCGCCCCCGCCCCTCTCGACGCATGTAAAAAAAATTGTCAGGCATGCCTAGACGCTATAGAATTGGAGCAGTTGTTGAAGCCGATCGACTTGACATTCATTCCGTGCCACAACTTCAAGTGTTTGCCGTAATCACTGAGACGACGACTGTTTGAAGCCGTTTTACGTAACCCTGATATCTGAAATGAGCTCACTAATGTCTTCTTCTAAAAGCACCAATTTGTAGCTCTTTACACCAACATTCTCCATAATTATTACTTCCATCTCGCACTTCTTCTTCTTCTTCTTCTTCTCCTCCTTCTTCTTCTTCTTCTCCTTCTTCTTCTTCTTCTTTCCTTTCACTCACAACTCTTCTTTCCTATTTTAACCGATCAAAGCCCATCGATTGCCAACGATACTTCTTCTCATCACTATGCGAATCCCATTCAACATAACACACTGACGTGTTTGGCCAATGAACAATGAAGTGTCGAGTTGCTCCATGGAACGTCTGCGCAGTTCCATTCTGTTTTCATTTTACCAACTCTCTCCCTGCATCAGTTTTCCAACATATATCCTCGCTGCCTGGCTCATTTCGAGAAATCGATCGAAGATGGTGCGGGCGGTTCGGAAGCAGTACCTGCAGCAGATTGTAATGTGAGTTGGGCTTTTGATGCAGTTTCAACAAAAAAAAAACACAATATTTGAAGCAACTTTGTCTTTATCGTCTTGCTCTCGTTGATTGTCTGCCCAGTGCTGGTCCCTCCAATTCCTGGCTACTTCATGATGGGTCTTCTGGAAACGTTTCAGATAAATGTTGCGCTACCGCTGGTTTTTATGATGCATTCTGTTATAGGTGAGTCGTAAATTTCTGTTTTGTGACGCTGACAAATTGAGGGGTGCACTTTTAAAGAGCAAGAAGTGAAGAGTCCAAAAATCAATTTCAGTTGTGGCTCTTTCCATAATGCAACTCGTCAAGCATCAATTAACAACGCTCTCGGATCTCCGATTCACCAAGAAGTTCGATGTGGCAGTCGATGTGATCCGCGCGCTTTTCCGCTGTTGCTATCTCTTGATGCTCCTCACCGCACTTGCCATTCTTCCGGCTCTTACCATCGAGTTTGAGCTCGACGGGTTTCGGAAGGGAGCTTTTGAGGTTTGACAGTTTCTCACGAGCTCAAGTTTACCCTTCTGTTTCAGTATTTCCAAAACCCACTCGTGCTGTGCCCTAACATGTTCATTGCGGACCCTCGTCATTGGAAGATCTATGTTCCGTACATTGTCTCTTTTACATTTGGAGTCTTGTGTTCGCTAACCGGGTGTTTGAGCGTCGGCACGTGTCTAATGATGATTTATGAATCAAGAAAAGTGGTCTCCAAAGACACGCTGATTATGCAGCGAAATTTCACTATTATGCTTATTTATCAGGTGTCTCAGCTCTCTCTCTCTATCGTCTACTTCACTTATTCCCAACTTTTCAGGCTCTAGTCTACACCACCTTCATAATTGTTCCCGTTGGCGTCATCTCGACGCTCTTCTACGCAGACATCCCTCTCCCTGGTAAAGATTTTGAGCAATACTCTAATAGACGCAAAATTTTCAGAAAACGGACTCTACTACCTGTTGATGATCAGTGCGCAGGGATCCGTCAACAATCTAATGCACATTGTGCCAGGATTGTGGAAACGTTTTGGCAGGAAAGCGGTGATGATGCCGACGCAGAAATTCACAAAAGATGGTATGATGTGGTCGACTAGTGCTTCTGTCATTGTTACCTGATATTCTGTTTGTTAATGGTTTCCTGGGTCTTTTTTTTTGTTTCTGTTTTGTTTTTATTCCTCTCCAGAAGTTTGACATCATCAGTACGAAAGTATCACATCCGGGGAATGTTCATTGGAGTCATGTGATTGCTCTTTAATAAATTGATTGATTTTTGTCAGTTGCACCACATGAGGAATACATAAAACTATGATCTGTGGATCTTCCCATCTTATGACATCCTTGAGCATCGACGGACGATTCCAGATCGCTCTCCATTCTATCTGGAATGTTCTACTTTGACCGACCTCCCCTTCCCTCCGTCTTTCTGTCCGCATCACCTGATCTTGTCTCGTTTTCGCCGCCGCCGCCGCCTGCCACCGTCACCACCGCTCAGAGTGTGTAACAATTATAACAAGGGCCTGTGCGTCCGTCCATCACGTGCACAAAGGCTCACGAACCTTCTGAATCGTTCTACGCGTCTCAACGTCCCAGTTTATAAGGTAAGCGGGTCCCTAGGCCCAGGTACTTGTGTGGTAAGATACTGCTACATGGAGTCTGCTCTCTTCTAACAGACGGCCATCCTTTTACCTCGTCTTATGACCCTTTTTACTGCTATTATCGCCTACTCAAACATTCGCCCGTCTTAACGACTTTCTGGGTTAACGACTGTTTCTGTTTCCTCTTGTACATGTACCCTCTAACTAGTACATCTTCTACCCATTCTTGCCTGTGCTCTGACGAGTATTGGAAATTTGAATTCTGCACTTGCATAGTCGTGTCAAAGTTTAGGAAAGCTTTAAATAGTGCCTTAAACCAAAGAACACTTTTTTGCTGTCATTCTTGTATAATTTCATCAGCTTTTTGTTAGCGTATCATCCTGAAATTCAAACTGACGCGTGACGTTTTGAAACTTGACAAATTGCACCACAACACACTCTATTCGGGTCGCTCCACCTTCAAACTGTACTATTCTCGTCTCCTTCCCTGCCGGAGCACTCTCGGGGCTCCATTCTCAATTGATAACGTGATGGTTTGATCTCTCGTCGTCAGTGTCTCGCCGTCCCTTCCCTTCAACTGTGACTGATTGACGCTGGTGGCTGCCCGGTTTGTCGCCGCCCCCTCCCGGATGCCTTCATATACCCTGTCGTGTTCGCATTTTGTCACCCACTTTTTCGTTTTCAAATATCATTTGACAAGCATCACATTTTGAGTTTGCAGAGGAGATGAACCGATTCGTTCTTCTGGCGTTGCTCGCCGTCGTCGCCGTCAACTCGGCAAAGCTCTCAAGACAAATCGAGGCGGCCATCGAGCAATGGGACGACTACAAGGAGGATTACGGTAAGTCACGGATTCAGACGGCTAGGATCAGTAAATGATTTGTAGAGAAGGAGTACTCGGAGAGTGAGGAGCAGACCTACATGGAGGCTTTCGTCAAGAACGTGATCCACATCGAGAACCACAATCGTGATCATCGTCTCGGCAGAAAGACCTTCGAGATGGGACTCAACCACATTGCTGATCTCGTGAGTTCAATTGCTCATTTCGTTTCGTAATCCAATCCTCTTCCTTGTTCAATTCTCGTCTGATGAGTGAATGATAGTGACGATAGCATAACCGATTTTCGGAATCCTCTCTCGGCAACGAGTTTTTCGTTCCTTCTCTTGACAACAATGGCTTTGAGAAATAAGAAACAAGAGAGAGAGATAGCGTTTTTTTTTTGTGTGTGTGTGAAAGAAAAGGGATATTTATCCATCCTGACAAGTGGCGACCCATCGTGACTGACCAACAGCTGCCACGATATGATGTTTGAGAAAAGTTCATTTGCAGCCGTTCAACCAGTATCGCAAGCTCAACGGATACCGCCGTCTTTTCGGTGACTCGCGCATCAAGAACGCCTCCACCTTCCTCACGCCATTCAACGTGCAAGTGCCTGATGAGGTCGACTGGCGCGACACCCACCTCGTCACCGACGTCAAGAACCAGGGAATGTGCGGATCTTGCTGGGCGTTCTCCGCCACCGGAGCCCTTGAGGGACAGCACGCTCGCAAACTCGGAAAGCTCGTCTCTCTCTCCGAGCAAAATCTTGTCGACTGCTCCACCAAGTACGGAAACCACGGCTGCAACGGAGGACTCATGGACCAGGCGTTCGAGTACATCCGCGACAACCACGGAGTCGACACCGAGGACGCGTACCCATACAAGGGACGTGACATGAAGTGCCACTTTAACAAGAAGGACATTGGCGCTGATGATAAGGGATACACCGATCTTCCGGAGGGAGATGAGGAGAAGCTGAAGATCGCCGTCGCCACCCAGGGACCAATCTCCATCGCGATTGACGCCGGACATCGTAGCTTCCAGCTCTACAAGAAGGGTAAGTAATAGTTGTTTGTGTGAGGGTGATAGTCATGTCGAGGTCATCTATGTTTACATTTCGGATGATAGTGATGGACAGTCACATTGATAAGCGATAAGTGACAAGCATTACTGATAGCGGTACATGTTTTGAGTGATAGTCGAGCGAAAGTTTTGAATTTGAATTCGATACTGATGGAAAACGGCAAACTGTAATGTGTTCAGGAGTCTACTACGACGAGGAGTGCTCATCGGAGGAGCTCGACCACGGAGTCCTGCTCGTCGGATACGGAACCGACCCGGAGCACGGAGACTACTGGCTGGTCAAAAACTCGTGGGGAACCGGATGGGGAGAGAAGGGATACATCCGCATCGCCCGCAACCGCAACAATCACTGCGGAGTTGCCACCAAGGCCAGCTACCCACTCGTCTAATTTCTAACCTCATCGACTGCTCTTACTAACCGCTAAAAAATATAGCCGCGCATTGCTGGAAAGCTTTATCAATTTTTCTGTACTTTTTGTCTATCTGTTTATGTATTTTCATTGAATGTTGTACATAAAGGATAATACTTTATCTCAACCGAATGTTCAAGCGATCGGCTTGCAAAAGCTTCTACACATTTTCGGACAAAAATGTTCTAGGCCCGATCTCTGAAAGTTGGAATAAAAAAAGCGACAATGGATGCGGCAAATGCTCCTCTCCTACATCAACTCTGAAAACAGGAAGATGGAATGCAAAGGGATTATTTTTGTTTTGCTCATTATCAGGTCGTCATGACGGAGCTTGTAAACTATCAGAAGACCGAAAGATGCTGTAAAGAATTACAGAGTACAGAGAAATGTGAAGAGTGCTGTCCAAGAATATCTGATTGTCTCAGTTGACTTAATTGATGAAATTGAGGCTATTCAGACCGTTTTTTGAGTGTCTTCCGACCAATTTTTCAATTTCCGGTACAAGATACCACTCGGTAAGCATCACCTACCCCTCGTTTCCATGTCGTTTCTTGAGACACAAACCAGGCAACGAACAGACAGAAATATACTGTTGGGAATGAAGTATTGTGTACTTTAAGTTCAACTTATTTTCACACTTCCATCCGATTTACCACCTACGAAAACAAAACCGATGAAATCCCTGCTCGCGCCTCATCATTCAGCATTTTCAATTACATCAAGACTGAACTTTTTGAGCCTATCGATTGTCGTCCTCATTTTCATGGTCTAGACTGCAATCGTGGAATGCTGAGAGCGTGAGTCAGACGCCCTTGAGCACTTTTGAAGTATACCGTGTAAAAGCTTATTCCCAGAATGCTATTCTTCACCTGCTGATGGCCCATATTAGCTCATTAGTGAGTGCTAGAAAATTCTCGGCAAAACCACCATTTTGTCAACATACATATACCTCTCGCTCACTCATTTTCCTTTCCGTTCTGACAATCACATTATTATAATCCAGCTGTTTCTGCTACTAACACCTCGCTCTATTCTTCCGCTTACTCACCCTCTTGGGCACGGCTCGTCATACTTAACCTGATTTCTTTTTGCCAGAGAGGCCACAATGAACGCAGCAACATTTGAATATGTGAAACATACTGTTCAAATACTATCCGTTATCCTCTCAACATTTCTGAATTCCCTTCTAATCTACTTGATTCTGACAAAGTCCACAAAGAAAATGGGCAACTATCGACATTTGATGGTGTTCTTCTGCTGCTCCTCCATTTTTTTCTCCTCTATGGACATTTTTGTGCAACCCGTTATACACAGCCATAAAAGCGCGTTCTTTATGATGATGGACTTGCGGAACCGCGAGTTACCGCTTTCAGTGGCTGCACTAATGATCTGTAAGTAATCTATCTGTAAGCAAGTTTGGAGTTCTGAAAATGTTTGCTAGCCTCATATATATCTCGTACTGCACTTTCATTTTTGATAGCTAGGCATCGAAAATTGACTCAAAAATTGCCGAATGCACGGCGACCAAAAGTGTAGAAAGGGGCGTGGCCTAATCTGAGACGCGTTTTCTGAAAATTGCCGCAATTCCAGCACTTTTCCGTTATTTTTGTGTTTGATATCGACGAAAGAAGAGACATTAAAGAGAGAAAACATTGAAATTTTCGTGAAAACGCCGCGTTTGAGACGTTTTTCGCATATTTCGCATGCAATACGCCCTCCGCAGCCAATCGCCGCCGCAATTTCGGAATTTTCACACCGGCCGATCTGGATAGTTTTGAGACGAAGTGAGTGTCGGAAGTGATTAAGCACGTTAATACAAGTATTTTAAGCGTTCAAACGGCAAAAAGTATCGGCGAATGACTGAAATTCGCACATTTTCAGCACAAAACTTGAAAATCGATTCAATTGATTCATTACTAAATGAAACATGCTCGTTTTTGGCTCAAAAAGTGCGCGCGATGATTAGTTTAACAAAATTATGCAATTACATCGTCAAAATCGTACAAAATTTGGGTAAATTTTGACGAAAAACGTGAAAAATGAGGATAAATTTCGAATTTCGCGCCGAAATGGTGATAAACCGTGCACGCTAGGCCACGCCCCTTTCTACGTTTTTGGTCGCCGAATTTCAACAGAAAAGTTCTAACTATCGAAGTTCAGGCGCAATGGCAGGATGTTTTGGTGTAATAATATACGGAATAGCGATCCACTTCATCTACCGATATTTTGCCTTGGAAAGGTACATTAGATCGTCTAAAAACTAACCAACTAATCCGTTTACTTTTCAGAAACGGTAGGGTAAAGTACTTTGACAAACAATTCCTTCCCATATGGTTCGTGGTTCCCTGGCTTGGTGGTATCTGCTGGACCCTAGTGTCCTGGTTTCTGTTTCCAATGTCCGCGGTGACTTCGGACTATATCGGGTACGATTCGTTTTGTTCATTGATTCTATGAAGCATAAATTGGTAATTGAACAAGCGCGGAAGGAAATCGCATCGCTCTTTGAGTAGATTTCCTCTCTGATCTCTCAATATTTCCAGGTCGGTTATCAAAGAGGAATTCAATATGGATATTAATCAAGTCGCCTACGCGGCCGCCATCTTCTACCCGCCCAATGAGTACGGACAAACATTTTTCAACTGGAAATGTGGCATTGGCCTGATTCTTTACCTCTTGATTATGGCCATTCCATTCGGTGTCGTCATGTTTGTTGGAGCAAAAAGCATTGGGAAAATCAAAGAGTTTCCGGTGTCAAAGTATGGAAAGGACTTGCAAATGCAATTGTACAAAGCGCTCGTAGCTCAGGTTGTTCAACAAGAATCAGTTTTGCACAGTCAGTTCTACATATTCCCATTTTTCAGACGGTGATCCCGGTTCTCTTCCTCTTTCTCCCATTCGCCTTGATCTTTATTTGTCCCATTCTGGAGATTGATTGCAAACTTTTGGCCACTTCTCTCACGTTCGTCTACGCGCTGTACCCCGTCGTCGACCCGCTGCCGATTTTTTTCTTTGTGCAAAACTATAGAAATGCAGTTTGCGGTGAGAAATAATCGAAATGTTCGCAAACAAAAGTGAGATTTCAGGGTTTTTGAGTCTGAAGGAGTGCGGGAACACAAAGATTCGTGTGGCACCGGAAGAAGTCACACGAGATGCTCATTCTGTTTAATATTGTTGCTTGTGATGTTTTGGGCGAAAGTACAAATGAGGATACAAATGATTTACATTGCACTTTCATTGATTCGTATACATTTTTAATAAATTTTTAATAAATATTATTATTAAGCTCGTTTTGTTCTTGCAATGATCTGGAAAGAGATTGCAAAGAGAAGGAATGCGACTGAGAGTCCAGTGGAAGTGGTGGCCAGTTGAGTGTTGACACAGACACGAACTTCTTCTGAAATGAAATACTTTAAACTATTGGAACTGATGAAAATAGATTGTATACCTGAAAAGTCTGGCCTGCAAGTCTTTGAAAGACAAATGGAGGTTCTGACAGACTGTGTGGCGGACATGTCGGAAGCTTCAGAAGTGACCGAAGCACGACGATGTTTAATGAATGAGGAGGCGTCGGAGAGGATGGAGTTTGGTGGCGACGTGACAACATCGGCACAAAATGGAGGCTGAAACAATTTAGGGTTTTCCGGAATGAATCGAACATTTCATACCGATGGAATGTCTTCACAGCTTGTCGTGTTCGTCACCGATGACTTGATGTTCGAGCAGATGAGAATGTCACACTTGATCTGAAGGGATGCCATGTCTGGCACTTTGAACGCCCACATATGAGCGGAAGCCGTGTCGTGATACGTGTCATAGTGAGGATGATCAATTATTTGAAGGTCGGCCGAACATCCTTGCTCGTCGATCAGAGTATGATCAATCTTGCCGACTGCGTCGACGACTTTACAGTTGCGCACATGCATTCCATACGCATCTGACGAAAAAGTTCAATAAAAACAATCACAACTCTGTAAACAAAACAACCCACCTGATTCTGGAATCATGCTCCATTTGAGCGCAAGCGGCATTCCAATGTCAGCCGCACTGACTTCAGCTCCCAGTTTGTGATGCCCCTCATCGACGACAATTTGCATCTGGACATTGGGCATAGACGCCTTTTGCTCTAGCTTGGAAGGTACCAAGCGCAGCCTGGCAAATATGATCACAATGTGAACGAGTTGGACGTTTGAAAGATACTCACTCTTCCAGTGCCTCTTCAATGCGCTTTGGCAGCACTTGTTTGTTGTAGTTGACCTTCTGATGAACGCATTGTGCCATGAATGATTGAAGAGTGTTCGTGCCGTTTCCTTGGTCGATTACGAGTACAACCTGAACAATAGTGGCAATGCTACTATCGTTCCAGAGCTCAGAACTTACTTGCATGTGATATTGAGCCCGACTATCCACCTGTTCGCCAACATTCTTCACTCCACACGTGGCGAACGGAAGGAAGAGCTTCGGATGTCCGTCCTCTGTGAACGTTTTTTGACATCTGCAAAATAATATGTTCTTCTTACTAAAAGTACTGACTCACTCTGGAACTCTTTTCCGATCATTCGCAAAAACCTCTCCGTTTAGCGGAAGAATCGTCTTCACCTCAAAACTGATTCCATCCTCCAGACACAAAATCCTGGGTTTTCCGATAAGTCGATTCGGTACTCGCGGAGCACCCTCCGGCGGAGCATACGGATTTCCACGTGGCGGCTGGTTTGTACTTGGAAGGGTGCCAGGAGGTGAGCCGGCAACTGAAGGGATACTTGCAGTTACAACAGTAGTCGTGGCTTCGGTAATTGATGGCGGAGGAGTTGGGGCTGTTGTGAACTCGGATGGTCTGAAACGATCGGTGGAGATCGAAGTGACATCCTCGAATGTATCAGTAGGGGCAGTAACGCCTTCTGATGCAGTGGATGGCGTGAAATTCTCCGTAGACAACGTTGGGAATTCTGATGACGGCGTTGAAGGTGTCACGTATTCTGTGGTCCTAGTCGACTCCGAGGTTGTATAAATCCATTTTCCAGAAGTCGTTGCCGATTCTCCGGAATCTGTTCTCTCTCGGTCAGTGAATATTTGTGTCACAAATGCCCGGGTTGTACTCGTTGAGCCGAGAGAACTGGAAGGTACGGTAGAACCTCTATCTGGCGGTACATTTCCACCAACTGGCGGAGTTGTCTCAATTCCCGGAAACTCTGGCCGCCTTGTGATGGTCACAGAAGTTTGTGTCTCCGTCTCCTTTCCTCCACTCGTAGTAGGCGTTGTTGTAGTTTCCGATGGAGACGTCTCCGGATGAAGAGGAACGTAGGTCGGCGGGTTCTTGCCACTGGGCGTCGAAGCCGTCATATGAACAATGGCTGGCGGCACGTATTCCGGACGATCTTCCTCCGTTGTCGTGGATTCAATAGGTCGGGGAGTAGTAGTGGTTGTCGGAGAAGTGTATCTGGTTGAGACAGTCCGAGCAGTCGGTGTAACGTCCGTCTAAAGAATAAGTACGCGAATGATAAATACGCGGTTTCTTACCGTCGTCTCATGATATTCTTCTTCTGGCTGCAACGTGGTGCTTGGCGGCGAAAAGTTGTGAGCAGGAATCAGAGCTCTCGGAGAAGTTGGTGAGCCTGATCCGAAAGGAGGGAATGGCTGCTGACCGGGCGGGATGTGAGGAGTAGCATACTCTTCTTCGGGATGAGGAGGTGGCGGCGGTGGCACGTATGGATTCACAATTGGCGGTGGAGCGGGCTTGTAGCCAGCCCTCGATGCGTCATCTTTTGCAGCATTGCTTATGACAAGAGTGGGTCCAGAGCCCTCATTATCGGGTTTGTAGAGAGATATCTGAAAAGACACATTGCTCGAGAATTCCAAGTACATTCATTCACTCACTTTATCAGTATCAACTCCACGACATGGTGGCGTCACACACCCTCCCTTCCCTTTCGGTTTCTTGAAATTCACATTGATATGACTTGAGAAATGCTCTGGCTGATGTCCTGGAGGTTGATAGGCTTGTGAACTGACGGGGCGCGGGAAGAAATTCTTCACCATCTCCTCCTCTTCTTCTTGCGGGGTAGGAGTCGGTGCCTCCGTGACCTTACTGATGTCTTCTGGTTGCTCCGCATCGTCCTCTTCGGATCCCAGAAACACTGGAGGAACAGTCTTTGCTCCAAGCGTCTCTCCGAATGGGTTAGTGGTCATTTGGAAGAGATTGGTTGAACCTCCAGACGTTTCAGATTGTGGAACTGTTGTTGATTGCTCTGTAGTTCCATCAGCATCGTAAGGGAGAGAAACTCGCGGGGTATAACTTCCAACACTTGGCTCTTGTGGTCCTGGACGAATGGTTGGGTTAACCGAGCTTCTGAATCCACCTCCTGAAGGCTGTCCTGTGAAATCTCTTGTCGGTTGGCTTGAAGATCCCCGGGCTGGTTCATAAGTAGACCCTTCTTCTTCTTTTGACGGTTCTTCAGTTGTTCCTTGACTCGGCGAGATGCTCGACGAAAATCTGTCAGTTGGGAACGCAGAGGATACTGATGGATTCTGATCCGAGACTCTAGTGTAGTCTTCTCCTTGTCCAGTGGCGCCTGTCACCGCCGGTTGGTACGGGGTTGAAGAGGAAGTGGATGCACCTTCATACGGGATCGTAGTGGTGATTGGACTTGCAGCAGGGCTGTGGGCAACTGTACCGGTGTAACTCTCCGGATAAGCAGATGGTTTCATCGGCTCTTCAGTCGACACTGTCGGTCCATAGAGTCCATAGGTTCCAGCGGGAATCACCGGGGGTGCTTGAGGTCCTTGTGGTCCCGGATAGTACGGATACTGTCCTTGTGGTAGCTGTTGTCCAGGACTATCAGGAATCCAAATCATCTGCACGGGATACTGACGCCAATTAGGAGGCAACGGAGGCAAGCCATTGGGGAATTGGCCCTTATTCGGCGCGTTTTCATAATAACTGGTTTGTGGAGTGCCGGTCTTTGGCTGAGGACCGACCCAGGCAAACGGACGGAACTGACCGCCCGAAGTGATTTGATGCGGAGCAAGTTGTTGGGATGTCTGTGACGGTGGAGGGACGCGTTGACGCGGTGATCGGTAATCGGGGATCGAGACCTGCTCCGGACGGGTGTAGTAGTTGGGTTGTGCGCGCTGCAAAAAAAAAGAAAACATTATTGTTCATCTTCTCTCTTTCAGATTCATCGACTTTGAGACTCACTTTAGCCAAGTTCGAATGTTCCTTCAAAACTTCCACATTTGCATTCGGATTCGGCTCCGAGACAGGCGTCTTCCACACTGGTTTAACAGCGAACAATCCCGGAAAAAGCAAGAAGAGAATGGGTATCATTGGTCCCGAAAAACCACGCGTTTTTCGGGAACAAAACGAATAGAATCAAGCGGCGAGGAACGTGGGGGGAGGAAAACGAGGGAAAGAAGACAAAAGGACCGGCATTCTTACATTATTAGATCGATTTGAGCGATATCGGCTGGTTATGATCGAGACCAGACGGAAGCGGCCACCAGAGGAGGCAGTGAATGAGGATTGCTTGTCCCGAAAGCAAATCTTGCCCACTTCTCACACGTTTTTCGGAATGAATGTGAAAGCGAAATCCGAAATAGGAAATGCGAAATGCGGAATGCGGAATGATCATCGGTGCTTTGTGGAGACAATTGAACTTCAATGTGACTTCGACCTCTCGCCACGGTCTCCAGAGCTGACAATATGGGCGTGGCCTCGGCCAAATGGCGTTTTCATGAATTGAGCAGGTTTTCTCTGATTTTTGTGGTCAAAGGCGATGAAAAATAATTGTTCGACATGAAAACACACTAATTCTCAGAACTGATGGCGTTTTGGCGCATTTTTCGCGGACTTTGCTTTTTCGCCTTCGCCGCCGATAGCCGCCTAAAAACCGCACTTCTCATTTTGCGCTTTTTCGACCGTTTTCAGACAGAATTGGTTTTGAGAATGATAAATCACATAAATACAATCATTTTGAGCGCTCGAACCGCGAAAACTACCGAAAAGCAACTGAAATTCACGCAGTTTTAGCGAAAAACCTTCAAACGGATAAATGTGATTTGCGACTTGACCAAATTTAACGCTCTTTCGCTTAAAAAATTCGTAATAGCCTATACAATCGGTCTATCGAGAGACAAATGAGAAATTATCGGTTTCCCGTGACTAATCTGGCAAAAAACATAAATTTTGCAGTTAAAATTTAAATTTCGCGCCAATGTATCGCTCTATTGGGCGGGGCGCACTCGTGTCAGCTCTGCAGACCGTGGCTCTCCCTGAACTCTTTTCCCATATCAAAGACCATCGTGCGTGCTTTCCAAATCAAAACGCTCAGGAAAAACCTGATATTTCATGCTTGACAAACACGAAGAAAAAGTGAAGATTAAATCGTTGTCAAATACAAACAATGCACCAAACTTTTAATTCGAGTTGTGTAGACAAATTATGTGCAAGTTTACATAGAAAACGGAGAGTATAAAATCACCAATTTTCCTGGGCTTGACGTTACTAAACGTTGCGTTGTTTTTTACTACTTTTAGTGTTTTACAACAAAAAAAGGAATGATGAAGTTGAATTTGAAGCCAAATTTGGCAGTTATCGTTGTCACAGTAGCGTTAGCTGTGAATTTCAGTGAGGTAAGCTTGTTAAGTGGTCTGAATTCTGAGTCTACTCAAATTTTAGGCGTCTGTGGTCCGTAAGACTCGCCAGACTTGTGGCTGTGTCGAGTCTTACCAACCCACGTGCTCCTGCCAACAATCATCTCAACAATACAGTTGCTCCTGCCAGCCCACAACCCCATGTTCATGTGCATCTAGCCAAAGCTCGCAGTATCAAGTTCAGACATCCCAGTGCGTGCCGGCTTGTCGGCAGTCTTGCTCTCAACAGTGTCAAACCGTCGCCAACCCGCAATGCGAATCAACGTGCCAGCAGTCTTGCCAGTCCAACTCTTGCAATCCGATGACTTCGACACCAATGCCGGCTTCGCAGTCGTGTCTTCCGCAGTGTCAGAACAATTGCATGCAGCAGTGTACCCAGCAGCAGTCGGTCGAGCAATGTCAGCAGATTTGTCAGGAGCAGTGCAATCAAGAGTGTGGAGTTAGCAATGGTCAACAGGACTCGACGACCGGCTACGGATACAATCCGTACAATCCCTATGGATATGGTCAGGTTCAGAATCAGAATCAGAATCAGAATCAGTACCAAAACACGCAGTGCGAACAGCAGTGCTCCTCTCAATGCACACAACAAACGAGCTCTTCCTGCCAACAATGTCAATCCACGTGTCAGCCACAACGAGAGCAAGTCATCACCATTTACATTTCGGCTTCTCTGCCCCAATCCTCCGAATGTGTGCCCCAATGCCAGCAAACGTGTCAGCAACAGTGTCAATCCGTCCAGCAGCCGTCCTATCAGAATTGTGCGCCGGCGTGCTCCACCTCGTGCTCACAATCGTGTTCTCAACCGGCTCAGATGGCTTGTCAGGTAGTGCAGAACAGCGGAGCTGCTGCATGCGGATGTCAGAGCAACTATTCACCGTGTGGAAATGGACAGTGTTGCAGAAAAAAGTGATGAGGACACGTTCGATGGATATTTTCTGTAAATTTCGTATAATAAACGTGTTGAACGACTTTAAACTTGTGTAAGATTTCCAAAATTATACACGGTCTCCAGAGCTGACAATGCTAGTGCGCCCCGCCCAATAGAGCGATACATTGGCGCGAAATTCAAATTTTAACAGCAAAATTTGTGTTTTTTTGCCAGATTAGCCACGAAAAACCGATAATTTCTCATTCGTCTCTCGATTGACCAATTGTATAGGCTATCACATATTTTTTAAGCGCAAGAGCGTTAAATTTGGTCAAGTCACAAATCACATTTATCCGTTTGAAGGTTTTTGGCTAAAACTGCCTGAATTTGAGTTGCTTTTCGGTAATTTTCGCGGTTCGAGCGCTCAAAATGCTTGTATTCACGTGATTTATTTCATTCTCAAAACCAAAATGAGCGCAAAATGAGAAGTGCGGTTTTTAGGCGGCGATCGGTGGCGAAGTAAAAACCGTGTAAAACAAAACCGCAATAGTTGAGCAACCTTTTGTCACAACGTTTCCCCTCCATTTTCCCTCTTTTGCTGCAAAAGAGCCTTCTCAAGACCCACTGGACTGAGAAGAGGGACACCGAAAAAAGTGCATTAGAAATGCGACTTGTTACCCTTCAAATGCATATCTCCTTTCCCCTCTCTCTCTCTCTCTCTCTCTCTCTCTCTTTCTCTCTTTCTCTCTTTCTTTCGTACATAAATAGAAGAGGCTTCTAGCTACCTTTTTATGCAAAATCAACTCTCTCTCCTCTTTGTATTTTCAGTGAGCTACTTACTCAGACAAGGAGAAACGCTCTCAATTAGGATGTAAACGGATGTAGACACAAAGATAATTGGCTTCTGAGCTCTCGGAGCTCTCGTAGCTCATCGGCCAACTTCTTTGTGCTCCGAGAGCTCCGATGACTCCTCTTTTATCATAGGTCAATTCAATTCCTTGTGGCTTTTCAAACTCGCGTCAAAACTTGTTCTCCTCCAATCCCATCCCCCTCTCAACCCCCCAAAAAAACACCAATTTTATGGTCCGAAAAGAGAGAAGCGGCGCAGTTTTACTTGTTTTTTGTGCTGCCCCCCCCTCAAATACCACTCCCTTTTTTCATTCGCGCCACTCGTTTCGTTCCTCTTTCTCCAGAAGTTTTTTCTCGTTTTTTTTTCCCGCCCCGAAAAAAGAGCACTTCACATAAATCGTTTTGCCGGACGGAAAATGGAGAAAAAGTGAGGAGCTGGCAGGAGATGGGAAAGTGCAAAAGAGAGCCTCTTGAGCCACTGGGAGAGGGGCGCTTTTACGGAATTTCGAATCCGAATTTCACTTCTTTTTTTTGCTGCACAAACTGCTACAGTATACAAACTCTTATCGGCAATGGAATGAACATCGACCCTTGCCCCCTCCTTTTTAGTATAGTATTGTTGACCCGAAAATTAGCATGCAACTCGCTTACTGCTCCTTCTCCTGCCCGATTCGTATCAGGAAACAGAAAAAAGGGTATTTAGGATAGGAAATTGAGTTTATGCCTTCCTGAATTTCTTTTCTTCTACCTTTTCTCCTTCTTTTACTGATCTCTCGGATCGTCAAACTCCATCATCCATTTCATCCCCTCTTCCTCTATCTCTCTCTCTCTCTCTGCCTCATGCTGCTCCTGAAGCCCTCTATCAGGTGGCGCTCCTGACTCTTCCCGCAACACACCCTTTGCCTGTCTCCGTCTTCTCATATCCCGATGACTTTTCAACTTTTATCTGTTATCATATCACAACTGAGCCCTTCGGCACAACTTTTATCACTCGCAACTTTCGCCGCAACAACCCAACTACGTGTTTATTCAGCCTCTCTGGATATTAATTTCCAATATCATCAACTTTTTGCCCTCTCCCTCTCCCTCTCGCCCTCCCTATGTTTACATTCTTACTCATAGTCTGTCTACTCAAAATCATAGAACACTAGACGTTTCCTCTTTGCTCTCCTCATTTTTTATTCATAATCTCAAGTAGACGGAGGCAAGTACGAAGAGAATGAACGCTCCAATCGAAAATTCGATGGCACTTTCCTTTCTCTTTCATTCTCTTCCATTCCGAAGACGAAAAACAAGTGAATGCACAACACACAACACATACAAATCAGTGCCTGTTTGTACTAGATTTGATTGATTTAGCTGATTTAGCCAGCTGATAGGAATGAGGGGGGTTATGTCATGTATTTTTGTATGACTCTAGATGATAAAAGATTGACACGCATCATTTAGCCACGTCAAAAGAAATGGCGAAACGATGATTCGAACGAAAAATTGATGCGTTTCTTACATTTGAAAAATCTAAAACTTTGCGAGTTCTGATCCAGCACTTACTCTACTCTGTACCAGAGTTGAGCGGAAGAACTCAACGGAAGAATTTTTATATTTTTTAGAAAATTTTTTCATTAAATGTGATCAACTGACGAAATGTATAGCAAAGTGAACTCTGTTCATAGAAAAATATTTGTAAATTTAGCTTTTCATACAAAAAAGTGATTCGAGTTGTTGCGTGAAAAAAAGGCTAACGGGGAAGACGGAAGGACATTTTCACGGAACAACTCGAATAACTTTTTTGTATGAAAAGCTAAATTTACAATTATTTTTCTATGAGCAGAGTTCACTTTGCTATACATTTCGTCAGTTGATCAAATTTCATGAAAAAATTTTCTAAAAAAGATAAAAATTCTTCCGTGTTCTTCCGTTGAGTTCTTCCGCTCAACTCTGCTCTGTACCATCATCTTACATGATAAAAATTATATCATAAAATATAAAATTAATCATAAAATCATTCAGCCCATCTCTGTCTTGTTCTAATGTCCGCCAACTCAATCGATATGTAAACATTCGTTCGTCTCATCATCATAAATCCATTCCAGATGTTCTTCCGCTCATTTCCCCCCTTCCTCCTCCGCATCTGATGTGCTATTGAAAATGTTGAAAACGTCTATAAAAGTAAGAAAGGATCGATCCGCTCATTTCTCATCTGAATCAATCTTTATTTTCATTTTATCCCTCATCGCCTTCTTCTGATCACTTCCTCATTTAGCATCTGTAATTCAATCTATCTCAGTTTTCATCATATCCATGCCTGTCTCACTTTCTCTACGAGCACAAATCTTTCGTTTTTTTCTTTTCTTTTCGCAAACTATATTTTATTTGCAGCACTCTGACTGAAAATCTACGTGAACGGCGGCCCGACGGCATGACGGCCGATGCGGACTTGCTCGAAGGATACGATGAGGTACTTAGTGATATAATAGCGGAAAAGGGGGGTGAAGGGTGTCTCTACGCTTATTGTTACACTCAATCATTGTTCTTTTTTCTGTGAAAATCGGGCCGTCACAAATTTTTGTTCGGCACAACAAAAATTTGAAATTAATTCCAATTCTTCGTGTGTTCAAAAGACGAATTCCTGCGGGTCTTTAGAATTCAATTTTTCCATTATTACACACAGTTTCATAAACGGACCGTCAAACACCTAAAAAGGGGCGACGGCAAACAGGTCTGTTCTTTCTCATCTTTTGTAATTCTCCACCCTCCCGCCCGACAGTTTTTTCGACATTTTGTCAACAATGCCCTCTCCTCCACCGGTCTGTTCCTTCAATTCATTTAGTCCATTGCCATTAATCCCACTCACAAATATCAAATTGCCTGACCGTTCACTTGCAGGAACTCGGCGGCAACGAGGCTCAGAAAAGAGATTGCAAAGGAATCACGACGGCCGTCATCGTCGTCCTATTCATTATGGCACTCATATTTGCAGCCTTGGTACTCTTTACACCTTGTAAGTTACGATCGACAGCACGGGGAGGGGGTATAAATATTGCTGTTTTACAGTATTCGCTTCTACTCACTTGCCGTCAAAACGCCTCAACATTTCCGACCTTCGAAACCTGCGCTATCCGTTTGGAGAGTTTCAGTTCACTCTCGATAATCCGAACACTATTGTAATGCAAAGTTGGGAAGGTGTGGAGCTGGTGGAAGACGGAGTCTCACGACTGCTTTTCGGAAGAGAAAGTGGAGTAGGTTTTTAATTTCCGTTCCAGTTTTTCTATCATTTGTTGTTGCAGGGAGAAATCTCTCCGTCGGCCGATCTCAAATATTTTGCTCTGACGGATCACGCGACGAATCCGGGAATGAACCCGCAGAACGAGACGTACCATTTGAAGATTGTGAACAATGAAGAAAGGTTTCATCCCTTGTTACCCTATGAGTTTGAAGACTTGTTCCGCAACTTTGCGGATTCCAGAATCACTCATGATGTCGGTCTCCGCGGAAAAGAGTCCACGGTGCAGGCGTTCAAGTGGAACGGAAAGTTTAACGATTTTGTGAGTACTAGTGTTTGGCTGTGTGCATGAACTAGGTTTACTATAGATCGCTTCCCATAGCGCTTTTTTCTCACTATTTAAAGGACCAGGGAACCCAAAAATTTTTTGATTTTTTGTGACTGTTTGAATTGTCTCTTATTGCCTCATACACTGGTGAAATGCTGCCTCTCAAAAATGCCAATGAACGAAACGGCCTGCAGTTGAAGTTGTGGCCGTGGCCTAGAAATATGCGCTTCTCGGCCATTTTATTTTTTCCGCTTTTTTACCGGGTTTTTTTCCAAAAATTCACGGTTTCTCCCATTTTTCAGTTGATTGACATTTGTTCGGCACTTACGTATTTTTTCACTGCTAAAAAATTGTTTTCATTCAGTCGATACGAAGTGCCAGATGAGTGGCTTCCGTGGAACAAGAGTGATTTTATCGCGAAAAAAGCGGAAAAAAGCGGAAAAAATAAAATGGCCGAGAAGCGCATATTTCTAGGCCATTGGCGCTAGGCCACGTCCACAACTTCAACTACATGCCGTTTCGTTTATTGGCATTTTTGAGAGGCAGCATTTCACCAGTGTATGAGGCAATAAGAGACAATTCAAACAGTCACAAAAAAATCAAAAAATTTTTGGTTTCCCTGGTCCTTTAACTATATCTAACTATGTCAGGTGTTTGTGGAGAACAACAAAATCTACTACAAAACAGCTCCAGAAGAGAAGGGCGTTGTGAAAGTCAGTAATGGAGGTCAAAACACGGTGGACGGCCTGTTCGACTGGATCTATGAAGAGGAAATTTTCGGAAAGAAAGATGCTCTCTGGTGGTCTCCGAATGGAAATCGTTTGGCGTTCGCCTCCTACGACAATCATCTCACTCGCAACATTTCGCTCAAAAGCTACCATCGTCTGAACTCCTATACCATCGACACCAATCTTCATTACCCGAAGACGTTCGCCAAAGTCCTTCCCTCTTATACTCTCTCCATTTGGGACAAGAGAACGGAGCAAGCTCGGCAAATGGATGTTCAGCTCAAGGACAGTCTCTCCTATCACTACTTGCTGGCGGTGAAGTGGTTGGAGATCAATGGGACGGAGCGGTTGGTCTCGGTTTGGACGAATCGCTATCAGAATGAGATTGCGTTGACCATTTGTGATTGGGAGTCTGCGATTTGTCACTTGGTGCGTCGTCAAAATATTGCCCAGTGAGAATTCTAACTCAATGTTTACAGGAGTTCGAGTACAAGTACGCCGCGAAACGTTGGGTGTCCCATGATGATTTCAATACAATGATCGCCTTCGAGGACACTCTCTACTTCCTTCTGCCTCACGATCTCCGTGGCAATGCTTTCCAACAAATTGCCACTCTTCGACTGTCCAACGGCCAACACCGAACGCCAAAGTTTCTGCAGCTCGGCGAGTTCGATGTCACTTCAATCGAGGGAATCTCTCCGAAAACTAGAACTCTCTACTATCATGCGGCTGCTCCCAGGCCTCAACAAAGAAACCTTTTCGCGTATACTCTCCTGGAGAAAGCTGATAAATCTGTGAACTGTGTCACTTGCGGCATCACAAACTGTTCGTGGGCTCAGGCACAGTTGGATGATGAAATGACACGGGCGATTGTGTCGTGTAAGGGCCCAGCAGCGCCACATACAACTCTGATGAACTTGACAGGAAATGTGAAGCAGGAAAAGGCCGACTGTGAGCGTATTCACTTATTTCACACTGTTTTATGTCTTTTTTTAGATGCTGAACTTCTGGAAGATCGCTCGTATCAAATCAAAATGGAAGAAGCTGCCCTGCCAGTGATTATCACCGAAAAGATTAAGATTTCCGATGACTACGGTACTAATCTTTAAGTTTTCTTTAAACAGTTCGCAATATCAGTTACAGATGCCCTCATCAAGCTCTCTATTCCTCGAGACGTTTACCATCGGGATAAAAGTCGTGCGATTCCACTGCTCGTTCATGTTTACGGCGGACCAAACGATCAAAACACAAAGGACACGACACAAGTTGGCATCGAAGAAATTGTCGCATCTGGGCAGCAAGTGGCCATTCTGCGCATTGACGGACGCGGCAGCGGCGGAAGAGGATGGAAGTATCGATCGGCGGTTTACGGACAACTGGGCACTGTGGAGGTTGATGATCAGCTGAGTGTCATCAAGTAATTCTAGTGAATGTTTGCATAGAGAGTACGTATCTCGTTGTTACAGGGTGGTTCTCCGACTCTATCGTCATATGCTCGACGCCAATCGAGTTGCGGTCTTCGGATGGTCCTACGGAGGTTTCATGACTTTGTCGATGGTCAACGAGGCCTCGGAGAACTTTTTCAAGTGTGCCATTTCAGTGGCGCCGGTCACTAATTTTGCCTATTATGGTGAGGTTTTCTGTTGGGTTCTCACATCCTATTATAGGGGTACCGGACAGAAAGGGCGCGCTATTGAGAAGAGCCCGCGAAAACCTGGGGGACAAATAGAAATTCTATACATGAAAAAGAAAAAATTACTTAAATTCACCACGAAAAAGGTGAGAACACAATCGATTTATTAAAAAGAAAACGAAAAAACTGAAGGAAAACAACAATTTCTGCAGCAGCCTACGTGGCCGCGGACTAACTTTCTCTTCTCACACCATTCAAATTTAGAGTCCCCCAGGTTTTCGCTTGCCACGGCCTCCTGCACGAGAAAAGCGCAAGCAATTACGCGTGCTCTCTGCGTCGCCGGCAGCATTCTCCTTGTCTCGCACTCTCTCGCTTGCCTACTGTCGCTCGAGAAGCGAAATGAGAGTTGGTGTGGCGCTCGGAACGCCGCCGGAAGAATACTGATTTATCTTTCCGTTTTTCTTCATGAACGTGTTTATCATGAGCAAAACTTGCAAAGAGCAACAAAAAATTCTGAAAAAAATGCCGGCGTCAGTACGAAATTTGCATTTTTCGTGTTGCGGTTGATTATGCGTGCTACAAGTGAGAATCAAAATCATCTTCCGTTATTTCGTGATGAAAACGTTGCCCGAGGGTTTTTCATGACCACATCATCAAAAATTTAACGAAATTAATCGTGTAAGCCACATTGGGAGCACCGATTTCACACTTCGGTGGCCAACGAAGTTTCATCGGAGACTTCAGATGCGTGCTCTCGGAAGAGTACTGATTCATTTTTCCCGCTTTCTACGGGAATATGTTAAATATGATCAGTACTTCGAAGCAGCAACAAAAAACTTGAAAAAATATTCTGGAGTGTCCACGGAGACGGCTTCTGAAAGAGCTACAGTTTTCTGCTGACTTCAGAAGCGTGCTGTTGGAGGAGGGAAAACTTTTTTTGACTGATTTCAGCTGTAAACTGTTGTTTACACTTCATCGAAACAAAGAGCAATGAATAATCGCAAGTTTTTCTTATTCTCCAGCTGTGAATTCCGAAGATGTGAGCACGACGTATTCTGGTGGACAAGTTAGTCAGAATCCACCAGTTTCTCACATTTTTTGATAGGAAATGTTCACATACGGGTAAAACTTCGAATTAAACAATAGTCGAGTGAGAATGAATGTTGCCGCCGTTGGTGAGTCCGTGAGAGTCGGATCTGTCGTAATCTTGGCTCAAGTCGGCGTGCTTCAAACCGCCATATCTCTCTTCAAACTCATCCAATCTACTCGTTCGAAGTCGCAAAAGAAAGCTCATGAAATTTAGAAACTTTTTGTGTGTGTGAATTTGTAAAAAAAGTGGTTTCTTGCTCACGTTATCCTGGAAAAAAACCTCAAAAAAAGGCCACTTTTTTTCCACTGAAAAACTTCAAAGTGATGCATCTGCCTTCAAACTGCATCAATTTACTTGATTAAAAAAAGCAAAACGTAGGCCTCTCTAATGTCTACAACTTGCCAGAATCAGATTTTCGAAAAAATTTTTTCCTGATTTTTAAAGTGACTGCAAAGTTTTCTCTTCGTGGTTTGTTACATCCCATTCATTCGAATCACAGCTATATTTGATATTTTTGTGTTCAATGCTTGAATATAATTGTGTATTAACGAAAAGTGACGAAACAGTCAAGAAAATTTTCTTGTACCCGCTCCTAGACATGTCTTATACTCAAATTTTGGTAAAACTGGCTCTTTTCAACACACAGGAACTTTTTTGATTGGCTAATAAAAAAAAAAGATTCCTAATTTTTGTCTTAGTCTGTTCAGATTTTTCGAGATTTTATTTTTTGTGGTAACCATGCCGCCGACAACTTTTCCGTGTTGAACAAGAAATTTTTTGATGGATAATGCAAGCGCGCTCTACGGTCATGCGTTAGAGATGAGAGACGGCTGAGTATGCGCGTTTCGCGATCCGGCTTGCACATTTCTCGTGCCGGAGGCCGTGTTGCTCTTCTCAATAGCGCGCCCTTTCTGTCCGGTGCCCCTATAATAAATTTGTTTTCTAGAGAGTTTATTGAACGCGAAACTCATTTCAGATGCCACGTACACCGAGAGATACATGGGAGACGCTCCACTCGAGTCGTACAGTGACGTCACCAGGAAACTGGACAACTTCAAAACCACCAGACTCCTTCTTATGCATGGACTCCTTGATGGTAAGGTGTGGTTCTGAGCCTCAACTAAAAACTGATTATTCAGATAACGTGCACTTTCAAAACAGTGCAATACTGATAGAGGAGCTGCAGAACAAAGGAATCGACTTTGATTTGATGGTCTATCCGAATCAGGCGCACTCTTTATCCACCCGAACGTCTCATGTCGTCGGAAAGATGTCACAATTTTTGAAACAATGTTTTGCTTCGGAAAAATAGAACAATTCGGCTAGGGAAACATCGCGAAACGGGTCAACACTGCTTGCTTTTGCGTGCTACGAAATGAGAGAGCGTAATAATGTATTGCCTATTTACTTCATGATAATAAAGATGCATGATAAAGATGTGTGATAAAGAAATTCATTCAAAATCGATGAGAGTAGAACATGAATGTATCAATATCAAACAATCATCTTTTTCACTCCACGATATCGAAAATGAGGTCGCGGATGCACGGATTTACCTTTCAGGTGCCTTGGTGGAACCGCTCTTCCTTTCATGAAACGCGAATTCTGGTAAGTCAACTGTTGAACAAATATTGAACAAAATAACTTGTGTCTTACGTCGTCAAGATTGAATTTTCTGAATTTCAGATTTGGATTGGAAGCGGGCGGAAGAACAACAGGGTAGCGAGGATCATTTCTGACTCTAAAAAAAAACCAATGAGATGTAGTGTGCGTCTGGAAAGCTCTCACATCTTTTCGACATTTCTGGGCTTGTAAATGGCCCGTCTTTTTTCACGGAGATGTTCTGAACAAAACATTTACGAGCTATGTATAGTGAAAAAAGCTTACTGTGTCTCTTGTTCACTTTCCGATCAGAACTGCTCTTCTTCCTTTTCATTTTCATCTTCCTTAACTTTTTTCTAGTCGGAGGAACGACGTCATCATGAACAATCATCGCGTTATAATTTCTCCAACTAACATCATCATTATTGTACACAGGCTGCTCGGTAATCACACGCTCCTCAGAATTTTCATCTATCAGCAACCCGCTGAACCTTCTCCGAACCTCGTCTGGACTTGATCTGCCAGATGGAAGAGGGGTCCACTCATCTTAATAGTGTGAGGCAAGTCAGTCGTTTCTATAAACTGAAATGTCCTACCAGCACATATTTTCCCGGCACCACAAAACGTTTCATCAATGTCACTGCCCCACGCGGAGAGTTCGTCTTCTGAAAAATGTTGACTAGAAAATTAATTGCAGATTCTAGTTCATTGATTGTCCAACAACTCACCTTCTTGAACGTTCAGTTCTGGAGCCGTCCTCGAACCTCGGTTTCCCATTGTAAACGGAAGAGCACAATGAAGCGAGTGGGCTGAGGAAAGTGGGTATCCATGGAGAAGAATAAGAAATTATTGATGAGCATCTGAAATGCACACCAGAAACATCGACGGCAAGTTTCAGTTTCTTATCGCCATCCCAGTTCGATATCGCAACTGTTCAGATTCATTGTCTCGCTCTCTCCCTCTCTCTCTCTCTCTCTAACTAGAAGATCATAGCCCATAGAAGTAATGGAGACACTACACAAGTTCTATAAGCAGTTCTATAAGCAGTTCTATAAGTTCTATAGTTCTATAAGTTATATAGTTCTATAAGTTCTATAGTTCTATAAGTTCTATAGTTCTATAAGTTCTATAGTTCTATAAGTTCTATAAGCAAGTTCTATAAGTATTTTTACGGGAAGTTGGGAACGGAATTTTCCGATTACAAATGATTAAAATTTTACCTGATATTGGCGAAGGAGCACGACGTAAAAATTCGCAAGATGAAGGCACATTTTCAGTTTTTCCTTCCATTTTTGTTGACCACAATGCCTGAAAGAAGGTTTTTTCGGAGAAAGCACGTTGATTTTGATTAGATCTGACCCCGATGATCTAATTTATTGCGTTTTACGCTTGCGTTTTATTTTTCATGTTCGGCATCATCACTTTCTTCGTTCTCGCGCATTGTTCCGTCCTCACTTCTTCAAAATATTGCTCCGTAAATTTGCGTTTTTACGAATCCGTAAAAATATCATTTAACGCCCCGCCCTGACGGTGAGAGCCCTGAAAAAGGCTCGGAAGGTTGTCCTGAAAAGGATAATCTTATCTGATAAGGTCCGAGAGAGCCCTGACAAGTGGTGCGGCTCCATCAAACGTGGAAAAGTCTGACATTCGAGATTTGTCAAGTTCATCGTTTCATGATTCTAATCTGGAATCACAACAACACACCAGTCAACTTAACTTCAAAGGCTCCGGGTTTCATGAATCGAAAGGGAAGGGAAGCGTCGAGATGGTTCCGCTGGCTATTTTAGACATTGTCCAAGAAGAGCAATCAAGTGAAGAGCAAGTAGAGTAACCTGAGTTCTATTTTGAGACTCTATTTATCTTTAATAACTGAGCATATAAGTGAATCCATAATAAACACTTTTTCCATTTGAAACATCAATGCTTCTGTTCCGCTAAAGTCACGTACTCCAATTGTGTCTGCGTCTAGACGTATTCGATCGCTCTTTCTCTCTCTCTTTCCATCGACGACTACAATATTGAACGGTTAAATAGTGAGTGTTGTTGCACAGTAAAATGATGTTCGAAGGATCATGTAGTCATATCGATGACACGCCTCTCCGCGCAAATGTATATAAACTACGGATAGATGACGGATGTACACCCTCCCGACACGACGATGTCTTCTCAACCATCTCAACCGGCGATGAAGGACAAGTTATTTGTAGGGCTATGCGCTCACACGTTTTCACGGTGTTCTATCATCTGTTTACAGAATCTAGTCGTCAGCAACGTCGTCTCGAATGCGGTCAACGTCGGCAACAGACTGAACCTCTTCAAAGTGCTGGCTCGAATTTCGAGCAACGACACACCAGTTCTACCGGAAGAACTTGCACGGGCGGCCAATTGCAAGGAGAGATACGTTCGCGAGTGGTGTAATTGTTTGGCTTGTGCCGGAATCATCGAGGTGAACAGTGAGGAGAAGTTCTGGATAGCCGAGCAGAATGTGGAGGTGAGAAAAGAAGGGACGCACGGTCTCCAGAGCTGACAAAGGGCGCAAGTGCGCCCCGCCCAATAGAGCGATACACTGGCGCGAAATTTGTGTTTTTTTGCCAGATTAGCCACGATAAACCGATAATTTCTCATTTGTCTCTCGATAGACCGATTGTATAGGCTATTACGAATTTTTTAAGCGCAAGAGCGTTAAATTTGGTCAAGTCGCAAATTAAATTTATCCGTTTGAATTTTTTTGGCTAAAACTGCGTGAATTTCAGTTGCTTTTCGGTAATTTTCGCGGTTCGAGCGCTCAAAATGCTTGTATTTACGTGATTTATCATTCTCAAAACCAATTCTGTCGGAAAACGGTCAAGAAAGAGCAAAATGAGAAGTGCGGTTTTTAGGCGGCGATCGGCGGCGAAGGCGAAAAAGCGAAATTCGCGAAAAATGCGCCAAAACGTCATTAATTCTGAGAATTAGTGTGTTTTCATGCCGAACAATCGTTTTTCGTCGCCTTTGACGACAAAAATCAGAGAAAACGTGCTCAATTCATGAAAACGCCATTTGGCCGAGGCCACGCCCATATTGTCAGCTCTGGAGACCGTGGGACGCGTGAAATGGAACATAACAAACATTCAGGACCTGACAAACGACGGTTTTGCCCTTGTGGGCAACGGAATGATGGCCACTCTTCTGGAGCCTGTCGATCAGCTCATCGAGTGCTTCAAAAAAGACGGTCCGTACGGTCTCGACTACTCTCAATTCCATAATTTCCAATCGTTCATGGGCAGTATGAGCAAATCGCTGCACGAGAAGCACATAGTTGCCGACATGCTTCCGGCGATCGGCCACGGAGTTGTGGAGAAGCTCGAGGCGGGTGGCATTCGGGTGCTCGATGTGGGGTGTGGCGGCGGATTTCACTCATCGCTGCTGGCACAGCAATATCCGAAGGCTCAATTTGTTGGATTGGACATCGGAGAGGATGCCATTAAACAAGCGAAGGAGCGGAGGTGAGCAGGCGTTAGAGCGAGTCCAGCAGTGCGGATTTAAGCTTCGAAAGCACTAAAAGCACAAATTTAATATTTCGTCGTTTCAGAACAACGTCTGGAGAACCGTTCGAAAACTTGCAATTCGTGCAATGCGACGCCGGAAAGATGCCGAACGACTGGACGTCTTCGTTCGACCTCGTGCTCATCTTCGACGCGTGCCACGATCAATGCCGTCCCGATTTGTGCGTTCAGCAAATCAACCGAGTGCTGAAGCCGCGCGGAGTGTTCGCGATGGTCGAAGTGCTCGGATCGAGCAACGTGTTCACGGACCGGGAGACGCTCGGACCGAAGGCGGCGATGATGTACGGATGCTCGATGTTCCACTGCCTTCCGGTCGGCAGCAACTGCAAAGACGCGCTGGGATACGGAGCCATGTGGGGACGGCGACGGGCGATCGATCTTCTGAACGCGTGCGGATTCCCCGATGTGAGCGTGATTGAGACGCCCTACTTTCCGATAAATGTCATGTACCTGGCAAATAAAAATTGAATGGATTCCATTTTCATGTTTATTGTCGTATCACACTAGTAAACGGTGCCCTTAGATTCCCAAATATTTCCTTGCAATCTGCAGCGCCTGCTCGTCGTTCGATATTGGCAGTTTTGAGACGTCGCTGAGCACATTCGAGTAGAGTTCTGTCGTGAAGTACCGTTCGGCAAAGCTGTTGATCGTGGTCACAATCAGTTTTCCGCTGTTCTCGGGCCGACGCGCCAGTTCGACGGCGGCGACGACGTTGGCGCCCGACGAGATTCCGCCGAGAATGGCTTCTTCGTCGGCGAGTCTACGGGCCATCTTCATCGCGTCGTCCGACTTGACACGCAGAATTCCAGTGAAAAGGGAGCGGTCGACGTTTCCGGGCACAAGACCGGCGCCGATTCCCTGAATTCGGTGTGGTCCACGCGGGAATCCGCTGAGCACAGAGCTCTCGTACGGCTCCACCGGATATATTCCAATTTTGGGGTTCTGCTCGCGCAGATATCGTCCGACGCCGGTGATGGTTCCGCTGGAGCCGACTCCGAAGCACACAATGTCCACTTTTCCCTGCGTTTGCTTCCAAATCTCGGGTCCGGTGCTCCGATAATGGGCGGCCGGGTTTGCAGGGTTCGAGAACTGATCAAGGCAGTAGGCGTTGGGCAGTGCGGCGACGAGGTTCTCGACACGCCGCACGACTCCCAGATGACCTTCGACCGGGTCCGACAGAATGCATTCGGCGCCGTACGCTCGCAGCATCGCACGCCGTTCCACACTCATCGTCGCCGGCATCACCAGAATCACTTTGTAGCTGGAAAAAGAGAAAAATCAACGAATGAAAGTTTACGCGTACCCGCGAATCTTTCCAATGTGCGCGAGGGCAATTCCGAGATTCCCGCTCGTTCCCTCGACGAGGACCGTCTTTCCGGGCGTGATGAGTCCGTCTCGTTCGGCCGTCTCGACCATCGACTTGGCGATTCGGTCTTTGACGGAGCACGACGGATTCAGATACTCGATTTTGACGGCTGAAATGTTCATTTGAAGAACGATTTTTGTGGCAAAAACTGACCGATTCTGGCATTCAAACCTTTGCTAATGTTCCGGAGAAGAACGAGCGGAGTGTTTCCGACCGTCTCGCCTCCATCGGTGACCATCAACTCGCGAGACATTCTCTCAAAATGAACGGTTTTCGTGTAAAGTGTCAGCGGAAAAGAGAGCGAATTGTGAAATGATCACGGTCGTCACGTTTTGATAACGATTTTCGTGGGAAATTGATAAGGATGGAAGTGATGTCAAATGCCAAATAAGCTTATTATTATGCGTTGCCAAAAAATTACAAAAATTATTCAATTGAAGTTTTGCCGCCTGTCGAGCGCGTGTTGCATTGCCCAGATCGAGAGCGGACGCATGTAGCCGAGCGCTCTGTACATTCCGTCCGAAGTGATCGCTTCCGGGGTCTGGTACTGGAGTGGGAAGCGATTCCAGATGGATTCGAAAAGCCCTTCGGAAGTTTTGAATGCCTGCTCGTACATACCCTGAACAAAGTACGCTCTAATGATGAGAACACCATGCTAGTTCTCACCTTTTCGATCATCATCGCAGACAGTGCGTAGGTGATTCCGGCCCAAACCTCTTCGCTTTGAATGCTTGATCCGTCCACACTTTCGCTAGTTCTAAACACACCTCGATTTCGATTTCGATATAGTCAAACTCACAAAAATCCGTTGACAGCTCCGCACTTTCCGTTATCGTACATTTGTACATTGTACTTGTAAATCGTGTCCAACGACGATTTGATTTTATCGACTGACAATTGAACGGGCTCATCCAAAGACGCCAGTGCCCAGAACCCGGAGAGCTGGTCCGCCATGATTATTTTCGAGTTCTCGGGCAGCTCGTCAAACTTGAAAAACTTTCCGTTCCACAGTTTCTTTACGTACGCTTCGTAGGCCATTTCGAGCTTGTCCTCGTAGAATTCTGTCGGCGAGCCAGCTTGTTTGCTCATTTGAATGTAGGCGGTGAGGGCGGCGAGCCAGAGGGATCCACAGTAGGCACTCGTTCCGGTCATCTTCCAGACGTCGTACGTCTGATCAGCGAATCCGTCATTCTCAATCATTCCGTCCTTATCTGCAAGTACACTATTCTATTCATTCTCTTTTTTCTCTCTCACCCTTGTCCCATGTCTCAAGTGCGTCCTCGACTATCTTTGTACATTTCGACAAGAAGAACTCCAATATCTGTTCGCTGTCCTCTCCTTTCGACGCGATCATCTTCCAATCTCGATAGCAACTAATCACAAACTTCAGATTCAGATCCTTCCATTGGGCGGTATCGTGTAGAATATAGGCGTTCGTGTGAAGCCACGGATCGGCCACTGAAAGTCGATGCTCTTGAATGCAAAGTTGGGGTTAGACAGCGGGTTAGGACACACGGAGGGTACTCACTTGGGTGGCCCATGTCGTGCGGGATTCGGTCGTATCCTTTGATCATCATCTGGTCTCCGTTGGCCAGTGATGTGGCTGTTCCCCTGTCCACTCGGTCCACTTGATCGGCTGAAACGGTACAATTTACTGAATTTCTTGTAGGCGTTCTCCTACCATAGTCCAATTGAATGGACAACTCAATCTGCGGCCAGTTCTTCAGAATCGCCCAGCTCGAGTAGAAGTGCACGTCGTAGGTGTTGATCATGTAGTACTCCCACGACTCCATGTAGCCGAACCGCCCGTACTCTTTGAAATGCTTCTCCGTGTGCTCGCTCATCAGCTTCTCGTCTTGCTTCCACTCGGGATCGAATTCGAACCAAATGGTACTTCCGTCCACGATATAGTAGAGTTCGTTGAAAAGCGCATTCCGGTACCATTCGGGCAGCTTCTGGTTGTCGAGAATCGGGGCCTGCCACTTGTGAATAGCATCTTGCCACGTGGGAAGATTCTGAAGGCCGTGACGGCAAATGGCGGCGGTCACTTGATGAGCGTCGGGACCGTTGAAGAAGCGACAATATCTTCTGGAATAGAAAAGGGAGTTGATCGATCAATTCTTGCTCTAACCTGGTATAAAGACGTTCGGCAGTTCCAAAATGGACTTCCGGCATGTACCAAGCAAATGAGAACTGCGTGCGATGGCTGCCCTCTGGAGGCACGTAGAACGAAGAACAGACGCCGATGCCGAGCTCCTTTGGTTTGGGAGGCAACTGGTCGTAGGCTGAATAAACTTACAATGTTCATTTGTCAGAGGGGCGTGACTCACAAGAGAGGTGTCCGTACACTTCCAGATCGCTCCACAGCCGTCCGCCGGTTCCGTTCGGATCGAAAAGACACGTGGTCACCTTAGCGCCATTCTTCTCGTCCGTTCCGATTCCGTACGTGATTGGCATTCCTTTCACGGTGTGCGAGAGAGTTCGAACGACCATCGTGTCCTTTTGTACCTTCTCACTTCTGAAATCTAGCTGTTCTTTTATGTTTCACACTCTGAACATACTGGCAGAGACTCTCATCGTCCCACTTCTTCTTCCCGGTCCCATTCCGGAAAGTCATAGTGATAGATACTTCCACCTCTTCACTCGAATCGTTGAAAACCGTGAAATCAAAGTTGGCGAGGGGCAGCGAGGAGTCCGAATAATCGTTCGGAATGACCGGAGACACGTGCTCCACGACCACCGTCACTCCAGACGATCCGAGCCGGAACTCTTGCCAGGCCCTCGGAAAGAGCCCTCTGTACCTGACGTCTTCCGGCGGGACCGTCTTGTCCCATTTGGGCAGTACGGTCGCCGGGAACTCGGCGCATGTGAGAATCGACTGGTAGATGATCTCGTATGTTTTTTTCGAGTGCACCGAAGCGATGAACTGATTCGCTTTCAGCGTTTCCGTCTGTTCTTTGATGCCCGGAATGATTGAGAAGCGGTTGAATCCGCCGCGATAGTCGGTTCCGATGGATCCGCATCCGATGCCGCCCAGTGGAACTCCTGAAATCATTGTATGCTCTTTTGTTTATGTCGAAAAAGGAAGGCCCTTTTGTGCAAAAAAGTACGTATTACTTTTGCAATTGGAAAAACATGCTTTCCCGGAACATAGCAATGTGTTTTGGTAAATAATAGAAGTTTTGTAAACCCACCGTATCTCAGTACCGTGAATTCTACATCTCATTTATGAGCAGAGAAATCAAAAAGTTGTCAACTGCCGAGAGACTTAGTGGTGAATGAACAAACTTGCGCTACGGCTTCTTCAAAGTGTCTTTCAAATAAATAAATAAAACTACAATTTCTATTCAAAAAAGTCTTGCGCACCTGTATAAGTAAAGTGCCGGAACACATTGAAGATGTCGATGAACGCCTCTCTTCCATGCCACCACTCAACGAATGTGTGCAATGCAACTCTGAACTTTTATACTTTTCTGCTACACTTTTCTTCCACATACCTGACTAAAAGCGGAATCAACTTGATCGAGTGCTTGAGCCGCGGGAAGAATGGCCGAGGATTCGGGAAGTCGGGAACTCGGTCGCCCCTCGCCTTCCAGCCAATACCCTCGAGCAACCGGTCTCGCTGCATTGTCGAGCTCATTTCCAGTTGAGCTGTAAAGTGATTATATTGTTGTGCAGTGTGCACTAGAATCAGTTTTATATATAGTGGGGGGGGCGATGAGTGAGAGCACAAGTGAGCACAGAGTAGTGTAAACAAGTGGTGTGTGTGCGTGAGAAAGAACAGACATCTGAAGGCAGGTGAACACGAAAACATAACCTTGGAAATCTTTTCTGAACACATTTTGGTGAAATGTGAAAATGTGTTGGGAGTGATAAGAAAAGTGGCACAAGAAGAGTGTGAAAGTGCGAGACGCGCAGGAATCGGCAGGACACAAACCATAAAACAAAAGAGAGAGCGATGTTTATATGTATAAGGGAAAGCAACACATAAAAATTTACATTTTGAAATAAAATCAGCTGAAACGAACACTGTTTTTCTGGTTTATGGTCGGCGATGAATCACACGGGGCACATAATATTTTGTAGTTTTCGTGATGCGCCGGAGAACAACAACTATTGAGAGATCAGTGTGACGAGTTTCACGTGACCGACAGAAGGGAGTGAGCAAACGTGCTCCATTGTACTCACCGGATTTTCACGAAAATTCGGCGCCTACAACGGAAGCTACATAGGAACGGAGTTATACTTCGTTGTAGCGCCGAAAATTCGCTGTTAATAGTAAAAGGCAATATCTTTGCGTTTAAAAGAAATGAAATATCAGTATTTATCGAAAATTGCAAAGTTAAACAATTTTTCAAAGAAAATTCGCGAAAAACCGCTACATTTCCGATGATTGTCAAAAACGCGTGCTAAACAATGCGCGGTGCGTAATTTTGGAGTGTCGTTGTTTTTGTTTTTCAACCGAGATAGCTTTAAAAACAGAAAACAGGTGAAAAATGCCGGTTCCCGATGCTTTTTCACGATTGAATCATGTAAAATTGTGATTTTTGAACAAGTTCAGTGACGGAAAGAGTGAAAAACCGGGATTTTTCGTCAATTTTTCAGCAATAACAATGAGAATGAGAATCTGGGCGTTTGTTTTCCACAGATTCAGCAAATTCTTTGCATAATAGAATAATATGCGTTTCAGCTTTGCAGAATGGCTCGAGAGTGCCGAATTCTAACAAATTGCAGGTATTCTGACAGACGGCGTGTGACTTTCTCGAGCTCAAAAGCTCAGCTCTCGTGCACGTCACATTCAGCAGACTCCAAGAACATGAATTTCCAGAAGACGTGGGTGTCGCGAGCGTTCTTTGCTGTGGGAAGCCGTAGAGAAACGGAGTTTTCAAGAAATGGAAAATATTGAAACAGCAATTCTCACTTTTTCACACACCGCCACCACCTCATTCCCCATTCCAAGTGTCCTTTTTCGCCGCAAATGAAGAGTCTCTCATGTGAGTTGCACACTTGTGTCCCAAAATAGTGCCGAGACGGAATATTCAATCAGAAGCTCACTTCTTCTGATAAACAAACATTCGCTTGCAAAACACACTCTAGTTTCCGTGAATTTGTGTTGTCGAAAAATGGGTCGACAGCAATCTGTGCACACAAAATGTTTCACAAAGTCAAACTTTACAGGATCAGAGTATGAACAACGATTCGAAGTGGAAAATTAAGCAAGGTCAAATTTGTACTTGGATTTCTCGGCGAATCTTGAACATTTTCAATACTTTAAAAAACGAATAGAAAGATAAGTTTATGCTTCACAGCAAACAGATTCCGAAAACGAATTGTTTCCAGAGCGAAGGTGCTTCTTAATCGTAAAATCCAGAAAAAAAAGCGTTCAACTATCATTCAAGGACATTTGGCAAACAACAAAGCAGCGTGATTCCCAGATTTGCAAAGAAATTCAGTTGCGAAGCGTCGTCGTCACCTATTCAGAAGTGCAAATCTAATAAAGTGACGTCGGGAGCGTCTAGGCCGATTAGACTCGTGTTTTTCAGATGATCTACGACTCATCGGACTGATCAAAGACTTTTCAGGATGAAATGTGAACGGAAGCGCAAATGTGCAAGCGGTGTAAAGCAAAAAGAAATGAGGTGAATGGGGGGAAAACTTTGTTTCGCTGCTTCTCTCGGATTTCTCTTCTCGAAGACGCGGTGATTTCTGTCAACTAATGAAGGCGTGTAAAAGGAGCGTACTCGCCCTGAAGAGAAAGAAGAAGAAGAAGAGGAGGAGGAAGAAGAAAAAGTGACGGAAAGAGAAAAAGACGACGAGTACGACGAAGATGATGATGATGATGTCGTCGCGTGCTCACACAGCCAAAAGGACGAGAAATGGGGATGAAGAAGACAAATGATGAAGATGTGATTGTGGTTCATGAAGAGAGAGAGAGAGAGAGAAAGAGTGCAAAACACCTTATAAAAAGACCAGATTATGCACTTTTCGTCAGCGGGATTAGTGGTGAAAAAGAAAAGGACACGTGAGTCAGCGATCTTTGAGCATTTCCATTTCCGCTCACAGAGATTTTTGTTGAGAAATGTTCTAAAAACTAGGTGCAAATTGGCGCCTTTCCGCGGGTTTTGTGATTTTGTCGCAATCTGGCCGAATTTCTAGGCCGCGAAGTAATTTTCCACTGAAAACGTGGCCTAACTTTTCAATCTCGGCCCCGAGGTCGCTGCTCAATTTGCACTGCAAAAAGAGTTTCTCAACAGAGCGTCATCCATTTCTGTGCGGTGCCCCTATAATACGGTTGCAAATCAGAGAAAAAATTCAGTTTTATGTTAATTATGCTGAAATTGCGACAAAGACGCGAACTTTATCGCATCCGCTCAAATTTAGAGACGCAGACTCCTGGCGACGAGAGAAAAGACAAATCGGATAGTTTTTTGTTCAATCTATGCTTTTTGAGACACACAACACACAAATTTGCACAAATTTTAGTCAGAATTCCTATTCAGCGTCCATTTTCGGGCAGTTTTCGAGGAACATCTCCAGAAATCTTCTTCTTCTTCCCAGTTTTTGGCGAACACAACAGTACGAACTCTCCTAGATTACTTTTTTTTTCTTATTTCAAAGTTTGCCATGCGGTGAACGTCTTTATCAGCACAACTTCCAACTTGTCGAAAGTCGTGTTTCGCAAACATCGTCGCCGACAAAACATCCTCCTTATCAGTCATTCAGTCATAGCTCCGCACTAGCTACCATGTTTTCATTAAGTTTTTCTTTTGTGATGCCATCATCCTTCTCGTTTGGATCCGCCGACGCAAACTCAAACTCAAACTCGATCTGAGTCAGACCAAAAACTTCCTTTTTTGCGTGGGGGGGGGGGGCGCAGGGCCCAAGAGCACAAGTTGCAGCTGAGCCAACATTACGGACACTGATGTTAGCATGTGCCCGCCCCTAGACACCCCTGACACGGTTTGTATAAAACATGCGCGGGAAGTACGTCCAACAGAAAACATGCGGACAACAGTTAGTCTCATTTATTCACTGGCTTCACTATTCACTTGTCATGCTATTCTCAATGATACGACCCGGCAGATTGTGGCCGATGCTCTTTTCGAGGCTCTGAACAGTGTCGACACGGCGGCGACTACTGAACCGTCGGTGGCCGATGGCTCAATCGTTTCCTCGCAAATCGCCAATGAGGCTTCGAAGAAGATGCAGTTTACTGGCGATGTTTTAGAGGAAGCGACTCAGATTCTGGTGTCCAAGTATGGAGTTTCCATTTTGGAGGATGCGAACGAAGTGCTCGCGGAGCTCAACTCGGGTGACAGTGCGGCGAGGAAGAAGCGAAATGTTGATGAGGATGAGGAGGAGGTAGAAGAAGAAAACTTTGTCTCAAGGCTGAGGGTCAAGAGACAAGCGAGGCGAGGAGGAAGCAGAGAAGACTCCGGAAGGAAGAAGAGAAGCTCCGGAGAGGCCAAGTCCTCCGACTACAGCAACCCGATTTCTAATCAAACGTGTAAGGGACCACCGACCAGTTGCTCCGACTCGACCCACGACCGCATCCGATCCATCACGGGTTACTGTAACAATCGTGCAAAGCCGACGCAAGCCAACTCGGTGACTGCGGTCCGACGGCTGCTCGGAACCACCAGCTACTCGGATGGTCTTCAGACGATCCGCAACAAGTCGGTGAGCGGCGCGGTGCTTCCTTCGACTCGTCTCATCTCTAATAAGCTTCATGATGAGGGCTCTTCGCCCAATTTCTCGCCGTCGGTCAACCATTTGCACATGCAAATTGGCCAGTTCATCGCTCACGACATCATCTTCATGCCGTCGTCCGTCGGTGAGTCCGACTTCTGGAAAAGTCTGGAATTCATGGTCTAACGATTGCCATACAAATAATACTCACAATGTCAATAAACTATTCTTTAACTTTTAGCCAAGGACGGATCGAGTCTCAACTGCACTTCGTGCTCCTCGCCGACCACCGTCTCCTCCAACTGTGCTCCGATTCCTGCTCCGTCCGACGACAAGTACTTCTTGCCCGTTTCCAACACCGAATCCCGATGCATCCGTCTCACTCGGGCTCTCAACGGACAGTCCGCATTCGGAGTTCGCACCCAGATCGACCAGAACACTCATTATCTGGACATGTCTTCGGTGTACGGATCGGCCGATTGTGAAGCGCAGACTGTGCGAAGCTTCCAGAATGGTCTTTTGAAGACGTACACTGGAATCGGATACGTTCTTCCGCCGCAGAATTCGAACGACACGAATTGTCAGTCGAAAAATCCGTACTATTGCTTCACGGCCGGCGATTTCAGAAACTGTCTTCATCCGGGTCTTTTGCCACGTAAGTTGTGCCACCTGGCCACTAATCATCATCAATTCCAGTGCACACCGTCTTCATCAAAGAGCACAACCGTCTTGCCGTCAAAGTAAAAGCCGCTCAGTCCTCGTGGAACGACGAGCAAATCTACCAGTTCGTGCGGAAGATCATGGTTGCTCAGTGGCAGCACATTGTGTACAACGAGTACCTTCCGAAGTTGCTCGCCGACAAATACCTGACCGATTTCAAGCTGAAGCCGTTGAAGCCCGGAGCGGGAGCGTTCACCGGCTACAACACCTCAATGGATGCCTCGTTGAGCGCAGAGTTCGCCGCCTCGGCGTTCCGATTCGGACACAGCCAGTCGAGACAGGATTTCGCGCGGCAGGACGCGACGAATAAGTCGCTGGGGGCCTACGACCTCGGCAACAACATCTTCTACGCCGACCAGGTGTACAATAAGAATGCGGGCGGCTGGGAGACGATGCTGATGGGGCTGATCAAGACGGCCGCCATGCAGGTCGACCGCTACTTCTCCTTCCCGATTCGCAACCAACTCTTCGAGATCCGAGGGCAGAACGCGTCGGGAGTCGATCTCATTTCGGTGAACATCATGCGCGGGCGGGACGTCGGACTTCTCCCGTACGTCAAGTACCGTACTCTCGTCGGATTGTCCGCCGTGAGCACATGGAACGACCTCTCCTCCACCTTCTCCGCCACCAATCTGGCCGCGCTGAAAACAGTGTACGCGGATCCGGCGGACGTCGATTTGTACACGGGCATCGTGATGGAAACGCCGCTTTCAGGCGGCGGACAACTCGGTCCCACCGCCTCGTGGATCATTGCCGAGCAGTTCAGAGCGCTGAAGACCGGCGACCGTTTCTATTATGAGAACCAGGTGACGAACACTGTCGGCTTCACACCCACTCAAATCGACGCGATCCGCCGCGTCAAGCTTGCCAAAATCTTTTGCGAGAATACGGATATCATCACCAGCATCAATTCGGACATGTTCGATCTGTGAGTCCAATATTGGTTGGCGCATTCAAAAACTGAAATTTGATTTTCAGAAACAGCAGTCAAGTCGCCTGCTCGTCAATTCCGGACATTGATTTGAAGTTGTTCTTCTGATAATTGAAAACCCGCTAGATCTTTGAAAACTTATTAGCTGAAAATGGAAATAAACGTGTTTTTTCTTTATCTTTAAAATGTTTCAAGACCGCCACGGTCTCCAGAGCTGACAAATGGCGTTTTCATGAATTGAGCAGGTTTTCTATGATTTTTGTCGTCAAAGGCGATGAAAAATGATTGTTCGACATGAAAACACACTAATTCTCAGAATTAATGACGTTTTGGCGCATTTTTCGCGGACTTTGCTTTTTCGCCTTCGCCGCCGTTCGCCGCCTAAAAACCGCACTTCTCATTTTGCGCTTTTTTGACCGTTTTCAGACAGAATTGGTTTTGAGAATGATAAATCACGTAAATACAAGCATTTTGAGCGCTCGAACCGCGAAAACTACCGAAAAGCAACTGAAATTCACGCATTTTTGGCCAAATACCTTCAAACGGATAAATGTGATTTGCGACTTGACCAAATTTAACGCTCTTGCGCTTAAAAAATTCGTAATGGCCTATACAATCGGTCTATCGAGAGACAAATCAGAAATTATCGGTTTTTTGTGGCTAATCTCGCAAAAAACACTAATTTTTCTGTTAAAATTTGAATTTCGCGCCATTGTATCGCTCACTTGCGCCCGTTGTCAGCTCTGGAGACCGTGATGAGACCGAAAAAAAGGTTATTCAAATTGTCAAGCCTTGCGCTCGACTGTCCATCGATGCAATAGTCGACACCTGATTTCCATATGCGCACGATCTCGGACAAACGAGACGAATTACCGAGTTTCGGATTGTTCGGTTCAGAATCAAGTACACCAGGCACACCGATGCTAAACGTTTCACTTGTTTATTAGTTGAAGTTTCACCGAGCTTTTCCAGAACTCACCACTGCTACTTTGCCACGCGATTTGTCCGGTCAAAACCAGGTAGTTTTGCGTCGAAAAGAACTGCATGTATACGTAAATTATGGCGGCGATGGTGTGAAAAATGCAGAACAAAACAGTTTGGAGGAGAATCTGAAACGTTTTGTTGAATGAATGAATCGCTGCTCGGTAGCTGTTTGAGGACCGTAATTTGGGTCTTCGAGAGTTTGTTACTAGCATTTAGGCTAGTTTTTTTCACAATCAGATAGTATAGGTAGGCGTAGAAGATGACGGTCCCGACAGTCATGATTATATTGTTGGAGGTGTGCGCCAGGCTCACGTACATCTCCGGACTCTTGCCAACTTCCGGATCGAAAAACCACGACAATTCTCTCGAGGAAAAAAGGACCGGTTTAGTCAGGAAGCCGGCGTAGAAGCCGTACGCCCAGAAAACAAAGAGAAACGCGTAAATACGTTTTCCCTCAAAGCATATTCGCATTGGTATTTGTTGGCTGACGTCACAGATTCGAATGAGTGCGAGGACGATGCTGGAGATGCAGCAGCCCATCCAGGAGCCCAGTCCGACGGAGCCGAGCACGAAGATCAGACGCGGATAGTCGCAGAATGCGATTCCGAAGAATCCGAGGATGCCGGTGGCGAGCGAGTGGACGAATACAGAGGAGATGTCGTAGAAGCCGAGGACTAGCATTGTTTTGTAGGCGGGAGATCCCATGTAATCACTGGTTGCGATGGCAATTAGACATGGCACGTAAAGGAGCTGCAAAGAGTTTCTCTATTGAGGAGAAAAATGCGACAAACCAGTATGACAACGCCGCTGATAAAGAAATATACGCCCCAGAAGGGTCTTTCAACTCCCACTGGCCGTAAAGTGGCATCATCGGGACATTGATAATAGTCCGAATTCAACTCGAAACCGTTTAGAATCATAGACGAGAGCGACATCTCGAAATCGTTAAACGTTTTAACCGCCATTGTCAGAACAAGAAGTGTCAGGTTTATTGTACGAAATAGATGGAAAACAATTCATTTAGGGTAGATAGTCAGTCATTTGGGAATATAGTATAGCAAACATACACACCAGTTTTAGCAACGCGTTTTTAGGCGATAGGATTGTTGAGACTGAAGTTATACCTGTTCAACGTAAGCATGACAGCTCTTTGAACAGCTAGAATTAATAATATTGTGGTTGGAATGGACGGAAAGTGCAATGATGACGAGAGCGAACCGATTAGCCGGGTAAGTGGAGTGAAGTTGTCATAGAAGATGAACGTCTGCTACGCTTTATGCCAGACTTGCCAAATCCCGGGCCGGCCCGGCCCGGTTTTGGCCGGGCCGGGCCAGCAAATCATCGGCCCGGAAGTTAGACCTCAAAAAAAATATGCAAAAAAATATGAAGGAAGAGGAAAACGCGTGCGGCAAAATTGCTAAAATGGCGTGCCAGAGTTGCAATCAATCGCTCCGCCCACTCTTGAGAAAATTTTCGTAATTTTTGTGAAAATTTTGCGACTTTAAACAGCAATTTCTATTTTTTAACAGGTTTTTATGCTATAACATTGCCTTTTTCGTCTTTTTTTCTATTTCTGCTGGTTTTTACAATGAATCTTCGAAATTGAAGCAAAACGACGATAACGTAGACCGTTTTCAAAGTTTGGTGGGTAAAAATGGACGAAGACAAAGTGCTTGAAGAAAACGGCGGTCGCTTTGAATTTTTAGGTGCATCCTCCCGGCCCGGCCCGTTGCAAGTCTGCTTTATGCAAACCGAGCGCCCAATCATCGTGTTGGTTCGCCGGAAATGTGCGAAACAATCGCTTGACTTTTCGCGTAATCCGGCCAAAACATGCAAATGACAGACGTTCGAATCGTCCGGTTCACCGTCAGATATATTATGCACACGGAACCTGTGATGGAGAAGTGTCGGGAGTTTGACGCAATTGTCGAACAAACTGTTGCAAAACTGCCATCCGAGTTGAGCGACATGAATGAGAAATGGCGGAAACGGGAAGAACTGCATGTACATGTAGATGAACGTGGCGAATGTGTGACAAAACGAGATGAGGACGGATTGAAGTATTATCTGAAAAGTTTGAACCGTTTTCATCGATCCACAATCAGTGCTCTCACTTGTTTTTGGGTTTTGGTGAACTTTGCCGAGTGCGGATCGCCGATTCGCGACTTTTGGACGACAGAGACGCAGATGCAAAAGTAGAGGCAGACGGAGGAAATCGAGACGATAATGTTGTTGGTGGCTTGGAGGTAGTTCGAGTATAGACTTGGCTGAAATCAAACATCTTCCGAGAAAACGACAAGAAACGTACGTCTGTTCCGATTAACGGATCGAAAAACCAGGACATGTACATTGAGTGAAAGATGATTGGCTTTGAGAAGAGGAATCCGTAGAATCCGTACAAGATGAGGATGACGATGAAGACGTAGATGCGGTTGCCGTCGAAGAAGATCCACAACTTGAGGTGCGGATTCAGGTCACAGCAGCGATTGACGGCCAAAACGATGCAAGTGAGACAACTGCCGAGCCACGTCCAGAGGGCGAACGCGCCGAGTGTGAAGAAGAGCATTCGGTTGTCGCAGAAGGTGGAGCCGAGGATTCCGAACACGCCGGTGACGATCGAGTTGATCAGCAGGGAGAAAATGTCATAAACGGCGAGAACCAACATGATTTTGTAGGCGGGCGTCCGCATGAACTCACTCTTTGCAATCGCCACTGTGCATATCGAGTAGAGAACGATGAGGATGATGCCGCTGACGAGGTAGTAGGCTCCGAGCATCGGATGCTTCACACTGATGACGTAGGAGTCATTCGAACACGTGTAGTACTTGGGGTTCGGCTGGAAGTCATGAAGCAAACTGTACGAGAACGAGAACTGGTAGTCGAACATTGCCGGCGCGAGTGGGGGAATGGTGGGTGGCGCAGTGCACAAACGTAATGATGGTTCCCTTGAGAGGTGGGTGTGTCTAGCCGCAGCGAGCCGAAAACAGTGAGAAAGGGCGATGGCGATGTATACTTTTAGAGACAGGTGAAATCGAACAAGGACTTCTCACTCTTTCCTTCCTCAATATTGCATTTCCCCTCCCAAATGGCGAATCGATGTGATGTTTCCCGTCCGAATTACTTTGTTTCCACCGATTTCTTATCGCTCTCACTGCGCGCTATCACAATTCTCTCCCTCATTATTCAATTCTACGCCTTCTATTGTATTCTCACAAAAACGTCGGAGGCGTTGAGATCGTTCAAACGGACGCTGCTCCATTTGCACTCGACGACACTGCTCTTCCACTTTTCGCTCATTTTGCTAGTCCGACCGTTTGTTCTGTTGCCCGCTATGGCTGGCGTTCCACTCGGAATGTTAAGCGATTCGGGTGTCGGCGCAGAGTTCATGCTCTTCTTTTTAGTCGCGAGTTTGGCATGTAAGTGCACAAAGAGAGTGTCTACCCAGAAAGAGCCCATTGATTGCAGTGATGGGTGTTTCGAATATATCACTCTTCGAGAGCAGATATCACGCGCTTTTCACCGTTAAAGGTCACTGGTGGAAGAGAATCAGGCCGTGGTGGCTGGCCGCGCACTACCTCTCCGTCTTGATTCTGTTGATCCTTGCCGCCGCTTTGATTCCTGATCAAGACGAGGGCCGCAGCACTGTTTTTCAGGTGAATTCAGGACAAATGAAACGATAATTTTATGCTCTCACGGGTCTCCAGAGCTGACAATAAGGGCGTGGCCTCGGCGGCCAAATGGCGTTTTCATGAATTGAGCAGGTTTTCTCTGATTTTTGTGGTCAACGGCGATGAAACATGATTGTTCGACATGAAAACACACTAATTCTCAGCATTAATGACGTTTTTGCGCATTTTTCGCGGACTTTGCTTTTTCGCCTTCGCCGCCGATCGCCGCCTAAAAACCGCACTTCTCATTTTGCGCTTTCTTGACCGTTTTCAGACACAATTGGTTTTGAGAATGATAAATCACGTAAATACAAGCATTTTGGGCGCTCGAACCGCGAAAACTACCGAAAAGCAACTTAAATTCACGCAGTTTTAGCCAAAAACCTTCAAACGGATAAATGTGATTTGCGACTTGACCAAATTTAACGCTCTTGCGCTTAAAAAATTCGTAAAATCGTTCTATCGAAAGACAAATGAGAAATTATCGGTTTTTCGTGGCTAATCTGGCAAAAAACACAAATTTTGCTGTTAAAATTTGAATTTCGCGCCAATGTATCGCTCTATTGGGCGGAGTGTCAGCTCTGGAGACCGTGCGCTCTACAACTTTGAAATTGATCAATTCTCATCTTCACAGATCCTCCCATGCCTTCCATCGTTCATCTACGATCTTGACATCTTTGTGTTCACCCTCGACGTCTCTGCAGTCGTCATCGTTTTCCTAATCTCCCTATTCACAATCATCTCCGAATGTGCGTTCTTCCTCATGATCGTCTTGCTGTTATCCGCCGAACAAGTGCAGTCCGGATCCATTTCGAGTCGTGCTTTCCACACTCAAAACCTTCTGTTCTTCAAGCTCATTCTCCAAGTCATCATCCCGTTGCTCACTCTCATCATTCCACTCGTCTATGCCATTTACTCCGTCTCCTCCAACACCTATAACCAGGCCCTCAACAACTTGCTCATCACGATCAGTGCCTCAACGCACGGTCTCGTCGCGTCGACTTTCATGATCTTGGCCCATCCACAATTCCGTTCTCCACTTTGTTTCCGTAAATCGTTGCCCTCTAATCGCATGGTTGTTCTTGAGCTGAGCAGTCGGAATAGAGTAGCGTCAGGTGTGATGTAATAAACATTTCGTTCTTTCATGTATTGGAAATCAGTTTGCAACTACTTTCGAGACAGGTGATACGAGATTTCGGGTAAAAAAAAAAGTTTTCGATTTATTGATTGAAATACGATCGGTTTGAATAATCGTCTAAACGATTGGAACGACGTGCGAAGAAATCAAAAACAGTCTGGCGATAGGGACGATGCACAAGAATCATGACGGAGGTTGCGAAAGAGCCGTGAACGGACATCATAATGACGACCACATTGTTGGCGGCTTGATTGTAATAGTCAGTGAGCAGAGAAGTGAACACGTAAATCAGAGGAATGATGTACATCACTAATGGCACCTGCATTTGTATTAGTATCGCAATGAAAAACGTTTTGTGCATTTCGAATGTCTTCTGCGATATCACCTTGTTTTTTCGCTGATAAAATGCGTTGATGATAAGACAGAACACAAAAAAGAGTGCTTCGGCGCAGAGGCAAATCACGTAAATGAATATGAGTATGACATGATACGTATAATCCAACGCGGCCACAAATATAGGAGAATTGGATATTGAGGCCGGCAAGCACGGGAGGTTCTGGAAACATTGGCGTTTGCAGAGTTTGCACTAGATCCACGGTCTCCCAGGGCGCTAATGCTAAACACAGCGCGCTCATCAATTATGGAGTGTCGTTGTAACTTTTGAAAATTTGCAGGTCTGAAAATGCAAGTTCAATTCGAGTTTACGACCTTTATTTCTATCTTTTTGACTTGAAAAACGTCTAAAAAACAATATTTTACTGATTGGAAACCGTTCTTTACAGAATTTCGAGTTTTTCATGTTTTTAGCGTCTTTTTCGCATTTCGTCAAAACTTCAAACCTTTATATTTCAGCTCATTTTGCATTTCATGAGCCCAACGAACAATGAAAATGTTCGCTGAATCTTTCTTCACAAAATTCACGTTCCGGCGGTTAGTTTTCTTGAGCAGTTTTCGAAAACTATTCGAAAAACATCAAAATCCAGGCGAAAACCTTCAAATCGAAAGAACTCGGCTAATTCTCAACGATTTGTGAGATTTCTGTTACCAAAACGTAGCCAGTGCTCTAATTGTTCGAATTCAGGTTCCAGGCGTACAAAAAATAGGTGAATTGTACAGAAAAAATGGAAAGAACGCGAACTCCCGTTGAAAATTAATTAATCGGCCGCCGCGTAAATCGACACAGCCCGCCTGTTGCAAGTGCGCCCCATTGAAATCATTCGCGCCGTGGGAGACCGTGCGCTAGACATCGATGCCTGAAGAACAAAGCGTATTGCTGCGTGCTGATCGGGAGTTGAAAGAAACGGCGAAATGACGATGAATATGGCGAGATAGTGGATAAGAAGCCACGGACGTCGCCAGTAGCCCCATGACTTTTTTCGCCGCCACGTACAAATGATGTAGAAGCGATTCTCGTAGACGGACACAATCGCGGCGAGTGTGCCTGTAACGGACTCGGTTCGGTCTGTTCTGAGATGAAGATTTACTGACATCCAACCAAAATGATCACCATTATCACTTGATATTTCGTGTTCAAATGTGTGTATCGAAGAATTCCGAGGGGGAATCCGCATATGAACGGAAACATTAGAAAGGGAATTGTGAGGAGACTGAGCGAGTAATCGCAGAACACAATCGAGATGTGAAGGGCTAAAAGGCACGTCTTGATAGATTTCATTCGGTCGGGAGTCCTCCAGACCAGACAATAGAGGCCGAGAATATGGATCGGAGTGGATAACGCCGTTATGATGTGCAGGCTTAGAGACAGAAATTCCGGAGAATCATAGTAGCCGAAGTGGTCGATGCAAGAAGAGTTCATTGTTGAATGGGACGTGTGCGCGACTTGTTGTATGTCCCCGATCGCATGAATTTCACCTGCTTCTTTCTTCGAAATGCATGATCAAAAATTATGGGAATTATAAGAAAAACTAGTAGCTGTGGCTGGAGAAGAAAAAACACCATTATTTCATTACCGATGATAATTAACATCCTACGTACAGTTCACAGAACATTGTCCAAAACGAACATGACTCGATTCTTGGTGAAGCAGAGGAGGTAGAGGGTCTGAAATTGAATGGTACTGAAAAGAGTTGTGTCCCAAGAACCCACCACATAAACAGTTCCGCTTATCATGAAATAAACACCCAAAATTGGAAGTTGGGATTCAGGTCGAAGTGGTTCAGAAGAATAGTGGTCATGACAAGAATGTATGAATGTGATATTAGGTAGACATGGAAATCTCGATTGGGAATATACTTGGGAATGAGTAGCATAGGTTTGAGGGATTATAGCGGCATTTTCGACATCTTGCTTTTTTTGAACGTTTTTTCATTCTCTGATGTCAGAAAATCAACTCATTCACAATACTTTTTTTTAAAAGTTGGAGCACTAAAAAGTGCTTATTTTCAATAATTTACACACATTTTCAATCAAATTTTTGTTGAGATGTCGATTTCATTTTTCATTTCCTATTTTTATGTTTAAATGCTATATTTTTGTCTCGTTTTCACACTTTTAAAAAATCACTTGATGTCGATTTCTTTTAAAAAATGGAGTTATTATTATAAGTTTTTGGTCTTTTAATTGTAGTTTGACTATTCGCTTTTTTTTAAATTTTTTTATTATCATTTTGTGGCAATTTTAAACTCTGATTGGAATCAGATAATCGAGTCTGAATTTATTTATTAGTGCATTTACAAGATTGAGAAGGTTTAGGTTGGTCAGAGGCTTTAGATCTTTTTCTAAAATGCATTTATTATTTATTATTTTTATAATACCATTTTTTTTTTAAAAGAAATCGACATCCACTGATTTTTTAAAAGTGTGAAAACGAGATAGAAATATAAAATTTAAACATAAAAATAGGAAATGAAAAATGAAATCGACACCTCAACAAAAATTTGATTGAAAACGTGTGTAAATTATTGAAAATAAGCACTTTTTAGTGCTCCAACTTTAAAAAAAAAGTGTTGTAAATGAGTTGATTTTCTGACATCAGATAATGAAAAAACGTTTAAAAAAGCAAAAATGTCGAAAATCCTGCTATAATCCCTCAAACCTATACTACTCGAATGATTGGAATTGTATTTATTTGAGTACCAATACTCATTCCGCCCACGTTTCAAAAGCAATTAGTTTGACAAAACAGCGCTGTTGACTGTATAATCCCTGTGGAACGAATGACGATCAAGAAGGCATTAAAGAACGCTAGCGGAGCTGTGAGCATGAAGAGAAACTGTGTTGTTCCATGATCGTAATCCCAGCATATCCTTCACCGACACGCGAATCGTTCGATTGAAGACGATGTAGACGAGACAAACGCCTCCTGAAGTTGAGTTAAATCTGTGTCTACCACACAGACTCTCCGAAGCCGTGTGTACCAGAGATGTTGGGAATAAAAATTTTACTCTACGGAACACGGAACACGGAAAACGGAAAATTTTTTTTTGCGGAACACGGAACACGGAAAAATTTTTTTTTTACGGAACACGGAACACGGAACACGGAAATTTTTTTTTTACGGAACACGGAACACGGAAAACGGAAAAAACTTATTTCTACGGAACACGGAACACGGAACACGGAAATTTTTACGGAACACGGAACACGGAAAAAATATTGCAAAAAAACGCGGAACACGGAACACGGAACACGGAATTCCCAACATCTCTGGTGTGTACCTGTGCACATTTGCCATCCGATTTGCTCGGCGACAATCAGCCACGGCGGCGTGTAGAAGAACTGCATGTAGACGTAGACGGAAGACGAAACGTTGTGCGCCATGCATATTGTCGCCGCCTGATAGCAGAACATTTTTTGTGTGTACGAAAGTTGCGTCGAGTTGAGATGATTGTTGTGAGACGACTTGCAATAGACGGAGAAGCAGAGCACTGTGTAGAGTGTGGAAGTCAGGAATGCCTGGGCGATGTTGTTCACCGTGTGGTACGTGTTTGTGTATAGATCGGACTGAAATAACAAGTTGCAACGATACTCGATTCGAAAAAAAGCCTTCTCACCTTCAATCCGACACCAGGATCGAAGAACCAGCTCATGAACTCGATGCGAAAAATGACAGGCTTTGTGAAATAAGTGCCATAAAGCACGGTTACTACGAACCAGCCCAACACCAACTTCATCGGCAATCCTCGGAAGATCCAAAACAGATAAAGCTTCGGGTTCATCTCAGAAATGCGACAAACGGCGAGAGTTACACAGGTTATGGAGCACCCCAGCCAGCAGCCGAATCCATGCGCGCCGCAGATAAACACAAACATTGGAAAGTGGCAGAAGGTGAGTCCGAAGTAGCCGAAGATTCCGGTGACGATCGAGTTGACGATGACGGAGAGAATGTCGCAGATTGCGAGACTTATCATGATTTTATACGCCGGCGTCTTCATGAGCTCTTTGGAGAGCATGGCTTTCAGGCACAACGAGTAAATGATCTAAATCCGACTATATCGATAATATAATTGAACACTTTGTCACTTGGCTACCAATAAAAGTGCGCCACTGACAAGAAAATAAGCGCCCAGAAACTTGTGTCGAACTACTGGATTATTCGAGGTGTCGCGACACTTGTAAAAGTTCTCATTTAGGTGAAAATTGTTGTAAATGACATAGGAAAGAGACATATGCAAGTTAGTTGGAGTATTCATATTCATATTAGTGAGGAGTGGTATGATATTTAGCCGAGATACTCCGAACATGAACTCTAGGGAAAACCCGTCTGTCTGGCATGCAAAAACTATCAAAAGCAATCTGTGATCGTTGTCTTTTTTACTCGGAAATGTGAAGTACAGTACCATCCAGAAGTTCGAAGAACATGTTCATAAACTCAAATCCTTCCACGTCAAATCCATACATTTTCGTTTGTATGTAGGCAGAAGAAGGCTGCTGACGCACAAGTTCCCGTTTGTTCGCAGACTACGGTAGAATCAGAAGGCGTGCTATATTGTTGGCTCAGTTCAATCATCTCTGTCTTTAGATTCAGCTTTTGCATGCCCTAGAATCTCTAAAAAAACGGCTTTTCAATACCATCAATTCAAAGGCCCGGGGAAAATCTTTGGCCACGAGTTCGACGACTTTCTTAAGGCTTTCAAGGAAAATGATTCATGCTGAGCACTTGCTGAACAGAAAGATTAATGCAAGGATTACCTAAGGCGCTTATCATTCTTTGAAAAGGAAAGGATGACTTGTTCTTTCAATGCTCATGACAATCTCGACTCGAGTACACCAACAAATGTATGCTCAATGGGATTGTAATCATAATCAGAATCAGAACACAAACACACCCCTCTACCTTCTCTTTTCTCCCCCTCCCTCACTGACTCTCTCATCATTTTATTTCAGGACAAAGGGACCAAATCCCAATTGTGCAATCAGCGTTTTGTTATTCGGTCCACTTTTCATTAGAATCTTCCTTCCTGCCTGCCGGTTGTGCCGCCTCGGCAGTAAGAAACGTACGAAACGGGTAATCGGCAATGTCGGACTTGAAAATGTCCATGTTTTACGTGCTCACCAACTCGTTCACCCTCTATCCTGGCGCCTATGAATGTCCCGAAACGGCGACGACAACGAAGAGACCCGTGTTGGGCGCCTATTTCCTTATTTCCGGCATTTTTTTCATAGTGAGTGCTCGTTCTTTTGTGCGGTCGTCGGCCCGAATTCGATGTTCAGCTCCTCTACACTCCCTGTCTCATTGTGATGGTCAAGTCAAAGTGCCGTGTGCCGGCGTTCCAGGTCATGCTCGTTCTCTCGGTTTTCGACATTCTCTGCCTGACCGTCAACTCGGTGATCACGGGCGTTCTCGATCTGCTCGGCGCCTCCTTCTGCCACTATCCGCTCTTCATCTTCTGCTCCGGAGCCGTCGCCCTCGGCTCCTGGATGGGCGGCTGTGTCGCGTGCATTCTGCTCGCCGTCGATCGGTGCGTCGAGATCAACTCCAAACTCTGGCTGGGATTTTTGTTCCGCAAAAAAGCGTTCCGCATCGTCATGACCACAATGCTCGTCTATTGGCTCTACGCGTGCCTGCTCACCAAACCACTCCTATTCACCGCCGAGTTCAGCTCGTGGTTTTTCGATCCGAAAGTCGGAAAAGAGGTAATCCGCGTCAATAAAAATGATATTCTATGGTTCCGTTTGTAGCCTGATATGTATCACAACGTGGCACACACCATCAACAATATGATCGTTTCGATTGCAACCACTTCGCTCTACATCTATTTGTGCTATCATCTGATTTACAAATTTGGCTATTCGACGTCCATGTGGCTGTACCGATCTAAACAACAAGTGAGTGAACAGCCAAATCGAATACCGTCTATTCAGGACAATATACAGGGTGGTCCACCGTTACCCGTACAAAAGTTTTACGCGGCGCGCGTAGGTACTGACGCAATTCTGGTGTGGCCCTGATTCAAAATTGTGTATATTATCATGTTTTTAACTATTCGGCCAAGTCTCAGACCAAACGGATTTGTTTCAGCCAAATAGCACCGATTAGTCTGCACCCCGTCCCCATCATACGCTTGTTCACTGGAGGGGTGAGCAGACAAACGATCATGAAACGGCTCGGTATCCCAAGCAAAACCGTTTATGATACGATCTAACTTTTCACCGGTCTAAACCCACTCTAGAGCAATACCAGAAACAAAAAAGGAATCACCATGATCTCTCCTCAGACGGTCACAGCTACCAGAGAGCGGATCATGAGAAATCCGTATCCAAGCACGAGAATGATAGCACATGATATGGAAATGAGTCCGATATCAATGTAAATCACTCTAAAAATGCAAGCTCAGTTTGATACCGAAATATGTGAACAGAAGCCGTTATCATCTCAACTGTCAAAAAAAGTTGAAACGGATTCAAATGTCGAAACTCCAGTTGAGTGGCACGCGCCATGGCGACCATTTGAAGATGGCCTTTTCAGACGAATGACTGTTCCCGGCGAAGGCCAATTTGAATTCTCAAAATAGTCAGAGGCTTGCTGGGACGTCACTGGACGCGTATGAAAAATGGTAGGGCCATAATCTGGACCGTGCCATGATTTCTTGTCCCATCAGCTGAACATGCCAATCTCAACGCGTTTTCATCGATAATGGTGACAAAATCAGAAAAGTACGTTATGTAAATGAGGCTTCAACAAGGAAACTTCTTCTTCGGTCTCACAAACACTTCGGAGAACAACATTGGGTGTTCTAGGAGGATAATACGCCTGCTCACACGGCCAAAATCATTCAGCAGTGGTTCCAGGCCAATTTGGCAGCGTTCATCAAGAAGGAAAAATGGTCCGATTTCTCGCCGGACCATTTTTTGTTGAACTATTCGTTGTTGGGGTCTTACAGGCCAATATAAAGGCTAAACCCCAGACAAGTAGGGGAGTGATAAAAAAATTCCTTGCCACGTAGGGGGTCAATTTGTTCACGGACTTCCCGCGTGCCGCGGCAAACTGTTACTTCGGAAGTCTTCGGGCTGTCATTGTTAGGAAAGGAGGTCGGGTGCAACACTATTAGCTTATAAATATTGTCAAACATCTTAGTAAACGTTTTTGTTAAGTATTTGTTAAGCCTTTCTGACTTCTAGTTTTGGAATTACCCAAGTTTTATTTTGTACGGGTAACGGTGGACCACCCTGTATTTCAGCTGCGAGTAGAGATGTCAAAAAGTTTTCAACTTACAAATTTCTTATATATATCTAGGGGCCACAAAGTGATTAACAAACTTGTGAATTTCGGGAAAACACTTATCGGAATGTGTTCTAGTTCTTAAAAATAGTACATTCCCAATTTTTTTTTGAAAAATGTTCGGTACTTCTCGAGTTATGAACGTTTTTAGTTTGCGCGTTTGCACTGAAAATTCAGTGAGCGAAAGGGGCGGAGTCTATTTGGTGGCGGCGGCGCGCTCCCACCCGGGGAACAAAATGGAGAGCGCGGACAGTTTTATCACAAAAATGTAACTTTTTTATACTAAAAATGTTGTCTTTATCGAATCCAAAAGTAAACAACGAAAAATTTTGGAAGTGGGTTCGAACCCGCGACCTCTCGATTAGTGGTTTCAGCACTTGCCACTTTACCACCCGGGCGCGAGCGCGCCCGCCGCTCCGTTCAGTTGATGTGCGCGGTGTTCGCAGTCACTTTTTATCATGAAAAAGTTACTGAAAATGCGCAGGAAACTGTAATTTGTGACATTTCGCCAAGTAAAACGGATGTTCCCTAGAAGAGATCTGGTGTAGTTTTTTGTGCTGAATCCGATTCTGCCGTCAAAATCCCGGTGCCGAACCAGTGTCAACCCGAAAACTCCAAAAAACTGGTTTTTCGGGCGAACACGGTATGTTTGACGAAGTTAAAAAATATCTTATAGGTGTCCAAATGATCTGAAATTTTGTACAGGGATACTATACGAGTTTCTTAACACATTCCAAAAATAAAAATCGGGGGTCATCGCTGAAAATTTTTTTCAGTTTTAATTGGCACTTCAATTGTCTGAAATTGATGTTTCGCCAAGTAAATCTTCAATTCTGACTTCAAAAACGGATTCAGCATGTCAAGAACTATCGGAATGCATATTGGGAACCCCGGTGCCGGACTTATATTGACCCCAAAAAGTTCCTCGAACTGACACTGTCCGAACATTTTGCTGTTTTCGCGCTTGTTCGCAAAAACCATGACAGTTAGGCTCAAACTGACTTGACCAATGGATTCTACGTGGTTGATTACATAAAGTGATGTTCTTAGTACAATCATTTATCATTCTGAGTCCGCGCCACAGGCTCAGAAAGACGAAAAAATGAAATCCACTGAAAAATTTCGACGCCCCGCCCCCTCCACTTTGTGGCCCCTATATATATCACGGCGACCAAAAACGTAGAAAGGGGCGTGGCCTTGCGTGTTTATCACCATTTTGGCGCGAAATTCGAAATTTAACCCCATTTTTCATGGTTTTCGTCAAAAATTACCCAAATTTTGTACGATTTCGACGATGTAATTGCATAACTTTGTTAAACTAATCATCGCGCGCACTTTTTGAGCCAAAAACGAGCAGGTTTCATTCAGAAATGAATCAATTGAATCGATTTTCAAGTTTTGTGCTGAAAATGCGCGAATTTCAGTCATTCGCCGACACTTTTTGCCGTTTGAACGCTTAAAATACTTGTATTAACGCGCTTAATCACTTCCGACACTCACTTCGTCTCAAAATTATCCAGATCGGCCGGTATGAAAATTCCGAAATTGCGGCGGCGATTGGCCGCGGAGGGCGTATTGCGAAATATGCGAAAAACGTCTCAAACGCGGCGTTTTCACGAAAATTTCGAAGTTTTCTCCCTTTAATGTCTTCTTTCGTCGATATCAAACACAAAAATATCGGAAAAGTGCTGGAATTGCGGCCATTTTCAGAAAACGCGTCTCAGATTAGGTCACGCCCCTTTCTACACTTTTGGTCGCCGTGGCTTATGAAGATATTGTATGCATTTTTTCAATTGACAACTATATTTGACATCTCAAACACAAGTTGAGATACATCGTCTTGAAGGCACAGTGGGCACTTAACGCAATAAATGTCTTTCAGATCATAATGCAAGCGGTGATCCTCTGCACATTCCACGCCCTGGCCGCCTACATTTACGTCTACATGCAGTTCTTCTCCTCGCCGCCCGCACTCGTCGTGCTCGGCCAAATCGCGTGGCAACTCAGCAACGGCTGCTTCTGCATCGTCTACCTGACGCTCAACCGAACGATCCGCAACGCGGTCATCCGTCTGTTGCTTTCCAGAAGGATTCGAGAGAAGTTCGGGCTGCACATCGGCATCGACGAGCAATTGTCGACGGCGGTGCGGTACAGCGCGGCGGTGACCACTGTAAACGGAGCAGGCGCCTGTGTCAAGGTCGGAAACTTTTGCTGAGCGACACAATCTGTGAATCACGGTCTCCAGAGCTGACAATATGGGCGTGGCCTCGGCCAAATGGCCGTTTCATGAATTGAGCAGATTTTCTCTGATTTTTGTGGTCAACGGCGAAGAAAAATGATTTTTCGACATGAAAACACACTAATTCTCAGCATTAATGACGTTTTTGCGCATTTTTCGCGGACTTTGCTTTTTCGCCTTCGCCGCCGATCGCCGCCTAAAAACCGCACTTCTTATTTTGCGCTTTCTTGACCGTTTTCAGACAGAATTGGTTTTGAGAATGATAAATCACGTAAATACAATCATTTTGAGCGCTCGAACCGCGAAAATTACCGAAAAGCAACTGAAATTCACGCAGTTTTAGCCAAAAACATTCAAACAGATAAATGTGATTTGCGACTTGACCAAATTTAACGCTCTTGCGCTTAAAAAATTCGTAATAGCCTATACAATCGGTCTATCGAGCAATAAATGAGAAATTATCGGTTTTTCGTGGCTAATCTGGCAAAAAACACAAATTTTGCTGTTAAAATTTGAATTTCGCGCCAATGTATCGCTCTATTGGGCGGGGCGCACTTGCGCCCATTGTCAGCTCTAGAGACCGTGATATATATGAATATATATATTTTTTTGTCTAATGAAACATAGAACGCCACGCATTTTCGTCGTGTCTCTCTGATAAACAGTGCTGACGTTGGGGGTACGTCACATTTTCAAGTGGGACCTGGTTTTCCGGGAATATGCATGCATGCGACTAGCGCTTTTTTATTATATCTCGAGAAATCGAACCTAGATATCAAAAGTTCCAGTTGATACTTTGATGTCAACATTCAACATTCACATACCTGGATCCCAACATCCCTGGTCTCTTTTCTGTACTTTTTAACATTCAACTTCATTTTTTTTTGTCCGTCTGTGTGCGAAACAATTGAGGAATGGAGAGGAGGCTAAGCAATCAAAGGTGTGGAATGGGGAGAGGGGGGTGGGGGGCACTGAAGATAAATATTGTGAAAAAATGAAGAGGAGATCCGAATAAAATGGGCTGAGAAAGTGGTAGACACTGAACGTTTCCAAGTGAAGTTGCCCGCGTTTACTTGCGGCCGAATGCCATGATCTGTCGCTCGTAGTCCTCGGCGCGCTTGCCGAACGCCATGATCGGGCGGTCGTAGTCGATGGGGGCGCGTTTGCCGAACGACATAATGTCGCGGTCGTACTGTAGAATAAGTGGATTACGGTAAGGTCGTAGATAGTAGGGAAAGAAGGGCAGTACCATGGAGGAGCGCTTGCCGAACGACATGATGTCGCGCGAGAAGTCGGTGTTCCCGGAGCGCTTGCCGAACGACATTATTTCGCGGTCGAACTGAAATGAGAAACGATGAGGAGCTAGGAGTTGGCAGACTTACGTTCGGCTCTCTCTTTCCGAACGCCATGATGCGCCGATCGTAGAGGTCGGCAGTGTTGGCCGCGCGTTTTCCGAACGACATGATGTCGCGAGAGAAGTCGTTTCGCTTCGCACTCACATTCTCATCGCGTCCGGCTGAAAATGAATGACGTCATGTCACGGTTGATAGGGGATTCGGATTTCAATTCTGATGTTTGATTCTAGCTCTCAAAGATTGAATTACCTTGACTGTAAGCGACGCTGATCGCGGCCACGATGCAAATTATCTGCAAGGATCGGCGCATGTTGTTGTAACCCTGAAACCTAGTATACTGTAAGGTTCGGAGGTGGAAATGTCAACAAGAATGAGAAGAAACGACGAAAAAGCTATATTGCACACATTTATAACCGACCGTATACGCCTCTATATCCGCGGCCATTTTTCTTTTTCGAGAATGTGCGAGATGAAAAATGACGGTGCGCGGTGGTGGTTAATGAGGTTTCTTCTCTCGTTTTATGCCCGATTTTTCAGCTCGGGGGGTTGGACCTAATTAGAAAAACGAGAGAACGAAACGTCATTTCGTTTTTCTGGCGCCATACGGTACGTGTAAACAGTGACGAAACGACGGACTTTGATCGGAAAACCAGCGTTCATTCAGGGCGCGATATCTCAGCTGCCAGCGGAGGTATCAAAAAATTGTCAACTAACACATTGTTCTTTGAAACATTTTGAACATTTTATCAGTTGACTTTCACTTTCTGATATCTCCACTGGCTGAGATCGAGGCGGTGTTTTATGGTGACTGAAAACGGAAAACTGCAGCTCGGGGACGAATACACAAAGTTACAAATGATGTGGAACTTTCTCCGAAGACGGGAAAATAAGCCGTGTGCTCATGAGTATCCAATTTCAGATAAGCGGACAAAAGACCAAGAAAGGATGGAGTTACAGCGCGGTTTTGCCCCGAAAAAAATAGAAGTTTGGCATCATCAATGTTTGATGAGCCGAAAGGATCGGCGTGTACCGGAAAGAGGGATAAGCGCCGCGCGGATAGGATCACTGAGCTCACTGTTGTAATTTAAGCGCGAAAAACGTGACAATGATTGCAAAATCTGAAATTGTGCTCGTACCGAGCAGGTCTAACGTTGAGAATTGCATTAGTGCGAGAGCCGGTCCAGCTGCCATTTCGCGTCATTGAATCATTACGGAACTAAGCTTAAGCAGGTCAACTTTCAGGTATTCTTGTCAGCAGATATAAAGAAAGTTTTTGGAAGACACCAAAGGTTGGGGGGGGACCCCAACCATTAAAATAGAGCACGGCGGAGCCGGGTGGGGGGATGGAATCGCGGACTTGAGGACACACGCGCAATTTGCAATGGATGGGGCGAGAGGAGGCGTGAAAACACACACGTATTTCGCGTGGCGATGACTTTAGAGTCAAGTGCTCTCGCCTCGTTGACTAGCAGATGACATGCCCTTCTCGGGCCGGCCGGCTCGTTGTCCGCATCCATCCGTGCCCCCGGACTTGTCTTCTTCCTGGCAAAAATTTATGAAGGGAATTGGAGGAGGGGGGGGAGGAAATGCGTAGGAAAGAAGACATTAAAATGTTTCCAAACTTGTTGTACTCGGGACGTCACTTTCATTTTCATTTCTCGAGACAGATGCCCTGGGGGGCTAGAAGAAAAGAAGGACCAAAATGTTTTAATCGTTATACGACGTGGCACACGTTGTCGCACGCAGAAACTAAAAACTCAAGTGCATCGAACCACTTGAGATGGATAGGAGAGGAAATCCAAAAAAATCCAATCTAAAATTTTTTGAATGATGCATTTGATCATTCTCAGAACTTATTTGAGGCGGACGAGACCCGGAAAAGAAGGAACTGATCCAATTTTCGGTGTTAATGCGCAAATCGTGTTCGAGGAAAAAGGCGTCTCACCGTGTGGGATTCGAACTTCGACAGACAGCTTACAATGCTAAAAATCTACCACTGCGCCACTCGCGCCATGAGAGTTGCACAGCGCTCAGGGCGTACACATTCTCGGTGAGTGGCGAGCGCCCGGGTACCTACCGTCCGAATGAGATGCCCAAAGTCCCGCTTAACCTGAACCAATCCGTGCCAAACTTCTTGAGGCTTGCCCAGACATCAAATTCGATCGTTTGTCCGAGTTTGGTGCGAATCGGTTCGGTGCGCGACGAGAAAGGACAGACAGAATGGTGATGAAAAGTTGGGCAAATATGGAAATGAAGGAAGTCCTTCCCCTCGTTTTATAGACATCAAAAAGTAATTCAACTTAGACGTCTTGCTCCTCCACAGCTTTTTTCGTGTTTGTGTTGGTGTTCAACGCCTGCTCGCCGAACCCAATTAGAGGGTTCAATGAGGAAGAGGAGCAGGAACCGATAATATGCGTTTGTCTGGAGCTCCAATGTTGCAATTTGCAACAAAGAAAAAGCGGAAACGAACAGCACGTTTCATCATAAAAAGTTTGGTCCAATTGCGGAAGTAGACCGCCTTGAAAATAGACAATCGTTGAAGAATTCTATTGAGACAGAAATTGGTTATGGAAAAGGAGCAAGAGTAGAACTGAGAGGCAAAGAACCAAACTTTGAGTCAAAGGATTACGGTGCTTATAGGCTCAAAGTGGCGTCAACGCCAACACTTAGTTGCGTTGGAGCGTATCTTCTCGGTCAATTTTCAAGGTTTTGAAAATGTTAAAAAACTAATCGCAAGGTAATTTCCTGATCTCTAACTTTGTACTTGACGCGTTCTTACGAAAATGTGTGTGCGCTGAGATATTTCGTTTGGAGTACTCAATACCAAACACCTTTCTGTGACACGTTACCAGTAGAGCTTCTCCTTACAAGCTGAATTATCTGAGCACGCACGGCGGCCAAAAGTGTAGAAAGGGGCGTGGCCTAATCTGAGACGCGTTTTCTGAAAATTGCCGCAATTCCAGCACACTTTTCCGATATTTTTGTGTTTGATATCGACGAAAGAAGACATTGAAGAGAGAAAACATTGAAATTTTCGTGAAAACGCCGCGTTTGAGACGTTTTTGGCATATTTCGCAATACGCCCTCCGCGGCCAATCGCCGAAGCAATTTCGGAATTTTCATACCGGCCGATCTGGACAGTTTTGAGACGAAGTGAGTGTTTCGGAAGTGATTAAGCACGCTAATACAAATATTTTAAGCGTTCAAACGGCAAAAAGTGTCGGCGAATGACTGAAATTCGCGCATTTTCAGCACAAAACTTGAAAATCGATTCAATCGATTCATTTCTGAATGAAACCTGCTCGTTTTAAGCTCAAAAAGTGCGCGCGATGATTAGTTTAACAAAGTTATGCAATCGCATCGTCGAAACCCGTACAAAATTTGTGTAATTTTTGACGAAAAACATTTTTTTTTAAATGGGGTTAAATTTCGAATTTCGCGCCAAAATGGTGATAAACCGTGCACGCTAGGCCACGCCCCTTTCTACGTTTTTGGTCGCCGTGTCGCACAGAACCATTATTATGAAAAATTGTCAACTACAATACTTGTAGAGCATCGTTCGATTCATTTTTAAAGGTTACAAAAATACGCAAAATTTACCGAGATAAGAGTCCGTAAAACTTTAGTTGCTCGCTTTCCCCAGTCGGTCTGGTCTTTCTGCTCATCATTCAATTAGCCGTTCTGTTGCCAATGCTGTGTTGTTCCGTTTTTGGAATGTTTGAGCGCGAAACGAAAAGAAAAGAAAAGAAGATGGAATGGCGTAAAACCTAATTTGTTTGTGTGCTACCAACGATACGCGCAGGTGACACTAAAACCATGAGCCCTTCTTTTCGTGTCCGTCACTCAAACTTTTGCACAAATGACCCATACACTTTTCCGAGAAGACTCGACATAAAGTTGCAATGAATAATTGATTTGAACCGCCTCGGACACCTACTGGACATTGGTGAATGACTTGGTCTAGTTTTGCGGGGTACGGTACGTTGAATCCGGACCTCGAGAGGGCGTGATGATGCGATTAAGTCGTCGACTAATGTCTAGTCGAATAATTTTTTAATCTAAAGAACGTCTGACGTCGAGATGCGCATATTTTCTCGAAAATCACCGATAACACTGAAATCATTAGCGAAGAGGACAGGCGACAGAAACGACGTCACGCTCGGAATCACGGCTCCAGCCAAAGGGACACCACTCGGCCGAATTGATGTTCTGCGAAACGAGGGGCACACGAAAGTGGAGACTAATTTGTCTGTTTTTCAATGTTTTCGCGCGCGCGCGCGCACGCGTTTTTTTTTATATAGATGGTGGTGGTGGCACCCGAAAAATAAAAGGAAGCGGAAGCGGAAAAAGTGATGTGGAGGGGTCCGATAATCACGGGCTCGTCGTGCTCTCTCTGATTTATGTGTACAACTTTGCCGAGCAACATTCGGATACCTCCATTTCGAGAGGGGGCGGCGAACGAAAACAAATCGAGCTCGCTCACATGAGGAGACCCTCATTGGGATGGACCAAAACGGCAACATTATGGAGTTGAAGTGGTCCGCAGGGATTGCGGGCCCGATGGAACAACAAAACGAGCATTTTTCGGTTGAGAGGTTGAGGATTGAACAGCTAAATTGAGGACTACCGTATTCTCAGTTTATCGCCATACATCGAACGGCGAAGTAGTGAATTGATGTAGCGTTAACACTGCAATAGAAGGGCACACCCAATATTGTCAATTCGAAGCGATTTATCTCAACTCCTGATAGAGAAATTGAAAAGTGGTCAACTAATGAAATGTGCGCAATGTCTTTCTAAGCAATTTATCAGTTGACAACTTTTTGATACTTCTACCGTCAGCTGAGATATATTATTCTAAATAAACGGTTTCGGGATGCTCTTTGGTTACAGGATTTACGGTAAACGCGCTTCCTCGATTCTATAGTGTAGTATGTACAAAGCAAAGAATTTCAGGTAATTTTAACTTGTTTCAAACGAAATCTTCATCAGTTTTTAGCAGGAAAGCTCGAATTTTCTCACTTACTTTTTCATGACGCTCGTTCTAAAACAAGTGAACTAATCAGGGGAAAAGAAAGAAAACAAAAGTGGATTCACTACTCCATGCAGCTCTTTATTCTTTTTATACGGCTGACACGAGAGCCCATCAAACGGGGGATACTGGATACTGTAATGGGCGGGTTGGCACCTCATAAAACCGCCCGCACACACGGATTCGAAAAATAATCGACGAAATAGTGTGAGAGTACGAGGAGACGCAGAGCAAGTGATTTCGAACGTCGTTTGAGCACCGAAACGAGTCGGCAGAGCTAATGGAAATTGTACGGTGGCCGAGTGGTACGATTTAATGAGACGATGACGTGCTCGCATTGAAAAAAGGGAAGAAAAAGGGCGAGAAATTTATTTGAACGGGTCTCGAAGTTATATAGGACAAAAATATGTACAGGCCTTTAATGTGAGGGACGGTCTCCCAGGGCGCTAATGCTAAACACAGTGCGCTCGTAAATTGCGGAGTGTCGTTGTAACTTTTGAAAATTTGCAGGTCTAATGGGGCTATTCAGCGTATGTTTGTTTTCCGTTTTTTTCGTTTTTTTACATCGCTGAATTGGATTTTTTGACGTAAAAAACGAAAAAAACGGAAAACAATCATTTTTTTCACAGTCTGAATAGCCCCATAAAAATGCAGTTCAATTCGAGTTTACGATCTTTATTTCTTTGTTTTTGACTTGAAAAACATCTAAAAAACAATATTTTACTGATTGGAAACCGTTCTTTACAGAATTTCGAGTTTTTCATGTTTTTAGCGTCTTCTTCGCATTTCGTCAAAACTTAAAACCTTTATATTTCAGCTCATTTTGCATTTCATGAGCCCAACGAAAGATACAAATGTTCGCTGAATCTTTCTTCACAAAATTCCAGTTCCGGCGGTTAGTTTTCTTGAGCAGTTTTCGAAAACTATTCGAAAAACATCAAAATCCAGGCCAAAACCTTCAAATCGAAATAACTCGGCTAATTCTCAACGATATGCGAGATTTCTGTTACCAAAACGTAGCCAGTGCTCTAATTGTTCGAATTCAGGTTTCAGGCGTACAAAAAATAGGTGTATTGTACAGAAAACATTGCCTCCCGTTGAAAATTAATTAATCGGCCGCCGCGTAAATCGACACAGCCCGCCTGTTGCAAGTGCGCCCCATTGAAATCATTCGCGCCGTGGGAGACCGTGCAACGCGTTATCAAAATACCATTAAAAAGTGATAAAGTTGTGCGTGGGCGGAAATCGTCTTAGAAATTGGAATCAGTATGATGGTCACGTGGAAATCACATTCGAATTACCCAACACCGCGAATTCGATTGTGGAGTGCCAGTGGTTACACCGAGGCTCGTCGATTTCCTGTTTTCGCAGTTTCACACCATTTCCGGGGGAAGAAGGTTTTCGATAATTGTCGCCAGAACAATGATGACTTTCCTATTTTTCTATTCCACTCGGGTTCACAGAGCAAACTTTATTGCACACAACATACAACAACATATTGCTTTCAATTCAGGACAGGTCGATTTTTGGGAAGGAAGGTTTGGTGGTGTACAGTTCGGCACGGATAATGAATGTCAGGAGAGATTTAGGGTGGGAGAGCAGCGAAAAGGGCGAAAAGTAGTGGAGGGCCGACGGTGCAATCAGTAGTACGGGCTGTCGCCGAAGTAGATCGGGTAGGCGGAGCGCTTGTAGTCGTAGAATCTGAAACGAGCTATTGTAGGCTCTTGTTTACTAAAGAAAAAATACAATATGTGGCCCGGTACAAAAAGCTTTAGTCTAGTGTGTTATACAGTAAGATCGATCCCAACCAACGCTAGCTTTGGCTATAGTAGGTCATAGTACAATCTTGTCTGATGAAGAATCAGGGTAAGGTCTCGAAACAATTCCTAAAGGCGCTGGACAAGCCATAGCTCTGATTCTGCGTGGATCCGCTCAAAAATCATTCGGTGCACCAGTAACTGACCTCTCCAAGTACGGTGACCAGGATCCGGCGAACGCGCGTCCTCCGCCGCGCTTGTCGAACCTGTAGTAGAGGTCGGCGTTGTGGTTGAACGCGCGTCCGCCTCCTCGCTTCTCATACAAATAGTACGGTACGGCGGCCACGTTGTCCCTTTTCGAATTGCCGGCGTTGTAGAACCCATAGAAAGCTCGGGCGCCTCCACGTTTCGCCAACTCGCGTCTCTCTTCGAGTTCCTCTTCTGGCGCCGCTCGCGCTTCCTGGATCGGAATCGCGAAGATGGCGCCTGGAAATGGGAATGTTTGGTGAATTGTGAATGCATAGACACGATGATGACGTACCGATTTGAAGAAGAATCAGAAGGAGGGCGACGGTTTTCGTGAAGAATCGATCCATTCTGCTCTCGTGTCTGCAAACAAAGAGTTAGTGTGGGCGAGAAGCGAGAAAAGGTTGGGAATAAGTTAGTACTAGACGTTTTTTTCGGCTTCCGTTGGGCAAAAAAAAAATGAAAAGAAAGCGAGATTCATGAACTTTTCAAATGCTCGTTTAAAAAAAGCGAATATGCCATCAATCCGTCAAGTTGTTCGAATCGAAAACGGAAGAGAACTGGCGGAAATTTGTCCGTGGCTCCGTGGGCTCATCAACCGAAAATAGAGCGAAAAAAGGAGGAGCGAGAGGGGGAGGAGGAGGAGAAGATCCGATTTGTGTCTTCCGCCGCCGTCTTCTTCTTTTCGCCGTTTAGTCGCAAATAAAGTTCCAGAGAGAAACGGGCGGGAAGAAGCGAAGAAGCGAAGAAGAAGTTCTGGCAAGAGTTCGTTCGTCCCAAGGGAGGCGCGAGCACTGCAAAAACGAAGAGCGAAAAGGCGAGAGAGAGGCACGTTTGATGGGCGATTGGGAGTTCCCCCGGGAGAAGTGAAGGGTCACACGTCATGGATGGAAAAGGCATAGTGATGGGAGCTATGATTAGCTCGGAAAGATGACACCAATCATCCGCCCTCTTTAGAAGAGGCATCCCCATGAAATCTTACGACAAAATTGAGTGGCAAGGGTTGGGTCAGTTGCAGATTGGAGTAGAGGTCCGAAAAGTTGAAAGCTTGATTTTATAGGTCAAAACGGCCAGACTGATCTAGAATGGCTGGCTATCTTCTGCGCCAGGGCTGGGCGGCCCTTGACCTGGACTTTTGAACCACATGCAATATTCCGATCGGACCCAAACTTTGCAGGATTGTTGAACGTGGGTTGAAACATATTGGGACCTAGTTTCAGCCCGATCGGATTATTTGGTTCCGAGAAATGTGGATCATTGGCCGAAATTGGGAAAAAAATCGGCCAATGATCCACATATCTCGGGACCCGACGATCCGATCGGGCTCAAACTTGGACCCAATGTCCCTCAATCCAAGTCCAACAATCCTGCAAAGTTTGGGTCTGATCAGAATATTGCAAGTGGTTCAAAAGTCCACGTCAAGGGGCGGCCAATTGCCCAGCCCTGTTCTGTGCATGAGCTATTATTTTGAGAGATCTGTCGAGAAGCCAGTTATGGACCACATAACCTATGGTGTCTTCACACGCATGCACCATAACTAGCTCAGCAGGAATCGTCTGAAAAAGTTGTCAACAGACGAGATGAAGCGGGATGTCTGGCCCCGTGTCAAAATCGAACAAATTGCGTGGTACAACCATCATCGTCAGGAAGCCTATAATTTGACAAATCGCATCCACTAGTACAACTAAACTAAAACACATTTCCTCTTTTCTTTCAGTTCAGTTACGCCTACGTCCACGCCCAAACACGAGAGCCCCCATTTATCATCGGATGTATCGTGGAAGTGACATACTTTTCTATTGTTTCTGCTGCAAAGTTCAAAGGAAGTCATCTATGATTTCTGGGGGAAAAGGATGGAGATACCAAAAAGTTTCTCGCTCTCCCCCAAAGGAATTCGTTTTCGTTTCCTCTTTTTCGCCTCGCGCACACACACAAACTTTGAAATATTGTGAAACACCTTTGGGATCGCCCCTGGATTACGGTAGAAGATCGAAAAAGTTTCGCTGGCGGATGACGACGTGAATGTGTGCTGCATAATTTGCGAGAAAAGTGAAAATGAAAAGGAAAACACTTGAATTTTTAGTCGCCGCGCATCTTTCGAAAACGGAGAGCGCACGTGAAATTGGATACAAGTTGGCAGAGAAAAATGGAGAAGAAAAGGAAGGAAACGACCAAAGAAAATGGAATTTAGGCGCAAAAGTACGCGGAGGTCTGTGGTGGCTATTAGAAGATGTGCTCGAATCGGAAAGAAATGACGGATGTGGACACTTGGAAAGGGGCGGAGCTTGATCTAAAGTTGTGCGGACTCCGCGGATCTCTGGTTTGTATCTATGTCCAAACACGTCATGGCGTTATGAAAAAAGTTTTCTGAATACTTCTAACATAGAACTGTGTTTCATCAGTTGCAAACTTTTTTGTACAACCACTCCCAACACTACTGTAGGTCTTGTAAAAAGGCATACAATTTTAGTCGCCTAAACAATCACACACGTTCCAAGAGCTACAGTACTCTTGGGAGTGGTCGTCAAAAACAGTTGTCAACAGGAAAAATGAAGTTTCAGACATGAAGATGTTGTACGAGAGTTTTGAAAACGATATGGTGCATCTGAATGCAGCTAACATTGACGTCTTACTTCCTTGCTCAAAAACTCATGCGAAATCGAATTTGAAGCGCCCAACATCAACATCCATTGCCAAAATCATCTCTTTTTTTCAGTGAGTGAGAGAGAGAGATAAGAAGGCGGAAGAACGTTGATGACGTCGAAGGATTTCGGGTTGAGACGGGTCAAAAAACAGGAAGTCGGGTGATTCATTTTATTGCAAATCTTACGCTAGGAACCAGGGATTCACGGAATCCGTTTCTTTCGAACCCACAACAATTGATTCCGCAAACGTAAGTTTGCACTTCCGCGCAGACTTGCCAAATCCCTATCCATCTAATCGTCGGCCCGGCCCGGCCCGGTCGGCCCGGAAGTTAGACCTCAAAAAAAATATGCAAAAAAAATATGAAGGAAGAGGAAAACGCGTGCGGCAAAATTGCTAAAATGGCGTGCCAGAGTTGCAATCAATCGCTCCGCCCACTCTTGAGAAAATTTTCGTAATTTTTGTGAAAATTTTGCGACTTTAAACAGCAATTTCTATTTTTTAACAGGTTTTTATGCTATAACATTTCCTTTTTCGTCTTTTTTTCTATTTCTGCTGGTTTTTACAATGAATCTTCGAAATTGAAGCAAAACGAATTTTTAGGTGCATCCTCCCGGGCCGGGCCGGCCCGTTGCAAGTCTGCTTGGATCTCTGGTAGAAACTTTAGTATGAAAAGTTCGCCTAAACCCTCGAATGTTCTTGGTGGAAGCGCGATATACGAAAAGATTCGATTATGCTCGGAGACATCACAAACCAATGGGAAGAACACAAAACGAGAGAATGATGTCAGAACGGAGGAGAAGGAAAGGAAAAGGAAAAGGAAGGAGTACGGTAGATCAGACAACTAACTGGACGGGATGGAAGTTTCCGGCGGGGAATCGGTAATTAGTTGACAAGGCTTACTTGTTTTTAACAGACTTTTAGATGCGACTCACATTCTTCGTATTTAAGTAGGGAAACGGCGAATGAAAGAGCCAATCTGTGCTTAGCCTCTTTTTTCAATTTAGCAAAAAAAGCCGCCTACGTAAGCCGTCAACGCCTGATTGATGAAGAGATGGATGGAAATGCGCTTGATCAATCAAAAAAAAGTGAGCAGACTTTGAAGCATCGAAAGAGAATACTATGCTCTACAACTTTGTCGTTGACGGGTTTTTACGGAAAAGTGTGCGCGCTGAGATATTTCGTTTGGAGAATGTGTAATACAGATATTTTTACATGGTTGTAGAGCATAAAAGTGTCTTTCGATTTGTTTTTTTGGCATTTGAAAAATCTCGAAAATTGAGCGAGAAAGTGAAGTGACCTCACCGACAAATGATGCTCAATACACAAAGAATGAACGAAAATGTCAACGTGAGGCGACTTCACTTCCTGCACAATTCAATCAAGTTTGCAACAGAGAAAAGGAAGGTGCCCCGGCACTTCCTCTGACGTCTTCTTCAGACTTTTGAATAGAATATTCACAACTTTGCAGCCAGCACCATCTTGAACGTTCAAAGTTTTTCTTTTCTTCGCCCAGAAACATGTACGTGATCATTACTCCGTACATGTCACTTTTCAGCCGGCACAGTTTCGAGTAGTACTTTTCGACGCTTTCCGGAATGTTGACGCTTCATTAGTCGACGACGCGGACGGCCGATTCGAACGTTTCCTTTTTTCGACAATTTCGCGATCACAATCGGTGTCCGGTTGTCCAGAAGACTCTTCTGAACGAGACATTCCAGTGCCTGCGCAATGAGCACTTTGTAGTAGAATGCGATGACGTTGGCGTCTAAATCGACGGACGGTCAGAACTTGTCCGAGTTGCGAGACGAGTTGAGCTGCTCGAACGCGAACGCGGCGCATCGGAAGCGCGAGAAGGCGGCCTTGATGCTGTCCTGTCCGCCAGTCCGCTGTGCCTGCAGAAAGGTAAGAGTAAGCAGGGCTGACTTCAATTTTTGTCAGGTATCTTGCGTGGTCGAAACGTCTATATGTTCAAAAGATTACCATGCGAACGGCGTCTCGAGCTGCTCAACACTAGCCGACGGAATGTTCGCTTCCTGAATTCTTATAGCACTTTCCACAAATCACTCTAAAAACTCACAAATTTCAATTGTGCCAACTCGTCGAACGTCCATCCCAATTTTCAAAAAATGCCTTGTACCCTTGACCGTCAAGGGTCCATGCCAATTTTCAAAAAATGCCTTGTACCCTTGACGGTCAAGGGTTCATGCCAATTTTCAAAAAATGCCTTGTACCCGTGACCGTCAAGGGTCCATGCCAATTCCCGAAAATCCCAAAATTTCCCGCTCACCTTTTGACTTTATTTGATTTGTCGATCAACATTCCGAGCGCCAAATAGTTCGCGTGCATTTGTTCGAACGATTTTTGCGTCCGCAACATCTCCTTGAACTTTTTCACAATTCCCATCAACGTTTCTGCACAGCCATCAAAAAAAGAAAATCGATTTTTTGGGCAGCAAATCAGAATAACCACTCGACTTGACTCGGATTTTTGAGAATTCGCACAATGAACTCGGCGGCCGGCAACTGCTCCAACTGCAACTGCTCGACCGCGATCGCGACCGTCACTATTTTTATCGGCGATTTGTCGTGATCGTGGAGGAGTTGCTCGCGTTGACGGCAATGCTCACGAAAAAAATTGCTTTTTCCGAATTTACCGCTCCTTTATTTTCCGGTCCATCGTCACGCTTTCCATGAGAAATTAAATGGAATTTGATGGACGGGATCACGTTGGAGTAAGCAAAAAGAATGGAAAACGAAAGTTGTAGGGTAATTCTATGACCAATTTATCGATATATATATATATACATATATCTCTTAAACATTGCTTCGTAATCTGTATGTACGGGCAGTTCCTTTTTCCATTTGAACTTCCACAAACTTTAACCTATTTTATTGAGTTGAACTGAACAAATTACAACATATTTACAAAAGTGATCTTCTGATCGTTTTCTTGAGCACGAGTGACAAAATTTGGTATAATCGACATAGAAATGCTAAATTGTTCTTCTAGCTCTCAGTTGACTGTCGTCGCCGTCCTGCCAAAAGTGTTCATTTTGGAGAAGAAAAAACACGAAAATTTTCATTTTCTAGACGGGCCCACCGAGTTTTTTTGACAGACAATTGAGGACAGAGGAGAACAGAGAGAGAGAGAGAGAGAGAGAAAAATGAGAACGTGGACTTTTGGACTAGAAGCTCTGGAGGAGTAGAAAAGTGAGAGGAAAAGAGGAAACAACCGTAATAAATCTACTGGACCGGTGGGGCGCACTTTCTAACTGCTAACATATTCGAATCTCAATCTCCGTTGCTCGGCGCCTCCGATCACACGCCCAGCGGCCTCCTCGAGTATTTTTTGAGCTCTCGACTGCCGGAGAATCGCAGAGGGAACACGGTAGCGGAGGCGTTCTCCGCGCGCGGCAAAGTTCGCGGAGAGCTCGATGGCGACGGAAGAGTCGCGACGAACGATGATGTATTCCTCATCTGAAGTGAACAGAACATTCGGAGCAATCGGACGGGGGAACGTGCTGCGTGCATTAAGGTGCATAACAATTAACGATTTACTTTGCAGAAAGAAAAAGTGTGAGAGAAACTGAACGAAACACGACAAACAAACCGGGGGCGATGGGGAGAAATGGGCACATAGATAGGAAGGCATGGAGATTCGATTCGATTATCTCGGTGGGCACCGTCTACTCATCGTACGTACCGTCGAGAATCAGCGAAGCGGCGGCGTCGATGGGCAGCGAGGAGATCCGTTGAAATCGGTGTTTCAGCGATTCTGTGGCCTTCTTTTCGCTTTTTTCGCCGTCTGAAGCATCTGCAGCTGCGGAGGAGCTCTTTTTCGGCGGCTCTTCGTCGTGGTCCTTAGAGAATCCGAGTTGCGAGAAGAAGTTTCTCTTTTGCTGAGCGGCCAGTCGCTGCTCGAGCGCTTCGATTTGCAATCGCAATTCTTTGATCGCCTAGAACTGAGGAAGTGAGGGGGAGTGCGTGAAATGAGTGCTCACTCTCTCCTGCTGCTCTTTAAACTCTTGATACTCTTCCAATTTTAGCGAATCTGGAGTCGTCAGCTTCGTGTAAAAGTAGTAGGAAGCGAAGACGCCGACCGAATAGGAAAAGAGCACGAGCTGCTGCACAAAGTCGGACGCCTGCTCGAGGGCCGCCGCTTCCGAGACTGGCGCGTGGGTTATCGGCTCTCCGAGGCCGAGTCGCTTCATTCGCATTCGGGATGTGAATCGGACAAGGCCTGAAAGTGGAGACTCAGAGGCCAAACAGAAAAAAACCACGGAAACGGACCTCTTCCGATTGGAATCAGTAGCTTATTTCTGAACACTGGGTGATCTTTTCCGTATCGGAGCACCGCGTCGGCGATCGGTTTGGAGACCTGCCGCGCGGCGATCATGAACACTTGAATCATAGGAAATCCCATCCTGCCGGCCTCGAATCTCTCACTTTTCTATAGCCACAACATATAAATCTGAAAATGGGCAAGTTTCGAGCAGAAAAGGGGAATGGAATGCGTGAAAGATAGATAGAGAGCCGAAGAGCGTAATGGACGAGAACCAAAAATTGCAGCTAACACGATAATTTAAGAAAAAAGGAGTTTAGTTCAGTATTCAGAAAGAAATAACAACAACTTGGATCGATTAACAATTCAACAACAATGTTCAAAATTCAAAAATAAAAGTTTTCAGTGGATAAGCTGCTGGATTTGCTTGCGGAGCGAACGGCACTTGGACTCCATCACTTTGCACGCCTCGACCACCAATTCCGACGATTTGAGGGCTCCCGTGGACTCGACGCTGACTGAAAACGACGAATTCGGAACAGTACCAAGATGAACTGCTTACAGATAAAGTGCTGCTTGTTCTTTCCGAGCTGCACGACCTGCGCGAGATCTTCGTGGCGGAAGACGTTGCGACTGCACGTGTCTTTCCGAGCGTCCTTCACGACGGCGATCCGTTTCGCTCCGCGTCTCTCGATTCCGATGACTCCCTCGCTGAACACCGACTGCAGACGTTCCGCAGCTTCGCCGGAAATCTCCGCATTCAGACGGATCGTCGGAAGCAGTCTGAAATTGATTGATTCTTTCTCTACGATCTGTCAGCTCACAAACCTATAAGAAGCCGTGGCGACCGGCGAGAACTTGGCGTGATCTCTGCCGATTCCCTTGACCGCGTGGCAGTTCGCCTCGATCTCCTGTCCGGGGCGGAGTTTCGCGATGAGAATGTCGTCGGACACCATCGTGGGCGTCGATTTCTTCGGGTACTGCTTCTCTTGCTCTCCGATCGGAATCCATTGGAACGAGCGCGTGTAGACGGAGCTGTGGTGGTAGAGTTGTTTCGGATCGGTGGCGGTCGGCACGGCGTTGCGGTTCTTCGTGCACGACACGTTAATCTTGAAAATCAGATTTCTGGACGGGTCTCCAGCAGGCTCCTCGTCGCAATCCACTCCCTTCTCGTTGATCCCCACCACTTTCTCCTTCGGAAACAGGAACGGCCGCGGATCGACACGAAGCGGAAGCAGTCCGAGTCGATGGCACAGCACCTCGTCCTGGATCACCGACGTATTCTGGTACAGATAGATCTTCTCGAGCGCCATCGTCGGCACCTCGGCGATGAGCACACGACGGAGCGCGTTGGCGATCGGCGCCTCGATGCGCGTCACGTCAAACTCGAGTGTCATTCCGTCCTCGCTCTCGTTCACCATCGCCACCTGAATGTGCTCGCAGTACTGTTTGATGTCAAAATCTTGCGTGTCGTCGTATTCGATGTAATCCGTGCACTCATCGTACGTCTGAAAGTGGATCGATCGAAGTTGAAGAACTGGCTGAAATTGCTCACATTCAGCACAACTTCCTCTTGCATAACGATCTCATCGCTCGGGAATTGCGGTTGTTTGGTGCCAGTTGCCGTCGTTTTGCCCATTTTTAGCTGAAATTTCTTTTGAAAGTACATAATTTCTTTTCAGTAAGATATCGAATCGTTGAGAAATCACGATTGGTAAGGGAAATAGATTAGAAACTGTTTCAGATTTTTTAGCCCGAGTTGAAATAAACAACAGATATGCAACAAATGCAACAAAAATCAATAATTTAGGAAGAGAAGAATCACAATGAAAAGCGGCAGGAATCGGAATCATTACTATTTACAACCAGGAAAAGAAGCGGATAAAAATATAAATTAAAGCTAACCATAACTAGTTGTCAATTTGTTAAGCATTCGTGAAAAAAGACCAAGAAGTTGGCAAGACACATCATTTCGGCTGTTCGTCGTTCCAAATTCCGACCTGCAATGGGAAAAATTGAAATGTTTGAAAGAATAACATTAAAATTACAGTATATCGGAACCAGATGAGCACAAGATCTCGGCCCATTTGGAGCCACGACCAGATTGGCGTGATCTTCGATCCGTCGATTTCCTTCCAGCGCACAGAGACTTCTTTGACCGGGACCGTCCATTTTTCGCTCAGATAGATGAGTTCCACGTCGAACGCCCACCGTTCCACGTGCAGCACTGGAAAGATGCGCGCCGCGATGGATCTGGTGAACAGTTTGAAGCCGCACTGCGTATCTTTGACCGTTCGGACGGCGAACGTGTAGACGAGCAGGTGGAAGCCGTGCATTAGAATCGTTCGGAAGAAGGATCGCTCGGCGACTGACTGCGCTTCAAGATGGGCTCTGAAAAGAATAATTTAAAGTTTAGATGCTCTTCGCATTGAGTGGAACTGTGCGGAATTCGCATCTGACCTCGATCCGACCACAATTGCGGGGAATGACTCGTCGAGAGGCTCTCCGCCCGCCGTTCGCAGCATTTCCTTCTCCAGATTCTCGAAATCGGCGAACTTTGTTGCTCCGTCGGCGTCGGCGAAGAGAATGAGCTTTCCTGAGCTGTGGAGCACTCCGGCTTTCACTGCGCCGCCTGTAGCACATTTATTTCTTCATTTCTCCTTTCATTCAGTTAACAAACCCTTTCCACGATTCGCTTTCAACTTCAAAACCTTCAAATGTTTGTGTCTCGCCCCATATTGCACTCCCAAATCAGCAGTGCTATCCGTACTTCCGTCATCGACAATTATCACTTCGTACGTGAACTTCTTGTCGTTTTCGGCACGTTTCTCCAGATATTCACAACATTCATCGAGCATTATTTCGATGCGTTCCTAAAAAAATGACTTTGTGGGTTTTGTCAAACAAATTCGAGGAAAACCTCTTCATTCATGGCTGGAATGACGACGGACAAGTAGCACGACGACGGCGTGTACCTTTTCGGCGCGTCGCGGTCTTCGGGCAGCAGTTTTGAGAACCTGGGGCGATATTTCAGTGAAAGTTAAGAAATCAACCACTTACAATTGTTCCGGAGAGCTTCTGTACACCGTTTCCGGCTCCAAATACTCGGATCGTCGTCTGCGGATCCATGGCGTCGCATAGGATAGTCTAAATTTTACTTTTTATCTCATTTTGTGGGCAGTTTCATGGAAACTAACGTGAACAAACTGCTGACGGCGATGGAGGCGACGAGGAAGCCGAAAAGGCACAAGTTTGGTATCGAAAAGATTTCCGGTGATACTAGATCCAACATTCTGTAAAATTATGAGAGTTTTAAGAAGTTTTAAAGGTGAGAACAGAGATGCAAAACGAATAAAAATCCGACAATTTTAATAATGGCCTAGAAAAAACGGTGAACACTTCGGCCGGCGGCCGAGTTCTTTTTTGGAACTCGAATTGTAGAAGCGTTTTTCAGCGGTTTTCAAGCAGTTTTTTTGCGATTTTAATTGATTTTTAGGTAAATATAGTTCAGCCTCAAAAACTGACTCAATAACTTTAGTTTAGCCTAGCAGACTAACGAAACAAAAGAGATTCTCGAATAGAAAGAGAACAAGCGGATGGATGAAAATTAAAACTCTTTTGCGCTCATTTCTGCGCGTATTTGCACAGAAAGCCCCACGCATTGTCCTTGTGGCGTCGACGAGAGCGAACGAGAGAGAGAGAGAGAGAGAGAAAGGGTGCAAGTGACACGAAGAGCGTGTCAGCCGTTGCGCGTCGGGCGCTAATCGATTCAGTTGCCGCGGCGAGACAAGCCAGTCGCTCCTGGGCCAGGTACGTGCTTCCGGTCTCACCTGCATTGTTCATTCCGTGCCCGGTTCTGTACAAAACGCTCTTTTCCCGTTTTCCACTGAAATTTCCTTGTTCTTCTCACTTTTAGTGTAGTTTTCACGTGACCCTTCTCAGAACCAGTTAGAAACTGACGAGTAAAACTGTCACATGAAAGCCACGAAGAAAAATTAAGAAAAATCATGTGTTTTGGTTGTAAACGCCGAGAAAAAGCCGGTAAAATGTGAGTCATCTGGCGTTGCCATGGTTTCCCCTTCCTCTCTTCCTTCATTCAGGTTCTCTCCCTCACCCGTATTTATTTCGTACTCGCTTATAAACATAATAAACGCAATCCGGGTCTCGCATAGATAATGCGTGCGCAGAAAGAGCCCTTCCCCCGGGCATGCATTTATATGTATAATTCCATTCCATTTAAGCAGAAGAGAAATTGCGAAAACTGATGAAGATGCCTCGGAAACCGGTCCGAAGGCCAATTGCGCTAGCCAATTGTTTTTTCCGTCGATTCCTCGACCTCATTCACTCTGAAAAAAACGAAAAACGACGTAGGCCTCCAGTCCTTTCTTCTCCAACTTTGTTTCCGTCAGTTCTCACAACATTTATGCTTTCTCCTCTTCGGTTAGCCCATAAATTACTCGACACTACTCGACACTCACTAGTCAGCGGAAAAAGAAAAAGAAAAACAAGAAGTTTTGACGTTTCGCTTTACTAGTCTTTCTAAAGTCTTCTAGGGTAGTCGTCCTTTTAGAGAGCAAAGTACTAGTCGACGCCGTGAAAACCAAAGTACGAAATATTTAGCATCACCTGATGTTTTATGAATTGTTCCTCAGATCAACATTTGATCTATCTAAGCAAGCTGGCTGATTCTCAGCTGATTAATTTTTCGTCATGAATTTGATTCTCCTCCATTCCCATCCCATTTGACCGTAGAAAGTCGCTTTCACATTCTCGATTATTCGATTCAATTCCATTTCTTCGTATTTATGTGCATACAAATATTTGTTCCGCTTCAGCCCGTCGATGGAAATCGATGAGGGCCCTCCTCCTTTCCACGGCGTCGTCGTCAAAAAAGCGGCGATGATGGACGACGAGGATTCAGAAGCTCTTCCCGACGCCGACGTCGGAAGCAAAGATGACGTGACAAACCCAGACACGTCAGGAACAGCGAATCGGGAGGAAGAAGAAGAAGAAGAGGAGGAGGACGATGAATGGGGAGATTTTGCTGTTCCCGCTCCTGCTCCCGTTCAGAATGTGAGTTTTAGTAAAGTGAAAGAAAATTTATTCAAAACGACCACGCATAATTATGATTGCAAAAAAAAAACGAAGAAATCTGAAATTATCTGAAAATTGTTCACAACTTGTGCATCATCTGTTCGGCCACATCGCCAAAGAAGAGCTGTCGGGCGAACGGCGAGAGACCAATGTTCTCGAAGAAATCTGCAATCCACACGGCCTCTTTCGATTCGCACGCCATTTTTGACATGGACGTTCCCATCAGAACCAATCGTGCGAATCTGTAATGCAAAAAAAAAGACGTCATCAGTACTTGATCTCTATCATTTCTGCGTTATTATCATCAGTCTTTTCGTCTCTCACCACCTCGTACCTTTCGATGGCCGTGTCGACGTCGTCTTTCGTCGCCATGTGGGCGTACAATTGTGTGGTGATACGAACTCGCTCGTTATTCACCAACTTTTGCGCTGGAAGTGAGATGTCGGCGTCTGGAATCGCATCAAAGTGAAAGTTTGGCTCTTATGCAGTTCCGCCCGGACCTGGATTCAGAAATGTGACGGCTTTGAAGGCGGCGAACTCGGTGGCGTCGAGTTGAAGATCACGGAACGGCTTCAGCACCAAATCGAGCACTTGGTACTTTTTCCTGTTGAGACCGGCTGGCCTACAACGATTGAACACAACGCGGCACGAAACGGCACAAATCACCCGTCCCCGATGACTAAGCGATCTTCAACTTACCGGGTCGGCTCGTGGGTTCTGTCGAAATAGCATCCGTCGGGGAAAACGATCGTATCCGGTCCGTAGTCGGGAGAGTTCCACACTTGAACGAGCACGGGAACAGTGATTGCGGCGTGCCTCACGAGCTCCGCCTGAATCAGAATGATAGACTTTCGATTTCTTTCCTTCTCATCGATACCTTGTCTTGATAATCCAACGCCTCGAAAACATCGAATGTCTTAGCGTACTCGGTCAGCAGAAACCAGTCCCTCTCGTGCCAATAATGATAGTCTTGCTGCGTAACGAACCGAAGATCGGTAATTTGGTGTTTATCACTCGGCACTCCCCATCTAGACATGAAAATAGTGTCGTTGAGAAATGACTTTGAGCAGAGCGCCTCATGAAGAGATCGGATTGGGAGAAAATCGGAGAGACGAAGGTCGTTGGCGCACTTCTCACGCTCGGCAAGCGTTTGCAGAATGTTGCGCCGGAAACGGCTTGATACGGGAACCGGCGGGGAAGTGGGAGGTGGCTGAAGTAAATTAAATATTATGATAATCTCTCTTCTCTCCTTTTCTGATTACCGATAGTTGAACTGGCGACACGGAAAGAGGAGTGGCGCTTTCATCGCTAGACCCCTCGGAGGTCGTCTTCAACTCTTTCTTCGGCCTCCGCGTCCTTTTTGTGTATCCAATCGGGTCTCTGTTTTGCTGAAGTGCGTTCCTATCCATTCCAACACTGATGCACTTTTCGAAACGACAATAACGACATGCGCATCGAATTGCTGAAGAAGATACTGATAAGGTCACGAGAGTTGACTAGTTGAATGTCTCACTTTTGTCGACGGGGCAGTTTCCTTCGAATTGACAAATGTACTTTTGTTTCTTCATGATTGTCCGACGGAAAAAGGTTTTGCATCCGACACACGAGGGAACGCCGTAGTGGTATCCGGAGGCGAAGTCCTGGCAGACCAGACAGACGTGGTCTTGAGACGAACTCGGCGAAGATTGAGGGCTCATCGTTGACCACCTGAAAATGGGTTCTATGAAAGTGGCACTGGTGCGTGGCAGCAATGAAAACAGAAGAGGCAGCGAGCGATTGATTCGTTTCCAAAGTCGTATTACATTCATTCTCCTCCTTCTCTTTTCCCCCATTGTTTCTCGCCTTCCGATCGATGTTTGCTAGAGATAGGCACAGAAACAGATACGGTAGGCGGTGGTCGTGGTGGTACACATCACAAAGTGAACTATGATCAAGCGGATCCGCCGGCCTACTGCACTTTTGATATCATATAGAAATCAGTGAAACACGAGAAAAAAAAGAAGTTGCAAACGCTCAGTGTAATCAGTTAAACTATTGATTTCGATGAGTAGCGTGATAATTAAGAAGTTGGGGCCGGATCAATCATTGCCGATCTCTGGAACTACTTGCAAATGTGAAACGTGTATTTGATAAAAATAGACCTGACCACAGCTTCCTTTTCATCCCGCCCAACTTCTTCCCAACAACCGCCTCCGATTCATTGCTTCCCCGTCGTCATACGACAAGGATTCATTCCGCTATCTCGTCATTATATAGGCGCCGACGGGGAGGAGAACAAAGTCCACAAGTGGGCGGGTCTTGGCACGACAAGAACACGCCATATTGCCCGGCGCGAAAAATTCGCAATTTGAGAAGGAGAAGGAAACGAAGTGTAGCGGTTTGCGAATCGAGAAGTTACTGATAAGGGGGAAGGTCTTCGTGGCAATTGCAAAAGTGCTCCACGGAGAAATGAATGTTTAGAAACATTTTAATTCGATAGAAGTTTGAACTATGCTGATGCAAAAGATAGAAAATCATTATACTAAACCGATCAAAAACGGACTGAATGTTTTTGCAGTCAGTTCCGCCGTTGAACATGAGAAACGACGAGGATGACGACGACGACGACGACTGGGGAGCCTTCGACCAAGCGCGTCCATCCACAGATCGGTCGGAAAGCGAGTCGGGGCCAGCCTCGGCCCGATCGGAAGTCGCCCGTCAACTGGCGCACCAGCAATCGATGGAAGAGTGGGGGACATTCGAGAACGGAACGACGGAATCCGGACAGAAAGTGGCGGACGATGATGACGACGACGACTGGCAGGCAGAGTTCAGTGCCGCCGCGCCCGCTGCTCCGTTTCCGATAGAGGATCTGAAGGCGCTCGGTGAAATGCTCGATGATGACGAGTTCTGGGATGACGGATTCGAAGAGGAGACGGGCGGCACATTCGTGGATGACCTGAAGATCACCGACATTCCGTCGCTGTTCGATTCGGAATCACTTGAGGAAGAAGCGAAGGGTTTTGTGGATGAAGAGCAAAGGTAACTTTTAAAAAGTTGCCTTTGATAAAAATTTGCAAACGAAGCAATTTTCAGATACACAAATCTCTGGCTTGCGTTACGAGTGGTCGAAGAAGCGATCTCATTGAAATTCGTCTGGAAAAGCTCAGAAATCCGAACGAAACACTTTAAATCTATCAAAATCAAGCCGGTAAGCTAATAATATTTTCGCTTGCACCTTCCCCTCCTCACCGCCGACCATTTCAGATAACTGCGAAGAAAGAGAGCCGCCCGGCAGCGTCGATCTTCGACACTGCCAGCCTCCTCCTGCCCACGCCGCTCCAGACGACGTCGACCTCTTCCGAATCGCCCTCCGATCAGCAGCGCCCGCAGTCATCGGCGGCAGTCGAATCGCCGTCGATTCCGGCGGCGGACTTCGACTGGGACACGTCCGGACTCACGAATCCGATGAATCGAGCCAGTAAGCAACTGAAGAAATGCCGGAAATTCTTGTGCAGAGTCTCAAAAGATTGCATAAACTCGTTGAAATGCTATTAACCTCTTCTCTCTCGTTGCTCGCATCCAGAATCTGTAATTTCCAGACCAAAGTTCCGCAATAATCGATGTAGATTTCCTGAGCACAAACGGCGTGGCGACCAGCTACACGAGTCCGCTTCAGAAAGAATTGGAGCAGTTTGGGCTCAATTTGGAGAATGGAACCGCCAAAAATCAGTTAGTTTTAGATGAAAATCTCGTGCGAACTCTGAAATTGTCTAAAATTTAGGCCAAACATACTGGAAACAATAATGTCGACGGGGCGTCGAAGTCCGTACCGAACGACGGAAGTGTTGTCCCTTGACGCTCAGAAACTGCTCGAGAGGCTTCCGGACCTACAATATCTGCAGTCGGAAGTGCTCATGTTCCCCGTCGGCACAAATCTGCCCTACTGATCCGATCGGTTTTCTTTTTTTCCCCGCCACCCATTCTCTTTTGCCGGTTTGCATCAGTTTCCTCCTTTCCAAGCATATCCGCTTTCTTTTTTTTTAATTCTGAGATCTAGTCTTGATCGAGTATTGTCTCTCTGCTGTTTTTAGCATACAATGTCAGAATTATGATTTTTTGAGTCGATTATAACCAATTTCTAACTGTTTCTCCTCGTTTTCACTCCTCCTCCTCCTCCCCGCTGGCCACTTGTGATATAAGTCAACTCATTGTGATAATATCAGTTTCTTTGATTGCACTAACTCGAAAATGAAGAGCTTTTCCCCGATCAGGCCTGAATTACGATCACACAGAAAAGAGGCGAGCAATGCAAGTGCGCTCTATTGAGAATTGCGCAACGCGGCAATTCGAACTGGGCCCTCTAGTTTTTCAATTGATTTCATGAAATTTCACGTTAATTATAATTTCTAACACTACTGGAACTACTAACGATGGATGAAACCCAAAGACCAACTAGTGCAGCTGGGTACGCATTTTATTAGAAAATATTTAATTTTTTTTTTCAATTTCTTGCAGAAGTCAGCAAAACCCGATGAATCTTTCGATAAACGCCGCAGAACGATCGATTGAACGCCTGGCGCCTATTTCTGTAAGGTAAGTTTTTGATAATTGGTGAGAATATGAAAAAATAAAGTTACTTTGCAGAGCAGGAATTCAGCTGACCGAAGCGTTCGCAGAGCTCACCGAGCACTGGAAACAGTACACGGAAATAGAAGGAGCCGACCGAATCGCTGCGATAATTAAGGATTTGACAGTAGAAGAGCAGCTGGAACGGTGTGAACACATGGAAAAAATTGAGATCATCGGTAGGCTTTCGAAAGAGAACCAGAAAAAACTGAAAAATCATGAAAAACATTTCGTTTCAGGTATCGTTCGATACAATCTCCGCAAAATGACGACGATAAAGGAGGAGAACGAGATGCTGACGCAGCAGAATCGTGAGCTCGCGGAGAAAATGCATCGTGTCGAGCACCGAATCGCCAAGGCTCAGGGTCAGGTCTTCGACAAAATGCACAAAACGGTCCGACAAATTCTCGACGATTTTCACACGCGAGAACTCGATTTAGCGCGGAAGACTGAGGAGTTGGAGGCGGAAAGGATGAATTTGACGGCGAAGAACTCGAAATTGGAGGCGAAAGTGGAAAATTTGGAGAGAAAACTTGAAGAATTGGAGCAGAAATCGACGAGTTTGCAGCAGAAAAAACAGGAATTGGAGGGGACCGTCGAGGAGAAAGAATCGCTTTTCGAGAGATTGGCCAAGAAATACGACGAGCAAAGCGACGAAGTGTTCCAATTGAGAGAATCGTTGGAGCAGTCGAAGCAGACGGTCAGAGAAAAGTCGGATGAGGCAGTACAAGAAGCGCTGGACGCGCAAAACCTGAGAATCATGCTGGTGAAGCAGAAGGACGAGATTTGGGAGCAAGCTCGACGGCACGAGCAGGCAATCAAAGACGACATGGACGAGTACCGTTCGAAGCTCGAACATCAGATGGTGATGCTCAGGAAGAAGTGCAAGGACGAGATGGAGACAATAGGCAAGGAGCATCGGACGGCGCTTTATCAGCGAGACTCTCGCATCCAAATGCTCGCGACAGAGCTGCAAAAGAAGCAATTGGACGTGGACAAGTACGAGAAGCATCTGGAAATGATTGTGGCGCAGATCAAGGGAAATATGAAGAGAAGTCTGGCGGTGAATTACAAGGATCTGATCGAGTCCATCTCGGCTATAAATGTGCCGGAGCCGCCGTCGAATCGAAACGACTCGTGGCTCGATGCGGTCAGAGAGATTGAGGCGGAAAATAACAAGGAGAACGGCAAGAAACGGACTAATAGCGGTAAGCCAAGTCACATTTCGGCGCAAAGTCATAAATTGAAATTGCAGGTCGTTCATCATGTCCGCCGTCGCCAAAACGGTCAGTCGGAGTGCAGGCGCGTCCGGAAAGAGAAGCGCCACGTGTCGTCGTCCGCCGTCCGATGCCCGGTCCGTTCCAGACGACGTCCGCTCGACTCCCCTCCACTTCATCCTCCCATCATCATCGAAAGTAGCATCAGATCTCTATTGAACTTTAACCTTTTATTGTCATTTATTCCATTCATGACTGACCTCACCAGGGCTGAGCAAATGACCGTCTTCTGAGAGATATGCGGCTTTTTCGGGCTAAAACTTGGACCCGAATGAGTTCAATCCAGGTTTAAAAAGCCTGCAAAGTTTGGGTCCGATCAGAGTATTGAATGTGGGTCAAAAGCCCAGCCCTGGACGTAACAAACTCTTCTGTAACCTTATGAAATTCTTTCCCCCTGAAAAGAGCAAATCCCATGAAACGACGCGAACAAATTATTGGGTAGATTCGGTATACACGCCAAATTTATTGGTTCAACAAAAAGTGTGGCGTAGTTGTAGGTATGAGAAAAGATTTATTGGCCTGGATGTTGTATAACTCTCATGAGAAGGCGAGAACTTTTTGTAACGGCCATGGAAAAACGCCGGGCTCACGGCATTTCCCGAGTACCTATCAGTTGGCCTTCCGGCTCTCGCATGTTCATGTTCTTTTGGCTCAATGTGTCGTGAAATTAAACGCGATTCATGTCGAGAGGGTCACTCTCCGCCATTTCCAATTCTATTTTTCGCAGCCCCACTCCGAATTGGCTAACCCTTTGGTTGAGAGCGAGGAGACGACCCATTCACACCATCAACGCCCTCACCCGATGTTTCCAATTTGTGTTCAATGTGTGTGTGTGTGTGTGTGTGTGTGAACATGTATACATTTCAATGCTTTTTCTCTTTCTCTTTTTTGCTTGTTTTTGCATTTGGCCGTTTGGGCTTTGGGCTCTGGCCGTCTACAGATAATGAGCGGTACTTTCGTTTTTGATTTTGTGTGAACAATTTTGAGAAAAATCGGTTTATTCAAGCGAAAAATTATCGTCCGACGCACCCGAGGAAGAGCGATCGAAAACTGAATCGGTTCGCCGCGTTCGCCTCCTTATCCAGCCGCATTTCCACGTAGATCTCCCGTATCGCCTCCTCCGAAACCACTTCCCGTTCCACTTTCACTTCCGGAAACAGCCGGCTCTGCAGCTCCTCCTTCCGGAGTGTTAACTCTCGGAACATTCGGACGAACGCCCGGAAGTCGGTGCGATCGGTGGTCTCGGTGAATCGACCTCCCCGGTATTGAGCGAGAAGTTCGGCGAAAATGGCGTCGAACTCTTGCTGGAAGAGGTATTCCCGCGGCCACGCCTCTTCGGAATGTCTCTCCAGAATCTGGGCTTCGTCGGTTCGTCGCGACGACAGTAGCGGCTCCATCTCGATCATTTTTGAGTGTCTGAAAGTAACTAGAACATTGAAATAATAAGGAGCCAACGATTTTTTGAAGACATTCTCGAATGATACGAAAGAAGCTGTTGCTGGGGAGGGCAATGAATTTACGCGAGTACATTTGAGTACTGCAGGATTTGACTTTGCAACTTTGCAACTTTTGACAATTAACACTTTTCAAATCTACTGTACTAGTATTTTCCAATGCGCTTGCCTAGTTAAGAAAATTGGCTCAAAAGTGTAAGACTCTTAGCAAGATATATTAAAAAAAAATCAATGCATTCAAATGACGAGTAGCACTCACCCGTACACGCGAGACAGGCGGTGAAAGAATGACTGTGGTGGTGGTGGCGGTGGATGGCATCGACGATTAGGAGACGCGCAATGGTGGTTACGCAAAAATGCACAGAGACGACATCACGTATGGTACTTGAGGAAATACCATTAGAATCCGTAAAGCCTACACAATCAACACAGCGGGTTAACTTGATACAGCTCATTGGAAAGTATGTATCTTGGTTGTCTGTAGAGATATCACAAAGTAGTCAACTGATAAAATGTACGGAATGTTCTGTTGAGCAATTTGTTAGTTGGCAACTTTTTCATATCTCCACTGACTGCATAAACGGTATCAAAACGATCGCCGAGTTGAGATTCTTGGGGTTCCGAACGCATCTGCTCAAGTTCAATCAAATCAAGTACCATCTGGCCGCGCCGGAGAATTTCAAGATTTGGGCCGGACCGTGCGACGCTCGCTGACCACCAATCTCGTAAATGAGACAGAGACGAAGAATCGAAAGAGAGACTCACTCAAAACAAACGTTTCCATCATCTTGCCACGTTGATCGATGATGATCCCTGTTCAGTCGGCTGAAAAAGGTTCGTGCGCCCTCTCCTAATCCTCGCCCGAGCGACTTGTTTCTCGTTGACTCGTACCACACACACACACACTAAAGTTTTTGTTCCGCTTCTCTTGAGCATGATCTTATCACCTCTGTGTTGTTGCAAAGTGTGTTGGCCAAACACTTGTCTTCTTCTCCGATTTGCTCCATCTCTTATCACTCGTTGCTCTTTCTTCTTATCACCCCAAGAACAGTTGTTCTCTGTGTGACACTCGTCCCTCCGCCGCCGCCGACTGACGTGACTTCATTGTAATATCTCACAGGGTCACTCCCGGCCGGAAGGCAACTTTCTCATTGTCTAACCCGCCAATTTGTTTTGCTCGCCCGTCTCTGTTTCACCCCGACACACTTTTCTGTGGATTTTGTTTCATTCGCGGCGTGATTCCTACGCGATTTTATGATTGCAAGTTGTCAACTTTTTGCTCTTGCCGGCGAGTGTGAACGACAGAGCGAACATGTGTTTTTCATGTCATGAATGTAGGTAGACGCCCCTGTGTTTCTTCGTACTAGTGTTTCTGACAAACTTTGGGGAGCGGTACAAGTTCGACAAAAACTTCAAGGGATCTCTAGATCAGCAGATCTCGAGAGTAAATGATTGGATCGGTGGACCCAATGATGCTTCAATACAAGTCACGGTCTCCCACGGCGCGAATGATTTCAATGGGGCGCACTTGCAACAGGCGGGTTGTGTCGATTTACGCGGCGGCCGATTAATAAATTTTCAACGAGAGTTCGCGTTCTTTCCATGTTTTCTATACAATACACCTATTTTTTTGTGCGCCTGGAACCTGGATCCGAATAATTAGAGCACTAGCTACGTTTTGGTAACAGAAATCTCGCATATCGTTGAGAATTAGCCGAGTTATTTCGATTTGAAGGTTTTGGCCTGGATTTTGATGTTTTTCGAATAGTTTTCGAAAACTGCTCAAGAAAACTAACCGCCGGAACCTGAATTTTGTGAAGAAAGATTCAGCGAACATTTTTATCGTTCGTTGGGCTCATGAAATGCAAAATGAGCTGAAATATAAAGGTTTGAAGTTTTGACGAAATGCAAAAAAGACGCTAAACTCTAAATTCTGTAAAGAACGGTTTCCAATCAGTAAAATATTGTTTTCTAGACGTTTTTCAAGTCAAAAAAAAAAAGAAATAAAGGTGGTAAACTCGAATTGAACTGCATTTTTAGACCTGCAAACTTTCAAAAGTTACAACGACACTCCGCAATTTACGAGCGCACTGTGTTTAGCATTAGCGCCCTGGAAGACCGTGGCAAGTCCAAGAAACCTGCAAAGAGTACGCATTTCCCACCTGCCTCTGTGTAATATTTTCCTATCAGTAGCCCCTAAATCCATAAATCTGAACGAGCGCCGCGCGAACACACATGTCTCATTCTTCTCACCTCACTTTAAACTGCTTCTCGCCCGAATATTGTGTGCCAAACATTTGCATTTCTCTCTTCCGATTCGTTTCTTTTGATCTCGCCCCCCTCCCGCCATATGAAAAATGAAATTCTTTGACACTTTTTCAAACCGCCACCCATTTTTACGCCTTTACCCCCCATTCATTCACACTTTGTGAGAGGAAGAGAGGTGACAACAACAACAATAACAATATATATAGAGAAAAATAGGCACTACTGAAATGGGCTGTGGCATTCCATTTCTATGAATTATTGAATCGTTTTTCGGGTTCTCGCGCGGCCATCCGATGACAAAAATGTGGCGGGGCAAAAAGGAGCGTTTCGACTCGACTCTAATTGAATTCATTTCGATTCGCGTCTCGAGCAATGTTTTTAATTTCGGCGCGACGGCGACGAAGACCACCCCGTTGCCGATGGATTTCCAATTAGACTGGCAGGTGATGGAATCGTGCCCATTCATTCCCATTCACTTTTCCTCCGTCCCGGCCGAGCTAGGCCGCTAGCATTCTGCTGCTCATGACGTCTACGGTCGGACCGATTTTCTAGAAGTTTTGTAAGTTCCAGCAACTTTGTAGTTGATTGTTCTCTTTCAAAACCCCGTCATTCTTGAGATATGGCCTTGTTTCTAAACAGTACCGACTAGGGCGAGGAGATCTTTGAGAAAAATTATAAATCCAATGGAATAAGTTGCGTATAGCCTTAGAAACACAATTTAGCCGAAAATTTGAAAGCTGTCTTTGTTATTCCAAAGGTTGACCGACGATCTTCCGTGGGCGACCCCATTTTGCTCACCGGAAGTCGACTCATTGTTCTTGCCTTCTTCTTTTTCTTCATCTTTCTCTGATTACTTGCGCCTAAAGAGCCTCGCTGCTAATGAACACGTTTCCGCGTGGACGAGTTCCCGCGATGGGCGTGTCGGTACCGGAAGTGCGCACGGCCGGAGAAGAAGTCGGCTGGTCGGAGCTTGTGCGGCTTTTGAAAATAAATGGGAAAAGCAGACAGGTCTCTCTCTCTCTCTCTCTCTCGGACTCGTTTTTGTTGTTTTTTTTATTGGAAGCTGACTTGTCACAATTCGTCAACCAACCCAACTTTTTAGTCTTCTCCCCCGAGAGCTCTCACTTCATTCTTCAATCCATAAAATCCACCTGCTCGTCTCTAAATTCCACGCTCCTTCGTGCCACCCCTCAATTAATCCACCAACTCTGTCCTTTTGAAGGTGTCGCTGCCGTTTCGTCTGACTCTGACTCATACGATGCATCGGTGGAGCCCCGTGAAATGAGCCGCTTCGCAATTTCTATCATTATTGTGCTCATCACAAGTACGGTCGGCGAACGCGACGAGTGCTACTCTTGCTCCGGAGTCTGTCACAATGAGCCGTGCAATTGTCAGGTCCGTTTTCGAAATGTCTTCTTCCTCTACACGACCCTCCCCAAAAAAGACCATAAAATAGGCAACAATGAGGCCCATTTTCGAAGGACGAATGTGGTGGTGGTGGTCCACCACTCGCTTTAGCCGCCTAACCTTTTTATGAATTTCTGACGAGCGTCGTCGCTTTGCAGATGGGATCCTGCGAGTCGGCGCAATGTTTCATCGAGAAGAAGCCGACGGAGATAAGTGGCGTCGTGAAAATCACCAAAGGTTTAATTTAGTCTCTCGGCCTTTCTTTGTGACAAGTGACACTTCTCGTGTTGCAGGATGTCTTCGGCGGACTTCGCGAATTCATCACGGCTGCGAGTACGATCACTTTTCGGATCACATTCTATGCGTGTGTCAGGGTATGCGAAACTTCATTTCATCAAAGCGCAACGCAACGCAACGCCCGTCTCTTTAGGCAGATATTGCAACGACAAAGTGGTGATGAACACGACGCGTCAGCTCTACACCAAGTCCGTGACTTGTCGCGAGTGTTCGGACAAGCAGCCGGATTGCGATTCCACGTGTCAGGGCCACTGGTGCCACGAGGATATGAGCACGGGCGCGTCGGGTTGCGGCTACGGACCGCCCGCGCTGCCCTTCTACTACCGCGGCCCCGAACTCTTCTACTATCGCAGCAAAGTGTGCATCACGCTGAGTCGAGGCGCCGGCAAGCCGCGACGTCACTGCATTTGCAGCACGAACATGTGCAACACCGTCTACATCTATCATCGGCATCAGTCGACCGTGAAAGATCGGCTTGCGGAGAGGGAGAGCAGCATGAGGTCGCGGTCGCTCGCACTCAGGTAATGAACAACTTTGAAAAGCAAATTTGAGGTTTTTTTCACGAAAAAGTCAATGAAATTTGGTTATTATAGGGGCACCGGACATAAAAGGCGCGCTGTTCGCAATCTGGCCGAATTTCTAGGCCGCAAAGTAATTTTCCACTGAAAATGTGGCCTAACTTTTCAAACTCGGCCCCGAGGTCGCTCAATTTGCACTGCAAAAAGAGTTTCTCAACAGAGCGCCATTTCTGTGCGGTGCCCCTATAATAAGTCACCATTGAGACACGGCGGGCCAAAAACTACAAGAGAAAAAGTGCTTCAGAATCACAATTTTCAAATTTCAAGTCGCTACGCGGCTAATTTACGATCAAGAACACTGCCGAAAGAGCTAAACGTCGAATTTTCAGCGCGACAGACTACACGCTGCCGCTGCAAACGTGCTACAATTGCGAGACGAACACGCAGGACGCGGCGGCGATGTCGCACACGACGAACTGCCGAAGCAACCGATGCGTCGGCCACTACTGCACGTACGCCGCACAGAGGCACACGAGCAGAAACAATATGGGACGGACGAACCTGGTGCACGCGGTCAGCGAACTGCAAGGCTGCATGAACGTGTCCGATAAGTCGCATGTGAGTGGGAATGGGAAGTGGGGGGCATCCGAACAAACCGAACGTGTTTCAGATTCAACTGGGCTGCTCGAGGAAGTGGATCGCCGATGAGTACGAGGAGATTCACTGCGCGTGTCGCGGTAATCTTTGCAATAGCGATTCGCTGTCGGCTTTCTCCGTCGACCGGCTCCAGATGATCCACGTGCTCATTCCAATCGTCTTCTTCTTTGTCCGTCCACTTTTCCATGTCTAGTTTTCCGCCGTATCGTTTTCCGATTCACATATCTCACAACAATTACTGGTCCGCTCTTCTCTAAATACCAATAAACTCATTGGCATCTTCGGTTTCATCAATTAAGACACATGAAAACGGAGGAACGGGGGGGGGGGCGAACAATATTGAAATTTTGGTGAGAAAAGTTTAAAAGTGAAAAGGTATTGTGAACATGTTGAAAAGAGAAAAGGGGATAAGATACACGAAGAAGGCAGAGGAAGCGAGGAGGCGGAAACATTATATAATCAAATTTGTTTGGGCGGGGGCGAGCGAATTGTGTTACTTGTAATCGTTCGATAACTTATCATCACACGGAAACATGGCGAGAACTACCGATTCTAACCAGGATTAATCAAAAACACGACAAGAGGGCTGGGAAAACGGGTAAATGCCTAGAAATCCATGCTGACGACGAGGTCGCGCGGCTCAACCTCGACGGCCAGCACTCCGTGATGTACCTCGTCGAGCGCTTCGGTGATTCTCTGCTTCATCGACGGGCTGATCGCCGGGTTCCTGCCGATGCGCTTCACGTCCGGGTGCTCGGCGAGAAACTGCGGGTTTTTGGTGCCTGAAACTGAGAGTATGAACTAGAATCTCGTGCCATATCTCACCCATCGGTCTCGCGAGCTTCATCGTGTTGAAGTCGGGGCACGAGAACGGCATCCGATCGATCGGAGCCGATTCTATGGTCGACGAGACCTCATCGTAGCGCGTCGGCACCTGAATCGGCGTCTGCGACGAATCCACCTCGAACTCGTACACTGCAAACGACCACTTTAAAGTTATCCAAGTTCATGAAAGCCCTCTTACCAGTCTCATATGGCTGAACTGCCGGCGGATGAGCCGCCATCTTCTGCGCCCTCGATTTGTACGACTTCTCACGATTCATCGTATCAACCATGACCATTCCGTCGATGTCAGTCTGTCCGACAGGAATGATGCTCTGAATTGGGGTTGTTTATTCTTTTGGTTGTAAACAGACTAAAATTCGACAGCTTACGTGCTGCGTATTCTCGACAATCGTGTCGAGCAACTCCTTCTCGCGGTTCGCCTCCTCCTTCTTCTGTTCGGAGAACTCGGACGTTCGCGGCGGCGACGGAGGTCCCGAGAAGCCGTTGTGCGGATGCTGGTTCTGAATGAACTGCTGCATGCTGTCCGTCGCATCGTAGCCGCTGAAAAAAGAGCATTTTCATTCTTCTCTGCTTTTTTGTTTTCGGCCCGCTTACTAATTATGAACGGGATTGTCGAAGCCGTGCTGTTGATGTGGCGGAAGCACCGGCTGATGTTGTGACTGATACTGCGGTGGCATCTGCTGGTACTGCTGATGCCGTCCGTTATGAATCTGAATCGGCGGGTCGCGAACAGGCGTCACCGAATTGTGACGGAGCTCGGCGTATGGCGGCTCCGGATCGGTCTGCAGTCCGCAACATCCGCAGAACAGACGGAAAAGGCCGTCCATCACTGAACATTTTCAATTTTTGCGGAACTTCTTTTGTGAACAATCGGTTAAATATGCGAAATTAAACAGTTATGCATTTCTTTCAATTTACAATAAAAAATGCGAGAAAGTAGGGCGAAAAACAGAGAACAAACACACGAAAATGGCGAAAGTCAACAAAAGCTGATAAAGAGGGCGCTCAGTAAGTGCGCTCCATTGAGAACGCGTTCTCTGCGTCTCCTCGCTCGGCACAGTCTCTCGCCAGCCGGTCATATGACCGGGTCGCAGGAAAATCGGATGGAGACCGGCGGATAAAATTGAAAATGAAACGGATCCGATCAGATTATCCGACATTGAAAAAATATCAATACTTTGATGTGTTTCATTTCATTCTTGAATGAGGCAAATCAAACATTATCGGCAAAGGTTTATCGGTGCAAATGCATTTCTTTGTTATCAGAAAAAGATAATGATAAAATTGACAAAGTTTGCAATTTGGAAAACGGCCATGAAAACGTACTCGATTTTTAAGTAGTATTTGATTCGGCCACACCTAAAAAACTTCTGTTTTTTAATTTTTCAGACAATTCTAGTACCACGTCCTCGGAGGCTCATCACCTTGCGCCACTTTTTCGCCACGTCCCACTCGACGTTTCGCATAGAATTCCTTGATTTTCGGAATAGCCACCACTGCAGAAATCGAAACGAGCATTATAGCCAGACTTGCGATCGTGTAGATGGCTGAACTTTTTGTTTCGAAAAAAAATTATGCGCGTAGGCTCGCGTACCTAAAAGTGGCAGACTTCTTGTTTTGGGAAGATCCTCTGACAGAATAATCAGAATGAAACTCATTGACATTATGTTCGTCAGACCCACGGTGAACTGAAAAATTGCTCAATTAGCTGGGTAACCGTTCAAATCCACCTTTTCCGCTTGATTATCAATGTCAATGAACAGAGCGATAATCGAGAGAACGTTGATGAAATAGGCGGGAATCATGACGAGAACAATGTAAAATCCGGGATTTCTGGAGAACGTGGCTTCGAATCGAGTCTGAACACGTTCAATGTTTAAAGAATGTTTCAAATGGCCTGGGCCTGGGCATTCCTGAAAGTTCTGGACTTGATTGCTTAAAACACGAAAATTTACAACGAAAATGTCAGATATGTAACCGTTTTGAGCTCAATCTGATTGTTAAAAGTCTTCTCAGGTTCTCCATTTGTATTTCTCACTTTCATTCGTGAAAAATAGTGACGGGAAAACAAAAAATGGGCACGTAAACATTCAAACGTTTTTCATAATCGAACATGCGGCGTAGCCGCTTCCGAGCGTTAGCTCGTCTCGCGCAGAGAGCGTATCTCTTGAAAGTCTTGTTGTTGTAGGATAGAACTTTCAGGAATATCAATACACATTTCTACTAATATAACTATATATACGGTCTCCAGAGCTGACAATATGGCGTGGCCTCGGCCAAATGGCGTTTTCATGAATTGAGCAAGTTTTCTCTGATTTTTTTCGGTCAAAGGCGATGAAAAATGATTGTTCGCCATGAAAACAAACTAATTCTCGGAATTAATGACGTTTTGGCGCATTTTTCGCTGATTTCGCTTTTTCGCTTTTTCGCCTTCGCCGCCGATCGCCGCCTAAAAACCGCACTTCTCATTTTGCGCTTTCTTGACCGTTTTCAGACAGAATTGGTTCTGAGAATGATAAATCACGTAAATACAAGCATTTTGAGCGCTCGAACCGCGAAAACTACCGAAAAGCAACTGAAATTCACGCAGTTTTAGCCAAAAACCTTCAAACGGATAAATGTGATTTGCGACTTGACCAAATTTAACGCTCTTGCGCTCAAAAAATTCGTAATAGCCTATACAACCGGTCTATCGAGAGACAAATGAGAAATTATCGGTTTTTCGCGGCTAATCTGGCAAAAAAACACAAATTTTGCTGTTAAAATTTGAATTTCGCGCCAACGTATCGCTCTATTGGGCGGGGCGCACTTGCGCCCATTGTCAGCTCTGGAGACCGTAGCGCGCTATACCAAATATGTCAAGTTATCGACGACCGGCTCGATGCTCATCTGAATAGACTGCATTTGCCATTCTCCGTTTCCCTGAGTTATACTTTTAATCAAAGCACTTGTAAGACAACGATTTACCAATTGTTTAGCGGGCCTCGGAAGTGTTCCCGTGTGTCCGTTTATCAGAAACTCGGTCAGTAAGTATGTGTTGAAGAGGATGTTAACACTACACGTGTGCTTGTCCAACGGAAATTTGTACACCTGAAGTATACAATTGAGTTCATACAACTAGAAAGCACTGACATCCAGTTGACACACGACTGAAGTCACCGAAGCGGTGTACATTCCGACGGATCCATTCGAATGGAGCTGAACTTTTTTGCATTTTGAATGTCGAGACTTGATAACTTTTTCCAGACTTACCCACGCATATCTGGTCAATTCGTTGTCGAAAATCTTTATGTCAGAGCTGAAATACTCGTCACTAATATGATAGAAAGTTGACTACTGACCAGTCAACTATTGTCGTCTCGGGAATCCAAATTCTCGCACGTGGCACATAGATGTGATCGATTCCGCCAAACTCTTCGGGATTCCAGGCCAGCCGAGGATCGTACCAGCTCTATGAACCCTTAGTTTATCGTATAAACTAGCTCTGATACCGATTGATAATCAAAGAGAAAAGTGACCTTCTCTTCCGGCTCCACAACTTCCACCAACTTGAGCATAGACAGTTGGATGTCAATTTCGAATCGCGGCGGATGGATCGTCTCGTTGTCTTGCATAGAATTGTCTGGAAGCGTTGCATCTTGCGCTCTACCGCACTCCACGTGAATTCAGTGCTAATTGCAAAAAGTTTGTGGGATTGCGGTAGAGCGACATTGTCAGACGATTGTGGTGCACGTTTTGTTCTTACATAAAGTATAAACCGCTCCGATTCCGGGATCGTACGCCTTGAAAAGCGTCTCGAAGAGCCGATCCTGATGCCCCAAGAAGCGTTTGTAAGAGGCCACTGCAAAAGGTCTACAATATATTTATATAGTTATTCTCAATCCTCACTCTGTTCGCTCGACATTTTCTGTGTTAACACGTGTGAAGAGTAGAATACGAATATTGGTAGTAAGTGCCAAACTAGAGACATTTTGAGCCGGAATTTTTTTGTATTAAACTTTTGCGCTTATATCGAGTTTCGAAGCGCGTCGCACCCACGTGCACGCATTCGATTACAGCTGTCACCTTTTTGGGCGGAAAGAGGAAAAGAGCAGAGTTTATTTTATTGAGTTGGTTAGACGAACAAAATGATAAAGTTGATAAAGTTGGCGAGCTGGAAGATGAACATCAGAATGTACTCGATTCGGAAGATCTTCGCCAGAATCATCGGGCATCTGAAAGAGCATCGAGGCGTCGGCTGGAGGATTACGGTACCTGGTGGCCTCCGGCTTCTCCTCGTTGTTCTTCTGCGCTTTTTGATACTTTTTGAAGCGGTTCAGTATTAGGACAATTGCGATGGAGACCATGACGATTACAAGGCCAACTATCACGTAGATCGCTGAAAGTGGAAGTATTAACGAACAAACTTGGACCCAAGACGCTTCAATCCAAGTCCACGAAGTCTGAGGCCCAGCCCTAACTAACCGAGCAGTGGAATCTTTTTGGTTTTCGGTAAATCTGCCGCCAAAATCACCAAGATGAATGTCATTGCCATGATGTTTGTGAGCCCCACGGTTAGCTGAAATTGAGAAGCTATCTGTGGCGATATCAATGAGTGGTCAACTAAGAAAATGTGCACAATATGTCCAGTAACATTTTGTCAGTTGACAACTTTTTGCAAACTCCGCCGGCAGTTGAGATATATCGCTTCGAATAAACACTACCTTCTCCGCAATGTTCTCCATATTGGTAAAGATGGCGATGATCGACAAAGCGTTTATGAAATACGCGGGGACCATGACCAGGGCCACATAAAATCCGGGATTTCTCGAGAATTTTGCGTCGAATCGCTGCAGTGCCGAAGTGTTTGCGACGCTCTGCGGATCGTCGTACACACCGATCCACGTGACTTCCCACTCGCCGTTTCCGAGCTGCGACAACGGTTTTCCGACGTCTCCTTTGAAACTTTGGATGCGATACTCGTTGGGGAAGTAGGTGTGGAAGAGCACGTTCACTCCGCACTCGTGCTTGTCCATCGGGAATTTGTACACCTCAAAATGTACACTTTTTCTTTTGCAACTTGTATAGTAGAAAGGGGCGTGGGGCCTAGCGTGCACGGTTTATCACCATTTTGGCGCGAAATTCGAAATTTAACCCCATTTTTCATGTTTTTCGTCAAAAATTACACAAATTTTGTACGGGTTTCGACGATGCGATTGCATAACTTTGTTAAACTGATCATCGCGCGCACTTTTTGAGCTTAAAACAAGCAGGTTTCATTCAGAAATTCAATCAATTGAATCGATTTTCAAGTTTTGTGCTGAAAATGCGCGAATTTCAGTCACTCGCCGACACTTTTTGCCGTTTGAACGCCTAAAATACTTGTATTAACGTGCTTAATCACTTCCGACACTCACTTCGTCTTAAAACTATCCAGATCGGCCGGTATGAAAATTCCGAAATTGCGGCGGCGATTGGCCGCGGAGAGCGTATTGCGAAATATGCGAAAAACGTCTCAAACGCGGCGTTTTCACGAAAATTTCGCTGTTTTCTCTCTTTAATGTCTCTTCTTTCGTCGATATCAAACACAAAAATATCGGAAAAGTGATGGAATTGCGGCAATTTTCAGAAAACGCGTCTCAGATTAGGCCACGCCCCTTTCTAGACATTTGGTCGCCGTGGACCAGGGAACAAGTATCTTAAAAGAGCATATAAACTTAACAGCGCGCAGTCAAACATGTGGCCGTAGCCTCGAAAGTGTGCATGTTTCGCAAAAAGAGGAAGATTATAAGGCCGAGCATTTTCCTAGGCCACGGCCACACCTTTGACTGCGCGCCGTTCTGTCTAGACAGCCGTACGTACATCCAATGTGCAAATGACGGACGAGACTGTGGAAGTGTAGAAGCCGGTGCTGCCGTTGTAATTGATCCACGCAGTGGGTGGAGCGTCTTCCGAATTGAAAAACTTAACCTCGTGCGCGTCGACAATAGTGATTTCGGGCAGCCAAATCTTCTCGTGCGGCACGTAAATGTGGCTAATTCCACCGTATTCGAGTGGATTCCATCGCAACCGCGTGTCCGTCCACTCGGCGATGTAGTCGAACAGAAACGTGACTTTCTCCTCGACCTCCACCTACAACGTCGACAATATCGGCCGGGGAAACTTTTGACGGACAATATTCACCACATCCACCAGTTTCAGCATTGCCATGGTTAAGTTGAGAACTGTGATTGGCGGGTGTACGGTAGCGCTCTGATTTATCCATTCGGAATCATCTGAACCACAGTTTTTCTCGGTCAGTTTTGAAGATTTTTCAAAAGTTAAAAAACCAATCGATAGAGAATTGTATTCTCTAAAACTTTGCGGTTTATCACTTTTCATGATATTGTTGATTTACTAGAAACATGAGTGTTTTGCTGTCAAGGCCAAATATCTCGACACAGGAGCGTGCTCTTGACAAATGATCAACAAACAAGTTGTAGAGCATGACATTATCTTTCGATTCGTTTTTTAACATTTGAAAAATGTTCAAAATTGACCGAGAAACACGTACACAAAGTATAGATGGCACTGATTGTCGGATCGTAGCCGGTGAACAAGTCGTCCCAAAGTCGTTTTTGATCGGCCAGAAACTTGTTGTAAGTGGCATCTGAAGCGTCAATTAAATCGCTCTTAATAGTTCTAATTCTACTCGAACTCACACTGAGCTTTTGTCATTTCTTGTGACGTGGCACCCAGAAAGATGATGAAAATTGGAATCAGAAGCGACAGACACTTTGACATTTTCATTTTTGAAACTTTATGCGAAAAATGAGTACGTGGGCCGTTTTTAGAGAAAATGAATTTCGAGTGTACTGAGTGCATGTAAAACGATATCTGAAGAGTTGGATGTACAAAGTTACACGGGTCCTAGACAGGGGGGAGGAGAAAGTTTATATTGTGTTTTATTGTCCGCTGCAAATTTGGTAAATCTTGTCGTGGAAGGCAAAACAACGGAACAGACGCTTCACTTCCATGGTTTGCATGAACAACTCCACGGATCGCTGGAAAAAAGTTAACTTAAAGGAAGCAGCGTATCACTAAAAATTAGTGGGTATCAAAGTACTTCTTTGGACAGCTACATCTCAAAATCTAGCCGTTATTTCAAAAAGTGTTCAACTGAAAAATTGTTGTAATTTTCATGCTGAACAATTGTCTAGTTGATCATTTTATCCCAAAACCCGTCATTCTTGAGTTATTGCCGTGTTTCTAAACAGTATCCGCAAAACCTCTAGAGCTGGAAGCAACATGAGTAGGCCGGAGAGTCTGAAGGCCGGATCCACGTCCGGAGAGTCTTTTTCGTAAAACGTCATTAGCTCGGAGATGACTTTCCGTTTGATGGGTTCACAGTGAGGATAATAACCGTCCGGTTGTCCGTCAATTGCTGAAAACTTATATAGTACACCTAATTTTTCTGTGCATACACCCACAATCGTTCCAGGTGGTGAGTGTGACCAATGCAAGAAACTCGATCAGCGAAATTCTTTGATGACACAACGGCCTGAACACATTTCTCTTCATTTGATCAAAGTACGGACGGTACATTCTGAAAGTCATCATAGTCTTTGAGATTCCTAGGCCACGGCCACTCACTTGATGGCGTCGTTCGGTTTGCATCTCTCCACGTGCTCCGGATCATAATAGAACTGATCCAGGTTCATCGTATCGATAAAGTCGCCGTTGGCGAGCACGAAGACTTCGGTGCCCTCCAGATAGCTCTTGTAGCCCATTTCCAAAATGAGAAACGAGACGAAGAACGACTTGAAGACGCGCTTCTTCTCGAACGAGCCCATTTGTTTGAATTGCGGAAAGCAGTCTTCGAGAAACTCGTATTGCAGATAGACGTCGTTGATGTACACCTGACTAAACTCTCCGTACGTCGTCGATTTCGGCGTCTGAATATGAGTACCGTCAAACTGAAAAATAACGAAGAAGTATAGGACGTACTGCTTTCGGAGCGTGCAAGTGATACCGTTTCCGGTACAACTTCTGATAGCTCTCCATCACTGCGCAAAGCGTGGGCGTCATTTGATGATAGCCGTCGAGGTCCAACTGAAAACCGATTGGATCCGAGTGAGAGAAGAGGGTTGGGAGCTCACACTGAGCACGGGACTGTTGCATGAGGAGGGCGAGGAGGAGGAGGAGGAGGGAAGGCTCTCGATGTCAGGAGTTGAGATGGCTTGTACAACTGGAAAAACGAGTTTTAGAGGTCGGGGTAGCTAAATTGAAGATCATATTTGTTACCTTCAGGGTTCATGCCAACACTCAAACACTTTGCATATCGGCACGACTTGCAACTGTCCCGATTGCTCATCTTTATCACGCACTCGTTGCTCTTCCGGCACACAAACTTTGACGCCAAGTGCATGGAAGTGGTACGTCGGAAGAAAGCGGCACATGCTCTGAAATACGGTGCTTTTTGTCGAGCTTCTAGTTGACGGTGACTTACTTGCAAGCGATGGCTCCGAAATGAAAGCCGTCTCCGAGTTGATGACAAACTGAACAGAACTTTCGTTCTCTTGCAACCATGATTCAGCGCACAATTCTGATAAAGTGAATCAAATCAAAACATGTTTTTATAGACGCCGCCAGACGGCGAGCTGACTACGTGAGAAATGCAAAGAAAATCGACAGGGAGACAGTGTGGGAAACATGCAGAAACGATGACAATTCGTTCGTATCGGGAGAAGACGAGTTCGGACGAGAGAGACGCAGACACACCGACTTTCCACTAATCACGTACACGCACTTGATCTTTTGACTCTCCTGTCTCGACCTGGAATTGATGTTTGCGTCGACTTGAGTGAGTGCAGTGAACGTTCGATTAGTGGTAAAAGAAAGACGTTTCATTGTAGATTGTACAACTGGAATGGTCAGTTCCAAAGCCACCCGGGCGTCGGTGTCTTGAAAGAGTACAGCGAAGAATACAAAAGATGATGGATTTAATTAATTAGCAGAGTTTGCAAGTGGTGGCACATCGGGCCTTGCGCTGAGCCGTTGTGTAGAAGGTGTTGGTGCAGAAGCCGTTGGCGGCCCAGGCGGAGCAGGCGCTGCTCGAATCGGCCGTGTAGGAGGTGCAAGAGCCCGAAGAGGCGGTGGTGGAGCTGCCCGACGAGGAGGCGGTCGTCGACGGACATCTTCCGCACGTTCTCTGGCAGTACGTGTTCACAAAGTCTTGCATTCCGACCGTCTGGCAGATGCTCAAGTCGTTTCCGCAGTTGGTGACCGCGTCGACGCATCCTCCCTGGTTGCAGAATCCGCACGCCGATGGGCAGTCGGTGGCGATGATCGTACGCCAGGTGACCGAATTGCATTGGGCGGTGGTGATTGTGGCGCAGTTGAGACGAGGATCTGGAAACACGAAATGTGTGAAGAATGCGTCGCCGCAAGATCTTACAAGCAGCGTTGGCGCACGAGTAGGCGTCGGTATTACAGCAATATCCGCAAGTCTTTGGGCAAGTCTCAAGAGCAGCGGTCTTCATATCCTGTACGATGGCCGCCGGAGTGGCGGTGGCGGTGGTGTAGCACGCCAACGGCCTCTCGGCGTTGTTTCCAGCGGCCGGGTATCCGATGGTGGCATCAGTGGCGGCGTAGAGCACTTCGCACGCAGCATCCGAGATGGTGTTGGAGCAGATGGTAGCGGCCGGAGTCCACACGAATTCAGTACCGTTGTAGGTGGTACAGTTCAGATCGCCGCCGAGCGTGGCAGCTGTGAAAGGAACGAAAAGGAGGCTGACGAGGAAATACATTGCTGGAAGAAGTGAATGGATGATGATTTGGATTTTTAGCACGAACCATTCCACTTTTATACCCCAATGAACTGTTGAATCACCTGTCTCGTCAAAAGCCTTTTTCATTGTTTCAATGCAACAATGATTTGTGTGCAAACATGATGTCTGGTATTAACGATTGGCGAGAATCATTCGTTCATATGCATCAGTATGTATTCTATAGTCACATCGCTTTTTATTGGTTTCCGTTCAAAGGAATGGTCGGTTCCTAGGTAAGTCAGGTTTTGTGGGTCACAGGGTGAAAGGCATAAATTAGGGAAGTGTACATGAGTTCCTATAAGACATTTAGCAAATCTTGCAAGTGCTGGCGCAATACGATTTGCGTTGAGCGCTAGTGTAGAAGGTGTTGGTGCAGAAGCCGTTGGCGGCCCAATCGGCGCAGTGTGTGGAGCTGTCGGCGTTGTAGGAAGTGCAGGAAGAAGAGGAAGAAGCGGTGGTGGAGGAGGAGGAAGAGGTAGACGACGGACATCTTCCGCACGTTCTCTGGCAGTACGTGTTCACAAAGTCTTGAAGTCCGATGGTCGTGCAGATGGTGACGTCGTTGGCGCAGTCGCTGACAGCGTCGACGCATCCTCCCTCGTTACAGAATCCGCAAGCGGATGGGCAGTCAGTGGCGATGATCGTTCGCCAGATGATGGAGTTGCATTGGGAAGTGGTGATCGTGGAGCAATCGAGACGTGGATCTGAAAGTGTTGGTGTTGCAGAACACTTGTTTTGTGAGTTATTGCGTTGACATACTTAGTTGCTCAGTCTACATTAGGGTTGGAAATGAGGTGGAAAATGTGTACCCTACTGAATTGGCGTAAAAGTTAAGAAAAAGCTGTGCAGTAGTTGTCACGTCAAAGTTCCGGACTTTCACCAAGTACACTGTTGAAAACAGTGCATGCTAGAAGAAACGTGTTAAAACTCACAAGCAACGTTGGCGCAGGAGTAGGCGTCGGTCTGACAGCACAATCCGCAAGTTTTTGGGCAAGTCTCAAGAGCAGCGGTCTTCATGTCCTGAACGACGGAAGCAGGAGTGGCGGTGGCGGTGGTGTAGCACGCCAACGGTCTCTCTTCATCTCCTCCAGCGGATGGGTATCCGGCGGTGGTGTCCGGATCCACGTAGAGAACCTCGCAAGCGGCATCCGAAATGGTGTTCGAGCAGGCGACCGCAGCTGGGGTGTACACGAACTGAAAAGAAGAAGAAGAAGTTGTTGTTGTGACTGGGATTTGTTTTCATTTTGTCTCAATTGTGTTAAAGTGTAAATGAGAAACTATGTTCTGAGCTTTCACAGTCATAGGAAAGTAGGGTAAGAACTTTTGAAGTATGCTGGAATTTACCGAAGTTCCATTGTAGCTGGTACAGTTATAGTCACCAGAAATAGCGGCGTTGGCGAATGGAGCGAGAAGGAAGGAGAAGATGAAGAACATGATTCGATTCGACGATGCTTTCTGCCAGACGCGCTCCGCCTTTTATACCCCCGTCGCGGTGCAGTGAGTCAGTAAAACAATGTGCACATTTTGTACCAGAACATGTAACAAAGACTTGTTACGTTACTCTGCACAAATACTGAATTAGAATTCGATAAAGCGAGAGAGAGAGAGAGAGACAGAGTACGGTCATCATTTTGATGCTGAACTATTAGGACACGTGGGGGCTGATCAAATATATCCCTAATCCATCAAGGACATCGCGGCTGGCTCCAGAATAAGAGGAGTTCCCGAGACTATAAAACCCCAGCAAATTCTTTGGTCGACATCCAATCCAATCCAATTGTCATTTGTTTCATTCCATTGTTTCAGCTTCTGTTTGAGTTAGTTAACTCACAAAACGACAAAGAAAAACATTGGATATTGGATATTGACAACTTCTATTTATAGGTTAGGTACCGAACTCCACCGCAATGCTCTTCATCTTCTCCCTCCTCTTGGCCCCATTCACCGCCAACGCGGCCATCAGCGGCGACTACAACTGTACTAGCTACAACGGAACATCGGTCGGACTGTCTCTCACGTCCTTCGCATCAACTTCAACGTGTTTCAGTTCGTGTACACCCCAGCTGCGGTCGCCTGCTCGAACACCATCTCGGATGCCGCTTGCGAAGTTCTGTACGTGGATCCAGACACCACCGCCGGATACCCATCCGCTGGAGGAGACGAACAGAGACCGTTGGCGTGCTACACCACCGCCACCGCCACTCCTGCTTCCATCGTGCAAGACATGAAGACTGCTGCTCTTGAGACTTGCGCCAAGACTTGCGGATTGTGCTGTCAGACCGACGCCTACTCCTGCTCCAACGTCGCTTGTGAGTGCTTCGGTTTCATTGCCGACTAGCTCACAAAAACCTTTCAGATCCACGTCTCGACTGCTCCACAATCACCACTTCCCAATGCAACTCCATCATCTGGCGTACGATCATCGCCACCGACTGCCCATCCGCTTGCGGATTCTGTAACGAGGGAGGATGCGTCGACGCTGTTGTCGATTGCGCCAACGACGTCACCATCTGCACGACCATCGGAATGCAAGACTTTGTGAACGCGTACTGCCAGAGAACGTGCGGAAGATGTCCGTCGTCTACCTCTTCCTCCTCCTCCACCACCGCTTCTTCCTCTTCTTCCTGCACTTCCTACAACGCCGACAGCTCCACACACTGCGCCGACTGGGCCGCCAACGGCTTCTGCACCAACACCTTCTACACTAGCGCTCAACGCAAATCGTATTGCGCCTCCACTTGCAAGATTTGCTAGATGTTCCAATTGCTCTTTCATAATTTATGTTTCCGTTGTAACTAATTCAATTCTCATACTGAACTGACTGTGAAGGATCTGACCAATCCCTGAATAAACACGTTTTTCGAACGCCTATTTTTGTGTGCAACATTGTCCAGCATGGAGTGTGCCAGCTTCACAAACAAAAAGACAAACGGTTAGAGCGGATGTCTGGATGCTGACCAGTGTTAAAATGGTTTGAGTCTGATTCGATTGAAATGCGAAAGTTCTAGATTAAAGTCTATGCAAGGGTGATAAAGGAATGAACTAGGCCACAAGCCAGCAAAGTCTATAAGGGACCAGAAATTGTGAAGCTGTAACTTCCCACAGATACTTTGCATTCACCTCTAACCTGGCTCATTTTGAAGAGCATCATACATAGGTACCGCAACGGGTTTCGCAAAACTCCGAATTTCCACAAAATTCTTGTTGGAATGTGTTCCCCTACTCTATATGAGTACGCTCCCAACTTTTTTCTCGAAAATTTTCGGTACATCCCGAGTTACACCCCTTCAAAGTTGGCCTGTTTTCTCCCCGGTCGGCGGTCGAGGAGGGGGCGGAGCTTCGCCAGCAAGTGCGCCGCGCGCGGTTTTTGTCCTTTTCTGACGGACCAAGCCAAATATGCAACAAAAAAAATGAACAGACATGATGTTCTTAAAAAGCTAAACAACTTTCGAGGACAAAAGTTTTGAACCCGGCACCTCCAGACTGCCGAGCGATCACTTTGCCACTGCGCCAACCGGGCGGAGGCGCGCCCACCGCCATTGGCGTAGAGAAGCTCGCTGTGCGCGGCCCTTTCCAGCTGCGAAATTAGTGCCTTTGCGGGCCGAAATCCATAACATAACTGACTGTAACTTTTTTCGGGTACTAGGTAGATGAGAAAGTTTAACATGGATCGGTCGGAAATTTGATGCTGAATCCGATTCTGTAAAAATTAGCCGCGTGTAAGGTACCTGTGACCCTCAAATCTCCCGAAAACTACAATTTCGGCCGATTGGGCCCTACTCAAACGAGCACAAATCTGGTCCTAGTGGGTCTAGAGCTCTGAAAATTTATATTTGGGTTCTCATTGACTTTATCTATGGATTCCAAAAATAAAAAAGTATGGTCATCGCTGAAAATTTTCCGCTAACTTTTCTGGCAGTTTGAGGATCTGTAAAAAAACTTTCGGGTACTAGGGAGCCCGAATCTGACTTCAAAAAAACGGATTCCCCATCCCTTAAACTGTCGGAAACAGTTAAAAGTAGGCGCGTGTAGCCATAAACTTGGCCACACAGGCTCTCAGACTGACTTCCATTTTCGTTTTCGCGGTTTTTCAAGAGAACGATACGTTTTCACGTGAAATGGAGTTGTTCATTGGATTCAGCATGGTCGATTACATAAAGTAAAACTTTTTGGGTATGGTACTTCATTTGGGGACCTCGGTACAGACCGTCAAACACGCGCGCGCGAAAATCGGGAGAAAATTCGTCAGGCCACGCCCCCTTTGTTGCGCCCCCTAATCATACAATTGAACTTTTATCAAGAAAGCAGAGAATTCTGCTCTCGATTTATGGTGATAAGTTGAAAAACCCGCTAGTCGCAAGTATGAAACACCGGGCCGTGTAGGCCAAAACATTGCTTGAATCGATACACGCTCTTCTGGCCGACTTGAGTCGTGATAGAGATGTGAGACAAATTTCTAAATACCAGTACCTTTAAAACTAAGCCAACTTTCAATAAATTCTTGCATAATACTGATCATAGACACCTAAAAAGTCAAAGAAATACTGTGAAGACGCAAAGTCATTTTTCAGACTTTGCTCAGCTCGTCTCTACGCAACAGAGTGCAATTACACATGTCTGTGACTCAAAGACTGTACTAACAACCATTCTCCAATCATGTAATTCTTTCATCCGTACGTGCAAGGCGAGGCAAGCAAAGACAAACATACCAAAGAACAAGCTCACAAAATTTTGATTCAAACGGCCCTCGAGATGTCTTTTTGTCTGTGCCAATTCAAAGAGCGCTTGTTCCAGGTGACAGACAGATAGTGCAAAGCGATACAAAAAGCGGGTGGAATGGTGTGAGGACTGAAAGCTGCGCAAACATCGTGAGACGGAGTATATAAGGCGAGTGGTTCGGGCTGAAAGTATCGAGCACTTTTACAAATCATCTCGTCCGACTCTCAAATGCTCTTCCTTTTCTCTTTCCTTTTGGTGCCGTTCACCAGCGCCATCATCAGCGGCGACTACAATTGCACCAGCTACAACGGAACATCGGTCAGACTGTCTCTCACGTCGTTCGCATCAATTTCAACGTGTTTCAGTTCGTGTACACCCCAGCTGCGGTCGCCTGCTCGAACACCATCTCGGATGCCGCTTGCGAAGTTCTCTATGTTGCCCCGGATACCACAGTCGGATACCCGGCGGCTGGAGGAGATGCGGAGAGGCCGTTGGCGTGCTACACCACCGCCACCGCCACTCCTGCTTCCATCGTACAGGATATGAAGACCGCTGCTCTTGAGACTTGCGCCAAGACTTGCGGATTGTGCTGTCAGACCGACGCCTACTCCTGCTCCAATGTCGCTTGTAAGATCTCTAGGCCAAGTAACCATCACCCATTTCATATTTCCAGATCCTCGTCTCAACTGCGCCACAATCACTTCCTCCCAATGTAACTCTGTCACGTGGCGTACGATCATTGCCACCGACTGCCCAGCCGCGTGTGGACTCTGTAACGAGGGAGGATGCGTCGACGCGGTCACCAACTGCGCCAACGACGTCTCCATTTGCACCACCGTCGGAATGCAAGACTTTGTGAACACGTACTGCCAGAGAACGTGCGGAAGATGTCCGTCCTCGACGACTGCCTCTTCCTCCAGCTCCACCGCCTCTTCCTCCTCGTCCTGCACCTCCTACACCGCCGACTCGAGTACCGCTTGCGCTGCTTGGGCCGCCAACGGCTTCTGCACCAACACCTTCTACACAACGGCTCAGCGCAAGGCCCGATGTGCCACCACTTGCAAACTCTGCTAATTTCTCCCGTTCACCATCTCTTTGACACACGAACTCGTATTTATGATTCCCTACTCTTTCAAGGCACACCCCGGGTGACAAGGAACTGACCATTCCTGCGACAATTCTATAGATTTCTCTTGAAACACATTTTGCACTGAATAAACGTTCTTACTGCAACCACACAATCGCGTTCAGTACAAAATGAGCATGAGGGAAGGAAGATAAAAGTGAAACTAACCTCATAAATTTGTTTTTTTGTGACGTACTGCTTGACGATCGGGCGAATCTGGAAGATGTTGAGATTGTTAGTTAATGAAGAGCAAGGCGATATCAACTTTGGACAAACAATAAATCGAACGGAAGCGAGTTGACACAGAATAGGAAAACGACTAACTAAGACTCTAACTAGTACATTTTAAGAAACCAGGATCGGGGGTAAAGAAGTTCATGATTTTGTGCTAGAATCTAAGTGAGACGTGACCACGTTTAGGTGCCTACAGTACAATTATACGAAAAGCAACTGCCAAACTATTGAACTTCACAAACCAGAACTAAATCGGCGAGCTCGAACTTTTAGTCACCAGCCTCAGCGACGTGCTAATGAGAAGAATGAAATGGGTGCGAAATGAGACGGTGGCGAAAAAAGCTGATTCAACAACTAGTCAAAAAATCACATTATCGAATTGCACCGAAACGCATTGTTCTACACTTTCAAACTACTGTTTCGCCATCTGTTCAAACGGTCGAAAGATGAAAGAATGCATTCAAACGATAGAAACGGAGGCACGATTCAAAGTAGCAAAATGGCCAAGTAGCAGCAGATGTGCAAAGACCGTGAAAAGGGGGTATAAAAAGGTGGAAAGTGTGCGGATTAGCACCAGCACATCTTCTACTACTTCTTCTTCAAAGTCCTTCGAAAATGATCGCGCTGATTTCGATGCTCATCGCCTCTTTCCTGGCTCCTCAGGCGTCTGCCGTCATCAGCGGAGACCTGAACTGCACCACCTACAACGGCACCGCATTCGTCTACACGCCGTCCGCCGTCGCGTGCTCAAACGCCATCTCCGACACGTCGTGCGCCGTCCTCTACCCGGCTCCAGTGGCCGCCGACGGATACCCGGCAGCCGGAGGATCTGCGCAGAGACCGTTGGCGTGCTACACCACCGCCACAGCCACGCCTGCCGCCGTCGTCCAGGACATGAAGAATGCTGCGTTGACTAGCTGCGCCAAGACTTGCGGACTGTGCTGTCAGACCGACGCCTACTCCTGCGCCAACACTGCTTGTGAGTTCTTGCATTGGCTGATGCTCAATCACATAACAACAATATTATAGATCCTCGCCTCAACTGCGCCACAATCACCACCGCCCAATGTAATTCTGTCGCGTGGCGTACGATCATCGCCGCCGACTGCCCATCCGCTTGCGGATTCTGTAACGAGGGAGGATGCGTCGACGCGGTCACCAACTGCGCCAACGATCTGCAGATCTGCCAAACGATCGGAATGCAAGACTTTGTCAACCAGTACTGCCAGAAGACTTGCGGAAGATGCCCGTCGACCACCACCGCCAGCAGCTCCAGCTCGACCGGATCCTCGAACTGCTCTTCCTACGCCGCCGATTCGAGCACCGCCTGCACCGCCTGGGCCGCCAACGGCTTCTGCTCCAACACTTTTTACACGTACGCTCAGCGCAAGGCCCGATGTGCCACCACTTGCAAACTCTGCTAGACATTCAATATCTATTCACTGACCTACATTCTTTCAAGACACTGACATACTTATGATTGGCATAGAACTGACCACTCTATGCGATTCTTTTTTTAATAAATAATCTATTCTCTACACATTTTAACACTTACACTTGAAAATTAATGGTACTTGAAATGTTTGAAGCTGCCTAGCAGCAAATAACACGAATATTAAGAATGAATTTTCGAACTCATCAAAATGCTCCCCCGCAGATAGCTGATCAAACAATCATACAAGGGACTGCTCGTACAAACCATTGTCCGATACATTCGGACACACAAACACACATTTCGAACTACATTTTTCTCAGTTTCTCGTCAATTCAACACAAAGTCCAGTCTAGGACGACATGAAACAGTTGTGCAAATGAATAAAACTACATAGGGAGGTATAAAAGGATTCAGAATGTTCACAGAAGCATCATCTCTCAGCAGTTTTCAAGCGAACAATGATCGCGCTCATCTCTGTGCTCTTTGCGTTCTTGGCTCCACAGAGCACAGCGCTCATCTCTGGCGATTTGAATTGCACGAGCTACAACGGATCGCATGTGAGTATCGGGAATTTGTTAATGCAAGACTCTGACTGAAAATGAGTACCGTTTCAGTTCGTGTACTCTCCGTCGGCGGTCGCCTGCTCGAATATCATCTCGGACGCCTCTTGCGCGGTCCTCTACCCGGCTCCAGTCACAGCCGACGGCTTTCCGACTGCTGGAGGGCTCTCCGAAAGACCGCTCGCCTGCTACACCACCGCGACAGCCACCCCTGCCGCTGTCATCCAGGACATGAAGACCGCCTCGTTGTCCACGTGCCCAAAGACTTGCGGACTTTGTTGCCAGACCGACGCCTACAGCTGCAGGAATGTTGACTGTGAGTAATCTCGATTCTAGAGTAGGTGTATGTCCGATTTTCAGATCCTCGCCTCAACTGCGCCACGATCACCTCCTCCCAATGTAATTCTGTCGCGTGGCGTACGATCATCGCCGCCGACTGCCCATCCGCTTGCGGATTCTGCGGATCCGGCGGATGCGTCGACGCCGTCACCAACTGCGGAAACGACTTGAGCATCTGCCGAACTGTCGGACTTCAAGACTTTGTGAACACGTACTGCCAGAGAACGTGCGGAAGATGTCCGTCGTCTACCTCTTCCTCCTCCTCCACCACCGCTTCTTCCTCTTCTTCCTGCACATCCTACACCGCCGACAGCTCGACGCACTGCTCCGCCTGGGCCACCAACGGCTTCTGCTCCAACACCTTCTACACGTATGCTCAGCGCAAGGCTAGATGCGCCACCACTTGCAAACTTTGCTAAACAATTTACGTAATTATTGTGGAACTGACCACTCCACCTCATAAATATTTACAACATACTTTTCACTTTGAGCACAACAAGCTGTGTTGTCTGCAAATTGGAACTCTTGGGCATACCACGATTTTAGAAAAGATGATTCAGCTTCCAATCAAAACCCATTCATTACCCGGATCCAACGCGCCCAAAGGGACTAATCACACGCTGTTTTCGGCATGCACATTCATTTTTCTGAATCTCAACATCAGTCTTCGTGCTTCAACCAATGCCGACTGTACAATGGGTCCAACTGGAGGCTCGCACTCAAATCGTCTGCGGTCTCATTTCCGCCCTAACCAACGCCTTTCTCATGTACTTGATTGTGTCGAAATCGCCACCAAAGCTCGGAGGATACAAGTGGCTCATGCTCTACACCACCGTTTTCGAGTTCTTCTACGCGTTCGTCAACTTGCTCGCCGGACCGGTATGTGCCTGCCCAGCAAGCTGAACGTTGATGTGGTTTTCAGACGGTTCACACCTATGAATCGGCGTTCACAGTGCTTCAGGATATGCGAAACTTTTACTTCGATCATAGCGCTGCCGAATTTCTAGTTTGTGAGTTAATTATCAGGCCAACGCCCAATAATTCTATTGTCGATTCCCTAGACACGTACTGCTCGTGCTTCGGCTTCTCCATGGCCATCTTCGGAGGTCATTTCATCTATCGCTACGGCGCCATTAACGTGTATAAATGAACACACGATCACTATCCTTTTCCACATTCCACAAAACCTTTCAGCAACTTCCATCAGCGATACTTGTCGGGCGCCGGCCAACTACTCCTCTACATTTTCCCCTTCTTTTATGGTATCCTGTGGGGAGTAATTTGTTGGCTGTGCTATGGTGAGACTCCCGAGAGGAGCAGTTATTTGAGGTGGGGAGTGTGTGGGCGCTTCGGCACGACGTCACAGTTTCAGGGAGACGGTCAAGGAGAACTATCGTCTGGAGATTGAAGAGTGTGCGTATATCAGCGCGCATTTCTGGCCTCTGGACACCGAAGGGACAATGTACCCAGACCCGAGCTCGTTCTTCGGCGTCTCTCTAATGTGGATCATTCTTGTGAGCTTCCTCACAGCTCCAACGCTCAAAATATCTTCAGGGCACCTCGTTATTCAGTGTGATCTCGTTCGGCTTCCGCTGCTATCGCTGGATAACCGAGAAACTCGAGTCGACGAACACCCAATCGGAGCTCATGAGATCCCTCCAAACACAGCTCTTCTACGCGCTCCTCGTCCAATCCGCCATCCCGATCGTTCTGATGTACATGCCAGCCGCAATGGTTTTTGTGTTCCCCATGCTCAACATCGAGCTGGGGCTCAAAAACCCGTTCATCGGGATCACTATTGCCATCTACCCGGCCATCGATCCACTTCCGACCATCCTCATCATCAAGAGCTATCGTCGTGGATGTTCGGAGGTGCTCAGAAGTGTGATGTGTCGGAGCAGGCATCGCATATCCGATAGTTCCACTCATTCAAATGTGCTGTCTAGTCTCAACAACAAACATTGACTTTCTAGAGTGTTTTCAAACCGAATAAACATAAATTTTGAGCATAAGCAACTTTATTTCACTCTAACCACAACGTACAAATTCAAACTCGCGTTGACACCTGTCAAGTCAACTGGAAGTACGCTTTTCTAGAAAGTCGCCAAAGATTATCCGACGATTTTCACTGAAAAAACGAGAATATTGGTGCTCGGAAGCTCAGAACATTTGCGAACTTCGAGAAGTGAAGTTGGAGCCCTGGCTCGGGCTCTTAGTCGGTTTCTTCTTGCTCTTGAACATCGGGTGCGTCAAAAACAGCACCCACGGCATCATAGTCGTCTCGTAATCGTTGCCGATCGGACGAAGGAAGAGGACGTAGAAGTAATCGGGCCGATGAAACAGGAATGTTATCTGAAAATCGTCTGATAAGAATAGCGCTTCTAGAGTCGTCTACTCACCGAGCAAATTGAGTTGGTAACAAACGGAACGACGCTCGAGATCATTGTGAGTGAAAGGGACCATTCGGCACGTTTAGTGAGCGTTTTGGTGCGAGCCGACGACGTGTCGAATAGAGTCGTCCGAAGTTTGAAGAACATCACGGCAGACATGACGCCAGTCGCGGAGAAAATGGCAATGGAAAAGGAAAAGTGGATGATGATGTTGAGTCGGGCCTGCTCTTCTCCTTCGTAAACGATGAGCGAGCCGAAAGAGAACGGATCGGCCATTTGCATGCAGTAACCGCTCACTTGAATGTTGCAAATGGTGAGGAGAAGCGGGACGAGGAAGAGGAACGGAATGGCGAACCAGTTCATGATCAGACGGCACAACTGAAAGAATAATAGTCTTGAGGACAAGAGTGTGTTCCCCATTCGTCAATTCTCAAGTTTCTTTTCAAAAATGTATGGTAAAGCTCTCATAAAAGTCTTGTACAGACGATGTACACACCAGAGTTGAGCGGAAATGGAATTTTGAAATCCGGAAGACGGCAGACGGCAGACGGAAGAAATTTTTTTTACGGAACACGGAAAACGGAAGACGGAACAAAAAAATCGTCAATGCAGAACCTTTTTCTCCAGTTTTTTTTTTGAAAAAAATAACTGAACAACAAAAAATTTGGATCTGGGTCACTGCCCGTGGAAATTAGCGTTCTTCGGGGCTAGTAAATGGCTTCTGAAAAGCTATTACATTTTTACGGTAAAAGAAAAAAGTCCCGGAAGAAGGCAGACGGAAGACGGAAGAAAAATTTGTTTACGGAAGACGGCAGACGGAAGACGGAACAAAAAAACCACGGAAGACGGAAGACGGAAGACGGCAGACGGCAGACGGAAGACGGAACAAAAAAATCACGGAAGACGGAAGACGGAAGACGGCAGACGGAAGACGGAAGAAAACCCTTTTTCCGGAAGACGGCAGACGGAAGACGGAACAAAAAAACCACGGAAGACGGAAGACGGAATACGGAAGACGGAATTCCGCTCAACACTGGTACACACAGTCAACTAGAGCAATACGACTTACCCTTTCATTGTTACGTGGCGAAAGTAGAATGGTCAATCGAATGAGACAAACGAGGAACGGACAAATGATGACGCCAAAGTTGCTGTAGTAGGCGTAGACGAACAGAATCGCAAAGTATCTGCTGGGTTGTATTCCGGCGCACCAAGTGGTCATGAGTCCCGAAGAGGGAAGATTCAGGTGGATGTAGTCGCCGAAATAGAATAACATGTTCTGAAAGTTTTCTGTTCATCGTTGCGGCAGCCTAGTAGTACTTACAAACATAAAATAGAACATGATGAGTGCGAAGATGTTATGATCCATAGTCGCTGTGCTCATAGCTTTCCGTGCCCGTCTGTACATCACCAGAATAGTCATCATGACTACTATTGTCGGACAAATGTACAGGAACGGTATGAATGCCTGGAGTGTTGTGAAGTTGATGATCGGGATGTAATCCGCGTACACTTGAAGCCCATGCACAGAACCATTGGCAACTGACATTCCTGCTGAAAAGCACGATGAACGGATACTTTTTGTAAGACAAACAGGAGGAATAAAGAAAATGATATATCACAAAGTAGACATTGATAATCTTTGAAGAAAGTGTGTATTTTTTACGAACCGACGACTTCAAAGCCGGATTCAGGGCACAAAGTTACGTTTTCTCGACCAGGTACGGGTCCGGCAATAAACAATAATGGATATTGCCAAGTTGATAAAAGTGGGAATGCTGAAGATCTACTCACTTCCCGGTCTTATTTTTTCCAAAGCGAGCAGAAAAGCAACCGTGATTAGTTGTGTTTTTGAGTCAGTGAAATTATAGATTACACAAATTGAAGTCAGTAAATTTATAAAGCTGACGTATTTGATGGGAACAAAACTGGGAAATGTTCTGGAAATCCTCTCACTTTTTCCCTCTAATTATGTATATTGGACGGCTGGGAAAACGAGTTGATTTCTGGAAGCGGATGACGATGAAAACAGAGACGAGGAAGCGAATGCTGGATTGCCCGAGTTCGAAGACCGGGTTGTTGAAAAAAGGTGATTGTTATTATGCTCAAGGAACAACCTTTGTGCGTGCATAATATGAGCTGCTGACAACAACATGGTTCAGCGTCAAAAACATTGCTTCAACAATCGAATCCGTGAGCCATAAAAGTGTCATTGTCTAGAAGTTGGAAACGTCACTGATGTGATTTCCGAATGAAAATAAAGTTTCAATACTCAAAGCACAGTCTGTGACAAAGTCTACGGGGGACTGGAAATTGTGAACTTTCCATAGAAACCTCACATTTACCGGCTCGTTTTGAAGATCAAATTAAACTTTCAAGCAGTTTCGCCGAACACGTTTTACTGTAATGCATTCAATATTGTATATTGTGAGTTTGTACACGGCGGCGAAAAACGTAGAAAGGGGCGTGGCCTAGCGTGCACGGTTTATCACCCGTTTTGGCGCGAAATTCGAAATTTAACCCCATTTTTCATGTTTTTCGTCAAAAATTACCCAAATTTTGGCCGATTTCGACGATGCGATTGCATAACTTTGTTAAACTAATCATCGCGCGCACTTTTTGAGCTTAAAACGAGCAGGTTTCATTCAGAAATGAATCAATTGAATCGATTTTCAAGTTTTGTGCTGAAAATGCGCGAATTTCAGTCATTCGCCGACACTTTTTGCCGTTTGAACGCTTAAAATACTTGTATTAACGTGCGTAATCACTTCCGAAACACTCACTTCGTCTCAAAACTATCCAGATCGGCCGGTAAAAAATTCCGAAATTGCGGCGACGATTGGCCGCGAAGAGCGTATTGCGAAATAAACGAAAAACGTCTCAAACGCGGCGTTTTCATGAAAATTTCGCTGTTTTCTCTCTTTAATGTCTCTTCTTTCGTCGATATCAAACACAAAAATATCGGAAAAGTGTGCTGGAATTGCGGCAATTTTCAGAAAACGCGTCTCAGATTAGGCCACACCCCTTTCTTGACTTTTGGTCGCCGTGGCGCAATTCTAGAACATTCATAATTGACTCAGAAATGTAATCGGAACGTGTTTGCCTACTCGCCCGGCATTTGAGACCAAAAACACGGGCGGGGAGAATTGGTAAACTATTCGAAATGCAGGTGGAAGACGTACGAACATTAGAGTGAAGAGCTTTGTGACGAAGCTCTTCACTCAGAAGACAGAACCGACTTTGAGAGAGAATTTTGATGATTTCACAAAGGACACTTGTGACTAACTTATAGAATTTCCGTGGTGAATCATTCAGAAACGATCAGAGTTCACTGTTAATCACCGGGTAAGGTACGGAACTGATATTTTGTGCCTCTTAATTAAAGCCTTGTAGAAGAAGTCGTACACGTCGTTCATCTTTCCCCCGTTTGTCCTCGAACTTCGAACTGCACTCGGATTGATCCCTCGTGTCTCATGTTGTGCACGTACAATTTGACACCTGTTTTCATTTGTATGCACAAATAAGAGCAATGATCAATCCCTGACGGCGAACTTTGGTGAGCTCAACGAAAAGTTTGCAGAAACAGAAGTGGTGCGCTTGAAAGCGGGATGAGTGAAGACGAAATAAAGAGTGACGATGTGAATGCGCATGTCGGTGATGAACGGACGAAACAGAAGGAGGTAGGAGACGACTTTGAAGCGGTACATTGTTGAGATCTGAGCACACACGAGCAAACAATATATATATGCGATGGATGCACTTACCGAAACCATTTCTCTCATTACATATGGAATGAGAATGAGCACAACTGTGAAGCTCAACGTTTTTTCGGCTTTTGAATTGTATGCAGAGTGAGTCGCAATCCTTCTAAACTGGTCATCAATCGTATGTACAATATATAATCGTGTCAATGTTTCACTTACAATCGGCGACGCTCGAAAATTTTGCGAAAAATGAGAAAAGTAGTGATGATAACTGCGATAATGACCGATAAAGTGAAGAGCGCGTGGAAGAAGTTGAGTAGGTAGGAATGTTGTAAGTGAAAGTTGGATATGATAACAAGTGCGCCGAATGGGTAGAGGCCGTTGAGTTGGAAGCCAATGGCTCCGGACAGAAATTGAGGAAAAGCGGCGGATACGCTGAGGATGAAGGTAATCAGCGAAATCACTTTGAACCAGGACTCGAAAGCCTGAATGTTTCACAATAATAATAATAATGAAGAGCCGCTTTCTTTTTGTATCGCCTACCTCTTTAACATGAGCAGAACAGTAGAGAATGATCACTCTCATGATGCAGAACAAAACCGTCAATATTTGGGAGAAATACAGAGTTGTATAATAGAAAAGGACGGCGAGTTTTAAAGGGATCTGAGGATCCGACCGTGCAATCCAACTAGTGGCCAGCCCGGTGCCGGGCAGACGGCTAATGAAGAAATCGGCGATTCCGTGAAGACTCATCACAACCTGCATGATCACGAATGCATGGAAAATGGCGTCCAATTTCCGATTTGTGCATGAAAAAACGATGAGACGGATGAGCACGGCGTAGCATGGAATGTGGTAGATAAGCATAAGCACGACGAGTATCGTGGCAAAGTTGACGGTGAACTCGAAGTCGATGTAACTCGGAATACCTTTTATTGAGTCGTACACGAATTGATTGGGGTTTTGGGTGGAGGAGGTCATGGATGTGGTGGTGGTGTTTACAACAAACGAGTATGATGATGATAATGATTAATGTCGAAAAATGAAAGCACTGAAAGTGGCTATAAACTTATTTGGGTTGAGCTCTAGACTCTGGCGACATGGATAGAGAGAGAGAAAGTGAGACAATTGGATTAGAAGTGTGATTGGATAGCGATGACGGAGAGGTCGAAGTGGTCCAGGAGGTTATTTGAAGAAGTCTGGAAATGAGCAAATGAAAATCGAGATCTAAAATTTGAATAGCACACATACCATTAGCGTGTTTGACACAGTTATTTGGCGTTCGGGAAGGGCGGCGTGACGAAAAACTGATTGATGAAATCGACGTCGCTCTCGCAGTTCCTGATGGAGAAGAATCGGACGTTTCGGTGTTTCGGCGCGGCCTGTTGTTGTTGCATCGGCGGCCGCTGCATTCCCGGCTTCACCGCCTTCGAAACCACTTGGCGGCGAGCAATGGGCGCCGGCTGCTGACGGTGGACAGGAGCCACCCGAGCCATCCGAGCCACTCGAACCTGAGCCTGGGGATTCGCGTGAGCCTGATCCAATCGAACCGGCACGAGCTTTCCGTTCGACTGCACACTTTTCAGCGGTTGAGCATATCGTTTCACAGGCACGACCTGAGACGCCTTCTGGTGAACACTTACTGGATACGCCGGGTTGGTGCTCATGTAGTCCGGTGGTTGTCCTCCATTTGGCGCAAAGTCCGGCTGATGAAAATTGAGCGGAGCCGCTCGGTTTGCCATTTGTACATCCGCACAGTGCATTATTTGATTGTTGGCAGCAATCCGAGCCGTCTTCACATAGAAGTGCGGGTTTCGTGGCGTTTGGAACTGGGCAGACATGTTGTTGGTTTTCGATGAAATGGGTGGATCCGATGGCTATTTATGTGGGCCCGTAGGTGAAGATAATGTGACGCGACGGTGTCACAACCGTCACGTTGGCTGAAAATCAATAATAGCGGAAGAAAGAGTGGTCGCTGAGAGGTCAAAAGAAGGGAAGGCGAAGATACTGATGTTCGAAAAGGTCAAACTTTCGAAACTCCATAAAGAGTTCAACAAGTTGCTTTATGAGCAGAAGCTTGTCCGGTAGTCGAGCCAGTCCGTTTGAGAGCCGGGTGAGTGAGAACAAAGTAGACAGTCACTATGTGAATCCGAGAATCGGCGATGAACGGCCGCACGACGAACAGGTAGGAGATGAACGGAAAATGGAAGATTTCGGCGATCTTAACAACTTGTTCGGTCTGAATTGGAGCCACACACGTACCGAAACGAGTTGGAGAAAAGCGAGTGGTATCAAAATCAACACCATTGTGACAGTGAACGTCTTCTCGGCTTTCAGCTTGTACGCAGAATTCGTCTTGGCTCTTCTGAAACTATATTTAGTGCTCTCAAAATGACATCAGAAACTCACAACTGCCTCCGTTCGCTCAGCTTTCGGAACACCAGCCAAGTGCTGATGGAAATTGCGAGCATGACGAGTGAAGTGATGGAAAAGTGGGTCATGTTGAAGGGAACTAGACTGTAGTGGTGAAGGGACGAAATGATGACGATGGCGCCGAACGGATAGGGACTGCTCATCTGGAGACATATTGATCCGGATGCGAATTGAGGAGCTGTCGAGATGAGGCTCACGATGAAAATGAACGGGGAGAGGATCTCGAACCACTGTTCCAACTTCTGAAAGTTTAAAGTTACTGTTTTTGATTCCATTTCATAATTGCAGTTTATGTACCTCTTGCCAGTAGCCCGACAAGTAGAGTATTGTAACTCTGAGAGAGCAGAAACAAACTGTGAACACTTGCGAAGAATACAAAGCGGTATAAAAGCAGAGAGTAATGATTCTCATTGGAGTTTGCGGGTCATTTCGTGCCAGATAACTCGTCACAAAGCCTGTTAACGGAATCCGAACGGCCATGAAGTCTGCGAGTCCGTAGAGAGTGCAGAAAAGTTGCATTTTCACGAACGCATTGAATATGCCGCCGAGTTTCAGTTTTTGACTCGTCAAATAGAATAGTATGAGTCGGAGGAGGACTGCGAGACACGGAACGTTATAGAGAATCATGAAGAGCACGAGTAGGGTCACAAAATTGAGGGAAGCCGTGAAGCCGCAGTACGCGGGAACGCCTTGGATCGGCTCAAACACGTACTCATATGGGTTTCGAGCACTCATTTTTTCAAGCTTAGATCGACTTGCTCATTTTCTGTTGTTATTATTCTCAGAGACTGAGCAAAAATTGTGGGAGCACAAGAGAATATCAGCCTTAATTAGTTTTGAGAGTTTTGAGAGTTTTGTGTATGTATGTGTGTGTGTGTGTGTCAATAATAACTCTAAAAGCGTTGATTTTTCGATTCTAGAAAACGTTATAAGATATATATTATACAGTGCCTTTTTTTTGATACAAAATTTGCAACGAAATAACCATTGGCTCTCAAAATATTGGTCCCAGAAGACGAAAGACTTTGTAGTTTCATCCAGACTTGCCAAATCCCGGGCCAGCAAATCGTCGGCCCGGCCCGGTCGGCCCGGAAGTTAGACCTCAAAAAAAATATGCAAAAAAAATATGAAGGAAGAGCAAAACGCGTGCGGCAAAATTGCTAAAATGGCGTGCCAGAGTTGCAATCAATCGCTCCGCCCACTTTTGAGAAAATTTTCGTAATTTTTGTGAAAATTTTGCGACTTTAAACAGCAATTTCTATTTTTTAACAGTTTTTATGCTTTAACATTGCCTTTTTCGTCTTTTTTTCTATTTCTGCTGGTTTTTACAATGAAAATTATGTTCGTTTCGAAGTTCTAGTTCGCTTTGAATTTTTAGGTGCATCCTCCAGGGCCGACCGGGCCGGGCCGGCCCGTTGCAAGTCTGGTTTCATCGAAGTTTCGACCAGGATATTTCCATTCGACCCGGAACTATAAAAGTTGCACAGAAAAGTGTGTATTGAACACGGAGATGTAAATCTAATCTATTTCGAATCAAAGTAGCGATGATTCGTTAGTTGATCTTTTGAAAACGATGATATTAAGGAAGACGACTCTTTCGAGAAATGATAAAACATGAACAGATATTGTCGACTCACATTTTTTTTTGAAAGTTCTCCAGGCCAACACAAATTTCGAGTAAAATGATCTACTCTAAATGTTTTGACCTCCCCCGGACTGTGTCATTCCAAAAAAATCTCCTCTAACGTTCGTTTTTTGACAGTCTGAACTTTTGAAACCAACTTTTCGTCAAGTTTACAGCGACAAACTTTGTCTGTCCGAACATTTGTTCGTAGCAGACTACACACACGCACGCATCCACTGTACAAAGCGCTTTCTCGTGCCAGTTTCTTCTGCGGAGATGAAAATCTTTGTCCACTCCTCCCCCATTCCTCCGTCTGACCATTCCATCTCACACTTTCAGACCGATGCCACCGTTCGAGAAGAACATGCGCACACTCGTCGATGATCCGAACTCCTGCTCGTCGGCGTCGGAGTCTATGCCCGATATTGTCGATAGGGACAGATGTGCAGTGTGCACAGACGTCGTGAGCAGCAAAAGATACGGTGCTCCGGCGTGTCTCGGATGCTGTGTCTTCTTCCGGAGAGCCGTTGTGAACAAGTTAAAGTACAGATGTCTTCGCAATCACGACTGCCCGATCACAAATGGTAAGACTTTTTTTGAAGTGATGAGATTATTGATTGATGCCTGGACAGAGGTCTATATCTCGGGAATCGACAACTATTTCCAAAAGTTGTCAACTGAAAACTTGTTGTAAATTTTGAGTTACTCATTTCCATCCTAAATGACTCAGTTACGATCCCCAGAATATCGTCAATACTGTCATAGAAGAGCACACCAAATTCAGTGCATTCAAAGCGATGTATCTGCGCAGCCGGTAGAGATATCAAGAAGTGGTCAATTGATAAAATGTGTACAATTTCTTGATGAACAATTTGTCAGTTGACATCTTTTTGATATCTTTTAAGGTAGCTGAGATGGATTGTCATGAACTAACGGTACCGCCCATTGTTTCAGAAGATCGATGTTCATGCAGATATTGTCGCCTTCAAAAATGCTATCAAGTTGGAATGAAAGCATCGGGTACTCGTTCTTCGTGTTCCGATCATCTCGAACCTTTTTTTCAGCGATTAAAATACGAGATATAGTCGGACCACGAAAGCCAATAAATCGAGATATTCAAGAAGCGGTCATCACTGCCGATGGTTGGTTTTTGGAGATGACTGTGAGAGATTTTAAGTTTGAGACTCAGATGCATCAGTCGAAATGATCCAAGTGCTGGTGAAAGTTCAACATTTTCAATTGTCACAGCACAAGCTCGCACCGAAACTGGAGGATGATAGCTGTCAAGAAGTGAGCCCTACTCCAAACTAATCTTCCGAACCTTTACCGATTCGCTTTCAGATTTACGTACAAAATCGACGTCGAGCGCGTGCCTCGGACGTGAACGGAATGCTTAAAGTGTGCGTGAATCAAGCGCTCGTGTGGGGAAATCAGTTCCGGCCGTTTCAACGGTTATCGATCGATGCGCGGCGGAGCGTGCTCGCCGAGTACGTCTTTGCTTTTCTGCTCATCGACCAGGGCGTCAAGACGGCCTACGAGGCGGACGACGGATTCTGGCTGCTTCAGAACGACACTTTTATGCATTCCGACCACTTTTTGGGACTACCCGAGACGGAAAAAGCAAAGGAGAATGTGTGGCCGAAAGCGCAGTGAGTTCGGATGAGCAACATCTCTTTCTTCACTCTCAAACGAAACATATCATGGAGTAAAGCTTGAAGATTCCTCATTCGCCGAGAAAATGACGCCTATTCCAGATTCCATCACGATTTTGTGAGCGCGCTCTTGAACGGTATAAGTACACCGTTCCGAAATCTCCAAATCGACGAATTCGAGTGTGTCGCTCTGAAAACAGTACTCTTACTAACTCGTAAGTTTGAACCAACCGTTTAGGAGCATCTAGAAGAACTCGTGTTTCAGAACTAATCTCCAAAAACTCGGATTACTCGGGACACCGGCGAACTGTCACCGGATTGCTGGCAAAGTGTATGGATGAGCTCATGGAGCACTCGCGGCGAAAGTTTCCCGAACGAGGCGCCGAACGATTCGGAGAGATTGTGCTGCTGCTCAGCTCGATTCGGTGTGAAATCAAGACGCTTTACAATCAGACACGTGTCTCCGATTTGATGGAATTCGATCAGTCTGTGCGCGACATGCTTTTGACATGATCACTCTTCTCAACAAAATCTCCTTGTGGCTTTATAATAATATTTATGAACTAGAGAAAAAATGAGATTAAAGTGAAGTTATTCCTTCTCTTTCTGGCTCTTCCGCTCCTCTTTCTTCTCTTTCTTACTCTTCTTCTTCTTCTTCTTCTTCTTCTCACTCTTCTTATTCCCATCCGTCTTACTTTCCTTCTTCTTTTCACTCTTCTCCTTCTTTCCTTCCTTCGACTTCGCCAGCTTCTTCTTCTTCTCCTCATCTTCCTTCTGTCTCGCTTCCTCCTTCTCCTCCTTCTCCAACTCCCTCGCCTCCTCCTCGTCCTCCAACTTCCATTTCTTCCGATCTTTCTGAAACTCCTCCAGCCTCTCCCTCTCTCCCGGAGCGTAGTTCGGATCGTCTGTGGTGCCCTCAAACTGCCTGGCCGTCCGAATCTTCTCCTCCGCCTCCACCGCCTGACGATCCTCCTCCCATTGCTCCAGCCGATCCGCTTCGTTCAACAACTCCTCGAACTCGTCGCGCCGTTCCTCCATCTCCAGTTCGTCCAGTCTCCTCTCCCATTGACGTTGGAAATGGGCAAAGTACAGCGAATCGATGATTATGACGAGAGAAAGAAGGCCGAGAGCTCCGGAAACGACGTAATGAATGTGGTTCCCGATGGGATAGTCTAAAAATGAAAAGTTGATCCTAGTTGCCCATAAGTCCTCGCCTAGATCCATAACATGCAGATCGAAATAGTCGCCGTCACAAGTGTCCCTTTCATCACTTCCGGAAGCCGTTACCAGATGAAGAAACTGATGAAACCTTTTGAAACTTTAAATTCACTCCACTTCCCTTTTCAAACAAACTCACGCTGCACTACTTTTTCTCATCTGAACAGGAAAGTTGTCTTGCCAAAAATCGAACAATGGCTGAAAACGACTTGAGGCGATTGGCATCTTTTTGAAAGCCTACCATGGACCCATTGATGACACGAAGATTCTGGAACTTGACTGACATCAGATTGTGATTCTGCTCCAACGTGAGCACCGGACCGTCTTTCGGGTCAATGGTGAGCGAGCGCAAGTTGCGCATCGCTGAGAACTGATAGAACGAGTTGCGACGGATGATGAGACCGCTGTTGATTTTGCGGATCGACGAGAGCTTCCGTCCCACGTCGTTGTTCATGGTCAGTTCTGAAGGAAATCAGCAGGAATTTTCGGTGAAGCATAGTAAAAAGCACAACTGCCTTCTCAAGAGTTTCCCGTGCATTCAAAACGATATATCTCAGCCGTCTGAAGAGATATCAAATAGTGGTCAACTGATAAAATGCACGCCACGTTTTGATGAGCAATTTGTTAGTTGGCAACTATTTGATATCTCTATCGGCAACTGAGTTATACTAGCCGTAATCAAAATCCTCGATGATGAGTGGACCTCCGATGACAGATTCGCATCCAATCGGTAGAAAGTCCGCTTTTCCGCCGTAGCATACTAAACAAAAACTGTTTTTCACAACATCAATATAGATCCACTCACTTTTCATCTCGCAAGCTCGACTTTTGAGGATTTGAGTCACAAATGCGATCAGTAACAGATTCATTTTTGCCAGAAAACGGATAATGACGTGGCATTTCGAACATTCAAGTAGCCATTCCCGTTCTGGCAAAAGTTCACGTTTGATAAGAGAGAGACGAGAAAAACAAAGGAAACAGCAAAGTGAAGGTTATTTTTCATGTTGTCACTTCAAAAATGAGCGATCTTGTTATTCATCAGAAGGATCTTCCCGACATTTCAAAGTCGAAATGGGATCAGAACACGTATTGGGGTGAGCGAAAAATGATTGTGCTCCACACCTTGCTCGGCTCTCTATGAACATTTCAGGTCGAGCCAAGCACTTTTTCGCGTCCACCAACCCGGTGAACCTGTTCGTCTCGTCGGCCACACAGGAAAAGTGCCGTCAGATTGTGTCGGACTACAAGAAGGGCGTGATCAGTGCCGAGTTGACGGTCGATCAGCTGTGGGACGCCAAGATCCTCTACGACTCGATGTATCATCCGGATACCGGCGAGAAGATGTTCTTTTTGGGCAGGATGAGTGCGCAGGTCAGGCGTAGAAGAACTGGTAGACGCTTCTGGGTCTCGAAACGTCTCCAAACATTTACAGGTCCCCGCGAACATGGTGATCACCGGGCTGCTGCTCAGCTGCTACCGTTCGTGTCCCGGCGTCATCTTCTCGCACTGGATCAATCAATCGTTCAACGCCATCGTCAACTACACGAATCGAAGCGGCAACAGCAAGACGACGAACGAGCAGCTCTTCTACTCGTATTGTTGTGCGACGGGTGGAGCCACCGCCGCCGCGTTGAGTTTGAATATGATGGTGAAGAATCGGCAAGGACTGGCCGCCCGATTGGTGCCGTTCGCCGCCGTCGCTCTCGCCAACGCCATCAACATTCCGATGGTCAGAGCCAAGTGAGTGAGAGAGCGCTCTTTGTCTCTTTTGTCACTCCTCCTCTTTCAGTGAGCTCTACGAGGGCATCGAACTGTGCGACGAGAACGATCAACTGATCGCAAAGTCGCGTCAACTGGCGGTTCTCTCCATCGCCCAGGTGACTCTCAGTCGGATCGCCATGGCCATGCCTGACATGAGTAAGTGCAGACAGTAACGCCTTTTCCTAAAAAAAAAACGGGATCATTTACAGTCCTGAGCCCGGTGATCATGAACAGATTCACGCGTACCACCTACTACAAAACGCGTCCGTTCCTCCAGAAGTACTCGGAAATGCCGATCCAGACTGCGTTGGCCGGCATCGGACTCGCGCTCACCACGCCTCTCGGATGCGCTCTTTTTCCGCAGAGAAGTGCGATCGAGGTGTCGAAACTGGAAGCGTCGGTGCAGACGGCGATTGCGGGCGCTCCGAAAGTGTTGTACTACAACAAGGGATTGTGAGGAGACGAATAAATGATGTGATCAGCTCGACTTTATTTTGTTTCATTTCATTTTACACGTTTCACAACACAACAATCTAATCGTCCAAATCGATGAAGACGTGACGGACATGGGGCAAGTGCTCCTTCATAAAAGCCATCACGAGCACGTCGGGCGCCGGCACACTCCTCAGCTCTGTCTTCGTGGCGCCCGTAGAAGCGGTGATATGGTGAGTGATTTCTGTTTGGATCCTCGTCGAAACGCTTCTTCTGAATTCGGTCGCATCTTCTCAACGCCACGCTCCTTTTTTTTTCGCTCACTTTTGTTTGGACGGCATCACCGCGTTCGGATTTAGGAGAATCGTGTGAAGGTTCGGAAAGAGCTCGTTGATCATTTTGAGGTGATCGGGCGCGATCGAGCATCCGCGCAGGTCCAGCTCTCCGACATTTTCGAAAAAGACATTGGCGTACTTGCCGGTCACCTAAAAAAAAACCCGAAAGAATATACGTAGTTTGGACAGTGCTCGTGCCTTCTCAACACAAGTGACCAACGAATTGAGATTGACGCTGAGCACTCCGCGCAAACTGAATTTGCGCAAGTTTCCCGGTTTGAGCAAATTGAACACGACGCCCAGATCATAGAGGATTGCCGAAAGAGAAGTGAGCCTCCACTGCGAATCGGCGAGCTTTGGGAACCAGACGAAGAGCTGCGGGACCGAGATGCTTCGTCGGCTCCGCCAGTACGACTCGACCTCATCGTGCGAGTACTTGCACACGGCGCGAAACGCCATGTGCTCCTCCACACACATCTTCTCGACAATCTCGCGCATCACCGTCGGCGGCAGCACTCTCAACTCGAACCAGTTCTTGCGCGACACCTTCCGCGCCTTCATCATGCTATCCGTCGTCGGCGGCTCCTCCGAAACACTTCTCTTACGCTTCTGAACGCGAACACTTTTCGGTGTGCGCCTCACGGACTCACTAATGCCATACTGTTTCTTCTCGAGTAGTCGACTAATGAAAAGAGACTGGCGGTGAGAAATGATTGGGAATGCGTGAGCGTGAGCGTGGGCGGGCGGGCGATGATAAAAAGTGAAGAAGGAAAAGAACGTGAACTTTCTACAGCATGCTGACTTTCCCCGCCAGTTTCCCTGCATTCTCTCTGCGATTCTAAGCCTCCCGACGGCTGTTTTAGGTTGCCAATGGTCAGAAATACTTGGAGAACTATCAAAAAAGACTCTCCGCCTCTCAGATCCTTTCGAAAAGCTCAAAATCTTGTCCGGCACATGACTCACGGATGTTTGTGTGTTAATGATCAGAAATTTTTGTCAGTAAATCGAATTTACTTCTCAATAGCAGTCTGGACGGGAAAGTGAGGTGAGCACTTCCACGGCGATATTTTCCGTCTCAATGGATACATGCAATAATCTGGAAGGTTATTATCCCGGATACAGCAACTCCACAGCTCTTTTCTTTTGTCACTTCTTCGATTGGTTCTCGTGAGTTGAAGTGACAAAAAATTTTTTGTTTTTGTGACTTTGCACATCATTTCTATGGCAGTACTTTGATCGACGGTCACTGTCTTGTGAGGTGATGTACGGATTAGAGTTTATGAACAGTACACACAAAAGGTATTATCTTTTCGCTGCGCTTCTAGAGAATATGTTTTTCTGATTCCTCACTTCGAAAAAGGAAAGTTTCATATTGCAGCCTTCATTCAACAAGTAGGTGTTTCGGTAATAAGTTAGGTAGAATTCCGTAGAATGAAATTTCGAATTAAAATCCCGCCTGCCGCGACCGTTCTTTCATTTCGCTTCGAGACCCGCGCCACCTCAAAAGTCTCTGCGCCTTTAACTTTCGGCCGCCGCGCGCGCCTTTTTCTCCGTTTCTCAACGAAAAACATAGTATTAATTCCAGAGACTTTGTGATCGATTGCATGCGTTATAACCCTCACATCTCGCTCATCTGCATTCCCGTCAACATTTTCCACTGCATCGTGCTCACTCGCAAGTCGATGCGTGACTCCTCTATCAATCTAATCATTGCCGCCGTTGCCATCGCCGATGTGCTAGCCCTTTCAGAAGCGATTGAGGCGAAACTGGACTCATTTTTGAGCAATCTTCGACCATGTCTCATGCCGAATTCGTACATTTACACGTTCACGAACAATTCGATCGAGGTGTTGTGCAACTTTTCACGAAGATGTTCCACGTGGCTCAGCTTCTGTACGGCTCTCATACGGACGTTAGTCGTTCGCAATCCACTCGACCCGCGATTCTGTGAGCTGTCCGAGCCGAAGTCGGCTTTCAAAGTCATTGTGCTGGTGGTGTTGATGAGCTCAGCGTTTGCACTTTTTGATGCTTCCGGCTATAAAATCATAGAGGAGGCGTTCGACGCGTACCTACCGTGTCTGATTAATGTGACTCAACTGACGTATGAGCCAAGGCTGTCAGACTTGTTCACAATGAACGACGAATTGCTTTATAAGATTTACTCAGCGCTTGATTCAATTGTCTCCAAGGTGGGGCCGGTTCAAGCTTTAATATCCTGCACCCGCCTACACATTTTCAGGGCATTCCTTGTCTTCTGTTCCCAATCATCACGTTCCTCTTGATCGTCGAGATTCGTAAAGCGGATACGAACAGAAGGAAAGTGTCTTGTTCGGCCAAGTCGGACAAGAGCTCCGGAAGGACCACAAAACTTGTTCTCGTGCTTACTATCACTTTTTTTGCGGCTGAGTTCCCTCTCGGCGTTGTCACTGCTCTACAGGCGTTTTTTCATGCAATCACTGGAATGAGGTACAGTCAAAACGCTATATCTCATTTGCCAGTAGAGATATCAAAAAGTTGTCAATCAACAAATTGCTCACGAAGACATTTTGTATCGAAAAATGAAAAAAGAGAAGGAACTGCGTTTTGAACGTCCTGAAATTTGAGAAGAATTCAATAATAACCAGAAAAATTGGCTGAAAACTGAAAAAATCAATTGTTAAAAGTTAAGACGATTGATTTTCCAATGCTTTTTTGTGTATTTGTGTCGAAAATCGTTCAACTCTCTTTTTCGAATTCGCTTGGCACGGTGCCATGACAAACTTTCCCATCACAGTCCTTTGTCGGCATTCTTATCACTAATTTCCGCCCGTAATTAAGACCGTAGAGCTTCAAGCGGAATTGCGGCAAATTTTAAAGAAGCCGACTTAATTACAGACGGAGACTAGTGATAAGGACGCCGTGCCAAGAGGATTCGGAAAAAGAGTGATAAGGAATTGAAGGATTTGCGATTTCGAATGCAAACACTCAACACATTCCGATCGATTTGACCCGATTGGGCTAGTTGCAAGCCAGTAGAGATATCAAAAAGTTGTCAACCAACAAATTGCTCACTAACACATTTTATCAGTTGACTGCTTTATGATCTCTCTACCTCACAGTTAACTCCTCAGGTGGATATTGATCTACTTCTCTTACATATTCACATTGTTACTCTCGCTCAACACCTCAACCCATATGATCGTGTGTCTTCTGATGTCTTCTCAGTACCGCTCGGCTGCCGAATCGGTCATTTTTTGTGGCTACACTTCGAAGCAAAAGGTTTTTATATATGTGAAGCAAAAATGAAATGAGAGAAAAGAGTTTTCAGATGAGCAGAACGAGTGTAATCACAGTTTCTTCAGTTGTCATAACACAATGATCGTCTATCTTTTTGTGTTAGCAGTTGGTTGAATAAAGCATGTGGAAGTGTACACTTGCGTCGTCTCGGGCGCCAATTTATTGTGCACCACCCAGCACCACGTTTGCTCGCCGTCCTGAAATGGAGAGTCACATGGAAAAATCAAAGAGGCGGCTTGCTCACCGAATAGACGCGCGCCGTGTTGACAGTGTTCACGTAGCCAATCTGAAAACGGGAGAATTGTGGGAACGACGGGTGTGTTCGCATGACTCACTTGTTTGGAAATCTGCTCCGAATCGCCGACGCTGTAGCGTTGGACTCGAGAACGGACAAAGGATTCCTGAAAATCGAAGATGAACTTTAGAAGCGTTTGCATGTTCCGGGAAGCCATGATCAACTAAAACTTTGCAATGTTTGACGCTCACCTGACTCGTAACCGTCTTCATGTTCTTCTCATCGTTGGGCCACACTCGTTGCCACTGAAATAGAGCGTCTTTTCGTGAAGCCGCTTTCAGATCTCTTCATACCTTGGTCCGAAACTCGGTCACCGGAATCACTATTGTAGACGTGACGACGTGCTCGTTCTCCTTCTCCTTCTTCTTATTCAGATGTATCATGGCGAGTGAGTCTCTCTCTTTCGTCCACTTTTATACCAATGTGTCACTAGCACAACGAGACAAAGAGCCGGAGACGGCGCATGTTGTTATTACGCTTTTTCATTGTTTTCTTTTTCCATTCTCCTCCCTCTTTTGCATGAAAATTGATGACGTGTCTGTCAGGAGAACATTGGATAAGGAATGTGCCGAACTAATTTGCGAGTCTGTTTTCGTTCTGCCAAAGCCTTCGTCTCCTTTCTTAAACCAGCCCCACTGCAATCAGTCGAGAGAGCGGATAACGGGAACACCACACAATTAGTGATATGTATCCGACCGTACACGGACCGAGGGATACCAGTCGACGAACCAGTTTCGCCCGAAAAACGATAGGTTTTTGATGAAGAGAGAGAAAGAGAGAGAGAGCGAGAGAGAGAGAGAGAGAGAGAAAGAAGATGATAACGCACTGTGACAGGCGATTTTGAGGCTGAAATTCGAGTCACCGATAGACACGCTTTCAGAATGCGCTCATATTTTGCACAGACTGCCGACCAGAGTTGAGCGGAAATGGAATTTTGAAATTTGGAAGACGGAAGACAATTTTTCTTACCTTTTTCTCCGGTTTTTTTTGAAAAAAATAACTAAACAACAAAAATTTTTGGATCTGCGTTCTTCGGGGCTAGTAAATGGCTTCTGAAAAGCTATTACTCGTTTACGGTAAGAAGAAAAAATCCCGGAAGACGGAAGACGGAAGAAAACCTTTTTCCCGGAAGACAGAAGACGGAAGACGGAAGACGGAACAAGAAAAACCACGGAAGACGGAAGACGGAATTCCGCTCAACACTGGACGTGCAGTATTGGATAAAAATCAAAAGCTGTTCACCAGGAGGACCTCTAGAATTTCAGAAACGATCTCAAAATCATGCAAAATTTGTACTAAACTGTATCGTGCTTTTTCCGACTCTCGCACGGAGCGAAAAATGAAAGTTCTGCACCGTTTTTGTTGTGTTCTGTTAGAATTTGTGATAGTAGACCGTCTGAAATTCGCTTTCTGTCAGGAAATGTGGAAACCTGTTCTTCCTCAAACTTCACATCGCTACCTTGAAAAATGTCGCGTCGAGAGACTCGCTTCGTCTTGCAACCCATTTTGAGCAGGTTCTCAACACGTTGCTCGATGCTCGAAAAATGGAATCCATCCGCCTGATCGCCTCGTAATTCATCCTCAATACCCCCTACACTTTCTCGCTCCGGTTCACCCACTTTTTCTACCACTACTGCTGCTGCTGCGCAATGTTTTCTTTTTTCGTCGCCCGGAAGATTGGGGTCAAAAAGACAGAAAGACAGAGAGAGAGACCGAACGCAATTGATGGAAAGTTGACGCAAAACTGACGAAAGTGAATCGTTATCAGCAAAGTTTTGTGGTAGGCGCCGGCTATACCAGTAACGCCTGGGGCGGCGCGACGGCTTCGAGTATAAAAGGATCGGCGGACGGCCTCAAAACCATCATCACTTGATCGAATCCAGATCAGGGAGATCCACCCGAACCAGTCGAATCATGGACTCTTCCGACGGCCGCACCAAGGCCTACAAATTCGTCGCCTACGCCGCCGTCTCCTTCTCGATTGTGGCCGTTCTGTCGGTGGTGCTCACACTGCCAATGGTCTACAATTACGTGTCACATGTTCGACAACAAATGACTCACGAGCTCTCTTTTTGCAAGGTTTCTCTTTTTCTTTTCTTTTCTTTTCTCCTTTTCTCATTCCTCTCTTCCTTCCTTCTAGGGCTCCGCAAAGGACATCTTCGCGGAGGTCAACTTCATGAAGACCCACTCTGGCCCAGCCGCCCCCGGAAACCGTACCGCGCGTCAGTCTGGCTATGGACAGCCCGAAGTGAACCCGTCGCCGAACCTTCAGTGCGAGGGATGCTGTCTGCCAGGACCGCCAGGACCAGCCGGAGCGCCAGGAAAGCCAGGAAAGCCAGGACGTCCGGGAGCGCCAGGACAGCCCGGAATCCCTGGAAAGCCACCAACTGCTCCATGTGAGCCAACCACGCCACCACCGTGCAAGCCATGCCCACAAGGACCACCCGGACCACCAGGACCACCAGGAGCCCCAGGAGACCCAGGAGAGGCTGGAACCCCAGGACGCCCAGGAACCGACGCCACTTCCGGACTTCCAGGACCACGTGGACCACCAGGACCACCAGGAGAGGCCGGACAGCCAGGACCACAGGGAGATCCAGGAGCGCCAGCCCAGTCCGAGCCACTCACTCCAGGAGCACCAGGAGAGGCTGGAGATGCTGGTGAGCTTTTGTCGCCCCTTCTCGGCCCCACTATTTTATCGTTTTCTTTCAGGACCGGCCGGACCACCAGGACCACCAGGAGCGCCAGGAAACGACGGACCACCAGGACCACCAGGACCAAAGGGATCGCCGGGACCAGACGGACCAGCCGGAGTCGACGGACAAGCTGGACCACCAGGACCACCAGGACAGGCCGGAACTCCCGGAGAGAAGGGAATCTGCCCCAAGTACTGCGCTCTCGACGGAGGAGTCTTCTTCGAGGACGGAACTCGCCGCTAAACGGTGTCTTTTTCTCATTAAACGTGCAATTATTATGGTTTTCTTTTGGTTCTTCGACAATAAACATTTCATTAAAACAAGCTCACACGAGTCCGATCATGGCCATCGTGAAAAATCCGAGAATGACAGTGAGAAAGAGCATGAGCACCATAAACGTCTGATTGTGACTTCGCTCTGTGCTCATCGGCTGCTTGTCGCATCTCGCAACCGTCGCGCTTCTCGACATACAATTCTTCGCCACCCACGCGCTCTTCTGCTTCAACTGAAATCAACATGAAATATATATTCTAAACAGCACACGGTCTCCAGAGCTGACAATGGGCGCAAGTGCGCCCCGCCCAATAGAGCGATACATTGGCGCGAAATTCAAATTTTAACAGCAAAATTTGTGTTTTTTGCCAGATTAGCCACAAAAAACCGATAATTTCTCATTTGTCTCTCAATAGACCGATTGTATAGGCTATTACGAATTGCTTAAGCGCAAGAGCGTTAAATTTGGTCAAGTCGCAAATCACATTTATCCGTTTGAAGGTTTTTGGCTAAAACTGCGTGAATTTCAGTTGCTTTCCGGTAATTTTCGCGATTCGAGCGCTCAAAATGCTTGTATTTACGTGATTTATTTCATTCTCAAAACCAATTCTGTCTGAAAACGGTCAAGAAAGCGCAAAATGAGAAGTGCGGTTTTAAGGCGGCGATCGGCGGCGAAGGCGAAAAAGCAAAGTCCGCGAAAAATGCATGCGCCAAAACGTCATTAATTCTGAGAATTAGTGTGTTTTCATGTCGAACAATCATTTTTCATCGCCGTTGACCACAAAAATCAGAGAAAACCTGCTCAATTCATGAAAACGCCATTTGGCCGAGGCCACGCCCATATTGTCAGCTCTGGAGGCCGTGCGCAGCACGAACTCCCTCACAATTCTCGACAAAACATTGTACTTGACGGGGTCCTCTCTCAGCGAGAACGTCTTCCATCCCTTCGACAGAAGCACTCGCGGATCGTTCTTGCACGGCAACGTCTTCTCGAGATATTCGGCACGTTTCTTGCAGAGGAACGCAATCGCCGGGTCCGGTCTCTTGTTGTTTCTGCACGTGTTCAACTCCATACTCCTCAGTTTACAGTACAACAACGGCGGGTGCATTTTTTCCAGCTGTAATTGTGGGCTCTCATAATTCTCGCCGACACGACTCACATCTCCAATGACCGCCAGCTCGGGTCTCTCGTTCGCTTTGAACAAAGCGTGTTTCCTCCGAATTCCCTCCGCCCACTTCCTCATTCTCAAATGATTCTCCGCCGCTTTTTGCAGCGTCATGTGCGTATAGTCTCCGATATTGTTCATTCGATGCTCCTTCTGCTTGTCCGTAAACTTCCAGTCCACTTGCCAGTCCAACGGCGTGTCGGTTGCCGCCGACGCATTGCTGTCGCTCGAGAAGGCGCTGTCGGCTCCGATCGACGGAGCCCGAGTCGGAATCGGAGGCAGCGCCGTTTGTGGTTCATGGTTCTTGTTGACTGAAAAATGAGGAACTACTCGAAGAACCAATGTCCGAAATACTCACAGTTGACGACCGAGAGTGCGGGAAAGTGAGAGTAGCGGCTCACTCGAACACGGATCATCGACGGGCCGATTGAAGAGGACTAAACTTTTGTCACTAGAACAAGGCTGGGCTTTTGCAGATTTCTTGAACTTGGATTGAAGTATATTGGGTCCAAGTTTCAGACCGATCGAATTATCTGGTCCCTAAGTATACCTTTTTGAGCCCGAGAAGCCCGGGTTTATGCAAAAACACGGTTTTTTTTTCAGATCAACCGATCCAGCTGAGGCTTGGACCCAAAGTACTCCAACCCCGACGCAATCGGATGCGGACTAAACCTTTTTCAACTGCGAATTCTCCAGTTTCGCTCTTTTCAGCTTGAACGGCCTGATCACTCGACACACGTGGACCGAGAACGAAAAGTGCGAGGGAAGGTAGTTGAACTCGTTGAACAGATCCTGATCGCCCCGTCTGCGGTACACCATTTTCGGATGACGGTTCACCACGTTCGCGCTGCAAACACTAATATCTTTTGGGAGCTAATGATCGGAAATCCTACTATAGTCTGTCTCTGGGAAACTTGACAAAGAGCGGAGTCCGTCGGCACGCCATCCGATCCTTGACCCATGCCTTGTTTCGTCTCAGAAACTTCTAAACTATTCCTTCTGTTTCTCGATCCGTTTGCCGATCTCTTCGTCACCTTTATCCGTCCCTTCGCCTCTTTTCCCCTCTTCTGAACCACATCTCTCAGCGCCTGCACTGCCCGCGTCATCGCCTCTTTCACCGTCTTCTTGTTATTCGTGATCATCTGACCAAAGAACGGCTGGGCGAACTTCTAAAAGTTCTCTGTTTGTTTTCTGAACGTAATGGACGTGTTGTGTGTCAAACCTGATACTTGGCCACGAGGATGCGCGGCGATTCGAGCATCCGAATGCCAAAGTTGTTGTGTTCGGGACATCGTCTCCGCATCGGCAATTTCAGTTTTTCGCGTCTTCTCCGAAACTCGGCCATCAAACAAATCGAGATGCCGGGCAATTTCACTTCGTCGCGAGCCAAATATCGTTTCGGAGTGGCGTGCGCCTGTTGAGCGGTGCGCATGTACATCTCGTGTTTGGTGATCGTGTCCATGAAATTGTACGTTCTGTACAGGTAGTGCACCTTTTCCTGATTGTCGGCGACGGGCGGTGCGAACAGGGTTGACGAGTACGTCGGCGGCATTTTCACTTTGCTAAAATGTCTTTATTTTACTTTCAGAAGAGCTCTGTTTTGTGCCTGTGACTCACTAAGCGAGCGTGTCCATTCGATCGCCCTTGAGATCCAATTTCAGAAAGTTCGCATAATTCCCTCCAATCTTCTTGAGTTGACGCGCGTTTTTCGCGTCTTTCAGCACTCCCGCACGCTTCCTCCGGTGGATCATCAGCGTTTTGAACGGTTCACCACGTCGACGAGGCGGCACTCGCGATTTCTGAACTCGCACAGATAAGGAGAAAATGGAGGGGTTCCAACTTTTGGCTTGCCTGTTGAATTCCTCGTCTTTCCCTTCTTCCTCATTCGCTTCTTCGACTCTTTCTTCCGTTTCGACGCACTTTTTCTCATCGTCGACTTCTTGTTTGTTGCTCTCGTCTTCGTCGTGTTCTTCTTCGTTTTCTCCGTCATTTTCTTCATTGCACAATGGTCAGAGGAGACCACTGGTAACTTTTTCATAGTTCACGTGGGATCAAATCACCACGCAACATTGTTTATTCAGCTTTCTAGAAAGATATCAAAAAGTTGTCAACTGAGCGAATGTGCGCAACGTCTTAATAAACAATTTGTTAGTTGAAAACGTTTTGATATCTCCATCAGCAGCTTAACTTCCTTCTCAACATGTGTAGTTCAGTTTTCTAACAACTTTCACTGAAATCCGATGCCCAATGACATTCCAAGACCCCTTCGATCCGTCTGGAATGTCTTCTGGAATGCTCTCGCCCCCACCCACATTCCCCATTGTTTTGCTCTTGGATCGGCGATCAATTGTGCCTCGCAAATCTAAACATTCCGTCGGCTGATTGAATTTCCACCTCGCCCCCACAGTAGTAGCATCCGGAGCCCCTTCTTCTTTTCCTTTTCTAAACAAACGATTCGGATCGAGCGGCAGATAATATTTTATGCGAGAAATGAATGAGCGGGGGCAAAGGTGTCTCCCGGAAAAGATTCGGTCGTCGTCGTTTGCGCGGCGCGCACACGATTTTTATCGTTTCGCTCTCATCCCAAGGTTATGACCGCCTTTCCTAGACGCTCTCATCTCCCCGCTCGTTTACCGTCCATCACAATCTTCGAGGTGCCAAACTGTTTGTCATGTGAACGCTGTGTAACCGGCTGCCTGGTCGTTCAAGGACGAAAATGGGTCCTCGTCGGATGGAATGGAATGTACCCGGGTATCTCGATCTCTTTTTGACAACGGTACCCGATCGCATCGCATCTCTTTCTCGGGCGACGACGACGACGACGAGGAGGAGGAGGAGGAGGACACTGCACTTTTCGATACCATCTTTTCGTGTTTCTTGTCATCCGCAATGTCAATGACCGTGAAAGAATCTCTCGCTCGGGAGCGGCATGGATAGACAGAGAGGAAAAGAGAAAGGAAGAGAGAGAGCGAGAGAGAGACGAAACTAGTGTAATTGTAAAGTTAAACGGGTATGTACTGACACTGTTGACTATGTGATTCGATTTGTCAGGTGCCACGCCACGTCGCCGAACTTTCCCCTCCACATCGTCGCGGGTACGTACTTGGAGGGGACAGGCACTTCGGACATTGTGGCGAGGCGATCAATCTTTTGAAGATTAGATCCAAAGTTGCAGATTTTCGCGGAGATTTGCAGAGATTCGCTCGCCAAATTCAAAAACTGGCTTGAGCGTGAAATGAACATTAAAGCCACGTCACCTCTGGTGTTCCGCTCCTAGCAGGGGTGTCTTTCCGATAAAGCTTCACCGCAAATCACGTTCCTCGGCACCGTTTCGGTTCTCGTTCAAACAAAGGTACGCGCGGCACAACACACCCGCAATGGTCCTTTTAATTACAAGTCACCCACCCCACCCCCCATTCATTCTCGCTCCATTTCGCGGAACGGAACGGAACGCAAACACTTGACCCTGTTTGAGGCGCCTCCTTCGCATTTTCATATAATAATTTCGTCGTCGTCGTCTTCTTCTTCTTCTTCTGCTTATTCTCACTGCCACGTCATAAACATTCAATCGATGCTTCTTTTGTGTTTACGGGATCTCTGGGTGCCTGTGCCTGTGCCTGTATGTGTGTGTGTGTATGTGACAGTGCAAATATTTGACTCAACTCAACTCGAGGGCGGAACGTACCTTGACAGGTACCAATCGACCACGTCGGTCACTTCCGCCACTTTTGACCAACCGTTCGACCAATTCCATACAACCGGTTCCCACCTAAAAAAAAATCTTATTCGACGTGTCACTCACAAAAAACATTTTGCCTCTCAAAATCGAGTTTTTAACCTAATTACTTGTTTCGCCACTTGTTCTAAAAGTGTATTTTTTTTGTAATTGAAAGCGCCTTTTCAATTTTTCGAATTTTGCAAAAATCGCGTGAACATTTGAATTACGCAAGCCGATTTTTTGGAAAGTTCGAGGCTCGAATTGCGATGGCCGAAGTTTTGCAGAAAAGCCGCAACTCCTCGCCCACCTCTCACATCCGCTTGTTCCGATGACGTTGCACCGTCCGTCTCATCTCGCGCCTGTCGCCAACCAACAACATCTTCTTATCCGTTATCACCGGGCGGTCCGTGTCCACACAATCACAGATCGTTTCGTTTCGCCCCCCCTTGATGTCGTCGTTCTCTCGCGAGAAAGTGGAAAAAGTGCAGAGGAGGGATGGTTTGGTCAAAGTGCACTAGGCGCGAGCGAGAACTTTTTATCTTTTCTCCTGCAACCCCATTCATTTCTCTCCGTCTCGGGATGATTCACGGGAGGTGTGTCGTGTCGGTCGTAGCCAAACGGACAGGGGGGAGGGCGTGGCCTCCTAGTACCAAGGACACCTCGACCGGGGCGGAATAAAGGAGACCTCCGAGAGGCGTCATTCATTCCGACGCTCGTCTCTCTCTCGCCGCGGCCTCATTTTTCCCGCATCTTCTTGCCTCCGTTCATTTTCATTCGCTTATTGTTCTTTGCTATTTTCTCGGTTTTTGCAGCTCGCCCGGCCAACGATGTTTGTGGGGGACACGTCCGAAAGATTGTGTTGAATACGGACGACTGATGGAGGAGGGCCAACTTCACGCTCAAACGGCCGAATCCCCCGTGCGTTCCAACGATGCAAATCTGAAAAAGGTGAGCTCATTTCGAAACCTTTTTTGACGTCTTCTATTCGAATCGTCTTCCAGACTCCCTCCACGTCATCCCGGACGTGTCGATTCGATTGGGCCTCGTGACTGCTTCCGGTTTGCGCCCGCGGACGTTGAATGCCCGCTTCTTCCGTGGTCCCCTCCTTGAAGCGCCGTCGCGAGTTCGTCTCGTCACTGTCCAACCGGCGGCTCGGCTTGCTGTGATCGAACCTGCAACGTCAGCAAAGTCTGTGATAAGAGAATATACATATATATTTCTATGCATAATAACCGTCCATCCCTCCCCGTCCTTTCCCGCCAACCTAACCCCACCCACCAATCCGTCACAGTGATTTTTTTTTGAAATTGAACTAACCTATGGTTTTACATGGTATCGAGAAAAAAAGTGCCTGAAAATTGCAAAAAAAGAAAATGATTGAAGTTCCGAAAGTCCGATATTTATAAGCATTCATTTATAGGCCCCTCATTGATTGTTCCATCCCAAAAAAAAAATGGGAACTAAGAGATGCCCCTCCGTGTTCGCCACTTGTGACCTTATTGTGATTAAACACCATTCATGCCACGAATAAATCATAATGATCACAGGAAGCCAGAGTGTACAGTGTTTTGTGTGAAAATGAAAATGAGATCTATCGATAATGCCGATTCTTCAAAACCGCCGCCTTTTCCGTGTAAACAATCTCGGGGTACATCCAGGGGAACGATTTGGTCCTTCTGCAAAAAATATGGAAATGTCACAAAATACAACCAGTCTCGACCCACTTAATATTGTACTGATGGAACGAGTTGACAAAGAACAGCGGACGGTGCCACTTCATAAACTTCGTCTCCACTTCCACCTTCAACTTGTTGCCGTAGGTGCCCAGCACGAGGAAGTCAAAGTGTTCCAAGTCTTCGGGCTTCAGATTCTCCGTCTTGTTGTACCTGTAATTAGGGATTATCGTCGCGAGAAGGAAGGAGATGAGATGGGAACTTAATTACTATTCACTTCTACATGAACTGAGGACACGAGGATGAAGGAGATTAACGAAGAAGTCAGAAGAACTGTTCGAGATGACACAGTCCGACTGGCGGTACAAGGAATGAGAATGCTAAAAATGAGAACTCATTTTTTGTGATTTTGTAAATAATGAATTGCTGCCCCTTAAGGACGTTCCAGCCTTGCGGCTGCCAAATTTTTTTTCCAAACTGTCGGCGCTCAACTCAAAACACCTATATCCATCTTGATCACAAAGAAACAACTAACGTCCAGGCATCATTGATCTGCAGGAATCTATTGACGCCGGTCTGTGCGCACGCGTTGTCAATGTACACCGACACCGGCTTGCGGGCGTCGAACCGATTCTGGAACTGCAGATAATTGAGCGCATCGAAGCCCGGATAGTTTTTCGAGGCGACGAGTAGAAGCATTCCGGTGCAGAGAACGTTGGCGATCAGGTGGAGGAGAACTCCGAAGTAGAGGATCGAGTGGAAGAACGACTTCCACTTGTTGATGAACATGCGCGCGCAGAAGACGGCGGCGCCGAAGCTGAAGATCGGAAGGACGTAGATGATGAATCGGAGCTCTTTGTGCGGCAGGAAGCTGTAGAGGAAGACGAAGAGAAGGGCGGGGAGGACGAATTGAGAGACTCGACGGTCGAGGAGAAGGCCGAGTGGGACGAGCACGAGGGAAGTGAGCAGCGCGCGCGGGAGGGCAGAGTAGAAGTACCAGAGGAACGGAAGGGTCTGAAAATAAACTTTGACGCTGAATGATTGTTGGGAGGGACGCACTCCGTATTCATGACTCCGATTCTCGACGACGTTGAAGAACATGACTTCTCCTTCCGGCCAAACTGGACGGCGCCAGAAGTATGAGTCGAGTGGGAGGGATATCGCTGAAAGATCACTTACAGTTCTAGAAACGCGCAGATAACAGGCTTACCCAAACACATTGCGGCGACGCGTATTCCGATCGCGATCGCTCCGTCGCTGCCGAGAACTCGCAGTCTTCCAGAGGCCATGTACTGAAGGAAAAGCGGTCCGAAGAGGAGGACGAGCTCGCAACGGAAGAGAATGACGCAGGCGGTCGCGTAGCGGACTGCACTTTCCAGACGATCATCGAGGATGCGCTCGAGAACGATCATGACGAGGATCATGGCGAAAGTGTTGGGCAGCGGGCGGGACATGTAGAAGATGTAGTGGAATTGAGTGCACATGATTATCCGCAGAAACATTGCCGTCTCTCTTCCGAACCGCCGACTGACTGAGCGCGCAAAGTAGAGGAAGGCCATCGTGTTCATTAGGCCCAGAGTTGCACGGACTGAAAGTTCTGGGATCTTGGGGGTACGGAAAGGCTTCTTACTGAGTAGGAGTTGCCACATTTTGGGAATGGCCCAGAAGCGGAAAATGAACGACATCGGTGAGGAGAGGGCGGCGAGGAATAGAGGGCCGAGGAAGGTGCGCGGCACGATTCCGGGGAACTGCGTGTGGTCATACTGCAAATTCACTTTTTTCAACATACGACTATTTCCAGAAATCGAACATTGACATCTCTGCTTTATTGATAAAAGTTCAATTGTATTTTGTTTTTCAAAATGAGCCAGGTCAGCTTCACAATTTCCAGTCCCCCGTAGACTTTTCCGGCCAGTGCTACACAAACTTTTCTTCTTTCGATCGGTGAACTTCTAATCAACCTACATACCCACTCAACTTTTTTGCCAAAAGATCAACCTATCACTAATTGACACGTCTTCTTCAGCCTTGACAAGAGACCTTCGCAAAACATCAGACAATCAGCGTATTAATAGACGGCCCGTTTGCGCCGACACATTTCGTGCTAAAATGCTTCATTTTCTACAACTTCTTCTTCTTTTCGCATCTTCTATCGATTATTCACAAGCAAACGAGAGCGAGTGCGGCACAGAGGATTTCTTGAAAACTTTTGAGTGTATTGGAGTAAGTGTGACATTCCCATTTATCACCTAATCAGTGCTGGCCCAGGCTTTCCGATGAGGATTATTGAAAGTGGGTCAAAAATTCAGAACTCTAAATTCTCGTATTTCTAGGGTCTTGCCGAGTTTGTGTCCACTGTTGACAACTACAATTTGACGGTGGAAATTGATCGCAAAACGTTCATGGGCGCTTGTAAAGAGGCATCGGACTGTTTCTCCGGTGCCTCGTGTCTTCACGCTGATCGTCTGAAGCTCTTTCTGGATACCTACTGCTCGTACTCGACATTTTTGGAGACCGAGTTCAAGGAATGCAAAAATAGACTAGATGCTCGCGAGGAGACTCAATGCGAAAAGTCATTCAAGTCCTTTTTTAATAATGTGAGTGCATTTCACGCCTCATTTCTCTACTGAACTATTCTATTTCAGACTGTCGCTGAGGATGTAAAGTGCGGCAAATTGGAAGAGTCGTTGAAATGTGTTAGAGTGGAAGTAAGAAAAGAGTGCGGCGATTCGCACGCCGACAATATCGCAAAGTATTTGGAGAACATGTCGACAGGGCTCTCTTGTGACAAAGTCTAGTTTTGATCTCTAGCTTAATCAATAAAATGGTATCTCCTACATTGCTGAGGTTAGTGGGGAGATGGAAGAGAAGGTCGTGGGTGGCTTGCACGTTGAACGATTCCTCCACTTTCGTGCCCGGTGCCAGGATGATGTGAATGAGACCGACTATTATGACGATCCATTCGGTCCCCTCCATTCTGAAGGCGATTAGGTTAATAGTGAGAATTGATGAATTCAGGTATGAGCATGAGAAGAACAGGTTAGGAAGTGAATGGAATGAGCAATTGAAACTATAAAACTTTAATCGAAACAAAACAATCATCAACAAAACAAAATAGTAATCTAACTTAATTGAATACTCGACTATTTCTATTTCTCATTGACGATCAACTTCTCGATCCGTTCCGCCTCTTCTCTCGCACTCTGCACCACTTTCCGCGCGTTCTCCGCCTTCTTCCGACACTTTGCCACGTTTGTCGCCGTCGGATTCTCGCAGATCGCTTCGTACGCCTCCACTTTCTTCTCGAACTGCTCCTGACGTGTTCGGCTCTTCTCCAACTGCTTTTTGAGCGTTTCAATAAACGCGTCTCTCGATTCTTTGTCGATTTTTAGCCACAATTTCGCATCGTGACCTGGAACCGGGCATGCCATGTACTCGTTTTCCACTTCTTCCTCCACTTTTTTGCAAATCCTTTGCAGCTCGAGCCCACACGTCGGCGTCACGTCATCAGCAAGCCGGCGAAGATCCGGAAGCGCGGAGGAGGATTGCATTTCGAGCACTCCGGAAAAGACGAGCTTCTGCGAGAGTTCCAGTTTCTGACGGATCGATCGGACGGCCGCCATGACGGCAGTCAACAGCTGCATGCCCTCTTCCAGCTCTTCGTTCCGATGGAAAATGAAGAGCGACGGCTTGACGACGTCGAACAGAATACTTCCGGGCTCGCGGGAAAAGATTCGTTCGTAGAGGAACTCGCTGACGAACGGCATGAATGCGTTCAGCTGAACGAGCGTCGGCTGCAGAACTCTTTGGAGTGTCGAGCGGGCCTCTCGGATGCGTGCCACGTCGTTCGTCCACAACGCCTTCTTCGTCGTCTCCTAAATTCAAGCATAAAACAGGGCGACGTTTTAGTTAAGTTACCAGATAAACGTCGCAAATGTCGGCGGTGATAAACTTGTGAAGAGTGGAGAGGGCCAAGTGAAGCGAGAAGTTGCTCATGTGCTTGTCGACAGAGGTCACTGTGCTCGCGAGTCTCGCCATCAGCCACTCGTCCTGGAAAATGAGCGCAAATTAGGTCAATCAGCAGTCCCGGCCTGACCACAATTCGGTCCGAGTCGACATCTTTGATCACTTCGCATTTCTCGGCGAGTTGGTCGTAATAGGCGGCCAGGTTCCACAATTTGTTGCAGAATCGGAGGCCTTCGAGCGCGGCGTTCGAGACGTCGAGGGAGATGTCGGTGGAGAGGACGTCGTACTTCAAAAGGGCGAAGCGGAGCGCGTCGGGACCGCATCGGTCGATTCCGTTCGGGAACCGTTTCGAAAGATCCGCGACGGCGCTTTCGATTTCTTTGTCTTCCAAAGCACTCTGTTTCACTCTCGCAATCATGTTTTCAAGGGAGATTCCGTCGAGAACGTCCAACGGATCAATCACATTTCCCAGTGATTTACTCATTTTCCGACCCTCGCTGTCCCTCACCAATCCGTGCAGAACGACCTTCCCGAATGGGGGTTCTCCGCCCGAAAGCTTTAGATTCATTGCGATCATTCGCGCGACCCAGAATCCAGAGATGTCCCATCCGGTTTCCATCACATTCAGCGCTGGCGTCTGGATCGGAGCGCCTCCTTCCGCCATCCATCCGTTCTTGACCAGAGGGACCAACGACGAGCTGAACCACGTGTCGAGAACGTCTTCGTCCTGTCGGACCGATGCTTCTTCTTCTTTTCCGAGCTGCCGACGGGCTTCCTGCTCGCTTTCCGCTACAATCCACTTATTTCCATCAAGAGTACGGTAGGCGGGAATTCGGTGGCCCCAGAGGAGCTGTCGGCTCAGACACCACGGCTCTTGGTTTTCGAACCAGTCGGTTAGACGGTGAGATTGATAGTCCGGGTACACTTTGATCTGAAGATAATCAATTTTCGTCAAAATGAAACTACTTTTTATATACTTTTCCGCTTTGAATAGCCTCTGTGGACCTCGCAAACATGTCTTTACAGTCCAGGAACCATTGCTCGGCGAGCCGTGGTTCGATGACGTCGCCGGTTCGGGAGCACAAGTTCACCTGCGCTCCCTCGTGCTCCATAACTCCTCCGTATAACCTGGATCCCATCAAGACTTCCAAAACCCGCTCTCTCGCTTCAAATCGATCCAATCCGTTGACTGTCTCCCCGTAATTTGTCATTTTCCCATTCTCATCGATGCATGATACGTCTTCTTCGGATCCTCCAGCTCTACACCAGATCTCATAATCGAGCGGATCGTGCGAAGGGGTGATCTTTACAGCGCCGGTGCCTTTCTTCATGGAAACTGCCGAGTCAGCAATCACTTTCAGCTGCCGCCCCGGCACTACTGGCGACCAGACGAACTTTCCGATGAACCGCGAGTACCTCTCGTCGTTCGGATGCACTGCGATGGCGACGTCGGCAAACAGAGTCTCCGGACGCGTCGTTCCCACTTCCAGCATGTCTTCCGAGTCTGTCAATCGATATCTGACGAGGTGCATTGCTCCGAATTTCACTCGTCGTCTTCCGTTTCCGTCAACGGAGGGAATTGTGAGATATCCGTCCGCGGGCACGTCGATTCGATTCACTTCTTGACTCGAAAGAGTAGAGGCGAGTGTGGGACACCAGTGGACGATCCGCCGCCCGCGGGAGATTAGACCATCCGAGTGGAGCGTGCAGAACGCCTTTGTGACAGCGGCGGAGAACGTGGCATCGAGGGTGTAGTAGGATTGATTCCAGTCGAGAGAGGCGCCCATTCGCGAGAGTTGCTGACGAATCTCCGAAGAGCACTTTTCGCTCCACACGTGGCATTCCTTCACAAACTCCTCCCTCGACATGTCCTGACGTCTCCGTCCGCTCTTCGCGAGCATCTTCTCGACGACTGCCTGAGTGGCGATTCCGGCGTGATCGAATCCTGGAATCCATTCGGCCTACAACACGAATATCAAATTTTTTATTTGTTTTTTTTTTCAGAATACCTTGTTCCCCTGATTCCGTTGATGTCTGCAAATTGCGTCTTCCACTGCCACCGTCAATGCATGTCCCAAGTGCAGTTTTCCGGTCACATTCGGCGGCGGGAGTACCATTCGAAACAAACTGCCTTCAAAATCGCGATTTACTTTAAAACATCAATTTTTCTTCAATTACCATTCTTTCGATAGTTAGCAGATGCAAATTCCGTTCGTTGCTCAAAGTTTTGCGTCACTTCATCGATGTTAAACGAGCTGAAAGCAATAGAAATTCCAGTTTTTACCGATTTCATTTTTACCTACTACTTTGTCGCGTAAAAACAGCCGATGAGAACACATGTTGACCTGAAGAGCGATGGAACAGTGCTAATCGATTCAATTTTCCCATTTGATATTCTGAAAAGCTGTCGGAATTGTGTTTTTTGAGCGAAACATTCGAAAAACCAATTCCTCGATTATTTGCGAGCGCGTTGCAAGCGCGCTCCACGGCTAACATAAAACGGCGGGATGTTAAAATAAACATTTTCCCCGGAGATTTGCAATAAAAACCAAGCCAAAAACGTCTGATTTTTATCTGAAAATTTATGGTTTTTTTCAATTGTTGGTTTGATAAATATAGAAATTCTAAGCCGAAGGCGATTGTCTGAGTTGAAAGCTTCGCTAACTGCGCTTGACCGTCAAAAAACATGCAAAATTGGGAAAGTGAGATGCGTTTTGAAGGTCGTCGACTGAAATTTTTCATCTTGTCAAAGGCGGCTGCCGCAACGCAACGAGCGGAGTGTCGCACAGGAAAAACGGCAACACTCGGGAATTACCGAGCGATCACCGAGCAGACGCTCGTATCCTTTGACTACTTGGACTTGTTCTCAATAATTTTTATTTGAACCATCACATCGACGTTCTTTTTTACCCTTGGTTCAAGTGAATAAAGGCAAAGACTCGAGTAAAACGGGAAACAATGAGCGACGTGATCGGGAAGAGTTTTCAGGAAAATCTTCCGAGCCTTTTTCAAGGCTCTCTCAGATCTTACCAGATAAGATTATCCATTTCAGGAAAACCTTCAGAGCCTTTTTCAGGGCTTTTACGGTTTCAAGAAGCCGTAAAATCCGCAAATTCCGTAAGATCTGCAAAATCCATGAAGCGTACTGTTTTTGTCAGTATCTCACGGAAAAATTGAAAACTAGCATACAATTCAATATAATTCTAACTTTTCCATGGTCCATATCGTTTTTTGAACGTTTTGGTGCCTTTTGATGCCTAATCTTGTTCTTACTGATCAAATCAGGCATTTCTGATTTTAGAGACAACTAGTACAAAAGTAATAGATTCGAGAAAAAATCTCTTTTATCACAAAAAAATTTAAAAACCACCGTAAACGAGATCTCGCGAGATGACCCTCATTCGTTGGCAAACATCGCTGGCGGACTCTCTCATTTTTCTCACCATTTTCTCTATTTCTACTGAAATTCGAGTATGCTTTATAAAAAACAACGTCGATTTCTTCATTGTCGATATACTTTTGAAATGTTTCGATAAATTTATTTCGGCAGTTGTTTTTCGAAAAAACTGAGCTTCCGTAAATCGACACCGCAAAGAGCCGAGTCACTTTTATTGAAAATCTTTAGTTTTTTTTTTTAATGTTCTGCAACTGCTTTTCTGTCAAGTCAAGACATTTTATTTGTTTTTTTCAGTTTGTACATGACATGAGAACGTGAAATCACTGATGCATTGCGTAGTTTGAGGTTGGCGAGTAGACGTTCTGATCAAAGACCAACGGAGTTCCGTTCGACTCCACCAAATCCATCATCTTCGACTTTTTCGCCTTCTCCAAAAAGAAGCTGTTCGAGGTGTCGATGAATTTGCACGGACGGATGCCGTTCTGAATGGCCATCTTGGCCGCTCCGATTTCGAGTTTCTCTCCGAGATTCTTTCCGCGATGATTCTAAATAAAATTAATTGTTTTTAAGGAGAAAAAAACGAGGCACAAACATCGAAAACGTGCAAATGCGCGAGTGCTCCGTTTGTTTCTGAGGAGATGAATCCGGCCAGCTCGTCGCCTTTTCGAACGCAAAGCGACGGGAATCGACGCAGTTTTTCTCTGAAATTCACGGAATCTAGAAGGATTCTAGAAGATTCCTGGCCTACTCGACAAGTTTCTCATTGGCGTTGGCGGAAGAGCCGGCGATGAGAGAGACGTCTTCCGACAGATCGGGCACCTCGATCGAGTAACCGTCCGGCAGCGGCGATCCGTCTTCGTAGTGCCGATACTTGAACATCTGACTCTCGTTCATCGCGAAAAAGTGAGATGATTTGTTTTGGACGCTCGCCGCAATATTGTTTTTCTTCATGTATTCCTCAATCTGCAATCGTCCCCCTGTCTTATCATCGTTCGTTTCTTATTGTTTCTCACAGCTTTAGTGTAGCATTGTTCGGCCACAGTGGACGCTGTTTTGAGGTGTGCAAACAGTCCGGTGGCACGGCAGAACTCATCGAAAACCGCTAGAAAGTCGTTTTTTCGGAATTTGCCGTCATGGGTGAGGATCTGACGGTCTCTGCAAAAATGGGATGGGTACAAAGGTGGCGGGGGGAGAGAAACTGGTTTGGAGGAGAAGGGAAATGTCAAAGAAATGTTTGATCTTATCAAAGATTCGGAGCGTCTAAAGTCCCGACCTGTCATGGACATTGGTCATGTTTGCCATCCAATACGTGGTTCCATTCAAGTGCTTCGAGAATAAGGTAGTCGTGGTGCTGGGGAACGTGCCTCGGATCTCGAACTGAATCGGATGGTACATGAACAACTGTCGCGGCTTTCGAAAATTCTCGACGACAGTCTTCAGAGCCTTCTGTGAGTTGTAGGCCTTCATTGTCGGTTTGTGGTTGGAATTCCTTCCACGGCTCCCTCGATCTTTATAGCCCCCCGGCGCCAACCCACCCCCCTTTCGTACCGCCCATTTCGAAGCGGACGTCTAGTTACGTACGTGGGTAGAAATATAACTGTATATTGTCACGTGGGAAGAGCGCGAGAGAGAAAGAAAGAAAACATGATAAGGACCGATCTTTGGGGATGGCCAGATTCAACGAAACGGACTGTTTTGGTGGGGAGAGACGACGTTTGGTCGGATCGGAGAATTATTGGCCTTTTGGACGGTCTTGCGTCAGCGTGCGCCGAGAAAAGTCATCATCTGATGATGGGAAGAGGAGGTATAACACTTTTTGAAGATCGTCTTCTTTTTGTTTTCAACATATTACGGGATGGATGATGCATGATGCAACACTGGGTTTTACGTGCAAAAGACTTTTTTAAGAAAAAAAAAGAGCTATGATGGTTTTCTTGATATTCTCGGAAACATCGGTGAGCAAGTTCTGAAATATGATCATTCCGAGGGAACAGACGCGGAAAACAGTTTGAACCCAACCAGACAAGGTTTAACGACGGCCTTGTGATCTTTTATGTTTATGTTTCAACGACATCGGTGTAAAATTGAGATGGGAATCGAAAACATCTTATCAATCACCATCACCATGGGGGTCAACGAGTTTTCGAGCCGGGTACGCAGAGCAAAGTGTTTGCAGAGTGTAGATTTACGGGAAGGCGTTTTAAAACACGCGCATGCTAAATTAATCATTTTTTCGCAGTTCTTAATAAAAAAAAAACGTCGTTTTATCACTTTCAGAACAGTCGGAATGCTGAAAATCAATTCGACAAGAATTTGTCGAGTGCTTCAGCAGAATTTCGCCAACGAATGTGCCACGCAGCCGTCTTCTTCAGACAGTACTCGCTAAAATACACCTCCTCGTAATTTGAATGGAATTTTTAGGTTCGAAGTCAGTGACGATTCTTCCGTACGTCGAGTTCATCAAATCGAAATGGCCTGAAAAGCTGGAATTGATGAACAAACAAGTCGACGAGCTGAACAAGCAGATGGAACAGTGCGGAAATGTTAGAATTCAATATTTAAAAAACTTTCAAAAAATATATCATTTCAGAATTGCAAAGTGTCCAGCTTCATTCGAGATCTGAATTCGTTTATTCTCAACAAAAATGCGGCGGAATTGATGCCCGTCGGCTCGATGGTCACCAAATTCGTCAACAAACAATCCGACTTTGATTACGTCTTCTTCCCGAAGAAAGAGGAGCAACGACGTCGTTTTCTACGTGATTTTCATCAGAATCCAAGCTTTAAACAGTAAGAAATTTATGCAATCTTCACAATCACTGTCTTAAATTCTTAAATGAATTTTTCAGAAATTTTATGTCCGTTTTCGCGAAGTTGATCGCCCGGGAAAGTGAAAAACTCGGCGAGCCGGTGGCCGATATCGTAGAGTTGCCGAGGATGAGAGTGCCCCTTTTGATTGTTCGCTACACCTCCGGGCTCAGCATCGATATTCAGTTTCCCGAGGAGAATTATCATGCGATAAGGAACACGCATCTGATGAGAACGTACAAACAGGTGAATTGAATTGCATCATCTGTATTCAAGCTCACTTTTCTCCTATTTCAGTGCGATGTTCGCTTCAAACTGTTATTTCTGTGGTTGCGAGAGATTTGCGACAAGCTGGAAGTGCGGAACAGCAAGTACGGACTGCTTTCTTCCTACCACCTCTTGCTGCTCGTCGTTCATTTTCTCCAAAGTGAACAGGCGCTCAGTCCGTGGCCCGTTCTCCCTGTTCTTTCGAAAACTCACACCGCACTCGTTACGAGGGACATTCCGATTTATCAAGTGGCCGAGATGATCAAGCGAGATCCTCCCGAGATGGATTGGAAGTCGCACAACAAAATGGCGATCAGCGAACTGATCCTTCGATTCGTCGACTATTACTATCATTTTAATGCGGCGAAAGAGGCGATTTACATCGATAAGGGGCTCGCGCTGAAGCGGAAACAAGTGTTCGGGGACGTCCGTCTGCAACTCATCGATCCGTACTCGCCAAACTCGGTCTGTCGGTCCCCGCACGCCACCTCCGCATTCTTCGCCGCCGTGCACTTTATGAGGAAGCAGTTCAAGAACGGCCAGATGCTGAGCAGTCTTCCCAATGTTCCAGAAGCTTCCGTCTTTCTTCGAGAAACCCATTTCTCGAGTTGGAGGACACAAATGAACGACAAAATTGTTTTATAGCATTCGTACTGGTCATGTGTTCTGGTTGAAAAAAATAGTGATACTTAAAGTAAAAATTACAGCTTTGACTTTCTGTTCTTCTGCTCTTCGATAAACTTCTGTGCTCCTTTGATGCTCTCCGCGAGCACTTTGGTGCTTCCGAACTCGTACGCAAAGCTCTCGTCTTCCGTGTGATCCAACGAGTAGTACGTGGATTGTCGGTCGGCCAGCATGCACTGTTCCGGATGTTTGGCGATCAGCTTCCCGAGTGCGACCGCCTCTTCCACAGCCTTCCCTTCCTCGGCGATCCGATTGACGAGTCCCCACTGGAAGGCCTCTTCCGACCGAACCTCGCGGCCTGTCAGAATCATATCGAGCGCTCTGCCGAGTCCGATAACACGTGGCAGTCTGACAGTTCCGCCGTCGATCAGGGGAACTCCGACGCGTCGGCAGAACACGCCGAACTTGGCGGAAGACGAGGCGACCCGCAAATCAGCGATAAGCGAGAGCTCGAGCCCGCCGGCCACCGCGTACCCCTCGATCGCCGCGATCAACGGCTTCTTGATCTTCATGATGGACGGTCCCATGTATCGGTACTTGTCGAAGAAAGTCTCGTCGACCACCTCATGCTCGGCCTTCGACACTGACTCCAGATCGTAGCCGGCGCAGAACGTGCCGCCTTCGCCGTAAAGCACCGCCGTCTTCAGCGCCTCGTCCTCGTTGAATCGCTCGAACGCGTCGATGAGCTGCAGAGCCGTCGCGTGGTTCACACAGTTCTTCTTGTGCGGACGATTGATTCCGATGAGCAGCACGGGTCCGTCTTGTCGAGTTTTGACTGAAAATGAGGCTCTCTGAGGTTTTTTTGGCTGAAACTTTTTACCAAGTTGTTTTGAAGCCATCAAAGTGGAGGAAAATAGTCGTTTGACGACGATTTTGTTTACCATTTCGCCGCCGGCTACACTGTTCTTCTTTCTCATTCTTATCGATCACTAATCAATAACGTGGGAACCTTGATGCAAACGCGCTCTAGTAATAATTTACGGAAAAATAAAACTTTTATTTTCTGCTGCATAAGTACATCTAAAATGGTGATTTCGGTATCTAAATTGCCCGTTGTGTCTGATCAGTTCACCACTCAATCTTTCGGTTTTTGTACAAATGCGATCGTCGCGAGAACTTGCTGCGACTCTTTGTTCCCAACTCGTCGACGGCATCCAGAACCTGCAAAATAATATACTTCTCTACTTTTTGCTTCTAGATGTGTACCTCATCAAGTTGCTCTTTGGTGTGTGCAGCAGAGATGCAGAAGCGTACACGTCCTTCTGTCATGTGGGTGGCCGGGAACGAGACGACGACGCATCCGATCTTTTTGGCGAGCATCTCGCGTCCGTAGAATCCGCACATGGTCGGGAAGTAGATGAGCATCGGCACGACCGGCGAATCGTTGCTTCCATATACGAGGAAGCCCATCTGTTTGAGACGGAGCCGGAAGTAATGCGAGTTGCGGGCGAGTCTTTCGATTCTCTGCGCCCCATCGTTCGTCCCATCGCGTCCCATGATGATGGACATGGAAGTGTAGATCTGTTGGGTGATCGGCGGCGACATTGGCGCCGAGTAGTATCCGGTGGGGCTGGCGACGCGCAGATGATCGACAGTTCGTTTCGAGCCGGCAATGTATCCTCCGGCGGATCCGAACGATTTCGTGAAGGTTCCCATTAGAATGTCGACGTCTCGCGGATCGCATCCCCAGTACTCGACGACTCCCTTTCCGGTCTTGCCCATCGCGCCGATCGAATGCGCTTCATCGAGGTACAAGTAGGCGTTGTACTTCTTTTTGAGAGCAATGATACCGGGAAGGTTGCAGATGGATCCTTCCATCGAGTAGATTCCCTCCACAATGATCAGAATCTTCTTGTACGGACGATGCGTTTTCGGATTTCCGTAGGCGATCGCATCGCGAAGGATTCGCTCCAGGGATTCCATGTCTGAAAAGGAAACAAATTGTTTGGAAGCTTTTAAACGCTACGCTCACCATTGTGCTCGAAAACTTTGGTGGAAGCGCCAGACAGTCTGCATCCGAGAATGAGCGACGCGTGATTGTACTTGTCAGAAATGATCAAAGAGTGTTTGTCCACAAGACACGGCGCGTTCATCGAGTTGGTCGCGAATCCCATACTGAAGCAGATGGCATCCTCCACTCCCAAGAACTCGGCGACGAGCTTCTCTAGCTTCGCCTGCGACACACTTCTCCCTCTCTCGTGAACGGTGGTGCAGCACGAGAGTCCGAATCGGTCGACGCTGTCCGCAGACTGCTCTGCGCACGGGCCGGCCGCCTGCGCGAATCCCAGATAGTTGTAGGAGCCGACGTTGATGACGTTGGACTGGGTGCCCGGATACTCGTAGGTCCAGTTTCCATCGTGAGACACTCGATCAACCAGATCCACCGTGGCACCGGGCACACTGCAGATGGGCCGCTCGAAGACGTCACGCACTTTGATGTAGCAGTTGCGTTGATAAAATGCCTCAAAGTCGCTGAACAACGGCACGAAGTCCTGGAAAAATGAGAGATCGAATGATGAGGTGATTGGCGGCGAAAGATACTACTGATAAGCGAGCGTACTTTGTGATACTATTCTAGGTAAATACGAAAAGAAAAATGAAGAGAAAGATCACCTTCATCTTCTTGTTCTCTTTGCTGGACAGATCCTTCACAAAGCCAAATCGCGTGATGTACTCACGAATGTGCGCAAAAACGAACAGCGTGAACCACGCCAGGTAGACTGACATCGTCGTGAATCTTCCGATTTTCTCAAACTCATTCGGCGCTCGGTTGCGGATTTCTCCGTAAATGTCGTGGGTGGTTGTGGAATCGGTCTCCTGGGATTCGTTCTCCTCTCCCACTACTTCTTCTTCTTCCTCCTCGTCGTCGTGCTCCTGATTCCACGCGCATTCGAGAATGTGTGTTCGCTTTTTGAGTTCACTAAAAGAATAAAAATACGATGATTGAGACAGACAGGAAAACGGGGACAGCACACCTGCTGAGATACTCATCTAGACACAGAGAATCGGCGCGACGGGACATTGCAAAAAGAGACGGAATGAGTGCGGCGGACTGCTTATCAGAATTGAAGACCGAGGACTGAACTTGTGTAGCAGCAGCAGCAGAAAAAAGAAGACGAAGAAAAGAAGGGAGGGGAAGCGGACACGGACACGGAATTGAATGGGCGGCGCAGAGAGACGCGCGTGCTCTGTGCTCGCAGTTCACGGCACGCTGACCGTGCGAGAGCTGACCATTTGAGACAGAAAACAAACAAACTTCTCTGCTATCATGTATTTATGCGTTTGCTCTTCTGCACTCTCTTTTCCGTATCAAACGCATAGTTAACTTTAGTGGAGAGCTTAATTGGCATCGAGCCAGCGTTTTAAAAGTGTAGCGAAACGGTTGAGAAACACCTTTTTTGGAAGTCTAGGCATAGTTTTTCAGCCGCTAAGCAAATTTCAGCTGTTTTTAAATTAAATTCTTTCTTCAATAGAGCTCTTTCATTTTAAAATGACCCGATAGTGAGTAGAAAATCGGAAAAATTATTTAAACTTGAATTTCATTGCGTTGCGCGTAAATATCCGCAAACACGATCACGCAAATATGCATACTCACTCCAATTCGCGTTGTTCTTTTGCCAATTCACTGATCACCAGAGGACTCTTCTTTTCGGTAAACGTCAGACGAATCGGAAGTTTGTGAAGAAATCGAAAGCTTCGTTTTGTTTCAGTCGACGTCATCTGAAAATCAGGGAAAGTGTGAACCTTTTGCTATCTAGAAAAAGAGACATTTGAGTGCAAACGTTTATTTGTTTACTTTTTTGGACGTTGAGTCATCGATAGAAAATCACACGCACACAAAAGAGTAAGAGAGTGTGGACAAACCACAAGTTGCCACGTCACAACACGTCGCAAGCCACGAAACGAAACGTGTAGGCCCATGGCAGCGAGAAGAGTGGCACCGTATGATAACACTCTCGCACTGGGTACATACGTGTTGGTAAATACTGTTCTTCAAAACTTCAAACAACGAAAACTTGTTCTGATGAACTGCTCTGATCGACTCACTACTATCGGGGCATTTCATTAATATCATTGTGAATGCGCTCTGTTGAGAAATCCCTCTTTTCGTGATCGAATCATTTTCTCTGTTTTTAATTTGAGATCACAATTGCGACAGAGCGCATTCACTTTGAAATGTCGCCGATAGTACCTCACAATAAGTCACACAATTTTCATGCGCACAGAGACATAAAATGGCACAAAGCATAGAGATGGGTGGCCAGTTGAATGAGAGGAGACAAAGCGGAAAGGGGAGAGCGTCATGGAGATGCGTATGGACACCGAGTTGCGAAATGGCAAATGAGAAAGAGGGGCCTAGTGTGGTTTGTAGCCTCGGCTATATGATGACTTTAGGAGGATCGAGAGATCAGGGACTAACTGGGATTGTAGGGTTTCAAAGAAATCGGGTCTTTGCTCTTTTAATGGATGAATGTTTGCAATATTTCCAGAAACTGAAAATTACAGTCAACGTGCCCAAACGAACCAGCTGAGAAAATGTAGAAAAACGACGGGAACTACTGGGCGAAAACTTGCCGTTTCTCGAGAAGGCGGAGCCTCTTCGACAAATGGGCACAAATATTTGGATACACTGCTCCGCCGAGTCGCGGCTCTGAAACATTCGGCGCGGCGCAGACAGTTTACCGAGTGGCGAAAGGACGGGCGGGAAGCGGAAACGTAGACATTTTCATAGTTGTAGCCGGAGCGGAGTGGAGCATGAAGTCGAATTGAGAGAGCTGGAAAGAAAACGACATGGACGTCGGGATTATTCGAGGTCAATCGGCGGGTTCATTGTAGGGAGTAGCACAGAGAAGTACCAGTTTTTGAGCAAACACTCTCATGAATTGTTTTATTTTTGTGCAGCTTTTTTTCGTCATCTTTCCGTAAAAGGAATGTTTCACAGACCGCCTCCGAAAAAGTAGCACAATTGAGTTTTCTTCAATAATTTTGTGCAAAATCAATTGAATTTTGAATTGCCGAAATGCATTTCGCCCACCGAGAATTCAAAAGCCACGTCTTCCGCGTTCTTCAAACCCCCTAGATGGCCATCTTTCTCGCTTTCGCCGTCATAGTTTCAGATCGCTTTTGGCGATAAACTCTTTGTCACTGCTTCAAATTGTAACCTTTGTGTAATTTAACAATTTTCGAATGTCTTTGTTTTCGAAACGCAGCCGAAATGGCTGCCATTCACTCATATGCAGGGCTGAATGAAACCAGCCAGAATTGGTATTCTCTTCAAGATGATTCTTTCTAGCCTTTTGTGTCTGTCACTCAAAATCGTCTGTTTTCCCTCCTCTGTTTTTTTTTCTAATTTATGAACATTTAAACTTGTTCCACATGAATTTCTCTTCTTTTTCCCATACTTCGGGGCCCGAATTTCGGGCCATGAAATTCAATTTCGGGCGCTCATGTGAGCGGTGTGCAAACGCGCCCCACCGCACACAGCACCCTCATGATTCTGTCTCCGTTCTCTGTCGCGTTTAACCGACTCTTAGCCCCTCTTTGTTTTGTTGTTTACGCTCCATTCGTGTCTTTTTTTCCCTTCTCTAAATTGGATTCCAGCCCGTCCGCCGTTTTCATCTATTTTCCGCTTCCAGAATGGCAGACTCGACAAAGCCTGAAGAAGTTGCGCCGAAAGTCGAAGAGCAAGAGGCCGGATCCGCCGGTTTTGGCGGCGGTTTCGGAGTGGCCAGCTCGTGGCTGAATCAGGGCTCCTCGTGGGGAGCCTCGTTTCTCAATTCTGCTAAAGAAAAAGTGAGTTGAAATGTGAAATTCTATTAAACATGAATGATTTGTTCAGACAATGACCACTTTGGACCTTGTCAAGAAGGATTTGAACGATTTGAGTGAGGCGGTGAGTGCGGAAGTAAACGATCTCGCGTCGGCGGCCAAAGAAGGGCTAGGAACTGCGGCGAACGCCGTCAAGCAGCAGGCACAGATGCTCGAGAAGTTGGTGACGCCCATGGAAGAAGAGAAGCCGTTGCCAGGACAAGAAGGATCCGAGGAAGAGAAGAAGAAGGAGGAGCCGAAAGCTTCGGAGAGCTCGTCGAGCTTCGGATGGATGAGCAAAATTGTGGACACGGTGACCGACACCGTCAAGAACTTGGCGATGGAGGAGACGACGAACGGAGAGGACGAGTTCACCGAGGTGGTCAAGCCGAAAAAGGACCGAAAGACCTGCTTGTCGAAGGTGAATACGAGCACAAGTGTGCACTTGACAACTCAAAATTTACAGTTGCGAATCTCCGAGATACAAACGACCGAATCGACGTATCTTTTGGAACCAAGAGACTCGGAATTCTACGAACGATGGCTTTCGCGCTTCAATTTGGACGAATACGACGGCGAAATCAACATGTTGCTCGCAAACAATCCGCCTCTCCGCCAAGTGTTCGCCAACCTGGTACCAGCTCGTGTCAGCCATGAAATCTTCTGGAAACGATATTTCTACGCGATCGAAGTGGCGGAGTTGGAGGCGGAAATGAACAAATCGACGTTGAACGAGGCGCTGAACGTGGAGACCAAGTCGCCAAAGAAGTCGAAGAAGGCGTCGTCGAGCGGATCTTCGAAGAAGTCGTCGCCATCTTCCGAGTCGTCGGCGGTCGTCGTCGAGGAGCCGACGAGCCCGTCGCAGTCCGAATGGAGTGTTTGCAGTGAGAAGAACGTTGAGGTGAGTGAGAGATTCTACGGTCGCGAGAAGTTTCTCAAAGTTGTAGGAGATTCCATCGAACGACGAGGACGAGACGGAGCGCGGACCGATGACTCCGAGGCAAAACGAGAAGAAGGAGGACGGATGGGTCAACTGGGATGATTAAACATTATCAAGTTATCAAGTTAATCATTTTGTCTCCTGAGTCCAGCCGCTGCGCGACCGCTACGCGTCCCAAAAGGCCACGCCCCTTTGTCTGCTCTCGCACAATTGCGGAAGAGAGAAAGGGGCGTGGCCTTATTGATCGCCCTGCGACCAGACACAGAAGGCAATTCATTTCATAGTATTACTTTGCGTTGCTCTTCCTCCTCTCGCTTTTCTTCCATTTACTGCCTTTTTAGTCTCTCCTGGCTAGCGTTTTTCTTTTCCTTTCCATTCCTTCTCTTTTCCCCGGACTGTATGTATATAAAATGTTAGACCTCCTTCCGATTTCCCCCCTTTGAAAACTTTATTGGTGTGTAAATAAAAATGGTTTCGAAAGCTATTTTTAGGCGATGAGATTGAAAGGTTCTTACTACTTTTATATATCTTTTCTTGATCTTGATCATATATTCTGTTTCTCTATTTCACGTTTACTTTTTTTTTCAATTATGATTTTGCAGATGAGTCAAGAGTACGACGATTTGATGGATCGGGAGACGACGCCAGACAGCAAGACCAAAGGCCCCGGATTTGTGGGCATCAAGTTTTGTCCCGAGTGCAATAATATGCTGTATCCGCGAGAGGACAAGGAGGCGCGGGTGCTGATGTACGCGTGCCGCAACTGCGAGCATCGCGAAGTCGCCGTCAACCCGTGCATTTACGTGAACAAACTGGTGCACGAAATTGAGTAAGTCCCGCTTTCTCTGCGTCTCTCACACACTCACTGTTTTCCTTTCAGCGAACTGACCCAAATCATCGGCGACATCATCCACGACCCGACACTGCCGAAGACGGAAGAGCATTCGTGTCCGAAGTGCCACCGGAAGAAGGCCGTGTTTTTCCAGGCGCAGACAAAGAAGGCCGAAGAGGAAATGCGCCTGTACTACGTTTGCGCGCACGACGACTGCAAGAACCGATGGACCGAATAAAAGATTCCCGTTTTTATTGATCTCTGATCATTTTTTTCTGAATCGAACCCCCCAAATCTCACTTCTCATGTTTTCATTCAAATTCATTTCAATCCAAATTATCCAATACAACGTTTAATAATAATTCTTATCGTCTTCTCATCTCTTCTTTGGGCTTGCGACCTTTAAATACTTTACTTGCGACATTTTCCGGAAAAAAACGCAATTTTAAGATGCTGAAACAGAAGGCGTTGATCGATGTGCTCGGGCAGGTGAACACGGGCGGCGTCGACGGATCGTGGCTGTTCAACAAGGAGGGACTGCTTCTGGCGTACGTGGGAAGCGAGCAGAAGACGGTCGCCTCGAACGTCTCCTCCGCACTGCTCGCCAGTGTTTGGGCGGCTCTTGAGAGAAGAGGATGTGGGTGACCATAGGATTTCTGAAATTTCAAGCCAAAAACGGGCGGGATTCGTTCAGTTGTCAACTGAAAATTAGGGAATTTCAAAAATCGCTTTTTCAGCGGGCGAACTGCGAGAGACGATGCTCGTGCTCGAAGACGGCGTCATCGCGTGCACAATCGTCGCCCGAACCATGCTTCTCGCCATTAAAGTAATCAATAGCTCAGTTCCCATTTAATAACAAATCTCTGCAGGCGAACAAGAAGGCGGAACTCGGAATGATTCGCGCGAAACTGAACTCGCTCTCCGCCTACCTCGAGCAGCCGATTCTCTCGATTTCGCACGAACTCTGATGCCCAGGTTTTTTCACCTCATTCCAGTACCAATCTATGTCCAATTTCCCACTTTTCTATGACTTACAATAAATATTTTTCCTCTCATTGAGCCTTTTTGCAGAATTTGAGATCAAGAAGAAATGCCCGGAACGTATAGATCCTGTTAAAAAGTGACGAAAATTTGAAACCTCTTTTTCTAGTACAGTTTTGTACAAAAATGATTTTGAAAACAGGGTTTCCCGCAAAATTCTGCTCCTTCGACAACTAATTTGTTCAAAGGCGCGTCGAATTCTGTGCTGAAGTGATCCGCGCAACGAAAAGCTACAGTAACCTCGAAACTTGTTTGGCGCCACGTTTTTGCTAATTTTGCAATTTTCAATTATTCTCGCGCCCTAAACTTTGAATTTCTAATCAGTCCTATTTTCGTTCTATTTTCACCTTTAATAAATCTAATTATTATTTCTCGAATTTTCGCGATAGTTCAAACCGTGATCTTGTGTCGTTTTTGTATCAAAAGGTTGAATTTTGTTTTAGGCCAGCTGATTTTTTCCTTTTTTTTTAGATTTCTCAAATTTCGGACGCAAGCTGAGCTATGCCTGGACCGGTATCCATGGGAACGGGCGGACCGATGCCACCGACGGTCATGCCGCCAGGCGCCTTGACTATTCCGCCGCCACCAGTGCCACCGGCAGCTGGAGGACCCGGACCTATCCCAGCTCTTCCTATCGACTCGATTCACAAAACCGCCAATGATGCTTGCATCAAACGATTGCGCCAGCTGAATGTGATTTTTCCATACGGATCAATTCATTAGTTTTTGAATTATTTTCAGATCGAGCCAGAACAGAGAGTCTATCCGAAACCAGGAGATCCAAACCCTTTTGGAATCCCGATGGAAGTTCAAACAAACGTTTTTGGATTGGAGATTACAAAGAAGGTCAAGGTCTACCAGTATATTGTCCATATCAAGACCGACTTGACTCCGACAAAGGAAGCTGTTTTCACCAAGAAGAGCAGGAATGAGTGAGTGAAATGACGCTCGATGCTGTGTTATCGAAACTGTTGCAGCTTCATTGTTCTTGATCGACATGAGAAATGTTGTAACATTTTCTTCGGTGCAGTGGACGCCTACTCTGATTTCTTTAAAATGGGCGAAGGAAACAGCCTGATTTACGATGGACAGAGTCTTCTGTTCACAACGATCGACCTGTTCTCCGCGGTTGCTGATGCAGATAAGAAGGTTGTCAGAATTTCCAATTTAAATTAGTTCAACCAATTTCTTAGACACGTCTGATGGAGGTGAATGGCGCCAACGTTCAAAATGACGATCTCAAGACACTGTCATGCATTAAAGTGGAAGTTTATGCCAGCAAAAACCCGCCACTTATTCTCTCCGAAAAAGAGATCTCTCTGAGAACTGCGGACTCGCATATTGCTGCCAACAACCGAGGATACCAGCAACTGCTGGAGCTGACCATGAATCAGCATTGCATTCGGGACACGTAAAAAAGGAATGTCCGCATTTATAAGGTAGCAAGATTTCAGAACTCGATTTGCATGCTTTGAGAAAGGAAAGCTGTTCTTCATGAACCCTGGGATTGATGGCTACGAAGAAGGAGACTGCGTTCTCGTTGGAGATGGCAAATACATGCTTCCCGGTATCCGCAAATCCGTGCAATACATTGAAGGACCTTTTGGACGTGGACAGAACAACCCCTCCGTTGTCATAGATTGTCAGTTTCTACGCTTCTATCCTATAAAGAAAGAAGTTTTCAGCTATCAAGGTGGCATTCCACAGAGAGCAATTCGTGTCGGATAAGATCATGGAGATTTTGTGCAAAGAGCAAAAAGAGCTTCTGAGAGACGGCGATAAGGATAGACTTGTTCCAATCATTAAAGGACTCGACTGTCACTCCACGTATACGGGCAGAACCAGACACCTTCAAATTGATGGAATTCATAAGGGCAACGCCAAGAACTCTCAGTTCGAATTGAAGTCGGGGCAAAGCATAACCGTCCAAGAATACATGAAGGAGAAGTACAACATCAACCTGGCATATCCAGAACTGAACTTGCTCATTTGTAAAGATCGTGGAAACCAGAATTTTTACCCAATGGAGCTGATGAAGATCACCAAGCACCAACGCGTCACAATTCCTCAAACCACGGCCGTACAAATGCAGAGGTCAATCAAGGTAAGAAAGCGATCTGTTCATGTGAACTTATGGCACACCGCTACTTTTCAGGAAAGCGCTGTTCTTCCGAACGTCCGCCAGAGACTGATTATGACAGGCAAAACTGCTGCGGTTATTGATTCCGCGAACCCGGTATTCTCTGCTCTTGGAGTGACAGTGTGCCCGGAGCCTCTTCAAGTCAGTTTCTTTAAAAATGGCAGTGAGCGCAGTTTAAATTTACAGACACGTGCTCGTCAGTTAGAGTGCCCTGTTATCGAATTCTCTAGCAGAGCCGCCACTGTCGAATCCGGAAAGTGGCGTGCGAGTAGCGCTCGGTACATACGTCCCGCCAATCCACCAAAAATTTGGGCCATCTACGCTGTTGGAACAACAAAGTCAAAGTTCTTAGCAGAAGATATGCGGTTTGTGTGTCAATTCCTTTGCTGTTTTCATTAACTGAGTTCAGAAAGTTCTCTCGGGAATTTGTGATTATGTGCAACTCGAAGGGAATCGATATTGGCGGTCCGAGCGATTGCAGACTCGTCCCAATTGATGATGTCGAGTATCAGCTGGATGCCGCCGCTAAAGCCAACTGCACCTTCGCGCTCATGATCACTGATGACTCAATTGTTCACGTCCATCGTTGGTTTACGTCTTCGGAACTATTGCCAATTGAACGATTTCAGAAAAATACAAGGTCATTGAACGAGACCGTCAAATGATCGTGCAGGACATGCTCATGAGCAAAGCGAGCTCTGTGCTCTATCAGAACAAGAGGCTCACCTTGGAGAACGTCGTTAACAAAACGAACGTCAAGCTCGGAGGAATCAATTATTTGGTGACTGATCAAAAACGGTGAGAAGGTTTCTAGTTAAATGCCGCATCTTGATTCATCTTCAGACGAATGGACGATCTGCTAATTATCGGAATTGGAAATTCGATCGTGTCGGCTGGTGGGAAATTCGAGTTGGAAGGCAAAGGTTTCCTGCATCCACAAGTCGTTGGATTCTCTTGCAATGCCATCGCGAATTGGGAGTACTCAGGAGATTTTCTTCTCAGCGCGATTGGTCAAGATGTATGTATGAGTATTTTTTTTTATTAATCACACATTTTCAGACACTCGCTCCTGTCGAGGATATTGTGAAGCAATGCCTGTACATGTACAAAAAGCAAAGAGGAAAATCTCCACGAAGGGTAGTTGTCTACCGCAGTGGCGCTGCACAAGGAGCTCACGGCTCCATAATCTCCTACGAAATTCCACTTGCGCGTGCCGCAATGAAAGAAGTTGATCCGGCAATGCAGCTCATCTACATTGTTGTGTCTAAGGATCACACCTACAGATTTTTCAAGGAGAATCTCGTATGTTTTCAATCGTGTTTTCTATGACGTTTCCATTTTTCAGGACCAAAACTCCGGAAAGACCAAGGCGAGTGCTACTGCGAAAACAGCACATCCTTCTGGAGTGAGGATTGTTTTTGCATCCTTTCATTACATTTATCCTGATTTAGGGAATGGCCAGCGTGTTGAGAGCATCTGATCTGAACATACCACCAGGAGTCATGCTGGACTCGGTTATCACCAACCCTGGCTGCAAACAGTTCTTCTTGAATTCGCACACCACTCTGCAAGGAACTGCGAAGACGCCACTCTACACAGTTCTCGCAGACGACCTCAATGCGCCGCTGTTCATCTTGGAGGATTTGACATATGCGTTGTGCCACAATCATCAAATTGTGAACATGACGACTAGTGTTCCAACGCCACTGTATGTCGCTAATGAATACGCGAAGCGCGGTCGGAACCTCTGGATTGAGAGAACGTGAGTTGACCACCAAAAACTGGGTATAAAAACGTATTTTTGTTTCAGAAGTGCCAAGGGACCGATTGCACGTGGAACCGGATCCGAGTGGGAACAACTGCAAGAAGCCACTGCCGAGATCAGCTACAAAAACGCTGGGAGCCTGCTGGAGAGACGTGTCAACGCATAGATCCTCTTCAATTTCTCTACTCAATTATTAATTGTTAAACTAACCACCAATCTCTCACCATTACTTTTCCCCTCACTTTCCCCAAAACAATCTGTATCGCATTCAAATACCAACTGTACCCTATATGTAGCGCTTCAAGTGCTGTCTTTGTCCCGACTGCCTTCAATTCATGTTCGCAGGTTCCTAGATAATAATTAGAAAATATCCAATTTATGATAATTTTTTCAAAAGTTGTAACCGCATCCTTGACTGCTCCTAGATCTTGCTGTATCCTATTCCCATGTCTGTTACATCTTTCTCTCACTGCTCTCGCTAAATTGAATTTATTTAGTTGCATTGTGTCTTTTGATGCGAACAACTAATTTCCCGATCATCAGCCTGAGTCCTGTCTATAATAATCCTCTTGTCTCATCACAATAAATAATGGTGAAGAGAACTTGTGTTCCTTTCTTTTTCGTGTGCTCCGTGCGATCGCCTCGGTTCGTACTTTCAGGCGTGCTTGTGTAGTTAGATAGCAAACGCGTTTTCAGATGTTCGGAAAGAATCGCGCGGCATCAATGCGTTCCATCAATGGCAAACAGTATTCCATGGAAGAAGACACGAAAATATGGAAATTCATTCTTAAACGCGTCACTCGCGACAGACTCGACAACGCGGAAAACATTGATTGGCGGGAGATGAAGAGGGTGACTGGGTTGCAGAGAAGCCACACTTCCCTCAGACATCGGTCACAGCCGTTCATCGAATTCTCGTCGAATATTCCATTTTCAGATACCGAAACACGCTCAGCAAATATTTGCACCTGTTCAGAGATCTCTCGAAGAGTAAAAAAGTCGAATTGTACAAAGCTCTGCGAATTCCCGTCAACTTCCACTTTTACAAAGAGTAATCCGAATTTATTTTATTTTAATCTAGAAAGAACATAGAAATTTGGCTAAAATGACCTAAAGAATACGGGAAAAAACGTACCTTTAAGACTTCAAAAAACGGCGAACGTGGTGCTGGACGATGAGAAGTGTCTCGTGCACTGCACGCCGAAAAGCGCATTCACCGAGGAACAGCAAGGCGGCAGTATGCTCATGCGAGTGACCGCCGAACAAAGCGAAGCGATGAAAGCGACAATAATACGTCACCTGTTGAAGCTGCCGAGAGAGGAAGCGCCGAGAGAGGAAGTGCCAGAACAGCCGGAGAAAGAGTCCGAGAAGGAGCCGGCACCGCAGGAAGAGCCGGAGGACACTGAGCCGAGGGACGCACATCCCGGAATGCGGAAGTTTTTCGATAAACTCAGAGTGGATATCAAGGAACACAGCGAGCAAATGGCTGCCAATATCAGAGCTTCACAGTGAGCGAAAGTTTCTGGAAAGGGAGCGTGGCTTCTGCAACCTGCGGTTTTTGCATATTTTGTGTCGAAAACGGACGCATTTCGTTGGAAGCTCAAAAAGTTATATAGATTTGAAGAATTCATGATTTTCAATTGATCTACTTGTATTGCGCTCTTTTTTCTTAGAAAAAAGGTCAGGCCGACCGAAGAGAGCTCTGAAAATTCTGCTTTCTTAGTTTTTAAGTACAGAACTGGTTTCTTCTGGGGCCACGCTCCTTTCAAAAAGTACTCCTTTTGAATACCTGGAGACCATCTCATTCAGACTTGGCTCTTCTGATCAAGTCCATAACTCCTCCACCGTCGACCGCAAGGCATTTCATGGCACATCGGAGCCCCGACACCACGGAAGCGTCGGAATGAAAAAGTGTGTGGCAGAGTTGAGAGAAGCGGCCGTTCGGCTCAACACGAGCATTCTGGACCCTGTCTGCCAGCAGATTGACGAATTAATTGAAAACCGACCAGATCAGGTAAAAAGAAACTCGATTTCGATATATTTTCATGTTTTTCTTTTTGCAGGAAGTGTCCGAGGAGAGGCTCTGCCTTGCATTCAGCGCTGCACTGGACATCGTCACTCCGAGCATTCACATTCCCAAATAATCGCTCTTTTATATGTGTCTCACTTTTTTTTTTATTCCGTTGTAAATTAATTAGAACGGACAACTTGTGTGTGTTTTTTTACATTGGTTCGGCTAGAAAACCGTTAAGTTATTTTCGTAACCCTAGGTTCTATATCAGAATTCAATTTTTCATCAGATGCGCTGCGCCAAAGACAGAAATGAGCAGAGAAAGGAGGAGAAGAAGGATGCGGAAGAAGTGAAGATCAGGAAAACGACAATTTCGAGAAGGAAGAGACATTTTAAAAGTGAGGAGAGCAGGAAAGAGCGAAAAAGAAGCGAAGAAGGTTCAGATGAAGAGAATTCGTTCTTGGAGCTTCCGATGGTCGACTGGAGCACGCAGGAGCCGCTCTCTTCGCTAGAAGAGCTGCTCAGCGATGCCAATATGATACTCATCGAGCAAATGGACCGGGAGCAGGAGAACGAGAAGGGGACAGAAGAGGAGACGGTCGACGCGAAAAGCTGTGTGGAAGGGCTCAAAAAAGCAATGATCAGGCTCAACTCTCCGGCGCTCTCATCGGCTCGTCGTCAACTGGATAAGGTTGACTTGAAGGCGGCGAACAAGGTATTTGGAAAACTTTGTGTGAAATTTTGCTCCATTGTGAACGAATAGCTCGAAATTTGGGCGCTACAACGGATTAGAACTTGAACGGAATAGAACTGTTCCGAATTACAACTCCAAACGCTAAAAAACAACTAAGAGTTCTAATTCGTAACAGTTCTATTCCGTTCAAGCTCTAATCCGTTGTAGCGCCCAAATTTGAAATTCCCGCCAAGCAAATTCTCAGCTTCGTTCGCAAAAGAGCACATTTGCATCAATTTTCAAAAAAACTCACAATTTCAGAGAATTCCAATTCGCAAAATCCAACTGGCTTTTTCCGCTGCACTCGCCATCCTCACTCCGACATTTTAGAGAATTTATAAATTTTTACCATCATGATAAGCACATTTTAATCAAACTGATTCTAATTCTAATTATTTTTTACAATTTGCTATGCTCCGTTTTTACACTTTGCTATGATCCGTTCGTGTCATAAACGAAAAAAGAAAACGTTTTTTTTTAAATATGTCGTCTCCGTTTCTCTTTATCGGTCCTACTCCAATTCTACCTGTCTATTTAAATAATTGACTAACTTTCGCTCCACATTCATATTTCAGATGGATACAACGATGGACAACAGTTTTCAACTGAGATATCCGAGTAGTCCGCAATTATGGAACTTCATCCTGGAGCGCGCACACTCCGCACCCGACGACACAATCGACATGGAGAGCGAGGAATTCTGGAGGGGATTCATCGCGGCGACCGGGACTGAGAAGAGCATCAGAAATCTGCGAAGACAGTGATAATCAATTCGAATTAAAACAGCGAAACACTAGTTTCTTTGCAGTTTCCGCAATGATCTCTCGCCAAACCTCGAGGAGATGGATTTCGATAGAGAGACCAAGAAGTTGTTGTCCAAGTGCCTCAAAATTCGTGTGAATGACGAGAACCAACGCGAGGAACTACTCATTTGCTCGTCGTCGGGTGACGACGACGATTTCAGCATTAGAAGGTCACGATGCGCTGCGAGAAAACGAGTGCTCGGTCCGGATAGTTCGGACGAAGAGCGCGAGAACGCGAAAAGAGCAATGATTGAGGAGGAGCCGAAGCACGACAGCGAAGACGATGTTATTGTGCTGTCGTCGGATGGCGAAGAAGCGCCAGAAGTTGAAGAGTATCGGGAAAAAGAAGAAGAACAAGAAAATGAACAAGACGTTGTGGAGGAGATCATTGAAAATGCGGATGAAGAAGTTCTAGAGAAAGAAGTGCAAATTGTGGCGCCGCCCGAGTTGCCGGAACATAACGAGCAGGAGGAGAGAGAGGACGTCGATCCGGTCTGGGTGTCGGGAAATGCGACGGCCGAATCGGTGAGGTTGGTGAAACCGGAACCGCCGGAGGTGTTCTGGCCAAAGTACTTCCAACAAATAGGACCACCGCAGGAGCTTCAGCAGCAGCCGCAGCAGTCAGAAGAGGTGGAGATGGTCCCCAGAGTGCTCATAAAACGGGAACCGGTGATGGAACCGGCGAGGATCGTCAACGAGTCGGTGGCCGATTCGACGCGCGGATGGAGCATGGATGAGTTCTTCACTTCACTCAAAAATGTAATCATCGAGTCGATGAGCGAGCTGGTGTACAGCATCAGAGACGGCGATCCGACGAGCGCACGGTGAGACAATCGAAATTTTAGAAATTCTGCTCCGAAGCTCACAGAAGAATGGTTTCCGAACGACACTGGCAGCTGATAGTGAGCGAAAACTCCAGTTTCTGGAAATCTATTGAACATTTTCAGACGTTTGAGCGCTCAAAATATGCGCACATTCAGTAGTTTTCGAGAATTTTAAGTTTTCGCTCAGCAAACCATTCTTCTGCGAGACACAGAATAAATCTTACAAAGATAGAATTTCTCTGCTTAGTTGAAAAGAGGGGTCAAGACGCAATAGTTTCAGTCATCCGGGAAGCAGATATTCATCTGCGATCGCATCGAATCAACCGGGACCCAGTTCCCGTCCGGACAAGAACGATTCGTCGCCAAACGAGAGAATCAAAGTAAAGAAGTTTGTGGCCGAGCTGAAAAGAGTGCTCGGAGGCATCGACTGCCCGGGTCTCGACCCGCTCCGTCACAAGATGGATGTCGTCATTCAGAATGCCCAGAATAAAGTAATTTGAGGGATGTTTCGTGTGGAAATGTCTATTTATTGCAGGAAGTATCGCTCGAACGTCTCCGCCGCGCCTTCGAGACCGCCGTCGCAATCCTATCCGGATGAAAAGACCCTCTATTGTTTTCGACTTTTTATCTTTTTTTAAATACATCTTTAAAAGCACGTGTCCCATAAAATCATTCGCTTCCATTTCTCCTGCCTTTGAATTTTTTTGGTTTCTCTCCGTTGTCACCCCAATATATTATTATGCGCTTCTTTTTCGCGCTCCACTGCAATCCCACCTGCAGCTAATAATATGAAGCAGTCCGAACAGTTCTGGACATTTTTTATCGACGTTTATCACGATTTGAGTTCGGGACGAGTTCAATATTCCAGTTCCAGTAGAGCGCGTTCGCACCAGGGGTGTGCGGAAAATATTTCGATTTTCCGAAATTTTCCGATTTTCCGAGAAATTTTCGGAAAATTTTCCGAAAATGTTCGGCAAAATTTTCGGCAAAATTTTCGGAAAATTAGTGTGGATTCAGGGTCAATTTGTCCGAAACCACCGTATGCTTTTTAAAGGCGCATCACAAAATTTTTGGAAGGGTCTAGCAGCGAGCGTCTTTTTTCCGAAAATTTCTCGGAAAATCGGAAAATTTCGGAAAATCGAAATATTTTCCGCACACCCCTGATTCTCACTGACAATCGGAAAACACTGGACCCGGAGAGCTTCTCTCGGCTAATTTTTTTACAAAAAAATATTCCATTGTTTGGCTTCCGCCCACTCAAGTGATTTCAAATCATAATAAGCATTTTTTTGTATTAGAACGTTGTTTAAACACTTTATTGAACCAATGAACAAGTGAGTTTTCCGATTTTTCCGATTTTTCCGAAATTTTCCGAAAAAAAAAATTCGGAAAACCCGATTTTCCGAAATTTTCCGAAAAAAAAAATTCGGAAAAACCGATTTTCCGAAATTTTCTGAAAAAAATTTTCCGCACACCCCTGGTTCGCACCTTTGTAGAGAACTTGTTGAGAATCGGAAAAGAGTACACTTGACACCCCGATCGCCAAGAATTTCCATGAAAAGTTTGACTCCTCACAGTCCATCAAGCATACGTTTTCTTCAGAATGACAAAAGTCTACACAATGAATTTGAGCCCTGATGAGCGCAACGTCGAAGGGCAAAATGTGGGAGCAAAGAAAAGAACCCGGAGGAGTTCAGACTCCGATTCGAGCTCTCGATGGCTCCGGACGTCCATCTGAGCCCGCTGGTGACGCAGAAAAAGATAGAAATATACTACAGAATGAGCATTCCGGTAGACGAGGAGTTTTTGGAGGAAATCCGACGGAACGCGCATGTGGAAGTGGACCGGAAGGGACGGATCGTGGCGGTATTCGGAGAGCGGCGAACGAGGATTCCGGCTGAGAGTCGAAGAGGAAATCAGCAGGAAAAAGTACCTGGATGGCGTCAGAGACTTTGCTCTCTTTCTGAAATCTCCAGAATTGGACGGTCTTCTGGTCAGCACTTGGAAGCTGAAATCGCAAGTTTTGGACGACGAGGTGAACTCTATAAAAATTTAAGTTTTCAAAAGAACACCCAAAAATTTGAAATTTCCCGCCGAACATGCGAATTCTTTCAGACGGTCCCGATTCGCTTCGTCCAGGAGATCGCCGAGCAAACCATGCTGATCTGGAGACGAAATTTTGTTCTTTTTTGAAAAAGAAAATTGATTTTGCACTGTCCACTTTATGCTCTTCTCGGTTATTATCCATTTTATCTTTGTGTCCTATCTGAAAATTCACAAAAAAAAGTTGTTCAGCTGCGGAAATCATTGAAAATGGACGTTGAGTCGCTGGGCCCGAGAGGATGGCACGTTTACTCGGAGGACGAGCTCAATCTTCTCGACTTTTCGTGGATTGAGAACGACGCGATCTGGACGTTCCTCTTCCGACGCATCCACGCTCCCGGCACGACGAGAGTGATGAAAGGCATCGCGAGCCCCAACACCACCGCCTTCTGGGAACTCTTCCGCAAAACGTTCGGATCGAAGAGACCCGCGTCGAAATTGAAGAAATAGTGGGATTTTTGTTGAAATTGAATCTATAAAAATGCGCATTCCAGCTACGAGACACAATTGGCTCCCCATATACATAAAGCGTTTCTGTGCGGCGAGATGAAGGCCAAACTGTATTACGGACTCGACATTCCGATCCATCCGATCTTTCTGGGCAGATGTCGAGACTCGGCGATTGTGATTCTGGACTCCCGTGGATGCATTGTATTTCTCCGCCAACGAAACGGCCTTGTCCTCGGCGCCCCACCAAAGAATTTTCCCCCGACACCGAGACAACGCATTGCAGATGAGGACACCTCCATTTGGCAGTTTCTGCTGAAGCAAGTGCACGATCCGAAGACGGGGAAGGTGGTGCGGTTGAGCACGAAGACGCTGACGAGCTGCACATTCTGGCACGAGTACCAGCAGTCGACGGGCAGCAATCTGTCCGTCAGCGTGCTCGTCACGCGCTTTTTCACAACGATGGCGCCGCGATTGCATCTGGTCAACATTAGCATAGAGGCGAAGGTCAAGTTGTATTTCGGGCTCGTACTCAAAGTCGACGACACGTTTTTGAGCAGGTTCTCCTAAACTTTAGAAGATTTTCAAAGCTTTACACGTTTCTTCTTTATTGCAGACTTCAAAAGTTCGCGCACGTGGAGCTGGACAGAAACGGATCGATGGTCGAGTACCGCGAGAGAAAGTACGGCGGTCTGAAGCTCTCGTACACGCCGAACCGCGTGTGTAACGCGCTGTCGATGGCGCGCATGTCGATGACGGACAACGCGATTCTGACGGGACGAGAGGACCTGGAGATGTGGATCCACGTGTACAAGAAGCTGAGAGATCCGCTGACGGGAAGCATTCGAAAGGCGCCGGGACTCACGATCGCCGCCGCCATCTGGGAAGAGTTCGCGGCGATGAAGGCGAACGGACGCAGCGGAAAGGCCTACTTTTACCACTTTAAAAACTATCTGATTCCCCATTTGCACCTGATGAACATGCACAAACGCGCCAAAGTCGCGTTGTATTACGGACTGCTGCTGCCGGTTCATGCCGAGTTTTTGAGCGAGTAGGTGTACCCCGTTGAGAAGAAGTCTGGGCAAAATAGTGGCTTTCAGACTGAAACAGGATGCGATCATTGAGCTGGACGAGGACGGATGCATAGTGTTGTACAAGGAGAGAAAGAAACGAGTGCATTCGGAGACGGACCGCCCGAAAGACGTCGTTGATATAGTCTCGGACGACGATGAAGAAGAAGACGGGCGGGGAGAAGTGAAGAAGGGAAAGGTTAAAGTTTCGGTGAAGTAAGAAAAGGTTTTCGTGTCGAACACCGTTGTTTTTGCTTTCAGAGTTGAGAAAGAAGACGAAGTTGAAATGCCGTCCGATGAAATCCAAGAAAACGTCGAAGACGGCCCGGGAAACATTGAAGAAGAGGCTCGCGGAGCCATCGAAGCCATCATTCAGATTCTCGAGCAGCAGTTCGAAGCGCTGATAGTCTAAATTCGTTTATCGAACCCTTTTTTTTTGTTAATTTGTCTGTTTTTACTTTACCTTTCAAAGTTGTCTTGTGGAATTGAGTTCCTAATAAAACCTTTTTTTATATACGCACACAAATTAAATACGTAATACCGTTCGCTGACGTCTTCTGTGCATCTGGTGAATGCACGAAAACTCATGTGTACGCACACAAATAAAAATCAATCTCCTGTGCCGTTTCTTTATTTTTTCAGACAAATACTTGACAGTTGTGAACTTGGACTCAATTTTTGCATAAACATTGTTTAATCTAATTTTTTGTGTTCAGTATTTACATATCTTGTTCAAATCAAACACATCAATTCTTACTATTAGCTCGATTCAGGCAACTTGCTGGATAAGTGAACAGAATAGAATACTTTTTTTCGTGAAAAACTCTCCCTTTGTTGGTTTTGTTCTGATTTTTCTAGGCGAAAAACAACCGGATTTATTTCTCTTCTTCTCTGGAAAAAGTGGGCGGAGCGCGTTTTGCAATCGCCGCGCGCGATTACGCAACTCCCTGGCACGTGGTGTCATTTCAAACGGTTAACCGTGGTTTTGAAAATTCTTTCTTTTTCCTCTCAATTCCCATTATCTCGCACTAAAGTTCAAGTTTTTCAGTGCGAATGACGAGTTTTCAAAGCGATTCTCCGATCAGTGCCGAAATGGAATCGACAGAGCCGCAAATCGACCAGGAAATCGTGTCAGAAGAGGAAGAGGCGAAGAAAATGTGGCAATTTTTGATCGACGCGATTCCGATGTCGCCTACGGGCTCTATCATGAAGCCGAACGCTTTTCCCAAAAATTGCTGGAATTTTTACAGTCAAATCAGCACGAGAAGCGAGGAGGAGTTGAGAATTATGTACGAAATGGTATTTTTTATTGAAAAACGTAAAAACTTGCAGATATGAGCAAAAAATGCGAAACAATCTCCATTTGACGGATCTCGATACGCATACAAAAGTAAAGCTGTATTACGTCTACCTGATTCCGATAGACGTTGAGTTTCTGGAGGATCTGAGACGACACGCCGTTGTGGAAATCGACAGAGTCGGGCAAATTGTGCGATACATAGAGAACGACGGAACACTTTTTCTGTTTCCCATAGAAACCGACGACCCGAGTGCGCAGGAAAGTCCGAGCAACTCGATGGAACCCCTGGTGCCGAAAGATTATCTGAACGAAGATTCCGCTTTGGGATACAACGAGCACAAAGAAGAAGAACAACAGGATCAGAAGCCCGATGTGAAGAACTTGTTGCAGCTGAACAGAATGAGAACACGAGAGTTCTCGCAAGCCGAGGACGACGCCATGCTGAGATACATTCTGAAGTCGATCGAGAAAGATAAAGTGGTGAAGCCGGGCGGCAATCGAATATGGGGAAAGTTTGTGGAGGAGAGGCAGACGACGAGATCGGTGTGCGCGCTTCAGTCGAGATATCAGAGATACGTCCAGCACAATGTGCACTTGTCCGGAGTCGATTTGAAGACCAAATTGAAGCTGTTTCACTACTTGAAAATCCCGGTGAACAAAGAGTTTTTGAAAGAGTTGCGACAGAGATGGACGGTCGAAACGGAAAACGGTTGCATTACGAAGTACAGTTCGAAAACGACGAAAGTGAAGAAAGAACCCGAATCGCCGGAAGAAGGATCCTCGTGAGTTTGACGCTAAACTTCAGATCTTCAAATCATTTTCCAGGTCCAACAAAGTCGTCGATCCGGCCTTCAAGCAGCTGACACGAGACAACTTTGATCCGTCTGAAAGCGGACAATGCACTCCACTGAAACGCGTTCGAATGGGTGTGGACGATGAAGCGGCGAAGATTGCGAAACGCTTGCAGACCGATTCGACGACCGATCGCGCATCCGACACGTCCAGCAACACGGCGAGCCCGTCGGTCGAGCCGGAACCGTCCGAGGACAGCGGATTTATGTCGCCGCGCACCAGAAAAGTGAAAAAAAACCCGAAGAAGCTCATTCCTACTCCTAAAAGACGGGCGCAAACGTAAGAAGCACATAGTAAAAGTGTCATTTGTGGTTGATTTTCAGAAGCGCGGAAAGTGGTCAAATGCCGGCGGGGGAGTATCTTCTGCAGATGAAACAAGTGATCGCCTCGTTCAATCTGCCAAACATGGAGCCGATGCTCGAGAAAATCGAAGCGCATGCCAAGAAATGCGAGAAAAAGAGCATGTCGTCCGAATCGTTCTCCACAATGATCGATGCAACGCTGTTAATGTTCACCGGTGTCTGAATTGTCTCCCTTTTTATATTGTGCGTATTGTTCATATTTTACATCAAAATTAAATAGTGTTGAGCTCAACTCAATTGAGTGAAAATATCGCTAATTTATTCGCCACGAGATCTCTGACGATTCGGATCCCAATAAATTGTTTTCTGCGGCTACTGCTGCTGCGCTTTTCTCGTCCGCGGCCGCCGACCGAATTGATTGGCAAATTAAATTGCAGATGTTTGCCATTTTTCTCGTTTCATTGCAATTTATGTCATTTTATTGTGCTCAAAATGAACCGAACATGATATTGATTACAGAAACACAGATGAGACCTTTTTCGCGAGTCGAGGACTTTGAAATGTGGCAGTTTCTGCTGAAAGAAACGCTGGACCCGCACAGCGGACAGGTCGTCCGCAACCTCATCCGTCCACGTGGATTCGGCATTTGGCAAAAGTTCCGCGAAGAATCGGGCTCCGAGCGAAGTGTGCCGAGCCTCCGGAAGCGGTCAGACAATATCGACAATTCTTACATTCGTTTTGCTCATTTTCAGCTTCAGCAACCATCAATTTCCGTCGCCGCTCGCACTGGATATCGATTTCGAGAGCAAAGTGAAACTGGTGTACGCCTACGAAGTTCCGATCGCTGAACCATTTCTCGCCGAGTATGTTTTAAGGATTCTGCAGAAAAATCGATCAACTACGTAGAATTCTATGTAGAATTTGAATTTCTTGCAAACAAATGACCGTAGTTTTGGCTGCTTCATTAGAGCTCTAATCTTGTCAAGTTTCAGACTTCGCAAAAACGCGGTGGTGGAAGTGAACGGGGAGAATTGCATTGTGAGATACGTGGAAAACCGAGAAGGAGGACTGACATTAACGGCCGCCGTGCATAGGAATCCGACGCGCAAACGGGCGGCCCACGACTCGGCGACAGAGGCGAAACGGCCGAATCGGTCGGGCGGCACAGAGGAACTCGACGAGGAGACGGTCGAGGAAGCGGATTGGAACGGATGGCTGAGGAAGAAGCTCGAGATGCAGAACGGTCGGCAGTTGGAGGCGGAAGTGAAACAAGAGGGACCGTCTGCCTCTTCTCGTCCAGGCTTCGAATTGGAAGAGGAAGACGAGGAGGAGGAGGAGGAGGAGACGGCTCCGATTCAGAGAGAAGAAGAGTGTACGACGACGATGCAATACTTTCTGAGCTCCCTGAAAGACGTGATTGTGCAGTCAAACTCGGAAATGTTGAATGCGGTGAAGCAGTTGGTGCCGAAAGAGTGAGAAAATTATCTTTTTTTTTTTTTTTGGAAATCAGTGAGAAATTTCAGATCAGAGAAAGCGAAAGTGGGAGTATGCGAGGAAAAAGAGGGCGAAGTGAGCATGAAAAAGTATTTGGAGCACTTGAAAACATTCATCTCGAACCTGGGATCATCCGAATTGGAGCCGATTCGACAGAGAGTGGAAGAAGCGATCGGAGATCTGAAGCACGCGGACAAGACGATTCCGAAGGCGAAGGTTCAAATGATGTTGGAGGCCACGTTGGCGATGATGGGTCTCTGAGTGTCAATTCTTTTTTTTTCTTTTTTATCTTCTTCCTTCTTGCCCATAACTCTATATTTGCAAAAAACATAATCAAGTTTTATGAAATCAAACTCTTCAAAATAGAGATGCGCTATTGTAGAAACTTCCGAATGCATTGCTTGTCTTCGAGATTAACGAAGAACATGCGATGGACGCCCGGTTCGGTGCGTGCCGGTTTCAGGAAAACGTAGCGTTTCTCTTTGAGCACGCGGAACACGAAATCGTGGAAGACGGGCGCTCCGGACGGGCGGAACTTTGAGTGGATTTCCAGATTGAACTGGCAAATCGAGACGCCCTTCTGGTCGAGCATCTCGCCCCGATGCAGCTGTTCCAGAAACTCGAACTCGCCGCCTTCGATGTCAATCCACGCGACATCGATTTTCTGGAAGTTTTGAGTAGTTATGAATTGAAATCAAAAGCAACAACTTTCAGTCCGAGAATATCCGATAAAAAGTAGCTGAACGGAAGAGTGGTGACGTCTTGGAACTGGTACTCTCCTGAAGATAACTGAAAAGATGTGAGCGGAAATCGAACTGACTAGTCTTCTGATTCTGATTCGGAAGCACTCGGAACTTTGTGAATCCCGGCTCCTTGCCGATTGCGAACGGAAAAAACTTTCCGAACGCCGAGTACAGCTGCCGATTCGGATCGATTATCGGGTCGGCGCCGAAGAACTTTGTGTTTGGGAGGGTCTGAACTGAGACGGTTCCGGATGGATTTTTCAGATCTTTTTTTGCACTGAAGCGTATATTGCAAATTCAAAGTTACAAAAGGTGTGTGGCTCGTCTCACTTTGTTCAACTTCTCCTCGGCCATAGTGTCATGTCCGACTCCCAGAGTGACCATTATATTGTCTTCTTTCTGCAAACAACTGCTCTTTCAGGTCGCCGCCCTCTATCCGGCTCAACTGACGCAAACGGGAAGTATAGTCCACTTGATCTCGTGCAGATTTTCCATCGGAACAATCCGCAACGATCGGAAGACCCGATCGCATCTTTCCGTTTCCTCCCATCGCCCGTTTATCTGAAACGCCAACAGCTTCTTGGTCTTATTGGTCTGATCCCTGACCCACCGCCGCCACGTCATTCTTCCATCTTCCGACGATCGGATTGATGCACTTTTGGAAAGCGTTCATCAATTTTGTGGGGTCTAGAGAAGGCGACTGTTTGTCGACTGTCAAATCGCACGCTGGCAGACTATTGAGCACTTCGAAGCGGGGATCCAACACGTTGTCTCTGTTCTGAAAATTGCCTCCAATAACTTCGTGTATCTCAGTTGTCCTTGGAGATATCAAAAAGTGCTCAATTGAGAAAATAAACATCATGTTTTGACGTTCAATTTGTTAGTTGCCAACTTTTTGGTATCTGCACCGGAAACTGAGATACATCGTTTTGAATGAACGGCTCTAAAGTACCTGGTCGAACTGGTACCCTTGCCCATCAAGCGTATCCCACACATTCTGGGGCGGCTCCACCGACTCCGCCACCCCAATCCGTTCCTGCTCGCTCACTGCCAACACCTTCTCCGGCCGATTCATGAGTGTGGCGATGATGAAAACGATGAAAACGAAGAGAACCACGTGATAGAGTCCGTATCGACGGATCGGAGACGATGAGAACTCTGAACGCATCCGTCTGACACACAACAATCACTTGTCACTTTTCACGTTACCTTTCATTTTGGTGTATGTGGTCATCCTGTCAGCTAGCTTGTTAGTCGGCTTGCGTTTCTATGGAGCGAATGAATAACTAATAGGGACCGAGAGCAGGCGTGCAAATAATGTTTGACCAAAACGATCCTTCTCATGACTATTCATGGGGGGACGAATAATATCAGAGAAAGCGTGATTTTGACACTTTTGCCGGGAAGAACACAAAAGATATCAGAAAGTGAACTTCTTGAGTACTATTGTCGTTCTTCTGGAGATGTAGCGTGAACGTGTTCCCCATTGAATTCGCTTCACAGATTTTTACATTGCGAACAATAATAGCGAAGAGCTTTCAAAAAAAAGAAGGAAATCAAGAGGATGTTGGACGCGGATGGAGACGAAACACTCGAGCTGGGGACTGTCGTCGGGAAGAAGTACAAGGTGAGCAAGCAGCTGCTGCTCTGGACCCTCTAGAACCCATCCGTTCAGGTGGTGCAAACCCTTGGCTCCGGCGGGTGCGGCTCCGTGTTCAAAGTGGAGGATCTGGCGGAGAAGGGCGCGATGTACGCGATGAAGGTCGAATTCAACTCGGCCAACGCGGGAAACGTGCTCAAAATGGAGGTGCAAGTGCTCTCGCAGCTCACAAACAAGCGCCACGTGGCAAAGTGCGTGGCGAGCGGCAAACGGACTCGCTTCTCGTACATGGTCATGACGCTGTTGGGCGAGAGTCTCGAGTCGCTGCTCAAGTGAGACTCTCGTCGCAAATTGTTTTGTTCTGCAAAAAAGTTTCCAGAAAACACGGACCTTTTGTGAATGTGTCCACACAAATGCGCATCGGAATCTGTCTGCTTTTCGGCATCAAACAGATTCACGACGTGAGGAAGCATTCGCTGAAAAAAGTGAATATTGGAAATTCAGGTCGGCTACTTGCACCGCGACTTGAAGCCGGCCAACTGTGCTCTTGGACATGTACGTGCCAACTTTTTTGTCAATTTTGTGATTGGGGCGCAATTTTTTGTAAAAACGTACGCGCACTTTCACAATGCCGATTTGCAGAAGGGCTCCGCCGACGAGCGTTTCTTCCTCGTCTTCGATTTCGGTCTCTCGCGCCAGTACATCACCAACGATGCGGACGGCAAGAAACTGCGGCGGCCACGCGAAAAGGCGCTGTTCCGCGGAACGTCGCGCTACTGTTCGATCGGAATGCACGAGCGATTCGAGCAGGGAAGAGTCGACGATCTGTGGGCGCTCATCTACATTCTCGCGGAGCTCCGATGCCAGCTGCCGTGGCACGACGTGGACGACAAAGTGCAAATTGGCGAGATGAAGAAGCTCGTCGCCGACGAGGTGCTGTTCGCGAAGAGCCCCACGCAGATGCTCGATTTTGTGAAGATCGTCAGGCACACTCAATTTTACGATCATCCCGACTACGAGAAACTGTTCAAACTGCTAGAGGATGTGATGAAAAAGGCCGAGTACAAGTGGTCGGATCCGTATCATTGGGAGCCGGAGAAGAAGGACAAGAAGAAGCACGGGCTGCTCTCGTTGGAGAGCATCAAACATAAAAAGTCGGCGGAGAAGAAAGGTTCGTCGGATGTGATTATCATTCCGAACTGATTAGTTTGAGGGGCCGCTCCGAAGGCGGACAATGTCGAGCACCCGGAAAAGCCGTTCTTCACCTCCGAGGACTTCCGAAGCAATCCGATCGGATTTTAGACGCTCTAGAAAGTTCTTCATTAGAATATCAATAAATCGTTTTCGAACTCTGAAATTTGGCAATTGCGCTCTGAACATGCTTGGATCTTCCTCGCCTGTTCCGAAATCGTCTGTCGACTAGCATCTCGACTGCGTAGTACAACTCTAGAGTGATCAATCCGTTCTCTGAAAGAGTTATTCAGAAAAGAATGGATAAACCTAGTGAGCACTTCAATTTTTAACAAATTGTACATTTTAGGCCCAAAATGTTTTCTCGTCTGAACTCACTCTTCCAAGAACGGCTGCTCCACGTGTACTTTCAGTTCCCTCATCAAATACAGTTTGATGTTCAGCGGAAACGGCATCAGATGCAGCAGAGACACTTGCTCCTCATAGCTTTTGAATGCGTTCTCCTGCCCGTCCGTCAACATTTCCCACTTTTGTATCCCACTCTCTCCGGACGTCGAGTGACGGAAGAACGCGTACAAAAACTTCCACAGCGCCAGATCATCATTGGCTTCCAACGAGGACGGCGGCGTACTTTCAACTTCCAGGTGCTCTTTTTCTTCGCACACTTGCGTCAGTTGAGCGATAGGCAGTCCGAGCGCGTAAATCAGATCGCATTTCTTGTCGAAACTGCACATCCAACGTGGCGAAGCGGGGCAGCAGGTCGGAGAGGTATCTGGAAAAAGACGTTTCGACATCAAAACTGGCTTTGAACCATTGGTTCAGAACTTTTCCAAGACTTTTTCAAACTTTTCTAAAACTTTCTCAATCCTTTCTAAGCAATTCTCAAACTTTTCTGAGAATTTCTTAAGTGGCGCTTGGAAAAGTTTGAAATTTTACCTGAGAAATAATCAATAAATTAACAACCCGTTGTTTGAGCTCATCCGCAGGCCTCTGGCTCCTTGTGAACGCCTTCATCTCCAGCCACATTCCATCTTCGTTCGTTTTGAACACGTTCTTCTTCACGGCGCCCGTCTCTTCGCAGTACATTCGTTTGACGAGAAAGTCGACAATGTCGTTGTCTTCGGCGTCGGTGAACGGGTTTATTTCGGCTAGCATGCTTTTGCGAGAATACATTGAGAGAAATTTGAACGCGTATTCAAAAAGTATTGAGAGCTGTTCGACTCGAACAAAATACTGACAAGCGACCGAAAAACGATACGAATAGCCTTCATTTTTCTAATTTTCAGTTTTAAAAACATTTCACAAAGTGTGTGTGATATACAAATAAATGGGGGCCGATTTAACAGATCGCGCGTCTCGAGCACTGCTCTTTCAGCTCGTCCGCATCGTACTCGGTGATGAATCCGTTCTCGTCCGTCTTAACCGTCGTCATTGTTTTCAGCCTGAAAATTGAAACTCGTTTCGTAAAAGGTTGTGCTTTATTACTCCTCGAGAAAATGTTGCTCGACTGGAACGTGGCATCCAAAGTACAGGGCAGTCTTGCGGCGAACGTCGATCGGAAGGGAATCAATGTTTTCCAGTAGTTTTTTGAAGCTGAAGAGAAAAGTTAAGGAGACGCGTTTTTTTCCCAACTGACCGAGCGCAGTAAGATTTGATCGGTCTCCCTCCGTTCTCCTCCTCCTTGAACTCACTCCAGTGCTTCGTCGACGTCGCCTTGAACTTCGGATCATTATTCACGTTGCCGCTGATCGGATCGCAAATTTTTCTAAGCACGAACTTGACCATCTTCAGATCCTCCTCTTTACTGAACACCTTCTTCGTTTTCTTTTGGGCGGGCGCTTTGGCAGACGGCGTGATCTCCGATGCTCCTCGCTTTCTCTTCTTGGCTTTCGGTTTCTTGTCATTTTCTTCTTTTTTTGGCTCGGGCTCTGGTTCTCCTTCCGACTGCTCTTCCTTCATCTCGAATGCCTCTATATTTCGCTCGTCGTCCAGCAGAAGATGTGCTTGGCGGCGAGCCTCAGCGATGAAATTCTCGTGGACCGGAATGCTCAGCGAGTAGTAGAGATCCAGTTTCATTTCGACGCCGAACGGCATCGCGGGCAGCGTCTTCACGAAAGTGCTGTATCTGAAGAGGAAAAATGATTTTGATAAAGGTGCTGATGCTCACCTGTAGAGAAGACTTTTCGCAGTTCTGTGCGAGCCCGTCTCTGCGACGTATTCCTCCCACAACTTCTTCGCGTGCACATTCCATCGGAACTTTTCGAGCAGTCCGTCTGTCGGATCGTGCGTGCGCGCGTGCAAAAATGCCCAAATCGCGGCGTGTTCTTCGATTGTGAACCTGGAAATGGAAATCGAGTAATAACGATAAAATCGGCGATTTTCTAACCTTTCCTGTCTTTCTTTCTTTTCCGCTTCAGGCTCCGCGTTCATTGTGGATTCGCTGGAATTATTCGAATTACCTACCCAACGGAATGGTCGAACAAGTCAGAAATAAGCAAAACTCGCGGGCGACACCGCTAACTTCAAAAGAAAAGAGGAATTCGACCAAATATCACTTATTAAATTGCAGTGTATATTAAATATTCAGAACATTAGAGATGGGTCAAGAAGAGCAATGATAACATTTATAAAAAGACGTCTCCGGGCGTGTCCTCCTCCTCCCCCTCGCCCGCGTCGAAATTTGCGGGCGGCGGCGCGCCTTCGTCTCCCTGCTCGACCCGCCGAATCGCCTCTTCGTCCCACACCTCATCCCAGTAGTCCTCGTTCATATTCAGCAGCGCGCCGGGAACCCGCTTCTTGCGGTACGAAGGTTGAAGAGTTTCCTGAAATCTTCAATTTTTCCGCCAAAACTACAGTGGAGCGCACTTACATGTCGACATCCGGCGCAATCTGCTGCAACCGCTTCGGCAAGCGGTTGATGGAGTTTCTGGCACTGGCACTTGCTCGCATCGCTGCAGTCACCCTCGTAGGTGCACCCGGAGCAAAAGTCGCGGTGAATGCTCGACAAATTGACCGTCTCGTCGTACTGGAAGCGTCATTTTGAGTGCTCGAGCTTCGGCGGCGGCGTCTCGTCGACCGAGTTGGCCAGTGGGGTCGGAATGCCCTCGACGCTTCTCGAGAAGTCTTCGACCTTCACGTACTTCGGATCCACGAGCACATAGGTTTCCGTGTCGGCCTCCTCGTCCAACGAGAAAAAGTCGATGGTCAGTTGGCTGCGGGTGTCCCTCAGGTATTCGGAGATGTCCTCAAGTATAGGAAAATGACTCCTTTGTGTCGGACCGCCTGAATTTTCATCGGTCGGTTCTTCCTGGGGTAGGCGGAGGTTGCGAATACCGTCAGGTTACGACGGTTCGAGAAGAAGTCCGCACCGATTGTCTGGAGAAGAGATAGGAAATCGTTTCCGATGAAATAATGGAATATTTACATCTTTGAGCGAAGATCCTTTTGGATTGGTCTTTTGGAGGTAGTTGAATAGTGAGTGGAAACGATCTCCGAATCCTACGTCACGGAATCCCCTGCCGCCGAGGATCAGGTCCAACGGCTCTTCCAGCAATCCGTATCGTCTGCTGTCCTCGTTCAGGCGCAATGGCGGCATGTTCGGAACGGAATTCTGCGAGTACGATGGCGAAGAGGACGAGAAGAAGAAAAACGTACTTTCTCGCTAGTTTTTTGTAAGTTGCAACATTTTCAATGCTAACCTTCTCATCCTCGATCCTCTGCTTGAGGCTTAAAGCGTAAGACTCGCACGGCGCGGCTTTCGCAACATACGCAGCCGAATGGTATGCATTTTTGCGCGTCGGTGTGGCTCTGCGTACAGTGCATTTTATGTTACGCACAAAGTTCATTTTTTTAGTTGTTAATGAATTTTCTCCAAATATTCATCTCTCTAAAGCGTTTTTCTCTGTTTTCTACCTCAGGTAGACCTTTTTACAGATTCCAGATGAAGTGATACGCGAAGAGAAGTCGATGCGTTGAAAAGAAACGCGTAAGTAAGTGAAAGTAAGGTTTTATTCAAAAAATATACGATTTCTCGAAAAACGTCTCTAGATTAACTAATCTTTTGATTTAAAAAGTTCACTAACATGACTGTGAATGTTCTCAAATAAAAAAAAATAGAGTGACAGCTCGCTTTCGCGTAAAAATTGGTCTTTTGCCGGAAAACAGTGACATTTCGTTGAAAAAAAAAGATTTCTCAAAATCCGGTTTTTGCGAGCTGTCACTCTACTTCTTTTTAGTTCGAAAACATTATCAGAAATGTAAGTAAAGTTTTTAACCAAAAGATTAGAAAATCTAGTCACTTTTTTCGAGAAATCGTGCATTTTCTGAGTAAAACTTTACTTTCACTTACTTACCAGAGTTGAGCGGAAGTGGAATTTTGAAATACGGAAGACGGCAGACGGCAGACGGAAGAAAATTTTTCTTACGGAACACGGAAAACGGAAGACGGAAGAAAATTTTTCTCACGGAAGATGGCAGACGGAAGACGGAAGAAAACTTTTTTCCCGGAAGACGGCAGACGGAATACGGAACAAAAAATCGTCAATTCAGAGCCTTTTTTCCGGTTTTTTTTTTGAAAAAAATAACTAATGCAACAAAACTTTTGGATCTGGGTACTGCCCGTGGAAATTCGCGTTCTTCGGGACTAGTAAATGGCTCTTGAAAAGCTATTACTCTTTTACGGTAAGAAAAAAAAATCCCGGAAGACGGCAGACGGCAGACGGAAGAAACATTCTTTTACGGAAGACGGAAGAAAACTTTTCTCACGGAAGATGGCAGACGGAAGACGGAACAAAAAAAACCACGGAAGACGGAAGACGGAAGACGGCAGACGGAATTCCGCTCAACACTGTTACTTACGCGTTTCTTTTCATCGCATCGACTTCTCTTGGCGTATTACTTCACATGGAATCTGTAAAAAGGTCTAATTGAGGTAGTAAGTGGAGAAAAACGCTTTAAAGAGATGAATATTTGGAGAAAATTCATCAAAAACTAAAAAAAATGAACTTCGCGCGGAATTTTCCGCTTTTTCTAAGGCCTTACTATGGAAGTATTTTTGGAAAGACTCGATAATTCATTTAGACACAGGTGGCACAATTTTGCAACTTTTGTACTGTATCACTCTAATTTCTTTCAGAATTTGCCAAAAGTACCGAAGTTACCAAACAAAACTGAAATTGTCCAAGTTAAACAAATATTCTTTTTCCAGACTCGCCGCCAACCAGGACGGCGAGATGTTCGTGAGTGGATCGGCGGACGGAAGCGTCAAAATCTGGAAGACGCGCTCGCTTCTCGGCGAAGGATACGGCTCGGCGCGTTCGGAATTCCGTTGAAGAAGTTTCCCATAACTTTTAAAATTACAGTATTACAGTTATCATAAGACTAGAATACCTCAAATAAGGGCTTCTAGAAACACAATACTTTTTCCTTTCAGTGACATCGATGAATCCAACTCGCCGTCTTCCCGGGCAACTCCAGCCGTAATGCCGCGTCCAAATTCAAAAAAAAAACCCGGAAATCACGCGGATTTTGCAGGAATTTCCTTTGGACGCTCATCTACTGCCTATGTGGTTGAGTTTGTGTTTATTATTATATTATTATGGAACCTGTAAGTCGACCTCGGGTCCTAATCATTATCATGGAACCTGGATCCTGCCTTTGGAACCTAATTACTCAGATAGAGCCGAAAATTCTAGATAACACAGCACCGCGCCATGTTCCGTTAGCTTTTCAACAAGTTTTGCCACTAAGATACATTTTTATTTCTCGAAATAACGCTCCCCTCGATCGCATTTCCAATTTCATTTTCACTTTCTCTAGTTCAAACACGAGTGAGAAATGTCAACAGAGCCGCGCTCGCCAACCCGTCAAACTTATGAGTTGTCTTATCATCGGCTGCGGGTGGTCGCGGGCGCGAGTGGTCCTTCGGTTTCACCTGACAACAACTGACTCGTCTCCCGGAGGAGCATCCCCTTCGGCCACTCCACCAGTTTACAGCGGTTTTTATTATAACTGACTGCACCGACCCATCCAAACACTTTTTTTCTTGTTTATCCGCCGCTCGGACGATCTACCGCTTTTTGACAAATTGCAATAAGAAAGTTTGAGTTTCGCGGCCTTGGCCCCAGGCTGTCACTCTTCCAGCACCTAGTCCAACTCGCAACTTGTGCGGTGTAGCCGGATTGCTTTCGGCTCGTGTCGAGACGCATTCGATCATCCAATTTGTCTCTCCGGAGTGCTCTAAAACCCTCTAATGTTTTTATCTTCTTCTTCTTCTCGGTGTGGCGCTCGATCGGATCGCGTAATCAAGGTGTGGTGTAATCCGTGCAAAGCAACAATAAATCTCGCCCGTACCTTCTTCTCCTCCCTTCTTCTTCTTCACTCACTCACTTCACATTCAGAATCGAATGCGCCCGAATGCGACCGCGCAAACTGCGTCATCGGCCTTCTGATGAACTCATCGATATTCGTGAAAGGTGAATTGACTGCTCAAACTGGTTTTGATCGTCGAAAATTGTTGATTTTCAGCGTTTATGACGGGGAGAATCGGTAATTTGTGCTCTTTTTAGTTCGCGTTTTGCTGCAATTTTCAGTTTCTAATCTTCTTCCTAACCAATCACTGTATCTCAGTTGCCTGTAGAGATATGACAAAGTGGCAAACTGATGAAATGTACACAATTTTCTGATGAACATTTTGCTAGTTGACAACTTTTTCATATCTCCACCGGCAGCTGAGATATACTGTCTAGACTAGACTGTGCCGTATCCACAAGTGGGTTTTTAGGCAATTTTTGAGTTGAGTTCAATTCCTAATAGAAAAAATAGTTTAAACACAAGGATACAATTAACAATTTGGCCGCGCGAACAGTCAAAATTCCACCACAATTTTGTCCCATTTCGCAGAGGACTTCCATGGCTGTTCTCGGTGTTCGTCGTCCTTTTTCTGCTGCTCACCATCCTCCTCTTCTACTTTATTCTCACGACGCGCAACATTTATTTGTCGCAGCGAAAAGAGTTGGAAGATGTGAAACGGGAAGAAGCGGCCGCACAGAAACAGACGGTCAGTGACGAAGAGACGTGGAAAGCGGAAGAAGAAGAAGAAGAAGAAGAAGAGGAACGCGAAATGATGAGAAGACGGAAAGGGAAGAAGGAGAAGGAGAAGGAGAAAGTGCACGTGGATGTGAGTTTGGAGATCTGAATCTGAAATCAGCGAAAGTTTGAGTCCATTTCAGATTGTTCCGATTGTGAATCGAAAGACTGGAGAGCCGGATAAAGTAATTGAGCTCACTTCTACTTCCACCACACAAGAGGTACAGAAGATACTTCATTTTTCTAGTTGACAACTTTTAACGCTCAACTAGTTCCAACTTCCAGACGTTACAGTAGTCTTGGGAGTGGTTGTACGGGAAAAGTGTCAATTGAAAAAATGATTTTCACACCTAGATCTCTATTTCTCTAGTTGATCACTTTGCTGTACGACTACTCGTTGGGTTACTGTAGCTCGTGGATGTTAAGGCGAGTTGAACGCCTCTCTATTTGACTGTAAACTTCCAAGATCTACAGTAACTCAAATAATGTTTGTACAACGAAAAGATCAACTAGAAAAGTGAACAGCTAGTTGTGAAGAATTGACAAAAACGTTTAGCCAACAACAACAATACCAACTACAACCTCAACCACCACCACCACAACTACCAGTACAACTGAAGAACCGACAACTACAACACTTCCGTTGACGAGCACAGATGCTCCAATCGAAGAAGAAGAAGAAGAACAGTTCCCGACAATAGAAACACCTCGGCAAGAGATGGAAGGATCCGACGAAGAAGAAAAAGAAGAAGAAGAAGAGGAAGTGATGGTGGAGTTGGATGACGATAACATTGATGATGTGCAAGTGGAAGAGTACGAAGGGACCACAACTACAACTACAGTAACCCCACCACCAGCTCGCAACTACACAAAGATCGAATGGGAGGAACGACGCGCGCCGAAGAGTCAATCGGAGACGTTTTCAAAGTTTGCGATTATTACGCATCATGAAGAATGTAGCGGAATCGGCAGGTATTCTCGTCTTTTGGTTGTTTTTTTTTCAAATATCGAATGTTTACTTGCTTCCAGAAAAGTGTTCGAGTCCGGTGGCAACGCGATCGATGCGACAATAGCCGCAGAGTTCTGCATATCGGCCGTCCATCCACACTCCACCGGGCCAGGGTTCGGGGCTGTTATGCTTGTACATTCCAGGTAAGGTTTTTGGCCTTTTTTCAAGGTATACAGAAACTTTGATGAATCATATCTAAAGCTTGAGATGAGGTGTGCTGAGATACATTTTGTTGAACAAATATCAGTCAAAGCCATCATTTTTCAGAGCAAAAAACGAAACGTTTGTGATCGACGGAAGAGAGCGTGCTCCGAAGAACGCGAATCAGAATACATTTGTGATAAATCCGACGATCGCGCACATCGGCTACTCGTCGATGGGCGTTCCCGGCTGGATCTCGACCCTCTGGAGTGCTCACAAACAGTTCGGAAGCGGACGAATTCCGTGGAAGCAGCTGATCGAGCCGACTTTGGCGCGCTTCCAGAACGGCGGCGTCAGAGTGGATCGGCAGTTGGCACAGGCGTTCGAGGCGCGGAAGAATCAGATTCTGCACGAGAAGAGCTTTGCGAATTGGCTGAACACGAGTACGGCCCGGGAAGGAGCGATGCTTCGAAATGAAGAGTACGAGCAGTTTTTGGGCAGATTGAAAGAGTCGGTGCACGCGGAGCACGACTTTTACGGAGGCGAATTCTCGAAGAGCATTGTGGAAGAGATGAAGAGTCGGGGAGGACTGATGTCGCGACACGATCTGGAGGCCTACAAGAGCACTGTGAGCAAGGCGGAGAGTCTGAGGATTGGCGAATGGTCACTCGAAGGTCCACCGCTACCCTACCACTTTCCGATCCTTGAGAAAGTGCTCAAAAATATCACGGAATCGTTCGACACGAATCCAAAAGATGCGCTCGAGTACTATGTGAACTTTGTGCAACTTCTGCAGCAGGCGAATCAGATGAAGGCGCTCGTCGGCGACGATCTTTTCGATGTGACGTCGAGGCAGAAGATCGAAGAATGGAAGAAACAGGCGGATACGTTGAAGCCAGAAGAACAGAAGAGGAGCCAAGTGCCGTTCTCACGGATCCAGGCGCTCGACGAATCGGGCAACGCGGTCAACTTCATGTCCACCAATTCGGTTCCGTGGGGATCGGTGCGACGCAGTCCGACAATGGGATTCGTGTGGAATAACGCGATGAGCGCGTTCGACGTCTTCTGCCGCCACGACGTCAACTGTGTTCAGGGCGGGAAGCGACCGAGTGTCACCAACGGATTCCCGTCGATCCTTGTCAACTCACAGCGCCAACTTTTGATATCACCGACCTCGAATGCACTGGAGACGACCGCCGCGTTGGTTGCTCAGAGTACACTTATGAAAATGGTAAGTCGAAGTGGTCCGTCGCTCAATCATCTCATCATCGACAACCTTCAGACCCCCTCCGAATCGCTCGATCATCCCCGAATCCTTCCACAATCCGCCGATCAGGTACTCGTGGAACCCGGCGTCCCACCCGATCTCTACCGAACTCTCTGGACGCATTTTCGTGCTCAATTCACCCATCCGGCTGCTCCGATCTCGCTGATTGAGTCTCGAAGTGGAAGTATGGAAGCGCTGTGCGATTTCCGAACAAGAAATTGTTATCCGAGTGGTACTTGAAAGATTGTCTGATATTATTACGTGTCGTTGAAGAAGAACTGCGGGTCTTTGTTTGCTTATTTTGTCTGTTTCCGAATAAAATAGTTCTCGAATTCAGTGGGAATTCTTTGAACTTTGTTTGGACTCATTCGGAGTGCGCCTGAACAAACAGAAAAACAGAGCGTTTATTGTACTGCACATAGTTTATTATTGAATTTAGTTTATTACTACTTTAGTTCTTTTTGCGGTAAACTAGAGAAGCGTTTGACTAGTGCCAACTTCAAAGTGCTACAGTAGCCCGAGAATTGGTGGTACAAGAAAGTGATCAACAGAAAAAATGAAGATCTAGTAGTGAAAACTATTTTTTTAGTTGACATTTTTCTCTTAAAACCACTCTCAAGGCTACTCTAGCTCTTGGAAGTTTCCGGCTAAAAAGAGAAGCGCTAAACTATTGCTAAAACTTTCAAGAGCTACAGTAGCCCGAGGAGCGATTGTGCGAAAAAATGATCAACTAGAAAAATAGAGATCTAGTTGTGAAAATCATTTTCTCAGTTGACACCTTTTTGATACGACCACTCCCACGATGACTGTAGCGCGTAGAAGTGGGAGGCCGGTTTCCATGTAAGCACAAATCCCCGTCTTCCATAACATTTCTATCCTCAACTCTTTTTGGCCTCGTCGTGCTGCTGCTGCTCACGTGACTCCTCCGAGAGCACAAAGCGCGCCCGTCTGCCCTTCTGCCCGTCGGCCGTCTCTTCTCTCTGCACACTCTCTCCGCGTACACCACGAGCTTGCGCCCTCGCTTCCCTCGATCTCTACGAAGAGACGGGTATACACGGCTGCATACATATTTTGTCCTTTCGCGCATCTCATCGTCTCTTCCATCATCGACGCTCCCTCGTTTTCGCCTCTCTCAGCAGCCAGCAGCCAGTCTCTTTCCCCCCCCTCTCTCACAGCAATTTTATCGGTTTTTGTTGTGTGTTTCTATATTATTACACCCTCCTTCCCCTCCTCTACTTCTTCTTTTTTTGTCCCCCATTTTTTTGATTCTCACCTGAATCTTCTTGATGATTACAGATGATCCGGCAAGAGCCGAAAGTCCATTTTCTCTATGAAAATGTGAGTTTGGGCTCGTTTCTCGACTCGGTGCCCACGTGCGAAGAGGTCGAATTCGCCGCGTTTGAGGACGTTCACGCGTGAGTTTCACTCGATCTCGAATGCACTTTTACAAAAAGTATTGTGAAAATTCGAAGCCACGGCGACCAAAATCGTAGAAAGGGGCGTGGCCTAGCGTGCACGGTTTATCATCATTTTGGCGCGAAATTCGAAATTTAACTCCATTTTTCATGTTTTTCGTCAAAAATTACCCGAATTTTGTACGATTTCGACGATGCGATTGCATAACTTTGTTAAACTAATCATCGCGCGCACTTTTTGAGCTTAAAACGAGCAGGTTTCATTCAGAAATGAATCAATTGAATCGATTTTCAAGTTTTTTGCTGAAAATGCGCGAATTTCAGTCATTCGCCGACACTTTTTGCCGTTTGAAGGCTTAAAAAACTTGTATTAACGTGCTTAATCACTTCCGAAACACTCACTTCGTCTCAAAAATATCCAGATCGGCCGGTATGAAAATTCCGAAATTACGGCGGCGATTGGGCGTATTGCGAAATATGCCAAAAACGTCTCAAACGCGGCGTTTTCACGAAAATTGCAATGTTTTCTCTCTTTAATGTCTCTTCTTTCGTCGATATCAAACACAAAAATATCGGAAAAGTGCTGGAATTGCGGCAATTTTCAGAAAACGCGTCTCAGATTAGGCCACGCCCATTTCTACACTTTTGGTCGCCGTGATATTGTGAAAATTCGATGTGCATTTGAAAAGTTTAATGCCGCGTCCAAAGTCTCGGAAAACCGGAAAAACCGCAGGTTTATCTGTCCAAATTCGACCGAAATTCGCGTGAAAAATACGGGGGTGCGCACAGCTCAACGAATGTAACCGTACGCCTAAAACTACGGTTTTTTTGTTGAAAATTTGTTATTATAGGGGCACCGAACAGAAAGGGCGCTCTGTTGAGAAACTATTTTTGCAGTGCAAATTGAGCAGCGACCTCGGGGCCGAGTTTGAAAAGTTAGGCCACGTTTTCAGTGGAAAATTACTTCGCGGCCTAGAAATTCTGCCAGATTGCGAACAGCGCGCCCTTTCTGTCCGGTGCCCCTATAATAATTTCTTGAGGATCATTGAAAATATTCAATTTTCTTACGCAAATTTTCAAAAAATACCGTAGTTTTAGCTGTGCGCACCCCCGTGTTTTTCACGCAAATTTCGGCCGATTTTGGACAGATAAACCTGCGCTTTTTACGGTTTTCCGAGACTTTGGACGCGGTTTAGCGGTGACAGAGCAATATGGGGGCTACAGCGAGCTTAGTACGTGTTGCTTCGAGACAATGTAGTAGCTCAGCTGTCTGTGGAGACATGAAAGTTGACAACTTTTCGATATCTCCGCGTACAACTGAGATAAATCGTCTCATCATTTGTTCCTCTCATTTCTCATTTTCAGCAAGAGCAGCCTGCGAATCGGCAAAAACGCGGACCTCGAGATCCGTTTGCGCCGTGACGGTCCGCCGCAGGATCAGTGGCTCGCCAAGGGCGTCATCCGCATTCTGCTCTGGAACTCGGACGTCCAAATCGACGGCTTCTACCCGGCCAACTTCTGCAACGAGAAGCCGTTCCACGTCGTCGACCTGATGAGCCGAAAGTCTCTTCAGTCGGAGGTCGGCGAGGAGGTTTTCAACGTGGACGTGTCGATCAAGTTTGACAAGTGGGAGGGTCTGAAAGTGATCAAACTGTTCCAATTCGACCATCGCTACCTGGATTCGAACTTGAATTTGAACGTGCAAGGACACGATTTCTACGTGCGCTCCAAGACGGTCTTCAAGGAGATTCCGGCGCTCCGTGAGTATTTGGAGCAGAATTTCGAGGCGGGAACGAAGCAATATGTGATTAGTGATTTGCAAGGAGAGAAGAGCATGCCCGCGTTCGAGACCATGCTCCAGGTCGCCTTCCGATGCAGTTTCATCACCAATTGTGAGTCACGTCTCACGGTTTTCAGAGCTGACAATGGGCGCAAGTGCGCCCCGCCCAATAGAGCGATACATTGGTGCGAAATTCAAATTTTTACAGCAAAATTTGTGTTTTTTGCCAGATTAGCCACGAAAAACCGATAATTTCTCATTTGTCTCTCGAAAGACCTATTTTGTAGGCTAATACGAATTTTTTAAGCGCAAGAGCGTTAAATTTGGTCAAGTCGCAAATCACATTTATCCGTTTGAAGGTTTTTGGCTAAAACTGCGTGAATTTCAGTTGCTTTTCGGTAGTTTTCGCGGTTCGAGCGCTCAAAATGCTTGTATTTACGTGATTTATCATTCTCAAAACCAATTCTGTCTGAAAACGGTCAAGAAAGCGCAAAATGAGAAGTGCGGTTTTTAGGCGGCGATCGGCGGCGAAGGCGAAAAAGCAAAGTCCGCGAAAAATGCGCCAAGATGTAATTAATTCTGAGAATTAGTGTGTTTTCATGTCGAGCAATCATTTTTCATCGCCTTTGACGACAAAAATCAGAAAAAACCTGCTCAATTCATGAATACGCCATTTGGCCGAGGCCACGCCCATATTGTCAGCTCTGGAGACCGTGACGTCTTTCTAAAAAAACGCTATTGTCGGACTTTCAGTGCACGAGGTCGGAGAGGTTCTCTCGTTGGCGTTCCGCTTCGACTACCCGCAACTGAAGAAGAAGTGCGAGTATTATCTGATGAACGAGCCGGAGTCCGAGTGGTTCCAGAAGTTGGCCTTTGCCGATCTTTACGATCTTCCGTTGCTCAGAGTGAGTTCGGTCTCTTGTACTATGGCATCCTAAACACTTTTTCTTTAGCAACACGTGCTCGACAACACGGTCGGCCTTCGTCAAATCTGCAAGCACCTCCATTACCACCGCTTCCTCTCCACCGAAACGCTGCGCTCGATTCTGGCGAAGGCGCTCGAGATGAGCGATCTGAAGCAGTTCGGGGAGGAGCCGCCGAGTGGTTGGCAGACGCCGTGCCTCCACAAGATCACCGAAAACCGGTGGGAACGGCTGAAACGCGTGCCGGTGGTCGGAGGGATCGTCGGCGAACCGGATGTGACTGAGGCCGTCGAGAAGTTCGAGAGCACTTTTATGCCGAAACACTTTGGCGTCGAGCTCATCACTCCACACTTCTCGTTTGCCGAGAAGAAGTTGAAGTGAGTTGCGTTTGGCTCTCGAGCTACAGTAGCACTTTACAGTCTGTTCAACTACAACATCCAACTGGGACCGGATCATCGTCTGCTCTACAAGCTCGAGTGGAACAACGTGCAGCCGGCGAATCTCGTGTGGTCCGTCGACGCGACCGTCCTCATCCGCATGCAATATCTGGGCAGCCATAGCTGGGAGCACTCGGAGCGCGTCTGCTTCGACTACGACCATCAGTCGATCTTCTTCGACGGACTGCATATTCAGAAGGTGTTCCCCGGCGGCGTCGAGCATCTTCTCGACGGCCTCGGCAGCAATCCGACGCTGCCGATGGTCGAGATGCTGGTGATGGTGCAGAAGATTCGCGGACTGCAGCTGGATCCGAAGGAGATGGTCGAGGAGATGGACGACGAGTGGATCCTGCAGCCGGCGCGCAACTCTCCGATCGTCTGCTGCGGAAAGTACGTGTACGTGGACAAGGATGTGCTGCGCGCCAAGTCGCGAATCTTCTCGAAGATCTTCGAGCAGACGTACGAGCCGATCACGATTCCGTTGCTGCCCGAGAAGTTCGACGTGTTCGCCGGTTTCCTGGACATTCTCCACGGCGAAGACGTCCATTTCAACTACCAGAACGTGTTTCTGATCGCCGAATTCGCTCGTTGCTATCAGGTCGAGGATTTGCTCAATCGGGTCGTCGATTGGCTCATCGAAGAGCCCGGAATGAGCAAAATTCAGAAGCTCGAGCTCTCAGTGATCCACGCGATTCCGGAGCTTCAGGTGTGAAGCGCGTCTTCTAAGACTAGACGCCACACAACAAATGTTTTTTTGCAGAAATTCGTCACCGAGAACATTGTCTCGCTGGACGAGCTGCTCGCGATGCTCGAAGGCCTTCCGAACTTTAGCCGCCGCGTGCTCCAGCTCCTGCAGGACCGCATGTGCACGCTGCCGCTGCCCTCGAACAACATTTTCGAAGAGTAGACCAAAAGACGCATCTTTTTGTACATTCTGTACTTTTTTGTATTCTCCCGCACCAAATATGTTCGCTCCGATTGCTTTTCATCCCGAAACTCTTTCTTGTTCACTCTAGATCTGATTCTTTCCTCCATCCCCTCCCCCCCCTTCCCCCCAAAAAAGTGTTTACTTTCTCTCAGGAATTGTATGTTTCAGGAAACGTTTCCGGCCATTTTCTCTTTTTCTTACTCGAATAATATAACAAACAACACATTGTACGTAGTCGTTTCTTTAGAACAGTTTACTTCATTCTTCACCACTTTTGTATAAATTTGTGCTCGACATCCATAAAGAACAATTTTCTAGCGCCGACAAGCATTCCCACAAGTCACATGAAACAGAGAGGAATCGAACCAAGACAAAAATATATATCTCGTGCAAATGTCGTGTTTCGGCGATTATAGGGGCACCGCACAGAAATGGCGCTCTGTTGAGAAACTCTTTTTGCAGTGCAAATTGAGCAGCGACCTCGGGGCCGAGTTTGAAAAGTTAGGCCACGTTTTCAGTGGAAAATTACTTCGCGGCCTAGAAATTCGGCCAGATTGCGAACAGCGCGCCCTTTCTGTTCGTGGGCGTGGCCAATTTCTTGAGAAGCGCTAAGAAAAGTTTGAAATTTTATCTGAGAAGTTCAAAATATTACATTCAAACTGTTCGTCGCTTTCTTCTTTACACACTTACGTGAAAATTGAACAAAGTGCAAAAAAAAATCGACGGACAGTTCGGATGAAGAAATTTTAAACTTCGAAGGCAAAACGTTGCGGTCAGAGTTGAGCGGAAATGGAATTTTCAGGGCTGGGCAATTGGCCGGCCCGGGCTTTTTGTTGGCCGACCATTGACCTGGACATTTGAACCACTTGCAATATTCCGATCGGACCCAAACTTTCCAGGATTGTTGGACTTGGATTGGGACCAAGTTTCAGCCCGATCAAATCGTTGGGTCCCGAGATATGTGGATCATTGGCCGATTTTTTCCTAAAAGCTCGGGCTTCCGGCCAATTTCGGCCAATGATCCACATTTCTCGGGAACAGATGATCCGATCGGGATGAAACTTCGTCCCAGTATGCTTCAACCCATGTACAAGAAGCATGCAAAGTTTGGGTTCGATCGGAGTATTGCAAGCCAATTGCCCAGCCCTGGGAATTTTGAAATCCGGAAGACGGCAGACGGCAGACGAAAGAAAAATTTTTTTACGGAACACGGAAAACGGAAGACAGTTTTTTTGATAAAAATAGAAATTAGCGTTCTTCGGGGCTAGTAAATGGCTTTTGAAAAGCTTTTACTTTTTTAAGGTAAGAAGAAAAAATCCCGGAAGACGGCAGACGGAATTCCGCTCAACACTGGTTGCGATATCATTCATGTCCTTTGACTACTTGGACTTTCTCTCAACTTTGCAGACGATTTATATTTGAGCCTTCACATCCTTAAATGGAAATAATTTCAGCCCCCCGTGCAGATCGTCCATAGAAATGCCGGAAATGAGCAGTCAGCTCGCCATTCTCCGGCGGGTAGAATTTTAGAGTTTTGAGCGGTTCGAAGACGAAAAAAAACCTTACAAAACTGTCGAGAAGCCACAGAGTTTTATATCTTTTATCAAAATATTGCAGCTCACTGCTGGGAAAATCGGTTTTTTGAGTTGCAGTTCACGGGAAGTATACCGTTCCGGAGTTCTCTTTCAGATCGCCGCCACCGCCACGGAAGGTATACGGCCTTCCTGAAAGAGCGGCGGCCGCCCGTGTTCTCGTAAATGAAGTATACTTTTGCCGCTCCTGCCACGCCCCCACAATGCCACAGAAGAGATCAGAGACCGGATCGGATTCAGATTCATTCAGCATTCCGTTCGAGTCCAAATGAACTCTCAATCGTCTTCCGCCGTCGTCAAAACTGAGCCAATCGATGAGAAACCCGCTTATTGGGACCTCTCTCAGGCTCCACCGCAATTTCCATGTTTATCTGGACCTGGACAACTCAACTATCAACATTATGGTTTCGTCCATCAGCATCAGCAGCAGGCTCCCGTCTTTTATGGTAAGAAAGTGAGCTCCACCGGACTTTTTGCGGGAAATTCGAAATGTTCGCTGGTTTTGGCTAAAAGCCCATGAATTTCATTAACAATGTTTCCAGACCCATCGTTCCAAGCGTACCAAGTTCAATACCAGCCAATTGTGACACGTTTCACCGTCCAAAAACAGTTCAATTCGCGTTTGGTTCAATTGATGACAAAAAGTGCGGACATTTACTATCAAGAGCCCGTTCCGAACTATAATTGTAAGTGATTATCATCGAATTACCCGAAAACGCTCGAATTTTCAGATGCTCCGCCTCTTCCGATCACTTCTTCAGTAGAAATCTCGGAGAAACGAAGTAAAGGAGGCGTGAAGAAGACTCCGATGCACCTGAACACGGTGTGCTCGACGTGCGGCACTCGCGAGACCAAGTTGTGGCGGCGAGATCGGGAGGGACGGTCCGAGTGCAATCCGTGCAACATGTACTTCCGCGTCAACGGAATCGTGCGTCCCGCGCACTTGTGGAACAAGCCGACCATGAAGAGACAGCGCCGGCCGTGCGCTCCGATCAATGTCTAAAAGTTATCCTCGTCTTTTTCTGCAATAAAGTTCCGTCATCAATGATCGAGAGGCAATGAAGTACATTTTGGACTGGTGAATGTGCGATATGGACAGAATGTAGTAGGGAAATGGGGGATGACAGTACTAGAGTACTAGTAAAGAAGAGAATTGGGACAGAATGTACAAAAAATAGGCGAGTTCGAGTTGTTATTTTCTCAGGAAACAATGCAATTTTGGCCCGAATTGTTGGAATTTCGATTAGGAACCGTCCGATTGTACTCTTCTTGTTGCAGAGATCGCGCCAATGCTTCATCGTTCTGAAACTTCAATCATATGGAACAGTTAAGAAGAAAGGACGACTTACGGCAGTTGACTGGACATTTCTAGCCTGAGAAGCACACGGATTCATGCGGGAGCGGGTGATCGTTAAGAATCTGGAACTAGGAAGGGATGAGGTTAATAAAATTGAGAAAAAACTGACGAATCAGCCCAGGACGCTTTCTTCTGCGTGTTCAGCTTCTGCAGCTCGGCTGTTTTCCGCTCACAACTGTGATCTCGTTCGTGCCGATGCGAAAGACAGTAATTGCTGCGGCATTTCGAGCACTCCATCGCCACCATCTCCTTTTTCCGACACTTTGCGACGGAGCACGCATTCGAGTAAACTTTCGTGCGTTGTGGAAGGCGACAGTTGTTCTGAATGTGAAGATTGACCTGAAAATAGAACAAATGAGCGGAAGCTTTTAGTTTCTCTCACCTGATAATCGACGTTCGTGTCTTTGGGCGTGGGCACCGGCTTCTCACAAATTGGACATATTGGAACTTGGACGGACTGAAATATGCCAGCTTTCAGGCACTTTTTCTAAAAAGATGAAAACTTACAATTCGGGAGCCTGTCGGACAGTTGTGCGCCTCAAAAGTGTAGTGCTCGGAGCAGTAGAAATGCGCACAGCTGGAGCATTTGATTGGAAGAAAATCTGAAACAGTTAAATGAAAATTTCATATCTTTCTTGAATTTTTGCGCTTACCGAGTCGATTACAAATTGTGCTCTCGCAATGCTTTCCGAGATTCGGGAACTCGGCCATATCTGAGCGGAAATATATGAATGTTTAGACGAAATGAATTAATTCGAGGGTTTTAACGGTTGAAAACGATGACAAATGTCATGTGACAAGTTCTAGAAATCGCCAGAAGCCTGTATTTCGCAATTATCGACTTTTCCGTTTTGAAATTTTTTTATCGATTAATTAATTTGAAAGAGAAAAAATAGAGTTCAAATTCATTTTTTTTCTGGGTTAATATCACGTGGAAAGCGGCAAAATGTGACTAATTAGTACAGTATGACGTCATCACATTAAAGGCGCATGGCATTTTGCGGGCGGCGGGTCTCGCAACGAACGTAAACGCTCCGCCTTCGCCCGCTTTTTTTGATTTGCCACTCTTTCTCTCGGCCCAAAACCCGGCAGTTTTTTTCGAAAATCACCGGATTTTTACCTTTTTTTTCTCTTCTCTGGTTTTTTTCCCTGCACGGTGTGTCCAAAAATAACTTCCCGGTAGTTTTGGCACACTTGTTTTTATAGGGTAGCATTCCGAATTTCATATGAACATTTGGTCTTCAATACGACAATTCTCGTTTGCCACTCGTTTTCTGTGCGCATCGAACCAATTAAAAACTGTTCCTCCGACAGCCTCATCTTCGATCCACGAAGACGAGCCAAACGAGAGGTCTACTAATCGCAATCGATTTTTGTTTTCGCAGCAATCTCTATCGGATCAAAAGAACGCGTTTCATACTCATCTAAAGGTAAAAATGAGAGACGGAGGATCATCATCATAGTGAGTTTACTGCGATAACAGGCATCCGTAATCATTTTCAATTTTAGTGGAAGCTCTAGCCGCTACGGAAGCGGAGGTGGAGGATACGGCGGTGGCGGTGGCGGTGGCTACGGAGGATCTCGCAGTGGAGGATACGGAGGAGGCGGGGGCGGATACGGAAGCGGTGGTGGTTACGGAGGTGGTTTCGGAGGAGGATCCCGTGGTGGTCGCGGAGGATCATCTGGACGTGGAGGTTCAAGCGGAGGATCCGCTGGAGGCCGTCTCCGTGACATCGACTGGACTGCCGAAAATCTCAATCCGATCGAAAAGGATTTCTATCATGAGAACGCCGCTGTCTCCCGTCGTGAGCAGTACGAGATCGATCAGTGGGTCGCCACCAATCAAGTGACTCTCGAGGGCCGTGGCATTCCTCGCCCAGTTTTCGAGTTCAACGAGGCTCCACTCCCAGGACAAGTTCATGAGCTTCTCTACGGAAAGTTCCAGAAGCCGACTGTCATCCAGTCGATCTCCTGGCCAATCGCCATGAGCGGACGTGACATCATCTCGATCGCCAAGACTGGATCCGGAAAGACGCTTGCGTTCATGCTTCCGGCTCTTGTCCACATCACCAAGCAGCCACATCGTCAGCGCGGAGAGGGACCGTCCGTTCTCGTTCTTCTGCCAACTCGTGAGTTAGCTCAGCAAGTGCAAGAAGTGTCGATCGACTTCTGTCATGCTCTCGGACTCAAGATGACTTGCCTCTTCGGAGGAGCTTCGAAGGGACCACAGGCTCGTGATCTCGAGCGTGGAGTTGACGTCGTTGTAGCCACTCCAGGACGTCTCCTTGACTTCCTTGACAACGGAGCCACCAACATGAAGAGATGCTCGTATTTGGTGCTCGACGAGGCCGATCGCATGCTTGACATGGGTTTCGAGCCCCAAATCAGAAAGATCATCGGTCAGATCAGAGTAAGTTCTACGGAATCCGCGTATTTTTCTTACATAATCGTTTCAGCCGGACAGACAAACACTGATGTTCTCCGCTACCTGGCCGAAGGAGGTTCGTTCGCTGGCTTCCGACTTCCAGAAGGATGCCGCTTTCCTTAACGTCGGATCCCTGGAGCTCGCTGCCAACCACAACATTACCCAAGTCGTCGACGTTCTCGAGGAGTCTGCCAAGCAGGCTAAGCTCATGGAGCTCCTCAATCATATCATGAACCAAAAGGAGTGCAAGACCATTATCTTCGTCGAGACCAAGCGCAAGGCTGACGATCTGACTCGCGCTATGCGTCGTGACGGATGGCCAACTCTGTGCATCCACGGAGACAAGAATCAGGGCGAAAGAGACTGGGTCCTTGCAGGTATGTGAACCATACTTGAAATAGAGAACGCAAGTCGAAATTTTTCAGAGTTCAAGGGTGGAAAGACTCCAATCCTTCTAGCCACCGACGTTGCCGCTCGTGGTCTTGGTTAGTTGAGGCGCGACTAGAAATAGAAAGGGTCAAATGCGCTTTGTCACATGTTTGGAAGATGGTTTCAGGAGATTCTCCTTGTGGTTTTTCTTGAGATCAGATCAATCGTTTGCGACACACTTTGTCTGCAACACGTGTGATTTATTTGACCCTTTACAGTTGAACCAACATGATTTGGCCGTGAGGATCGAAAAGCAAACGCGATTTCATTATTGTGGGATCGCCTTATAGGCGGTCTCTGATGATTGACGCTGAGGATGTGTAGTAGCAGAGAGTGCCTCTGGTGCTCCGTGATACGGCCTTACACATCGAGTCGGCGAAAGCGGTTCGGCGCGCATGCCGCCAGTTCGGCAGCCATCTGTTTTGGATGCTGATTCTGGTGCAAGCTGATCCGACGACTCTCCAGTGTCATCGTCGATTTCTCTCTCCTCTTCTTCCCCATTCCCAACTCTAGAGTCCCGGGTTCAGGTGCGTAAGTGCAAATAGCTTAGTCTGAGAGTTGTATCGGCGACCCTTGGTGGTGACGGCTCTCGACTGGGTGAACTCGGTTTTGCGCACCTGTGACCTGATTTCAAAAATGGAGGAAAAGGATCTCCGACGAGGTCTTGATACCTGTCGGAGGGAGGATTGCTCGAAATCTCGCTGTTTCATACTTTTCGTTGTCGTCATTTCATGTGATGTCTTACCCTGGTTCACCTGGTTGAGAGATACGAAACCCGCTCGTAGTTATCGGGAACCATATCTAACCTGCATTTCCAGATGTTGACGACATCAAGTTCGTGATCAACTATGACTATCCGAACAACTCTGAGGACTACGTCCATCGCATCGGTCGTACCGGACGTCGTGACAAGAAGGTAACTATTAAATAAGCGATAGACCTCAAAAACCGAATATTTCTTTTCAGGGAACCGCCTATACCTTCTTCACCTACTCCAATGCATCGAAGGCTAAGGATCTTTTGAAGGTCCTCGACGAGGCTAAGCAGACTGTGCCGCAGGCTCTCCGTGACATGGGCAACCGCAGTTACGGATCCAGCAACTCCAGATCGAGATACGGAGGCGGTGGTGGTGGCGGTGGCGGCGGCGGAAAGCGCGGATACGGAGGAAACGACAACTTCGCCCCGAAACGCCCGAGGTAACTAGCAAATTCGAGGGAAGACATAACACGCGATTAGTTACAGATACGACAATGGAGGCTTCGGTGGTGGAAGCGGCGGCCGCTGGTAGACAATCTACACAACATCCAACTCAACGATAATTCAGATCTCGTTCGTTCGGTCATTGGAACGTAATCAATCCATTCTCTCCCTCTCTCTCTCTCTCTCTTATATTCTCTTACGATTTTCCAATGTTTTCGAGCGCATCGCTCTATTTTTCTTATTTTTTGTTTAATAATCCAATACTGTCAACTTTTATACCATTCTAAACTTAGTTTTATCACATTGTTCCGAAAAATCCTGCTGAAATCCGAAACTGTTCATTCATATTGGATTGTTTCTCCAAGAAAACAATAATAAATATCGATGTTGGTGAGGGATGTGTGTCTCGCTGTGTTTTGCACCCCCTGTCTTCTCCCGCCTATTTGCTCTTCCTCTTTTCATTGTTCGCACTTTATTTGCATACTGTTTCATCCAGCGCTTTTTTACCCATCCGTGTACCTGCGCAAAACATGTTGATTCTGCATGCGAATACTTTCTTTTCACCGTAAATGGCAGTTTTCCTTTGTCATTCGATAGTGATCATTTGGCGCGAGAAGTCTCGAGAGATGGGAAAAACGGGCGGCGCCGACGTCTTCGACAGACTGTTTCTCGACGCGATCGGATCGACCTTGCAGTTTTTAGGCCAACCTTTTTCGTTATGATTTATTTTTAAGATGAGTCGTTTTGCAATGTGAGCTTGAGAAGCATTTCAATTTTCTTTGGGTTATTCAGTATGTTTCCATTAAACCCATTCAGCAGTAACCCCATTTAAAAACCGGGATTCTAAAAAGTTTGCACACCTGTTAAAATATTTATCTGCTCAAAAACGAATCAATTTTTCAACCAAATAATTCTTTTTTCTCACCCCCTCATCATCCCGCAATCGTTTCTTTCGGACCAAAACGAAGAGAGAGAGAAAGAGAGAAGGCGAAGCGAAGAGACGTAGTGAGGGAAAGAAGAAGAAGCTGAAAAGGGGGCCGCCCGTGGTGTCCGCAGCCCGACGCCGTCGTCGTCTTTACGGAAGAGAGGCGGCGACGGGCAGAGAAAGGAGGGAGCCGGGTCCTCTGGCAGAATGCCAATACTAAACGACACGAAGAAGGAGACGTCTTTCTCATTCCGACACATTCTTGTTTTCCTTGTTTCCCCCTTCTTTTTTTGCTTGGCGCCGACGCCGTCCTCTCCGATTTTATTGTGCCAATTAGAGATGATGAGCCAGAAAAAAGGACGAGGCGCACTGATTTCAAAACGGTTTTTCTCAAGCTTGCTACCTTTTTGTGTGAATGAATGTGAAATAAAAAACAGCTCTTGTCTTTTCTTTAAACGACTACCTTGATTTTTCCGGAGGATAACGTTGAACAAAAGCGGAAAAAAGTTTTATTATTGTTTTTGTCCACCTCGCTGGCTTGCTAGTTATTATAACCAACGAAAAATGTCCCCGCCGCAAAAAAAAAACGATAATTCATGTTCTCTTCCTCTTTCTTTTCTCTTTTTCCGCCCATCACAATTCGTTGTTCTGTGGTTTTTCAGGTTATGCAAACTCGGGATAATTGTGGAGGCACGAGCCGATGAAATGTGAGTTTTTACCAGAAATTTAAAAGTTCGAGCCGCCCCTAAAAATGAGTGATTTTCACTTAATTCTGCGATGGGAAAGTGCACAACAGCTTTTCGGTACAAAACACTAAAAAAATGTGTCGAAATGGGGAAATCTCACAATTTTGGCTAAATTCATTTTAGTTTTCGACTGATCTTCGAAATGTTCGTTTCAATGTTCCCGTCTTCCCGGTCTAGAGATCAGTCTCGCAGCTGAGCCGAAACACGTGAATCAGGGTTTGAAATTCCGAATTTTTCGGAATTTGCATTCAAATTTTCCCCACTAAACCATTTGTCGCACAGTTCCCACTATTCGCATTGCAGATGTCGTTGTTGCCACTGAACACGCTTTCGGAGGCCGGCTGCCTCTTCATCGAGGCGCGTCTGCTCGGAGGCGCCGGCAGCATCGTCTCGCAGGTCGGACTCACCGTCGACGCGCCCAACACCTCGATCGCCGTCTTTTGTGAGTCGAAACCAGATTTCTCCGGGGTCAGAGGGAAATGGAAAACGGGGAGAAGATACTGGTTTCTGGCCGAAAAAAGAAGCCAATGGTGTCGGGTTTCGTGCCGCCCGCGCAGGTACTTTTCCCTCGTGCATGCCAGATTTGGAGAAGTTTATTGGATTAGGGGGTTACGTGGGTTTTGAGGCTAAAATCCGATGTATACAGTTTTCACGTCGAAAAGTTAAACCTCTTGTCAATTTTGAACACGTTTTATTTCTGTTGTAGCATTGCTTCTGAGTCCGACTCCTGACCCCCATAAACATAAAGTGGTGTCAGTTTCACTGGGCCACTTGCTCGTGTTTTTGTGTTCTCTCTTTCGTTCCTAGTTTCATCTTCTTCTTCTTCGTCTTCTTCTTCGTCTTCTTGTCTCTCTGGTGTTAGTGTCAATTCCGGATTTCGAAACGAGCGGACGCGCCTAAATTGAAATGAAAGTGCTCCGCGGGTCCGTCTGCACGCCTACGCCTCTCGTTCTCTTTTTGCGACAACGGTTAACCGACTCGTGTTGTTTTTGCATAAAATAATGCAGCGGCGGATTCTGAAGAGAACATGACGTCACCTGTGGCCAGCATTCATCACAGAGAAGAAGAAGAAGAAGAAGTTTACCTCGCTCACTCGACCGCTTCAGCAAAATAATGCGCCGCGCCTTTCCTTTTTTGTGTGAGCACGTACTCGAGTGGATTTGCACGGAAGCTAGCTACTACACACTTTTTTGTGATCGTTTTGAAGCCAACTAAGGTGATTCTGATGGAAAAAATCGGAAAAAATCGGAAAAAATCTCCGGACCGGATAATCCAATCGGCCTGAAACTCGCACCCAAGATACTTCAATCCAAGTCCAAGAATTGCAACTGGGTCAAAAGTTCAGGACTTCTGCCCAGTCCTGTCCTTCATGGATTTCTGTTTTCCGGCCGCCCCGAACCATCTGGTCGGATGGCGTCACTCCTGCTGCAGCTGCAGGTGGCTGCTGCATTTCGTTCCGATCCTCATGACCTCGACGAGTTTCTCGTTTCCGCAGTGCTTTTTCTTTCTAGTGATAGTAGTCGAAAGAGAGACGGACCTTCATGTGTTTCGACGAGTAATTCGAGCAGCCGTCGAGTTGAGTGACGGCTCCCTCGAGAAAGAGAGATGGAGAAGAATCAGAAAAGGAGCGAGAGGGAAGAGACAAACAATGAATAGATGAGCAGAAGACACACACACACACACACAACACAACTATTGTTTCTCTCACTTCCGAGGGTCCGAAAAGTTTCCGCTATTCATGAAGCACTTTTTTCTATCAGGGGAACTGAAAGAGAAATGGAGGAGAACAACATATTAGTGGGATGCGGAAAGTTTAACATTTTGCTTCATCAGCTCGAACTACGATGAATGATGAAATTCGAGTATTTCAACCCAACCGAATGAGCGCTGTGCTGTTTTGCTGATCCAATCAGGAGAAATTTTAAAAAAGATCAGAAGCGTGTTGCTTTTGTTCCCAAAAAAAAGTAACGTGCGGAAAGTTCCCTGATATTCCGGAAACACATGTGTTTTCTGTTCGCTCCTCTCGGAACACTGATATGAACAGGTGTCTCCGAGGCGAAAGACGAGAAGTGACTAGAAAACAGAACAGAGTGGTCAGTGGCGTCGCCCGTTCTTGTACACATACAACACATAATACAGAGTGTATATGCATTTTACCCGACACGGATACGCCATACGTCGACACCATATTATTAGTTTGACAGTTTCCACGAGAGGCGAGGGCGCCCTTTCGCCCCCATCTCGCTTCGAATGATCGCTCTCTCTGTCTCGTTTACACCCCCATCTCTCCACACCCATTCTCTTCCTCTACGCACCGATTTTTGCGCCGTCTTGCCGTCTGTGTGTCCGCACCGATCACAGTGTCTGCTCGACGGACGGGCGGGCGGGCGCCCTTGGCTCACTGAGAAGATTCTCCCTTCCCTCCTACTCTGCCGTTGCTTCTTCTCTACCTGTTCTGGAAATCTGGAAATTCTGGAAAGATGGACGCCGCCGAAATCGAGGTGGCGTTCAGCAATTCCGACATCGTCCTCTCGCTATTCTCGCCGTTCTCACCGTCCAGAACCACTTTAAAAGGTGAGGGTTTCGTGGATACTGTAGACATACCATTGATGCAATCTCTTTTGAGTAAGTGCTAGTATGTACGACAAATGAGCAAACACGCAAAGAGGTTTTGAGAGAAACGGATTTCCGCTGTCGTCGCCGCTTTTTTTCTGCAAAACCGCACGTTCGAGTGGACGATCTTCGGGGACATAGCGACAAAGATTGAAAAGTATCGGGTTTAACAGAAGGGTAAAAATAGACGAAGGTTGATGGACACGTCACGTTTAGGATCTTGTTGAAGCATCTAGGAGGGATTTCAGAAACTTCCAGGGAAGTTCATGATCCGAGATTCATAGTGATACAATAGCACATGCAAGATTTTGCAAGAACCTTTTACCTGATTTCATATGACCTCCTAAACTCACGGAAAAAAGGTCCTCGTGCCGTGAAGCACACTTTTTTGGTTCCACTAGACGAATCAAACAACCTCATCCTAATCAATTGTGCCTGTAGGCAAACGAATTCTGTTCCTTTAGTGAAAGTCAGTTGAAGACAGCGATTATCCGCTTCACTCTCATTTGACAGTAATCCCACCAGATTGGCAACGTGCCAACTTCCATTAAAACTTTTTGATAGCACACACACACACACACACACACACAACTCAACTATCACTCGAGCAAACAACTGTGTGTGTGCCCAATTTGATCAGAAAAAAGAGTTGTGCTCCGATCGGCATAGGTTACGTGATTTTGATGGGTTCGCACCTCCGCCCGAAGAATCCGATAAACGATTAGTTGCAAGAATTGCCCCGAATTGTTGACGACGATGATGGCGCCGCGTTTAATTGGGCGCACGTAAGATGACCGGAATTGGTTTGTGGTCGAATTATGGAAAAAAGTGGCAAGAGGAAAACTGATAGGATCAAGGTCCTTGTCCCAACTATATCATTGCAGCCCGAACCAGCGGAGTCCTTCTCGTGGCCGGCGTCGGATCGTTTTTCGCATATCGCGTCGCCTCGAACCTTCTGGGCAATCGGTCGGTCCTCCCAGAACCTCCTCTTCTGATCATCTTGTCCCACCTTCAGATTCGTCTGGGAATGTCTGGAAGCGCGTCGGATCGATCAGATGCCGTCGGCCGATCGCCGACTTCTCTTCTCTTTTGTAAGTGATGATCGACTTAACCGAATTAAGAAACAGAGTGTCATTTCGGATTATCGAGATTCGAAAGTTACACCCTTTTCTCTATCATAATTGATGTGACACCTTTGAACCCGGGGGGATCGCTCGGAAGAAGATGAAGATGAAGAGCATTACAATTTGTTCAGAACGCGGAGGAGGAGGAAGACGCGGAAGAGGATGCGGAAGAAAACGGAGAGCGCCACAGACAACGGAGGGACAGCACCGGATCGAGAGTGTCCATCGGACAGGTCTCATTGGGCCGACTGAACCGAGTCCGACGATCGACCCGTCAGCCGCGTGGATTGCTGGGAAGCCTTCAGGAGACGCCGCGCAGGAGGGCGGGCATTGTGAGCAGACAGTCCTCGCGGCACTCGGTCGCTTCCGGTAAGCAAAAAAACCAAACCAGGGATGGGCAGCCGCAGCAGTCAAAAGTTACGGGAAAATGTATTAAAATGTTTTTTTGCAGTTTTCGCTCGTTTCCGACAAAAACGAAATAATTCGAATTGTTCGCACAATAGTCGCGCATCCCCGCGTTTTTAGCCCATACCTGAACGAACCCTAAAGTTTAGGAGCAATATTCATAGTTTTTTGTTGCAGGTAATTCGGTATTGTCTATTCCATTCTCCTCGGCCTCCTCCGCAAAATCCGCCTCATTCCAAATCGTGTGGGAAGGATCCCAACCGGCGTGGGACGATTTCGACGTCCCGAGCACTTCCTCTGCTGCTCCGACGATGGCGCCCGGAGGAGCCCAACCATCGGTGCTCTCTCGCCTCGGACGCGTGGCTTCGACGGCAAGCATGCGACGCTTCGAAGACGGACAATCGATAGGCGACCTGTGCAGTGTATTCAATGATGTGAGTGAGAAGCGGATCGGAAGAGTGATCTCACGATGGAAAAGGTTTGCAGGTGATGAGTGTGACGTCGTTGGCGGAGGGAAGCGACGATCCGCTGCTCGACGAAGAGTATCGCGACGAGGTGAGCAACTCGGCCAACTCGTGTAACTTTTGCGCAAAATTTGAGTTTCTCCACAACTTTTGCCAGCCGATGTTGTGTATTTAAGCTTTGCGCAAAAAGTTACAGCGCTCTGCCGAGATAATTGTTGGACTATCCGCGGAATTGTTGTCAAGTTGCTTTAACTGTCTAAATTGCTGCTATGGGTCATATTGGTCATACTTGTTTAACAGAAAATACAATAAATCATCCCGCACCTATGTATGGTTTGCAGGACGAAGATTCGGGAGGAATCTGGCATAAATGCACGGCGGACAACACAAAATACATGTACCAGAGTTTCGCGGTGGAGGCCAGCGAGGCGGGATCCGAAGAAGGATCGCCGCGAAGGCGACAGTATCTCGAATTGTGAGCCGTCCAATATCTTCATTTTTCTCTCATCTCGTACCTTTTCAGAGGAATTGAAGAGGGTAAAAGTGCGGAAGAGGAGACGCTTTTATCGCCGCCCGACTCGGAGACAATGTCGCGAAGTCAGCACTCGAACCGACGGTCCATGTACGATTCGGCGATCGGAGCCGAGATTTCGAGCAGCGAGGAGGGGTCGACGTGTGATAAAAGGTGAGAAAATGCGTTTTTTTTTCGCTTGAACTTCAACAAGTTCTCGAGATTTTTTGGGTGCTGCCACGAATCAGAACTGGTACGAATTAGAACCAATTAGCACTGAAAGTACTGAAAGAAGCACCACTTTTTGTTCATGCACTCAAAATGCACAACATCTATAAGTGTATCCGAATTTCGGTCGAAAATAGACGATAATTGCAGAACACCCCCCTAGTTTGTCTGAAAGATAACTTTTCATGATTAATATATGAATGATTCGACGTCATCTCGCACAGGAAATTGCAACGAACGATTGTTAGAAGGGAAAATTGACGAATTTCCGTTTGTTTGCGTCATTGTGCTTCGTCATCGATCCTGACGACGTTATTAGGCTCGATATTAGGCGGACTGTAACTTTTTCTGATCCACAGAAGATTTTACACACCTGAAACGTGATTCTAGGCCAGATGCAGATCAAATTAGACTTTAGTCCCAGATCAATGTTTGGCCGCTGTGAGAGAAACTTCAAAGTTTGCCGAATGATCCGTTCCCACACTTTTTTATGCAATCTTTAAAAAAGCTCTAACCAGTGAGTGCACAAATAACAGAGAACGTGTGAATGAATGGAATGATGATTTCCTAGCAGGCTGGAACCAAAAATTAAGGATCCCCGACATTTCGCAACCGCGACTTTGACAGTGCAAGTTAGTTGCGCAACGTTGCGGTTTCGAAATGTCGGAGAGCCAAAGTTGAGGCTTCTCACTCAATGTGTGCACATTTTCAGATTGTACGTGCTGCAAGAGGCCGACAACGTGTCGATCGTGGCTCCGTCGTGCGCGAGCCTCGAATGGTGCGACGACATTGCTCGCAACGCGCCGAGCCGCCTCGGATTCGACGACGAAGGATCGCCGCAGCGACTGCGAAGAGCCAACTTGGATTGGGACCTCGAGTCGGACATTGTCGCGCCGAGAGCCCTTTCGGTCGCCTCCTCGTCGATTACCCGCGAGGTGGAGGCCAAGTTCGCACCGAAATCGTCGCGGGATCTGATGGTGATGGCGTGCGAGATGTTCCAACCGTACTCGCCGCCGTTTAGGGTATGATTGAATGGAATTGTGGATGAAGTGAGAGCTCTGACAGTTGCAGGACCTGCAAACAGTGTACCACAAGCGACGTCTGAAGCGTGTCGCCGTGCCGAACCTCCCCGAATCGGCCGCCGACTCGACCATTTGCATGTTCATGCGCTCGGCGCTCTACCACAAATGCTCGCTGCTGCGCGACGCCACGTGGCAGACAATTGAAAAGGTGAGCAGTGTGCATTTGTAACGAGCTGAGCTGCTCCCACCTTCCGGGTTGAGCGTCTCAATTTCCGGAAAGCGCACCCGCAAAAGGTTACAAAGTAATGGGTTTTTGACGTGTTGCTCTGTGTTTTCTGTGATGAAAGATCGCAAGGTTGTTGCGCCAAAAAAGACGAGTTGAGACTACTGTAGCTGTTTGTGTTGATTGAAATTCGATGCCTATCGGTTTCATTGGCGACCACACACGAAGGCTGTTCGGATGGGATTTCACTGACAACATTATAGATTTTATATTTGGGAAAATCCGTACGTATTACGCCCACTCCTCCCCTCCTGAGCGGACCAGACAAAAAGTGCACTCTGAAATGAAATTGAATGGAATTCCGGGAAATGCATCGGTTTTTTTCGCGAATGAATTGGTCACGAGTCTCTGAATTCAATTACCCTTGTCCGCCACTTTCGCCCCGCCAGGCCACCCATTCATTGTTTTCCGAAAAAGATGGCCTGTCACTTATTATGTATGCGTTGAAGTGTCTCGAACATTCTGAAGACGACGGATTAGCAGGGTGGAAGCTCTCTCGCAAAAAAGTCGACGACGAGTTCGCGAGTTCCCATCCTTCCGCTGAAATATTCATGAAAAAGTGTCTCTTGACGTGCTCCGGACGATCTCCGGACCGAAGATTCCCTACCTCCATGTTTCTCCCGGATTATGTATTCGTTGCTCCCTGGCCTACATGCCTTCTGCACGTGCGCCCCGGGGCGAAACTGCTCGGCTTGAACAGAAATCGCAACTTGAATCTATTCTGGGCTCGGGATTAGTGGGAGAGTCCGTCAACCGATGATCTTCAGCACACATTTAGAGTTGGGCGTGGACTTGGAAGAGTTTGGTGCTTACTGAAGTAGGGATTACTGTAACTAAGGCTACCTAGAAGGTATTTGGCTCGAAAGATGTCGAGAGAATTCTGAAGCTTTAGAAGTTCATTCCCTTGATCGTCCGCAATCCTGTACGCCTACGCCTTTATCCACAGTAGTCCGTGATGGCTCTAAAAGAGAAACACGCTCCGGAACATGAATTATTCGCGCGTTTTGGACACCCTGAGCGGCGGATGAGTTCGTTCGTGAAATGAAACAAAAACAACAACATTCGGTCCCTTCTCATTTGCATTCCTGTCATACTGTAACTGAAATGCACGTCACAGTTCATCTGAGTCACAAACCTCCCTTCTCCACTCATCCTAATTATTTCTTTCCGCCAAGTTGGCTCTCCGTTGGCCTGATGACGTTCGCTCGTTTTTCGTTTTTGTCTCAAGTGTGAGCGGGCCTCATCTGTTTCTCGCCGCACTTTGCATCCTTGAGAACATTGGGCCACACGTGCGTTTTCCGAGAAAAACTCGTTGAAACAGAAATAATTGTACACCGGGTCACTTTTTTGAAGGAGCCATAAATAGGTGGCATTTATAAATAAATGCTGGCCGGACATTTTGCATTTTGTTGCAAATCAAATTTCATTTCGCTGAAGTTTGGCCCATTTCCTTGCCCCCCTCTCAACATTTTCAATTTCCGAAATGAAATCCAGAGCACCAGGGATAAGTAGATTGGAGCAGCAAAAGCAGAGCGGCAACTGAGCCAATGTGTGTGTTTGTTCAGAAAACGGAGCAAAGTTCGGCCAAACCGGGAGGTCCCGGGGACTACAAATGTGCACAATTGCAGATTCGCACGGGTTCCACTGAATTTGGGTATTTGATCCTTACAAAGATCGCGAGCATTTTCTCACCCCGCAATAGCTAATTATAGAGATCAGAAAGGAGCAGATCTTACACGCCCGGCGAAGCGAATAATTGTAGATGTTGAGAAAACCTTGCCCCCTTTTCACTGAGGAATTCAAAGTCCGTATCCGTAAATAAGTTGGAAAAAAAACGAAAACGCCTGCAGCAACTTCAATTTACTTATATAATTGAAGCGCCCATTAACTGGAACCCCTCAATCATTCCATCCATGACATCAGATCTTCTCGATCCTTCCGAGCTTCTCTTCTTCTTCTTCTTTCGCATTTTCGCGCCGAGCAAAAAATTGAGAGGAAGAGCAAAAGGAAGAGCGCGGCGACCGACGTCAACCACTTTTCGTTTTTTTTTGTTCGAGAAGGAGAAAGAGAGCACATTTGAACATCGCCGCCTGCGAAGCAAACATGCGTGTAGGGAAAAAAAACGGAAGGGGAAGCAGAAAGAAAAAGCAAAAAGAAGAAGAAGAAGAAGAAGAACATGAAACATACAAAGCGGAATAGAACTGAACCTGGGGGAAAGGACAAATGTCTAGGGATTCCCGCGATCTTTCATTCTGAATCCACGTCACACGTGTTATCGAACATTGTGGAATGACGCGTCGATCGAAGATTCTTCCGGACAATCAACGGATTATCAATGGGTTCATTAAAAGCGAGCTAATCCCGAGATTACAGGGCTATTTTCGGCGCTTTTATCTGCGAAACCCCCCGGGGAATAAATGCCACCGGGCACGGACGATGTGTGTGGCAGCCGTTTTTTCCCGGAGTGTTTCAAGTGCACTCGAGCAGAACCCGATTCTCAAGCGAGTGATTGAGTTTGTGATGGAGTTCTTCTGAATGGCGGATGAGACGAGATGAGCTAGGAGAAGAAAAGAACATCAATCAGGAGAGTGGATATCTTTCTCTCTCTCAACGACTCTCGCTTTCCTTTTTTTATTAACTGAATTTATTCGGCTTTTAACAAGGGAATCAATCGGGGACGGGAGAAGGAAGAAGACAAGCAAATTATCATTCAAGACACTATGTAAGCGGTAGTCGAGAAGCGGATGCCTTAGTTGGCCTGTGGGATGGCGAGCTTGTTGAACTCGAGGAAGGTGGTGAGGCCCTTTGGCATGTTGCACCCGTCCCGCTTGCACAGGCACCGGAAGCTCAGTTGCGATGGGTGTCCGGCGGCGTGGAATTGAAAGGCCTGAAAGAAAGGGATGATTAGAAGGTCTCCCTCCAGTTTCTAGTCAGCTCTTACTTCTTGAAGGCACACATTGAGCACAGCGTGTCCTGGAGCCGTGGCGCCGAAGATGGCCTGAATGTTAGTGTAGTCGTCCGAGTCCATGTCGACTCCGTTCACGTAGAAGTCCTCGAAGTTCTCCGGGGAACTCATGTAGCTGCACATCTCGAAGACTGGCTCACTCAAAACGTAGGCCGTGGCTGGCTCCTTGCGATCCTTCGGCTCCCAGCAACGCACGTATCTGCCGGCCTGATCCAACGCGTCTTGGACCGTGTTCTTGCTGGGCGCATGAATGCTGAAGCCCGACACGGCGACAATGAGGGTAATTGAGAGAGTGGCTTTAGCGAGCATGGCTCCGACCGGTTGATGATCTCGGGAGTGGTTGAGATCGGAAGCGAGGGTAAGAATCCGCGAAAAAAGTGGCTTTTTCGGCGGCGGCTCTGGCTCGGCACGGTCAAACGGCTGATAATGAATTGGCACCGCTGGGGACGTCGTTTATATGCCAGTCCAGAAGGGGGAGGAGCCTGCACAGGGAGCCAAAAGGGGCGTGGTGGCGGCCGGGCGACAGAAGGCGAGAGATCGGGATTTGAAGAGACGGCGAAAAAGAAGACCAAGAGGCGTTCCCTATACTTCCGTCGAGCAGAAAATTCATCATGTTTGGGGTCGTGATTTGAGCAAGAGTTCATCAGAATCGGAATAGAACATCGGAACATCGGAATGAACTCGAACGGAATGTGCGAAGCGTGCCGGGGATACGGTAAATTTGCAAGCGACTATCGCGGCATTTCAAAGTGAATGCGTTCTGTTGCAATTGTGATCTTCAGCTCGGCGCCAATAAAAAAAGAGAAAAATCTTCGAGAATTCAACTGAAACTCGATTCGCGGCTGAAAAATCAGGTCCCAGAGATCACAAAAAGAAGGGTTTCTCAACAGAGCGCATTCACATTGAAATGCCCCGATAGTAAGACAATGGAGATCGGCAAAGTGAACTCAGAATCGCATTTATTGCCACATCAGACTTGGTACCTGGAATCGGCTCCCATTTCCCACTAATCATCCCATCCGCACCACCGGAACTCTATAACATTTTCCCGAAGCAACATATCAACACAATCGGATATGCGCATCTGAATAAAAGTGCATCGGAAGCATCTTTTGCTCATTAGAGCTTAAAGCTTATCAGACTTTGGGGATGACGTCGTGGAACAGACAGAAGACGTGAGATCCTCTCTTGTGATCTTCCACTCGGTTGCCATCCATTCCATTTTTGGAGCGGGAAATGTCTGCGGCGATGACGAAACCAATAAGTGCCCGATCTTTGGAGATCTTCGAGAATCTGAAACAAAAAAGCAAACACGTAGGTAGTTTTTTGACCAGATATTGGAATATGAATTTCGGCAGTCTGAAAGTGGCACTTGTGAAGCGTCTGAAATAGTCTTTTCTGGAAGTGACTAATTCATGACGAACATTCGTTTTGCTCAACGAGCACTTCTAGTTCGGCCCGCTACCGTAATCTTGGTTTCCTGCTCTTTGAGTTCTTCCATATGTTAATTGTTTACTGAATTATGCGAAAATGTCGTCAGAAGTTCGAACTCAGAGTATTCGGTGTGTTTTTGTTCGCCAATTCGACTTTCTCAGAGATCTGAGCAAAAATAAGTATAATTTTGATTATTCGACTCGGAGCGTGTTGCCAGACGCGACGGAGTACGGTAGGTGCGTGATAAACCGGCGATTAGGGCTCTCACGGATTTTCCACAATCTGGGCGGCGAATTGGATAAGCAACACGCTTTGTTTATTCTCGCGAAAACACACAATTTGTGACTTTTGAACTCCTGATGCCATCATGAAATAAACAAACAAAAAACTGATGGCGTTCAAAAGAAGACAATTGTCGGAGGAAACTTGAGAACCAACCGGGTGTCAAGCAAAAAAATGCTGTAGAATGCTGATTTTCTGCAAAAGAAATGACGACCTCACAGCGCCATCACAATCATTAATGTTCTTTGTTTTCAGCGCTTCGACACCGCCCTACATGAGTGCGATTTCATGCGAAAATGGCCCGAGTACGAGCCGACGGAGATGCGTCGGGATCTGAAAGCACTGCACCAACTGGTAAGCACTTTTATGGCCTTATGCGTTCTCCAAAACAGCGCGCAGTCAAAGTTGTTGCCTAGAAAAAAACCTCGACCATAAGGCTTGAAAAGAGTGCTTCCGGGTTCACAATGTTCGAGCGCATTTTCATATAATTACAATCACTTCCGCGTTGGCTTCCATAAAACAACTCGGAAAATGGATTTTGCAAAAATGTCCGTACCTGATCTAATAGAATCTTCTGAAGTCGTTTTCTGGAAACGCCACAGAAAACGACGTCAGAAGAGGTCGGATACAAGTTTGCAAAATGTGGCAACGTCAAAAAATGGAGCATGTGATATTATATTCTGTCATCGGAATTCACTCGAGTGCCTGCCACCAACGATAATCACGTTCGCGCGCTTTCTCACGATGAGAACGGATTAGCCGAATAACCGTAAACAAGTAGATTTGATTTCTGGGATTACGGTACAACTTGAAAGGTACTCTATGGTACGAAATAAAAGAAATTAGACTAATTTTGAGGATTCCCGAAAAAGAATTCTCTGTTTGCAACAACTAATAGTAAGCAAGCCAATCAAATGTTTGTGCATGTATTATATATTCCGATGCTCAAAAAGCTATATCTAGATGTGGGGGTGAGTGAGTAGGAGTACTGTGGGATCACACACACCGAGACGGGCTCATCCCGACTTTTCGCCCCGAGCCGCGCCGAATTCGAATTCCAAAGATCAAACACATTCGGATGATTGTTTCAGGCCACCGAATCCGCCGTTTGCGGCCTCAACGACGGGCATCTGAAGGCGTTCCGAGTGATGATGGTGCTAGAGGCGAAGCGAGCGTACGACGAACGGCTCGCCGGACTCTTCTGCGAGGACTGGTTCGACGTCGACAGTCCGGCCGACGTGTTCCGGATCGTTTCGGGCGGACGCGAAGACGAGGAGCTGTCTCCAAAGGTTTGTGACGTCGGCCGCGTGTTACTTTGCAACTGTCTCCGGGTGTTTGGAGGGCTCCGAACGGGGATTAGGTAGGATTAGATTAGGGCCAGGCGGATAATGAACGGATCGATGATGTTTGAAGCACGCTCCACAGATACCGTATTCTAGTATGTGGTGTGAAACACAAAACATGTTCATTAAATATTATGTGTTTTTCGCTTTTCTCGCCAAACATCCAAAATAGTTTGGCTCATCAGTAGGTATACTCGACCGAAACACATTGATCTGATTCACTGGAGCAAGTGCACTTTCCACTTTCCCGCTGAGACCAATCATGATGTGATGGGGCTCTTCTTTTTTGCTTTTGTGTGCACGTGTGACTCCTTGTCGATAATCTGGCGGGACACAGACGTGATGTATGTGTCTGGAACACTTGTGGATTAGGAAACTTGTGAACGGATTAGCCCGAAGAGTTCGGAGATTAGAAGGCGAAAGTTTGGGCGCAAAAGAGATGGTTTGTAGATTTTCAACCTTCAAACGTGAAGAAGTGATGAAAATTGAAGAAGAAAATGGAAAATCTAATTGAATCGATCAACCTAGTCATCGTCTATTTCTGAACTCCAACTTTGTCTCTTTCTCCCACCGAATGTACCGCCTAATCTGCGGTCATTGTCTTCTTCTTCTTCTTCTTCTTCTGACGTGCGATCTTCTGAATTCGGAGAAGATGTTACGAGGGCTGTAAATCGTAGAGGGGCGACGACGATATTCATTTCGAAATTAAATTCGAGATGCACTTTTGCGGAGACGTCATCTCTTGCGCCAGGAAATCGCATTGTTTTGCACTAGAATCTACGACATTTCCAACCCGGGCGGGGGGGGAACTCTTCTTCTTGAATGTTCCGCAGCGAATCACTCAATCGAACGCTAATTCTGTTTTTGTGGGAGAATTCGCACAATTCACACGGATTTTCATTTGAATGGCTGACACGCCGCCATCGCCTACGTCAGAACCTAGTGAATGTGTTTTTGCACAGTTCGCTGAGAGAATCGCACACACCTGAGTGCGTTGGTGAGCAGGGGACCGCGAGCACAACCGCATGACTTTTGGGTACGAGTGTACACTGCATTTCTTCTCGGTGAGATCATCTAGTAAATCTGATGTGTGACAAGTTTGGATAATATTAGTCGACTCGAGCAATAGAGCGCAACACAAATACTCCTCTAAATTTCAGATACTGTGGAACATCCTGTGCCGAATCAGCGGAGTTTCGCTTGAGATCATCGACGCGCGCGGTCTCTCGGAACGTCCGCAACTCCGTCGATTCTCCGCGTCGGCCGCTCCGACTTCAGCGCCGTCGCTCACGTGGCTCCGACTCGGAAGACGTCCGGTTCCGCTCTTCTACATCCCCGACGACGAATAATCGTTTTTCATTCTGTGTCTCTTTCCTTTTTTTTGAGCCAAAACGGGTGCCCGACATGATGTCCAGATATTTATAATTTTCGACCATCGGGTTCTCTCCCTTTTCCGCTTTCACCCGATCATCCTGCATCCCAGTGCAGGAGGCTCCCCGACTCGAGGTGCTCCCCAAATATCGAGTTTTGATCCATTTTCTCATGTTTACATCCATCCGTCACCCGGTGCCATTCTCACCTCTTCCCGTAGTTTCTCTTTGCTGGTTTTGTATGTTTTACATAGATTTCATAGTTTCCATAGTATTTCAAAATACGTTTCTGTTCTCTAGGCAATTCATGTTATCATTCTTCAAAATAATATGCGCCTTTCTTGACAATCTCTTCTTGTATTCACCCGAAATTGGTGAAATGTTGTTCAAATAAATGTAGTGTTTTATCTGAAACCGCGAGTTTTTTTGGAAGATATCATGCAAATGTTTTATTGCTAAAAATGGATTTCATTTTGAAAACAATGCAAACTCGCTCTACCGCACACAAACAAAACATTCGTTTGAAATTGCAAAACCACACGTGCACTCTAAAATCGCGCTTTTCCAGAAATTTTCAGCAAAATGCCAGTGACACTCAGCTTGAAAACGGTCGGAACGTATCAAACACTCGGGGACAAGTTCGTCATCGAGATCTTTTCGAAAAAAACTGGAAAATTTTCCAGAACTGTCCTTCCCGGCGCTCGCCCGCCACTTTTGAACGAAGATCCGAAGCTGTACGGACAGCTCGACGAGGATCTGGACCTGACCCTCGGCTGTGAAGGATTCAAGGAAATGATGTGCGCGGACAGGCTCTCTTCGCTCTTGGACTACCTCCGAAAGACCAACGAAAAAAGATCGTCGCTTCAAGAAGTGCGGAAATTAGTGCAAAATATCTATCCATAGCAACTATACCGCACGCGTTTTTTATACTTTTCTCAAAAATTCGTTCAAATCTTCGGGCGGGCCCGAAATCTTGCAAATCTTTATTTATCTAGTGTTTTATTCAGACAGTCGACGCGGATTTCGTTGCGGAGCGCAGAATTCTGATCGCACTCGCGATGAACCGTCGACCAATGGAAATTCAGGCGTTCCGACACAATGGAGTCATCTTTTTGTGCGATAAAAGCCAGACTGAGTTTGTTTTAGACTGATTTCTTGTAATTTTGCAAAGTTCCTCACTTTCAGCGACAACTGGCCGTACGGATTCGGCTACAAATTCGAACAGTACATGACTTTGGACAAAAACGGAATTGCGCACGACAAATACGCGAAAATAACCGATTCGCAGACGACAAAGAACGTTTTGAGAGCGTCGATGGCTTCTGGAGACGAGAGTATTTCAGTGCTCTATTCGGCAGAAGTGGCTGCTCGCGATGAAAGTGAGAGGAGTTCGGGAAAGTTCGGAATTCCAGAGAATTTCATTGCAGAAGGGTTCAATGTGGAAATCAAAACGACAATGATGACACATAGAAAGTGGCTGAAAACGCAAAGCCAGCGACACTATCTGAACGCCATTCTCGGCGATATTCCGTTCACGGTTTACGGATATAAACAGAGAGTTCAGGAGCAACTCGTTCACAGAATAAGCGATCTTCTAGAATAATCTAGAAACCGTGATTCTCGTCGTTTTTAGGTTGAAAAGGTGTACACAGCTGACATCCCGAATATGAAGGTGGACTGGAAGAAGGAGAGCTCTCTGGACAGTCTGTTTTCGACGCTTCGAACGATTAAAAACGAACTCGAAATAGACGGCGACGCGATTTTGATGAAAATGACGGAGGACGACGTGCTCACTGAGCCAGAAGACGTCGACAATTGCACATTCGTGGATCCGTTCTTCATGAGACACTTTGAATGACTTTTGCATATAATTTTATCGAATTTGTACAACAACAACAAGTACTAATAAAACTAATTTTTCGTCGACATTTCGAAACCGTTTTTTTCACAAAGGGCGTGTACTAATCCTTTCGAATATTTGAACAATATAAAAGTAGTGAATCACTGAAATTGCTCACTTTTAAATGCGGAGACTGTGACAGGCCCCTTGGTATCTGTCGCTTCTTTTCCTCGAGGAGTATTTTGAGCGCGCCAGCGACAGCCGGCCGCACGGTAACACATGATTCCTGGCACGGAATTATCGCTCCGTTACAAGACACTGTTTGCTTTTGATTGAGAAAATTTTTCAGCATTTGCTTATAACTTTTCTATTCTTTCAGATCGCAAGATGAGTGTTTCGATCAACATTGACAATGTTGCAACTTACAAAAAACTAGCGAATAGGTACGTTTTTCCCAGCCGATCGTAAATTTATTAACTTTATCGGAAAACATTTCGAATCCAGGGATGCCGTTCCGAACATGCCGCCATCGCGCCTGAACGAGGACAGCAGACGATACGGATTGCTGGAAGAGCCGATGGACCTGATGCTCGGCGGCAGGGGATTTCGTGACGGAGGATTCGGAGATCGTTTCCACTCACTATTCAACTACCTCCAAAAGACCAATCCAAAAGGATCTTCGCTCAAAGATGTAAATATTCCCTTATTTCATCGGAAACGATTTCCTATCTCTTCTCCAGACAATCGGTGCGGACTTCTTCTCGAACCGTCGTAACCTGACGGTATTCGCAACCTCCGCCTACCCCAGGAAGAACGGACCGATGAAAATTCAGGCGGTCCGACACAAAGGAGTCATTTTCCTATGCGCTATGAGCCACCCAGGGTCCGACATCTTGTCAATTGTTGCTGAAACGAATTGTGCATTTTCAGCGGTTGTGCCACGCCCGACGGCTACAAATTCGAGCAGTACATGACGTTGCGCGAGGACGGAAAAGCTCACAGCAAGTATGCGAGAGTGTCGAACGACGAGTGCTTTCGTGCACTCTTCCGGATGAGCATCGGCGGAGCGAGAGACGAAAAATTGTCCGTTTTTTATACGGCCGAAGTTGATGCGATTGATGGAGGTGAGCGCGGGCACCAGAATTGAGGGAAAATGTCATTTCAATAGCAAACACTTGATTTTGAGCATTTTGAGCGCTCAAACTGTCCCAAACGTGCTTTTTTCAGCGGGAAACTTTGTGGAGATGAAAACGACGGGTACCGATATGGACAAGTGGAGGAATCTTTCGAGTCTCCCGCATTACCTCCAGTCGTTTTTTGGAAAAGTGCCGTACATTGTCTACGGACGCAAAACGGCTCTTCCTGAAAGTAAACAACACGCGTTAATTGTCAACAAGGTAATTTTACAGAAAAACCTTGAATTTTCCACTGTTTATCGTTTTTAGGTGGAGAAAATGAACACGGCCGACATTCCAAAGATGGGCGTCGATTGGGACAGAGAATTGTGCTTCGAGGAGCTGTTCAAGACGCTCCAGACAATCAAAGATCGACTGAGAAATGACGGCGAAGCACTTATGGTCACGATGTCGAAGAAGGGAGTGGACTTTGGCCCCGAAGACGCCAACAACTGCACATTTGTAAAAAAATGGTTCCTGGACCACTTTGAGTGAAATTCAAACTGCATACGAATAAACGATTTTCATGTTCGAAAGGACAATTTTCCCCTCAACACATCGATTTGTTTACAAATATCTTCGCATCTGGCAGGTCACCGGCACCCAATAGATGCGTTTTTACACTTTTCCGCCCGGTCTCCATTCGCTCTGCCGGCCAGCCACTGTTCGAAAATGTCTGTGAGTCAACACTCTTGGAACCTACAAAAAACTATCGGATAGCTTCGGTGGTTTGAACACTTTGTCTCTTCAAATGCTCCCTCTCTCAGATCGTCGGTTCCGGTTTACGAGAGCGTTTCGATAGTTTATACCGGAGAAGTGAATGCGATTGATTGAAGTGGGCGCGACCGAATACACTCATCTTTTTGGTTTTCTTCCAGATGACAACTTTGTGCAAATCAGAGAGACGCGTTTGAATTCAATCAAATTTTTATTCATGAGACGTTCAAGTTCAAAGTCGTTATTTGGTCAAGAAGAAGGCGGGCAGACGGCGGACGCCCTCGATCTTCGCGGTGAGCCATTGATCGCGCGGCTGCCGTCCGTCGGAGCGAGTGTGGTAGAAGGCAAAGTAGTGGTTCTTGGTCATCGAGTCCTTCTTGTCCTGGTTCTGGTACCAGAAACCGATCACGACCGTCTCGTTGGCTTTGACGAGTCCGATCGGCGGCTGCACACGGAAGATGTCGGCCGACGTGCAGCGAATCTTGTACGAGACGAGGTCGGCCGTCGGATTGTGCAGCTTGACGAGCACGCACACCGGCTTGCGGTCGTCCGCGCACTTGAACTCGATTTTGTTGAGACTGAGCGCCAGTTTGAACGGCGGCTCTCCGGGCTTGTTCATCAAAGTGCTCACTCCGGCGTCCTGGAATGGAGCAGCGGAAGGGGCGGTCGGAGCCGGAGCGGGCGCGGGAGCAGCATTCACCGTCGGTTTCTTGTCTCCCATTTTTGTCCTGAAACGTATTTTTCGATTCGAACATGCGCGAGGAATGGAAAATAAAAAACGCTCACCTCCTAATTGCTATAAACAAGCAGGATGTAAGTTTGAAATGGTTCCATTCTTTGCTCTTTTCCGAATTCCCACGTGGAAATGGAGGCAAAGGTTACTGGGAGAAGCCACGTAGAAATGAAAAAAAATAATATGACAACAACAGTACTGCCTACCGCCGATAACAGCCTGTATGCCAATGATTTGGGATCAGGGCAAGGATTTTACGTTAACGGTGGTTTTTTTTTCAAATTTTTTGTGATGAACGAGATTTTTCTCAAATCTATTACTTTTGTACTATTTGTCTCTAAAATCAGAAATGCCTGATTTGATCAGTAAGAACAAGATTAGGCATCAAAAGACACCAAAACGTTCAAAAAAGCGATAGGGACTATAGAAAAGACAGAATTATATTGAATTGTATGCTAGTTTTCAATTCCTGCCAAAACAGTACGCTTCATGGATTTTACAGATTTTACGGATTTTACGGAATTTACGGCTTCTTGAAACCGTAAATTCGGTGATCGCCCGGTAATTTCCGAGTGTTGCCGTTTTTCCTGTGTAGCCGGCACAGGTGAATCGCGCACGGTCCATTATGGATACTCCGTGGATGAAACGTGGATGAGCGCGCACATAGCAGGCATAATGGATCCGTAGGGAAGCGACAGGGCAATATGCTTCGCGCGTGTGTGATATATGCCTCTGCTGGCGACGCCCGAGCGTGGATCGCGCGTGCCCCATCTTACCCAGCGGCTGCCGCAGTGCTGTTCGCTGCTGCCGTTCGCGGGGGATCCATAATGGGAGTTATATGCGTACACAGCGGAGAGAAAGTGCTAGCGTCGCCGCCGTTACAAGGCGACTATTCTGCAGAACTGCGAGCAGAAGTATAGCCGATGCAGTGTATTTATCACGAATCAGATCATGAATTACAAAATATATTGCTTAGATGGTTTCTCTTGTCAAAAAACTCTCTCAGTGATGTTTCGTAGCGATAGACAGTGAGCGCTTGTTCTCTGGAGAAAACGCTTGAGTCCTGGCCCTGGGTAGAGTATATCCCAGCTTCAATAGTATCCCATTCATAAAAGTTTCATACAAAATGCTCCGTGGATTTGTCTAGGCTACAAAAACAGTTGACTCGTTCAATCTGACTTTGAGAACGTAGTCATTTGATTCTCTTCCTGCTGACACTCCGGCAGCAGCATGAGACGGTCCTCTCAACAGTTCGTCTGAACAGAAGAACATCTATTAGCCACAGCAAAAATCAGTAATTTGCTTTCAAATGATGCTGATAGTCAAAAAGTTGTTCGGACGGAGTGTCTTCTGCTATACATTGAACATGTACTTGTACTCTATCTCTAGACCGTTCCGTTCTAGCCTGTCGCTCCCCTTGGCGAGAACGCGCGCATTTTGTCATGCAAGCCCCTGCTAGCAGTATCAGCAGGGATGGGAAAACACGAAAGCGCGCGCAGGGTACGGTAATAGGGGCAGGGGATCGAGTTTGCGGGGGGAGCGCATGGGCCGTGCGCGACCCATTTTTCATTTCTGGCTGCGCGGCGTGCCTCCATATAGCTCGCATATAGCTCGCATATATCCTACTAATGAGTCGCATACTCGACACACGGATGCCCCACGTGGCGTCCATAATGGACCGTGCGCGATTCACCTGTGGGGGTAGCCAAGTGGCAAAGGCGTGGGCCTACTGAGCCTATGGATGAATATCCTTTAGGGGTTCGATTCCCCTCTCCGGCGAAAGCTTTTTTTTGAAATGTTGTAAAATTCGAAACTTCCCTAATATCTTAAAATATGTTATCAGTGTCTCGTCGTTGTAATAATGCAAGCATACTTGAAAAGCTGAAAATGCTGAAAATTAAATTTTACTGAATTTTTTTCACCATGGATTCCTAAGAAACTCTGCTCAAAAACTAGATTTTTTTAAAACGATTTTGTTTTTCAATGTTTGCATTATACATTTTTAACTTTCCAATAGATCATAAATTCAAATTCTCCCGCCAAATTTGAAAATTGTTTTTGGCGCGCGGGTTACTGTAGCAGTGGTCTCGCCACGAATAGACACAGCTCAAACTCCAAGAGTTATTCTTCATTTGAAATCCTACCGTTTTCAGACGGTTTTCAGTCATTTCCGTTTGATTTTCATCAGAAAGATTGGTTTTTTCCAGGTAAAAATTAAAATATTGTTGTTTCATTGTCATAATGGGGCGTAAAAACAAAACAAAGCTTTTGAAGGTGAGTCTTGAGTTTGTCTTCACTGAGATGCCCAATTTTTCCCTAATTTCAGACCGGAAGCTCGTGCACTTCACCCGGTACGTCTTCCCAATCTGAGGATTCGGGGCGTCAGAGCAGCCTTTCCGGTTCATTCGATCTGGGAGACATAAAAGCCAATCTGAGATGTATAGTCGGAAGTGGAAACGCGACCGGTAAAATCTGGAATTCTTTTCCGTTTATCTTGAACTTTTCATTTACAGAAGGAAGTCGAAAACTTGAATTCATATTGTCCGAAATGGAGAAAAAATCAGCCGAGCTTGAAGTGGCAAGGAAGATTATTCGTGACCTGCAGAACGAACTTCATTCGTCACCTAATAACAGTCATCAGGTGGCTGGAGTATGTTGTGAACTACGAAATAATGGGCATTGAACAATGATTATTTTAGGACGGTGACTATGAAAACGCTGAATTACGTATCAAGACCGAAGAAAACGAGGAAAGCGTTCTGACACTTGTACAACTCGGAAAGTTTTTTGGTCCACTCGAAGCAAAGGCGAACGATATCGCCGATGGAAACGCTCGTCTTGGGTCTAAATTGACTTCTGCCTATGATCAAATCGAATGTCTGAAAGGTAGCTCACAATTTTTCGAAATTTCGTCATTTTCAATTTCAGAAGAAGTTTCCCGCTTGGAATCTAATCTGGAAGAGACAAAAGATAGCTTAAATAAAAGAAGTGAAGAATCCATGGAAGTCGAGTCGGTATTTCAATCGGTCAACGACCAACTCGACGCGGATCTTAAACAGGCCAATGAGCAGATTGCAACGCTCAAGGTCAATGTCAAGGAGTACAAGTCTATGCGCGAAGCTGCAACCGCAAAGCTCGAGGAGGAGAAAGAGAAACTTTCGAACTGCATCAAAGAGAGGGACGGCGCCATAACGGATCTTCGTCAAGCTCGTCAAGAAAGTGATGATCTACGTGTGCAGCTCTCCACCGCCCAGAATAAGGAAAAGAGTCTGACTGAGACGTTCCTGAAGCGCGAGACGAACCTCAAGGAGATGTTCGAGAGCCGCATAAACAGTATTAATAGCGGCGTGCGACTGATCAAAGAAGATTTCGGACATTTGAAGAAGGATATGGTCGAGGCGCAAGCAAAGAACGAAGAACTCCAGTTGCAGCTCACAGCTTCGAAGGCAGACACCAAGCACTATCGTGATGATGGTACGAATTGCCGAAAGTACATCAGAAAGCTGGAAGAAGATCTTGGTACGACGTTCCATGCGCAGATAGAGGCTGAAGAAGAAGTTTCGTTGCTCAAAGCTAAAATAATCGAAATGGACAAGCTCTTGGCCTCTTCTGTTCAAGATCACCACGAACGAATGAAGCGACTGGAGGACGAGCTATTCTCCATTAAAAACTTGTTCGAGTCGGAGATTGATATTGAGACATCGGGAAGTGTTCTCGGTGCTGTCGTTCAACTCAAAGATAACTACGATCTCGAAAAGATAAACCAAAAGTTTGATCACGAATCGCTGGCTACCAAAAACGAGGAAATCAGGAAGCTGACTGAAGAGCTGACATCATCAAGATCCCTAGTGAAGAAGATCCGGAAGGAACGTGAAGCTGGGGTGAAGAAATGGAAGAAGATGTTCGACGAAGTCACTGCCGAGAAGCAAGTATTGGCCGGACGGAGTCGAGAACTCGAGGAGAAACTAAGTGGATCTTCTGCTAGCAGTGACGAGAGCTTCCGCAGCACTTCCGAGCAAAACGAATCGTACCAAGTATTTTGCGACGAACTGCGAGAGAGCGTGGCTCTTCTAGAGAAAACGGTCAAAGAGGAGAAGAAGAAGGCGGATCAGTTGTCGGAGAAACTCGTGGAAGTAGAGAAGATTAATCTAGATCTTCAGCAAACAATTGTTGCTAACAATGCAACAATTGAAGAACTGGAGATCGGCAAGAAAAAGACGTAAGTTTTTCTTAAATTATAATCTCCAAACGAATTGCCTTTATTTTTAGAATATCTTCCATGGAGTCTCGTATAACCGAGCTTCAGCGATCTCAGGAAAGCTCACTGAAACGGTACAATGAGGAACTTACGGTCGCGCGTCAACAACTGGAGTCGACGGAAAATGCTCTGGGAGTGCAGCAAGAGATGAATGCTAAGATTTCACAAGAATGGCGTCAGAAGCATTCCGATGAGGTTTCTGGACTGTCCGAAAAGAACAAGCAGTTGTTGGAGGACCTCAAGAAGCAAACCGAAAAACTGGATGAGCTGAGGGAATCTCAAATAAAACTGATTGAATCGAGTAAATCGGACATCGAAGCTGTTGAATTGGAGAAGAAACATGTGTTTTCCCAATTGACGCAAAACCAGAAAGCTCTTCAAAGTTTGAACGACGAGATGCTGGTAATTGAGAAAGACCTTCGCCGCGTTCAAGAATTGGAGAGAGCCAAAACGGAAGTGTTGGTTCGTGCGACAGAGGAGGAGAAACAAGTGATCCGAAAGGAAAATGAGTCACTCCGACAGCAACTCGAAAAGGTTAATCAGACTCTCGCCGAGCAAAAGGCCGAATCGAAGAGACTCTTCGATAACGAAGTCCGAAAGCTGAGAAAGGTTGTGAAAGTTAGCGAGCAGAAGAAGGAGGATGCACTCAACGAGGCATCCAGCATGTCTCTGAAGCTGAGCGAGATCCAAGCTGAAACGAAGAAGGTGAGGGACGAGGAGGCTGAAGAACACGAGAGGCTGCTTTCAAAGTTGACCGAACTACAAGGAGCTATGCAATGCACTTCTGTGGACTCGTCGAAGCTTGCCGAGACGACCGAGAAGCTGCGCCAGGAAAGGGAAACATCAGAGTCGCTCCGCACTCAAATCATGAGACAAGACCTTGCAATTGAGCAGCTTCACTTGTCCAATAAGCTGAATGAGCAGGCGTTGGAAGAAATGGCTCAAGAGATTGAGAGAAAGGACGAGGAGCACGCGCGTGTGGTGCAAGCCGAGAATGACAGGTTCATGAGTCTCCAGAAAGAGTTGGAAAACACACTGGTCACGTTCGATGAGGATTCCATTCGACAGCGGCTTTTGGCTGAGAGGCAGCTCCACTACGAAGCGTTGCGAGTAAAGTACGATATGGGCACACAAGAAGCAGCTGATCGTATACAATCGATGCAGGATGTTCATTCAAAATTGGAATCCGAAATCGAAAAGTTGCAGAGCGTGCTAAAGGAGAAGAATGCCGAGCTTGAGGCGCTGAAAGCTGAAAGATCAGACTTCGAGGATAAGATTACATTCCTTTCTAAAGAGGTTGATCTTCTCAACACGAAGCTGGTAAAAGCTGCATCTCCAAAGAAAGACAAGTGAGTAATAACTAGAGAAGCCGAATATATCACTTTTTCCCAGAGTTATCCAACTTGAAAATCGTCTGGAAGTAATGCAGAAATCGGTCAAAGCTCAGCAAAAGAGAATGGAAGATGACCTGAATACAGCCACCGAAGCTCTGAAAGCAAAGGAGGTGCAATGTGAGGAGCTCCAGAAGCTGGTTGCTGATTCGCAGTCAAAGTATCGTCTGATCGAGGAGCTTACCGAATCGAACAAAGTGCTGTCCGAGGAATTGACAAAGTCCAAGGACGATAAGGAATCGAATATCCGATTGAGAGACATGTAAGTTGTTTGTTTATTTGTTTACTAAAATTCATTCGAATTCGTTTTCAGCGTCTCGCAACTCGAGGATCAAAACTCGCAGCTTGTGAGAGAAAATGCGGCGGACAGAAGTTCGCTGGTTGATGAACTCATTGCTACGAAAAATCAGTTGGAGAAGATTGAGGGCAATTTGGAGATGCACCAGAAGAGCAGCCATCAAAAGATCGAAGTTCTTGAGCACCAGCTGAAGAATCGTCCTGTGATCACCACGCAGCCGAAGCCCGACAAGATCGTGAGTGGAAACAATTCTGTAGAATTGGCTATGATCGAGCACTTTCAGGACGAAATGTTCCCATCTATGGATCCGACTGCTCGCCAATTCATCCGTCTCGCCTGTGCAAACCGCCATTTTTCGTATGGACTCGTCGGCATCGTCACATATGTCTGCCTCCTTCACCTCTACATTATTTTGTAATTAGTTAATTGATCGTTGTGTTCATAATCCCCCACCCCACCCAATTGTTCATATTCACTATTCCCCTAACACCTTTTCTGTTTATATACTGTTTTTGTTCTATAACACTGTATAACATTTGTAAGGCCCCCTTATTGCATCCACAAAATGCCTGCCCAATTCATGTAGAATACCCACGTCCCCGTTTTTATAAGGTGAGTTAAATATGGCCTCCCCAGATATTTCTATTTCCAGCAGCCAGAGACTGCTCGCCCAACCTTCCCTAGCACAGCATGCGTTGTGTTTTTCCTGTAATTTAATAAATTATTTGTTCGTATAAGTGAGGTGAGGTGCGCCAGCACTTGCTCAGCTTATATCCATCTTGTAAAAATAAAATGTTAAGATGCACGCATAAGAAAACACATATATTTTTCAGGGACCCGTGCGATTACCCGTACGATTACAAGTTCGAGCAGTACATGACACTGGATGAGCACGGAAATCCGCATAACAAGTATGAGACGGAAATCTGTGAAGGCTATTCTCAGAGGGACACGCCATCGATAGAGGTGAGTGGGAAGTTCGTAGTTAGAGACGTTGCGTTTTGATCGCAAGAAATAGATTGATTGAACTCAAATCAACAAGCCTCGGTCACAAAAAATGGATGGAGCGACTGAGTCTCCGTTACTACTTGCAGTCCCATCTCGGAAATGTGGACCGGATCGTGATCGGCCGAAAAGTGTATCAGCCTGATCGCACTCAGAATCAGCAACTTGTCAATAAGGTGTAAAGTGATTCTAGGAACAGAATATTTTTCCAGGTGGACACTATTCGCATCGCGGACATTCCGAGAGAAGGGAACTGGCAGAAGGACGTGTGCTTCCGATGGCTCTTCGCAGTGCTCAAGAGAATCAAGGAAACACTGAAGAAGGGTGGAGATTCGATTCCGATGAAAGTGGCCAATAACCTGGAGCTGGTGCCGGAGAAATCGGACGATTTTGCCTTCCTGGATGAGAATCATTCTCTTCAATCATTTCACTTAAATACGTGCCAGTGGGCGAGTGAGTGTGCACTTTCGCAACTTACTCGTGAGGTCCGAATCAATGCGTTTTCTTGAAAATAAGAGGTATTCAAGACATTTTATCGCGTTTCGCAAAAAGCCAAAAATTGCGGAGAGAAATTGCACTTTTATTCTGGCTCGAAGCATGGCTCACGATAAAAAAGGTCTCCTTCTCCCTCCTACTCTCTCTTGTTACAATTCATTCTTTTTACACTTTCCATCCGTTTGTCCCTCCTAGTTGCACGACTCATTTCTCTTTTAGAAATGTCCGTGTCTCTCGACATAGAACCACTCGGATACTACAAAAAGTTATCGGATAAGTGAGTCTCACCTTTTTAAACGTTTTCACTGTTCAAAATAAAATTCAATTTCAGAACAGCCGATCCGGATGTGCTTCCGCTTCGTCTGAACGAGGATCGCAGGTTGTATGGAGAGTTGCGAGACGAGTTGGATCTGACGCTCGGCGGCGACGGATTCAAGGACGAAGGATTCGGGGACCGCCTTCATTCTCTTTTCGATTACCTTCGGAAGACCAACGAAAAAGGATCTTCGCTCAGAACTGTATGCACTTTTTCCTCTTGTTCTGTACTTATATAAAACCGAGAAACATCGCAGGTAATCGGTGCGGATTTCCTGTCGAACCGCAAGATTCTGAAAGTGATTGCAATGTCTCCCTACCCGGAATACTATCCTCTCAACTGCAAATCGGTGGAAATCCAGGCAATTCGACAGAAAGGAGTCATTTTTCTGATGGAGAAAGAGGACGGAAGGTGGTAACGAACCCAAAAAAGCACTCATAATAAACCACGTATATTGCTCAGTGTTCTTTGCGATTACCCGTACGGCTACAAGTTCGAGGAGTACATGACTCTGGATGAGCACGGAAATCCGCATAATAAGTATGAGACGCCGTCGAATGCGGAAGCTGTGAAGGCTATTCTCAGAGGGACACTCACTTCCGGCGACGACAGCCTTTCGGTCTTTTATTCGGCTGAAGCTGATGCCATCGATAGAGGTGAGTGGGAAGAGTTTGAAGAGGATGTTTCGATACTGTTCAATTTCAGGAAATAGATTGATTGAAATTAAATTAACAGGCCTCGGACACAAAAAATGGATGGAGCGACTGAGTCTCCTTTACTACTTGCAGTCCCATCTCGGAAATGTCGACCGGATCGTGATCGGCCGAAAAGTGTATCAGCCTGATTGCACTCAGAATCAGCAACTTGTCAATAGGGTGTGTAAATGAAGCGATTCTATGAGCAGTGACGTTTTGCAGGTGGACACTATTCGCACCTCGGCCATTCCGAGAGACCGATTCAAAAAGGACTGGCAGAAAGACGTGTGCTTCGAGCGAATTTTCGATGTGCTCTATGCCATTAAGAAAACACTGAAGAAGGACGGAGATTCGATTCTGATGAAAGTGGCCAATGGCCTGGAGCTGGTGCCGGAGAAATCTGATGATTTTGCCTTTCTGGATGAGCACCTCTTCAATCATTTCACTTAAATACGTGCTGTTTCCTCTTGTTCTGATCAGTCACGTAAATCATTTATCATTCTGACAGGCTCATAGAGAGACGTAAAGATGAAATCGACGGAAAAATTTCGGTGCCTCCACTTTGTGGCCCCTATTCATGTCTTATCAACCCGCGTGCCACACACCATTCACAACAGCAAACGAGAAAAAGAGAGAGAGAGAGAGAGATAAGATTCAATGTGGGAGAGTGTTCAGTGGCATCGCGTCTGGGGTGGAGGCGACACGTGGACGTCGGTTCCGCTTGAGAATCGCCTTTTTGCACAGATCGGCGGGACGTTGAACTCGGTTCTTGCGGAAGTAGAGGGAGCATCCGCTGAAGAAGAAGAAGAAGAAGAACGATTGGAAGAAGATGGAAAGAGAAACTTACTTGCACTCGACGGCTCCCGAATCGGTACGCCGCCAGAGAGTGGTCTCGCGAGTTCGGCAGTTGGGATTGGAGCACACAGAGTTCTGATGGAAGACGGACGACTGGAAGCGGAGGATGAGAAGAGCGAGAAGAAGAAGAAGAAGAAGAAGGGAAATTACCTTTCTCACGGTCGCCTTCTTCGGTTTATTCTCCTCGTTTTCGTGCGGAAAGTAGGGTTGGTAGGCGTGGAGGGACGGGTCGAAACTGCCGAACATTGGATGATTGGGGACGGAGTAAAGAGCAGCAGCAGCAGCAGAATCGGAAGGATGCAAGTAGGAAGGCACTGTAACGGGACGGAATGGGATAGACGGAGGGGAAGCGGAACTCACCAAAGTACTGTCCGAAGTCGTCGTGGAAAGTGGTGGTGGTGGCGGAGGGATCGGGATGGAAGGAGGGCGGCGGGGGAGTGACGGCGACTGGCGACGGATTGCCGTGGCACGCGTCAAAGTGCATCTCGTGCCGGTGCAGCACTCCGTTCTCGTCGTAGTAGCCGTACGTGAACGGGGTGGAATTGGAAGAAGAAGAAGAAGAAGAAGAAGACGAAGAGGACGGATACATCTCGAAGGAATGAATGAATGAATGGATGGATGGGACTGTCTGAGACTGTGCATCGAAGGACACGCCCTCTCCAAGAGGGGCGGTAGACATTCTATTGACAAACTCGCAATTTTCAACTCTAATTTCATGTAAAACTAAGAGAAGAGAACAGTATCAATTGCAGAGATATCGGGAAGATACGATAGGCCGATGGGCTTATAAACGGGCCCTCAAGTAAGAGAGAAACTATGATTCCAACTTTTTCTCTTCCATTTATGTTGACTAAGTACTTTCCATAAAGTCTAGGTCATTTCCAGGCTCTTCCCAGTCTATGCGAGTTTCAATTTTGGAGCAACATTTCGAGTAAAAGTGTTTTCTTTACATTTGAACTCTCCTACCGTTCTGTGCATTTTCTGTGTGTTGCGTGATCATTGGTTGCTCTTCGTTATCATCATTCTCCACAGAAAAATACACCAATCTTATCCTATCTCTCCACTGTCTCCACATTCATTGTTCTTTCGGCGGACGTCTTCGTGTCATACGTATTTACGACTACTGACTGTGCTCGTGGTCGATAGTGTGACGAATGAGTGCTACTATTAGGGATTTCCAACAATATGAGAGCCGGCGGAAGCTGAAAATCAGGAAGACGTTTTTGAAATGGATTTTCTCGAAGATTCACAGGTTCCGATGAGTCCCATTGTGTTTTCTGTCATCTAGGACCACAACGAACATTTTCAGTTTCCGCAAAATGAAAAGTTCTCCAATTCTTCTTCAAAATGATTATAATGGTCCCTGAGATACCGAACAACAACATTAGAGCCCGTGGAAGCTGATAATGAGTCACTCGCACGAATTCAGCGTATGTTTGTTTTCCGTTTTTTTTTCTTGGTTTTTTTGACGTAAAAAAACGAAAAAAAAACGGAAAACAATCATTTTTTTCACAGCCTGAATAAACCCATAAGGTCGCCGAAACATGAAATTTGCACGGTCTCGTACGGTCTTGAGAGAGCCCTGAAAAAGGCTCGAAAGCTTGAACCAAAGGGTAAAGGAGTACGTCGATGTGATGGTTCGAATAAAAATTGTCGGAAAATTGAGAACAAGTGCAAGTAGTCAAGGATATGAATGATATCGCAGTGTTTTGCGTTTGCAGTCAGAAAAAAGTCACCCAGTTGAGTTTATATGCATTTTCGCTCCAAGTTCAAGTAATCGGACAGTGATTCCTCAATTTTTAGCGTCCCCTTCAGTGATTGTTCACTGGAAGATTACTGGTTTTTGGCTAATCAGCGTCTGCTCGGTGATCGCTCGGTAAGTCCCTAGTGTTGCCGTTTTTCCTGTGTAGCCGGGGTAGCCAAGTGGCAAAGGCGTGGGCCTACTGAGCCTATGGATGAATATCCTTTAGGGGTTCGATTCCCCTCTCCGGCAAAAGCTTTTTGTTCAAATGTTGCAAAATTCGAAACTTCCCTAGTGTCTTAAAATATTTTATCAGTGTCTCGTCGTTGTAATAATTCAAGTGATTCCTCAGTTTTTAGCGTTCCCTTCAGTGACTGTTCGCTGGCAGATTACTGGCTTTTCGCTAATCAGCGTCTGCTCGCCAATTCCCGAGTGTTGCCGTTTTTCCTGTGTGTGTGCTAATATGTGTTGGTGGTTGTAAATAAAAGTATACTATAGACTATATTAATATGTTGCCTCTTTGGTGGCTTCCACCAAACAGCGACACGAATCGCCCGCCAGCGAGACTCCGTCGTCTCCTCGGCCGCCGACCGGGGAGAAAACAGGGCAACTTTGAAGGGGTATAACTCGGGATGTACCGAAAATTTTTGAAAAAAAAATTGGGAGTGTACTCATATAGAGTAGGGGAACACATTCCAACAAGAATTTTATGGAAATTCGGAGTTTTGCGAAACCCGTTGCGGTACCTAACTATAGTTTCAAAGTGGAGAAATTGCCAAAGAGTATACTAATTCGGTTAGTTCTTGGCTCAAAATTTTCACAATACACTTTTATACGATTGATCTCGAAGACAATTGGGAGCACATGGACTTGCATAGACTGTGAGTGTCTTAATCAACATATCAGACAGAAGGTCATTAGTGTGGAAGTTGAGAAGGTTGCAAAGGAAACTAACCGAATTCAACGTCCCGCCGATCTGTGCAAAAAGGCGATTCTCGAGCGGAACCGACGCCGACCAGTGATGAATGGCCAGGAGAGACGACAGTAATCATCCGCGTAGTTGTCAAATAAAACGTTTCTTTTCTTACAATTTCAACGCTTAACATAATTCACATGGATATTATATAAAGGTGAGAAAAAGGAAAAGGGGTCGTGCGAAGCAAGAAGGAAACCCTATGAAAGAAGAAAGGAATTCGGCACAATCCAACAGGAAAAAGTCAACCGAATCGAAAAGAAAAATTGAGGGAAGGGGGGAAAGTAGAAGAGGGAAACATTTGAGCCTATAAAGCAAAAGCAGCGGAAAGAAGAGGGACACGGCAAATTGATCGAACATTACATCAAAATTATCATCATTATCATCAAGGAACCAGTTAAGAGAAAAAGGAAACGGTACGACATGCCATGTCTGACATGGATAACGGGAAAAAAATGGGGGAAAATAAATGTTGGACGAAATCGAAGTCGTTCAGTTGATGACGACGAGTTGGCCGAACAGGTCCGACAGCAGACGCGACGCCTTGTCCTTCGACAACTGAAAACAACATTTAAATCCGCACAACATAGGCCGTACTACCTCGAGCTTGAGCGGCTCAGTCTGGCACTCGACCTCCTTCGTCTGGATCGGTTCGGTGGACACTTGAGCGTGCATCATCTGCGGAATCAGCGACTGCACCCCCGGATGCTGCTGGTTGTGAAGCTTGCGTGCCTGTCCGTGTCCGTGGCCACTCTGAAACTGTTCAACGATGCATACTGTGTTATCAAGGAACTTTTCGCGTCGTTTTCTACTACACTCACCACTAATCCGAGAGCGACGAGCCAATGCGGCGGCTCTGGGGTACTTTTATCAGAGAGACGCGCCTAAATTCACTCAGCTGGATTCTGGGAATGCTAAGAACCGAAACGAAAAGGCTAGATGAAGATGATGATGAAAACAAAGTTTGCGGGGATCATGCGGGGGGCGAACTCATGCGGCACCAATCGATCGCGACAACTTACATCGTCCGAATCGGGAGTGTGCGACAGAGATCCGGCGTCGATCGGCTCCGACGGCGGCTGCGAGTGCATCATGCTCATCGGAGCCTGATTGTTCATCTGATGGAGAAGCGGCATGACGAAAGGCGGGAAGCGCATCTGCATCGGCGGCGGGAACGACGACGGAAGCCCTGGTGGCATCATCAGCATAGGTGCGTGAGGCGGGCGGATCGAGTTTATCTGGTTGGCGGTCGCCTCGAACGAGTGGACAGTCATGGCGAACGGATGCTGAAAAAAGAGTGATTGAAAATTTGGAAACGTTTCGTCAGAGCCCAATTTCTCCCCTATTTTTTCTGTACTACCAACCGAAACTTTCACATAAGCTGCATAGTGGAAGAGGAAGCGGAGGGGGCCCAACCAGTAGACCCCGACCTCGTAGGTCACCGCACAAAGCACAATCGTTTTGAAGAGCCGTCCGTTTTCCGGGTCCATTCTGATCAGCTCCACCGGCTCATCGAAACACTGCACCGCTCCGAGCACCGCCTCCTTGTACACTTGCATCGCAAACTCGCACTGCGAATTTATGTTAAACGCCGAGAAGTCCGAGCAAATCACTCCCTGGCCCGACAGCACAGCGACCACTTTTCCGTCCGGGCCTTCGAGTTGCGCGATCGAGACGAGCACAGTGGGAACACACGGCATTGCCGACGTTCTGATGCGACTTGAAAATCAGAAACGGATGAAGAGAGCGGAAGGAACGAGGAAATGTTCAAAAAAAGTGAGTCATTCATGAGATCGGAAAGACGTTTGTTGTTTCTAGGCGAAAACTGCCGCCGAGTCTTATGAAATTTATGCAGGAGGCGGAGTCTGCTTTCCTCTTGATTATCGTGACTCATCATAGCCCCTTTCACAGTTTTCACCTACATTTCCGACCAACTGGGTCCACTCGCCGAGCGTATGAAATGCCGACTCGTTCTCGGTTCTCACTTGCAGCGACTCGTTGAAGTAGCCCGTCTGCAGCCAGAACATCATGTCTTTTCCGCAATACGGTCCTGCAAATATCGACTTTCCCCTCTCAAAATCTCCGTTTTTCATACCATATGATTCGCGATCTGGTCCCAAATAGTGCCAACGCGTCTCCGGGCCGCCTGCACCGCCATTATTGTTGTTGCTGTTGCTGTTGCCACCACTGTTTTTGTGCATTTTTGCCGGTACGCGGTATCGATCCACCCTGCAACGACGATAAAAGATAAGGGGGTCAAAACGAAGAGAAAGGAGAGAAATACGAGAAAAGGCGAGCGAGAGACCTTCCAAAGACAAAAGGGATGTGAGAGGACGGGAGAAAAACGATTTTACTGATAGTAGGCTTTTCAAATGGGAAAAGGGGCGAGGGGGAGCGGAAAAAATCAGTCGTCTTCGTCGAACCACCGTTCCTCATCTTCTCGTTCTCGAATAGGATCTGTCGAGGCGCCGAGATCGCATAGCGAGTAGTCGTAGAATCTGAAAGTAGAATAATTTCGGACGAATTAGTACGAAAACTAGAACGGTCGGTCAAAGTGAAAAGATGAAGAGTGACGGACAGCGCCTTCTTCTTCTTCTTCTCGTTACACAAGGGAAAATGGGCGGATGGAGAGGGAGAGAGCGAAAACGAGAAGAATGACCGCAAAAAAGGACAGATGAGAGTGCGCGTGTTCCGCCCAGTAATAAGTTGAAGGCCATTCGCAACGTACAGAGTATCTTTTCCGGCCAGAAACTTTTGCTGCATAAACGTCTCGAACTCTTGCCGTAGAACCAGCGGAGTGTCATCGTCGGCCAGCTCATCGTACTGATCCGCTTCAATCTTCGCCAGCCGTTCCATCTCCTTCCGCATCTTTTCGATTTCGTCGTCCTCTTCTTTTTCTTTTTGCTGCTCTTCCTCTTCTTCTTCCGGCACAAACTCGTCCGTCTGATTGGCCACGTGCGCCATGAATCGGCTGATGTGATCCTTGCCTCCGTCGTCTCGCCGGCCGCCGCCCCCTTCCCACTCCATCTCCTGCAGATTCCGTCGCTCGGCGATCTCTGCGCTGTCTTCCAGACGATCCAGAAGAGTGGACCATGTGCACTCGGCTTGATCTCGAGAAACTGTCGGTCGTAGGTGTTCCATTTGCTCCTCCTGATTCAGAAACTTTCCGATCATCGCGTCGTACAGATACGGCTCTCGTTCTCTCATCTTCGAATCAGAGAAGAAGACGCCGTCTTTCAGCAGCTGTTGCATCGCATTGAATCGTCGGTTCCGTTTCTGAAACTTTCAAAATCTTTAGAAAATTCAGTTCGCCATAAATACCTCCTTGACAGTCACTTCTTTTTGCCCGCGAATCTGCTTCACAATCATTTGAACCAAAAAATCATCGCTTTTATCGAAATTGTCGCAATCTGCAGGTTTCAGGTACTTTCGATATCTAAAAAAGGCGATAGAATACGGAAAAAGAAAGCGAGAAAAGACGAACCTGGTCAGAAAAACGTCCAGTTTATCCGAATGCAAGTCTTGGAGTATTTTCGTCTTCTCGTCGTCCGTCAACTCATCTTCGCCCATCTGTTGATGTTTGAAAAATGCATTTTTGTCCGCGACGATTCGCGCAAAAATGTTGTCCATTTTGAAACGATGATTGCAGCTTATTTCAATGTCAATCGCGTGAAAACACTCAAAATGCTCTAAAGAAACAGAATGCCCAAAAATAGAAGAAAAAATTCGAGAAAAAGTCATGCGAAAGGACTGGAAAACCAAGTTGGGAAGTTGAAAAATTGAAGAGGCTGCAAAAAATACGAAATTTCGCGGCGACCCGCCCTTTTTGCAATGCGGGCGCGCGTTTTCGCAGTTCCCGTGCACACAGTTTTCGTTTTTCTTTTTCACAATCACACGTCCACTTTATTATAAGTTATAATTTATAACTGACCAAAATGACATGTTTCGTGACTGTCGGCACCACTCTTTTCGAAGATTTGATTAATGAGGTAAGGAAAATACTCTTTTTTTTTGTAATTTCTCACAATTTTAAGGTCTTGAGTGCGGCATCATTGGAGAATCTGCGGAAAATTGGCGTCAAACGCGTGCTTCTTCAAATCGGAAAGGGAAATTTCAATCAGTCGGTTCTGGATCGTCTGTTCGAAGGAGGTCCGACAAAAGACGCTGATTCCGTAACTGTTCAGGAGACGAGCATCGAGTATTACCGCTTCAAACCGTCGATCAGTGAGGATATGGCGAATGCTTTTGTAAGTTCTGGCGTCTGAAATCCAGAAAAAGGCCATTTACAGGTTGTGATCGGTCATGCGGGAGCGGGAACGTGTCTGGAAGTGCTCGCCCTCCACAAGCCCTTCATCACAGTGACCAACGAGAAATTGATGGACAACCATCAGGCGGAGCTGGCCGAGCAGCTCTCCGACGAAAGATACCTTCTGCACTGCACTCCGTCGACCCTTCCGGAAACCATTCTCAGCGAGAATCTCTTCACGCGGCGACAATTCAAGGCACCGTCGAAGAAGGGCGTCGCGCAGCACATCGAGGCAATGGTTGGCATTCAGAAGACCGAATGAATGGATCTGTACACACTTGTGATGCTATTTATTTCAAAATGTATTTATTTGTCCGATTGATTTTCTCAGGTGTTAGCAAACGCCCAACCCTATAATTACGACCGTGAATAACACAGCTGAAGTTCATTTTTTCCACTTTTTCGCTTTCACATGCTAGACGAAGACGGCATTCCCCAATTCATCCCAGTTCTACACACTTGCTCTTGTCTAAGTATTCCGATTAATCTGCTCGCCATCTATTGTATTCTTCTCAAATCTTCGAACAACATGCGAAAGTACAAGTGGTACTTGCTCAATGTTCAAATTTGGATATTTCTAACTGATCTAATTCTTTTTGTGCTAATCGCTCCTCGTTTCTACTTTCCCTTAATAGCTGGGACAACCAACGGACTGTTCTACGCTATTGGAATGCCCTACGAAGCCCAGACCATCATCGGATTCGGCACCGGAGTGGGCATGATCTCTGCGTGCACCCAAGCCATCCAGTACCGGCACAGCCAGATTTTGCCACCCAGCAGTCTGATGGCACGGAAACCCAGGCTACGAACTCTGCTCAACACCGTTCGATACTTGCTCTTTTGTCAAATTTCCGTGCCCGCCGTGCTCACAGAGCCCCGAAATCAGTTGGAGGGCAAGATGCGAGTGGCGGACAAGTTCCCGACCCACCCGGAACTCTTCTTCGATTCCAGCGTTTATTTGCTCCAAGAGTCGCCGTCGTTCGTCGTCGTTCCCGGCGCTCTCGTCATTTTCTACGTGTTCGTCGAGCTTTCCTTCTACATCACTCAAAGTTTTCGTCAGCTCAACAAGCGCGTTTCACACATGTCGGAGCGGACGAAACGAATGCAAAAGACGTATTTTGTGTACGTTTGTATTCAGGCAAGTCTTTCATTTCAGAGCTGTTCCCCCGACGGAAAGTTTGTCGCTATGCGCCTTTAAACTCGTGTCGATTTACGGGAGCGTAAATCGCTCGTTTTTTTGCGAATTTCTTGAAAACAAATCTGATTTTCTTTTGTTTACCGTTTCTGGGGGATCTAGAAGAACCGTCCACCGAGAAAACCTCCAAATCAACAATGTTTTCAGGTGCTCGTTCCGTGCTGTTTCTGCCTCATTCCCATCAGCTTTCTGTGTTTTGCCATTCTCTCCGGCTACCAAGTTCAATGCAAGTTAACTTAAAAAAGTCGCCTAAAAACGTTTTGTCTGAACGTTGCAGTGTGTAACGACGTGGCAGTGTTGATGTTCGGTCTGCACGGAATCGTGGCCACTCTCGTCATGCTTCCGCTCTACCAGCCGTACCGAACGTTTTGCAAGCAATTCTTTTGTTGTTGCTATTTTCGTGTTATCTCAAAACCTTCTTTTGCTGTTATGTAGTGCGAATAAACTTCTTTTTTTTTCCAATTCACACGCGCGGTCATGTGTATGCACTGATACGATCAACATTTTTGTTTATGTGTAAAGTGAAAGACAAAAGTTCGATTCGATTCGCATGATCAAGATCGTTTTTCTATTTTTGAGGCTCTTCCGAACACCTCTCTCATTGTCTGCTCACTCCTCCCCCTCTCTCTGCCGTGTACTTCATGGTTCTTTCTCTGGGTCTCCACAAGTCGCACACTGTTTCGTGCCGTCTTCAGCGACTGCAGAGAGAGAGACGCAGACCGAGAGAGGAGAGCATCGCGAGGTCTCGTTCGCCGCCGCACGCTCACTTTCCGACGCGGCCTTTTTTCGTCTCTTCTCGTCTTTTAGCTCACCAACATTACAGTTCTCATGGACAGTCTTTTTCCGCACGAGCGGCAAGAGCGCGCCGGGTGCGGATACATCTCGCTGAACCCGATCGAGTACGGATGCACGAGACAGTACTCGATCGCCGCCACGCAATGGCTCGTCCACATTGGATTGTCCGAGACGAACGGCTTCAGTCAGTTGCGCGTCTCGACCAACTCGCTGAAAGAGCTCGAGTACTGTCAGGTGGAGATGGAGGTGCAGTGTCCCAAGTACCTGCCACAGCGGATGCTCTACTGGCACGTGTTCGACATTCAGCGCAACGCGTTCTGCATTCCATTTCCCGATGAGGACGTGTAAGTGAACCACGAGCCAATCGGAATACAAGTTTCTCTATTGTCTCTTTTGCAGAGAGAATCGCGAGGGTTTCGATCCGGAAAAAGCGAAGCCGACGAGAGGATACCCGACGTCGCGTAAGGGAAAAGGATCGTATCTGCGATTGATTGTGAGTAAACGGCTGACGAACATTCCCGGAAAGGACATTTGGAGAATCCGAAACTATCAGTTCCCCTACGCGGATCTCATCCTCAAAGTTGGCCATCAGGAGCTTTATGTCAACAAACGAGTGAGTTGTATTCGATTTTATGTGTTTCTGTTAGCCATCACCTCTTCAGATGCTTGCTGCCACAAGCCGCTTCTTCATGTACATTTGCGGTGAGGGCCGGACAAAAACGATGAACAAGTGGGAGGTGCTTCACGTGATCGATGTGGACTTTGAGGATCTCTATGATATCGTCGGATACGTTTATTACGATTGGAAGTTTGGAAGTGAGTCGCGAATTCGGCCACGGCCACGACGACCAACAAAGCGTTTTCAGTTGAACGAGCGCTCGAGATGCAAATGATCGCCGAGCAGTTCGGAGTGATGATGCAGTCGAACAATGCCGAGGATTTCGAAGGACGGACGGCACTCGACTACGTCACAAAGTTCTGTTTCGATCGGAACGTCTACAAAGACGAGAGCTCGAATTGGCGGATGATTCGCGACGCCAAAGAAGGCTCGGTTTCGACCATTTCAGTGTTCGAATCGGAGCGGAGAAGCACTTTGCACGACAACGATATTCACATGTATGAAGTGAGTTTTAAGTTTTATTAGCGCCACGGTCTCCAGAGCTGAAAATATGGGCGTGGCCTCGGCGGCCAAATGGCGTTTTCATGAATTGAGCAGGTTTTCTATGATTTTTGTCGTCAACGGCGATGAAAAATGATTGCTCGACATGAAAACACACTAATTTTCAGAATTAATGACGTTTTGGCGCATTTTTCGCGGACCTTGCTTTTTCGCCTTCGCCGCCGATCGCCGCCTAAAAACCGCACTTCTCATTTTGCGCTTTCTTGACCGTTTTCAGACAGAATTGGTTTTGAGAATGATAAATCACGTAAATACAAGCATTTTGAGCGCGGGAACCGCGAAAACTACCGAAAAGCAACTGAAATTCACGCAGTTTTATCGAAAAACCTTCAAACGGATTAATGTGATTTGCGACTTGACCAAATTTAACGGTCTTGCGCTTAAAAAACTCGTAATAGCCTATACAATCGGTCTATCGAGAGACAAATGAGAAATTATCGGTTTTTCGTGGCTAATCTGGCAAAAAACACAAATTTCGCGCCAATGTATCGCTCTATTGGGCGGGGCGCACTTGCGCCCATTGTCAGCTCTGGAGACCGTGTAGCGCATATTTTAAATTCGACATGTTTCTTCCATGAGCCTGGATGATTTCCCACGCCTCGGCCCATGACAACTATTGTAAAAACGTACAATAATTTGTTTTCAGCCATCTTCTCCGACACCGACGGTCTCGACTCTGAACAACTCGCTCGCCAGCTCCTTCTCCTCCTCCTCCTCTTCCACCTCCTCGATTATCGACGTCGGCGGACCGATGATCGTCGATGACGGCTTGCGGCCGAGCTCATCCAACGAGCACATGGAAGTGGAGCCCGCCGAGCTGTCTCCATCGCGGAGCTTTTCTCCGCCGCCGCCAATGCCCGACGATCTCGTGATCGCCACCAAACAGGGCAAGTTCTCGTTCAGTTTCGCGATGAACCTGTCGGATAACTGGAGCCGCGGACACAAAGAGGACATTAGCACAGAGTTCGGCCGATGGGTTCTCTACCTCTACCGGCGCAGTCTCAACGGTCAGGACTTTCTCGCGTTGGGCGCCTACCTGCACGAAGTGGACCTCTATCCGCAAGTCGCCTTCGACACCGAGTTCCGGATTCAGGCGCACGGCGAGAACAAAAAGCCGGCGCGGAAGATTCTGAAGCACGTGTTCAGCGTCGAGCGCAACGCCTACGGATACCCGAACTTTATGCTTTGGGCGGATGTGATGCACATGGCCGGCGACAACGAGACGCTCCCGTTCGACGTGCACCTCATTTGCAAACTGACGACGGCGCCGCTGCCACCGATGGAGTACGACATGTTTCCGGGAATAAAGGACGTCCTCGTCTCAGTGGACGACTACACGATTCCGGTGGCAAAGGCAGTGCTGTCCGACGCGTCGTCGGTCTTCCGAGACGCCTTCAACCAGGGGTTCATCGTCGATCGCACCCGGATTCATCGCATCGCTCACATTTCGTACGACATGTTCATGATGCTGCTGGACATAATCTATCACAGAGTGTGTACGATTCCCGGTAAGTCGCTCCACATTTCCACACAACATTTTTTCGGTTTTAGTCGAATTGCAAGAGCCACTGATGGAGCAGGCGCTGCGCTTCAAAATGTGGTCGGTGATGGATCACATTTGCCGCGAGATCACAAAGCGGGAAAGTCTAACCGAGCGGGAAGCGAATCGGATCGGCCGTCGGTGGGACTCGAAACTCATCTGGTACTCGTGGTGCAACCGGCAGCTCTTCATCGAGGTCGACCGCACCGAATCACTCATCAAGACGAAGCATCGGCCTGAGACCGAAGAGGCTGTTCGTTTTCCGTTCAAATCATGAAACTTTCAGGTCACATAATAATACTAATAATAATAATAATAATAATGTATTGAAACAATTCTAATTGCCATCCATTTCCCCCCTCTCTTTCTCTGTCCATCTCAGCTTTACCCAGTTCTTCTACCTCTTTTACGATTTGATTTCCCCCCGCATTCCACAGTCTTTTTGGTAGTAGAAGCGAAAAATGAATAGAATATTTATCACTCGGTCTTTGTGTTCTGTGGCGGAATATTGAAGATGGGGACGGTCCACGTGAGCGGCGGGTACTTGAAGTACAGCGAAATGGTGAAGGCGCTGGTGAGCAGTCCGGCCGCGTTGGCAATCTGAAAACCGACAACGTGCACATCTAAACACGGCGACGCGTAATTCGAAAATGTTACCATAATGAACTTGTTGCCGGTGACAATGCCGAAGACGAACCATTGGGCGAGAAGAGCGAGAACGGCGAATTGCATCACCGCCGGAATGTACTCGGTCGTCTTCAGATTTATCGCTCGCCTCTGAAATCATCAAGTCACTGTCCAGCACCACCACTTTCGCCAGCCTTTTCTGGCCTCACACTCTCCAGTGCACGGTCTCCAGAGCTGACAATGGGCGCAAGTGCGCCCCGCCCAATAGAGCGATACACAGCAAAATTTGTGTTTTTTGCCAGATTAGCCACAAAAAACCGATAGTTTCTCATTTGTCTCGCGATAGACCGATTGTATAGGCTATTACGAATTTTGTAAGCGCATGAGCGTTAAATTTGGTTAAGTCGCAAATCACATTTATCCGTTTGAAGGTTTTTCGCTAAAACTGCGTGAATTTCAGTTGCTTTTCGGTAATTTTCGCGGATCGAGCGCTCAAAATGCTTGTATTCACGTGATTTATCATTCTCAAAACCAATTCTGTCTGAAAACTGTCAAAAAAGCGCAAAATGAGAAGTGCGGTTTTTAGGCGGCGAAGGCGAAAAAGCAAAGTCCGCGAAAAATGCGCCAAAACGTCATTAATTCTGTGATAATTAGTGTGTTTTCATGTCGAACAATCATTTTTCGTCGCCTTTGACCACAAAAATCAGAGAAAACCTGCTCAATTCATGACAACGCCATTTGGCCGAGGCCACGCCCATATTGTCAGCTCTGGAGACCGTGAGTGCCGTTTTCACAACGCGCAAATGAGAAATTCATGATTTTCGTGGCTCGTTTTGCGTCTAACATTTGAATTTCCCTTCGAACTGTCGCGTTTCGCGCTTGTGCCTGCCTATTTAAAGCTCTGGAGACGTCGAACTTTGCTACACGCGTGGAAGTTTATTCGCAAATTGTGTGCTTGGCCTAGAATTGTCTAGAATCGACGCACCAGCTCATAGAAGCGTCCGCCGAGCCCGAGAATCTGTGCGCCGGCGGCGACGGAGCCCATCGCAGCCTTCGCCACTTCTTCTTCTTCATGCGAATCCACGTAGAAGAGGGCGAGTTTGACGAGTATCGCGGCTGCGATGAGCTGTCCGACAAGGTACTTCTGAAATGATATCATTCTGATAAATTCTAACACACACACTCACTCTTTTCGGCTGATAATAGGCGAATGCACAGACGTAACAGCTGAGCAACGTCAGGTTGAAACTGTTGATTATGATGTTCGAGTAGTCGTTCGTCATCCATCCGTAGCGGAACCAGAACGATTGGCTGAAAGTACTTATATATCTCCTCACGTTTGTTCATATGACCGATAGCAACAAAATGATCACAGAGTGCTCGTGTAAAAGTGAAAATTCGAAGAGTAATTTCGTTTTTTAAATTTGTCTTGAAAAAAAAACTTTCGGAAGTTTTGAGAAAACAGTTGCCTCACGATTGTTCAGCAGACAAAGGCGGTCATTTTGAGCACAGAGACGGCCCATAAAATGCAAAAATGACTGAGAAATTTCAGTTTTTGAGGATCCGGACTGAAATTAACAGAAAAGTGTAATAATGCGCGCTTTCTTGTGGGCAAAACGCTAATTTAAGGTCACAGCTGTCACTTACAATTCGGAAATTCTCTGTTTTACTTCATTTTTCTCATTTTCGGATGAAATTTCGGGTTTTCGTAAAAAAAAACCCAGAAATTGCAGACCTGCTTTTGTTTTCAACGACACTCCGTTTTAACGCGGCACTCAATTTAGCATTAGCTGCTGGGGATACAGTGTATATAGAGTTATAAGCCTTACATGATCATTGGAATGATGAGCACAACGGAGCTGAATCCATCGGCGGTTCCTCGTTTCCTCCAGTTGAGCACCAGATAAATGGGCAAAAATACAAATGAAATCGAGAAAATGCCAAGCCAAACGGTGAAGATTTTCAAAAACATGGTTTCCTATTGACTGAACTGTACTGAACTGACAAAGAATCGAAACCGAGAGAGTATTTATATGTGATGAAGAATGAATGAGACACAAATGTGATTGGGGCACTGATGAAGACACATAAATATTTGTGCCTAGATGGAGTCTGTAGTCCCCCGATATGGCACAAACCATAAACCAACTTTTGAAAGCGGAAACGTGGAAGTGATGAAATCGAGTGGACTTTGGTCAATATTTGAGAGATTGCGCTCATTTCGCATCATCTTTGTGATACTGGTTAGCCGATTTTGAAGTGTTGCAGTGTTTTGCCCTGGAAACATGAGCATAACTTTGAAATGAATCGTTTTGGAATGAAGCCGTCAACTACAAAGTTGTTCAGCACAAAATGATCTACAACTCTCCAGTTGACAATATTTTGAAGCGATTGTCGGTTCACGAGTTATAGTCCTCGAAAGATGTGGTCCTTCTCGTGCACTCCTCCACCCGTCTATTCCTCTTCTATCTCGTCGACCTCTTCGTTTCTCTGCCTCATTCCTCTCGCCCCCCGCACCTTGTTTCCCATCAAAACTGCCTTGTCCCAACGATTTCAACAATGATGGAAATGATAGAAGAACTGGGGCAAAATGAGATGCGAAAAGACTACTTTACACGTTTGTTCGAGCGAATGGGCACCCTCAAAACTCGGCAATCGTTTCAATTTCACGATTTCCACTGGTACAGTTGTCAACGCATTCGGCTCGAATCGATTATTTTTTTCTGGTCGCTGTTGCAGGGACGTCTCTTTCGCGTTTTCGGAGCGACACGGCGTTCCGGCTGTGGATTTCAAGTTGGAGTGCCAAAATATTCCGCATGACGTGTCGGTGACAACAGGAATTTCGTTCCGAAATTGTATAACGGGCCGCAAAGAGCGCTTCTTTTTCGTTTTTGATGCGCAGCGGAACACGTATTGCTACCGCCGAATCGCCACGTTAGTTCAATTCTTCAGTTTTCTCAGTCCAACCATAAGCATCTCACGGTCTCCAGAGCTGACAATATGGGCGTGGCCTCGGCCAAATAGCATTTTCATGAATTGAGCAGGTTTTCTCTGATTTTTGTCGTCAAAGGCGATGAAAAATGATTGTTCGACATGAAAACACACTAATTCTCAGAATTAATTACGTTTTGGCGCATTTTTCGCAGATTTCGCTTTTTCGCCTTCGCCGCCGATAGCCGCCTCAAAACCGCGCTTTTCATTTTGCGCGTTCTTGACCGTTTTCAGACAGAATTGGTTTTGAGAATAATAAATCACGTAAATACAAGCATTTTGAGCGCCCGAATCGCGAAAATTACCGGAAAGCAACTGAAATTCACGCAGTTTTAGCCAAAAACCTTCAAACGGATAAATGTGATTTGCGACTTGACCAAATTTAACGCTCATGCGCTTAAAAAATTCGTAATAGCCTATACAATCGGTCTATCGAGAGACAAATGAGAAATTATCGGTTTTTCGTGGCTAATCTGGCAAAAAACACAAATTTTGCTGTTAAATTTTGAATTTCGCGCCAATGTATCGCTCTATTGAGCGGGGCGCACTTGCGCCCATTGTCAGCTTTGGAGACCGTGATCTCGTTTTCAGGGGAATCCGACACGTCCGCGAGGACGGTGTGACCATTGTCAGCTTCCCGATCGACCGATTTCTGAAGGCGGAGGAGGAGGGCGAGGTGTTCGAGTCGGTGGAGCAGAAAAAGTGGCCGTTGTACGTGCCGTTCACCTGGAAAGTGCTCGAAAACGGGGAAGTGGAGGCGGGCGCGATGAAACGGTGCTTTTACGGGCACGAGTTCCGACTGACGATCCGCTACCTGCTGATCATCGACCACAGCGCGCCGATCACTCATTTTCTCGCGAAATGGCCAAAGTCCGGGGAGCTTGCCGTTCAGGCCGAGGTGACTTTTATCGATTGATGGAATAGCCACGGTCTCCCAGGGCGCTAATGCTAAACACAGTGCGCTCGTAAATTGCGGAGTGTCGTTGTAACTTTTGAAAATTTGCAGGTCTAAAAATGCATTTCAATTCGAGTTTACGACCTTTATTTCTTTCTTTTTCACTTGAAAAACGTCTAGAAAACAATATTTTACTGATTGAAAACCGTTCTTTACAGAATTTAGAGTTTAGCGTCTTTTCGCATTTCGTCAGCACTTCAAACCTTTCTATTTCAGCTCATTTTGCATTTCATGAGCCCCACGAACGATAAAAATGTTCGCTGAATCTTTCTTCACTAAATTCACGTTCCGGCTGTTAGTCTTCTTGAGCAGTTTTCGAAAACTATTCGAAAAACATCAAAATCCTGGCCAAAACCTTCAAATCGAAATAACTCGGCTAATTCTCAACGATATGCGAGATTTCTGTTACCAAAACGTAGCTAGTGCTCTAATTATTCGAATCCAGGTTCCAGGCGTACAAAAAATAGGTGTATTGTACAGAAAACATGGAAAGAACGCGAACTCCCGTTGAAAATTAATTAATCGGCCGCCGCGTAAATCGACACAGCCCGCCTGTTGCAAGTGCGCCCCATTGAAATCATTCGCGCCGTGGGAGACCGTGAATAGGCAATTTTCCCGCCTTTGCTTGTACTTTTGACTAACTTTACGTTTCAGTTCTTCGAACCGGTGTGGCCACAATTCAAACAAGTGCTATTGTCCATGGATAGAGGAGAAGTTAGCAGAGAGACTCGCGAGAAGCTCACCGATGTGCTCGGAGTGTACTACCATCAGTGGCCGTTTCAAGAGAAGAAACTTCTCGAGTTGCAAGAAGTCGCCCTGCGCTTCGGATTCTATCGATTTATGGAAGGCGTCGGAATCGGTGGCGACTTTTTGCGAGTGACGGCGTCGATGCGAACCGCTGATATTGGCAGTGAAAGGAGGAAAAAGAGTTCTGAGAACTCCCGGGTCATCTTCAATCGCAAAGCCACGTGGATCGTGCGGAGACTTCCCGAAATCACAGAGCCCTCGACCATTTTCAAAGCGTTCGACGAGCAAAGAGAGCGGCAGTTGAATGTGAGCTTTTACCGTTCGAAACTCCGCGGCAAACAGTTTCTGTCGATCGGAGCCGTTCTCGTCGGGCTCCTAGACACGTCCTACGACTGCTCACTCCACATCACACTGAAAATTGGCGGAAAATCCGTGGTCCGAGTGGCGCGAAGACGTCTGAATCATGTCCAGAACACGTTGGGCATTCCGGTGTTTTGTGCGATGGAAGAGTTGAGTATGGAGGATGGTCGAGGATTGGAATTCGAAGTAAAGATGCTTGTTCGAGAAGATGTCAACGATCATCTTCCCGGTTTCTATCATGAAATGCCCGGGATGAACGACGTCATGCTCAGAATGGAGGGAAAAGGCATCGCTGTCAACAAATATGTGTGTTTTTACAACTTTTCCACCAGTAAGACCCCCTTTTTCGTCTTTTTCAGTACCTCGGACATCACGCCGAGTTCTTCCGCACAATGTTCTTCAATGAAAATTTTGGAGAGCACAAAAAAGAGATTATCGATCTGAAATCGGCGGATTACGAGGAAACGCTGCAATTCTTGGATGCTCTGTATCATGGAACCAAAGTTTTCGAAGGTTTTTACATGCATATTTACAATCCCTACAGCTCCAGATGTTTCAGATTCGAGTTATAGTAAGGTTCTGCGAAAAGCCGACGAATGGATTTGCGACAATGTTGTCGGAATTGTGGAGAAGGCGATCATCAACTGCGCGAATCCAACTATTGAAAAAGAGAGATTGGCGTCCGAGTTCGCGCTTCCGAAGCTTTCCGAGCATCTGAAAGAGCTGGAAAGAATCCGGAATCTTCCGTTAGAACCTCCTGTCATTTCTTAGTCCATCGATTTTCCTTGCCCGATTCATTGAATGAATGCGTTGTGTCTCGTTGACAGCCAATAACGCAAGTGCGCTCTATTGAGAACCTTCCTTCAGTTACCACTCGACTCAGCGATTTTAAGTGAGGAAACCGCGGATGACCGCTGTTTCGCCAAGCTCAAATCGTGGCGAGACCACAGCCGCGGCGCTTTTGTCGAGACGGCGGAGGAACGCCGTTTCAACGGAAAACAACGCAGTGTTCTGGCGGAGTTCTGACGAAACAGCGGCGGCACTGTGGCGAAACACGGTCGTAAGTGTGTTCGACCCGCTTTCCGCCGCTGTTTCCTCACTTCAAATCGCTGAGCACTCATGAGTGCGGTAAGAGTGCGCCGCAATTGACGACAAACTGCGTACTGCAACTTTTCCCTCGCGAAGTTATCGTCCGGCCCTGAAACGGTTGGCTTCGATCGAAATGCCCGGAGTGAACGATCTGACGCTCAATTTCAATAAGAAAAGCATCAAAGTGAACAAAGATGTGAGTGGTGTACTTCCATTTCCAAGCACAACATTGAATTTCAGTTTGTTCTTCAGCACGTCGAGTGTATTCTCACAAATGAGCAGTTCGGAGAGGCCGGCAAAAGCGAGCTCGACGTCAAAACGTTCAATTTCGGCTGAGTGGCAGAGCTCCTCGAGACCCTCTACCACGGCACAAAAATGTTCACAGGTACCCTTTCCGATCTTGCTCCACATCCAACTATTTCATTTCCAGAGAGCACCTTCAAGTCGGCTGGAGATGTGCAACAAGGCGGTCGAAGGATGCACGATAGAGGGAATCGATAAAGTATTATTTGATCTCTATTGTTCTTGTTTCAATTTTCCATGTCAAAGCTGTCATAAAAACTGTTTGTCTATTTGCTATTCCTTAAAGTGCTCACAGTTGACGTCTGTCCCTTATTTTTAATGACCTTAATCTTGAGAACCCATACTCATTTCAAACACTGGTAAACTGAAAAGTTGGTGCAAATGGCAATGTTTAGCGCAATGATCTTTATTCGACATGTGCTCTAACGAACCCGTTCTCCGCCTCCTGCTCCCTTCCTTTCACGAAACAAAACCACGTGGCGTGCTTGTAGGCGGGCAGAATGAGCAGGAGATAGAGCAGAAAGTTGAGACAGACGTGTTTGGTGAATCCGCGACACTTGAAGAACACTGACATCGGCTGAAATGACAAACTTGAAGTGGATTGATGATGTTGATGTCAAAAGTGACACAGATGGGCCTTTTCATCGAAATAACAAGAATTGTAAAAAAAAAGAATGAAAAAAATAATAAAGAAGAACTCACGGGCATGATAACTAGAAGAATGATCATGACCATCCGATCATTGTCGGTTTCGATGTACCTATAAGGAGCAGTAGGGGCCGCCTCGACAATTTCACTCATTTTTTCGATGAAACGACAGTTGCGATCGGGCAGTCTTTTATTGACTACCCCTCCTGTTAATCTTGTATTTGCCAAGTTCAAAATGTTAGCTAGTACTCTCCCCGCCAGTTTTCTATTGAATACTTTTGTGCTTTGTGTCAATTGAGGCACAGACCAAAGGCGATCACAGTTGGCGTTGAGTCAGAAGAAGAAGAAGGACGGTGGTACCAGTGTTTTGTTGATGTTGACTGAGCAAACGTTGCGTCGGAAGGAACAAAATCTGTGACAAAAACAAAATCTATAGTATTTGACTCGTCGACGTGAGAAACGTTGATCAACGATTTCCTGGTGATTCTTTGTGGAAACTTGATGAATCGCGAAGCTTCCCGGCAAACCTCTGTAGTTTTTGCCGAAACTTTAACGTTTCTTGCAATTTTTGCGCATATTTTCCAAACTCGCAACCGCGTGGCCTAGATTTCAACGAGGTGGACTAGGTCCCCAATACTCGGCGGCCATGATCAATGTCTATTGGTTTTTTGCCCACGTTACCTACCGATTCGCGTTCCAACTATTATTGTTCAGAGTAAAATGGCGACAAATCGACCGGATCTCGACATGCTTCCTCACTATGTCGATCCGCTAGTGGAACCGTTCATATTGCACGTCTTCGAGCCCGGATTCCGAATGGTCGGCCAGTTTGCGTTCATGTACTGCGGCTACAAATGGTAAGCAAATCTTCCCACAGAAATCTCACATTTAACTCGAACCGGGCTCATTTTGAAGAACAGAATAAAAGGGAACTTTCATCAAAAAAGCGCACAGCTCGATTTGTGGAGATACATTGAACTAGTCGCGTGCACTCTTTATCAGTTTTCAGGACGGTGCAGGCATTCATGACCGAAAAAGATAAACGGTTCGGCATCGATATCGAGTTGAGAGTCAGCGAGATTCCGCCGGGCGAGCACATCTACGCCGTCTTCGCATTCCAGCAGCTGGGCAACGAGAAGCATCAGTTCGAGTTCGAGTTTGACAACGATCGGGGATGCTATTACTATCGACGAGCGCTCACGTAAGACATCAGATTATTCCAGCAAACATAGTTTGGTTTCAGAATACCAAAAGTGACGAATCAAGAGGGAATCGTGGGCTGTCACTACTCGCACTATCGATTTTTGCGCAGACGAGAAGACGACGAGACGCATGAGCTCAGCGAGGAACAGTGTTTGGAGTGGAAGCCCGAAATACCGCCGATGAGCGAATTGGAGGAGGGCGGAGCCACGCTCATCGATTGCAATGAGAACTTTATGGAGAACATCAAACAAAAGTGAGCATAGTTGGCGCCGGACAACATTTTTGTGCAAGTTGGGGATGCGAATTGTAGATCTCGATGAGTTCGCGCCGTGTGTATCAAAAGTAGTGTCATTTTTGATTAGAGTAACGTGTAAGAAGCCGTCAAAGAGCCGAGTCGTAACTCCTAACTAGAAACTGATTACCTATCCACGTTTCAGTGAGGGCGGCCTCTCCTCGTTCCAATACTACTTTCATCTGATCGCAGTGCTACCGCACCGTGGCCGAATACCCGAAATGTCCATGTTCTGGCCGAAAGCCTCCAAAACGGCCGTCTACTTGAACAACCGATCTCTGGGAGTCGACAAGATCTGGTTCGCCTCGTGGGCCTCGTTCGATCGATTCATGTCGAATGTGGATCTCCTGCCGCCCAAGGACTTTGAAAGTTTGATCGAAGTTCTCGGCCATTATTATCATGCGTGGCACATCAAACGTAATGCTCACTATTTTCTTCAAAGTTTACAATATAAAAGTTGCGATTGTAGATCCGAGACTGATTGAACTCGTGAAGATTGCCGAAAGGTTTGGATTCTACGATTTCCCGCAAACGATGCTTGCGATCGGGGACTTCCAGGCGCACGCCGCTTCCATGAGATCGATCCTAGTAGCAAATAAAGATCACCCACTTTTTGTAAGCCTCTCTACCTTCTCCATATCCATATCATTTCGTTCATCTTCTCAGAAAATCGACACTAAACTAGAGGCGAAAGTGGCGTTCGAAGAGACGCACAAGCTCAATTTCGATTGGATCTTCCACGAATCGAGCCAGCGGCCGCCCGAGTACCGAATGTTCAAAACGCGAAACCGCGCGACGTGGAGCATGAGCGTCGTGCGCCGCACTTTCAATAAAACCGAGTACCTCTGCGTCGCGTTCGTCCTCAACTACCGCTTTCAGCCGACCGAACACCAGCTGTGGAAGTTCGAGTTGGCGCCGTTCTGTCCGAACAGTCCGAAACAGGCGAGACTGCCGAACGTGACGCACATGCGCGTCTTCAACAGCGTGCAGAAGATGATCGTGTTCCCGGTCTGCTATCCGTGGTCCGACGTGGTCAAGGAGATGGGCGAAGAGGGACCGTTCGATTTCCACGTGAAACTCACTCTGACACCGCTGCCCGGATGGGATTTCGAGGAGGTGGCCGGAGGACACCCGGCCACCGGACACAACACCGCTTTTTTCGACTGCTACGACGGCGCTGTCGAGTTTAACAAAGATGTAGGTGTTTGAGAGATGTAAGACTTTTAACACAACAACTGTGCCCTATTACAGTACCTACAAGAAACTTGTCTGTTTCTGAGAAACTGGGAGGAAAATGAGTACATTCATTGCGCGGATCGTGTAGACATGCCGTTCCACAGCAAAGATGAAGTGATCCATCTTCTGGATCACCTGTATCACGGCTGCAAACTCTACAATGGTGAGTTTAAAACGTTTTCTAGGCACGAGAGTTTGACTCGAAATAATTTCAGAAGATACGTTCGTTTACACGGCCGCTCTAACGAAATATATCAAGTGTGGTGTGCTGAGCGAGGCACTCGAAAGAGGTCTGATACGTACGAAGCCGAGCGAAAATGTGCTCAGCTGCAGATCGCTGCCGAAGAATGAGTGCTCTCGGGTGAGAATACTACGCTGTCCGATTGATGATAACGTTTTGTTTTCAGTTTCACCGAAAAATGAAGGACGTCCTCGGAATCATTCCGCTCGACGAGTACTTGGAGTCCTCCGCGGAGCCCCTCGCAAGATAATGTGCTCGTGTTTTCTTTGAAACTTGTATCGATCTCTTTGAAATCGATTTCTTTTCCCCCAAAAATATGTATTGAAAGTTTAACAATTCGATCAGTCAGTTGTCCACTGATTTTGCCTGCGTCACCGTGAACAGTTGATCGACGGAAAATTCGAGTCTCTGCAAAAAGTTCAATTCGTTTGTGGCTCCCTCGTCGTTTTACCTTTCGGCTGCACATTCCCTTCACGGTCTCCCGATAGTGATTGGACATGAAAAAGCAGAGAATGAAGTGAATGGTGGCGTTGAACGACATGATCAGCTTGAAAATGACTCCGGCAAAGCTGAGGGTTTGCCTGAAGTTTAAAATGACAATAACTCGGTTGATTTTGAAGATTTTGTGAATGTTAAAAAACAAATTGATTGGTAATTTTATGCTCTTTAACTTTGTAGTTGACCATTTCTTTTGACACATGCTCAGGAACCGAGCTATTCGCGCAGAAGTTTAGTCATGCCGAGTGGTCAACTATAATGTTCTAGAGCCTAATATTATCTTTCTATTTGTTAACAAATGCTTGAAAAATCTCCTTACACAATTCCAGGCTGTTCGATCAACCATGACTGAAGCAAAGTGATGATTCCAATCGGGCCGACAGCCACCAAAAACGAAATGGTCATAAAGAGTACGAGTTTAGTGGTGCGCGCGCGTTTCGAACTGAAATCAACTCTCATCTTGCACTTTCTTTCTGCTCGATGATTACCTGTGCTCGGAGCTCAATTTCATTCCGCTCCTCTTCATTTTGTGCAGCTCGAAAACGAGCAGAAGACTGCTCAACGGAAGGATAACGCATGGGATGAACTGGTTGACGAGTCCGTCGGCAATCAGTTCCCACTCGATCACATCCTCCCGCGCGAACCATCCGTTCTCGTTCTTGTAGTACCTGGTGACGGTGTAGTTGCCCGGGAATCCGTTGCAAGCCGTCGGCGGTTTCCAGTCGTTGTACGGTTGGATTGTGTACTCGAAGAAGGCGAGCATCGGGAGGGGAAAGCAAAGGAGGGCGGTGAGCAGGAGAACGATCCAGCCGGAAGGCGTCGAGGACAATTGGCCGATTCTGGACGGGGGTTTTAGTCTAGAAGTATGAATTTCAGATGTACATCCTACATGATATTCATTGGATTCCTGACGATCAACGTGCGAATGACGGCGAGCGCGACACCGAGCCAGATGGACAGACTTCTGGTCGCGTTTGACAGAAAACGTGTGACTTCATCGAGTTGCATTCGAAAATACGAGTCTGGCGGCATGCATCCACGCTGCCCGATGGACAATTGAAGCATGTAGAAGCCGTAGGCAACTTCCAGAAGCGCCAGAAGAATGAGGACGTCGCAGACGGCAATGCCGAGCAGGATGATGTTCGTCGATGACGTCATCATGTTCCGGCGAGTGAGCACAAGAATGTGGAAGAGGTTTGCGGGGATTCCGACGAGAGCGAGGATGACGCCGATGTTGTACTGATAGTTGATGGCAAGGTTGCTGGAAATGAGTGGGAAATGAGACCCTTTTGACGGAATTCCCTTGGACACGGCGACCAAAGACGGGTTTATCACCATTTTGGCGCGAAATTCGAAATTTAACCCCATTTTTCATGTTTTTCGTCGAAAATTACCGATTTCGACGATGCGATTGCATAACTTTGTTAAACTAATCATCGCGCGCACTTTTTGAGCCAAAAACGAGCAGGTTTCATTCAGAAATGAATCAATTGAATCGATTTTCAAGTTTTGTGCTGAAAATGCGCGAATTTCAGTCATTCGCCGACACTTTTTGCCGTTTGAACGCTTAAAATGCTTGAATTAACGTGCTTAATCACTTCCGACACTCACTTCGTCTCAAAACCAGAGTTGCCACGGGCCGGGCCTGGCCGGGCCAAAATTTTCAAAACTCCGGCCCGGCCCGGCCCGGTCGGCCCGGTTCAAAAAGCGGGAATCCAAATTTTGAACTATTGATTAAATAAAATGTTTGTTTTTCGTAGAACTAACGAATTTTGCAAGTATCGAGCATAAAAAAGAAATGTAGTTCTCAAAAATAGTTTTTATTGGCATCAAAGAAAAAGTCTTAATTTTGATCCCCGCAAAAAAAACGAAAAAATAGATTTCCCCCAAAAATTTGAAGGGGCGTATTGCAAAATATGCGAAAAACGTCTCAAACGCGGCGTTTTCACGAAAATTTCAATGTTTTCTCTCTTTAATGTCTTCTTTCGTCGATATCAAACACAAAAATATCAGAAAAGTGTGCTGGAATAGCGGCAATTTTCAGAAAACGCGTCTCAGATTAGACCACGCCCCTTTCTACACTTTTGGTCGCCGTGATTGGATCCAAACTTTGCAGCCTTCTTGGACTTGGATCCAAGTATGTTAGGGTCAAGTTTCACACCGATCGAATTATCTGGTCCGGAGTCATCGAAAACTTACTAGAAGACTTTTCGAATCTGAAGCCAAACACTGCGGCTCTCAGGCTCCGGAAACAGATACGCGTCGTAGTCGTAATCGGACATTTTTTGTGATGGTCACACACACACACACACACAAAAAAAGTGAAAATGTTGTGTGCACGTATCCACGCACGCGGAACCCATTCACGCTCCACCGAAGAGCATCTCTCCAGTTTCTAGTTTGCACATGGACAAACAAGGGTTACTGTGGCCACGCACGCATCACTAGTTGGACACTTTTTCACAGAAAATGCATTGTATTCAGACGCAGAAAAGCTGTTCATTTTTCAGACATAAAGTTCGTCGCGACAAGTAAGTTCACATTACAAAATTCCGAAATTGCACCTTGCGCACAGTTCCAGAACTTTCCGAAACTCGCACGTTTTGCTCTTGATTTCGGGCCTCGTTTGAGCATTTGTGAAAGTAGAGCATGACGGCTCTAAAATTGTGTACAAAATGTATCGTCCGATTCGAAAACAACCGGCTCACCCGTCCAACGCATAGACAGCCGAAAAGGAAAGGCTGCAGAAGGTGAACTCCCACCACGGCTCGTCGATTATTTTCGAGATAAAGTTGTAATTGGTGATGTCGACGAGTTGCAGAATGTCCTGAATCGCAGTCTGCACGAACATCGACACACACTTTCGTCGTCTTCTGATTATTTGCGCGTTGCTGAGCCCATAATCCTGATAATTTATCCGGATATATATTCAAACGATTGACGAAGCGAACAATAACCTTGTTAGTGAGTAACCTGATCGCAATAATCACGTTTACAATATTGGCAGTCAGTGAAAGTGTCAATATGAGCAGAAAAATGAATAGGTTCTGCGAGTGAGCGCATTGTTTTCGTTGTGGAAGTAGAACCAAAGATTGCGGATTGTAGATTAGGTAGCAGTTGGCTGGAATCGAATTAATGAAGGCAGAAGAGTGATGTGATATTAAGTACGCTATATCTCAGTAGCCAATAGAGATATCAACAAGTTGTCAACTGACAAATTGTTCATCACAAAATTGTGTACATTTTCTCAGTTGACCACTTTTTGATATCTTTACTGGCAGCCGAGATACAACGTTTAACGAATTAACTTAAATTTGACCGAAGCTAGAACGGGCCCATTCGCAAGTATAACACACGCAATAATCGATAGATTAGTAATTTTGAGCCGGTCGAGTTTTTTGTACGAAAACGGGAAATAAATGAGCACAAGTCGATTGAGAGCCATGCAGATTTGAAGAAGAGGACCTAAAACATTCGTCAACTTTCGCTCTTTTCAACACTTTTGATCATTTTTTTCTCACCAAGAGTATAGGAAAACCCGCCGACAAGTTGAGAGAACATTAGGTTTTGGACCGTCGGAATATCGGATATTTCAAGTTGTAAAAACGACAACGGAACGGCCCAAAATGCAATAAGTGAACTGATGATAATGTTGGGAAACGTTTTGAAGAGACACAGTTTGTAGAAGCCGCTCAGCGGTCGGCTTCTCTTCTCAAATCTCAAAAGGACAGACACGTTCAGTGAGAATCCGACGAAACTTGTCTGAAAATGTGTAACATTTCATGGATTTCATTCAAAGTGTTACCAGAAAAAGAAGTATTATGAAGAGCAGCATGTCTGTCGTCGACGAGCAATGAACAAACGGTAAATGGTTTTGGATCGACCGGCGGGTGAATAACATGCGTATCCAGGTGGATTTACCAACATAATTCGATTGATTTCTAAATTGTTTTGAAGCTTCTGACCTATTCCGTCTCGCTTCATCTTCCCTGATTTCAAACAATTGCGCACGTCGACCAAAAGTCTAGAAAGGGGCGTGGCCTAATCTGAGACGCGTTTTCTGAAAATTGCCGCAATTCCAGCAAACTTTTCCGATATTTTTGTGTTTGATATCGACGAAAGAAGAGACATTAAAGCGAGAAAACATTGAAATTTTCGTGAAAACACCGCGTTTGAGACGTTTTTGGCATATTTCGCAATACGCCCTCCGCTGCCAATCGCCGCCGCAATTTCGGAATTTTCATACCGGTCGATCTGGACAGTTTTGAGACGAAGTGAGTGTCGGAAGTGATTAAGCACGTTAATACAAGTATTTTAAGCGTTCAAACGGCAAAAAGTGTCGGCGAATGACTGAAATTCGCGCATTTTCAGCACAAAACTTGAAAATCGATTCAATTGATTCATTTCTGAATGAAACCTGCTCGTTTTATGCTCAAAAAGTGCGCGCGATGATTAGTTTAACAAAGTTATGCAATCGCGTCGTCGAAATCGTACAAAATTCGGGTAATTTTTGACGAAAAACATGAAAAATGGAGTTAAATTTCGAATTTCGCGCCAAAATGGTGATAAACCGTGCACGCTAGACCACGCCCCTTTCTACATTTTTGGTCGCCGTGCGCGCAACGTCGCGCTTCCGCGATCCGCTCACAATTACGATTTCACACTTCAATTTCAACACAACCGACATCATGAGTCACAAATATTTAATCAACGAGGAGCCAAAGAAACATGTGAGCCTTTCGTCGATGTTTGTTGCTGCCTGCCGCCATCCTCCCGATTCGTAGTTACTTTTTTCGACACTCTATATTTACCTGGCCAACTCCTCCTCCTCCTCATCCTCTTTCCGATTGTTTGCGAGCGTATAAAAGGAACACGGGAAATGGGGGGAATGTGACAACCGAAACGTCGTCGTTTTTTTGGAGAAAAATGAGCTCTTCTACTGTTGTTCTCGTGCTCTCCGCTCTTCTCTTGGCCCACCTCACCGATGCGCTGTTCAATGTGGTCGGCAGCACTCAAACGGTAACGGTAACCGGACGATTGGTGTGTCAGGGACAGCCAGCCAGCAATGTGCTTGTCAAGATGTACGAGGATGGAACTAGTGAGTGTCGATTCACGTGTTCTTCTATGCATTAAACGTTTGCAGTCTACGACTCCAAACTCGACTCGACGAAGACGTCGACAGACGGAACGTTCCGCGTCTCGGGCTCCTACACAAAGATTCTGACGATGGACCCGAAGGTGAACATCTACCACAAGTGCAACTACAACGGTGTGTGCTCCAAGAAACTGACCATCAACATTCCGGACTACGCCGTCGCCTCGGGCTCCGGATCCTCGACCAACTACGACATTGGCACGTTGAACTTGGCGAATCAGTTCAGCGGCGAATCCACTGATTGCATCCACTAAATATTCTCAATTCTCATACATCTGCGGTGATCTCAATGAATGTTCATTATCAAAAGTTGGCAGAGCACGCACAAAACGTCAATATTTACAACTAAAACCATATTCTTCGCGATCTATCGGGCGAGAAACTTTTCGACACTGATGTCTCGCAACGAGGAGCACTCCACTAGTCGGCTCCGGCTGAAACGATTCTCAAAGATCATCATGACCCGGTGAATCACTTACAAATCGAAAATGTCCGAGTTGATTCTGGCGCCAGAGTCCATGTTGGCACATATGATTTTGGCCAATGAGGCGCTGGTGCGAAGTTCGTTTATTTGATCTACAAACAGAACACATTCTACCAGACTTGCAACGGGCCGGGCCAAAATTGGAAATTTTCCGGCCCGGTCCGCCCGGGAGGATGCACCTAAAAATTCAAAGCGAACTAGAACTTCGAAACGAACATAATTTTATACACTTAAAATTGCAACAAATCAGTCAAATTTGGATTTGGAAATATTTGGTTTGGAAATAGAAAATTTTTGGAAATTTGGAAATTTGGAAATAGAAATTGCTGTTTAAAGTCGCAAAATTTTCACAAAAATTACGAAAATTTTCTCAAGAGTGGGCGGAGCGATTGATTGCAACTCTGGCACGCCATTTTAGCAATTTTGCCGCACGCGTTTTCCTTCCTCTTCCTTCATATTTTTTTTGCATATTTTTTTTTGAGGTCTAACTTCCGGGCCGACCGGGCCGGGCCGGGCCGACGATTTGCTGGCCCGGGATTTGGCAAGTCTGCATTCTACTAATGGTTGGCGCACGCACCTGGAGTGAAGGCATCGGTATTCTCAACAATGCTCTCGTAGAAGAATCGGTCGCCAGTCTTGAGCGCGCTGAACTGTTCTCCAATCATAAAAGCGGCCGTCGGTCCGAGTTGTCCGCCGGCCAAATGGTCCTCGAGCATCAGTCCGGTGTACAGATCAATGTCTGCCGGATCCGAATACACACTTCTCAACGCGTCAATGTTCGGCTGCGAGAACGTGGTGTTCAGGTCGGAGAAGGTGCTCACTGGCGCCAGACCGACTAGCTGTCGGTACTGAACGTAGGGGAACAGTCCGAGATCCCTTCCTCGCATGATATTCACGGCGACCAGATCCACGCCGGATCCGTTTCTGCCTCGGATCTCGAATAGTTGGTTGCGGATTCCAAATGAGAAGTAGCGGTCGGGCGTCATTCCCGGTGAACGGACCATACCTAGAACATGTGAAACTGTGCACGAAACTTATTTTCTTTATGCGGCGTCCAAAGTCTCGGAAAACCCGCAAATATCGCGGATTTTGCAGTCCAAATTCGGCAGAAATTTGCGGGAAATCGGGGGGTGCGCACAGCTGAACGAGTGTTAACCTACACCATAAAACTACGGTATTTTTTGAAAATTTACCCAAGAAATTTGAAAATTTTCCAATATTCTCGAGGAATTTAAATTTTTTCAAAAAATACCGTTGAAAATTTACCCAAGAAATTTGAACAATTTCACATATTCTCGAGGAATTTTTTTTTTAAATACCGTTGAAAATTTACCCAAGAAATTTGAAATTTTTCAAATATTCTCGAGGAATTTAAATTTCTTCAAAAAAATACCGTTGAAAAATTTACCCAAGAAATTTGAAAAAAATTTCAAATATTCTCGAGGAATTTAAATTTTTTTTCAAAAAAATACCGTTGAAAAATTTACTCAAGAAAAATTGAAAAAAATTGAAAAATATTCTCGAGGAATTTAAATTTTTTTCAAAAAAATACCGTTGAAAAAAATTACCCAAGAAATTTGAAAAAAATTTCAAATGTTCTCGAGGAATTTAAATTTTTTTAAAAAAATACCGTTGAAAAATTTACCCAAGAAATTTGAAAAAAATTGAAAAATATTCTCGAGGAATTTAAATTTTTTTCAAAAAAATACCGTAGTTTTATGGTGTACGGTAACACTCGTTCAGCTGTGCGCGCCCCGGATTTCCCGCGAATTTCTGCCGACTTTGGACTGCAAAATCCGCGAGATTTGCGGGTTTTCCGAGACTTTTCATTACCATTCATGATTGGTTCCCATCCTCCGACCTGCGCCAGATAGTTCTGATCCGCGTAGAAGATGTCATGGCCCAGATCGTAGTTCCCGGCAGGCCTCCCGGCCTCGTCGAGTCTCGGGAAATCGAATCGAGACTGACTGTGTCCGAAGCGAAATGCGGCGCCCGCAAACTCGGCGCTGATTGACGCGTCTTGTGACGGATTGTATCCGCGATGCACGCCGCTCCTCAACGGTCTCAGCCCGAAGTTGCGGATGGTCCGCTGAGGAAGGTACTTGGCGATGTACTCGTTGTACACGACGTGTTGCCACATTCCGATCATGATCTTGCGCACGAGCTGATAGATCTGCTCGTCGGTCATTTGACGACGTGCGACTCTCATCACTCTGTCCGCCAGTCGATTGTGCTCTTTGAGGAAGATGGTGTGAACGGGAATGAGTGCCGGATGCAGACTGTTCCGGAAGTCGCCGCAAGTGAAGCAGTGGAACGGCGCCGACGATTGACAGTTCGAGTCGTTGAGGTTCTGCGGCGGGAGCACGTATCCCGTGCCGGTGAATGTGAGCAACTTTCCTTCGCGGAACGATCTCACGGACTGCGCCTCACAATCCGACGATCCGTACACCGGGGACAAGTCCAAAAAGTGACTGTTTTGTCCGATTTGGGTGCGCACGCCAAAGTTCTCCTGGCCGTTTAGGGCTCGAGTCAATCGCATGCACGGCGTACGGAAGTACGGATCATTGCGCGGCACTTGGATCGGCGCACAGTTTGGCGAGACACGAGAGGCCGAGTTACAGGCCGAACAGTCTAGGGCACTGCCGTCTCGAGCTGTAAAAAGAGTTGTCGCTTAAAAATTGAGCCCGTGAGACTACTAACCAACTGAAGATGGAATGAAAATGAGATCGTGAGCGACGAACTGGCCGATGATCATGTGCAGATGGTTGGTGTGCGGAGAGAAAATCTGATTGTTTCGGTCGTCGTGCAGTGCATTCGAAATTAGTCTGGCTGATGGCAATTCGCCGCCTGCAGCGCTTCGGCTCCGCATTCTGCCGAGGCCATCGGAGTAGGATGCTCCGCCGAGCAGCCGTCTCATCGGACTCACCGAGTTGCCGAGTTCGGGCGTCTGTCGGTTGTTGCAGAGGCCAGTTATCGACCGGGTTGAGGTACTGAATTCAAGGAATGAGGTGATAAACGCTAATGAATAACCCACTGAATTCGATCGTTACAATTGTCGGACGGAGAGGAACACATCACCGATTGTCTCTTTTCTCTTCTGAGCACGACTGCAGCACTTCGCTTCGATCTCGAAGACGTGGCGGGCGCTTCGTGCCGCCACTTGTGGATCACCTCGTTTGCCACCGAAATTATGTCCTGAAAGCCGATAGGATGAAAGCCAAAAGGATTCTACAAACGACTGACCATCCCAAACTCTTGTACCAGAATCCTCGTCGCTTCCTCGAGCACCTCTCCAGTGAACTGAGCCTCTTTCGACTCTTGATTCGCTTGCTGCGAAACTATTATATGCTCATGCTCTTGTGTGATTTGACGCTCCGATCGTAACGATTCCAATGCTCTTATCACAGCGTCCTCTACGATTTTCTCCGTTTCTTCTGTTACTTCCACCTTCCCATGGATCCGGATCGTGAAGAATATCGAGAATATGAAAGGGGCAAGCGTCATAGTGATGGGCTCTCAAAATGTGGGGGAGGGGAAAACGTTTTCCAGTTTTATACACCTGGTAGTTAACGTTTGTTCAGCTTTAGCGTTGGTCAAAAAGTTTTTGGAAAACATTGAAATGACCAGATGCAAAACAGGTTTTGTTTATCGAACTTTAAAGGACCAGGGAACGCTCCGAGTTTATGTGTCCGACTGAATTGCTTCTTATTGCCACATTTTGCCAACTTTCAGAAATCAGCTGTGAATGGAACAGCGCTTAGTCAAAGTTGTGGTCGTGGCCGAGAAAAGTTCTAGGCCTTGTGATCTTTTTCGGATTTTTTTGTTGCGTTCGGCACAATCTTCATACGTTGCAAAACATTCACACAAATCAGCAGCCATACATAGATAGTGCAAGAGCATCAAACTGCTCACAGGGAAGAGTTTTCACACCGGAGTTTCCTAGGCCACGGCCACAACTTCAACTGCACGCCGCACGGTCTCCCAGGGCGCTAATGCTAAACACAGTGCGCTTGTAAATTGCGGAGCGTCGTTGTAACTTTTGAAAATTTGCAGGCCTAAAAATGCAGTTCAATTCGATTTCACCACCTTTATTTCTTTCTTTTTGACTTGAAAAACGTCTAGAAAACAATATTTTACTGATTGGAAACCGTTCTTTACAGAATTTCGAGTTTTTCATGTTTTTAGCGTCTTTTTCGCATTTCGTCAAAACTTCAAACCTTTATATTTCAGCTCATTTTGCATTTCATGAGCCCAACGAACGATAAAAATGTTCGCGGAATCTTTCTTCACAAAATTCAGGTTCCGGCGGTTAGCTTTCTTGAGCAGTTTTCGAAAAATATTCGAAAAACATCAAAATCCAGGCCAAAACCTTTAACTCGAAATAACTCGGCTAATTCTCAACGATATGCGAGATTTCTGTTACCAAAACGTAGCTAGTGCTCTAATTATTCGACGCCAGGTTCCAGGCGCGCCTAGGCGTACAAAAAATAGGTGCATTCATTAATCGGCCGCCGCGTAAATCGACACAACCCGCCTGTTGCAAGTGCGCTCCATTGAAATCATTCGCGCCGTGGGAGACCGTGCGCATTTCTGAGAGTCAGCATTTCACCAGTGCACGAGGCAATAAGAGACAATTCAAACAGAAACAAAAAAATTTCACAAAAAAATCAAAAAATTTGAGGGCTCCCTGCGCTTTTTCCGACATAAATCGTTACATTTTGAAATGTCCTTGTGCTGTTTGACCATCGGGACCATAATTGATTATTCAGAGAATTACGACGACACTCCACGTTGGCCGCCCGCCCAGCTCGCTCGTTCTCATTAGTTTTTCTGTTCCCTTGCCTGTTTACGTTCCTCGTGTTTCCCATCAGTTCGAGCTCACTGCTTTGCTGATTACATGCCGCCAGCCGTGTCCGGTCGCTCACTACTCACATTTCGATGTTGATCTACATCATCGCGCTTGCAGTGGTGAGTCGTTTCATTACTCAAAAAAACGTGGTTGGTACAAGTCTGACAAGAATCTGCAAAAATCGAAAATCGCGTTTTTTTTGTTGATAAAAGTACACACTTGCCGCGCATTCAGACAAGTCTAACCGGAGTCTTGCTCAACGTGTACATGTTCTGGAAGTTCGCCACCGCAAACACGAAAGCGTTCAGCAGTTTTCACAAGTTATGCCTCTGCAAAACCATTCCCAACATTCTCATCAGCTCGATTTTCGCCTTCTGGGCGATACCGTTGACCATATTTCAAGTGGACATGGCACATTTTTCGCGACTTCAAAACCTGATATTCTCTCAGGTTCTCGGAGGATTCGGCTACGTGTTCGGTTCGACCCAAATCCCGTTCATTTTCCATTTGTTTTTTCCCACGTATTTCAGGACCTTTTCTTCAAGTGTGCATGGCCACAAATCGTTGCGTTCTCCTCTACTTTCCATTCGCCAGAATGAAATTCGACGGGCTCCCAATCACCACGCTCGCCATTTTCGCATGTTTTTTACTGGCAAACACTCCGGTTTTCGCGTCGATTCTCAGTGGGGCACACAGAAAAATGAGTGTACATATTTGTCGAGTATTTCAGCAAATTGCTACCTCGTCTACGATCCTCCGACACTGGTGTTTCTGCCGGAACGGGAAGAGTGTGGCAGCACGCAGGACTTTCTCATGTTCCTACTCATTTGCGTCATTTCGCTCACGTGCAATTCTATCAATTTGGCCATTTTTGCAAAGTTGGCTAGGGATAAGGTATGAGATTTCGGTTTCTTTTTCTAATTTCGCCTCCAATTAGTTCTAATGACGAGACGAAAGCATAAAAACATGTTGTGGAAGTAAAATTGCAAAGAAAGAGGCGTGAAACTTGTCTATTCGTAACTAGCAGAGTTGAGCGGAAGAACACGGAAGAATTTTTATCTTTTTTAGAAAATTTTTTCATGGAATGTGATCAACTGATGAAATGTAAAGCAAAGTGAACTCTGCTCATAGAAAAATAATTGTAAATTTAGCTATTCATACAAAAAAGTTATTCCTTCCGTCTTCCGTAAGCCCTCCTTTTTTCACGGAACAACTCGAATAACTTTTTTGTATAAAAAGCTAAATTTACAATTATTTTTTTATGAGCACAGTTCACTTCGCTATACATTTCGTCAGTTGATCACATTTCATGAAAAAATTTTCTAAAAACACGACGACCAAAAGTGTAGAAAGGGGCGTGGCCTAATCTGAGAGTGCGCGCGATGATTAGTTTAACAAAGTTATGCAATTACATCGTCGAAATCGTACATAATTTGGGTAATTTTTCACGAAAAAAACATGAAAAATGGGGTTAAATTTCGAATTTCGCGCCAAAATGGTGATAAACCGTGCACGCTAGGCCCCACGCCCCTTTCTACGTTTTTGGTCGCCGTGAAAAAGATAAAAATTCTTCCGTGTTCTTCCGTTAGTAACTACCCTTCATTCACAAGTATTTCGTTTTCATGCCCAGTTTACAGATGAACGGAATAAGTGAGACGCAAAAGAGCAAACGACGAAGGAGATGGCTGACAATGTTCGTGCAGAGTGTCATTCAGGACGTTCTACAGCTCATCGACATCACCAACTACAACTTTGTGTCGCGGATAATCGACGAAGAGTGGTGGACATTCATATTCTGTTGCCTCTCTTTTTCGATGGTCTACACACTGGATGGGTAGGGCGGAAGAGAATGAAAATAGACGACGGAGAAACGGATCTGTATTTCAGAGCAGTCATGATTTATTTCCATTCGGATGCTAGTCGGAAGAAGTCAACAGTCACCAATGTTCAAGTTTCAACTGCCATTAGTTCGGGTCCCGTCAAGAAAGTATCAGTGATCGATTGAGAACATTTCATTTCAATTTATCATTTTTCGATGAAAAAACAGTCAAACAAACAGTAGTTCTTGGTATGGTAACCTGAAAAAGTTCAAAAAATCAAGTGGTGTGTTTCTAGCACTCCAAACTTTAGAACGACGAAGTTTCAGGGATCCTCCTAGCGATGCTGGACAACAAATGTTTGGACCAGACTTGCAACGGGCCGGGCCGGGCCAAAATTGGAAATTTTCCGGCCCGGCCCGGCCCGGTCGGCCCGGGAGGATGCACCTAAAAATTCAAAGCGAACTAGTTTTGCTTCAATTTCGAAGATTCATTGTAAAAACCAGCAGAAATAGAAAAAAAGACGAAAAAGGCAATGTTATAGCATAAAAACCTGTTAAAAAATAGAAATTGCTGTTTAAAGTCGCAAAATTTTCACAAAAATTACGAAAATTTTCTCAAGAGTGGGCGGAGCGATTGATTGCAACTCTGGCACGCCATTTTAGCAATTTTGCCGCACGCGTTTTCCTCTTCCTTCATATTTTTTTTTGCATATTTTTTTTGAGGTCTAACTTCCGGGCCGACGATTTGCTGGCCCGGGATTTGGCAAGTCTGGTTTGGACTTGACCTGAAAATTCTCTGTGAATGCATAACATCAGTCACAAAATGAACCACCCCGCCCGTTATGGCTACGCACAAAACGACGAAATCAGAGCAATAATACACTCAATGAAATGCAATTCTCTCGCTTCACCGCCACTGCCTCCATAACCAAAAAAACGCCGGACCGAAAAAATGACGTCCGAAATGGCAACAATCGTTTTTCTAATAATCGCCAACTCGATTCTTCTCGCCGTCAGTCTCCTGGGCACCATTCTCAACATTTACCTCTTCTACAAGTTCAGCACGAGACGAGGCATAGTCAGTGGCTTCTACAAATTGTGTCTGGTGAAGACGGTGCCAAACGCGACCGTCTGCGCCTCGTTCCTGTTTTGGGCGGTTCCGTTGGGAAGTCTGAGGATCAAAAACGATCAGGTCTCGCGGAATATCAACGTGTTTGTGGGTCAGTTGGCCGGCTCGGGCGCTTATATTTTCGGTCGGTTTGACGCATTGACGGCTATGATCTCACTTGACTTTCAGGCCCTCTTCTTCACGTTTGTATGGCCGCAAACCGTTTTTCGTCGTTATATTTCGCAGTTCGCATCATGAAAGTCGCCAGATATCCCATCACTTTTCTCTCAATCATTGTGACTCTAATCATTGCGCTGGTCTACACAGTGATGGGATTTCCAGGTAAGTACGGTCCACTTTTAACGTTAAGACTACTATTTCAATTTCAGAAAACTGCGGCTACCTGTACCTTCCGGAGACGCTCGAATGGGTGTCGGAAGATGCACCATGTGCAGTGTTCCAGTATAATCTTATACTCTATTCAATATTTGGATGTGCTATAATATCGAATTCAATGAATCTGGCGACTGCGGCAAAGCTACTCTTCGATAAGGTTTTGTCATGACACTATATCTCACAAGGGAACCTTTTAAGTGATTAAAGGAACCGGCCTAAACTAACGACACAGTTCGAGAGAGGGACTTTCAAAACCTATATTCCAGTTTTCAAAAGCTGCTTTCGAGACCTCTGAAATGCTGAAATTCCAGTCCGAAGTTTGACATTTCTTAACCATAGATTTCGCATTTTGGTGGCGCGGCGACCCACCCTCACACCCTCGCCATGCGCCACGATTGTCACCGCCCGCAACACCCTACGAAAATGTTGTCGAGTGGCGCAGGAGTTAACGGTGGGGATGAGGGGAATGTGGTCACGGGCTCGACTCCCTGGTTTTGCTTTTTCTTTTTTATTTCTTTTTTTCATATATTTTTGACGAAATTGTTTTGAAATGTTGATTTTTGAAGGGATTAAAGTTGCCAATTGAAGTTGCACATCGTGTATGCGGAAATTCGTCATCAACACATGAATCTTTTTTGCGATGGTTTTTTTGAGAACAGCGTTTGAGTGCAGTTGATTCTTTGATCCATAACTCGAAGGGGAATTTTTGTAGAGAATAATGATCAACTACAAAGTTGATCAGCATGACATTTACTACAACTTTGAAGTTGACCACTTCTTTCTACAATTTTTTCTTTTTGAGATACAGGCTGTTAAAGATGGTAGTGCAAAATCTTGCTGTATCTCGCGAATTGAATGAGATATCAAAAAGTCGTCAACTAAAGAAACATTACTGAAGACATTATCCATAGTTTTTTAGTTGACAACTTTTTCGAAAACTTGCTGATTTTTGTGATACGACCCACTTTTAATCAACTGCCTGTATCTCAAAAAGAAAAAATTGTAGAAAGAAGTGGTCAACTTCAAAGTTGTAGTAAATGTCATGCTGATCAACTTTGTAGTTGATCATTATTCTCTACAAAAATTCCCCTTCGAGTTATGGATCAAAGAATCAACTGCACTCAAACGCTGTTCTCAAAAAAACCATCGCAAAAAAGATTCATGTGTTGATGACGAATTTCCGCATACACGATGTGCAACTTCAATTGGCAACTTTAATCCCTTCAAAAATCAACATTTCAAAACAATTTCGTCAAAAATATATGAAAAAAAGAAAGAAAAAAGAAAAAGCAAAACCAGGGAGTCGAGCCCGTGACCACATTCCCCTCATCCCCACCGTTAACTCCTGCGCCACCACAGGTAAACCGCGATGTCCGAAGCATGGCCGAACGGTGGCGGAGCGAGCGGTATGGCCGAAGAATGACTAACGGATGGCTAACCCTTCAGCCGTAGCGCTTGAAAAAGCGCTACATCTGAAAGATGGCCGAGCAGTGTCAGAATGAAAATGCATCTCGTGAATGTGGGAAGGATGGTCAATCCGTTAGCGATCATTCAGCAATCGAGACGACCGCGCGTTCTTGGACTTTGTTTTTTTTTCAGTCTTCACAACTTTTCGCCACAGCGCGGCTTTTTTTCCGATTATTCTTTACTTTTTCTGTTTGTAAAATTTTCGCTATTCTTTTTCGGAAGCGTCTACAATTATCCTGCTTAGCCGAAGCTTGTCATGTAAAAAAACAAATTTTAGGCCTAAAAACACAATTTTTCTGATGTTCTTCAACTTCTTTCCCCATTCGAAAGCGTTTGAATGCAAAAGATATTGAATGTGAACTGTCTTCGAAAATTGATAACGGACAGATTTTTTGCGTTTTCCTTCAATAAATTCTGACTTTTTGCAAAAACATTCTCCGATTGCATCACATTGTTAAAAACTAATAACTACTCGTTCGTTGTATATGTTCTACACTTTACTTTCTATTTTCAAACTATGTTTTACAGATGCTCCAGTACTTCATTCAACGCCGTCGACATCTTCAACATCCTCTACATCTCCGACATCCTCTACATCTCCGACGACTCCAAACTTCAACTGACTCTACAGGACAGGCACGGGAAAAACGACTAAGTCCGGAGAACAACGATAATTTTTTGTTATATATTATTTAAATAAACTATTATTTAGCACATACATTGTTTTCTGTGTTACTATCGACCAATTTCAGCAGAAAAAGCCCAGAGGGGAGGGAGGGGCCTACATTTTTCGAAAACCGCGGATGCGCGAACGATTGACAATCAGTGGACCGCTCCTTCGGCCAGGAATTGTCCCGCCTTGAGCAATCGGTATAGCCACTGATTGTTAATCCTTCGGCCATCGCGGTTTACCTGTGACTCGACAACATTTTCGTAGGGTGTTGCGGGCGGTGACAATCGTGGCGCATGGCGAGGGTGTGAGGGTGGGTCGCCGCGCCACCAAAATGCGAAATCTATGGTTAAGAAATGTCAAACTTCGGACTGGAATTTCAGCATTTCAGAGGTCTCGAAAGCAGCTTTTGAAAACTGGAATATAGGTTTTGAAAGTCCCTCTCTCGAACTGTGTCGTTAGTTTAGGCGGGTTCCTTTAATCACTTAAAAGGTTCCCTTGTCAGTTGCCTAAAGAGATATCAAAAATATGTCAATTAACAAATTGTTCATAAAGACATTGTGCACATTTTATGAGTTGACAACTTTTTTATATCCTCAACGGCAGCTGAGATACACCATCTTGAACTTTTTACAGTATGCACTTTCAGGTCGGCGGAATGAGCGTGACCGAGTCGAAACGTCGCCGCAAAAAGTATCTATTGAACTTTTCGCAAAGTGTACTTCAAGATTGTCTGCACGTGCTCGACATGATAAACAGCACGTACACATGGCAAATCCTGCCGGCCGCGTGGTTTCAATTCGTGTGTCTCACTCTCTCTTTTGTCTCCATTCACACTCTCGACGGGTCAGTCAGTACAACCTAGTTAACGGACCAGGAAACCCAACATTTTTTTGATTTTTTTGTGTCTGTTTGAATTGTCTCTTATTGCCGCATACACTGGTGAAATGATGCCTCTCAAAAATGCCAATGAACGAAACGGCGTGCAGTTGAAGTTGTGGCCGTGGCCTAGCGCCAATGGCCTAGAAATATGCGTTTCTCGGCCATTTTATTTTTTCCGCTTTTTTACCGGTTTTTTTCCAAAAATTAACGGTTTCACCCATTTTTCAGTTGATTGACATTTGTTCGGCACTCACTTATTTTTTCACCGCTAAAAAATTGTTTTCATTCATTGTTTTTTTTTGAGTTTTTCGATTTTATCGCGAAAAAGCCGGTAAAAAAGCGGAAAAAATAAAATGACCGAGAAGCGCATATTTCTAGGCCATTGGCGCTAGGCCACGGCCACAACTTCAACTGCACGCCGTTTCGTTCATTGGCATTTTTGAGAGTCACCATTTCACCAGTGTATGAGGCAATAAGAGACAATTCAAACAGACACAAAAAAAATTCACAAAAAAATCAAAAAAAAATTTGGGTTCCCTGGTCCTTTAAGTTGAGGCTTCAACCCCCCCATCACAGTGCGGACGAAATTAAAGAAATTAAGTTCTAGAGTAATTTTTGGCACTTTCAGCTGTGTCATGATGTACTTTCACACTGAGATTCATCCGAAATGGTTGTGGCGGACGACGGTCAAAAAGAAACTGATCCAGGTGGTTGCTGTCTCGAGGATCTCCACCAATTCGGCGGCCAAATAATGTTGATTTTGTCGTGCGTGCTTCCTGCGAATTCAATAAAGAAATCATTTCCATTCCAGCACCTTTCCGTGACGAAGGGAGCCAAAAGTCAATTACCGCCCGACACTCTGACAAATGCGCTCGGCGCATTTAGCGTTGATTTATGACGGAACCATTGGAAAACGAGGTGCTTTTCGTTCGCAACTCCAAACTCATGTCTATTGTCTTTCATATTGTCGCCGTCGTTTCAATGTTCACGGTCAGTTAAATCGCCTACAAACACACTCGTTCCACCAAACGTTTTCCCTGCTTCAGATAAGCATCCTGGGCCTCACAATGAACCTCTACCTGTTCCGCAAATTTTCGAGCAAACGAGGAAAAGCGAGTGGCTTCCTCAAATTGTGTCTCGTCAAAACGGTGCCCAACTCGATCGTCTGTGCGTCTTTTCTATTCTGGGTCGTGCCTTTATCGTTGGTGCAGCCGGATTACGAGAATGTTCCGCGCATTGTCAATGTGTTCGTTGGTCAAGTGGCCGGCTTCGGAGCCTATGTGACCGGTAGGAGCAAGTTGTTTTTCTTGTTCGATTCCTAGTAAGCGGTGTTAATCTGTTGATATCTAACGCAGAAATAACAAAATCGCGGAAGTCATGCTTTGCAAGAGGGCAGAGTTGAGCGGAAGAACACGGAAGAATTTTTATATTTTTTAGAAAATTTTTTCATGAAATGTGATCAACTGACGAAATGTATAACAAAGTGAACTGTGCTCATTGAAAAATAATTGTAAATTTAGCTATTCATACAAAAAAGTTACTTCCGTCTTCCCCGTTCGCCCCCTTTTTTCACGCAACAACTCGAATAACTTTTTTGTGCGAAAAGCTAAATTTATAATTATTTTTCTATGAGCACAGTTCACTTTGCTATACATTTCGTCAGTTGATCACATTCCATGAAAAAATTTTCTAAAAAAGATAAAAATTCTTCCGTAGTTACACACCTACACTCATAACAGCACAAAGTTCACCTTTTTCTACAGTACCCTTTCAGGCCCGCTCCTCCAGTTTTTCATGTCGTGCAACCGCTTCGCCGCACTTTACTTCGCCACCCGTCGTCTTCGTGTAAACGACTTGCCGATCACCGCAATCGCCGTCCTATTCGCCTTCGGAATCGCCCTCATCTACACGGCGCTCGGGTTCAGACGTGAGTCGTCCATAGGCGACCAAAAGACTAACAATGCGGCTTTTAGCAATGTGCGGCTTCGTATTCTATCCGTCCTCGTTCACCTGGGATAAAGAGAACTCAGAGTGTGCGAGTGGCATGTCCGCTCTCATATTCTATACAGTCGTGGCCGTTGCCAGTTGCACAAACTCTTTGAATGTGGCCACTGCTGTCCGCTTGTCGGTGGATAAAGTGAGTAGTTAAAATCAGATATTGTAGATGATCCATTCTTTTTTATCAGGTCGGCGGAATGAGTCAATCGGATACGCATCGAAGAAGGAGAAAGTTGATACTTATGTTCGTTCAGGTACATTTCCTTAAAGTCAAAGGGCGCCACGATATTGTCCATTCAAACCGTTGTATCTCATCTACCGGTAGAGATGCCAAAAAGTGTTCAACTGATAAAATGTACGCAATGTATTTCTAAGCAAATTTTCAGTTGACAACATTTTGATACCTCCACTGACAGCTGACATATATCGTCCCCAGTTCCGATGATTTCTGCAAAAAAGCGTGCATCCGTTTCGTCATCCGAGTTCAAATATTCCCCTCAACACTCGTCATTTTTCTGTGACAGATGAATGGTTTAGTACTTGATCGCGTTACGGTTGAACGATTTGAGCAAAAAATAGCTGGACATGTATCAAAGAACACATTTTCACACAAACACAAAAACCGTCCAAGTTATCACCAACTTTTTTTGCAGAGTGTAATCCAGGATTGTCTACACGTGATCGACCTCGTCAACAGCATTTTCATCTTCAAACTCTCCGACGCCGTGTGGTTTCAGTTCATCTTCCTCTCCGTCTCCTTTCTAATGATTCACGCGCTCGACGGGTAATCAGGCGTGCTTTTCGGAGAACCAAGAATTTGCGGTTTTTTTTTTGTTCAGGTTTGTCATGTTCTATTTCCACCCCGACGTTCATCCCACTTTTCTACGTGGCAAAACGCGAAAAACGTCGTCGAAGAATGTGCTTGTGACGGTCGCGACGCCGTCGTTTTACGGCGAACGAAAGACGACACAACAACACAGTCCTCACTGATGCTTCTTTCTCAAAAATTTGTTTGTACATATTGATTATTGATTCGTCTTTGACTAGTTTAGGTTCTTATCAGGGTTGGGTAAAAGACCGGCTAGGGTACACTCAAATTTGTGATCGCTAATCTCAATTATTTTTGACAATGTGAATTCTGGTCTCTACTTGCCACAAGATCCGTGGGAAAACATTTCTCGTTTTCCCATACAAAGTCTCAGTTTGTGTGCCGTCCTCTAGTTTTTTTTTTTGTTGTTGTTCAGGTCAACCTTCCGAATGCTGCAACTCGGACTCTTCCCACTGTTGGCGGTCATTTCAATGCTTTTGGTGAGTCGGAACGATCATCGCTCCAACCGCTCTCTCTCTTTTTTCGCCAGACAAGTTTCATCGGTCTCCTCGTCGGCGTTTGGATATTTCAAAAGTTTGTGCGCAAAGTGTGCGCGACGGATTTCAGCGATTTCCACAAGTTTTGCATGGTCAAAACCGTGCCGGACATGTTCGTGTGCGCGGCCTTCCTCTTCTGGGTGGCGCCGGTGACGGCTCTCTCGCTGACGTACTCGCGAGTGCCGTACCTGCCGAACGTGCTCATCGGACAGATCGCCAGCGGCGGCGCCTACATTCTGGGCGCCAGCATTCAAATGTGCATGGCCGTCAATCGCTTCTTCGTCCTCTATTTTCCATTCCGTCAGCATTCCGCCAACAGATCCTACCTCACGTTCGGCGCCATCGCAATCTGTGTCGGACTGGCAATCACCTACACTTTACTCGGATTAAGGAGTAGGTTCTTAAACGGGACCTAGACGTTTTGCAACCGCTTCAACTTGCCAGTTGAAGTGTTGTAAGATTTGCGCAAAAGTTGCAGACGCTCGCCGGCGTCAAGTCTAGTCACTTTTGAAATCTGCAGAACTGTGCGCCTACGTCTACGATCCCGAGATGTTTTCGTGGAGAGTCGAAGAGTCGGAGTGTGCCGATCAAATGACCACACTCATTTTCTGGTCGATCATCGTGCTCGCACTCACCTCGAACACTTTCAACGTGGCGACCGGCATGAAGTTCTTGTGCACTCAGGTACGGGTCTTCCATTGAATCTATACCAAAATCTCTGCCCTATCAGACATCCGGAATCCGGCAGCAAGAAGTGCTGCGACGCCGCAAGAAGCGTCTGTGGCTGTTCGTTCAGTGCGTCGTCCAAGACTGTCTCCATCTGACCGATCTCGTCAACAGCATATTCATCTACCAATTGAGCGAGGAGACGTGGTTCCGCTACATCTTTCTCTGCTACTCATTCCTGGCCATTCACGCGACCGACGGGTAGAATCTCTTCACACTTTCCGAGGAAGTACACGTGTTTTATTCAGCATCGTCATGTTCTACTTCAACCCGGAAGTGCAGCCCGTCTGGTTTCGTCGATTCACCAATCGAAACTTGTTGAGGACCGGCGCCGCTGTTATTGTATCGTCGCACAACTCGGCGCCAAGATCACTCTCGAAACTGTGAAAACGACATTTCTCTCAATGCGCGCGCACGGCGACCAAAAGTGTAGAAAGGGGCGTGGCCTAATCTGAGACGCGTTTTCTGAAAATTGCCGCAATTCTAGCACACTTTTCCGATATTTTTGTGTTTGATATCGACGAAAGAAGACATTAAAGAGAGAAAACAGCGAAATTTTCGTGAAAACGCCGCGTTTGAGACGTTTTTGGCATATTTCGCAATAAAGTTAATAAAAGAATTTTTTAAAAAAAAGTTTAAAGGTGGTGTCCAACCTAACATACAACATATTTTTAAAATAAACTTCGAAGTGGGGCATTCACTTTCCCAAAGTCCCGAATTACGAAAAAAATTCCCCGATTTTTAAGATTTTTTTCAAAAAAGTTAATGGTACCGAGAGAAGTACACGGCGAAATGGAAGAGCTGGCCTAGATTTTTCTAGTCCCCGGATGAAATTCCCCTTTCTTCCGATTTTTTTCCGTTTTCGCGCAATTTTCTTAAATTTTCAATCGTTTTTTCACTGAACACATTTATTTGCAATATTTAAAAAAACGTATGATTTTTTCTGTGCCGTGACGCCAAAAAAATCGATAATCTGAAACTTTTTTTTTGTTTTTCCGGGTTTTTCGCTCAATCTTCGGTTTGCGCGCTGAAAAATAAATAGAAAGAAATCGCTCAATCATTTCCTGAGTCTTAATTAAATTTTGCGAGTTACAGAAAGTTATATTTTTCAAAGTAATGAAAAAATCCAAAACTTCCTATTTTCAGTTTTACAAAAAGTGGCTGAATTTCTGAATTTTGCTGAATTTTGAAAGTTTCAGATTATCGATTTTTTTGGCGTCACGGCACAGAAAAAATCATACGTTTTTTTAAATATTGCAAATAAATGTGTTCAGTGAAAAAACGATTGAAAATTTAAGAAAATTGCGCGAAAACGGAAAAAAATCGGAAGAAAGGGGAATTCTATCCGGGGACTAGAAAAATCTAGGCCAGCTCTTCCATTTCGCCGTGTACTTCTCTCGGTACCATTAACTTTTTTGAAAAAAATCTTAAAAATCTGGGAATTTTTTTCGTAATTCGGGACTTTGGGAAAGTGAATGCCCCACTTCGAAGTTTATTTTAAAAATATGTTGTATGTTAGGTTGGACACCACCTTTAACAAAGTTATGCAATCGCATCGTCGAAATCGTACAAAATTCGGGTAATTTTTGCGAAAAACATGAAAAATGGGATTAAATTTCGAATTTCGCGCCAAAACGGGTGATAAACCGTGCACGCTAGGCCCCACGCCCCTTTCTACGTTTTTCGTCGCCGTGTCAAAGCTCTCATTTTTTTTCCGTTGCTAAAATAATGTTCTTTGTGTGTTTTCAGTGCATTGTACAAAGTACGTCAAATGAAGGTTCAAAAAAGTTCATTTTCGCCTCCCTTTGAGGTGGCGGGTGATCTGCGCTTTGATGCGTGATAAATGGATTCTAACGAAGCAACACCGAAGCTAGACGAAACTTTTTTCTATCTTTTCAACAAAAAAAGTCTCATGTTTTCGCCGGAAATCCCAGTAATCCTAATGGCTTTGGTGAGCCTGTGCGGATTCCTGACGAATCTGTACTTGTTTCTCAAAATCGTCACAAAACTGAACGCGGCCAGTGAGTTCACCAAATTGTGTCTGGCCAAAACCGTTCCGAACATGCTCGTGTGCGCCGCGTTCCTCGCCTGGTCGGTCCCATTGAGCGCCCTTCAAGTGCCCGTCGAACACGTTCCCGTGTATTTGAATGTCCTAATCGGACAGGTGATGGGGTACGGTTGCTACGTGGCCGGCCCGTGCATTCAACTACTTATGGCCGTCAATCGATGGTTCTCGCTGTTCTTCCCGTTCCAAAAACTACCGGTTAACGGTTATTCGATCAATTTTCTCTCACTTTTGACAGTGATTCTTGTGGCTTCTGCGTTCACCGTCAAGGGTATGATTCCCAGTGAGTTTCAAATTTTTCTACAATACAATATCCATAAACTTCCAGTCACCTGCGGTTTCTTCTACGACCCACAACACTTTCTGTGGACGTGCGATGCGAATGAGGCGTGTGCGACGGAAATGGAAACGATAATAGCGATCACAGTGGTCGGTTTGACTGTTCTCTCGAATTCGATGAATCTGACCACTCTGCTGAAGTTGTGCTGGGAGAAAGTTGGAGGATTGTCCACGAATGCGATGAGTCATCGAAGGAAGAAGCGGATCCGGTTTTTTGCGCAGGTATCTCAGTTGTCTGTATAGATTGCAGAAAGTGGTCAACTAATGAAATGTACAAAATCAAATGATGAACAATTTGTTAGTTGACCAGTTTTTGATACCTCCACAAACAGCTGAGATATAGAGGCTTGCGAATTGCAGAGTGCCACTCAGGACTGTCTCCACGTAATCGACATCATCAACTGGCGATTCATTGCTCAAACCAACTCTGACACGTGGTTTCAGTTCGTCTTCGTCACAATGTCGCTTCTAAGTATACACGCGTTGGACGGTCTCGTCATGTTCTGTTTTCGTACTGAGGCCCGCCCAAAGTGCTCGAAAATTGCGACGTTCACTTTGACGGGTTGAATGAACATTTTTATAGCAGCCAAAGAGGTCATCATGAGATATTATTGAGCTGAAAACAAGATGAAACGATACAAAGAATCTCTAGATCTTCTTCTGGCCAGAAAGTCTGCACCGTGCTGTTCTTCTTGCTTCGCGGCCGAATTTCCGGGTGGAACACGTACATGACCAGTCTGAAATTGAAGAACTGACTATTGTGATTGTGTCCAGCCCGACCAACCCGTCAAGAGCATGAATCGAGAGAAGTGACATCGAGAAAAACGGGTTAAGGGTTCCCTGATAAACAGTGCGCAGTCAAAGTTGTGGCCGTGGCCTAGAAAATTCAGGTGAGGGAAAACTCTTCCCTGCTAGCTATCGATGACAAAAAATCACATGGCCGACGATTTTTCTAGTCCACTGCCACAACTCCCAACGGTTCCGCGTGATCCTTCAACAAAAGTGCACGTTTTGAAGTGAACTCACAATGAACATAGATCCGATTACACGTTTTGTCTAACTTCAAACCGCTGGATATGTAGATTGATTTCGAGCGGGTGAGAATCTTTGACAGATTCAGCTGTTTCCTTGTCACCTGAACGAGGAATTGGTGAGCGGCAAAACAAAATCAGAGAACAGAAAGTTGGCCTGAACTCGATTGAATTGACCGGAAATTGGATTGCTCTCATTGGATCAGGAAGCGAGTATTCAGTTTCAGAGTTCCATCCGTCCAAACAAACTAATCATGGAGACCAATCTGCGCGCCTCTTCCCGCGGAGATTTCGATCGTTCCTTTTCGTAGTCTCTTCTTCCATTCCATCTCCTTCGCCAACCTACTCATTCCCACAGATGCTTGTTATTCCATGTCATGACATTCTACTTTCTGCGCACTGGTCCCAGCTCCCAGTCCTTTCTGGCAACTGCGCAGTTTGTGGGGACCGCGTGAGCAGTTGCCGGCTCGGCTGTCCCGCCTGTCTCGGCTGCATCGTCTTCTTTCGGCGAGCCGTCATACACGGCTCACAGTATTTGTGTCTGCGAGACCGATGCTGTCTCATCAACTACGGTCGGTTTGTTAAAACATTGTGCACAAATTTATCAGCACGTTGACAAACTTTCCCATCAGAATACCGTTCCTCGTGCCGCTACTGTCGCCTTCAAAAGTGCTACAAAATGGGAATGAAGGCGTCGGCGGTCCGTCGTCGTGAGTGTCACGGTTCTCATGACGAGCTCTCGGCGCCTCCGTTCATGGACAGCCTCGTCAATCTACAATCGCGTCAGCTCCTCGAGCACCGTCATCAGAGCGTGCGTGGCGTCAGACGGGCGGGCGTCGGCGACGTGAACAGCATGTTCAAGTGGAGTTTCCGGAATGCGATCGAGTGGGCGTCGCAGTTCGAACCGTTCCGCCGACTGTCCAACGAGTACCAGAAGTGCATCATTTCCGAGTACGGCTTTGCGTTTCTTCTCGTCGATCAAGCACTTCGGACTATGAACGAGCGTGTTGGCAGCGGGTATTGGCTACTTCAGAATGGCACTTTCATGCACGAAGACTTTTGTTTGGGTGTCACTGATGTCAACAAAGATGCACAATACTTAGAGTCAGTCTTTAAATGTCCCGATGTACCTCAAACAATTATTTTCCAGAAAACACCGAGATTTCGTCGTCTACCTGTTGAATTGCATCAAAACACCGCTTGAAACACTTCAAATTGACGATTTCGAAGTTGCGACAGTCAAGACCCTTCTTCTTTTTGCACGTAAGCCACGCCTGCTGAATACTCTCACTCAAAACCGCTTCTAGCATCATTTCCGAAGCCCGATCTGTTTGCAAGCCACCTCGTCCGAATGACGGAGATCCGAAAACGAATTCTCAGCGAGCTAATGCACTATTTGCGCGGAAAACATCGGGAAACGAGCGAACAACGATTCGGAGAGATCATTCTGATGATGGGCGAGATGAGAAGTGCCGTCAAGGAGGTGTACAATCAAACAAAAGTGTCCGATCTTTTCCGTTTTCATGATTTTCATCCGTTTGTCAAAAGCTTTTTTATGTCGTGAAGTAGCACGCAAAAGTTATGTGCAATTGCTCTGGAAATGCCAACAAACTTTGTGTCCAACGGAAGAATTTTTATCTTTTTTAGAAAATTTTTTCATGAAATGTGATCAACTGAGGAAATGTATAGCAAAGTGAACTCTGTTCATAGAAAAATGATTGTAAATCTAGCTTTACATACAAAAAAGTTATTCGAGTTGTTGCGTGAAAAAAGGGCTAACGGGGAAGCCGGAAGGACATTTTCACGGAACAACTCGAATAACTTTTTTGTATGAAAAGTTAAATTTACAATTATTTTTCTATGAGTAGAGTTCACTTTGCTATACATTTCGTCAGTTGATCACATTTCATGAAAAAATTTTCTAAAAAATATAAAAATTCTTCCGTGTTCTTCCGTTGAGCTCGTCCGCTCAACTCTGTTTGCGTCAAGCACACGAGAACAAGCGCTGCTAATTGGCTTCGTGGCCCGACAATTCGATTAGCGTACTTTCCGATAAATTCGATTCCCAACAACTATATATACGAACTTCCTGAGCACATAAATAATAATCCGTAATACTTCTTCGTCGTCCTCTCGCCCCTTCTCAAAAGACCTCTTCAAGAGAAGAAAAAGTACGCGCGCATATTTCTCCCTTCTTTTTCCTTTCTCGTTTCGTTTCGTTCCAAACACACTTCTTTTTTTTCTCTCGCTCCATTTTCGAAACCAATTATTTGCGGCTTCTCTTTGCCTTTTTCGCCTTCGTTTTTTCTTCATTCTACTCCAAAATACTACACATCACGAGTTTTAAAACGACTTTTTCTTGTTCTTCTCGGTGCCGAAAAATCGGAGCGCGAACGCAAAATTTAGCTAAAAACCAAAACTTTGATAGAGCGCACCTTCTCCAAACTGAAGAGTTTCTTAATAAAGTTCAATGAAGCGCGCGCGCGCGCGCGGGCGTATGGAAGTGTGGTGCACAAAATTGATGAATGAATGGATGAAGAAAGAGAAGAAAGAGGCGGAAGAAGGAGAAGTGCCGAATCATGCCACCGCCAAATGAGCAACTTTTATGGGTGCAGTGCATTCACAAATTCATGGGTTCTTCGAAGAAAGCTTTTTCCGCGAATTTTACTTGTCCCCGCTGAAATTGGCCTCATTTCCCGCTTCTTTTCCCTGAAAAAAACGGTGATTCGCTCGAATTCCCTCTCTTGACGAGCATTTTCTTTCGAATAGGGCCGCCCGTTATGCAAATGAGATCAGAGCACTTCCGGTGTGTCCTTGGCTCCGTCTCCGCGCTCGCCGCGCTCTCTTTCTCTGGGGATTTGCACCCGCCCCTCGCCGAGCATTTCGCCCCCATTTAGGCATTCAGTTTGCAACTCTTATCTGTGCGAACCCGTCTAACTTTTTGCTGTTTTGATCATTGTGTTTTTGGAGGTGTTGGGTGTTCAAGAGAAGGAGACAAGTCCACAAATCTTTTTGATTAAAAAAAAAATTTCGCTCTTCCAAAACCGGTCTATTCTTACAGATGCTTCCGAGCCTGCTCCTCCTATTGCTTCTCCCTCTGAGCACACTTTCCCTGGAATGTTTCACGTGCGGAGTGTTCCTTTCGGCTCCTGAGCCCATGTGTCGCGGCGAGATCCGCAACAATTCGTGTGCGCCGGAGAACTTGGGATGCCTTTCGATTATTGGAAACAAAGCGGTAAGGCTACAAATTTGCTGTATATAGTTTTCTAAACAAATAATTAATTCTAGGATGGAACTTACTACGTCGAGAAGAGGTGCGCGGAGAAGACGGATGATTTGACGGACGGTTGCATCAACATTGGCATTCGCGGGTACGTCTTTTCTTTTTTTAAGCACCAATTTTGATTTTTTTTCAGCATCGCCGCAAGACAATGTTTGTGCCGGAGCGATCTGTGCAATTCGAGCCGCGGCCTTCTGCTCCACACTTGCTTCGGATTAGCCTTGCTTCGCCTTATTTAAACGCAGATTTTGGTGTTCTTATAGGAATTTTTTACGGTTGAATGAATTTGCCAGAAATAAATGTCTAGATCTTTTAGTTTTATGCATAAAATCTCTGAAATGTTGGAAGGAAATTGCGGAGAAGCTGTTTTTGGAAAAACGCGCGTGGAATGTGGTGCCCGGTACGCAGTGCGCAGTGTTTACGGAAATGAAGCGAAAACGTTTTTCTTTTCGCGATTCTTCTCCCATTTCAACGCTTTTCAAGCTCGCTTTTTCGAATGTCCTGACCGAATTTCAGACTTCTAATCACCAATTTTTTGTCCTGCAATACTTTTGTATCATTCTTATCAGTAGGCACTCTAATTTCTCTTCCAAAAGATGACCGAGAGAGATTGTGGACAGGGTCATTCAAAAAACACGGAAACCGCATGTGACAATCACGTGGAGTTCTGTAAATTCATTCAAATTTCGTAAAGCGCGAAGAAATTGAAAAAATATAGGGGTTCTCAGAAAAAAAACCGTGCAGTTTTTCAGATTTGTATTTTTCTTCTGTTGTTTTGATGCGATTGCGAAGGACTTCACGGCGCATTTTTCTAGCCCTCAAACGTCTTAAAATGTACTGTAATATTTGAGAGGTTAGAATCTTCGTTTAGTTGTCTGCTGAAAAGCCGCTTGTTCTTTTTCTACAACATTCTGGACACAACCCCTACAATTTTCAAAATATTTGTCCGGAACACGCGAAAATTCGCCATTTCATTAAAAAATTTTCCGGCGGTAAACCCGTAGAAAGGGGTTTTCCTTTTCTACAAACATCACTGATGCGTTTTCAATTCTTCGTCTGACGATCTCTGACTGACCTCACCAATCAGACCATCCTTCTTCTATTATCAATTGTTATCAGTTGGCAATTTTACAAAAAAGGATCCTGAAAGTGTCGTTAAACTGTGTTATTCGCTCTTAGAGATCAGCAATCAGCAATCAGATCGGTCCGACTTCCGTATCAAGTATCAGCCGAACTGGGAATCCCCGCGCCGTCCATCTCCCGTCTCTTTTCGCGCCTCCGTCTCGTCTCCTTTTGATCTCTCGTCTTCCCGCCGCCACGGACCGCCCTTCTTATCATCTTCATTCCATCCACAACCCTCCCGTTCACATGAATTTCCGCTGCACCGGTCACATATTGTTTCGCATTGTATTTTTCACATTTTGCAAGTTCCCACCTCTTATAGTCCTTTTATAAACCTGCAAATTGTCAAAACAATGTTCCCATTCTCTTTTTTTCTGCAGGACACGAAGGGTACAAAGGAAAAAAGAGAAGAATGGCTTCATCAGTGGCAACCAAGTTTTTGACCGATCGTGTCGCGCTCGTCACTGCTTCTACCAAGGTAGGAAATGAAATTTTCGAATTAGAACTTCCTGTTCTACACGTGTGACCATCACGTTCTTCTCAAATAAAAAAACAAGGCCAAGAACCAGTATTCTTACAGGGAATCGGGTTCGCCATCGCCAAGCAGCTTGGTGCCGCCGGCGCGTCTGTCGTCGTTTGCAGTCGAAAGGAGAAGAATGTGGACGAGGCGGTCGCGGCGCTCCGGCTCGAGAACATTGACGCGCACGGCACCACCGCCCACGTCGGCAACAAGGAAGATCGCACCAAACTCATCAACTTCACACTCGACCGATTCGCCAAACTCGACATTCTCGTGTCGAACGCGGCGGTGAACCCGCACCACGGCGACCTGCTTTCAGTGTCCGATTCTCAGTGGGACAAGTTGCTCGATGTGAACGTTAAGTCGGCGTTCGAGCTGACAAAAGAGGCAGTGCCGCATCTGGAGGCGTCCGGCCGCGGCAACGTGGTGTTCGTCTCGTCGGTGGCCGGCTACTCGCCGATGAACGACATCGGCGCCTATTCGGTGATGAAGACGACGTTGACCGGACTCAGCAAGTCGCTCGCCCTCAACCTCGCCAGGCGGAACATCCGCGTCAACACCATCGCTCCAGGTATGTTTGGGGTAATGAAAAGAAAGATGATCAGTCAAGGTCTTGTGATTCAATTGCACCCGATGACCCCACGCTTCCCTTTTTGTGACAGCTGTTCTCCGGCCACGCTTCTCGAAAGAGACGTGCGAAAATAAAATGTATTTGATGAAAAAAGCGAAAGATAACAACTCTTGATCTCTGGAAAAATTGATAGTGCGAAATTAGCAACGAATGCCGTTTTCCAACACTTCTCGGCCCCTTTGAGTACATTTCGTACTGGAAAGGTATGGAAGACAGCGTTTTTTTGGCTAATTTTGCACTCGAGCAGCCATACTTTTCCCTTTCGCAACCCAAATGATGGTTTGACCTGCTCGTCGCGTGCAAAAGCCCACTGTTTGCCCGCGTGCTCTCAATTGAGCAGCCGATCACCAGTAGCACGAGGATCTTTTTAGAGACACACACACACGTTGTGTTTTGTGTACTAAAGAAGCGGCCAAACGCCGAGTTTTCACGTGATTCGGATCTCGGCAAGTGCGGGGTGTACCCGAGGGGGGACTAGACTGTTTATCTGTTTCTGGGGGAAGAAAACGTAAATCATGTGACATTTTGAATTTAAAAAAAAACGATTTAGGCATCATCCGCACCGACTTCTCGCAGGCGCTCTTCTCCGATGAAGCCGAGAAGGAGAAGTGGTTGTCGCAGATCGCTCAGCGCCGATTCGGAGATCCGGACGAGTGCGCGGGAGCCGTCGCGTTCCTCGTTTCCGACGAGGCGAGCTACATTTCTGGCGAGACGATCGGAATCAACGGAGGAATGCAGGCGCGCATCTAGACGGAATCTCAGTAAATTATAATTTGTCTCCTCTTTGTTTCTTGTGCTTTGTCGCCCCCTGTGCCAAAACCTGTTATTCATGAGCATTTTAATCTTCTTCTGTTTTCCACCTCCTCCCGAATCGAAATGACTGGTATTCTGTCATCCTCTTTTCTTGACATACACACGTATTATTCACGTCTCTTCTTCCCCACCCCACTCCTCTCATATTTACCCACTTTTCTTCTGTTCGATCTTCTGAATAAAATGAATATCCAGAAGATAAACAGAGACGGCCCCCAATCAATATGCTTTATCAGTTGAATTGAAGCGGAACGCGCAAATTGAGTACAGATTCTTGCTGCAGTCCGTGTTCACCCATGAGTTGTCGTTTAGCACCAGGGCCACGCAGTCGCAGCCGTCCGCATCGCGTGGATAACCTAAAAATTCAATTCAATACTTCATCTCTTTTTTTTTCAAGACTTGCCTGGCCGCCAATTGGAATGCGAGTCGACGTCGAATTGGTCGCCGTTCACGAAAATCCAATTGGAAGAGTTGGTCGGATCGCGTTTCAGTCCGAACCAGAACATTCCCTCGTTTCCCACGTTTGTGATTATTGCTGAAAGTTCGACCTCGACAATATCAAACGGGTCTCGCCATGAAAATCCACTCACTTCTCACCATATCCTCTTCCGATTGCGTCTGAATCGACGTCAGTTTCGGAGTGTGCAAAAACAGCGGATGATCACTCAGACACACGTTTTCGGCCTCCGAAAACTGTTTTTTCTCTGTCGAAACCTAGAAATCGTTCAAAATCCCCCGCAAACAGTTTGCGATTTGCTACCCGATAACACTTTGCATTGAGCAGCGAGGCAAAGTAGGTGAAATTGGTGTTCTCCTTGTAGCAACTGGAAAAGATTGAAACGTGAGCGCTGTTCTCGTCAGAACCGCCTTACGGATCACTCCATTCGACAGTCGGGTTCTCGGTTGGCGGCGGTTCCGGAGTGGGCAGCACGTACTGACACAGCACTTTCTTTCTGTTCGAACACGTGCCGTCCGAGTACCAGAAGCCGTCGGTTGAGTTGATGTACGCGCAGTCGGTCACTGTGGCCGCGTCGATTGACGGCTCTGAACGGAACGGACATTTTGCGATTCTATTCGGCTTCTGTGGCTCGGTGTGTCAAGGTGATAGTTTTCTTTGGCTGGCACTTTGTCACGCTTTTTCGGAACCAAGTGTGGTAGGATCAGGCAGATCACTGATAATTTCGGGCCGAGATCCGCCAGAACCAACCTGCATAGTTATGAAATTGATAATCCGTCTTTGCAGCAGACGTTCCGAATATAATCGAATCAATTTTCGGCACCAGTCCCAGAATGTCATCGACTGTCTTCACTCTCACACCATTCTTGCCCGAAGGAATCGAAAGTGCGGAGATGTCGACGGACGAGTCGCCGACGTTCACAGTGATCACACTCGAATCGGCCATCTGATAGAGCGCACTTGTGGACTTGATATTGTCGGAATCTCTGGAACCATAAGGATTTAGGATTCAAATAAAACACATGAATTTACGTGGAAGAACTGAAATATATCATTGAGAGATACTGCGACTTGAACGGCCGAATCGACGACGAGTAGCGGTTGTAGTAGAGAGTCTGGTCACGGAACATTCTGCAATAACGGGGACTTTTATCCTGAGAGTCCATAGACTTACATCTTAAAATCCAATGGATTCGTCCTCGCACAGTCATGAATGATCGTTTCGTTCAAGTCGGAAATCATCTGATCGGTCGCCTCAAAAGTGTTCACAAAAGTCGGATAGACGGAGGTGAACGGAGAGACTTGAGTGCATCCGTAGGCGAAGAACGCAAACTCGGCGGGTCCGCGATCGGCGATGTAGCGGGACAGGGAGCGGACGAGATTCACTTGCTGCAAACGTAAACTTGAATGTTGAAACTTTGAGAATCATAGATTCAATCTAAATGTTAGTGACTACATTAAACGGAACTAGAAAATGAGCCAGGTTAGAGATAAATGTAAGGTTTCTATGGGAAATTACAGCTTCACAATTTCGCAGTCTCCCGTAGACTTTGCCGGCCTGTTAGACGTGCTGTGTGATAAACCGATTGGAGCCCAGGAATATCCCCGGACTGGAGAAAATAGCGGATCGGTAACCTTCTTCAATTTTCAGACAGACTTCAGAAGTCAAACCTTACCGCAAAAGTGAGTGCATTCGTTGAGAAGAGGGAAGCGTCGACCGCCACGACGACAGCTGTCGATCTTCGCTGTTCGGCGGGCGGAAGTGTCGTCCGAACCGCAACTGTCGTGACCGGAGCCATCGTGACCGGAGCACTTTCTGAAAGCTTTTTTCTGGCACTTACTTATTACTAATCCGCATCATTTTCTCAGCGTATTCTCAGAATGTTGAAAACAACAAAGCGTGCTTGTGAAAGAGGAAGTATGAAACATAAAACGAAGAAGACACCATGCTAAACTTTTGATAACTCCTCTCAGCGAAATCGTATGTACTGCGATTAGATTGCAAATTCTTCTAGCTAGATTAAGAACGATTTTTTTGAAAAGTCACTCACCCCATTTACTATAAGTCGACGGGTCGCTGTTAGCCCAAACCCATCCGGAATCGTACTTCCAAAGACCAATGAACGCGAGCTCGATGTTGTTCGTCAAAAGTGCGTCTGAAGTTGAGAAGCACGGCTTTGTGAATTAAAAACGACAATCTCACCTGTGAGAAACTGATTTTCGGACAGATTATCGATAGAAATCGGTTCGTAAGTGACGCCCTTGCCCACCGTTTTACACGACGACGCTAGTCCACCAGAGAAGGTTGCAGTGGTCGCGGCGAGACATTTTCCGTTGATCTGAAATGAGACTATACAGCCGGTCGGGTCGGATTCACTCACAAACTCCAAATTGGTCGCCGTTGTGTACTGCTTGCAATCATCAGAAGACGTGGGTTTGGGGACGATGAATAATAGGACGAGAAGGAGAACGAATGTGCGGTGTTTCCGATTCATTCAGTCGAAAGTGCCCTTCTTTTATCTTCCGCTTGCTTAAGAAATTTCACGAACCGATAAGAAAAAGAAGAGGACACACTGGAGACCACTCCGTTTTCTCTGCGCCACGGCCTCCAGAGCTGACAATATGGGCGTGGCCTCGGCCAAATGGCGTTTTCATGAATTGAGCAGGTTTTCTCTGATTTTTGTGGTCAAAGGCGATGAAAAATGATTGTTCGACATGAAAACACACTAATTCTCAGAATTAATGACGTTTTGACGCATTTTTCGCGGATTTCGCTTTTTTGCTTTTTCGCCTTCGCCGCCGATCGCCGCCTAAAAACCGCACTTCTCATTTTGCGCTTTCTTGACCGTTTTCCGACAGAATTGGTTTTGAGAATGATAAATCACGTAAATACAAGCATTTTGAGCGCTCGAACCGCGAAAACTACCGAAAAGCAACTAAAATTCACGCAGTTTTGGCCAAAAACCTTCAAGCGGATAAATGTGATTTGCGACTTGATCAAATTTGACGCTCTTTCGCTCGTAATAGCCTATACAATCGGTCTATCGAGAGACAAATGACAAATTATCGGGTTTTCGTGGCTTATCCGGCAAAAAACACCAATCTTGCTGTTAAAATTTGAATTTCGCGAAAATGTAGCGCTCTATTTGGCGGGGCGCACTTGCGCTCATTGTCAGCTCTGGAGACCGTGTGCGATCAAAAAATGTGCGATTATAGGGAATTATCACACGATCAGCCGCACTGAAGCGCTCAACGGCTCAAGTTACACTTTCAGGGGTTTCCGTCGGAGGTACAATTTCTTTAAATTTTTGTACATTTGTACATCAGAGAATTACCTTAGAAGAACATGATTTCCAGAAAAAGTTGACAGCCATTCGCGATTTTTGACAGCTTTTCCGGAATTCCGGAGTTCCTAGAAGCTTTAGCAGTAGAGCGCGTTTGCCTCACTCTCGTTGTTTATAAATTATAATAAACAGTTTATTTCCTTGAACTCTGACGAAATCTTCGCCGATTTCTGATCGCAAATTGCGAAAATTGCGCCACAATCACGGAACAATCAGTTATCAATTTGCGGCTTCTGTGTCGGTTGTTTGAAATGTACGATCGTAAAACATTTTATGGTTTTTCTGCTTCTCGCCGACCGCATTCGCTTCGTAATTGAGCCATGGTTTCCGGGTGTGGTGGGGTGATTAGAAAACTTTTTTATAGTTTGAAATGTTTATTCATTTTCAGGATTCGGTCGAGAAGTTTGAGCCAACGTCTTCCCAAAAGTGTCCAAATATTCGTGACCGATAACACACTTCCTTCATTCAAAGAAATTGGGAAGGCAGACAACAACCCCCCTCGACGACTACGACGTTCTCTCCGTGACCGACGTCGTGATTCTGACGACTCTTTTCGATTTGCGCCCTTGCAGCCAGTTGAGAATAGTGTTCTTGTAATTCGGAATGAAGCAGATGACAGCGAGCGGGTCGACGAACGGAAACGCGGCGAGGGCGATGATGCACACGTAGTTGTTTCACCAGGCCAAATTGACGTGGAATATCGGTGCGTACCAGGCGATGACTGTCGGAACGAAGCTGGCAAAGATGGGGATGCACGTCTGGACGACGAGCGCTTTGAAGAGTTGACGATGGAGGGTAAGGCTCATGCGACTCAGGTTGCATCTTTGACTGATTTTGGTTAGAATCTGAATATTTGTCTTGGTAGGTATCCGGTTGCTGATGTCCACCTTATATCCCAACACAAAATACACAATCATACAGTAGGTTGAGAAGATTGTCAGCGAGCCGATCCCGATCCAACTCTTGTACACAACATAATCGCTGGCGTTCTGAACATTGATTGACCTTATCATTTTTGAAGGAAAACAACTGTTTTCTTTTCAGTTCCCACCATATATTGTGCGGTGAGCATCGCAAGTGTGTCCGAATCCACGTGATAGACGTCGTTGATCGCCGGCCGCACAAGTCGCCGGATCTCATCGTTGGCGGCCAGACAGTGCTCGCAAATCCACGTCCACGAGACGCCGTGGAACAGAAAGTAGGCGGTGATGAGCGCGACGCCAAGCGGCTCGAAGAACTTGCGCACGTAGGTCGGACTGAAATCGAACATTTTAAATTAAGGCGCTCACGGCGACTAAAAACGTTGAAAGGGGCGTGGCCTAGCGTGCACGGTTTATCACCATTTTGGCGCGAATTTCGAAATTTAACCCCATTTTTCATGTTCTTCGTCAAAAATTACCCGAATTTTGTACGATGTAATTGCATAGCTTTGTTAAACTAATCATCGCGCACTTTTTTAGTTTAAAACGAGCAGGTTTCATTCAGAAATGAATAAATTGAATCGATTTTCAAGCTTTGTGCTGAAAATGCGCGAATTTCAGTTATTCGCCGATACTTTTTGCCGTTTGAACGCTTAAAATACTTGTATTAACGTGCTTAATAACTTCCGACACTCACTTCGTCTCAAAACTATCCAGATCGGCCGGTATGAAAATTCCGAAATTGCGGCGGCGATTGGCCGCGGAGGGCGTATTGCGAAATATGCCAAAAATGTCTCAAACGCGGCGTTTTCACGAAAATTTCGATGTTTTCTCTCTTTAATGTCTCTTCTTTCGTCGATATCAAACGCAAAAATATCGGAAAAGTGTGCTGGAATTGCGGCAATTTTCAGAAAACGCGTCTCAGATTAGGCCACGCCCCTTTCTACACTTTTGGTCGCCGTGAGGCTAGGAAAAACTTTGGGTACTTGATAAGTGTCCGCAATCTGAACTCACTTGAATAAAAGTAAATACCGATACACAAAATGAATGATTAGAATTGCGTAGCTCAAAGAAATGAAGCAGCATCTCGAGGCGACTCCGTGTTGCCCGCCAACCACGTCATCGAAGAACGGACCGTCCACAATGAACGCGACAAAACCGTAGCCAGTGTCGAGCACCGCCTAAACATCGACCCGTTCGTTCACCGCCTCCAATCCAACTCACCATTGGTGTTAACATTTCGGCGCACGAGTAAGCAATGTCGAAAATGGCGAAGAAAATGAGAAGATATCGGTACTTTCCCATTTGAGAATTCGACTTTGTGAGCACCAAATAAATGAAGAACGGGTTGATGAGATAGCTGAACACTCCGAAGATCTTGGGCACTGTGTGATGGTACCAGTTGACATAGATCATGCTTTCAGGGTGTTAGTCGAAATGCGATTCCGTTTTATAGGAGACGTCGTCTGAATCATACAGACACCCTCACGTGTAATGTAGTCTTTGTTGTGAGTCAGAAGTACAAATTTTCAGAGTCTCCTTAGAGAAGTAATAATTGTCGTCGATTGCTGTCTAAAGCATCGAGGCTGTGTGCCTAAAAGATGAGGTTCCAAGTGTGGACGGTCGCCAAGGCACAGCACCCATCAGACGGTTCCGGTAGTTGTGCAGCAAGACTATGATGGCCAGCGGGTCGAGGAACGGGAACGCGGACAGCGCAATCACTCCCAAATAGTTGTTCCACATTCCAAGATTCAGGGATAGGAGGGGTCCGTACCAGGCGACCATGCACGGCGAGAAACTGATGCAAATGGGGATGAACGTCTGGACGGCGAGCGCTTTGAACAACTGTTTGTGCATGTTGCGGGTGATATTCGAGAGAGCCGGGTTGTTTTGAAGCTTCCGCACTATCTGAATGACCGCTTAGCGGACATTGAATGAACAGAGAACCTCGCACCTTGAACCCCAGCGCCACGTACACCGACACGGCGTACGTTGAGATTCCTGTGAGAATGAGAATTCCTGCCCAACTTCTCTTCCTCAACTCGTCACTTCCTTCCTGAACCTTGTTTCCAATTACACGGACGGGGCTGCGAACCAACCACTGGACATACCAAATAAGTTGCTCCCAAGATCGCGATCTCATCCGAATCGACACCGTACTCGTCGTCGAACGCCTTCCGAACGTACTCGCTCATTTCTCGGTCTCCGTACAGGAACAGCTCGCAGACTGCGGTCCAAACAACTCCGTGCGCGAAAAAGAAGAGGAGAATGCCGGCAATTCCTCTCGGCTGCAAAACTTTGTAAACAAAGTGAGGGCTGGAAAGGAAGTGGCCAGTTTTATGGTTGGTCACGTACAAACTCACTGAAACAGAGCAATGTATCTGTAGACAAAATGAACGACGAGAATGCCGTAGGAGAGCGAAATGCAGCCGCAACGAATGGAGATTGCCAGTTGCCCGAGGCGCAGTCTCTGAGGGGTATTCGCATGAATTTTTAATAGTTTAGAGGACCAGGGAACGCTCCGAGTTTATGTGTCCGACTGAATTGCTTCTTATTGCCACATTCACTGTCCGAGCCCCAACTTTCAGAAATCAGCTGTGAATGGAACAGCGCTTAGTCAAAGCTGTGGCCGTGGCCGAGAAAAGTTCTAGGCCTTGTGATCTTTTTCGGATTTTTTTTTGCGTTCGGCACAATCTTCATACGTTGCAAAACATTCACACAAATCAGCAGCCCATACATAGATAGTGCAAGAGCATCAAACTGCTCACAGGGAAGAGTTTTCACACCGGAGTTTTCTAGGCCACGGCCACAACTTCAACTGCACGCCGTTTCGTTCATTGGCATTTCTGAGAGTCAGCATTTCACCAGTGTACGAGGCAATAAGAGACAATTCAAACAGACACAAAAAAATCAGAAAATTTGAGGGTTCCCTGGGTCTTTAAAGTTCTTTTTTTTTCAAAAAAAAAAATCCGGAAAAGATCACAAGGCCTAGAACTTTTCTCGGCCACGGCCTGTTCAAAAAGCGGGAATCCAAATTTTGAACTATTGATTAAATAAAATGTTTGTTTTTCGTAAAACTAACGAATTTTGCAAGTATCGAGCATAAAAAAGAAATGTAGTTCTCAAAAATAGTTTTTATTGGCATCAAAGCAAAAGTTTTAATTTTGATCCCCGCAAAAAAAAAACGAAAAAATAGATTTTCCCCAAAAATTTGAATTCGCGCCTTTTGAGCCGGGCCGACCGGGCCGGGTCGGCACTTCTCCGGCCCGGCCCGTAATTTAGCAAGTCTGCTTTAAAGTTATTTTTTCTTCAAAAAAAAAAAATCCGGAAGAGAGGGCCTAGAACTTTTCTCACACACACACACACACAAGGCCTAGAACTTTTCTCGGCCACGGCCACAGCTTTGACTAAGCGCTGTTCCATTCACAGCTGATTTCTGAAAGTTGGGGCTCGGACAGTGAATGTGGCAATAAGAAGCAATTCAGTCGGACACATAAACTCCGAGCGTTCCCTGGTCCTTTAAAGGCAACCTGGAAAAAGTAAAAACACACATCTTCCCCGTAGAACGGGCCGTCGGTTAGATAGACGATGAACGCTGCTCCGGTCCCGTGAATACCCTCAAACACAAAACAGTCTACAGCTCTCCGACACCCTCGTTTTACCACCGGAACCAACAATTCGACAGTCGAATAGGTCATATCGAAAATGGCGAAAAACAGGAAAAGAAATCGATAGTTTCCAATGGCGGACGTCTTTTTTTCGGTGACAATTAAATAGACGAAAATGGGATTGGCGACGAAGGAGAGGAGACAGAAGGCCTTTGGCAGATAGTAATGGCTCCAGTGGATGTACATTTGGAAGGACTGAATGAGCCGAGAGAGAGACAGAGGAAATTCATTTTGGCGAAAGAAGAGCTAATATCCGCTAAAAAAAAATAAAAATAGCTCGTCAAGTAATGACAATGATTGATAAAGGAGCTGAGACTGTTCGAAGATCTCTTCCGAAACGCTTGAAAAATCGAACAATGAACATTTTAAACGGCGGAAAGAATATCATGAGACAAATGACACTGATCGACGAATGAGTGGTTATCCAGGCAATGCACAGATCTCCGATCACTGAAATAATCGGTTTTTTTTGTTGTTGACGGAAATGAGAAGCGATTTGTTTACGCTGCACGCTTGGAAAGTCCAGAAATATGATGATTATGAAAGAAGCGGGTGGTAGAATGCATAGGAGAGATGTTGCGGTCTGTACGAGAAGACTTCTGATCGCGTGCTGATGCTTATGATATTTGGCCAAGGATATTTTTGTTTTAAGAAGGCGCATCATGTTGAACATATCAAAAGTCATAACTATTATTGAAGCGATGACGAGAAGCCCTGTACAAAAAACCAGTGCGGCCGTAAATATGAATACCGTAGATTTTCGATAGAGTACAAAGTTGGGCAGTTGTTGAAAACTCGAATAATACTCTTGATAACTCTGAATCGATGATATTTGAGAGAGAGAATGATAATCATGCCAGAACTTGTGAGATATACGTCCACTGATCCTCGTCACTCAGACTAACATACTTGAAGACGCCGCCAACAGCAAACGGGATGATGAGAACAAGGAAATATAGGAAGGGCTTGACTCCGATTGGGAATATATGAATGTTCGCGGCGACTGCGATCGCTTGATGTTTGAATACAAAGCACATGACGAGAGCCTCAGTCTGCATAATCAAATTCTCCATTAGCAAGCCCTCAAATGTTCCGTTCCAACTGCAATTTCCGTTCGACGACCTACCACACCAAACTGAGCAGAAATGCCAAAATGGGTCATCAAGAGGCCAGCAGTGTAACCGCCAGGAATCGGGAACAGTACCACAGGCTGAATCAACGCCGTATTGATGTCTGTCCAAGTGCAAAGAATCTGAATGGGCGAATGTCAAAGGAGAATGAGCGTTTCGGTGCCGAACTTGAAAAACAAGCAGATAGTAGCGGAACTTTCCGAGTTTAGAGCACTGGAAAATGAGTAAGTATGCTGCAAACAAGCTTAGAATAAGAGATATCAATCCGATAGAGTAACAGTGAGTAATGAGCCATTCGGGAGTGGAGAAATTGACGCGTTGCATTCGCGTCGAATGCCTCCGTTTTCCTCTAGACGTCTTTTGATGAAGCAGGTGATTTAGTGTGACCTCGTTGCTCGCTGGCAAGTATTTCACAACTCGCAAACGTTTTCCCGCCATTTAAAACGGTTTTATTACTTTCAGGCATCCGATTCCGAGTTACGAGTCGTTTAAGAAGATTCCAGAATTTATCTGAAACTCCAAATCCTCTTCCTGCTGCTGCTGCTGCATGTTCCGATGATTCTCTTTTTTTTTTTGGCTCTATAGTAAATACCTGGGTTTAATTCTCCGAACTGACAAATTGGTTGAATGGTTTCTAGCACGTGAAATAGAGTTCACACACTTTGGGGGCGTATATCACGAGAGCTAACGATCTGTGCAAAAAGTTGTCAACTGTGAAAATGTTGTAAATTGTGTGCTGAAAAACTTTGCAATTGATCGTTTTCCTTGAAAACTTTTAATGTTAGAGTTATAGGCGTCGTTTTGTACGGTGGTCTATTGGCGCTGAACTATGAGAGACCGCAGACATCAGTTACAATGCAAGAGACGCAGACGTGTCGAGAGCGACCAGAAGAGCATTTCGCCATTGAGAAGGGCGGTATAAAAGGGTCAGAGGAAAAGGGAATATAATACCATTCAACGATCTTTTCAACTATGACTGCTTCTGTTGTCGTCGCTAAAAGCTTCGAGGCTACGGATCCAGTGGTTGCCTACACGTCTTCGGTAAGTCCCCCCTTATTCCAGGTTTCTTCTAAACGATTTCTGCTTTCAGCTGACCACAAAGCAACATCCACTGCAATTGGAACTCCAAAACGAGACGCTCGCGAACGCTCCACACGCTGGAATGCACGGAGCTCCCGAAGTGCTCACTTTTGGCCAGAACTTCATCTGGAACTTTGGCGCGAAACGAGTCCTCGACATTGGAACGTTCACCGGCGCGTCGGCTCTGGCGTGGGCGCTCGCGACGCCGCAAGACGGGGAAGTGCTCACTTTCGACATTGATCACACCAATTACCGTACTTTTGGCGTTCCGATTCTGAAGAAATGCGCGACGACGTTCAAGAAGATTCACGCAGTCGAGGGCGCTGCGGTGGAGAGTCTCGACAAACTGATCGCCGACGGTCAAGCGGGAACCTTTGACTTTGCGTTCATCGACGCCGACAAGCCAAACTACGGCAACTACTACGACAAGTGTCTCGTTTTGCTCCGCAAAGGAGCCGTCATTTTCGTCGACAATGTGAGAATGTTCAGGAATAATCGTTGAGAATTCAGTTTATTCAGAGCCTGTGGAACGGAGCGGTTTGCGATAAATCGAAGAGAGGGGAGCCGAATTGTGGTGCGATTCATGCGGCCAACGAGAAGATCTTCAACGACAACCGTACCTTTTCGGCACTTTTGAATCTCGGCGACGGAACTCATGTTGCCTTCAAAAAGTGATTCTAAAACGTTTCTATGGTTTTGCCTGAATACAGTTGATAAACTCGAGTGTACATGATCTTCTACTTCAAATTCTATGATCTTCAATTAATCCCCCAGACCATTTCACTTCCTTCTGTCTTCTTCTTCTTCTTCTTCTTCTTCTTCTTCTTCTTCTTCTCTTCTGATTTCTCGCCCATCCGACCACATCTTCCCCCGTAGAAATAGTGTATCGTCGCGAGAGAAGAGCGTAAAAACGATCGAGATCAGTCGTCGTTGTACTTATCACTCGCCGCGTACTTTCCATTTCTTTTCAGTCCTATATAATGCGAGATTCCTTGATATTCGATCGGCTGTCAGTATGCGCCTCTGCATATTGTTCCTTGTTTTCGCAGTTGGCTTCCAGATAGCCTCGTGAGTGTAAAGCGTCATTGGTTGTTACAATCTCCAGTACAACTTCTTTCCAGTGCCCAATGGAATCGTTTCAATGATTACGGACCACCGCCGCCGCCGCCGCCACCTCCGCCGCCTCCAAGATGGCCACCTCCGCCACCTCCGCCGAGATGGCCGCCTCCACCACCTCCTCCGTACGGCTTCCCTCCACCGCCACCTCCTCCTCCGCCGCCACCTCCTCCGCCGCCGCCGCCACCGCAAACTACAATCATCAGAACAACTATCATCCGAAACGGACCTTTCACTGCTTGAAATACTTTCTGATAAACGGGTCGAAATTCAACAATAAATGTCAGAAATCGTCCAAGTGAGCGCGAATGATTTCAATGGGGCGCACTTGCAACAGGCGGGCTGTGTCGATTTACGCGATTAATTAATTTTCAACGATTAATTAATTTTCAACGGGAGGCCGCGTTTTTTCCCCATGTTTTCTGTACAATACACCTTTTTTTTGCACGCCCGGAACCTGTCGTCGAATAATTAGAGCACTAGCTACGTTTTGGTAACAGAAATCTCGCATATCGTTGCGAATTAGCCGAGTTATTTCGATTTGAAGGTTTTGGCCTGGATTTTGATGTTTTCGGAATAGTTTTCGAAAACTGCTCAAGAAAACTAACCGCCGGAATCGGAATTTTGTGAAGAAAAATTCAGCGAACATTTTTATCGTTCGTTCGGCTCATGAAATGCAAAATGAGCTGAATTATAAAGGTTTGAAGTTTTGACGAAATGCGAAAAAGACGCTAAAAACATGAAAAACGCGAAATTCTGTAAAGAACGGTTTTCAATCAGTAAAATATTGTTTTCTAGACGTTTTTTAAGTCAAAAAGATAGAAATAAAGGTCGTAAACTCGAATTGAACTGCATTTTTAGGCCAAGTTACAACGACACTCCGCAATTTACGCGAGCACTGTGTTTAGCACAAGCGCCCTGGGAGACCGTGAGCGGGGAAGAGTTTTCACAGTTTTCACCGAATTTCCTAGGCTACAGCTGACGTTCTGATTTGTGTCCAATCGTCTATCTTTTTACTGAATAGTCAGTTCCGACCAAAATATCACGTCGACCGTTTCTCTCGACAGTACTAAGAGAAGAGATAGATCGCTGATTGTAATGAGAAAAGAAGAAGGTCGTGGTGCTGATGTATACAAAAAATTGGTATAAAAGTTGGAATAATGGTTTGGCGGCGTCATCGGCATCATGAACATCTTCTTGATTCTACTCCTTCTCGTTTCCACCGTGCTGACTGCCACGTAAGTGTCTCTTCTCAAACCGTTTCTCATTTCGACATTTGTGCATTTCAGCGGTCAAATCTTCGGAGGACCGCCACCACCACCGGGTCCGCCACCTCCGCCACCAGGACCACCGCCTCCGCCACCGCCACCGCCTCCGCCAGGACCAGATTTCGATGAATATCCGTGAACCATTGTGAACAATAAATGTGTGTTTTCATCTGGGTTTCGATAGCGCGACGTAATGTACCCGTGGTGAGACTGAATAACAAGACCAGGTACTACTGCTATTCAAAGTACCGGGCACATAGAAAAAATGCAGTTGTGCACGGAAATCACTAGAAATCAGAATTCATCGGAAGCGATGACGTGAACTGGTAACCTAGTTGTGTTTTGTTGTGATTTCTCTTGCTAGTGAGCCTAACTTTTCCAATTTTTTTTTATATATTTCTACTCAAGTGTCTTTAGATTTCTGCCACCGCCTCCACGCGTTCTGCTCGAAAAGCTTCTCAGCAATCCTATTGTCACCCCCCACCGGCAGGCACAAAATGAATAACTTCTACAACTTTATGCTAGACACTCATAAGGCTCAAAAAACAAAGTCGTTACCGTGTGCTGTGTGTCTCTGAATCTATTCGGAGCCTACACACCAATCTGATTATAGAACGCTTTATTTTCGGATTCAATATGTCATCTAGATCCGTTTACTATGTACTACTTTTTTCATTCGGCCGTCTAAGTGCGTTTTTCCGTTCGTAAGTACATCTCATTTCAAAGTTTGATTCATCAAAAACACGATCGGCTAACTGTTGTTTTGAAGGGAAGTCGCGTTAAATAAATAATACTCCTTCCTTTTCTCGTAGTGTTCACTTTTTTGTTTATTTTTCTGTTTGCCCGACGGTTCTGAAAATCAAACAAGCCGCTTTCGAGCGTTAGCTCCCATCGGGCTCAGGTTTCATGAATTGAGCAGGTTTTCGCTGATTTTTGTGGTCAACGGCGATGAAAAATGCATGTTCGACATGAAAAAACACTAATTCTCAGAATTAATGACGTTTTGCCGCATTTTTCGCGGATTTCGCGGACTTTGCTTTTTCGCTTTTCCGCCGATCGCCGCCTAAAAACCGCACTTCTCATTTTGCGCTTTCTCGACCGTTTTCCGACAGAATTGGTTTTGAGAATGATAAATCACGTAAATGCAAGCATTTTGAGCGCTCGAACCGCGAAAACTACCGAAAAGCAACTGAAATTCAGGCAGTTTTAGCCAAAAACCTTCAAACGGATAAATGTGATTTGCGACTTGACCAAATTTAACGCTCTTGCGCTTAAAAAATTCGTAATAGCCTATACAATCGGTCTATCGAGAGACAAATGAGAAATTATCGGTTTTTCGTGGCTAATCTGGCAAAAAACACAACTTTTGCTGTTAAAATTTGAATTTCGCGGGGCGCACTTGCACCCATTGTAAGCTCTGGAGACCGTGATATATATACATAATTACCCTTTAAAACTTTATCATATTTTGTGCTAGCTTTGCAGAATCGTTGCTATGCCCAGCCCCCCCTCGGAATAAGTTTATTACGCCAAATCCGTAACAATGTCTCATATCAATTTACTCACAGCTTTTGACCGAATGATTCAGAATGACACACCCACGTGTGTCTGGCAATCACTCAAAACGTGCCCGTAGATGGAGGCTCTAATCTAATTGATACTGGTCCTACCTCTCCCTGCTGCTCTCACTTTTTTCCTTCCGTATTCGAAACGAAACGAGTCGCGGCCGTGCAATTAGGCGCATATTCACAGATTTGTTGAACTCTGTTGAACTCACGGATTGATCCCTCAATAATGTCCTCCTCGATTTCTTATTCGCATTCCAACGAGATCATCTTCTCCATGTCGGCCACTGCCAACTATGACAAGGTTTGTGATGTTTATAAGGGATGTACAACCTTCAACTCTACTTTCAGACTTTCATAGTATTGTACATTGTCGAAGGATTGCTCATCGTTCTAGCCAACCTGTTCCTGACCGTTCGCTTGTTCACTAATCGACATTTACGGTCGCAGAAAGAGTATGTGCCAGCTTTTTTTCCAGCTGACTGTTGTCGTCTTCAATTTCAGATTCATCATAATCGGAGCGTGTCTCTTCTTCGACGTAATCTTCGGAATGACCTACTTCAGTGCGGGTGTCTATCGTGCCATTCTCGTCATTGTTTACGATTGTACCACCCCTTGTAGCGTACTTGACGGCATTTCGTACTAATTCAGATTTCCCGCTCGTCTCAATGTGGGACTGTTTTCTGACAATTCACAATCAGCTCTTCATCCTCATCACGATAATGGCCGGAGTGGTGCTGCTTTTCACGGCCGTCGATCGCTTCATCTGCGTCTTTTTCCCGTTCCACTACATCAAACTGCACGTGGAGTACGCGTACGTGCTCATGTTCGCCCCCTACCTCATCATTATTCCGTTATGGATTCCCGGAGCGATCACGGCTCACGACAACAATTCGGTTAAAAATGTGAGAGTTTGGCGCGGACTTCTTCCGCTAGTTAGGCTCCATTTGAAGGGAAAGATCAGAGTCCTCGAAAATGTTTGGTGACATCTTCATCAGGCTTGGGCCAAAGAAACGAAAACGTTTCGGAGAATCGGATATTCATCGTTCTCCGAAATGTTTTTCCAGAGAATCGGCTATCCGATTTTGACGAATTAATGGTGATGTCCAACGTGACATACAACATATTTTTAAAATAAGCTTCGAAGCGGAGCTTTCACTTTCCCAAAGTCCCGAATAACGAAAAAGAATTCCCCGATTTTAAAGATTTTTTTCAAAAAAGTTAATGGCACCGAGAGAAGCACACGGCGAAATGGAAGAACTGGCCTAGATTTTTCTAGTCCCCGGATAGAATTCCCCTTTCTTCCGATTTTTTTTCCGTTTTTGTGCAATTTTCTTAAATTTTCGATCGTTTTTTCACCGAACACACTTATTTGCAATGTTTAAAAAAATTTATGATTTTTTTCGGTGCCGTGACGCCAAAAAAAGTCGATAATATGAAACTTTCAAAAAATTTTTTTTTAAATATTGCAAATAAGTGTGTTCAGTGAAAAAACGATTGAAAATTTAAGAAAATTGCACGAAAACGGAAAAAAATCGGAAGAAAGGGGAATTCCATCCGGGGACTATAAAAATCTAGGGCAGCTCTTCCACTTCGCCGTGTACTTCTCTCGGTACCATTAACTTTTTTGAAAAAATCTTAAAAATCGGGGAATCTTTTTCGTAATTCGGGACTTTGGGAAAGTGAATGCCCCACTTCGAAGTTTATTTTAAAAATATGTTGTATGTCACGTTGGACACCACCTTTAAGATAGCCAAACATAAAAGCAACCAGTCTCACTTGCAGTTCACCATGAACTGTCTCATGAATCAAGCGATCACCGTATACTACTACGTCACCTACCGTACGATCCGAATCGCGTGTACGATCGCTTGCATCTTCATCTATATGCCAATTTTTGTGAAAATGTGTGTGGTAAGATTCTATTTTGATTTTTCCAAAGCCCTCTTAAGTGTACAGCGAACTCAGAGCATCTACAATCACACCAAAATTGCGCCGGGCTCCACGAAGAACGCAAAACGGTTGTTGAGCATGACGAAGACGGTCGCGCTGATAACTGGCAGTACAATTTGTCTGTTCACGGTGCCCGATGTGATCACCTACTTTTCTCCGTTCATCAGCTCGAACGTCTTGTATTTGATGAACTTGAACAAGGTTTGTTTGGTTTGGGACACAGACTCGAGCTGTCACTTCTCACAGGCTCATTGCATAAACTTTACTTGTCAGGGCATCATAAACCTGCTAATCTTCCTGTCCACCCAAAAGTGTTTGCGCGATTTGATGTTCCCTCGATCGGCGAGAAAGGTATGCACGTGTTCGCGTACGCCCCACCCAGGTCTACCAGTTTCAGACGTCAGCTATGCTTCCCTCACGATCCAGAACCAATCACACTCTAGTGATACAGTACTAATTGATATGCAATGTTGAAAATGAATGGAGCGCTTATTTGAAAGATTCCTAGAATATGAAGGCTTCTTACACCGTCACTCGAATGAATAATGCAACGATCGTCTGAAGATGATCTTCGGCTTGCTTTCGGTTTCTCACGTTCCATCCGCTAATTTCCCCCGAGCTCCGGCTATTTTCTGATCAAAGTCAGCCATTTTTGAGTGTCACGTAGCGATGCTCGTCGTCAAGCCGAGTCACTTTAGAGCGTTGAACTTGATTCGCCCCATTAGGCCAAAGTGCTTCTTAACCTGATTACCCTCGTGTGCTCTCTTTTCGCGCGCCCCCTCCCGTTTTCCCACTGATTCATTCAGAATGTCTTCTGCCGTGCCGATAGCCGATTGTTCCCAAATGGAGGCGTTTGCCACGTCACAAGTGCTCCGACTCTCGCTGTCGGTCAACCTCATCATTTCGATCGTCGCTATTCCGGTGCTCGGCAAGAGCATTCATTTCATCGCTAGCCGCGACGTGTTCCACATCAACACACGTCTTCAGATTCTCGTTCATCTCCTCGCCCTTCTCATTCATTCCGTCGGAAGAGTGGGCCTCCATTCGATGGATCTCTTCAACTACCAGCGCTATCATGACAGCGCCTGTGACATCATTCCGAACTTTTACAGGTACCGTATCCTCTTGAAAACGTCTCTGAGATGTCTTCAGATGCTTCGTCTTCCGCGGCTTCTACAACGCCGGTCTCGCCCTCTCCTCGATGTGCTCCACTGCTCTTGTGCTCGAACGAATCGCCGCGTTCCGTTACTCGCAATCCTACGAGCACTGTCAGGCTGGATTCGGAGTGCTTCTCGCGTTCCTTCAGTTCTTCCTGGCCGCCTGTTACCTCTTCAGCATGTACTTCCACGCCGCGTTCGTCCCTGGCAACTTCACTCTCTACTACTGTCAGACGATGGCTTCGTCCTCCGGATCCATCTGGATCGTGATCGGACGGCTCTATGCTGTGATGATCGCGCAAATCATCGCAAGAATCATATTCTACGTGTTGCTGCGGAAGAACAAAGTGAGTGAGACTTTGCGTTTCATATCAATAGTTTCTTCAGAACTTGCGCTCCAACGTCTCGCTGACTCTATCGAATCGGTTCAATCTGGACCAGAGCCTCCGGTCGCTTCGTGCTCTAAAACTGCTTGTCAACTGCAACTTCATCGTCTTCATCCTCCTTTCGATCTTCGCGACTACTCTGCATTTCAACTCAGACCAACTCACCAAACCGCATTATATGGCTCTTGTCGAAGGTGAGCGTTAAAGCAAAAGGAGAAAGTAGACGGCTCTTTTGAGCAGAAAACTGAAAATTAGTGAAGAATATAACATTTTGGAACTAGTCTAAAGCTGGCACCCCAATATTCAAAGCAACATATGTCAGCTGGCGGAAGAGATATCATATGGGGCTATTCAGCGTATGTTTGTTTTCCGTTTTTTTCGTTTTTTTACATCGCTGAATTGGATTTTTTGACGTAAAAAAACGAAAAAAAATGAAAACAATCATTTTTTTCACAGCCTGAATAACCCCAATAAAGTTGTCAACTATAAATTGTTTATGGGGCTATTCAGCGGATGAAAAAATGATTGTTTTCCGTTTTTTTTCCCCTATTCAGCGATGTCAAAAAATGAGAAAAAAAACGGAAAGAAAAGCATCGCTCGCAGCTTTTTTTTCCGGCGGGTCTCGCAGCGATTTCCCGGCTACTGTGAGAGACGTTTTATGAGTGGATTTACGAAAAGGGGGAATTTTTTTTCTAATTTTTCAGCGAAATTGCCACGTTTTCCCGCTATTTTCAACCGATTTTCAACGGAATTTCAGTTCTTATTTATCTGTTATGGTAAATGATGCGAAATTGCCACGTTTTCCCGCAATTTCAACCGATTTTCAACGGAATTTCAGTTCTTATTTATCTGTTATGGTAAATGATGCGAAATTGCCACGTTTACCGCTATTTCCGACCGATTTCGCTTGAATTCTTTTTTTTTTGTTGGATAGTTTCGAGTGCCTCGTCATATCGTTCAAAACATTGAGCTTTTCGGTGAAAATCGGTTCAAAATAGCGGGAAAACGTGGCAATTTCGCTGAAAAATTAGAAAATTTTTCGTAAATCCACTCATAAAACGTCTCTCACAGTAGCCGCATGCGTCGCGTCCAAGGGAAATCGCTGCGAGACCCGCCGGAAAAAAACGCTGCGAGCGATGCATTTCTTTCCGTTTTTTTTTCCATTTTTTGACATCGCTGAATAGGGGAAAAAAAACGGAAAACATTCATTTTTTCATCTCCTGAATAGCCCCATTAGAAAGAAATTGTGTACATTTTAGCAATTGCCAACTTTTTGATATCTTGACAGGCTGCAGAGATAAATAGTCTTGAAAGCCGTCTAATTTCAGCCGTCCACATCCTTCCATTGTACGGCATCGCTGTTTCAATTGCCGTCTACTCGAAACTGCAATCGGTAAGTTGGTCCCTAAAACTAGCAAATTCTTTCATTTGCTTCTTTTTTCAGCTCACCACAACACAAAGCCGAGCTCTGGTTAAGGCGATACACACAAAGAGCGACTCGTATTTCGATCAACTTCGGAAACAGATGGAATGAAATAATTCTCTTGTTGAATATGTGCTAGTTTTCAGTTAAAAACATCAAGAATGATGCTTCCCTCACGATCCAGAACCAATCACACTCTCGTAATACAGTACTAATTGATATGCAATGATGAAAATGAATGGAGCGTTTATTTGAAAGATTTCTAGAAAATGACGGCTTCTTACACGTCATGCGAATGAATAATGCAACAATTCTTGATCGGCACAGACAGAACTCATCGAGATCATAATAATCTGCACTCCCAACTTGCAAAAAATGGTTATTTCAGAGGAAATTTTTATCCCGGTGAAAACTATGATTACCAGCAGAGAAAACACGGCTTGTTTTGCGACAAGGACACCAATTAGTCACCTAGCTACCCTGTCAAAGTATCCTGCCAAATATTATTGTCGCTCAACACTTTTCGTCTTCTGAACTCGATTAATTGCCGACGTAACAAGTCACACGTTCCATCCGCTAATTTCCCCCGAGCCCCGGCTATTTTCTGATCAAAGTCAGCTGTTTGTGAGGGGGATGATGGTCCCCCCGGGACCAGGAACCACGTGCTCTGAAAACAGACGGTCGCGTAGCGATGCTCGTTTTGTCAAGCCGAGTCACTTTTGAGCGCGCAGAGCGTTGAGCGTTGAACTTGATTGGCCCCATTAGTCCAAATCGCTTTATAACCTGATTACCCTCGTGTGCTCTCTTTTCGCGCGCGCCCCCTCCGTTTTCCCACTGATTCATTCAGAATGTCTTCTGCCGTGCCGATAGCCGATTGTTCCCAAATGGAGGCGTTTGCCACGTCGCAAGTGCTCCGACTCTCGCTGTCGCTCAACCTCATCATTTCGATCGTCGCTATTCCGGTGCTCGGCAAGAGCATTCATTTCATCGCTAGCCGCGACGTGTTCCACATCAACACACGTCTTCAGATTCTCGTTCATCTCCTCGCCCTTCTCATTCATTCCGTCGGAAGAGTGGGCCTCCATTCGATGGATCTCTTCAACTACTTGCGCTATCATGACAGCGCCTGTGACATCATTCCGAACTTTTACAGGTACCGTATACTCTTGAAAACGTCTCTAAGATGTCTTCAGATGCTTCATCTTCCGCGGCTTCTACAACGCCGGTCTCGCCCTCTCCTCGATGTGCTCCACAGCTCTTGTGCTCGAACGAATCGCCGCGTTCCGTTACTCTCAATCCTACGAACACTGTCAGGCTGGATTCGGAGTGCTTCTCGCGTTCCTTCAGTTCTTCCTGGCCGCCTGTTACCTCTTCAGCATGTACTTCCACGCCGCGTTCGTCCCTGGCAACTTCACTCTCTACTACTGTCAGACCATCGCCTCATCCTTCGGATCCATCTGGTTCGTGATCGGACCGCTGTATGCTGTGATGCTCGCGCAAATCGTCTCGAGAATCATGTTCTACGTGTTGATGCGAAAGAGCAAAGTGAGTAAGCACCGCCAGAAAATATTTTATGAATCGATATTTCAGAACTTGCGCTCCAAAGTCTCGCTAACTCTATCGAATCGATTCAATCTGGACCAGAGCCTCCGGTCGCTTCGTGCTCTCAAACTGCTTGTCAACTGCAACTTCATCGTCTTCATCATTCTTTCAATTGTCACAACTACTCTGCATTTCAACTCGTACCAACTCACCAAACCGCATTATATGGCTCTTGTCGAAGGTGAGCTTTTTGTTTAGTCACAAAAGTTCAAGAGACCGAGGTTGTCAGAGCAGTAATTGAGAAGCAGAAGAGAAAAGAGGAAAGTATTTTCGTCCAGAGCTAGGATGAATAGTCTTGAAAGCCGTCTAATTTCAGCCGTCCACATCCTTCCGGTGTACGGCATCGCTGTTTCCATTGGCGTCTACTCGAAACTGCAATCGGTAAGTTGGTCCCTAAAACTAGCAAATTCTTTCATTTGCTTCTTTTTTCAGCTCACCACAACACAAAGCCGAGCTCTGGTTAAGGCGATACACACAAAGAGCGACTCGTATTTCGATCAACTTCGGAAACAGATGGAATGAAATAATTCTCATGTACTTGTTTTCAGTTAAAAACATCAAGAATTAACGTTTCTTAATTATACGAACTCGGTGCGTGTTCGCTCAAACGGAAAGAGCAAAGCTTCATGTGTCTGTCTGAAAGCCTCACCTTTTCGTCATGCAAAATGTGGTCACTATGAAGTAGAAAGAGCTCGCTACCTTTTTCTTTTTCTATATAATTATCAGTCTTCAGACGAGCACGCATTTTGCGTCTCACTTTTTCGTCTTTCACTTCTCCCTTCTTTCTTTCTTCTTTCTTGCAGCCAGACTAGCACAAAAAAAATGTCCTCGACGACTGACGAAACGTGCGAAACGATGCTGACCTACTCGGAATCGGTGCCTCTCCGCGCGTCGCTCATTTTCAACTGGCTCATTCTGATCCCCTCGTTCCCCGTCATTGGCTATTCGCTCCATCACTTTTTGAGCCGACGCATATTCCACAAAAACACTCAGACTCAGATCGTCGTTCATTTGAGCGCACTTCTCGTTCACTGCTCCGGACGGTGAGCTTAAAGGCCGCAAATAATCCGAAAATCCACGTCCAAGAAGCCTGCAAAATTTGGGTCCGAGTCGGCGTTTTGCCCAACTTCGGGATTTTGAATAAAAATGAAAAAAGTTCCGAATTTCCAGATTTGTCCTCCACTCACTCGATCTCCTCAACTATTTCAAGCCGTACAGGGATGGCTGCAACATTTTACCCGATTTTTATCGGTTAGCCTTCATTTACCCTGTCAAAATTGATAGTCGATGTCTAAGCCACGTGGCTTTACTAGGGAATGATCAACAATTTTTAAAAATTGGCAGGGACGCCTTGACGGTCATGGGTATGCGGCAATTTTTAAAAATTGGCATGGACCCTTGACGGTCATGGGTACGCGGCAATTTTTAAAAATTGGCATGCACCCTTGACGATCATGGTAAACTACGGTAAAGTACATACTTTTCCAGTTGTCTCATTCTCCGCTTCCTGTACAACGCCGGTCAGGCAGTGATCTCGATGACGCCCATCTCGGTCACGTTGGAAAGATTCATCGCCGTGGAATACAGCAAAGGATACGAGAGCTGTCCGTTCGGTTACGGTCTCTTCCTGGCCTTTTTGCAGTTGTTCCTAGCCACCGCGTTCCTTTTGACCCGATACGTCCACGCCGCGTTCGTTCCCTCCTCGTTCACCTTCTACTATTGTCAAGTGAGGTTTCGGTGAAAACTTCCCCTTTTGTTAGTTTTTTGCCTTTCAGACATTGGTGTCTGGCTCGATATCGACTGCGGAGACGGTCATTCCGCTCTACCTAGTTGTCATTTCACAAATTCTCTCAATGATAGCTTTTAGAGGTCTTGAGACGCGCAATAAAGTGAGTTTTTGGACCTTGAACTTCAATCTAAACCCATTTTTTCAATCTTCCAGAAGCTTCGAGCTGTCTCTGACATCAATCTGAGCACCAGGTTCACTTTGGATCAAGGAGTTCGGTTTGTAATCTCGTGGAATTCCACAAATACTAAACTTCCAGATCGTTCTCCGCACTCAAGTACTTTATCAATTTCAACTGTATTATGGTATCACTTGTGACTTTCGGGCTATCCACTCTTCACTTTTTCACCTCCTACTTCACCAAACCAACCTACATGGCAATCGTTGAGAGTAAGCACTTGCACACAAATGAAGCTTTTGCGACGTTCACCAAACGTTTTATCCTCAGTCTGTGCATTTTTGCACGCCGGTGTTGTTCTGCGTACAGTGCATTTTGTGTTACTCGCAAAGTTATTTTTTTTTAAGTTTTTGATGAATTTTCTCCAAATATTCATCTCTTTAAAGCGTTTTTCACTACTTTCTACCTCAATTAGACCTTTTTACAGATTCCAGGTGAAGTAATACGCGAAGAGAAGTCGATGCGATGAAAAGAAACGCGTAAGTAAGTGAAAGTAAGGTTTTATTCAGAAAATGCACGATTTCTCGAAAAACGTGACTAGATTTTCTAATCTTTTGGTTAAAAAACTTTACTTACATTTCTGAGAATGGTTTCGAACCAGAGAGAAGTAGGGTGACAGCTCGCTTTTGCGGAAAAACCGATAGTTTTCCGGAAGACAGTGAAATTTCGTTGAAAAAATTTTTTTTTGCTTCTACGAACTGTCACTCTACTTTTTTTTGGTTCGAAAACATTCACAGTCATGTAAGTCAACTATTTAAACAAAAAAATTAGAAAATCTAGAGACGGTTTTTGAGAAAAATTTTTTTTTCAACGAAATGTCACTGTTTTCCGGCAAAAGACCAATTTTTACGCGAAAGCGAGCTGTCACTCTACTTTTTTTTATTTGAAAACATTCACAGTCATGTTAGTGAACTTTTTAAATCAAAAGATTAGTAAATCTATAGACGTTTTTCGAGAAATCGTATATTTTCTGAATAAAACATTACTTTCATTTACTTACGCGTTTCTTTTCATCGCATCGACTTTTCTTCGCGTATTACTTCACCTGGAATCTGTAAAAAGGTCTAATTGAGGTAGAAAGCAGAGAAAAACGCTTTAAAGAGATGAATATTTGGAGAAAATTCATCAACAACTAAAAAAATGAACTTTGTGCGTAACATAAAATGCACTGTACGCAGAGCCACACCGACGCGCAAAAATGCATACCATTTGGCAGCGTATGTTGCGAAAGCCGCGCCGTGGAAGATCATTGTACTCCTTTTGATTTTAGTGACACACGCGATTCCCCTCTACGGAATATCGGTTTGTGTGGGCGTCTGGTGGCAAATGAGGTCGTTGAACGGCGAGCAGCGAAGGAACATCACGATGGCGATGCGCGGGCACGCGATGCACACCGATCTCTACTTTGAGATGTTCGCAAAACAACTGGCCACCTAATAATATGAACTGTTGGTTAGACGACACTTTATTCTTCAACTCAAGAATCATGATGCTCTTTCGGCTCTTTTTTCAATTCCCGCTCGTCCGTCTCGTAGTCCTCATAGTCGTACATGACGAATGTTCGTCGAGTTGTCGGCGTCCGGGGCGGCGCTTGAATGTCCTGCGGGTTTCGCTGAAAATGTGTGAAAATGTGATTGGATTGGTCTTCTCGGGTTTCATCAATTAGTAATAGTTGATACGAGAAACTGGATATGTTCCTTCACGACTGAATACGTGAACGAAAGGAAGTCTGGGTGGTCTTTGGTTTCAGAACATTTCCGATCATTTACCTGATCGGGCACTTTGTTCTGTGTGATTTGACGGGGTGGTAGTGTTGTTGTTGTTGTTGTTGTAGTTTTTGCCTTCTTCGTCGTCATTTTCCTTGTCGTCTTCTTCACTTTTCTCGTCGTCACCTTCTTCTTCGTCTTCTTCATCACTGTCGTCTTCTTTTTTGTGATGCTTCTTGTTGTGGTCGTCGTCGTCGTCGTCGTCGTCTTCTTCTTCTTCTCCGCTTTCACTTTCACCTTCAAACGCATAAAGTTGTTTCGACTGCTCGACAGCCTTCAAATACCTCACCGTTTGTATTGCTCCTTCGCTGTCGCGGCGCATCTGAAAGCACACTTTGTTGGCCTAGAAACAAGTAGACAACGTCTTCAGAGACTCGGAAGGTTCGGGGCAACCTTCGTTCTTGTTATGCAACGTAATAATCTGATGTATTTCAATGCGAACACCTTCTGAATCGGACGTTGTCGAGTTGCCCACAACCGTAAAGTTGTCCGGAAGGCCAAATTCCGAATGAGCGGAGAACTTGAGTCCGTGCTCGAGTTTGACGACGGTGATGTTGGATTCTGGAGATGGAATGAGTGGCGAGAGGCTTCTAAACACATGGTACCCAGTTCCATTTCAATGGTATCATTTCCAGACGCATCTACATTTCGATTCAGGCTCAGTAGTGAAAATAGGAGAAAAAATGGCGTTGCGAACCGGCGCATCACAGTAGAATCGACTGAACTTTCTCTCTCTCTCTCTCACTCTCAAACTGTCGTGTGAATCGGATTTCGGATTTTCGAGATTAACCGATTTGATCTGTACAGGTGTGAGAGTAGACCGCTTTTTTTTAAATAACACTTTATTCACTCATTTATCCTGGCGCCACGGCGACCAAAAGTCTAGAAAGGGGCGTGGCCTAATCTGAGACGCGTTTTCTGAAAATTGCCGCAATTTCAGCACACTTTTCCGATATTTTTGTGTTTGATATCGACGAAAGAAGAGACATTAAAGAGAGAAAACATTAAAATTTTCGTGGAAACGTCGCGTTTGAGACGTTTTTCGCATATTTCGCAATACGCTCTCCGCGGCCATTCGCCGCCGCAATTTCGGAATTTTCATAGCGGCCGATCTGGATAGTTTTGAGACGAAGTGAGTGTCGGAAGTGATTAAGCACGTTAATACAAGTATTTTAAGCGTTCAAACGGCAAAAAGTGTCGGCGAATGACTGAAATTCGCGCATTTTCAGCACAAAACTTGAAAATCGATTCAATTGATTCATTTCTGAATGAAACCTGATCGTTTTAAGCTCAAAAAGTGGCGCGCGATGAGTTTAACAAAGTTATGCAATTACATCGTCGAAACCGTACAAAATTTGGGTATTTTTTTTACGAAAAACATGAAAAATTGGGTTAAATTTCGAACTTCGCGCCAAAATGGTGATAAACCGTGCACGCTAGGCCACGCCCCTTTCTACGTTTTTGGTCGCCGTGAGGCCTGGCTCGTTTGTTTGTTTTCTATACAATGTTCGGTAGACCGCTAAGAGAAGGCGGGTAAATTTAATGAAGATCGAGATCGAAAAACTGTTCGTTCACATTTTGTGCCAGTTGGCGAGCACCAGAATGATCGAGACGACGATGCACAGGACGAAGATGAAGACGGCCAACGTGGCGAGACGGTTCTGCATCTTGACGTACCATGACTTGCGGATGGTCGGTGGCGGAGTGAGCGGATCTCCGAACGACGGTCTGAAACAGTACATGTGAAGTTCTAAAAAGCAGCGGTGATAAATCCCTAGAAAAGTCCAGACCGCCTAAGGAAAAGTACAGACCTGCCAAATTACGGGCCGGGCCGAAAATTTGCTGGCCCGGCCCGGCTCAAAAGGCGCGAATTCAAATTTTTGGGGGAAATCTTTTTTTTCTTTTTTTTTGCGGGGATCAAAATTTAAAAAAAAACTACGACACTCCGACATTACGGTCGCGCGCGCTCTTTAGCCATTTTGTTCCAACTTTCGGATTGCGGCGTGTAAAACATTGAGTTGTTCGCCGTTTTTTTTTTCTTTATACTGAATTTACTTGCAAAATTCGTTAGTTCTACAAAAAACAAACATTTTATTTAATCAATAGTTCAAAATTTGGATTCCCGCTTTTTGAACCGGGCCGGGCCGGGCCGGAGTTTTGAAAATTTCGGCCCGGCCCGTGACAACTCTGGAAAAGTACTTGCGCCACGCTAAAGTACCTGTTGAGCAGAGAGCTCTGGAGAGTCGGTTGGCTAGCAGCAGGCATTGCTTCTCCGAATGAGCTCAAAAAAGGCGTGGCTTCCCGCATTATTCGCACCCAGACACTTGCGAGACCTGATTCATTGGTGTTTGAGAAGAGTTTCCGACGGGTTCGTCTGTCTGTCTCTTGTTTCTGAGGCGAGAGAGCGAGAGAGAGAGAGAGAGAGCACGTGTTCTTTTTTCCTGATTACTAATGAGCAGTACGAATGCGAAATGAGAATGAGAATGAGAAGAACGACGTCTGCAGTTGGTGTACTTTCGCCCCCGCGCGGGGACAGACATTTTCGGCCAGACAACGTGAGCAAAAACGTTTCAGCTGTCTAGTCTATATGTGGAAGAACGAGGACATTTCATGAACCCGAACATTTTCAAGGCTTTGCGGCTATTTGGAGCTATTTTCTGGATTCTTCTCTAACTTCCATGTGACAAAATTGTTTTAAAATGAAGAGGGGGTCTGAAGATGAAAAGACTGGACTTGTGGGAAAAATAATGTGGAAGGCCAGTACCAGAGTTGAGCGGAAGAACTCAACGGAAGAATTTTTTGGCTTTTTTAGAAAATTTTTTCGTGAAATGTGATCAACTGACGAAATGTATAGCAAAGTGAACTGTGCTCATAGAAAAATAATTGTAAATTTAACTTTTCATACAAAAAAGTTATTCCTTCCGTCTTCCCCGTTAGCCCTTTTTTCACGCAACAACTCGAATAACTTTTTTTGTATGAAAAGTTAAATTTACAATTATTTTTCTATGAGCACAGTTCACTTTGCTATACATCTCGTCAGTTGATCACATTTCATGAAAAAATTTTCTAAAAAAGATAAAAATTCTTCCGTTGAGTTCTTCCGCACAACTCCGTGAGAGTCTAGCACATGCTGGTGTTTCAGAGATTAGAAAAAAAAACATCATTATGATCCCCCTAGTCTCATTGAGACTCACAAAGATCCGGAGATGGTGATGTCGAAATCGAGGCTGTCCTCGTCGTCGCTCATTCTCATCTGTTCAGTACATTTCTGCTGGACACTGCTGCTGCTGCTGCTGCAAATGCATCCATGAGAATCAATTTCACAAATGAGCGGTGATGGACAATGGATTCGGGAGGAGAAGAGAGGGAACAATGGACACACTATGGAAGGCAATAAAAATGGAAAACGTTTTGATGTTCCAGACAGCGGAAAGTTGGTTGGAATCTTATTGGAAAACGCGGGCAACTTGATTGAGTTTTGAGCGATTTTCGAAGCGAACATGAAATTTTCTTTGACAACTTGCTGGTAGAAGCTAGCAGAAATGAAAGGTTTGCCAGTTAGAGAAGAGCAGACTTGCCAAATCCCGGGCCGGGCCAGCAAATCGTCGGCCGGGCCCGGCCCGGTCGGCCCGGAAGTTAGACCTCAAAAAAAATATGCAAAAAAAATATGAAGGAAGAGGAAAACGCGTGCGGCAAAATTGCTAAAATGGCGTGCCAGAGTTGCAATCAATCGCTCCGCCCACTCTTGAGAAAATTTTCGTAATTTTTGTGAAAATTTTGCGACTTTAAACAGCAATTTCTATTTTTTAACAGGTTTTTATGCTATAACATTGCCTTTTTCGTCTTTTTTTCTATTGCTGCTCGTTTTTCACAATGAATCTTCGAAATTGAAGCAAAACGACGATAACGTAGGCCGTTTTCAAAGTTTGGTGGGTAAAAATGGACGAAGACAAAGTGCTTGAAGACAAAGTGCTTGCTCATTTCTTCGTGGTCCAAATTTGACTGATTTGTTGCAATTTTAAGTCTATAAAATTATGTTCGTTTCGAAGTTCTAGTTCGCTTTGAATTTTTAGGTGCATCCTCCCGGGCCGGGCCGGGCCGGAAAATTTCCAATTTTGGCCCGGCCCGGCCGTTGCAAGTCTGCCAGAAATGAAAGGTTTGTCAGTTGGAGAAGAGGCAGAAGAAGAAGAAAAAAGTTCGATTCTTTCCACAAAAGTGCGAAAATGTAATTCATCAAGTGGGTGTGGGGAGCAGTTGGGCGCTCGCTTCCTCCTTTTTCTATGTGTTTGTGCTCATCAAAGTTTCGACTGACAACTTGGCGCCGCTTCCTCTTCCCCGTTTGGGGATTTCATGCGAAAAGAGGAGCAGAAGAAGGAGAAGCGAAACGAGGAGATGTTTTGAGCCGCAAAAAAGAGGAGAGCATTGGATGGATACACACCTTGAAAAGGTTCATCTTCTGGAAAAAAAAAGAGTGGAAGGAGAAGAAGAAGACGAAGAAGAAAGTGTACATATTTCAGTTGGGGGAAATGCGAATGGGGTAGTGAAGCGGGCGGGAATGATGTCCATAAAAAGAGGGATGGGCGAGAGAAGGATCATAAAAACCGGGCAAATACAACATAAACTTGGAAAACGGAGATGCTCAGAGATGAAAACTAATTATCTGGGGAATCAAAGATTCTCGACGCACTGCCACTTGATGAGCAAGATTGTGAACTTCTGACAAGGCATCACAAATGTTCCGAAATGGGATGATACGTTTTTTAAATTCTTTCTGTTAACACTTTTAAACAGGTTTTGTAACATCCATATTCGTCCGTTGCTCATAGAAAAATAATTGTAAATTTAGCTTTTCATACAAAAAAGTTATTCCTTCCGTCTTCCCCGTTAGCCCTTTTTTCACGGAACAACTCGAATAACTTTTTTGTATGAAAAGCTAAATTTACAATTATTTTTCTATGAGCAGAGTTCACTTTGCTATACATTTCGTCAGTTGATCACATTTCATGAAAAAATTTTCTAAAAAAGATAAAAATTCTTTCGCGGTCTTCCGTTGAGTTCTTCCGCTCAACTCTGCCGTTGTTGGCTGCTGCTTCACCCTCTTGGCTTCGTCGTCTCCTGCTCACTTTTTGCGCCTGAAACAATAAAAGTTGGATAACTTTTCTCGAAAACAATCATTTTATAGTACGGCAATGTTAACTCTGAAGGAAGCTATTGAAAGCTATGCCCTCCAATCCGTAATTCTGATCCTTCAAATAGGAAATACGCTTACGCACTTCTGTGATCAATCGGCGGGATCTCATGCTTTTTCATCAAATGAGCACGTCCGCAAACTCCTTCTTCCTCTGATTTTCGTTTTCAGCACGAACACGTCGTTCCTCCTCTTCGCGCGTCTGATTCTCCTCGTCGGCGGTGCGCTCCTCCTGCTTTATTTTCAGAATTCTGAGCTACTCTTTCTCTTTTTCTCTCGCCTTCTGGTAGTCGTCGAGCTTCGTCAGCTCGTCATTCTATTCATCGTCTTCTCCCCGCCTCATTCAGATTCTCGCCGCCACGGCGGTCTCCAGAGCTGACAATATGGGCGTGGCCTCGGCGGCCAAATGGCGTTTTCATGAATTGAGCAGGTTTTCTTTGATTTTTGTGGTCAACGGCGATGAAAAATGATTGTTCGACATGAAAACACACTAATTCTCAGAATGAATGACGCTTTGGCTCATTTTTCGCGGACCTTGCTTTTTCGCCTTCGCCGCCGATCGCCGCCTCAAAACCGCACTTCTCATTTTGCGCTTTCTTGACCGTTTTCAGACAGAATTGGTTTTGAGAATGATGAATCACGTAAATACAAGCATTTTGAGCGCTCGAACCGCGAAAATTACCGGAAAGCAACTGAAATTCACGCAGTTTTAGCGAAAAACCTTCAAACGGATAAATGTGATTTGTGACTTGACCAAATTTAACGCTCATGCGCTTAAAAAATTCGTAATAGCCTATAGAATCGGTCTATCGAGAGACAAATGAGAAATTATCGGTTTTTCGTGGCTAATCTGGCAAAAAACACAAATTTTGCTGTTAAAATTTGAATTTCGCACCAATGTATCGCTCTATTGGGCGGGGCGCACTTGCGCCCATTGTCAGCTCTGGAGACCGTGGCGCCGCTGCAAAAACAGAAAGTGTACTGTATGAATGTGAAAAGTGGACCTTTCCATCGAACCCTCGTAGCTCTGAAACGTGCTCATGTAACTTTTTTGGCGGACTCATCATCGATCAACACAGGTTGTAGACACAAGTAGGTAGGATGAACAAGCGGCACTCGAGCTCTGCGCGGGAGCCCCGCTGCGATCTGCCAGGATGTGAGTGTGTCTCCGTTCCCCGCGCGCTCTTTCGCTTCCCGTCAAAGCACACAGCTACGCATAAATATCCGCCCCCGTCGGGCCTAAGATTCTCCCTGTCGTCGGGAAGCACTTGTTGGAATTCATTCCCCGGGGGGGTGGGCAAACTTTCGATGTGTATGTAACACTTTTGCTGCTCCGTCGAGCACACAAATCCACCGCGCATCCCCTCCTCCTGTCTCGTTGCCCTACTTTTTTCGCTTAACTTTTTGCCAGAGCTCCGGAGATTTTGTTTCGTTTCGGACAAGACATTCACTTTTCACTTTTCAGGCGGATCGCTTCGCTTCAACCCGACTTGAGACATGTCTGACGAGGAATAGTAAGCGCCGATCGTTTTTTTTGTTGCAAAAACACAACTGGTACCCGTTTTCAGTTCCGAGTACGAGGACGAGGAGGTCGAAGAGGAGGAGGTCGAAGAGGTTGAGGAGGCCGAAGCCGAGGAGGAGGAGGCCGCCGAGGAGCACGAGAACGAGAGGTTCCACCGAGCTTCTGTCGACACCACGGCGACTGGCGGACCCGCGACGCCGGCCGCTTCGCACGCTCCTGTCTCTTTCGAGTACTTCTTCTTCCCTTCCCCTTCTTTCCTATCTGAAAATCTGAAAGTTCGATTAGATGGCCTAGAAAAACACGGACGATTGGATGGCCGAGAAAAACGAACTTAGGCCATTTTTTTTTCCTCGCCATTTTTGGATTGGTCCCTGCGGTTTTCTTGGTCATCTAGCGTTAACTCACTTTTTTCGCGTTTCTTTTCGAGACCACCGATCTCACTAATCACCGAATCGGCCGACGAGCAAAGAAAAAAGTTGGAAAGGTCTGCGTCTCTGCGCCTTTTACACTGTTTCGCCTCGTCTTCACACACACACACACACACTGTTGTGTTTGCACTTTTTCAAGCACTTCAAGCAAGAGCTTCGAATAATCGTTTCGTTTTGCAGCGGCGAGAATCTGAATGAGGCGGAGAAGGCGATGCTGGCGGCGAAGAAGCGTCATGAGAATGACGAGCAGGCGAAGCTCGACGACTACGAGAAGGCGCGTCGTTCGGAGAGAGAAAAGGAGGAGGAAGAGCTGCGAAAGCTGAAAGAGAAACAGGAGCAGCGAAGACTGCAGAGGGAGCAGGAGGAGCGCGCGGCCGCCGAACTCAAAAAGGCCGAGGAGGAGAAGCGGAAGCGCGAGGAAGAGGAACGACGCGCTCGTGCCGAAGAGGAGAAGCGCAAGAAGGAGGAGGAGAAGCTGAAGAAGGCACAGATGCTCGGCGGAGGATTCGCCGGACAGCAGGGTGGACGGTCAGTGAATGTCTGACCATCAATTTTTGTGCAAGCCGATGAAAAAACACATATTTTTTCAGCAACTTTGTGATCAACAAGAAGGAAGAGTCGGCCGGCGTCGGCGACCGTTTCGGAAACATTGTGCAGGCGAAGCAAGAGATGGGCATGACGAAGGAGCAGCAAGAGGAGACAAAGGCCGTCTTCATGCAGGGCGTCCGCAAGAACATCCCCGACTCGTCGTCCATCCTGCCGAACGACCTCAAGAGCAAGATCAAGGAGATGCATCAGCGCATTTGCAAGTTGGAGGCGCAGAAGTACGATTTGGAGAAGAGACACGAGAGACAAGAGTACGATGTGAGTTGAGGATCAGGGGAAAGACGATTCAAATGAACTTTTCAGCTGAAAGAGTTGAACGAGAGATCTCGTCAAGTGGCGAGAGCCAACAACGCCAAAAACGGACAAATTAGCAGCGATGACACCGGAGGCAGACACCCGGTACCCAAGAAAACTTGACGGAAAGTTGTAACCGCTTTTCTTTTTCAGCCAAAGGTCCAGATTTCGTCCAAGTACGACAGACAAATCGACAGAAGAAACTTCAAGGAGAGACGTTCCGTTTACGAGAGCGTGAGTGCATTATCGAATGTCATCTGAATCCCGATTCCTTTCCAGAAGGTCGCCTACCCGTGCTTCCCGGGAGTTCCGCCTCCACCGGCCATCTACGAGAAGGTCATCAAGAAGATGGACTACGAGATTCAGGAGGAACTCGACGCCGCCGAAGAGGAGGAGGAAGACTATTAGACACCCACACATTTGCTAATCGCGCCTTTTTCTGTGCAATTCACTTTTTCACTTTTTCACTTACGAACCCCGTCCAGTGTATCACGCTTCTATACACTTTTCTTTTTCACATTTTCAAGAGTTTTCGAATAAATCTGAAACCGGAAAGACTCTCGCTTATCAGTTGTATTGTATTACAAGATGTTCTCGTGTTTAATTCACGAGCGTTCGAACTGTTACGCGCATGCAAGCGCGCCCTACCGAACATCGTCGGCGTCTCTTCAATCTCGCACTCTCTAATTTGAATAAATAAACAGCTGGCCTAAAATTTGCGTAGTATCTGGTGCCAAGTACGCAAAATATCTAGAACGGTGTTTGCACAGGGGCGACACGCAGCCAATGGGCGTACGCCGGCGTAAAGGCGGCAAACGAAAATTTTGAATCGGTGCGTAGCGCCCTTCGAAAATAAATTCAAATTTTTATGGCGGGAGTTCTGAATGAACACACGTGTTAATTGAGTGTCGTCGCCCGCCGCAACGTGGTTATCAGTTGGTTTTGCCGAGAAACGAATAGGTTTTGATGTTTGCACCAGTGCTCTTTCTGGAATTTCAAGTAGAGTGAGATGTTGGCAGAGCCGAGCAGCACACTGGCGGCAGAGTCGAAACGTTGACAAATGACCGAGTGGTTAACGATTTTGTAAGAGTCATTGAAGTGAGAGCGCCAAATATGGGCGTGACCTCGGCCAAATGGCATTTTCACGAATTGAGCAGGTTTTCTTTGATTTTTGTCGTCAAAGGCGATGAAAAATTATTGTTCGACATGAAAACACACTAATTCTCACAAAATTAATGACGTTTTGGCGCATTTTTCGCGGACTTTGCTTTTTCGCCTTCGCCGCCGATCGCCGCCTAAAAACCGCACTTCTCATTTTGCGCTTTCTTGACCGTTTTCAGACAGATCTGGGTTTGAGAATGATAAATCACGTAAATACAAGCATTTTGAGCGCTCGAACCGCTAAAATTACCGGAAAGCAACTGAAATTCACGCAGTCTTAGCCAAAAACCTTCAAACGGATAAATGTGATTTGCGACTTGACCAAATTTGACGCTTTTGCGCTTAAAAAATTCGTAATAGCCTATAAAATCGGTCTATCGAGAGACAAATCAGAAATTATCGGTTTTTTGTGGCTAATGTGGCAAAAAACACAAATTTTGCTGTTAAAATTTGAATTTCGCGGGGCACACTTGCACCCATTGTCAGCTCTGGAGACCGTGGAGCGACCAAAAAAAGGGCCGAAATCTGACAAATCTGAAAACACGCTTACCCCAAGAACTTACAAAATCTTCAATGGCGCCTTATCACTCTTCTTCTGAAACGAATTAATTTTCAGCCGTAATTTACAGATACCTCGTGGCTATCTCTCTCTTTTTCTGTACAACTCCTACAACCATCCGCGGCGATGCTCTTTTATCGGTTCTGATTCAATTTGCCAACCGACCAACCGACATGATAACACGCTCTTTCCACACTTTTACGACACGCTCGCCTCGGCCTCCTCGGTTGCAGTCGCCAAGTTCAAGTTCCGGCCCATCTTCGCTCCTATCGATTGACTGATATCCAGTTGGAGCTCGGAAGATGTCGGACGACGAGGACAGACCGATACAACTGTAAGTTCCCCGCTCCTAATCAGCTCTTCGTGTTGACTCACTCTCACTCGATGACACCATCACTTTTAATCCGCTAGACCGTCCGTCCGTTGATTGGCAAACGGCACACGGCTGTACTTGCGCTTCACTATGACTCTTTTAATATTAATAAGATCATATCGTGTCCATGATTCCTGAAATTCCACATTCCGACTCTGGCAGGCGTCCGACGTACGCGAAGAAGCGGAAAGAGAAGAAGGACGTCGTGTTCTACACCACCTTCGAGGAGGTCCTACAGAAGATCAACGCGTTCGGACCCTACCAGATATTCTGCTTCATCGTCATCCTCTACGCTTCTATCGAATGGGCCGGCAACTCGACATTCATGCACGTGCTCGGATCGTTCGAGCCCGACTGGAATTGCACTCTCGCCAACAATCATACTGTCAGAAGTGAGTGGTGCTAAGAGTTGTCCAGAAATGAACAGTTGAAAAGTTGCAGTCAATGGTCCGACAAACGACACGTCTTGTGATTACATCAAGAAGAACTGTGCAACTCTGACGCCTATTGTAAGTTTCTTGTGAGACTTTCTAATATCTGCAAATGATCAAATTTCAGAAGCAAAACCTCGAGTTCTTCTCGCTGGTCGGACAATTCAAACTGATCTGCGACGATAGCAATAAAGTGGAGTGGATTGAAGTGATCATGGCCGGATCTTCGGTGAGCTTTAAGTACTTTGTGACAAAGTTTGACAAGCTATTTTCCAGTTGATCGGAAGTATCATCGGAGGACACATGGGCGATCATTTCGGGCGGCAGACCATCTTCTTCACCGGCGAACTTTTGATCATCATCACTTCGATGATGTGCACGGCGGCTCGCTCGTGGGTCGCGTTCGCCGCCATTCAGGGCGTCAACTGCTTCATCTATGGCGTCATCGAGACGACCTCGCTGACGATGATGATGGAGTTCACGTCGAACAAGTACCGAGTGATCATGGTGAACGCGTTCCAGTGGCCGATCGCCTACATGACCATCGCATTGATCGCTTTCCTCACGAAGGGCTGGCAGACGTACTTTGTCTTCCTCAACCTCGTCTCGTCTCCGCTCGCCATCGGCTTCATGCTGTTCCTCGAGTCGCCGAGATGGCTGATCGCGCGCAACGAGCTCAGTCAGGCTTGCGATGTGCTCAACGACATTGCGCATCAGCGATGGAACAACACGAAAGCCCGCTTCACAACCAAAGACATCTCGGCGATTCACAAGACCGAGAAGCAAGGATTCTACTGGTTCTACCATCTGTTCAGCACAAAGCGTCTCGCCAAACAATCGTGCCTTCAAATTATCTCCGTGCTCACCTACGCAATGGTCTCCAACACGTACCTTTTCACAGTGACTGGGATTCATGGTATGCCATCGTCATCGTCATCCGAAAACAAACTTCCTTTCAGACTCGGCCATCATGTTCACTTTCCTCGACGGAGTGTTCCGTCTCTTCGTGCCCATAATCATTGTCATTTTCGATTTGATGGTGCCGAGCTTCGGCCGTAAGATCCAGTTCCTCGGCTCGCTTGTCATCGAGGGAATCCTGTTCGGAGTGATCATCGCTCTTGTGGCCACTGGCACTTGCACCTACGACTCGCGCCCAGTCACCATTCTCGTCATCGTCACAACGATGATCAACGACTGCATCTTCTGGATCAACATTGTGCAGATCACCACGCAAAGATACCCGACAGTCATCCGATGCATCGCTTTCGGATTCTTGCACTCATTCCGACACATTGGCGCCATCATCGGCTACGTGATCCTCCGTCCGTTGCTCACCTCGAACTGGCCGACCGGCGCGTTTGTCATCCCTGAGGTCATGATCTGCGTCACCATCATCGTCGGCTTCTTCTTCCAGCCGGAGACGAAGGGCAAGGCGCTGATGGACCAGATGGTCGAGGCGAACTACGGACGACTGGAGAACGAGTTGCCACGCGCACTCATCAGGTACCCAATCCAATTATCACAATCAAACTTCTATATGGTGCATTCAGACTGGCCGCCGGCCACAAAGTCAACCAAATGGAGATGCGTGTGCAGCACCGGAAAGAGCTGGAGCTGGCGAATGCGGCGGAGCTGAAGGGCGAGAAGGTCGAGAGTCCGTGGGTGTTCAAGAAGAAAGAAGACGAAGCAGTCAAGGAGGAATGATAACGGACCAATAGGAATAGAGCTTTCTTTTTCGTTTATGTAAATATATTTACTGCCCACAAGAGTTTGCATACTCGTTAGATTTGAGATTTGAAAGGGAACGGGAATGTGAAATTGAAACTAAAAGTTACACAAAATTGTAGAAAGTGCTTTGAGGCGCGCTCTAGCCAATGGTATCATTAGTTTCAGTACTAATGTCTTTTAGCGACAAAGTATTCAATCGAGTCCAATCGTCCTGGTGAGAAGATTGATTCGGCTGACGACGTTCTCGAAAACCGACGGCTTGCCCTCCGGAAACTGGTCGTCGCACCCGGTTTTTCCGTACGGCGGTACCTGTTTACATTCATTTGTTCACGCCTCATTAGCCAGCAGAACTAACCTTGACGGCAAAGTAGTGGCGATGATCCCAAACGTAACTTTCCGACTGATCGATGAAGAACTTGATGCGGTCGGAGCACGCAAAGTCCTCGTTCTTCGGAGCGCCGAGACACTCGACGTAGTGCGCGCCGGCGGTCATCTCGTCCGGGTACCAGATCTCGGTTCCGTGATGATAGTAGTCGAGTTGATCGGCGTGACACGGCTTCGCGCCGCCTTCGTGCGTCGAGACAAACGTCTGATTCTTGTGGCAAGCGGGCATGTGCGGTACGATGTCCCGTCGGAAGACCACTCGGTAGGTGTTCGGCAGGAGCGCGTCAAAGTTACCGGCGAATTGACGGTTGCCGACGCGAGGTTGACCGAACGTGTAGACTTTTATGTTGGCACCGGCGCGGAAGCCCTGTTTGGCGGTCCGGGCGGCCGCGAGAGCTGCGAGAGCACCGCCCAGAGAGTGTCCGGTGAACGTGATCTCGTAGTCCTGGAACATTTTGAGAGTTGTGTATTATTCAAATTGACTACCAAACCGACCGCCCACTTGGCATCTGTGATCACTTTTTCGATTTCGGGCCAGAGCACGAGATGAGCGTTCAAAAAGTATCTGTTGACGTTGCCCATGTCGAAAAAGTCGATGCCGTCGTTGATCGACTGCCAGCCTTCCAAAAGTAGTTGCGTCTTGGTCTTGGTGCCACGGAACACGACTATTATCCGTCGGGCATTTTCAGACACAACTGAAATGCTTTCAGGTTATTCAGGTCCAGCTTTACACTATTCATATAGAACAGAGATGTTGGGAATAAAAATTTTACTCTACGGAACACGGAACACGGAACACGGAAAATTTTTTTTTTACGGAACACGGAAAAAAGCGTTTTCAAGAGAATTCCAGTGATTTTTTTTTTAAAGTTTTGTTTAATTCGATTATCTGACTGACAAGGCAGCTGTTTGACTCATGTGAAAGTTTTACTGAAAATTTCATAAAAATAACAAAACCAACAACACAACAGTAAACAACTACAGTAAAAAACGACTGAAAATGGAATCCACTTGTGATCGAATTTTTCCGCGGAAAATATAGTTTATACGGAACACGGAACACGGAAAACGGAAAAAACTTATTTCTACGGAACACGGAACACGGAAATTTTTTTTTTTAATGGAACACGGAACACGGAAAAAATATTGAAAAAAACGCGGAACACGGAATTCCCAACATCTCTGATATAGAACAAAACTAACCGACATACGAGGCGCACGTGCTGTCCAAGTGATCGCAACTCTTCTGCTCTAGACTCTCAATGTGAAAATTCTCACCGTTTCCAAAGGATCTGAAAGAAAAACAGTAAAAAAAAAAGAACAACAAGTCAAAGCGTACTTTTTAATGCACGGAACATGTTTGTTTCCATAAGAAGCGGCGGCCAACTTGACGAGTCTCCGCGCCTCCGCATCGTCATATCCCGTCTGTTTGCCGAGCGGAATAGCTAGAACACAATTGAAGAAAAGGCCGAAGAGCAGAGGTCGCATACTGAAATGAGAAACAAAACAGATAGGGAGGGAAGGAATGAGATGGGGAACGGACGGACACAAAAAAGACGATTGGTGTTGATCTTTTATCAACAACATTCATTTAATGGTAGGTAAAAGGCAAGCATTTGGTGAAAAACGATACGATGGTTCCATTCGCATTTAGTTTGAATTGAATCGATGAGAACAGCTTTATGAATATTCATGGACACAGAACGTGGAAGAAGTGGTGATGGGAAAACACAAAACCATAAATTCAATCGGCGGGATGACTTTTGTATGCGTGTGTTGTGAGACGCAGAGAACCGGTTGTGTTGTGTCACCTTTTGGGATGAGAAGAAGGACTGTTCGAGTGGACACGACCATCCATTACGTGGTGTTTAGGGGGCGACTTCAAGGATGTTCCGGACGGGCGGTCCACGGATGGTAATGAGATGGCGGACTTAATGCTTCGATATCACGGTCTCCAGAGCTGACAATATGGGCGTGGCCTCGGCGGCCAAATGGCGTTTTCATGAATTGAGCAGGTTTTCTCTGATTTTTGTCGTCAAAGACGATGAAAAATGATTGTTCGACATGAAAACACACTAATTCTCAGAATTAATGACGTTTTGGCGCATTTTTCGCGGATTTCGCTTTTTCGCCTTTGCCGCCGATCGCCGCCTAAAAACCGCACTTCTCATTTTGCGCTTTCTTGACCGTTTTCAGACAGAATTGGTTTCGAGAATGATAAATCACGTAAATACAAGCATTTTGAGCGCTCGAACCGCGAAAACTACCGAAAAGCAACTGAAATTCACGCAGTTTTAGCCAAAAACCTTCAAACGGATAAATGTGATTTGCGACTTGACCAAATTTAACGCTCTTGCGCTTAAAAAATTCGTAATAGCCTATAAAATCGGTCTATCAAGAGAAAAATGAAAAATTATCGGTTTTTTGTGGCTAATCTGGCAAAAAACACAAATTTTGCTGTTAAAATTTGAATTTCGCGCCAATGTATCGCTCTATTTGGCGGGGCGCACTTGCGCACATTGCAAGCTCTGGAGACCGTGTCGATGGATATTTCGAAAGATGAGTCAGCGATTGGCCATCGAAAATTGAAATTCTGAAATCGGAAGACGGAAGTCGGAACTAGGAACTTGGAATTCTCAACGCAAACTCTCCAAAGTTTTATTTCTCCAAACGTGAACGAGTGTAAAGTTTTTACAAAAGTGTGTCACTTGATAAAGCAGCGAGTAGAATCCAAAATACAAAAACAACATTCACAAAGTATTGATCTCTTTGTACAACTTTGCAGTTTCCTCAGCGAAATAGTCTTCGAGAATCTTTCGGCGATTCTTGAGAGTAGAGGTGACGAGTCCGTTCTCTTCGCTGAATTCCTGAAAAATGATCTGGGGTTCTACTGATTAATTCGTTAGGGGATACCTGCGAAGTCAAATGCACATTTCTGATCAACTCGATCGTCTGCAGCCCGTTCTCCTTCGCATACTTGTTCAGCTCTACGAGCACCGCATCGCGCGCCTCCTTCTTCGTCATAATCTTCTCGATCGGATCGTTCGCCTCGAGTGCCTTCACAATCGGAAGCTGCTTGAAGCGCGACAGATCGAGAACGACGATTCCGACGAGGAACGAGCGTTCCGTGCTGCCGGTCACGTAGATCTGCGTGATTAGCGGCGAGTTGGCGTAGATCGCCTCGATCTGGATCGGCGACACAAAGTCACCCTGACAGAGTTTGAACATCTCGTTTTTGCGGTCGATGATCTGCAGCGCGCCCGTCGGCAGCCATTTTCCAATGTCGCCCGTGTGCAGCCATCCCTCCTCGTCAATCGTCTTCTTCGTCAGCTCCGGATCTTGGAAGTACCCGCTCATGAGTGCGGCGCCTCGGAAGCACACTTCTCCCTCGTCGTTCTGCGCCAAATAGTTCTTCTCGGGCACATCCACCAGTTTGACTTGGGACCACGGTGCCGGTCCGCCGACGTTTCCGTAGGTGGTGTCCCAGGGAAGGGTGAGCGTCCCCGCGGCACTACACTCGGTCTGACCGTATCCCTCGACCAGGGGACATCCGTACGCGTATCGTGTGAACGTCTTGACCTCTTTGGTCACCGGGGCACCGCCAGTCGTCAGTACCTTCAGTTTACCGCCCAGTTTCAGTTTCAGCTGCAAGACACGGGAATTAGAAGAGAAACTTCGAAGGATTCGCCAGGGGTAGGCAATTGGCCGGCCCCGCCTTGGCCACTTGCCCACACTCCGATCGGGCCCTAACCGATCAAAATATTGCAAGTTTTTCAAAAAGAAGCCAGCCAAATCAAACCTTTTTGAAGACGATTTTGTCGAAGAAAGTGTCATATCTGAGAACGCCTTGTTCGAGCTGTTTGGCTTTTGTCTGAAACAAAGTTGACGTTGTTTTTTTTTCCATTTTAAATTTCAAATTTGACAACCACCTTCTTCGCGTGCTCGAACAGGAAGCGAACCACGATGTTCTTGGTGGCAATCTCGTTGTGCACTCCCTCGTACAGTTTGTTGAGAAGACGTGGCACAAGCGACACAATTGTCGGCTGCAACTTTTGAATTTGCGGCACCAACGTGGCGACGCTCCCGTTGTAGATTCCGATTCGGGCGCCAAAGTAGAGCATCAGCGTCTGCATGAGATGCTCGTAAATGTGCGCGAGCGATAGGAAACTGAAATAGGCGTCTTCCTGGCCGAACTTCCATTTGTAGGCGATTGTCCACGAGGTGAAGATGCCGGCGACGCACGCCAGAAGCGCGCCGTGCGACATCTCGACACCCTTCGGACGGCCCGTCGTTCCGCTCGTGTGACAAATCACGTAGATCGTCGCGGGCTTCGGTTTGATCGGATCTCGTCGCTTCTCGCTGCCGAGTCGGTGGAACTCGTCGAAACTGAGCACGTCGCACTCGTGGTGGCTCGGAAGGCTCGTCGTCTTTTCGAGAATGATGAGCGTCTTCACCGATCGAAGACGGTCCCCGCTTTTCGACGACAGAAACCCTTCGGCGCGTGACGTGTTTTCGCAGAAGATGATCTCCAGTTTGCAGTTGTCAATGATGTCGCTGTAAGAGATTTTTGATGAGACGTCGTGTACGCAATAAACAACCAGATGGTTTGACAGCAGGAACTTCATTTTTTGTACACGTTTTGATGTGTGGCTCGAAAATGGTTTCTCAGTAGACTCGAAGACTCACCAAAGCGTCTCCAGTTTGTTCTGATGGTAGAGGGGCACAACGGTGAGGTCGAAGCCCGAGATGGCGTGCATCGTGTGCATATAGTTCCTCGAGTGCACGCCGGCGATCCCGATGAGTTTGTTGGCGGAGTCGAGTTTGTGCATGGTCGCAATAATGCCCGACCCGATGATCGTCGCCTCGTTCACAGCGTCCCGGTAGGTGGTGAACACGTGTTCGCCGTCGATGCACTCGCCGAACAACGGCGCGTCTGGATTGAGTTGCGCACTTCTGGTGAGCACGTCCCAGACGGTCTTTGTGATTCCGTCCGGGCAGCCGGTGATTGGCGCTGAATAGTGGAACATTGACAGTATTTTTAAAAGATTCATGTCACTAAAAAGCTAGTGCTCAAACTATTTACAGCATTGGATAGAGCGCGCCACGGTCTCCAGAGCTGACAATATGGGCGTGGCCCCCTCGGCCAAATGGCGTTTTCATGAATTGAGCAGGTTTTCTCTGATTTTTGTGGTCAACGGCGATGAAAAATGATTGTTCGACATGAAAACACACTAATTCTCAGAATTAATGACGTTTTGGCGCATTTTTCGCGAATTTCGCTTTTTCGCCTTCGCCGCCTAAAAACCGCACTTCTCATTTTGCGCTTTCTTGACCGTTTTCAGACAGAATTGGTTTTGAGAATGATAAATCACGTAAATACAAGCATTTTGAGCGCTCGAACCGCGAAAACTACCGGAAAGCAACTGAAATGCACGCAGTTTTGGCCAAAAAACTTCAAACGGATAAATGTGATTTGCGACTTGACCAAATTTAACGCTCTTGCGCTTAAGAAATTCGTAATAGCCTATACAATCAGTCTATCGAGAGAAAAATGAGAAATTATCGGTTTTTCGTGGCTAATCTGGCAAAAAACACAAATTTTGCTGTTAAAATTTGAATTTCGCGCCAATGTATCGCTCTATGGGGCGGGGCGCACTTGCGCACATTGTCAGCTCTGGAGCCCGTGATTCTTAAAAGATTCTTGTCACTAAAAAGCTCGTGCTCAAACTATTTATATCATTGGCGCCAAAAATTACATCAGTTTGCAGTATACCATTTTTTTTCCGAAAAAAATTGAAAAAACTTCTTAGCTGACCATTTTCACCGCTTTTTTATTTGACTCACTCGACACCTGTACACTTTCTCGAATCCGTTCGGGACCGTCGACGAGCCGGGAGAACATTTCCGGATGATCGGTTTTTTTGGCGACACGCGAACCGACCATGCTGCAAAAATGCTTCTGGTGAATGAAGGCAATTAGAAACACGAAGAAATCGGATCTGGACTAGATTTCGACTCATTTCGCTACACTTCGGGATCCGAAGGAGACTAGAGGCTAAGCGAATGAGGGAAAAGTGAGGGATGACCTCGATTCTTCGTGTTTCTTCTTCTCCTTCTCACTGTTTCGCGGATCGGCCCCTGAATAAATAGGCGCGACGCGGCCCGCCGCCCATTCTGGGGCGTCAAAGTGACGGTGAGAGGGGGTAAAAAACAACAGAGAGATTACGGTGGCGATTGGCAGTTTACACTGGACAAAGAAAGTGTCACAACACAAAATCAAGTGATAAGATCATGTTGATCACGTAGTTTGGACAGTTTCTATTTTACGCGGAACGAAAGGAAAGGAAAGGAAAAGAGGCAAGAGTGTTCAGAAACGGTTTATATATAACCGATTGGAGACGGGTTACCGGACGGATTAGGGATCAATGGAAGGGTGGTAGAAGAGTGAAAGTGTCAGAGAGAATATCGAACCTCCCGCCAGTCTATCCCCGCAAGAAAATGGAAACAAAGGGCGTGAAATTTTCGCGTGCGGTACCTTTGAACTGAACAGAAGAGAACGGCTGCACTTTGCTGACATATTTATTGATTTTTCGTCTTTGTATCTTATCGCACATTCTTTGTACGTGTCTCGAGCTGTCAAAGTACATTTAAGGAGTTGCGCATTGAGAGATCTTACCTGTAGCCCACCAAAAATTTGCCGTTTAGTCGAAATTTTGAACACTTGAAATGATGACAGCGGATTTGAGGAGTCACAAAGTCAAAAGTCGTTCCAAGCCTAAAAAAAAAAGAATCCTGCAAAGTTTGGGCCCGATGCCCACCTTAAAGCCAATCGTAGATTTCCAGACTTGCCAAATCCCGGGCCGGGCCAGCAAATCGTCGGCCCGGAAGTTAGACCTCAAAAAAAATATGCAAAAAAAATATGAAGGAAGAGGAAAACGCGTGCGGCAAAATTGCGAAAATGGCGTGCCAGAGTTGCAATCAATCGTTCCGCCCACTCTTGAGAAAATTTTCGTAATTTTTGTGAAAATTTTGCGACTTTAAACAGCAATTTCTGTTTTTTAACAGGTTTTTATGCTATAACATTGCCTTTTTCGTCTTTTTTTCTATTTCTGCTGGTTTTTACAATGAATCTTCAAAATTGAAGCAAAACGACGATAACGTAGGCCGTTTTCAATGTTTGGTGGGTAAAAATGGACGAAGACAAAGTGCTTGAAGAAAACGGCGGTCAACTCCCGGGCCGCGGGCCGGGCCGGGCCGGAAAATTTCCAATTTTGGCCCGGCCCGGCCCGTTGCAAGTCTGTAGATTTCCGATCGCTTCCTGCTATAATCCATTTCGGCTAACTTCATTTCTAGACACCTTTCGACACGAAGATGACGTGGTGTTCTGTTCCAAACTTCACTTTCAGTCAGTCCCGTTTCCCGTCATCGACACGTGTCATCGCGCGTGAAAAATAACAATCGGATAATCTGTGAACCGTTCTCGCCGCCCGTTTTGTTTCTTTTTTTTTTGGTTTTCAATTACTTTTATTCGGGTAAATGTGTGAAGAGACGACGACAAAATGGACAGGATTCGAGGAGAGAGAAACGTGTACAATGTTCGTTGTGTGGTGCAAAATATCAGAACAATTTGGTGTATGGGTATGGGTGTCAAGTGCGTGGGAGAGAGGGAGAAGAAGAAGAAGAAGAAGAGAAAAGGACCCGTCTTCCAATTATTATTGTTATTATTATTATTACTGTTATTCCTTGTTTTTGTCTTTCATATTTACAAAGCTTCCTTTTTGACCTACACAGACAAGTATATCTATTTGGGCGGGGGGCAGGGGTGGGGGTGATGAAAAAGTGACACCGGGGGGGATTACTTGTTGAAGCCTTCGAGCAGATATTTTAGACAAAACTGAAAGAATTTCCTATACAAAGTCTCGGCTTTCTCGTTGAATCGGTCCTGGAGGATGTATTTGACCATCTGGATGAACGGCTCTTCCATGTTTTGGAACGATGTCGACGTCATGCCGGATACCTGGAAACGATCAAATCCAGCACTATTCCAGCACAACGAACTCACCTTTGCCCGGTGCATTTTTCCCACCGAGATGAGCCTATCGCACGCCGTCTGCACGTCTCCCGGCTTCTCCTCGACCGCATTTATGACATCGTCAAACACCTTAAGAGGCATGTGTATGAGTATGAAAAGAGCACATTCAGATGAGTGTGCTCACATGATTTTTGCACCTGCTCACCTTTAAATATTGCGCGGCGACCGCTTCGAAGCCCGGATCGCTACAATTCATGTCGACGTCGGCTTTCACATTTTTCAACTTCAAATACATGTCCTTGTTCTCCGGAAAATCGTTCAAATACCTGAAAAATTCTCGCTTGCTTTTCATTATTATTATTCCATTTTGGCTAGTGTCAACACGTCTCTGACAAGACGCTGACGGCTACATGTACAATCGCCGATGCACTTGTTTTATGCGTTTTCCCCGGAATCGAGAAATGACCACCTGATTACCCGCGGTTGCGCGCCGCCTTTTTTCCCACCACATTGGGGGGATTAACTCTTTTGATAACAGATATCCATATCCGAAGCGGACGAGGTAAAAAAGAGATTGATACGCGCGCATGCGTCACACACACACACACATAATGACAACAAAATGCTTCTTACTTGGCGAACATAAACTTTCCGCAGTCCTTCTCGTTTCGTCGCACCGTCTTCCAATAGTTTTTCATCGTGAACAGTTCGCGAAAGTTCGGGTACGGTAGTCGAGTGTCGAGGGTGGGCGTTTCAGCCGCCGGCTGCTGACCACCACCACCACCGGCCGGTTCCGGCGGTTTCGCCTTTTCAGCCGACGCCGTCGACTTTGACGCTCCGCTTCCCATGGTTTTGGGAGGAGGGAGGGCTGGGCGGATGGGGACGAGTGGATGAATGGATGGATGACTCCAACCGGCTCACGCGACCGACGACGAGACACTCATACACACACACCCGCCCCTTTTCGCTAGAGGCTCTCGCTTGCTGGCTGACTCTCGCTCGTGCGCACCGCTTCTACCACCCGTTGATTACGTGTACGTGAGCCCGCACAAGTCACCTAGGGAACCGCGGCCCCCTTGGTGATTCGATTGGGGCGTTTTTTTTCACACTTTCTTCTGGAAATTCTCAATTCCCGAATGTTTCATGGGCTATCCAACACGGTCCTCGTTCAAGTTCATTCTTGGATGCTTCACTCGGTCCCACTGGTGGTAATCAGTGCCGTCAGACAAAAAGTTTGTGTGTGTGTCAGAATGAATCATCCATCAATGCGCACGCTATTCGCTTTTTATAGTCCGTCCACAAAGTGCACCTTGTCGGTTTTTTTTGTAGGGCACACGTAATCAGTCGCGCCACAAATGTGCTCAATGCTCAAAGCTCCCGGCTGCCAATATCAAGTGACCATGCACATGCGTGGGAAAAAAAACTACTCACTTGCTGAACATGTACGTCGCCGCCTCGACGCGCTTTCGATCCACCGTCTTCCACCAGTTTTTGAGCGTGAAGAATTCTCTGAAACTCGGAGGCTTAGTTGCAAAGCTTTCGGTTTTTTTTTAAAAGGGAAAACGGACCTGTAGGATTCGATGCCAACACGTTTATCCAGTGGTTTGACGGCTTCTGGCTCGGGCAGCGGAAGGCTCTTATCCTTGTTTTTGCGCAGCTTCTTGAACACCGCCATTCTGAACATTACAACTTGTAGAAACAGTTCACAGAACCTTCAAAAGCTCAAAAACCCGATGGAAGAGAGAGAGGGAGAAAGCCGCAAAAAAAGGTGTCCCATGGGGGCAACTTACGCGCAGAGCCGGATGGAAATCGAGGGGGAGCGGCTCAGGAATAGACAAGTTCGGAAAGAGACGTACTATAATTGAATGATACCGGTACCGGACAGATTTCTCTCTCTCTCTCTCTTTCTCTCCTCCCTCCAAAAGTTTATGGATCTGGAGAAATAGTGTGTGTGCGCGCGCGCGGGCGCGGATTTGAGATTCGGAGAGGAGACGGCGAGAGGGAGGAGATGTGTGCATAGATGGGGGAGCAGTAGTAACAGAAGAAGAAGGAGAAGGAGAAGAAGAAGCACACGCTGTTTTCGACGAGGAGCTCCCCGGCCGCTCGCGCACGCGCCTCGGAAAAATACTGAAAAAACGACGGGATTTCGACGACGACGACGACGACGACAGCCCGGAGCGGCGAGATGCGAGCGAATCCCGGAGAGACGCACAGAAATGCCCATGTTATTCGTGTGTGTGGGTGGGTGGGAAGCGGGTAGGGATGGGGTGCATTTCGGGGTTCATCCGGAAAGCCACGTGGCACCCACCTTTACACGAACTCTGCGCAAACGAGAGGGCCACGTTTTGCTACTACAAACGCAAAAGCGGTGCCAGGCGCTGCCAGGCACTGCCAGGCACTGCCAAGCGTGACGAGGTGAGAATCATGAAGAAATGTGTGAGAGTGAGAGAGAGAGAGAGAGAGAAATTAGTGATTTTCCGATATACACTAGAAAAGTTCGAACAAGAAAAATGTTTCGCCAAGTGTTCGAGACATGTCGATAACTTAACTTTCGGATAAATTTAGTGACATGATTTTTGAGCTGAAAATACAAAATCTATGCGTATTCAGAAATCGTGACACATTTCAATCCTCGTCACTTTTTCCAAGGAGGCTCAAAAAAACGTCAAGTTGTATATATGTATATAGTTGTAGAAACCGACAGAGAGACGACGACGGAAGATTGTTTATAAACGGAAGAAAGAAGAAAAGAAGAGGCTCTCAATTTCAGACGTCATCGAAAGAAGCGAGTCAGAGAAAGAGGAAGAAAAAGTAAAAGAAACAAACAAAAAATAGGGGGAACAAAGAGTTTCAGTCCGTCTGAAATCTTGGACTTTGTCTCCTTCTCCCTCTCCTTCTGCTCCTTTTCATCTTTACTCTTCAGAAGGGCGGAAAGTGGAGGAAGGGGGGGGAGGAAAGGGTCCAAGTGACTCTCTCTTCTCTACTCTCTCTTCCGCTCTATTCATGATGCACATAATGTTTTTGGACCATCCGAAAAGAGGAGGAAAAAAAAGAGAGAGAAAGAGAGGAGCAAAGCCACCCACCCAGAAAGACGGCCGTTCTTGGAGACTCGAGAGTAGCAGTTAGTTATGGATTAGAGCGCGCGCGCGCGGAAAAGCGAGCGGAAATGACTGAATGACGAGCAATTTCCGATCACAACCACAAACTTTATTCGGGGCCACGCGCTCTGCTGAACACAGTCAATTTATCGATTTTTTTGGCTGGCAAGTGAATATATTGTTTAGATCGTGAACTCAATGAACTTTTTTTTCTGAATTTTTCTGAATTTTCTAGTCAGAAGACGTCGCTGTTTGTAGTTGTAGCCGACGCGTACTTTGTGGTGCCCCGTCCACTGAAGCTCGTGACTTGGAGCCGACCGAAAGCGGAAGCCGACAAGGTAACACGCATATGTTCTATCAAACTCTCCCTCTGTCGGCTTCGTCTAATGAGAATGAGGAAAAAGAAGAGGGAAATGGCAAAGGAGAAGGCCGAGAAGGAATCGTATTCGGCAAAGCGGAAGGAAGGAAATGGGCGGCGCCTTCTCAGGAGAGCTCTTCTGCCGCTGCTTATGAGTAAGGACTTTGAGCAATTAACATTCGGCTCGAGCAGAACGAGCAGCCACAACTTTGTGGCGAATCGACGGAGAAAAACGGAGAAAAACGGAGAAAAAACGGAAAACGTTCATCGTTTTGTTGGCATTCGCTCGTAAACGAAGCGAACACTTTTGTTCAAACTTAGGTTTCACAGCTTTGTTTTCTAGCGCAGCACTTTTTTCATCTAGGCAGTAAAAATGTGCGAGCGGTAACTGATGGCAACCACAGCGTTTTTTGTTATTATACTGACATCTAACAAGATGTTTTCTACACAACAAAAAGAGGAAAAATTGAACGACTGCCGCCGCTGTTCTGAGACTTCAGATGTTTGCCGTCGGATCGATGAATACTGATTCATTTCACTCGACTTTTTGGGAATGAGTTCATTATGATGTAAACTATTATAGGGGCACCGGATAGAAAGGGCGCGCTGTTCGCAATCTGGCAGAATTTCTAGGCCGCGAAGTAATTTTCCACTGAAAACGTGGCCTAACTTTTCAAACTCCGCCCCGAGGTCGCTCAATTTGCACTGCAAAAAGAGTTTCTCAACAGAGCGCCATTTCTGTGCGGTGCCCCTATAATAACAAAGAGACACAAAAAGCACGCACGAGCAGTTATATTTTGAAAAAAGCTGTTTTAGCAGTGACCCCTAGACATTTCTGCGAGTTTCTTGTTGCTCGTTGCGAGTTTCAATTATAACCAATTCATTTCTAAATAAATTAGGAAAACTGACTCAGTATTCTTCGAACAGCACGCATCAGAAGTTGGGAAGCGTGCCGCTGGCCGGCGAGACGATGGCCGAACTTTCTAGATACTTCTCCTCACTGCACCCTCGCAAAGAATCACCGTGTCCTGATTTTTCGTGAAATTTTAGCGAAATGTCTCGTCTTTTTCACTTTTCTTTTTGTTAAAATCGTGCCTAGAACGCATTTCCACGTGGTTTCATCGAAAGACTGACGAAAATTGACAGATTTTGCAAAAAATCGGCATTTTTAATCTAATGTATTGTTTCGAACGCAAAATTGCTCAGATTTGTGTCGGAAATGAATATTTGCCTAAAAATTGTAATTGTTCTGGTTTTCCCATCGGAAATTATTTTTTCACAACGCGCTATTTCACAATCTACGCTCTTATTTTTTCACTCACGATTATTCAGTCAGGCAAAAAAAACCAGTAAAGACCGACGTTTTACTGTTTTTACTCATAGGCTTATTGAGTCACCTTAAAACAAGTAAAATAACGGTTTTTGAGGGTTCAATTGAGAAGAAAACGCAACTTTTCGGCAAACAGAGAAGTAACCAAGGATGAGCACAAAATGACATTATTCGGTCACAACTTTCTAACTTTTAATTGGTTCAATCTGTGCAGAAAATTCGTCATCAATGCCGTGAGATGCTCAATGAGTTACTTACCCACAGAAAAATTGGAACATTCTTTCGGCGGCGGCGGCGGTATTGAATTGAATTGAATACGTTAGACGAATGAACGTGCGCTCTCCTCGACTGATTTTATACGGGAAGGAGGGCTCGCGCACGCACGCCCGCTCGCTCTCCGCCGTCCTTTTCAAGGCAAGCAGAAGGAGGAGAAGAAGCTCGAGTTTGTTTTTTTTTATGCGAGCAGCGGGAGGACGAACCCGGTAGGAAGAGGGTGTAGAGAAAAAATTTACGAGCGATATAAGGCACGGATATAAAAATTTTATATTTTTATTCTATATTCCATCTCACTTTCACTCTTTCGAGAAGAAGAGCGCGCCTATATACAAAAACGGAGAAACGGATGCTCTCGCGGCGGAATGTTTGCATTCAATCTGAAATTAGCATAATTCACATGTCAGAAGAGTGCCCACAGAGCTCCGCCGACTAGATCCTTTCAAAATTTGTTGAATTCTCTACAAAGTTCCTGGAGATATGGTCCCCAACCCTCGGGGTAACTAGTTTCGGGTGCAATAGTGAAAAAAATAAGAAAAAAGAGCAAACGAGTTGGACGGGCGGGGGAATACGTCAATTAGATGTCGTTTTCGCGCCCGTTACGTCTATTGTGGCAGTGCGAGAGAGAGAGAGAGAGTATCTGTTTGTCGGGGGGTGACACCCACGGAAGTAGAGAGAGAGAGAGACAGAGTATTCGGCGAAGAAGAAGGAGAGAATGTTGCTGACGTAATTTGGTTGTAGACCTGGATTACAGTGACTTAACCACGAGAATAGCACATTGGTCAGAGGTTTCAGAGGGTTCTATGAGGGTTTACGGGTGAAAAACAGTTCCGGGTTCGTTCCAACAAAGTCTGAAAATTGGTTCGTCTCATTTCCTGCTATCACTATCAAAAAAAGAACCAGTCTGAGCGAATGTGTTTACCGTTCCCGAAAGATGACATTGCGGAGAAACATAGGGGAACTTTGGGCCAAAGTCTTTGGCTGTATCTTTGAATGAACGGTACAAACAGAGCAATTACTAGGGAATTATCTTTCGATAGCTTTCACCGAGAGGATCAAAGTTAGGCTTTGTCAAGATGCTCATTAGGGTCTTTTTTGCGTCCTGTTCGGGTTTCAAATCAATGACTTTCCAGCAAAAGTTCCCAGGTACTTGCAAACTAGAAAGCTCTAAACGTGCCGAGTCAAGCGGAGTATTTGGCAAACGTGCGCTTCACGAGCCTTCTCGGAAGTTCTTTGTGTGTTTTTCCACTAGCCAATCAATTAGAATCAATTAGCCAATAAGGTGTTTTTCTCCAAGAAAAATAAATGCAAAATGAGGAAGAGTTTTGCGTTGTGAGTTTGCGGCCAAAGAATCGAATGAATCTTCTGCGCCCGCAGCAGCGGCGGCGGTTCCTCCTTCTCCGACAACAACAACAAGTGGGGCTCCGGGAGGGCAATAAAAAGAGTTTCATAACTTTTTCCTCTCTCTTCTTTTCCTTTCTTCTCTCTTTTTATATGTTCTCTCTCTCTCTCTCTCTTCCTGTGTTGCTTGACGGACGTTGACTGACTGACGAAGCCCGAAATTAGGCATTCAGTCAACTCGGCGACGCGCAAAAAACGGACAAAGCCCCGAAAAAAGAAACGAGAGGCGGAATAATATGTGGTCAGAAACGGGGAAACGTGGCTAGCACCAGGTATTATTTAATTGCCGTTTCTTCAAAACGATATATCTCAGCTGGCGGTGGAGACATCAAAAAGTGGTCAACTAACAAAATTTTCCTTGATTAAATCTGTACACTTTATCAGTTTATCGATTTTTGATATCACTGAATACAGCTGACAGATACATCTACTCGAATAAACGGTGTTGCGTGTAAAACTACAAACTATATAATGTCTTTATTAAAATTTAATCAGATAAAAACTAAATCTGCACACAATCCCAGTGTGTGTGTGTGTGACAAGAATGATTGTTTGTGGTGAAATGAAGGAAAAGAAAGAGGCGACGACGGGAGGTGATAAAATGATTGGCTCGGGCTCTTTTGTGAGCTCAAGCTCTTGAGAAGCTCGGATGGATTGCGTGTGAAGTGGATGGTTATCAAACGGTCTTGCCTCAATGCATTTCTGATGAAGTGGCCATGGCCGAGCCGCCCGGAAGACACAAGAGTATAGTGGGCGGATATGCTCTTTTTGTTCTGGGCTCGAAATATATAAGATAAATAAAGTGTATGACCGAGATAATGTATATATAGATAGATAATCTAGTACCATGGTCTCGTTAGGCTGAAAATTGATGTAAATCAGAGGAAAAAGTGCTTGTCAAGGCAGTCGCACCGCTTCCGCGAGCTCGCCGTCGCTCCGTTGTTGTGGCCCGACTTATTCCTTCGCGAAATTGTCGAGTGCGAGTAGACGCGTTGCATTTCGCCGAATTTGTCCGTGATCGGCACGCTGTTCCGGATTCTCGAGTCTGCAACAACCCGATACCGTTATGCGCTTTTAAATTACGCTCGCTTTTCGCTTTTGCCGCTTTTGACGCGTCAAGCGCAAGTAAAACTATCGTTTTTCGTGAAAACAACGCGAAAAATCAACTATTTTTAGAAGTTACTAGAAAATTTTGCGTCATGCGCGAATTTCTATGGCCTAGAAACCCACAAACGACCGTAATTTAAAGGCGCATAACACATTTCTAGCGTTTCAAAAAAGCCTACCAAATTTGTTGAGCTTCAACGAGCCTCCCTGCTGTTTCGTTTCCAAATTGTTCTCGGTCAACCGCTCGCGCTCCTCCAAATAGATAATTTTGAGTTGTTCGGAAAGCGCGTCTGCAAATGATCGTCTCAAATTGTCTGCAAATCGACGATCGACAATACCGTAGAGGAATCGTTCCCACGCGTAGAACGTCGTGAATTTAAAGTTGCGAATGTCCAAATGGTGCATCTTGCAAAAGTTGGAGATCAACGAACGAACGAGCACCTTCTCTTGGACCTTTAAACGGAAGCAGGTTTGGGAAAAAGTGAAGAAAGCAAGTGCCGAGCGACGGAACACCGGACAAATTGGGTTAGTAGCCATTTAGAAGAGGGAAGCAGAAATCACAATCACTATCATCCGGTATCACCTTTGGTGGCAACTCGTGTTGGCACCAGAACGCCCTCGCATTCGCCCTCGCATTCACTACCTTTCCGTACTGGATTTGCATCCGCTTCAGGTGCGTCAACTCTTGGAATATCGCCCTTTCGTGAATGTACTTTTTGTTGGTCACGTTTGCTGGAAGCGAAAAAAACTGTTACTATCGATCTGTGACGATTCGATTACGCGAACTTTGTCCCTTTTCCTCGTCGTCGCTTTTATGTCCGTCTCCGTCGTCGTAAATATCCACGTCGCCTCCGTCACTTCCGATTTCCGGTTCTCGCCGCACACGCATCAATACCGTGCCATTAGTTGGCGATTTCTGAAAACGCGTTTTCTTTTCATGAATTTTGTGCTCAGCAGACATGAAAGCATGACTATATTCTCGAAATTTCTGACATTTTGCCGCATTTTTCACCTTCTTCTTCTCCGACTCGATCCTCACTTCCTTCTTCACCTTCTTCGGATTCTGCGACGACGTGGCATTCACCTCCTTCACAGTGATCTTCCTCTCCATTTCCTCCTCACTCTTCGCATCGTCACTCTCACTTTCGCGGGAACTCGACGAAGTGCTAGACTCGGACAAATCGGAAATCGGCGGCAGATTCTGCAATTGACCGCGGCATCGTACCTTTTCTTTTTTCCAACTCACTTCAAACTCATCATCTAGATCGAGAATGTCGACGACGCCCTCGTCCTCTTCTTCCTCTTTTTGTCGACTTTCGATCGACGCCTTCAGAGCCTCCAATTCCTGCTTGGGCGCCGATGGAACTTCCATCAAATTGGTCACCGACGTCGACTTTGAGTACTTTCGTTTCGACGCCTCCGCAGATCGACTCGTCCGTTGCTGAAATAAAATGATCCGATTCAGGCGAGCCCTGCCCTGGAACTCACCGAAGTATTGACTCCGACCTCCGCGATCTGCTTGGCCTTCTTCTCCTGCTCGGGCACTCCGTCCGTCGTCGACGGTCTTCTGTTCCGGTCCTTCTTCTCCGTCATCAACTGATCTCGGTGCCTCTTCGCCTCCACGACCATCGATTCGAACGATCTCTTCCACTCGGAAATGTACGCCGGCGTGAATTCCTTCGCCGACTTGGCCGCGCACATTCGCAGATAATCGACCACTTCGCGATGCTCTTGTTCGATGGCAAAGTCCAGTGGAGTCAATATTTTGCCTTTCTGAATGTTATACAATGTCTTTTTATGCATTCGTCGAGTTTTTCGGCTCACGTGGGCGAAAAAAAGGACGGTTATGCAGAAATCTGCCTATTAGTGTTCAGAGCGAAAAGTCAGAGCGATAATGAGAGCACGCCTGTGATTGTTTAAAAAGTTGGAAAAGTATTCAAGTTTTTTGCACAACAAGAAAGTTGAACACATTGGAAGATCAGGCTGACGTTAAAATCGGGTAAAAATGACGAACTATTATAGGGACACCGCACAGAAATCGCGCTCTGTTGAGAAACTTTTTTTGCAGTGCAAATTGAGCGACATCGGGGCCGAGTTTGAAAAGTTAGGCCACGTTTTCAGTGGAAAATTACTTCGTGGCCTAGAAATTCGGCCAGATTGCGAACAGCGCGCCCTTTCTGTCCGGTGCCCCTATAATAACTCCTTTTGATCTCTGTGACAGGTGCGAAATTCTTGAACGGTCCCTAGCCCGGTCATAATGTTCGCACGAGAACCGCATAGCCGACTGTCAATAACTCTACACTTGTCAATCTCGGCGAGAGCGTTCCTCTTTTTTTCTCTCTGCCCGGCCAGTCTTCCCAGAGGGCCAACACGTCGCGTACACCCACTTTTTGTCGAACCGCTGCCGTTCATTTGACCTACGCGCGCAGCTAGAAACTTGCGGTGTCCTCGACTGTTTTTCTCGTTTCTTTTCTAATTTTTTTCGGGGTTCAAGCGCACACATTTGAAGTCATTGTTTAATAGTTGCTTCTCACAGGAAATGTGGCCGAGCTTTTTCATTCTTCTACTAACTCGGCCACGACGTCATTTTATTTTGCACTTTTCGCTTTTCACGCTTCGGAGTTGTGCGCCTTCAAACTTGAAGCGAATTTCTCGATTTTTCGCCTTTTTCCAGCAAAAAAAAACCGATTTTCGACGGCTTTGCTGTTCAAATGTCAACAAAACGCGCAAATTTCCTTTTATTTCTCTCAAAAATTCGTCTTAAATCCGCTTTTGTGTTTGAAAAATGGCAGAAAATTCGTGATTTGCAGTATCCGCCGCAAATTTAAAGGCTCAGAACTCCGACGGTTGCATAATTTTCAGAATGAGCGATAGATTACCCATATCATAAGCGGGTCGACTTGACACTTGTGCGTGCACAACAGAATGACCATTTCGAGATTTCCCTGCGTGGCGGCCAAATGCAACGGAGTTCTGCCCACGTGATTCGGCGCGTCGACGACCTTTGCGTCGACCGCGAGCAGCCACTCGACCATGTCCTTGCTGCCGATCTGCACCGCCTCGTGGAACGGCACGTCGCCCCGATAGTTTTGAATGTCGAACGAGGCGCCGTACTGTCGCAGCAGCTTCAGCATCCGCAGCTGTCCGCTCGACGCACTGTGATGCGCGGGCGTTCGGAGTTGCGGAGTGATAAAGTTGGGATTGGCGCCGTGCTGGAGCAGTACTCTCGCCGCCTCGAAGTGTCCCAGCGAGACGGCGTAGAACAGCGGCGTCTGTCCGGTGTTGTCCACTTCGTTGATGACCGACTTGCTCACCCGGTTCACGAGAAACTCGACAATCTCGTGAAAGCCGTGGCTGGCGGCCCCGTGCAAAGTGTTCAATTGGTCGCGATCCTTGGCCGCCAGGTCGCCGCCCGAGTTGTGCAGCGCTATTATCGCCTCCAAATTTCCGTTGCTACAGCACCAAAGTATCGGCGTCCTTTTGTCGGTGTCGAGAGCGTTCGGATCGGCTCCGTGGCGGAGAAGAGTGATCAGAATGGCCTGCGATGTTTCCACGGGGAGATCTTCGGTGCAAACTGCGTAATGGAGAGGGCTTCCGCTTTGCTGTGATGGAAAAATAAGAGGTTTACAAGTGCTCTCTACCTGACACTTACAGTATTGTCCTTCAAGTTCACATCGACTTCCTTTCCAATGGCCCAATTGAGAGACTCTAACTGGAAATTAGCACCTACTTATAGAGACTTTGTTTTTCCTTTTTTCTCTTCGAAGTGTAACTTCCGGAGTTCCTTTTTCAGACAAACCTGCCCACACACGACCGCCCAGTGCACCAAATTCCGTCCCGCGTAATCCACGTGGTGCAAATTGGCTCCAAACTTGACCAACTGCTCAGCGTGGTCGATTTTGCCAAACTGGATGGATTGGAAAAGAGGTGTAAGTCTGAGGGAAGCCATAAATTTCATTTTCCAACATCATCCGTACCCTTCCTCATCGGCCACGTCGACAAGACTCTTATCCGCCACGTACACCAACTTCATCGTGTTGATGTCGTCGCACGAGGCGGCGTAGTGTAAAGCGACTCTTCCGCCCTCATCTCGAACCGACACCTCTTCCTAAATCACTTATTTCTACTTTTTCAGTGCAAAGCACAAAGATTGCTTACAGGATGTTCGGTGAGCAATCGCTGCACTTCCGCGTAATCGTGCTGATCGAACGCGGCTATCATGCTGTCTTCAACTCAAATAGAACATAGAAGAACACGGGACGACAGAGAAACGAGAGCGAAAAAGTACGACTATTGTTCGTGGAAGAATGGCGAAAAGAAAAGGAAGGGCGACACGAGAGTGCGGTGGGGTTGCCCGGGTGATGGGCGGCTCCAAGAAGACTGAGCAGGCAAGGCAAAAACTAAAGTTGGCGTGTAATGGATTGCGTGTCGCTCTCTCTCTCTCTCTGTTCTTCATCTCTCTTGCTTGCTTCTCAAAAATTCGCAAATTATATATTACGTACGTCCGCACACACACACACACAAACACGGCACATGATGAGGATGATGGGCATGTATGGAATGGAGTGGAATATCCGGCAAGGATTAAATGATAGCCGGGGATGCGATGAAGACATTTCGAAATTCGCGGTGAATGGGATCTTGAAGGGGAGAAAAAAATAAGTTTTTCGTCAAAATAGCACCTTTCGAAGGTTTCGAGTCGAAACAAACAAAAAAAGTTCCCTCTTGTGACAGTTGAGCGCTCGGATGAAATTTTCCCGGTTTTTTCGGTACGTTTTTTCAGGAAAAAGTCTCTATTTCGCCAATTCTGAACGAGTATTCCTCGTTTCGCGAGTTTTACTGAATCTGAAATTCATGAATTCTAAATTTCGCGCAATTGTTCATTTCGTTTTTGCTTTTGAAGAGAACGTTCTGAAATTATGCCCACTTTACGAAAGCAGTCATTTTTAAGTTGAAATCCAAGGAAAATTGTTTATTTGCACCTGAAAATCCATCAAATTCTACGCTTTCCGCAGGTATTATCTTCCCTTCATTCAATCTTTCTTTTCCGCTGCTTGACAAAACACATGTGTTTATCATGAAACACGAGTGAAAAAGTGTGTAAAATTATTCAGTTGCCGTATTGCTGTTTTCTTTCTCCAATTTCCACTCAAAACGTGTCACTTTTCTCTGCGCCAATTTACTTTTGGCGCGCCATGGCGACGCAAAATTGCGTACAAGTACGTAAGTAGCGTCACGCGCGAAATTCGAATGGAACCACCGCAACCTTTCGTTTTTGCTCGTCTTTGCTCGATTCTCACTCGGTTTTTTAGATGTTTAAGATATTGTACTGACAAAATATGCGTCCAAAAGCTCGAAGAATTGCTGAAAAGAATTGAATTTCTGATTTGACCGCCGAAACATGAAAGTTTCGGCAAAAATGATGAAGCTTGTTAAATATTTTTCTCCGCCCTCGACATCGCATCATCGTTTCGCCACAGACATTTTTCTCGAGAAAAAGAGAAAAAAAGGTTGAATATCTTCATTTGAAAATGTTGAAACGCAAAAAAAACGCGATCTTTTCGAGAGGCGCAGAGAGGCGCACTTTCACTGCGCCTCGATCTTGAATGAAACATCATCTTCTGCAAAGTGTGGCCGCTTGCCGACTTGTTATTAATGAAAAATATGCTAACACGCCGAAAGACGACGACAAGTGGCTGTTTATTTACTTACCAAACACCTACTTGCAAAGTCAGAGTTCAAGTTTCGATGTCGAAACTTTTTGAATTTCGAAATCCCCGATCCGTTCCGTTTCGCAATTCTAATTGCTCCGACCTTTTCGATATTTTTTTTCAAACTTCTCTTCTCTTCTCTCCTTTCTCTCTCTCTCTCTCACACACACATTCGTCATTCATTTACGCAGCACACCCACATCTGCATATACCATTTTTTTCGGTCGTCACTCCACTCGTAACCCTTCGACCGCGCCCGCGCGCGTTTGATTCGAATGCGAGTTGAACGTTTCGTTCTTGCCCGATTCGAAAAGTGACAAGTGCACTGATTCGCTCACTGGCTGACCACAATGCTACATTCTTTACGCCCTTGTCCCTGTCGATCGGCGGCGGTTTTTTTTTTCGAATGTGTGTTGCAAAGAATCGACCTTTCGCGTTCGCCACCAATTGTACGGCTGAACCCATGTCTGTGCAATGCATTCCGTCCATGACGTCTTCTTTCTTTCTTTTTCTCACCCGCCATCTCTCGCCTCCCAAATCCTGCTTTGTGTGGTGAGCACCTCAAAAAAAAGCTCCTGTCCTCGTCGACTCCGTCCGTCAGCTGTCCTCTTACTTTATGTTCACTTTCATCAGTGCAATGTTTGACTTGTAGTGTGAGTACGGATCGAATGAAAAATTTCCTGAAAATGTATTCACATTCGTGAGCTCCTCACTCCTCCCAATTCGTCATCCTTTTGTACATCCTGAAAATCGTACAGGCGCCAATGCAATATGCAATATTTGTGGAAATCGTAACAAAAAAGAAACATCGCCTACTACAGTTTCCACGCAAACATCGCGTTGAATCATCACAGCTTCTGTACGATTGGGAGGAGCAGAAGAAGAGCATTTCACCTTCGCATCCCGCAAAAAGACGAATGCTTCTGATTTCTGAGTCATCTGTGCTCATTGATCTCGACGCTCTGGCTAATTGCCATTTTTTGTGTTCTCTCTTTCTCTTCGGGAGACAATGTGTCAGCAAGTACCTTCTTGACAAGTTTTGGTGGTGGCTGTTTCGATGCTGAGAACCTCTTGGGAGATGCCCCCCCCCCCCCCACACCCACTTTATTCTCAGTTTCTCTAGCCCTTTCGTTTCGGATTTCGAAGCTTGAATTTCGCCCTCTGCTGTGGAAATTGTTTCCGTCCGTCCTCCACTTTTCGGCGCCGCCGCCGCCGCCACACAAGTTTTGTGAGCATTTGTGTTCTGCAATGCCGAAGACGGCGACAAATCGCTCTATTTTTCCGTTTCATTCTATCTGGTTCGTTCGGCTCATATGTAGCTCCCGAGCTAAGCCTCCTTGACGTCTTCGCGCCCAGAATTGCCACGTCATACGATCATATGTGGCGGTCATACTCGCAAGTCCGAAGGAAAGATGATATCGTTGTTTTTGTTGTTTCTTTCCTTCTTTTCTTTTTCCTCTTCTGTGCCTCAAAAAAAGGAGAAAGAGGCGACGCGCGAGTGAGAGAAAGAGTGAGAAGGCACAGATTTGAGCACGCTCACGCATGCAACTCAAAAATAGGAAGACGGCCGCGCCCGTTTTGGCATCTTTCGCACTTTTCCGCATTGACACATCGTTTCGCTTCTCTTTCTCACGAAATCATCTGCGCGCACCGAGCAGCAGCAGCAGCAGCCGTCCCGCTCACTTTTTTGTTGTTTTGGGAATCATAAATAAAAGGATGAAAAGGCAAGGAAGAAGAGAAGACGATTATACGCCTGTGTACATGTAGTCGTCGTCTTCCTTTTCTGTGTTTTGCGCGTTCTGTTTTCCGTCAACTTTCAGCTCTTTCAGCTACACGGAAGTGCTATCGGGGCATTTCAATGTGAATGCGATCTACTGAGAAACCCCTCTTTTTGTGATCTCCGGGGCCTAATTTTGCTGCCACGAAACGAATTGCAATTATTTTTCATTTGAATTCTGGAATAATTTTCTCGATTTTCGATTGGTGCCGAGCTGAAGGTCAAAATTGCAACAGAGCGCATTCGCTTTGAACAACCTCGCTAGTAGGTACATCTACAATAGTTTTCGAGCCAAAGACAACGGAACAAGTTGTTTTCCTCACCTCTATCCTCAAGCTGCTCCCCAGGGACCTAAATGTGTTCCATGTCTTTCTGTCGCTTCGCTAATCACTCGAACGACTACATCCCCGCGATTTTCGCTCACCCGCCCGTTTCTCAAACGCTCGCTCAAAAATCCGAAGGCGCCGTGCTGCCATTCTTCATCTGGAATGCATGGCAATGTGCCCGTTTCCTTTCACGTGCCCCCCTCCGGCTCTATTACATGTTTTGAGCAAATTTACCGCGTGGAAAACAGAGACGCTATTGTACGCTCAACCGAAAAAACCTTGAAAAGATGTTATCCGCTGTCTGTCGGTGACGCCTCGCCTATAACAGCAAAAAAAAAAAACGGAGAAGACGAAGACGGCGTTTGTTTGATTTTGTGCTGTCAGGAAATGAGCCGCCCTTCTCAAACGACACGAAAAACGAGAAGACGTGCGACGGGATTGATTGGGCCAATCCAATCCAATTGCCTCCTTCCAGAATTGTCAACGTTTTCGTGGTGTCACGATCAAACGTCAATTCAATTAAGAAGCGCCGAGAAAAAATGGGAACAGAATTGGCGTCTCGGAGCACAGCTGTTAACGGTCGGCAGTGTTTTGAAGAAAATCATTTAGTTTCCATTTGGATCAAGACAACAATTTTCAAGGTCGCCCTAATGACACTTTTAGTCTGATGTCGTCTAAAAGTTTTCAAATAATAAAGGAGAAAAAGTTAGTGTTTCAAAGTTGATCTAAAAGTGCCATTAACGCAACTTTCATCATCTTTTCTTATTGTAATTGAAGAGGCATGCTTGTTCAAGAAAGTAATTAATCTTCATAACTCTACGAATTCTATTTTTTTTTCTGCATCCGAATTCATTCTCCGAATCAGCCATAAAACCCGAGGGCACACACGTTCTTCCTCTTCTTCTTCTTCTCTTCTGCTCCTCTTCACACGCGAAATTGCGCTTCTCCTCCTCCTCCTTCGTCAATTTCGGTTTTTTGTGCCGTGTCGAATGTTTGGACGACGCTTTTTCCTCCATTTCTCTTTTGTGTACTGTTTGCTTTTTGTATATGTGTAGGTGCTTTCACTTCTCAACTCTCTCGCGCTTTCCCACTGCGTCTCGCCGTCCTCTTCTTTCCTTTTTCGCCCATCAGAGCCAGCCTTATCAAACTACTCTCGGCCGCTCTGCCGCGTGTTTGGCAAAGTGGCAAAACAGTTGAACGTGTCGGGTGATAATGTCGTCCCTCGCCGTGTCAACTCCAACTCAATCTCGTGAATTTACAGACGGTCCGAACATCCTCTCGCTCGTTTGCTCGACTTCAAAACGGCAGAATGCGTGGCGCAACAGCTCTCGCCGTCACTTTGACGGTTCTGTTTACGTTGTGTAAGTTTGCTTGTCCTTGTTTTCACGTCCAAGTGTGATCGGTACCGAAAAGGGACGACGAGCGTGTTTGTCGGGGCCTGTTAGTCACACGTCCCGCCGCGGTCCCTTTCAGAGGGGAACTCACACTCACATAGTTACATTTTGGTGTACACACGGGTTTATGAGTTTTTGGTCTTTGAGGCAACAATAGGCTTGCTCTTCAAAGACTGACTCAACTTTTAAATTAGAGTTTTATGCCGATCGCTTGCCAAACCAGTGTTTTCTAAAGACCAAGACACCCAAACTTTGCATGCTTACCAGCCTTGGTTTGGAGCATCTAACTTGAAAATTTCGAATCGATGGCATTTTCTGATCTGGAGATATCGTGATTTAGAGCCTAAACGCCCTGAAATGTTCAAGTTAGATACTCGAAACCAAACCAGCGCTACAACGTGATAGAACTTGAAATAGAACTCGCTACGTAATAAAACTGTGCGGAATAGAACTGTAACGAGATAGAACTGAATTTTCCTGGCTTTTTGCGGTTAAAACCACGTCGATAGAGTTCTACTTTGACAGTTTTGTTTCGTAGCAGTTCTATTTCTTTCTAGCATCAGTTCAAAAGCTTAGCTCTGATTAGAACTAATAGTATTGTACGTCTTCAGATGTACGGAATGACGCGGCCACGAGTACCCGGTACACAGCGATGGGCAATCTGCAGACGGTGATCAACGGCGAGACGCTCTTCTCGACCGACCTCGATCCGGAACGTCCGCCGACCGGAGAACTCTGGTCCGTGCCGCCACCACCAATCCGCTCCCCAAAACTCCCTCCAAGTTTTGCAGGTGTCAAGTGCGCGAGGGTGCCATCCATCACAACACGACGTGGGCTCGCTTCGTGCGCGCGCGCGACAACAAGGCGTTCATCGCCGACATTCAGGGCGACAACAAGGCCTATCTTTACTTTTCCAAGTCGAAAGCCGAGGCGTCGGGCAAGTACCGCTGCGAGATCAAAGTGCCAGACAACTCGGTCATCACCGGAAACATGTTCGCTTATTGTGCGTTTCGGAAAACGAGAATCTCCGGGGAATTGCATCTTTTGTTTTTGCAGCTCATCCGATCGTGAAGAACAACGAGTCGTGGCCGCTCAAAAAGTCGGATCAGGAAGAGTCGCTCGCAGTGGTAAAATACACTTTTCACCAGCCGAACCTGGCCTAAAATGTCAACTCTCAGGGCCCGACTGTCTACGCGTCGCTCGACTCCACCGCCCGCATCGGATGTCCGATCATCGGCTATCCGGAGCCCAACATTGTCTGGTACAAGGACAAGTTCCCGCTTGAGCTCGGCGAGCGCGTCACCTACGACCGCGCGAGCGGAGTGCTCAGCATCGAGGGCGCCAAGGAGGCGGACGCGGGCGTTTACCGCTGCGAGGCCACCAACAGCTTCCCGGTGAAACTCGACACGCAGGAGCAGGAGTTCATCGTCAAACTCGACCAGGAATTGCGCATTGGAGGTGAATATTATTGGATTATGACGCGCGTTCCGAATGTGTTCGTTGCAATCATTTTGGGTGTTCAAAAGGCAAAATTGGTTGAGAAATGATTAAACTTTGTGCAGTTCTCAGAATTTGCAACCGAATAAGGGCCAGTTATAAACGAAACGATTTCCCTGAACATTAGTATTCGTTACCGATTTTTCCACACTTTTCTTCTCAAGCTCTCCGATTTGCAGACTACTACGGATGGATGCTTCCGCTGGCGATCATCCTAATCACCCTGCTTCTCCTCTTCCTCATCATCTTCACGTGCCAACGCTGCACCAAGTACAACTCGGCGCAGTACAACGTGGCGGATCGTGAGCGGGCCCTGCACAACGACCAGGTGCCACTCAAGAACAGCGTCTAACTTCTCGAATTGCCCTTTTACATTTTCGCCTAATTTCCACACGTTTCTCCCCGTCCGTGCTCAAAACAACGCGCCCCCTTATTCATTTCACTGCCACTTTGCTCCGATCGCACTCTCTTTTTCCCGTTTTCGCACCGTTTCACTTCGCATTTGTGGCCCTTCTCCCCTCCCCGTTTGTATGCACTTTTCCATGCTCTTCTAGATGTTGTTAACCCCCCGAAGCCGGTATTCCCACTTCTCCCCTTCCCCTCTGCTTTCCGCTCTCTCCTAAATAACAACTCCCCGCTTGTTCTGGTATTCCCCGTAAGGTCCGACCTTTTTCTTCCTCGTTTCCTCATCCTCCTTCCCATTGAGTTCAGATTCCCGTGACGTGGAATCGACAGTTTCTTACTGATTCTCCGAAACAATGAACCAATCACGCTTCATTTTTTTTTAGAGAAATCAATTGAAAAACAGCACACACACACGCACCAGTCAAACGTTTAAAAAATGTGGGGGCAACGAATGAAAGCAAAACAAACTGGGAAGCAGTAAAATAAAACAAGCGGGGCGGAGAATGAAGAGGATATTAAAGTCATTGGATTGGAGCTATTTGAGAACGCTTTGAAGATGAGAACAACAAAAAGGACGGGGATAGCAACAAATTATGAAAATTGAATTTGCAAAACTCGAATACAATAAAAGCAAAAAAAAGGGGGGGGGGGAGTTTATTGTCCTGGCAGTCCTGGCATGGCTCCTCCGGATTGCGAACGCACGTTCTTCACAGTCTGATCAATCGACAGAACCAGACAGGCGGCTTCTGTGGCAGCGGTGATGGCGTTCTGGAAAAAGAAGATTTATGAAAAACTTTTATCAAATTTTCCTTACCCTCTTCACAATGCTCGGCTCCCAGACACAGGCGGCAAGGTTGTCTCCGACGGCTTCGCGGTGAATGTCGATTCCCGCCCATTTCTCACCTGAAAAATACTTTTGGAAAAATATATTTTTGTGTTTACTAGTTGTACCTTGGGCATGACGGTGTCTCAACTTGTTCAGAACATCCAGCGCGTCCAAACCGGCATTCTGGCACAATTGGCGCGGAATAATCTCGAATGACTGCGCGTAGGCGAGCCAGAACATCTGATCTTTGCCTTCGATTCCCTGAGCGAACTCGCGAACGAGTCTGCTCAGCTCCATTTCGATGGCTCCTCCTCCGGCGACAATCGAGTCGTTCTTCTTAGCTCGTCGCACAATCATGATGGCGTCGTGGAGCGAGCGTTCCGTCTCGGCGATGAACTGCTCGGCGCCTCCGCGTAGAAGAAGAGTGCACGCCTGCGCTCGCGAGCAATCCTCGAAGAAGTTGTAGCGCTCGCTTCCGACCTGTTGCTCGTAGAACGTGCCGCACTTTCCGAGCACGGAGTCGTCGATCTGCGAGACGGTGGTCAGCACGCTTCCTCCGCACGCGGCGATCAGGCGATCGAGATCGTCCTGCGGAATGCGGCCGGCGCAGAACATGTCCCGATCTGCGAACCACTGGGTGGCGACGTCTCCGATAGGAAGCCTCGAGAGCACTACGTTCGCTCCGCTGTCATGGATCTTCTGGAGCTTGTCGTAGAGAATGTTCCACTCGGCATCGACGACCGCTTGGAAGTCGGTCACGTTGCTCAGTCTCATCTCGGCGTTGTCCTTCTCGGCCTTCAGCTCGAGCTCAATGTTGAGCAGAGCAACTTTCACGTTCGAGTACTTCTTCGGCTGCATCTCGAATCCAGCGTAACTGAAAGCCTTTTGGAATGCGACTCCTTTGATCAAACGGGATTCCTGAAAAAGAAGGTGTAACTACATGATTTTCAGCGTTTTGAGCTTACATTCAGATTTCCACCGTTGACCTTCTTGATTCCGATCATGTTAAGTGGAAGGTTGACGTCAAGCGTGTTGACGGCGTCCACAATCATGTTGGCGAAGAAATTACGCTCATGGCTGACAAGTTTGCTGCTCAGCGTGGTGGCCGCGCACTTGACAAGCATCTCACGCAGCTCCGTCTCTCCGCTGATCTTGATTTCCAGATCCGCCAGATATGTGAGCACCTTTTCGCACGCCTTTCCAATGGCGCGGATAAGAAGTTGCGGATGAACGCCGTCCTCAATGAACGTCTTCATCTGCTTCAGAATCTCAGCAGCCAGCACGACGACAGACGTGGTTCCGTCGCCGACTTCGGCGTCTTGAGAGCGCGCAATGTCGACCATCACGGAAGCGGCCGGGAAGACGATGTCAAGCAGCTTCAGAATGGTAGCGCCGTCATTGGAGATGGTAGTTTCGCCCTTGCTATCGACGATGAGCTTGTCGAGACCACGTGGACCCAAAGTGGTGCGGATGCTGTCGGCAACAACCTGAAATTTGGAGCGTTCCAGAAACAGTTTAGTTTTTTTTCTTTTCCGTTTTACATTGCACGCATTGATGTTGGACACTATCTGGCCCTTTCCTTGCTTGTTCTCGGTTCCGTCCTTGAGCAGAATAATCGGTGGGCGCATCATTTTGCTGGAAAAAAAGAATTTTTCAATTGTTCGAAGCAGCCTAAAAACATAAAAATCGAGCAGGAAAACGCTGAAATCAAAGAGGCGAGTGGTGAAAATCGACAATTATCAAATTCCCGTGAAACATCGAGAAGAAATGGGCAGAATCAACGGCTTTCGGCGATCTTCGAGTATTTGAAATTCTTTCTGGAAAGACTTTGCGAGCGTTGCGGTACGCGGCGCGGTCGCCACGCAAAAGCTAGTCCAGCAGACGGCGGCCACGGCCACACTCCGCTCAGACGTCGTCGTTAATCGCCCTGAAGCTGCGGGGAGAACGAAAGGAGGAAACGAGGAAACGTGAAAGGAGAAGAGGAAAATGTCAATACTGAGAAGCAAGGAAAATGCAAATGTAACGATGTCTGGGAGCAGCGAAAGAGGGGGCCTACGAGCGAGAGATGACGGCGAACCGAGAGGCTCGGGGCTCAGCAAAAGCGAGAAATCGGGGAAGAAGAGGGAGAGCGGCAAAGTTGTGTTCTTGAGGACCCTTCTTCTCGCCTCCCCACTCCTTTTTCCGCTATTTTCCCCTTTCCCACGTGGCTTGCCCTGTCATAAACAGCCAATGCCGGAGCTCGAGTTCAAAACGGGCACTCTGGAGCACAAGGACGTCGTGCACAAGTTCCTGATGCACCACTTTCGAGTCACCGAACCAATCACCACGTCGCTCGGTTGCTCCGAAGAAGACGTCGACGCCTTCTTCGTGGATCTGACGATGAGCGGGCTGAACGATGAGAAGAGCTCTATTGTCGTTTTTGAGAGGGAGGTAAACAGAACGCCTCTTTATCGTTGCTAATGTTTTGCCTCATTTGAAAAGGTTTTTTCACGCCTGAATAGGGCGCTCATTCCGATTATTCACCGGGCATTCCAACCGCGAAAAGGCTTGCAGAAAGTGGTCGCCGTCTGTCTGAATGCCATCAAATCCGGTGCTCCTCTGAACGGACAAGTCCTCCGTCAGACGCCTTTCGACCCGCACCGCGACTATTGCTCCGAAATCTCCCGGGGACCGTACAGCCGAGAGAACGCCAACAAATTGTGCGCTTTCGTGGGCGCAATGGAGCACGATTTGGCGTTTTTGACGGGCTCGCCGAGCAGAATCTTCAAAATTGATGTGCTTTGCGTTTCGAAAGAGTGTCAGGGGTATTTGACGGAATAATTGAGACGATTTTCGATTTCGATTACAGGAACGGCGTCGGAAGGAAGCTAGTCGAGCAGAGTTTGGAGAGAGCCGCCGAGGAGGGGTGTCAGTTCGTGGCCACTGTCGCCACCGCCGTCGCCTCTCAGAACATTTTCAGCAAGGTATTCCATTTTTATAGATTTGTTTCTGTAAATTTCGCGCAGAAACGAACGCGAATTGTCGTTAAACACTGATTCAACGCGTTTTCTTGCAGTGTGGTCTTGAAACGCTCCTCGAAATGCCATTCTCGTGCTTCCGAAACGACGGCGAAGTGGTGTTCGAGAAGCTTCCGGATGGAGGATTCAGTGGAAAACTGATGGGTATTCGGTTGGAGCCGAAACAGACCGAAGAGGAGGAAGATGGCGACTTGCGATGAGAACTCTTGAACTGTTTTTCTTTAGAACGAATCTTGTTAGACCAAACTGTAGCAGTTTTGTAGACCCGATCTCATAATAACAATCTCTGAAAGCAATAAAACGTACTTACTTTCATGAATCAGAATTTTTGATTTTCGAAAAGGCGGGAGAAATCAATACAGTACAAATACATGGTTAGAAAAAATTCAGAAGAAGTTGAGTGGCCTCATCCGACCGACGAGTTCGTCCATCCTTTCCATTCCCACCTCGATTTTCTGCATTCCGACCCGTTCCTTCTCGTACTTCTCGCACATCTCCACTTGGAACTTCTCGTACTCTTTCTGAACGTCTTCCAGTCGGCTCATCGTGTTTTTCTGACAAGAATGAATTTTTTTTTCGTCTGAATCGTCTATTTAGATTACCAGCGACAAATTTGTCTTCTTGGCCGCCGCGGCCTTCTTTTCCGCGAGAGTCTGCTCTCCGGCCACTTGAGTGTTCTTCGCAAAGTTCGCATAGAGTTTCTTGACGATCTCGTCGTGCGTCTGCTCCCTCCGAACGGTCATATCCATCAGACACGACTCTGGCGGCAACGTGGACAAAAGAGTTCCGTCTTCGACAAAGTGTTCTGCTTTCTCGAGCAGCGTCTTCCGGTTCTTCTTGATCGTTTTGTAGTCCTCGATCTCTTTTTTCACTTCCTTTAGGTACTTTTCCATCTGCAAATCAATTCAATTTAAAATGTGTTCACATTTCCAACAATCTCACCGCCTGCTTATCCATGATCGAGGCCTTCAGCAATCCGGGCATGTCCTCTGGGTTGTTGGCCATCAACAGCTCCAAGTGCGTCGTGTCATCCGACTTTTTCTCGTCACTGACGACCATTTCTTTGCTCGTGAAGCATAATCGTTTGCCAGGTGTTGGCATCGACTTGCGTCGTGGCGTCGCTGCGTGGTCACACGAAACATTCTCCGGAGCCACCGCTCTTCCGGGCGACGGCACCACCGACGTGTCCACTTCCATCGGTTCCACGTCATCGAGTTCTTCATCGGATATGATTTCATTCACAATCGGGGCCGCCCCAGCGTCCTCAACGTGTTGCCGTGATTCGTCGGGGAAAACGAGCGTCGGGATTGGTTCTTTACGAGCCACTTTCTTCTTTGGCATTGTCGACGAGTCCACGGGCGATGCGAACAGAGCGGCTCTCGTCAAGAACGTCTCTCGTCTGTTCTGGTTCATACTGAACTGAAAATTACTAGATTGCCCTTATTTTAATTTAAAACACGTATAAAACGTGGGAAAATGATAAAAAATGATGACGGGGTGTCGATCACAGTGTTCCGTTGCAAAAAAACGTGACAAGATCAAAGAAACAACACTGAAATTCCACATTACGCATTCTGTTTCAAACCCTGCGGACTCCCGCCGGTTTTTGAAGCATCGTACTGCGCCTTGTTTAGCAGAATGTGGCATTTGTTGGATTTTGACAGAGATTTCAATAAAAATCAAGAAAGAATTAATGTAAAACAGCTAGAAAGCATAAAAATAAATGAAAGAAATACAAGATGACTTTTTCAGAATCCCAATAAAATTTATTCAGCTGCTTCACAACCTCTTTCTATTTGAAAAAGCGTGGAACTGTTACCGGAGTGGCTGCTCTCTGAGCACCCGACGGTCTCATAGTGGAATTCTGATGGGCAAGTATTCTGAGACGCCTCGAGAAGGCATCTGAAACCTGCCGGAAGCAGCAGGAGCGCGTAAAAGGCAGAGAGGGGACGGCGAAATAGAAGGACCCTCACCTCGCTGGCAGAGGCTGCCGTCCCAGCGTCCCAGCGTCCAAGCTTCTCAATGTGGAATTCTAATGAGGAGGGATTCAGAGAAGCCTCGAGAAGGCAATATACACCTGCTGAAAGCAGCAGAAGTGCGTAGAAGGCAAGGACGGACGGCGAAGTCGACAGGCTCTGCTCGCTCGAAGTGGCTGCCGTCCGAGCGTCCTGACGTTTCGAAATCCCAATCGTACTTTCCCATCGGAGTCCTTTGTCGGCGTCCTTATCATTCTTATCACTAGTCTCCCCCGGTAATCAAGACCGCAGGTAGGGGAATAGTGCGGTTTTCGTTGACAAACTGAGAAAAAGGTCGCGCGCGGCGAGCGAACTTTCAAGGTGCAGCTACCTAACTAATCCGAAAAAACCTAATCTTGTCGAATGAAGGCTGTTTGATGAACCTTTTTCAAAGTGAGGAAGTCGAGTGTTTTGGGGATTTGTGATAAATTATGGTTGTTTTTGAGTTTTAACAGAAAAACATATTGCACATGGCATTCGCCTCCACACAACCCTTTTTGTCTATTCATTTTTCCATATCTATGATACTTCACTGATCCGTTCGTTTTCTGTTGTCATTTTTTTTTTGGTTTTGAATAAATGAAAAGCTCCATCAATAAACAAACAACCATTGCAAAACAATAAAAGAAACCTCGGTGTTTTATGGATTTGCTGTCTACGACACTGAATTTCTTGTATTTCCATTCATAATATTCACTCGCCTTCAACGCTCATTTTCATAGGGAATTTGATGTTTGCACCTCGCGACGAGAGCTACGTGTCCGATGCGGACGAGCTGAAAGAGCAGTGCTCGAGACGCTGAAGGTACACGTGGAGCAGCCGTTTTTGGAAGAGTGAGTTCAGACAAGAAAACATTTTGAGCCTAAAATGCACAATTAGTTAAAAATTGAAGTGCTCACTAGGTTTATCTATTGATTTCTGAATCATTACGTTGTACCGCCAAATTTTGAATTTTGTTGTTGTCATCGCAAACGCGCTCCATTGCGACAGTTGCTTTTGAAAGCTTTCCAGCAAAATTCTGAAGTTTTCTCCGTCGTTTTCCCGCATCGTCCAGTCAAAAACCTTCTCAAGATTCCCGAAAACTACTTTTCAGTGCAAAATGTATGAGGGATCATCGGACGAGCACGAAATGGATCCGACTTCCGAAGGACCGAGCTCGTCGAGCGGAAGAACTCGAACTCCAGCCAGACGGCGGAGTGCGAGGAATAAAGAAGAAGAAGTGGCGTCGGAGGAACGGACGAGCAGTTTGAGAAAAAGAAGCAATCCATCGGCGCTGGACCGGTAAGAATTGAATTTACAGGTGAAAACCGATAAATATGAAATTTTGAGCCCTGCGAAAACGAGGAGACGGTTCACAGACGAGGAAATAAAGGAGATGTGGTTGTTTGTCGTCAACAAAATACGCGACCCATTCACTGATCGGATAATAAAACTGCAAATTGGCTTGAAAACTTGGACAGAGTTCAAAATGACCAGCGACTCGCCTCGTGACGCCATCAGTTTCTATTGTTGGTAAGAGCCGGCGTAAAAGGACTGGAAAGTTTGACAAAAGGTGTTCAGCTTCAGACGACTCGTTCACACCCTCTACACGACGAATTTCGATCTGCAGACGAAGGCGAATCTACATTATGCACTTTCGATTCCCATCGAAAATCAGGAATTTCTGGAAGAGTAGGCTAACAAAGATTTCCCGCCGAACTTTACATCGAATTTCAGACTGAGACAAGTCGCCGACATCGTTCTCGACTCGCACCAACGGATTGTGGCGTACCGCAAGAAGCGGGTTCCCGGCGCGCTGCTGAATATGAACGAGGACTACTGGGATGAGGTGTGGGACGAAGAGGCGATTCGGCGAGTCGAGCAGGGAGACGAAGGCGCGCCGCCGCCTGCAAATTTCGACGCTGGAGAGGAGGAGGAGGAAGACACGTCCGGAGACGTCTTTTTATAAATGTTATGATTGTTCTTCTCGACCCATTTCTAATATTCTGAATATTTAATATTCATTGCAATTTAATAAGTAATATTTGGTCGAATTCTTCTTTTCTTTTGAAGTTAGCGGTGTCGCCCGCGAGTTTCGCTTATTTCTAACTTTTTCGACCATTCCGTTGGGTAGGTAATTCGAATAGTTCCAGTGCGTGTCGTCGTACTTTCTGATAGCGTCCACGTGTTGCGGATTCAAAATCACCGAAAGTTCCCTCGAGGGACTGTCAAGGAATTTGTAGGATAATTGCTGTACCTAACACGAAACCCGTTCCTACATTGTCTATTGGGGGACCGAAATATTTGAATCCGTCACATCCACTGTTCAATTCCACCCTCTCTGTCACGGAAAGAAGATCGTCTTTGTCGAGCTGCCCTTCGTTCAAATTCAACTTATTTTTTTAGATTTCTGCAACCAGAAATGACAAAAATTTTGCTACCTAGTTTTTTAATCTCACCGAATGTCGTCTGTGCTCAAATAATGAAGTCTATACCATTCATCACTATCTGTTTGCAGTTGCCGCACGATCATGGGATTCGAGAACCCTTTGCCGACCATGGAAACGACAGTGTTCTCCTGTGCATGCTTCATGGCGAGTTCAGGGACGCTAATTTGGTTGCTGTAGTGTGTGAAGCAGGCGACGAGTGAATATTCATCGGAATGTCTGGTCACGGGTAAGCTGCAGGGCTGGGCATTTGGCCGGCCCTTGACCTGGACTTTTGAACCACATGCAATTTTCCGATCGGACCCAAACTTTGCAGGCTTCTTGGACATGGGTTGTAGCATATTGGGACCAAGTTTCAGCCCGATCGGATTATTTGGTCCCGAGAAATGTGGATCAGTGGCCGAAATTGGCCGAACGCCCTCAAAAGTCCAGGTCAATGGTCGGCCAACGAAAAGCCCGTGCCGGCCAATTGCCCAGCCCTGGTAAGCTGTAAATTAGTTTCACACCTTGGCAAAAGCTGTGCTAACTTCTGCCCCAGTCTTTTTTTTTACTTTGATGGCCGACCCGCTCGCTCCCTTTTCTTTCATAGCTTCCCTCGTGATGGCTTGTTTTGAATGCTCTGTTTCAAAATGCTCTACCGAATTCGCCCGGGATCGAGCGTAAGTTCTGGAGTGTTCCTCTGACAGGCAATGAGCATGTGGACAAACTATCAGTTGATTGTTCCTATCCTTTTCTTAACAGCCTGATAACTAACTTTTTCTGGATCGATGGACATTGTGTGATTCAGCCGTAGATGATTTGCCATGGAGCCTTTGGACGCAAAAGGCTTCTCAAGGCAGACAACATCCCTTCTCGTCGAACCACTTCTTTATTCTCCAGGTAATAAAGTCTGCGTGTTGTTCCGGACACGCTTGCCGTTGGTTTTTTCAACGAATTTGTTCAGGTGATCGGATTCGCCGTTCGTTTGCTGTTTCGGACTTCCTCTTGTGACAGGGAGAGACAGGAGAGACACGTACTCTTGTTCCCTGTCTACCAGAGTGCCGAATCACCGGCAATCTCGTCAGTCGGGCTGGGAAGAGCGCCACGTCTGTCTATAAACGTGACTCCAATTTTCTTTTTTATTGTAAAGTAATTTTTCTCATGTTATAATCCAGTGGTATAATAAATCTTTATGATGTAAGCACCGAAGTGTATATTCTAGTTTTAAATCGAAAATGAGCATTTGTGTGCTTTGGAGTGGAACTCATTCCAAGCTTGTTTTTGATCTGTTTTGAGTTTCCCGGGATGTTTGAAATGACTCTTCCAGTGAGAAATGAATCGAAGAAACGCGTCAGCACTTGGTACAGCGTCGGTCAAAAATTTTTCTTTTTTTTATGCTTTCTAGCTGTTTCACATCAATTCTCCGTTGATTTTTATTGAAATTTCTGCCAAAATCCAACAAATGCCACTTTCTGCTAAACAAGGCGCAGTACGATGCTTCAAAACCCGGCGGGTGTCCGCCGGGCCTCCACAAACGCTAGCCGAGTTTCGGTTTTTTCCTTCAATTTTTTCACAATTTCCAGACATTGTCTAGCATTTTTTCGAATGACAAATCAGTAAAATGAAATTTCTCTTACCTTCTCTTAATTTTATGACGAAATCTCAACTCATTCGCCAATAAACCTCGTCTTATTAGGCAAAATGAAGGTAAATCGCAAAATCGCCCGATTTTCAGAGGAAATGGTGCGAGAGCGAAAATCGCGAAGCCGAAAATCGATCGGGCCAGTTTCGACGCCACAAAATACGGCGATCGAAGCGGAGAAGCCGGTGGAAAACGGGAAAAAGCATTTGAACGGCGAAGTGAGAAACGGGAAAAAGATCAGCGAGTCGGAGAAGGAGCTCAGTAGACCTCTTGGCGATCGCGAAAAAGAACCGACCACGTACGTGAAAAACTAGGTAATTTGAGTCTAATTGTCTCAATTTCAGAGCAAAATCAGAGACAAAAGCAGCGCAAAAGAATAAATCGAGTGGTGGATCGCAATGTGTGCTGCTCACGCAGGGAATCATGGCCAACGATCACGTCAAGATTGACAGTGTTATCAGAAACCTTAATAATGAAATTATTAACGTAATCTACAGAACTCCGAAGCGTTTTCTATCGATTTATAAATTTCAGGCTACTCTCCGTGATCTTCAACCTATGCAAGTCTTGCCACTCCTCAAAATCATCGAATCTCGTCTCAAGACCCGAAATGCAGCCGAGTGAGTCTTTGAATTCGTTTGTCTGTACTTAAAATGCCAATTCAGCATCCGACCGACAATCCGATGGGCTCAAGTCGCGTTCTCCGTCCACATGCCGTACCTGAGCTCGCTTCCGAATCTGGAAAAAGAGATTGGCGGACTGATGGGATGGTTGCGCGCGAGAGTCGGCCATCACAGGGAGCTCATGTCGTTGCACGGAAAGATATCGACGATTGCGGATCTGATCAAGAGAAGAACCAACAATGTGGTCATTGTGCAGCAGCCGCTCGTCGTTTTCAACAATGGTAACGACGAATTTCATCCGGGGGTTCTCTAATTTCGACAATTTTTCAGATGTCGACTCGGACTCGGAAGACTTTGACACAATCGCGTCGGACGACGACGGCGAGAGCAGCGAAGACGACTGGTGGGAGGACAACGAGTTGAAGGACGAGAATCAGGAGGACGGTGAAGATGACGGTGCTTCAGACGATGACGACGACGACGACAGCGAGATGGACGCCGACAGCGCCGGAAGCGGAGGAAGCGGTTCGGAGGTAATTCCAGGATCCCAAAGGAAGTTGCGGCCAGAGAGAATTCTAATCTGTGAAAAGAATCAAATCCATATTAAGTTTCTAGGTGTAATTTCAGTTTTTTGTGTGTTAGTTGTCCGCGCGCGCCCGTGTAAGCAATATCTCATCATGTGTTGTATAATGAGAACCTGCTTTGCCTTTTCCACATCACACACCGACTATTTTGGGAATTACAGTCGACTTCAGGGCTGGGCACCACTTGGTACTTGGTACCAATCCGACCCTATGTTCAATCGTGGTTTGCAGTTTCTACCTTGAAATATTCAGCCTCATTGGACCATAAAATCTGGATTGATAGTGATTTGAGTCTGAAAACACAGAATCAAGCCTCAAAACACTATATTCCAGATTTGATGTTCCAATCGGGCTGAAACTTTCAAAGTAAGCACTCGTAGCCATGACTAAACATTGTGCAAAGCTGCGGTCCAATAAGTTGATAGATACTAGAAAATTACGGCCCCGCCCTGCCCAAATTTCAAATAATCAGGAATCATTGTTTTTGCAGAACGACGACAACGAATCGGACGAAGACATGGAGGTCGGATAAAGTTGGAGCGAAACAAGCCACGCCCACTCCCATTCACTCTGATTTCCGATTCTCCACATCATTTGTGACGCCCCCGCCCCTCAAAAATCCACATTCTAAAGCAATTCCTCGTTTCTTTTCTTTGCTTTTTCACCCCTTCTCCCGGAAAGAAAGTAGCAATTTTTCGCCCCCATGAAAACTGCGCTCCTTTTTTTATTTGTTGAACTCTTCAAATTCATTGTTGTTTTGTTGTTAGTGTTTTTTTTTTTGCCTTTTTCCAATTTTTATGCTTTCACCACAGCTCCTCGTTATCGCCTTGTCTCTCTGGTAAATTCGAGTATTGTAACCATGAATTTCGTTTTTTTATCTCTTTCTCCTCAACTTCTTCCTCATTTTGGCTCCCATAGGATTAGGAAGCTTAGTGGGGAGCACTCAACTTTAAAAATTAACATTTTCGTAAACATATTGCTTATTTTAAAGGTTCTTTGTCTAAATTTGGCCTAGGACTTGATTTGCTGAAGATTCTTAGGCCACGTTTGACAAAATTCATTTTGTAGAATATGACGAGTGGCGGCGAGTTCAAATGGCTGCCTCTTTTCCGAAAGTAATTGAATTGGCTCTCTTCTTCAAAGTTTTGGGCCCTACCGCTCTCTATTCAGCCTGGCGGCGCCCATCCAAAAATTTTGAGTTTTTACACACTCAAACTTCAAAAAACTTGTTTTCTTCACATTCGGACCCCCGGAAAATGGGAAAATTTTCGGCGAACCGAAACAGTTTTTTATGGGTAAGGGGGGCGCGCGAAACGAGCGAAAAAGAGGGCTTCTTATCAGTCGGGAAAGACCTAATTTCGTTTGTTCATGGCCCAATTCTCTCGTTTTTATCACTTTTTGTCCCCCCTCCCCCTCCCCGCCCAAATGTTTTGAGAGCGCATTTTGCACAATTTCCAAACGGGATTTTTGAGCATTTTTGTTGGCTTTGTAGATTTCGATGAGTTCTACAAATGTAACAACTTACCTTACTATTAGAGCCGGTATTGTAGCGACTTTCATTTTGAAGCGGGCCCGTTTTTGCAAGTACACATCTGTCCACTATAAAACTTTATTCTCTGCAGAAATCCTTCCAACTTTGTCAAGGTAGTTTCGAAAAAGAACTCAGCCGCCGGATTTCGAAGATTTCATTCTCCGCTTCCCAATTGGATTAGCATGTTCCGGTCTTTTCTTTTTTCTCTCTCTCTCTCTCTCTCATCCATCAATATATACATTTTTGAATTCGCCGGGCACACACACACACACACACACACATCCATCACATTAGGTACAATTAAATTCCGAAATATGCGCCCATCCCTCTTACTTTCACTGTCCCACTATTTTTTCCAGGTCAATTTGTACGTGCCTGTCTCTTTTTCGTTTTCGCGCCTTTTCATCGGTGAATTGTGTGTGTGTTTTTCGCAACAAAAACGCGGGAAACGAATACGAAAAATTTGAGCCAATTATTGTAAAACGGAGCCGACACGAAATTGCATTTTTCGGCCCGAAAGTGTACAATTTTCGAGAAGTCAAGGCCACGAAAATGGAAACATTCGCGATTTTGCGTTTTCGCCTACAGTAGTTGTTGAAATTTAAAGGCGCAGCACGCAGTTGCTCGTGAAATGCGGAAAATCAAAGTTTTGCAAAGTTTTTCAGTGAATATTTCGAGATCAATTTAAATTTCACGCTTCATTGGCCTAAAACTGCTGAAAAATATCGTAAAAGTTTACAGCACCCACCCCATCCGCACATCAAAATTTCGCAAATCGCCGAAGAATCAATCGGAAATCCATTATGGTCACTTGAAATTCACCAAGGTTTGCAGATTGTCGCGTTTACCATAATTTGGCCGCTTTTCCTTCGTTTTTCCCTTCAAAAACCGCAAAACCGGTCAGTAATCCATCTCTCTTTCCCCCCCTCCTTCTTCTCCTTCTTCTTCCAAAATCTACGAAGAAGCGCCGCCCCCGCAAAGTCGTCCCTTTTTGCTTATTCAGAATCGGCGCTCATATCGGATTGCATGTCGTATTTTTTGGAAATGAAATTTTTATTTGTCCCCCACTGATTTATGAGCGGTCTCTTGGACAAAAAAAAAATGCAAAAAACGGTTTATTAGGCCAGGTGGTGTAGCCTTTTTTGTTTTTCCGCTTTCGCTGCGAGACCCGACCACTTTCCGTCGTTTTCACACTCGAATTGCGCCTCCAGCAATTCACAATTCAAAATCCCTTCCCCGAATTCGAATCCAAATCCAGAAAACTTTCTCTCCCCCCAAAACTAGTCTCTTTCTCTTCTTCTTCTTCTTCTCCTCCTCCTCCGCCTCCCAAATTTCATAACCCATCCCACTGCCTGACTTTTCTAGAATAAAAGGAATGCTTAAAAAATGTTGACTCATCCGGCTCCATCAGAATCGCTAATGAGAAACGGTCTCGCGCCGGCGCCCAACATTCCGAACCCACGAAATGCTGGCAGGAAGAAGAGCAACCCGGTGAGTTGGAGCAAACGCGCTTCGCTAAAGACTCAAAACCGATTCTTCAGGTCTGGGAGTTTTTCACCGATTTGCGAGCTCACGGCCTCGCGGGAGTCCGCTGCAGATTCTGCCATTGGGTCACGAATGATCGCAGTCCGACCACTATGAAATTCCATTTGAAAAGGAAACATGACACTGGTTAGTTATTTTTCTAGTTGACAACGAAAAAATGTTCATCAAGACATTATGCACATTTAATCATTTGATAACCTTTTGATATCTCTACAAACACAGTGATAAATCGAAATATTCCATTTGTTTATGTTTCAGGACCCGGCGGGCTTTGGGCGATCTGCGAGGAGAAGATCAATTCGCAAGCTCCGGCAAACTATGCACCTCGAGTGAAAAAGCAGGTAAAACTCGATTGCTGCCGGTCACGCGCGATTCAATCCAGCGAACTAATAGCAAAAGAAAAAAATGAGAAAAAAAAACAACACGGATATCGTTTGCGTTCCCCCCTTTCTCTCGTTCTTCCTCTGGGTTCGATGGCTATGGCGCGCGCGCCGAAAGCCGCCTCGCAAACATGTTTGAAATGGAAATGGAAATAGTGGGTGACCTAGAAATCAGGCGAAATTCGCATTAATTTTTACAATGACGCCAGCCGGGGGGCGCCCGCGGCTTCTCCTCCGAACACGGCGAGAGAGTGCGCGCGCCCGAGAGACGCAGACAAATACTCCGAAATCCAGTTTAGACGCCTCACGGACTATTTGGGAATTGGGAATGTCTAAACTGGACACACGCGCTTTTGGTCACGAATAAAGAAGAATTTCGAAAGAAAGTCAAGTTAAAAAAGGACAGGGAGTGAAGTAAGCAAGTGCGCTCTTTCGAAATAAGACGGCAAGTGTTCCATTTGTCACGCGATTTTTCGCTTTTTTGCCCTTTCAAAAAACTTCAAAAGCGACAGAATTTCTCGCTCTTGCTCTCAAAAAGTGTGTGGGAAAGTAATTTCGTTATTTCAGCCGGAAGATCTTCTCCTGAAAGCCCTCACGCACTCGTCGCCGTTCCCGTTCAATCCGTTTGCGACAGCCGAAATCAAGCTCGGCGCCCAGGATGATTTCCTGGCCGCCCTCATCCAACAAGCTTCACAGTACGCAAACGCCAGCACGTCTCCGTCGGCCAACTCGAATGTAAGTTGTTTTTCAGGCAAAAACTGGGAAAAGGACCGGAAAAGGAGGTTCTTTCAGCTCGTATATCCTGCTCGTTGTGAGACCCGGTGCTTTCAAAGTGCATATCGGGACCTCACAACAAACAGAATTTACGAGCTGAAAAAACCTCGTTTTCCGGAGTTTTTTCTCCAGTTTTTTTCCCTAAACTCAGGTTTCAATTTTCAGGAAGGAAATGCCTCGAACGAGAACGAAAGTCTCACAAGCGATTCGGTGTTCCTCAGCAAACTGAACAGCACCTATCAGAGCTGCAAAGAAGAGGACTCGTCGTCGTCGTCCGTCTCCGGCAGCACATCCACGAGCGCCTCGTCGGACTTTCAGCTGAGCGACGGATCGAGCATTGCCACGTTGCTACAGATCGCCACCGACTCCGATCTGGTCTTCACGTTCAACGCGCGCAAATTGGGCGAGTACTGCTTTGAGAGCAACGCCAAAAATGTAAGTGTTTGGCGATGTACACCTTTTTCGATCCCCGACATTTCAGCACAAAATGGTGACACTGACCGACTGCGGACACGAAATCCGCGTGAGCCAACTCGATAGCGACGAGGAGATTCGTGTGGAAATGTGGCGGAAAAGCGATTGGCAGCAGTTTACGTGGGCGGTGCGTGGCACGTGTCTCCATTTTCTCAAAAACGAAATGCCACCGCCGCCGTCGACTGCCGAACTCTTCAAACTCGCAGCAGATCCCCCGGAACTTTCAGACACCTAATAATTCGTTTTTTTTTCTCTCTTTTCTCTCTTCCCTCCTCGCTCCCAGTGCTATTTCGCCCCGTTCTGGCCCACATTGGCGTCTTTCTCTGTATATATATTTATTCGATTCCGGCAAACGGGTCCTGGTTTTTGAATAAATGCTACTAAAACGTGAAAATGTGGAGCAAAGGGGAAAACGAACGATCCCGGCGACCATTTCACAGTGTTTTCGTTGGTTTTTGAATAAAATTCTATTCCTCTGAAATGTCAGATTCCACAAATGCAACAGGTTGAGTGGTTTTCGGAAAATATGATTTTTGATAAACTTTCGAACATTTTATCTAGAACAAATTCTGTTTTTCGGACTGGTTATCGATAAAACCGTTTTCAGGAGCAGTAGCGGCGAAGAATGAGGCCAAGGCGGCGAAACGAATGAAATCAAAGGTTTTAGTCTTGAAATGGCTGCGAAGACGGCTCCGCATTCGGCACAGAGCCAGACGATTCTTGCGGAAACGGGCCAGACGGAAGAAGGTGAAACGGAGAAGAAGACAGCGAAAAAGGGCGAGAGCGAAGAAATTGAAAATGAAAAAGAAGAAGGGAAAGAAGAAGGAGGAGGAGACGAAGCAGAAGACGTTGACGGAGAAACAGAAGAAGCGGAAGAGGATGGTTTGGAAGCGGAAAAAGAAAATTTTGGCGAGAAGACACCGACTCCGAAGACATCCCCACGGCACGAGAAGCCTCGCGAAACTGGTGAAAAACGCAAAGTCGATGAGCGGAGAAGAGATTTGCAAACTACTGGTCAGTCTGAAACGGAAAAGAATGAGGGTGTACCGAAGAAGAGCGGAGAAAAAAATGTGGGAGTGCAAGGAGAAGAGGAAGGCGCGGCGAGAGCTGAGAAGGGCGATGCGGAGAGCGAGGCATCGGAGGAAGAAGTACAAGAGATATTGTCGGATGTTGAAGCGGAGGGCCGAACGGAAAAAGTTCAAGATCCGCAAGAAGCAGCATGTGAAGAGTGTCGTCCGACAGGGAATCGCCTGGAAAACGGTCACGCATGGTGGAGAAAGGGCCGAGTACCGGAGAAAATATCCGATGAAGCCGGTGGTTTTCGACGTCGAACGAACGAATCAGGAGGTGCACGCGAGAAGGGGCACGAAGACGCCGTTGTCGGGAGAACCGTGGGTTTTAGAGAAAACTAAATCCATTGGAACTTTGTACGTATTTTCAGGGTGAACTTTAAAGAAGATGTGATCGGCGACTATGGAAAGATTGCGGCGAAAGGACTCAATTCCGATATGAAGTACGACTTTCGATTCTTCTCGGTTCTCACGTTCGACCCGAAAGGATCAGTAAGGCTCCGAATGCGCCAAATGGAAACGCGTTGACCATTTGCAGAGAGAAGCGCGCATTCTCAGTCGTATGAACGCGGTCGGATCGAAGAACAGTGTGCGGATCTTCGATTACAATCACTACAACAACGTGGATTATGTGCTAACGTCGCAGGTGAGCCAGAAACCGTTTCCAAGACATCGTCTTTGTCTTGTTTTCAGACCGTCCATTGCTTGTCGGACGTGATGTGTGAGCACCCGAGAATGGAGCGTCAGGCGTGCCTGCATGTCATGCAGCAGACGTTCTTCTGTATCCGCGACCTCCACAAAGCGCGCTTCACGCACCTCCGAATCTGTCCGTCCGTGTTCACGTTCCGGCAGGAGGACCGGGCGATCATTGTGTTCGAGTCGTTCACGATGGCAGAGTCGTGTCGCAAGATGCGCGACGACTTTGAGACGGGCGGATCAGTGCATCTGAAGATGCTAAACGCCAAGTTTGAGAAGAGATCGAGTGTGAAACGGAACAAGATCGACGTGTACATGTCCAGAAGGCAACACCTTCAGATGGCCAGAGGGGAGGTCGACGACTACGAGTCTTGGCTTTACATGTGCACGCAACTGGTGAACGCGGAAAAGTTGCAATGGGCAAAGCAGACGGATCACTTGAAGATGGCCAACTCCAAGTACGAGTTTCCCATGCTCTACGGACATCCCGATCAGTTTGTGCAAGCCAAGGTACCGGTACCGTCGTTTACCCAAAACATTTTTAATAAGCTCGCGCGCACGGCGACCAAAAGTGTAGAAAGAGGCGTGGCCTAATCTGAGACGCGTTTTCTGAAAATTGCCGCAATTTCAGCACTTTTCCGATATTTTTGTGTTTGATATCGACGAAAGAAGAGACATTAAAGAGAGAAAACATTGAAATTTTCGTGAAAACGCCGCGTTTGAGACGTTTTTCGCATATTTCGCAATACGCCCTCCGCGGCCAATCGCCGCCGCAATTTCGGAATTTTCATACCGGCCGATCTGAATAGTTTTGAGACGAAGTGATTGTCGGAAGCACGTTAATACAAGTATTTTAAGCGTTCAAACGGCAAAAAGTGTCGGCGAATGACTGAAATTCGCGCATTTTCAGCACAAAACTTGAAAATCGATTCATTTCTGAATGAAACCTGCTCGTTTTAAGCTCAAAAAGTGCGCGCGATGATTAGTTTAACAAAGTTATGCAATTACATCGTCGAAATCGTACAAAATTTGGGTAATTTTTTTGGAAAAACATGACAAATGGGGTTAAATTTCGAAAATCGCGCCAAAATGGTGATAAACCGTGCACGCTAGGCCACGCCCCTTTCTACGTTTTTGATCACCGTGAGCTCCTTCAATTTCAGATGCTCAGTCTGATGAGTTACGCTCTCGCGACGAACGAACGATCGGCTCTCAAAGTGGCCTACTTCATCGAGCGCATTCTGAGAGACTGGCAGCAGAAGGTGCCGCCGGTGGTGAAGTTGCCGTGGATGACGAGCGAGTACGTGGACGAGGAGCGGCAGGCGAAGGAGTTGGCGCACAAGGAGCGCGAACGCGAGCAGCAGTACGACAGGGACTGGAAACAGTGGCAGAAGGGTTTGAGGAAGAAGCCGAGCGAATAGAACTCGGATAAAGTGTGAAGTTTGAAGTGTAGCGCCTGAATGCACAAGCTAACAGTTTTAAAAGGCAAAGTTCTATCGATTCTACAAGCCCATCAACATTTGAATGTTTGTAGCAAAAAGTATAACATTTTTATCGAAAATTCATTGATGCGAAAGCGAAATCGAAATGGCAATTGGCGCACGGCGACCAAAAGTGTACAAAGGGGCGTGGCCTAATCTGAGACGCGTTTTCTGAAAATTGCCGCAATTCCAGCACACTTTTCCGATATTTTTGCGTTTGATATCGACGAAAGAAGAGACATTAAAGAGAGAAAACATTGAAAAACGTCGAAATCAAAGAAAATTTGGGTAATTTTTTACGAAAAACATGAAAAATCGGGTTAAATTTCGAAATTCGCGCCAAAATGGTGATAAACCGTGCACGCTAGGCCACGCCTCTTTCTACGTTTTTGGTCGCCGTGTGGCGTCGATTCTAGTTGTGAGTGAAAGCCCTCAAAAACACATTTCCATTTAGTTCTATTCTCTCTCTCTCTCTCTCTGATTACATCATCAGCTAGGCGAAAAGATAACATAATGAGTCATTTGAGGGACGAACGTACACGCTTCTTCTCCCTCTCTCTCTCCCTGTCTCCTTCGTGACGATGATCACAGAGAGAGAGAGAGCGAGAGAGAGGAACTTGAATGCGAGAGAAGCAGCCGGGCCGAAATGCCTCGTTGCCCATCCATTCCACCAACCGCATACACGCTATATCCGTCGGGCATAACCACCAACCATTTCACTTCTTTTCGCTTTTTGGACCGAGATCCATCATCCCTGAAATGTTTCTCCTTCCGATCCTCTTCGTTCTCACTCTATTCGACGCTTCCGCTGATGCTCAGGTACGGTTGCCGTTGTTCTCCGCACAATAATTTCAACGCGAAATTTCAGAACATGGACATCCAGCCGCTGCTCTCCCTTCTCCGACCCGAAAACATGCGGAGTATGGCCGAGCTGGCCACCGAGCTCTCCTCGATGGCGTCGAAGAATATGAAGGAGAACGAGCGCGACGTTCAGTGAGTTTTTTTTTCTTCTTTTTTTTTGAACAGAGATTAGGGTTAAGACGGCAAAACGTTTGAACAAGAGAGGAGAAGAAAAAGAAGAAGAAGAAGAAGAAGAAGAAGAAGGAGAAGGAGGAGAACCTGTTTGGTGTGGATGTTCCCGAAAAGTACAAAAGTATTGTTGTTGCAGGAGAACGATCGCCGCTCCGAGGCAGCCGACACCGGAACAGAGACCGTCACAGATGATTGGTGGAGGTGAGAAAGTGATGGACGGAAACGAAAATCAGCGTTTTGAACGATTTCCACTCGTTTTGTATGCGAATTACGTGTAAAATTCGAAGTTTGTGCCCAAACGTGCAAAGGTACTACTATGTGGAATGAGCCGAAATTTGAACTTCACACCAAAACCGCGATGGAGCGCACTTTCCGCTGGTGATCTCTCTGCTTACAGCCATCCAAAACCTCGCCTATCAGGGCCGAAGTGCGTTCCTGCAAGCGCTGGACAAACTGGAGGCCACTTCCTCCGCATCATCTTCGCCTCCCCCGCCTTCTCTGCCATCGGCCCCGCCGACTCTTCCTCCGATCATGACGTTCCCCACTCCTGCTCCTCCTCCTCCGCCGCCCATCTTCGGAACGGCGCCACCAGTTGGCGAAGCGGAGAACACGTTCGATTCGGGCGGCCGCGACGTGTTGGGAGTGCAAGAGTTCAAGCGGAATCAGGAGAAGCGGCGAGAGATTCGCTACGCGGAGCCCGTGGTCGCAGCGGCCGCCGACCCGGTGGCTCCGGTCGAATTGGCCGCCGCTCCGGCTGCTTCCGCCTCTGCCGCTGCAGCTCCGTCGTCTCCATCGGTTCCGTTGGCTCGGCCTCCACCGCCGGTGAGTTCTTATCGGTCCTCAGAAGCTTGTACTCGTTCTCACGAGTTTCTTTTTCAGACAAACTCGTTCGACGGCAGTCCGTTCATGCAGATCGCCCGACGGTTCCTTCAAGTCGGCACCGGAACTCGTGGCGCGCAAGCCAACGAGCCGCTCCCTCAAATCGGAATCCGCGACTTCATCCCCAACACCGACAGCAATTTCGGTCTGCCACGTGGCAAAGGCTGCCTGCCGTTCATCTCCGAATTTATGCAAGTCGCCTACGGAAACTGTCAAAACGTGGCCGACGAGAAGACGTTCGACGCGTGGGGCGACGAGCTCCGACGGGCGATAATGACCGGCGAGATCGATCTGTTGAAGGCGAGCCAGGAGACGTGCCGCCGCGGAGCCGAGCGACAGCAGTGCGACGCTCTGCGAGAAGCCGTCGCCAATTGTGACGTCATGGCGAGTCTCGAGATCGGCACCCAATTGCAGCGAGCCATGAAGCGATGCGAAGAGGTCTCCGGGATGATGGACCAGTCGCCGGCGGCGGTGCTGGGACAGCTGAACAACCTGATTAGCGGGGAAGTGGCGCAGGGATTCCTTAACAACTTTCTCAAGAACGGATAATAGTGAGGAAACAGAGTAGATCTATTTGTACATAAGAGAAGCGTATATAAATTATTTTGATTAAGATTTCATAACAAAAATCTACACTACAAAACAAAACAAAGCGGAAAACTATAATTTTTACACCGTTTTACTGAATTTATGAACTGCATTCTTTGCGATAAGACCCCATGTGTATGAGGACGTCGTCTGTTTTCGGGGAAGAGAAACTCCGCCAACAACGATGTCGTGTCCGGAGGGCTTCGAGCGGAAGATCAAGAATCGGCCGATTTGGCGGGTGGATCTGATGACGGGGCCATCGGAGGAGAAGACGTGATCGTCGATTCGAACGAGATGTGTTCCCGAAATACCGTTCTCCTCAGCTGTCGCCTGCGGAACCGAAATCACTTCCAGTGGCTTATCGGCGTGAATGACCGTCTTCCCCAGGCGATTTATCGCATTCAATTCGTCCTGAACACGAGTTCAAATAAGAATTTTCAGAAAAGAAAGCTTACAGGAGTGAAGACGTTCCCTCCGAGACCGCTGACTTTGACCGAGAAGAATCCGTCCTGAATACTGCCTCCCGGAAACTGCAAATCGACGTCGACGTCCAGCGAATCTTTCAGAATGGCAGCAGTCACAAAAGAGCACGATCTCCAGTAGGCGTCGTTGACAAGAGACACGTGTTCTGCCGTCTTGAATCCTATTTTCCGAATATTAGCCTGATTTTGCAAAGGCTGATTGGGACTGGCGAAATACGCGCTGCCGACGGACGGAATCACTTCCACGAGCAAAGCATCGTCGGCGACGTGCTTGCTGACATCTGAAATCATTCAAAACGTGCAAAAACTTGAGAAAGGAAACGTACGATTGAGGCATTGGTAGGCGGTGGAGACATTTCGATTCACGAGCACTGGCAGTGTTTTCTCGTTCGTCAGCACCGACACCACGACTTTATCCACTTTCTGCGCGTCGCCGTACACCTGATGACGAATGTGTTCGAAGAATTCTGATGATAGAGTGGCCGGCGCGACAGCTGAAAGCGATTTCAGTTTATTGTCTTGTTTTTACAGTAAACAACTTACTTTCAACGGTTGACACTGCCGTAGAAGCCTTCCGGATGGCTAGCAGACTTCTTACGGGAATCTTCATGTATGTTGACCTAGAAAACCATCAGTTTGACCTTAATTGCACTGTAAATTGAATTGGAGAAAAAAAATATTTTTAGTAATTCCGGAGTGTCGTAGTGTGCGAGGGTTGCGAAAACGGTGCGCCGCAGACTTGCAATGTAGGCGGAGCCACGTTTGCCAACACATTGAGAACACAGTCTGTTCATTTTCGCGCCGTTTCACCGACAATTCTCCCTTATATATTTTAATTTCTAGGGTTTAAACCGACCGAAGCGAATACAAACATGATAATAGCACGGAAAAAGCTGCAAATTCAAAGGTTATGGCGGCAAAGGTGGGTTAATTTTTGAAAAATCTGGTGGAAATGACCGTATTTCAGAGGCTGCCGCGTGGGGACGTACATCTGCCTTGGAGTGCTCGTTTTGTTCGGATTTGTCTACAACAACAACGGAAAGGTTAGTATATTCTTATTTTCACCTGAAATTCTGGAAAAATTCAGACTGGAATGTCGTCGGCCGATTCAAACAGTGCGGCGCTGAAATTCGATGAGGATTTGAGCAATCGCGAGTTGCCAGGAGGTCCAGATCCGAATACCATCTACCGCGCTGATCAGCTCGGAAACTATGAGCCAAAGACACCGGAAGTACCGTCAAATCAGCCGGGAGAGCACGGAAGGCCCGTTCCAGTGACGGACGAAGAGGGAATGGCGGCCGGAAGAGCCGCGGAGCGAGAGTTCGGATTCAACACCTACGTCTCCGACATGATTTCGATGAATCGAACTATTCCGGACATTCGACCGAAGGAATGCAAGCATTGGGACTACCCGGAGAACTTGCCGACCGTCTCTGTTGTCATTGTATTCCATAACGAAGGATGGACTCCGCTTCTTCGAACCGTCCATTCGGTGCTCCTTCGCTCACCGCCAGAGCTTATCGAACAGATTGTCATGGTTGACGACGATTCAGATAAACGTAAGACATCAAATTTTCTCGACAGACAACAATATATGTTTCAGAACATCTGAAAGAGAAGCTGGACAAATACGTGACTCGCTTCAATGGAAAAGTGATCGTAGTGCGAACCGAGCAACGAGAAGGACTCATTCGCGCTCGTTCGATCGGAGCAAAGCACTCGACCGCAGAAGTCGTTCTTTTCCTCGATGCGCATTGCGAAGTGAACACCAACTGGCTCCCGCCGCTGCTAGCGCCCATCAAACGCAATCGCAAAGTGATGTCGGTGCCGGTCATCGACGGAATCGACTCGAACTCGTGGGAATACCGCAGCGTGTACGGCAGTCCGAACTCGCATCACAGTGGCATTTTCGAATGGGGACTTCTCTACAAAGAGACGCAGATCACCGAAAGAGAGACGAGCCATCGCAAGTACAACAGCCAGCCGTTCCGATCGCCCACGCACGCCGGCGGCCTGTTCGCCATCGATCGTCTCTGGTTCCAAGAGCTCGGCTATTACGACGAAGGACTGCAGATCTGGGGCGGAGAGCAGTACGAGTTGAGCTTCAAGATCTGGCAGTGCGGCGGCGGAATCGTGTTCGTGCCGTGCTCGCACGTCGGCCACGTCTACAGATCTCACATGCCGTACAGTTTTGGTAAACTGGCCGGAAAACCCGTCATTTCTATTGTAAGTTTTGAGAGCGTGTTTTGTGCGAAACGTGTACGACCTTGCAGAACATGATGCGAGTGGTGAAAACGTGGATGGACGACTACGCAAAGTACTACCTGACCCGCGAACCGCAAGCGGCGCACGTTGACCCCGGAGACATCTCCGCTCAGTTGGCTCTCCGCGATCGTCTCCAATGCAAATCGTTCAAATGGTACGTGGAAAACGTGGCGTACGATGTGCTCAAGAGTTACCCACTTCTGCCGCCGAACGACGTCTGGGGAGGAGCGAGAAATGCGGCGACGGGCAAGTGTCTCGACCGAATGGGCGGCATTCCGGGACCACTCGGAGCGAACGGGTGCCACGGATACGGAGGGAACCAGCTGCTTCGTCTGAACGTCGAAGGACAACTGGCGCAGGGCGAGTGGTGTCTGACGGCGAACGGAATCCGAGTGCAGGCGAATCACTGTGTGAAGGGGACCGTCAACGGAGCATGGGTCTATGACAGAGTAGGATATAGTTTACGAGAAACGCATTGTGAAATGAAACAACTGTTTAGAACTCGCAACAAATTTTGCACAAACAAAAGCGAATGTGTCTGACGGTGGGCGAAGAAGGATCGGACGTCCTTCTGCAAGTGTGCAGCGATGACAATGAACGACAAAAGTTCGTATGGAAAGAGTTCTACCAATCCAGCTAGACACCAACTTCTTATTTTTTCCCCTCTGATGAATCAAATCACAAATTGATAGTGATTGCGGGTATCAGACAAACTAGTGTCTCACCAAAAAATTAGAATGCTTATCAGGAGTTTTTCTTGTTTAGCTGGTTGTTGTTTCTCATACTTTATTGTGATATCATGTAAATTATTTATTTAATTGTTGGGGTTTATGGGTGGCCTTTCTCTCTTTCGCTTCTTGTTGCTTCTTTGCCCTTGATGATTCATTTCAAAAGTATTGCCTGTGATAATAATAATAACTCTAAATACCGTTGCCTTCTCCCCCAACATCACCCAGTGCGAAACTACAAAGTGACGTGCGGGTGATGCTGTTCTTCTGTCGGTGGGCGGTGCGGCTCAAGTAACTATTCGGTGGTTGTACTAGCCTTTGTGCTCCGTCCCAATAGATGGATGGACACTGCAAATATTTGATCGCGCGAAAACAATCCGCCGAATACTTCACAAGTGGCTGTGAGGGGACGGTCTAATTGCAAAATGGGCGCATTTTGATCGGAAATTGAGATCGAGCACAATTTTGAGCGAATCGAAGGGGCTCGGGATTATATTGGGGATCTTTGAAACTTGTGATCGAAAACCGTCTGAAATCTCCGCCTTAAACTTAAAGACTCTGAACAGCGGCGCCGCGAAACATTTCGTTCAGCGTGTTCTCCGTGCTGATCGGAATGCGGTTATCAATGGGCGGAAACCCTATAAAAAAGCCACGTGGTTTCTGTTTTTAGATTTCAGATTTTCCAAGTGCAGCCGCCTTGTGTGACCTTAAAACGAACGAATGAACCTGGTCGGTCGTTAACCGGCGCTTATCAGAACGCTATAAAAGTGGTGGGAAAGGGTTCAAATCGGAAAATGATAGGGTTCGCATCGAAAACAAGACACAGAATGCGCGGCGTCTTGTTTTTTTCTGCCTCTTCCCTTCTTCTCCATTCGTTCGTCTCCGTTTCGGCGGCTCCGCTCGACTCTTGCGCGCGCATCGATTCGTGCGCCGCGTGCGTGAACAACGCCACCGACGGCTTCGGCTTCCGGTGCCAATGGTGCGCGACGAGCGGCTCTTGCGCGTCGGAGAAGGCGTCGAGTGTGTGCCACGTGGACGACATGACCCTCGACGAGTACAATTGCCCGGCGGACGTCTCCAATCTTAGGTGAGTGCCAGATTACACATCACACTAGACCACCGTCTATTCACGACAATGTATCTCAGTTGTCGGTAGGGATATCAAAAAGTTGTCAACAGATAAAATGTGCACAATGAATTTCTGAACAATCTATCAGTTGGCCGTTTTCGAATATCTCAACCGGCAGCAGAGATATACCACAGTATTTACGGCGAGAAGTCTCTTTCCAGGTACGACGAACAATTCATGCGCCAAACTGTCCTTCCGTTAATCGCCGCCACAAATTCACCCGATTCGCAGAAGCTCGCTCAATCTCTGGACACGTGTTTCGGCGATGAAATTCAAGTGATCAACACTTATGAAATCTTCTGTGATAACACGAACATTGTGAGTTTTGCCTGAACTTTTGACCCAAACTTTATACAGGTTTCTTGGCCCAAATTTCGGACCGATCTAGTTCAGATATAGATCTCTCTCTCTCTCGTATCCTGCTATTCTAGACCACGTGCTTCGCGTACAGCGCCTTCCTGCCACGTCACAATGCGATGGCGTTGGTGTTCCGCGGCACGACGACGCTCTTCCAGTTCATCGACGAGGGCATCTCGTTCTTTCTCCACCAAAAAGTGCAGTTCAAAGTGACGAACGGCGTCGTCGACGAGTATTATCTCAACGCGTTTTACGCGCTCTGGGAGAGCGGAATGCGCGACGACGTCGAGACGGTTCTCGAGGAGCGCGAAGACGACGTCAAGCTGTGGTTCTTCGGACATTCTCTGGGCGGCGGTCTCGCTTCCATCGCGTCCGTTTACGTGGCGAACAAGTATGCGGTGGAGGGGACGAGAAGCAAACTGGTGACGTTCGGAATGCCGCGAATCGGCGACATTGAGTTGGCACAAGCGCACGATCGACTGGTGCCCGATTCGTGGAGGATCGAGCACAGCAAAGATCCGATTCCGGCGCTTCCGCCGAGAACTTTCCCGGACTCGATCGACAAAGGATCGTTTCATCACAAATCAGAGGTAAACGTCAAGAAAATACCATTCATCAATGACCTCTTCAGATTTGGTACCCACTCGGAATGGGCGTCGGCGCCTCGTTCGAGATCGGAACGCGTCCGGACACGACCGTCGGAAGGAGTGTGTTCCCGCTCAACATCGAAGATCATCTCACCTATTTCGACACGCGTCTGGAGACGTGGCATGTCAAAGGATGCAAAACATTGTCATAACAACGGGTTGCCAGCTTACTAACTTATCACTAGAAATCAATAAAGCGTGTGCTGACAATATAGGCGTGGCCTCGGCCAAATGGCGTTTTCATGAATTGAGCAGGTTTTCTCTGAATTTTGTCGTCAAAGGCGATGAAAAATGATTGTTCGACATGAAAACACACTAATTCTCAGAATTAATGACGTTTTGACGCATTTTTCGCGGACTTTGCTTTTTCGCCTTCGCCGCCGATCGCCGCCTAAAAACCGCACTTCTCATTTTGCGCTTTCTTGACCGTTTTCCGACAGAATTGGTTTTGAGAATGATAAATCACGTAAATACAAGCATTTTGAGCGCTCGAACCGCGAAAATTACCGAAAAGCAACTGAAATTCACGCAGTTTTAGCCAAAAACCTTCAAACGGATAAATGTGATTTGCGACTTGACCAAATTTGACGCTCTTGCGCTTAAAAAATTCGTAATAGCCTATACAATCGGTCTATCGAGAGACAAATGAGAAATTATCGATTTTTCGTGGCTAATCTGGCAAAAAACACAAATTTTGCTGTTAAAATTTGAATTTCGCGCCGGGGCGCACTTGCGTCCATTGTCAGCTCTGGAGACCGTGTATATGTTTTCTCTTTTGATTTTTGAGATTTTTTGAATATTAATTTAAAAAAACAAAATTCAAAAGTGAGCTGGCAAAGATCAAGTCCAAACACGATTCGAAAAACGAACGTGCGTCATCGTTTCAGCCCAACTTTTCATTCAAATGCCAATGACTCATCGTGTTTGCTATCCCATTCTTCAACTTGTCCAAAGTAAACGCAACACATTTCGCTCATTTTTGTGAAATGTCGGGACAAGTGTACTACGCTCCGTACGCGCAAGACGTTTGTGTCGCCCAGCCCGTGATCGTGTAAGTATACATGTCTCGGGAGCAGATAATCTGTACCGAGTGCCAAGCAAGTACCCGTGACTCTTTTCAGATGCCAACCCCAGCCGTGTCATCATTCGCCGGAGCCTTCCTGCTGTTTCTGCTGCCAGTGCTGTTTCTGGCTGTGCGCGTGTTGGAACGAACTCTGCTGCTGTCGCCACGAGCACTAATTCATCAACATTGTACATTCATTTAAAGCCAAACGTGTTCAATGAATCGAGCTCGAATGATGATGATGATGATGATGATGTCCGGGTTGTCCGATGATCGACACTGTAGTCGTGGTTCTCGTGTGCACACCGTGTCCCTTCTAAAAATGGACTGTAGAATAATAATATGGATGCATAACTAGTAGTCAAAATCCAATGGCACAACGCGTACTTTGATGCGGAAGATGCGCGCGACGCCGCTGCGGATCGTCGTGTTCATGAAAAGGTAGATGAAGGCAGGGCATCCGTGTCCGAGCTGCCACGAAATGTGGCCGATGACGATGACAAAGTCGGCGACGGGGAAGAATTGCATGTAGACGTAGATCATGGCGGCGATGAAGTTGACGAGACAGATCAGAGTGGATTGGAGGAAGATCTGAATTCGAACGGGGCCGGTGCACGGTCTCCAGAGCTGACAATATGGGCGTGGCCTCGGCGGCCAAATGGCGTTTTCATGAATTGAGCAGGTTTTTTCTGATTTTTGTCGTCAAAGGCGATGAAAAATTATTGTTCGACATGAAAATACACTAATTCTCAGAATTAATGACGTTTTGGCGCATTTTTCGCGCACTTTGCTTTTTCGCCTTCGTCGCCTAAAAACCGCACTTCTCATTTTGCCCTTTCTTGACCGTTTTCAGACAGAATTGGTGTTGAGAAATATGAATCACGTAAATACAAGCATTTTGAGCGCTCGAACCGCGAAAATTACCGAAAAGCAACTGAAATTCACGCAGTTTTAGCCAAAAACCTTCAAACGGATAAATGTGATTTGCGACTTGACCAAATTTGACGCTCTTGCGCTTAAAAAATTCGTAATAGCCTATAAAATCGGTCTATCGCGAGACAAATGAGAAATTATCGGTTTTTCGTGGCTAATCTGGCAAAAAACACAAATTTTGCTGTTAAAATTTGAATTTCGCGCCAATGTATCGCTCTATTGGGCGGGGCGCACTTGCGCCCATTGTTAGCTCTGGAGACCGTGCGGTGGGAAAATATCGATTGATGATACCTGAGCGTGCGACTTCCTGTGCGTCGACTCCAATCGTTTGCGGAACTGTTTGGCGATGGCGGCGCAGAAATATCCATAGAGCAGACACGTGGCGACGACGATGAACAGGTTGTTGGCGGTATGCGGATAGTTCTGGTACTCCAACGTCTTGCCCTCGAAGATGAACGGATCGAAGAACCAGGCCTGGTATCGGGAGGTGAAGAGCAGTGGCGGCGTGAGGAAAATGAAGAAAAAACCGTAGAGCACCGGCACCACTAGCACTCCGGCAGTGCGCGATCCCGAAAAGTACTTTTTGACGAGCGTCGGAAACAGAATGTCGAGCACTCGATTCAACACGAGTATCAGACAAATCATGCACGCGGCGCACCAGAGCCCGAGTCCGAACGCGCCCGTCACAAAGATCACGGTCGGATGCGAACAGTAGACGGCGCCTTCGACCAACAGGAAGCCGGTGGCGATGGAGTTGACGCCGATGGCGCACAGATCCACAAAGCCGAGCAGAAACATGATTTTGAAGCACGAGAGACGAATGTTCTCCCGTTGGAGCATCACCGAAAGGCACGGAATGTAGACGGTGACGATGGTGAAGCCGTAGAGGAGGTCGATGTAGCCGAGGATCGGACGCGGAGTTCCTTCCTTCTCGGTCCACTCTTTCGGCGTTGCGTACTTTGCGCTGAACGTACTAGGTTTATCTATGTAGCTGGCAGTTTTGGCCAGCTCAAACTTTGCACGCTTCTTGTGCTTCGGACCAAGTTTCCTACCTATCGGTCTGAAACTTGGACCCAAAATACTATAATCTTCAAGGCCAAGAAGTCTGCAAAGAAAGTGGAGAAGCTAGAAAATCACCTGCAATTGAAATTGTAGATCGCATTGACATCGCCACGAGCCGCGATGAGCCACTCCATGAGAGCGACACAAATCCTTCCAGCCGCCCCTCTCTTTTTATATCCAAGGCGGCGGCGGCTACCGTATTAGGCCCTGCGAAGACTATTATCATGTGCAATTCGAAAAATGGCGCGCGCGCGCGCGCGTCAGCGTGTTTTTGACGCTTATTAAAAAAAAAAAAAGAAGAATGAATTGAATAGTAGTAATCCAATCTGACGAGGAGTACTACCGAGAGAGGCGGATTAGGGAAGAGCGCGTAAGCAAGCAAGATCACGATGGGACTGCAATTTGAAAAGAACAATGAAACAAGACTACGATTCTTCAATATGCGGCCGCCCGGAAATGAGATGATACGCTTGTTTTTTCCGTTTTGTACACTTCTTGGCAGCTCTAGACGTATCACGAGGAATGACCTGAAAAGTATAGTCTGGAGAGACAGGTGCTTCTGTTTCTGCTTCTGCTGTTTGTGATTTGAATGCTGACGGCGCGGATAAAGTCTTCATGCAAAGATCAAGAATCGTTGTATTCTCCGTTGCACAAATCCTCGACGCACATCCTGTACACCTCGTTCTCGCCGCCTCGCTTCAGCTCTTCTGGCGCTCCGTCGCTCACGCTCATGCATCCTCTCTTGTTCCGGTAGTTGTCTTTGGGAATGTAGCACACGTGACCTGAGAAGTTTCAAAACGTGCCCCTTCACTTTGCGGTCCCCGGGTTACCATAGCAGAACTTGAGCGAGTAGGGCCACTCGTCGTCGCGCGAGTCATCGCTCAAATAGCACAAAAGCGGGCCAACGGGAACCGGATACGGTTGCTCGAGATTACAGTATTCCGTATTGCAATAGCACAATATTTGATCGTCGGTCTGAATGCACGTGTTCATCGAGTTGAAGTCGTGATTGTCTGGAAACGGGGGCGAGGGGCTACAATTCGACGTTCGCCTCTGGGTACGTACATTCAGAACTATCACAACCTCGATCGGGCGCGTACTTGGAAGGTAGAATGTCTCCGAAATCGTTCAGTATCTGGAAGAAATGATGAACAAAAAATGGGCGATTTTCAAGTCGGTACCAGAGATCGTTTGTAGGTGCACGCGTGGCCAAAACAAAAGTTATCGTCGGAAATTACGTCTCCGCTGTGACACTTGATGACCGGCGGAATCACGAGCGTCACGTCCGACGCGATCGAGAACGAGGCGTCGTTGCACTTTTCAGAGTCGCCTGGATCAGAAACTACCGTAAATACTGTGTGGCTGTTCATTCGAAAAACGTAGAAAGGGGCGTGGCCTAGCGTGCACGGTTTATGCGCCATTTTGGCGCGAAATTCGAAATTTAACCCCAGTTTTCATGTTTTTCGTCAAAAATTACCCGAATTTTGTACGATTTCGACAATGCGATTGCATGACTTTGTTAAACTAATCATCGCGCGCACTTTTTGAGCCAAAAACGAGCAGGTTTCATTCAGAAATGAATCAATTGAATCGATTTTCAAGTTTTGTGCTGAAAATGCGCGAATTTCAGTCATTCGTCGATACTTTTTGCCGTTTGAACGCTTAAAATACTTGTATTAACGTGCTTAATCACTTCCGAAACAATCACTTCGTCTCAAAACTATCCACATCGGCCGGTATGAGAATTCCGAAATTGCGGCGGCGATTGGCCGCGGAGGGCGTATTGCGAAATATGCCAAAAACGTCTCAAACGCGGCGTTTCCACGAAAATTTCAATGTTTTCTCTCTTTAATGTCTCTTCTTTCGTCGATATCAAACACAAAAATATCGGAAAAGTGCTGGAATTGCAGCAATTTTCAGAAAACGCGTCGCAGATTAGGCCACGCCCCTTTCTACACTTTTGGTCGCCGTGCAAGGCTGTATATCTGAACTGCCGGCAGAGATATCAAAAAGTTGTCAACTGAAAAAATGTGCAAAATGTTTTGATGAACAATATATCAGTTGACAACTCTTTGATATCTCTACCGGCAGCTGAGCTACAATGCTTTGAATCGACGGTGACGGAGTGTCTTTCTATTTAGGCCCAGAACATGTAGAACACACATAAATTGGCCAATTTCATTCTCTAGACTACAAATTCACTCATTCGCAAACGTGTTCTCACATGCATTGCAGCAGCCCGCAAAAGTTCAGACCCCACCAAATACTGTCGTTCTTTGAAAATCACGACAAAGACTTACACAAGCACGACACGAGGCCCTTCCGATTCGTTCGGCACTTTTGATCCGACAGATCAGATCGGGTCGTCACACATCCCTGCAGAACATCATCACTTATCAAGTTTCTTCTTCCTCTTCTGAGCGCGCGTCAAATAAAATGAATCAGTTGGTGACCTACTTGATCTTTGATGGCTCCACCGGCCACGATCCACGTGGTTCGGCACCAGTTGCTCGTCGAGCACACGTCTGAGCAACCGTTTCTGTAAGCGCGGCATGAACGCAACAGCAGCAGCTGGCAGTCAAAGTGGTGGCCGTGGAAAATCCTCGGCCACACGGCGACCAAAAGTGTAGAAAAGGGCGTGGACTAATCTGAGACGCGTTTTCTCAAAATTGCCGCAATTTCAGCACTTTTCCGATATTTTTGTGTTTGATATCGACGAAAGAAGACATTAAAGAGAGAAAACATCGAAATTTTCGTGAAAACGCCGCGTTTGAGACGTTTTTCGCATATTTCGCAATACGCCCTCCGCGGCCAATCGCCGCCGCAATTTCGGAATTTTCATACCGGCCGATCTGGATAGTTTTGAGATGAAGTGAGTGTTTCGGAAGTGATTAAGCACGTTAATACAAGTATTTTAAGGGTTCAAACGGCAAAAAGTGTCGGCGAATGACTGAAATTCGCGCATTTTCAGCACAAAACTTGAAAATCGATTCAATTGATTCATTTCTGAATGAAACCTGCTCGTTTTTGGCTTAAAAAGTGCGCGCGATGATTAGTTTAACAAGTTATGCAATCGCATCGTCGAAATCGTACAAAATTTGTATAATTTTTTACGAAAAACATAAAAAATGGGGTTAAATTTCGAATTTCGCGCCAAAATGGTGATAAACGCTAGGCCACGCCCCTTTCTACGTTTTTGGTCGCCGTTGGCCATTCGATCTCTTCCGTACTTTTTTTTTTGCGTTTAGCGCAATCGTCAGCGTGCAACGGCGTCATATGAATAGCAGGGAAGAGTTTTCACACCGGATTTTTCTAGGCCACGGCCACAACATTGACTTGCGGGCGTTTTTAAGATATATCTCCGCTGGCAAAAGAGATATCAAAAAGTTGCCAACATAAAAATTGTTTAGAAACACTTTGTGCACATTTTATCAGTTGACCACTTTTTGATATCTTCACAGACAACTGAAATACATAGTCTTGAATGGAATCGAAATGGAATCTTACGATTCGGGTTGACAAATACACTGAAAACTGCAAGCCGCTTGGAATTGTTGTAGCACCACAATAAAGACAAGAAAAAGCATTCGTTAGGGGAAAAGTTTGATATTGTGAAGTGTGCAAAAGTGTCCCCGGTTGCCATGACTTTCTGTTTTTTCACCTGCTTCTTCACACCGGATCATTCCACTTTGTGTTCTACATTTTACATCTGCTTATCCGATTCTATCGATGTATTCGCCCTCTCCTCGCCGTTTTTATCAAAACAAGTGGCGTTGCGACATGCTTCAGGTTTTTTTTTGCTGAACATTTGCTGGAAAGAGAGGAAAGGGGGAGTGCGTCATGAAGTGGAAGAAGAAGGGAGGAAGAGGAAGGCCGCGAAAAATTGACATCACAGAAACGTTAGATATGCCCGGGTAGATCGTCCTTTGATGGCCTTCAGCTGCTACTTCTCCGTCGGCTTCTTCTCTCCCATCAAATTGACGTAATGTCTGCGTTTTTTCTGGCTGATGATTGAACATTTAAACCTACATCATTGTCTCCAGTGTACAAACTCTAAAATTATTGTAGATCTTGAAATAGGGCTGTGATTCAATGCGTCGTATCTCGGCTGTTTGTAGAGATATCAAAAAGTGTTCAACTGATGAAATGTACACCATGTTTTAATACGTATTTTGTTAGTTGATAACTTTTTGATATCTCTTCCGGCAGCTGAGATACATAGTCTTGAATAGACGGTACCGAGACCCTTCGATCACAACACAATCTCTATCAATACTGGAACCAAACTATTATTCACTCATTATCCATTGTTTTTTCCTCTTCCCAATACTATCAAACTTGTTATCCACAGCCCACCATCTATCTTTCGAACACATTGGAAACGTTTTTCATGTTAGGAAAACATTTTACAAACTTTCAAAAGTACCCTATCTTTAAGGTTCTATATCTCGAGAACCAATGATTATTTCAAAACGTGATCAACTGGAAAGTTGTTGCAAATTTCATACTAAACAAGTTTGCAGTTGACAAATTAGTGCCAAACTTTTTGGTTCTCAAGTTACGCCCCTTTTTCCAGACCATCAGTTGGCATAGATCAGTTGGCAAAAGCGTCGAGCGTTTAATCAATGAAACCTCGACAATCTGCCGCGAATATCGTGTGTGTGTGATCCTCCTCCTTTTCCTTTCGCTTCGTTCAATCGAGGCCAATCACTTCATTAATTCATTTTCCCGACCTCAAGCTTCAAACAAAAGGAGATCAGAGACAATCGAAACGATATTATCAGTCGGGCCGCATTGAGATGCGTCGGTATTTGGTCCTCGTATCTCTCGTAGTTTTTGTTCAGTCCACCATCACTTTCACCGCCATTTCTGGCTTTTTCCGCCACTCCGCTGCTAGCTTGTTTTCCTTCCTTTCCTTTCCTTCCTCGCGGCCCCCGCTTCTTCTTTCGTGCTTACTTAGCCCAATTCCAAATATTGTTGTGTCATCTTATATATTAGGTGTCATTTTGCTTATTGTCGAGTAGTGATTCATGTCAGCGCTCCGCTAGACTTTGTGTGTAAGAATCTGCGGTGACGTAGCCTCTTTCCTGTCCTCTTCCTGCAATTTCACTTTCCCCTCGCCAACAACTTCTTATCATAAAAGATCGTCGTCGCTTTCCCCCCCTCTCCTCTCAAATTCACTTCTTCTTCTTCTTTCTTTCTTGTTTAGACCAGTCTCTCTCTCTTTCTCTCTCTCTCTCTCTCTCTCTCTCTCTCTCTCTCTCTCTCTCTCTCTCTCTCTCTCTCTCTCTCACTCTCTCTCTCACTCTCTCTCTCTCTTTCTCTCTCTCTCTCTCTCTCTCTCTCTCTCTCTCTCTCTCTCTCTCTCTCTCTCTCTCTCTTTGTCTCTCAAATTCATTTGTGTTATGATTGATTATTCATACGATCGGACAGACATGTCATCACACACGTTCACAATCAATTCGGAAGAATATCAGCCGGCCGGCTACGAGGATGCCGACGATTTTTGTGTAAAAGTGAGGATTTTGGGGGGGGGGGCCCGAAAATCTCGAAAAATTCGTGTATCATCTTTTAGGTGCCACGAACAAGCAGTGAGAACCGGCGGCTAAAATATAGCCACGTGGAAGATGACAACGTCGACATTGCCTACCTCAATTTTCCCGTTCTCCGCGCCAGTCTAATCTTCACTTTCACATCGCTCACCGCATTTATAGGTCGGCTTTTGAGTTCCTACATCTTCGAGACCGAAACGTTATTCAAAAAGTGGTCAACTGCAAAGTTGTCGCAAATTTTGTGCTCAACAACTTTGCACTTGATCACTTTATGCCGCGTCCAAAGTCTCGGAAAACCCCGCAAATCTCGCGGATTTTGCAGTCCAAAGTCGGCAGAAATTTGCGGAAAATCCGGGGTGCGCACAGCTGAACGAGTGTTACCGTACACCATAAAACTACGGTATTTTTTGAAAATTTACCCAAGAAGTTTGAAAAAAATTGCAAATATTCTCGAAAAAAATTTAAATTTTTTTTCAAAAAAATACCGTTGAAAAATTTACCCAAAAAAATTTGAAAAAAATTGCAAATATTCTCGAGAAATTTAAATTTTTTTCAAAAAAATACCGTTGAAAAATTTACCAAAGAAGTTTGAAAAAAATTGCAAATATTCTCGAAAAAAATTTAAATTTTTTTCAAAAAAATACCGTTGAAAAATTTACCCAAGAAATTTGAAAAAAATTGCAAATATTCTCGAAAAAAATTTAAATTTTTTTTCAAAAAAATACCGTTGAAAAATTTACCCAAAAAAATTCGAAAAAAATTGCAAATATTCTCGAGAAATTTAAATTTTTTTCAAAAAAATACCGTTGAAAAATTTACCCAAGAAATTTGAAAAAAATTGCAAATATTCTCGAAAAAAATTTAAATTTTTTTCAAAAAAATACCGTTGAAAAATTTACCCAAAAAAATTTGAAAAAAATTGCAAATATTCTCGAGAAATTTAAATTTTTTTCAAAAAAATACCGTTGAAAAATTTACCAAAGAAGTTTGAAAAAAATTTCAAATATTTTCGAGAAATTTAAATTTTTTTATTTTTTTGAAAAATTTACCCAAAAAAATTTGAAAAAAATTGCAAATATTCTCGAGAAATTCAAATTTTTTTCAAAAAAATACCGTTGAAAAATTTACCCAAAAAAATTTGAAAAAAATTTCAAATATTTTTCGAGAAATTTAAATTTTTTTGAAAAAAATACCGTTGAAAAATTTACCCAAAAAAATTTGAAAAAAATTGCAAATATTCTCGAGAAATTCAAATTTTTTTTCAAAAAAATACCGTTGAAAAATTTACTCAAAAAAATTTGAAAAATTGCAAATATTCTCGAGAAATTTAAATTTTTTCAAAAAATACCGTAGTTTTATGGTGTACGGTAACACTCGTTCAGCTGTGCGCACCCCGGATTTCCCGCAAATTTCTGCCAACTTTGGACTGCAAAATCCGCGAGATTTGCGGGTTTTCCGAGACTTTCATTTTCGAGTTTTGAACGTATTTGTTTCAGTGGCAGTGTGCGCGGCGTTCCATTCAGATTACAAGCCGTTCACAGAAGACGAGCTCGTCGACAACTCAATCATCATCAGATACGGCTCAAAAGTGTTTCGATGTAGTGTACGTCGGCGATTCTCCACAATAAATGAGGCATAGGATATTGTAGACTCTGCTGAAACTGCCACAAGACGGTCTCCCGTCGATTCTCAACTTGCTAGAGCTCAACGTGTGGGGCAACGTGGCGTTTCGACTGGCCACATGTCTCACAATCGCGATTCGATTCTTTCATAGTTTGATATTCAGGCACTGGTCTTTTCGTCTCTTCCTAATAGCATTCGTTGATTGTATCGCTTCAGAAATCTGCTGCTAAACGGGTACTGGAAGAACGTGCCGAATCCGATCTTCCGTTGGTTTTCCGATCTGATGCCCATGGTGACACTGATCGAAACGATCGCGCTGGCCATGTTCAGTGTGATCACGATGCACAGCGATTTCAAGGAAATCAATCACTTTTGCAAATCGATATTCGCCATCTCGTCCGTCGTGAACATGTTCATTCCGGCCGCGTTCACTCTGTTACTCTCCATGTACAGTCCGAAGGTACACATCTCTGAATGATTGAGAATAATTGACGGATTTCAGATGTCGGAGGCATTGTTCGTCTTCACAAAAACCATTTGTGCGTGCGTCTACGGCTACTGTGCTCCACAATATTTTCAATTTCACATTGGATGGACCAAAGACTCGCTCTGCCATTCTTACAGTTCGTTTTTTTATTCTTATTCTGGTTTAAGGCTGACAATCTACAAAACTTGACAATAGTTGTCTTACTGTACATTCAAGACGATGTATCTCAGCTGCCGGAGCAGATATCGAAAAGTTGTCAACTGAAAAGTTGTTGCAAATTTTGTGCTCAACAACTTTTCAATTGACAATTTCCCTCTAACTTTGATCGTTCTTGAGTTAGGATCCAGTTTAGTGCGACCTTGTGTAACTCTTACTTTTCCGCCCTTTGCTCCTCCTATTTCAGTGACATAATTCTCCATTTCCAGTTGCTCGTGACTTTGCCCTGATGGAGTACAGTCTGCTGACCGCCTATCTCATCTTCCATCTGATGGCTCTCCGCGACCTGTCCGGCCTTCAGTTCATTTGTTATCCACGCTCGTGCAGTGGAGAATGCGAGCCGTTGAAGCCGGAAAACTACGAAAAGGGCGGAAAGTACGAGCATTGCCGCGCGTTCGAGTACAATCAACGACGGTTAAGGAACGCCTACAAATGATTGAATTGTTCTTTGGTCGCCAAATGTTTGATGATATATCACAGGTTTCATTTCGAATCATAAATCTCATTTTTCACGTACATTCTTCAAAGTATTTTGCATAGAAAAGAACAAGAGCTAACAAAGACAAAGTGTTAGGAAATTTATCACGGCGACCAAAAACGTAGAAAGGGGCGTGGCCTAGCGTGCACGGTTTATCACCATTTTGGCGCGAAATTCGAAATTTAACCCCATTTTTCATGTTTTTCGTCAAAAATTACCCGAATTTTGTACGAATTCGACGATGTAATTGCATAAATTTGTTAAACTAATCATCACGCGCACTTTTTGAGCTATAAACGAGCAGGTTTCATTCAGAAATGAATCAATTGAATCGATTTTCAAGTTTTGTGCTGAAAATGCGCGAATTTCAGTCATTCGCCGACACTTTTTGTCGTTTGAACGCTTAAAATACTTGTATTAACGTGTTTAATCACTTTCGACCCTCACTTCGTCTCAAAACTATCCAGATCGGCCGGTATGAAATTCTGAAATTGCGGCGGCGATTGTTGTAACTTTTGAAAATTTGCAGGTCTAAAAATGCAGTTCAATTCGAGTTTACGACTTTTATTTCTTGCTTTTTGATTTGAAAAACGTCTAGAAAACAATATTTTACTCATTGAAAACCGTTCTTTACAGAATTTCGAGTTTTTCATGTTTTTAGCGTCTTTTTCGCATTTCGTCAAAACTTCAAACCTTTATATTTCAGCTCATTTTGCATTTCAGGAGCCCAACGAACGATAAAAAATGCTCGCTAAATCTTTTTTCACAAAATTCAGGTTCCGGCGGTTAGTTTTCTTGAGCAGTTTTCGAGAACTATTCGAAAAACATCAAAATCCAGGCCAAAACCTTCAAATCGAAATAACTCGGCTAATTCTCAACGATATGCGAGATTTCTGTTACCAAAACGTAGCTAGTGCTCTAATTATTCGGCGCCAGGTTCCGGGCGTACAAAAAATAGGTGTATTGTACAGAAAACATGGAATGAACGCGAACTCCCGCTGAAAATTAATTAATCGGCCGCCGCGTAAATCTACACAGCCCGCCTGTTGCAAGTGCGCCCCATTGAAATCATTCGCGCCGTGGGAGACCGTGGGCGTTTTCACGAAAATTTCGATGTTTTCTCTCTTTAATGTCTTCTTTCGTCGATATCAAACACAAAAATATCAGAAAAGTGCTGGAATTGCGGCAATTTTCAGAAAACGCGTCTCAGATTAGGCCACGCCTCTTTCTACACTTTTGGTCGCCTTGCGAGAAGAGAACTTTTTCAGTAGGGTACATGTGCAAAGCACCTGAAACTGCCGCTTATTTGAGATTGAAAGGCCAGCGAATGGAAACGTCGTGTCATTTGCGTCGATTATAAATGCTAACGGATCACCTGCCCGCTGTTAGTCTTAGACGAAAGTCACTAAAAATTAGTCGAACTAAATGCGCCGTGTCGATTTCTCCGCTGCCAAATGGCTGCTCGTTCACTATTACTTGCTCGGATCGATGGCGCTCATTCTCAACTCTTTCGCAGTATACCTACTCATTTTCCACTGCTCCAAACTTGGAAGATTCCGTTATTATCTGCTTTCTCTTCAAGTTTGCCGCATTCTTCTTCGTTGAATCAAACATCGTTTTGTTTTCAGATATTATGCTGTCTCACTGATATCTGTGAGGACTTTCTAGTACAACCTCAAGCTTTGTTCCCGATTACAGCCGGCTACGCGTCCGGTTTGCTCAGCTCTTTCTTCGGATTCTCCACGCTGTTTTGTGTGGTATTATGAGAAGGAGAGAAGGCGAAATAGACGATTGATTATAGGGTGTGATGCTGGAAGTTGTGGTTGTTCAAATCGAGATTCTAGTCTTTTGTTTCCTAATGAAACATCAGTCGATTGCAAAGATTCTCGACGTTCACGTACTCTCAAAACGAAACAAGTATTTCTTGGCTTCAATCTTCATTACGACTCCGTTCACTGTCGGCGTTGCACTTAAATTCGGCACGATGAGCAAAGAGCAGCAGTGGACGTATATTAGAGAAGTTTTCAGATTTCTATTGACATACTGAACAATTGAATCGATTTCAGAATTATCCGGACTACATTTCCAGTTTCCAAGAGCTTGCCAACTTTGAAATCTGCCAGAAATCGATTGAATTTCTGTGCCTTATCGCGTTGGTCATGTTCGCAGCACTTATGGTCATAACTTCGTTGTTCCTTCTCACTTTTGACATGTTTCACATGATGAACGTTCTCAAGACTAAACTATCGCCCACCGCTTATCACAGACATCAGCACGCCGTCAAAAGTCTTCTCGTCCAGTTGACCACCTCTCTCTTCTGCACTCTTCCGCCGTCTCTTTTCGGCGTCACCATTTTTCTCGATTTTCCAAGCGTACAATGTAATTAAAGCCGTGCTTTTTCTCCCCTTCTCCTCCGACCTTGTGCAATTTTCAGTGGTGGCCGAGCTGTGTCTAGCCTGGTTCAGTACCCATTCGTCGGTCAGTGTCATCTGTCTCATCATCTTTTTTCCGCCTTTCAACACCTTCATCGTTCGATTGTTCAGAAGGTTTGAGAGCAGAAAAGTTAAAGAAGATACAGGGGGCGTGGCCTAGCGTGCACGGTTTATGTGCCATTTTGGCGCGAAATTCGAAATTTAACCCCATTTTTCATGTTTTTCGTCAAAAATTACCCGAATTTTGTAAGATTTCGACGATGTGCTGGCATAATTTTGTTAAACTAATCATCGCGCGCACGTTTTGAGCCAAAAACGAGCAGGTTTCATTCAGAAATGAATCAATTGAATCGATTTTCAAGTTTTGTGCTGAAAATGCGCGAATTTCCGTCATTCGCCGACACTTTTTGCCGTTTGAACGCTTAAAATACTTGTATTAACGTGCTTAATCACTTCCGACACGGACTTTGTCTCAAAACTATCCAGATCGGCCGGTATGAAAATTCCGAAATTGCGGCGACGATTGGCCGCGGAGAGCGTATTGCGAAATATGCCAAAAACGTCTGAAACGCGGCGTTTTCACGAAAATTTCAATGTTTTATATATATATATATATATATATATATATATATATATATATATCTCTTTAATGTCTCTTCTTTCGTCGATATCAAACACAAAAACAGCGGAAAAGTGTGCTGTAATTGCGGCAATTTTCAGAAAACGCGTCTCAGATTAGGCCACGCCCATTTCTATACTTTTTGTCGCCGTATCAGTACTTTCAGGGGTGGTCGAAAAGTGTCCGTTCTCGTATCCGCACAGATTCCGATGTGAACGACTCGTGTGCATCAGAGATGTTGGGAATAAAAATGTTACTCTACGGAACACGGAACATGGAAAACGGAAAATTTTTTTTTTACGGAACACGGAAATTTTTTTTTACGGAACACGGAACACGGAAAAAATATTGAAAAAAACGCGGAACACGGAACACGGAATTCCCAACATCTCTGGTGTGCATCTTACCTCGCGTTAAAACAAATGCGATTTGTCACCTGCTCTAGACTGCATATTCGCCCGGAATTCTGAATTTGGCAAGAATGCAGCTTGTCGACTTCTCGCCGCCCGAATGGCTTCTTATCCATTACTACTCAATCGGATCGATATCCATAGTTCTGAACGCATTCGCAGCGTACCTACTCATTTTCCACTGCTCCAAACTCGGCACATTCCGATACTATCTGCTCGTTTTTCAAGTCTGCTCAATCATTTCTTTTCTTATTAGTTAATCAGTCAATTGCTTTCAGTTGCTGTGCGCCTTCACCGATATCGATGCGAATTTTCTAGTACAACCCGTGCTTCTGCTGCCAATTCCTGCCGGATATACAGCCAGTGTCATCGCCAGTTTGTTCGGCATATCCGCTCATGTTTGTGTGGTTCGGAAAGAGCACACTGGTGCTCAGAAGACAAATCGATCGTTTTAGGCTCTTCTAGTACAGAATTTGCTCCTTCAAATGGCCGCTCTTCTGCTATGCTTCCTAATGAAACATCAAGGAATCGCCGTGATTCTCAACTATCATACATTTCCAGTTGGCACAATTTATCTCTTCTACTTTGGCTGTCTCACCACTCTTTGTGCCATCGGCTGCCTGTTTGAGTATGCCAGTTTGAGTGAAGAGGATCAATGGAAGTTGATTATACAAGTCTTAAAATGATTATTTGCCACGTTTCACCAGATGATTTCATTTCAGAACTATCCAGACTACATCTACAGCTTCCGACACCTTGCCAACTTTGAACTCTTTGTCAAGTCCACCTCTTTCCTCACACTTTTATCGGTGGCTGGCGTGGAATCGACGTTCGTCGCGATTTCAGTGCTCCTTCTCACTTTTGACATGTTTCAAATGATGAACGTTCTGAAGACTAAAATATCATCGACGGCTTTTCATAAGCATCAGCACGCGATGAAGAGTCTTCTGGTACAATTTGCCACGTCTCTCCTATGCATTCTACCACCCACCTCCCTGACCACCATTGTTTTTTTCGAAGTTCCAAACGCTCAATGTAAGCTAATTGATTTTTCTCCTGAAAATCCAACTCCTATTACAGTTTTCGCCGCGTTTCTAACCGCCTGGACTAGTGCTCACTCGTCGATCAGTGTCATCTGTCTCATGATATATTTCCCGCCTTTCAATAAGTTTATAGTTGAATCGTTCAAAAAGTATGTTGTTGCATCGTTGAATGACCGGTACAGTACTATTTTCAGGAACCGGCGAAGAGTTTCCGTTCCTGCATCTAATCACTTCTGAAGACTACATTCAGGACACTATATCTCAGTTATCTGTAGAGCTATCAACAAGTGGTCAACAGACAAAATGTAGAGCATTTCTTTGTGAGCATTCTGTTAGTTGACCACTTTTTGATACGTCTACTCGTAGCTGAGATATAACGTTTTGAATAAGCGGTGTTCGGGTGCCGTTCTAAACGAAGTTTTGTCGAATAGTTTCAGTTCCTGCAACAACTTTATCAAATCACGAATCGGGTGTTATTAGTTGTCTGCGACACAATAATGTTAAAACGGCGAGGCGCCTTGTTGCATTTGAAGCTTCAGATTCCTTCTGGGACCCTGGAAGCGGCCTGGAGAACTTTCCATCGAGGAGAAGTCGTCGTTCTGTTTGGCGATCGGAGAGTATTCCGGAGAACCTCTTTGGACGGACTGAAATACAAACAGTAGCTACTAGCGTCTCTAGCGCGCCGTAACTTACCTTTTCATCGACAGAATCTTGTCTTGAAATGAAGCTATAATTCTCCGAATACTCCTCTTTTCGATATCCGTCTTCCTCTATCAAATCGTGAATCTTCGCGAGAAGCGCACCGACAAACGGGTCGCTGATCTCGAAATGCTCCTCGATGAGCTTGTCGACGTTGTACTTGAACATGACGTCCACCGAGAAGTCCGTCTCCAAAAGTGATTTGACAATGCGCAAGCCCTATTACAAAAAAAGTAAAGAGCGATTGTTTCGTTGTTGACTCACCTCTCTCCTTGAAAACGGTTTCCGGAGTCGTTTGGCCAATGATGCGATCGTTTTCTCGTTGATTTCATCGTTAGACATGGTTGCCGAGAATGCGAGCGCGTACAGACTGACAATATCGACTCGATTGTTGACTGGACCCAGGTTTTACGGCCACACGTGAAGATGGGAGGCAAACGCGCTCCACCGGCCTCGACGTCACAGATTGTTGGTCTGTTCTCTTCATGGATTTGAGGGGAATGGCCAGTGTTTCGGATGAAGAAACGGCGCTGGAGGAGGCGAGTTCGGAACAGGAATAGAACAAGATCTCTTGGGTGGGATCAGTACTTTCAGTTTTATCGATTGAAAAGCGTTAGCTACACATAGCAACAGTACTTTATTCAGTTCGTTTCTCGAACATAATGCGTGCTATTTGACTTGTGGACAACACTGATCCTCTCCATGCCAATAGGAGCGACTTTGGTCCTTTTCAGTTTGGTGAGCACTTGCAGAGCATATTCCCGATACGGTTTGTAGACGATCATGATAGCGAAACTTTCGAACAGTCCGTGATTTCCCAAGAATACGATCATTAAGTTGGTCATGGATTGAGTGGAATGGCCCGTGATTACAGCAGAAATGTACAAAAACATAGGCCCTATGACGACTAGAAACGGAATGCACGTCTGGAAGAGAATTCCGATGAAGAAGCGGCGTTGTAAAGTTCGCGTTCTGACGGATGCCGCGTTGCAAGGGACAATGTAGAGGTAATAGACGCAGCAGAGAGTGTGGAACATCAGATGGCTGAAGCTGGCGATGAAAATGAACGGGATAAGAACGAGGAAGACGAAAGTAACGAGACTAGCGTCAGTGGTGAATACAAAGATAGGGGTGGGAAGGAAGAATTCTCGGGTTGGACAAGGGTAGGATTTCAAAAGTTCCAGCCGTCCCGCTTCTTGATCATCCGGGTATTTTGAAATGACCAGGAATGAGCTGCAATTGCACAAAAGCACAAATCCATGATATATGACTTTAGAGACTCGATTTTTCAACCCGAATCGGTTTTCCGGTATGCAACTGCTTCGACTTTGGAACAGGTATACCATCGATTGAACCAAAGCTGTAATTTGAATAAAAAGCATAACTTTATTGGTTTTTTTAAAACCTATGACTGATGAAATGGCAATGATCCACTGAAGAAGAACCGATGCTCCGATCCAGCTGAGGAGTCCGACTCCGAACCCCGCCGGAGAGGGCATGAAGAAGTAGGGGGTTATGAGGAAACTAACCTCAGTGTCGAACAAGGTGCAGCTGAAGTGAGCAAAAATTAGTTGAATAAAAGGACAGCTCACGGCGACCAAAAGTGTAGAAAGGGGCGTGGCCTAATCTGAGACGCGTTTTCTGAAAATTGCCGCCATTCCAGCACACTTTTCCGATATTTTTGTGTTTGATATCGACGAAAGAAGAGACATTAAAGAGAGAAAACATTGAAATTTTCGTGAAAACGCCGCGTTTGAGACGTTTTTGGCATATTTCGCAATACGCCCTCCGCGGCCAATCGCCGCAGCAATTTCGGAATTTTCATACCGGCCGATCTGGATAGTTTTGAGACGAAGTGAGTGTTTCGGAAGTGATTAAGCACGTTAATACAAGTATTTTAAGCGTTCAAACGGCAAAAAGTGTCGGCGAATGACTGAAATTCGCGCATTTTCAGCACAAAACTTGAAAATCGATTCAATTGATTCATTTCTGAATGAAACCTGCTCGTTTTTGGCTCAAAAAGTGCGCGCGATGATTAGTTTAACAAAGTTATGCAATTTCATCGTCGGAACCCGTACAAAATTTGGGTAATTTTTGACGAAAAACATGAAAAATGAGGTTAAATTTCGAAATTCGCGCCAAAATCGTGATAAACCGTGCACGCTAGGCCACGTCCCTTTCTACGTTTTTCGTCGTCGTGTGTCGACAGTGAATCTGAGCACTCACAAAAAGTGAAAAAGAAGCAACTGCACCTTGATCGTCTTCATATTCTTCGGCGTCTTTTTGAGAATCACATAGTAGGTGAGCAGTTGAATCGGAAGCGAGACGCCGCCGATCAAATGACAGCACGTGGCGAGTCCCTGCCACGAGGCCAGAAAACTGTCGTCCGCTGGGCATCGCGTGTAATTCGTCGCGTAGTACTCTCTAATCGAGTCCATGTCGAGCAAAGTGAAACACGATTCAGGGGCGAATACGAAGTTACTCACATTTTTGGCTCACGGTCGCCACAGAAATCACCTGCTGACATTATTTATCTGGGTTTTTCAGATTTCCAGCGGCCAGCTCAATGCTGAACACATCTGAAGTTGAAGTGTGGGCTCAAAGATGGCAAAGTTTTTGAAAAGTGTGTTTCCGTCTAGTTTCAATATTTCAGGTCCTTTTGAGTAAGTATTTAGAGACAGATGATTCTTGATTTTCTGTTCCCTGCGAGCCTTGAGGGCGGTGTTATTATTGTTCACAATTTTTCTCTTTTTTGCGCGTTCCAACAATTTACAGACACTCTCACACAACGAACGGAATAGAATATAATGAAAATATTCATTGAGGAAAAATTCAATCAATGTTTGGCGCGAAGTTCTCCGCGGTACTCTTCGACGCATCGCGCTGCACAAATTTCCAGGTCTCCAAGCTCTGATTCTTCGACGTCCGGCTTGTAGAATCGGTCGACGCAGTCCGATTCGCACGCCAGAAATGTTTGGTCGCTTTCGTCTGAAATTGAAGTCGTAACAGAATGAGCGCGGAGCGAAAAAGCTGAAACTGTGCTCGCAAAGCGTAGACTTTCGCATACTTTTTTCAGTTGCGGAAAAAATGCAAAAGAACATGAAGACAAAATAAATAACTCAGCTGCCTTGAGAGCTATCAAAAAGTTGTCAACTAACAAAAACTCAATAAATTTTACCAGTTGCGTACTTTTCGATATCGCTACAAACCGCTGAGATACATCGCACGTCTTGAATAAACTCCTTCGAAACTCACCCAAATAGTCGCCGTAACACTGTTTCGCGCACTTTTTCCACTCGTCGACAGTGTCTCCGCACGAGTTTACACACTCGATCTCGTCCTCTTTGCCGTCGTCCTCCTCGCCGAAAACGAACGAAGACGTGACGACGAGCACGAAGAGGAACACGAATCGGTTCTTCTTTTTGATCGCATCCATTGGAATGTTTTGACTGAAGACACACAAAAAAATGTACAGTTTTGTCGGTTGATACGCTTTTTGTAGACACTTCTTTATCTTGTTATTGAGGTTTTCATCAGGGAGGAGAAGGGTATCTTTATTTTTTTTAACGTTTTCAAACAAAAACAATCGGTCGGATTCAACTACAAATGGTGCAAACACAATCGCCCGTCAGACACGTCGCCACTTCACAACTCTGAAATCCAAGGTTTACAATTGATTTGACAGCAAAAAAAAAAAAAAAGAAACGCACGTGGCAAGTGATATGTTTGCAGATGAAATCTCCGAAAAAGCACGAAAAGTCGGCGTTCGCGAGCCCGCAGAGCAAAAAAATGCAGAGAAGAATGACGGAGAGGTGGTTTGCGAACATTTTACAAACAAAATGGGGGGAATGGGAACAGATTGTTTTTGGTTTTCGTTCAATTCGAAACGATTATAACCGAAACCGGATAGTTTATCCGGTCACCGACCGGAAACCACACATGACACATGAAAAACATCGGTAAAACATTCACAAGTAAATAGGTTCAGTTGACAATTCTCTTGAGCGTATTATTCAGAAGTCGTCGTCCTTCCAAATACGTCGTCGCGTGCACATAATGCTTCGGAACCACCTTCAGCACATTCCGATTCTCCACACTTTCCATTGTGAAATTGAAGACGTTCGTGTTGACGCGAGCCTGAAAATTGCATTGTTTCGATGCGAATCTCATCAAAATCGGTCCAACCTCTTGTCCGAGCGTCGGATTGTTCAGTTTCGCCAGTTCGGGCAGTTTGTTCTGATCGGAAACCGACGCGGCGACCTTCACTTGCACATAATTGCCGTCCGTGTAGGTGAGGAACGAGTCAAAGTGGAGGACGTGTCCGATCTCCACCGGCTTCGCAAACTCAATCTGATCCATCGATCGCACCGCCACACGTCCTTTGCAGTACAGTTTTGCGTTCGTGTACGCCAGTTCAAGCGCCTTTCGCATCAGAAATCCGCCAAAGATCTTTCCGTACATGTTCTGATACTCGGGGAAGCAGATCTCCGTCACCGACAGCTTTGTCTTGTGCATCCACATTTCCGACGGCTGCAAATTCGAGCGTTCAACTTTTCTCGGTAACTATTCTCACCTTCAACACGGGAATATCGTTGACCATGCTCCGGCTGATCAGTTTTCCGTACATATTGTGAATGAGCAGGAACTCTTCGTGCGTCGGCTGTCGTTCCTCCGAGTTGCCCATTCGTTTGAAGTGCTCCTTCGTCTGATTGATCGTCTCCGCCTCATCTGGAGTCTTGGCGACCAGTCCGTGCACACGAATCTTTTTCGTCGCGTCCAGTGGATCGCGGGAGACCTGAAATTGGGGGAACGATGCAAATGCGCTCTTTTGCGAAGGAGAAAATGAGAAATCGGTTGGCGCGAAATGAAACTTTTCAAAAGCCCAAACATTTCCGATTTTTTTCAGTGAAATTTCGCAAAATCGGTCAATTAGCGGAGCCTGTTTTAGAAATATTTCACTTTCAAATCACCATGATAAAGTCTGCCTTCAGAAGATGAATCAAACTGCCGCTCTCGTCGTTTTGGAACAAACGGATCGAGATCTGCATGCTGCTGACGCCCGCATAAGTGACCTGTCCGTCGATGATAATGTCGCGCGACGAGTTGATATCCTCTCTGGAACTTTCAAAAACGATTGGGCACGAAAAGCCGCTTGTAAGTACTTGTGAAAATCGATGCGCTTCACCGACGCGGTGACGATCGTGCGCGGCAAAGTCATCGGCCCGTCGAGCGTTCCGTTCTCCGAGTTGTGCACGTACGCCACGTGAACGGCCATGTGATCCAGGTCCTCGAGCACTTTTCCGATTCGCACGTTGCCCATCGCACTCAGGTACTCCTTCTGCTTCGCCTTGTCCGTGCTCAGCGGGATCACGAATCTGCGGTAGCTGTGCGAGATGGTTCGCGGCTCCAGCGGCTTGCTCTTCTTTTCCTCTTCGCTGAACGTGTCCGGACGGTTCTTCGACACGTGCTCGTAAATCGACGACACCATTTGATCGATCGGAACGTCGGCTTCTGCGATCGGCTCCAGGTTCAACTGCACATTGTGAGACAATTGGCGAATGCCGGTTTTCTGAAAAAACAACTGAATTAAAAACATTTAACACAAAAATACAGAAAATTACCTGCACCGTCAAAGCTGGAGCATTTCCGTTCGAGACACTTCCAATAAGGACCTGTCGGAATCCGGAAAAGCGGCGAACTTGCGGAATTCTTCTTGCAATATGTTTCGCCAGCATTATTTATTGCTCTTTTCGGAGAAATGATTGGAAAATTCGAAAAACGGGGACAAAAACGTGCGAAACGCACGTGGCACGCTTGTCGAAAACGTGTTGTGCGCCTTTGAATCTACAGTAGTCCACGCAGATTTTCTCCGGGGGAAAATCAGATAATTGTTCAAAAATTAATAACAGTAGACGTTTATTAACCAGAAAAAAAATGTTGAAAAGCTGATCAAGTAAGAGTTTTGCCACAAGCCACCATTCTCCTAGTGAACGTTCCATCGGTGCTCAACGAGCATCTGGAAAAAATGGTTTTCAGTTAAAAATTCTTTTTTTTGAGACCTGGTGTCATCCACTTTTCCCATCTGCTCACTCTTCGTGTCTTTGGGAATCATCAATTGAAGACAGTCCTGAATGGATCCGCTTTGTAGCTCTCCATTCGGTTGATCCGTGTCCCACTCGTATCCATCAAAGTAGTAGAGGAACGGATCGGTGAACTCGAAGCTCTGAAGTAATTTCAAGGTATGGAGTCTTTAAAAATAAATGAAAAGTTCGCTTACTCCCAATTTTTCGCACTCTGGAATGCTGGTCCAGTTGGCGCTGGCACATGCTTGTCTCCGTTTTCCATTAATCCACACTCCGTTTGAGTTTGTGTATCCGAGACTTTTGGATACGTTTATAGCTCTTTCTGAAATGTGTTCAACTAGATGTCATAATACTTCCCCACCCTGTTCAGCAAGGTATTCTATGCCTCACGGCGACCAAAAGTCTAGAAAGGGGCGTGGCCTAATCTGAGACGCGTTTTCTGAAAATTGCCGCAATTCCACCACTTTTCCGATATTTTTGTGTTTGATATCGACGAAAGAAGACATTAAAGAGAGAAAACATTGAAATTTTCGTGAAAAAGCCGCGTTTGGGACGTTTTTGGCATATTTCGCAATACGCTCTCCGCGGCCAATCGCCTCCGCAATTTCGGAATTTTCATACCGGCCGATCTGGACAGTTTTGAGACGAAGTGAGTGTCGGAAGTGATTAAGCACGTTAATACAAGTATTTTAAGCGTTCAAACGACAAAAAGCATCGGCGAATGACTGAAATTCGCGCATTTTCAGCACAAAACTTGAAAATCGATTCAATTGATTCAATTCTGAATGAAACCCGCTTGTTTTAAGCTCAAAAAGTGCGCGCGATGATTAGTTTAACAAATTTTAATTTAAATTTAAAATTTTAACAAAGTTATGCAATTACATCGTCGAAATCGTACAAAATTCTGGTAATTTTTCACGAAAAGCACGAAAAATGGGGTTAAATTTCGAAATTCGCGCCAAAATGGTGATAAACGCTAGGCCACGCCCCTTTCTTCGTTTTTGGTCGCCGTGTGCCTACCCATAATAAATTGTCTTTCACCGTCGGTGTCCAGTCCACTCAAATATGCGTCGTAGCCCTTACACGCCTCGATTCCCTTATTATACGTGAGCGAGGTGCCGAACACCAACTGAAATTTTGAACCGAATAGTCGGAAATTTGATGAGATATCCTGACCGCTAAACACCAAATAACATCCTTTCTCTGAAACATTTTCCATCTTTCCGGACACTGCTTTTCTGTGGTCGTGCTCGGCGGTTTCTTAAACGGAAATGTAGGGATCGAGCGAGCAGAGTTTCGCAAAATCCTACCGTAGTTTTTGTTGTTTCTTTCGTGAAAGACGTCGTCTTAGCTCTGGCGCTCATACTTTCCGATGATGTTCCTTCAGTCGAGGTCTCAGAAGATGTGAGAACCAAAGTTGACGATGAAGAGGAAGTTGGTTGTACTGATGACGATATTGAAGTGGTTATGGATGTGATTGGATTCTCAGAAGAAGAAGAAGAAGAAGAAGATTGCGTTTCTGTCGGGTTTTCAGAAGACGATAGTGACACATCTGCACTTGAACTGTGTACCTCTTCCTCTTCGGTAGTTGTTTTGGTAGAAAATTCAGCAGACAATGCACCCGTAGACGTCGAAGAAGTTTCTGTTGTTTCTGTTGAAGTCGAAAGTGTTTCAGCATCTGATGACGTTCCAGTTAATGCTTCTTTAATTTCAACTATAGACGTTGTCTCAGAATCCGTCGTCGATGTCGATCGGAATCTGACTTCAGTCGGACAGGAATCGTTGTTCGACATGGCTTGAGACGTCTACAATTGACAGATTAGGCTAAAAATCTTGACTTTAAACCAAACTCGCCTTGAGCCCGATCGGATCACCCGGTTTCTCACGACGAACGTCCACAATCACATCGTTCCGGCACAGAAAGCAAGTGCCATCCGACCAGTAACATGCCTAAACACTAAATATTTTCGGTTGCCGAAATGTTCATAACACATGCCTCACAAGTATCATTTTTTCCACAAACTGTCACACACTCTTTGAAATCTTGAATGGATTCGTCCATTTCACAAACGTTTTCGTCGCTTTCAAATTTCAAGTGGCCGTAGAATACGGTCATTTGAGGTTTCGAGCCATTAACAGTTAACAAACACGTGTACAGTAGGACGATAGAAACGATGGCGGGCATGTTGGTGTGTGCGGCCCGGAAATCGGAATGATCATTTGGCTCATTGCGTATGCTGCACCCGCTTATATAGCCGAAAAACGTCATGGAAACTCGAGAATGAACGATGCGAAACGGATTTGGCAATGGAGTTTCGGTGGTCGGAAGGGTCCGGGAGCTCAAAACAGAATGTACAAAAACTGTTTCCGAATCAAAATATGACCTACTGGTCAGGCGTGAAAGCTGGAAAGATCAAAGAGAGTCGCCAGAGGGTACGTGTAGACATGGGGACGTTAGAAACTACTAGCAAAAGACAAAAAAGGCATTGGGAATCGAACTTTGGTAGCTTATCTCGTATCAAAGGCAAAAGTGCTAGCCACTCGGCCAACTGAACGCTCTCGGTCTGTGCGGCGCAGTGTCTACAGATAGTGGGTGCTGTTAGGTGCTGCCTAAACAAATGTAGAGAAAACAAAAAGAAAAAGAATTTTCACGTGACCTTCCACGTAACTCTCTCAATTTCGTGTTGGCAATTCGATCCTCATCACTTGTCAGTTGTCGCCTCCAAAATGAGCTGGACCGCTTTGCCGCTGGAGATCAGGCACGAAATCATCAAGAAACTCGAGTTTCGGACGCGATTCCGTTTTCGCCACGTGGCAAAGTCGACTCAAATCGCCGTCGACTCGGTGCCTCTTCACATTCCGCGAGTCAATTTCGAAGCGCCGAGCGACGATGACGTCACCATCACGATATTTGTGGGCATTGAGCAGAAGATCAAGTTGGAGTTTGCGAAGACGACGGAGGGCGTCGTCGAGGTGAAAGTGTGAGTAGTTTTCTCGCCACGTGGCACGGTCTCCCAGGGCGCTAATGCTAAACACAGTGCGCTCGTAGATTGCGGAGTGTCGTTGTAACTTTTGAAAATTTGCAGGTCTAAAAATGCAGTTCAATTCGAGTTTACGACCTTTATTTCTATCTTTTTGACTTAAAAAACGTCTAGAAAACAATATTTTACTGATTGGAAACCGTTCTTTACATAATTTAGAGTTTTTCATGTTTTTAGCGTCTTTTTCGCATTTCGTCAAACCTGCAAACCTTTATATTTCAGCTCATTTTGCATTTCATTAGCCCAACCAACGATAAAAATGTTCGCTGAATTTTTCTTTGCAAAATTCAGGTTCCGGCGGTTAGTTTTCTTGAGCAGTTTTCGAAAACTATTCGAAAAACATCAAAATCCAGGCCAAAACCTTCAAATCGAAATAACTCGGCTAATTCTCAACGATATGTGAGATTTCTGTTACCAAAACGTAGCTAGTGCTCTAATTATTCAAATCCGGGTTTCAGGCGTACAAAAAAATAATTGTATTGTACAGAAAACAGGAAAAGAACGCGGCCTCCCGTTGAAAATTAATTAATCGGCCGCCGCGTAAATCGACACAGCCCGCCTGTTGCAAGTGCGCCAAATTGAAATCATTCTGCGCCGTGGGAGAGTGGCACATTTTTGCAGGAGTGGACATTCGATTGACTTCGAGAATATCAAAAAGTCGGTCGAGATGGCGAGCCCGATTCACGCGGCCCTTGACACGTTCAAAAAAGTGGCGATGAACCCGAGGACTCTGCTGGGAGGTCTGGAGCTGAACACAAAGACGGACAGGTACTCGTGGATGCACACTGACCGCATTTTCGGAGTCGCCCGTTGTCGCACGAAGATACTGATGCTCAACAAACGGCTGGAGGACCTTGCGTTCCAGTTCCACGTGGCACAGTCCGATCTCGAAGAGGTTCAGCAAGTCGACGACCAGCCGAGGAGTTCCTTCGCTACGGTGTTCTATGACGGTCCCGGAAAACTGCTCACGTGGACCAAGAGGCATCGCTTTGTTCTCGGAACTCTGGAAGCGGGCAAGGAATTGTACATTTGTCAGCTCTTCGAAATGTCCTAAATCGAACGTGTCTTTTGAATTTCCAGTGAACACGTACTGTACCGCCGGCAAAGATCAGTCAGTGGCCGATGGCAGCGAAGCTCTAGAGATAGTCGCCCAATTGATTGGTTCGAAAGTGATACACCAGTAGGAAATTACGCTAGTTCTGCGATTCTCCTCTACAAATCCGAATTTTCAGCGGTCCCAACGATTGCAGTACGGTCGGCAAAACCAACGTCATGTTTACGTACACGCGATGGACGTCTTGCGGCGTTCTCACAAGGGCGATGACTTCGAACTGCGAGTCGCAGAGTCCGGACGGTCCGGAGCCGTGCGAGTTGAGGTGGGCGTGCAAGAAGCACGCGGATCCGTTCGAGAATTGGTATCAGACGAAGCGCGTTGAGGTTGGTCACACACTCGGCTCTTCACAAAACTGACCCGCACACTTTCAGCATCCAAATATGAATGCTCAAGGTCTGATTCTGAATGAGCGAATCTTTCCGATCGTCAATGGGATTTGCCCAATTAAGCGGAATATCAGCACGATTGGCGAAATGTATCAGAATTGGAAAGATGCGCTCAAAAAGGAGGCCGACGAGAAGGTGATGGCCGAGAAGGCAGAGGAAGCGAAAATGGAAGTTGTTTCCGAGAAAGAGCTCGAAGCTCAGCAGGCGGTCACAGAGCAATCCGTCGAAATCCTTCCCATTTCTCGCATAACCTTTTCTCTTGCGTTTTGCGCGATTCTCTCGCTTTTCTTTGTTGTTTTGTACACCTTTTTGTACTTGTTGATTTGTTGGCAATAAAGTTTGTTTTTAAAATTCAATTTTAGCTTGAAACTTTTAAGGCGGCCAGCTTCCAGAGTACTGTAGGTTCAAACTGCCAACTTTGAGAGTGCACAGCAACGCTAGAAGACGTTGTAACAGTTTGAAACTTTTCGGACGTAATTTCCATACCTAGAACTTTGTTTTTCTAGTTGACAACTTTTCGATACCACCACACATAAGACTACTGTAGCTCATGGAAGTTTGCACACCATTCGGAGGTGTGCAAACTTCCAAGAGCTACAGTAGTCTTGGGAGTGATGGTACGGAAAAGTTTTCAACTAGAAAAATAAAGGTTTAGGTACGAAAGTTACCTAAATTAACTTTCCAGACCCCCAAGATTGCTCGGAACTCGAATAAACGCTCTCATAGTTGACACATTCCACCTGGAAAAACGGACGTCTTCAACGGTTTATATCTTGAGAACTAATGACTATTTCGAAAAGTGTTCAACTGAAAAGTGGTTGCAAATTGTGTTCCCAACAACTTTGTAATTGAGCATTTTATTCGCAAACTTTTCATTCTCAAGTTATGAGCCCATTTCCATTTCCCAAACCCACTTTTTTCACCTTCGCGACACCTCCGCCACCCTTCCCATTCTCTTCCAGAACTATGCCTTATTGCCAACTTCCGGTCAACTACGCCACCGTCCTTTTATGTACCGCTCATCCCTTTGGCGGCGAGCGGCCCGACAAAGGGGTGAGAAAGAGGGAGAGCCACCTTTTACAGCCAGTTGTTTTCATACAATATCTACTTGTTATTATCTCCTTCTGTCAAGAACGGTCCCTTCTCCGAGAGGACTTTCATTCGATTTTCGATTCTTTATTTCTCCATACTTTGATGAATCTGTTCCTGCAACTTTCTCTCCTCAAATGAGCCATTTCCAGCTACCGTAACCAGTTTAATAGAAGAGCACATTGATATTGTCCGTTCAAAGCAGTAAATCTCGGCCGTCGATGGAGATATCAAAACATTGTCAACTGATAAAATGCTCAAAAAGACATTGCGCACATTTTGTCAGTTGACGACTTTTTGATATCTCTATTGACAGCCGAGATACACGACTTTGAACTTATAAAATTAGTGTGCTCTTCTATTAGAGTTTCTAAGGCATCTGACTGGTACTACTACTAACTACAGTAGGACTGAAAGAAATAGTTGTAATTTTAAGAAGATCCATATGAATCCAATGACTACTGTAGCTCATTGAAACGCATCGAATGGCATGCAAACTTCCATGAGCTACAGAACTCTTAGAAGTGATCGTACAAAAAAGTGGTCAACTGGAAAAATGAAGGTCTAGGTATGGAGATTACACTCACAAATTTTTAGAAATTGATGACGTGTTCAAGCGTTGGTGTACACTCTCAAAGTTAGACATTTGAAGCTCTCAGTACTCTGGAAGCTCCCCCCAAAAACATGTTTTATCAGTTTACCAGTCAGAGTTCAAAAGTCCTCCACATCCCCTCCTATATGTTCACGCGTTCGCTCACTTCCACTATCTTCACATTTCAAAGGGCGGCCTCCTTTGACGGTCTTCCGCGCCTCTTTGTCGGCACAAGACTCCGCCCCTTTTAGGTTGGTAGCAACGATCGTTTCGGAGCACGCAGATCTTCATTTCATTCTTCTTTTTCTTCTTCTTCTTCTTCTTCTTCCTCTTCTTCCTCTTCTTCTTCCTTCCTTCCTCAACCAATATCATCCATTTCAGTTCGGAAACGTTCAAGATGTGCTCTCCCGCAACCCCGATCGCTTCGGCCAGCAGCGGCAAAACGTCGCCGAATCGCAAGAAGCTCCTGCTCACCTTCTTGCGCGATCTGCTCGACGACGAAACGAACGCCGAAATCATTGTGTGGACGGACCGCGCGACGCGGGAGTTCAAGCTGTTGAAGCCGACGCAAGTGGCGATCAAGTGGGGACTGCAGAGCGGAAACACGAACATGAACTACGATAAGATGTCGAGAGCGCTTCGTTATCTCTACAACAAGAACAACGGGTGTCAGAAGGTTAGTGACCGGCGCTTTTTTTTGGGGGGGGGGGGTCTTCGAGCTGGAGTGTTCTGATCTTTAAAGTCTCCCGAATCTTTTGTATTTTCTGTTAGGTACCGCAACGGGTTTCACGAAACTCGGAATTTCTATAAAATTCTTGTTGGAATGTGTTCCCCTTCTCTATATGAGTACGCTCCCAATTTTTTTTTCAAAAATTTTCGGTACATCCCGAGTTACATCCCTTCAAAGTTGGCCTGTTTTTTCTCAGGGGCGGAGTCTCGCTAGCAAGTTTTTTTTCGCCTCTGTTTGGTGGCTGAAACCAACGAATCAACATTTTAAATGAGCAGAAACGATTTTCTAAAAAAGCAAAACAACTTTCGAGGTCAAAATTTTTGAACCCGGCACCTTCAGATTGTGCCGAGTGAGCACTTTCCCACTGCGCCAGCCGGGCGGAGGCGCGCCGGCCGCCAATGGCGTAGAAAAGCTGGCTGCGCGCGGCCCACTTCTAGGTGTCAAATTAGTGTTTTTGCGTGCTCAAATCCAAAACTGTTACACTTTACAGTCACTTTTCAAAAAACTGAAACTGGATCGGTCGGAAATTTGATGCTGAATCCGATTTTGTGAAAATTAGCCGCGTGTAAGGTATCTGTGACGCTCAAAACTCCCCAAAACTACAATTTCGGCCAAATGAACACACATCTGGTCCCAGAGGGTCTAGAGCTCTGAAAAAGTTGTATTTGGGTTCTCAGAGAGTTTAGAAAACAATACGAGTAGGGTACAGGTCCTCAAACATGCGCGCGCGCGCGGAAATCAAGAGAAAATTCGTCCGAGATGAAGAAAAGGGGACCCACAATATCCAGAGCAACTTTTTGATATCTCTCATTTCAGATTCCCGGAAAGGACTATCGTTACCGTTTTCTCGAGGCATCATTCAACAACACTTCGCCGGACAACTCGCTGCCCGACATCCACGTGGATGGCGCTGCAACTCCACGACCGCTCTTCAACATTGCCAGCCTGCTGGCCACTTCCACGTCCCATTCGAATTCGAATTCGTCGACGACGCCGTCCAGGTAAGTGGGGGCTCCGGGGGGCCGGAGTATCTTTTTTGCAGATCCGCGCAGCATCGGCATCAGAACGAGCGAGCGGCTACAACGACAACTTCCGAGAGCAGAACGAACGAACGAACGAACGACAATATCGATTGCCGGCTGGATTTATTTGAGCGCCCACTGATCCTTGCCATTTCAGATCGCTCCAAACGTCGCCGACATCGTCATCTGGATCTTCTGGCTCTCCGACGTCTTCTGCCGCCTCCGCCGCCGCCGCCGCCTTCAATCCACTTCTGGGATCGTTGATGGTGGCCCAACTGGCTCAAAACATGCTCGTCGAGTTCAACACGTTCATCGCCCAGTTCCCGCAGTACGCCCCGCTTCCGATTCCCATTCAATTCCAGCTCTTCTCGACGTACAAGACGCTTCAGACGCAGCTTCAGAATCAACGATAACTCTTTCCATCTCATTGTTTTTCTTTCTCTGTTTTTGTCATTTTCTATTAGGTTGTTTCTGTGCTCTATTGATAAAAGTAGACGTTTAGGCGAAAAGGAGAGCGGATCCTGAGAGCTTAAGCATACGCTTATTCTCTAGCGATCGAGTCTCATTCAGAATCACGTCACCCGTTCGAGATCTTTCAAAAACTTTCAATTTTTTGAGAGAAACACGAAGAAACGGTGACGGACAATCATTACAAAAAGCTTTCCCCCCGATTTTTATATTGAACCCCTTTACTTTTTTTTAAAATGAATATTATTGCCCTACTCTTTTTTTTTTCGTGTCTAAATCTACACCCTAAATTTTACAACTACAACAGCCGTAAACCACTATTCTTATAACTTGTTGTTTGGGACGGTTTTCTTATTGAAAATGGCACCCGTGTTACAATTTGAAAACTTTGACGGTCCAGATGACATTTGGATTAAATTTGACAAAGATTTGAGACAAAATTGGATATCAAGTCAATAATTTAAAGGAATACAAATAAAAACACAATTGAAATCAGATTCAAGATCGATCACTCCTTCTTCAGACTCGAATGATCATTGGATCCGCTGAGTACGAGGTACGGCGTCGACAGCTGCTTCTGCTTCTTCAACTGCTTGCTCAGCGTTCCCAGCGGTGTGTCGTAGCTGTTCGTCTGGAAAATTTCAATCATTTCAATCACGAATACCATCTGAAACGGCGCCGTACCTTCAGCATTCTCTCCTCTTTGTCCTTGCGGTTCGCGCGTTTCTCCAGCTGCTTCTTACCAGGATTGCGACCGTGGAATCTGGAAAAAAGGGAAATTTTCCTTAAAATTGAGAAAGTCTGTCTCTCACTTGTAAGACAGCTCTCTGTAGGCGTCCTTCGAGTCCATCTCTCGTCCTTTCTTGTCCACATAACTGATATTGACTTCTGGTTTGTAGTCGGCCTTCTCAATGAACGGCATCACCGGTCCGCGACTCTGCGAGTTCAGACGGTCCGCTTTCTTCGCATTCCGATCGTCACTGTCGCTGAAAATACGAATATTCGCAATGAAATGTGTCTTCAGAAACGTACAATCTGGATGCCTCGACACGGCACGTCGCCTTATTTTTCAGATGGTCCAGAGACGGTCCGGAGTGCGATTTCGCGTTCGGATTCGTCAAATATCCCTTCTGGCCGGCCAGCTTCAGCATTCGGCCTACTCCCTTCGACACGTCGACTTCTCGGCCCAATGCGGGCGCATACTCGTCCTTCTCCTCCTCGTCGTCGTCCTCCTCTTCTTCCTCGTCATCCGACCACTTCTGAAGAATGATTCGGTAGTTTTCGTCTTAAAATGTGTAGAAACTTCAACTAACCCTCTTCTTGGCCTCAGCCAGTACCTCCTCATCGTCACTGTCGATCTTGGCGACCGTAGAGACGGGTTTTCCGGCGGCGAGCCATCCGCCCTTCTCCTCCTGCTTCCGCCGCTCCTTCTCCCGCAACTCCTTGTCCACCTGTGCTCGTTTCCACTTCTCGAAGCCCTCTCCCTCCGTCTGCTCCTTCTCCTCCTCTTTCACCTTTTTCAGTTCCGACACGTCGACGTTGCGATTTCCGCCCAGGCCGAGAGTGGTGATCTCTCCGACGTGACGGCAGTATTCGGTGGTCGAGTCGATGAAGAGCGCGCCGTCGCTGACTGCCGGCTTCACGTCTTCTTCCTCGTCCACTTCCACCTTGACTCCGTGCGTCGAGAGCATGTCCTGTACTCGCTTTCCGACGTCGTCTTCCGCTTTCGATCCGTCGTTCTGCTTCACTTTTCTCGTCTTTGCGAGCATGGAATTCAGCTCGTCGGCGGCATCGTCGTCAATGACCACTCCTGTCAAATCAACGCCACCACTGAACATCAGATCATCGTCGCTGTCCTCGTCGTCGTCGTCATTTCGTGCCGTTTTTGCTCGGAGCTTCTGAAGACGATTCAAATCGACGCCGTTTCCGTGCATAGCTTTCTTCCATTTTCCGTCGTCCGCCTCATTGACTTCGCCGTCCTCCTGCTTCATCTCTTCCACTCTTTCCTCCACTTTTTCATCGTCAGAATCTCTCCGACGTCTTCCAAAGTCTCTGCCTTTCCCTCCGCCAGCTGGCTCAACCGGAACAAGATCGGAGGCCTTCAGAACCTTCTTCTTCCTCGTGTTCTTCTCCTTCTTTCCCTTCTTGACTTTCCGGAACTTGACCATCTCATCTTGAGTGTAAAATTCGCTGGCCAACTCGTATTTTTTCGTCTCCAACGATTCCAATCGTTTTCCGGCCATCTTCATCCGTCTAAACGCCTCCATCTCCCTTTTCTCCTCCTCCAAATCCACACCGCCCGTCTCGTCCAGTCTGAACTGTTTCTTCTGCTCTCCCTCAAGAGTTTCATCATATTTGGCGAGCACTCCGAAATTCTTCAGGTTCCCGAACTCGTCGACGTCCTCATCAAAGTTGCGGCGCGGATCTTTGCGCTTTCGGAGCTCCACATTCTTCTTGTGACGCTCGTCGTCGAGCATATTCGGATTCACGAGCACTTCATCGCCGTCGTCGAGCACGCCCTTGTCCTGAAGCACCAGAATCTGATCGCCCTCGATGAACGCCTCTCTTCCGTGTCCGATGACCATTCCGGCGGTGTCCGACGGTCCTTTCGTCTTCGGCGTTTTCGGTTTTTTGATCTTGTCGACTAGCGCGCTGACTCCGAGCTCTTCGTCGAGTTTATCAAATGCAGCAGCCTGAAAAACTGAATAACCCGAAATTTCCAGACAAATGCTTACTCTTTCGGCAGCCTTCTTAGCTTCCTCTTCCTTCTGCCGCATTTTCTCGACAAAACTAGCAGCACTGTCCTCCTCGTCAGAGTCTGCCAGCTTTTTCGATTTCAGAACTTTCGAATAGACTTCGCGCTTTGCTTTCGCCACCTCGATTCTCTCTTTGATAGCCTGCTCCTTCTTCTTGTCCGCCCAGTTGTCGGCCTTCCTGTGGCGAAACTCGAATCCGTCCTCGTTGTAGATCTTCTCGTTCGTTCCGTCTTCTGCGTCACGAACTTTGCTCTCGTCTTGCTCCAACGGAGCCAATCCGAGCGAGGCACGCAGCTTGTTCGTCTCTTCGATTGACATCGAATCGGCTCTGCAACGCAAAAATTATCGATTTTTAAACTTAACTTTGAAGAAAAACGTACGGATCTCCATTGTCTTCCGGCTCCTTCAGCTTTGCTGCTCTAAAATAAAGAGTTTTTATTTTAAATACAAGAAAAACACAAACTTTTTGGATCTTGGCGGTGACGGCGATCTTGACGAGTCTCTGCGGGGTTTTCCGCTCTCTGTTGTGTCATCGTCCAGTTGCTTTCGCTTTTTAGCATATTTTGAGGACATATTAACACAAATTGGAGATGCAGTTGAGTGCAAAAATGCAAGAAATCGAACACTTCACTTTCGAAAAACGATCTAGAGACGCGCCAACGCTGCCCACGAAAAGTGCGTCAGCAGTGTCCGCTGGTCCGCGGAGAAAAAAATACACTCGACAACGGTTTGCGATGTATCGGCGGTTTTACAGGTTCTCTCTCAGATCATTTTCAGTATATTCGTGCAGAAACGGATACACACTGAAACGGTCATTCCGGTCATGGAACAGAATAGTTGTAGTCACTTTTCAGCAGTCAACCGTACCGTCGCAATCGTCCATTTCTCCTCCCCTGTCCGATGAGCGTTTCTTGTCCAACTTAATCATAAAACCACTACATAAAGAGTAGATAAAAAAGCCAAAATTTATTCAGAAGCATTTTGTATAATATCATTAAACCCTCTCGGTCACTTTCACACAAAATCCAGTTATCTTGGCAATTGAGGCCCTTATAGTACATATCATTTCAGAATTAAACAAAAAAAAAACTTACACTTGGCAGCAACAGCATCAGCGTGAAATCCAGAAAAAATGTGGAGGGAATATCTTTCTACATTTGAAAAAGTTGTACGACTTGACTGAAGTGTACAACTTATACCAAGAGTCGAAAAATGTTTCCACTTCCTAAGGTCTCCCAAGATAATCCTTTTCAGAACAACCTTCCGAGCTTTTTTCGCGTGATGACCTTTCGGACCTTTCGCGAGTTGGTTGCGAAAGGTCCGCTTGTACCCCCTGGAAGCGAGCGGAGCCAATTGCGTGCGATCCGCCCACGTCGCCGTCCTTTTCCTGCCTTCTACGCGCTCCTGCAGCTTCCAGCAGACTTCTGATGCATTCTTCAGGCTTCTCAGAAACCTCGCCCATCAGAATCTCACGACGTCTCCCCCGGATGCTCGGATAGCAGCATCTCCAGCATCAATTTCACTGCATTTTCGAAAACTAGAGGGATTTTGCTGTAAGGAAGCAAAATAAATGTGATAAGGATTCTGAAAATGTATTCTCGAATTTGTAGAATAGTCTCTTTTAATTCTTCTTGTGTTTTTAAGCTTTTTTATCCTTGTTCTCATCTGATCTTCAACGATTTCTTCGACGAATTCTGAAAATGCCGCTTTCTGCTAAACCGGGCGACATTACGACACTCCAAAGTCGCCGGCGGCAAGTGAGGAAAAAAATAAAAAAATAATTTCGTCTTCAAAATAACGCGAATTCCGATCAGAATTAGACACAAAAATGGACATTGTATGTTGAAAAAAGCAGAGAACGACGAAGAAAATCTGAAAAATTGCAGACAAATTACTCTGTCTACCCGCATAAGCCGTGTTTTCTGCTGCAATGGCCAAACGCGCGAATTTTGCTGGACACTCCGATAGACTTCACCCCATTTTTCAGTTTCCTGCCTCACGTTTATCAGAGGTACCTTCGAAACATTTAAAAAAAACGTATTATTCGAATTGTTTTCAGTCCACGGCTGAAAAATGCTCATCAGGCGCGCAGGTTCGGTCTTCCGTACCTGAAAGACATCGGGCACAAGACCTACGTGCAGGCTCCGCCAGAGGTTTTCCATGTTTCGGTGAGCAAAAACTTTGAAAACATTTGCGAGCATGAAGAAAACACAAAAATTTCCAGGCAAACATTCTAAAAATGGAGACAATCGACGTGATTCTCGTGTCCAACTACGAATCGTTTCTCGGGTTGCCGTTTTACACCGAAAACACCGGGTTCCGGGGCAAAATCTATGTGACCGAGATTGCCTATCAGTACGGAAAGTGGGTTTTTTTGCGGAATATTTGAAAATTATTATTAAAATTTCGTCACTTTTTAGGCTACTAATGGAAGAAATGATGGAAATGATAGCGCGTGTGGATTACGCGCCGAACGACTCGGAATGGAAAAAGGAGGAGATTTGCGGGAAATTCGCGAATCCGCCGTTTCAGAATCCGTTCGAGTGGCGCCCGTTTTACACGTCGGTCGATATGCACAGCGCTTTGGCCAAAGTTATCACTTTGAGCTTCAATCAGACGATTGTGAGTGGATGCTTGATTTTCTGACTTTTAAAGCAAAAGAAATCTGGGATATTGCGCAAAATCACGCATTCAGGACCTGTTCCGCATCAAAGTGACCCCGGTGGCCAGCGGATTCACCTACGGCTCGGCGTACTGGACGATGAAGACCGAAAACGAGAGTTTCGCGTACTTGAGTGGCTGCAACGACTATTCGACGGACGTGAAGGCGATGGAGGTGACTCCGTTGCGCAGCTGCGACTACATTCTCGTCTCTTCGATGAGCCGATTGGTGGATGCGACTGCGCAGGAGATGGGCATGGTGCTGATGCGGAATGTGTCGGAGACACTGCGGGGCAACGGATCCGTCCTTCTGCCGATCTCTCCGGTCGGACCCATTTTCGAGATTATCGAGGCGGTGTCGGATATGATCACCACTACAGTACGGTTCTTTTTAGGATTTTCATTCACCTTCGGTTTTTTCAGAGCGGAATTCCCGTCGACACCCCGATGTATCTCATTTCCCCGGTGGCAAAAGCGGCGATCGCAATGGCGAGCATCAGCGCCGAATGGATGTCCGAGTCGCGGCAAAGCGCCGTCTACCGGCCCGAAGAGCCGTTCGCCCACAACCATCTCCTCCGGACGGGCCGCCTCAAAATCTACGATTCGTTGTACGGCGCGTTTTCGAAAGAGCTCAAAACGCCGTGTGTGGTAGGGCGGGACGAGAAATTTGACAAAATTTTGACGTGTTTCAGTTGTTCACAACTCACACGACATTGCGAGTCGGCGACGGAGCTCATATGATTGAGGTGTGGGGCAACGACAACCGGAACGCCGTCATTTTGACAGGTTCGTATTGGGAAAATATGAAAATGTAGAGAAAATCGTGGCGTTTGGCAATACCAACCCATTTTAGAATAACAACTGTTTATCAAAGATACAATACTGCAAAATCAGTTAAACATTTTGACATGGATGATGATATAAATAGAACAGGAATGTAAATTATAGTAGATACCGTATTATTGAGAAGCTGTTTGAAGGCAAATTTATGGAATTTGAGACAATATTTAGGGGAATAGGTTACATAAAATATTGAGTTTTAAAATAGCTTTTGGAGGGGTTTTCATCAGTTGTTAAACAGTTTCACCACTCTTTGTCGTCTTCCAGCAACTTCTGAGCTCTCTCGTTCTCATCCTCCTTCTTCTTCTTTTCCTCCTCCGCCAAATTCGGTTTCACCTTTTTCAAAACATCCATCGGGGACTTGACACGCTCTCTCCGTTTTTTCGTCTTCACCGGATTCGACGGTTCGTCCAAATGAAGCAGGCACAGATAGTGCTCCATTCCGACGGGCAAATCGTTGAGTAGGATCGGATCCAGTAGATTACACCATTCCTTTATTAGTGAGGCGTTCGGAGGAATTCGCCGCATCTGACTCGTCTCGGCGACGGCCGCACAGAAAGAGCACGTTTGGAATGGTTGCTCGACGGTCTGAATGGGAAAGAGTTGATTCGAAATCTGTGTACCGTAAAAACGTACATTCAACACGATGTATCTCAGCTACCATCAGAACATGATGAACATTTTCTTAGTTGACCATCCTTTGATATATCTAATGGCAGCCGAGATACATTGCTTTGAATGGACGATTTTAGGGTGTCTTACTATTACGGTAGGTTTTCCAACTCACCCGCTCTCGGTACTCATCTGTAAAGCTCATGAGCGCTTTTCGAAGGTTCTCGGTGCCGAAAGGCAGTCCCCAGATGTCGGCAATGTCCCCGTCCATGCTCTTGAAACTGTGTGCGGTGGCCGTCAGAATTGCGCGCGTGTTCTGAACGCCGATCGCCGAGAATATAAAGTCACGAGTTTCGGGAAAATGCTTGAAACACGCGAACATTTCCGGCCGGGCCACGAGCAACTTCACGTCTTCCTTTGTCATTTCCTGCCGGTACATTGCTCGCAAACACAGCAGAAGCTTCTCGATCTCCACAGAAACCGCCACCTGATTCTCGATGCATCCACAGAAAACGCAGCTGGTCGACAGGACCTCTTCGAGCGGATCCACCACTGCCAGCTCTCTCTCGTCGATAACCGCCAGGTCTGGCTGACAAATCGCATAAATGGCTCCGTCTTCGGCACGTTGAACCTCCTGCACAGTATAGACTTCTTCCACCGGCTCGTAATTTCCGTAGACAACTCTATTTCCGACTATTCTCGATTCTCCGAACACCTGCATGCTCCTCGCACGTTTGTTGCACTCGTCCGACGTGTTTTTCCCGATCAGCAGTCCCGCGTCTTCTTGCTGATTCAAATTCTCGCCCAGATTCACCGGATCGTGCTCGAATACCGATTTTCCTTTCTCCGGTATGCTCGGCGGTCCGAGCAGTCCGTTTTCGCCGAAATAGTAGGCGCCATCGATGGCCACTGCCGGACAGGCGAGGTTGTCGAGAGCGATCGGAGCCAAGATCGCCATCTCCTCCCTGCGCTGTTCCCACCAAACGAACGGATTCTTATCGTCGGCCGGGCGAGCACGTTGGCAATAGCCTCGAAACAGTTGAAAATCGCTGCGAAGCTTCCGCTCGTTGTTCTTGTTATTGCTCAGGATTTTGTCGGTGAACCGGACGACCATCTTGTACACATTTATCGTGGGTCGGTGTCCGAAACGAGGATCCAGAAAAGTGGCAAGATCGTGGCGAGTGGTGATGCGTCCGTTTCGGAGCTCGCAAAAAATCTCCGCATGCGCTTCCTGAATGTCCGTTCCGAATTTATAGCCGCTCAGACTCGTCGAGATGTAACTTTTGAGCGCCTCACTCGCCGGCACCATTTGCGAAATCGAATTGTGCGCCACACTCAGCTTGTCCATTTGCTGACGGCACTGCTGGAGAAGGCAGCTGAGGCGGAGGAGGTGCTGGTACATCTCTTCGGTCAGGTAGTAATCCAACATGAACTCGCCGGCAAGACTTTTAAACGCTTCGTGCTGAAATCCAGATAATCTTACTCCTACAATAATCTTCTCTTCCTCACCAAAAGTAGCGATTTTCGAAGGAAATCTCCAGTTGACTGCCACGAGGAATCATCCAGCGCCGGCAATCGACCCTTTGCATTGTTTGCCGGGAGTAGACTGTAATTTTTTGTTGTTGCAGTCTTCTAACAAATTACTTTCAAAGCTAACTTGCTCAAATAGGCCTTGAACTCGTCGGTCCGCTCGACCTCTTGAACAAAGGTCCTAAGCTGATTGAGACCCCGCTCGAACACTTTGATCTTCAATATTCGCTTCACGAACGTCTTGACGTAGCGCGAAAAACAGACAAAGTTCCGGCGGACCACTCCTTTTTCGCGCAACTCTTCGCCGAGTTCACGATGCGGCGACAGAAAGTTCTCGATGACGATCCGATCGTTTCCGAGTGCCTCTCGCAGGTATTTAGTCAGCATGTCAGCGTTGATTCTGAAATTATAGAATGATAAAAATTGGAGCGATTTTGCGAACAAAAACTGACTCGGTGCATCGCGTTCTTTGCAGAAATACCTTACTCTTCCGATCCTTGACACCTTCTTCGAAATAGTGAATTGAGAATACGATCGATTTGACGCGATCTTTCTGGCCAACAATATTCATCGAAACGGATAGTGATCCAACTTTTGAGTAGTCCACTTTGGATGGCATACTGTAGTCGTTCGGCCTACAAAATGTTGCGTTAATGTACTGCTGACGTCGAATACGGTATTAAAATGATTAGGTGAACTCACAAGTGATTCGGGACGACGTCTGCTGTCGAAGTGCTCGGCTCATAGAGCATTTTGGCTGAAATTCGATAAAATTTGCGAAAATTTGATGAGAAACGGATGAAACGAACATGAGAAGACGGCAATATAAATAGCAAAACGATAAGTGTTTACAAGTTTAATAAAAGTGGAAATGCTTAGTTTTTCTTTTAAAAACGACGGCCACGGCCTCTCCTCTCTCTCTCCCTCTCCGTCTCTGTCTCTATCTCTTTCTCTCACCGTCTGCGTCTGGGTGTAGACGAAGAGAAGAAAAAGAAGGGAAAGGACAAGTGAACGATTGATGATAAACTTGTCGGGACGCTTTAGGAAATCATAGAAAGATTCCTGGAGAAAATTTTACAGGGGGCATTTCAAAGTGAATGCGCGCTGTTGCAATTGTGATCTCGAGCCCGGCGCCAAAATTCGTCCAGAATTCAGACGAGACACAAATGAACTTTGTTTCGCGGGGTTACACTACAAATTTAGGTCCAAGAGATCACAAAAACAATTTTCATTCCTTTTCTGGGTTTCTCCCCCAGCCGCCTGAAATACACGTCTTCCAGATCCGGATCTACCATGCGAGGAGGTTCGTGAACCGTTCCGCACTCTTCCGATTCGATTCATCAACGTGCCGATGGACTTCCGCATCAGTTTCGGAGCTCTTCAGCGACTTCTCAACGATGTGAAGCCAAAGGTTTCTGAAGATTTTCAGCTTATCTAAACGGACCCAAACTTGGATGGAAATTTCTTGAAAACTATGTTAAAAATAGAGTATCGATCTCAAAAATGTTATAAATACTTTTAAAAACGCTGCAAATTGAACTCCGATCTTTGAGGTTCACTTCGTGATGATTTCAAAATCGAAAAGACCCGTTTCGAAATCGACAAAATCCCGTTTTGCAGTACGTGCTCGCCGCCTCCGCCTACACACAGCCGCAAAACCGACGGCCCGACATGCAAGTTCGATATGTGAGAACACTTTCTCATTATTTTTTGCCAAAATCATACCAATCTTCTCTCAGGAAAAGCTGTGGCCGATCGAGTACGACGAACGTGTGCAGCTGTCGCGACTGTCGAAGAACAAGCAGAAGATGGTGACGGTGGAGGTGCATCCGGAGATTGTCAAGAATCTCGACTTCAAGCAGCATCCGCTGAAGAAGGTGGCGATCGCCTCGGTCGCCTGCCACCTCAACGCCTACGACGACAAATTCAAACTGGTGCCGGCGAAGGTTAAGGTGGCCCGTCGGAAACTGGGCAGAATAACGGCGGAAAAGTTGATGAGACTGCTGAGAGAACGACATTACACTGTGAATGAGCTGAAGGATCTGGAAGAATCGGACAAATCGGAAGAGGAGGGCGAGCTGGAAGAGGAGGAGGAAAAGACGAAGAAGATCAGAACGTTGAAAAGGAGAGATCCGGCGGAGACGATCATGTTTGTGAAAGAGCTAAAGGTCACGATCAGTGTACGGAACAACGGAAGTCACACCAAGATTTCGGTGAGTCAGAAAGAAGGGATTCAAGTTATTCTGACGAGGGGAGGGTTCATCGGATGTTGCTTGGGAACCAGTGCTTCGAAACGATCGCGTAAAGTGTGTCGCCGACCCTCATAATTTCGGCGAGTCTCACTGAATCCACGGGGCCACTTTCTTGTATGATTCCCTAAATGAGCCGTATTCCAGGCGGACAGCGAGGAACACCGTCAGAAAGTGCTCGAAATCGTGCGATCGATGCTGTGGGAAGACGACGGAGTGGTGGGAAGACGCAGCAATCGGCCGCCGACGCCTCCGCCGGAAGAAGATTCGCCGCTTTGCACGCCCAGCGTATTCTCCTCGGCCACCCTGTCGAGCTCGTCCTCGGCCGCATCAACGCCCACCCAACAATGAGCATTTTTTATTTGATAACCTGTATAACTCTTTATTCCCGTGTGATCAATCTCAATTTGGATTTTATCGACTAAATCTGGTTCCCATTCAATTTACAAAGGTTTCCTGACCTAATATTTGAATCGTTCAGTTTCCATTCGATTTTCCGTCTTCTTTTTCAGTTCTCTGAAGAAAATGAGAGTTTGGAGAGCGGTTCGGTTTCCTCACACGGCCAGATTGCCACCGGCTGCCAGTGTTCAGGTACAAACAGGGCTGGGCAATTGGCCGGCCGGACTTTTGAACCAGTTCCCAATTTTTTCTTCTGGCTTTCTTAGTCCACTTTTTTCGGTTTTACCTTCAAGAATCGCGTTTCAAACGCGCAGCAACGTGTTGTTCCCCATTTTTCTATTAAAAGTTTAAATTTTCCCAATTTATAGGCTCCTCCGGTAAGATCCGACGAGATTTCATCGAAAATCTTCGATCCGGACGACTGGCCGTTGTGGAAAACCGCTCGAGAATCAATTGCCACGTCATCTGAGACACACACGTCTTCTCCCTCTTCTTCTTCTTCAACCGCCGACGTCGTCGACGATGAAAATCCCGAAAATTCGCCAAAAGAGAAGAAAAAGAATCGGACGGAAGTGGTCGAAGAAAATCGATCCGATGGACACGCGCCGATCAAAACTGCTTGTTGTACGAGAACATCGTTCGTTTTTACTGAAAACAAACTTGTCTCACTTTCAGCAGTTCTGATGCAAGCGCTCCAGAAGTCATCGTCGCGGACGACGTCGCTTTCCGACATTGACGTCACTCTTTTCAATTTTCATTCGCAAAAATTCGCGGAACGTCTTCTGGCGCGCAACGTTTCCAGCGTTGTCATTGTCGAATCGTCGCACGTCTTCTCGAAAAATGCAAAGGCAAGTGCGCGTTACCGCACTTTGGCGCAAAATTCAAAGTTCGGTGTGAAGGACTCAACAATTTGTACAAAAATCAAAAAACATTCATTTATTTACAAAGTTTACAAAGTGAACAAAAAAACAAAGCTAAGAAGAAGGGCTGTCGAGAGATATGATGATGATGACGTGGCGGAACCTCCGTTGTGATAATACTGTGCACTTCGGGCGCGGGCGCGCGAATTCAAGAAGTTCGGATAGGCGAATGACATGTCTTCTGTCATATCTGCAACAGAAAACATCAATCGATAAATGATTGCCCGGAACACGAAAAGCCAACCTAATTCATAATCGATTTGAGCGTCGAAAAGTCGCTCCAACTCGCGATGTCTGACCGGTTTGTGCTGACGAATCGGACCGTCGTTGCGGGCGAAAATCACCGAAGACGACGAGACTTCTTCGGATTTTCTGAAATCGTCAGAATTCTCATCGGGTTCGGTCCATTCCGTACCTAGACATGTAGACGTTATCGTCGTTTTGACGGGAGAACGAGGCAAAGTTCTGGTTGTGGTCGAAAGATCGATCTCCTCGTTTCTGGATGTGAATCGGACCTTTCTCCTCTGCGACACTCGAAATATCAATGTGCTCCTCGCCGCTCGGTTTGACCTTCATCGGCTTCTCCTCTATCTGCAAACCGCATCGTTTCAATTAGAAGTCGTCGTCTCCTATTCCTGATGGCTCACCCGAGATATCGGTGTCTTTTCGCTCCTCGTCTCGCCCCGCGACTCCTTCCGCGCTCCGATCTCTCCGGGTTTTACACGACGGCGACTGGTGAGCGTGTGCGATTTTCCGTTCGGTTGGCGAACGGTGACGTGACATTGCCACGCGCCGCAATCGGAAGACCACAGAACCGGCGAGATTTCCATCGAGAAGTCGCCGGTGAGCTCGTCGTAATCGAACAGATAACGGGCGTTGTTCAGAAGGAGACGCATTACGGTTTTTCCTAGAAATTGGTACATTGGAGCGTACTGTGAATAGTATAGAATCGGGTTTTTTTTAAGTCTAAAATGTTCTCATCCTAATTTTTCTCCAAACATTCCGTACTTTCCAAAAGTTCTTTCTATTCCGCTCAAAAGTTCCGTCTAATGAATGCATGAAGTGGTAGTAAAGCTTCTCGGAGAATCTTCAGAATGCCTAACTAACCTGCGACGCGTCTCTTGTTGAATGTCGACTCTCCATTCACAACTCGCTGCTGTCCGTCCTCGATTTTCAGCCAGACCGTCTCGTTCAGCGTCCACACGATTTCGATGTGAACCTAAATACAATAGCGGTAGAGATTAGGATGAGAAGTCGGTCGGATGACTCACATTCTTGTTACTGGCATCCACAACATGTGGACAATTGAGTGAGAACGATTCGAGACTATTCGAATCGCGCGGGTTGATGACCGACGAAGAAGCGGTTAGATAGGGCGACGAGCCTGAAGGAGGCGTATTGTATTTAAATCGAAATGGATGTAAAATAGAAAGTACCTCTGGAATGACGAAGCTTGTGAAGATGTCGATGTGGCGTCGTCACATTTCCCTCTTCAACCGTAAATACCACATTGGAATTTGCCGCGTGAGGAATGGAGAAATAGAGGAGAAGCAGAAAGATGTTATTCTGGAATAATGGGCAATTCTGTTTTTGGTCCCGAAAATCTCTAGTAATTCTTGCTAGTTTATAGAATAGGAAATCCCTAAAGATCATGACGTTTCTGATGAAAAAAAAAGTGAAAGATTTCCTAATCTGCCACCGGATAATCGTTCGTTGTCTCCTCTCACCTCACGAAACCGCATAGAGCATCTGATGTGGCGGGCGGCGATGTGCTCGATGCTTGTGCTATTGCGGTCCTCCTTCTAGAAAAAGTAAATACACTTTGTCTCTCTCTCTCCTTCTTCTCTCTTTAGAATCGAAAGGCATCAGGAAGGAAGAGGTTACTCGCTCTCGGGCGGCCCTACTTTTCCCCACCAACATCTTGTTGTTGTTGTTGTTGTTGTGAGAGGTGGGAAAAAAAAGAGGACAGGAAATTATTGTCTCCGACACCATAATGACCACAAATGGAAAGGGCACCGAAAAAGGACATGGAAGAAAAAAGAGGCAGAAGTAAGGAGGGGGATTCGATTTGAGCGCAAATTTGATGTTCCGCCCTCTCGGAGCCCCCCGGATATATGTTCCATCGAATAGGATTCCGTGTGATTTATGAGGTTTGACACATGTCAAAGGAATCCCACGAAGCGAGTGGACGGCCCATTTTGAAAGAAACGCCTCAAGGTTGTGTTTGCGTGGACGTGAAAGGCTTAGGATTAGAACGGAAGGAACCTTTTTTTGACGGGAGTGGGAGTAATAGAACATTTTGGACTGCACTGTCTAGTTGGCTGGATCACGCTAAGCAAGCCAATCAGATGACTTCCTCGAAGTACCCTTTCATCGGATTACAAGGCAACTTGTCGGAGGAGAAGCCAGCCGATGCATAATCCAGTGGCAAAAAAGCAAGGAAAAGAACAAAAAACAACACTCTGGAGAATATGTAACTGATAGAGCCCCCCGGAACTTTTGGTGTGAGAAAAAGTGAGACGAAACGAGCAGAAGACGTGAAAGTGTGATAAAATGTGACTTGTGGCTCATTAACATTTTGTATGCGCACTGATGACGAACCGCTTTTGAGGGAAGGTGAGTCAGAAGAGTACATATTCGAAGTGGAATGGGATTAGATAAGCGGAATGTCTGAGAGATTTCTGAACATTTACATGTGAAGTTTCAATCGAATTAGCAATGCGTTCTCACTGTGAATTTTCAATATTTCCAGAGAAATCGAGGCGGAGAGCTTATTAAAATCAAAAGACTTCTCAAGTTCCTGTTGGCTTAATTGGATGCCAACTCCTTGACACCTTGCACGGAACCCCAGCCTTCCAATAAAAAATTCCCTTGGCGCAATTCAGGTGCGCTAAACAAGGCGCGTAACGCGTAATTTCGGAGCGTAGTTGTAGAGTTTCTCATTCCAATGTTCCCTTTTTTTGCATTATTCCCATCTTTTCAGAACCAATCAGTGTCAAAACTTATGATAATGATTAGAAATGAATAAAAAATAAAATTTTAACTGCTTTGTCATCAATTTCGAAACGTTTTATGTGAAAATTACGGAATTTTTTTTCCTGTTGGAATCGAAAATTTGCCTCAATTATCTCAATTCTGTATATTTTTCGACGGTTGAGCGCTTAAAAGATGCGCAATAAACTCTTTGTTGACTGGACGGTTCGAATGCCAGTGCCCGAACTCGATTCGGCAAATGATCGTTAAAACTCCGTTTTTTCAGTAGTTTTCGACAAAATCCCTCAATTTGGTCAATTCTGAACGAATCTGCTCCGTTTCGCGCTTAAATCGATGCTTTTAACTCACTCAATCGCCCCACGGTTCGCAAAGAACAAAATTTGAGTGTTTATTAAGAGAAAAACGAAGGAATTCTGGGTTTCAATTGAAAAAAGAAACTCCGAGCCGACGGTGGATGCAAGCGCGCCCCATTGACAACTTGCTTGCGCATTGGAATGCTGGGGTTCCGTGCCTTGGTCTAGAAAAAGCTGAAGAAACGGGGGATTGCGAAACTGATGAGTCTGAATCACACTTGAAAAAGGGAAGCGCAGAAAAAAGGAAGGCACCACTTCAGTGTTGAAATCGTCCCATTCTCAAATGTGTCATTTTGACGGACGAATTCGACGGCTCAAAAATGTGCGGCGGTTCGATGAGGACTCGAACGAATGTGCTCTCACTCCGGCTCCGCCCACGTTTTGCCGGCTCGCCGGAGTGCGTACACTCACACAAAAGAGAGCTCGTGAGAATGCGAATGAATTGTGACAAGTTTCGCCGTGGGAATTCCAAAAGTCAATCAGTTTTGCGGAAACCGCTTGCTCCTCCTCGTCCGCCTTCTCGGCGGCCGCCGCACGGAGCACGAAAAAGGCGACGACGATGCCTCCTGTTCACTTGTTTTTCGCCCATTTTTTTTTTTGGTCGTCGACAAGAAAAGGAAGCGAGAAGACCCGTGGTGTCATCATCAATTTCCTCCCGGTGAATGCAGCCCACCATGGAGTATACACACAACAATTAGTATACAAAAATATGAGAAAAAGGATGCTCGGCGACAAAATGGAACAGGGATTGGCATTTCAAAGTGAACGCGCTCTGTTGAAATTGTAATCTTCAGCCCGGCACAGAGAGAGAAAATGCTTCTAGATTTCAAATGAAAACTAGTTTCGCGCCTGAAAAATTAGGCCCCAGAGATCACAAAAAGAGCGGTTTCTCAACAGATCGCATTCACATTGAAATGTCCCGAACGCAACAAGAATTGGTCTTTTTGTAAACGAAATTAGTCGAATTCAGCTTTTTCAGTCCATAATCATGCTCCCAAGTTGTTTTCCAGCAGATCCAGTTCATTAGTGCCTGTTCCGTCCCAAGAGTAATTTGAAGTGTCCGTCGGACAATCTCGTAACTTCCAGACAAATCAATCTTGGGCTGAAGGGACAAAGATGAATGGGATTTGGCAAACACGAGACTTGGGAATACAAAGTTCTGCGAGCGTATCCCATATTTTCATAGAAAGAATTGTAATCTTTAAGGTATTATTATCAAGTTTCATCCGACAAACACGTGATTCGTCGTCTCAGAATGAGCGGAATGATTGACAAACACAACATTTGAGAATTTACTGGAAATGCGAGATTTTTCGAGTCTAATTAGACGTTTGACACGCTCAATTTTCGGAATGTTATGAGATCCGAATTCACATCAGTTCAGTGTAACTCACAAATCACATCGGGCAAATGTGCAGGCAATAGACATGACGGTGGTGAATTGGAATGCGACCATATGGACCACACGACCAATTCTCACATTTCTCATTTGGTTTTTTTTTTTGAATGCCAAATGTTAGCGCTGCGCCTTTAAACGAAAGACTACTATAGAAAGGGATTCTTGCAGAAATTCGCCGACAAACTTGCGAACGTGGCCGCCTATCGAGCCGACATCTACACGCTGATGGGAGTGGGACGGAAGAAGACCGCACAGTTTCCGAGGAAGATCATGTTTGCAGGTGACTAGAATTCGCGAAAATTTTTAAAGTAATTTTGAGTTTTGCGGGCTTTTCCGATCTAGAATTAAGCAAAATTGAGTGAACGACCGCAAGGCCTGGACTTTTGACCCACTTACAATAATAGGATCGGATCCAAACTTCGCAAGCTTCTTGCACTTGGATTCAAGTATCTTGGGACCAAGTTTCAGGCCGATCGGATTATTTGATCCTGAGATACTTGAATCCAAATCCAAGAAATCCGCAAAGTTTGGGTTCGTTCGGAAAATGAAAACGAAAAGAAAGCCCAGTTCTAACCGCAATATTTCAGACTTTGGATCGAAAAAAGCCGAGATTTGTGCTCAACTCGAAACGATTCGCCCACTCACACTCACCAGCGCCACGTCATCATCGTCATCAACGGAGACAGAGGAACGTGTGAAGTTCCGACGACCGCATCTTTTGGCAGTTCTTCCGACCGTCAACATACAGAGGACGATAGTCGATTCTATGATTGTCAGTATCGATTTTAGAGGATTGTTTTCAAATATTTTGATTGTTTTCAGCAACACGCGCTTCTCCATCACTCCGGACTCGACAACGACACGATTTTTCGATACGGCGACACGAATTTGCTGACGTTTTTGAGTTGCGGGTCAGTATGTGCGAAACTAAATTTTAAATTTCGCTGGAAAAATCGCTGGCACAGTGTCGGTGTATTGTATTTCGTAACAGAGCACACACGCTTCAAGTCGCCGTGCACAAGAAACAACAATATAGAAACATTGACATTGTTCCAGAACTCTCGCCCAGTATTCGTGCAGCTCAAACCCCGCCCTCCACTTTCTGTCGCACCAACATCGGCGTCACTCGGCGCTCTTCGACAAACTGTTCGAGCTGAAACTCCTCCACGTCCGTGAGCCCGACGGAATACCCGTCGGCCACCCGAACACCTCGTTCCATCCCCAGTTGCCCGTGCAGAAGAAGGTGACGCACGAGAAGAAACTGGCGGAGGCGAATCTGAAGAACGGAGTGCAGTACGCCGTGCAGATTGCGCCGCGCAACTCGTTATCGATCGATGGGAAGGAGGTGACGAGCGAGAATGGACTGGGACGGAATCTGCTCGCGTTCGGATGCTTCATGACTCAGATCGGACGGCAGCCGAATGCAAAGTCCGTCACGAATGTTATCAGGTTTCGATAGAATGATTTTCACTTCAATCCCCCTCATTTCAGCACTCTGTGGCCCGAAAGTGCGCTCTCGATCCCCGAGGACATTCTGACCAGCGATAAGATTGGCGAACTACCCACCGCCCATCTCGAGGCCATTTTCAGCTTTGTCAGCGACGAACTCTCAGCCACACCGATCGCCAAATCCTACTGTACAGACCTCAAAATAAAGCGAGTCGTCTAGTTTGCACATATTTCTCTAACCCATTTTTCATGTCCACCTCTCACTTTTCCCTGGTATAATATTGCAATACATTCGTTTTTCCTCCATATCGATTCTCAAATGAACGCCTTTTTACAGTAAAATGGGGACCGACGTGGAGATCTTGCTCCAGCGCACATAGCGCATCTTCACGATAGGAACGCTGTGGAGTCCTCTCGCGCGACCACCCGAACACTTTCATTCGGTCATTCACTTCTTTACATTCATTTGCTTCGATTTCACCCTCTTTTCTGCCTGTAACCTCATTTTTCCTTTTCAGTACATCACTATGAAGCTGACCGACGCGCAAGTCATCGAAATGCTGAGCAAACAGCTGCAGGTGGTCGAAGCCGAACGCGATTCCGTGAAACTGGAGAATCAGAAGCTGGAGATGGCACTGCAGAGAAAGACGGAGTGCTGCCGGCTAGCCGTCGAGAAGATTCTCGAAAACGTCGATAGAGTTGGAGAGCTCAAAAAGATCAATATCGACTTGCAAAAGAAAATGCACGAGAAGAATGTGTGCATCAAGGAGAAGAATAAAGAGATTGAGGCGTTGAAAGGAGAGAAGAAAGCGATGAGCAAGGAGAAGAATGTGTTGGCGGAAGAGCTCAGAACGAAGAAGATGAGAATGATCGACGTGGAAAACAACGATTCGAAGACGGAGAATCTGGAGAAGGAGTTGGCGGAGATGACGGCGGAGGCGGAACGACTCCAGAAGACGTTCGAGTATCAGCTTCTGTGGATGGAAGGATGGACGACGATTCAGGGAGATCTCATCGGAAAAGTGCTGAGCGGTCATAACGTGGTCCTGACGGCGCGCGAGCAGCGGGTGCAGGAATTGGAGCAAGAGTTGAAGAGAGCGAAGGACGTGCTGACGCAGAGAGAAATCGAATGGGACTACTGGAAGCTGGACAACAAATACGAGATGGAAGCGATGAGAAATCGACTGAATAAGATCATCTCGCAATCATAAATTGAGATATTGTATCGTATCATCAATAAATATATTATTTAACAATCAATCAAACAGTTTCTCACTTCTCTTCGCTTTTTTCTTTAATAACTCGACGGTCTCCCACGGCCCGAATGATTTCAATGGGGCGCACTTGCAACAGGCGGGCTGTGTCGATTTACGCGGCGGCCGATTAATTAATTTTCAACGGGAGTTCGCATTCTTTCCATGTTTTCTGTACAATACACCTATTTTTTGTACGCCTAGAACCTGGATTCGAACAATTAGAGCACTGGCTACGTTTTGGTAACAGAAATCTCACATATCGTTGAGAATTAGCCGAGTTATTTCGATTTGAAGGTTTTGGCCTGGATTTTGATGTTTTTCGAATAGTTTTCGAAAACTGCTCAAGAAAACTAACCGCCGGAACCTGAATTTTGTGAAGAAAGATTCAGCGAACATTTTTATCGTTCGTTCGGCTCATGAAATGCAAAATGAGCTGAAATATAAAGGTTTGAAGTTTTGACGAAATGCGAAAAAGACGCTAAAAACATGAAAAACTCTAAATTCTGTAGAGAACGGTTTCCAATCAGTAAAATATTGTTTTCTAGACGTTTTTCAAGTCAAAAAGAAAGAAATAAAGGTCGTGAACTCGAATTGAACTGCATTTTTAGACCTGCAAGTTTTCAAAAGTTACAACGATACTCCGCAATTTACGAGCGCACTGTGTTTAGCATAAGAGCCCTGGGAGACCGTGTTAAATGTTAGTAAAAATATAATTTATCAATGAATGAATGAATCAAACAGTGCTCGTCGTGTTCGTGTGTTTCGCAGTGACAATCGTCTTGTCGGCCGTGGGCGTGATCCAAATGGCGATGCGTTTTCTGATTTGCACACTGCTACACACTAATAGCAGTGGAAGCGAGATCTCGGGCAAATAGTTGAAAATGCTGAGAACGGAGATGAATGTCAGCTGGAGAGTGGTGTTGGCGCCCCAGTTGACGAGGGTAACAGCCTCGTACACCACCGATAGCAACTGAAAATTTGAAATTTGAATCGAAGATTTCGGTGGAGCGCACTTGCACACAGTGTGCCTTACCGAAAGGGTTTCGGTAAATTTACCGGTAAATTTACCGGTAAAAATTTCGGTAAATTGTCGGTAAATTTTCGGTAAAACTTTTTTTTACCGAAAGAGTTTCGGTAAATTTTCGAAACAATTTACCGAAAATTTACCGAAAATTTACCGATAAATTTACCGGTAAATTTACCGAAACTATTTCGGTAAAAGTTTCGGTAAATTTTATCGGTAAAAGTTTCGGTAAATTTTATCGGTAAATGGGTACTTTTTCGAAACAATTTTCAATTTTGAGAACGGAACATTGAGGCGACTGTTCAGCGTGTTCCTGATGTTTGGGATGTTGTTCAGAATGTTCTAAATTAGTCACATCAGTCACTTCCCTTGTCAAAAAAAGAACGCCGGTGCCGCGCCTTTTCGGTATCGACGGCACCGCTCGGCGCCTCAATTTTTCTGTTTTCTTTTAACGATCAGTTTATTTTCGAATGAGGAACTTTGGGGACACATTAAATGCGAAACTCGTTGCATAGCATTATAAAAAAATTTAAAAATTAAAAATTTATTTAAAAATTAAAAAAAGAAACAAAAAAATTATTTAAAAATTTAAAAAAACAAAAAAACAAAAAAATTATTGAAAAAAATTATTAAAAAATTGAAAACAAAAAAACATGTTTTAACATTTTTTTCTCCGCTCTCAAAAATTGTTCTTTCGGTAATTGTCGAAAGGAACGATTTACCGGTAAATTTACCGGTAAATTTACCGAAACTCTTTCGGTAAAAACGTTTTTACCGAAAATTTACCGAAACTCTTTCGGTAAAAACAGTTTTTACCGAAACTCTTTCGGTAAATTTTCGAAACAATTTACCGAAAATTTACCGAAAATTTACCGAAATTCACTTCTTTCGGTAAAAAAAATTTCGGTAAGGCACACTGCTTGCACATACCCCATAAAGAACGACGGTGATCAGAAGCTGAATGAACACTTTCTGCTCTCCCCGATTTTGATAACTTTTCGAGAGAGCCAGACGCGTTTGAATGCGTAAATGTCGCCAGAGAATCAGGTAGCATGCAATAGAGCCAAATTGGAAAAGATAGAAAAGTCGATTGATTGTCTGAAAAATAAAATTTGCGATACCATGTTCTCTGTTTTGAACTGACCACTTTGTATCCGCCTTGCGGACCGACATCGACGAATCCCAAATTGTTGACATACATTCTGGTGATTTGTGAAGTGAGAATAGCGAGAACACCGCCCGAAATCGAGACGAACGCACTGAAAACGACGGGAATGACGACGTGAAATCCGTCGAAAAGCATCGAATTCCAGTGTTTGGCGACGAAACAGAAGCACCGATTGAGCGACATGAAGAACGTGATCGAAATGGAGAAGAAGTTGCTGCAGTAGTCGACGTAGAGCGAGGATTGCGTGCAGAATACGTGCACCGCCGATTTGTCGTCCGAAACGACGGAAGCGACGGAAGTGCAGACGATCGAGTAGAGGATGCGGAACGAGACGGTCAGCGAGAGAATGAAGAGGATCGTGAAGAAGGTGCCCTGTAATGTTTAGAGTTGTTTTTTTTTCCAACTCTTTTAGTAAAAGAGCGTCTTTTTCATCTGAAAAATGGGGAACGTCGCTTAGCATAGCAAGTGCGCTCCACCGAAATCACTGCACGGTCTCCCACGGCGCGAATGATTTCAATGGGGCGCACTTGCAACAGGCGGGCTGTGTCGATTTACGCGGCGGCCGATTAATTAATTTTCAACGGGAGTTCGCGTTCTTTCCATGTTTTCTGTACAATACACCTATTTTTGTACGCCTGGAACCTGGCGTCGAATAATTAGAGCACTGGCTACGTTTTGGTAAAAAAATCTCACATATCGTTGAGAATTAACCGAGTTATTTCGATTTGAAGGTTTTGGCCTGGACTTTGATGTTTTTCGAATAGTTTTCGAAAACTGCTCAAGAAAACTAACCGCCGGAACCTGAATTTTGTGAAGAAAGGTTCAGCGAACATTTTTATCGTTCGTTGGGCTCATGAAATGCAAAATGAGCTGAAATATAAAGGTTTGAAGTTTTGACGAAATGCGAAAAAGACGCTAAAACATGAAAAACTCTAAATTCTGTAAATAACGGTTTCCAATCAGTAAAATATTGTTTTCTAGACGTTTTTCAAGTCAAAAAGAAAGAAATAAATGTCGTAAACTCGAATTGAACTGCATTTTTATACCCGCAAATTTTCAAAAGTTACAACGACACTCCGCAATTTACGAGCGCACTGTGTTTAGCATTAGCGCCCTGGGAGACCGTGCACTGCGGCAAATTCCTTTCTTTACCTTTCTATGATTGACTTTCTGATTGCGCAGCCAGTTCAACCACAACATGAGGTCGACCATAAGCACCAGCACTTTATACGTCGGAACACTGGTCCACACGGGCGGCGGTCTTTTCGGAACATGCTGTTCGTCGGAAAGCGCGGGCGGATCGAAGCACTTGCGCTCGAATTCGCGATGAAAACAGATGGAGGTGAATTGGTCGAGTTCCGGTTGGAACGCGTGGAAGACGAAAGGCAGCACGTTCATTTTTGAGAGAGCTCGATGAAATTTGGGCAGAGAGCGAGCGATTGTTGGCTAATTGTCTGTTATTGTGGGAAAAAATTTGATATTTAAGCGGTGAAAGTTCACTTTTCGAAAGGTTTTGCGCGCGCATTTCACAAAGAAAAGTCACGGTACGTTACCTTTTGGAAGACAAACTTTTCGCACGCAGATGATTTGAACGAAAAAGTTGAAAATCGTGACTAATGCGCCGAGAACTGCTGCATTATTCAGATAAAACGTATTCGTGAGCTCGTCGGGTAAATAATAACGAACTGATCCGACTGGGCACCCGGTCCCCAGTTGGAAACTGGATGCCAGAAAGATTTTAGTCGAGAATACGAATGAGGAGGTCATTTGTTGGAAAACTTGGGCTCCACGTGAAATGGAGGCTTTTGAAAGTATGTAATTAGTAAGGAGTCAGTCTGGGGAGCACGCACAAATCAACAATTTGTTCGAGTTTTCATGTTGCGGAACACGATTTCCAAGATTTTTGTGGTCAAAGGCGATGAAAAATGATTGTTCGACATGAAAACACACTAATTCTCAGAATTAATGACGTTTTGGCGCATTTTTCGCGGACTTTGCTTTTTCGCCTTCGCCGCCTAAAAACCGCACTTCTCATTTTGCGCTTTCTTGACCGTTTTCAGACAGAATTGGTTTTGCGAATGATAAATCACGTAAATACAAGCATTTTGAGCGCTCGAACCGCGAAAACTACCGAAAAGCAACTGAAATTCACGCAGTTTTAGGCAAAAACCTTCAAACAGATAAATATTATTTGCGACTTGACCAAATTTGACGCTCTTGCGCTTAAAAAATTCGTAATAGCCTATACAATCGGTCTATCGCGAGACAAATGAGAAATTATCGGTTTTTCGTGGCTAATCTGGCAAAAGACACTAATTTTGCTGTTAAAATTTGAATTTCGCGCCAATGCATCGCTGTCATGTTGCGGAAGCGCAAAAGACTGGGGAATCGAACTTTTGTCTTTGTCAGATTCAAAGGCAAAACTGTTAGCCACCATTAAATTCACCTTTTTGGCATATTTCCTCTCGGAAATGTAAAAAATGCAGACGATCTGAGTGCTCAAATTGAAGAAGCTGACGACGAGTAAAATAAGGACAGAGGGTGAGAAAATGCTCAAATTCGGCGCCGGCACCTCGTTTTCCACCTCCGCACATGGCCATCTCACACAGAACTTTGACGGATTGCTCATCTGACTCTGTTGTCCGTCGTCGTCGCCGGAATACAATCCCGTGAACACCATTGCCGGCTAGGCTCGCGAAATTTCGATGAAAAGTTGGTGGGGGGAGAAGAAGAGAAATGGATTTTTGGGCACAAAAAGTGAGTGTGAGCGCCCGATAATTGAGGGGTTTGCTGATTTCTACTACTACGAGCACTTGATGCGGATGCTTGATTCTTGAAAATTACGATTTAGCGAGCTTCAAACCTTTTTTAGAAAATTCCGATCGAAAATGAGGGCGATGCACAGAAGTTGAGTCAGAAAATCCATCAGATTCACAATATTTTTGCTCAAAACCAGCGGCGAGAAAAAATTCAAATCAGTTCTTTCGCGTATTTCTTGTCCTTCATCGCACAGAAACTCCAACAATGGTTTGCAGATTTTCAGTATTTCGCCGGGTTGCTGAGGTCCTCCGAGGATGTTGTAGTTGAACGAGAGTGCCATGAAAGACGGAATGGAGACGTGAATTAGGGGTTGGGGAAGGAAAACAACTTGAGAAAATGTTCTTTCTCAAAACTTTCTTGACCACATTTCTTTTGCCCCGCCGGAGATCCCCAGCAGAGCGTATCCAAAAATTAGATTCGTTCGACACTCTCTTTCGAAAGGTCAGAACTCCAGCGTACCTTGGTAACTGGGTTATTAACCAAAGAGAACGACGAGCGGCCGTCTCTTACATGCGCCCATGTCCCGACGCCTCGCGGGTTCCGCATCTCGCTATGTTTTCCGCGCGAAAGGGGCGGAGCCTTTCGAAATAAAAACTTTTGTGCAAAACCGTGTTGTTTTCAGTTGCCATTCAGTTATTCACCATCAACACCGACACGTAGCCACTGATAAGACGGCACGTAGAGCATGATATCAACTGTGCACACGGGGGGAGGAATGTGCAAGACTGTTTACATGCGCAGCTCATGTGACACTAAGGTCATAATTGTATGTTGCATCAGCTTGGAATCACGTGGAATCAATCACACTTTTCCGTTTTTTTACATCGCTGAATTGGGTTTTTTTGACGTAAAAAAACGAAAAAAAAAATCATTTTTTTCACAGCCTGAATAACCCCATAATGAAACGACTGAGAAACTCTTTTTGCAGTGAAAATTGAGCAGCGACCTCGGGGCCGAGTTTGAAAAGTTAGGCCACGTTTTCAGTGGAAAATTACTTCGCCGGCTAGAATTGCTGCCAGATTGCGAACAGCGCGCCCTTTCTCGGGCGCTCATTTTGAACTTTCCCCTTTTCCGTCCTTCCGTTCTGTCATGACAAACAACGTTGCAACCAACCAATGATCAGTGTCCTTTTTTGTCTCCTCCTCCTCCCCCTCCTTCTTTCATTATAAAAAGGCAACGGTGTCAACAAGTTCTTCAGATCAGATGTCTTTGAGCGAAAAACTGTCGGCCATGTCTCTTGCTCGTCAAAACTATCACGATGAGGTGGAGGCGGCGGTGAACAAGCAGGTAGTAGTAGCTCTCCTCGTCCCCCAATCACACACAAATGGTTCAGATCAACATCGAGTTGTACGCCTCGTACGTCTACCTCTCCATGCACGCCTACTTTGACCGTGACGACGTGGCGCTCGCCAACATTGCCGCATTCTTCAAGGAGCAGTCGGAGGAGGAGCGCGGCCACGCCACCGAGCTCATGCGCATTCAGAATGTGCGCGGCGGGCGCGTCGTGCTGCACAACGTGCAGAAGCCCGAGAAGAACGAGTGGGGCAGTGTGCTGGAGGCGTTCGAGGCCGCGTTGGCACTCGAAAAGTTCAACAACGAGGCACTGCTCAAGTTGCACGCCGTCGCCGAGCAGAAGAACGATGCGCATCTGACGAATTTCATTCAGGAGAAGTATCTCGAGGAGCAGGTGGGGCCTGACGCTTCTTCTATCAAATCTTGATCGTTTTCAATTTAAATTCAGTTGAAGAGACCAAAAACCAGCAGATTTACTATAAAAAGAGGGTAGCCAAACATTGTGAACACTGTTACTAAACAGTGTTGTATTCGAGGCGATATAACTCAGTTGCCGATAGAGCTGTCAAAAAAATGTCAACAAACAAATTAATTATCAAAACATGGTGTACATTTTATCAATTGACTACTTTTTGATATCTCAACACGCAACTGAGATATTACAGTTTTTACTAGCGTTCTCACTGTTGATTCATTCGGGAAGTGTACTGCTAACTTCGACAGCTTTTATAAGGTTCCGATTCTGTCGATACACTTTTTTTGCAATAAAACTTCAATATCTGTCTATTTTCAGGTCCGCTCGATCAACGAATTCGCCCGCTACGTGGCGAACATCAAGAGAGCCGGGCCAGGACTCGGCGAGTACCTTTTCGATAAGGAGCAATTCGACTAACTTGTAAATAATTCTGTTGTAAATGGTGTACTTATAAAGATTCTGAACAAGTGATTTCAAGGAAACTAGAAGAAGAAGAAGAAGGGGAAATGGGCGGGGTTTCTAATTTCATCGTGTGTTTCTGAACCGGTTTCCCACTTCAAATCCAGGTGATTTTCTTTCCGTTCTTTTCATTTCACCCTAATAAAAAACTTTGAAGCACGGTGACCAAAAACGTAGAAAGGGGCGTGGCCTAGCGTGCACGGTTTATGCGCCATTTTGGCGCGAAATTCGAAATTTAACCCCATTTTTCATGTTTTTCATCAAAAATTCCCGAATTTTGTACAATTTCGACGATGTAATTGCATAACTTTGTTAAACTAATCATCGCGCACACTTTTTTAGCTTAAAACGAGCAGGTTTCATTCAGAAATGAATCAATTGAATCGATTTTCACGTTTTGTGCTGAAAATGCGCGAATTTCAGTCATTCGCCGACACTTTTTGCCGTTTGAACGCCTAAAATACTTGTATTAACGTGCTTAATCACTTCCGACACTCACTTCGTCTCAAAACTATCCAAATCGGCCGGTATGAAAATTCCGAAATTGCGGCGGCGATTGGCCGCGGAGGGCGTATTGCGAAATATACCAAAAACGTCTCAAACGCGACGTTTTCACGAAAATTTCAATGTTTTCTCGCTTTAATGTCTTCTTTTGTCGATATCAAACACAAAAATATCGGAAAAGTGTGCTGGAATTGCGGAAATTTTCAGAAAACGCGTCTCAGATTAGGCCACGCCCCTTTCTACACTTTTGGTCGCCGTGGCGCGCATTGAGAGTCCCGTTTTGAGGTGGAAGGGTCGATGAAAGTGTGGGTGCAAGGAATCGCGACCATCTCGGATATCACTTCGGACTTTCAGGTTCTGGAAACTTTTGGACGTAATCTTCACATCTCGCACTTTATTCTTCTACTTGATACCTTTTTTGTACCTTCACTCCTAAGGGTCGTGTAGCAAAATTCACGTTTTTCCGTGCTGACTATTCAAGACGACATATCTCAGTTGCTGGTAGAGATGTCAAAAAGTTGTCAACTGTTAAAATGTGCACAATTTCTTAGTGAACATTTTGTCAGTTGATAACTTTTTGATATCTCCGCACGCAGCCGAGATATATTGATTGTCATAGTCGGGCCGCATAACTTTTTGTTTTCAATACCGCCTACTGGCAACATTATTTACGAGTCAACTAGTGCTCCTCCAAATGAATACATTGTATCCCGGACCACTTTTTTGCATCGGATCGCCGCGTCAACAGCACACGTACACACTGATAAGACGGCACGTAGCGTCGGGGTTATCAGTGGAATGGCCGGGCACGCAAATAGATGTTGTTGAAGAGGCCACAATGACATATACATCAAGGGCTGAAAAGTGGAAATGTTGGGAATGGACCTGAAAAAGGTGTTATTCAAGTGATGTGATGCAAACTGACGGTCCCAAACGGCCAAGTTTTTGTTATGAAGTTTCCGTTTTATCGATTTTAATAACGTCTCTATACAAGATCCAAAAAAAGGTGTGAGGCTAAAGTTTTTTCGGAGCATGGACCATGATTCATGGTAAACCAGACTATTGTCGAACAAGGTTTGGAAGTAGGGATTTGCTGCTTGACTCCTTCCACCCAATACATGGTACTCTACTGGATCCCCTCCTCTTTTAGTAAGCTCCTCATGGTTCCCAAGACTTTTCGCCCTAAAGTGCTCTTTTTGCAAACCCGACACAATCACCTGACCCTACAATGATCAGTGTCCGTTTTTTTTGTCTAGACTCCGCCCCTGCTCCATCGCGAATAAAAAGACGAGTGTCAACAACTCGACCAAGCACAATCAATCATGTCTCTTGCTCGTCAAAACTATCACGATGAGGTGGAGGCGGCGGTGAACAAGCAGGTAGTAGTAGCTCTCCTCGTCCCCCAATCACACACAAATGGTTCAGATCAACATCGAGTTGTACGCCTCGTACGTCTACCTCTCCATGCACGCCTACTTTGACCGTGACGACGTGGCGCTCGCCAACATTGCCGCATTCTTCAAGGAGCAGTCGGAGGAGGAGCGCGGCCACGCCACCGAGCTCATGCGCATTCAGAATGTGCGCGGCGGGCGCGTCGTGCTGCACAACGTGCAGAAGCCCGAGAAGAACGAGTGGGGCAGTGTGCTGGAGGCGTTCGAGGCCGCGTTGGCACTCGAAAAGTTCAACAACGAGGCACTGCTCAAGTTGCACGCCGTCGCCGAGCAGAAGAACGATCCACAGCTCACGAATTTCATCGAGGGAAAGTATCTGGAGGAGCAGGTTTGGTTCCTGTAGGCTGGTGGAAAGTTACGATTCCGATTTAGGTCCATTCGATCAACGAATTCGCTCGCCACGTGGCCAACATCAAGAGAGCCGGACCCGGACTCGGCGAGTACCTTTTCGACAAAGAACAATTCTCCGATTAACACAACCGTTTTTTTTGTTAACATTAACACAAAATAAATACATTATTCACACGCCTGCGAGCGAGGCAAAAGCGATGAAAACAACAAGACGTCGTGAGCGTTTTAAAAGAGAAAGAGGGGTTTCTCTGATTTTTGTGGTCAAAGGCGATGAAAAATGATTGTTCGACATGAAAACACACTAATTCTCTGAATTAATGACGTTTTGGCGCATTTTTCACGGATTTTGCTTTTTCGCCTTCGCCGCCGATCGCCGCTTTAAAACCGCACTTCTCATTTTGCGCTTTGGTTTTGAGAATGACAAATCACGTAAATACAAGCATTTTGAGCGCTCGAACCGCGAAAACTACCGAAAAGCAACTGAAATTCACGCAGTTTTAGCCAAAAACCTTCAAACGGATAAATGTGATTTGCGACTTGACCAAATTTAACGCTCTTGTGCTTAAAAAATTCGTAATAGCCTATACAAACGGTCTATCGAGAGACAAATGAAAAATTATCGGTTTTTCGTGGCTAATCTGGCAAAAAACACAAATTTTGCTGTTAAAATTTAAATTTCGCGCCAATGTATCGCTCTATTTGGAGGGGCGCACTTGCGCCCATTGTAAGCGCTGGAGACCGTGCACAAGAGTATGTTATGTTATGCTTTTTCGCCGTTCGCCCAATTTCCGTGTACTTTGCCGATCTGTGAGAACGAAGGGAACAAAAACAAAACGCGTTTTCCTTGAAGCGGGGGGGGATCGTCCAGTTTTGCTGCTGAGAATCTCGGATTCTCACGCCAACCTCATCGACGAAAAACAACGAGAACGACGAGGCGAACGGCCAAGTTATTATAATTCCTAACGCCGATATGCTCGAACTCAATTCGAATTCAAGAGAACTCGTGATCGGATTTGTGTACCTCGGCCTGTCGGCCTCACAAATTCCAATGTTCTGTTTGGTGATCATGGTAGGATCCATCCAAGTCCCCCCCGTAAAAAAAAAACAAATCGCACCTTCAGGCAGTTCACAAGATACAGCGTCAAGAGCCGAACATGACGTACAAGTTGATCAATCTCATTCAGTGTTCTCAAGTTGTCCAAACAATTTGTCATTTTCTCACCTCGTTTCTTCTCATTTTTCCAGCATTTCAAAGATTTCCGTTCATCATTGGCGTAAGTTTTGGGATGAATTCAGAAAAACGCGCAAAGGAACTTGACTTTTCAGGTGATCGGAGCGACCGTGGGTCTTTTCTACAGTGCAGAATTGCCCACAATGGCTCTGCTGGCCGTGTGTCGAGTTCTGATCTTCACCGGAGTCATCAAGACGAAAAAGACGCCTTTGGGTGTGAAAGTAAGCGCTACTTTCGGTATCGGGTACATTTAAAAAGGAACCGTATTCAGCTCTTTCTGCTCTCACTCTTCTCCGTCCTTACACTCATCTTCCTCTACTCTTCCGCACATAGCCTCATCTTTTTCTCGCCTCCTTCCATGGATTACAACATCTCTGATCCATTCTCGCCAATTTTAGGACTTTTCGACTTTTACATTTCGATACTTTCCCTAATCATCGCTTACATCTCCTATCTTGCTATTGTCTACCTGATCTATATGGCAAGTTTGTCGGCTCTCTATCCTATTCATCTCTACGTTTTGAAGAGCAAGAAGGCGGTGTGTGTGAAGAGCAAACGAGAGGAGCTCTCGATTCTGGTACAGTACACGATAGCGGTCGGCTACACGACGGGCTCTTTGATATTCTGGCACGAAGCGAGCCTTGACATGAAAAACTTTGAAGTTCGAGCGGCGATCAACATCTCTTGGATTGTGGGCTCTTATGTCTATCCCGTAGTCATTCTTATCTGTAACAAGTGCGTCACACTTTTAACCCTTGACTTTCAGCGCATTTTTGCAGGACGGTTCGTGAGAAAAGCATTTGTATTCTCGGGCTACGCAGCGAGGATGTTCGTCCGTTCACTACTAATCATTCGAGCATTGGAGCACCACCATCTAAACGCCATTAGATCGCTAACTTATTCGCAATGTTTTCTTGCCACGTGTCGTCGTGTGACGTATCAACCAGACTTGCAACGGGCCGGGCCGGGCCGGGCCGGGAGGATGCACCTAAAAATTCGTTTTGCTTCAATTTCGAAGATTCATTGTAAAAACCAGCAGAAATAGAAAAAAAGACGAAAAAGGCAATGTTATAGCATAAAAACCTGCTAAAAAATAGAAATTGCTGTTTAAACTCGCAAAATTTTCACAAAAATTACGAAAATTTTCTCAAGAGTGGGCGGAACGATTGATTGCAACTCTGGCACGCCATTTTCGCAATTTTGCCGCACGCGTTTTCCTCTTTTCCTTCATATTTTTTTTTGCATATTTTTTTTGAGGTCTAACTTCCGGGCCGACGATTTGCTGGCCCGGCCCGGGATTTGGCAAGTCTGGTATCAACAATGAAAATGGTCTAAACTGCCGTTAATTGTGTGCGGAAAGAGGAAGCGGGGAACAAAAAACAAGGCGTCGGAGAAGCGTTCTGAGAAAAAAAAACAAGGAACAAACCGCTGTTTATCGTAATTCCTGGCCACACGGAACTTGGTTCGAATGCTCAAGAACTCATGATCGGAATCGTCTATCTGTGCTTGTCGGCCTCACAAATCCCAATGTACTTTTTGGTGATGACGGTGAGTGAGATCCGTCCAAGTTCCGCATACAACGCATTGTTTCAGGCAGTTCATGTGAAACATCGTCAAGAGCCGAACATGACGTACACGTTGATCAATCTCATTCACTTTTCTCAAATTGTCCAAACAATTTGTCACTTTCTCACCTCGTTTCTTCTCATTTTTCCAGCATTGCAAAGATTTCCATTCTGCATTGGAGTAAGTTTTGGGATGAATTCAGAAAAAAGCTCAAAGGAACTTGACTTTTCAGGTGATCGGAGCGACGGTGGGTCTTTTTTTCAGCGCAGAACTGCCCGTAACGGCTCTGCTGGCCGTGTGTCGAGTTCTGCTCTTCACCGGAGTCATTAAGACGAAAAAGACGCCTTTGGGTGTGAAAGTAAGCGCTACTTTCGGTATCAGGTACATTTAAAAAGTATCCGTATTCAGCTCTTCCTGCTCTCACTCTTCTCCGTCCTTACACTCATCTTCGTCTACTCTTCCGCGCATAGCCTCGTCTATTTTTCCCCTCCCGCCTTCGATTATAACACCTCTGATCCATTCTCGCCAATTTTACAACTTTTCGACTATTACATTTCGATTCTTTCCCTAATCATCGCGTACATTTCCTATCTTGCTATTGTCTACCTGATCTACATGGTAAGTTCGATTCGTTTTGCTATTGCTATTCTTCTGCTTTTGTTTTCCAGTACAAGAAGGATTCGGTGAGCCTGAAGAGCAAGCGAGAGGAGCTGTCGATCCTGGTACAGTACACGATAACAGTCGGCTACGAGGCGGGCTCTTTGATATTCTGGCACGAAGCGAGCCTTGACATGAAGAACTACAAAGTTCGAGCGGCGATCAACGTCTCTTGGATCATGGGCGGTTATATGTATCCTATCCTCATTTTTATCTGCAACAAGTGAGTCCTAGTCCTAGTCATGTCGTGCACGGAACCCCAGCCTTCCAATAAAAAATTCCCTTGGCGCAATTCAGGTGCGCTAAACAAGGCGCGTAACGCGTAATTCCGGAGCGTCGTTGTAGAGTTTCTCATTTCAATTTTCCCTTTTTTTGCATTATTCCCATCTTTTCAGAACCAATCAGTGTCAAAACTTATGGTAATGATTAGAAATGAATAAAAAATGAAATGTTTACTGCTTCGTCATCAATTTCGAAACGTTTTATGTGAAAATTACAGAATTTTTTCCTTTTGGAATCGAAAATTTGCCTCAATTATCTCAATTCTGTATATTTTTCGACGGTTGAGCGCTTAAAAGATGCGCAATAAACTCTATGTTGACTGGACGGTTCGAATGCCAGTGTCCGAACTCGATTCGGTAAATAATCATTAAAACTCCGTTTTTTCAGTAGTTTTCGACAAAATCCCTCAATTTGGTCAATTCTGAACGAATCTGCTCCGTTTCTCGCTTTAATTGATGCGTTTAACCCAGACAATCGCCCTACGGTTCGCAAAGAACAAAATTTGAGTGTTTATTAAGAGAAAAACGAAAGAATTCCGGTTTTCAATTGAAAAAAGAAACTCCGAGTCGACGGTGGATGCAAGCGCGCCCCATTGACAACTCGCTTGCGCATTGGAATGCTGGGGGTCCGTGTCGTGTATTGACAAGAAGTTCAAATGATCGCAGTTCAGAACGATTCGTGAGGAGAGTTTGCGGATATTGGGCCTACGCGGCTCTTCTCTTGTTAGTGTTCGTCCCTCCAGCCGGGCTCGTCGCATTTCTTGAAAACATTCACACGAACACTATGCAGCAATGACACGTCACAAACGGAAGTAGAACTTATTGATCCGCGGAAGCGTTAAGGACTTTGTGTTTGTGCCGTCCGCTTCCGAGCCTTTCGCATAAAAATGATTTTCGACGACGAATTGAAATCGGATTCTGAAGAACTCGGCAAGTAAAATCGGGCTAAATTCATGTTCCTCAGATAATTTGTTCTAAAAATAAAAAAAAAGTCAGCACTTGTGTGTGTGTCTTGTCTGTTCGCTCTCACTTTCTCAATGAGAAGCGCGCGCGCGCGGACAAACAGTGTTCTCTGGTCGCAAAATGAGAAATGCAATGTTGTCCGTTCGTCGAATTCTCATGTGAATTACATGAGAAAAAAACAACGATTTCCTCGCGTTTGTCATCATAGTCTCTCGGATATGCTGGAATGGAATTCGGACTCGGAAATGCTCGCCTACGGAATTATCTACCTCAGCCTATCGGCCTCGCAAATCCCAATGTTCTGTCTGGTAATCTTGGTAAGATCCGTCCGAGTCTGTCACAAAACATGTCATAGTTTCAGGCGGTTCACATGAAACATCGTCAAAAACCAGGTCTCACGTACAAGTTGATGAATTTGACGCTAATGTTCCAATTCGCTCAAACTCTCGGTCACTTCATCACCTCCCCCCTTCTTCTATTTCCAGAGTTTCAAAGATTCACAGTTATTATCGGAGTAGGTGCATGAGACAATGTAACTTCTTCTTTTTTTCTCTGCCAGATAATCGGCGCCTTCATGTTTTCGTGCTACGACGCCGAACTGCCCACAATGGCGCTTCTGGCGGTGTGTCGAGTTTTCACCTTTGCAAAAATTATCAAACCGGGCCAGACTCCGCTGGTTGTGAAGGTGAGTAGCAGAGTGGAGCGGAAGAACTCAACGGAATAATTTTTATGTTTTTTAGAAAAAATTTTCATGGAATGTGATCAACTGATGAAATGTATAGCAAAGTGAACTGTGCTCATAGAAAAATAATTGTAAATTTAGCTTTACATACAAAAAAGTTATTCGAGTTGTTGCGTGAAAAAAGGGCTAACGGGGAAGACGGAAGAAACTCGAATAACTTTTTTGTATGAAAAGCTAAATTTACAATTATTTTTCTATGAGCACAGTTCACTTTGCTATACATTTCGTCAATTGATCACATTTCATGAAAAAATTTTCTAAAAAAGATAAAAATTCTACAGTGTTCTTCCGTTGAGTTCTTCAACTCTGGCCACGGCGACCAAAAGTGTAGAAGGGGCGTGGCCTAATCTGAGACGCGTTTTCTGAAAATTGCCGCAATTCCAGCACACTTTTCCGATATTTTTGTGTTTGATATCGACGAAAGAAGAGACATTAAAGAGAGAAAACATTGAAATTTTCATGAAAACGCCGCGTTTGAGACGTTTTTGGCATATTTCGTTGCCATTCGCCGCCGCAATTTCGGAATTTTCATACCGACCGATCTGGCTGATTTTGAGACGAAGTGAGTGTTTCGGAAGTGATTAAGCACGTTAATACAAGTATTTTAAGCGCTCAAACGGCAAAAAGTGTCGGCGAATGACTGAAATTCGCGCATTTTCAGCACAAAACTTGAAAATCGATTCAATTGATTTATTTCTCAATGAAACCTGCTCGTTTTTGGCCCAAAAAGTGCGCGCGATGATTAGTTTTCCAAAGTTATGCAATCGCATCGTCGAAATCGTACAAAATTCGGGTAATTTTTGACGAAAAACATGAAAAATGGGGTTAAATTTCGAAATTCGCGCCAAAATGGTGATAAACGCTAGGCCACGCCCCTTTCTACGTTTTTCGTCGCCGTGGGCCTGGTGAGTAGTATTGATCGTTACGACCATACTATAGTAAAGTTGTCGCGCAACGTTCAGGTGTTCCTGGTGTGCTTCTACTCGATCCTCTCCTTCATCTTCTTCCACTCTTCCGTCCACACCACCGTCACATTCGCCATTCCCGCGTGGCACTTTGTGCCGTTCCCCTACTCCCATGTGCTTCGAGACTTCAACCTCTACCTCACACTGTTCTCGCTCGTCACCGCATACACGTCCTACGTTACCATCGTCTATATGATATGTGTGGTGAGTGAGATCGTCGTCGTTCTGAAGGGCGCACAAATTTTTTGAAGCGCAAGAGGGATTCGATGAGTGTGAAGAGCCGAAGAAACGAGATGTCGATAATGGTGCAGTACACGATAATCGTCGGCTACACGACGGCCACAATGATATTTTGGCGTAACGCCGATCCGAATAGTGTCGGCGAAGAAGCGGCGGTGAACATCAGCTGGATCACGAGCGCCTACATGTATCCCATTCTCATGTTCATTTGCAATAAGTTCGGAATTTTACACTTTCATTTCCACTTCAATCAATACTTTCCATTTGCAGGTCAATTCGTGACAAGTGCCTGCTGTTGTTGGGGCTACAAAACTGCAAATTTTGCTGTGTGCTCTCGTCGACGACGGCACCGGACTCGAGACGTTTTTGAGTTCCACTCGACACCACTCACACACACATTATTATTATTATTATTATTATTATTATTGTTTTTTTCGTCAGTTGTTCACGCTCACATGGAAATTCCAAGAACACGGCGGCTGGGTCTAATGAGAATAGCATTGTGGACGTTTCACATGGATTCCACAGGTAAACAAATCTATTTAAAAAAATGCCAAAAAGCATGGTATTTATTCAGTGGTTAACATTTGGATCAATCCATCAGAAACGCAAAATTGTTGCCGCGAATGAGCAAACGCGGTCCACTGCACTCTTTTTTTTGCGCGCCGCCAAATTGACACAAACCTCGTTCGCAGCAGAGTTGAGCGGGAGAACTCAACGGAAGAATTTTTATTTTTTTTTGAAAATTTTTTCATGAAATGTGATCAATTAACGAAATGTATAGCAAAGTGAACTGTGCTCATAGAAAAATAAATGTAAATTTAGCTTTTCATACAAAAAAGTTATTCCTTCCGTCTTCCGTTAGCCCCCTTTTTTCACGCAACAACTCGAATAACTTTTTTGTATGAAAAGCTAAATTTACAATTATTTTTCTATGAGCACAGTTCACTTTGCTATACATTTCGTCAGTTGATCACATTCCATGAAAATTTTTTCTAAAAAACATAAAAATTATTCCGTAGAGTTCTTCCGCTCAACTCTGGTTCGTTTGACACACTTTCTCGCTGTTATGCCCTTTTTTGTATTGATTTTTTTTTCCATTTTCAGTGCGTATCGACTGATTGTTCTCGTATTTCAGATGATGCGCACCACGCTAAATCCGATGCGAGTACGAGTACGGACCCCGTTGAGGGTCTCCAATTTTTGCAGTCCAACGTGCAATCGGACGTCCATTTTATCTCCATATTTTTGATTATAATTTCGTTGCGATGCTCGGCTTTCACTAATAAAACAGCAAGTACGCCGAACCGCTGACAAGGAATGCTTTCGAAACTGTTTTGCAGACTATGACTCTTTATTTTGTCATTTCATCAAATCCGATTCAGAATCAGGTGGCCAATTTTCCGCAAACATATCCTCTGAACCGATCGTTCCACGTTTTCGGGCAAATCATCGAGAAGAACTTTCCGTGCTCGCGCTGCTTGACCTGTTTTCCGCCCGTCACCCAAATCCACATCATACCGCAGTTGTTCGGGAAGCCGCTGCGAAGTAGTTTTTTGAGAGGTTTTAGGCGCGTCACCGACTCACTCATAACTTCCGCTTCCCGGCTCTCCGGGGCTCCAGACAATGCCTTCCATTCCGCTCGTGTGTCCGTCGGTGATGGTCCATGCCTGAACGTTCCCGTTTCGATCAGATCGGGCGACGAGATAACTCACACTCTGCTTAGTGCTTCTCCGCAGTCCCGTTCTCAGCGTTCCGTACTTCCATCCGGTCGACTCCATCAAATTCTTGCCGAGCTCCGCGATCGTTTGTCTTTCGCGGTTCGTCTCCACGCCGGAAAGGACGGCTCCGTTCGATGCGCACCCCGACTCCGCCTGTGCTTGATTCACGACGCCCTGGAAAACCTTGACGCACCATCCGCCGACTTTGCGCTGAACTCGAGTCCAACCGGCTGGACATGTGGTTCGCGAGCCTCGCCCCGGCGCCTCCGGTGCATTTGGTCGTGGATCCGAACCCGGCACAGGCGGCACATCGTCTCCCGCGCCTCCGTCGTCGTCGTTGTCGTTGTCGTCGTTTGAACGACGACGGTGCGCTTCCTCACTGGAACTGCTCGAATCGCGGCTACACTCGTCAGAAGAAGCGACACTCGACACTGCAAATTCCACAAAATAGTTATCGCCAAGACGACGGTTGTGTTACCCGCTGCCGCCAAAAATATGAGAGCGAGAAGCGAGAGTTTGAACATGCTTGCAAAGTGTGCCGAATCGTTGCCCACTCGGCTTCATATAGCGCCACCGGAAGCTATAAACTCGGCTGTTTTTGATTGCACGCAGCTTGGATGGGTCGTCGTTGTTTTGCGCGTGATAGTTGTACTGGATGTTTGCAACGTTCTGATCTTAACTTCAAGCCCAGATGTTGCGATCTAGATCACTTTCACTGGTACGACGAAACGATGTCGTGTTCGGCGGAGAAGAGATGATAACATTGTTTGCTTATTTGTACGATGTTCACCACTTCCCTCTCCACATTTCTGCTGCTTCAGGCCACATCGGTTTATTCAGGTGTCCAGCCCCCCGTTTTTATGCGCCAAATAGGCAAAGAGTTTCCAGGAAAAGAGCACATCGACGGAGCGTGCCACGACCCTCTGCACTTTGGCAATGCACCATGCGACAAGAGCTGGTCCATTCGATACCACATGGATGTGCCCACCGAAACGTGTCTAGCCTTCAACTTTACCGGATGCGGACAAAATTGGAACAACTTTGGCACGGCCCTCGCCTGCTACGAACAGTGTCTACCGTGTAGGTGATGACCGTGTTTTGCCCGGAACACCGCCCCCGCGTTTCCAGTAGACCATCAAATTTGTCCGGCGGCGAGTAGGGGCCACAAAACGACTCTGGGCGAAGAGTTCTGTCGAGAAGACGGTGAGTGCGGACCGCGCAAGTACTGTAACATTGGCGGACAAACGTTCGGACAGTGCTGTGAAGACGATATCCGAGGTGAGAGTGCTTCGTTGTGCGCCTTTAAATTCGAAGCAGACACGGTAGCTCGTTTCAAGTTTAAAGGCGCACAACTTTGTGATTTTCAGCCAAAATCGATTCGGACTACAATCCGAAATGCGCGCGTGGCCAGTCGGTTGTCGAGCACGAGGTGAACGGTGTCGCCACGAAATTGATCGGAAAGAAGTGCGCGCACAACTTTTGCCCGCACGGATCTCGCTGCGTTCAGGGCCATTTCTTCGCCGCGTGTTGTCTGTAAAACGTTTGTGCCCGCCCCGACGAATAAAATAAAATGTTTGAAACTTCTTGTGTTCGCAGACCCGCATCGGATCTGACGACAATTCACAGATCTGCCTTTTACCTTATCAGGCGGGGCGTAACATTTTCTTTTTGTTTTTTTCTAAAAACGCAAATTTACGGTTTCAAGAAGCCGTAAAATCCGTAAATTCCGTAAAATCTGTAAAATCCATGAAGCGTACTGTTTTTGTCAGAAAATGAAAACTAGCATACAATTCAATATAATTCTAACTTTTCTATAGTCCCTAAATATATATCACGGTCTCCAGAGCTGACAATATGGGCGTGGCCTCGGCGAAATGGCATTTTCATGAATTGAGCAGGTTTTCTCTGATTTTTGTCGTCAAAGGCGATGAAAAATGATTGTTCGACATGAAAACACACTAATTCTCAGAATTAATGACGTTTTGGCGCATTTTTCGCGGATTTTGCTTTTTCGCCTTCGCCGCCGATCGCCGCCTAAAAACCGCACTTCTCATTTTGCGTTTTCTTGACCGTTTTCAGACAGAATTGGTTTCGAGAATGATAAATCACGTAAATACAAGCATTTTGAGCGCTCGAGCCGCGAAAATTACCGGGAAGCAACTGAAATTCACGCAGTTTTAGCGAAAAACCTTCAAACGGATAAATGTGATTTGCGACTTGACCAAATTTAACGCTCTTGCGCTTAAAAAATTCGTAATAGCCTATACAATCGGTCTATCGAGAGACAAATCAGAAATTATCGGTTTTTCGTGACTAATCTGGCAAAAAACACAAATTCTGCTGTTAAAATTTGAATTTCGCGCCAATGTATCGCTCTATTGGGCGGGGCGCACTTGCGCCCATTGCAAGCTCTTGAGGCCCAGCGTTTTTTGAAACGTTTTGGTGTCTTTTCATGCCTAATTTTGTTCTTACCGATCAAATCAGGAATTTCTGATTTTAGAGACAAATAGTACAAAAGTAATAGATTCGAGAAAAATCTAAAATCACAAAAAAAAAGGTAAACTCCCAGCCCTGCTCCCAAATCATTGGCCGATTTTTCTGCAAGTTCCGCCAAGCGCCTCTGCCGCCGCGCCACCTCTTTTTCGACATTTGTCGGGCGAAAAACAAGGAAACGTAGTTTCGTCTGCCGCTTTTCGTCGCCCACACAACACTATTGTCCATATCTTCGAATGGGATCTTTTTGAAACCCGAAATTCGAATTGTAAAAGTGATTATGCGAAGGACCTGTTTTTTTTTTCGTTTGAATTGAAACTTTATTATCTCTAGACGTTTGGTCGACTTATTAACAAACCCGCGTCAACATATTATTGAGATACTTTCCAAAAGTCCGTCTGATACTTGGCGTCGAGCGGGTCTCTGTTGAACATGAATATCAAATAATCGAAAAAGTAGATTTTGTGCAGATACTCGCGCACGACCGGATCCTCGCGAATCTGTTTCTCGGCGAGCAGTCGCTTCGTCGATTTGTGCGTCGAGTGTTTCGTTTCGCCGTCTGAAATCGAAATGAATCGATCGATCGTCTCACACACCAGAGTTGAGCGGAAGAACACGGAAGAATTTTTATCTTTTTTAGAAAATTTTTTCATGAAATGTGATCAACTGACGAAATGTATAGAAAAGTGAACTCTGCTCATAGAAAAATAATTGTAAATCTTCCTTTCGTCTTCCGTTAACCCTTTTTTCACGGAACAACTCGAATAACTTTTTTGTATGAAAAGTTAAATTTACAATTATTTTTTCATGAGCAGAGTTCACTTTGCTATACATTTCGTCAGTTGATCACATTTCATGAAAAAAAGTTCTAAAAAATATAAAAATTCTTCCGTGTTCTTCCGTTGAGTTCTTCCGCTCAAATCTGTCACACACTCTCTCTCACCCATTGATCCGTCTTGAATTTTGCGAATAATCGCATCCGGTACGTTGTGCGTCTTCAGAATATTGGCCAATTGAAGAATGGACGATGTTCGCTGCTCGCGGTCCGCTCCGATCATCAACAAGTGCCATTTGGCGAGGTCCTTGTCAAAGTTGCAGTTCCTGCGCGGAGAGAAAACAAAGTACAGTAATCCGTGGCTCACGATGCTCACCACGACAACGGCGCCGCGTGAAGCTCCATATATTTCGGAATCGGCTTCCACGCCCTGTGATTTTTGTATTTTCGCAAACGTTCGTACACGTTTTTGACGACACATCGCATATCGTTTTTGCAGTGCCAGCAGTTGAACTCTCTGCGTTTATTCAAATGAATGTATCTCAGCTGCTTGTAGAGATATCGAAAAGTGATCAACTATAAAAATGTGTAAAATTTGTTGATAAACATTTTATTAGTTGATATTTTTTCGATATCTTCCCTGGCAGCTGAGATATACACGTTTTTCTGCAGTAGACACTATTGCTTTCTGAAAGCAGCAGAAAGAAACCTATATATCTTGGCTGCGGGTTGAGATATCAAAAAGTGGTCAACTGATGAAATGAACAAAATGTTTTAATGAACAATATATCAGTTGACACTTTTTCAATATCTCTACTCGCCGCTGAGATATACTCACTTCAAACACTTGTCCAAATACAACGAAACGAATCGGTCGAACGGGTCACGGATGAACGCGAATCTCGTCGTTTCCGGATCATCGATCAAGTTTTCCGGAAGCAAACGGAATTTCGGATCCTTGTACGCACATGCGCTGAAAATAAAACGTGGAATGGATATTATCGTCTCACAAATTACCGCTTCTCAAGCCACGTCTCGTTCATCGTGTGATTCTGACTGATGAACGCCTTTTCATTGTTCAAAAAGCACATAGTATTGACTGTCAGCTGGGACATTGATTTGCGGATGCCACACGACATTAGTTTGTACGAGGGGGCCACCTAAACTCACGTTTTATCGAAAATGTAAAGTCTCTACAACTCACAAAATAATCGGAGGCAATATTGACAAACGGTGGAATGAACTCGTCGACTGAAAACAAAATATCAAACGTTTTTGTCTTCAAATTTTCAAGGCCTTACTTCCGGTAAAATTGACGGCACTCCCGTCCACCGTGATATTATAGACGCTCTCTTTGAACAGATAATTGTAGAGATACGTGCTGAGCAGCAAGGCGCCGAGTAGCGACAGAAAGTAGTAGTGTCTGTAGCAGAACAACGTGTATATCTCAGCTGATTGGGGAGCTATCAACAAAGTGTCAACTAACAAAATGTGCAAAATTGTATGGTGAACAATTTATCTGTTGACTATTTTTCGATATCTTCCCTGACAGCTGAGATATATAGGTTTTTGGGCCGCTTTTAGAAATTCCTAGTGTCTACAGCATAAAAACCGATATATCTCAGCTGCCAGGCCAGATATAAAGAAGGCGTCAACTGACAAAATGTTTATCATTGAATTTTGTACATTTTGCCAGTTGACAACGTTTTGATACCTCCACCCGCAGCCGAGATACGCACCTCATTTTCGGGTTCGAAACGACAGACAAAGTGTTGCGCGATGGCGCCGTGTTGCGTGCTTATGTAGGCATGGCGCAAGACTATATCGGCGAAACAATCTTCGCCGCCGCCACTCAACGAATTCAGGGATTATTTTAAAAGTGAGCGTTGTTGGTTGGCAAGAAGCAGGACCTGATCTTCGGGCACGAAGAGGACACCAAGATCCGCATCAAAATTGATGGCTGGCGGGCTGGCAAGCCTCATGTTCAGGCAAATCAAAAATGAAACGTTAAAGACGTGGCCCAGATGTTTGACGTTCACAGTCAATCGATTGGTGAGAAACGTTGAGCGATAATAGTCGAGTATCACTTTAATACCCTTTAGCTGAACATCATCCCGCTAATGGTCCATTTTCCGAATTTGAACGCGAATAGTCATTTTTACGGTGCGCTTACAATCGTTTCCAATTTGTTCACAAGAAAACGACTATTAACGGTTTGTCGCCCCGCCCACCACGCATTCAATAGCAGCGTGCGGAACCCGTGAGACGTCGGCACATGCGGGCGCGTATAAGGTGTGCGCGAACGACGGGTCGTTTCAATTAGAATTTTCTAGACGGGCCTTCTCTAAGACCCTGATCACAATTTTTGGAGCCCTGATCTGCCGGTCGGGGCAAATTCTTGCAGACTTGCAACGGGCCGGGCCAAAATTGGAAATTTTCCGGCCCGGCCCGGCCCGGTCGGCCCGGGAGGATGCACCTAAAAATTCAAAGCGAACTAGAACTTCGAAACGAACATAATTTTATAGACTTAAAAAGGCAATGTTATAGCATAAAAACCTGTTAAAAAATAGAAATTGCTGTTTAAAGTCGCAAAATTTTCACAAAAATTACGAAAATTTTCTCAAGAGTGGGCGGAGCGATTGAATGCAACTCTGGCACGCCATTTTAGCAATTTTGCCGCACGCTTTTTCCTCTTCCTTCGTATTTTTTTTGCATATTCTTTTTGAGGTCTAACTTCCGGGCCGACCGGGCCGGGCCGACCATTTGCTGGCCCGGGATTTGGCAAGTCTGAATTTTTGCAACGCCACCTCCGAGCGTCTCTGTTTTTTAACACATCCCCCTCTCTTCGTTTCCAAATCGCTCGGACGCATCTTCGGGCGGCTGTGTGACGCGCCGCAAAAAACCTCGTTTGGGTACCATTGATCCCGGTGAACATGAAGCAGCCGGCCAGATTTGCATCAATGCGCAAAATCTTCACGACATCGGCTTGAATTTTTGCTGTCTGTCAAGTCGAAAGATGGGGCAAAGATACGGTGTATTGTGTTGCATAACGGATTTTCGAGTGTCGCCAAACTTGCTGGAAGTGGAGTACTCTTCAGCACAGACTAACGTTTATTCAGAATCCGATGGGATCGAAAGCGAAGAAATCGGGATCGAACGGCAAAATCTTCATGTACTTGTCGCGCTTCTGCTCCTCCTCCGTCCTCTCCGCCGATCCAATGAGGAGCATCTCCGCCGATGCGATGCCGCTCTCCTTGCTCGTCCGCTCTTTGCTCACATTCTCCTTGCTGACCGTCTCTTTGCTCATATTCCTCGCCGTCTTCATCATCTCCTCCTTGCTCAGATTCTCCCTGCTCGGCTTTGCCGCCTCCCGACTCTGCGTCGTCGCTTTGACCATTTCGCGACTCAATTGAACCGGAGCTCTGTGATTGCGAACGATTGATTATATGGAGAGGAGCCACACACGGACGGCTCTTTCTCTTACGGCATCTCCCAATCGAACGGATCGCTCCACGAGAACTTTCCCTTCTCCATAACCGTCATCAACAGCATGTAGATTTTGTGGTAATCGGGACGATGGAAATAGGTCAGACTTCTAAAGTTAAAAAACAAATCGAGAGGTGTGCGCGCGCCACGGCGACCAAAAACGTAGAAAGGGGCGTGGGGCCTAGCGTGCACGGTTTCGCACCATTTTGGCGCGAATTTCGAACTTTAACCCCATTTTTCATGTTTTTTTCGTCAAAAATTACCCGAATTTTGTACGATTTCGACGATGCGATTGCATAACTTTGTTAAACTAATCATCGCGAGCACTTTTTGAGCCAAAAACGAGCAGGTTTCATTCAGAAATGAATCAATTGAATCGATTTTCAAATTTTGTGCTGAAAATGCGCGAATTTCGGTCATTCGCCGACACTTTTTGCCGCTTGAACGCTTAAAATACTTGTATTAACGTGCTTTATCACTTCCAAAACACTCACTTCGTCTCAAAATCAGCCAGATCGGTCGATATGAAAATTCCGAAATTGCGGCGGCGATTGGCGGCGGAGAGCGTATTGCGAAATATGCCAAAAACGTCTCAAACGCGGCGTTTTCACGAAAATTTCAATGTTTTCTCTCTTTAATGTCTCTTCTTTCGTCGATATCAAACACAAAAATATCGGAAAAGTGTGCTGGAATTGCGGCAATTTTCAGAAAACGCGTCTCAGATTAGGCCACGCCCCTTTCTACACTTTTCGTCGCCGTATATAGGTGTTCAACAACAGCTACACAGCCACTAACCTCAAATGTTTGGCGATCTCGAGGAATTCCATTGGGCTGTTCTGCAGGACGATTTCGTCCGAATACAGTCTCTTCATCTCGCCAACCACGCGCTTGTCCCTGAAAATCGAAAGAGTCACGTTGAAGTGATGCTCCCGTTTTTGCGAACCTCTGAGATCCCCACGGAAGCGGTCCTCTGAGCTCCGCGAGCAAGTAGATCATGCTCCAAAGGTCGTCGACTCTTCCCTGCTCCGTCAGGTCATGCATCCGTATCGAGCAGTAACGAGTTGTTCCTCTGCAATCAACGCATCACTCTTCCCGGCAAGTGCAAATCAACCTGAAAAGGGACCGTTCTCTCGGTCGACGCATCAACAGTCGGCTCGGCTGATCGGATTGTGCGACGACGAATTGGCGAGCGAGTCCAAAGTCGAGAATGTGGAAGAAGCGGCACTCTTGCGCGTTCGTTCGGTATCCGAGCGCCATGTTCGCGGGCTTCAGATCCCGATGGATGAAGCCAATGTCGTGAATCTGCTTGAGACAGAAGAGCACGTTCGCCGCGATTCTCACTTGCGACGACACCGTGATCTGTCGTCCCATTCTTCTGCAATCCGAAAGTGTTTGTTTCGGGGGGCGCGCGTCGACTCTTCTCACTTGACGATTTTCTGCAAGCTCTCTCCGAGCAGTGTCATGATGACGTAGCTAAAGTCGGTGAGTCTGGCGGCGAACAGAAACTGTGCGACGTGCTGTCGACCGGCAAGTCTCTTCAGAATCGCCACTTCGAGTTTGAGCACGCATCCGCCGGTCGCACCGTTCGACTCCGCCTTCATCGCCGCTTCCACATCGTCTTCGAGGTTGCGCACCAGATAGACGCTCCCGCATCCGCCCTCGCCGAGCTTCCGAACCACTTGCCACGCGCATCCGACCACTCTACCGTTTGGCAACTCTACCAGTCCGTTATCTATGTGTTTCACTACGAATCGCTACGTTTTCGGCCGCCGAAAGATCCACGCTCACCTTCTGTCATTAAAGAATGTTCCGTTTGGCTAGAAATGAGTGAGAAACATGGCCCCGTTCTTGTTCACGCGAGTGTTCTTTTAGGTTTAGGACGCAAACCGTTTTATTGAAAACCCGCCGCAAAACTCGATCACAACATGTCGACCCGCGCGCCCATTATCAAGTTCTGATATCCGATGAACAGCCTCTTCTCCTCCTTCATCTTTTTCGCTTTCTCGTCCGATTCGCCCGCTCCTGCTCGGCCGCACGACAGACATTTGAGGCACGGGTACTCGCTGACCAGTTGTTTTCTGAAAATCGCATCATCATTCGCCGTCTCTAGCCGCGACAGTACCTAAAGTTGGGACTGCAGAGGAGGTACACAAAAATGCGTAGGAGCGAGTTGACGGCGACGAGAATGCTCACCGCGTCAGAGGCGAGCGTGTAGAACTTGGTGCTGAAAAAGAAAAGTCTCTCGCAAAACGAAAGAAGACTCGGATGCTCACCTCGATCCGTCCTCGTGAAACAACAACCGATTGTCGGGCCAAACGTTCTCGAGCACGCCGATGAACAGCGAAAGCGACGCGCAGCAGAGGTAGGTGGTCGCGATCGAGACCATCGTCCACGTGGCGTAGCGCAACTCGTCGCGTCGTCTCTTGTTCGAGTTGATCGACTCTTTGCGGATCATCTCGCTCACCTTCGGCATGTCGATGAACGTGGTGACGGCCCAGCCGATGCCGCTCAGGCGCCGCTTCGTCACCACCACAATCGAGATGTTGAGCATGAGGAGGAGGGCGAACGGCACGAAAATGTGCAGCACGGTCATCACGTAAAAGTTGAACATTTGGTAGTGCTCCCAGCCGGCGAGCAGCGGCGTGTAATCGTAGTTTTCGTAGAGCGGACAGTCCGGACGGAACGTTATGTAGTACTCGAAGAAGGCGGGCAGTCGGAGGAGAAGCACACCGAGCAACGTCACTCCGATCGTACCGAATCTTCCGGATGCTCTGCAAAACATCCGCATCTCTTTTATGTGCCGGCCGGGACCACTTACGATATCAAAAAGTTGAGCGAATTGATCTCGGCCACCACTATAAACCGCTCAATTGTGGCGCACAAAATGATGTAGGTGGAGGCGAATTGAACTGTAAACGACCCGATATAATGAATTTCGAAAATGAAAAGACATTACCCAAACGGCTGAGCCCGAAAATGAACATGGCGTAGTCGTGCCAAATGTGATACAAAAACTCGTTTCTATGATAGATGGCGAGGGCGTCGACGGTGAAGAACGGAATGTAGAGGAGGTCCATGAGGAGGTCTGGAGAAAAACAATTTTGGGCTAGCGTACTCGTCCGATAGTTTACCTAAAATCGCTAGGAGCAGTAGGTAGAGTATGGGCGATTTGGTCGATTTGGATTTGGTGAAAAGTCTCTGCAAAGCTATAGAGTCTCGAAGCGAGTCCAGGCTTTTTGAGGCCTGGACTATTCCGAACGGACCCAAGTTTTGCAAGCCAATGGGACGTGGCTCTAAGTTTCGGACTGATTGGATCAACCGCCTTTTCGGCGTCTGGTCCACATATCTCGGGACCCGAAAATCCAATCGGCTTGAAACTTGGACCCAACGTACTTCAATCCAAGTTCAAAAAGCCCGCAAAGTTTGGGTTGAAAGTCGGAAATTTGCCGAGCGCTGTGAGTGACTTACAAATAGAATCCAATTGCAGATGACGCCGGCGATGGCGATCGGCGTGCCGACGTAGACGATGAGTGCGTATCGATTGAAATCGTAGGCCTCGTTGCGCGAACACTCTGCCACGTCGTCAGCAGATGACGTGTTCGCCATGACGTCCGGCGGATCGTCGTTCATTCGATGATGACGGAAATCTAGAGAAACTTTGGTTAAGAGAGAAGTGACGAGAAGATTATATACTGAAAAGATAAGAGGATCGGATCGGGGGCATGTACTGGGAAACCGAGTATCATCTACAAATGCAAAAAAAAAGAAGTGTTCTGGCTCTTCCAGTGAAAGCCCGAAACTCCGCCCCTATCGACTGACAACCAGAGAATTTGTGCTTTCTGCTACCATGAATCATTTCCTGAATTGCAAATAAGGCAGAAACAATGTGATGACGTGGCAAAAGAGGATTCCGTAAACTGGGATTCGAATTTCGAACCAGCGTCGATTTACGATTACAAATCCAAAAACGTTCCCACTGCGCCACACGCGCCACCGTCGCCCTTGACTTCTAGGCCGATGAATTTCTAGCGGAAAGTTTGGAGTTTCGACCAACATTTCATTTTCAGATCAGAAATCTAATCTTTGGAATCACGGATCATGGGATGAAAAATGAAAGCTGAAAAATCGGATCTCTCCCACTTTTTGTAATGTTTTCATCCGAAAGCTTGAAGGCATATGGCTAACAGGGAACACATGTGAGGAAGAAAAAAGATGAATTATGATGTGGAATTATTGCGATCGGAGAGGTCAATGTTCTCTCGAAAAGGTGCCGGGGAAGAGATACTTGGAAATGCTTCATGAGGAAGTGTGACTGCATACATTTGAATGACGGAATGAGGTCAAGGTCCCAGAAGATGCGCGTTTCGAAGGTCAAGATCAAAAAACACATGAGCTGGACTTTTTTGGCGCGTTTTTCGACGTATCGACCAGGAATTTACACGAACACTTCAAGTCCGAATTTGAAATTTCGATTCCAGAGCTGACAATATGCGCGTGGCTTCGGCTAAATGGCGTTTTCATCAATTGAGCAGGTTTTCTCTGATTTTTGTGGTCAACGGCGATGAAAAATGATTGTTCGACATGAAAACACACTAATTCTCAGAATTAATGACGTTTTGGCGCATTTTTCGCGGATTTTGCTTTTTCGCCTTCGCCGTCGATCGCCGCCTCAAAACCGCACTTCTCATTTTGCGCTTTCTTGACCGTTTTCAGACAGAATTGATTTTGAGAATGATAAATCACGTGAATACAATCATTTTAAGCGCGCTCGAACCGCGAAAACTACCGAAAAGCAACTGAAATTCACGCAGTTTTGGCGAAAAACCTTCAAACGGATAAATGTGATTTGCGACTTGACCAAATTTAACGCTCTTGCGCTTAAAAAATTCGTAATAGCCTATACAATCGGTCTATCGAGAGACAAATGACAAATTATCGGTTTTTTGTGGCTATTCTGGCAAAAAACACAAATTTTGCTGTTAAAATTTGAATTTCGCGCCAATGTATCGCTCTATTGGGCGGGGCGCACTTGCGACCATTGTCAGCTCTGGAGACCGTGGAGCGCAGAGTGCTGACCCGCCCCGATTCGGAGTTGTTAGGTTTTTCTTCCATACGAGTGACCGAATTTTGCAACAAAATGGCAGCCAATCGAGATGAAATATTGATGTCGATGGCTGTGACTTGCGCAAAAGCGAAAACGTGGAGAATTCGACACAGAATTATTATAGGTGCACCGGACAGAAAGGGCGCGCTGTTCGCAATCTGGCCGAATTTCTAGGCCGCGAAGTAATTTTCCACTGAAAACGTGGCCTAACTTTTCAAACTCGGCCCCGAGGTCGGTCAATTTGCACTGCAGAAAGAGTTTCTCAACAGAGCGCCATTTCTGTGCGGTGCCCCTATAATAGGGTGCTGCGGAATAGAATAAATACTTGGAAACGTTATGATAGGTCGTCTAGTTGTGGACAAAACTTCCGTTATCTAGCAAATTGAGGCTGTTTGGAAAACGGCAATTAGATTCAGCACTTCCGTGGAAGTGCATGATATCATATCAGTCCATGTGTTATGACAGCTGATTCTATTTATTCAACAATACTTTCAGATCACATTGTTTTCGGTTCGAACCCGCTGCTCCTTTTTCCGACGTATCCAGCATAGGATCCAGGGTAGTAACTCGGCGAGGCGTATCCATAATCTCCATAGGATCCGGGATATCCATAACCATAACCACCGTATCCTCCTGCTGCTCCTCCGTAGATACTGTTACCGTAGGCAGTCGGATATCCACCGTAGTACTGGCCAGTCGACTGACGAAGGACCGCGAGGAGGGCGAGGAACAAAAGTACGCTGAAATTGGATGGAAATGGAATTGAATGGAACTGAAACTTACAGTTTAGCCGACATTTTCGATTGACGAACTTCAACTTATGCTTTTCTGCTATCACTTTTATACAATGTTTGTTTGTACTCTCACTCACTTCACACAAAGCCCCTCTGTCATTTCAATTAGTTTTTTCCCCCGAGAAAACTGGTTCTTCTTCCTGCGCAAGAACGCAAATTAGCCATTCTTTCGATTCGAAATTGAATTCTCACCCAGAAATTGACACATTTGAGCAAAAACTGGTAGTAGGAGCAAATATTGACGGGTATAAAAGTGATAGCGGAAAAGCAAAAGTAACGGAAACGAAAATGTCTGCTAAACTGTAAGTTTCAGTTCCATTCTATTCCATTTCCATCCAATTTCAGCGTACTTTTGTTCCTCGCCCTCCTCGCGGTCCTTCGTCAGTCGACTGGCCAGTACTACGGTGGATATCCGACTGCCTACGGTAACAGTATCTACGGAGGAGCAGCAGGAGGATACGGTGGTTATGGTTATGGATATCCCGGATCCTATGGAGATTATGGATACGCCTCGCCGAGTTACTACCCTGGATCCTATGCTGGATACATCGGAAAGAGGAGCAGCGGGTTCAAACCGAAAACATTGTGATGTGAAAGTATTGTTGAATAAATAGAATCAGCTGTCATGACATATTTCAACGAGACCAAAGAAGTCACATGAATCACACTCATCGTCACTTCCAGAATCGACTTTACAGGTGTTTCCGCTTTCCACGTAAACTTCAGAGACATAATAAAGCACCGATTTATATCAAACATTTCCACGCAAATGCCGATTCCATTCCGCAACCCCCTAATTCTGTGTCGAATGTCGAATTCATCAATAATTCTTCTCGGTTGGCTGCATGGAATCCACGTGAACATTTTTGCTTAGAATTCGAAATTGTTGAATGTTGGCTGGTCATTCTTCAAAATGTCACGGATCTCTAGTTTCCCGGTCCAAAATTCTTCGGCTCGTAGACACTAATTAGGCGCTAGTATGTAGTCAATCCATAATTATTTTTAGTCGCTCCCCCCCCTCGCACAAAAAGTTGTTGAAAATGAACATTTGGAAGGAAGGAAGGAAGGACGGAAGGGCGGATGGAGAGGAGTGTGAGCAAATAAGTGGGTGAATAATAAATAATAATTATTATTATTCGGGTAGGACCACCAGCACACTCTGGACGATTCGGAAGGGAAATGGGATTGGGGGGAGGGGAGGAAAGAATGAGAGCAATCGGGGTGATGGGCCTACAAATTGGCGGGTGTGCTTTCAGGGTAATGAAAATGGACGATTTCTTTATTGAATTGAAAAATGCGATCACTTTCTTGTGCTTTTGATGAGATTGCTAGGCCATAACAAATGCTCTTGAGTTGTTTGGCCGATTTGGACGACCGAACATGAAGTGACATGGACGTTTTGCAACTGTCGGAACTCCACGTAGCAGTTCAGCGTAACAGTTGCGAAAAGTCTAGTGAGAGCGCTTACGGCTTCAATGTTCTAATTGGGAGTGGTTGCGAAACGTCTAGTTGCAAAAAGCCCCGTCGAATTGCTATAACGTACAGAGAGCGGGTCAATGCACGTGCAAGCCGTCTGGTTGCGAAATAGTTCAGTTGCAAAACGTCTCCCAGTTGCTTAGCTCCAGACCCCCATAGAATTTATTACAAACAAAAGGATTGAGAAATGTTTGGTGAGCTCCTGACGATTTTATGTGCTCGCCCATAAAACGGAGCCACGAAAAGAAATAATCTGACTAATGGGTAAACAGGAGAAGAAAAGGACCCTTCAAACTCTCACGGACTCTTTGTTAGTCTCACACCTTTTAGTGTATCGGGTTACCACAGGGAATATGAAGAAGAGGAAAACACCGTTTCTCTGTTTTCCTGTCACTGGCAGTTTTCATCTGAAGGCGTTTTTTTCTTCCTCCAAAAAAAGCGAAACAAAAAGAGTGAGTTCTCGGAAAAGAACATCGCTCAAAACAGGACACACAGCCTCGAGGGATCAACGGGACTCGGCGCTATTCGGGTCAGAATGTCAGGTTTCTTCATTACTTTTTTCCCCACCAACTATTTTTGATCACAGAAAAACAAAACACGAACGTCAGCGATGTTTTTTGCTGCCTGTTCACAGAAACCCGGTCTAATTTCGAAATGCGAAAAGAGACTCACAGTCACAGTTGCAAAATGTCCGGTTGCGGAAAGTCTCACAACTCTTCACACAAAAGCAAGTGTTCGCCATGATCGGGAGGAAAATGAATTGCGTGGAAGAGTTTCCGCACACGAGTTTTTTAGGCCATCGCTTTTCTCAGCTGCTTTTACAAAATTTTCCGGAAAATCTGGCATTTCTGCGGATTTTGTCCATTTTTACACGATTCTAGGCTAGAAGTGGGCCGGAAAATAGAGAAAACCTAATTTTCATCGGAAAATGTGTGAACAAAAGAAGCTTGTGCGAAAAAAGGCGTCTCCTTTTGTTTATTTTGCAGAAATTTGAATTTCGCGGAGTTTGATAGGAGAAAACCGCACTTTACACTGATTTTCAACAAAAAGACCTGGAAAATCGGAGTTTCGATCAATTTCTCGTAAAAATCGTGTGGCAAAGACAATAATCGGGAAAAAAAGTGAGCCACTCAATTTCTCACCTTGAATCGTGCAATATCTCAAGTTGATGAGACCCCAAAACACCATTAAATGTGTCAGGTGGTCCCATCCATTGAGTTCACACCGCCTGAGGACAGGTGACGCATGTACGTGAAAGTATTCGATTTCATAAGTGAAGCGCTTTGAAACGAAACTTTAACCTAATTTTCGGAGAAATTTTGCACGAAAAATCCTTCGAACGTCTGAGAGTCACGTAAGATGTTTATTCATAACTTTCTTACACCTCTGAGGTATCAAGAAGTGATTTCGCACGAAAAAATACGCTTTTATTGGTTCTGGAAAAGCGACAAACGAATCTCGATTCTTCGTTCGTTTTTTTTCTCGCGTAAATGGGGAAATCTTCATTTCATTCGGATTTTCAAATGAAATCGGCAAGAAAACGGGAATATTTTGAATAAAAAGTCAAATTTTCAGATTTTCAGCTAAAAAACCGAGAGAGCAGCTGAAAACACGATCATGGATTTGTGGAGCTGCGGTCCCGCACATAAATAATCGAATAATAACGGGCTGGCCGAAAGCAGAAAAAGAAGAAGAACGGAGAGGAAAATGAGAGCGTCTCGCCACAAAATCATTTTGGCGCTCTATCGCTAAATTAGCAAGTTTTTACGAATTTTTGTTGTAAAATCGTCGAATGTCGCGATACGGTACCAAAGCCGCAGCACCGAACGTTTTCCGAGAAAAAAGAAAACCTGATCAAGACACGACTGTGTGAGAAAATTTGGCGGTGTGGAAAAAATAACATCTCGTCGAACACTTATGACGCATTTTTCATGAGAATATGATGTTATTCAACGTGCATTTTCAGACTAGGGCCGCACAAACGTGTAAAAATCGATTGATAAAACTGGCCAAAGGCTATTTATAAACGAGACGCGTCTTTTCTCAGATTAACTAAACTTTGGACATTCTTGCAGGGACCAGGAAGTGTGAAATGTTCAGTTGAGACTGGAAAGAGCGAATAGCACACCTACAGCAGCCGGCAAATCATGTGAGACCCATCTATTCAGAAAAAGTGAGCAAAGTTTGTGACTCTTTTCCCAAGAAACCACACAATATTTCGGGACGGAAGAGGACTACTAACAAGTCTGCGGCGACGGAGGTCCATTGAGGTGACGGATCCCGTGGGAATTGCCGCGACGGCGCCGCCCGACTTTCACGTATTTCACGTGGAACCAAGATAATCTGATATTTATATATGGCAAGCAGACGGAAGTGAGATAAAAAAAAGAAGAAGAATGGAGAAAAAGAAGAATGAAGAAGGAAGTAGTTCGGAAAGTGAATTGGATACGGAAATGGGCGCTTTAGTACTGAAAAAACGCAGAAATTTCCGTGTAAAACAAGCGAAAAGTAGTTTTGTCCTATGTTATCGAAAAGAATCGAAAAAGCCCCGAAATTCAAACTCGAGGCGCACAACTTGTCAAAAATCCCTGAATTTCCGGAAAATCACGCAAAAAACTGTTTTGTTTACTTTTTTCACCGGCGAAACGATGAAAATTATGTATTCGCGCTCTATCGCTAAAAAACAGGTTAAAGCACGTTTTTCGTTGAAAAGTGTACTAATTTTTTTTTTTGGTCTCCCGAACCCAATTTCGAGGTGCTCTTGCATTGAAATTAGTAAAAGACACCAAAAACCGGCGGCGGCGGCGGTCGAAAAAAAACTCATTTGGTTGCCGCATAGCACCGTCTCTTCGTCATCCGCTTATTTGCACATTCTATGAAAACAAGATGGACAACAAAATGAATGCATCGATCTGAAAGCGGATGACCCAGAGACGAAACGGTTTTCTTTATGGGTAGCGCCCATGAATTTGTGAGGGGGCGAAAACGCGAAAAATGAGAGAAAGGGGCGAACAAAAGTGACACATTCCGTCTCGGGGATTGTCATAACAGAGTGAGTGACTGACACATTTCTGTTTTTTTTCGAAATCGAGCGATATCAGCGTTTGGACGGTTCCACCTTACTCGATGAGTCTCAATAATCACTTGAATGCAGCCAGATTGGCCAAAAATGCAAAGAATTATGTCTGTAAAGCTGGAAGCGCAGACATCCGAGTGCAATCGGAACTCCGTGTCAAGTTGCATTTTGCACGCGGGACCGCAATCCGACTACGTGTTTTGCTTGTTATTCTTTCTGCTCGGAACGAAATTTGACGAGTTTCCAAGAAAAGCAAAGAGTTTGTGCAAATAATATTTAGGTATTTTAAAGTATCGATCGAATTTACCGAAGAGTTCCGTAAAAGCACTTGGCAATGGTCAAACAACACGGAAAATTGTCGCGAAAATTTCCTGTTTTCCGCAAGGGCGGAACATTTGAAAATCGAATTCGGTTTCGATATAAACTCAAACTCGAGGAATAGAGGACAAAAAACAGCGATTTGAGGGAATGGAAATGGAGGAGATAAACGACGAATTCCTCGCCAATTGGATTCTTCTTCTTCTTTCTCGTCGGACCAATTTGCTCTTCCGATGACTCGAACCACCTTTGCTTTTAATTTTCTTTTCTTCTTTCGCCTTTTGCCTAATGGATTTGGTGTCGTGGCAAAAAATGGGGAAAACTGGAAAACGTCATTCGAGAGAAGCGCCGAAAAAGGCAAATGAGCCATTGAGGACCCCCTCTTTCATCGCGCTCATAATCACATTATTTTTGCTCGTTTCTCGTGCATCTGACCACTTCGTGTGTTTTGATTGTATTTTTCAAAAATTTCAGCCAAATAAAGAGCTGTACTGATTTTCTCGTTTACTTTTGGTAAAAAAACAATAAAACCCGCGGGTTTTACTTTTATTTGATATGCAAATTGAAATACTTCTCCGGAAGAAGTTAAAAAGTTCGGCAGGACGAATTTACATCGTCAATTTCAATTTTTAGAGGCACTTTCAAGCATTTTCAAGCTTTCCTCCATTTTCCTGACCCAAATTGTCGTGAGATGTGGCGCTTGCGTACGTGCGGTGTTCACACAGCCAGTGTGTTGGAATATTACATCTTCAACGCAAACTTCTGATTTCGACCGGATTTATACCGGTTTTTCACTAAAAATGATCATTTTCTAGGAGTAAATGTCTAATTTCAGCACTTTCCGCGGAAAATGTCGAACGAGTGGGGAAACGATTGGAATACGGACCAATGGAGCAGCGGTTACTCACAACCACAACAGCCAACCGCTCCGCCCGCTCAGGAACCTTCATATGGGTGAGTTTTGATTCAGAAAACGATAAATCTTTAATTTTAACCTAAATTCTAACGTTTTAGAGGTGGGTATTATTCGCAACAAGGCCAAAATCAAGGATATGAGAGCCAGGGTCCTGCTCAACACAGTTTCGATCAATACGGAGGATACGGGCAATCTCAGCAGCAACCGCAGCAGCCGAACTACGGATACTCGCAGAACAACGGTAAATTTTGAAGAATTTTAACAAGAAATCGGAAAAATTCGTTATTTTTTCAGGGTATGGAGGATTCCAACCTCAGCAATTGATGTCCGATCCGATGCTGAGTGCTGCCAAACAGTTTGGAGGTCAATTTGCTGAACAGCAGAAGGAAAAGGTGCGTAAAAACAACGAGAATAAAAATGTTTACAAACATTTGATATTTTCAGCTGACAAAGTACCTCGGCACGTTCAATCTCAAGTACTATTTCGCCGTCGACAACGCGTACGTCGGCAAAAAACTCGGCATACTCTTTTTCCCGTTCTTCCACAAAGACTGGAGCCTAAAGTTCGCGGGCTCGTCGGACCCGGCTCCGGCTCGCGACGACGTCAACGCGCCGGACCTCTACATTCCGTTGATGGCGTTTCTGACGTACGTGCTCATTTCCGGATTCGTTCTCGGCACACAGGGACGATTCTCGCCCGAGATTCTCGGAATTCTCACCACGAACGCGCTCATCTGGGTGATTCTCGAGAACATCGTCATTTTCATCTCGAAATACATCCTCAACATATCGCAGGCGTTGTCCGTTTGGCACTCGTTGGCCTACAGTACTTACAAGTTTACACAGTGAGTTTTTATTTGTCTAAAAAGAAGAAAAACAGTGAAAAAAAGTGACATTTCCATGCCAATTCATGGTAAAACTGCGGGACTTGGAGCCAAATCATGATCTGTCCGCCGAAAAGAAACGTCCTAAATGAAAAAAGTACGTACTTGCGAATGCTGTTCATCTGTTAAAAAAAGAAAGGTAGGCGTGGCCTCCGCAGTGAAATACGGTTAATTTTAAAAAGTTTTAAGCTCTCGGAAAATAAAAACTCTGAAAATCATTGCTTTCTAAGTTTCCAACAAAACATGACGAATTCCAAAAGCCACGCCCATTTTTCCTTACTTTAAGACGCATAAACTCACAGAAACTTTGACACTGGCGGGTCTAGCAATGACCGGAGGACCGCAACTGCTATTATAACTTCCACTGCGCGAGTTGCAAAACAGGGCCTCTCGATAGTCCCGAATGAAGAGCAGAAAGACGAGCGAATCGAGTGGAGGGTAGATATTGACGCTCATCAGGACCAGAAATCCAATGTTACCCACGTAGACGCCGGTCATCGCGCCGCCAATGATAAATGCGGGCGGGACATAGACAGAGATCACGGGTACAGTTGCCTGCAATCTTTCACGGGCTCGCTCATTCAGCAGGAAAAATACAGGAAAAGACCCAGCTTTTTACAATTTGAATGCTCTCCGAAAACAACCAGTTAATCTTTGGCGACGTGCAAATTATTTGAAAGCGCATGGCGGGTCTTACAAGATTTACGAGCAGAAAATACCTCTTTGTCACCGACCTGTATCACAATGGCCTTTAACAGTTGCATTTGTATTTTGTAGAGATGTTGGGAGAGCTGTGCGGCCCTGAACATCTCCAGATTTGTGCGATACGTGAGAACGCCGCATATCAGCGAAATGGTGTAGAACAGAACCTGCAATTTAAAAGTGTACTCGTTAAGCTGTGTGACACACTCTCAAAATATGATTCGCAGAACAAAAAGACGTATAAATAGATCTTGCCTGAAAAGCGCAAAGTGACAACAATGCACTCATTGTCGACCACTCGATGTCGCCGAATTGGTGATCGGAGGAGTTGGAGACGTGCTAAAGATTCCATCAGCTAAAAGCTCGATTGAAAAGCGTACCCGACAAATAGGGGCCACGTACGGCCGATCAGTCAAATCGAATCCTTCCGTTGGGATTGTGCTCAGACTGAAATCATTGAGCTCTAATTCTTTTTAAGATTGGAATTCACTTCAAATGTGCAGATTTCTCCGGAGTTGGGCTCATCAGAAAGTAGACGAATAGGGACCATAATGTAAAGGGAATCGTACAGTAGGAAAGCCATATCAAAAGGTAACAACCGTCAAAGTACTTGAGATAGTGCTTGCTGGAAATATTGTTCAATTTTTCAATAGTTTTTGCTTGGACTCACTGGCAAGTGCCTATATAGCGAAAGATAAAGTTTAACGAAAGAAACGAGGAACTGGCGATGAAACAGCCGCAGTAGAGAACTGAAATTAGAGAATTTCCGTCTGTAGCTCAAAGTAATCGTCGTACTTTGCAGTAGATGAGCGAACGTGTAGCCCAGATCGAAAAGTCGGTTCTCGGAATAGAAAACGTATCCAAAACCGTGAATATCCACGACGATAGCCGGCTGCACCAGCCAGTCGATGATGGCGAAGAAAAACGCGTAGAAACAATAGATTCGCAGAAAGTTCTTGTAGCTGCCGAACTCTTTTCGCGACTTTTTCTCGATTAGAAAGAACAGAGTTACGGTGGACCAGATGGAGACGAAAAACGAGAACCATCCGAAGATGTGGGCCAGATTCGACCAGCGAGACATTGTATTACGCGAAAAATGGAAAGAAATGGAAGGAAGGAAATGTGTTGACGGAACGAAGTGTTGTGTTCCTTTGGGAGATCTCTAATTGGCGGTTTACCATCTAAAAGGGGAGCCGCGTGCTTGAACGATGAGCCCGGGAGACTTAGAGTCTAGATTGTGGCTGACATAAGTTTCGGATCTGGAGAATTGTAGTTGAAAAAGTCACATCTTCATTCAGTTCAGAAAGATGAGTTATAGGCTTTTCCTTCCAAGAATTTCAGTACTGACATCTTAAGTTAGCATGCTTTTTTTTAACTGAAAGAGATTAGCTAACTGTTTGATGTCAGTACTACAATCAAGGAAATCTGTTCATTTTTTGTAGGATGTGCTCACTTCATGGGAACAAAATGATGTTCCATAAGCGGTTGTCAATTATCACACTCTGCTAGGCTTACTATACGAAAACATTGAACCCCTGGGGAATCATCATAGTTATCACCGGCCAGGCAGAAGGAAAAAAAATATATGTATATATATTCATCAGTCCGGGGTAGAAACATTTCGGCGTTTTTCATCTCGCTACTTTTAAAAATAACAATAATAATCGATAAGACAGCAAGTATGGTAATCATAATTTTTTCAGCATGATCGTCTGCCTTCTCCTCTTCATGGTCGGCGACAAAACGTTCTACTACGCGGCGCTCGCCTACAGCTCCCTGGCGCTCGTGCTCTTTTTGCTCCGATCCGTCTCCCACTTCATGTTCGACTCGTCCGGCTCGTACGGCTCCGAAGAAGGCCGCAAACGGAAGCTGATCCTCGTCGCGTTCGTCGTAATCACTCAGCCGCTGATCATGTGGTGGTTGACAAGGTAATAATCAATGCACCGAATTATAACCGAATGACACGTCTCTTGTCCCTTACTAACTCTAACAACTCAATGTTCTCACAGTGTCCTCTCTTTTCTAGCACACAAATCCAATCGACGGCGCCGCGGATGGTGGTGGGCCACGAGTGGCTGGAGAACAATATCAACGGAGGATGATGATGATGAATCAGTGTCATAGTTGTTGCCTTTTCACACACACACACTTTTTTTATGTTATCAAAACATTTTCTGGTCAAAAATTGGCGGTTTTAGTCGGTGACAAACATTTTGCAACTTTTGACGATAGGCTTCGATTCAGAATAGCCAACTCCTAGAAACTTTCCAAATGTAATTCCTCAGCTAGGAGCGCTTGAAATTTTTCGAAATTTTCATTAAACACGAACAAACTTGAGTGTTTCTCTATGTGACTTGTGTAACCAAAATAATTTCTAACACGAATACATGTCCCAGTCCCTCTCCGCCTCCCGCGTTCCTCAAATTCGGTGTTCAGTGTGGCGAGTAGCTACGATTACGACAAGTTCGGACTCGCCCAACTTGCGCTCTCCAAAATGAGCGGCTCGGGCGCAAAAGTCGCTCAGAAATTCATGACGAACGAGGGAGACATCGACTACGAGGCGCTCCTCAAAATGCCGAAATCTGACTTCGATGGAATGTGATCTTGCCCGCCTTTTTATCATTTCGTTTCCATTTGTGCCTTTTGTTTCCTGAATATAACTTATTGTACGTTTTATTAGTAAATGTTCAAATGAAACGGACAGTTACAATATTATTATGGAGCGCAAAATCTTGGGGAAGGAAAACTTATGCAGAGTTTGAATTTCCAAAAATAAGAAAAAGAAAACAATCGGGCGGAGGTAAAAGTGCGGAATAAATTGCGGGAATTGTTCTTGGTAAAAAAGTTCGCGGGGCGCAGAGGAAACAGAGATGCGAAGAGGACGATCTACGTGGGATTTGAGAGGGGGAAAAGTGATAGGTACTTTTAAATACGAACTCTTCGAGGAGAAAATGCAAAAAGAAAGAGGAGAAACACACAACGATTTGAGGAGAGGGGGAAAACAATTGGGACCAAGTGACTACGGGTGGATGTGAGAAGAAAAAAAAAATGCTAAGACGACCACTACAAGGCTTTTTTTTGGCGGGGGAATTTTCGGAAGATTTTCATGTTTTTTTGTTGTTGTTGTTGTCTTTTTCGAAAACAATGAGCATCTGAAACGCGACGATTTGACGAAATCTCGACGATGGGATGAAGAGGAGAGCGATCAGAGAATTGGGAAACTACGGGCGGTTTTTTTTTTGGCAAATGCGCTCAGTCGCACTGGAGCGCTTTTTGCTCAAAATGCTATTGTATAGACGGATAAACTAGAAGAGTCTGACGCTTAGAATTGAGCAAGCCCGCTTCGAGATTTCGAAAAATCGATAATGATCAGATGTGTAATGATTGAGAGAGAGAGAGAGAGAGAGAAAAGAGATTAAAAAATGGAGAAGAAGCTGAGATTATTGATTGATTTGCGAGCGGGTGACCGGACCCGAAGAAGTGGACGCCGACGAAGAAGTCGACGGCGCCTTTTGAGCCGATTGTTGCTCTTTGTGCTCCTCGATACGAGTCTGCAACAAATATACATTTTTAACAAATTCTAGGCTACGAAAACCCGCTAAAAGTCCGATTCATTTTGCAAATAACTGGCATAGAATGCGAGCGTTTTGTGAAAATTGCTCGGAACGTTCAACTTTGAAGAAGAAACGAATGCTCACCTGCACCATTTTCTCGAAATCCAACGACGGGCGATGGCTGTTGCGGCGTCCTCTCTTCGGAGCCGGCGCCGGCGGCATGAGCTCCGGAGCGGCGACCTCCAGTTCGGCGCGATCGAAACGGTAGGCGATGGGCACGGGCGGCGCGTTGATGAGCACTTGAACGGGGCACCGACGGGCGGCCACCTTGACGGCGCGGTCGTTGTTGAATGAGCGGAGACGCCACGCGATCGGATGATCCGCCATCGGGTTCGCGTCGTCCTCGTGGCCACGCTTACCCGGCGACGAGTCGTCCTCCTGGCGGATGCGGCGACGAGCCGGCGTCGGCGTGGCGAGACCGTCGTTGTCCGAATCGTTGTCGCCCGTCATGATGCCGCTTTCTTTGCCGAAACTGTCCCAGCTGCAAATTTATCGGAATTTTGTAGTGTTGTGTACAGACAGACTTGTCGAAAATCCCGAAAAAGTGATGGCGCTCTATCGCTAAAATTGTTGCCGTTCCCATTTTTGGAGAAAATAGACATAAATTGATTTCCTGATGTATTACACTTTCAAATTCCATCACTACTCAAAATGCGCATGTTCGCGAAAAACATTATAATTGATGTGCTTCGCGTTTTCTCCTATACCCCCCCCGTAAATATCTTATAAATAATACGATTGTGGTAATTTTCATGCCAAGTGTCTGTTTTTGTGACCGAAATGGGAGAAGTGTACAGACACGGAGAAAACGAAAAAGAGAAGGCCAATTATGTGTAGAAAATGAATGGAAAGGTCGAGAAGCGGGGGTTGTTGACTGGAGGATCAACGATACGTAACCCATCTTCGGAAAATCGATTGAAAACTTGAGTAATTTGAAGAAAAATGCGGCCTTTTCCAGTTTTCCGAGAAGGAATTATGCAATCGCGCTGCAAAAGTCGATAATTCGGGGTTTTTCCAGGTACATCTCGGAGAAACTACAAATTTTTCGGGTTTCTCTTTCAATATCCCCTCTCTTTCCACAGAAATCTGTTGAATGTGTCAAAATGTGGTCCCAATCCACCTTTCCATCTTCTTCCATCACTTTTTGGCTTCGCCCATTTCTCCTATACGATTCATCAAGATTCAGAGCCGCGATAAATCTGCATTTTGTTTGTGTTTGGCCGACCACTTTTCTTCCTTCTCTCGTTTTTTTTTGTTTTGTTCGAAAAGCAACAAGTCGGTCGGCGAGGTCGACGAGCTCGAAAGAAAAACAGAAGCGGAGAGGAGCAGTAAAAATAGTTGATAATAACATAAATCTTGGTCCTCCGCTCTGACAGACGGACGTTGTGGTTTCGGCGCTGCCGAGATGTGTGTGTGTGTGTGGCCGGCGAGGAACTGCACAAAAACAAACCTTTCGGTCTCGTCGCGATCGGCCGCACGCTTCCACGCCGGGCTCGACGACACGCGCGGCGGATTCGAGTGCAGAAAGTCGTCGTAGTCGCGGAGACAGATGAGCGGATCTGCAAACAGAACGAGTTGATCGCATTTCGAAATTTCAATTCCAGCCAACGATCGATGGCGCGGTCCAATGAGCGCTGCGCCTTTAAAGCGGCTAGTCAAATCGGAGATTTTTCTGGCAAAACTCTATTCTGCAGTACTTAATTGACCCAATCCCGATTCCTCAATTCCTTTTACTTTTTTGCTCCCTTGCTCCAAGAGCTCTACTGCAAATGCTCTACAAATCATTCATCTTCCCTGTCTCCCCAGTGCCTACCGTATGCGCGTCCGTTGATATTCTGCAGCTCCTCTTCGTCGGATTCGGTGCCCGAGTCGTGGATCGTCTCGAGCATCTCATCCGACGACGCCTCCTTCGGATCTTGCTTGTTGAGACGGGCGCTCTTGCGACGCTCCTGAGCCGGCGGAGATTCGTCTGCAAAAGCGGGCGGCTCGAGTTGGGAAGTGTGCGTCAAAACTGACCGTCATCGTTCTGAGACAGAGCTCCCATCGCCTTGGTAAGTCTGCTCACCATCGTGACCCGTTACGGATGGATGTCGTCCTTTGAGGTAGTGGATGTGGGGTGCCAATTTTTTTCTTTTGATTCAAGTCGATCGTCTCTCGAGTACGGTCGACTTTAGTGACGATACATTCCTGCAAAAAGGGCGATTGAAAGAGGAGGAAGATGAAGAAAAAGGAAAAGAGAAAGAAGAAGAAGAAGAAGAAGAAGAAGAAGAAGGAGCGGTTTGTTTGTTGGCAACGCGCCAAGAAATGGATCATCACGAGGAAGAGGGCGAGCGGGTCGGCGTGGCGAGGCGCCGAGACGCAGACAAAAGCAGAGAGAAGTAGGAAAGAGCGGGAGAGAGAGCGGTTCACTGATCATCCTCCTTCGCCCCAATCGGCCAGTCTGGTTTGGTATCGGAACTATTTGTCAGCAGCCCTTTGTGTGTCTGAACTGGCTACAATCGAAATGGTTCCCTCCCCCCCCCAATCGTTTGAAAAACGGTCAAAGTTGCGTTACTGCTTTTTTAGGGCTTCCAAAACGAGTGGGTCTTGAGAAAGTCGCATTTCCACATGAATTGGGATCCAATGAACAGGTATCGAGAATCCAAAAAGTTTGGACAGCGGGAAGACCCTGGACTGGGCACCGGACTTGTCAAATCTAGGTCAGGCTCGACGGGGGCTGGGCAAAATGTGGACTACTCTCTAGTAAGCACATCAAAACTTCAAAGCCTCCTCTCCTCTGGGTTGAAACAAGTGTCAAACTGGAAAAATTGGAAGTCGGACTAAAAAATGCCACTGGACAGTTGGCCGGCCCGAGAAAGCCCGGGCTTTCAGGCCAGAATCGGTCCTCAAGCCTAATTTGGTCCCAATCCGAGTTTTGGCATTGTATCTCAACCGAAAAAAACCGAACGTTCTAACTTTTCCGGCTTCGGCCTAAACGGCCCAAAACCCGTATCAATCGACTCGGCATGTTCCAATTAGTCGATCCTCAAAGTTCCACCCATGTCGTCCCATTGCAAGTAGTACAAGTGAACCCTTCAAAAACTACCGTAATCTCGAGGAGCGGTCAATAAGTGCGCCGGCCGCCGTTTCGTTTTCTTTCTCCGCCTGCGTCTCGCCGCCCGGGGCCGATATAGCGTGTGGGCGCGTGGTGGACGCGACGAGACGCAGGCACATTGACAATATTCGCAAGCAAACTACACAGAGAAGAGCGGGTGGGCTGGCCAAAGTGTCGCTTTGTGTTTGAGACGTCTTCAACTTGAATTCACTTGTTTCTGTTCTAGGCCTACTGGTTTTAGGCCGAGTTTGCCAAAAAAAAAGAGGAAGTGGGCCAAGTGCTGCACACTTTCCACTCGAATGCGTTTCAAAATGTCACCAGCAGGAGCACACGGAGCACAATTTGTACGAATTCAACCGGTCACTCCTCTTCCGAGTATTTCTGGGCCATATGGCGTCAGATGGGGGGGCTTTCTAATGATACAAGTATTATGCGCCTATTTGACGCCTTCACAGGGTCACGAAAACAATGTGAGCAAACGGCACGTGCCAATTTTCAAGTTTCCACCGAAAAAATGAAGTAGTTCGCTGCGTAACCTGTTGCAAAAATCGAGGCTACACCGAGGCAGAGCCAGTTCGCACTGAAAGCTGTTTGAGTCGATGAAAATATGAAAAGTAGCGGGAAAAGTGAGTAGTTTTGCTTGTGTGAGCGTCGTTTTATTCACTCACACACTCACACACACTCACACACACACACACACGCTTTTTGCGGTCGAGTAGGAAAAGAGGAGAAGGAGGAGGAAAATGTCGGTTTTTTTTTGCGCCCGTCCTTTTCCTCTTCTTCGACGTCGTCGCCAGACCGCCCATGTTTCTTTTCGTCGTTTCACACACACATACACACACACAAACGAAGGTGCCAAAAAGAGGCTTCTGGCCCTATTCTGGCCCAAAAGACCAACAACATGGACGGTGCGTGCGCGGCCACGCACACCGCGCTTTCCCTCCTTCTCCTCCTCCTGCCGCCGCCTTATTATATCGATTTTTGGTCGGCGCAAAAGTAACACTTTGAAAATGTGACAACGGATTCTGAAACTTTGGAGCACGCCGAATCGAACGGTATCGCATTCGGAGCGATTCGACGAGCGGAACCTGCTGAAAAACGCGTTTTTCTGTACCGGAAGGCCTAAAATCCGTCATTTTTGTACCTGAAGCGTCGGGTAAGCGTTGAAAACAGAGATTTTTACAGATGCTCTAAGAAGCGGCAAAATTCCGGCATTTCGCCGACAGCAGATCGAAACACTCGCACAGACAGAAACGACGGACGGACGGGAAGGGGCAGAGAGGATGGAGAGGACGGGCCGGCGGACTGGGCGACGAGAGACGAGGAGGGTGCAGAGAGGAGGAAACACACATACATACGCACAACATTGCGGAGAGAGTGTGCGAGACGGAGAGGCTCGAGACGGGCGAGAGAAGCAGACGAAAAGGCCTCGATCGAAAGGCCCGAAAGGCCCTTTTAGTACCCGGGAGAGGCGGAGGGATTGGCAGGCGAGACGGGCGGCACGCGTGGATCAGGTAACTGTATGTAGCCTAGCCGGCCAGGAACTAGAACTCGGTCAGGGGTATGCGAGAGAAATTTCGGAACTACGCTTTTTTTTTACGTCAAAAAACTTACCAAAAAGTGCGACAGCAATTTCAAATTTAAAAGCGCATGCGGGACTCGGCTGACGTTTTTCTCGTTTTTTGTACTGTTGAAAAAGAAAATGTTCGACATTCGAATCGGAGTTGGCAGTGAGCCAAGGACACGCCCCCAAACAGCGTGCGACAGTTGCAGTGAAAACTGTTTGGGGGGCGTGTCCTTGGCTCGCTGCCAACTCCGATTCGAATGTCGAACCATTTTTTTTTCAACAGAACTGTAAAATGTTTCCGTGCATCGCAAAATACGGAAAAGAGTGAATTCAAGAAACTTCTATCAGTCTGAAACCGTTCTCCAATGTCAAGCGTCGTGTTTTTGGTGTTCAAATTGCATTATTAGCCCTAGCGCAACTTTCACAATCAAGTTTTTCCATTTTCCGATCGGAATTACCCCATTTCCGGTCAAAAATCAAAATTTCAGACGGCGCGGTATCGAGAAATGCGCAAGCACTTGAAACGCGCTTCCGTTTTCGAACTGAAAAGCAAAAATTCGCAAAATCAGGTTTTCCGACACATTTTTGACGTTTTTTTTTTAAATTTACAGCAAAATCAAGCATGATGACTCGCTCTCCGACACGTTTTTGCGTGATCTGCACAAAACGTTTCCGGGAAACAGCTCGCCGCTTGCAAGCAAATGTTTGTATTCCGGACAAATCAAAACGGTTTCAGGATTACCTAAGACAGAAAAACGAAACAAAAACACATTTTTGGACCTCCATCAGCGGAACGTTTGCTCGCCTCGCCTCGCCCGCTGCCAGCTGCTCCTTCGGCCGGCCCGTTCGGCTCGGCCACCTGTGTGATCCGAGAGTGTTTGCGTGTTCAGAGAGTGCTATTCGCTGCCTGCTCAATTAATATTATTATTATTATACATACATACGAACAAGGTCAGAGCTTTCGAAATGGAGACCAGAAAGTGCGTAAGAAGGAGAAGAATGGAAAAGTGTATAGAATATGTGTCACTAGGCGAAAAGAAGAAGAGAATGGCGTGAGGAAGAGAAGAAGCAGAAGCAAAAGAAGAGAAAGTATTATTGTGCGTGTGTTGCAATTTTTCCCCTCAATTGCTGTGCATTTTTCCGAGAATTACTTTTTTGCTCTATTTTATAAAGAGCTCCCCACATAGTTTCGACATTTTGCGAAAACCAAAAACTCTGGGGTCCAATTTATCATTCTATTAGTTTTGATTTATCACGTTTCGCCTCGCCTTTGTTGTTTGTATCGGCGGAAGAGAGCAATGGCGGAACGGATTAGAATGAGAAACTGAGAAGTCGTGGGAGAGGATCAAATGGCTATCGCGCGCTCCTCGCTCTTCCATTTTTGTCGCAATTCTAGGCCAGCAAGCGAATTTCGCATTTTTCGGGTAATTTAGCGAACAAACTGTTTTCCGGTAAACTTTGTGCAAATCTCGCAAAATTGTGTCGGAACGCGTGTCGAACTGTTTGATTTTGTTCAAAATTTCACAAAAAAAACGGCGAAAATGTGTCGGAGCACCTGGTTCTTCGAAATTTTCCGGAAAAGAGCAAGTTTGGTAAGAACTCCGAACAAAATTACGAGCATTTTGCAAAAAACCTCATTTTTAGCAATGTTTAACACTTTTTTTGAGTAAAGTACGCAAAAAGCAAGGGAAAATCGTTTTTAAAAATTGTCGTCAAAATTTTAATTTCGCATGTTTTCCTGTCCTAGAATCGCGCAAAATGGAAGAGTGGGCGATAGAGCGCACTTGCTGACTTACACTGCGCAGTCCGGTTGCGTTTTCGACGATTTTCGACGTGTTCGGAATAGGAAAAGAAGCCTGAAAATATTGACAAAGTGAAGGAGCAAAAAGAGGGAAAAAAGGTGAACGACGGAATGAAGATGATGAAGGGAAAAGGAAAGGGGGTCCCGACGGGCGGCAGCGCTAATCAATCAGTAATTCGAAAGTGTGCATGTCCTCTTGGTCGCATCTTCTTCATCTTATTTTTCTGCTATCTCGACAATATTCACTTTTCCTTCTGCTTATCGAAATGCGTAACGTTTCGCAATGAGAACATCTGCGGCGTGGGTCTCGCCACGAACGAAATTTCAGAGTTGTTCGATCGTGCAGCGCCTTTAATACCCTAACGTTGTGGGACATTGTTAGGCTTGTACTACGGTACATCTAAAGGCGCAACAGTAAAGTTTTAACATTTTACGTGGCGAGACCCACACCACAATTTCGACAGAACACACACTCACACATACACAGGACACCACTTCCGACGACTGTTTCCTCTTCTCCAGACTCCGCCCCTCCTCGTCCGATTTTGTGGTTGTGGTTCTGGCATGATGCCAAGAGGCGCGGGCGGCAGCAAACAGACAGATGGGCGAGAGAGGGCGAGAGAGCGAGCGAGGCGCAGAGACGCAGACCAGACGGGTATCTTGGACCGGTGCCAACCGACTCGACTCCGATTTTGATACGTTGCGGGGTGGCGAGAATTGCGGAAGGTTTTGCCTGCTCGGAACAGTGCGGCAAGTGCGCTCCACCGCGCGTTCATCTGAAAACGCGAAATTTGCGCCAAAAACGAGCGGAATTCGATGGAAAGCTTGAAAAATCGCGCCAAAGTTTCGCCAAAAATCGATGCGGAACACGAAAATTGTACGAAAGTACCCTCATTTTCGCCGCAACCACAACAATTAGTGAGCGCTATTCTCTCCTTCTCTCTTTCTTTTAGCGCGTGCCGATTATAATTGGATGAGTTGACACCACACTGATCATTCATTCGCATTTCGAATGGCCAAACTTTTCCAGTTTTCTTCAAAAAGTTGCTCAACAGAGCGCGATGGCAGTGAAATGCCCCCCCAAAAAAAAAAAATAGTTAGCAACGCTCGGCCACGCAAAGGAGAGAATTCAAAAACCTTGTGATTTTCATGTTAATGGTGATTTGGGCCACATTCATTCGTACAAATCCTGTGACCACACTTTTGCATTTTTGTTTACCACCACTGCAAAACTGCCACATCATCATCGAAATCGACACGTCAAATAGTGTTCAATGCTCTTGAATATGCTGATGATGAAGTGAAGAGAAAGCCGCCGGCCGTGCACAATTGCACTCAATTTATCGCTCCAATTTTCACCTTTTCATTAAAAATTGCTCTTTCGGAATACCAAACATCGGCCCCAGGCTTCTATTTCTGTTCCGTTCCTCATTTTTCACCACACACACACACACACATATGTGCTCTTGCTCTTTTTTTGAGCCACAAAGCCGCCCCAAAGCAACAGAGCTTTCATGTTAGCGGGGACCACACACTGCCATCGCTCATATTCATAAACATGTGACAAACGGGCAAGAAGAGTGGGAGCGGGCAAGTTTAGCTTTTACATGCGAAATTTGAAACGAAAAGTTCGCGGACTAGTTTTTGAACTTTGAGAAACTAGTCCTCTAGTCTCCGGCTTTTCTAGCCAAAAATTGCGATGGAGCGCGATTGCCCCACTTCGTGTCACAAACTAGCGCGCTGGACCAAACTAGAATGCACGGACACAAAACGTGACAAAACGGAATATGGCGATGACAGGCATCTGGGCGCAAAAAAAAGAAGAAGAAGAAACGGCAGACGCTAGCAAATTGGGAGAAAAAGAAGAAGAAGAGACGACGACCTTCGGACGGAAAGTGCAACTTTTGCATGTGATTCGTCGATTCACCTGTCCGACTAATAGACATAATTTGCAAACGCAAACGTTATTCTGGGGACATTTCTATGCAATCGCGCTCTGTTTCTAATCTTGAGCAGTTTTTCCGCCGCGGCCGAACTTTTTCATTTTTCTTCACACTCGGCCCCGAGATTATTGCAGTTTGCGAGTTTCTCAACAGAGCGCGATTGCATTGAAATGTCTCCATTTTGGCTGCTAGACCTAAAAGACTACAGTATCGTTTGAAGTGTGCTCGGAGGGGGTCGTTTTCCCGTCGACAAACAGTAGTTTCCATCGCGTAACAACGTTCTTGCCCGGCCAACTAATACCTACTCTTCTCACTCTCCTCCCACGGTGAGGCTTCTGGTTGCTGTCAACCAGACCCCGATACAAAGTAAATATGATCGAATACTGCACACTTTCCCTCTCTCTCTCTCTCTCTCTCTCTTTTTTTGTCAACTTTTCACTCCACACTGTCTGTTATCGATGGTGTTTGAGAAAAAGAGGCGACAAAACAAAAACTTCTTCTTCACCTCCTTCACAGCAAGTTTTTTTTGGAGTTTTCGACGAAAAAAAAACATATTGAGGGGCCGAACAAATGCAAAACGTGGGGGAAAACGGATGGCGCGGAGCACAGAGCGCACACAAGTGTTCTCGAATTTCATTTTTCGGCCACCACCGCAGATCGCCCGGCTTTTTTCATCGTTTTCGGTAGGCGGGGGCTCGCTTATGGAATTTTCGCGAAAAGTTCGCGAGTGTGAGCCCCATTGACCGATTGCCGCCTCGTTAAATTGTTAGTGCGACTCGGCGGAGGAGCAGAATCGAGAGCGGCGACAAGTGATAAAAATGACACATGGCTTCCTCTCCGACTTAAAGTGTATGTGTATGCACATTGTGCGCATAACATTTTGCTCTTTTTTTGTCGTTTTTAGCGGGTTTTCCGCCTTGAAAGTTCGGTTTTTGAACTTGCCTCTAAGTCGCCGAAGAGGTACGGTGCGCAAAATGTGCAAACACCACGTGTATGCATGCACATCTCGCATTTAACTCGACGAGATTTACTCATTTTTCTTGCAGATTTTCAGCGAAAAAATAAGTTTTTACGGTTGTTTTGATATTGCGAACGATTTGAAATGCTTATTATCAATGGAAGGGTGTCGGCAGACCGAAACCTCGCGTGATCAGGCTTCATTTTTTCAATTTTCTCGGCGGCGCCTGCCCCGTCGAACTTTACAATTACCCCACACTCTTTTATCGCAAAGAACACAAAAGTTGGGTGGAGGATCAGAGAAATAGAGGGCATGTGATGACGAGAAGACAGCAGAACAATGTACACTTTTGCCCTGAAAGACCTTTTCCGTCCGTTGCGAATCGCTCGGTTATCAGCGAAAAACCGTCGACTTTTCTTTGAACCCGTCGTCGTTTTGTCGCACCCTTTCCCAAAGAGTTTTCCTTTTTTACAGAATGGAGCACGTGCTGACGGTGCTCGGGCTCTTCGTGCTCGCCGTGCTCTTCACGCTGTACCACGTGTCGACGGTGTGCCACTTCTACCTGAGAATCTCGTTCTTCTACCTTACAATTCTAGTGCACGGCATGGAGGTGTGCGTCACAATGATTCCGTCGTGGTTACAGGGAAAGGTGGGCGCGTCAGTGAACAAAAAAGAAAAGTTGACCAGAAGAAGAGGAGAGAGTGAACTCATGCATGTCCGAACAGACAGACTGGGTTGACACAAAAACACACAGAAATGGGACTTTTCAGGGCGCCGATTACGTATTCCACTCGTTCTACTACTGGTGCAAACTTTGGACCGGATGCCGCACGACCGTTTACGGATTCGAAAACACAGAGTTCGACGGGCCGGCCGTCGTCATTTGCAATCATCAGGTCGGCGCAAAATGGAACTGTTTTTCGAAAAACTGTTAACACAACTTTGACCGGATTCTTTTCCCTTAAAACCGGGAAAAACGAAATTTGGAATGATCCGTGAGAAAATGAAAAATGCGGTCCTTCGAAAGAATGGCTCGTCGACCAACAAAAGACCCCCTTTTCAAACATTCTCACCAAAAAAGTCCTCGAGCCCTTTGTGCCGCCCATCATTTTCCGGTGGTCCCGGCACGAAACGCGACCAACAAATTGGCTCCTTTTTTTGTCTCGGCGCGCGTGTTCCGCAGTCTAGCTCAAAACGACAACTAATTTGGTGTGCTCTCCCCGGCTCCTCTCGCATAGAATTTTAATCATTTTGTGCGCGTGCTTGTGTGCGACACAGAGAAATGCATGCACTTTTTGTGGCGGCGGAGAACAAAAAAACGCAGCCAATTTTCCTGGTAAGATGGCGAAAATGAAGAGGATGGAACGACGGACGGAAAACAACGGAAAAGGGGTTGACTTTTCGAACTGGAACTTTGAAATACGTTACGGGGGGAAGCGGTGTGCGAGCCCTGAGAAAATATGCAACACGAGATGAGAAGTCGTCGAGAAACGGGAGAGCGAGACGGAGAAGAAGGGCCTCTCGGGGGAAATCAGGAGCGAAAGGCTCTCGGCCAATTGGCTCCGATGACTTTGCCCATCCAACTGTATAGATGAGCTCATTAGGGGATTTGATTGCACCGAAACATTCAAATTTCGTGCGGGAGGACCGCATTTGCACAGTTCAACTGTAAAAAACAAGAAAAAACGGTTTGCAGAGCTCACTGGACATTCTCGCAATGGCGTCCGTTTGGCCGAAGCACTGTGTGGTGATGATGAAGAAGATTCTGGCGTGGATTCCGTTCTTCAACCTCGGCGCCTACTTTGTCAGTCCCCACTTTTCCTCTTTTTTACATACGCAAACATTGCACATTTCTCTGCACGTCTCCAATTTGAATTATCACTTTTTCGACAAACACCACCATTGTTTGTGCCCGGACCGAGCGAATTTACATTTTTTCATACGGGTGGGCTACGGATGTCTAGACGATTTTCTATTTTCAGTCCAACACCATCTTCATCGATCGGTACAACCGCGAAAAGGCGATGGCGTCCGTCGATTATTGTGCGACGGAAATGAAGAAGCGCAATCTGAAAGTGTGTAATTTTACTGCAAATCCGGCAATTTTTGCAATGCGCCTTTAACTTTTCAAAGAAAAACACGTTTTTCTCTGCTCGGAACTCCTGTTCATGCCGGGTCTCACAACGAACACGATTTACGAGCGGAAAAAAAGCGCAGTGCGAAAAATGCGAAAATTTCCAAACGTTTGTTTTTCATTTTCAGTTGTGGGTGTTCCCGGAAGGAACGCGGAACCGCGACGGCGGTTTTCTCCCTTTCAAAAAAGGCGCCTTCAACATTGCAGTCAGGGTACGGGACTCGCCACGATTTCTCTCGGAAACAAGACCGTTTTTTTTTTTGCAGGCTCAAATCCCGATAATTCCAGTTGTATTCTCGGATTATCGGAATTTCTACTCGAAACCCGGACACTATTTCCGGAACGACGGAGAAATTGTGATTCGGGCACTTGAGCCCATCTCCACACAAGGGGTAAAAATGAAAACGATTTTCAGGCCTTACAGTTTGAGAACTTTGAGTACAGAAACAAAAAATCGAGTCGAAAAGTGTGTCTCTTCAAAAAGAATGGGCCGAACCGGGGATTGAACCCGGGACCTCTCGCACCCAAAGCGAGAATCATACCACTAGACCATTCGGCCACGATTTTTACCCAATCAGGACAGTGGATACAAACAAGGAAGTCGGGCAGATTTGTCAAGTGATAACACTTAATCTGCCAGACTTCTTTGTTCGTATCCACCTTCGCGATCGGGTAAATTCTCGCTTTGTTCTGGCATTTTGTTATCAATCTAACGGCGGCCTAATAAGATTGATACACCTAATTAGATTAATAAATTGTCTAGCTAGATTAATCTGGCAATTCGATATTAATCTAATTAGAAAGTTACTGATCTAAACGCGACCTAATTAGATTCGACTGTTTTTTCTTGGCGCAATCGAGATTTGAGCCAGCAGACGGTTGGCGTGAAACTTGATTTGAGCACATATCAATCTAATTAGAAGATTTATCAATCAAATCTCAAATCTCGATTGCGCCAAGAAAAAACAGTCGAATCCAATTAGATCGCCTTTAGATCAGTAACTTTCTAATTAGATTATTATCGAATTGCCAGAGTTGGGTACGAGAGGTCCACACGTTTTTAGTGACTTGCACATAAAATTTGAAGTTCGCGCGCCTTTTCTGGCCTAAAGTGCAAAAAGACAGTTTGCAGTTGACGCTCGACGATGTGCCAGAACTTTCGGACAAATGTCGTGACGTCATGCTGGCCGCCTACGAGAAAGTGACCGAAGAGGCCAATCAGAGGAGCGCCGAACGACGCGGCGAAGTGGAATCGAAAAAAATCGATTAAAAATGAGTGTAAATAACTGATAATTCATGTGCTCGCCCCAAGTCGGTTCTGTTCGAGTCAATTCCCCCATTTTGCGGGTTGTCTTCACATTTTTCTGCATTTTTTCCCCTTAATAAACATATTGACATTTATCAAGAAAAGAGATGAGGAGCTGCAAACAATAAAACGGCTGGGGGAAAAAGTTTGGGGCAAAATTTGCACATTCAAATTCAAATTCAGCAGCAGCGAGAAGCATTATGATTCGGGGTTTACAAAAAAAAAGAGTCCTATAAAAGGCACAAGACGGGGGGAATTTCAAAGTTTTTCAGTGGAGAAGAGTTCTTTTTACAACAAAGAATTCATTTTTGGGCCGGCGGGGAGGAAAGTTTTAGTGTGTATGTGTGTGTGTGGAGAGGGGGAGGACAATATTATATTACCAGATCTCGAGAAGCAAGTGTGGTGGTTAATGGGGATTATTGTATGATTTTTGGGGGTGGATAAAAACAAGAAGAAGAGGGTGTCTAGAGGATGGTGCACTTTCTCTTGTTAGCGGTCGCGCCCTCGGAACGCGTCGAACGAAGAGTGTCCGTCTTGTTTCCGCCCGACGGAAGAGTGCCGCTCTTCGCGCTCACCTGAAAAATTCATGTTATTTTTGCATTTTTTCGGGAAATTATCATCGATTTTAGGAAATCTAGCCGTCAAAAACGCATTTGTTGTAACAAATGCGCAGTGTCGGCGAAATCGTGGTCTAGCGCACTGATTCGCGGCCGCGGCAAACCTTTTCCGTGCGAGTGCAGTAGAGCGCACTTGCCGACGTATTCACGTGCGCGGGAAAAGTGCTGTTTGCCGGAAGTTCACGTGCGAGTTCGCTAGAGTTCATTGTGAATGTGCGGTTTTGTGTTTTTCAAACTTTTTCTGTGTCACATCGATGCCGATTTCTGAAAATCTATCCTAGCCGAAATTTCCCTCATTTTCCTCTGCATTTTTATTGGGAAAGCACAAAAATTGCGAGTTTCTACTCAATTTTCAAGCAGTTTTCACAGAAAACGATAATAATTGTCATATAATCGTGGTGACGTGGCGTGGCGGTGAGGTCTTCTGTTCGGAGAAGAAGCGGCGCAAAATGAGGGAAAAGTGACCGAAATGCACTTTTATTTACGCAATTTTCGGTCACTTTTACAATACATATATATATTTACAAGCAGTTGTGTATTTGGCATTTTTGTGTGAGGTACAAATTATACCTCATCCACCTTCTTCTCGATGTGATCGGCTCCCTTCTTCGCCGCTTCCGACGCGTCGTTCACAGCTTCCGCGGCAGCTTCCTGAAATTAAGAAAAACACTGAAAACCTATTCGGAAATTGGTTTTTTTTTTTAGTTAAAAACAATCAATTTGAGTCTGCAAATCAGGAAGTTCACTTTTTGGCGGTCGATTAGCTGACATTTAGTCTATTGTGCACTTTGAAGTGTTTGGCAATCGCGCTCTGTCGGTCATGTTGCCGCCGCCGTTTCATTTATACCCAATTCTTGTTAGAGCTTGCAAATTGCGTTTTCTAGCCAATTTTGACAAGAAACGCAATTTTCCGAGTAAAAAATCTGAAAAATCGAAATTTTTTTCAACATTTTCGAAAACCCGGGCGCGGGAACGCGATTGCCTCACTCCCAAGCGCACAATGTGGGAATTTTGCTCGCAAAATTGGTTACACTTCTACAAGAGTTATTAGTGAGAGCAAAAAAGGAGACAAGACACGTGGATGAGAGACACGAAGAACCTGAAGATGCGTGTTGTCGCTGCACTGCTTCTCTTCCGATGACTTCATCATCAACTCGACGACTTCGGCGACCGCGTCGGCCGTCACGTCGGCTGCGATTCGGGCGGCGAACTAGATTATTAGCGAGGAGATTGGAGAGTTACAAACATTAATTCGACCAAACTTTGTGCATTCGAGAATGTACAAAGTCTAGTGGATACCATAGGACCACAAAAGGAGTGAGGAAGAGAGAGAGAGAGAGAGAGAGAGAGAGAGAGAGAGAGAAAGAGAGAAACTAGAAATCGAACCAATCCGTCGCCATGCACCGAATGAAGAAACCCGAACGGAGGAGGAGGGGTGCACGAACATGGTTAGTTTTTGAAATGATCGGAAAATTAGAACGATCCGCTCGATTCGCTTGGCATCCTCTGACCCACCTCAACGGCTTCTTGCGGCTCCGACTCGGCAGCGTGGTGCTCCTCGTGGATTGGCGCGGTGACGGCGTGAACAGCGGCAGAAGACGTCTTCTCGGGCGTCGAGTAGAAAAACTCGCGCTTCTTCTCGTGCATAGCGGCCGCTCGTTCGCCGAGCAGTTTGACGTCCGTCTGTGGAAGATGAGAAACGGTTCAGAACGACGATCGGGGGGCAGAAGAAGTGGAAGAAGTGGAAGTAGAAGTGGGGAGGACAGATTAGAAGAGGTGACGAGGAGGACGCGAGACGGCATCGGAAGCAAAAAATGTGATGGCCATGGGACGGGTTAGGGTGCAACAAGGAGGGGGTTACAAGGACAAGGACAAGGACAAAGACACACGGGGGGAAACATTGAAAAAGTCAAGCACACACACACACACACACACACATGTTATTGTACTTTTAGAAGCTGTGTGCAACTTGCACAATTTCTATGGGTACAATACCAGATGGTTTAGAAGTAGCAATGGGGGGAATAGTCAGAATAACACGGAAAGGCAACGCGAAAACTATAAAAAGAGCAGAAAAGAGCTTCTTTTTCTTGTTGGGACGGGTTTAGCTAATCGTACAATTGCAGCATTTCTTGGCACGTACCTCCACTTCGGCGGCCTTCTGGCTCACCGCTTCCTTTGCGTCGTGAGCATTCTCCGAGGCGGTCTTCTGCAAAAAGCAAAACCTTTAGGTACATTCAAATTTCGCAATTCTACTTACCTTGACTCCGTGCAGGTACTCCGAAGCGGCCTCCTCTGCGTTGTGCAGCTTCTCGCCGACAGTGTGCGCGGCCGACGAGAGATTGTCGGCGACGGAGGAGACGGCCGACGTCGTCGAGTCGTTGACGTACTGCACGGCGTCGCCGATCGACTGCACGGCTCCCTCGAGCTTCTCCTCGGCCGAGTGCGCGAGTTCCTTAGCCGAGTCGACGATCGAGTGTCTCGCGGCCTCGGTGTGTCCCGTCTGAAATGGAATGGAATAGATTCTGGAGCGTGTGATGATACTTACAGCCTGATCCTTGACATCCGCGGCCTTCTCCTTGGCAGACTCGAAGTGTCCGTGAGCAGAATCCTTGGCGTCGTCGACAGCAGTGGTGGCCGTGTGGTGAACCTTCTCGAAAGTCTCTCCGACAGTGTCCTTCACGTCTTCAGCCTTGTCCTTGGCTCCATCAGCGAGCTCCGAAGCTTTGCCCTTGGCCGAATCGAAGGCGTCGCCGGCAGCATTCTGAATATCGGAAGCCTTATTCTTGGCAGAGTCGACTGCATCCGAGGTGTTTCCGGTGAGCTTGTCAGCCAGTCCCGAAGCCGTTTCTTTCGCGGAATCGTAGGCTCCAGAGATGGCGTCGGCGGCCTTGTCCTTCAGGGATTTCGCAGATTCCTGCGTGGAATCAGCGGCATCCGAAGCCGTGTCCTTTACAGAACCGAAAGCGTCTCCGACGGCGTCACGAGCGTCCGAAGCCTTGTTTTTGGCCGAGTTGTACACGTCTGATGCGGTGTTCTCCACGGCGTCTTTGGCATCGGAGGCCTTTCCCGTGACAGAATCGTAAGCTCCAGAGAGAGCATCCGCAGCCTGGTCTTTCAGAGATTTCGCCGATTCGTGAGTCGAATCGGCAGCTTCAGAGACCTTTTCTTTGGCCGAATCGAACGCGTCTCCGGCGGCGTCACGAGCCTCGGCAGCCCTATTCTCAGCCGCCTCCTTCGAATCAGAAGCATGTCCGGCGAGCGAGTCGACGAGATCCGAAGCCTTTCCCTTGGCAGAGTCGTAGGCTCCGGTGATGGCGTCGGAAGCCTGAGACGTCAGACTTTTCGTGGAAGCGGCAACGGAGTCGGCCGCTTCGGAAGCCTTCTCCTTGGCCGATTCGAAGTATCCGTGAGCAGAATCCTTCGCGTCGGAGGCATGATCTTTGGCGTCGTCGACAGCAGTGGTGGCCGTGTGGTGAACCTTTTCGAAGGTCTCTCCGGCAGTGTCCTTCACGTCTTCAGCCTTGTCTTTGGCTCCATCAGCGAGCTCCGAAGCCTTATCCTTGGCCGAATCGAAGGCATCCCCCGCAGCATTCTGAAGATCGGAAGCCTTCTCCTTCACCGAGTTGAACGCATCAGAAGCAGTGTTTTCGACAGTGTCCTGGGCGTCCGAAGCGTGTCCGGTGAACTTGTCAGCCAGTCCCGAAGCCGTTTCTTTCGCGGAATCGTAGGCTCCAGAGATGGCGTCGGCGGCCTTGTCCTTCAGAGATTTTGCAGATTCCTGGGTCGAATCAGCGGCATCCGAGGTCTTTCCCTTGACCGAATCGAAAGCGTCTCCGGCGGCATCACGAGCGTCCGAAGCCTTGTCCTTGGCAGAGTTGTAAATATCCGAAGCGGTGTTCTCAACGGCGTCCTTGGCATCCGAAGCGTGCGCCTTGAACGAGTCGAGAGTCTCCGACGCCTTCTCCTTCCATCCTCCGGTCGTCTCCTTGGCAGAGTCGGCAGCGTCGGAAGTGAGCTGCTTCGCCGATTCGTACGCATCCGAGATCTCTTCTCCGGTCTGATTGGCGAGGTCTTTGGCCGAGTCGGACAAGTCCGTGGCCTTCTCCTTGACGGCATCTGCGGCATCGGCGGCCTTCTCGGCGACGGCGTCCTTGGCCTCGACGGCGTTGTCCTGAGCCTCGGAGAGCGCGTCCCCAGTCTTGTGCGCCAGATCCCCGGTGACGGCCTCCTTAACCGAGCTGAACGCGCCGAGAACAGCGTTTCCGGCGCTCGACGCGGTGTTCTTCGTTCCCTCGTAGGCATTCGAAGCGGTTTCGGCGACCGAGTCGGCCGCGTGGTGCGTCTTTTCGATGATCGCGTCCTCCGCCTCGTTCACTTTGTTGCCGGCCGAAGTAAGCGTGTCCGACGCGTACTGCTTCGTGTTGTCGTAGGCTTCGCCGATCTTCTCGCCGAGCGAAGTGAACTGAAAAGTGAATTTTGTTGAAATTTGCTAATACACACGCCGGAAAACGCATAACGGCGACCGCTACATGAGCGGCAGAGCGCGATTGCCACACTTACCGCTCCGGAGACGCCGTCCTTGGCATCGGAAGCCTTGGTCGACGCGAACTCGGTCGTGTCGTGCACGGCTCCGGTCACAGTGCTACCGGCCTGAAATTCAAAAAGTTTTCGCAAAATTCTAGAAGCTTCTGCAACTCACTCTATCGGCGGCGTTCTCAACGGTCTCGTAGGCGCTGTTGACGCTGTCCTTGACCTTGTCCAAAAAGCTCATTGTTTCAGTGTGCGTTTCAGTCTGCAAATCGCACAATATTGACGGACGCGAACTGCTGGGAGTGAAACAGGGAAAAACGCAAATGAAGTGCAGTCGGCAACCAGTTTCGGACTGGAAAAGTGATAAGCGGTGAGTGGGATGGAAATTATGTTATCATGAATTCAAATGCTTTTTTTCTCGCGGTGTGAGAAGTCTGTTTTCCGATGGAAATGGCAAACAATCGCACAAAGTGCACTCGTTCTTTTGATTTTTCCGAAAATTTTCGCTAAATCGCGCAAGAAAGTGTGAGAAAATGTGAGAAACTGTTTTGCTAACTCAAAATTCGCGAACTTTTTTTTTTTAATTTCAAGAAAACTTCGGGAACAATCCGAAAAGCTCGTTTTTTTGGCGCCGAAATTGCTGGCCTAGAATTGGTTAAAAATGGAAGATATATCTCGATGGCCACAATAAATAGCATCTTCTCGTCAAGAATATGAGCCCACAAATGCTCATGCATTCGAAAAGACGGGTGCTGGTGAAAAATGTTGAATTTCAAATGAGACTTGGGCCTAAATTTCATCGTGAGCGGCCACGAAAAACGTCAATTTTATAGCGTAGGGGCTCATGTGATATAGCAAATGATAGCACATGTTCCGGAGAGTTCCATTCTCAAAAAACGGGGGCGGAGCTTCACTCGAGTGCACTTGTTTTTCACATGTGACGTGAGAAACGCAGAATGGCAGAGAGGGTCAACAAAAACATGATCACTGATGCGTTCCCCCCGAGCTTTTCACATTTTCCTTGTTTTTTTTTCGCAATGTCTGGTGAGAGCCAGTTAATGTGCACGTGATTTGAGCGAGGACACATTTGATCTTTAAATGTAACTTTTGGCCAAAACAAGGGCGGAACAAAGAACAAAAATAGTGGAGCGCCACATCACTTGTTATTATGATACGTGCCGACTCGATCTGCTGATCGGGTGCACGAGCCAGTGGCGCAAAGAAAAATTCAAAAAAAAAAAGTGTCGAAACAGAAAGCGAAACGGAGTGAGATGCGTTTCGAAGGGTGATGCAATCGGCTGCACGGGTTTCAAATCGTTTGAACTTTTGTCGTGCAACTTGCAAATTCTAGACCAGTGGTCGGACAAAACACCGCGTAATTCAAAGTTTCTAAAAAGTTGTAGTGGAAAAAGCCGGTTTTCGAGTCATTTAGACGGCCATTGAGCTATTTTTGTCAAAATTGCATTTCATCGGGCAGCGTGCTATTGAAATTCGGGTGAAAATGAAAAAGCAATAGCAAACGTCGATTTTTGCAGTTTTTCGTAATTTCGCAGGCGGCAGGCTATAGAATTCGTTAAAAATGGAAGACAAACAGCAAAAATTGAAAATTATCGAAGAAGTACCATTTTCGATGCTTACAACTACTTACATTAGCTTACAACAACTTCCGTTTGGTCTCACATGTCTATTGCGCGTCTCGACAAAATTTTGAATCATTGGCCTAGAATTGTGTAAAACAATTGCTTTTATACCCAACAGCTCGGTGTGTGGCCTCTGAAATCACGAGCCACCTCGAAGTTTCTAGAACGTCGCCGCGCTAGTTTACGCCACGCCCCCTTTGTCTGCTTCGGATCTTTGGAACCTCAAAAACCAAAAAAACAACCCCTTAGCTGAGTGACTGCGTCTCTTCTGCTCTTCATTCACTTTTGTGACGCTTCTCGAACACAATTTCTTGACCGTTTTCTGATGTTCGGTCGTTTTTTTTTCGCGCATTTTATAGTCGACCCACAATGCAATTTCGCTGGCCAAAGAGAAAAGAGAAAAGCGGGTACGAATGAGCTCTCGCTTTGCCAAGAAGGCTCATTTTCCAATTTCGAATGGAAAATGGGAAAAAAAAGAGCGGGACGCGAGGTGCCTAGACCAATCTAATTTCCAAATACCGCCTCTTTCCCTTGTCTTTGGAGCTTTGGAGCGGCTTTCCAGGAAAATTAAAGGTTGCCGGTTGGCGCGCGCGAAATCAACGAAAAATCTCCTATTGCTACCGAATTTTCGACTATAAAATTCGAAAAAGCTCGAATAAATCGAAACTCGTGCGATAAAAAGTAGTAAACAATCTTTTTTGAATTTCGTAGCTCCGGCAGCTGGCCTAGATTTCTCTTTTGAAACTATGGAAGAGAAAACAAAGTGGTAATAAAATCAAGGAAAAAAGAGGCTATTCACTCTGTTTTTTTTCTCTGTTGCGAATCGAATCGAACAGTCAACAATTCTCTTTTCCAAACAGATCAAATGGAAATGAGAGGGAGGGAGGGAGAGAGAAGCGAAAAGATTGGCGTGTTTTCGAATCGGCCGCCTGCTTTTTTCCTCTCTCTCTCGTTCGTTTGCAACAACATGTACGTGCGCGTGCGCGACCAGAACGAGAGAAGGTCAAAAACATCGAGAAAAAATGAGTGGCGAGGAGAGGAGGAAATTGGAACCGAAGAAAATGAGGCGTGAAATCGGAGAAAAAGTTCAGAGTAGAATGGCGCGAACTCACTTCAGAAGTCTGACTATTATAGGGGCACCGCACAGAAATGGCGCTCTGTTGAGAAACTCTTTTTGCAGTGCAAATTGAGCGACCTCGGGGCCGAGTTTGAAAAGTTAAGCCACGTTTTCAGTGGAAAATTATTTCGCGGTCTAGAAATTCGGCCAGATTGCGAACAGCGCGCCCTTTCTGTCCGGTGCCCCTATAATAAATCGTGATGACCGAGGAGGACCTTATTTTACCACTTTTCCTGTTTTAAAATCGACAGGAGAACACATTTCTATTCTAAACGGTTTCATCGAAAATCGAGCAAAAATTGACAGGCTTTTCCGATTTCATTGCACGGTGAATTAGGCTCAAAACTATGAAAATGTGAAGCGTGCCGACCGGAAAACTTGTCTCTTTTTCTCCTGATCAACGTGTGTGTGTGTGTGTGACAGAGAGGGCATCCAGTGCCCCGGTCGGAGGAGGGAACACACCACCAACAACAACTCTTTTACGCGGAGCGACGAAAAAAAGAGGGGCGAAGCGGAGAGAAGATAGAGGTGATTTCGGGAGAAAAAATTGCATGTATGTGTTGCCACGCGTAATTCGAGAGCAGGGACCGAGGGAGAAAGTTGAGAAGTTGAGGGGGCGGAGAGGGAGAAAAGTGATGGGTTCAGCGACCACTTTTCGAAGCGAAATTGTCGCGCTGAAAGCTCACATGCTTTCGTTCTCTCGCAGACACGATCGAAAACAATAATAGTCGTAGAGAGAGAGAGGGGACACCACCAATGTTTTCGCTCTTTTTCCTCCCTCCGTGGCGCGGTCAGTGCCTCCGAGAGGAAGAGGGTTAGTCAGCGTGGCATTGTACACATGTTGATGGTATTTGGCAATACATACACTACCGAATGACTCACGGATTCGATAGACCTGGATGTTTAGAAATTGGCGCATAGCAACGTTGACGACAAAAACAATCCGCAGAAAACGATGAGCAATGATGAGAGAACAACCGGAAATGCATTCACACGCGGTGTATGGTAGGTCAAAACTAAGGGCGCGCGTCGCGGACTTTGGGAAGACAGGCAGGGCAAGGAGAAAAAAGGAGGATGGTTCTGCCGAGAGTCCTCCCCGAATGGACGGACCGTCGAGAGGAAAGACAGCAACACACCGATCTGTCGATGACCGGCCAGGGACCGTTCAAGAATTTCGCACCTTTCGCAGAGATCAATAGGTGTTAACGAGGGGTTTGAGTGACACATCGTCACGAAAACAGACCATCGAAACACGTGTTCATAGTTTGGCGTCGTGTTGCTGCTGTCTTTCCTCTCGACGGTCCGTCCATTCGGAGGACCAGTTGGCCAGAACCATTCTCTTTTTTTCTTCCTGCCCTGACTGCCGCAACGCAACGAGCGGAGTGTCGTTGGAGACGACCCCATTCCGAATTTTGGCTCATCACTCTGTTGGCTAATGGGGCTATTCAGCGTATGTTGGTTTTCCGTTTTTTTTTCGTTTTTTTACACCGCTGAATTGGGTTTTTTGACGTAAAAAAACGGAAAAATAATAATTTTTTTCACAGTCTGAATAACCCCATAACATTCTCATTTTCCGCCACATATTTTTCTATTTCTACTGGAATTCAAGCGTGAATCTGCGTTTGGTGAGATAATACATTAAAAAATGAAGTTTAAGAACGACAAATTTTGAAGAATTAACAAATTCGAAAATGCCTTTCCCGCCAACGAATGATGCAAACGCGCTCTATTGATAACCTTTTGCGTCTTGAAAGTGTGTGGGATTCCGTGCGAGAAAATGTTTTTCGAAATTGGCGCATAACTCAAGAACGAAAAAAAAAATGATAAATTGGAAAGTTGTTTGTAATAAACTTTACAACAAATTTAAAATAGACAACTTTTCAGGACAGCCACCGGTTCTCGGGATAAACGCCTTCAAAGATCGGACACTTCGACATCACGGTCGACCATTTGGCGCGGCTCATTAGCCACCACCCGGAAGAGGGTAATGGATTGACAGAAAACAGATGTGAGGAGGAACAGAAGAATATACATATAAACCGGCACGACATACACATGGCAAGTAAATTGAATGGAATAGAGAAATAAAATGAATGGGGCGGGCTGACTTACGCTCAGCTCCTCGGCGAACGAGTCGTTCAGCGAGGACGGCGGCGTCTTCTGCACCTTCAGCTCCTGCTCGATTTGGTCCTGGACGGCCGGAATGACCTCGTCGACGAGCTTCTTGCTCAGCTCGCCGAGCACCTGATCCACGCTCTCAGACATTTCGTCTTGCTGAAAAAAATGAAAATGAAAATGGATTTTCGGTCTTTCCTACAGAGAACGAAAACAGAATTCAAAGAATGGGGGAATCTGCGATTGGATAGACCCCTCCTCGATCGCAATTCCGTTCTGTACTCTTATCTTGATATCAGTAGCGCTAATTTGTGTTGACATGAGTCAAGTGATCCGAAATATTGGTGGGGGGTCTTGGCACTGTTTTGGGGCTGAGCAATAGGCCGGCCGGCCTGTTGAAAATTGATATTATTATATTGTTCGAGAAATTCTGAGACGAGCACACGCGCTCCGCTAGACTAAATTTAAGTGCAGTAGAGCGCATTTCCAAAGACATTTCCATCTGTGTTGACATTTTCTCAAGAGCCCCTTCTTCTATTTATCCTCTACATACAGCTGCTGGTTCAAAACCACCGCACACTTTAGCGGGGGGAGTCTTTTTTGTGGAATGTCACTCAAAGCGCGCTCCAATCAGATGGGACTCTGACGTTTCGCAACTAACGTGCACTACTTTACGATAAATTTCACTGTTACAGTTTGCATGAGGTCCCAATGAGAATCGGTTCGTACCTGAAGAGTGATGAGCGGCGGCGACGGCGATCTCGACATGATTTCTGGCAGGTTTGTTGGAAATGAGCCCTGAAAATTGTCAAAAATAGAGGAAAACAGGGCAAAAGAAAAAGGAGGAGACAAAACAGTCAAGACCGATAATTATTGCAGGCAATTGCAACCAACTCTACTTCCAAACGCGTCTAGGAGCCGAAAATCGTGGAAAACGTTCAGTAAAGTCCAGTGGATGAGCAAGAAAAACGGCTCGGCCGGCGAGTTCATTAGTCAAACATCCAGTGCCTCGTCGGGGGCCGTTTTATGACTCCATCCGCCCCAAACAACTGCTCTTTTCTCACACTTTTCCGCCTACTTTTCCGTCTCTCTACACTTTTTCAGTCGAAAAAACAGTTCTGGAACCCCCCTTCCCGCCCCGTCAAAAAGTGCACAATTTGCAGGGAGAATGAAAAAGTGGAGCAAAGTGGCTTTCCCGTCCGTTTCGCGTTGATTGCGGCAGCACGATGCGACGAGAGAGCACGGAGATTCGAGAGAGTGCAGAGAAAGAGGAAACGAGGGGATCTGGTGAGAGCCTCGGAGGAACAGCATGTGGAAATGGTTTGACCGGCGCGGCGCCACCGGCGGAAAGGGCGGGCCAAGCCCCGCCCACTTTATTTTCACAGCTTCCAGAATGATTACAGTTTTTAGGGAGAGCGATGACGTGGCAGAAAAGAAACAAAGGATGAGTCATGAGAGAAAATATAATGATTTTGGAGCTATTTTTAACTCTCGTTTGACCGTCAAAAAATGGAAATTTTTGAGGCATTTTGAAGATCGTCGGCTAAATTTCCTGTAGAAATGAACTAAAACGGAGATAAATGCCACTGTTTTTTCGCTAATTCAGCGCAGAAATCGAGATATTCGCAAATTTCGAACAGTTTTCAAAAATACGGTAGTTTAAAGGCGCAGCACGAAATTTACCGCTCAACCGGCCACGCCTTTCGTTGTTTCTCGACAAAATGGTCAGAAAATTCATAAAAATCGTCGAACAACTGAAGAAACTCGTGCTGAACCGATTTTTGAGCACTTTTTCGGCCACACAAAGCTGGCGACAACAACAACTTGTTTTATGGGCCAATTTTCTGTTTTTCACACGAAAAGTGCTGAAAGACGACCGAAATAGAAAACTGGTGGAGGTGATTCATAGGAAAAGAATGGAAAAAGATTGAAATCTTGGTTTTTCGCGAACGAATCGAATCGAAAAACGCATTTTTGAGCGCGGCGACGAGATGATAAATGAATTGGATGGAAGGAAGGCTCTTCGCAATCGACCACGCGGACACGTATTACACATTCTCTGCTGCTGGTGCTGGCGGTGGAAGGAGATTGCGATGAATCAGCGGTCATCTGGGGCACAGATTACACTTGAGAGAAGGACAAGGTAACGATGATTAATCGAGGAGCCGGGGGGGAGAGCAAATAAACGAGTTGAAATGATTGATGCGGGCAGGAAATACGGCAAGGGGGAGCAAAATTTTCGAGTTTCCGACTCGTGGGATCGACCAAAGCGAGCGAAACTTTTGCAAATTTCATCAGAGCGCGTTTGGATAGAAATGCACCGCAGTACCGTTCATTCAACCCAATATATCTCAGTTGCCGCAAGAGATATCAAAAAGTGGACAACTGATAAATTGTTCAGAACACGGTCTCCCAGCGCGCTAATGCTAAACACAGTGCGCTCGTAAATTGCGGAGTGTCGTTGTAACTTTTGAAAATTTGCAGGTCTAAAAATGCAGTTCAATTCGAGTTCACGACCTTTATTTCTTTCTTTTCGACTTGAAAAACGTCTAAAAAACAATATTTTACTGATTGGAAACCGTTATTTACAGAATTCAGAGTTTTTCATGTTTTAGCGTCTTTTTCGCATTTCGTCAAAACTTCAAACCTTTATATTTCAGCTCATTTTGCATTTCATGAGCCCAACGAGCGATAAAAATGTTCGCTGAATCTTTCTTCACAAAATTCAACGAAATGCGAGATTTCTGTTACCAAAACGTAGCTAGTGCTCTAATTATTCAAATCCGGGTTTCAGGCGTACAAAAAAAATAGGTGTATTGTACAGAAAACATGGAAAGAACGCGAACTCCCGTTGAAAATCAATTAATCGGCCAAAATTTTTAACTATTGTTTCTCTTCAATTTTCTTCTTTTGTTTATTGTATAAGCGGCGTTAGTCCTTCAATAAATCATTCATTCTTCTTCAATTCTTCTTCAACTCCCGTTGAAAATTAATTAATCGGCCGCCGCGTAAATCGACACAGCCCGCCTGTTGCAAGTGCGCCCCATTGAAATCATTGCGCCGCCGTGGGAGACCGTGCAGAACGACATTTCGCATATTTTATCAGTTGACAACGCGTCGATATCTTTTGCGGCAACCGAGATATATCATCGTCTTGAATAGACTCTAGTACACGCTTCAGCTCTTCTTCTCGTTCTTTCCAACTCTTTTGTCCGCTTGGCACAGTGCCAAATGACACGCGGCTCAGATTTCAAAAGCACAAAAAAGTGGACAAAGTGTATAGTAGTCGTTCAGGAAAAAGTGCCTACGATTTGTCTCGGGAATGGAGCCGTTTTGTGTGGAAAAAAGTGAATTTCACACAAAAGCGACGGAGCCAAGTGATGTTTCTCTTTCAGACTGATTATATTGCAGATTTCGCTCTATAGGTCAAACTAGGCGCGCCACGTCACATTAGTCACAAACGATTCCATCATATCTCGTCAAATTGTGGCCACATTCACTACGATTACTACGGCCTTCGTCGTTCCCACCCGTCTTTCCGTATAAATACGTTCTTTCTTTCACGCCCAACACCAGTGTTCTTTCGTTTATTCCTTTGTTTTGTCGGTTTGGAGCCTCCGCGGGCGATCTCGTGGATCCGCCTCAATTTCTGCGAAAACTCGCCCTTTTCATCCTCAAGGCAACACAAATCTAGACCAGATAATGCGATTGTACACTTCAATTCTGGTGTTCACCTTGATTCAAGTCGAACAATTCTCAATTGCAAGTGTTGAACGGTTACTGTTCAGAAATACGCGTTCAACTCGAGAACGAAACGTTTTCAACAAAAACGTTCAACTAGAAAGTTGTTTAGCTTGAAATTTCCTACAACTTGTCAGTTGACCACTTTTGGAAATAATTATTGCTTCTCGGGATATAGGTCTTCAAAGATAGAGAACTTCAGAACTCAAACTAGGTATGTTTGTAAATTAGTTTTTCGGATTCAAAAGAATGCATACATTCACAAAAGGTCTTTCGCTCTTCTGTAGTCGAAAAAAGGAGGAAGTTATAGTGTTTGTGTAGTGGAAAAAGATAAGATTGCCTCATCATCTCATCAACCATCACCTCAATCTAGTTTGACCTTTTCAACAATTCTAATTAGACTTTGACACGTCAAAAAAGTCCTCTTCTTCTTCTTCTTCTTCTTCTTCTTCTTCTTCTTCTTCTTCTTCTTCTTCTTCTTCCATATGTGATTTGTTCATTGTTGCCATTCATTTTCTCTGCGTCTCCCCCCAATCTCTCTCTCTCTCGCCACTACAACATACACTTGTCGGCCCGTCTATTTCTCTTTTCTCTTCAAATTCTCTCGTTGAGCATTCGCAATTTCCCTCCATTTTTTTCATGATGTTAGTTAGATGCCTCCTTTTTCGCTATTCGAATCTTGAAATAGTTTTTGGAACATAAAAGTTTCAAGAGAAATAATAAATCAGTCTGCTGCCTACAGACCATAATAATCAGTGATCAATGATGTTTTGTCGGTGGCGAAAACAGTGCCGAATGGAAGCCATATGACGTGTGAGGGTTAGAGAGTGAGAGAAATGAAAACTTGTCCGCTTTCTATCGTTTTACTGTTGTTCTCCTCCCCCCCCCCCAACTTTTTGCTGTAAACTTTGTCTGCCTACTGGGTAGTGTTGAGAATTCGGGACATAACTCGAGAACAAAACGTTTTTGTTAGAAATTGTCAACTACAAAGTTGTTTGGCTTAAAATTTGCTACAAATTCTCAGTTGACAACTTTTTGAAATAATTATTGGTTCTCGAGATATAGGCCTTAGCACTTGAAGGATGTCTAATTATGATTTCCAAGGAATACTAGGTAGTTTTTGACGCTCTATCCGATGGTATAAGTAGCAAAGTTATTGATTTTTTTAGTTATCGACTAACGACATCTTTTAAAGCTAGAAAAGTGATTTTCAGGTCCAATGCCTTCCCCAACGCAAGTCATGCATTCGTCTGAAAGCGCATCGAACTCGCCTCCCGCCTATTGTCTCGTTTGTTGCGAAGTCGCTGATGGATATCATTTTGGTGCTCCGGCTTGTCGGTAAGCTTTCTTAATTTTTGAGTTTCTGATCAAAACAACCTGGTTTTGGGCCTCAAAGCCTCAGGAAACACTTCAAACACCCACATTTTGAAAACTGTTTGGAAATTGATTCATAACTTGAGAGCCAAAAGTTTTGGGATGAAATTGTCAATTACAAAGTTGTTGGAAATGTGATGCTGAACAACTTTGTAATTGACTATTTTAGCCAGAAATGTTTCATTCTCGAGATATAGGCCTTCAAAGTCGATACACGTTTTTTTATTCCAGTGCTTGCGCGGCCTTCTTCCGTCGGACAGTTCAACTCGACAAAAAGCATGAATGCCCGAAAAACAACCAATGTTTCATACTGTCAAGTAAGTTTGCCCCCTTCTTTGTTTGTCCATACCACACACACTCACTCACAAACACTACACGACTACCTACTGTCTATTTACAGATGTACGCAACATGTGCCGAGCGTGCCGCTACGAAAAGTGTCTGAATGTCGGCATGAAACGATCCGGTTTGTGTGGTCAACTCTTCGAAAAAAAAGTATTCGTTTGCTCGTTTCAGCCGTACAGAAAAAACGAGACCAATTGGGAAAACGTGAACATTTTCGAAATCAATCGGAAAGTTTTTCGAGAGGCGAACCGGTTTTGGACGCGATGCACGTGGCCTACCAGAAACTATTGACGGTCAGAAGAGATGTTCACAAGAGGGCCGAGGTGGGTTCATTTTCGAGGCGTTTACACGGTCTCCCACGGCGCGAATAATTTCAATGGGGCGCACTTGCAACAGGCGGGCTGTGTCGATTTACGCGGCGGCCGATTAATTAATTTTCAACGGGAGGCCGCGTTCTTTCCATGTTTTCTGCACAATACACCTATTTTTTTGTACGCCTGGAACCTGGCGTCGAATAATTAGAGCACTGGCTACGTTTTGGTAACAGAAATCTCACATATTGTTGAGAATTAGCCGAGTTATTTCGATTTAGAGGTTTTGGCCTGGATTTTGATGTTTTTCGAATAGTTTTCGACTGTTCATGCCGCGTCCAATGTCTCGGAAAAACTGTTCATGCCGCGTCCAATGTCTCGGAAAAACCGTAAAAACCGCAGATTTTTCTGTCCAAAGTCGGCCGAAATTTGCGTGAAAAACGGGGGTGTGCACAGCTCAATGAGTGTAACCGTACCCCTAAAACTACGGTATTTTTTTGAAAATTTGTTAATTTCTTGAGGTTATTTGAAAATATTCAAATTTCTTGCGCAAATTTTCAAAAAATACCGTAGTTTTAGGGGTACGGTTACACTCATTGAGCTGTGCGCACCCCCGTTTTTCACGCAAATTTCGGCCGACTTTGGACAGAAAAACCTGCGGTTTTTACGGTTTTTCCGAGACATTGGACGCGGCATCAAGAAAACTAACCGCTGAAACCTGAATTTTGTGAAGAAAAATTCAGCGAACATTTTTATCGTTCGTTGGGCTCATGAAACGCAAAATGAGCTGAAATAGAAAGGTTTGAAGTTTTGACGAAATGCGAAAAAGACGCAAAAAACATGAAAAACTCGAAATTCTGTAAAGAACGGTTTTCAATGAGTAAAATATTGTTTTCTAGACGTTTTTCAAGTCAAAAAGCAAGAAATAAAAGTCGTAAACTCGAATTGAAATGCATTTTTAGACCTGCAAATTTTCAAAAGTTTCAACGACACTCCGCAATTTACGAGCGCACTGTGTTTAGCATAAGCGCCCTGGGAGACCGTGCGTTTCAGTGTGACGGCGGGCGCGGAAGAGAAACGCGCACCTCATCGCGTAAATCGACATGGCCGGGGGACTAGTGCGTGTTCCTCTTCCATCTGTTTTTCGCGCGTAAATTCTCACGTCGAAATGGCGCAAAAGTGACCGGAAAGTTGCAGAGCCAACACCCGCGCGCCGTCTGTTTCGGTGAGCTCAAAGAGGTGTACGTGAAGGAGATGGCGAACGTCTATCAGTTTCTGTGCGAAGCGTTTCCCGAGTACGCCGAACTGTTTCCCGACACGAAACGATCGCTGTTCAAGAACTTTTTCCTGCCGTTCACACTCCTCGAAAGCTCGTTCAACGGCCTGACTATGAGTGAGTTCTTTTTCTACGGAACCTTCTGCCCAACATGACACTTTTGCAGAAAAAGATGACGTGATGGTGATTCCGTCGGGCGACTACATCGACTTGGGTCATCTCGAGTCCTACTTCAACAACAACCATCATCAGTTCTCGCAAGAGGAGACGATTTCCATGTTCGCGCAGCAGTTCGCCGTCCTCCGCACCTGTATAACCCATCCGTTGAGCGCCGAAAACGTGGATGTCTACGAGTTTCTGGCGCTTTCCGCGTTGATCCTCTGGGAATCGGATCTCGAATCCGAGTCGGACCGTCAGAATGCGCAGGAAGAGGCGCTGCAGTTGAGAAGCGCGATCATCAGGGATCTGCTCTACTACTATCAGTCGATCAATGTCTACGAGGATGTCGCTCTCAGGCTCGGCAAGATTCTATCGATTTTGCCCTCGATACAGAGAGCCTCTCATCGCTTCCACGAGTACATGGAGATCAAGAACTTGCTCAATTTATACGCTTTACCGCAGAATCTGTACGATATGTTCTCACCGGCCTCATAGGCATTTTAAACTTGAACAATTTATAAACTTTTTCAGAAAATCCGTTTATTTGATAGCAAACTATTGTCTGTTGCCGCCGCGAGCCTCGAAATCAGCCCCTTTTTCTTGGCTTGCGTCGATTTGGGAAAAAAACTGAGGAATCACTGTCCGATTACTTGAACTTGGAGCGAAAATGCATATAAACTCAACTGGGTGAATTTTTTTTTGACTGCAAAGGCAAAACACTGCGATATCATTGATGTCCTTTGCAGTGTGCCTTACCGAAAGGGTTTCGGTAAATTTACCGGTAAATTTACCGGTAAAAATTTCGGTAAATTGTCGGTAAATTTTCGGTAAAACTTTTTTTTACCGAAAGAGTTTCGGTAAATTTTCGAAACAATTTACCGAAAATTTACCGAAAATTCACCGAAATTCACTTCTTTCGGTAAAAAAAATTTCGGTAAGGCACACTGGTCCTTTGACTACTTGCACTTGTTCTCAATTTTCCGATAATTTTTATTTGAACCATATCACATCGACGTACTCTTTTACCCTTGGTTCAAGTGAAAAAAGGCAAAGACTCGAGTAAAACGGGAAACACAGAGAAACGTGAACGGGAAGAGTTTTCAGGAAACCTTCCGAGCATTTTTCAGGGCTCGTGGGCGTGGCCAACTGTTTTTGGGATCATCGTCAGGGCGGGGCGTAAAATTTTTTTTAACGGATCCGTAAAAACGCAAATTTACGGTTTCAAGAAGCCGTAAAATCCGTAAATTCCTCTGTAAAATCTGTAAAATCCATGAAGCGTACTGTTTTTGTCAGGAAATGAAAACTAGCATACAATTCAATATAATTCTAATGGGGCTATTCAGCGTATGTTTGTTTTCCGTTTTTTCCGTTTTTTTTCGTCGCTGAATTGGATTTTTTGACGAAAAAAACGGAAAATGATCATTTTTTTTCACAGCCTGAATAACCCCATAACTTTCCTATAGTCCCTATCGCCTTCCCGAACGTTGTGTGTGGTCTAGTCGGTTACATTTTTGAATTTTAATATTTTTTGTCTTGGTTCGATTCCTTTGCGTATCAAGCGACTTCTGGACATTTTTGCGCTGAAAATCCGAGCTGAAAACACGCAATTCTTCTTCTTCTTCTTCAGAATCGTCGGTGCGTGAGCAGTCAACACGCAATTTTGAAAAACTCAATTTGTTAAATAATATGAAGATGAAAATATTTGTTGAAGATGTTTAGTCTTTGATTTTAGGGGGGAAATGCGTTGGAAATTGGAAATCAGTTCACAACCCGATGCTTCTGCTTTCGAATCATTTTTTTCTGCTTCACATACTTTTCGTTTCTTTTCTTTTTGAGAAATCTTCAGGTGAAAGCAATGTTTCTAACTTTCAAAAACGACTTTTACGTTTGGACCTCTGTATCTCGGCGATCAGTACTTATTTTGAAAAGTTGCCAACAACAAAATTGTTGCAAATTTTATGCTTAACAACTTTGTAATTCATCATTTTACGTAAAACTGCTTTATTTTCGAGTTATGCGCAAATTTGTTCACAGTGTTTACTGTGCTTCTGCCATGCTACCCTACTAATCACAACTAGGCTTGTAGCTCGAGAATAAAGCGTTCGGAGCAAAAGTGTCAATTACAAAGTTGTTCGGCTCAACATTTCCAACAAATTTTCAGTTGACAACTTTTCAAAACAATCAGTCGTTCTCAAGATAAAAGCCTCACGCTCAACCTATAGTGCAAGACCAAAAGCCCATTTTTTTTCTTTCCGGAATAACCTTTTGTTTACACGTCATCTTGATCGAATTTCCGCCAAAGTTATATTGTAGTTAACCCAATTTCCGCCCTCAGCCTCTTGACAGAAGTGATCGATTGAAAAATAAAGCGCTCTTTTTAGATTAGTCACCCCCAGAAGCGGCAGGTGTATCTCGACGAATCGGGCAATTCATCTGGAGTGCTGTCTGTGTTCTCCTTCTTTCCGATCACAATTCGCATGATTTCAGATTGCGAAAACCCTAATATTATAGCCCTCCATTTTACTTCCAGACTCACACTTCCCCAACATCACTCACTCGCATCACTTTTTTGTGTCAGAGCATGAGCCCGTCGGAAGTCTACGAGGCCGGCCTGTGCTCGACAATTCCGACCGTATTCGACGAGTGCAAAGACGATTGGATATCCAAAAACGGCACGTGTTATCAAGACTCTTGTTGTGCCACTTTTGAGGCAAGTGAACACGTTTTAGTAAGTGTTCAACGCGACGATGCTCAGGCCGCCACTTCATGGTTCTATCGGATGGCTCAGTTCTCGCACGTCGTCTTCAGTTGTGTCGGAATTGTGATCGCGACTTTTTACGTGTCTAAATACGCATCAAAACACATGCTACCGAGTAATGTGCGCGTTCTCGTCAACATTATGCTCTTGCTGATTGTGGCTCACTCCATCGACATGACTGTGATTCATGTGAGTTATTATCTCGAGAACCAAGTGTTTTCGTAAAAACTTGTTAATTAAAAAGTTGTCGGAAATGTTGTTTTGAACAACTTTCTCGTTGATCATTTCATCTCAAAATTCGTCATTCTCGAGTTATTGATTGACTTTTATACAGTACTCGTAACACTGAAATCGTGTCGTCATAGAAACGGACGATAACTCGAGAATGATAAATTTTCAGACAAAATTGTGTGTTACAAAGATGTTCAGCATAAAATTTCCAACAACTTTTCCATTGACAAGTTTTTGCAGAAACCATTGGTTCTCGAGATACAGGCCTCCAAAGATCACTTTCAGTTACACCACATCACCCAATCCTACCGAGCTCCGCTCTCCGATCCGTGTTTCGTTCGGGAAAAAGTGTCTTTCTGTGCTCCATTCCGCTATACTTTCACTTTTTGCACAATCGCTCTGTCCGTCTGTACATATTGCACCTATATCGATCGAGTGGCGTGCGCCTTCTACAAAAACTATGCGAAACATCAAAAGTTGATTCTGATCTTTCAACTCATTCAGTTGGTAAGCGGGGTTCTGGATGTGACCAATTTGAAGCGAAATATCGAGTCAAACGTTATGCCGCGTCCAAAGTCGCGGACTTTGCTGTCCAAAGTCGGCAGAAATTTGCGGAAAATCCGGGGTGCGCACAGCTGAACGAGTGTTACCGTACACCATAAAAACTACGGTATTTTTTTGAAAATTTACCCAAGAAATTTGAAAAAAATTTCAAATATTCTCGAGAAATTTAAATTTTTTTCAAAAAAATACCGTTGAAAAATTTACTCAAGAAATTTGAAAAATTTTCAAATATTCTCGAGAAATTATAATTTTTTTTCAAAAAAATACCGATGAAAAATTTAGCCAAGAAATTTGAAAAAAATTTGAAAAAAATTCTCGAGAAATTTAAATTTTTTTCAAAAAAATACCGTTGAAAAATTTACTCAAGAAATTTGAAAAATTTTCAAATATTCTCGAGAAATTATAATTTTTTTCAAAAAAATACCGATGAAAAATTTAGCCAAGAAATTTGAAAAAAATTTGAAAAAAATTCTCGAGAAATTTAAATTTTTTTCAAAAAAATACCGTTGAAAAATTTAGCCAAGAAATTTGAAAATTTTCAAATATTCTCGATAAATTTAAATTTTTTTTCGAAAAAAATACCATAGTTTTATGGTGTACGGTAACACTCGTTCAGCTGTGCGCATCCCGGATTTCCCGCAAATTTCTGCCGACTTTGGACTGCAAAATCCGCGAGATTTGCGGGGTTTTCCGAGACTTTGGACGCGGCATTAATTTTCTCGAGTTTCAGGCTGTCATTTCCACGTTGGCGGTCATCTGGATCTACCGAAACGACGATCCGGACGCGTACCTCCTCTCGTGCATCAACCTTCCGAGCGCGTCCGTCGCCGACATGACCACAGTGACCATCGTCATATTTCCCATCAATTTCGTCTGTTTCTTCCTCTCTATCGTTCTGTTTCGACACTTTAAACGGAAGGAGAAGGGGTGAGTAGACATTCGAAAAAGGAAGGTAGACATCGGGGGGATTATGATTAACTCTATAATATCGGACTCTTAAAGTTTGTGTCTAGACGAACGTTTCTTTGCTCATAACTGCTCATAATGACGGGTTTTTGAGATATAAGAAGTAAAAGTACTTTGAGGCCCCGCAGTTCAGGTCCTAAATGTAAGTTTTCAAGTGACAGACCTTTTCTAAGTGCTTTTTCTGTAATACCGTACTTCATTTGAGCTCCAGCAGCCGATTCGACATTGTCCGTCACTTCACCGCCGCCGTCGACGTCGAATCGTCAGAGTTTCTGTACCGAACGACGGGCACACAGGCCGCCATGATGGTCCTTTTCTCGGTGGCCTCACTCACAATGCGCGTCTTCTATCACTCGCTTCCAAGACCGATCGGCCTCGCGGTTGCCACTCTTTCCTATGTAATCAATTCAATGACAACGCCATCAAGCATCGTAAAAGTGTGTTTTCAGACGTTCAGCATCTACAGTCTCGTCGTTCCGTTGGTGATGTTGATCTACGCGAGAGGCACGACGAATCATCGAAAAGAACGGATTTGGAGTCAGGTCGGACTGAAATCGGTGGGCGTCGAAGGAGCCGATCACTATTTTGGAATGATGAAGACTCAGTGGGAATGAGACGGAATAAAGTTTTCAATAATATGAACATTTTACGATGAAAATGGACTTTATATCACGGCGACCAAAAACGTAGAAAGGGGCGTGGCCTAGCGTGCACGGTTTATGCGCTATTTTGGCGCGAAATTCGAAATTTAACCCAATTTTTCATGTTTTTCGTCAAAAATTACCCCAATTTTGTACGATTTCGACGATGCGATTGCATAACTTTGTTAAACTAATCATCGCGCGCACTTTTTGAGCAAAAAACGAGCAGGTTTCATTCAGAAATGAATCAATTGAATCGATTTTCAAGTTTTTTGCTGAAAATGCGCGAATTTTAGTCATTCGCCGACACGTTTTGCCGTTTGAACGCCTAAAACACTTGTATTAACGTGCTTAATCACTTCCGAAACACTCACTTCGTCTCAAAACTATCCAGATCGGCCGCTATGAAAATTCCGAAATTGCGGCGGCGATTGGCCGCGGAGAGCGTATTGCGAAATATGCCAAAAACGTCTCAAACGCGGAGTCCGTGACAAAAGGTCGGAAAGATAAAAGGTCGGAAAAAAGTGACAAAAGGTCGGAAAAAAATGCCAAAAGATCGGAAAAAAATGACAAAAGGTCGGAAAAAAGTGACAATATGTCGGAAAAAATGCCAAAAGGCACGGAACCCCAGCCTTCCAATAAAAAATTCCCTTGGCGCAATTCAGGTGCGCTAAACAAGGCGCGTAACGCGTAATTTCGGAGCGTCGTTGTAGAGTTTCTCATTTCAATTTTCCCTTTTTTTGCATTATTCCCATCTTTTCAGAACCAATCAGTGTCAAAACTTATGATAATGATTAGAAATGAATAAAAAATAAAATTTTAACTGCTTTGTCATCAATTTCAAAACGTTTTATGTGAAAATTACAGAATTTTTTTCCTGTTGGAATCGAAAATTTGCCTCAATTATCTCAATTCTGTATATTTTTCGACGGTTGAGCGCTTAAAAGATGCGCAATAAACTCTTTGTTGACTGGACGGTTCGAATGCCAGTGCCCGAACTCGATTCGGCAAATGATCGTTAAAACTCCGTTTTTTCAGTAGTTTTCGACAAAAACCCTCAATTTGGTCAATTCTGAACGAATCTGCTCCGTTTCGCGCTTAAATCGATGCTTTTAACTCACTCAATCGCCCCACGGTTCGCAAAGAACAAAATTTGAGTGATTATTAAGAGAAAAACGAAAGAATTCTGGGTTTCAATATAAAAAAGAAACTCCGAGCCGACGGTGGATGCAAGCGCGCCCCATTGACAACTTGCTTGCGCATTGGAATGCTGGGGTTCCGTGAAAGGTCGGAAAAAAATTACAAAAAGCCAGAAAACAGGTATTTTAGAAGTTTTTCCGACCTTTTGGCACGCAGCCCCTTTCTACACTTTTGGTCGCCGTGTATTTATCAAGTTGTTTCCAGATTTTCCAGTTTTACGACACCTTCCAAGTCTCTGTTGTTTTCGCTAGATTCTTCCTAGACCAACGATGCCATTTGGCCGATCATAGTTGCGAGTCTGAAACTATTAAAAGTGTCCAAGCCAAAAGACATTGATGTATTTATTCAATTACAAATCGAATTCACTCCCATTGCGACTTGATCATTCCGAAATAATGATCGGCGCCCTCCTTGCCGACCGACTTCAACTTCACTTGCTTCCAAATCTTCTCCTTCCGATTCCCAGTCGTCTTTTTGCTGTAATCGATCATAACCAGTGGCACCGCGAACGTGTAAATGTCGAACACCTGAAGCTCATCGTCATGGACCGTCGGAAGAATCCGTCAAAAACGTACATATCCAAGTGTGGCGAGTGTCAAATGAAGCGGTCGTGGTGTGATTTCGTAGAAGAAGCGAACGCTCATGATGAGAATCGGGTAGAGGACGATGAAAATCGCCTGAGTTCGCGTGACGTAGTAGAGGAATTCGGAAGATTCGACGTCGACGGCGGCGGTGAAGTGCACGTTGATATCGAAACGACTTCTGAAAGTTTGCAGATGAAAATATGAACGTGACACTCATTTTGCAACTTTTTTGCGCATTCTTTTTCGGGTATGAAGGGTCATCACGGTGATCAAACAAAAAGGAAAAAGTTGTAGTTGTACGCGTCTAACGGGCAAATTTTTGTAGTCAAAATGACATTTTAGGCGTCAAATTGGCCGGCTTTTTTCGAAACAAACGCCGTATTGTTAGAGCGAGCCAACCAAAATGACTGCCTTCAAGTTCTCGGAAGCCGCTTAAGCTATAATGGCAGCCCAGAATTTCAGTCTCACCTGTCCTCCTTCTTTTTGAAATGTCGAAACATGGTGATGGAGAGGAAGAAGCAAATCAAGTTGATCGGAAAAACGGCAGCAGTCACCAGACTCAAGTCGACCATCGAGGCGAGCGGAATGTTGAGACACGAGAGGAGGTACGAGTCGGAATCCTCCTCGCGGTACACCCACGCGACCACCAGACCCGTTGTGGCCACCTGTAAACGAAAAGAAAACAACGAATCTAGCCGGCGGCTCAACTTGCAACTTACACATTTGAATAGTAACAAGTTGCGAATGGTCTTCTGACGTCTCACGTAGTGTCTGTAGAAGGCGCACAATAATCGGTCAATGTAGAGGCAATACTGACAAGTTGTGAGGCCCAGGGTGCAGAATGAGTAGGTGTATCGGTAGAGAGCACAGAAGGACACTTGAACACGGACAAAGCATGGATTCGAGGCGACGACGAGGAACGATTGGTAGATGTGGTACGTCTGAATGATGCAAGGTGTGCAAGTCGGCAACTTTTACTTGTATCGAAGGCTTACATGAATGAGAATCATGTCGATGGAGTGGGCGAACATCAGAAGAAGCATGATATTGATGAGAACTCGCACGTTTTCCGGAAGCATGTGTTTCGACGAGTACCGCCACGTGTACACGGGGATCACAATCAACGCGAAGCAGCTGAAGACGACGTGCGAGAGCTGCGCAAGCCGATAGTACCACGAGCGGGCGGTCTGTAAGCGAAATTCCAATTAAAAAGTGGTATCTAGTAGAGACGTACCACATAGCTGGTGCAACACGAGTCCTCGTAACATGTACCATTTTCAGATATCCAATCGTTCGGGCACGGCTTGAAAATTGTCGAAACGACAGAACATGCGCCGGTGGATGTTGTCATGTGAGAAGCGAGAAACTTGTGAGCTACGAAATCTGAGAAAATGACATGACAAACAAGTTTTAATGATAGGCTGGTTTGAAAGTTTGTGCACACAAAGCCCAGAATGTGGGAGGAAGGGTGTCTGATGATATTGTGGGTATAAAATAAAAGTACTCACACATGTGTGTGTCTTCTTGAAAGCACCTGTTGGTCAGTCCAAAAATACGTTATAGTTGTTGCAACGAATAATCTAGACGTAAACTCGATTTCGATTAAGATGAAGGCTGGAAAAGGGGGGGGGGGGAGGGTCTGAGAAGTACTTTTACGGAGCTTCAGGGTCAGAATTCTTCTCGATACTTTTGAATCAGAAAAAACGTGCTTCATTTCCTGCAAACCGACAAAAAAGTGACTTATTCCTTCTTGAAAACACGACGGCAAACGACGCCTCCCGACTCATAAGTGCTGATGAGCAGATCGCCGTCGAGCCAGCTGGTGAACACGGAACTGTGGTCTTGCTCGCGGATCTTGTTCTGGCTCTGGATCAGTTTTCCGTCCTTGAACACCAGCACCGATCTGTACGTCTTGTCGTCCGGGCTGTGATCTTCGAATTCCTACGACTACATTGAATGCTCACAAAAAAATCAGAACAAGTGCTAACCTCTCCGAGTTTGAACGTCAATTTGGTGTTCTTGAACGTCGAGTACTGGTTCCAGTGCCACGTGTCGCCGTCTTTCAGAATCTCGACCGTCGGCTTCAGATGCGCGGCCGCTTTTCGCGTGATTATTCCCACTCCGATCGCCTTCATGTACTCCTCGAATCCGTCCGATTCGACGAGCTTCCAACGTCCGATAAAGTCGTCGAGAGTCGCCATTCTGAAAGGTTATTCGATGAGAAAAGTTGAGACTAAATTCGGTGTAGATGCAATAAAAGTCATAAAAGTTGACATAATTTTTTGATAAGACTGCCGTGGAACGATGATAAACTGGGGCACGTGGTTTCGACAATGAAAGCAACGAAAAGTGGAACCAATTGCTATATATTGTAGCCTATTCTAGCCAATAATATCGAATAAAAAAGGAAAAGCGTACAATTAGATGGTGTGTGAACAATTTGATAAGACAAAGAGGAATCCGGACTCGTTGCGAAACACTTTCTTGTTCTTCGCAAGTCTTTATCAGGGGCAGAAAACAGAAACATGTTTGGGACGGGGCGAGAAAAGTGCAACAAGCGATTACGTGGGCGGTTGCGACACTTCGAACCAAAGTGGTTTGGTTTCTCGTCCGGCATTTAAGAATTGAGATATTTACACGCAATGATCAATACAAAGTAGAAAATTAGCAGAATTATCACTCGATTCCGAACAACATTTTGATGTCGGCCATCGTCAGTTTGTTCATCTTTCGTGTCGCCGTTCCGTCGAGAATCGAAGCGGCGAGGTGCAATTTTGCCTTCTGCAACTCCACGACCCTCTGCTCGATCGTGCCCTTCGTAACCAGTCGATGGATGAACACGGGCCTCTTCTGTCCCATCCGATAGATTCGATCGCACGCCTGCTGCTCCAACGCCGGGTTCCAGTGCAGATCGACCATCACCAAGTGATTGCCGCCCGTCAGATTGAGTCCGACTCCTCCGGCCGTCAGCGAGAGCAGCATCACCCTTGCGCCGCCCTTCTCCCGGTTGAAGCTGTCCACTCGTTCCTGCCGATCCTTGACGAGCACTTGTCCGGTGATCGACGTGTACTTGAATCCGCCTCGTTGGATGTGCGATTCGATCAGGTTGAGCACGGAGACCCATTGCGAGATGATCACACTGCAAAAGAAAAGCATTACTAAGGTTCGAAAAAAGTGGGCAACCTACACTTTCTCCTGCTTTCCCATAATTTCTTCAACAAGCTCCAGCGTCTTTTTGATTTTACAGCTCAAAAAGTGCGGCTCGAAGATGCGCGTCGGCGTCGGTTTCTCTTTTTCCTTCTCCCGCTCGTTCTCCTCGTCGCTCTCGTTTCCCAGCGACAAGTTCGCCATCGTTTTCTCCAGAAGCGCGCCGATCTCGTCGACGTCGACGTTGTCGTCGCCGCCGATCAGCTGGAACGCATCCATATCCATTCCGCCTCGCGTGATGTGGAAGTGAACACAGGCTTGACGGAGACGCAGAAGGAGCATCAGGACGCACGACATGTTTTGGAAGTTGGAGTTGAGCTGCAGGTTGCGCGGACCGACTGAAATGAGATAATGAAATATGAAAAAAATGGAATGGCTGCTTACAATTGAACGGATTCTGCATCTCCTCCCCGTTCTTTCGCCGCTGCTTGACGTATCCGTAGTTCTTGATGTCGTCCGACTGCTTTACAATCTGCTTGACGAACTTCTGCGCGGCCTCCATCATGATCGCGTACGCCTGCGCCTCCTCTCCGTCCATCTCGAGGTCGTGCTCGTGCACCGTCTTCTCCGCCAATTCAACGAGCTTCTTGTTGGTCACCGCGCACGTCTGCTCTTTCGTGCGACGCAGTAGCAGGTTCTTCGTGAGCAGATTCACGCGGTCCGCCATGATCGGCTTCATCGGCATTATCGACTCTTTCCAGTACTTGTCGTCGCTGAACGGCGGAACTCGCAGGAATCGGATGAGGCTGTAGAGGTCCCAGAGGTTGTTGTGGATCGGAGTTCCGGACAGGCACCAGCGGGCGTAGCACGAGAGACGGCACACCGCCTTCGAGCACTGCGCGAGCCGGTTTTTGATAGTGTGCGCCTCGTCGAGAATGACTCGTGCCCAGCAGATCTGCGCCAGCGCCGAGTCGTCCTTCCCGACGGTCTTTCTGATGCCGCCACCACCCTTTTCGTCGTCCGAATCCTCGTCTGAATCCTCGTCCGCCTTCGACTTTGTCTTGATCTTCTCCATCAGCTCGTTCGACACCAATGTGTAGGTCGTGATGACGACGTCGTAGCGGGCGAGACGTCTCGCGTCGATGTCCCTCTGCTTCTTGGTTCCGTGAAACATGAACACGGACAGGGTGCCCTCCTCAAGCCGTCTCTCGATCTCTGCCTCCCACTGATGGATGAGACTGGCCGGCGCTATGATCAGAGTTCCGTTCGATGGGACTAATCCCTGCTCCTTCGCCACTTTCCGCTTCTCCTTGTCTTGGCCATCCTCGCCCGCCTCTTTCCGTGCTTTCCGGGCATTCTTCTGATGAGCGATCAGCGAGATCATCGAGAGCGTCTTTCCGAGACCCATGTCGTCGGCCAGAATCCCGCCCGCTTGCGGCTGCGTTTCTCTCCATCGCATCCACGTGAGACCGCCCTTCTGATGAGGCATCAACTCGATTTTGAAGCCAGCCGGAGTGTTCGTCAGGTCCGTTTCGGCCGGAATCGTGTGCGTCGCACTGAAAAGGTGAATTGTTGAGTCAAGCAGATTTTCGTTGCACTCACTCGAGCAGTTGCTGCATGACGCGGTCCGAAATGCCCTGCACTCTTCTGTACTTTTCGTCCGTCATCTTTCCGCTCATCAGCTTCTTGTTGTCCCTGCCCACGAGAGCGTTCAGGTCTTGTTGCGGCGGCGGCAAGTCGATAAAATGTTTCGGAGGGAGCAGTCCGTTCTTGGTCATCACCGACCCGCTCGGAAGCTTCGGAGCAACACGACGCGCCGGCTCATCACCATCATCATCATCTTCGTCCTTTTCGTCCAGTCCCAGCTCCTTTCTCCTCTCGATTTCATCGTCGAGCTCCTGGAATTGAAGGCGGATGCGCGCGCCCTTGTCCGGCAGATTATCCGAGTAACCGAGCAGCGACATCACCTGATTCTTCTTCGCAACCAGCTCCTTGTAGCTCAGATTCTCCAATTTCGCTCGGTTCGGTGAGCGCGGAGCTTTGGCCGGCGGCTTTTCCGGGGTCACGTCGATAATATCGCTGTCGTCGAGTTTGACGACGACTGGCGGAATCTTCGTCGTCTCTCTTTTCTCCGGAGTCACGTCGATGATGTCGCTGTCGTCGAGATTGATGGGGATTTTAGCTTTTGCCGTTTCGGGCGTTCCGTAGCCTTCATGAGAGTCATCGACAATTTCGTCACTCTCATCGCGACGATTCTGCGCCGCCTCGCCCTGAAAAGTGATTCTAAAGCTGAGTTTTTGGACTTTCCATGTTTTCAACGTACCGCTGAATCCTGAAACCCTAAAGCCGGGCGGCTTGGAGCTGATTTTACGATCGGCGACAGAGCGGCAGTGAACAGATCGCTGGACTCCGGATCGTCGGCCGCCGAACCCCATCCACTGCTTTTCACACACGGCGAACCACCATCCGCACTGTCCTGTCTGACCGTCTTTCTCAGAATCCGTTCGCGCAACTGCTGCTTCGACTTGGCATCGTTCGAATCGGAGAGTTTCTTCGAGATCGGACTCATATTCACATCCGGCTCCACGAAACTGCGGCTCCGGTCGTGGCTTCCCGTCGAGTTTTTCGAGCTCCCGTACGATGGATCCAGACGAGAAGAGGTCGTCGACTTGGAAAACGGTGTAGACGTTGCGAAACTCGATTGGGTGGAACCGATCGAATCGTCGACGATCGATGAGTCGTCGATTTGAAGCGGTGGTGGTGTTTCATTCTGAAATAACGACATTTTTTCTGATCTTTTGAGAAGGAAAAACGCTCAAAACCCCAACCTGTTCATCAGCCTCTGATTCGTCCGACGACGTGTCGATCATGACACGAGTATTGCGATATGTTGAATCCATTTTTTTTTCTAAAAATCGATAAGAATTTTGCTTTTTAGAGGAGCTTTTTCAGAGGGAAAGCGAACAAAATTTGAAAACGCGGCGTGATGGCCGTGGCCGCGTGGATGAGAAACCTCCGCACGGCCATCTCTCCGTAAATCGACACAACCCCATTCAAAACCGGAAAAAATAGAAAAAAAAACAGTAAAAAGGTTTATTCGGATAATTTTGTAAATAAAAACCGAGCGAAGAATTAGCACTTGCTACGTGGCACACACTTCTTGTCCTTGTTGCGGAAGAAGTCGTTCTTGCACTGACACACGTTCACAATGCATTGCATCGTGCAGAACATCTGAAAATACTTATTTTTTTCGGTTCTCAACATTTTCATTTAAATTACCACGTGTCCCTCGAAGCAGTTGGCTTCGCAGGCGGTTCCGCACTCGCGGAACTCTTCGTTTTCACCGCATTTCTCTGAAAAAGCGCAGTTATCCTTCACTAGCCAACTTTTGAATAAACTCACTGCTCGGAGCCGTGAAAGCGTTCGCCAGAAGGATGGAAAACAGGAAAGCAATCTGATAAGTTGGATTTTTCACGAAAAAGAACAGAATTTACCGTGAAGAAGTTCATGGTTGGTGATGGGAAATGTTGGAAGATGAAATGGAAGTGAATGGGGAAGGAAGGTTGACTTGTTACACAGTAACTCTTATCTTTTCACAGTAACAAATCAGCAACGGTCTTTGCTGTGATGACCAAAATTCGGGGAATTGATTGAGAAATCGAGAAACAGTCACGTGGATTGAAAATTTTGGTACAGAAACGAAACGCCGAAACATTGGGGCTTGCTGGTTTTTGTGATGCGTCACGGTCTCCAGAGCTGACAATATGGGCGTGGCGGCCTCGGCCAAATGGCGTTTTCATGAATTGAGCAGGTTTTCTCTGATTTTTGTGGCCAAAGGCGATGAAAAATGATTGTTCGACATGAAAACACACTAATTCTCACAGAATTAATGACGTTTTGGCGCATTTTTCGCGGACTTTGCTTTTTCGCCTTCGCCGCCGATCGCCGCCTAAAAACCGCACATCTCATTTTGCGCTTTCTTGACCGTTTTCAGACACAATTGGTTTTGAGAATGATAAATCACGTAAATACAATCATTTTGAGCGCTCGAACCGCGAAAATTACCGAAAAGCAACTGAAATTCACGCAGTTTTAGCCAAAAACCTTCAAACGGATAAATTTGATTTGCGACTTGACCAAATTTGACGCTCTTGCGCTTAAAAAATTCGTAATAGCCTATAGAATCGGCCTATCGAGAGACAAATCAGAAATTATCGGTTTTTTGTGGCTAATCTGGCAAAAAACACAAATTTTGTTCTTAAAATTTGAATTTCGCGCCAATGTATCGCTCTATTGGGCGGGGCGCACTTGCGCCCATTGTCAGCTCTGGAGACCGTGTGATGGCAAAAAAGTGTAGAAAACAGTTGAAGCAAATGTTATGCGGAGCAACTTTTCTACCACAAAAATTGCGTCTGTTCATCTGTTGCCCCCCTCGTACACTTCCCCGCGGATTTTCAATTTCTGTCGCACTCCCTCCACCAGATGCCGTATCGGACTTTTATGTTACACATCAAACAATACGTTCGCTGGTGGGGGGCGAAACGTCACTCTCACGGTCTGAGTCTCGTTTCCTCGCCCGCACGAGAGACGTTCAGTCTACACTGTGTGTCCTCCTTGCGAACCGTATACTTTCTCCATACAATGACCGCTCTTCTGACCGTCGTGCTCGACGAGCTCATCTACCCGGAAACACCGCATCACTCGTTCAACATTGCCGACGAGATGAACGAGAGGAACAAGGTGTTCAATGAGACGCCGATGCCACCCGAGAGCTTGCTCCTCCGATCCGCCAACGTGGTTATCGATCAAGTGTTGCAAGTGAAGCCATACTCGCGGAGCAAAAAGTGGGTCATGGACTTTTTCGTTGTTGGTGAGTGCATAAAGTTTAGTTTGCGCGACAAGTGAACAATAACAAAATGATTTTTCAGAGCCGCTCGAATTTCTGACGTACGGCTTCTTTATGAACCGCATTCACACGCTTTACGAGACGCTCGAGAAGAAACTCATGAAAACAGTACCTCGAAGATTTGTGGTTGTGACTAGAAGAAACAAAATATCGATAATCCTAAACGATCAAACGATAAATGTACTGCATCCGCAAGGAATCGAATGGGCGACGGATTGGCAGCACCAGCTTGTGAGATTGGCGTTTCTCAAAAACATTGACCTCATCAAAGTATCGTATTGTGGTGAGCGTTTAGAAATGACGACGGCCGGCTGTAATTTTTCCCTTACAGACGCCGATTTCGCGTTCCTGACAGGACGCATGAACGAACTTTTGAGCACGTTCACAAGAGTGGAGACTCCACCCGGATGGGTGCCCGAGAACGGACAGAAAACGTATCGAATGTTTGACACCTCGGCACCACCCAGCAATTGTAAAAGGACGTTCGACGCGAGACCTAGACCGAACCTTCCACCAAATTTCTGGGGATACGTTGTTTGAAGTGTTTGCAAGCCGTTATAATCACGGTCTCCAGAGCTGACAATATGGGCGTGGCCTCCTCGGCCAAATGGCGTTTTCATGAATTGAGCAGGTTTTCTCTGATTTTTGTCGTCAAAGGCGATGAAAAATGATTTTTCGACATGAAAACACACTAATACTCAGAATTAATGACGTTTTGGCGCATTTTTCGCGGACTTTGCTTTTTCGCCTTCGCGCCGATCGCCGCCTAAAAACCGCACTTCTCATTTTGCGCTTTTTTGACCGTTTTCAGACACAATTGGTTTTGAGAATGATAAATCACGTAAATACAAGTATTTTGAGCGCTCGAACCGCGAAAACTACCGAAAAGCAACTCAAATTCACGCAGTTTTAGCCAAAAACCTTCAAACGGATAAATGTGAATTGCGACTTGACCAAATTTGACGCTCTTGCGCTTAAAAAATTCGTAATAGCCTAAACAATCGGTCTATCGAGAGACACATGAGAAATTATCGGTTTTTTGTGGCTAATCTGGCAAAAAACACAAATTTCGCTGTTAAAATTTGAATTTCGCGCCAATGTATCGCTCTATTGGGCGGGGCGCACTTGATTTGTCAGCTCTGGAGACCGTGCGTTATATTATAATTATATAATAAAATGTTCACAACACTACCCAAGTCATCGCTTTGCATCTTTCCCATTCCGAATTACATTAACACACCCTTCGTCCTCGGACCAATAATTGCCGTTATACTGAATGAATGAAATGCATGTAATTTCGGTCAGCTGAGTGGGTCATTGCGGGTTGTGTGTGGTTTGCCGCCCGCGCGTATATTATTAGATTGCAAGAGAGGAAACTATGCGGTTCGCAAGGACATACACATAGTGTAGACTGAACGTCTCTCGTGCGGGCGAGGAAACGAGACTCAGACCGTGAGAGTGACGTTTCCCCCCACCAGCGAACGTATTGTTTGATGTGTAACATAAAAGTCCGAAAGTACGTCATCTGGTGGAAGGAGTGCGGCAGAAATTGAAAATCCGCGGGGAAGTAACAGATGCAACAGACGGAGAGATGAGTCGCGGAGTGGAAAATAAGGATGCCTTCTAGAATGCTTTCTGAGCAATTTTAGTAAAAACGACGTCGGTGCTCTGGCAATTCGATATTAATCTAATTAGAAAGTTACTGATCTAAACGCGACCTAATCAGATTCGGCTTTTTTTTCTTGGCGCAATCTAGATTTGAGCCAGCAGACGGTTGGCGTGAAACTTGATTTGAGCACTTATTAATCTGTCTAGAAGATTTATTAATCTAGCTAGACAATTTATCAATCTTATTAGGCCGCCGTATAACTCGAGTAGACTACGATTAGATTAATAACGACATGCCAGAGTGGACAGCAGGCCCTGATTGACAAACACGACGCACTGCTCTCCTGAGGATTTCGGAAAATTGACATTAAACCCGCAAACTCTCGCTCGATCGCTTTTTCAACGTCGTCTTTGAAGGACATCGTGAGACAGATGTGGCGAGAGAAGAAAGAACCGACAATGAAGCAGGAATGATTGCTCCTTTCATAACCCCTTATCACCGTTTTCCCGTTTGTGAGGTTTTCCCGTTTGTGTTTTTCTTAAAAATCTGGGAATTTTTTTCGTAATTCGGGACTTTGGGAAAGTGAATGCCCCACTTCGAAGTTTATTTTACAAATATGTTGTATGTCACGTTGGACACCACCTTTAAAGTCTTGAATTGAACGTTTATTGCCCGGTCGAGTACTTTGCACGAGATTCCTGGCGATGGTCGCGGTATGCGGTATGCATAGGGTGACCCCGCCCATACGTATAGGCGGGGTCACCCTCGCTCCGCCCTCCCGCATTCTCTCCGAGGCGCATTCCGTGCAGTCGCCCACCCAAACGGCCCCAGTCTCGTCTTCTAACAATGAGGTCACTATTAGCTCGTATTATCGATCGTTTCATCCCACGACAGTCGCCGTTACTGATCACCAACATCGCGGAAGAGATGATGTTAAGAAACGACGAGTGTTGGCAGCTTACGCCGCTGCCACCCCCGAGTTTACTTCTCCGCTGCGCCAACGTGTTGATCGACAACGTATTGATCGAGAACGAATCGCAAACCGAAGAAAACAAAGCCATACGATTTACCACAGCCACATGTTTTCGCTTCAGTAAGTGAAAAAGCTTATGCGAACAGAAGAAATATCAGGTCATTTTCAGATCGGACAAAATTCTTGGATTATGGACTCTTCGTTGATCGCATCGATTTCCTTTATGATGTTCTCGAGAAAATGCTGTCCAACGAAGTGCACTGGTTTTTTGCGGTTATAAGTCGGAAGAACAAAATATTCATTAGCATCAACAATAATAGTCTAATCGCTTTGCACCCAAACGGAGAAGAATGGGCGACGGACTGGCAGCACAAGTTCATAAGATTGGCGTTTCTCAGGAATATCAGCGAAATTCGAATCGCATATACTAGGAGTAAGACTATTCTCCATTGGAAAATGCACCTTTTTCACTTTTTCAGGTGCCGATTTCCGATTTCTGAAACGACGAGTGAACGATCTGATCGACACATTAACAAGAGTGCGGACTCCGCGCGGATGGGTCTCGCAGAATGGACAGAAATCGTATCGATTGTATGATAACTCGCGACCACCGATCATCGCTTCGAAGATCTTCGAAAGTGTACCGAGACCGGAACGTCGACGAGACTTATGGGGATACGTCGTTTAATTCGTTTTGAAAACTCGATTCGCGCTAATAAACGATATCGCAACGTTCGCTTTTTATTTACTCTAGACCTCAACGTGTACCTTTCAGTGTTGAGCGGAATTCCGTCTGCCGTCTTCCGTGGTTTTTTTTGTTCCGTCTTCCGTCTGCCGTCTTCCGTGAGAAAAGTTTTCTTCCGTCTTCCGTCTGCCGTCTTCCGTAAAAAAATGTTTCTTCCGTCTGCCGTCTTCCGTCTTCCGAGATTTTTTCTTCTTACCGTAAAAGAGTAATAGCTTTTCAAAAGCCATTTACTAGTCCCGAAGAACGCGAATTTCCACGGGCAGTACCCAGATCCAAAAGTTTTGTTGCTTTAGTTAATTTTTTCATTAAAAAAAACCGGAAAAAAGGGCTCTGAATTGACGATTTTTTGTTCCGTATTCCGTTTTCCGGGAAAAAAGTTTTCTTCCGTCTTCCGTCTTCCGGATTTCAAAATTCCAAAATTCCATTTCCGCTCAACTCTGGTACCTTTTTGTCTATTTCAAAAGGATGTTCCCAGAATCACTTTCAAAATTTAAATTTCGGTGACCTTATTAAAAGTGTGTGTAATTTGTCAATTTTGCATAATTTCTGACATTTGAGCGCTCAACGGGTGCGCAATGAAACGCACATTATAATTAGATTGCGATCGCTGCGATTAGATTGCAATCTAATAAGATTTCACTGGAACTTCAATCAAATCTTATTAGATTGCGAAATGGAGCCTTTTCTAGTTAGATTGCAATCGAGTTCCCAGGATTACTCGAAATGGGACCGAAGAACAAACGAAAGAGCTAGCGATCGCACTATAAGCGCGATGGCCAGACTTCTGCAACATGGTGAACTTCAAAATACAATGTCGAAATAAGATTAAAATAGTAGTAATAAATACATGTAAGGCTAGTAGAGTCGAAGTTAAAATTGTACACAATCATGGCACAGAAGTTTAAGAATCGGAGCGAGCATTCAGGAGCCCTCCACGTCCTCGTCGTCTCGTCTTTTCCTCTTCGAACCGACCGTCTCCTCGTCGCCCTCTCTGGGTCGTTTCAGCTGTTGCGTCTCTTTATTGTTCACTTCCACCAACTCGATCTGAAATTTATTCGGAAATTTCGGTGTCTGATGCAGCCAGACAACGTACATTCCGATTACCTTGCCCGGGCGGCTTTTTGAGAGGCGAAGGCTTCCTCGGGAAGAATCGCAAAAAGATCTTCTCCTTCCGTTTTCCGTCCGCAATCTTCGGTCCTTGCGGCGGCGACGCGGAACTCTCGCCGGAGCCGAGGTATCCGTCGGATTCGGGCTCGTTTTCTGCCGATTCGGATTGATGCCGGCTTTCACGATGTACTTTCGACGACGACGGTTCTCCGGAGGCGTTTCGCTTCAAATAACTCGGCGGAGGAGGAGAAGGGCACGAGAATCTAACGGCTGTCCTAGAAATTACGTTTTCTTTTTGCAGTTCGAATGATTTTTGGCCTACCTCTTTGTGGTTTTACTCTGTTCGAGGAGGAACTCGAGAGTCCCCTCGATCCGATTGAGAACATCCGGAATCGCCGTCGAATCGCCCATAGCGTCTGGAAATTATACATTTTTACGAATTCGAGTTGTTTTCTTGGAATCTTCGGCGACTTTCACGGAGAAAAAGTTTAAAGCACCGTTGATGACGGTTGATTAGTATTCTCAAAACTCGAAGAAATAGGTTAGCGAAATACATTATTTTCCGGTTCAACATGGTCGAAATAGGAAAAGATCGTACAAGAATACATTAAGAATGGATCATACATGAAAATAATTGAATGGGATCGTCAGAAATGATAATCAATGAGAGGCGGCTACTTGGTCCTTCCTCGCTTGCTTTGGCCACTCTCATCCGACGAGTGCTTTCTGCGATATCCCAGGCGCGCCGGCTGTCCTGATTCTTCTTCCGGGCGAACATCTTCTTCGGCCATCTCCTGTGCTTCTTCCGCGCCTCCGGCCAGTCTCCCTGCCGAAGATCCTTCTCCCTCATTGCGGAGCCCGAAAGGGCCCGGCGAAATTTGGGCGGCAGCAGGCAGTTGCACATATTCGCCGTTGAAGAAAACAAACCGCAATGGATCCGCAGGAACTTGAGCTGGTGCATCCGCCATGGGCACATTTACCGATTGCATCATCTGCGCAACTTGTGGCGGCAATCCAGCTTCCAAACGCGGCTGATCTTGTTGAACTTGATCTTCTGCGGGCGGTCGCTCTGCCGAAGATCCTTCTCCCTCGTTCACCGACACCCACCGCGGCGAAATCGCATTGCGGCGCCCTAAACGCCCCGGCGAAATTTGGTCGGCAGCGGGCAGTTGCACATATTCGCCGTTGAAAAAAACAATCCGCAATCCATCCGCAGGAAGTTGAACTGGTCTATCCGCCGGCGGCACATGTATCGATTGCAGCATCTGCACAATTTGTGGCGGCAATCCACCTTCCAAACGCGGCTGAACTTCTTGAACTTGAGCCGCCGGTGCCTCGTGTATCACAGGCTCGTTCTCCGGAGCCGCCTCTTGGAATGGATCGGCGGGGATCGGCGGACCTTCCTCTTCGACGGGTGGGACAACTCTAGAAAAAGCGAGTTTGTACGTGAGCCGGGTTGAAATGTGAATGAAAACGAGAAACGTTTCGCCACTGCTTACCCGGGCTGTTCATTGTCCACGGGCAGCGCTTCCGGATCGTACGACTCTGTTGAACGACTGCTTCGGAGCTTCATTCTTCCGGCCATCTGCTGCTCGATTCCTTCCACGTCGTCGTCTTTCTCCGTTTCTTCGTCGTCCGCATCGCCTTCATCGTCGACCGAACTGTCCCCCGATCCTCCGCCGTTATCCTGAAAGCAATTATTTAGAACCAACAATTCTGACAGAGTAGCACGAACTTCGCCTTCACTATCGGATCCGCCTCCGTCTCCGCCGCCGCCAGAGGGGCCGGCCGAAGAGGAGGACTCCTGCGACGTTCCTTCTCGTGCGGTTCCTTCCTGGTTGTCAGAAGACGTCTTCGACTGAGACGTGGATTGTCGTTGTCCTCTTCTCGACGACGGCCCACCGGACAGAACCATGATCGCGCTCATCGTTGCATCGCTCCCAAATTGCTCCTCGCTCTTCTCGGCTTCTGAAGGCCTCTCATCGCTCAGTTCCGACGATTCGTCATCCGACTGCTCTACCACGTAAAAACTGTCCTCGAGCGTCTTGAGAAACAGCTCATCGTCTTCTACGGGCGGCGCCGCTCGATCCGCAGACGGCTCGTCCGGTCCGTCCGGTTTTTCCTCGTTTGCGACATGCACTTCCGGTTCGTACTGTTGTTTCTCCGTCGCCTTCATCCAGTCTCTACTGAAAAATTGTAAAATTGACTCTGAAAACTGTGAAAATGGACGTACAACTGGTTCGCAGCTTCTTGCACGACAGTTGCGACCTTTCCCGATATTCCCTGGTAGAACCAATTGTCCAATTGTTCTAAAAAAATTGTCATGCTGGCCATGGGTCCTGAAAATGAAAAAATGTATTGAAATGCGTTTGAACGCAAGTTTCTGCGCAGAAAAAGCAGAGAAGAACATGGATTTCAGCAGTCAAAAATTTGAACTGTTTGGCGAGTTTCGCATTGGAGCGCATTTGAATTGTTAACATTTTTGGCGGCAACCAAAGCGAAAACGTCTGTAATTCAGGAATTTTCCAGGAATTTTCACCTGGAAAATAAAAAATACGAAGGTTCTTCGACATTTACTCTAATTTTTCACAGATTTTTTTCTCTTGTTTGTCTTCTCTTTTGTTTTTTTCTTGTTTTCTCTTTGTTTTCTCTTTTTTGAATCAATTGTAATCTCACTTATCGTCAAACTTGCAACGGGCTGGACCGGACTGGGCTGAAATAGAAATTTTCCGGAAATTTAATCTGAAACTTAAATTTTCTGGTTCCAACTATTCCTTTTCATAATGGCTTATACTCCTCTGTTCCCAATCGCTCTTGACTTTAAATACAATTATGGATGGTTGCCCTTTTCATAGCCTCTTTACACGATTGTCCGGAAAGTTCCTAGACAAAAGTTCTCTACCCCAAGATCATGGGTCACTTCTCTCACGTCTTTTCTTTGAAAACGACCATCATCTACTCGTCTCTGTGTAGTGTGGCGACCTTCAGATTCTCGACGATGAAGTGCACCGATACGCGCGACGCAGACACTCGGCCACGATTGATATAAAAACGGCGAAAAATAGGGGGAAGTAACCTCATTTCGTTTGTGTTTTGTAAGCAGGAAGTCTTTTTCTTTACTATCCGTTTTCCCCCACTGCAGAATGTACAAATTCGGCCCTCTTCTTCTTCTTCTTCTTCTTCTCGCCGCTCTTCTCGGAGTCGTCGTTTCGCAGTGGGATCAAGGAGGCTTCGGAGGAGGTCCAAGAGGTCCGGGACCGTGGAACGGACCAGGTGGACAGGCAGGAAATTGGGGTGGTAACGGCGGAAATTGGGGTGGAAACGGCGGCGGCGGGCGAGGTGGATTCGGCGGCAATGGCGGACAATTCGACAGCATCGGAGGAGGATTCAATGGCAGAGGTAATCAATAATAGTTGGCTAACTGATTCTGAGTCCACGTTTTGTTTTCAGGGGGATTTGAAGGCGGAAACGGAGGCGCTCGCGGCGGTTTCGATTCAAATAGCGGCGGCGGTCGAGGAGGATTCGACAATGGAAACGGAGGCGGTCGTGGAGGTTCCGAGGGAGGAAACGGAGGCGGTCGAGGAGGAAACAACAATAGCGGAGGAGGAGAAGGAGGTCGCGGTGGAAACCAAGGTATTTATAGAGAGAGAGAGAGAGAGCAGAATTGCCGAAATTTCTTTTAAAAACTCTCAATTTTCTGGCAACGCAGTGGTCCGATCGTCACCAAACTTGAACAGATTATCAAAAACCATGTCAAAATGAGCACTATCCGGTTTTGGGTTGATCGGACCAATTTAATGGTTACAGGCCCTTTAGGAAAAAAATTTTTTTTTCAATTTTTTCATGAAAAATGAAAAGTTAAATTTACAATTATTTTTCTATGAGCAGAGTTCACTTTTCTATACATTTCGTCAGTTGATCACATTCCATGAAAAAATTTTCTAAAAAAGATAAAAATTCTTCCGTGTTCTTCCGTTGAGTTCCTCCGCTCAACTCTGATCCCTAGTCAGGAAACATTCACGCCAGAACGTGGCCTCCCTTCGCGCCCTCTCGTAGTGTTGCTAGTGTAGCGCAGTGGTTACACTTTTGGAAATCTAAACTGTAAATGTTTGAACCCAAGTAGAATGAAATCATTTTTGCGGTGTCTATCTCACATCTGGATCATTTTTCAAACATTTTACATTTCAGGCGGTAACGGAGGTAACGGAAATAACGGAGGCGGAAGAGGCGGAAACCAGGGTGAGTAGAAGGACCGAAAACTTTTTCGTACCCACATAATTTTCAGGCGGCGGCGGCAACAACAATGGAGGTGGAGGCAGAGGAGGAAATCAAGGTGAAAAAATAGTGCGCACCTGGCAAATGTGAAAATCGTGATGTTTTCAGGTGGAAACAATGGCGGTGGACGTGGCGGAAACGGAAATCAGGGAGGACGCATCGCCGAGAACATTCTCGGGTCCATCTTCGGATAAATCGAGCGCAAACGACTAATATAAAATTTTTCGAGAAATTATTGATTTTTGAAAAGAAACAGTGGTCACCGAACGTCTTGAAACCAGACAGTTTGAAATAAGTTGTATACTGAGAGACTATCATTGCGATATAGTTATTTAAACAAGGGAAAAAGTTTCAACACTTATTGAAAGAATTGAGTGGATTCCTCATCAGGTTCAAGGCAATATGGCTTATCGTGGGGCCCGGTTCACTTGTAGTCGGCTCTTGCACATTTATGCGTGGCAACGGACCAGTTTTTATACTTCGAAGAGATTTTTCTAAACCTCTCGGTCACTTTGAACGACAGGCTCCGCTCACCAAAATACTTTTTCATATCCTCGCGTCTATCCGGGTCCTGACAGTTCACCATCACCGTGGTCATTCAAATTAATGGGCGCGGCCTTCTAATTAGTGGGCGTGGTCATTCTAAATAATGGGAGTGGGCATTCTAATTAGTGGGCGTGGCCATTTCTAATTAACGGGCGTGGCCATTCTAATTAGTGGGCGTGGTCATTCTAAATAATGGGCGTGGCCATTCTAATTCATGGGCGTGGTCATTCAAATTAGTGGGCGTGGCCATTTCTAATTAGTGGGCGTGGCCATTTCAAATTAGTGGGCGTGGTCATTCTAGTTAGTGGGCGTGGTCACTCTAATTAATGGGCGTGGCCATTCAAATTAATGGGCGTGGCCATTTCTAATTAGTGGGCGTGGTCATTCTAGTTAGTGGGCGTGGTCACTCTAATTAATGGGCGTGGCCATTCAAATTAATGGGCGTGGCTCCTTTGTCGGCACTCTTATCACTAATCTCTGCCGGTAATTAAGACCGCAGATGTGGAAATGTGAGCTTCACGCGGATTTGCGGCAAATTTCAAAGCAACCGAATTAATTACTGTTGGAGATTAGTAATAAGGACGCTGACAAAGGACTCCGATGGGAAAGACGTCACGGCACCGTGCCAAGAGGACTCAATAAAATGTCTGAAAGATAAGCTCCTGATTTATTGATTGATTTGTCGTTAGCGTGAAGTGAACTAGTACTATTCTATTCTTTCTCCTCTTCTCGTGGTTGCCCAGTGCTCCAAGAGCTCCGAGCCAAAAAAGAGGAGAAATGAGAGGCGGCTCGGCGCTCTTTTTCATCGCAAAAGAGTACGTATTCGCATTCACTCTGTTCTTTCTTTCTTCCCCTCCCCTCTCAAATTCATTTATTCTGCAGCGCCTCTCGCTTTCCGCCCCCCATCCTCATTCCGTGCCCATTGAGGCCTCAAATGTGAACGCCATGCTATTCCGCTCTTTCATTTCACTCATCGCCCTCCTCGCCGCTTCCCTAATAGTTCTCATCGTATTTTGTGGCCTCAAACTGCTCGTGACACCCCTGTTCATCCTGCCAGACCACATTAAAATTGCGCGGTCGCGGCCGAAAAACCCACCGCCGCGGCCGAGCACTCCGCCGCCCGTCGGACGCATTTCCTACTGGGGCACTGCTTTCGGATCCGCGTGCGATCAGACGAGAGAGGCGATCCTTTGGGAGGAGTGTCAGAAGATCGCAATCCGGTGCGGCGAGCAGACGAGGAGGTATGAGGAGGAGCGGAGGAACGATGAGAGAATGTTCCGGAACATTAGCTATCACTGCTTCCGAGCCGCTGTAAGTTCTAATGCATCTTATCTCAGCTGTCTGTGAAGATATCGAAAAGTTTTCAACTAATAAAATGTACACAATGTTTTAATGAATAATTTGTTTGTTGACAACTTTTCGATATCTCTGCCGACAACTGAGATATACGCTTAAAGATAGGGACTAGTAATTTTCAACAGACAAGACAGTATATCTCAGCTGCCGATAGAGATATCAAAAAGTTGTCAACTGACAAATTAATTATTAAAACATGGCGTACATTTCTTCAGTTGACCACTTTTTTGTATCGCTACACACAGCTGAGATACAACGTCTTGAACAAACGGTATGGGAGTACCTGGACCCACCAAAATTAATCCTTCATCTTTCAGGATTGTATGACCAAAATGTACTGCCGAAGTGGTGACGAAATGTACGAGCGCTTTTATCGAATTCCCAACGGATTTTTCCAAAAACACGGCGAGCTACCAAGGTGCATCGTCCGATTCTATCGGGCAATTCGGCAAGATTCATTCGGCAACTGTACCGGCCAATTTGATTTCTTATCGGTAAGACATACCAAAAAATTGTTACTATTATTATATGTCTACAGAAAAACGCGACCATCAAATACCAAGCATATGTGCAGGGACGTCAATGTCTCGTGGATTTTGCTGAGAAAAACTGCCAAAAATTGACATTTCAATACTTGCGACGCAATTATTCCAACTTTTTGGAGCTCTCAATGACGCCGTCGGGTTCTTGCGGACTTTATCAAAAGTACGAGGCACTCGAGTGTCAGGACTTTGCGGATTCCTTCAAGAAAAGTGCAAATGAGCCGATTGACTATGGAAAAGTTGCGGAGAAGTGTGAGAGCATGCAGGTAACCTGAAAAATTGACAATTTTGAAGGTGTACAGCAGAGTTAGAGCTCTGAAAATTGTTTTGAGAATACTTCACACCTAGTACTTCATTTTTCTAGTTGACAACTTTTTCATAGCACCACTCCGAAGATGACTGTAGCTCTTGGAAGTTGCGGTCCTCAAAGCTTGCACTCTAACTTCCAAGAGCTACACTACTCTTCAGAATAGTGCTATGGAATAGTTGTCAACTGCAAAAATAACGTATTAGGTGGTGCAGATTACACTTGAACACTTTTTAGCTCACAAGCGATGCCCGTTCAAAGTCACATTTCAGTCCTGCATCGCCAACCTCACCGACGATTGTGCAATCAGCAAAACGTTCACGAGGACGACACAAGAGTACTGCGAAAAGATGCGCTTCCTCTCCACGCCTTTCATGCAATGTCTCGAAAGTATCAAAGCGAACCGATATCGTCCGAATCTCGTAAAGCATCACTGTTTCGTCGGACACGATTTCAACGACGACGCGAGCGCCTGTGCTCGATTCGGAAGAGCCGATGTTGTGAATTGTGTAAAACGGATAATGGTCGACTTTTGTGGATCCAAAGTTGAGAATGGGTACGATGAGGCGAGGAGGTATCTGCTCGAGTCGTGGGATTGCCACGAAAAGTCGAGGATTCCGATCGGCGAGTCGTTTCACAAGTTGTACATGGATCTTCGACACGAACTAACCTAGTGCGTCCATTTTTCAATTCTCCTGTGATAAAACTTTTGTAGCAATAAATTAGCAGCATGAAAATCGTTTGGTGAAATCCCATGGAACGTGGAACTCACTCATTCGATTGATTTCGACACTCCGCCCTTTTGACCTCTATCGGAGAGCCTTAAAAACCTGAAAAACACAATAAATGCGCTTCTGTACGGGCAAAAAACAACATAAAATTCGTTGAAATCGCGTCGTTTCCGGAAATCAAAAATTTTAAAAGCTCGGGTAGATTTACGCTCCCCTCGTGTCGAGACCCGCGCGGCCGTGGCCTAGGATCCGATTCGCCTATTATCTGTTATCAATAAAACTTTCGAACGAATGTCAATCCAGCCTGATGTGTGAACCCTGCGCGTTTGAACCGAAGAACGAGAAAAGTGTCCGTCATCAGCACCGTGTGTCTCTCTAAATCTCCGCTTCCCGCTCACGCACTCTTCCAGCGTGTTTATCGACTCTCACGTGTATTTTTGCTTGTTCTCTGCTCGGTTTTTGACCGCCTTTTTCCCTATTTAAAAGTGAAAAATTGAGCAACTTTCAAACTTATCTTTTCGCGTGCGCTTTTTCGTTCTACAACCGTTTCTCACGTCGTTTCCATTCATTCCTTCGTTCTTCGCGCCTTCCGAGAATGGCCGCGAAGATTCCGAGAATCGCGATAATCGGCGAAGGAGTCATCGGATGCACGTCGGCCCTGCAGATCGCGAAAGCGATCCCGAACGCCCGGATCACGGTGCTCCACGACAAACCGTTCGAATCGTCGTGCAGTGCCGGACCCGCCGGACTCTTCCGAATCGACTACGAGGAAAATACGTTAGTTTTTGTGTTTCAGAGCTTACAATCTCCTTTTAACCTGATCTAATGTGATTGTTTTGCAGTGAGTACGGACGAGCCTCGTTCGCCTGGTTCTCGCATCTGTACCGTACCACGAAAGGAGCGGAGACTGGCGTGAAGTTGGTGTCCGGACACATTCAGTCGGACAATCTCGAATCGCTGAAACAACAACAACGGGCCTACGGCGGCATTGTCTACAATTTCCGGTTTCTGGACGATCGAGAACGTCTCGACATGTTCCCCGAGCCGTCAAAGTGAGTAGAACCAGAATTAAAGGCGTTTTCAGACAATGATCATTTCAGACACTGCATCCACTACACCGCCTACGCATCCGAGGGCAACAAGTACGTGCCGTACCTGAAAAAGTTGTTGCTCGAGCGAAAAGTGGAGTTCAAGCGGGAGGAGGTGAAGAGTTTGGACAAAGTGGCCGACGACGGATACGATGTGATTGTGAACTGTGCCGGATTGGCGGGCGGGGCACTCGCTGGCGACGATGACACGTGTTATCCGATCCGTGGCGTCATTCTGGAGGTGGACGCGCCATGGCACAAACACTTCAACTACAGGGACTTCACCACGTTCACCATTCCAAAGTGAGTCGCGTTGGCTCAGCAAATGCGCTCCGCTGCACTCGCCACTTTTCTCTTTTCATTTTCGTCTCTAAATTCATTTTTTTGCCAGAGAGAACACTGTCGTGATCGGTTCGACGAAACAGGACAACCGCTGGGACCTGGAGATCACCGACGAGGACCGCAACGACATTCTCCGCCGCTACCTTGCCCTGCATCCGGGCATGCGAGAGCCCAAAATTGTGAAGGAGTGGTCGGCGCTGCGGCCCGGCAGAAAACACATTCGGATCGAGGCGCAGCAGCGGAAATCGAAGAATTCGTACACGGTGGTGCATCATTACGGCCATGGAAGCAACGGATTCACGCTGGGCTGGGGCACCGCCATCGTGGCGACGCGGCTCGTCAAGAAGGCGTTGGGAGTGGAGGAATGAGTTTATGTCGGGAAGGAATGAAAAAATGCAAATAGAATATCTTCAACTCGATGTTTAGCAACAATTTTAACTCGTGAACTTGTTGAATTCACTAAAATAAATGTCCGTCTTTTGGTCGTGATCTCTGTAGATCATTTGCTCGCCGAACGTTGATTTCGGCGTCGGCTCGATCGATTTTCGATGGAAACACGAACTAATCTGAACTCTTTTGCTTTTAAAGTTGAAGTTACCACATCACACGGTCTCCAGAGCTTACAATATGGGCGTGGCCACCGCGAAATTGCGTTTTTACGAAGTGAGCACGAAGTGAGAAGTGAGCACCTATTTTTGTTCTCAAAAGCGATGAAAAATCGTACTTTGATCATCAATCACGTAAATACAATTATTTTAAGCGCTCGAACAACAAAAAAGAAAAAAAAATTTAGTGAAAAACAACTGAAATTCGCACAATTTTCGGTTAGTGCGGTGGAGCGCACTTGCGTCTATTGTAAGCTCTGGAGTTTACCAATCGTCTCGTCTCCTTCTGCCATTCGGGCAGTTCCGAGTACAAAATGATGGGGACGGTGAAGCCGTAGGCGAGGGCGAACAGGTTGAAAGCCATATAGGACCAATAAAGAACCAGCAGGTCGACGCGGAAGTGGTCCATGAGCAGGATCGAGCAACTGCCAATGTTGAAGAACAGAATCGAGAGCTGCACTTTTTTCAAAACTTTGCACATTTTGATGTTCTCCGCCAACTGGAACCGCTCGCTCAGCCCGTAACTGTCCGCCGAGAACACTTTGGTGTCGCTGTAGAACTTTCTGAAGTCAGTTTCGTTCGGTGAATCGCTTGGGACCGCCGCGGCGCGTACTTGTATCTGCGAGTATTGTAGGAGAAACAAATTTCGATGCCAATGTAGCCGATGATGTTGACGATGAAGAACGAAATGACGTGGAAGGCGACTGGCAGCCAGCCTAGAAAAAAACGCTGTAACCTAAATTTTTTTCGTGCGCGGTGTCAGCTTACATTGAATATAGGCAAGAGCGGACGCGAAGACGAGCGGATGGAAAATCGATAAAATCATCAGAGACACCCAGATTTTACGCGATTTCTCGTAGTTTTTCACGAAAAACGTGGCGAAACATCTGAACGTGAAACGTTGAAAACGTTGAGAATTTTCCATTAAAGGTTTCCGACCGCTCGACCATAAAAATGGGCAAAATGTACATGGCGATGAACAATCCGATGGTGCGAATGTAGTTGGCGAACACAATCGGAGTCTTCAAATCGTCTAAAAGATGTAGTTTTTTCTATGACACGGTCTCCGGAGCTGACAATATGGGCGTGGCCTCGGCCAAATGGAGTTTTCATGAATTGAGCAGGTTTTCTCTGATTTTTGTGGTCAACGGCGATGGAAAATGATTGTTCGACATGAAAACACACTAATTCTCACAGAATTAATGACGTTTTGGCGCATTTTTCGCGGACTTTGCTTTTTCGCCTTCGCCGCCGATCGCCGCCTAAAAACCGCACTTCTCATTTTGCGCTTTCTTGACCGTTTTCAGACAGAATTAGTTTTGAGAATGATAAATCACGTAAATACAAGCATTTTGAGCGCTCGAACCGCGAAAATTACCGGGAAGCAACTGAAATTCACGCAGTTTTAGCCAAAAACCTTCAAATGGATGAATGTGATTTGTGACTTGACCAAATTTAACGCTCTTGCGCTTAAAAAATTCGTAATGGCCTATACAATCGGTCTATCGAGAGACAAATCAGAAATTATCGATTTTTTGTGGCTAATTTGGCAAAAAACACAAATTTTGCTGTTAAAATTTGAATTTCGTATCGCTCTATTGGGCGAGGCGCACTTGCGCCCATTGTCAGCTCTGGAGACCGTGTATGGGAAAAGTACAAAACGTACTATTCGGGTCGTTGCCGAGTTGTTGATAGACGATCAGACACCGCGAGAGCATTGAACAGAAATATTGGCCGCCGTAGTTCATGAACAGAAACGTGAGGTTGAAGTGCATCGCACGAATGAACACGAACAGGTAGAAGAGGTAGAGGAACTCGATCCAGCTGGAAAATGTACGGTTCTTTGTTTTTTCGAAAAAGTAAGACTTTGCCGCTCAAATACCGTACAGTAATAGCAATAGCAATTTGCAATTCAACTAAAAACTGCATACAAAAAAGATTTTTTTCAAAGCGAAAACCGGTAACTCACCTAATTACAAGTACTCCGAATTCAATCTTGAGCAGCGCGTCGAACACAGTCTCCAAATTTTGCTCTTTCAAATAGGTCGTATTCACAAAAGTTATGAAGCGGACGTCGGATGTGCTCTGCGAGCACATTTTGAGTATTATGGACAGAAATGGACGAGCTCGGCTCTGAGATAGTTTGTAGGAATGTGGGGTAGTCACTTGCGTAAGCAGGACGGAATGTAGTCGTTGAATCCGAACTGAAAAATCTGCAAAACAGAGAGAATGTGGTGAAAATGCGAATAAATATTGTTGACTACTACCATTTGTGACGGTGGATACGTTTTTTTTTTTAAGGCAGTAGTATTTGAGATCGCCTCTCGGGACGGAAATGGTGGTAATTGGACCGCTTGTCGAGGAGAAATTACCGGGATGACTGGATGCTAGGAAAACGGAAATGATTCTAAAGTATGGTTGTGCTTCGAAAAGAAACGACACAAAAGAAAAATTGATAAAGTGGAATCGAACTTGTCGAACTTTCTGGACGAAGAGCCAAAACAATGTCCCCTGGACTACAGCAACAATAGGAAACGATGCGGTGAGGGCAGTGATAAGCACGCGGCAAATCGCAAATCGCAAATCACAAAACGTGCTGAGCAATATTGACGAAAAAGGAAAATTGGGCAAATTACGCAGTCAATATTATTAAACTTTGAGGGTTTCAAATGAAGTTAATATTCAGAGTAAAACGACGAGTGATTCAGGGCGGACTGCTCGATTCGTGACGACGTCACGCGCATCGAAAGTGCACGTCCTGTGAGATTTATGAATTGTGCGAAATTAAAGTTTGTTTCTTTAGCCTCATTATGTGTCCACCCCGGGTGTCCGCCCAAGTGGGCAATCTTTCAAAAGCCACGGAAAAAAGCGAGTTCAGCAGTGAAAATCTAATTTTTTTGTTGCTATTTTTTGTCTTTTCACGTGCACCGATTGCTCGCTCGGCACAAAAAGGCGTAATTTGAAAGTCCACGACGTTCTGAAACTAAAATTCGAAATTCGCGGCAAAAATCGGTCGTTTGAATTGGCGGAGAAAGCTAGGCCAAGAAAACTAGGCCACTTCTAACTTTTCAGCTTCTTTCGAAAGAAACTGCGTGCCGCCCTGAAAATTCTGATCTATCTTGCTTTTTCTCGTCGAGAATGTGTTTATTGTGACCGAAACTAACAAAAAGCTACGAAAAACTCAAAAACATTTCTGAGATTCAGCACGAAAACAGTTTTTTCTCGAAAAATGACTGCTCACGCTTGTTTTTGGTGTCTCTTTGTTAGTTTTCTTCGTAATTCCAAAAAATCAGGTGAATTGAGTCAGGCCTCTTTCGGCAGCCCGCATTTCAAGTGTTGACGCACAGAAAAATACATTTTTTGGGATTTTTAAACAATGTTTAGGTAGAAAATGGCCTATCTGCGCTTGAGCAGCCATTTTTCGACAAAAACAACTGTTTTCATTCGAATCCCAAGAATTTTTTCGGCGAGTTTCCCCGACCAGATCATAGTACGATTTTATTCGAATCCGCTCCCAATCACTCTTTTTTCTTATCTCCTCAAACCGGTCGCCGTGAAATTCGACGGAGAAAGAAAAAGATAGAGAGAGAGACAGAGAGAGAAAGAGAAAGAGTACATTTGTTGAAATGATCGCTCTCTTTTCCATTCAACGCATCCGACGCAATGGCGCGTGGATATCGGATAGCTACCGAGTTTTTTTGTTGTTCGATTCGATTGCGCCATTGAGGATCGGAATTCGAATGATACGCGCAGCAGGATTGAGAGGAGACGTGTTGATATTATCCGGAGAACAAACCGAAGAACTCAAAGGTGCTTGGTCCAGACTTACTCGCAAACTCTCCGAGAAATGAGATTACTGACCAGTTCGGCCGAGCAAAGACCGATTTTCCTGCACTTCTTGGTTGGCTCGTGACTTGCTTGGGCTACAGTAGTCCTAGGAGTGAACAGTTGTCAACTAGGGAAATGAAGTACTAGGTATGAAGAGTACACTCAAAAGTTTTCGGAATGATACAATTTATTTTAAGTTTGCCGTGCGTTTGGGAATGAGACTTCCAGAATCTGACAATATTGAAAAAGTTTCTCTCTTTTTACATTGAAAACCGTATCTCCATACCCAGTACTTCGTTTTTCCAGTTGACACCTTTTTTTTACCGTCACTCTGAAGAGTACTGTAGCTATTGGAAGTTACGGTCCTCAAAGTTTGCACTCCAACTTTCAAGAGCTACAGTAGCCTTAGAAATGGTGATACAAAGAAGTTGTCAACTAGAAAAATAAAGTTCTAGGTATGAGGATGACACTCAAAATTTTTCAGATCGATTTGACCATTCTTAGCTTGGCTATACGCACTCAAATTTGACAGTTTTTACAGCAGAAGCTTCTCCGATGTTGCCATTGAATCTGATCCAAGTTGATCCACATCGATCATCGAAATTCACCCCTACGAACCTGATTATTGCGTCAGATATGTTATGCATGTGAAATTCAGTCCAAAGTTCGAAATGGATAACTGTTCAGGTGGGCAACATTTTCGTTTTCCGCGCGGAACGATAGGCGCCGCCCCTCGCGGAACGGGTTTCTGGATATAAAAGGTGGGTTAACTGGGTGCTTCGACAGCTTCATTCCAAGTTTCACAACTCGACTCGAAATGCGATCGTTCGTCGTCCTCGCCACCATCGTCTCCACCTCGTCCGCCTTCCTCTTCGGAGGACTCCTCGGCGGAGGAGGCGGAGGAGGCGGAGCTTGCTGTGCCCCGGCTCCGGCTCCGGCCCCCGCTGCCGGAGGATACGCTGTCGCGCCTCAAGCCCCGGCTCCAGCGTACCCAGTCGCTCCAGCGCCAGCAATTCCATCCGGAGGATACGCCCAAGCCGGACCAGCCGCCTTCGGAGGAGCCCCACTTTCAGGATTCGGAGGACTCGGCGGAGGATACCAGGCCGCTCCGGCTCCGGCTCTCCAGCTTCCAACCATCGGAGCCCCATTGCCAGCACTCGGAGCCCCAGCGCCAGCACTCGGAGGAGGATTCGCTGCTCAGCCAGCCGTCGGATACCAGGCTCCAGTCGCTCAAGCCGTCGTCGCCCCAGCTCCGGCTCTCGGAGGAGGATACCAGGCTCCAGTTGCTCAAGCCGTCGTCGCCCCAGCTCCGGCTCTCGGAGGAGGATACCAGGCTCCAGTTGCTCAAGCCGTCGTCGCCCCAGCTCCGGCTCTCGGAGGAGGATACCAGGCTCCAGCGCCAGTTGCCCCGGCCCCAGTTGCTCAAGGAGGATACCAATCGGGACCAGCGCCAGTTGCTCAAGTCTACGAGGCCCCGGTCGCCGTTTCTCAGCCAGCTCAAGTGATCGCTCCGGCGGCCGCGGCCGTCCAATCCGCTGGATACCAGGCCGCCGCTCCACAAGTCGGAGGAGCCTACACTCAGGGAACTCACTAGACACCATCATAGACGCCTATTTATTATTATTATTATCATCATTTGTTTTCGCTTTACCCGTTTGTTTTTATGCAATAAAATTGTCTCTCTAAAATGTTATTTCGAAACGCGGCCGGCAAACAAACAAACACTTATCGTGATTCATTTTTAGATTCCTCGTCATCGTTTGTCACTTCTCACTTTTCAAAATTGAGCCTGTCAAAAATGTGACGGCGTTGATGATCATTCTTTTGTTTCGTGTCTCATGCCTCACTTGTTTGTTTGTATGCTCGGCATTCCTCAATAAAGTTTGAGTTTATCTTAAGCAACTTTTCAATAAAAACTTTGTTCAAACTGTGCTTTAACGTTGCTCAAAGTTTGCCCGACTTTCTGTTTCATCTCTCTCTCTCTCTCTAGTAATACTACCTCCGCAAATTTTGGCGATTAGAAGACATCGCTTTGCAGAAATGGCGCTCTGTTGAGAAACTCTTTTTGCAGTGCAAATTGAGCAGTGACCTCGGGGCCGAGTTTGAAAAGTTAGGCCACGTTTTCAGTGGAAAATTACTTCGCGGCCTAGAAATTCGGCCAGATTGCGAACAGCACGCCCTTTCTGTCTGGTCGCCCCTATAATAAAACAGCTAAATACACAATGATAACGTCTCCCGCGCTCGTTAAATTTCTTTTATAAAACACCACATTTTAATGTATTTTTATCACGGGCCGGCAAAGCATACGGAGGAGTGGAAATTGTGAAACTGTAACTTCTCTCAGAAACCTTACATTTACCTTTGACCTGGCTCATTTTGAAGAACCCAGTAAAACTGAACATTTATCAAAAAATCAGAGGTTCCTATGTTCGATTTCTAGAGATATATTGAAAAAGCCGGGCCGTGAATTTTTATCATTTCCGTTTCGACTTTACAAGTTTTCAGATTCTTTACTGAACATGTGTTTCGGTGAAGAAACAATCGTTGCTCTCGAGAAAGTAATGGAAGAAAGAAAGAGGAAATTGCGCCTTGAAAGAAAATCCAAGCGAACGTTTCTGGCTAGAAGGATAAAACGTTGCAGACGATTTCCTAATTTCGGTAAGCTAGTTCTCACTGTTGGCATCCTCAAATTTTATACGTTTCAGTTCATCAATGCGTCATCAAGAAGAAACGAGCTGCCATGCACAAACTCGGATTTATAAAGGTGGCGAGAATATCGGAAAGTCAAAAGTAAGTGTTTCGTGTTTTCCTCTTCATTCGAACGCTCGCAATTTTCAGCTACTCTGGCTATGAGGAAGAAGAAGATGAATTCTATATTCCAGAAGAAATGCGTTCAATGACGCCCGCTCAAAGAATTGAGTATTTGCTGGAATGGAACAGTATGCAGGGTCTGGCCGCATACAAAAAACGAATCGCTGAGCACGAAAATACGAATTCGGTTAATTCCCGCTTTCCGTCTTCCGCCAACTCTGATGCGGATGAGAAGAAGGTTCTTCATCGTTTCCCGAAGCCGATGCCTGAATTTACACTGCTGAATTCTTCACCCAAAACCCGTAATGCAACATTGTTGAACAACAAAACTTTTCTTATTGTTTCTCTCTCATGAAAAATGAATTCTATCATTATCCCGAGTCTTCGGTTCCGCAGCTTTGTCCCGTGCCTCTAAACGGCACTGTCGACAGTGTTCACCAATTGTGGACTTTCCAATACGAATGAAAAGAGTACTGTAATTACTGTAGCCGCAGGCTCCGACGCAACTCGATGAGCTCCACTTCTGCACACAACTTTGCGTCATACTGTACTAGGGGGGCGTGGCCTGACAAATTTTCGTACCGTACCCAAAATGTTTTACTTTATGTAATCGACGATGCTGAATCCAATGAACAACTCAATTTCCCGCAAAAACGTACCGTTCTCTCGAAAAAACCCGAAAACAAAAATGGACTTCGGTCTGAGTGTTTCCGTTTTTGAAGTCAGATTTGGACTCCCTAGTACTTTTTACAGGTCGTCAAACTGCCAGAAAAGTTAGCGGAAAAAAGAAAAAATTTTCAGCGATGGCTCATACTTACGCTCACAGTGTCAATAAAACGGTGACACAGCAAAATTCGGCAAAATTCTGAACTAGTCGAATTTTATTGTAAGTGAGATCATATATTTGCAGAATGTGCCCGTAAGAGGGCGGAAAAAGAAAAGAAAAGTTTGTTCGAGATTCTGCCTCGATTTTTTTCCGATTTTCTCTTTCTCTAATGCAGAAATGAGCTGTCTTTTTTGAGCTCTGGGAACTCGATCGCAATCTAATACGAACGTGTTTGAAATAGAATTTGCTTCAATTAGATTGCAATCACTGCAATGTTTTCTAATTAGATTGCAATTTTTTCTTATTCGATTGCAATTCAGGAAAAATATATTGTAATCTAATACGATTTTACTGGAACTTCAATTAAATCTGATTCGATTGCGAAATAGAGCTTTTTCTTATTAGATTGCAATCGAGTTTCCAGAGCGACTGTCAAGTTTTAAGTTGGAGAGGCCGACAAGATTGTTCTGCGAGCCTCTGAATAAGAATAATATTACAGATAGGTATAGCGGAAAGAAAAATGCCCGATCCACCGGTAACAAAAGATGTGTCAGAGTTGAAAAGCGGAGAACTGAAAGAGATACAAACACTTTTGCAGCTGCCTTTTGCCAAAGTTACAGATCTTACTGTAATTGAAAACCATTTTTAACAAAAAAAAAAGCAATATTTCATTTTAGGGAATCATTGTAAAGAACAACGATAAATATGGACTTTTGCACATTGCCCATCGACACTGGGAAGACGGAACCGCTGCGGAAAACAGTGAGAAGAAGAACCGTTCGGAGAGCAAGAGAAACCAAAAAGCGGTTACTGTGGGCACTAATAAAGAACGGAAGAAGATGCAAGATGGCGGTGCACCGTCTGCCAAAAATTCGCCAGACAACACAACTGAGAGATTCGAAAATCGCGGATTCAAAAGTAATTCTAACGGTTGTCTAGTTCAGTTTTGTCAAACACTCTGCGGTCCCTACAATGAAAATACCGCAGTTTTTGCCATCCAACACACTGTCTCCAATTCGGCGAAAAAAAAATTTTCGCGCGCTTTTTTGCGTGCGGCTCTCAGTGTCGATTTACAGGATACGGTTTTTCAACTGAAAATGATGTTTTCCCGAGTTTTTGGGATTATGGACAGTTATCCTTCAAAACTTTTGCCTCACGTTTGTTTATATGACCGCCACGGTCTCCAGAGCTGACAATATGGGCGTGGCCTCGGCCAAATGGCGTTTTAATGAATTGAGCAGGTTTTCTCTGATTTTTGTGGTCAACGGCGATGAAAAATGATTGTTCGACATGAAAACACACGAATTCTCAGAATTAATGACGTTTTGGCGCATTTTTCGCGGACTTTGCTTTTTCGCCTTCGCCGCCTAAAAACCGCACTTCTCATTTTGCGCTTTCTTGACCGTTTTCAGACAGAATTGGTTTTGAGAATGATAAATCACGTAAATACAAGCATTTTGAGCGCTCGAACCGCGAAAACTACCGAAAAGCAACTGAAATTCACGCAGTTTTAGCCAAAAACCTTCAAACGGATAAATATGATTTGCGAATTGACCAAATTTAACGCTCTTGCGTTTAAAAAATTCGTAATAGCCTATACAATCGGTCTATCGAGAGACAAATGAGAAATAATCGGTTTTTCGTGGCTAATCTGCCAAAAAACACAAATTTTGCGTTAAAATTTGAATTTCGCGCCAATGTATCGCTCTATTGGGCGGGGCGCACTTGCGCTCATTGTCAGCTCTGAAGACCGTGGACCGATAGCTACAAAACAATCACAGAGTACTCGTGTAAAAGTGAAAATTCGAAGAGTAATTTCGTTTATTAAATTTGGCTTGAAAAAACGAATTTTCGGAAGTTTTGAGAAAAAAAACTGACAGAATTTAAAAAAAACAGTTGCCTCATGATTGTTCAGCAGACAAAGGCGGTCATTTTGAGCACAGAGACGGCCCATAAAATGCAAAAATCACTGAGAAATTTCAGTTTTTGAGGATCCGGACTGAAATTCACAGAAAAGTGTAATAATGCGCGCTTTCTTGTGGGCAAAACGCTAATTTAAGGTCACAGCTGTCATTAACAATTCTGAAATTCCCTGTTTTACTTTATTTTTCTCATTTTCGGAAAAAAAATCCAGAAATTTCCGACCTGCTTTAGTTTTCAACGACACTCCGTTTTAACGCGGCGCTCAATTTAGCATTAGCTGTTGGGGAGACAGTTGTTGCAACAATTGTTCTCACTTTGATAATAAATTTTTCCAGCTCTTCTAAAGGAAGATGGACAATCGGTGGAAAACAAAATGCTTTGGGGAAAAACTACACAGGAAAAGTTCGTAACTGCTATGACGAGTGGAAAAAAAATGAAGGAAACAACGAACCTTTCTAATTGTGAGTGGTTTGTTCATTATTGCAATTACTCTAGAATAACGTTACACATTATGCTTTTCGAAACGAATACTTGGCATTTCAGTTGTTTCCAATGTTCAAGATCAAATCTTCAAATATCTGGAAACTTTATTCAAATCCGAAAGTGTTCGGAAGTGGAAGTTTTTGGGAACGGCAAAAGGAAAATATGATGCTTTGCTGATGTTCTTTGAATGCACCACTAACACCACTGGCGATAGTGAAGTTGTAATGCAGTTAGTCTTCGATAAGTATCAATACCACGAGAACAAAGAAGGAAAAGAAAGCATGTATCGAAATGTGAAAACTGCATTCCCAATAACCAAGAATCGGTTTGAACTGTATGAGGAAGAACATCTTGTTATCCATGATTGGCCTGGTTCGAAAAAGGGTTGATAAAGATGATGATGGTTTGTAAAAGTTACAAAAGGAATGTCAAATGAATGATATTGTGAGGAGTGAACACATATTCCACCAGCTGTTCTCAATTTGCATATTTTTCCTATGATTTGTTTGATTGTTGTGCTAGACGTCGGAATTTTAGGATTTGTTTCTGCTTTAGCCGTTTGTTTTTATGCGATGAAGTTGTTCACAATAGACTCAGTTTTCCACACAACATCATGCTCATTATCGTTCGAAAATTTTCTCTGGATATCCGAAAGTGTGCCACAGAGTCTTTGACTTTGATTTAACACAAAATGCACATGTTTTCTGGTCTGTCGATTCAAAAAAGTTCTCTCAAGAAGCCACCCATATTCCTCTATTTTCCCTTCTCTCATTTTATTCGAAAATATAAACATTTATGTTTATATATTCGATGTATATACAATTTGCACCTGTCGATTACGCGACCGAGTAACTCGATACCTCCTCTATTTCCACATTTTTGTACGGGATTCCCAATCATACTGTAGCTTGCGGTTATACAGATAGAACTCATGAGATGTTCATTTGTCGAGATCTGGAAGTTAGTGTCACAAAAGCTTTTTTCCATTTTTCGTGTCCAAAAAACTTTGGACTCGAGTGCCGCATGACTTGACGGCCAACACACTACAAAAAAGAGAATTCCGTCTATTTTGGTTGTAGTTTCAGGTTCCGGGCCCCAGGCTGGCCTTGTTCTTATAACTCAACGCGACCCGGTCCGTAGGTTTGCACTCAGATCATGAGCACTTGAAGACAATGTTGCGACAGTCGAAATCAGTAATATTTATGGCCTATCAAGTACTGTAACGATCATTCGACTCCGCTTCATAGCCAATCAGAAAAAAACCCCGCCCTTCTCACCGCACACAGTATAAACACCAGAGTTGAGCGGAAGTGGAATTTTGAAATACGGAAGACGGCAGACGGCAGACGGAAGCAAATTTTTCTTACGGAAAACGGAAAACGGAAGACGGAAGAAAATTTTTCTCACGGAAGATGGCAGACGGAAGACGGAAGAAAACTTTTTTCCCGGAAGACGGCAGACGGAAGACGGAAGAAAACTTTTCTCACGGAAGATGGCAGACGGAAGACGGAACAAAAAACACCACGGAAGACGGAAGACGGAAGACGGCAGACGGAATTCCGCTCAACACTGATAAACACACCCGGGTTTGATATCTTTCTACTCGGAACGCATTGCATTCCACCCTCTTCTATCCTCTCTACTTATCGATTCTATGTATTTTGTCACTTATATTTTGAACTCGACATCAAGTGCACTTCAAATGATATCCGATATTTTCTGCGCTCTTCGCACTGTAGGCAAGTGTTGCTTTGTGTTTTACTTCTTCTTTCCAAGTATCTCTTCCAGGCTTTGACCACACAATACTTCAAAGTTTGAAGTTCAAACGATTGTTGGCGGTCTCAATTCTTCAACTCATCCCGCCGAACATTTCAAAATTGTTGTAGAAGTTTCGTGCGGAGAGAAGAAGAAAAGTACGAGGAAAGCGCTAGGATTCGGTATGGCAAAAGAAAATATGGACATTGTGAATGAATAGTTTGAGTAAATCTTCTCTGAAAAACGTAAACTTCGGCCCCTTTCCGAATTCATTGAGTCGATTCCATTTCCACACAAAATGGACGACGATGACAGCGCTCATGTGTCGCTTGGCGAGGTGAAATCGGAAGATTTCCACCGCAATCGATAAGAATTTGGTTTTAGAATTTTCACGAAAAGTCGACGATAAGAATTCGGAGCGAATCGGTTTCCGAGTCGGTAAAATCGGCGGAAACTCAAAATTCAGTCCAAGAAGAAGAAGAAGAAGAATCGGAGCCGAGAGACACGAGACACTATGTGTTCTTCATTTTCATGATGTTCGGGTTCGGATCGCTGCTCCCCTGGAACATGTTTCTCAATATTTCGTTCGATGTAACTATAGTCACCGGTTTGAACGTCGCTTTTCTCAAATTCGGACGTTTCAGTACTACACAATGTTCAAACTGCGGGAAGCGCACGGAAACGCCACGTGGTTTTCGTCAAACTTTCAGAATTCGATGACGGTTTCGGCGCAGATTCCGAGTTTGGCGCTCAACGTCGCCAGCATCTTTTTCACCGCAAAGTTGGTCAATTTCCCCCCGCGCGGGCACGGCGACCAAAAACGTAGAAAGGGGCGTGGCCTAGCGTGCACGGTTTATCACCATTTTGGCGCGAAATTCGAAATTTAACCGCATTTTTCATGTTTTTCGTCAAAAATTAAACAAATTTTGTGTGATTTCGACGATGCGATTGCACAACTTTGTTAAACTAATCATCGCGCGCACTTTTTGAGCCAAAAACGAGCAGGTTTCATTCAGAAATGAATCAATTGAATCGATTTTCAAGTTTTGTGCTGAAAATGCGCGAATTTCAGTCATTCGCCGACACTTTTTGCCGTTTGAACGCTTAAAATACTTGTATTAACGTGCTTAATCACTTCCGAAACACTCACTTCGTCTCAAAACTATCCACATCGGCCGGTATGAAAATTCCGAAATTGCGGCGACGATTGGCCGCGGAGAGCGTATTGCGAAATACGCCAAAAACGTCTCAAACGCGGCGTTTTCACGAAAATTTCGCAGTTTTCTCTCTTTAATGTCTTCTTTCGTCGATATCAAACACACAAATATCGGAATGTGCTGGAATTGCGGCAATTTTCAGAAAACGCGTCTCAGATTAGGCCACGCCCCTTTCTACACTTTTGGTCGCCGTGGCGGGCCCCGGTGAATTCGACGATAATATTCGCTTCAAGGGGCGATCTGACACGTCGTATGAGAGTGTGTCTTCTGATCGTCGAGTCGATGGTTCTGCTGACGATCGGCTTCATCTACATCGATACCGGCAATTGTGAGCGGAGCCGCCGGCAACGCACAATAGTCAATAGCAATGATTTCCAGGGATCGGCACCTTTTTCGTGCTCACCATCGTCTCGATTGTCGTGTTGAACGCGGCGAACGGAATGTTTCAGAATAGGTGGCGATGGGAGAACCACACACTTTTTGAGGAGGCCTGAGCACACTCCATCTTTTCAGCATGTTCGGACTGGCGTCGCCGTTTCCGTTCAAGTACACGAATGCGGTGATCATTGGCCAAAATTTTTGCGGAACCGCCGTCACCGCTCTCGCCATTTTCAGCAAGACTGGTGAGCACGGGGCTTGGATTGGCGTATCTTGGGGCCTAGTTTTCTATCGTTATATCTCCGGACCGCAAATGGCGTTTTCATGGAATGAGCAGGTTTTCTCTGATTTTTGTGGCCAAAGGCGATGAAAAATGATTGTTCGGCATGACAACACACTAATTCTCACAGAATTAATGACGTTTTGGCGCATTTTTCGCGGACTTTGCTTTATCGCCTTCGCCGCCGATCGCCGCCTAAAAAGCGCACTTCTCATTTTGCGCTTTCTTGACCGTTTTCAGACAGAATTGGTTTTGAGAATGATAAATCACGTAAATACAAGCATTTTGAGCGCTCGAACCGCTAAATTTACCGGAAAGCAACTGAAATTCACGCAGTTTTAGCGAAAAACCTTCAAAAGGATAAATGTGATTTGCGACTTGACCAAATTTAACGCTCTTGCGCTTAAAAAATTCGTAATAGCCTATACAATCGGTCTATCGAGAGAAAAATGAGAAATTATCGGTTTTTCGTGACTAATCTGGCAAAAAACACAAATTCTGCTGTTAAAATTTGAATTTCGCGCCAATGTATCGCTCTATTGGGCGGGGCGCACTTGCGTCCATTGTCAGCTCTGGAGACCGTGGACCGGATAATCATCCGATCGAGCTGAGACTTGGACCAAAAAGTGTGCAAAGTTTGGGCTCCAGCGAATAATTGCAAGTGGCTCAAAATCCGATTTTTGCAGTGGAAGGCGACATTCAGATGCAGGCGACACTCTTCTTTTCGCTGTCCTCCGTCGCCATCGTCACCTGCTTCATTCTCCTCATTCTCATCAAAAGATTGGTGAGCCAAACAGTTGAGCACTCTAAACGTTTTCAGTTCAGGCCTTTTACAAAAGATACGGAATCCTGAAGGAGAATGCGAGTTCGGAAGAAGTGGAAGAGGCCGGCAAATGGACAGACATGAAGGAGGCGTTCGCGAAAGTGATCCGACAATAGCGATTCGCGAATCGAATACGATGTTTGCAATTCAGAGTAAAATGCAATTCCTCAACGTGTTCACCATCTTCTTCGTCACCTTATCGCTGTTTCCCAACGTTTGTATGTACGTGCGCGATCCGTTGAAGGGCGAAACGTACGGTTTTCCGTTGCCAGGTGACTGACAATAGTCTAACTTTTCGATATTATCATTCAGAACAGTACTTTATGGACGTCACCACTTTTCTCAACTTTAACTTTTTCGCTTTTCTTGGAAGTCTCCTAGCCAACTGGTTTCGTTTTGTGAGTTCCCACCCCCCCTTTTTGTCTCCTTCAACTACAGTAACCCCTCAGTTTTCCAGCCGGGACCCAACACCCTCTGGCTGTTCGTGTTCGCCCGTTTCTGGTTCCTTTTCTACTTCCCCGCCGCCAACTATCTGCCGATGGACTATCCACGTGTCTACCCGGTCCTCTTCTCATCCACATGGCTTTTCTGCCTCAACGTTTGCGTCTTTGCCCTGACCAGCGGATATTTGAGCTCTCTGGCGATGATGTACGCGCCGAGGCCCGTGAAATTTGTCGCTGTTTGTCAACCGACGAAAAACAAATGTCTTCAGATCGCATGAGAATCCGAAAATGCAACGGATGGCCGGCATGATCGCCTCGTTCTTTCTGATCTTTGGAATTGTCGTCGGACTCGTCTTCTCGTGGCAAATTCGCCTTTTTGTCACCGGCTACGCATGAGCTATTATGTATTATTCATCCGTGTGCCTATTGCACGAGCAAATGCGAAATGAATACTGTCCGTTTGCGGAGCAGCGAGTCCAAGTGTTTCCAGGCCAACTCGCTGAAATTAAACTCTAAATTTTTCTGCATAAAACGCTCACAACCAACCGATTTTCGTGTTTCATTTGCTGAAAACGATTGAATAAACGATGCGCCGACGAAATTTGTCCGTTTTCTGTGAGCACCTTGAGCAACTCTTCGGGCTCATAATGCCAATAGGTGAACACACTCTCAAGCTGAAATTACATTCTATTCTTCAAACTTTTCTCAATTCTCACCGTCTCAAAACCGAGTTTCCCGAGTGCTTGTGCAATTTCCTGACCAACATCTCTCTCCAAATCCTCCTCAATCTGTCCACTTTCATTTCCGGGCCTCAGGACGTGATCCAGGTGTGTTCTGGCTTCAGATCTGCAAAAAAGGCGATGAAAAACGGGCGGCAAGTTCCGTTTCCAACCCATTTCCGTCGTCGCATCGCTCTTGAAACACTCGGCTCAAATCGCACACTTTCCACGGAATTATCGGATTATCCAGCAACGTTTTGAGCGTTTCCTTCTCGTAGAACCAATACGTGAACAGGTCGATGCACTGAAATGTGGCTGGGGTTGAATTTTGGCATTCTCATCAATTTTTATCGTTTTTGGCTAGAAAATAGCAGACTTGCAACGGGCCGGACCGGGCCGGGCCGGGCCAAAATTGGAAATTTTCCGGCCCGGCCCGGCCCGGTCGGCCCGGGAGGATGCACCTAAAAAAAATTGCTGTTTAAAGTCGCAAAATTTTCTCAAGAGTGGGCGGAGCGATTGATTGCAACTCTGGCACGCCATTTTAGCAATTTTGCCGCACGCGTTTTCCTCTTCCTTCATATTTTTTTTGCATATTTTTTTTGAGGTCTAACTTCCGGGCCGACCGGGCCGGGCCGGGCCGACGATTTGCTGGCCCGGGATTTGGCAAGTCTGGAAAATAGCCTCATTTTGAGATCAATGCCAGTTGAAATTCGAAACTCTTCCACCTTTTCAGCGGGACACATCAAATTGAGACAATCATAGCCGAGGGGGCGAGAGAGTCCGGAATGATGAATCAGTGTAGGAACACGGCTACGAGTCATAGTTACAGGCGTCAACTCACAAGCGTGAATCCGCAATCCTCAAGCGTTCTCGCGTCTCCAATATTCGCATTTTTGACGTATCTCAACTCGAGTATCGACTTCTCACCCAACGGATTGCTGCGGAGTTCGTGTTGGTAGAATTCACGAGCATCTTCCATAGTTCATGACGTGATTGGAAAGTGAAAGTGAAAGTGAAAGTGAAAAGGCGCGAGGAGAGGCGACTGACTCTGTTTACTCTTCTGCGCCCGCGAAAAGAGCATTGCGAAATAAAGTGTGATGTATGACAAATGTTTTGTTTTGCGAGCCACTATGCATTAAAACTGTATTGGCTCATTCGAATAGAGATTCTGTGAAACAAGAAATGAGAACTGGGAGGAGCTGACATGAGAAAAAAGAAGTACAAGTGGTTATTTTCAACAAACTTACATGGAAGCAATGATGAAATTCAGTTTGAACACAATTTGAGAGCAATCGGGAATGTTACATGTACAACAGTCTATCGGATTCAGGGGAGCCTGGCTTCTTTCACCTTCTTAATGGCAATCAGATGCTCCAGCTGCTCGACTGGATGCAGAAATGTTGTGATGAGCTCTCGGAACGGGGGCCCGGCGCTCTGCTTCAACTCGGAGAAGACTGTGACGACGCAGTTGAGCGCGCTCCTCCAGTAGACGACGACGCGTTGATCGTCCTCCTCGAAGTGGCCTCCGTACCTCCACAAGACGCCCTTGTTGTCGGGCTTCGGGGAGTCGTAGGCGCTGAAGAGAAACTGGAGGAGGTCGCGCACTGAAATTATAATATTTTGACACTTTGACTACAGAGCGCTCTGCTTTTTTGAAAACATTTCAATTGTCTAACACGTTTCATTTGCGTGCTTTAGTGAAATTTCTTGGGTATTTTTTGAAAAAATTTAAATTTCTCGAGAATATTTGAAAATTTTCAAATTTCTTGGGTAAATTTTCAACGGTATTTTTTTGAAAAAAATTTAAATTTCTCGAGAATATTTGAAATTTTTTTCAAATTTCTTGGGTAAATTTTTCAACGGTATTTTTTTGAAAAAAATTCAAATTCCTCGAGAATATTTGAAATTTTTTTCAACGGTATTTTTTTGAAAAAAATTTAAATTTCTCGAGAATATTTGAAATTTTTTTCAAATTTCTTGGGTAAATTTTTCAACGGTATTTTTTTTGAAAAAAATTTAAATTACTCGAGAATATTTGAAAAATTTTCAAATTTCTTGGGTAAATTTTTCAACGGTATTTTTTTGGAAAAAAATTTAAATTCCTCGGGAATATTTGAAATTTTTTTCAAATTTTTTTGGGTAAATTTTTGAACGGTATTTTTTTGAAAAAAATTTAAATTTCTCGAGAATATTTGAAATTTTTTTCAAATTTCTTGGGTAAATTTTCAAAAAAATACCGTAGTTTTATGGTGTACGGTAACACTCGTTCAGCTGTGCGCACCCCGGATTTCCCCCGCAAATTTCTGCCGACTTTGGACTGCAAAATCCGCGATATTTGCGGGTTTTCCGAGACTTTGGACGCGGCATAATGAGTCACAAAAAGCCTGACAGCAAGCGAAAACCTTACCGATCCTCTGATGCTCCTGCCACTGCATCGCCTCCAATTCCACAATCTTCTTGATGCCCATCGATTCTATAAGGTCTGAAATAAAGAAAGGTTTTTTTTCATGAACTGGCAGAGTGTACCGTACTCGGGAATCCTTCGCTGCTGTAGTCGTGAAGTCGTCGGCCCTCCCAGTGCTTCATGTAGAAATGAGCCGGCTTTTTGTTGGAGAGGTAGATCATCGGCTGGAACGGAAGCGTGTTCTGGCTGTGATATGCGACGATTCCGATTTCCCCCACTCGCGTGCTCGGCGCGCTCTCAAATCAAAGTCGATTGATTGCATTGCAAGTTATTCGAATTGCAATAAACATACCAAGGCTTCGTCGATCTTCAACGATCCAAAATATCGTTTCATGTTGTTCAACGGGTCGATTTTTCCAGACATTTTTTTCTCTGCAAAACTTTAAACGATTATTCATTCGCTTTTTTTTAACCACACATTCAAAGCGCATTTAGAGAGAGAGAGAGACTATCATGCATGTTGTGTTTGGCAGCGAAACCGCCAATGACACACATATATTCTCCACTGCTTACCGTGAGCGTAGGCGGAAAAGAGGAAGACATTGAGAATTGTCTCCTCTCCCTGTGTGCAATGTTTTGGATTTCTCTCCTCCACCGTTGAGACAGACGAGAAATTGAGCGAATATAGGTGAGTTGTGAAACGGGTGGGTGGACAGTATTTTTCAGAAGCGCACAAAGCTCATGAGTCATTAATGGACCGGTGGGACAAGAAATCGACGCCGCTTCTCAATTCACGCCCTGAAAAACGATCGGCAGAAGTTTCTAACACAAATTCATGTAGTCAGTGCAAATATTAGAAGAAACTTCAGGAGACGAGGAAGTTGTGCACGCGGCCACGGCACACAAGGTAGTTGAGCCGTCGGATTGTGCAAGGGAACGCGGTGATCAGGGTTCTGAAGGGGCCGCCCGAGGAGACGCACTGTCCCGTCTCGGAGAAAATTGTGACCACACAATTTGTGGCACTCTTCCAGTAGAGCAGAAGGCGCTCACTGTGCCCGATCTCGTAGCCGCTGTACTCCCAACGCACTCCCATCTCGTCGGTTTTCGGGCACGTGTAGGTGCTCAGCAAGAATCCGAGCATCTCGAGCACTGAAATAGTGGAGAGATCAACGAGTGCACGTGTGTTTTGGAGTTGTTGCCCTACGGATGCTTTCGTGATCTTGCCAGCTCATCGTTTCCATCGCGCCGACCGTCGTCAATCCCATTTCTTCAATGAGACCTGAAACCAGAAAGTCGATCTGCACATGGATATACACTACTATCATGGAATTATTTCAAAGGCCCCTGGCAAATGAAATGCCCCCCGGATCGTACTTTGGAATCCTTTATTGAAACGCCATCCTTCGTACTGATCCAACCAGTGCTTTTCATGAAAGTGAGCCGGTCTGTCGTTGAACAGACAGACGGATGGCTGGAATGGAAGGTTGTGGTGGGCAAGAAACACCAAGTTCGAATTGGAATTCATCTGGAAAGTCCGGGATAGAGCAGGGGCCGAAAAGAACGACAATATACCGTTGTCCAGAAGTGCAAACGTCTTCCCGGTCATCTAGTCCTCAATTGTCGCTTGTTGATTAGTTGATTAGCAGAACAGCTTCTCAGATGGAAGCAAAAATAGGCGGAATGAAGTAAACGGCGGCCGACTCGGAAGAGAGTGAAAGTCGATGAGTCAGAAGAGTCCTACGAAATGGAACAAGCGGTAAGACCGGTGGATGTGCCTGTCTCTCTCTCCCCTCTTTTCACCAAACTATCAGGCTTCTAAAATCATTCACCCTCTCTCTCTCTCTCTCTCTCTCTCTCTCTCTCCAGCAAGCCTCTGGCCTGTATTGTTGATGCCTGATCCCATTCCGTTTTTAGCTGAATCCGATTCTGCTGTCAAAATCCCGGTGCCGGACCAGTGTCAACCCGAAAACTCCAAAAAACTGATTTTTCGGGCGAACACGGTATGTTTGACGAGGTTAAAAAGTATCTTATAGGTGTCCAAATGATCTGAAATTTTGTACAGAGATACTATACGAGTTTCTTAACACATTCCAAAAATAAAAATCGAGGGTGACCGCTGAAAATTTTTTTCAGTTTTAAGTGGCAATTAAACTGTCTGAAATTGATGTTTCGCCAAGTAAATCTTCAATTCTGACTTCAAAAACGGATTCAGCATGTCAAGAACTATCGGAATGCATATTGGGAAGCCCGGTGCCGGACTTATATTGACCCCAAAAAGTTCCTCGAACTGACACTGTCCGAACATTTTGCTGTTTTCGCGCTTGTTCGCAAAAACCATGACAGTTAGGCTCAAACTGACTTGACCAATGGATTCTACGTGGTTGATTACATAAAGCAATGTTCTTAGTACAATCATTTATCATTCTGAGTTCGAGCCACAGGCTCAGAAAGACGGAAAAATGAAATCAACTGAAAAATTTCGACGCCCCGCCCCCTCCACTTTGTGGCCCCTAACCATAACCTGCCATTTGATGCGGTGTTTCCCGAATATGCACAATACCCATTGCATTTTTACCTGAAACACTGGCACAACTTGCCCAACTCGGAGCACAACAACAAAACCATGGGCTTGAAATGTGAGCGTTTCTGTTCCCCTTCGTGTCCAACAATCTAATTTTCAGACTTGATACTGAAAATGGGCATGAAAACCGAAACGGATCTGTCAAACATGAAGTGGAGAGATTGTCAGCAAACTTGTAATAGAAATGATACAATTTAACATTCACGCGTGTTTTCTTTCAGCTATTGACGCACTCAAGTTTCTTCTTGGAGGCTACCAGTGTTGAGCGGAATTCCGTCTGCCGTCTTCCGTCTTCCGTCTTCCGTGAGAAAAGTTTTCTTCCGTCTTCCGTCTGCCGTCTTCCGGGATTTTTTCTTCTTACCGTAAAAGAGTAATAGCTTTTCAAAAGCCATTTACTAGTCCCGAAGAACGCGAATTTCCACGGGCAGTACCCAGATCCAAAAGTTTTGTTGCTTTAGTTATTTTTTTCAAACAAAAAAAACCGGAAAAAAAGGCTCTGAATTGACGATTTTTTGTTCCGTATTCCGGCTGCCGTCTTCCGGGAAAAAAGTTTTCTTCCGTCTTCCGTCTGCCGTCTTCCGTGAGAAAAATGTTCTTCCGTCTTCCGTTTTCCGTATTCCGTAAGAAAAATTTTGTTCCGTCTGCCGTCTGCCGTCTTCCGGATTTCAAAATTCCATTTCCGCTCAACTCTGGAGGCTACTCGCAGGCAGTCAAAGATCCATTGGGCACGAAATGGAAGTATGCCGCAAACTTGGCCAGGCTTTCTAGTATCAAATGATCATGTTTCAATTAGACAGAGACCACTTTTTTGTCTTATCGTCGACGTTCATGTGAGTCCGCGGGTTGCTCAGCATAGATTGAGAGAAGTGGAAAAAGGAGAATGCTAAACTCGCAGCCTCCGAATAACCGGCCACTGAACCAGATAATCCGATCGGGCTGAAACTTGGTCCCAGTATGCTTCAATCCAAGGTCAAGAAGCCTGCAAAGTTTGGGCTTCAGCGAATAATTGCAAGTGGTTCAAAAGTACAGCCAAAAGCCCGGGCCGGTCAATTGGAAACCAGAGTTGAGCGGAAGAACTCAACGGAAGAATTTTTATCTTTTTTAGAACATTTTTTCATGAAATGTGATCAACTGACGAAATGTATAGCAAAGTGAACTCTACTCATAAAAAAATAATTGTAAATTTAGCTTTTCATACAAAAAAGTTATTCGAGTTGTTCCGTAAAAAAGGGCTAACGGGGAAGACGGAAGGAATAACTTTTTTGTATGAAAAGCTAAATTTACAATTATTTTTCTATAAGCACAGTTCACTTTGCTATACATTTCGTCAGTTGATCACATTTCATGAAAAAATTTTCTAAAAAAGATAAAAATTCTTCCGCTCAACTCTGTTGGAAACCTTCGTCCTTAGATTTCAGATTCCTTTTTTTTGCCACTTTCCACTGGATCCCAGTTCCCTCACCTACTCCACTTGCTGCAAATGAAAACAGGTGCTCGTCCGAAAGTGTCCGAAAGTGAAACACGGCCGGTATCCCAAGTATCCCATTACTTTCTCCGTTTGCTCTCTCTCTCTCTCTCTCCTCATAATCTGCGAAATTCTCGTCGTTCCCCCAAAAAAAGTGAACACAATTAGTGAGAACGCGTCAAAAGTATGTATTTCTTTAGAGGGGGTCAGGAGAAATGACCGATAGCCATCTCTGTTTACACATATTTCCGTCTCGTTTCTCTCGTTGCCGCCCGCCTACAAACAAACGGAAAGGGAGAAGGAGAAGACACGCTCATCATGATTTATTATGTATTTTCATTTAATACCGTTCATGTCATCCGTCCGTGCGCCGAAGCCCCCGCTGTCTTGTGGATTATCCGCTTTTTACACTTTACTATTTATGAATGGGAGTGAGAAGAAACTTTTGTTTATTTCTTCATTTTCTCGCTCAATTCGAACGCTTTTTTGAGTGTTAAAACGCGAATCGAAAGAGAAATTGATTCTCTACAACTTTCTAGTTTACAACTTTTTACCATCATGCTTCTCCGCCGAGATATCTCGTTTTGAAGTGTCAGCTTTCGTTTCCCACGCTTTTTCGAAAATATCTCGACGCAGAATGATAATCTCAAAAACTGGTCAACTACAAAGTTGTAGAGCTTGAAATTCTCTATCGATTCGTTTTTTAACATTAAAAAACTCTCAAAAATCAACGGAGAAAACCTAGTTTTTCCCTGGATTACTGTAGTACCAAATAAATATTGTCCGATTCGAACAGCACTATCACTATCGTTCCTCTCTCAATTCGTCTTCCATTTCCATTTCCATTTCCATTTCCCCTTTCACTTTGCGACCGATTCACTTTGTTTGTGCTTATCATTATACCAGGATAATCATTTCGCCGACTTTCTCTACCCTCCGGCCCGTTTCACTGCACTTTCCTTCTTCCTCCCCTTCTCATTTGCATTTGTCAGGTGAACGTGTCAAATGTGTATTCATTAATTCATTTTCGCTTTTTTTCGCCATTGAAACGTTTCGTTTTTTGTCCTGCAACATTGACAAACTGCTATTCCCCCGTTTTATTGTCCATTCCATTCAAAGCCGTTTATCTCAGCTGTCGGTGCAGATATCAAAACGTTGTCAGCTGATAAAAGGTAGAGAATTTCTTAATGAATATTTTATCAGTTGACACCTTTTTGATATCTCTATTGACAGCCGAGATACATAGGTTCGAATAGACAATAGCGATATGCCCCACTATTACAGTGTTTTGGCAGGTTCTGTATCACTCAGAAAGAGTACCGCTCATCAATTTTTGCAAACACTTTGATATATTTATACCAGAACCTTCATTTTCTATCATAAATCCTTTAAAAAAGGGGATTTTTGACGGAAATACAGTAACTTTCTGACTTCTAACAGTCTTTCTGGTGCAGTGAACGTTTTCTACCATTTTGTCTTGCCAAAAAGTTCGCAGCTGACCTCTCCGGGTTTCGCCATTTGTCACCCGTCCGGCCGTCCAACACCTCGGTCCGTAATCCGTCCTTCAACAGCTGTTCCATCGCCACACTTCGTTAGCATATACATACTTTTGGCTCCTCTCTTTTCTCTTCTCCCTCAAATCGTTCAAATCTCTAACAAGTAGCCGTTGATTTGTCAAGTGATGTAAGTACATCCATTCGACCGTATTTACATAAGTCAAGAGCCGATGAGGTCTCTCTCTCTCTCTCTCTCGTCCACTCCACTCCCCTTTCCCACTTAATGACCGAGAACGAGCTCTGGGAGGAGGAGGAGGAGGGCACTCGATTTTTGCTGTTTTCACCACCGAGCAACAATGTTTTAAATGTTTTAAATTTTCTGTTTCACACTAGATTTTATCGATTCACACTACTTTTTTAGCTTTATGCCGCGTCCAATGTCTCGGAAAAACCGTAAAAACCGCAGATTTCTCTGTCCAAAGTCGGCCGAAATTTGCGTGAAAAACGGGGGTGTGCACAGCTCAATGAGTGTAACCGTACCCCTAAAACTACGGTATTTTTTGAAAATTTGTTAATTTCTTGAGGTTATTTGAAAATATTCAAATTTCTTGCGCAAATTTTCAAAAAATACCGTAGTTTTAGGGGTACGGTTACACTCATTGAGCTGTGCGCACCCCCGTTTTTCACGCATAGTTCGGCCGACTTTGGACAGTAAAACCTGCGGTTTTTACGGTTTTTCCGAGACATTGGACGCGGCATTACACCCATCCGGTCTTGAAAAGACCACATCTCGGCCTGATACTCGAACCCAAAAGTTTCGGCCCAATTGGATTTTAGTCTAAATCTTTTCGGTTTCCGCGTTGTTTCCCCCTTCTTTCCGTGGTTTTACCAGAGTTGCCACGGGCCGGGCCGGGCCGGGCCGAAATTTTCAAAACTCCGGCCCGAACTTTGAACTATTGATTAAATAAAATGTTTGTTTTTCGTAGAACTAACGAATTTTGCAAGCATCGAGCATAAAAAAGAAATGTAGTTCTCAAAAATAGTTTTTATTGGCATCAAAGCAAAAGTAACAATTAAAAAAGAAGAAAATAATAACGATTTTCACACACGCCGCAATCCGAAAGTTGGAAAAAATGGCTAAAGAGCGCGCGCGACCGTAATGTCGGAGTGTCGTAGTTTTTTTTTAAATTTTGATCCCCGCAAAAAAAACGAAAAAATAGATTTCCCCCAAAAATTTGAATTCGCGCCTTTTGAGCCGGGCCCCGGGCCAGCAAATTTTCGGCCCGTAATTTGGCAAGTCTGCGTTTTACAGTACTTTGTTTGTTCTTACAAAATGATGGCCTAGAAATCTCTAGCACAAAAAACTCTTCCACGGCCATCGGCTCTGTTGAACGCCTAGCTGTGTCCATAGATGTCATATCGCTCTAAAAAATGGTACGTGATATCCTCATGCCTTGTCGTTTATTTTTGCAGTTGACAAGTTTTTTGTACGAAAGCTGGCAAACTCATTTTCCTCCAAACTTTTTCCGCTCTCAATCATTCTTGCCCCAAAAACAAGGAACCGATGAAAAAAACGCAGTGAAACTTGATCGCATCGTTGACGAAATCAAAAGGAAAAGCGCGGAAAAGAGCGACTAATTGCTTCCAATTCCTCTGATGTTTCTCTTTTGTCTTCTCCTCCGGAACATCCCCCACTCTAATTGATACATCGAACTTCGGCGCCGTTTGTTTCGCATGTGTGTCTGGTTCTGAACGCCGAAAAGCGATTGAAAAGGGCACAGATTTCGGAGAGCAGTCTCTCGAGCATTTTTGCTCCGTCTCTCTCCAGTGGAGGAGAGTTGAGCGGAAAATTTTTTATCTTTTTTAGAAAATTTTTTCATGAAATGTGATCAACTAACGAAATGTACAGCAAAGTGAACTGTGCTCATAGAAAAATAATTGTAAATTTAGCTTTTCATACAAAAAAGTTATTCCTTCCGTCTTCCCCGTTAGCCCCCTTTTTTCACGCAACAACTCGAATAACTTTTTTGTGCGAAAAGCTAAATTTACAATTATTTTTCTATGCGCACAGTTCACTTTGCTATACATTTCGTCAGTTGATCACATTTCATGAAAAAATTTTCTAAAAAAGATAAAAATTCTTTCGTTGAGTTCTTCCGCTCAACTCTGCTCTCCACGTAATCCTGCCCTCATTAAGTGCCCTTCACACTAATAATTTGACAAGAAGCCGGCCGGCCGACGACCGCCAAAAACAAGCTCTCTGTGAGGAAGCCACCTCAGCAAACAGGATCCGGTCGGTCGGCGAGAGCATCATTCAACCCACGCGCCACTTTTTTTTAATGATTCGCCTCTAGATCACGTAGTGAATCCATTTTAACGATTAAAAAAAGTGAAAAAGAAGGATAATATTTCTTACGCTCTATCGTAAACAGTTGCTTTTACAAATGGAAATAGCTCATGACCGTCCGTCTCTGTCGGCATCCTTTTCAACTCTACATGTATAAATCATTGGGTCCCCCCGTGTGCCTGTGCACACAAACACAGACGACAGTCAGCTGTCATCATCGTCATAATCACCAGATGAGGCTTCGTGTTCTCTTCTTTTTGTTGGAAAATAAATTGAATTAGTTTTCAGCCGACAAAACGTTTTTTTCCGCCCTTTTCTGGGCATACTGCTTAAAAACAGGGCTCTATCTTGAGAACTAAAAAATTTGGAATAAAATGATCAATTACAAAGTTGTAGAGCATAACATTTCCAACAATTTTCTAGTTGTCAACTTTCTGAAACAATTATTGGTTCTCGAGATATGGTCCTTCAAAGTTTTGAGCCACAATTTCGCTAAACGATACTATCCAAACACTGTGTAATTTTCCATTTTTCCATTACCATGTCACATTTTCCTTTCCCTAATCGTGCCTGCAAACAAAAAGAGTATCGTAGTCCCCAATTTGTCGGACATGTTCACTTTTTCGTCTGTTTGTTGTGAGCATTTGTGGAGGTTTGCTCTTTCGGATCCTCCGGACCTTTTTCTCTAACAAATATTGTCCATTTCCGGCTCTTTTCTATTCATTTTTTCATTTATTTTAGCATAATCTACGATCGAGCGACACTTGACTTGGCAATGATCGAATAAATATGAATCCACAGGTCAGTTTCGAACAACAGAACAACTTTGAATGAACAATTGCAAATACATTTTATTCAAAACGCTATATCTCGGCTGGCATAAGAGATATCAAAACGTTGTCAACTAGTAAAATGTTCACAAAGAAATTCGCTACCTTTTATCAGTTGACACCGTTTTGATATCTCTACCGACAACTGCGATACATCGTCTTGAATGGACAACACTCTTCCAGATGGCCTCCACATCGTCCTCGACATCGTCTGCCACGTCATCATCGTCAACGACGTCTCGCCCGCACATTCCACATCACCTCTCGACCGGCCACACCTCGCAGCACATTTACGCGTGTTCCGACGAGAATTCGTACTACGCGTCGCCGATCTTCCTCACGCGGACCATCGACGAACCGCCGAAGAAGGCGGCGCCGACGCTCAGCCGACAATCCACGTGTCGGCCGACGAGTCAGTTGTATTTGCCGAGCAAGAAGCGGAAAACGAGGTGTGTGTGTGTTTGGCTGGAAATCGTTTGAAAATGGTTCATCACTAAATAGCTCGTTTTCTCTCGCATCTCATTCCATAATTGGCATCAAATTGCCATTTTCCCTCCCATCGCCTCTCACTCACTTTTTTGTGTGTGCCAACCCGCTCTTTCGCTTCCACTTTTTCTCTCGCTTTTACGATGATAACCTTAAAGTCCGAACGTGCGGCTCCCCGTGCGGATAACCGCATTAGGCGGCGAAAAAGAAGCGAGTCGAGGGGGGGACGCCGGCCGCCAAATTTGTGTATTGTCAGTCGGACGGATTTCCGATTTGCAAAGCACAAAAAGTGAGGGAGGAGTGGGTGGAAGAGTTTTTCACTTTGATCAGTTGGGTCAAAGACGCGGAACTCGAAAGGCGTTATGCGCCTTTAATACCGTATCCATAGAAGAAATGGTACTGTATTAAAGGCGCATAGCCTTGTGGCCGGACACCCATTTTAGGCTAGTTTTATGGGATTTCAAAGCAAAAAATAGTTGCAAAATGAGCGCAACTAGTTCTCGAAATTGTCAAATTGTCCGCATAACTTTACTTTTACCCACCTTGACCCCATCCAAACCGATCGCCGGTGAAACTTATCGCGCGTACCCTAATGCCAACCAATTTCCATTCATAGAATCCATCCAGAATCCATAACCTTTTCCAGAATTCTTCCTCCTCCCGCTTCTTCTTCTTCTTCTTCTTCTTCTCCGGCTTCACTGCCTTCTAAGCCTTTTTCCGTTTTTCGCTTTCTTCTTCTTCTTCTTCTCCTTCTCCTTCTTCTTCTTCTTCTTCCTCTACGCCTTCTCACCGGAAGAGCCACTAATTAGCTTTCGGCGCTCCTCCCGCTCGTCCCGGATGCCGCCGCCGCCGCCGCCTTTCCACACATTCATTCGCTCTCTGTATTCCAAAAAAGATGGAGGCGAAGACATTTTTATGGGCTTCGTGGGCCTCCTCATTTTTTTTGCCACTCGTCAAAGTCCTCTTCTAATTGGCAATTGTGTCCTACCGTTTCCGGAAGCGATCCTGAGATGATGATCCTTGCGGCCAGTGCACAAAAATGATTTTTTCGTGGCGGCGGGACCTTTTTGCTCAAATCCTTATAAATGACAATGTTTTTGTGAAGGTCCCCTTCATTAGTCACCGGCAAAAAATGAGTAGGGCTTACTTTTTTTTTTTCATTTTTCATCATCTGACGCTGGCGTCTTTTCGGAATGGAATAGTGAACAGTTCTGACCGAAAACTGTTTTGACAGGTCATAAATTGGAGAGAAAAGGTCGTTTACAGTGTTCGGTTCGGGGTTTGGCCAATCCTGGGCGATACTTTCCTGATCCGATTGGACCCAAACTTGGATTGAAGTATCTTGGGTCCAAGTTTCAGACCGATTGGATTGTCTAGTCCCTGGGCCTTTAATCGGATCGGGCTGAAACTTGATCCGAAAATACCAGAGTTGCCACGGGCCGGGCCGGGCCGAAATTTTCAAAACTCCGGCCCGGCCCGTCGGCCCGGTTCAAAAAGCGGGAATGAAAATTTTGGACTATTGATTAACGAATTTTGCAAGCATCGAGCATAAAAAAGAAATGCTGTTGTCAAAAATAGTTTTTATTGGCATCAAAGCAAAAGTTTTAATTTTGATCCCCGCAAAAAAAACGAAAAAATCGATTTCCCCCAAAAATTTGAATTCGCGCTTTTTGAGCCGGGCCGGCACTTCTCCGGTCCGGCGCGTAATTTGGCAAGTCTGGAAAATACTTCTAGCCACGGCGACGAAAAGTGTAGAAAGGGGCGTGGCCTAATCTGAGACGCGTTTTCTGAAAATTGCCGCAATTTCAGCACTTTTCCTATATTTTTGTGTTTGATATCGACGAAAGAAGAGACATTAAAGAGAGAAAACAGCGAAATTTTTGTGAAAACGCCGCGTTTGAGACGTTTTTGGCATATTTCGCAATACGCCCTCTGCCGCCAATCGCCGCAGCAATTTCGGAATTTTCATACCGGCCGATGTGGATAGTTTTGAAACGAAGTGAGTGTCGGAAGTGATTAAGCACGTTAATACAAGTATCTTAAGCGTTCAAACGGCAAAAAGTGTCGGCGAATGACTGAAATTCGCGCATTTTCAGCACAAAACTTGAAAATCGATTCAATTGATTCATTTCTGAATGAAACCTGCTCGTTTTTGGCTCAAAAAGTGGTGCGCGATGATTAGTTTAACAAAATTATGCCAGCGCATCGTCGAAATCGTGCAAAATTCGGGTATTTTTTTCACGAAAAACATGAAAAATTCGCGCCAAAATGGTGATAAACCGTGCACGCTACGCCACGCCCCTTTCTACGTTTTTGGTCGCCGTGGCGCGCTTCTTCCAAGAGGCCCGGGTCAAAAGTCGTGTTTGCGCATCCGCTGCTTCTCCTAGACTCTTGATGAAATGATGGTGTCCACACTGATCCTTCTCCTAATCTCTTTTTTGGCGAAACTTTGCGTGACAATGCCAAATTCTTCACCCCCCTTGTCTTCTCGCTGAACATTGAAGCGCTCTCCTCCTCCTCCTCCTCCAGCTCCACTTCTCGACGAAACAAAGGCCCTCATTCACATCATAAGCGTCATCATCATCGGAGGAGCTGGAGCCAAGGAGCCGAAGGAGCCGGAGCCGCGGGCGCTATTAAATTTTATGGGCGAAATGCCGAAGAAGTTGGGGCTCCCGCGGCCACCAAACATATGTCTTCGAGGCGTGCCTCCCGCCGCCGCCGCAAAAAAATTAATCATTTGACAGGAGACAGAAGGGAAGCGCTGCCTTTCTGTTTTCTGTCTTGTTTTCATCTTTCATCTTCTTTTTTTTTTCTCATCTCTTTTTGTGCTCTCCCTCCTAGTTCTTTCCGTATTTTTATGAACGTCTAGTGATTACCCACCCGCCGAAGGGGATCTTATTTCCGAGGCACCTTCTAGCAGTGTGTGATTTCGTTTTTGACAAAAAAGATAGATAGACGGAAGAGGGAGAGAGAGAGAGAGAAAACAGGCGCTCAGTCTGCGGTTTTTCCAGGTCCGATAGATGGTGAGACCCTTGGCCCAAGTTCTTTGGTCCATGGATCTTGGCGGACCAGCCCTTTGTCGTCGAGTCTATTCCTACCAGGGGTGTGCGGAAAATTTTTTTCGGAAAATTTCGGAAAATCGGGTTTTCCGATTTTTTTTTTCGGAAAATTTCGGAAAATCGGGTTTTCCGATTTTTTTTTTCGGAAAATTTTGGAAAAATCGGAAAAATCGGAAAACTCACTTGTTCATTGGTTCAATAAAGTGTTTGACAAAAACACGCTTTCTCACCGTTTTTCCGCCCAGTTAAATATACGTCCCACTTTCCCATTACGTCAGCTTTTCTGAAAAAACAACACAAATCGCAACAATCGGTTCATTAGAATGAGAAAAACGAAATAAATTGCGTAAAATTTAAAAATCAAATTTAAAAAGACGCTCGCTGCTAGACCCTTCCAAAAATTTTGTGATGCGCCTTTAAAAAGCATACGGTGGTTTCGGACAAATTGACCTTGAATCCACACTAATTTTCCGAAAATTTCTCGGAAAATCGGAAAATTTCGGAAAATCGAAATATTTTCCGCACACCCCTGATTCCTACCTCAACGTCCAGCGAAGCGTCGTACAGTCCCATCCTCCCTCCCCTTTCCATTTCCACTTTTCCTCTTTTCAGCGCCACACAAAACTTTGCCGTTTTCCCCCGAGATGGTCTTTGCGGCGGCGCCACCAAAAACAGAGGGTTACCACCCACCCACCAATTTGTGTTGTCCGCGACTCGGGTCAAAAATGCGTTTGTTTATATGTATGCGTCGTCTTTTCCGACCATCCCACCACCAATTTTGTTTTAAAACTTGCGGATTAGCGCCTCCTCCAATTCTTCGTCTTCTTTCTCATTTCTTTGTCTTGTACTGTCTTTTTTTTTGCTGCGTTTGTACCAAACAATTTCGTCAGTCTAAAGATTGTGAGGAAACTATGAATAATCGGTCCCCGAAGATTGGCGAAAAGGAAGTTAGGATGGGCACTTTTTTTTCTCGCAAAAAAAAACCAAGTATGATTAGTGAATACAAGGAGCTGTTATTCAAGGCAATATATCTCAGTTGCCGGTAGCGATATCAAAAAGATGTCAACAGACAAATTATTCAGCAAGACATTTTGTACATTTTGTCAGTTGACCACTTTTTGATATCTCTACCGACTGCTGAGATACATCGTCTTGAATTAAAGGTAGTTGCTCTGACTTTCAAGTTTGCTCCTCCCGTTCACCGCGATTTCTCCGAAAGGAGAAACACTCGCGATTGTTTGATAATATCCCTCCCCGCTGTCAGTTCCCCCCTTTTCTTTTCTATTTATCACCATCACCTATCCATTTGTGGCTCCTCGGCTCATTTCCGTTTCATTTCCTTGTTTTGACCCGCCCGCTCCTAACAAATCGCTCGTTTCTCTTCTTTTGACAGCAAAAAAAAACGAAGGAAGAGGCTTCGAAGATCCGGTTCTTTTTTTTGTGTCGGAATAACATGTTCGGTTGAGAAAGCGACCACGATTGGCCGTCTTTTTTGTGATATTCAAAAGCCGTATAACGCCGCCTTCTGAAGTTCGAATGAAGCCCGAGAATGGAGCGGCGCCGTGGCACCCGGCCAAAAGGTTCTGCACCACGAGAACAAACAGCACAAATATATATCGGAATTTAAAAACCATCGACAATATCCGATCCATTTCAGGAGCTGCCTGGGCCGGCTGACCACACTCGAAACGTTGCTTCTCGTGTTCCTCGGTCTCATCATCACCGCGCTGCTCTCTGTGTTATTTCTCTGGTTATGGGTACTTGACGGATACAAAACGTTCACCGACGGCCGTCCCATCTATCCGCTTCCGTTCGAAAACTCCTCGGTGGCCGTGGATCGGACGGCGAAGAATCACAACGACGTCGTGTGCACGTCACGCGAATGCGTCCGACTCGCCGGATTTCTCGCCGAGAATCTCAATCCCAGAGTAAGTCGGCCATGTTTCTAAACTCTGAAAAGTTGTTGAAAATCTTGCTCAAACGGGTTACAATCTCAAGTAAATGTCTCTTCCATTCACGGTCGAATGATTTCAATGGGGCGCACTTGCAACAGGCGGACTGTGTCGATTTACGCGGCGGTTTCAAATTTTCAACGGGAGTTCGCGTTCTTTCCATGTTTTCTGTACAATACACCTATTTTTTTGTACGCCTGGAACCTGGATTTGAATAATTAGAGCACTAGCTACGTTTTGGTAACAGAAATCTCGCATATCGTTGAGAATTAGCCGAGTTATTTCGATTTGAAGGTTTTGGCCTGGATTTTGATGTTTTTTGAATAGTTTTTGAAAACTGCTCAAGAAAACCAACCGCCGAAACCTGAATTTTGTAAAGAAAGATTCAGTGAACATTTTTATCGTTCGTTGGGCTCATGAAATGCAAAATGAGCTGAAATATAAAGGTTTGAAGTTTTGACGAAATGCGAAAAAGACGCTAAAAACATGAAAAACTCGAAATTCTGTAAAGAACGGTTTCCAATCAGTAAAATATTGTTTTCTAGACGTTTTTCAAGTCAAAAAGAAAGAAATAAAGGTCGTAAACTCGAATTGAAGTGCATTTTTAGACCTGCAAATTTTCAAAAGTTACAACGACACTCCGCAATTTATGAGCGCACTGTGTTTAGCATTAGCGCCCTGGGAGACCGTGCCATTCAAAACGATATATCTTTTCTGCCTGTAGAGATATCAGAAAGTGTTCAATTGATACAATGAGCATTTCAGCCGTTGACAACTTTTTGATATCACCGACGGCGGCTGAGATGTACCGGTTTTTCGGCAGCCTTCATCGCTTTCGCTTTCCAGATAGATCCATGCGACGACTTTTACGAATTCGCGTGCGGAAACTACGGTCTCAACAAGAATTTGCCGGCGAACAAGCCGCTGCGTCATACGATAAGTGACGTGCAATCGCGACTCAACAAACAGGTCAAATCGATGCTGCAGTCGTCGATTTCGTCGAATGACAAGTCGTGGGATAAGCTCGCCAAGGGCTACTATCAAAAGTGTTTGGACGAGGTGGAGCTGGAGTCGACGGGAGTCGACGCGATGCGGGACATTGCGAAGCGGATCGGCGGCTGGCCCACTCTGGAAGGCGACAAATGGGTAGAGTGGACGCATTCCTGGGAGGAGCAGATCGCTCTCGTTCTCAATTTGACCGGCGTCAACGCGGTCATCCTCGAGATGGCCGTCACGCACGATCCGTCGAACAGCAGTCGAAGTGTGATCGAGCTGGACCAGCCAAAGTGGGGCGCCGGCTCCCGATACCCGTACCTGAGTGGCGCCGACGATCCGATGCTGCGAAACTACACGACGCTCATGAAGATGACGGCGGTCGCGTTGGGCGCCGATCCGGCCGTCGCCGAAAAGGAAATGAACGAGGCGATGGAGTTCGAGCTGAAATTGGTGAACTTCTCCGCCGACGACATGGTCCGCAGGGATCCGGAACGCGGAAACAACCGATTCGAGCTGTGGCAACTCAAAAACGTCTTCCCTTTTGTGAGTTTTGCTTTGCCGGCGTGTGCAAAGGGACAAATGACAGTTTGCAGATAAATTTCGAAAAGTATCTGAGGACCGTATTCAAGGAGCTCGTGGATTTGTCTCCGAATCATACCGTCATCGTTCGGGAGATTGATTATTTCGTGGGAATTCAGGTGAACATTTTGACTTTTGAGTGTGCAAATGCGCTCCACCGCACTCACCACTTTGCATCTATTTTTCGCTTAAATTTTCAGCAAAAATGGTCATTTTCCCTCATTTCCTGTCTTTAAAGCGTAAATTGAACACATTTCCACGTGGTTTTATCAAAAAACGGCACATTTTCAGCACGTGCTGCAATCGACGCCGAAGCGAGTGCTGGCCAACTACATCTCATGGCGACTGGTCCAAGGTGGGCCGACCGGCGACTATTTCAGTACGTTTCGGCCAGCTCAACACCATTTTCCATCCTTTTTTGTGCTTTTACACCTCAAAACGACATTTCGTGTCTAACCACGTGTGTTCCCCCGCCGGCTTCTTTCCCTTTTCCCGTTTTCCTTCTGATTCATTCTTCTGTGACGTGAGCGTGTCCGCCGAAACGTATTGTTATTGTCCAGATTTTTCTCTTCTCTTTTTTTTCTTCTTCTTCTGCTTTTTTGCAGCAGGCTTCGAATACGCGTATTTCCTACAGGTTTCTCGCCGTTTTTGCCGCCCTCCGCCCGCGAGCCGTTCTATCAGTTCAAGGCAAATCAGACGGGAATGTTCAATAGTCCGCCGCCCGACAGGTACGCTAGCCTACGCTAAAATCGGGGAGTTTTAAACACGCACTAGTCCCCCGGCCATGTCGATTTACGGCCATTTTTTCAAAGAGTTTTCTTTAAAAGAAGTCAACATTCTTCTCTAGACAAGCAAAACGCTTGAAAAATTGCAAAAGTCAACGAAAAAAATGCCCGTTTCTCTTCCATCGCACATTCAACGTTCCAGATGGGAAGACTGTGTGACGCTGTCCGTAATCATGATGGACATGCCGGTCGGACGACTGTTCGTCGAGAATTTCTTCGAAAAGGAAAGAGCCATGAAAAAAGTGAGTCTCTCTCAAACGACAACGTTCCACGTCGTCTATTCAGATGACCGAACTGACGTCGTACCTCAAAAACGAGTTCATCAAGCAGTTGCACGTGCTGGATTGGATGGACGAGACGACGCGTCGGCGGGCGATCTCGAAAGCGAACATGATCGAGTACAAGTCCGGCTTTCCGATGGTTCTCTTCAATGACACGTGGATGGAGAAGAACTGGGGGATGGCGATCAAACCGCGCGAGTTCCTGCTGCATCTGACGATCCGCGTGAAGCTCGTCAGGTTCACCGAGGAGTTGCTCCGTCTCGATCAGCCCCTCGACCGCAGCATGTGGTTCCAGAGCCCCGCGCAAGTCGACGCCTACTACGCGCCGAACAACAACGAAATGAGTGAGACCCTCGTCTCCAAGTCTTACCGTAACCTCGTATTACAGTATTCCCGGCCGGTATCATGCAATTCCCCTTCCTCACGCTCGGCGTTCCCAACTACATCACGTACGGAATGGTCGGAGCGGTCATCGGACACGAGGTTTCGCACGCGTTCGACGATCAGGGCGGGCAGTACGATGAGCTGGGGAATCTGAACGATTGGTGGGACGCCGAGACCGAGGAGAAGTTCATCGAGAAGACGAGATGTTTCGTGCGGCAGTACGAGAATGTGCACGTCGCCGAGGCGGACATCCACCTGAACGGGCAACTGAGTCTGGGGGAGAACATTGCTGATAACGGAGGTGTCAAGACAGCCTTCAATGTAAGTTTCTTTCTTTTAGACGGTACTTATACCATTGGATAGAGCGCCAAAAATCATAATTAGGGCCGGATCTGGGTCCTCTCTAAAACCCCTTTATCTTTGGACTATTATATCTCGAGATCCTATAATTATTCCAAAAAATGGTCAACTAAGAACTTGTAGCAAATTTTGTGCTCAACAACTTTGTAGTTGAGCATTTCATCTCAAAACCCGTCATTTTTGAGTTGTGGTCTAGTTTCTGAACAGTATCCAGTAGCGCGACGAGAAAGTGCTATGAGGCCCGAGATGAGGCCCTAAATGCAACCCGATGTAACTTTTGGCGCTCTATCCAATGGTATAAGTGTCTTGAGCACTTATTTTCTTAGTGGCACGCCTCCTTTAACTTGGTCCCTAACCTGGTGCTTTCAGGCGTACAAGGCGTGGAAGTCGAACACGACGGGCATCAGCGAGCCGGCGTTGCCCGGATTCCAGAACTTTACCAGTCAGCAAATGTTCTTCTTGGCCTACGCTAACGTGAGTTTGCCGCCGATCAACGAACTCGCGGTTGACGTGTGGAAAAAACATGATACTTGCGAAATAGTCTAATTTTCTTATCGGCGTGGAGTCTGTGACTCTCGGAAACTGATGAGGTCATAAAAATCATCGATCAGTTGCCAAAAGCTAAAAGATTACTTTTTTTCATGATTGGAACTGAGCGCGTGCTGCCGAAAATTTGAATTTCCCACCGAACACGCGATCGAGCGTTCGCAAATGACTGAAATTCAAGAGTATTCGGCAAAACCTTTAGAAACACGACAATTTTCGGTTTAATGGCTCGTTTCCAGAACTGGTGCTCAGTGGTCCGTCCGAAGCACTACATCCAGATAATACTGACGGACGTGCACGCGCCGTCCAAGTACCGCGCCATGATTCCGCTCCAGAATCGGCCCGAGTTCGCGAAGGCGTTCCAGTGCGCGATCGGATCGCCGATGAATCCGGAGAGGAAGTGCCAGGTGTGGTAGTGATCTCTTCTGGCCCCAAATCCCAAAATATTATATACCCCCTTCTGCCCCGACCGGTTTCTCATGTGCAAAACTTACAATTGTCAAAAACCAAACGCTTTACCCCTTGCCCCCCAAAACCCTCAATTTCCCGAGTGCTCTTTTGTTCACCAAAAAGAAACGATTAGTCGTCCTCTCACTTTTTCTTCTTCTTTTTTTCTTCGAAATCTAGCTCTTCCACCACCCGCTTCTCGCATTTTATGATCTCCGTGTGTGTCGTCTCTCTATCTCTTTTCGAACCGATTTATAAAAAAACTATAACTTTTTTTGAGAGCGAAAAAACATTTCAGATGAGATGTGAGCTAATTGTTGTTGAGGGAAGGATGGGACAAACCCGTAACAGGGGTACAATGGGCAGGGACAGCAACTAATGAAACTAACAGGAACAGGGAGGGGGAGGGGGGTCAAAATGAGGAGGTTAGGTGAGGAACAAAAACGAGTAGGGGAACAGGAAGAAAAAAGAACGAAAGAACGATTAATGGATGATGGCGCCCATCTTGCGCAGCTCCTTCTTCATCGCGTTGATCTCGCGCTTCAGCTGACGCTCTTTCTGGACGAGCACACGGTTACGGTCGGCGACTTCTTGGTATTCTCTGCAAATATTATAGTCTTTTCTTCTCGCAAATTTTCAAATTCAATACAACATCCATTTTCAGTTTAAAACGATCAGTCTTTTTTCTACTGGCAGCTCCTCTCTGATACATTGTCTTGAATAAACGCTATTTGGGTTCAAAACCGGAAGGTTTGGATAGTTTCATCGAAAACCTTATCATAATTCTCCCTGAACTTTGGACACATTCCTATCCGTATCACTCTTTCCTATCACTCATATCACCCCTCGTGACTGTTATCTCTGCGCACCACGGACGGACGAACGATGATCAATGGAATCAGATGGACAATAGCCGATTCAGATGCAAATGCGAGTATTGTAGACACCGTGGGACTCGAAATTAGCATTCCGTTTGCTTTTCGGTGGGAACTCAATACGGTCTGTCCTTGAAATGCGTAAACTTTCGTTGAATGGAGGGGACAACCGGTTTTCTTTTTCTAATCAGAGGTGTTAATCTGATCAAGAAGCGCTTGATCAGGGCATCAGGGTCGTCGAGAAGTTCTGACTGGCCTGTTCTGGGTCTTAAATTGATAGCCTACTGTAGTGATAGCCTAACACTTTATCAGACTCCTATCCTAGCCATTAGGCCGATAGTTCAGTTTAGCTAAAGTTTGGCGAAACGACATGTCTACAAGTATCCAGAAGTCGGGCCTAAGCCCATACACTTGGATACCTACAATATCTGGTCCCTACATCGAATGTACCCACATGCTCCCCCAGTTGCAAGAGAAAGAGAGATGTTTATTTCGATGCGATGTTCCCTCCTTCGCAAAGATCACAGAACCACCGGGTGGCCACATGGCCTCCTCCTCCTCCTTTCCATTATCATCGTTTCACGTCACTCGACGGCCTGGGCGCCTCGGTTCAAACAGCAAGCAGTCCCCTTGGCGTGAGAGAGAAGAAGAAAAGGGGGCAAAGTGTGCAGCCGATTGCGAAATTCTTTCGACGACAAGTGTCTATTGCGAAATGGCTGTTAGAGGTGGAGAAGGAGAAGAAACAGCTCAAATATTGATCTATTGGATCGCGGAAAAAAGAGTTTCGGGAAAATTCTTTCTGGGAAGTTCCAAGAGTGAGTTAAAACTAAACTTTTTCGAAGAGCAACGTACACCTCTGTTTTGACGACGAGCTGAGCATAAAAACAGCCAATTGAGGAGGGGGAAAATATTTGCTTCTTTACACTTTGAAATATGAGTAGATCATCAAAATGTGAAAGAAATACACTAGAAGGAGGAGGAAAAGAGAGAATGACATCAGATTTTCTCAAGGAATACGAAGGAATATTTTAGAAATTCTAGTAAGCTTCAAGTTGGTTCAAAGCATAGTTGTCACAGGACTGTAGGAAACTATTTTCTACCTATTATTAGGTTTTCCCGTGGTATTGCGGCAGAGCGACATTTCCAGAATTTAGGGTAATAATGATATGATAACGATAAACATGCCAAAAATGCCTCACCTCTTTCTGCACATCTTCTCGGCCCGCTTCTTCTCGCGATATCTGACGGCAGCCACTCTGTTGAGCGCCCTTCTTCTATCGGTTTCCTCGTCGACCGACGGCTTCATAACGACTCCGCGCTTCTTGAACTTGCTCTTTTCCTCCGGATAATAGTCGTCGGAAGCCGGCGTCCACGAGCGTTCCGACTCTTCGCGACGGCGGACTGTCGATTTACGGAGCCGCGCGCTGACTCTTCTGGATTCAGAGGCCGGAAAATATTCGTCGTCGTCTTTGTTGTCGACAAAATCATCGAAGATCTCCTCTTTCGGCACACAAATCAGCGGTCCCGACGAGAAAAGATCGACGTCGTGGTGGATACGTGAGGCCGAAGAGGAGATTTTGAAGAGCGACGTCGAGGAAGGGTGCGAGATCGGATTGAGATTGAGATGTTGGAACGGGACCGTGGCGGGCATCATGTCGATGAGGTTGTCCGGCGACGAGTTCAACGTCGTCAACGAGTGGGAAGACGTCGAATCGTCTGTGCTTGTGAAGAACGCCTCCGGACGCTTGAACCCGCCAATGTCGTCGTCGCTCTCCAGATAGTGGTTCCACGCCTACAATTTCGTTTTTTTTTATGCCCCAAATAAGCTCGAAAACCTCCCAATCGACGGCTTTCGACGCGTTCTCCACGTCCATCTCAAACTTCGGCTTCGTCTCTTGTCTCGACGGCCCTCCGAACAAAGACTGCAACTTTTTTCCGAAATGTTTTAAAAGATGCTCGACAATTCTCACCTCATCAAGTCGATTCGAAGCCGACGAAGAGGAGCAGAACTGATCGACGGACGATTTGGACGGCGATTGGAAGAGCGGAGAGCCCTGCAAGTACTGAGCATGCGATTTGTGAAAAATCAAGAGAAATTGTCGTTTTGCAAACATTTCTGTACAGAAAAAACAATCGAATGGGCAGTTGAGAGAATTCACGAAAGCATTGACTTTCTAGATAATGATTGTTATTCATGAAAGCGCGTGCACTTCAGCTTCCGCCACACACATACACACTCTCCGCGTTCCGTACCATATTATCGCCGAAATTCGAGAAATCGTGCATGGCTTCTGTGCCGCTCGAGTGCGCCGCCGCCGCCGCCGCTCCTTGCTGTGGTCCCGGCGCGTTCCACGAGTCTGTCGGTCGCCACGCTTCCAGCTCAAAATGGTCAGTTGATTCGGCGGGTTTTCGGGGGTCTCTGCCGCAAACCGTGATGTTTTTGCCCTCCCAGAACTGGTCGAGTTCCAAGTCTTCCGACGGGGCGGGGCACGGTGGGCGCGGCTTCGTGTGCCACGAGTCCAAATCGAGCAGCTCGAGCTCTTTTATCACTTCTTCGTCGTCCATCGGCACGCCGAGAAATGGATCATTGCCGAAGCTCGTTCTGAAATACTTTCGAGCTCGACCCTGTTTCATTGTCTTTCAGCGCGGCGTCAACTAAAAACTCAAATGAAAAACGGAAACTTGTTTTCGGGCGTTTGTGCGCTCAACTTTTGAATTTTGTATTGTACGCGCGATACTGCGCCTTCAAACCAATTCTTACGTTCTCGGTCGCAACGAATCCGAAAAATTGTGTGCAAAATTGACGAGCTGGTCATTGATCGGAGCAGTTACCTGAAAAGTTGCAATTTTTCTCGTTTATTTACAGTTTTTACCTTCAACGGCTGCTGATAGATGTTGTCGCGGCGGAACGGACAATTGGAGACCGCTTGCGCGCCGAAAGTGGTGAGACGTCCCACGCGGGAAAACATTTCGACGGGAGCTGGGATTCAGAAGGGTTTCGCTGAAAAAACGGCGTTTTTCGGGGAGGATTTTGAGAAAGGGAGTGAGGAAAAGTGAAGAAAAACATTTGAAGTGCAATTTTCCGGAATGCAAAACAAGACAAAATTGCATCATGACTCACATTTCGGAGCACAATGGCCCACGAATGAAAATTTGTCGAGTAATATATTTTACACTAATTAAGCAAGTCTAGCCAAATCGATTTCTATCGGTCCACCGACCGACACTCAAAGTTGATTTCTTTTGTGTTTGATAAGAGAGAGAGTCGTTGGGCGGACGGGCGGCGAGCGAGAGACGCAGCGGATGCGGAGAGATAGAAGACTAGACAAAAGGGGCGGAGTCTTGTGAAGGGCACGGGCGGTCCGTCGCGGGTTCAGGAAAGACGCTCTCTGTGCCCTACCGCACAATAATTCGGCAAAAAACATGAAAAGTCCTAAATATTTTGAAAGTTGTGGGAACTCGGCGTAACAGATTCGACACGAACAAAATAAATTATTCATAGTTAGACATAAACGAAATGGATGTGTGCTCTTCTAAAAAGTATTAATTTCACAAGTGAATAAAAATGAAGGGAACAAACGAATACCCGGAGAGAGGAAGAAAGAGACGGGGGGAGAGGGGGAGAGGGAGAAATTTCAATTTTACAATCTAAATTAAGAATCAATTATAGAGCGGAGAGGGTGTTTCTGTCCAAAAACGAGGAGATCATCCGAATCAAATCGTGCTCTTCGTGCCGCCGATCGCCGGCCAAAAGTCCGCATTTCACAGCGAGCCGGTTCTTCGCATTCGTCGCCACGCGCAGCAGAAGACGGCTGATGCTGTCGGAAAGTGAGGGAAATTCCTGTAAAAAATTGATTAAAGTATTGCGTTTTGTGCCCCAAACCCACTGTAGTGAGCACCATGAGGGCGGGCGCGACGTGCTGCCACAATTTGTACGCGGAGGGCAGTTCTCCGAATTTGTGCAGCGAATGGACAATGTCGCACACGACACGGGCGGTCTCCAACGACTCGCGCACCCGGTACTTTCTGCAAATCTCCGCGGCGAAAACGACGGCGAAGAAGCGGCGGTGTGGGTCGGCGAGCGAGAGCATTTCGAGAATGTTGGCGTGTCCGGCGAAGAGCGCCGGCACGCGGTCGACCAGATCGCGCACCTGGTGGAACGGGATCTTCTGGTGGAGCACGATGCGGATGAGTCCCTCGTGGTCGAGGAATGTGCGGTGGATGTACTCGCACGCGATCCGCCGGATCTCTTGCCGCTTTTCGAGCATTCCAAAGTCCGACGGGTCTGAAATACGGAGCGTTTTACCGACTTGCACGGCCACCAAAAGTTGAAAAAAAGGGGCGTGGCGTCATTGTGGCCCGAAATTCAAATTGAAACCATTTTGGTGTGACTTAGGTGACTTAGAAAGGGAGCCGGCCAGTATTTACCGTCTTTCATGCGTTTCGAGTCGCAAACTTCGATGAGCGCGTGGACGAGCGTGCTGTGCTGAATGTCGAGGTACGCTCCGTTGAACATCTCCTTCGCTCGGCGCTCGTCTTTCAGATTCGAACTATCGGATTCGCTTGGTTTCGGTTATTGGCTAGAACGGACGGGGCACGGAACTTACAGATTGTAGCGGCCCGCGGGCGTTTTCGCAATGATCTCCAGCAATTTGAGACGATTCTCGACACGGACCATTTTGTTGAAAAAGTTGAGAGCTCGCACGAAACAGTAGAAGTGTGGCGGCGAGTTTAGGATCGATCTGCGAGCAACTGTACACTTATTCTAGTACTTTTACAATCAAAATGCTAAAATTCAGTCATTTCTCAGTGTTGTGCATCAGGCAAATCAGCTTTGGGTGAGAGAGAGAGAGAGAGAGACGCAGAGAACACGCGCCGCACAATGGCGTACGGTTTCAATATTGTGGGTCTACACCCAACACTCAGTCCGAACCTTTCACATCTGAAAAGCAGCGAGGGAATCTTGATCACATCCTCCACCGTCACTTCTTCGTCGTTCTTCAGCCACCGGTCGACGGATCGCTCGAAAAGTGTGCGCGGATCGACTTGTTCGTATCGATCGAACTGTTTGCAGAGCAAATATCCGAATCTGTGCGAGTTTGTCGTTTTCAGCGAAGCCGAGAAGATGTCGAGGACGAGCGGAAGGGCGGAGAGCTGCTCGCGCAACGAGAGCTTCTCGAGCAGCTCCAACTTCTTCGTCATGTCTTTCAGCCCTTTTATTGTCTTCATTCTCTTCTCACACTCGATTTCCGGCGGTCTCTGATCGTCCATCACGAGATTCATGGATTCTGGGGTCGGCATGAGGTAGGGGAACAGAAGGGCGGAGCGGGTGATCTGAAAAGTACTGGAATACGTCTTGAAAACCAGAAAGAGCGTACAATTTTCGACCGAACACAATCATAATCCTTCCGCTCCGCTTCCATTACTGAAATCAGATACCTTACGGGAAGTTTACGATACAGTGAGATCTTGTAGCGCTGAAAAACAAAAGTTTTCTTTGAAAGAGATGTGAAGAGCTACCATATTCCTCATCGATGAGTCAATTCGCATCGCACCTTCTCGATAGGAGCACAGGAAAAGGAGTACGAAGAGGCGTTTCGGGACCGTCCGTTTATCGAGCATTTCTCCGGCGAACGTTGCCTCGACGAACTCCTCGCTGAGCCCTTTTCCGGCACTTGAGGCCGTGCTTTGCGCGAACCCATCGACCACGTCGGCGAGCAGCTCGGAAGCCGGCACCTGGATGTTGTCTAGCTGCTCTTCGAGCCACATCTGGAAAAGATTGAGAGGATTCGTAGAACTTCGTCGTTCACTCACTCCAATATCAATCTGAAACGCTTTATAGACTCCGGCGGTCTGCAGAGCATGAATCGAGCGGAGCGGAATGCTCGTGCCGTTCTTTTTGTTGCCCGCCAGGAACTTTGTCACCGACAGACACACACTTCTAGAGCTCAATGGAATCGATTAGTACATCGTGGTGTGGAGGACGGACGCTTACCGTTTCGCCACCTCGATCTCGGTCATGCATCTCGACGTGAACGCGTTTTTGAGCACTTGCGCGTGATTGTGCGTCTTGTTCAACTCCACTTTCTGGCGCATTCCTTCGCTCGCAAACTCGGCGAGCTCGTCGATTCGCGAAGACATGATGCACGCGTGCACGTGGACGAGGTGCGCCACAAACGACGAGGTGATCTAATCGGATGTTTTTGCACTGTTCTCCAGGCGACGCCCCCCGTTTTTATTACCTTTTTGCCCATCAAAGCCCGTTTTCTAGTGATATCCAACCAGTTTTCGACTGCTCGATCCGGCGGCTGTACGGCGTGCGTTTGATTGATCGGGTACCTAGACAGATTTCCGTTTTCTACAATATTTGAGAGAGTTCAGTAGTATACTGTGTGAAGAAGGGAATGGCGATGAGCGCGGAGAGGACGAATATCTCGTGGGCGTCTCCGAATGGACTCTGCTCGACCTGAATGTTCGGCGACAGTTGCGGACGGGGACGATCCGTCTCGGGCTCCGAGTCCGGAACGATCGAATCGACCGAATCGTCGCGGAAGCTCAGATCCATCGGCTCCGAGTCGTCCATGGCTATTTCGGCGTCGGAAACCGCGGACGGCTGCGTGGACGTTCGGAACACGAATCGACTGATGACGATGACGTCGCGCTCTTTCCACGGCTCCAAAGAGGTGTTCATGAGTTCGACGAGGCAGAACGAGAGCCGCGTGCACCACGGAGCATTTCCCATGGGCGGCGCCGACGTGGACGGATGGACCGTCGATTGCCAATCGAGCACGTGCTCGGCCATTCGGAGGAGTCGGGCGGTTACCAGCGGGAGCACTTGACGGCCGGCGCTTTTAAGCACCGTCTTCGACACTTGCGAGTCTGCAAAAGTTCAATCGCTTTCAGTCAAAAACTTGAATTGTGCCTGTTCTTAGCTCAAAATGTGCAGAAAATGTGAGAAGCGTTGACAATTTCTACTTGAACTTGAAATCGCCGCCACGATTTCGGTATAGCGCACACTTACCTCTGTCGGCGAGCCGAGGCTCTAAAAACTCTAAAAACTGTCTATCGTCGAGCTGGTCGACAGCCAGTCGACACGCAAAAACACAATCGTTCCGGAACTTGGAGAACTTTTCGACGACTCGCCGCGCGAATTGCGGATAGATGTGGATGAGCTGAAAATAAATCATAAACTGATTTTCGCTCAAAAACACTTCTGCTGACCCTGGCCACCGTCTCGTTTCGATAACGCATCCGAACGCCCGGCGTCGAGTTGCTGAGGAGCGAATTGACAATTGAGACGACGTTCTCGGGCATTTCAATGAGCAAATGCTCTAAAATGATGGGTCCATTCTCGAAGAGCAATGCATTGACAACGTCGTCAATTTGGAGTAAGCCCGGCAGATAGCACTGTATCAGTACTAGCTGTCGGGCTATTCTCTCCATAAACGCCTTCTCAATCCACGTGTCGGTAGAGGCGAGCGACGGATCGTTGTCTGAAAATGTTACAGAAAAGTGAGTGCTGAACAGACTTTCGCTTTTATGGAAAGCCTTACAGCAAAAAATCACTAACATTTTTTAATATTTGTAATTAATTCGATGATTTCCTCCATAAACTGCTCCTTCTCGCCTTTCAGCTGACCGCCCATCCGACCCGGCGAGTCCGATCTGGACGCTCCGCCGTCCGACATCTCTCCAGAACTGTCCTGCTCATGCGCACCTCTCGCCGACGATTTACTCAGATTGAAGTTCTTGGCGAGACGTCGTTCGACCTCTTCCCACGGAAATCGCGTGTGAATCGGCTCGTGTAGAGTGCACGGATCGAGAACAGTCACTAGTGGGCCAAGAAGCGCGTCCTGCAATGCAATTTTGTCATTTTTGCAAAAATTGTTTTCTCAACTGAAAATACAAAATTAACATGAAACCACGCCTCTTTTTCATTTCTGAACACTGTACTTTGACATCTCTTACCGGTAGACCAGGGTTCAGCCGTTTTGTGCTTGACTGCGCAGCGGCGACGCCGAAATAGGTTTTTTGATGTTCCCATGGATTCTAAACGAGAATATGAGCGATTTGTATGAGGTTTTGAGTGAACTTACGTTAATTTTTGGTTCTAAACTCTTTTTTGTGCTCCTTTCGTCCATTTTTGAAATGGAAATCTCTGCAAAGAGAGATTGCTTGATGAAAATCGGCGCAAAATGGGAGCGAAGAAATGGAAAATTTTTCGAAAGTGGATGCAAGCGCGCTCTATCGCACGCGCTGTGTACTTCTCTCGGACAAGTCACATTTAGCGCGCACATCTTTTCAAGAGAAATCACGTTGTTCTCCATCATTCTCCGCCAAAACTCTGCTCAAATTTTCAATTTAAGGACTTTACAAGTAAGTTTCAATCAGATTTATTCCTACTGTTCATCAAAAACCCTTCAAAATTGCAGGTTTTCACACGAAAAATGTCGGAAATTGAAAAACCAGCAGGAGACCTCAAATTGAACGAAGAGTCACAAAGCGAAGTGACTATTATCCAAGAAGGTAGTCATATTGCTAAGAAAAAGCTATAAAAAATAAATTTAGGCAAAGCGAAAGTCAGATTCCATGGCCCTGTTTTCTACAATCCCGTTCAAGAGTTCAATCGTGATTTGACGTTAGTTTTCCTATTGATTCAATCGTTAATATCAATTTTCTAGAGTAACTGTGCTCCGACAATTCTCGGATGACCATCAAAAATTGCACAAAGAGCAAAGCGAAGCATCTGCCGCCTCACAAGCGTCCGGAGATGAGCCGCCGAGGAAAAAGAACAAATTGGCGATCATTGAAGACGGAAAGATTCGAATTCTGGATGCTCTGTCGGCTTCAGGTTTGCGGGCACTGCGTTTCTCGAAAGAAGTGCCAAATGTCGGCTTTATTATGGCCAATGACTTTTCCGATAATGCGGTGGCGTCGATTCAAGAGAATGTTAAGCTGAACGATGTCGAGGGAATCGTAGAGGCTCATTTCGGAGATGCTGTGTACGTTTTCAGGGTTTTAACACCTTTAAACTAAACTTTTGCAGAATGACAATGATGGAGCATCGTGGAATCGACAAACGGTTCCACGCGGTCGACCTGGATCCGTACGGAACCGCGTCGACGTTCCTCGACTCGGCAGTCCAGTGCGTCGCCGACCGTGGCATTCTCATGGTCACCTGCACCGACATGGCCGTCCTCTGCGGAAACACTCCAGAAGCGTGCTACAACAAGTACGACGCGGTCACCACGAGAATGAAGTGTTGTCACGAAGTGGTGGGGCAATTTAATAAGGAAAACCATCTAGGCATGACTTTCAGGGTCTTCGAATTCTGCTCCGTGCCATTGACTCGGCCGCCAATCGCTACACGCGGTACATTGAGCCGTTGGTTTCGATTTCCGTTGATTTCTACGTTCGAGTATTCGTCAGAGTGCATACTGGAGCGCGTCATGCTAAAGAAAGCGGAACGTGAGTGTCAAGAGAAGCTGAGATGTGTCCAATCGCTATTTTTTTCCAGAAAAGTGGGCACAGTGCTCGTGTGCTCTGGCTGTCACGCCATGGAACCGGTGAGTCTGCTGAAGAGAGGAGAGGGCAACCACGAGAACAAGTACACGCTGCCGACGATCCGGCACTCGCTCACCGGCCCCGACAACCTCTGTGTCCACTGTTCTCACCGTCTCCACCAAATCGGACCCATCTACCTGGCCCCGATCCACTCGAAACCGTTCGTTCATTCCCTCCTCGAACGCCTCAAGAACACGCCGGAATCAGAGCGTCTCGGCACGCACGCACGTCTTCAGGGCGTGCTAACGATGGTCGGCGAAGAGCTCGACGAGCTGCTCTACTACGAGCACGATCAGCTGGCGAACACGGTCAAAGTGTCGGTGCCGAAGGCGCAGAGTGTGCGGTCGGCGATTCTCAACGCCGGTTTCAAAGTGTCCGGCTCGCATTGCAACCCGCGGGCACTGAAAACGAACGCGCCGATGCAGCTCATGTGGGATATTTATAGACAAGTCGTGAGTTGGGCTAAAATCCCAACAGATTAGATGAAAAATCAGAAATTTCCAGGCGAAAGACACAAATGTGGACCGGGAAAAGCGGTTGGCCGTCGAATCGGCCGGATACCACATTCTCGGGCAGCCGATGAGCCACTCCATCAACTTTTCGCTCCATCCGGGCGCAATTGAGCAGGCCAAGAAGGAGAATCTCGTGCGGTTCCAGTGCAATAAAGGAAAGAACTGGGGACCGAGACAGAAGGCGAAAGGATCGGTGAACTCGACAAAGGCCGGATTCCAACTGACCACCGACAAAGAATAATAATCATTTTTTAAAGTTGTTGTTTGTTGAAATTTCTCTGTTTTGTTGTTTTCTCCATTTTCCGCGTCAGTAAACGTTCTGCACGTCCGTCAGAAGGCACAGAATGTATTGTAGTCTCTGCCCTTGCACCTTTTCCCATTTCGAATCTTATCATTACGTTCTCTGCGACAGACTCTCTTGTCATTAGCCAATACATTGATAACTGCGAGAGATAGATAGCATTTTCCGCTGTCTGCTCTCGATGCAAATTCGAACTCCGCTATCGATTTGCGAAATGTTCACTTTTCTATTTGTCTATTCGTTTGCTGTTTTATTACCTTCGGCGGAAGCCATTCAGGTTCAAATTTCGTAAGTCAGGCAAACCCGCTCTTTTCTCAATAGACAGCGAATTCGTTCTACTGCACTAATTGTAATGTTTCCATTTTTCATTACTAAATAGAGCAAACTTACTATATACCACGAGAAAAGCGAAACAAAATGAGCATGAAAATGAAGCTTTGAGTGCAGTAGAGGGCATTTGCTGATCGAAAATTGTAGAGGCGGAACGATTGAGGGAAAAGTGATAAATGCGACGTACTCGCCGCTCGGCAATCAGACCGGCATCGCTTTTCTGGGCATTCCTTACGCCGAGCCGCCGCTCGGAGACCTCCGATTCCGGAAGCCCCGCCCACCGACGACGTGGCAGGGGATCAGAGAGACGAACGAGTACAAACCGGCATGTATGAGCAACATCACGTGGGTTCTAGACGGAAATTGTGAAAAAAAAGGCTAAAAACGGTTTATTCTGCAGAAGAACGTATAAAGTGGCGAACGGCGGTCCGGTCTCTGAAGATTGTCTCTATTTGAACGTCTTCACAAATGATTATTGTATGCGAAATGTCAGAAGCAACACCAAAATCACAAAAAATACCATTCGTTTTTGCAGAAAAACTGTTCGGTGATGATTGTGGTGCACGGCGGCGCGTTCCTCTTCGAATCCGCCTCCGCATTCGCCCCCGACATTCTCATCAACAACTTTGTGGGTCAGGACAGAAATATTGTCGTCGTGTCCATCAACTATCGGCTCGGCATTTTCGGATTCGGACAGTTTCGCGGCGATTCGGGCGACAGAAACATTGCACTTTTCGGTGAGAAGCGCGCTCCACATTTTTCACCTGATTCATACGGAAATTGCTGGAAAACAATGATTTCGGTCGTTTTTTTTCTCAAAATTTTCGACTTTTTCGTCAGAATTACATCAAAAAAGTCATAAAGTGTAGAAAATCGCTGCGACTGCAACGACAGCGCAAATGAATCAGTTCAATACGAAAATCGAATATTTAGACATTTTACAAGCGGTAAAATTCGTTCGAAATGAAATCGGAAGCTTCGGAGGCAACAAAAACAGAATCACACTGGCAGGACACTCGGCAGGCGCCGCTCTGACCTTCCTGGTGATTAGTCCCTAGTTTTGGCGCCTCATTTCACGTACATGGTTCAGTTCTCCTCGTCGCCTCTCTCAAAAGGCCTGATCCATCAGCAGATCATCATGAGCGGACCGCTTGCAAATATGGCGAAGCAGGCGAATTACAAAGCGACGACGTACATCGCCACGCGTCTCGGATGCCTCGCAGAAGACGTCGGATTCGGAACGCTCTCGAAGAAGACCGTGGAAAATGTATTTGAAAAGTTTTCGAACATGCACAAATTCTTAGAACTATTTTAGGCCTTCGAGTGTTTGCGAAATGTTTCAGCGGACGAACTGCTCGCCGCCGAGCTGTATATGGTTCAGAATTCGACGCATTACTTGGGATGTCCGCATGTGGATGGCGAGGTTTGCAGTTTTGCAAGTGCGCTCCACCGCATTTTGAGACGAAAATGAGCAAATTTCGTTTGAAATTAAGAAAGTTATCATCTTTCGAAGCGTCGAATTTATTAGTTGACAACTTGTTGATATCAGCCTAAAATCCGTACTTTCAGTTCGTCACCGACTACCCGGATCGTTTTCTATCGGAAAAACGAGTGTATCCCATCAGCACGATGCTCGGAACCACGAGTGCCGAGCTCAGAGAATCACAGTTATTGCTTCAACATGACAGCATTTTTCCGAATTCCAGGACTTTCAGATACATTACCGATTTGCAAAATACAGTTCAGCGAGAGAAATCGCTCGTGAATCTCTGCGAGCACATTGGCTACGAGCTCTTCGATAAACCGGACGAGTTTGCGAAAAAGTGCTACGCTTACTATCGAAACGGGTCGGACGCGCAGTTTTTGTCCGATGACATGGAGTTTTATGCGGGCTCCGTCGAAATTGCGAACGCTCACTCGACCGCAAGCACCAAAGTGTTTTTGTACAGGTATGCAAGTGCGCTCGGAAAAATTTAAAATTGCGCACGGTCTCCCACGGCGCGAATAATTTCAATGGGGCGCAGTTGCAACAGGCGAGCTGTGTCGATTTACGCGGCGGCCGATTAATTAATTTTCAACGGGAGGTCGCGTTCTTTCCATGTTTTCTGTACAATACACCTATTTTTGTACGCTTGGAACCTGGATTCGAATAATTAGAGCACTAGCTACGTTTTGGTAACAGAAATCTCACATATCGTTGAGAATTAGCCGAGTTATTTCGATTTGAAGGTTTTGGCCTGGATTTTGATGTTTTTCGAATAGTTTTCGGAAATTGCTCAAGAAAACTAACCGCCGGAACCTGAATTTTGTAAAGAAAGATTCAGCGAACATTTTTATTGTTCGTTGGGCTCATGAAATGCAAAATGAACTGAAATATAAAGGTTTGAAGTTTTGACGAAATGCGAAAAAGACGCTAATAACATGAAAACCTCTAAATTCTGTAAAGAACGGTTTCCAATCAGTAAAATATTGTTTTCTAGACGTTTTTCAAGTCAAAAAGAAAGAAATAAAGGTCGTAGACTCGAATTGAACTGCATTTTTAGACCTGCAAATTTTCAAAAGTTACAACGACACTCCGCAATTTACGAGCGCACTGTGTTTAGCATTAGCGCCCTGGGAGACCGTGTTGCGAGAGAATGAACACAAAAGAACCTTTTTACTCTTTCAGCTACACGTACACCGGCGCCGGATTGGCTTTCAAAAAGTACATGCCAACAGTGCCGTCGCCGCATCATTCTGAGGACCTTGTAAGCCATTTGCCTCTCATTTTCGACCTATTCTTCCATGACACTTGCAGATTTATACATTCGGCACTCATCGAGGAGTGATGGCGCCCAAAGATTACGTGATTGAAAGCATTTACAGTGGAGTTTTTGCGAATTTTGTAAACTTTGGAGATCCGTCGCCTTCGGAGCAACAAAAATGGAGGCCATACTCTGAAAAGAATAGGGAGTACTTTGAAGTTGGTGAGTTGGAATGGGAAATGTGAAAAACGAAGCAATTCGGGGACTTTTCAGACTTTGATCAGAACTTTACGATGCCCGGCATGAAGACAGGCTACTACAAACGAGCCGTTGACTTTTGGAGGTTTCCTATTTCCAATTTTCATAAAAACCCTCACTTTGTTTCATTTCAGCCAGCCATCTCTCAAGAAGAACCACCGGGAACAGTGGTCCCCCTCGTTGGACACCCTGATCATCACGAACCTCGTCGACCCGATTCTGAGCCACATGCGCGGATACTCGATCGACACCGAAAAACTGTACGAGCCATTGAACAAGCTGTTCTACGAACGAGAGCAGTTTTTGAATGAGCTGAAGACGGAATGGAGAACGACGCAGTTGCTGAAGGGGAAGATTGGGAACGGAAAATGGGCGAGAAGTGGAGAGGTGAAGGTGGAAGAAGAAGGGAAGGAAGAAGAAGAAGAAGGCGGTGGAGTCAGTGAGTTTATTTCTGGTACCGTCTTAGTCTCTCTAGGGAAAGGAATGGGACGTATGTAATGCCCTTCTATGAATTCTGTAGTGTCAATTCCATCACTTTTGCAGACATTCTCCTGATAATCTTCGCGGGCGTCCTTCTGCTCGGCATCCTCTACATTTCAATCACCCACTTCTGTCTGCACGTCCGATCGCGAGAGGGCTACCAATTGTTGAAGTGAAACAATTTCACGCAATAAACCGTTCTAAACTTCACCCCAAACAATCCACTGATAATGATTGCATCAGTTTCCCACTGATAATCGAACTGACCACTTGACCATCGATATCGATTGAAAATGTGTGCTCTCCAGACACTTCTTATACTTTGCTCTTTACTTTTCCGTCAGATTGGGTGTACTTACACCAATATCGAGTTGTCGTAAGTTTTAGGACACCTCCACAATTGTGTAGCTTTCGAAAAGAGACGCACTTCAGAAGCGGCCGGATCCAGGGCGAAACGCTGACCGCCACCTACTCCCCGTACGGTTCCCAGTCGGCCCACGCATTCCTCGGTATTCCGTACGCGCGTGCACCGGTGGGATCGCTCCGATTCCGAAAGCCACGTGCACCGCCGACGTGGCAAGGGATCAGAGCGACGAAGCGATATGAGTCGGCGTGCATGAGCGATCCGAAGCGGACTTATAAGAATGGCGAGGGCGGTCCGATTTCGGAAGATTGTCTCTACTTGAATGTCTTCACAAATGACTATTGTATGGAAGAGAAACGGTGCGCTGTGATGATCGTGATCCACGGCGGAGGACTGCAATACGAGTCCGCAGCCACTTTTGACCCTCTGATTCTAATCAATAACTTTGTGGGTCAGGACAGAAACATTGTCGTGGTCACCATCAACTACCGGCTCGGCGTCTTCGGATTCGGACAACTGCACGCAGATGAGGCAGACAAAAATATTGGGCTTTTCGGTTGAGAATTGATACGCTCCGACAATAAAATGAAGAGACCAGTTTCAGACATTCTGCAAGCGATCAAATGGGTTCGAAAAGAGATCGGCGAGTTTGGAGGGAACAAGGAGAGAATCACGATAGCCGGACACTCGGGAGGAGCCGCCCTCGTCTATTTGGTGTCCACGTCTCCGCTGTCGAAAGGCCTGATCCATCAACAAATCATCATGAGCGGACAGTATCCGAGTCTTTCGAAACTTGCAAACTACAAGGCCACCAGTGCGATCGCCGTGAAAACCGCATGTCTTCCCGAAGACGCCGGATTCGGAAGACTGTCGAAGAGCGTTGTGGAGAAGGTTTGCTCGATTTTTTGTGTCTGTCTGACGTTGTCGGAATTCGAACACTCAAAATTGTCTATAAACTGAACAGCGTGTGGTCAACGTTTCGTCACTTATTTTTGGGGTTATCAGGCTATGAAAAAAATGATTTTTTTCCGTTTTTTTACGTCAAAAAACCCAATTCAGCCGTGTAAAAAAACGAAAAAAAACGGAAAGCAAACATACGCTGAATAGCCAGCCCCATTAAAAAGCAGAGTTGCCACGGGCCGGGCCGGGCCGAAATTTTCAAAACTCCGGCCCGGCCCGGCCCGGTTCAAAAAGCGGGAATCGATATTTTGAACTATTGATTAAATAAAATGTTTGTTTTTCGTAGAACTAACGAATTTTGCAAGTATCGAGCATAAAAAAGAAATGTAGTTCTCAAAAATAGTCAAAAATAGAAAAAAATAGTAATGTCGGAGTGTCGTAGTTTTTTTTAAATTTTGATCCCCGCAAAAAAAAACGAAAAAATAGATTTCCCCCAAAAATTTGAATTCGCGCCTTTTGAGCCGGGCCGGGCCAGCGAATTTTCGGCCCGGCCCGTAATTTGGCAAGTCTGTTAAAAAGCGGTGCAGATGAGTCTGATAGCAAGCAGGGAAGAGTTTTCGCGCAGGAGTTTCCTAGGCCACGCTGTTCTTAGACATTTCTGAAAGTAGCGATTTGGAAAGTGAGTCTTTTGAACTGTACCTCAAGTTGTCCTCAGGTCTATTCGTGTCTACGAGGACTTCCGGCTCAAACACTTCTTGATGCTCAGCTGGATGTTGTTCTAAACACCACCTACTACCTGGGAACAACTTATGTGGACGGGGAAGTGAGTGGAAAATGCCATCTGTAAAATGTTCCATCTACAAGTTTCCGATGCTCCCCGACTACCCGGATCGTCTGATGGACCGCAAATCGGTGTATCCGATTAATACACTCATCGGCACGTTGAGTGCGGAAATGAGAAAGTCGAGTTATGTCAGCGATCTCGCGCCTGAAAACGTACACAAAAGCAGAGAGGACCTGTTGAAGAATCTCTGCGAGCACATTGGCTACGAGCTCTACCGCGAGCCCGAGGACTTTTCCCAAAAGTGCGTACAATCCTATTCCAACGCGTCCGCAGCCGATTTTCTGTCCGATGACATGGAGTTTTACGCGGGCGCCGTCAAGATTGCGAACGCACACGTGAGCCCGACGACCAACGTGTTTTTGTACAGGTATGCAAGTGCGCTCCACTGAAGTTGGGCGGCTGGAAGCTTGTAATTTTTGTATCGTTTCAGTTACACCTACACTGGCGCCGAGAAAGCGTTCGACAAGTACCAGATACCTCCGGTACCGTCACCACAACATTCAGAAGACCTGGTACCAATATCTGCTTCTAAAAGTTCTTTACTAACAATTTTGTAGATCTACACATTCGGCACACATCGAGCAGTGATGGCGCCCAAAGATTACGAGATTGAACGGATTTACAGTGGAATGTTCGCGAATTTTGTCAACTTTGGAGATCCGTCGCCTTCGGAGCAACAAAAATGGCAGCCATACTCTGAAAAGAATAGGGAGTACTTTCATATCGGTATGTTCACTGTACCTCTTGTTTCTTGGACATGTTCATTTTTCAGATTTTGACCAGAACTTTACCATGCCCGGGACCAACGTACAGTATTATCAGAGAGCTGTCGACTTCTGGAAGTACGTCATCTTCTTAATGGGGGTATTCAGGCTGTGAAAAATAATATTTTTTTTCCCGTTTTTTTCGTTTTTTTTACGTCAAAAAACCCAATTCAGCGGTGTAAAAAAACGAAAAAAAAGGAAAACAAACATACGCTGAATAGCCCCATAACCGCTTCATTCTCACCATTTTCAGTCGGCCATCACTCGAAAAGCGGTACTCGGAACGATGGGCGCCGTCCCTCGACAACTTTATGATCACCAATCTGTTGGCGCCGATCAACAGTCATTTGCGACAGAAACGAACGGATTTCGATAAGAGTTTCGAGCAAAATGAGCAGCTTTTCTTCGAGCGAGAACAGTTTTTGGTGCAATTGAAGACGGAGCGAAGAAGGAGAGGGGTGTCGGTGAGGGACCAGGAGATCAGAGCCGAAGGAGAAATCAGTGAGCTGCCGGGGGCCATGACGATTATGAGTCGACGTTTCCAGGTTATCTCTTCTTCATCTTCTCCGGAATTCTTCTGTTCGTGGTCTTCCACGTGACCGTCACTCACTTCGCCATGGACAAACAAAGAAGAAAGGATGGATATGAAGTGCTCGAATGACGCTTTTTCGATCTAAATTCACAATATCTGTTTCTGTACACTGTGAGAATCATAAACTGACTTTAAATTACATGCAAATTTTCGATTTTCAGTTTCGGAAATGATAGAGCAGAAAAGTACAAGCCTTTTGAGAGTTCGAACAGCAATAATGATCGAAAAAGACAGAAATTCAAACATTTTCATTATGCCGCGTCCAAAGTCTCGGAAGAAAAAAAAACAAGAATTTTGTGGAAGTGCGTGCCGAGACGGTTTGTGCCGAGACCCATGAAGATTTCCCCCGACCGCCCCCCACATATTCTGGGACGCTAAAAGATGTCACGAATAAATCTTGCATGCCCTCCGATGCGGCATTTCCGTTCCGAACGTCAGCTGATCGAGGAAAGTTCACAACTGAAATGTAGCAGAATTTCATTACACTAAAGTACACTTTGGCTTGGTGCGGGCTCGGTGCGGGCTCCATCAGTCAAGCACGGATTAAATTTCTTTGTGCTCATGAGAGACGTCCGCCGTCACATTTCGTGAAGTTGTGTGTAAACCGTTTGGAAGTAAAGTCTGCTTCTCTTTCTCTCATTTTCTCTTTCCAACTAATTATTCCTACTCTGCCACTTTCAAATTTATGCACGGAAACAGCACGTGCTTTGACCTTCTCTCTCTCCCCACTTTGGCTAATGAAGAAGTGTATAGACGCGGAAAAAGTGACGCGAATGACTGACGGGGACCACTCTCACTGATTTTTTGTTTCATTCTCTCTTCTTTACGTTTTATTCGAATCAATTTGAGCAATTTTGGAGCTTTTCAAGCGATTTTTCGCAAAAACGACGCAAAAACGAGCAATTCCGCTGAAAATTATCGGAAAATGACTGGAGAAATAAAGCGTTTACATTTCGCAACGGAACCAGTTATCCATAGAGCGCGTTTGCATCATTCGTTGGCGGGAGAGAAACATTTCAAATTTGTTCAACGAAAAAGCTTCAAAATTTGTCATTATTATCTCACAAAATGCAGAAGAGAGCACGACCGCCTGTCAATAAGGGTCTCTACACTCACTTTTATCGCTGCGAGACCCGTTTGACCTACGCGCGAAAGCACGTATCCATCGATTTTCGACCGATACTCTTCGCTGTTTTTCTCTTTCTCTTCTCGATTCCGAATAGAAGTTAAAATTTGAAATTCCCGCCGGATTTCGGATCCGGTTTCAATTTCCCCGAAATTGGAGAGTTTTGACTGCTCTAGTTGGTCATTCCACTCCAATTTGACTGCGAAACACTTGAAAATCTGAAAAATGTTGATATTGGCAATAATAAAATGTGCGAGGATCAAGACGAATGTTTGTCCATCATCATAAAGTTTTTAAAAATAAATAAACATCCGACATATTGGAGCTCTCTGGCCGCATTTCTCACTTTTCTCTCCGCACATTTCCCCTCTCCTTTTCCGATTCGACAGGAAGTAGTTGCGAGATTATTCAGAGAGCAGCAGTTTTTGGTTTTTTACGCCTATTCGCACAGCGGAATTCTGTGCATTTTTTTCCCCGCTTCAGTCTTCCGGAAGTGCATTTTGGCGTCGCCGTGTTTGCACAACTTCACCGTCTACCGTATTGTGAGCTAGGAGCGCGAACGGGCGGGCTAAATTTGCAAAAATATGCATTACATCAACACGTTTTCAGAATCTTGCAGAAGCCATACAACAAAAGGCCAAACTTATCTTTTAAAACGCTGAATTCCGTCTTCCGCATTCCGCAAACAGACATTTTTGAGTACTTTGAGCAATTTTTATCTAATAGAGCGCGTTTGCTCGCTCGCCCTCCCGGCACGGCAGTCGGATGCAAGTTCTGGACCATAACTTTTAGTATCCGATGTCAATTCTCTCTCTCTCTCTCTCTCCGCTCCTTTCATTCTTTGAATGCATAATCCGTGTGAATGACCGTCTCGCGACCTCAAACGAACACTAATAGGCCTCCATTTTGTGGGAAACCGGCGGCGAAAGAGTGAGGAGAAGCGAGAGAGAAAGAGAAAAAGAGAGGAAGAGAGAGAGAGAGAGACGTTTCGCGCCCAGAGGACGAACCATTCAGAGGTCGTACCACACATGTGTTCACTCGCTTTTTTTGCTTTTTCTTTTGTGTTTATATGTAGCTCGCAAAAATTGAGGTCGTTCTGATATTGTCCTCTTCCATTTACCTACCGGTTTGCTAGCCCCCCGTTTCCTCCATTTCCCATTCGGATAGTTAATGGATCCGGTTTCTTTTTACTGTTTTGCTACTATTATTCTTCTTTCAATGATTCCAGTGCACCTAGTCGCCGAAAATAACCGGGAAACCTTTGCTCTGGCACTTTTAGGCTAAAAAGTGAAGTGAAAACAGAAATGTGTCACCTCAGTTGCTCCGCCCATGGAGCAGCAGCTGTTCTGCACTTTCCAAGTGTCATTTTAACTTTTCCCTCTCTCTCTCTCTCTCCCTCAACTGATCTTCTTCATTTCTTCGTATAAAACGAACAGATGTTCCACTTTGTTTTCACTTGTTCGTGTATATAGTAGTTGGGCACGTTTTATGAGGTGTGCCTCATGGATTCATTTTTGGGGCTCACGTGAAAACGTCGTCGCTCTACTCTATAACCGATATATCTTGAGATCCAATCATTGTTTTTAAAAGTGTTCAACTAGAAAGTTGTTGCAAATCTTATGTAGAACAACTTTGTAATTGATCATTTTCTCCTAAAATGCTTTATTCTTGAGATATATGCCTGTACCTAAACTCTGCTCATAAGCCAAGCTCTAAAAGTCCCCTATGTTCTAAGCCGTACATCTCAAGAACTATTGACTATTTCAAAAAGTGATTAACTGCAAAGTTGTTGAAAATTTCATTCTAAACAACTTTATAATTGACCATATCATCTTAAAATGCTCCATTCGCAAAATATAGGCCAATACCTTAACACTGACCATAAGTCATGCTCCCAACTTCCTTCTCCTTTCCAAATTCCTCACAATCATCCCCGAAAAGTAGTAAAACGCGAGTGATCAACTGGAAAGGAACGAAGAAATCAGAGACACAGAAAAGGCATTAAATTAATGACGACCGACGCGAAAAAGATTGAGAATCGAGGGGTGTCAAAAACAAGGTCGATGCACTATCTCACATGTTTTCAGGTTTTCTCCCCCCTTTTTCATTCACCACCACCCACAAAAGTTGTTATCTTTTGTTTTGACCGCTTTCCGAACAAAAATATGAAAATATTGATAAGAAAAGTGAGATGGAACGTCAAAAATGTGGCTTCTTCTGAAATACTATTTCTCTAAAAAAGAGAATGGAGCAAAAATCGATAATTCGCGTCGCTTACACGTTTTTCTTCAATATTGTCTCACTTCTCACTAAAAACCATTTTCTCACACACGAAATTCGATAAATTTTCAGACCAGTTCTCGTGGCGCTCCTCCTCCGAAATGCCGGACGAAGAGGAAGCGACGACGACGCGACTCGCGTGGACCAAACGTCTTTCCCGCCGCCTCAACAAACGAAGTTCGTCGCTGATCGCCTCTTTGCTCGGCAGTCGAAACGGAACGACGTCGAGCAAAACGATAAACGAGGCGGCGACGGCGACGACGACGGACGACGAGCTCGACGAGGAGAGCATGGAGGAGGTGAAGCGGAGGGAGATTATGGCCGCGCGGAGGGCTTCGGCCGCGCCGAACGTCGAGAATCGGACGGGCAGTCGGAGTGGCGGCAAGGAGAGGGGAAAGACGAGCCGGCGACGCAGTGTCGATCGCATTTGGGCTTATAAGGTCAAGGTGAGTGAATGTGAAGACGATCAGACTTGAAGACAGAGTTTCTTAATCAGAAAGCATAGTTAGCGAAACATTTCGGCCCGATCCGTTACAACTATGCGTGAAGGCACAATATTAATGGATATCTCGAGAATTCGGCATGTTAGAGCGTTGTGGTCAATTACAAAGTTGTTAAGAATAAAATTCTCTACAACTTTTCAGTTGACAACTTTCCAAGATTATCGATATTTCTCGAGATACAGGTCTTTAAAGATAGAGAAATGGTCCCATTGATTGTATGACGTATATTTCGAGAACCAGATATTGTATACAAAAGTAGTCAACATAAAGCTTGTTAAAAATTTTGTGCTGATCAACTTTGTAGTTGATCGTTTTAGCCGAAAATGCTCAATTCGAGAGTTAAGAGCCCATTATTCACTAAGCCCAAACAATGACGTTTCTAGCATGTTTTTCTCGGAAAAAAGGATCGGCTCGGCTCAGAAAAAGTGACTTTTCGTCTGTTTTGCGAATAGGCGAACTTCCGGAGCAAAGTTTTGTGTGTTGGCTGTGGGCGCCAAAGTGAAACATGAGCCGCCTGGGCCTTTTTTGCAACAATGACTCGCCCGAATATCCATCCATACATACATCGAATGCGTGCGTCAGAACTTGTTCTTCTTCTTCTTGCTCTTTCTCTCTTTCCCTATCCGGAAGACCCCCTCCCCCCAGTTCTCCCTTTCTCTCTCTCTCTCTCTCTCTCTCTCTCTCTCTCTCCTCTCTCTCCTGAGAACACTCTTCGCTCTCTGCGCTCTCTCGCTCCGGCTCCGACGGCTTCTTCTTCTTCTTCTTCTTCTGCTTCTTCTTTTCCTCCGTTTTCGTCACAACGACTACATCCCATCGACTTTCGCTCCGTTTCTCTGCCCGCCGCGGAGAGCACAAAAAATGGCGCCCGAGCAGTGACCGAAAAACGTCAAAATTTATGAGCGTTTTCCCCCACTAAGCGAAACACCTTTTCCTAATTGGATCGTTAATGGATTTGCGAACAGCGTGCGCACTTTTTTCGAGCTTATCAATCGCGCGAAATTCGAATTTTCCGAGACAAAGACGGTAGACAACATTTTTCTTCATTTTTAGAACTTTTCCGACAGATTTTCAATGCGAATTTCAAAGAAAACCAGTTTTTCGACGATTTTCTTAAAAGTTTCAGCAGAAATCCGTCGAAAAACACATTTTCCGACGAAAGATCCAAAATTTTGTGAGCTACCGTTTCCGCGCAAGTTTAAAGGCGCAGAACGGCAGCGGCACAAGTTGCAGCCCAGGTTTTAGTGAAAAAACTTCAAAAAATGATTTCCGAGTCGAATTTTTCACCAAACTCGTAACTTTTTGCTAAATCCATTGAAAAAATGCCTCTAAAAACGTTTTTTTCTTCATTTTTATAAGCGTTTGTCCAAAACTTGTTCCCCATCGCGTCGTCGCCGTTATTTTCCCCCAATTTCAAGCCTCACTGAATCTTCCGTATTCTTCTTCTTCTTCAAATTTTTTTTCTGCTCCATTCTAAAAAGCTTTTATCTGTGTCCACGCCCACACGGTCCCTCAAAGTTGGTTGTGTGCTGGTTTTTATTCCGCTTTTTTTGGGAGAAAGGGAGAGAGAGAGAGAGAGAGATGATATCATTGAGATTCCGAGGACTAAAATACGTACGTTAGTCGCCAAAAAACCCCCATTTTTGCAACAAAAAAGTGGACGACGGAAATTGGCTCTGCCGAAAGAGCAATCAACTTTGGTTTTTGGCTTCCAGAAAGTTGACAGAGATCGTGAGAATCGGAATTTTCGAGTTCGTTCCTAAAAGTGTGAGTCATTTTAGAAGAAGTTGAATAAAAATGATTGACGGTTGCGGATAACCTAACATTTCCTTTTGCACATTCACACCTGCCGAGGCCCGAACTTTTGACCCACTTCCAGTCGGGCAAAACTTTTCAGACTTCGTGGCCTTGAATTGAAGCATCTTCGGTCCATGTTTCAGATCGATCGGATCATCTGCTGGCCTACAACCAGTAAATCTCGGGACCAGATGATCCGCTCGGTCTGCAACTTGGTCCAAGATTCTTCAATCCACGGCCAAAAAGTTACTAAAAGTAGATCCATGGATTTTTCTCTCATTTCGAAAATCAGTGCTATCTGGGTGTTTCAATCAAAGTAATCTCCTCCTCCCCCTCCTCCTCTCCCTTCTTCTTCTTCTTCTTCTTTTTCTTCTTCCCGGCCGTGTCAGTTGTCTGATGACCACGGCCGAGCATCCATCGTGTAAAGTTGGTCTCGCCACGACAAAGATGATTGCCGATGAAATCCTAAAATCCTCTCAATTCTCCCCTCTCCGATCGCTTTCTTTCCTCGTCAAACTGTTCGATTTAGGTATCAGTTTTTTCTCTCGAAAATGAGTTCGGCATCGGTCGACAAAAAATCAGTAAGTATGTCGTCGACTTCTCCGCATGCATCCCCGTGTTAGTACGGAAACGAGATTCCGACCGTTTTCGTTTCGTTTCTCTCTGATCGATTCGATTCGATTTCGCAATGTAATTGCATTTCAAAAGTTTTCGTCCCCTCTTCTTTCTTCTTCTCCTACTCCTTTTCTTTTTCTTGTTTTTTTTTCGCGAACATTACTTTGTGTATCCCCTCCGTTTTCAGTTGGTTCTGGTGTTTAGTTCACTTCTTCTGTTTCTAGCGCTCTGGCGAAAAATGATAGTTTTGTCCCTGAAATGCAGTTTCTCATAGATTTTGAGCTGAAAAATCACAAAAGTTACTAAAAGAACTGCTTGACGCACTCTGAATTACTTTCAATGTTCGGAAATGTTCAATTTTTCCGATTTAGCGAGAACAACAGCTTTTTGACCAACATGGCCTAGAAAACTCCACCGGGTCTTAGGCCAAGTTTGTCGAAATGCGTCAAACACGAAAATTAAATTTTTTTCGAGCACATTATGGAATTTCAGAGCCGATAACGTGTGGTTTTGAAACATTTAGTCCGTCTGCAAAGTTTTCGAAGCCCGCCGACTAGACTTGCCGACAATTTTTTGAAAAAATGCAATTTTCATGCTGACAAATATGAAAAATCCATTATTTGTTCAAAAAATGTTCAACCCGACCCGATCACTGTGCTTCAAAGTTCTGCGGATCAACTCTGACCTTTCAAATCGTCGAATTCTTCTTTTCCCGCGCCCGATCGATTCGTCCTTCTTCCTGTCACTCTGAAGATCGGAGGCGAAAGCATACGGGAGCGAGAAAGAAAGAGAGAGAGAAAGAGATTTCCTCTTTCTCTTTTTCCCTTCAGGACCCGGGCATGTCCAGCCGGGCGGCGTCTCCGTCCGTTTCTCGTTCCCTCGGGCAGGTTCGCTCGCGCTCGCGCGCGCACGATTCGTGTCTGCGTCGCGAGCGGAGACGCACTCTGTCTCGCGAGAGAGGTAACCTCCCGGGGAGGGGCCGCCCGAAAAGTGTTCATTTGTGTGTGTGTGTGTGTGTGTGGCCTTCGGGCGTCTAAATCGATGATGACTCATTCATCTTTTCGTGTTGACAGCCTTCCGTTAGACGTACCTGTGCAGGTGCCCGCCACTTTTAATAGTTTCATTTGTGTCTAGGTCTGAATTTGAATTTTGCTGATTTAAACAGTTTGAGACAATTTCGTTGTCAAACTTGCAATTTTTCGCGAGCAGAACTGAGAAACAATGGAAAATTTCTCAAAGGTTTACAAAATTCAGACTTGCAACGGTCGACCTGAAACTTTCAAGCCAAATTTCACTAACTTTTATGTTTCTTCAGTTTTTTTGAGCCCATCATGTACAAATTGTGATTATTTTTCTTTTGGGCACCGAATATTTCATCGCTTCTCTTCACTAACATCTATTTTCAACTGTCATTCGTTTTGAACCGGTTTTTACCTGATGAGCTTACTCCGTCAGGTAAAAGGCTTGTTTTATGTATAAAATTGTTCCAAATACTCAATTCTTACTAGCTAATATCGAAAGATCATTAAAATGTTTGCAATTATTTGCTTTCTCCGACCCCCTAGAGACCTGTAAAGTCGCTTCTTTTTCTCTCTCTCTCTCCCAGGCTCACATAAATATTTATTCACTACCTAAATCCAGAAATAAATCAAACAAAAAAGTGAGTTAAGATTTCAGTGTGTCGATAGTGATCAAATAGTGATTTTCGATCACTATCCCTTTTTTTCTTTCCAATTTACACGAGTTTTCATTGTGGGCGGCGTGAAATTTCTGAATTCGTGTCTAGCTCTCGTTAAAATTGACAGTTTTGAAGCATCTTTTCGCAAATGCCGAGTTTTCATATTCAGCGAGGCCAATCTGAACGGTTTTTGAATAATATTCGAAGAAAACGCGGAGAATCAATGAAAATCACTGAAATTCAAATTTTTTCATTTTCAGTCCTAATACTTGAATCGATTATTGGCAATCCTTGATTTTTGAACAAATTTCATTCATTTTTCGGAACAGTTGCACGTTTTTGCAAACTTTGCCCAGTATGACGGTGCCTTAGACTCTTTTCGGTCGGATTCTGCGTCGATTCATGTAAAAACATCGATGCTCGCGAAATTAGTTAGAAATTGCTTCATTACCACAGTTTTTCACTTCATCGCGGCAAAAGTTCGGTAGAGCGCACTTGCTCTCGATTCGTATTTTTCTCGATGATAGCTAGCTAGCTATTCGTGTTCGGTCTCCCAACAATTCTCCTAAACCTCGCCGCTTTAACCTATAATAATAACAACAAAGAAAGAGAGAGAGAGAGAGAGAGGGAACAGTTCCGTCCGAACGAACACAAACACACGCACACACACATTTATATATACAATATAAATATAATATTACGCGTCGGCGCGAGAGGCGAGACCGCCCGTTTCGGGGCGACAACGGTAAAGAGCGGAGCGAGAGACTGCGCAAAGTGGAGAGGGCGCCGAGAAAGAGACGGCGGGCAAACAGAAACGGTCAGTGGTCGGCGTTTCGTCGATTCGCGCGCTCTCTCGTCGCCAGCTTCAAGCACTTTTGTGTGTCTGCGTCTCGCCTGATCTCTGAGACTAACTGCCCCGCACCTCTTGAAAGTCGTGGCGAGTGACCTGATTTCGATCAAGTTTTCACCCCCCCCCTTTCTATTTTTCTCCTCCTTTCGAAAACTGTGAGATTGCATGTTGTAGAACACCTGATTCCGACCAGTTCCTTGTTTTTCTCCCCCACTTTTTCAAGTCTGTTTGAGTCAAGTGTTGAAAAATCTTAGTGCTAACCAGCTTTGCTTGGCAAACGCGCTCCACCGCACTCGGCTAATTCATTTTGCGTGTTTTTCTAGCTTTCTCATTCTAAAAGCGTACACAGAACACATTTCCACGTGGATTTGTCGAAAAATTGCAAAAATTCACCGAAATTGGTGAAAAACTCATTTTCTTGCAAAATCGTCTATTTTGGCTAGTTTTTCGATGAAACCTGTTACGATTGTAGAACAAGAAAAGTGGAAAAGTGCGGATTTTTAATGAAATTTTAGGAAAATGAGAAACGCGGAGTTCTGAGTGCGGCGGAGCGTGTTTACTTAGCCAAGCAACTTCCTTGATCAAAGTTTCAATTGACCCGAACCTGAGAATCATACACCATTGACGTCTGCAACATAAAACTTGATAACGAACATTTGGATGGACATGCTCACTTGTCCCCTAAAACTCTTAGCGAAAAAGCTTCAAGTTCTAGATCGAATTCCGGTAACTCGGTAACTTTTTTCGTCGGCGCGTCCGTCCATGATCAAATTTCGTCAAGTGTCGGATCCTAGGCCACGCGAAAAAGGGAAAGCATCCATCCACTTCACGCTTCTCTTTTCATTTCGGTCAATAGTCAATTGGGACGAAGACATGCGATCTCATCAAGACATTTGGCGACAAGTACCAGACGACACTTTCAGTCGAAAAAGTCCAAATCACTTTAGGAATAAAAAGAAGTGCACCACTCCCATTCGCCTATTTTCTGTTTGTTTTAGTCCCCCCACGCCCATTTCCACACAATTCGCCCGAATGTACAACCAGCTGGTTTGTATGTAACACTGGGAAAACACATTCGGGACGAGGCGAACCGAACCGAACGAATGAACGAGTGAGAATGAGAATGAGAAACTGCGGGGGAAACCGCGCCCATGTCCCTTTTTTTTGAGACAGAAAGACAAAGACCGTTTGGGCGTTTCTTTGTATTCGAGAATCATCCACAAAAAATTTCTTGGGCGGTCGAAATGCGGAAAATTGCTTTATCGATCGTTTCTGCGTCAATTTTTGATGAAACACATTTCTTAAGGATTCTCTTGAAACTTTGCATCGCGTTTCAAAATTTCCAGGCAAAAGTGCGGTAGAGCTCATTTGCAAGACACATTTCTACTGTAACTCTTAGAGGCCATATCTAGGCCGTCAGAACTTACATTTCGGAACCTCCGGACAGGTGGAAAATTCTAATCCACCGCTTTTCATTTATTTTTTTGCGCGCGCGCGCGCTCGTGGGTGGAGAAGTCTCCCATGGGCTCCCAGAGCCGGCGGCAGTTGTCTCTCGACGTCTCGCCGCTCTCCTACTCTCGACTATTTTCTCGGAGCTCATCAGCATCATTGAAAAAAATCGTTTCGAAATTTACACACACTTACTCACACCAATTGCCTCGATTTTCGCCTCATATTCGAACCATTTTTCTGCCAGCAAAAGTATTTTAAGCGCTGGTTTTGATCTCTTACGTACGTCCGTCTGATGATGTGTGATCGTCTAGAATTATTTATCGATTTTTTATGGCTGACACGTCATCAGTGCCCGAAAAAGAAAGTGATAAATTTGCAGGAGCATGTGAACACGCCTCAAGGGGATAATAATCAGCAGAAGTCAAAAGAAAACCAGAAAACTTTGAAAGTGAGTGTTTTTTTTTGGTGCTGAGAAAATTAAAATTGAAAATTAAAGTTTCGCGCCAACAAAATATCGCGCGGCCTAGAAATCGCACCTGTCGATTCCTAGTCCCCGTCGATCTTTTTCATCATTTCTCGCCTTTTTGTTCCAACAAAAATCGTTATTCAAAGCGAAATTCGCAGGCTCTGATAAGCGGAAAAAGGTGTTTTGTAAATCGAACTGATAAGCGACACTGTTTGAAATCGATTATTGCCAACGCATTCCCACCGAGCGTGTTCTAGCCCGAAAAATGAGATTTTATTTACAACAGGAAAAAGCCGCGACTTGTTCCTCGAATCAACCCGCACAGCTCCCGCACACAACTAGTAGCGGAGCACGGAAAATCAGTGCGAGCGGCTCGAAAACTGCAAATTTAAAGGTGAGTCTTCAAGATGTTGATGAAAAATTCACAAAGATTGGCATTGTTGAGCGAATTAGCAACCGTAATTTATAAAAATAGGTGTCAAAAGCTCCAAATTTCAAATGAACTCTTAAAAACTCCGAATTTTTGTTGAAAAACTGAGAAAATGCGCTGAACTCGATGTCCTCCTCCCCGTGTTCATCTCGGCACAAAAGCCGTCGCTCACACAGACAGACGGGCGGTTCTGTTCGATCGGAACAAGTGATGAGTGATAAGCGAGAGGCGCGGAGGCGCCAGACACCCAGACACCCTGTTATTTGATGTTCCGCCGCTCCCCACCCCCCGCCCGGTGCCGGTGCCGTTTTCCAAGTTGCTTTCTCGTTTTGCGTCGATCGATTCTTTATTCTCAAAAATTTGAATCGAAAAACTGCTCGAATTGAGTGTTCACGCGAAACGATCAAAGTTCTCGACGGTTTTTTTGTGCTGTTGTTGCCAGGAAATGATGAAAGTTGCGAAAAATGATAATAGATGGGGTGGGGAGAATGTTGTTTGTGGGGGGCGCTTGCTTTTTTCCAATAAAATCATTCGATTCTCTCGATTGTTGCGTCAAACCGACCCCACCGGCGCTCGCAAAAATGTCCACAGTCGCCAGCTATTTTATGGGAATTACCAGTAAGAATAAGGTGAAAAAGCGATGAATTGAGAGTGTGGTCGGAAACTAAAATTTGCGTATGCGCCTTTAAATTTCAAATTGTGATCATACTAATTGACGCGTTCGAAATAGATAAAATTGCAGTTTACTTCTTAAAATGAGATCGTTAATCAATACGGCGCACACGCAAATGTTCGTTTCCGACCTTTTGCCACACTCTCGTTAAACTCATTAGAAAAAAAACCGTTTATTAATTGTTGTTTGCAGCAGTCGCGTCCCTCAACGGACCACCAAACACATCACCAACGCGCTCGTCAGCAGCAGCAGCAGCAGCCGACGTCTTCAGAAATGAACGGAACGACGACGACGAACACGCAGCCGTCCGGAGTGACGGGAACGTCTTCCGGACCGCCCGCAGCACCGTCCGGCACGTCGGCACGCGGATTCTCGACGGCCGGTAGCAGCGGCGGCGGCGGCAGATCTCATCCCACGTCGGGAAGGTGCGTTTTTGATGGTTTCTTGAAGGCATTGTGGTTTCGAGACGTCCGAGAGACCTGAAATTGATGATCTCTGTCGCGTTTGATCAACTTTTTCTCGATGAAAAAAGCGCAGTTTTCGAAAATTGTTTGTTTTTCGAATCGAAAAGTGCTCCGCTGTGTGTTCGTTGTTTGCCAGATTTCGGCCTCCGGCTTTTCGCCTCTTTTTTTGAAAACTAAAACCCGAAAACCTTTTACCCTCGGCTCTCACCTTGTAAGTACTAGTCGTTGAAATTTCAAAATTGGCGACAATGATAAGAAGTGTTTTGATGTTGAAGTAAACAAAGTCACTCTCTCTCTCTCTTCCACTCTTTCTCCCCTCCATTTCATTTTTTTCACGGCCACAATAGATACGAGCGCCGATTATTCAAATTGACAACAATACTCGCTGACCGGGTTTTAATCCGTTTCAAAATGGTTTTTTTTGAAAACGAACCCTTTTTTGTCGAACATTCAAGAGGTTTAGCATAAGAACACCGAATTTCGACAATTCTAAATCTACTTTTTCGTATTCCGATTCAAAACGTCAATTTTAAAAGGAGATTTGAAATTGTGTACTCTGGCCCCCCTCCCCCTTGTTATCGAACGATGAATAGGCTAAGAGGAGGAAGAAGAAGAAGAAGAAGAAGCCGTGAGGAGAGAAGACGAACAAGCCAATAATTAGGCGGGCCGAGAATAACGGGCGGACAACACTCGAATATTATGCAAATTGCGCCTCCTCCTCCTCCTCCTTCCACATCTTCTCCATCTTCTTCTCTTTCGATATTACCCTTTTCCGCGTCGAGTTCCATCTTGAGCCGGCTCATTTAAGAGATTTTCGACAAAAAATGGCAGCGCTTTGTGTGCACTTTTGCTCTTTTTGCGGGGAAAAAACATGATTTGTCATTTTGGCGACGACATCTAGAATTCTCTGCAAAAACATCATCCTCATCTTCATCTTCATTCGCCTGCGTCTCCGCCCGAATAGGCAGGCCGCCGAGGCGCCGAGCTTTCCCTTTTGAATAGAGCTCTTTGGCCTACTCCTACTCTGGCTCCAACTACTACGACTACTACGAATATACTCGAATAAAAGGATGAGAGAGAGAGAGAGAGGGGAACTTTTTGGCCCCCCTCGGGTGGACAAACACGAATTTGGGTGGCGGAATTTCGAAGCCTAATCCATTCTGGAGCCCCATCCTCCGCGCTTGAGGGGATCATTCAAGCGAATCGCCCTTTTTTGTGCATTTTTGAAGAACACTTGAAGCGGCTTCGCATTTGTGATAATTTTTTGTAGTTTGCAATCTCACCATGACAACCATCTCCCGCCAAATTGTCGGGTTTTTCCGTGGTTCTTGCTTCCAAATATTTCAAAATTTCCAAAACGAAGCTATCTGTCATCGAGAGATTTTTTCGACTGTGAAGCTTCTTCTTTTTCTTCTTTCTGCTTTTTGCCTTCTTCTTCTTCTTCTTCTTCTTCACAACTTTTTGTCGCCCTCGGGGCCAGATCCATCTCCCCCGACTGCTCCCTTTGACTCGTTCTTCTTCTTCTTCTTCTCTCGCTTCCTTCCGTCCCGCTTTTTTTTTGGGGGCGAAGATTCCATTTTTCCGGCGCGGGATCCGCCCCGATTTCCTCTTCCTCGTCGTCGTGGCTTCTTCGCCCAGAATTGTGACGTCGTTGGGCGCTTCTGCTCATCACACTGCCACGTGGAGCCGTCATTCGAGAAGTGATGAAATTTATGTGGAAACCGCCCGAGTAAGTTTCTGAACAACACGGACAATAGTACTTTTTGACCATTTTATCACGTTTTTTTTTGAATAGTTAGAAAATGGTCCATCTGTGTCCTTTTTGTCATCAATACCATGAATTGAGATGAAAAACGCTATTTGAATTTTGAAAATTTTCTACCCCGGCCCGGCCTCGAACTTATCTGCAATCTAAACCTTGCAACTTGCCAGGCCAGGCCTAAGCTTGAAATTCTCCGGCCCAGAAGGTTCCAACACTTGAAAAATTTTATGACGTTGACTAAATTCCCTGCGATCCCTGAACTTTGTCAGGCATGTTCCTGTGTGAATTATGGCTTATTCCCCCCCACGTCCCCCTCCCATTTCCCATGCCCCCTCGCTTTGACTCACTTTGTAAACAATCTGAAAAGAAATCTTATCGGGATCGTCGCCAGGAAGTGACGCGGCCCTGGAAATTTTTTGTTTTGGAAAAAGACTATCATCGGAACGACAACGAGGATACGGTAGCCTACAGTGTAGCTTGCGAATTTTAACGACAGTAATACGTGCTCGGGGGGTTGTCGATGATCATATTACCAGGACGTTGCCACGTCTGCGTGGCGTGGCAAATGTTGTACGATTAGAGAGTCGGGCATTGTCGTCGACTGCAAAAGAATAAGAGGGCGAACTTTTCTTTTCTCACCCCCTTTCCCTCCATTCATTCATTTTATTATTGACACTTATCGGAGACGCAGAAAGTACGGCGAAAAAAGGGAGAATGAGAGGCGGACTGTGAGTCATTTCGGCGGTCTAACCATTCAGACTAGTTACACACCTGCTCCACCACTCGCGCCCTTTCATTTTACCACAAGAACTCTCGAATATTGTCGCTTTCTATGGTTCCGAACCCGAATCGAATGATGATCAAGAAGTCGTACGCGTTTGCCCTCGACCTGGATGATTTGTGCTGTGACACGGGCCCATCCTCCTCCTCATCACCGCCGAAGATTGTGTTTCCGGAATACGCGCTCTCCAGGTTCTGGCTATACAGTTTTTCTCATTTTTTATTTTGATTTCCACACAAACGTCTGCGATTCCGTCGAACTTTGCGCTCTCTCGCCGCATGACTCACTTTTGGGGGACGGTCCGTTGTGAATCATAGAAACATTGAAAAAGGGAGGGCTTGTTCTCCCCCCGCCCGTTTTCTTTTATTTCTCATCCTTGTCGTCGCTAGTTCCGGACGGACACCGAACTAGGATTCGTCAACGGTGTCAAAATGATGGACACTTCGTCAAAGTGGGGCCGGGTGGCCGAGTATTAGTGAGTTGACACAAAACCCCCTCGATGGAAACTTTGCACCTTCCGTCCTTGCTTCCCTCTTTCCATCAACGTCATCATCGTTTTTCATTAAATCGGCCGTAAAGCGTCGTCGTGTCAAAATGAAGGAAGAATCAACGGGCAGATGACGTTCTGTTTGCACCCCGCGCGCCGGAAAACGAGGAATGTGCGATGTGCGGCAGAGTCGAATGAAATTAGGGCCACGATTTTATGGAGCACTTTTGTGCTTTTCCTCTTCTTCTCCTTTTTTGCGTTTTCGTCGTCGTCGACGATGAGAAATGCGCTCTTCACACTTTGAGACGAAGCGATGCAATTTGGGTGCGTGTGGTGACATGCTCGGGAGAGAGCCTCCGCCCATTTTCGGGATGGCTCTTTTTCTGCTCTTCTTCCCGAAAAGTGAGAGAGAGAGAGAGAGAGAGGAGCAAGCGCCTCCCGTTTGCTCCTCCGCGAACCCCTAATTCGATATGCTCAACGCGGCGTACTCGTCGCTACTCGCCAGATTCATGTGCCAACCGACGACGACCACGTCGGCGGTTCGGGAACCGGAAGAAGAAGTTGTGCTCGTTGCGCGTCGCAAATATTCCGAAACCACCTCCGCCGGAAGACGGAAAACGATAAAAGTGTCGCCTGACGGAGATCATGTTACTAGGAAAATGTTGGCTACCGCCACCGTACCTTGGTTGCTCCCTTTTTTGTCCGGTCGGAGCTCGTACTGTAACTCGACAAACCTCTGTAACTTTTGCGCAAGAGTTTCAGATGTCTGCCGAGAACCTCCAAACTCCGCCCCTTTCTCAAAAGGGAACAATCGAGAAAGAATAGAAAATACAGCAAATTGACGAGTTCTTGCCATGAATATCTTTGTAATTTTCAGCGCTTCATCACATGCCCGCGGCTCTGGACAATCGGGAATGTCGAGTCGATCGGCAGCGCGCCGAAGTGATCAGGACGTGCATGTGGGCAAGTACAAGCTGTTGAAGACGATCGGAAAGGGAAATTTTGCCAAGGTATGACGATTCCTCACCATTCGCGAGTCAAACCCTTTGAATTTCAGGTGAAACTGGCGAAACACGTGATCACCGGCCACGAGGTCGCCATCAAAATAATCGACAAAACGGCGCTGAACCCGTCGAGCCTTCAAAAGCTGTTTCGCGAAGTTAAAATTATGAAACAATTGGACCATCCGAACATTGTCAAGCTCTACCAGGTGATGGAGACCGAACAGACGCTCTACCTGGTGCTCGAGTACGCATCAGGCGGCGAAGTGTTCGACTATCTGGTGGCTCACGGACGGATGAAGGAGAAGGAGGCGAGGGCCAAGTTCCGGCAGATTGTCTCGGCCGTACAGTACCTGCACTCGAAGAACATCATCCATCGAGACTTGAAAGCGGAAAACTTGCTGCTCGACCAGGATATGAACATAAAGATCGCCGATTTCGGATTCTCGAACACATTCTCACTGGGCAACAAACTCGACACGTTCTGCGGATCGCCGCCCTACGCCGCCCCCGAATTATTCTCGGGCAAAAAGTACGACGGCCCCGAGGTGGACGTGTGGAGTCTCGGAGTCATCCTCTACACACTCGTCTCGGGAAGTCTGCCGTTCGACGGACAAAATCTGAAAGAGCTGCGAGAGCGAGTGCTGCGCGGCAAATACCGTATCCCGTTCTACATGTCGACCGACTGCGAGAACCTCCTCAAAAAGTTTTTGGTGATAAATCCGCAACGGCGATCCTCACTCGACAACATCATGAAGGACCGATGGATGAACGTCGGCTACGAGGACGACGAGCTGAAACCGTACATTGAACCGCCGAAGGATCAGATTGACGAGGCGCGCATTGAGAAGTTGATTCAGGTGAGTCGGGAAACCACAAAAAGGTAAAATGCTTTGTCTTGTTGCAGATATTCCAACTGGGCTTCAACAAAGCCGCCATTTTGGAGAGTGTCGAAAAGGAGAAGTTTGAGGACATTCACGCGACGTACCTTCTGCTCGGCGAACGCAAATCCGATGTGAGTTCCAAGTTCTCCTCTCTTTGATATTTTCCCCCAACTACGCTTCGGACCCCGCCTCCTCTGCCACATTTTCAAAATAACCAAGATATCCTTCTAAACACGCATGAACTTCCGGGTCTTCTGAATGAATTGAACGAAACGAAACGCTAACCAAGTTTTGGATCATTTATAAGCAAAAAGTGATGGGGGAGAAGTAGAAAGAATTGAATTCGAGCCCTCCTCCTCCTCCTTGTACTCTTTGTGTGTTTTGTCAGATGGACGCCAGCGAGATCACGATGGCCCAATCGCTGCTCAGCCATTCGTCGATCAACGTTTCGTCGTCGCTGGGTCAGCATCCGGCCGGCGTGATCACTAGAGAGCATGTGACGTCGTCGTCGGCCACCTCCGGAGGAGGCTCCGCTTCAGTGAGTGACTCCCCGTTCACACGCACACACTCTTACAGTCTAACTAGTGTTTCATTTTCTTCATTTTGCATGCAAGTCCCCTCTATGGCACACCTTTCCGCACCGTTTCCTTGTTTTCCTCCGTCAACTCACTCTATCACTTTCAGCCGGCTCGTTATTCGTCCCGTGGCTCCGCCCCGACCACCGGCGGCTCGATAACCACGGGAGCGTCGATCGCCTCTGCGGCCAACGCACAGAAGCATCAGTCGGGGGCAGCGCCGTCGTCCGGATCGTCGTCGTCGCGCCGGAGTTCGCAGAACGACGCGGCGCCGTCGGCGAATACGGTAGTGATGAGCGGAACGAGGCACGGAGGCGTTCAGATGAGAGCACAGCCGACGAACCGGCAGGCGGCGATTAGCCTGCTCCAGCCGCCCAGCTACAAGCCTTGTGAGTGCATTTTCAAAATGTTTTTGGCCTCTTATCAACTCATTTTCAGCGTCGAACACCACGCAAATCGCTCAAATTCCGCCACTGTTCAACCGAAACTCGACGGCTACCTCTTCTACAGCCCAGCCATCCTCCGGAACCACTGTCGTCAGCTCGGGAGCCCGAAAGATTGCGGATCCGAAGGGAAGAATCCCGCTGAACTCGACGGCCGTTCAATCGCACCGAACCGCGACGGGAGCAGTGGCCGCCAATACGGGCGGCATCCCGAGCCATCGGGATCACGCGCAGCAACAGCAGTACATGAATCAGTTGACGTCGTCGTCGATGATGTCCAAATTGATCAACAAAACGCCCGCCGCGCCGTCCGGAGTCATCTCGACCGCTCCGCCGCCGCTTCAAAAGTCGGGCTCGCAGATATCGCACGCGCCGACAGAGCCCGTCATTCGGGAGGACAACGACGAGAGCAGCAGTGAGCACACGCACGCGAACGGAGCCGCCAACGCCGTGCCGTTGATCGGAGGCGTCGGACCGCAGCAAGTGTCGCCGGCTACGAATTCTGTCGGAAACGCATCGGACGAGGGGACGGAACAGCAGCAGCAGCAGCAGAAGGCGTCGAGTGAGACGCCGAAAGAGAACAAGTGAGTTGAGGATGTCCAGGCAGATCTTTTCACGCAGAACAGAAATAATAACGCTTTTCACCGGTGTCCAGAAGACATGGAAAAATGGGCGTGGTCTCTGAATTGTCGATCACTCCCGTTTCTCCATTTGGGGTAGTTCAGTGTATGTTTCTTCCTTCTCTGTTTTGCGTTTTTTTTGTTAGATAGCTGAATTGAGTTTTCTGACGTAAAAAAACGGAAAAAAACAGACACTGAATAACCGCATTTGGATCCGTTCGAACAAGAAACACCTAGAAACGCACTCGCACCACACACGTCACTTTTACTCCTTTGATGTCTGCTAACCAAGAAGATTACGTCTTTCTTATTTTTCGTCGTCTCGGGTATTGTCTATCGTTTTTTTGTTAGTGAAACTCTGAAATTATGGCGGCAAGCTATTCCAGACGCATCGCCGGTATTGTCGCGCAAATATTGAATGAAACGAGTAAGAAAAGCGAAGATTCCATTTGGAAACAAAAAGAAAACCGACCTCAACCTCATGAAAACTCCCTTTGATCCTCTGTACTTTTTTTTTCCAAAGCATCACTATCTTCTATCGATTTGAGCACAGTTTCTAAGTTTTCTTTCTCTTTTTCTTCATCTCCTCAACTAACCCTCTTTCTTTTTCTTTCTTTCTGCGCGCTTCCGCTTCTCTCTTGCAGATTGGTTGGTTGTGTGTAATGGTTGATGTTGTTTGGCATAGTTTGCAGTCATTTTTTCACACTCTTCCGCTTTTTCGAATCTATCGGCATGCCTTTCTTTTCTTCGTCGCTCATCTTCTCTTGGTTCTCAGTTTTTAGTTAAAAGTACCATTTTTTGAGTTGTGTGCATGCGATTGGCCGTTGTTCTTGATGTTGATGTTGATGTGTGCCTTTTCTCGTTTCCAGCCCGCTCATCTGGCAGAATCTGCACCTGAACAGCCTTCTCAAGTCATTGACCGCCAGTTCGTCGGCCTCGACGTCATCTGAAACGACACCGCGAAGACCCGCTGAAGCTGTCGGCGGCGCGCGTCGCTCGGAACCCGCCGCGCCACGTCGACGCCATCAAACGATGCTCGTCGACGCGCGGCACTTTCAGACGCTGCCGCCGGTGGCGAGCCTCGTTGTCCATCCGGAAGACACGAAACTCGACCGACAAATGGCCGCACTTTACGTGTCGACGAATCCACGTGGCGGGTCCGTGCTGCCGCCGACGCCGCCGACGTCCGCCTCGACGACGTCTTCGAGTGTACACGTGGACCCGCAGCCGCAGCAGAAGACGTCGACATCGCCCTACTTTCGAAGAAGCTCTTCGTTTCGAATGGTGCCTTTCAATCTTCTATTTTATTTCTCGTCTAATCTTTTTTTTTCTATCTCGGAGTGTCTTTGGTAGTTAGTGATTGAGGTTGTGGTCGGTTTTGTGAACCCGTTTAGATATTTGCGCTGGAATAGAGTCTGCTGAAGTATAGTTTCAGAACGGGGGGTTTTAGTGCCAAAATTTCGGCAAAAGAAGGGAAATCTGTATCAATTTTAGTGCGTGGGGAATGAATGCATCATTTTTCCTGATTTCCGTTCAACCTCCCGTTGCAGGCCGTCGATGATCCACCAGTCGCCGTCGATGCCGCCGGCGACGATGATGTCGGCGATGGAGTCGATGTTGTTGAGCGAGAACTCGTCGGCGCCCGGAGGAACCACCACTACCAGCGCTCCCCAACGAGCTACGTCGCAGCAAATGTCGCGCTCGGCGACGACGAATAGTGCGCAGCTGGCCGCGGCGTCCGCTGGCGGAAACTCGGCCACGGCCACTGCCACCACCAACACAACACAATCATCGGGTGCTTCATCAACGGGTGCTTCTAGTCAGGTGAGAAACCGATTTACTCCCTCTTTCTTTCGGTTTGTTGACTGGCTGCAGAAGAAGAACAGCTTTGATACCTATTGTGCAACCCCCTTCGAAACCCCGCCCCCTTTGTTTTACATTCAAACCATTTCCTAGATCATTCGTCGGATTCTATCATTGAGTTTTGATTTTTGCAACAAATGATTCCAGACACACTCAATCAACGGCTTCCGAATATTTCAGCAATATCCTCTGCCACATCATCATCAACATCAACTAACCCATAACGCGTCGTTCTCGGTCACTCCATCCACGTATCAGATGCCGCCGTCGACGACGGCGGTCACGTCTTCGGGAGCGACGTCGTCGGGAATGCCGACGTCGGCGTCGTCGTCGGCGTTCCCGCGCAACACGCGCAATCGACAGACGTTCCACGGAAAAACGGAAAAGGACAAGGTACTACAACTCACACAAACACAAACAAACGCCGCTTTCTTTGGCTAATTTTTTTCGTTTGTTTTCTTGCGTTTCAAGCCTAGCTCTCTCTCGTTTTTCATTTCCGTCTAAACCAACACACAAAAACACCCTTTTCTCCTCGTTTCCATCTTGTCCGTGTCGCTCTGCTCTGTGAGCACTGAAAAGTGCGTTTTGTACACGTGCCGGCTTGTACTCGCTCCTTTTTGCGTGCTGTCAACCGTTACCATCAAGCTCCGCCTCCTGCGCTTCTGAAATTTGCCGATTTGGGTTTTAGCAGAAACTAGCCAAATCTGCATTTTCTAGAAGCGCAGGGAGCGGAACTTGATGAAAACGGTGTCACGCGACAGAACGCTAAAAAGACAATAGTTTAGAAAAAACCGTTACTGTAGAAGCCCACGCGTTGATTTTTGAGCGAAAAACCAGTGGCAAAGTGTCCGTTTCCCCTCGCTTTTTCGTCTGAAACTCTGAAATCACAACGTTTTTTGTCTACAGGGCGGCGACGACGGATCGGACGATATCGGCGACTCGCCGGCCAACGTTTCGATCGGAGCCACCGGCGCGGCGGGCAACAACGAGACGACGATCTGGAGCAAACTGAGCAAACTGACGAGACGGTTCGTGCATCGCAAGTTTTGAATATCCTTACCTGGGGGGCCAATCACACATTCCACTCCCACTACTACTACTGGTACTAACTGGGCGCCCTCCAACATTCCCATTTCTTCTTCCTTTCGGGACCCTTTTAACTCGTAGCCCTCCGCACAACTACAGTAATCCTTGCTCCCTCTCTCTCTTTCAATTTCCGTTTCCATTCCTCCACAACCCACATTTTTATCCGCTTACTAAACAAAATCTCTTCTTTTTTGGTGCATGTCTCTCTGTGTGTGTGATTAGAATTCGAAAGATTACCTTTCTTTTTATCATCATTATCAAAATCCATAATATCTGTTCTTACTGTAACATTCCCCTCCTTTCTCTCATGGTTTGTTTTACTCCTTTTTTCGTTCCTTGGTTTGATTCGCACGAAATGCGCACAAGTTTTTTTTTATAAAGTCAGTTTGCCTGTGACACTGTGAATTGATATTAACAACGTCTGAAAGTGTGTGTGTGCGTGTATTTGTATACTTTTAACACTCGGGCCCAACTACCGTAATCTATTGTAAGCAGCACCCACACCCATCCACCCACCCACTCTCTCTTTTTCTGGAATGTTCTTGTCTGTTACAGTAGCTCGACGGCGACGGCGCACAATCCACGTGGATCGCAGCTTCATCACTCGATGTCGATGACTCAAAGGTAAAGAATGACGAAGAAGGACTGTTTGGATCATCTACACTATCTGCCCATCCCCACCCATCCCTTTCCCCTTTCCGTCTTGAGGCATGTGCTCGTGGCTCGCTTTTAGGCATGCTTTTTTCTCTCTCTTTTGTGCTCTGATCTGATAGTGATGCTCGCTGCTCGCTGTGCTGCTGACCTAGATAGGAGGTTCTCTAAATTTTAGCCCGTCACAAGTGGCGTCGACAGCTTCCGCTTCCGCCAACGTCTCGACGTCGATCGCTTCTGGAGTGGCCGCGGTGGCCGGAGCCCTCGCGAGAAGGCCGTTGCCGTACGGCTCGATGCGAAGGCATGCACCTCCACTTCTTCTTCTTATTCTTTTTCGACTTCTTCTCTTTTATTTTTGCACACTTTTTCTCCACACTCGTAGTCGTTTCAGTGGGGTCTTAGTCTTTTCTAGCGCGTAGGAGTAGAGCACATGCTTTTCTTTCTCTCTTTCTCTTGGTTCCAGTTGTGAGGTACTGTAAGTACTGTAACATTCAAAGCCGTGTAGCTCAGCAGTCAGTAGAGATATCAAACAGTTGTCAACTGGTGAAATGTACCCAATGTTTCAGTGTACAATTTGTTAGTTGAGAACTTTTTGATATTTCTACCCGCCATCGAGATACACGGCTTTGATTGGAAGTAGAGCGCGTTTGCTCACCACAATTCGATAGAACAATCAGGCCTTTTCCATCAGTTTTGCTCCCATGTGAACCGTGCATTTTTCAGAGATCACAACCGGGAAAGCATGACGCAGCCGGTGTCGGGACGGGCCGGAACGATCGGCGCCGCGCAGGGACAGCAGACGGCCGCCGCGCTGGCAGCCATCCGCGAGCAGGGAGCACCGCCGCCGATGGCGCTAAGCCACGCGGCGCCGACGAGCGCGCCCGGCAGCCAGCAGCAGCAGGAGGGAGACGTGAAGCCGCGCTCGCTGCGGTTCACGTGGAGCATGAAGACGACGTCGTCGCTGGCGCCGGATGACATGATGAGGTGGAGAATTGACGGAGAGAAGTGGTGGGAGATCGTCAACGATGTGTAATTGCAGAGAAATCCGGAAAGTGCTCGACGCGAACGGATGCGATTACGAGCAACGCGAGCGCTACATGATTCTGTGCGTGCACGGAGATCCGAACACGGATTCGCTTGTGCAGTGGGAGATGGAGGTCAGTGATTTGTGGGTCCGATCGGAGCATTGCAAGTGGGGCGCAAAGGTCCTCGACTTCGCATTCGCCTCGTTTTTCGAACCTCCATAATTCTCACTTCATTCTTGCAGGTGTGCAAACTGCCACGTCTCAGCCTGAACGGCGTCCGCTTCAAACGAATCTCGGGCACGTCGATCGGCTTCAAAAATATTGCGTCGAAAATTGCTCAAGAGCTCAATCTCTAAACTTCCTCTCTCTCGTTCTCTAACCGCCTCACGTTTTTACCATGTTCTCTCTCTCTCTCTCTTTGAATTCACACGAAACACACTTTTGATTTCAGTGCAAAATTTCTGAAATTTTATTTGTTCGTCTCTGTTCGCCTCGCCGCCTTTTTTCAAGCTCCTCACACACACCAACACCCCCCTCACCAGTACGGTTTGTTCAATTGAGAAAAGTGAGAATTTAAATTTTCCTCCCTCGCGCCCGCCCGCCCACGCTCTTCAAAAAATCAATCAATCAAGTGCTATCATCGTTGTAGGTGACTCGTAAACCCCGCGTCCCCACTCGTTTTATAATTGTGTCCACGCTCTATTCTAGTGCCCACCACCACCACACTTCTGTTGTATACTACTCGCTTCCCCCACGCATTTTTTGTTTTTTGAAAATTTTTGTCACCCACACACACACACACACACACATTTTTTTCGATTTCGCCCCCCGATGATAACCGCCCCCCTCCTACTCATTTACATCATCAAACCACCAGCACCCACAAATTTCATTTGATTATTCATCATTATCATTATTATTATTATGTTTCTTTAGGGTATTGTCGCGTTTTGTCCCCCTCCCCCACCCCCCCATCAACCACTGCACACTAATTTCAGTCGTCCCCAACCCCCAAAACCTCCCCTCAAAAGCCCCTTGTCCAATCGTTTGTTTTCCTTGCGCTCTGTGATCAAATGAAGAAATGCAAATTAGTTTGTTTCTGCTGAAAACGGTTATTTTTGCCAGTGTTTTACGAAAAAATCTGGAAAAAGAGGTATTTTTCGGCTCGTAAATCCTGTTCGTTGCGTGACCCCCGATGCTCTAAAGGTTTGCGCCTTTGAATTATTTGAATGATACAGTTCACTTGTGGCGAGCATTTACGGTAACGGACACGTGGAGTATGTCTTTAATATTTTGGAGCCGAAACTCTGGGGGGTCTATGAGTTGAGCAATAAAACGAAAAAGTTCAAAAAGCACCGCCTTTATTAAGAAAACCAATAAATTAAGCGGCCGGCGCGCTCGATGCCGCCTGAACCCTGGCGATCCACTCCTCCTCGAGCCGCTCGTTCTCGACGACCAGCTCGCGAATCCTCTGAATCAACTCCGCCTGCTCCGCGAGCATCCGACGTCCCTCGGCGCGCAACTTCCGCGTCTCCTCCCGCAGCTCCCTCTCGAACTTGCGCTCCCGCAGACGCCGCAGCAGGCGCTGCTGGGCGAGCGCAGCGGCGTGACGGACACGCGACGGCGACAGTTTGTACGAGGACAGCATCACTGAAAACGAGAAAGTTTGGGCGGAAACTCGAAAAATTGTGGTATTTATTGATCGGAGGAGGAGGAGGAAGAAGAAGAAGGAGAAGAAGAAAACGGTCACCGTCTGGGAGAGGAAAAAGGACAAGAATGAGTGGATGAGAGCAGATCGAAGAGCGACAGATTCTTCCCAACGGCCCTCTTCCCACAATTGTCTTTAATGGTTGTCACGTCGAATAAATAGGTGGAATGTTCTAGAGGTCACGCAGAAAATCGAACCTCCAAGTTATTGAATAAGACCGCTGGAATAGTACGCTCTAAAACATGGTGCATCCTGAACGTCATGCTCTCGACACACTTTATTCATCAACACACAGGCTAACAATCGAAGAACGTCTTCAAATCGCGAGTCGCCTTCCGGAAAGCTTCTCCCGATTCGCTTCCGCACTCTTTCGAAATGTCGGCGTGCACTCGACTCAACGGATCGCTCAAAATCAAACATTTGCGGGACAGCCCGTAGTTTGTGTAGTCGTTCACGAACGATTCCAGCAATTCCGACTCGATTCCCTTGTTGTTGTGCATCTGCAAAATGGGATTTGAATATATATAAGTCGCGCTGATCGGCGGCCGCCGCTTGCCTTTCTCATGCAATCTCCGAACGGACTTGTGAGCAACCGGACTTTCTTGCAGAACACCGAGTAATCCATGCGAGGGAGGTCGGAGGGGACGGAGCTCTGTGAGAACATAAAAGTATAGAAGTTTCGGATCGATTGGATTCTCCCAGACCTTCAACATTCCGGGCCGGCCCGAAACCTTGAACGATCTTTTTGTGAATGATCGGACTATTAGAAGTGAAAGCGAAAGATCATACTTTGAAACGTCCACAAGCAGCCATGGACGAGTTGAGATGTGCAGATGGAATGACGTAGTACTCTGGACTTCCGAACAGCTTCGTCTCGAACAAAACATTGAGCGCTTTCAATATTTTTGCACAGTCTTCCGTGGTTTCCCTCTAAACTTGTTCTTTTTTTTGCACTCTGCCCATCGTCTTACCTGTTCACAGTAAGGCGTCGAGAATCGAATCAATAAACAGACGACTAGAAGCTTCGAGAACATGTGGACAAAGTTTGATGACGAACCGCAAAGGATGAGGCGTTTAAAGAGAGAAAAGAGCAAGATTTATTGTTTTGTTTGTCGGGAAAAAGTGTAAGAAAAAAAAGAGAAAAGAGAGGTATCAGTGAACTGGGCATCCGACGAACTTTGACACGTAATCCATGTTCTGAAATAAAATCAATTTGTTCTGGAAAGGACTTGTAATATCCGAGTACCTGCTGAAAGCTCTTCAACGTCGCATCGCCACAAGATTTGCCGAAATCCTTCTCGATGCACGCCTTCTTCGCTTTGAATTGAGCACACTTTTGCTCGGTGGACATCTGGGTTACTGTAGCTTTGATGATGAGTACATACATGTATATTCAAACCTTGGACTTGTCGCTAAAGTACCAGGTGATGCATTCGGTTTTGTCGTGACTCGCTTTCAACTGCAAAAGTTCGCAGTTACCGTTTATTTGGGCAAATATATCTCGGCTGACGGTGAAGATATCGAAAAGTTGTCAACTGATAAACTGCTCACAAAGACATTGTGCACATTTTATCAGTTGACAATATTTCGATATTTTTACCGGCAGCTGAGATATGTGCCCTACAAATGCAACGTTCTAATTTCTCAGAAATATAGGCGAGTTATTACTAGTAAAACGGAACCTTGGCAGCGCACTGAGCATAGGGACCGGCCATAAAATCGATCGTCTTGCACATTTTGCCAAACTTGCTCATCTTCTCCTTGATCGCCTCGCACTTGGCCGCGCTCACACAATCCATCGCCTCCCGACAATATCCGGACATTTTCTGAAGAGTTTCCGGTGGCGGGAAGCCCGAATTCAACGGACTCCTCTTCATCTCGTCGGTCAGTTTTGCGAGCTTCGGACGGCACGTGGCAGTCAATTGCAGGTCTTCGGTCGAGCATCCGAACGGATCACTCGATGACGTGGCAGTGGAGACGAGAAGAAGGAGGAGGAGGAGGAGGAGCAAGAGGAAGAACTTCATTATTTAGGCGAGGTGAGGCTCTTGGATTAAAAGTTGACGAAAAAAAGGATGTAAAATGAAGTGAAGAGCTTTTAGTTTAATTGAAAGTCGGGCGACGGGGGGATCACTTCCCGTCACAGCTGTCCTGGCAAACTCAAAAACACACAAAAAGCTGTTCCCCTCATTTTTCTCTCTTTTCTGCCACGTCAGCTGACGCCGTCAGCGTCATGCGAATTTCGGGAAACGTTCCGAAACGCGCGCTTTTGTTTTGAGAGCCTCTTTTCTCGATTCACGAACTTTCACGAACCCCAGCATTCCAATGCGCAAGCGAGTTGTCAATGGGGCGCGCTTGCATCCACCGTCGACTCGGAGTTTCTTTTTTCAATTGAAAACCGGAATTCTTTCGTTTTTCTCTTGATAAACACTCAAATTTTGTTCTTTGCGAACCGTAGGGCGATTGTCCGAGTTAAAAGCATCGATTTAAGCGCGAAACGGAGCAGATTCGATCAGAATTGACCAAATTGAGGGATTTTGTCGAAAACTACTGAAAAAACGGAGTTTTAACGATTATTTGCCGAATCGAGTTCGGACACTGCCATTCGAACCGTCCAGTCAGCAAGGAGTTTATTGCGCATCTTTTAAGCGCTCAACCTTGGAAAAATATACAGAATTGAGATAATTGAGGCAAATTTTCGATTCCAAAAGGAAAAAAATTCTGTGATTTTCACATAAAACGTTTCGAAATTGATGCAGAAGCAGTTAACATTTCATTTTTTATTCATTTCTAATCATTATCATAAGTTTTGACACTGATTGGTTCTGAAAAGATGGGAATAATGCAAAAAAAGGGAAAATTGAAATGTGAGAAACTCTACAACGACGCTCCGAAATTACGCGTTACGCGCCTTGTTTAGCGCACCTGAATTGCGCCAAGGGAATTTTTTTTTTGGAAGGCTGGGGTTCCGTGCGTGTTAGAAGACGTCATAATGCTCTGAAAATGTTTGGGCGAAATCTCCACACCCTGTACTTTATTTTCGTAGTTGACATCTTTTTTGTAGCACTGCTCTTCTACTGGCTACTGTAGCTTTCAGATGTGGAAGATCTCGTTGTTGTTGTTGTTTTTTGGAGCTCTTGGCGCTCGCGGAGCTCCAATCTCTGAGGAGTGTTCCACAATGGACTACGTGATTGATCGACATTTGACAGATGTGAGTTGAGTCTCATCACCGACACTAGCGACTTTATTTTCAGTTCTCCGAAGCGCTCCAAAGCGTGCTGGACGAGAAGAACGCGTTCGAAATGTTGCGCGGAGAGGACGAGGAGACGTTCATCTACGTGCAGGGCTGCGAGACGATCGAGAAGGATCTGAACGTGATGACGTGTCGGAAACTGCGCGAGAAGAACCGCGGACTCGTCGGGGACTGCTTCAAACTGGACATTGTCGGCACTCCGCTGTCCTACTGTATTCAGAGAAAACTCGACGCCGAGCAGGTCACCAATCGATGTGTCAAGACGTATTTGAAGTCGAGGGTGAGCGCGTGAGCGCCTAGGATTTGTCAATGTTCGGTTATTGTAGAGCCACGAAGAGCTGAAGACGTTGTTCAACACGAATTCCAAGTGTCTCATCGATGGATTCGCCGAAGTTTGCGGCGAAGATTCGGGAAAGATTGTGAAGGAAAACCTTCGGAAAATCGGCTATTTGAAAGGAGTCTATTAGAGAAATGCACATCGATTGTTTATTGTACCATAGCGCGAAAAGAAATAAAGGTCTAGAAACTATAAAGAATGCATTAGATGCACTTCAAAAGCGAGTACCTCAGATGCCAAAACGGTTTGTACTGTTTCCAGTAGCTTCGGCTGCACGCGTCCCGAATCGTCCACTTGAGGCACGCACGATTCGCGCTCCACGCACCACAAATATCGTCTTTTCCGGTCTGAAAAGCAAAAAAAAGAAGGAATTTCTATCAAAAATCAGCAATTTGCTCACTCCAACAGTCTCCGGATCATCGAAAAAGTTCTTGACGCATTCCGAATCCGACAGCCGCTCCTTGAGCTTTTGGGAACAGGCGTAGAAGCCGCCCGTCAGGTAGATCATATAATCGCACTTTTTCTGCAGCGAATCCACGTCATCTTGACTGATATCCGAGCATCCCACGTAGCTTTTCAGACAGCTCTAGAAACGTTGGACATTGTCGGGTTAGAAGGCGTCATATTCTCATAAAATTTTTTGGGTACAACAATCAAACCTTCTACTTCATTCCATCAGTTGACAACTTTTTCGTACCTCCACTTTGAAGACTACTGTAGCTCATAGAAGCATACAATACATGCTTCGAAAGGCTTCAGTAGTCTTTGGAGTGGCGCTACAAAGCGTTGTCAATTTTTAAATTCCACAACAATAGTATGATAGCAAAGAAAAGCATTTTCGTTTCGCAAACCATCTGTTCTCACCAGCGCCGTCTTGCAGTTCCGATTGATACCAATGTGATCGCTCGCCGTGAACGACTCGTGTTGGCCTTGAATCGACGCGAATGTCGCCGACAAAACCGTCAGTCCCTGCAAACATTTTCATTCATTCATTTCCGGCCACCGTTTTCGAGTAGCAACTCTCACGTTTTTACAGCTCTGCGCCGCGCGTTCCTCGTCCGGATCGCACGTTCTCGGGCGCGGTTCGACGCCCTCGGTCTCTTCGAGAAATCCGTAAATTGTGGGCGCGACGAGGAGGAGAATGACGGTGAGAATGAGGCGAATCATCGGGAACGTTTGAAGGAATAGAAAGAGAGTTGGCTGGCGCGGCTCTCGGATCGACGTGATACTGGCGGAAATGTTCTCAATAAACAAGAAGAAGAAGAGAGAGAGAGAGAGAGAGAGAGATCAAATCGAGACGCAGACAAACACTCTTCTCTTTTTTTCTCGTTTTCCATTCAGAAACAGCCCACAAATATTTTCGGACGTACTGCCCCGTCTCTTGCAGTCAATGCCTAATGATCGCATTAAATTTAACTTTCTCGTGGGGTCAGCCAACCGGATTCTTTACTGCAGATTGAATGTGTTTTTCCTGGGGAGGTCAAGAACACCTCCAGCGGGACTTTATCACAGAACAAAAATTCACAAAAATTCAATTCCACTTGGTCCCGATCGCCTTCTCGCAATCGTTCTCCTTAAACGACTCTTGTGCAAACCGCTGCCATCCGTCCAACTTCTCGGCTCCGCACTCCTTCGCAATGTGCTCCTTGATGCAATCTTTCGAGCTCTTCAGGAATGTACACGTGTCCTTGGTGCTCTTTTTCGTCTCCGACTTGAAATCCTCCAAACACTTGGCCGCGTTTTTGTCCTTTTTGAGAGCTTGGAGCTGAAAATGTCGGAAAAGTGGTCAGATGAAAAGTTGTTGGACATTTTGTGCCGAACAACTTTGTAGTTGATCATTTCTAGCCAAAACTTTTTGATTTGAACTCTGAATTATGGTTCTTATAAGCCACGGCGACCAAAAGTGTAGAAAGGGGCGTGGCCTAATCTGAGACGCGTTTTCTGAAAATTGCCGCAATTTCAGCACTTTTCCGATATTTTTGTGTTTGATATCGACGAAAGAAGACATTAAAGAGAGAAAACATTGAAATTTTCGTGAAAACGCCTTGAGACGTTTTTGGCATATTTCGCAATACGCTCTCCGCGGCCAATCGCCACCGCAATTTCGGAATTTTCATAGCGGCCGATCTGTATAATTTTGAGACGAAGTGAGTGTCGGAAGTGATTAAGCACATTAATACAAGTATTTTAAGCGTTTAAACGGCAAAAAGTGTCGGCGAATGACTGAAATTCGCGCATTTTCAGCACAAAATTTGAAAATCGATTCAATTGATTCATTTCTGAATGAAACCTGCTCGTTTTTGGCTCAAAAAGTGCGCGCGATGATTAGTTTAACAAAGTTGTGCAATCGCATCGTCGAAACCCGTACAAAATTCGGGTAATTTTTGACGAAAAACATGAAAAATGGGGTTAAATTTCGAATTTCGCGCCAAAATGGCGCATAAACCGTGCACGCTAGGCCACGCCCCTTTCTACGTTTTTGGTCGCCGTGTCTTACCTTCTTGCTGCACTCCTTAAACTCGTCCTGAAAGAGGGCTCTTCCGCACAAATCGAGCGTCTCTTTGTGGTCCTCCTCAAGTGGTTTACACTTGAGTTCCTTAATACAGTCCCTGGTTTCCCTGCACGCCGCTTTGATCTTCGTCAGATCCTTCTCTTTCGTCTTCACAAACGCCTTCAGTTCCTTGTCGACTGCGTCGCTTTTCTGGAATATTCGATTTATATTAGTAGGAGCGGTGGAACGCGTTTCGCGAACTCACCGTCACACATTTGCTCGTCTTGAGCAAAGTGATAACTCCGCACGATTTCAGATATCTCGCCACTTTTCCCTCGGTTTCCTTGTCCGAAGAAGCGGCGAATACGACGGACACGAACAGCACACAGAATACTGTTTTTGACAACATGGTCAGCGGTGATTCGACTTTCGATCAAGCCGGCCTTATATTCATCTTTTCGAGGTCAACCAACACACACACACAAAAAACCAACAATAATAGTGATGAGACGGGGAAAAGGCGTGTTTGCGATCGATGACGTTCGCAGATCGAATATACTCTTCGAGATCATTCGAAACCAGCACGTGGATCTGCAAACGAGACGCTGTGTTTCTGTACTGAACGGACATTGCAAAGCAGATGAAGAAAAAGTGGTATTTGATGGTTCTTGACTCTTTTCTGTCCGGTGCCCCTATAATATCCGTTTCAAGGTTTTTGGCTAAAACTGCGTGAATTTCAGTTGCTTTTCGGTAGTTTTCGCGGTTCGAACGCTCAAAATGCTTGTATTTACGTGATTTATCATTCTCAAAACCAATTCTGTCTGAAAACGGTCAAGAAAGCGCAAAATGAGAAGTGCGGTTTTTAGGCGGCGATCGGCGGCGAAGGCGAAAAAGCAAAGTCCGCGAAAAATGCGCCAAAACGTCATTAATTCTGAGAATTAGTGTGTTTTCCTGTTTTCTTGTCGAGCAATCATTTTTCATCGCTTTTGACCACAAAAATCAGAGAAAACCTGCTCAATTTATGAAAACGCCATTTGGCCGAGGCCACGCCCATATTGTCAGCTCTGGAGACCGTGTTCTGGAGAATAATTGAATGCAGAAAAATTATTAAAAGAATAAAAATTAAGAAGAATTGGAGAACTTTTCATTTTGAGGAAAATGAAAATTTTCGCATACATTATGGCAAAAATGTCAAAATCCTCGAAATATGTATGTTGTCGACTGTTGTCCTAGATGGCAGAAAACACAATGGGACTCATCGGAACCTGTAAATCTTCGAGAAAATGGATTTAAAAAACCTCTTCGATCACTTTCCGACGCCCGTTTTCGGATAGAAAGGAAGTGACAGACAAATCTAATTTGTGCTCTAATTGCTTTGTTTTTGTGCGTTACGTGGAATTTTATTTATTCAAACAGTAAACAGATATCCATATTAAGTGCCGCTCTCGTAGAGTTCGACGGTGTGGTGCAGTGTGTAGACGCTGAAACAATGTGTGTACATATATTGTAATGGAACTATTCAGAGCAATGTATCTTTGTTGCCTGACAAGATATCAAAAAGTTATCAACTAATAAAATATGCAAAATCTTTCAATAGACAATTTGCTAGTTTACAAATTTTTGCTATCTCAATCGGCAGCTGAGATATATCGTCTTGAGCGGAGCGTGGAAACTCACGTTCGACCGTCCACCGGTATCTTCGAGAACGGTCTCTCTCGGCTCTTTTTGACAGATTCAAAATTACAAGTATGCGTGATCTGCGAGTAAATATCGTAGTTCCACTGAAAACTGACTCATTCAAGGAACCAAATGACAGAGGACTTACAGATGCCCAATCGCCGCTTTGAAATCCATCAATGACAAATTTGACGGCGATATCTTCGGTGCAAACGTACTCGGTTTGAGCGATCAAATCGTCGCTGAAACCGAAATTCAATAAAAAAAATCTTAAAAATGCGTTTTCCAACCTCTTCAACATGTCTTCTTCAAAGTATTTCACTTGATAGCACCACTCTCCGATGGGCGCCTTTGTGTGCGGATCGCGGCAGATGAGCGTTGTGTTGAAGTAGAATATGGTGGGAGTTTGATGCGAACCGTCTATAAAAAATAGAAAAACAGGAGGGAGGAGGAGAAGAAGACGCATTTTGGAGCGAAAAGTGAGCGAATTGGGGAACGCCGCATTGTTTTATGCTCAGGGAGAGGGGCGTTTTAATTCGATTTGGACGGCCGGGGGGAGAGCTTGCACTTTCGGCGGGCGGGAAATTTGAATATCAAGAAAGGCTTTTGTTTCAAGTGAGTATCTTGGGTCCGAAATTTGGGGAAAATTTCAAGATAACCCGTGCGATCCGAAACTTGCTCCCAAGATACTTTAATCCAATTCCAAGAAGCCTGGGCCCTATCGGATGAGGTCCAGGCCTGGAAAAACGTTCAGAAAGCCTGTTCCGGCCTAGATTTTAAGAAAAATTCATGAAAAATAAAACAAAAAGTTGTCGAAACTGTGTAGAGAGTATTCAATGAAGACGTTTCGAACTATGTAGTGTTCTTTGATAAATCATGGATACTCAACGATGAAACACCACATTTCTCGTCTTGTTTTCCCACATTTGCGACACGCTTCCCCTATAATTTGCAATCGCTCCAACTACTCGGAAACCATGGAACCAAACTCGATCATAAATCTGCATCTGTTCCGAGCGTAGGTGAAATATTCTGGAGAGAATAAATCACTTTTTCAACAGCCAACCAACACACCAAACGTTTAGTTTTTGATATTTTGCACCTGTTCACTTTGATACCAGTTTCTATACTCGAAAACCAATGATTTTTATTGCGCCTTCTTTGCACCGGGAACCACCAAACTAATGGCCGATATCGATTTTTCGACGCCACGCTGGCTTGTCAACTATTATCATTTGATCGGCGCGGTTTCGCTTGTGCTCGACGCGTTTTCCATCTATTTGATCCTTTTCAAAAGCAGCAAAATCGACAATTTCCGCTATTTCCTGCTCAATTTTCAGGTAGTCACCCCGAGAGTGCTGCGCCTTTAAATTGGGCGCGGATGCACCGTATCCGCGCAAATTTAAAGGCGCACAACTTTCTCGAGAAATCTGACCTTTTCAGATCGCGTGTTCCCTGACCGACATTCAATTGACATTAATGATGCAGCCGATCCCATTGTACCCGTTGGTCGCCGGATTCTCCGTCGGTTTGATGCCCACGCATCTGGGAGTCTCCACACAAATGTGCCTGGTCATTGTGATATTTCTGATGATGTACCACATCTCCAGCATGACTTTCTGCTTCGTCCGCAAACATCAAGCCATTGCCGACGCGTTGAAACGATTTTCGCTGCCGAACACGCTGATCTTTGCACTTTTTCTCTTCCTTGTCCTCTTCACCAGCGCTGTACCCGGATTGATGTACACGGTGGGCATGACACCGGAAGAGCAGATCGATTATATCAGAGAGGTACACGACTAGAAAGCGCTTTTATTTTTGTCACAAGACCACGCGATTTCTATCTAAATTTGCAACAATTTTTCAGTTGAAGACTTTTTGAAGTAGCCGTTAATTTCCTCTTCCAAAAGCTTGTCGCAAATGTGTTGTGCTGAACAAACAACTTTAATTTCTCATTCCAGAACTATCCGCAGTACATTCCCGGCTTCGATAGCCTTCAAAGTTTCGCCATCTACGACGCGAACATCCACTTTATCGCGGTGGTGAGCTTCGCAGTGAGCGGCGGACTCATCGTATTTCTCATCTTCCTCCTAGTCCTTCTCAACATATTCCGTATGCTGCGTCTGCTAAAACGCAAAATCTCAGCGTCAAACTATCGAAAGCATCAAACAGCAATCAGAAGCCTCGTTGCCCAGTTCGCCACGTCATCCGTCTTTATGGTGCCTTCAATCTTTTTCTACTTTGTGGTGCTTGTCGGAGTTCCCCATGCTCAAGGTCGGTTACTGCGCCGGCAACCGAGAAGAACCGTCCGTTTTTCAGTGATCGTCGAGTTCCTCCTGGTGCTCGCGTGCCTTCATTCGTCGTTAAATGCGCTCGTACTCGTGATCACATTCCCTCCGTATCGAAAGTTTGTCATCCATTTCGTGTTGAGGAGAGAGTAAGTTTCTCGGATTGAAAACCCGCAAATTTAAATAAACTGTTCTCAGAGACCCGGTGATGCTCGGATTATCAGTGATATCTGCGAAGCCGTCAGTTTTGATATCCACTCTCGGAAAGTGAGAAATATTATTTACAGCTTCATCAAGTATACGGGACATGAGTGAAGTGAGCGGAAATTACCGGTTATGAGTATGAATAAAGCGTTTTTTCTCTGTGTTTGTTCTGCGCCTTTAATATTAGGAGGATACGGTGGAGCCCGCAAAAGTTTTTTTTTTTTTGGGATCTCCAGAGCTGACAATATGGGCGTGGCCTCCTCGGCCATATGGCGTTTTCATGAATTGAGCAGGTTTTCTCTGATTTTTGTGGTCAAAGGCGATGAAAAATGATTGTTCGACATGAAAACACACTAATTCTCGGAATTAATGACGTTTTGGCGCATTTTTCGCGGATTTCGCTTTTTCGCCTTCGCCGCCGATCGCCGCCTAAAAACCGCACTTCTCATTTTGCGTTTTCTTGATCGTTTTCAGACAAAATTGCATTTGAGAATGATAAATCACGTAAATACAAGCATTTTGAGCGCTTGAACCGCGAAAACTACCGAAAAGCAACTGAAATTCACGCAGTTTTAGCCAAAAACCTTCAAACGGATAAATGTGATTTGCGACTTAACCAAATTTAACGCTCTTGCGCTTAAAAAATTCGTAATAGCCTATACAATCGGTCTATCGAAAGACAAATGAGAAATTATCGGTTTTTCGTGGCTAATCTGGCAAAAAACACAAATTTTGCTGTTAAAATTTAAATTTCGCGCCAATGTATCGCTCTATTGGGCGGGGCGCACTTGCACCCATTTTAAGCTCTGGAGACCGTGGATGGGGTTATTCAGCGATGTGACAAAATGAAAAAAAAACGCAACGCGTACACTGTCTTCTTCCATTTTTTGACATCGACAAAATGAATGGAAAACAACAGTTTTGAAGAACTTCACTGAGCCACGAGAGTTCACGTGCCCTATTTGTCAAATGTAGAACGTTACGCTGTCATCACAAAAAACACGTATTTCTTTTTTCAACAGAATGCTCTCTTTCCTGCTCCTCTTCCTCGTTTTTGCGGGCCCGACTCCGACGCTGTCCAGTCAGATGAAGTGCGACGGCGGCGAAGCGACGTCACTCAAGGACGGATGTGTTGTCATTGAAAACAGCCCGCTGATAATCACGAACACTGACAATAGTAGGTTGCTTTTTTGAAATTTGTTTTTAAAAAAGGTCTGTTTCAGAGAAGTCTCTGAAAAAAAAGCTGAAATCGGTGAAAGAGATCAATGCGGGCGTTCAACTCATCTCGACCGATTTCGTCAACTTTGTCGCGTTGCAAAATGTGCAAAACATAACGAATCCGGACGGTCCGGCGATGCTCCTCAAGCAGAACTCTCAGCTGAAAAGGATCTGGATGCCTTCGCTGAACATCCTGAGAGGCAATCCGGTACGTTTTTTTCTGCTGCGACAGGTTCGCTAAAGACGACGACGTTTGCAGAGTGATATCCATGTCATGATGGACAGCTTTCCCGGAGCCGCCTACGAGGACCCAGAGGCATGGGAAGATCTGACGAAACTGCGAAAAGCGTCGGTGAGAGGAGGACGGCAGGAGTGTGCGGAGGGCTTTATGGCGGTGGAGCACGCGTTCGACTGGTGGTACATTGTGCTCGGCGTGCTCATTTTCGCGCTCCTCGTCTATCTGGTCGCAGTGGGGCTCATTTGCCGCAGGAAAAAGAGCCAGGAGAATAAGAATCCGGAAGACGGGACGTCGGATAAGATAAGTGTGAAGGCGTAGGGACACTGGAGTCTTCCGCGCCTAATTTGTTCAATTTCTTTCCTTCTATTTTTACAGTTCAGTGACAAAAAAGTTAATTCTCTGGATACCATCGTTCTTTTTTAATGAAGAGCTAGTAAGTCTGTCCATTTCTTCCCACCCACAAACACAAACTGGAATGCAAGAGTTTATTGATTGAACTGTGAATGCGATAGACGCTCTCTGGATCCGTTTTAAGCGGAGACCTTGGCGTGGCGTCTGCGGAAGACCTTGCGGTGCTTGCGGACGACGGCGGAGGCGCGGGCCGGGCATGGGCAGTAGGCGGCGTCGCCTCCCGGAGCTCCGGCGTTTCCTGGCGCTCCTGCGGCTCCTGGCTGTCCGGCGCTTCCCGGCTGTCCTGGGGCTCCGGCTGGTCCGGCTTGTCCTGGCGCTCCGGCTCCTCCGGACTGTCCTGGTTGTCCTGGCGCTCCGGCTGGTCCCTGTGGTCCTGGGGCTCCGGCGGCTCCTGGCGTTCCGCGGCTGCGTTGTCCTCCGCGTCCGGCGTTTCCTGGCTGTCCTGGCGCTCCTGGCTGTCCTGGCGCTCCGGCGTCTCCGGCTGGTCCTGGTGGTCCAGCTGGTCCTGGTCCTCCTCCGACGGCGTTCTGTCCTGGCGCTCCTGCTGGTCCGGCTTGTCCTGGGGCTCCTGGAGCTCCGGCTGGTCCTGGCGCTCCGGCTGGGCAGGTGATGCATGGTCCAGATCCTCCGGTAAGTCCGATCGTGACTCCGTTGGCTCCTGGCTTTCCGGCGTCTCCCGGGTGTCCAGCCTCTCCCTGGGCTCCTGGCTGTCCTGGTGGTCCTGGTGGTCCGGCCGGGCATCCTTGGGACTGGGCTCCGCAGTTGCACTGCGCCTGTCGCTTATTGACCGCTCTCTTGGCTCTTCCGAACACATCCGACGGCTTCATCATCGAGTTCCACGCCTGTTGCTCGTTGAACTGCAAAAAGGTACGGTTTTTCGATGATTCTCGAATATGGTTACCTTGAACTCGGTCATAGTGTCGATGACGTCATCGTAGAACGAGTTGATGTCGTTGAAGATGTAGCCGACGGTGAAGAGGCAGGCGAGAACGGCGACTCCGCTGCCGACGCTCGCGATTGTGACCAAAGTCTTCGTCATTCTCAAGAGATGTACCTTTTCCCGGGCCGACCGCCGCGCTTTTATACCGCTTCCGAAGGGCGTCGATCCGATCACGGTTCCAAACTTCGTAGTAATCAAAGAGCGTCGGAAACGGAGAGACACAGAGAAATGCCGTTGGCCACTTCCAGTTCCGCTTTACTGCGGGTGGTCATCCATTCTCGCGGAGAGAGCGCTTCGATCAAACAGACGCCGATCTTTTTCGACCTTCAAGATTATCGGCACGGCAGTAGTAAACTATCCGATTCTGCCTTCTTCTTCTTCTTCTTCTTCTTCTTCTCTTTCCTCTTCCGCATTTCATTTCTTGATGCGGTTACGAGTAGAGGCCACAAAGTAGAGGGGGCGGGGCGTCGAAATTTTTCCGTCTTTCTGAGCCTGTGGCGCGGACTCAGAATCGCAAATAATTGATAGTTCTTGACATGCTGAATCCGTTTTTGAAGTCAGAATTGAAGATTTACTTGGCGAAACATCAATTTCAGAGAGTTGAAGTGCCACTTAAAACTGAAAAAAATGTTCAGATAATTTCCGGAATTTCCCCGAAATTCGCAAGTTTGTTAATCACTTTGTGGTCGGTCCCTAGTTACGAGAACGATCATTCAAGTAAGGCATCAAACGAATTCATCACACAGGCTTCAAAAAATAAAGAAAGATTACAAAAATGGCATCCATCCTTCGAACATTTCGCTCAATTTCTCGTCGCTCGTCGCCAGTTCGATGAGCGAGGATGCCAATTGGGAGACCTGCATCGGATGCGAGATCGGGTTGCTTCGGTAGAGTTTGGCGGTCATAATCTGTCCGCGTAGGCGTCCCGAGATTAGACGTTTCGCTTCCGTCATGTCAAAGTCTTTCTGAAAGTGATGGATGATTTGTGAGAATGAGTTGAACGCGAAAAAGTTACCAGGCTAAAATCAGAAACAAGATTCGGCAGATCGGCAATGTACTTTTCAATCTCGTACGAATTCTCGCGGAACACGCGCAGCGTCTGCTCGCACACCGTCCGGAACTCGCCGTCCAGCGCCACCTCGCCCATCCCGTTGACCATGTTGCGAGTGAGTCGGAACGGCACCACTTCCGGAGTGCCCAACAGTTCGCCCTTGTTGAATATCATGTCAAAGTCCACGTGCACACATTTTCCGGTCGGCAAATGCACCATCAGATTCTTGGTGTGCCGGTCGCCGAGTCCGAATATGTAGCCTATCATTGACATGACCGCCGACGACTTGGCGAAGAGCTTCCGCGCGGCGAACCACTTGCCCGCCTCCGGATACTGTAGACGGAACCATTTGGCCATGACGAGCGGCGATTGGGCACAACACTCGTTGCGGAAGTACGCGGTTCGCTCCTCTTTCGACATTGGCTTCATCCGAATCGCCCACTTTTGCACTAACGACGACCATTCGGAGGGTGTGCGGCCCATCAGCTTGTCGAGTGTCTCGTAGAACGGAGTCACTCCTTCCATGAACTCGATTATTCCGCCGTGTTTCGCCAGGGGTATCACCGAGTACGTCGTGGCCGTCATATTCTGAATGCGCGTTTGTTCGTCTTTGATCAGCAGGTCGTTGCACATCTGAAAGTATCCGTTCATTTTCAGCCAATTCTCTCATTATTCTCATTACCTCGACCATTTTCGTGAAGTGATAATCTTTAGTGAGATCGTCCTCTTTCTTGCAGATCAGTCTCACTTTTCGGCCCTCTTTCGTGATGAGCTCAATGAGCACTGGCTTCGTCTTCGAGTGCAGCACTTTGACTTCATCGCAAAAGTCGTGGATGAGATATCGATCGGGCACGACGCACGACTCGGCGTGTCCGACGTCGCCAAACTCCTCGGCGTGGACGGAGCCGTCGATGACCGACCGGATCGGCACCATGATTCCCGAGATGATCTTGCACTCGCCCTCCATCCGTCGGTCCATGATCAGTCCCTTCGGATCGTACTTCTTCTCTCGGAACAGCGTCTTGAGTCCTTCCACTTTCTCGCCGAGATTGCAATTGTCCGAGTCGACCTTCTCGGATACTTGATTGAAAACCGCCGACGCGTAATCGTACTGATCGATGAGCGTGATGTAGCAGGGAGCTCTCCGTTTCACTCCCGTCAGCACCTCCATGTAGCGCTTCTTGATCTCGGCAATGTCTTGCCGCAGCAGATAGACCGATTGCCACATGCACTGATGCGGCATCCGGTAGATGAGCTGCTGCATGATGTGCTTGATCGTTCGGAACACCTCGTCGTCCTGGTGATCGATGTGACGCGCGAGCACTGCGTAGGCGGGGTAGAAGGCGCGCCAGCCGATTCGGTCGACCGCCGACTTGATCTCCAGGTTCATCGTCTTCACATTTCCCGACATTTCGGATGCGGCCGCTGCGGACACTCTCGACGAAGCGACCAGCCCACTCTGAAATCACAAATTTTCAGTTTTTCAGTTGACAAAAAAACACGAAAAATCGTACAATTTTGCGTGTGTTACTCAGCCACAACGACATCATTCGCTCGACGGCTCTCGCCTGCAGCACCGGATTCGTCTCGTACTTGGCCACCTCTTTGTACGCTTTCAGTAACGGCAGCACGTGTCGATTCCGTTCGTTGTAGTGGAAGAGGTAGTCGAGAAGCCACGCGGCCTCGTACATGACTCCCGAAGAGACGAACGCCTTCAGCAGATTCGTCGTCTCGTTGTAGATCTTCTCGAATCCGATCGTGTTGCCCGCTTTGATCATGTGCGCGATGCGGAGCATTTGAACCGACGAGAACAGATTCTTCGTCTCCGTCGGGAACATTTCAATCTTGTGCTTCGCCTGATTCTGCAGGTCGAGGTTCATCGACTGCTGCGTGTCGCCGTAGTGCTTTGACAGCTCTCCGAACGTCTTCTCGAGAATGCTGTTCAGCAGATTCATCCCGCTCATCTCGTTCGACGTCTGCAATCGCAACTTCGCCTCCTCCAACACGATTTTGTTGTCGAACGGCAGCACTTTTTTCGCGTTGATTATCGCCACCAGTGCTCGCTCTTGACATCCGGTGAGCCGTGCGATCCGAGCACTTTGCAGGTGCGCCTCCACAATCCGCGATCTGATCTGATCCTTGTCCCGATCGCCCAACACCTTCATGCGGATCTCGAGCATCTTTCTGCGCACTCTCAGGATCGGCTCCAGCAAGTCCATCCGCTGCTCGCCTCCGTCGGTTCGCTTCTGAAGCGCTTTCCAAAAGTCCGAATCGAAACCGACCAGATTCTCGACGGTCACACTTTTGAGCCGAGAAATCTCGTCAAGCTGCTGGACCTGCACAACGAACGGAGTGGCCGTTTCGTAGCTGCACGAGCCGCCGATCGCGCACTCCGCCAGCCTCTCCAGCGCCTTCTCTCTCGCCGCTTCGATGGCTTTGTCCACGTGTTCGTCCTCTTTCCCGTCCCGAATCATTGTCAGAATCCGGGATTCCGTAGCACGGGACTCGATTGTTCGGGCGAACAGTTGCGGTGATGGGCCAATCTGGAAAATGCTAACTTGTTGGACTCAAAATGTCTGAAAATCATCTTCAGAAGAACGCTCACGTCTTTATCAAGTTTCATCCATTGTGTCAGTCCCTTTAAAGAATTCACACGCTCCTCGTGCTCCTCCTTGTCGTGCGCAATACATTCCACAGAGTTAAGCTCGTTTATCAGCTTGCGAATCGATGCTTCCGGCTGAAAACGTTCAAATTTCACATTTTAAAGCGGGTAACATCCGTTTTTCGTTACGAACTTTTTCGACGTGAAAATCTGGACCATCTGAGAAGGAGTCTTATATAAAGGGGAGAAGGTCGGTCCACTGGAGGAGCTAGACGTGGAACGTCCCCTCTGGTGGATCTAATAAGGTGCGTTTACCCTTTTTGTTTTTGAAAAACAGTCAATCTTACATCAAACGGCTTTCCTTTTCCAGTCATTTGGGACAACGCGGTAGCCGATGCGACGTCGCCAAACGCTTCGTGAAGGCAAATTTTGCCGTAAACATGGTCGATTTGCACTTTGCTCAATTGAGCGTACGCTCCGCGCACTCCGTTCAGCTCGTGTATTTTGGCGTACAGATTCATGAGCGTATAATAGTAAGAGGCTTCTGTCTCGCTTTCGGTTCTCCCGTTGCGCCTCTTCATCTCCATAAACGTCTCCAGCCACAGAATGCACCGTTTCTCCATTCCGAACACCTCGGCCACGTTCACAATCAGCGGCTGCTCGTGTCCGTGCTCGTCTTTCATCGTCCACTGCATCATGCTCTTCCAGAACTCCATCGTCCGCTCCCACACCTGTTTCTTTCGCCGCACCTCTTCAGAGTTTAGATAAAAGTAGAGAAAATCGTAGACGTAAAAGATGAAGGTTGCGGCGCCGCGCTCTGATTTCGTCGTATTCCGGCGGCTCGCGGCGACGAGGGCATCTTCGAAGACGGTGAGAATCCACTGGGTGACCGAGTCTCTGCCCAAATGAATGACCGTCAGAATGAATCGCATTGCCAGCTTCGACAGAAACCGCACATCGTCGATATGAGCGATCGGGATGAGACTGGTAAGCGGCGTCTCTCCCGCCATCTCCGCACATTTCACAATGAGAACGGTGAGCCAGCGGGCGAACGTTTTGGTGGTGAACGGTCCGCTGAGCTCGTCGAAAGTCTTGGATTCGATCAGTTGTGGGTCCGGCCGGAAGTTGTTCATCTGGGCGTACACGTTCTTCAGAGCCTCAAAAGTGCTTCGTCTCCTGAAATTATCTACATTTTGTCAAAGCCCTAAAGCAGCACAATCTCACTCGTGATCCGCTCCTTTCTCAGTCAGATACTTCTGCACTTCGCACATTGTTCTGTCCGCGTACTCGAGTCTTCCGACCGGCGACATTGTCTCCACGACCTGACAGCATTCATCGAGCACCGCCTGCGTCAGTTGTATCGGATCGGAGAAGAAGGTGGCGGCGGGGTCCCAGCGGACAAAGTTGTGATCGGCGAGCTCCGTATTCGAAATGGGAACTTTCTGGAGGAGGGCACAAATTTGATCGCGTTGCTGCACAGATTCGCATAGAGGAAGGCACTCGGTGAGCGCGCCCGTCAGTCTCGGAAGATCGTCCTTCCAAACTGTGCCTCTGTCGATTTTGCTGCTCAGATTGGGCACGAACTGGAGGCACGGGAACAGCGAGAATTGGCGGAGAAACTCGAATACTGTAATTGTGAAAAGGTGGTGTCTTCCGAAGAAGTGCTCTTCGTACCGTCATCAATCCTTCTCGCCTTGGGAATCGTGAATGTCACGTCGATTCGCTTCTCCACTTCCAGTGGTATCACCCAGAAGAATCGAGTGAACATGCCATCTCTGAACGGTAATTTCTGTGATTTTTTGAAAAGAATTTGGCGACCGACTCACGCGGCAATCTTGTCAATGTCGCTCGCGTAGCTAAGTCTCTTCCAGATGCGCTCGACGATCTCCTCATTGTTCGGCACTCTGCCGACGTCCGTGATGATTCTCCATATGCTAGTGCGCAGTTTCGAGTAGTTGAGTTGGTCGACGAACTGCAGCCACGAAAGCCGCGTGGCTTCCAGATGCGGCGGGCTGTGGCGCAACGTCATCAGAATCGCCATCCAGTTCGCCTCGAGCAACTCGGGCTTTCCGTGCTGCAAAACGACTCGGAAGCTGGCGGCCGCCCGTTCTCTCATCCAAAAATGAACATCGTTGGTGAAGTAGGTTCGGAAGCTGAACAGAAATTCGGTTCCCTCGGAACGAGTGTCCATCGCCGTCGCCAGATTGAACTTCTCGCCTTTCTTCATATTCTCGTACGTCTTCTGAAGCTCCTGCACGACGAGCGAACCGTTTTGTGGCACTAGAAAGTCTTCGGGGCGCACGAGCAGGAGGCGTTCGAATATTTCTTTTCGGAACGTGCACGCGACCACTTTTTGGTCACTTTCTGCGAAATCGCAATGATCGGCACAGAATTTCCAGAGCGATTCGTTTCCTTTGCACGTCTCGAACGCCCACAGTTGTATCAGATGCTTGAACATCTGCATTAAAATTATGAGATCCAGGGCCTCTATTTTCAGCAGACCTACCTCGGTGATCAGCGCTTTCCTCTGCGCCTTCACCACGTGGATGTCGATCGGATTCGTCGGAATTTGAGATGTCGAGTTGGTGGCGACGACGAGCTCCTGGCAGAGAAAATCGACGATCGAGCAGACTTGTTTCGGGCACTGTCCTCGTGCTCCCGCGATCAGGGTCCAATAGAGCAGAGTGGGACGGATGACGGGCAGCACGGCGATCAAATTGGCGAACCGGAAGAGGATGAGCGCACGCGAGATGAACGAGCGCGCAGTTTCGCGGATTCTCAACTCGTCGAGCGTCGTGTCGAGGAGGAGGCGGCCGACGAAGGAACGGGTGAAGATGGTTGCGTATCTCTTCAGCATCGCCTGGAGGAGCCCGTCTTCGGGGGCATCTGCCAGTTCGGGAAGGAGATGGCGAGCGAAGGGGCGTGTCCATGCAGTCGTCACATTCCAAACATCCTCGGAATCGGTCACTGCCGAGTGAGCAAAGACGCCGGCGAACACGGCCACTTTCACCGTCGTCGGCAGCCTCGCATCCAGAACTTTCCACATGAATTCGGTCAGCTTGGCGGGATCGTTGCTCCTTATCGATAACAATGCTCTTCCGAGCACTGGAATGTAGATTTGCAGTTTCTTTTCATCGTCCGCTTCGCTTTTCCAACTGATCAACTCCCAGATGCGGCTGAAATCAAAGTTTTGACAGGAGAAATGAGTGTAAACTCACAAAAAGCAGTCATTATGCGGCGAGAATGCAATGTCGAGAGCCTTTACGATGGGCGTGAAGTGTGTCGGAAGTCTCGGCGAATCCACGTGCAGCAGAATCACTCGGCACGTCTCCAGAAGCTCCGGAATGATTCCGTCCGCGTACTCGTGCCGCTTCTCGATGGCGCCCTTCACAAAAAGCGCCAAAGATCGCTCGTCGAGTCGGAGACCGTCTCCCGTGTCCGGCTCGACGAAAGTTTTTGAGTTCTTCTCGCACTTTGAGCACTTGTTCTTCCGGTTCGCCGACAGACAAATGAGCATACGAACAGTTTTGCACATTTCGCGAATCGTTTTCTCCGCATAGACGGCGTGTTTTTCGGCAAGTTTTGCGATGAGAACGGTGACAAAATCCGAGATGAACGTCGGATTTTCGGTGAGAAAATGGACGAGCGCGGGGAGGCAGAGAGCGATTTGATCGGTTTGTGATACGGCGAAAACGGCTAGGGACATGTCCGCCACGAGCGCCACGTACTTGCCTGTTTTCTTCTCAATTTGAAGCGCACACTGCACGGCGCGCAGCTTTGTCGCCTCAAAGTTCGGCGGCTCGTGCAGCAACGTGTACTTTTCGAGGTCCATAATCTCGGCGGGACCAGTTTTAGGGGCGCCCGCAATTCGGAATTGGTCCCACTTGACGCCGACGCGTTCTCGGAAATCGCGGAAGCACGGAAGGAGCAAGATCGGAATAATCTGCTTGGCGGCCTCGTCGGCACCTCCCAAAAAGTGGCACGACGCTAGAACGATGGCGAGCGAGTTGACGGCCGACAACTCTTTGTTCTTGATCTTCGCCCACAAACTCTCGACGGTGGGCGCGAACTTTTTGAATAATCCCTGGGCGATCGGTTGCTGTACACTGAGCAACGAGCCGAGCAAACGGGGCCATCTCGGATTGTCCGGAATGTTCTGTTTCTGGATTTCCGTCGTTATCCACTTGAAACTGTCAATCTTTTGAATTTTTGCGAGTTTGAACAGGGAGACGAGAAGATCCAGATAGTGGTGGAGGCATGCGGGAGACGATTGATATCCCGTTTCGATGCGTCGCTGAAAATTTCTAGAAATTTACTTCAAACGACCGTCCTTACCGAACAAATTTCGATAAGAGTGAAACAGGCCTCGGGAGGCGCGTCCTGGGCCTCCTGATGGGCGGTCAACTCGACCATCCACTTCGTGAACGTCTCCAGTACTCCTAGCTCGTCCGTCTCGTCGCCGATCAGCTTCAGATACGTATTGAGCCACTCGAGCACACTCTCCCGCAACTCTTTCTTGAGCATCATCAGTTTTCCGTGCTCTTCGATGAACGATTGGATTGTCTGGAATCAGAAAAGTTGATTGAAAAGTTACTATAGTCAGAAAATACTTGGAAAATGTCTGAAAGCACTTGGCTCTTGCACGATGACAATGTGAGCGAGAGCAGCTCGCCGATGAACCGAGCCTGTTCGACTGCCGACTCTTTTTCCCTTTTTGCGTTCAGAGCTTTCAGAGCACACTTCAGACACGGCTCTACAATCCACGTGTCTTCTGACTCGTGCGCATCTTGAAGAACGGATTGGCAATACGGCCAGAAGAGCCGGAAAACGTCGGACGGGACGAGCGAATCGGAATTCTCGCCGAACAGCGCCGCAATGATAACCTGCGGGAGATGGCACGAGAAAAACGGTCTGGAATCACCGGAAATCTTGGTAACAGCATCGGGACTCAGAATCGAAGGAGGGCACTTTAACTTTGAATCGCTGTCATCGCAGTCTGAGATTTTCGTGTACTTTAAAAGCAACTTCCTGTTTTATTTTACATTTAACAAGTTCCAGCAGCTGATTTAAAACTTTATCGTATTGATTTTGTTCCGCTTTACCGGCGGCGACGAGGAGAATCAGTAGAAGTTGCTGGAAAACGAAATGTCTTTGAGTAAAAGTTTAAGCTTTTTACATCAAAGCTCGAAACCAATTCTTCGTCTTCAAACGCACAGATCGCATCGAACGTCGCGCGGAACAAACGGAGAACTTCTCCTGAAAATGTCGCTTTCACATTTTTCGGTTATTAATTCAGAAAAACCAACTGCTTGTGAAGTTCCATCCGTTTGAAAGCATAGAAAGCGAGTACGAAATGTATTCGATTTGCGTTCTGAAAATAAACTTTTTGCAACTTTACAGAAGTAGAAGTTATTCTTACAACGTTTCCATAAACTGATCCTCATCCAAATCTTCGCCATTGCTGGAAAACACTTCTCTCAGCAAACTTTCGAGCTCCTCCAGCAGACTTTCTAGTATTTTTCTGCAAAAAAAGGTTTTGTTCAACTTCTAACGAGCGTAGCATCTCTCACCTGTTAGCATTTGTGTTTTCCGCGCATTCAATCACCCGGTTCTTCAAATCCGTCCATTCGTCGGCGCTTATCATGTCTAATTTGAGGGCAAAAAAGCTGTTTTAAAGTTCGCTCGTTTTCCGAGAGGACTCCGAGAGGCAGTGTGGTAGAGCGCGCTTGCATTTCGCCGACGGCGGCCCCGATAAGTGAAACAGGTGAACAACTGAATAGTTTGTGAAAGATTCGTCGAAAGTCAACCCGGGTACGGAAACGAGAACTCTTGGTTAATTACGAAAATTATATAAATGGCTTTCTACTAGAAAACGAAAGAAACCCGGGTTTCTAACTGTTTTCCATCTGGCTCAAAATGAACTCCAGAGGCCACCGAACTTCTCGCAAATGTTTCATGCTCCTCCAATCAGTGTGCCGTTCTCCGCATCTTCTCAATTACTGTTTGCACATCCGAACGCTTCCGCGTCTTCCGGTCACCACCGCCACCGCCGCGTCGCTCTTCCGCAAGCAGCTTTTTCTCGCCTTCCCCTCCCTTTACTCTATTGTTTGTGTGCGTTACATTACGCGATCGAGCGGCGTTCCGCGCCACCAAATGCGCGCGCTTTTTGTGAATAGGGCGGCTCCTCCGAAAGTCCCAAAGTTGCTCCTCGCGCCCGCGTCAAACGTTTTTTGACGCGAAAGAAACAACGTCGACTGGTTTGGCGGGTGCGTATTTAAAGAGGGCAGTGAGGCGCCGAGAACAGCGCACACCTCGAACGGTTCCAGCAATCATCATGAGCTCCTCTGTCTTCGCGTAAGTTTCCATCTCTTCGGATCACGCTTCGACTCTCTGCACTTTTAGCCTTCTCTTCGCCGGACTCGCTCTCTCTTCCGCCCAAGTGGCCGTCAACGGTCCGTTCCTCGGAAGATACTACGTGGCGGCGAAGCCAGTGCTCGCGCCAGGAGTTGCTCCACTCGCTGCTCCGGTTGTCGCCGCACCAGCACCTCTTCTCGCTCCACCAGCTCCGGTGCTCGCCGCTGCTCCAGCGTTCGCTGCTCCGGCTCCAGTGCTTGCCGCTCCACGACCAGTACTTGCTGCACCGGCTCTCGCGCCGGCCTTTGCCCCTGCTCCAGTTGTCGCTGCTGCTCCAGCGTTCGCTCCGGCTCCAGTCGCTCCACTTCTGGCGCCAAGACCTGTGCTCGCCGCCCCAGCGTTCGCCGCTCCGGTTGGTCCAGTGCTCGCCGCTCCACGACCAGTGCTTGCTGCTCCGGCTCTTGCCCCGGCCTTAGCACCGGCTCCAGCGTTCGCTCCAGCATTCGCTCCGGCTCCAGTTGCTCCACTCCTTGCTCCAAGACCAATGCTCGCCGCCCCGGCTCTTCCAGCCATCCCAGCTTACGCTCCGTTCGCCCGCTCCGCTTTCCTCATCGGAGGAAACAAGGCGAAGAGCATCAAGGCTTAAGCCGACCGAAACACCTTTTCGATTTCTGTATATACCGATCGACACGCAACCCCCGTTCTTTCAATGACAATAAATTTATTATTCGAATTCAAATCAGTTCAAGAATCATTATCATCCCTGTTGTTGCTGTTGGCAGTTGCTCCTCTCCCTCCGCCTCTCAACGCTTTCAAAGTGAGAAAAGAGCAAATCGCATCGCGATAGGGTTTGATAAAGAGCATCGTGAAAAGGGGCGACAATATCGGAATCATCGACATGCAGTACATCGGCAGCAGCTCTTGCCATTTCCTGAAATCGTTGTGCTCAACCCAAACTCAACTGCTCTCTGATCGATCGACAACTCACAGGCTATTCTCGTAAACCGTCACCAGAACGGCGTTGGCTCCAACGGGCGCGGCGAGCAACAACGGCACAAAGGCCTCGGCGAACACCGAGTGCACGAGCAGTTCGTTCTCGAGAAACGTGTCCTGCGACATGGTGCCCTGCTTCCGTTTGAGTGTGTTCAACATGAAGTGCGCGCAGATCAAGATGATGAGGTAGGAGAGGAGGTGGCACAGCGCCAGAATGCCGTGAAAGTAGACGATGAGCGGATTACGGGCGTAGTCGTCACCAAACAGCGATAAGTGGTGTTTGCCGAGATTCAGCTCCTCTTGCGTCTGAATCACGCCGCTCGACACGTTATTCGGAGCCGGTGTTATATGCTGGGAGCCCGAGTTGAGATCGAGGTTTCGGAGATGTTGGTTGAGGAGCAGCGTCGAGTTTTCAAACTCCTCCACGACGCTCGACGTTCGGTTGGCTCGATCTAGCAGGTCCTGTGCAGCAAAATGTGCATTAGAAGCCCCTCGATATGTCACTCACCGCGTAGGGAATAGAGGAGAAGTAGAGAAACGAGCTCTCCACACAGCACACAATCAGAATGACGGCAAACGTAAGGAGCAGAGTGTTTTTGGTGAAGTATTGTCCGAACATGTTGCTATTTGCCAATATCATAGATCTGTAGACGAAGAACAAAGGGAACGAGAGAATGGCGTACAGGTAAGCGGCAACGGAGACGCACGCGATGAGCTTCTAAAAAAAGAATTCGTGTCGTCATAGTCGACTCAGACAGACCACATAGTTCTCCGACAGATACTGGGCAGGACCGTGCACGACCCGAATTGTCATGGAACCACGTGTGATCACTTGCGGTTGAAGCGAGAGAAGTGAGGCGCAGAAGACGATTCCGGAGATGGCGATGTTGGAGAGAAAGTAGCGGAGCTCGCGAATAGTCTCGATGCTTTTGTGCGACGAAAGGAAGAGGAGAATCGCGTTGAGGAGAATCGCGATTCCATTGCAAATGTAGCAGTAGAGCGAGAAAAACGAGAGCACCGCCATTTGGAGGAGCCGGTGCCGACTAAGTGTGAGCACTGCGTTTGGCCCGACCGATGGAGCTTTGCGTCAGTCGGCAATCCGCTTATTCGGATTTGTAGAGATGGGGAAACAGAATTAAATAAGTTTTATTATAGAGAGCGAGTGGTCGGTATATACAGACAACGATCGGAATTGAAAAGTGAACACTTCTTACTCCACAATCTTCTTGGCCTTGTTTCCTCCGATGAGGAAAGCAGAGCGGGCGAATGGAGCGTAGGCCGGCACGACTGGAGCTCCTGGGGCAAAGGCCGGGACGGCGGGGGCGAATGCTGGAGCAGCAAGGTACGGAGCCGGGGCGGCGAGGTACGGAGCAGGGGCGGCGAATGCTGGCGCCGGGGCGAAAGCCGGGGCGAGAGCCGGAGCAGCGAGCACTGGTCGTGGAGCGGCGAGGTATGGGGCCGGAGCGGCGAACGCCGGCGCCGGGGCGAATGCTGGAGCCGGAGCAAAAGCTGGAGCAGCGAAGACCGGTCGTGGAGCGAAAGCCGGGAGCACTGGGGCGACTGGTGGGACTGGTGGCGCGAGGAGTGGCGCCGGGGCGGCCAGCACTGGCGCTGGTGGCGCGAAGACTGGTGGCGGAGCGGCGAAGACTGGCGCTGGTGGAGCGAGGAGTGGAGCCGGGGCGGCGAGCACTGGCGCTGGTGGCGCGAGAAGAGGAGCCGGGGCGGCCAGGACTGGAGCAGCGAGTGGAGCAACTCCTGGCGCCAACACTGGCTTCGCCGGCACGTAGTAGCGTCCCAAGAATGGTCCGTTGATGGCCACCTGAGCCGAGGAGAGCGCCAATCCGGCGAAGAGCAGACTGAAATAGAGAAGCGAATCGATTGTCGAAACAAATTGAAAAGAAAGAGAGAGAGAGAGACTTACGAAAGGACAGTGTTCATAGTGAGCCGATTGATCGAATGATGATTTTGTGCTCATCTCGCCGCCACTTTTATAGTCGCCTGGCGACCGGTCGCCGTGTGAGAGCGGGTTTGCGTGAAGCGTGCAAAAAGTTTTGTCCGCCGCGCGCCGCCCATTTTTTCCGGTGCGTGCGGCAAACGGCACGGATCCACCCACTTTTTGTGCGAGAAAATGTATGTGCTCGCGCCCGTCGCGAGCGGCAGATGGCACAAAAGGCGATTATTGGAAGGAGCGGGAGAAGAAACTGTGGTGGCAATTTGAAAAAAAGGATGAAAGTACGGCAAAGTCCGATCGCTTGGAGTTTTCAGGCAACTTGGAAGCAGCAGAAGCAAATCTTTATGTTCTCAGAAGGAATTCTCACCGAACTTCAGGCCGGAAAAGCTTCGTGAAACTGTTCCGAGAGAAAACTGCGAAAGTTTACAGAATATGCATGGTTTTCTTGCAAATTTCGAGCTTTGTGACTAATTTTTCGAAGAAAATCGCTCCCCGACGTTTCGAAACCGCGACATTTCGCAACTACTTCAGCTAAATAGTTCTGTGAAAGTTCGCTGAGAGAAACGTCGGGGAGCCAAGCTACAGCGGCCAGATAAGTTCGAGAATTTGATAATTTCTTGTAAAAAACTCTTCCATTTTCATCGACAGGTCAAGCTTTTTCAACCGCTGGGTAGAATTGCTGAAAACTGGAAGAGCGGCTGCGTGATCCGATCAGACCGTTTCTTTAATTTTCAGCCCTAACCGGTCCGCTCCTCGTCCGTCCATTGTTGCAACTGTTCGGGAACTCCTTTGTTCGCCGCCACTAACCATGCCTTTTTGCGCCTCTTCTTCTTCTTCTTTTTCTTTTTCCCTTTCTGAGTGCGCTCCGCGAACTTATTGGCCGTCGATTTGTTTGTTGTGCCGAGTGCGTTCCCGCGTTCATCACCGCAAAAAAAAAACACCAAAATGATAATATCCAGAATCGCATCACGAGATCACACTTTGAACAAACTACAAGACAGCCAGACACCCCTCATCTTCTATTTTCCGCGGAAGAGGCGGGTGAGCAAACACTTCCTGAACCGATTGGATTTTAGCTCAAGGATCAGTAACCAGTCTGCTAGTGATATGGTATTTGCACACACAATCTGATATCAAGACTCGATTGAATTGACGCCGCGGCTGGCTGGCACGTGGCGAAAAAGCAAATAGGAGCGTGGGAACGGACGGAGAGGCAGACTGAGAGCGCACATGTTTTTGTGTGCTCTTTTTGGCGACGAACAATAGTAGCTGGAAACTTTTTCGAAGCCTGACCAGTTCACACATCCGGTCCACACCGCCAACTTTTGATTCTCTGATCAGTGCGTCACCCCTCAGTCCCACGCACTTCAGTGCGTGGCTCACATTGATGAATACAACAACTGTTTCGAGACTATTCAATTTCACGTGCACTTCCGTTTCAGGGAAGCGAGTAACCGGCCGCGCGGCGTACATGCAACTTTGTGCGCCAATGAATAGGGCGCGGCCGAGCAGTTGCGCGGGTGGCTCGCGGCGTGCGTAAGCGTTTTTGTGCGACCGCCCCGCATATAAAAGGGCGGCCGAGCGAACGCAGAAGCCATCCCCCAACGATCATCCTTCTTCTCAACAACATGCAAACCTTCTCGTGAGTTGCTGGATCTTCTCGAATTCCAGTGATATTCTCTCATTTTCAGCGCCGTCCTCCTTGCTTTGGGTCTCTTCTCCGGAGCTTCCGCTCAATTGGCCGCCTGGCCGTCGCAGAGCTACTCACCCTTCTACCAGGCGCTTTTCAGCGGAGCCAGCACTCCAGTGCTCTCGGCTCCAGTCGCCAGAACGGCTCCGTCGGCCATCCCACTCGCCGCCCCGGCTCTTCCAGTCTTCGCCGCCCCGGCCCCACTTCTGGCGCCACCGGCACCAGTGTTCGCTCCTCCAGCTCTTCCGGCTTTCGCTCCACCAGCGCCAGTCTTTGCCGCTCCGGCTCTTCCGGCTTTTGCCCCGGCTCCAGTGGCCCCAGTTCTCCGCGGACCAGCCTACTCCTACGCTCCGTCGCCAGTTCTGGCGCCAGTTGGAGCGGCTCCAGTGCTCGCCGCCCCGGCTCTTCCATTTGCTGCTCCGGCCCTGGCTCCAGCGTTCGCCGCCCCGGTCCTCGCTCCAAGATTCGTGCCAGCCTACGCTCCATTCGCCCGCGCGGCCATGTTCATCGGATCCAACAAGGCCAAGACGTAAGCGACATTGTCGGTCTCTTTCCGCTTCTAATTTCTTGTTTTCAGCGCCTAAGAAGGTATTGTGTATTCTTCTTGAAGTTCACTCAAGAAGTCCACAACGTCAACGACCGTCTTTTCTGTATAAATCGACCGCTTGCCTTTCATTTCACCCCAAAACTGTGCCTCTTTTATTTATATGTTCCTTCCGAAATAATAAATTATGCACTTTACCTTCGTCTTCGGTGGTCTGCCCGCCTTCCGGCTTTCAAGTTCTCGACCACATCGGCTCATCCCTTTGTTCCCCCTACCACGTCCGTCAGTTGTGGCAAACCTGATGAGTTAGCGCGGGTGATCATTCGTGCTTTTGTGAGCCGACAACGTGTTTAGCATGATCTCGACTAGACGGTCAATTGTTTGTTCGCGTTGCAACTTGCGCAAACACAAGAGGGGGGAGGGGGAGAACAAAACGTTTTGGTTCAAATAATTACTACCAACTTTTCTAGACGCGCTTGGCAAAAATGACCAACAGAACATTTTATCCTCTTGGTATGAGCCAGAGTTGAGCGGAATTCCGTCTGCCGTCTTCCGTCTTCCGTCTTCCGTGGATTTTTTTGTTCCGTCTTCCGTCTGCCGTCTTCCGTAAAAAAATTTTTTTTCCGTCTGCCGTCTGCCGTCTTCCGGAATTTTTTCTTCTTACCGTAAAAGAGTAATAGCTTTTCAGAAGCCATTTACTAGCCCCGAAGAACGCGAATTTCCACGGGCAGTGACCCAGATCCAAATTTTTTGTTGCTTTAGTTATTTTTTTAAAAAAAACCGGAAAAAAAGGTTCTGCATTGACGATTTTTTTTTTTCCGTCTTCCGTCCGCCGTCTTCCGGGAAAAAAGTTTTCTTCCGTCTTCCGTCTGCCGTCTTCCGTGAGAAAAATTTTCTTCCGTCTGCCGTTTTCCGTGTTCCGTAAAAAAAATTTTCTTCCGTCTGCCGTCTGCCGTCTTCCGGATTTCAAAATTCCATTTCCGCTCAACTGGTATGAGCTATCGAATCATGTATGTCACAACCCATCAAATAGACTTACCTGAAGAGCATTCCCTATTTAATATCACATCACCGTTCATTTAAGACGATTTATTTCAAGTGCATGTATAGAAAAATGGTCAACCGAAAAAATGTACAATTTTTTAATTGACAGCCTTTTGATACCTCCACGAGCAGCTGAACTGGCAAGAATCTGTGATTTTAAGTTTTCTGGCCTCCATCATGTGTCTTGTGCGTGCCATCAAGTGCCATTGTTCTCCCGTTTTGTCACTGATGTTAACTTATGAACACGAAAAGCGTCTAAATGTGCATAATTTATTATATTTGGCAGGAACATAAATAAAAGAGGCACAGTAGTCGTTGAAATGAAAGAAAAAAGGCAAGGGGTCGATTTATACAGAAAAGATGGTCGTTGATGTTGTCGATGGGGTTGTGGACTTCTTGAGCAAGAAGTACCTTCGAGTACCTTCTTAGGCGCTGAAAACAAGAAATGAGAATGAGAAAGGAACCGACAATGTCGCTTACGTCTTGGCCTTGTTGGATCCGATGAACATGGCAGCGCGGGCGAATGGAGCGTAGGCGGGCACGAATCTTGGAGCGAGGACCGGGGCGGCGAACGCTGGAGCCAGGGCCGGAGCAGCAAGTGGAAGAGCCGGGGCGGCGAGCACTGGAGCAGCTCCGATGAAGGTTGGTCCGCGGAGCATGGCAGCGGCGGCGACTTCTTGAGCTGGAGCGAATGCTGGAACTGCTCTGGCGGCAAGGACTGGCGCCGGAGCAAAGGCCGGAAGAGCCGGAGCAGCGAGCACTGGCGCTGGTGGAGCGTAGACTGGCGCTGGGGCGAACGCTGGTGGAGCCAGAAGTGGAGCCGGGGCGGCGAGGACTGGAAGAGCTGGGGCGGCGAGTGGGATCGCCGATTGGGCCGTCTTGGCGACTGGAGCCGAGAGCACTGGAGTGCTGGCTCCGCTGAAAAGTGCCTGGTAGAACGGAGAATAGCTCTGCGACGGCCAGGCGGCCAATTGAGCGGAAGCTCCGGAGAAGAGACCCAAAGCAAGGAGGACGGCGCTGAAAATGAGAGAATATTACTGGAATTCGAGAAGTTCCGACTCACGAGAAGGTTTGCATGTTGTTGAGAAGATGGAGAAGAAGTGATCGGATGTACTTGGCAGTCCGGAAAACGTCTTTTATATGCTTCTCACCATGCTTTGTGCCATAAGCCATGCCCACTACGCGTACGTCGAAAGAAAAGAACGCATGTTGGTTATGTGCATACGGCGCGCATCGGATCGTTTTTCATCGGTTTCGGCCGAAATATCGGCAGAGACGAAGAGACGCCGACACGCGGAATGTGGTCGGCGAATAGAGAATCATTATGACTTTTAGACTGGCGAGAATTAGCGCGAGAACGGTGTCTGGAACGGTCAGGAGAGCGAGACGTGTGCTCCAAAATGCGAAATATCCGAGGAAATTCGGTCAATTCTGAGCCGTGGTCGGGCAAAACCTAGAAAAAAGCAATTTAAACCAAAAAAACAAGAGAAACGAATCCGAAAGCGTGAAAAACCGATCGCTCTTCGCGAGCGATTAGCAATAGAGCGCACTTGCCCATCCAAATTCCATTCTCTCCGAATTTCGACCGAATCTTTGCTCTTTCGATTCCCACCCCAAAAAACCAGCTCATTTCCATTCATGGAATGCACCTTTTGCAACTGCGCGCCAAAAAACTTTAGTTGCGCAACTCAAACAATCGAATCCAGTCTTCTCAAAAAAAAACGCGTGAAAGTGCACCCGTAAACTGCAAACAGATCGTCGGCATAACCGGTCGACTTCTTCAAGTAACTGACACCTCTTGTTCTTGGCTTATCCGCGCGGAAGAACGCCGCGAGCGCGCTACAGTTTTTATGCGCCTATTTACCCACGCCCCTGAGGGAGAAAGAGGGAGAGAATTGCAAAAAATTGAAGACGCTGATACCGTAATCTCGTAGTTTGCTCATGCCGGAGGTATATAAGCGGAAGAAATTGGCCAACCAAATCATCTTCCTCTCGATCAACCCATCATGAAGTCTGTCGCGTGAGTTTTCTTTATCAGCTATCCTACAAGAAATATTCTTAATTTCAGCATCTTCTGCGCCCTGTTCGCCGTCTCCACTGCCCAGTTGGCTGCCTGGCCATCCACCTCCTACTCGCCATTCTACCAGGCGCTCTTCGGTGGAGCCGCTGCTCCGGCATTTGCTGCTCCGGCCTACGCCCCGGCTCTCGCTGCTCCAGCTTATGCTCCGGCCCTCGGAGCCCCAGCCTATGCTCCGGCATTTGCTGCTCCGGCGCTCGCTGCTCCAGCGTATGCTCCGGCGTTCGCTGCTCCAGCATATGCTCCGGCACCAGTCGCTCCTCTTCCAGTCGCCGCTGCTCCGGCTCTCGCCGCCGCCTCCGTCAACGGACTCCCAGTCGCTGCCGCTCCGGCGTTCGCTCCAGCAGCCGTGCCCGCCTACGCTCCATTCCAAACCGCCGCCTACTGGATCGGATCAAACAAGGCCAAGACCGTCAAGGCCTAAGCGATAAGATTTCGATGCTCCTCGAACTTTTATGTATATTTTGCAAATTCGATCTAAACAATAAATTCATCAAAACATATACTGTGTTTTGTTTTCTTTAGGGCTCTCGAGGCCTGGCCCAAACTTTGCAGGCTTCTTGGGGACTTGGATTGCGGTATATATATTGGGTCCAAGTTTCAAAACGATCGGATCATTTACTCAGGCCGCAATTTTCGAGTCCGATTGGATTATTACAAGTGCCAAAATGTTCCTTAGACTTGGATCTAAGTACTGTCCAAGTTTCGGCCATCTGGGACCGGATGTCCTGCTCCGTATTCTGAAGATGATCAGCCCCCTTTCTTTAAAGTTACAATAGTAAAAACAAATTTCCATTGACAGATTCTCAAGTATCCATATCGCATGTGCTCCTCCGCACCAGCATACTGTAACTCGATCTTTCTTCGCACGTGTGTTTCGTTTCTAGTTTTCTCACAAAAATGTCATTGAAATATTTATTGTCGGATGGAATGGTGTTACAATATTTACAGATAAATAATCCCGGTGCGTCGTGACGTCATCATCACTCCTTGCTCTTGTTACTTCCAATGAAGTAATTTGCGTAGGTGAACGGATCTTTGGCGGCGGCTGCAGGATCGGCGTTCGGAGCACGCGCCGGCTGCAGATATTCTCCGGCTCGCGGAGCTGGCACTCCGGACGACGTGTAGACGGCCTTTGAGAAGACCGCGAGAGCCTCGTCTCCGAATTGCGGACGGTTCGCGCGGATCGCCATCGGTCCTTCCTGGATCTGCTCAATCTCCTGGCGCAGGGCCTCTGGCTGGTTGTAGGCCGGTGGTGGTTGTTGCTGAGGTTGTGGAGGTCCCTGTGGCAGCGGCTGCTGTTGCTGAACTGGCGCCGGTGCAGTCTGAGCGTACGGGCTCGGTGCTTGTGCGTGTTGAGGGTACTGCTGAGCTGGTTGAGACGGATACTGTTGCTGCTGAGGTGCAGGTCCGGCCGGTTGTTGTTGTTGTTGTTGTTGTTGAGCATAAGGACTCGGGTACTGCGATGGAGGAGCTTGCTGCTGCTGGGACGGGTCTTGAGGTGCTTGCTGTGGGTATCCTTGTTGCGCTGGGTACGGGTACGGTTGTTGTTGTTGCTGAAGCTGAGGTGGGTACTGCTGCGCCTGCTGAGGTGGATACTGCTGAGAAGGGTACTGCTGAGGCTGTCCATATTGGGACGAATCTTGTGGCAGAGGCTGAGTCTGCTGAGGCGGACCGTACTGGGTTGGATTTTGGGGAGCTTGCTGTTGAGGATATCCTTGAGATGGAGGATATTGAGGTGGATATTGGGGTTGAGCAAGCTGGGGATAACCTTGAGGAGCCTGGGGAGCCTGTGGAGCCTGTGGAGTTTGCGGGGCCTGCTGTGGATAAGGACTCTGTGCCGGGTAGCCTTGAGGAGTCTGTCCGCCCGGATACACGGGTTGCTCCTGATAATTTTGCGGCTGCTGCTCAATCTCTGGCGGTGGAGTCGGAAGAGCTTCTGGTTGCACTGGAGCCACCGGAGCCACTGGAGCAGCAACTGGAATCACCGGACACGGAGGAGTCAGACACGGTCTGAGCAGGTCGGGAGTGAGCACTGGAGCCGCTTTCGCATAATATCTGCCCGGATTGAGTTGTTCCAGAGCCTGCGCGTCGAGCAGCGGAGCCAAACTGAAAAATGCGCGAAAATGTGTGGCTCTGGCACCTTCCGCTTCCGAGGACCTACCATACGAGGAGACCGATCGAGGCCAAGTGATAACGCATTATCATCAAGTCGAGGAGTGTGCCGAGCGCCGAGCCGTCCGTTTCTCCTTTATATACGTGCGGCGGGGCTGGATCCGAATGACCACGCAGCCGTCGTCGCGTTGACAACTTTTTGTATCACTCGCGTTTGTGTGTGTGTGTGTGTGGTTTGCGGCGGCGGCGGCGCGGCCAGTCATCGCGCTGTCATCGGGTAAAAGAGAGCCGTCAAAGAACACAAACACTCGAGTAACAATTCCGGTTCGCGTCGACGGCGAAGGTTTTTCTCAGATTGACTGATGGATGGAGTCTTCTGCTTTGTGCCGCCGCCACCACCACCACCTCCACAGAAACATTTGGTAAACAATGGGCCGACTGATTCACATTCACACGTGGCCATCGGACTGGATGGCGGGCGAATCGCAAAAGTATACACAGGTTGGTTGGCCGAAGATTGCGCAATGTAATCTTTGATGATCACCCGACACGCAGAACAATCGGTACTTTGTGGCGGCGCGAAGGATGCTCCAGAGACTGATCAAGAATCGAATTGCAACGGCAGTGCTCTTTTGCGAGAGCGGGGATCTTTTTTTTCATAGCATCAGTCAAATGTGACCAAATTTTATGTTGCTCTTTCATTTTCAGACATTTCTAGGTACCACGGTCTCCAGAGCTGACAATATGGGCGTGGCCTCCTCGGCCAAATGGCGTTTTCATGAATTGAGCAGGTTTTCTCTGATTTTTGTGGTCAACGGCGATGAAAAATGATTGTTAGACATGAAAACACAGTAATTCTCAGAATTAATGACGTTTTGGCGCATTTTTCGCTGACTTTGCTTTTTCGCCTTCGCCGCCGATTGCCGCCTAAAAACCGCACTTCTCATTTTGCGCTTTCTTGACCGTTTTCAGACAGAATTGGTTTTGAGAATGATAAATCACGTAAATACAAGCATTTTGAGCGCTCGAACCGCGAAAATTACCGAAAAGCAACTGAAATTCACGCAGTTTTAGCGAAAAACCTTCGAACGGATAAATGTGATTTGACCAAATTTAACTCTCTTGCGCTTAAGAAATTCGTAATAGCCTATACAATCGGTCTATCGAGAGACAAATCAGAAATTATCGGTTTTTCGTGGATAATCTGGCAAAAAACACAAATTTTGCTGTTAAAATTTGAATTTCGCGCCAATGTATCGCTCTATTGGGCGGGGCGCACTTGCGCCCATTGTCAGCTCTGGAGACCGTGGCTAGAGAGGATTACGAGAAATGGTGGAGTTCACGATAAATGGTGGGCAGCTAGGAAATGATAAAATGATGGATTTCACAAAATCACGATCGGCGCTCCTCCGCATCGACGAAACCGCTCATTTTGAATAGCAGACAAGTGGAAAATCAGGACAAGGCGACAATTTTTCAGGTTATCAGACCTTCGAAGGCGGAAAAATAGAGGCACGGTGAGTCATAGATGTTTATAATTAGTTGCATTATTTAATAGTTGTATTACAAGGGTACAAGAGCGGGTACAAGGCAAATTCAAGAATAAATTAGATTATTAAAAATAGCAAAAACTGGTTACACTTTTGTTGGTGGAAGGTTCGAGCGTCTCGCACATCATCACTCTGCTAGTCGTCTCTTTCATAAACTCTTCCACGTAAGGCACCAATTTTCTGAAAAAAAGGGGATCAGAAGTGTATCGGCTGAGACAGTTAACCAACCTGAACTTCTCAGTCATTCCGAGCAACGTAAGAATGTTCGATTTGATCGGTTCCTCAAAATTCCACTGTATGAATGCGAGGGAACGAGCACGGACAACATACGGGTTCCGGATTTCCGTAATGTCGTACAAGGCCACCGTTCGCATGTGCCGGTAGTTCAGCTCGGAGACGTTGAGCGAATTGAGCTCCGTGGCGATGCTGGCGAGTGATTCGCATGTCTGTCCGGGAGGGAGACTCCGAGTTTGATGTCGGATGCCAAAAGCTGCTGGAAGGATAACGCAACGTCGACGTCATCCGATGCCATTCTGAAAATTGAAAACATTGTGAAACATTACGCTTTTTTTTCTAAAAATAGTCAGAGGCTTGCTGAGACGTCACTGGAAGCGTATAAAAACGGTAGGGCCATAACCTGGACCGTGTCATGATTTCTTGTCCCATCAGTTTTCGGTGCCAACATGAAAAATACTTAGAAAGGTGCGAGAAATCGAATGGCGTTCAGTCTGAGACGCTAGCATTTTTTTAAAATTAGTTACAGTTTTGACCTATTTTGGGACTGTGATCGGACTAGGGACCACGAAGCCGGACCAAAACTTGTCTGATGTATCACTGTTATGTAAGTACCCATTGGGTATAATATGGGACAAATTGAAGCATTCTGAATTTTTAGTGACCTGGTGTAATTAGCGAATTTCGAGGTTCTCAGACATTGCCTTTTAAATACTCAGCCTGTGGACTTGTGTACAACGGAAAAATATGCGGCAAATTGAAAAAAACAATTTGTTGAAAGTACAGAAAAAGCCGAAGAAAGACTGAAGAATGTGCTAATATCATTTTAGAATTCAACAAAGAAAAAAACTTATACTTGGCAGCAAT